AAGTACGGTCACTCGACAGACGCGTGTAGAATCACTTTACGACGTCAGAAGAAGCAAGCCAACTTGAGCAGCAGAAAATGTTTTAGATGCGGTGAACCTGGGTGGAGCAAAGACCATGTCTGTAAAAAAGCTAAAGGTTACAAAAACAGTAGTAGGAGAAGTTCCTACAAGAACAGACTACCAACCTCGAAACAGCATAGAAGGAAATCAGAGAAAATGGATATTGATGATTCAAACCGTTCCTCTGACGATGTACCTTCCTCATCTTCGTCATCCTCGGATGAAGATATGCCTTTTGCTGCGGCTGGAGCCACCTGTTGTATCCAAGATACAACTATACGTCTTAAACTACAGAACGACTTCAGTACCTGCTTGACAATCTGATACACATCTACTTTGACACCCGCTTGCGGCTAAGATCTTATCATTCTCATGATAGTTTTAGTTCAGTTGTATTAATAGTTGAATACCCGTTAATAACCCCGTTTCTCATATAAAAGTATCATTCTCAACAAACTTGAATAAAGAGTATCTTTGTTGTGTCTGGTCATTTTACTGTCTTATTTTATTTTATTTTTATAAGTCTTTTAAAGTAACTGGATATATCACCACCAATGTTACTACTGGTGGGTCACTTCCAAAACCTGCAAAAGAGAAAGCTGACTGTAAGTATGATACTGCATACTTCAAGCAATTACCTGATTCGTCATTTACTGACATGTTTATCTACCTACCTGTCATTATTGAAAATGTTAGGACCTGGGCTTTGTTGGACACTGGATGTTCCTTCTCGGCGATATCGCCATCATTAGCCACATTCCTACATTTAAATATTGATAACAATAAAGGTTCCATTAAATTGATTAATGATGATACAATTGACAGAATAGGAATCACTTGTGATGAACTTGAGATAGTTTATAACTGCAAAGTATATTATTCCAAATTTGAAGTTTTCCATTTATTCAATAATGTGCATGTTTGTATCGGTATGGATTTGATTTTCACTTTGAATATTCAAATATCCAACATCGCTATGGATTGGGAACATAAGGTTGGCGATAAAATTCCTTTGATTGACCCTACTCCGAATGAACCCAATAATGATTTCCGTGGTACTCCAGAGCAGAAACAATATATAATGAATCAACTGCAACCATATATAGAGGCTAATACTAAAGTACCTCCCCATGCATACTGTACCATCAAGGGTAGTGAAATCAAATTACCCATGAAAGATGATATTCACTCCGCCTATAGGAGACAATATCCTATCGATGAATGTTACCGAGAAGCTGTTGAAAAACAGATTCAGAAGTGGAAGGATAATGACATTATTGCACCATCTCCACCGAATAATCCCTTCAACTCGCCATTACTCGCAGTTAGGAAGAAGAATATCGTAACAGGAGAGTATACAGGTGACATAAGAGTCGTCATCGACTGCCGTCTAGTGAATCGAAATCTCGATTTATCCAAAATAGACAGATTCCCTTTACCTGTTATCAGCAACCTACATAGGAAAATGAACCACTATTCCCTATTCACTACGATTGATCTGTCTCAATGTTTTCATTCATTCCGCATCAGAAAATGTGATAGAAAAGCAACTGCTTTTACTGATCTGAATGGCCGTCAATGGATATTCAAACATTGCCCATTTGGTTTAACTCCCATTTCCTCAGTTGTACAAAGATGTTTAACATCATTATTTGCCGACTTGAACTACGTTGTTAGTTTCATCGATGATATCACTGTTTGTACTGCAAATGACTATAACTTGCATGTCAAATGTGTTCAAACTGTACTGGAAAGATTAACCGCACATAATTTACGCATCAATCCTGATAAACTGCATGTAGCTCAAAGTTCTATTTACATTCTTGGGTACTGTTTATCTGAGCAAGGGTTAATCTTGGATCAGCGTAAAGTTGCTAATATTCTACAATGGCCAGACACTGTAAAAAATTCAAAAGAATTGAGTCATCGTTTGGGTGTAATCAATTATTTCCATGACCATATTCCTAATCTTCCTAGATTAACCGCTCCATTGAACAAAATCAAAAATCATCCAAATATTCAGGAAGTGTGGACAGATGAACATTCCCAACTATTGAGAAAGTTACAGAATGCACTAGTGAATGCTCCTATCATTCAAACTCCCAACTTAAAATATGCTCTGTGTCTTGTAACAGATAGTAGCGCTTACGGTATAGGCGGTTGTTTGTACCAAGTTATCCATGACAAATACCGTTATATTAGTTTCAATGCGCGTACATTATCTCCCGCAGAACAGAAGTATGGCTCAAGTCGACGCGAACTTTTAGCAGTAGTATATTGCTTTACGAAATGGCGTCAGTGGTTACGAGGTCGTAAATTCCATTTATTTGTGGATAACAAGGGGTTGCTGACCATGCACTCCAAAGAACGAATCAACAGAATGATAGAGAACTGGTATGAAACCATCTACGAAATGAACTTCGACATTACGTACTGTGCTGGAGTAAAGAATGTACTGGCCGATATTCTATCTCGCCTTCTCTACCCAGATGTAGACGAAAGGCTGGCCAAGGGTGAAGCTCGGCATAAAGCAGTTGAAGCTAATTCCGTGAACAAGACCACGAAGGAAAAGAAAAAGAATAAAGGAAAAGGCAAAGTGAAAGAGCTCTCCCCTGCCAATAATACGCCACAGTCCGATCCTATGTTTGCCGCTGCTGTACCTAACAATTATTCCAATTCCGACACTGATAACAGTGATCGAGAAGATCAAATAACGCAACATAAACATACATATTTCAATACTCCTAATTCTGAGGAAGAAAAGCAAGATATAATACGAAAATGCCATCTATTAGGTCATTATGGTATTAACAGTACAGAAAGGGCAATTAAAGAAGAACATGGTATGAACTGGACGAACCTACGACAAGATGTTACAAAATTTATAAAGAACTGCCAATCGTGTAGTCGCTTCAACTTAGCAAAGCATATCTACCACTTGCCAAAGAGTGATTGTCCCAATGGCATCTGGGATAAAGTGGCAATTGACCTAGGAACGTTTGATGTCACTTCTCCTAGAGGAAATAACTATGTACTAGTTATTGTAGATATATATAGCAGATTTGTAATTCTCAGAGCACTACAGACAAAATCAGCTTTAAACGTCGCTAAGGAATTGATTAGCGTGTTCTCCTTATTCGGCTATCCTAAATGCATACAACATGATAGAGGTACCGAATTCTATAATGAATTAATCAAAACATTCAAAGAACATATGGGTATGGACAGTGCTATTTCTTTACCGTACCATCCGGCGGGTAATTTGGAAACACATGTCAAAACCGCAAAAGGAATTATCTTAAAAATGCTCAATGGCTATACCGAATCTTGGGATCTTTATTTGGACGGTGCCACATATGCGATTAATCAACATATTGCTAGACTACACCATCTAAAGCCATTCAAGGTGATGTTCAATAGAGAAGCTAATGACCTAAAAGATTACACTTCCACCATGAATATAGAGTTTTCCGAAAACTCAATGGATACTGATGAACTACGAAAGAACATCGAAAGATTCAATGCATATACACTACCTGAGATCAAAGAACAAATACTGGCTACCCAAAAAAAAAGCAAAAAAAAAAAAAATGTTTGGTTTCCAACTGTACCAGTTATCATGTCTGCAGATGGTAACAAGTCATATTATGTAGTTGTAACTGATGCGTGAATTGCTTGTCAGTCAAAATCGCAATAAAGGTGTCATGTTCCGATCACTGTCTACGGTATCGAAACACGAGTGAGAATTAATTAATTTAAACACAACTTGAACAGCTATCAACTTAGACTTGAATTGTCGATTAAGCAATTGTTCACAAGTCAAACTGGTATCAGATCCATAACAGTGTAAGAGCACGCCTTCATTAATTTTTCATTAGATCCATTAACACTCATTGGTTGTAACTACATCTTCCTGACTTTTTCGGTCTCGTTCTATCTTGGTCTATCAAAATACTTAAGAATATCTAAAAAGGACACTGCTCTTCTTCCGATGGAATGAAATATACAGTATGAGGTAAACTTTCCGTTTCAGTACCTGACACAAACAACTGATCAATATCCTTGTAGTACGTTAAAACATAGTTAATGAATTGTTTCATTATTCTCTCTTTTGCAAAGTAGATCATTTGAGCCGCTGTTGATAGTAAGCATTCACATAATAAAAATATGTAGCTGCTTGTATTTAACTTTCTGATGTATTGTTATTCTTCGTTTTGAGCTAACTTATACAATGCCAATCATGTAATTTTCTTTGAGCTTAGCAGTTTTGAACGGGACAAGGAGCTTGAATAATTCGAATGTGATGTGCATTATGTGCCTAAAAGTTGTTTCAACGATCACTTATATTAACGCTTTGATGAAAATTTGGTACTGAACGGAGCTGTTAAGTTTGGATTAAGTAGCAACAACAAAGAAGCATGTACATAGTATTGTGACGGTTGTATTGTTCTATACGTTCCTTAATCGATTCCTTTGAAAGATAAAAGAAATAAACCTTTTAAAGGTATAATAAATTCAAGCTGCGTGCACTCTGTTACATTCTAAACCAAAATATGTATGAATTGTTTTCGGTTCTTCGACGGAACATAGTTGATGAACATCTGACTTGCATTTTTTTGTGAGGGAAACGTGTACAAAACAAGCATCATAAAATAATGATGAGAAAAGAAAAGTAAATGAAGAAAATCAGGCCTCACAATAAGTGCCTAAGCATATTATCATACATAATATACATGTATTCTTTGCTTTGCCCTAAGCATGATTGGCCGATAGTCTTAACCTTTCTGACATCTTTCAGAAAAAAAAAAAAAAAACTCCCTTTCATAATTATTCGTTAAAATTTCTGTTCCTTTTTTCCTTTCTTCTTCTTTTAATTGCCATACATACTATTCTACAATAGAGAATTATTCAACGTCTCCATCATAGTCAAATAAATAAGAATGAGATTGATTATTCGTGATGATTACGACGAGGTATCTGAATTTGTTGGTAAACTTCATGAATTTGTAGTGATCCATTTTCGCCAAGCGATGATAATTGACGTCTTCCCACCAATGTTCATAGCCAATTATGTTAAAGAGCGTATTCGTCAATTCGAGCCTAATAAAGAAAGGCCTTTTGTCCTTGGTTTACCCACAGGTTCTTCACCTACTGGAGTCTATAAACGTCTTGTCGAGCTATACAAGGCGGGTGAAATCAGTTTCAAACATGTTGTAACATTCAATATGGATGAATATGTTGGTCTACCCCGTGACCACCCTGAATCGTATCACTCCTTCATGTGGAAGAATTTGTTCATGCACGTGGATATTCCACCGGAAAACGTTCATATTTTAGACGGTAATGCTCCCGATTTGGATGAAGAGTGTAAAAAGTATGAGGCCGAAATCACCAAAGTGGGTGGAATTGAGCTATTCTTAGGCGGTATTGGTCCTGATGGCCATATTGCCTTTAATGAGCCAGGCTCTTCCTTAACATCACGTACACGTGTCAAAACTTTGGCTTACGAAACCATCATTGCTAATGCACGATTTTTTGATGGAGATATTGCCCAAGTACCAAAGCTTGCTTTAACAGTTGGAGTTGCGTAAGTATTGAAACTTTTTTTTTTTTTTTTTTTAATTTTTTACATTTTCTTTCGTAAGCCAGAGAAAAGTCTACTTGATTTATCCTTTTTTCTGATATATTATGGGGTTTTGTCTTGTCAAGTACTGTGATGGATGCTCGAGAAGTCGTTGTGCTTATTACTGGCGCGCACAAGGTAAGGGTTTTTTAGTTTCCTGGCTTGGAATGCTGATAAGAACAAAGAAACGTTTACGCGAGTAAAATTCGTAGGCGATTGCATTGGCTAAATGCATCGAAGAAGGTGTTAACCACATGTGGACTGTATCTGCAATTCAGATGCATCCGAAAGGTTTGATTGTCTGTGACGAGGACGCCACGTTGGAGCTTCACGTCAAGGTAAGACATAGCCTTCTGTGAAATTGAGCTATATGCATTACAATGCCTTATTAAGAGTAGATATTAAATTATCAACATTGCTCACTTTTATATCGCCATAGACTGTCAAATACTTTAAATCGATCGAGCATGTGCATCATTCTTTGATTGGAGAAGAAAATTTGTCGCTCCAAGGCGGTGTGAAGCAGTTGAAACGCCAAATTGCAGTTGCAGACAATAGTAGACCTTCCACTCCAATGGAGTGAACCCATTACTCAAATAGAAACGATCTTCATAGAGGAAAGGGAAACAAGATGTTTTTTTGAGAAATAAGCGTAATACATCCGGAAAGACTGTAATTTGCAATATTGAACTATACATATGCCTACAACTTCTCTACACCCAATCTACCCATAGAAACAAAACCGAGCAAAAAAATGAAATAAAATTAAAAAACCAATACAATATAGCATTTTATTCCGCATATCGATGTGGCTGGTAAATGTACTATAGATCGTCAAACTTATTTCTTCTTGCCAGCTGGAGCAGTAACGTTGAACTTGAAGTAAATGATATCACCATCCTCTACAATATACTCTCTACCCTTTTGCATATATTTACCGGCAGCCTTTACTGCCGCTTCTGAACCCAATTCTTTCAAGTCATTGTATTTCATCACTTCAGCCATAATAAAACCACGTTCGAAATCAGTGTGAATAACACCAGCTGCTTGAGGTGCCTTTGTGTTCTTACGAATGGTCCAAGCTCTCACTTCATCAGGGCCACCTGTGAAATAATAAATCAATTGTAAGGCGGCATAACCCATCACAATGATCTTGGGCAAAACTGAGAAAGCATTGTTTTCCTTTTGAATATTCTCCTTTTCTTCAGGTGTTTCGGCTAAAGAGAGACGGTATTCGTAAGCACCAGAGTAAGGGATCATAGGATCACCAGCAGAATTTTCATCGATCCAACCCTTGATCTTGGGGAGCCACTTGTTCTTCTTGCGGATAAAGTCCTTTTCACTCAAATTAGCAAGGTAGATCACAGGCTTGGCAGTGATCAAATGAAGACCGTTGATGACTTCAATTTCTTTGTTGGACCATTCACCATGGCGCACGTCTTTGCCGGATTGAACCCATTCCAAGACCTTTTGCACGATAGCTGCCTCTTCCTTCTTGGCTCTGTCTTGAGCATTACCACCGTTACCGATACGGCGAACGGAATTATGGAGTTCTGTAGCTTGCTTCGTCAAGAATTCTTCATCTTTCAAACGTAATTCTTCACGGATAATTTCCATATCACGAAGAGGGTCTAATTCACCTTCGACGTGAATGACATCTGCTTCGTCGAAAGCACGAACGACGTGGAAAATAGCATCGACAGCCTTGATGTGAGACAAGAAAGCATTACCCAAACCAGCACCAGAAGCGGCACCCTTCACAAGACCGGCAATATCGATCACTGTCAACTATAGGATACGAAGGTGAGTATTTTGCAACACTTTTCATATCTCATGTATTGGGGAAAACTTACGAAAGCAGGAATTTCCTTAGCAGGCTTATAGTGTTGACATAACCAATCGAAACGTTCATCAGGAACGGCAACACGGGATTCCTCAGGATCTAAAAGGCGAATGTCAAGACCAATGGTTAACAAAGACGTGACTTTCACGATGAATGGAGGGGGTCTACACTATAATTAACATACCAATGGTACAGAAAGGATAGTTTTCGGCGGCAGCAGAGGCGTTGGTAAGAGCGTTGAAGAAGGTTGATTTACCAACGTTGGGAAGACCGACAACACCAATCTTCAAGTTGTTAGAAGGACGACCGAGTAAGGCCTTTTCTTCCTTGACAGCTTTCTTTGGAGGCATCTTTATAAGTCCTCTTATGGGTTGTTATATCAAGTTGAATACATTTAGTATTTATTGCTTATCCATGCCGTTTCTTTTTTCTTTTTCTGCTACTTTATTTGTTGTGCAAGCAAAAAAGAAAAAAGTATCGAGTTGTATTGACACTTACTGTGCAAGAAGGGAGTGGTTAACGTTGAAAGATATACAAACTTGCCACTGACAGAATTTAGACTCATTTGAGGCCTAACATTAAAAAATTTTAAACAAGTCACTGACTCCTTTTCCTTAAAAGGCAATCAATATTTTCGAGGCACCGTCGAAAATTTTGGGAAATGGGTTAAATAGCCTTTTCAGTGACAACCGCATGAAGACAATGTAAAAAAGTTAAAATCGTCTTATGTTAATACTAGGATTCAGCTTATTAATTTGACTTGAGAAAACAAAAACACAAAAAAAAAAAGCAGGATAGACAAGCCGGAAAGATGATGGGTGTCATGGGGAGATATATCGTGTTTGTTGCATGAAGCTTGAATAATAAATAGGTTCATAAACGTCGAAGCGCAAGTGAGTGAGTAAAAAGGGGGTGGTGTGCTTGTGTGTGTAGAGCAGGCTGAAGGCATTTACATAGATAAAGTATACGAGCGGGTATTCAAGTCAAAAGTTACTTGCGGCTTTTAGGATGTACCTTGGCCATTGCCAAATCTCTTAAAAGCTTTCTTTCAAGTATGAACTTTCCTTCTTTATACCGATTGTCATTATCGTAAGCCTTGACCTACAAATGCAAATGGTTAGAATATGTTTAGTATCGACTCAATTGTTAAGACTTGATAGAAAAAGTTCATACGTAAGTCCAACCAAGCAAGGATGCACATTGAATACAGTGGATGTCTCTCACTCTATGTAAACCAGTTGACATTTCTCTGTCTTCGGCCTTTCCAAAACTGATATTGACACTATATCAAGAATGTGATGTTGAGCGTACAAAATCCAGGGTAAACAAAAAGAAAGAAAAAGGTCATATGCTAAAATGTGAATGATTTACTGTACACTTCATCAAACAAGTATGCCTGACCATGTTGGCCTTGGAATTGCTATAGAATAAAGATACTAGGATGAGGATCAATGTCAATATATCAGCTTAATGAATAGATGAGCTTACTTTGGACATAATGGCTTCAGACATTGCCAAGTGAGTTCCACATTTTATGCATCCATAAACAGTGCAGTTTCCCTCCAAGTAAACCCGGTATTTAAGACCCATCCGTTGGTTATTAGAATAATACTACTACTGAGGTTGCTCTCACAATCTAAAGATAGACGTCTTTTCTTTTTTTTTTTTTTTTGTCTTTTTTTTTTATTTTTTTTTTCTCTGTCTCTTCTTCCTTTTCAAATGGGTGTTCCTTGTTTGGATGCTTATGGACTGAATATATCACTATTGTCTTTCTATCGTGCGCTGTCTGTCACAGATTTGATGCTGCAAGTGGAGACCTGATAGTTAATCGGGAAAAAGTAAAAAGTCCGTGAATGGTAGTAAGAGAATGAAAAGAAAGCAAAAAAAAAAAAAAGAGAAAGATATATATAAAAAAAAAAAAGAAATTGGTTCAGTTATGTACAACGAGATAAGGAGGGAGGAAAGAAAAATGAACAGAATCGTCACATATCATTCAACTTTTCCAGTTTTTAAAGCACCCAACAGATACTATCAGATGATAGGACGCTTGCCCATTTTTGGCTTTCAATTAAACAACGGATTCAGAACTACATAGTTCCCTTTCTTTCGCCGTTAACAGCAATGAAATGAGCAAATGATAACGTTCGGCAGCAATAGTAAGTAGTTCAGCATAGAATGAAGCAACTGAAAGAGGATAAGAGCAAAGAATTCAATTTCAGAAGAGAATGGTTCCAGCTAGCTGAAACCTTGTGATTCATGATAGCCTTACAATAGCTTCTTTCCATGACGGTCATAATAGCTTGGAAGAAGGAAAGTCTCTACTATGTACACTTCTCTATCGAAATACAATAGTTTAGCTAGATGCTGACTAGTCCCTACGACTTGCAAGAAGATCGAAATAGCCACTCCCCCTCTACCCCAAGTAGTATGCATCATTTTATTGAAAAGGCGGTCAGAGTTGCATTAAAATAGTAGCAGTTTTAGCCAATAGAAATGATGAGTGAATTTGATCTGCATGGGCAATTGAAGTCTGAGATTTAATGTTTTATTTTTTAAATTTTCAGGAACGGAAAGATTGAGTGGGAACCAAAAAAGATGAATGCTATTTTATTTAGAAAAAAAAAAAAAGGTATACACATGAGAGTAAAATACATATGTAGAGGAAATGACATAATTTCTATGCCGTCAACAAATAAGTATAATGAGTAAAAATTGAAGAGTTGATGAAAAAAAGGTACGCATAGTGGAAGAGTAAGAAAAATCTGGCCCTTAGGAAGGCTGGACTATAAGGCCAAGTGATAATAAAAGGGAGTGTAGAAGAAATATACAAGGAGGAAATAAGCTATGTGTTTTACGTACTAAGATTATAATGAGTGTGTGTGGTAGTTGAGGGCAACTTTTCGGGTTTAGCATGCAAAGAAAACGCTTTGTCCTTTTTTTCGTCTTTTTTTTTTTTTTTTTTTTTTTTTTTTTTTTGGTTCAATTCAAGTAAAGGGACGAAAAAATTAATATTTATATTGTAAAAAGTGAGTGTCATGGGGTATCATAGAATGATATCTTTTTCTTTTATGGAAAGGTGTGGAGGGGGAGGGGCTATTTCATACTTTTTTTTTCTATGGTATCTGATAATGGTGTATCTTGATTTTCTTGCTGCTGCTGCTGCTGTTCGTTCGGAGCGGGTGATCCAGCACTACTACTGTTACTGGTGGATGCAACAACAGCCGCCGCGGCCGCAGCAGCATAAAAGTTAGCCATGATGGCTGCTGTCGTATTACTACTATCAGTAGTCGCATGACGAGATTGTGATTGCTGTTGTTGCTCTTGTTGCTGATCATCGGAAGTGGTTGTTGTCGTTGTCGTCGTTGTCGTCGTTGCTTGTAAGGCGGCCGCAATGCTGGGACTGATAGAAAATTGGGTAGGTAGAGCATGACCTAAACTTGCACCAGGAACAGAATCCAGCATGACCATATTAATCTCTTCCATCAACCTTTTATATCCTTGAGCATGGGTTAACTTTAGCTTGGAAAGGTATTGCTTCACTCGCTCAGCGATGCGTTGTCGTTCACGTAAATCGATATAGGAACTAGAAAGAATTTTTGTGACAAAGCTAACACCATGGACTTGATCTTGAAGTATTTCGTTGATCAAAGCTGGTATGCCCGTGGATGGCTCGGTAGTAGTGGTAGAGGTAGTGGTGGTTGTGGTAGTGCTGCTAATGCTGTTGGTAGAAGATGTTGTTGTTGTAGGGAAAAATAACGTGTTTAGAATGAGGTTCCTTGCTTCTGGTTCCTGTCGTTGATTGATGAGCTTTAAAACAGTGAGAGAAGCTAGTTTATGGGTGCATAATTGTGCTAAATGAGGTATGAGTCGAGGAGCAAGTACGCAATATCGACCTTGAATGCCGGAGGTATCCAATAGCCATATCAATAAAAGTGCTCCATTGGCATTGGTGGCTAGAAGCAAAGCATGCTGTACAAGGGAAGCAGCAACATATTTCTAAGAGTGTAAAAAAATCTCGGTTAGCTTAAAGAAGGGAAAAAAAAAAAAAAAAATAAAAATAAAAAAATAGCCACAGCTTTTTGTTTATTGTTTGTACTTGCCTGTTGTCTTTTTGTCACATGAGGACTTTCCAGGGTGGCTCTCACTGCTCGTGCGCCAAATCGTCCTTGCGCAATCTCCCAACATGAATCGACGATCGCATCAAAAATAAACTGATTGCGTTCCGGGCCTAAATTCAAACAACATTGCACTACGTAATTTCCAAACTGATCCAACAGAAGGGCGGGCACATAAGGCTTAATGAATTGACATATAAGTGTTGTAATATGTTGAGCATTGGGTAATTTCAAGGTTGTGTCGATGATTTTTTGTGCTGCCCAAGTGCCATTTTTGTGTACACCGATGGAAGCTAGATAGGGTGCTACGGTTTCCAACATAAGGGTTCTTGTTCTATCCGAACATCTTTCAAATAAACGTTGAATCACTGTATTACCAATATAATCTATGGGGTTGTGCGTGTGTGTTTTTTTTTCCCAAAAAAGAAAATTTAGTACACAATTTCATCATGATGGAGCAGAAGCATCAGACTTTACCACTACATAATTCTACTAATTCATCTAAGCATTCTACTGCTATCACTTCTAATTCATTCACTGTGATATTTCCTGTATCTAGTCTCTTTCTTATATCTCTCAGTCTTGCAATATCTACTTTTCTGGTCTGACCTAATTCTGGTGCTGCAGGTATGCTTGAATGGTAGGTCTGTGGTAATCGAAGCACTACAAAAAATAGTTCAAGGAGGCCAGGGGAGAGGGGGGAAAGAAGAAAGAGATTGAATTGTTTCAGTATACAAACAGAAAAAAAAAGAGGGGGGGGTGTGTGTGGGGAGGAGAGGAGGGGGGGGGTGTTGGGTAGAGTGGTGATGGGCATTTTTCACAAAGTAAATATGAGATATTTAATTAACTTTCTAACCTTCAAAGTTCGGATCATCCGAATCTTCACCGAATTCTTGCATGATCAATTTACGCTCCGTTACAATGGCAGCAATTAAACTATTTTGTTGTTGTTGACTAGCACCGTTCTTTTGCAATAATTCCAACATGAACTTCTTCATCTGTTCTTGTTGCTGTTGAGAGAACAATGCGGTATCTGTCGTACCTGTCGTGGCAGGCTTGTAGGCTTTTGTCACCTTGCCATGAATGGGTTGTTTTTGTGTTCGTGTCACAGAATCTATTGTTGTTGTTGTTGTTGTTGCTGCTGCTGTGGTAGCACTAGGAGCAACCGTAGCACTAACGTCGGATACATCCGCAAGACCGGCATTACCATTATAATGACTCTGTTGTGGTAGCACTGTTTTGTTGCTTGTGGTGGTGGTGGTGGTCGGGGTCATGGTGGATAACTGTTGCACCTTTGCATACCCCATTTTCACTGTGCCTGTACCTGGTCCTAAGATTTCTTTATTCTGAAGCGATTTCTTTGCTTTGATAGCATCCTCTTCGTGATAATAATTGATAAACGCACAGTTCTTATGAGCCAAAATACGAACAGATTCAATCGGACCATAGTCTGAAAAGACGGTTAATAAAGCACCATGTGTAGTATTCGTAGGAATATTACCAATCCCTATGCAAGCACAAAAAAAAAAAAAAAAACCAAGTCAGCATCAGTTTCCCTTCCCCCAATGTTGTGTTTGAACAAATTTTTTTTTTTTTTTTTTTTTTTTTTTTGCACGCACATAAAGCTCTTGTGGGACCCTCATTGGTGACAGTGGAGGTGCCTGTTAAAGGTGACCCTCTCCCGGAAAGAGCGTTATTGCTGTTATTATTGTTGCGAATCGTGTTAGCCATCACGTTCTCTCCAGATAATCCTCCAGCAGTCGTCGTCATCGAAGCCGCAGTCGTCGTCGCAGTGGTTGTAGTTGTCGTGGTGGGCGTAGGTTTCCCAAAGCCAACTTTGATAGGATGCAAACTGTTGACAAATACTCTACTGTTCATGTTATTCATCAACATGTCTTTGGCTTTCACAGCTTCATCCACCGTTGAAAAATTGATAAAGGCACATTCACGATCAGCCAAGATTCGAATGCTTTCAATCGTTCCAAACTTGGAGAAAACCTTGTGCAGTTCGTTTGAAAGTTGATGCGTGCCCATCGCAGGGTCCATATTGAGTTGACCAAGCCATAAAGACCGCGTAGGCATTTGATTCGTATTATTGTTGCCTGCTGTCATGATGTTTGCTAATGGTAATTCTCCTACTGCTGAATCTTGCTGCTGCTGCTGTTGTGGTGAATGATGATGAATCACCGTGTCATAAAAGAGCATATTACTGCTACAATTAGAATGTTGTTCGAATGATGAAGATAAACTTCCACCACTACCACCGCCAGCACTGCTACCATAAGCTGCGGTTGTAGGAGTAAGATCCTTGAAAGAGATGGAAAAAATAAAAAGAGTCAACCCTTGTTACGTGCAATAAGGAAACCTGAAAGAAATAGACTTACATTGTTCCAACTGACATTAGGACTTGTTAACATACCACTGTCCTCTTCATTAAAATTGGCAGCTACCGCAGAATTTCCGCCCGTGGGAGAGTTTGTAGCAGCCGTTCCAGCCCCTTTTCTTTGCCTTGCCATCATTTCTAAAATGTCAGCGCTACTGTTTGAATTACGTAAAAAGGGCCGATGCTGATGCGGATGTTGTTGCTGCTGAGAAGGATGAGAAGAGTAATGAGCATGATAAGTAGGCGTAGAAGTCGGTAGCGACTGTCGATTCATTTCTTGATACCAAATAGAACGATTGTTAAGTATAAAATGATGCACATTATCATCCTGTTGCTGCTGCTGTTGCTGTTGCTGTTGTTGTTGTTGCTGCTGCTGCTGCTGCTGCATTTGTTGATCTACAGCACTCAGAGCGCGAGGTCGATTGCTATTCAGATGTTGCGTCTGCGGTGGTTGATAACCATTGAGTCTAAAATTAGCGATAGAAGAGCGTAAATCTGTTGGTTTGAATAAACCCTTATTCTTATTGTTATTAAAATGGGTTTTATAAGGTAGATGTTGCTGTGGTTGCCAATCAGCTGTTGTAGCAACAGCATTTGTTGTAGACAAAGGGGGGTGCAGTAATTGTTGTTGTTGCTGTTGCTCGGACAGTGCTTGCAAGGAAGAATGAGAGTGGCTTGTGTGAAGACTAGGATGTGTCTGATATGGAGAACGATGACGACCATAATCGGGTTGTATATATTGAGGCAACAAGGGAGGATAACGCGACTGGTGACTGTCCTCTAAACCTAACGAAGCAAAGGTGCTTGCAATGGTATTACCATCATCTGCACGCAATAGCTGGCTTGTGGTAGGTGAGATGCTATTGGTAGGGCTCTGAAGTAGATTATCAGGTATCCAATATTGTTGATTGGATGATGGCATCATTGGTTCAAATTCTTCTTGCTGCTGCTGCTGCTGTTGCTGCTGCTGAGGATGATGATTCCCAAACAATGGTGCTGGTCTGAAAGTGGCTGCTGGTGGCTCCATCAACATATGGTGATTCAGTTCATGAAGAGGGTAAGGTAGTTGGATAGGTTGAGATGGCATGGTTTCAGCGCGTGGACGACGAGCTGCAGCTGCTGTTGACGACGATGCGGAAGGTATAAAATGGTTGGTATGTTGGTTTTCAGTATGAATAATACCTGGAAATCTGTCATGCTGTTCTTCTTCTACTTCTGCTTCATCTTCCGCAGCCGTTTCCTTTTTATTCACATCCTTGTCTCGACCCTGAAATGACGCTTTTTTGTTATTTTTCCACAAAAGATTTTCGGCCAAACTGTAATTTATGTCAATGTTTGAGTAATGCATGAAAATAAAAAGTGACATAGAGCAAAGAAAAAAAAAAAAAGAAAGAAAAAGAAAAAGATTGCTTACTTTGAAACGTTGTTCTGCTGGTGTAGTGATGTGCTAGCAGCAGCAGCAGCAGCAGCAGCGAGGGTAGAGGGCGATCCTGTACCTGAAGTGCTCATGATAATGTATAAAAAAAGTCAAAAATGGTATTGAAAGTAGAAATAGTGTTTTTTCTGGTATATTTGTGTTTGTTGGTATAATTTAGGGTTTATCTATGTTGGATATATGTTGACTGGTATATCTCTTTTGAACGAGATGCTTTTCAGTTCTCTTTTCCGTGTCTCTCGATTATACCTGATCCGAAGAAAAAGAGAGAAAAGATAAAGAAAGAGGGTGGCGAGGGAGACGCAAGCTTATTTATATACTTTGATTTGAAAAGAAAAAAAGAGCGTAAGATGATCGGTTTCCTTTTGATTTTTTCCGTCTGTGATGGCTAGTTGGTGTAATAGAAAAAGAAGCTTGAAATTCGTGCTGTGTGCGTATTTTCTGTACAATGAATATAAAAAAACAAAGCAAAAAAACGAAAGAAGAAAGAAAGAAAGGAAGAATAAAGCAGAGTTCCTAAAAATACATTTTAAATTGTTAAAAAGAAACCTTATAATTTTTGACTCTTTTGTAAGCAGGGGCGTCAAAAAAATTATTTTGCCTGGGATACACAGTCCAAAGAAGATATGTAGCCTGAACCGGTGGAAGACCTTTAATGGGGTAACCAAACTGAACAAAGAAGGGGTGAAGACTAATAATAGCATAACATCCTCACTTATCTCTTTTTACTCTAGTGCACTTTTTTAAAGTTCGAAAGAAACACGCAAAGACGATGATACAACCTCTCCTGGCCGATGCCCATCTCTTGATCCTCTCCCCCCATTACATCTATGTTTGACTGACCGTAAGTAAAGTACTTGTGGTTATCTGTGAGCTTGCTGTCCAACATGTTTAAATAACGGGGTAAGTTCATTAGCAGATTATTGTCATTGTCCAGGCTGCCATTCATGATGAGCAAAAAGATTTTGCATAGTTTACATAAACCATTGCTTATTCAACCCTCATTGGGGGGCAAAGAAAGCGCGTGTTCAGCGCATTTTTCTTTTTGTTTTCTTTTTAATTTTTATTTGGCCAAAAAATTTCTATCATGTTATGTTTGAATAATGGATGTAATGAAAGAAAGGAAAGCAGAAAAAAAAAAAGAGAACAATTCTTTCCAAATCTGGACTTTCTCATTGCCTTTCAATCCTCACCCGCCAGCACCTCCCAGCACCACTTCCAGCGTACAGCTAAACTTGTCACATATCTTGTATTATAAAAGAACTCAACATATCTCTCTGTTTATTAGTGGTTAGCGTTAACAGCAGACTTGCGCTATAAAGATAAGATATGTTATTATTGTTGGGCCCTTTACCTAAAAAAAAGGTAGTTAACAATGGTAGGCGCCAGTGAAATTACGCCTTAGAAGCATCTTCTTCTTTTGTTGGAACAAGTGGCGTGTCGCTGTTTCTCTCTTCTTTCAGCTGGAAAACCATCTTTTCCAATCGATGGACGCGTGTCAGTAAATCAACAACTGAGGTATCCCTACTGGAATTGTTTGCAGAAATAACTGTACGATGATGGCTAATCATTGTAACGTTATGCTTTTCTGAATTGTCGGTCATTGGATGTCCCGACCGTAGCTCGCCATTATTCACACTATCGCCGCCATTATCAAAGCGGCTTGCTTTCATTGTATGTGTTGTTTCAGGCAATGCTGGTAATTGTTGTGGCGCTATGCTGACCAATAACAATGCATGATTTGGGTTATAGTGGCGTAAAGCTGCTTCCAACTCTTGGGTGCGTTGCTCAAGTATCTGGCATCTTTTCGCTAAATCCTTTTCTTTTTGCTTACGTCTGTCGCGAAATCGAGCACTAGCACCGGCATTTCTTCGTCTTTTTTCTGCTAATATTTCCTCAGACGTCATCATCGGTGCAGGTCGTTTTACTGTTGGAGTGCGGTTGCTGCTGTCGCTTGCCGAAGCAGTGGGATCAGATGCTCGTCTTACTGATCTGTCAAGTGCATGACTAGTGTGAGAGGTATGATAGGAATAGGGTGATAAACAAAGATGCTGATCTGATACGGAAGAGTCTCTTCCAGAGTTATTTCGCTCTGGTGGTTGAGTTATCTGTTGTGGTTTAGGTAAAATAGGAAGAGGCGTTATAAGTGTTGAAGGAGGAAGTTCATGCGTAGCCTTGGTGAATACTGTGAAGGACGGTAACACTTTATCGCTGGTAAATTTCACACCTAGCGATGTTACTTCTGTCGGATGTTTCGCACTGGATTCATAACTCATGATTGAATATTTGACAGTACAAGGAAGGACGGTAATAATCAAGAACCAAAAAAGAAAAAAAAAAAAAAAAGGGCATGGGATGGTTCCATTTTTTAATAAAGTCAAATTACGCCATGGTTTTCTATGGCGACATTCATGATTCTAATTACGAGAAAACAGAGACGGGCTTCTGAAAAGGAAATTTCATTCAATAGAATTGTAACATCAAAAAAAAAAAGGATGGCAAATGTTTCATTGAAAATGCATATTTTGCGTGTTGGGAATCAAATATACAAGATATATGTATATATATTGAATTAATATTTACAATATGGAAGTCTCCACAAAAGGTCAGTTGCTACTAACGTCGATACTCTGAAATGGTTTCAACTGAGTAAAGAAATCACCACACGTAAGCAAGCTATCATCAAACCCAATCGGCACAAGAAGCCTAATTGCCCAGGATCGATTAGTACTGTCGATAAATCGTCATCCTATAGGAGCCATATAACAAAAAGCGCTTAATATTTTCAATGAAAAGGCATAGTTATTGCTTTGCAACGACTTACAATTCGTGTGAAAGAAGGAAAGACTCGGTTTCCGCTCGCCTCCATTCTAATCCTAAACCCTATACCTGACTGTCGTGATGAACCATGATAGCTATGTCTGCTATATCCATGCATTGAATAAGTATTTACTTCCGGTCGTTGCGCTTTGGGCCTGCTGGGTATGGATGTTTCGTTCAACAGCTCACTTCAACGTAAATAGAGAGTGCTTCTGCAGTCAGTTTTATCTGACGTACATACAACGCAACATAGCTCTTTTCTAACGTATGCTTAGAGCAGCTTACCTGCTTGTATCTTCATCGCCTCTACCGTAAATGGGTATAATGTTCCTATTTTCATCGCATTCCTTTCTACAGACAGGGCATGTAGCCTTTACATCTTGTAATTTCAACGTTTTTATCCATACTGCTATACAACTCCAACTAATGATGACGAAAAGATCCGTTTTGTTTACAACCTCGTTCCTTTGCTCCTTTTTTCCCTATTTTATCTATTACCAGTAGAGATGTCCGCATAGTGTTAACACAGGATTCGATGCCACATCAAAACTAGTATAATAGAAGGGTAAGGACTGATTAGCTCTCACTCAGTCTCCTTCAAAGGGAAAAAGCCCATAGCACAAATACAAATTTCTTTACGGCTCTACCAAATATTGCATTGATATGTCATAACGTCATCCAATGTGGGCTGCTGCATTGCATCACTGCTATTTTCTTCAACGTATTGATTTTTTACTGCAGTGACAGAAGCCATGATGAGGTAGGAAGAGTGTATATAGATGTATCCTTATGTAATAATAAGAAAAAAAGAAAATATGGAGGGGGAAAAAAAAGAACAATAGGATAGAAATAAATTAGGCTCGCCGCTTTTTTTTTTAATTGTAAAAGGAAAAGGGAAGTTTTTCTCATGCATATCCTCCGTTCCGACCAATGACGTTACGCTGGGAAATGCATTGAACCAAGTGTTAAGCTGCATTTGAAAAGTTAGCATCATTCACATTATATCATCGTTTAAAGAAGCCACACTTTTTGGTAAGATCCGGGGAAAAAGCAATAAAAATACAGTTTCTTTCCAAAGGCTATTTTGCGCGTATAATTGAAGCTGCCTTTTGCTCATAATTACCTTACGCCTACGTATATTTTAGCCTTCTCATCTTCATCATCTAAATTTTGTGCCCTCTCATTATTAATGATTCAGGTGCGCTCAGTCGACCGTTTTAATCTTTTATTGCGCGTAACCCCTTAAATATAATGTCACATCTAACAGAAACTTGTACGGTTCGAAGCGTCGTCTAGGCTCATATCTTCATTAAAGTTGAGTAATGTATATTTTTCAAGAAGAATATAGACATCCATTCTTTCTACACGCAAAATTCAATAACCTTTTCCAAGCACCACATAACACAGATTCTTCTCCACTCATCTATACACAATGTATTATAACGAGTCAGTGTGCTTTTATTTCCCGATATTTACTATTCGAATGCTTGTCTCATTGTCTTACCTAATCTATCAGCGGTGGTTTTTGGTCCAATCACGATGTGCGGTAGACTATCATTCGTACTAGCACCATTTCTACCGCCAATATCTAGTTCAGGATGTGCTTGTAAATACTGTTTCTTCGCTCTTGCAGCTGCTTGCTTCACCAGTTTGTCTTCGGGATCTGTTTTGTACAGATCACACTTGTTGCACTTGTTACATTTTACGCCCGGTGTCTCACGAAAATGATCACAAAAGTGAGCATAGGATTCTCGCTTGATATCTTTTCTGCAAACGTAACACATGGTATAACCACATCGACAAACAATCTTATTGCAGCCATCAGATTTTTGAAATGACAGCAGGCAATGAGGACACTTTTTTTAGGATGAAAGCCGAGACGAGGAGAAAGACAGGTTAACCATATATACATCATACATACATATCATGCCTATTCTTTGATTATACTTTACAGTTCTCTTGACAGCATCTGCCATGGCTTTTTCGACATATAAACGCAAGCCATCTGTATCCTTTGCAAAACACTTGTGAATTCCTTTTACGGGGCGATTGCAATTAAGGCAGGTTATCGTCTGACATGCTTCGTTTTTACACTTGAACTGAGTCGTTCCTCTTCTTTCATTCATAATGCGATGGTATGCAACTTCCAAATCACTCTTGATGTCCCATTGTTGCATCGCCAAAAAGAGTCTGAAAAGAAACGGGGAAGCCAACAACAAAGTCAGCCAAAAGACATTATACTTTTGGTTGCTGTCCTTGTTGAAATAGTCCAGTACTGCGAACATGATGAGAAATAGGCCGAAAAGACATGCGGCGGCCCACTTTATGTGATTATTGTTGCTATAAAAGGGTATTGCTTCAAGAGGGGTCATCATGGTTTCATCCACTTCAAAATAAGAACAAGAGCAACACTGTATCTTTTTGAGATATCTATGTTCGCTGGGTATCATGATATTTTCTAAAAGCGACATATCGTAAGCTTTCATCATATCAGTGGGTAAAATATGTTCCAGATCCTGCATTGACAAGCAGCCGCGACACTGATCTGTAGAGGCAATACACGCTATGATTGCTTTTCCACGTAAATTGCCTTGACCGAACAGGCCCTCTGACATATAGCGCTGAATACAATCGTGACAAAATGAATGTGCACCTTCAGTGCAAAATAGAAGCTGTTCAAATGTGAAATCATCAAGATAGCAACAATCACATGTAAGTAGCTCCTTGTGTTTATCGTATTCTTTATAATTGAGCTGCTGAGCTAAATGCAAATCCTTCTTTAACTGTCTGTCAATGTCCTGTTGATGAAGTTCTTTGATTTGTTCCAGCAGATATTGATCAGAACTGTTCGACATTGATAAACTGTTACTTTCATGATTTATTGAATGCGAAGATGTCGATAAGTTGGGAGAAGTAGACGAATTTGCAGACCAATGCATAAAAAAGTTCTTCAAAGTGTACCAAAATCCTCCAGAACCCATTTCTTTCAATTGTACAAAACTTTTCAAATAATCATAGTTGTTTTCTGCCAATATTGCTTTGATAGACGATTTCCAAGCCTTTTTTTCTTATGTAAGTTACTTGACAAATAACTATGAAATGTTATTTTTTTTTGTTTTGTTTACCTGAGGATAATTTTGTGTCAGTAATAAAAAGGCCTGCTTTTTATATCGTTCACTACGGATACCGTCTGCAGGATTCATTCTACCATAGTCCAATCGTTCAGGATAGTGCTTTTGGGACAACAACGCTTTTGTAACTTTTTCAATATGAGCATAACTGTAAGATAACACTTTTTCCCTCAAAAAGGCAATATCACAGTCAGGAAACAGATCAAGTGCCAATATTCGCAAACAAGCGTTTAGCCTGTTGTCGTCTAACTGCTCATTCGTTGTTGAAGGTAGTTGCGGGTAATGACCTCCGTAACGAGTGGTAATTTTATCCACGATTCGTTCTACAGCATTGTCGTTGTAGTAAGAGAGGCACGATCGAAAATAATCCGGGTCTAGGAATCAGCATTAGTAAACCAAAATAATCATGTCAGAAGAGACAAACGACCTTTTATCAACCGGAGCTTGGGAGCGTTTACCTCCATTTGGAAATAGCGTGGTTAATTGTTTTACTTGCTCATCTTCGTACGATCTTTTACTTTTCTTTGCATTGAGTTTTATTTTAAAGGCCATCCAAAAACTCTTTTTGTGTAGAAGAGGGGCCGGAAATTATTTAAAGCATACATTTAATTTTTTTTGGTACAGGTTTCAGTCTGCGTATTTGCGTATTTGCGTATTTGCGTGTCAGCGTATATATGTGTGTGTGTATTCTACTCGCTTTTGAATGGTCAAAAGGTGTGGAATTCTAAAAATACGCACTGAGCATCTCTGATCCTTCAGTCGCGTTCTTCACTCTTCTATGGCATCCAAAAGATTGAGTACCAAAGAGAAAAGCGGCTGTTTGTGATACATTTACACATGATTTGGATAGATGATCCTCACCACACATACGCAGTTTAAGAGAATAGGCCTGGATGGTACTATACCATACTTGAGAAAAGAGCTTCTAATGGAAACAATTAAGTATGCAGACATTATCGATATCCAAAATTGAAAAGAAAAAGGATAACTCAAGCTCTTGTTGTATTTATTTTTGTGAGGCATTTGGATGATAACCTCATGATGAGTTCAAATACAAATGTATTAACAGTGTACGCCTCAGATAAAGTACAGAGATAGATAGTACTGAAGTTTACATATACTTGAGAAGCTGAGCGCGGAACAAAAAGCTGTTAGTAACGAATCGGATCAGCGTATTATTTAACGATCTGTAGCCAATCTCTTTTTCTTCTAATTTTCCATGTTTCCTACATTGTGCTGCGAAATCAACACTTTATTGGTTATAGCGGATTTGAGACAAAGCCTCCCCTTTATTTTCTCCACACAATGACGTTTGATCTGAGCGAATGATAATAGCAGCCGTTGACCGGAAAAGGTTAAGTCTAATTGAAAAGATATAAAATGGACCCTGTTCGTAATAGAGTTTTGACTTTTTTTTTTCTTTTTTCTGTCATCGATCCTTCCTTTTCTTCTAACATATACTTACTGAGACACGATGCCACCGAACGTTGAGCTTGCTACTACTCTCGTCGCTCCCGTCTCTAATGACATCGGTTCTGTCACACACAAGACGAAAGATGAAGATGAAGTTTTTAACTGGGAGCAAGTTTACTACTTTGTTTGTGAGTATCTTTTATCTGAATGCTATAGTATTTGAATGGTATATACCCATCGTCATTTTGCTATATAGCTACGAATCAGATCAAAAGTCTTCATCGCCATAAACAAGTTCAAGTTGTCTATGATAAATGGAGAAAAGATACTCTTGCACAGTACGGTTCTCTTGAAAACTACCTTTTAACCAATAAGCTGGAATTCGGGACTATGAAAGATGCCCAGCGCCCGCCTGTGATCATCTTACCCAACGACTTTCCTTATTCCGTCGAGGCTGATATTGATCACATCTTGCTCTGGTCACAAGTTCCTCTGTCTCGTACTTATATCGAAGACATCTTAGAGAACAACTATGGTTCCGACAAGTACGAATGGGTGTACTGGGTGAACCCACCGGAAATTCAAAGTGTCAAGAAGCTCCCTCACGTACATGTCTTTATGCATCCCAAGCAATCATCGTAATACAGGTCCTGCCCCTCCTTTCCCTTCGTGCGTTACACCTTAGGTGTCTATCGTTTTTCACTCAAGTTTCTTCTCTTTCTCTCTCTTTCCGTGTAAATTGTATATGTAAATTCTCTATCATTACCATCACGTGCTTTTATTATAGACCCACTCATCCTTTTGCTCAGTATGCCCTCCCATCTCTCTTTTTTTTTTTTTATACATGCTATAAATATTTTTCTATAAAAAATAGTAGCTGGTGCTTTTTTTTGAAGTCTTTTTTTTTGATCCCGCTCCCTCAAATTCCTTTTAAAGGAATTTTAATCTCGCTTGTAGACCCTGAAGAAGCAAAAAAAAAATTTTTGTAGTATCGCAAATAAGCACATGGCTCTGTCTGTGATCTTAGTTTGGTTTTTTTATTTTAAGGTTCTGCGTCTTTGCGCACAGTTTCAAACATGCATTATGAAACGTAACACACGATGGAAAGGATAAAATATATAAAAAAGGTGTTTTTTGTGTATAAAGAGGAAAAGGAGGAAGGGGTCGCCTCTGCTAATAAAAACAGTGTCATGTCTCCTTTTTTTATTCTTTTGTATATGTTAACGACGACTCGAGAAAGTGTACAGAGTTTAAGAAAACAAAATTCGTTTGATTACAATTACGACAAAGATGTCCAAAGCGGTTAGGGAAAGGAAAAAAGAAAAAGGGAATAGAGATGCTATGTACTTTAAAAGATAAAAAACAATTGTTAGCAAGTGAAAAAGGTGTTGACATGTTGCACCTTCAGAGCCAGTGATGTGAATTGTCTTTTGGTAAAGACAAAGAGGCATAATGTGCTGGTACTACTAACTACAGATCAGAGTAAATGGGCCAGTTTAGAGAATATACCACCCGTTGGACATTTCACCGGCTTGAATGTAATATCAAGTACACCTAATCCCAGGTCTCCTCCAGGAGCAAGCTTCTTGAAAGCTCCTGGCGTCAGATCAATAGCACTTCCAACTTTACAAGCCGCGCATTTGTCAATAATCTGTACAACGACTTTTTTGCTTTTTGCCCGATTGTTGGTTATGCGCATACATTTATTACATTGTTCAAAACCGTGCATTGCCTATCATAAAAACCAATGAACATGTCAGAGAAAGCTTCAAGAAAAAGGAATATACGTAAAAGATGAATGCCTTACCATAGCACCGATCATATCGTGTACATGTGCATCTACTCTTGGAGCTCCATTACGACCAGTGAAGCATGCTGCTTTTTTCAAATCTTGACCATTATACCTTATATTTTTGAAAACAGATGGTTTTGTAGTAGAGAAATATGCGTGAGTGCGAGTGAGTGTAAGAGTCTAGTAGATTCTAAACACCTTACCATGTTACTCTATCTCTTTTTCCAAGCTCACTGCCCTCTGTTACATTAAAAGCCGAATATTCATTGAAATCCATGACACGAGCTACCCCACGTCGAACATACTCTGCTCGGACGTTATAACTGAAAGTCAGAAAGACAAGTAAAAATAAGAATTGAATTGTCGTTGATCTTCTTGAAAGAATCATAGTTGTGTATGTGTAAAAGAAAAAGTAGAGTAGATGAGACAAGTAGGTTATGAGTACAATTGAGAAAGAAAAGAGCAAGAAGTTGTATTGATTTTTTGCTCGCCGCAAAAGAATGGGGTCTTTATGTTTGTAATCTATTTATATTGGTTTTCTTTTTCTTCTTCTTCTTTTTCTTTTTAATTCTGTCAACAAAGAAAAGAAGAAGGGAAAGAAGACAGGAAAAATGGCATACTGAGGCATTGAATGATTCTTTTCTTTTTTTATGGTTAGAAGGGGGACACTTCTTACCAACATACCTGAAGGGATGGATTGGGCTGAAGAATAAAAGAACTTAAAAAAAAAAAAAAAGCAATGAATAAAAAGATGGAGCGAGAACCTTCGGTGGGTCTTGTTTTCTTCATTAGTGTCACTACTACTACTACTACTATTACTACCACTACCACTACTACTATACTATTGTACTACTACTATTACTACTACTACTATTGCACTATTACTATTACTACTATTACTACTACTTCAACTACCATTCAAACTGCCCAATACTGTTCCGTATGCAACATGGTCCAACACCAATCCTAACTTGGAATGGGAATTGAACAATGAATCATTCTCTCTTGCGCTTTTTATAGTAAATCATGGGCGTACTGAGATTTATAAAACACGAAATATGCGTTAATTGCAAATATGCAGGTCTCCTACCTTATTTTCATTATGAATAAGGAAACGCAAAACTTTCCACCATCTTTCGCCACAGCTTTGACAGAAAATTTATCCTTTGTTTAAAAAGGGGCCTGGAACCCGTTAGAGCTACTCTTCTTCGTGATGCATTTCAAAATACACAGTAAGGCTATCTGAGATGTGGGGCACTGCCCACATGTTAAAGCATTTTATGACAGTTACACTTAAAAAAAAAAAAAAAAAAAAAAAAAAAACCATAAAATGAAATGAAATAAAATAATATATAAAATTGATTAGATAAATGACAAAGGACTACCACCCCTATGAGCTTGTATTGCACTAATCTCGATTCAATAATAAAATTTAATAAAGACACCTTTATAAGCCTACTAGCGGTAATAGTCTAATGATGATAATATAAAAAGCCCAGATTGTTTAGAAAGTCTGTACCCTCCTTTCGTCAAATTCAATATTGCTTTCGTGAAAAAACCCTCCTACTCCTTCCCCTGTCTCCTCCTCTTCACCCCTTTTCCTTTTTATTTTTCATAGTGAAGAAAATAGGAGGCAATAAAAGAGAAACAATAAAACGGATGATGCTATAATAGTCGAAATATATATTAAGGAATATCGTACTTTTAGAATATATAGTTCCCTTGAAAACTCGAACTTTTATCATTAACTAGAAAAGTGAGACCATGGTCTGTTCGCAAGAATGTCACATGTATTATGCATAGAAAGCCAAAAGCAGTATCCTTTTCAAAAATAGAAAATATTGCAACAAAAAAGAAACGTTCGTTCGTTAGTCATTCTAGAATAAATCAGTCTTTTGACAGAAAAGAAAAATTAACTTGGCTTTCAGACACAATGTCTTTTTTGTTTGAGAAGAACACATTGGTTTTAGTGTAATCCTCACATGAAGCGTTCAATGCACTCAAATAATGATCAATAAAAGGCTTTTTTTCTTGTGTTGGGTGTTAACGTTTTATACAAATAAGTCTGTTATTTTATTTTAAATATGTAAAAAGAGGGAAGGGAAAGGGGAAGAGTATAAAATAAATGTCTACAAAATGCTATATATTAAAGAAGGTAATATTAAAGAATATGATCCTGCTGTTTACAATTCTTCATCAGTAGTGTAAACTTCTTCACCACGCTTACGACGTTCCATACGCTCCTTCTTCTTCTTACGGAGTTCCTTGGAAGTCAATTTCTTCTTCTTTTGAACAGCCTTGATGGTGTTACCTTGAGCATCAACCATATCTTCTTGTTCTTCTTCCTTGACGGCGGTGGTACCGTTACCGGAGACCCAGTTGTGACCAGAGGGAGTCAAGCGACCGGCATCGACCTTCCAGACTTCGTTACAGAGAGCTTCAGTGAATTCACGGTTGTGAGTAACAATGACAACACCACCACCGAATTCCTTGATAGCCATGGCAAGAGCACCAAGAGATTCACGATCCAAGTAATTGGTAGGTTCGTCAAGAACCAACATGTGAGGCTTGTTCCACATAGCAGCACCAATGACAAGCTTGACCTTTTGACCACCGGAAAGACCACGGATACGAGAGTGAGTGGCGAATTCGGGATCAAGACCAACTTCGGCCAAGTGCTTTTCGATTTCCTTGGAGGTCAAAGGACGGTTGAGACCCATCTTGGCAGCTTCAGCAGCATCGACTTCAGCAATCTTCTTACCGAAACCCATTTCTTCGAGACGTTGACGAGAGATCCAAGTGTTATCAATAGAGGAACGACCGACCCAAGAGACTTCGTATTCGTAAGATTGCTTGAGCTTACGACGAGCAACGATTTCTTCAAGGACACGCTTTTCACCGTCAATGACGAAGGTTTGTTCCATGATCTTCTTTTGCGCATCGGTGTTGGCCATACGGTCGTTCTTATCGAGTTCTTCACGATCTTCACCAGTAGCGTAACGCCATTGGATGTATTCGTTGGGAGTAGAATCCAAGTGCTTTTCGATGTGGTGGAAAGCGTGTTGAGCAACGTAAGCGATACGCAAGTTAGGGTGCTTCCAGACAGTACCGGTTTGAGCTTCGATTTCACCGGTCAACAACTTGATCAAAGTAGACTTACCAGCACCGTTAGGGCCAATGACGGCAACACGAGAGGCAAGAGAACATTGCATGGTGATGTCGAGCAATTGCTTCTTCTCGGAACCGGGGTATTGGAAGTCAACATTCTTCATCTTCAAGATAGCACGTTCCTTGGTCTTGATACCTTCCAAGAATCCAGGTTCAGGGAACTTGAACTTGATTTGAGAGGCTTCAAGAGAGTAGTAAGAAGCGGCACGAGGAACCTTCTTGACGAATTCGGACAAGTTACCACCGTAACGCTTGAGCTTGAAGTTGGGTTCATAATGGATGATATCGGAACAGACGTGATCCAAGAAACCAGAATCGTGAGAAACGATGATGGAAGTGACAGTCTTGAGACCCAAAAGGTAGTTTTCTAACCAAGCAACGTTGACAACATCCAAGTGATTGGTAGGTTCGTCCAACAAGAGGATATCAGCGTTCATCAACATAGCACGGGCAAGAGCGAGCTTCATCTTCCAACCACCAGAAAGTTCACCAATAGCCATCTTGGTAACCATGGCTTCAGAGAAACCGTAGTCAAGAAGGATCTTGCGGACTTGTTCGGGATCCTTGGTTTCAACACCATCGGAAGCGAGGATGAAGTCAACAAGAGGAGTATCGGCTTCGGAACCATCGATATCGTGTTCGACGTAGACAGTCTTGAGTTCAGAACGAGGAGGGAAACCTTCGACTTGTTCGTTGGCAATGGCACGCATGAGAGTAGACTTACCACAACCGTTGGCACCACAGAGACCGTAACGGCGACCACGCTTGAGACGGAGGTGAGTACGGTTCAACAAGATCTTGGCACCATAAGCAAGAGAGAATTCACAATCACAAAGGTCTTCACCTTCATCATCTTCTTCTTCGGGATCCTTGGCAGTGACGGCTTCCTCACACTTGTCCAAAGCAGAGCTGGCAAGGGATTCAGCATCAGCAGCTGACAAGAAAGTCTTGGCATAGGGAGCAAGAGCCTTGATCCAGGCGTTCTTGAAGAAGTTCTTGGACATACAGAGGGAGAGAGCAACGTCGTTCATGTACTTGACGGAAGCATCCAAGAAGGAGTCCATGTTTTCGGGCAAGAGTTCCTTGATGGAGGTTTCGACCTTTTCCTTCTTTTGTTCCTTGGTGTAGACTTCACGGCCAGGGTTGGCAATACGTTGAAGAGTGGCAAGAGCCTTTTGGACGACACCACGACATTCAGGGTCGGCAACGATATCTTGGACCTTTTCAAGAGCAGGCAACAAGATGGGCAAGAAAGGAGCAGCTACATCGGGATCATCGACAAGTTTGGACATGTTATCAATAATCAAAGCAGACTTACGCTTGATGGGAGTGGCACGTTCATTCAAACCACGGCTCAAAAGAGGAACCATGATGGAGAGAGTGGCGGCATCGACTTCTTGGACGAAAGTGGTGGCACCGAGCAAGTGAATGGTTTCAGAGACGTTTTCGGGGTGGTTGATACAAGCAATGACAGCAGGGATGAAACGTTCAATATCCTTGTTTTCGACAAGAGAACAGATAGTGGACATGGTTTCAGTGGCCTTCTTCTTGACATCGGCCTTGGTATCCCACATACAGTCGGAAACAACAGGGACAACATCAGGAATGGCAACGATGAATTCTTGACCGTTCTTCTTGGCGAGCAATTCCAAAAGCTCAAGAGAGAGCATCTTGGTTTGCCACTTACAAGAGTTACCGAGACCTTCAAGGATGAAGGGAACCAATTGAGGGCAAGCAAGAGGGTTGATCTTTTCGACCATGTTCTTGGCAGCGGCATCAGCGGCATTCTTGACAGCGGTTTGCTTGTCAGCTTGAAGTTCCAAAAGGCTGGTAAGGAAAGGAACGATGTAGGGTTCAGTTTGATTATCCATGTTTTCGTTGGTGAGAGCATTGACAGCAGCAACGGCACCAGCACGGGCACCGGCATTCTTCTTGCTGGTAATATCCTTCTTCAAAGCATCGACAACAGACTTGAGAGAGAGAATACCGTTTGCCTTGACAGCGGCAACAAGTTCAGCGGCGACAGCTTCACGTTCATCATCGGAAGCAGCGGCGAGCTTGGTAACGATATCCTTAACCTTCTTGCTCTCAACCTCGGAAGGAGTTTGAGAGACGATAGACATCTTCTTACTCTGAATTTCGCTCTGAGTGTTGTTCTTAGCGGCAGCAGCAGCTGGCATCTTTAATATATTATGACTATAGAGAATGGAATAGAGCGGTTATAAAATAAAAAAGATGTTCACAAAAAGGTGTCTTTTGTGATAATAGAGAGGGAACAAAAAACGTTAAAGAGGAAAGAGGAAATAAACAATTGCAATCCTTTTTCTTTATTTTATAAAATTTTTTTAACTAAAAATTTTTTTTGCCTTTTTTACAATACGAATATACGTCGTTTGTTTCTGAGTAGCCACCAAACGATTTGCAGCGGTTTTTGAATTAACACTACTTCACTTCGATATTTGGCAGAATTCTATTCTTTTTCATTTGTGCATTTTCTTTTTTTTTTTTGCTCTTTTTTCATTGATTTTTGATAATGAAGGACATAAGCCACCGGAAAAAAAAACGGGGGGCGGCTTTTATTATAGATGAGAAAGGCAAAAGGAAGATGATTAAGATATAATCTGAATTTTCTCTTTTTACATAGGGTAATGATTTAGAAAAGAAGGGGTGTGTGTGTATGCGTGTGTGCGTGTGTGGAAGGGGAATAGAAGACCTAAATTGGGAGAACAACTGCGTCATCTACCTAGATCAAGCATCTTTAGGGTCACTGGCATTATTATTTTGAAGATCCTTTTCTATAGGCACGAGCCAAAAAAAGCAACAATAGATTTCAGAGTTAGATTGTTCCGCAGTCATTTTTCATTTCGTCTCCCTTTTTTTTTCTGTACTTGGGAGGAAATAATAAGGAGTGGGAGCTCGCTACATTACCTAATCCCCAGATATGCGTTTTCAATTCGAGATGTTCAATATTCAAGGTATCCTAGAAATTTTGATTCATGCAATAGGAAAGAAAAATAAATTTTTAGTTTCACATGACCCCAATGTCAGCCTCACTATGTTGTTCCAAATTGGGATAGACAAGCTTGTCTCAATTTCCTTACATATAATTTACGAAAATCGACTTTTGTATCTGCCAACTGCTGTTTCGTTGCTGTTGTTTCTTTTAATTTGGCTACTTCTCTATCCAATTTTTCAATGCGACGAGCATAATCCTTTACCTATCATCATGTTTCAACAATGATCCTAGTGAGTCTATGTAGGCGTCTTTTGTGTCCATGATTTTTTTTTTTTTTTCTAAGCGATCAATGCTTATGCCGTGAAGCATATCATTATTTACCTTGTCAGTCGATGCTTGGAGTTCTTGAAGTGAAAGAAGTAAAGATGTCGAAGCACTATTATACTCATCCATCAAGTAATAGTATCCTGCTGCTCCTGCTGTAATGACACCCACCATGAATCCAATGATACTGCATGTTGAAATAAAGTATTTGTTCAGTAAAAAAAGACAATAGCGCCTATCTTTGTCATCTTGTTGAAACATACCCGCCGCGCGTTCCACTCGGTTTAGCTGTCTGACTGGAATAGTGTCGTAGATGGTGGGCTCTCGATGGAGTTGTTGTCATTCGGAGCAATGCGTTCATTTCGAAAGTGAGTAGGTTGGGTTTATGAATAAAGATAAAACAGGTGCACAAAAAAAAAATAGAAACAAAGCGAGTTTCAAGCTTTGTGTTGTATGCGTGTAGCACTTAAGGAAGCGATAGATTGTATAAAAAAAAGCGTTCCGTTGTCAATTGTAACCCCAGAAGTTCCCTCACTGTAATCTAACTCGTTCTTGACTTTTTTTAAACTTTCTGTACCTGAGGAAGGGGTGTGGTGGGGTGCAACATGATTTTCAAGCCAATGAAGCCATCGCGCGCACCTTAATGGCGCACCCTAAATCAGTGATGATGATGTCATTGGAAACGTTGGCTCCATGAGCGTTCCTCATCAACCTATATAAATAGTTCTGCAACTGCAGAAAAAAGCTCAAGTCTGTTGGCACAAGTTATTACTAGATATAAATGCTGATGAGATGTGCGTACTTTAGATACTACTCTCATGGTCTGTTCACACATGTTTTTTAGACTTGTAAGCTACGAATTCGACACCATTTGTAGTTTACACAGCAGTTATTCCCTTATCATTATCAAATAAATAGGGCTTGCTATACCCCCTCCCCCCATAATATCTCAAATGTTATTCTATTGTCTCATGGATAAGTTATTACAGCCGCCGTGCGATTTTATGACTGGCTATCCTCCTTTCCCTTTGCTTTAGATTGCGTTGACTGTTGTGCGATCATTCTCGAGAAAAAGTTAGTATCCATTGGGCTAGTCTTCTCCTCAGTGGATGAATAGAGAGAATCTGGATACACCACAGCCACAAAAGAAAAAAAAAATGAAGACAAGCAACGTATAGTCGTTCAATTATCACTATTTGCTCTTTCGTATTTATTTTGAAATGGATGAATAGATGATAGTCATCACGTAGGTTGGTATGGGATGGTTAGGAGTCGAGAAAACCATTCTTGGTATTATCTTGGGTTTGGTTAGGGTCGAGGAAGCGGTGGTAAGTAGATAGGAGGTCTGACTTTGCCCATGATGGATTTATGGTTGAAAAGCAGAGACTTGAACAGGAAAGGCCGTGAGTAGTAGTAGTAGTAGTAGTAGTAATATAAAGTGTTGCAAGAGGTTTCCTTCTCAATACGTAGATAAAAAAGCAACAATGCTGCGGTTGGAAGGTCAAGTAAATAAAGAGAAGTAGCTCTACATCACAGAAAGAGAATCGTTGGTTTATATAGCCTTCTAAGAAAAAGTTGTCAAATACTTTCAACTAATAAAGCAGGTACATATAAACTTCTTGGAGAAGTGAGGATACAATGGTTTTTTTGTCAGTTTTGAGGTATAAATACTAGTTCATGATATAAATCTGGACGCTGAACAATCAAATATTTGTACAAACCAAAAACCAGATTATTTTACAAAGGCGATTCTCTCTGTTCTGCAAGAAACACTTTATTCGTATTCACCTAATGCTTTTCCTGGAAAACCGGTTCGAAATCACGTTTGCGAAACCATCCTCGTTGTGAGTTGAGGTATACAAGTAAAAAGTGTCCTACAGTATTGTTTCGCTCACATGGACGTGTTGTTCAACAAAGACAATGGATCCAGTAATTGACATTTTTAGCAAACAAAAGAAAGGCTTCTCCGCTTTTTGCACGACCCTTCAAAACGATGTCCATATTTGGGAAAACATACTTACAGTATTTTAACTAATATTTTAGATGAAATATATTTTTTTTTGGACGATTAATATTTTCATTTTAGATAAGTTGCAATTGTGTTGTAGACGAAAATATAAACCGTTCAAACAATGATTCAAATCCCAAAAACTTGTCAGTATTGCGAAACAAAAAAAAAAAACAAGAAAAAAATACCGTACTATTCCTTACCTGTAATGATCTAAATCCTCAAAATGTAAGGAAAACCGTGTTTATTACGGCGATACTTTTTTCTTCTTCGCTGGCTTAAAAACATCGGGTCTTCCCGCTCCAGACCAAACTGCTTGGGATATAGTCATCATGTTGATAGCGGCGTTAATGTCTCTCTGCCATAGCTTTAGACATTGCTTGCAATGAAGAACGCCGGTACCCTTGAATCCAGGGGTATTAACAATTTGCATATCATCATAGAAACAGAGGCTGCATGTTTTAGAGGTTTTGAATTCATCGATTGTGACAACAATCAATTGACCTTCAGCTTCACGTTTCTTCAGAGTTGCAAAAAGTTTACCGACAACACCACATCTTTGCCCTTTCAATTTTACTACATCTTTTCCAAACATTCCAGCACCAAAGACAATCAATGGTACCCTTCTAGGGAATCCTGAGTACTTATCAGCCTTCCACTTCTTGTCACTTCTAAAAATTATCAATCAGCGCGTAAGCTAAACGATGAACATGTAATTCATTGATACTCACTTGATTGGCGGCTGTTTGTCAACATTCTTTCCTTTCTTCTTCTTCTTCTTCTGCTGTTTTTTCCTCTTCCTTGCCTTGCTTCTCTTTTTGCGATTGTACTTGGCCGTTCCATGAGTCAACATGTTGGCCATAGTTTCGGGTGCTCTTTGCCTTCCTTGGTACAACGTAAACCGGTCCTTTGCTGTTTCATGTCCATAAAAACTAAAGAGAGCGTCTAAGTTATTGAGCATATAACTGGTGAACGCCTCATATACTCCTAGACGAGAGGTCTTTGACGAGGGGATTTGACTTTCTACTAGATCTATTCCTGTAACAGCTTTTATACTGTTCAATTTCTTACAATATTTCGTTGACCCTGCCATATGATAGTATTCGGATGTAGTGCATCTTCGCACTTGTCTGTTATATTCAAGGCCAATAGCAGCAGTAAAAACAGACTTTCTTCCGGGATCCAGGGTAATAGGTAAATAAGTATTGTCAACTTCATCCAGAGAGAAATCATCAAGAGTGAGGTCAAATTTTTGGAACGAGGCACCATGGCCAGATTGTTGTCTTTTATAAAAAAGAAAGTCAACTGAAAACCCATCCGTTCTGACAATATTACCAAAGAGCTCTTTGTTATCACCATTCGGTGTAAGTTCAGAGATACTACATGTGCCCAAGAAGTTAAACCTCATACATTATACTCGACTGCATACCGTATTAACTGTATGCTTACCTTTTGTACCTGAGTTTCTTGAAATCAAAGACATGGAAAAACAGCTCTAATTGGCTTTGGTAATTGCGGGGTAAAGAACGTTTCACAAAAGAAGACAGAGCGTTCACGCTCAAGGTAATGAACCTCCATTGAACGGAAACCTTTGGCAGTAAGGATAGCAATTTTGGAAGAGGACGTCGTCGTACGTCAAATGGTTTATGATCATCGTGTTCGCTCTCAAATTCTGCGTTCAAAGATAACAAAAAGGGTACGAAAGACCCAGGATCAGCAGATAATGTCTTCATGTTCACTTTCTTCCCCAGCTTCTTCTTCCAAGGTTCACAAAAGGTTTGGATCTTTGCTTTTATATCTTTGATAAGGTAGTCATCAGTTGGCCATGTAGGTTTTCCTTGGCATATCTCTTGATAGCAGAAATCACTTGTGACTTTTTTTACAAGCTTCCAAGGCATACACTACGCAAGATGAGAGCTTTTTTTAAAATTCATATAAGATTCAAGTAAGATTGAGTTGCAACTTACCACAAATGCTGTTTGTATTTTATATACCAAAAAATAGAGAAGTTTCTCCTCGAAATTTTCCACTATACTGTTCGTATAGGAAGTAGCAATTTCGGTGCATGCTTCTGTAATGGCTTGACTAAGTCCAGGAAAGAGCTTGACAGGGAAGACAATCTTAGGGTAAGTCGTTTTAAAAGAATCAAACGAGCTCAGTAATTGTTGTGATATCAGCCTACTATTTGTTGGTCTTTGTCCATTCACTAGCTGTATCATAGAGTACCAGAAATTTTGTGTAAAGATATATTTAATACACTTTGGCTCAGCAAGAGTGGCATTTTCCAAGACGTAATAATTCACAAAGAGCTTGGCTCTAAGAACCAAGTTTCGGATAACAGAACAAGCTTCAACAACTTTTGACTTGAATGTGTTGCGATAGTCACCAAAAACGCAGTTATCAAGAGGCAACCTTCTTGTAAACGCCTTGTAATTACTTCCCAAATGATGTTGAAAGACCTCTGCCTTTGATAATACATGTTGAGGACACAGAGGAGAACGCACCGATTTATGTCCTGGTTGCTTGCATTTGGTACAACAGGTATTGTCTTTATCCGGTTCTTCATTATTCTCTTTCCTTGCTTTCTTCTTTTCCTTCTTGATTTCAAAGTTCTGTTTGCGTTTTCTGCCTATCGAACCAACTATAGGTACAATGAGGTCGCTTACTAACGATGAATTTACCAACTTTTGAAGCCACATGAGGTGCTTACCTTGATCTGCAGTTTCTGTCTCATACAATTGACATTTAAAGTATTGTTGGGTGTAATGACCCCCTTTACCGCAATCAATACACGTTACATCTAACAGTACACGATGATTAATCTCTACGTATATATATGATCAGGTATATAGGCTTTCAAAAGGCAAGTTACCATTAACAGCACTTGATTTTTTCTTTTCAAAAATTTGCTTTTTCTTTTCATAAATTATTGTTTTGAACATGGGTCATAGTATGTATCTTAAAAACGTGAAATAAAAGTGAAAGAGACAACATTTGACTCTAAGAGAGCAATATATTTTATAGTGCTTATCTTTGAAAGTCACCCATGAACGCATACAAAAACATTGACAACAGTTAATATAACCATCCCATTCCGCTATGGTATCTGTTATACTATGACCATCAGCCCTCTATCAATGGTTTGATGTCAATCAATTCAAAGTTAACTTTTTTTGGAATTCTTGTCCAAAAAAGGCACCAACGAATATCTTGTTGGTCTCGGAACACATCGTCATTTAGTAAAAAAGTTGTCAAGCTTTTTGTAGTTTGTCCTATTGCAAGATAACATCAATAAAACCATTATTGGCGACTTTCTTACTGATAGAGACTAATTTCTAGGGTTCGATTGTATGTCATCCTTAATGCTGCTTGAATATCACTGAATAATTGAGTATCCAAATATCCAAATACTATGGACTTTTCTAAAAATATTTTTTACTAAATCTAAAATTAAAATGTATATTGTCCATTAAAAATTGTAAATCGTCTAAAATATAAGGTAAAATACTGTATTGTAGATATTAAAACAACGAAAAATTGACTTGCTCCATAGTACTAGGCAACAGGGAAGCGATGGAAACTTTTGTTGGTTCACTGCCACAAGTCACTATCAAGAGCATTCGCTACTACTACCGATCCACTAAATCATTCATTTTCTTTGCGTTGGCGACAAGAAAAAAGAAAAGAACAAAAGCAACGACTTTATGTACCATCCGATCAATTTTCGTATAAGCATTCCATTTTTTTTTTTCTGTACAAACGTAAATTTCGATGCTGTGTTCTCTGTCAACAAAGCTCTTTGTTGCTGGTGAGTACTGATTTCATGATAACGGCCCTTTGTTTTAGACATGCTTTGAACCATTCTTTTGGCAGTGGAAGGACTGTTTAGATTTGTCAGTAAAGCAGTAATGCATCACTGGCAAAAGTAATCAACCTTAATTTTGTGCCTGTTTCCTTAAAATTTGAGTGAGGCTGGAAGCTGGGGGGGGCGGGGTGGAGGATGAGGAAAATTGTTGAATTCCGAGACATGTTGCCACATTTTCATTCTCTCAGCAGTCTTGCGTGTATCCAAAGTAAGAATAAAGAACTTTAAAATAGCTGCAGACCAAACATGAACCTAATCGATATGGGGATGATTGATATGAAACTTGACCGTTTGAAATCTTTAATAATTCACTTTAAACCTTTCACCGCGCGATATCGCGATATGGATGGTTTTATTTGAAATTAGATTTGGTCTGCAAAGAAAGACTTGATTCACTCAAAACCTGTTTTTCAAGTGCAAAAAGTTTTTTGATTCGCTGCAAATCGCAACACCCGATTTTGGTCAACAGGTTGAAGTTTAACCTTTTTTTTTTTTTTTTTTTTGGTGGTGATGGGGAAGATAAGCTAGTGGAGCACAAGGTTTCAGACTTTTTTTTTTTTTTTTTTTTTTTTTTTTATTAATTTGCCTTTAATTGCGGGCTCACGTACAGTGCTGCTGATTACGGGGAAAAATTTGGAACGGGACTTTGGACTGAAAATGAATTAGAAAATTTGATCTTTCTGTAACGATGACTATGCACTACAACTGCAAAACCAACTGGGCAAAAAGATGCTAATAAGAAGGTTGCTTATTGTTGAAAAAAAAAAAATCATATGGAAAAGTATGTACAACTTACTCGATAACAATAGAGAATAGTACGGAGGCATTCATCCCAAGAATGCGGCTTGTTTCTTGGCCAATTTCTTTAAGGATTTGACTATTGTTCCCATTCAATCGTTCTACCATTCCATTGCATTCGGGGGTGATAGGGTGTGGAGAAGGGCATGGTTCGCCTGTACAAGACTTGTCAGTTGCCTCACTACGGCAGCACGAAAGTGTGGACCGTTGGTCTACTGAAATTGTTTTTAGGAGAGACCCAAAAACGCAGAATACTTGCTCGCAAAAGATCGTGGCATAGCGCATGGTTATCGATGGTGGGGGGGGCGTGCAGTGTTGACCTCTCCCTATCCGAGACTGGAATCCAAAGTCATGCTGCTGCAGCTTGGAGATTGTGGCGGCGTCAGGGCGGATGCCGTCATTTCCATCAGATATGACTATTCGACCAGCGCACAAGTACTTTTTTGTCAGGATCAGATAAGAGCGATGCCCAAGATGGGATTTCAAAGTACATAGTCAAAAGCTCACATTCTCCAATCGTTTGCTTGATTTTGGATGGCAAATGAGCGGCAAACGGCGGCATTCTACAGAAGAATGAGTCAGTTTTGGGCCACAGGCTATCACGCATCACTCACTCATTTATAATGGCCTTAGACCGCTGAAATGGGCCTGCACCAAAGATTGTCCCAGAGGACACATACTTTTCCCGAGTATCAAAAGCTGAATCTCCGCATCGTCTTTGGCAAGCTGTTTGTTGTCCACATTATTAATGATACGAGCCAATGATCGAGTACGGTTTCTTTTCTGCGTGTGCGTTCCCAGCCAAAAGCTCTTAAAGCCACTTTCGTCTGCTTGTCGATGGTTTAGTTTCTGATCTAAGCACGCCCTTGTCCATCGCAAGCAATGGTGCGATAACACACCATCGCTTACTGCTTGTGCAAAACGCCAAAATGCTCAGCATATGTCTTGAATGTCAAGGAATCCTTGTGTTCGAAAATCCATTGTATGTCACTCGATATAGTATGCGTTGATGCGGATGGATGAGAAGGATTCTTTCTTTTGCCAGACATACAGTAGTTAACGATTCGTGGATGAAGCAAAAAATACAAGTCTCAAAAATAAAAAGGAACGAAAAAGGACTCATGAGAACGTAAGAATTCAGTGTTTTTATTTTAATTGTCCAACTTGAAGTCAGGAGATCAAACATCACAATAAAACCATGCAAAACAGTTAGGTAGAGTCGTTCTACAAAGTGAGAAATTTTATCAAGCTGTCCGGAAACCCGCTTCCCATGCTTCAAACTCTCGACGAGCACATCAGACAAGGGGCAGTATCATGGATGTTCAATATTGCATTCCAAGAGGATAAGGCACACTTACTAATCTCAAGCATCTCCATGTTGCTCAAACGGAAAAGAAACGGAGAGAAAACCAAAAAAAAAAAAAAGTTCTTACTCAGCCCTCTCGTTTGGCCAATAACATCCATTTCGCCTATTCAGTCATTGATTTTGATTGGCTGTGACCTTACTTGCTGGCAGCACTGTAAAAGGTGGGGGAGATGGTGTCGGCTGCTCCCTTTCCCCAGGCAATTCAGTCCATGTTCCATGTTCCTGCGTATTCACTTTATCGATCGTGCACATATTCAAACACTGCGTCTGATCTGATCGTATTGCGAGAATATAAAGTCTTTTGTCTATCAACTTGCTTTTTCTGTTTTGCGGAAAAGTACTTTTTTGAATGTTGGAGTGTCCGGGTGAAGCATTAAGTTTCTTCTAACGTAGAATATTCCCCGCATCATTTAAATAAAACGCTTTCATACGTTATCATTTCCCGATACATTGCTAATCAGTAAAGGAGAAAGAACCTATCCTCATTCCTAAAAACACGAAATTCTACTGTTTTCTTTCAATCTATTCATCGTACCTTTGTTTTATTTGCAAAAAGCCAATGATGGCTAGACGATGGTTTAGAGAAGAAAAAAAAAAATAAAAAAAAAAAGAAAAAATAAAAAGAAAACAAGGTTGCAAAATAGATGCTTAGAAAGGGGAATCATATGCTATACAAAAAGGACGTCCATCATTATTTGCTACTGCTGCTGTTGCTCTGAGAGAGTACATGGGTGAGGAGCGATTTCACTTCATCGGCTCTTTGTTTGGCAATGTCGATACATCGCTTCAAACCCTCGGCATTGACTGTATTTCCGCCATTTTTATAGATTTTACATAGGTTATACTCTGTATCCATAATAATCGTCACTTGTTCTCTCGTCAAACTTTCCTCTGTGTCATTAGGATCCGCGAGTACTACGTTGGGATTGTTGAAAATGCTGAATGAGGATGCGATTGGAAAGCGAACAAGTGGAATAGGTTCTGTGTATTGCGTTGGGTCAACTTCAACGACCATGGAAGGCGATACCTCAGCCTTGGGTAATTTCACTGGGAGAAAAAAAAAATGCAATAAGTACAGCAGAAGCGATACCCGTCGCCCGTTTTGCCTACTTACAATCTTTCAAAGCAACAGAAAGTGCCAATAAGCTTGCATCAAACACATTTCCATCATAGCATAAGCATACCATATCGGCATACAATACCCAAACGGCTTTTCCTTCTTCAATACAAAGACTCTCTAGAGGAAATAGATTGGAGCTGAAAGAAAAAAAGTGCAAGAGTCAATAAGGTTGGCATATATGATCGCTTGACAGGGGATACGCGACAATAAAAACGAAATCCCTTACTGTGTAAACAATTGATGAATGGACTCCGATATGGCCTGTGCTTTTTCTGGTGGCGGTCCAGCTGTGAATTTTGGTGAACATAAAGGTGATAATTCTACATTAGGAACTGATGAAAGAAAGAGTGTCAACATTTCGAATCCGTGTCGCTTTTGCTGGATGCAACCGATCGCTTACCCAAGAAGCCTTTGGTAGGGACATCCACGTTTGGCTCACAAACTTCTGCCTTAATACCACAAACAACAGTGGTGCCGCCAAGGCGCACAATGGCACTGGCATTCGCTGTAGAGATGGCGTTTTTTGTAATCATTGTCTTTCTAAATTGACCGAGCTTTCGTCCATCAGGTCGTACTCCTTGATCAAGGAAACGTTTTACATACTCGTGAGGTTGAATTCTACTGAATATTTCAAAGTTATCTGAAGCGGCTGCTGATTGTGTTTGAACGGACATGGAGAATGGACAAATATTGTGGTTGTTCTGTACACGCACAAGAAAAAAAAAAAAAAAAAAAAAAATATAACCAAAAAAAGCTTCCAGCAAAGATCGGTTGTGTGACTTTCCTATTGGTCATGGAAAACGTTTCGATTTCTTCTTTTGTTGTGGCTTGCTTAGCGCCTGGGTAACGGAAAAATCGTGGAGTAAAAAAAAAAAAAAAAAAAAAAAAAGGACGGAAATTCTTCCCCGTTTCGTCTTTCCCAAATCTACCGGAAACATACCATTTTGTGCCGAAAGTGGGGTGATTTATTGACTCATGGGCGTGTATGTGGGATTAGTTCAAAAGGGACGTGTGCGGGCACATGCTTGGTTAAAAAAGGGCGACCCTTTTTTTTTTTTTTTTTTTTTTTTTTTACTTTCCCGCAATTTACTCAAAAGTACCTCAATCACAGACCGACGATGGTTACCCCACATGTGCATGTCATAGAATGAGGTAAATGAGTTCCCCACCCACAAGCCATTTAATAAGGTGATATTTGCTTGTTTGCTCAAGATGAGTTTCATACGGTACAAAGAGGTTCTGGTTTTTTTGTGTTCATTTCTATCACTGTTCAGCCTAAACCCAAGGAAAGGCTGGTTGTTCTTTTCTCGTCCAAATCAACTTCCTTTTTAGGCTAATCGACGTTCATCTATTTTTTTGGGATTGTCAGTCGAAAAAAAAATTAGATGTTTCAAAGGGTAGCAGTCGCAGGTAAAACCAAATAACGCTCTTTTCATATTCTCTGTTTCATTTTACAAGCTTCTTTTCTCCCCCAAATTCTTGTTAATCTTTCCTAAAATCAATAAGCGGGATTTGGAAATTTTTAATTTCTAAATTAGGTAATCGCTTTCTTCCGTCCTCTTTTTTTTTTTTTGGTTTTTTTTTTGGCCATCATTGTTTATAAATACGCGGTCTTTTTTTCCCCATTTCTTGCATCCCCCCTTTCCTGATTTGTAATTACTTACTACTATCACTACTACTTACCACCACTCACCGCACTACTCTCCTTTATCAGATTTTCTTTTTTCCTTCTTTCTTCTCTCTACACTAAAAAACCGACATTAGAACTTATTCACCATGGCCTATCAAGCTGCTTCTAGCCTTCTTTGTCTATCCAATGCGATGAACACTACTTCCATGGCACCTACGCCTTCACCACAACAACAACAACATCAACAGCCTCAAGCAGTAAAAAAGCGCCCCATTGCTGCTGTTGATAAAGCCAACACACCTCGTCCTTACAAATGTCCCATGTGCCCCAAATCCTTTTATCGACTAGAACATCAAACTCGTCATATTAGAACACATACGGGCGAAAAGCCTCATAAATGCACTTTTCCTGGTTGTGAGAAACGTTTCTCTCGTTCTGATGAACTCACTCGCCACGTTCGTATTCACACTTCACCCAACAAGAGAAGAGAACGTAGACAAAATCGAACCAACAACAACAACAACAACAACAACAACAACAACAACAACAACGGCAGCACAAGCAAACGAGGACGCCATGCTGCTTCTGCCAATATTGCCGCTGCTCCATCTAATCTCTCAAGCACTGTTCATGCTATGCCTCCTTCTCCAGCTTTGTCAACAGCCAGTTCTTATTTCTCTTCCGTCTCGGATATGCAACATCATTCGGATTCGGATGCCGAGTTCCTCTTTACTCCAGAGACCTCACCTCAGTTGTCTCCTCGCAGCATCTTGAGTCATACGACCAATGGCAATGCCAGTGCAGGTACTGCAAGTATCGCTTCCAACAGTACCAGTGCCACCGCCACCATACAAAAGATTGCTCCTTTGGAATGCAACACCTTAAATCCCGTGTATATCCGAGCACAAGAACAACCTTCATCACAACAACAACAACTATCAGCGACTTCGACTGCTGTTTCTCCCTGTTCAAGTCTCCTTGATCTTCTAGATCGTCCTCCACAAGCTCGCGTTTTACCCCCCATCATCTCTACCACTACTACTACACCTTATGGTTCTCCCGCTCCCTCCGTGCAAAGCATGTTTTATTAAAAGCATTTTTATCCTATAGATTGTCACCCCACTCTCATCTTTCTTTTTTTTTCATTCTGCTACATATTTCTTTTATACCATCCTTGCATTTTCTGTACATAACTCTGTATTTTTAGCTGTATAAAATTTAAATCCTTTGTGAGTACTTATTTTCTAATCTCTGGAATCATTATCATAGAATAAATAGAAAAAATCGATATTTTTCCATGGAGGAAAAAAAAAAAAAAAAAAAAAAATGTTTTTTTATTACGTTTTTGTTAAATGCAAAGTTGACTTCTTTGGTTATACACAGAACAGTAAAGTAAACGCACTCCTCCTATTTGCTTCAATATTTCAAATAGAGTGAATCTCTAGAAATGAGCTCTTCTTCTGTGATATTCTTTTTTTTTTGGTTTTTTTTTTTTTTTTGACTCAAAATCATTTAATTTGAGTTTGAATGAAAGGCCGCGCGTGTGCGCAAAAACCAAATTTTTTTTTTTTTTTTTGGTCTGGAGAGAAGTGTTCTAGCAAGTACTTGTTTCACTGAGAAAAATAAGGTGTTTAGTACCCAAGTCAACCTGAATGTAAACCATTTGGTTAAACTATTATCCCTCTCAAAAAAACAAAGCCAATTCGGCTCGAGCATATTTTTCTTTCCCCCAAGCTTATGTACACAAAAGTAGATAAAACTGTACCATGCTATCGAACTGTCCGGAAAAAGAGAAATGAAAACTTCTGGGGGGGGGCGACGGTCTCGTGGAGAAAAGCAAGATGTGGGTGAAGCGTTTCTCACTTGAATAGATCACGTTGTTTATGGTAAGTCAAAAAATTCTCGGGGCACCTATTTATCCTAAGCGTTCTCCACAAGTAACAGTCAACCCTGCGAGTGCCCCAGAGAAACAAAAAATATTTTTTTTTTTCTCTGCGCATTATTTTTAGAAATTCCGTTCGCGTTTTACTTGCCTTCGGTTGAGTGAACATGGGCGTTGTGTGTTTGTCTCAAGAAGAGTGGGGCTCTCTACTGATGAGGACGGCATCGTTTTTCTGTGGCAATGACCATGGGTGGATGCTGATGCCACCCTCCCTCTCACTCAACCCCACGCACGCAACGTACCATCTCTTCTGGGTCTTTCTCGTTTCCCGCTCCCTCCATCCACCCCGCTTTCCCTCCCCCCTCCCCCCCTTGAAGTTGAACAATGCGCCACGGCTTTACCTTTCTGGTAAGGAACAAAAAAAAAAAAAAAATTAAAAAATTAGGTTTGCATAAAAGACGTACAACGTTACAATGGATCGTCTCTTAGGTTACACGAACAATGGAATTTGACAGGAACGGATCTACTTTTTTTTCGGTGCAACCCCCTTTTTCAACAGTTCTGTTTGTTATCCCCTTTGCCAATGAAAAAGTAAAAAAATCCTTCCCTTCAAAAGCGACGGCGGCGTTTAGATTGTTTTCATAGTGAAGTCATACGGTCTTTTTGTCGTTTACCCCCTTCCGTCTCTTCTCTTTCGCTTTCCTTCCTACTCTACACATTTCCAACAACCCAAGGCGATCCATGATGACGATCGGAGTCTTGCCACCCTCACCCTCATCCCATCATGCCCAACGACAACTATCACCGCCACCCATCGTGATGGAAACAACCGATGCCACGACCTCGCAAACCACAGAAAGTGTAAAGAAAATCAACCGTTATCTTTTAGAAAAAGAAATAGGTCATGGCACCTCGGGTCGAGTCCATCTCGCTCTACACGTGGATACACATCAGCATTACGTAAATGAAAATTTGAAAAGACTTGAACGGCAGGTCATCGATGAGAAATAATATATTTTATTTACACACACACACACACACACACATACACACATACACCTCCTTCTAGGCAATCAAAGAGTTTAGTAAATCATGTCTACGAAAAAGAGAACAAATAGCAAGAATGAAAAGACGTCGCCACAGTAGCAGCTGCTGCAGTAACAGCAACAATAGAAGAAGTGGTACGGTCGTTATGCCCGTGAGATGGGCTGGACCGCAAAAATTACAGAATACCTATACAAGCTGTAATAACCCTTTCGATCTTATTCGCACCGAAGTGGCTATCCTTAAAAACCTGCGCCATCGCAACATCATCACATTATATGAAGTGCTGGATGATCCAAACAATGATTCACTTTATATGGGTAACGTAAAGAAGAGGGACAAAAAAATATATATAGATAATCAACAGATGAACTGATGGGGCACGCGATTTCATTTTCTGCCTCTTTGATTCGGACAAGTAGTCATGGATATGGCGCAGAAAGGGATCATTATGCACATAGATTTGCATAAAACAGCAACGCCTTATACTGAGAAAATGGCGAGATACTACTTTAGACAAGTCATTCTCGGCATTGAATATTGTAAGTAATCAAATGGCCCATCTTACGGACTCTCAGGATACTATCGGCTTGATACAAGAATACTAACATCCTACCCTATCATGGCGCCTATAGTACATTTTAATGGCATTGTGCATAAAGGTAAAAAAAACTCCACAAACGTACTTTATACGCTATCCCTCCATAGCATGTCAAACGCACACTTTGGGTTGATAGTTGTAATTTCTGATACGCGTAGATATCAAGCCTGACAACCTATTACTATCGCAGGAGGATGTCGTTAAAATTGTCGATTTCGGCGTCTCCGAAATGTTCATCCAAGGTGGAGGGGATAACATTACATCCACTGCAGGAAGTCCAGCCTTCATGCCGCCAGAACTCTGTAACCTAGTATCTCCCCTGGGTTCTGTGTCCGGAAAGGCGGCAGACATTTGGTCTATGGGCGTGACACTGTATTGCCTAGTCCATGGACATGTACCCTTTGCGAGTGAAGGCTTACTGGATCTGTACGAGAAAATCAAACAACAACCGTGAGTGGGATTGATTCCGTAACAAAAAAAAAAAAAAAAAAAAAAAAAAAAAAAAAAAAAGTATCGTGCGGGAATCCTAATGATTCTTTACGGGTTAGGGTGCAGTATAACAAAAATTTAAGCCCAAGTCTTATCCACCTTTTGGAAAAACTATTAGAGAAGGATCCCACGAAACGAATCAGAATGCGCGAATTAAGGGTAAGAGAGAGCTATAGAAGATAGACCCGGACACAGAACGAAAAAAGTCTTTATAACAAAAAGCGATTGCATTCATAGCATCACCCTTGGGTCACCCATGACGGCAAAGAACCTATGATACCAGAAAAGGAAAATTGCGCTTCAGTTTTGACCAGTATCACAGAAAAGGATATACACAATGCAATTACAAAGGTTCGCCACATCTTTACTGTCGTAAAGTAGCTCTGCCTTCCCTAAACAAGTATTTTTTCCCCCCTCCATCCCTCTCATGGCACTCACCCCGTTCAATGTTATTTTATTTTTAAACACCCTACAGGTACAAGCTGTTGCAAAATTGAAACGACGTAGATCTCTATCTGCAACTCCATTGAGCACCATCGAGGGCCGTGAGGATCCAACCTCTGCCATGTTACCACCACCACCGCCACCACCACCACCAGCACAATCATCTTTGACAGTGGACGAGAGACTGTCCGTGCCCATCCATTTTGAGGAAAACATATTTCAACCAGTGACTCATGCCCAAAAGGAGGAAGGCGACGGATATATTCCTGGCTCGTCTTTCACAGTAGCCAAAGGACAGAAGCGTGCCAAGTCATTGATCCCACTACCGTCAAGAATGTCAGACGATTCACTATCTACCCTATCGTCCACTGCTTCTTCTACAAATACATTGTCCATAGTGGCCTCTCCTCCCTATCTATAATTTTTTTTTTTTTTTTTTTTTTTTTTGTCACATGCTCTGTCTGACTGTAAACTAAATTAAAAAAATCCCCCTTACAAGTGGACGGCTCACTCCATCACTGTGAAACTTTTTTCTTGTCTGCCTTCCTTTACTCTACATACATCTTGAAAATGGTTGTCAGTCCAGTTTATGCAGAACCAGAAGAGCTTGTGGATATGATTCGTGACCCTCATAAACAGGCGGGAAAAGACTATGTCGTTATCGATGTTCGAGGAGATGACTATATTGTAAAGCCATTGCGAAGAAAAAGACCAACCAAACGCACATGTTGAAAAAATCCTTAATCTTTTCCCATGTGTTTCCAATACTAACTAGGGTGGTCATATTCCCGGCGCTATTAATATTCCTGCTGGCCAGATGTATGATAGAGTCAATGATATCATCACAGAATATGCCAACGTCCCTATCATCTATTTCCACTGTGCGCTTTCTCAAATGAGAGGTACGTCATTTTTTTAATTTCATCACGATAAACTGCTGTAAACAAAACCAACTCATTCTCAACTTCCCTATGTTAGGTCCTAAATCAGCACGTATTTATAGTGAAACCATCAATAATCTAGGAAAAAATACAACACAACAAGTCAAAATCTTGAGGAATGGTTTTGAAGGTTGGCATCATCGCTACAGAAAAGAAGTTGACTTAATAGAGGATTACGATAAGAATGTCTGGGCTTGGGCCATCGAAGATGAGAATTAAACATACACACGTATATAGGCGATAGATAGAAAAGAAGTGCTTTCTTTTATTCTAAACATCGTGATTTGTTATGAGGTTGGATCTACAATGAATAGTTTATGTACAAGATTTTATGAGAGCCACTTTCAATCGAAAGCAGTGTCAAACACGGTCATTGTGTTGTCGCCTTTTTGCTATTCTTCCAACGCAATTTCTTTTAAACAAAAAAAAAGAAAAAAAAAAAAAAAAAGAAAAAGACCTGGAGCTTTCTATATCCAGGTTTCTCTTCTATCTTTTTCTCGTCTCCTAGCCTTTCCTTTTATTTTCTTATTAACAGATATACATTTTCGCCAACGGTCAAGTTCTGTAAATGTCTGTAGTCTCCCTCTACGCACATCAAAAGACCACCATAAGAAATATAGACAGCACTACAATACATTTTCAAAACAAAAACAAAATCATGTGTCAATGATCTGTGCCATAGAAATAGAATAAACACGCATCTTATAGTTGAAAGCTTACACTTGTTGACCAGCACCCTTATTTGAATCTTCATATCGGTATACTTTGCCATACATCACATATTCATATTCATCACTTAAATCACGCTCTCCAGGAGCACGTTCTCTCCAGCTTTCTTTCTTTTCGACACCGCTTGTGCTGCTCTTATTAGCATCCAGTGAAAGCGAAGACGCTAAAACAAGCGAAAACTTCTCACCCACATTCAAAGGGTAAATTTCGCTGTTGAAGTCTAGAGTCAAATCCATTTCGTAATTTTCTGAATGTCCGATAAGACGGGACACTGTTGTCATCACAGCAAGAAAAAAAGTCAGATAATCAGCCAATCCAAACTATACATCGTGAACAAAGCTCTCAATAAATTTTCTAACCTCTGTCAAAACGTTTTCCTTGAGGATTGAGATCTTTAACATCAAAAATATCTTGAAATAAAACTGCACCACTTGCCATTGTTGATAGATGATTCAAAAGAAGGAGGAGGGATGGGTGATTCTGTTGTAGTGTTTATATGGAAAGGGGGGTGTCGATCAAGATGCAATATTGGGAAAAAGTTGGATGAAAGAGGGAAAAACAAAAAAAAAAAAAATCAAACGTGAGCTCAAAAACGTGACAGTGCAAAAATGCCCTAAAACTCTCTTTGCAATTCATGCTGCCTCCAGTGTTTTGAGCGACACTGAGGCTTAGCTGAGAACAGAATTGTATTTTTTTGATCATTTCCCAACTCCAAAAGACGGCACAGATTTCACTCACGTCTCTCATTATACAGCGTCATGCCCTTGACCATCGATCAAGACAAAGTAAGAATGGGCTGCATCATGAGTATTCAAGAGTTCATTTCTCAACTCTAACGACATGTTGTTATTAGGCTAGAAAGGCTTTTAAAGCTCTCTATAAGCATGAAAGTAAACACGCCGAAAAAGACGAAGAATCAGTATGGTTGATGATTTCAACTTTCAATAAAATCGAACTGTTGAAAGGCAGACCCACTCGAATGTAAGTTTTTTTCAGCCCTATAGAAGATGGTGTCATTGTTCAACAAGCATTGTCTAATAAATGAACCCACTCGATAGTACACTTAAACACGGTTGCCATCCACCAGGCATTCATCGATGTCTATTCACGAAACGGAGTCAACAAAAGCACAAAGAAGCCATCATGGAAAAAAAGATCAAAGGCATCCACAAGGTGATCGATCTAAAACATCTCAAAAAACAATATTCTTCTCCTGACGCCAAGCAAAAATTGATGGACGATTTCGAAATGTTCATGGCTGAAAAGTCCATTATCACCGACCTCTACAAAGTACTAGGGAAGGATGTGTATAAAAAGAGAAGAGAGCCGATTCCTATCGACGTTTATCACCCTGATTTTCAAAAAGAAGTTTTACGTACAGCAAAGTCAACTTATATGAACTTTCATACAGGATCATGTTATGCTATTCGAATAGCCTCCACTCGTCAGACAGACACAATAGCATTTGAAAACTTTACGTCTGCTTACCAAAAAATAATTGCTGTGATACCAGGCGGGGAAGACAATATACGTTCTTTGCAAATCAAAACCGCCAACTCAACCAGTTTACCCTTGTACGATGCAGAAGTAGATTATATAGAAGAAGGATTAAACGAAGAAGAAGAAGAAGAAGAAGAGTAAAACCAGCCATTCGACGCATTTCACTCTCACATGACACACTCTGCTGGCAAGACTCACTATCTGACTGGATTCAAGTAGTCATTGAAAGCACAAAGTACGATTCTTTGAATACACCCTATTTAAAACATTCTTATAAAAGCAATGATAAAATGTATACGATTGATGAAAGAAAACAAAGTCCATCTTTTATCTCTCAAGTACTTTAAATAGATATTAGTTTTCACTGGTCTATATTTTTTACTGTAGTGGCATGTTCTTGGTTTCCTGTCTTTACTTTTTTTTTTTACTATTGAACCCAAAGATAACCCTTTGGAACTTAGACACTGCTCAAGCTGGGGGATATACTTTGCAATTTTTGCCACCCTCGTCTCTTGAGCAGGGCATCATCATTTTGTCAGATCGTACCTTTTTTTTTTTTTTTTCTTGTTTATTTATTCTCTCCCAACACAAAAAAAGAAAGCATGTCTTCTACATTTAATCGAAACTTATCAACCATAGCGACCACTTTTACTGTTCTTCCGAAGAATTTCCATTTCCTTCAAAAGACAACACCAGTTTTATATCCACCACTGTTAAAGAGAAATATGTCTTCAACCATAGAAAAGGGACCTATTCAACTCTCTATAGAGAAAAAGGTGGGGTTCCTAATTTTTAAAGTAAAGATAGAATAACGAATGATTGCAGGAGGACTAAGTGGATATGCTTTTGAAATGCTCAATGCAGATTACAGAAGCCTTGCATCCCAGTTTTCTGGAAACTGTCAATGAATCTCACTTGCACAGACATCATCAACCTATGAAAGGGGTGACAAGTAAAGAAACACATTTCAAGTAGGACCATTTTGATAGTGATTCACAACACAGTACAATTTCGGTTTCAGAGATCGCTTAACAAACTTACTCCTCTATTATAGAGTTACCGTCGCTTCTGACGCGTTCAAAGGAAAGGTAAGGTTTACATCAATTAAAAATACCTCAAAGAAGATAGTAATGAACATCTTTGGTTAATTCACTTCATGTGGAATAGACTTTGATGCAACGACACCGTATGGTTTACGGTCTATTGAAGAAAGAAATTGATGAAGATGGGGTCCATGCTTTGGGAATCAAAGCCGTCACGAGTGTTGAGGATCTGAAATAGGGACCCGTTTCGCCGTTGCAAATAAAACAAAATAAATAAGGGCGACATAGCAACAATGGATCTTAATAGAAATAGATAGTAGGACCCTTTCTGTAAAATTCAAATTGGACCCATCAACACAATTATTGTACAGTTTAAGTAAACCTTCAATTTTTTTTTCTGCTAAAGGGTGAATATATCCTATTTAAAGAGTTTTCTATGGAAGTAGTCCAAGTAGAGGGACGTCATTATGTACAAAGTTTGAATATTGATAAATGAAGTTTAGGCTTTTTCAGTACAGTCCAATAGGTGCTGGTAGTTGTTTCTCTCTACAACGATCGATAGCTGATATCACTTTGTCTGCTTTGCTATTTAAATAAAATACATAATCTAGAGCACGCTGTTGAATATCTGCCGGCAACTCCAAAAAGGGACCATATAAAGGGCCTTTGCTCGCCACGTTCACAAAAAAGAAGGGTATAAGTTTTGTCTCTGCCTCTAATAAAGTTTCTTGGCTGAATATATCCTTGTCACCACGTTTGGCAATATCACACATAAAGTTCAGAATAGCCTACAAAAAAGTAGAGGAGCATGAGCTTTTTATCGCATAGAAAAGAACAGATCATCGTCCATAGCGGAAGCTTACCCGACTGGACTCAATAGCATGCGTCCTTAATTGCCATAGTAGTTTCGGTAAACTTAAGAACCATTCTTCTAATAAAGATGCTAGAGCAGAATATTTAAGTATCCTAAAATGACCATTGTACCCAGCCATGGATTGTAACTGGGTTGTTTTTTTTTTTTGGAATGAATAAGAAAGTCAATATCGCGACATCAGCAAACGTTCATTATAATCTTTTGTTCAAAAACTGTCAAATCAGAACTTACCATAAAGATACGGATAATGAAGTTTAACAGCACACGTTTGGATGCGGAAGTAGGTTGACAGGAGTGATAATAATGGATGGTCGCTTTCATGAGCAAAATACTCTCTTCGTAATTCAAGCAATTCAAGAAGCCCCATATAGCTGGTAACAGCGACATTAAATGTTCTGCTTTGAAATGAGTACTCGTCGACACAGTATTACCCTCGCGATCTGAGCCAAGAGCGCCTAAAATATGTTCTACTACTGGCTCTGCCCATTCGGGTACTCTATCTATTTCATTTTCGGTATCGTCATTTTTGTCTAGTTTAGCCTTTTTACTCATTCGTCTACGAGCAGTGCGGTTATTTTCCGTGTTGTTTTGGATCATCGTTCTTGCCAAAAGGTATAAAGAGGTCAATTCACATGCCATGATATTCATTTTCAATAACATGTCCTCTACTTCATTTCCTCGGTTACCAATGGCATCAGCGCCAAAGGGAAAATAGACTGTGAAATGCTTCAGTAAAGATTCAAGTTGCGTTTGCAACCATGACAAAGACAAGGTCTTGATGTTATCAGAGCCAACCATTGCTCTCCACATAACCAGAGAAAGTTTCAAAATTGCATAAATGAGCTTTAAAGCGGGTGTATGTGAAATATTGCTGACAGACATGAACACGGACGGAGCTGCTTCAAGCCAAGATGCAATCAGAATGGGTTGAAAGGTTTCTATCAATTCCTGTCAGAGAGCAATGCCAGTGAGTTGACAATCCTCTCGTTGCCTCAATAGTTGGGGCCATTACCCTACAGTTATATCATTTTACCTTGATATTCTTCATTCTATCCTCCATGCTAAATTCATTCATATGTAGGTCGGCTGAGCTAGTAGACGCTTTTGTAGCTGTGTTGACAGTATTGGTATTGTTGGATTGACTTCGTGGCCCCGAGGATTCAAATAGATTCAAGTGAGAATAATTGAATAAATCAGATCCTGGAGTAGATAAAAACGGCGCAACTGCCGACGCCATAGGATGAATAGGTGTAAACGCATTCTTCTCAAGTGTCTTTCTCCATATGACTGTTTTTGATGGATCCACGTCATGGTATTGTGCCATTTTCATTATAAAGCTTTCCCTTGCATGCTTGAGCTCTAAATAATTATACAAAAACCAAAACGGATCTTTTGCTTCTTCTCGATGGTCGCTGTTTGACTCTGTTTCTGACATCGATGGGGTTGAAAGGCCAGCCTCCAGAAAAAGAGAAAGACTTTGAAGAAGCCTTAATTTGCTTTTATGTACTTGCAAATGAGACCTGTTCACTGCTGCATTCACATTTGTCGATGATGTTATTTTCAACATTGCGCCTGTGCTGGAACTAGTATTGACACTGTTCGAGTCAACTGTTAGTAAACTCATGTAGTTGCCTGTAATACGATTCCAGAACTTGGATACAACAATATCAGGTGTCATCTTTATCCATAAATCCATGAGTTTTACGGCGTCCAGTCGAACATCCTCAAAGATATGGGTCATGGCTGAGCAAGTGTACATGATCAGCAAGGGCATAAAAGGCTGCAAGTCTACGCGGTGAAGTTCAGTAAAGGTCTCATTCAAAAATTTGTAGGTTGCTTTTCTAACTTCATGATCCTAAACAGGGTCGATATAGAATATAAATATTTGTTCTCCACGCTTTCTAATAGGGAGAGGGGTCACTCTTTGCTTACATCGTCAATAAATAACTTTAGCAATCCATTTACTACAAGCCCCAATGATGACGCTAAAAGTTGAGGATGACCGTTACAAAGTTCTGTCAAACCGGCGAGTGCATCTACAATCAAGAGATATCTTGTATAAATAATCAAAGCTGCGATTCCTTCTTGTCTAACTGAAACTCTCACCTTTCTTGACACCTGAGTTGTAATGTCTTAGTTGTGCAACAAGGTCACTCATGGTCAAGTTACGTTTGGTCGTCACTTCATGTGATTTATCTTCAGTGATACTTTGGTTTGGCAATACGACACCTTATAAAAGTTACAATGAGTTATTCGTGCAAATATCTCTCAAACGGTTCAAGTTCGTTATGCTGACGAAGCACATACTTTTTGATTTAAAGGAAGTATCAGTGTAACTATCGGGCACAGCCTTTTTCTTCCCTACTTTCAACTTCTTTTTCTATAGTGAGTCAATTTTTTCAAAAACATCATATTTTTTTTTAGGAAAAAGTTGATTAGCAACGTCTAGTTATTTTATTTCTTTGTTTTTTTTCAGGGTGAAATCAATCATTTGCACCACACATGTATTTCTTTACTTTGAAGTCTTCCATTTTGGCGGCCTTCTTTTTCCTGGCATTAGGCATTTTGAAGTCTATAAGATCTCTACCGAGTTGAAGGGATAAAAAAGAGTTTCTTCAAAACCACTTTAATATGATTTGACAGCTACAAAATTTTAAAAGCGCAAAGAAAATTGTGACCATTTGGTGACTTTGTTCATGCAAATGTAGATCCATCTTCTCTTGCCCTGAAAGTTATACAAACTATATTATTAGGCCGTTGAACACTTTGCGTACACTCTATTGGAATAATCAAGTCTTTATTCGTGATATATGTATGTATATATAGTAGTTTTTGTATGGAAAAATTTAATCCACCTTAATACTGGCAAAGATCTTTTGTAGGAAATACAAGCAGGAGAGATAGCCCACAGAGCCAGTAAAGACAGTCATTAAAATACTAATAACTGAAGAATAACCAAAATATAACACCGTACTTGTGTACGAATTGATATCAAGTTTTGTAAAGTAGTAGAGAATGGCATACAAAAAGACGTAAAAGCCACAAGCACCGGATGTTAAGAAGGATCTCCAAGACCAATGATAATCTTCGCTGCATAAATGGAAGTAACACATCAAGATAGTGACTTGGGAGCAGGTCAAGATCAAAACGATGAACACCAAAAACAAGAAACCAATACCGTAATAGACACGGTGGAACCAAATGGAGTTCATGATGAAGTATAATTCAATGAAGATAGCACCAAAAGGTAAAATACCGCCCATCAGAATGGAAGGTAAGCTACGCAAGTACACGGGTTGATCAGGGATTTGACGTGGGATTTGGTTTGTGCGGACAGGATGCTCAATACGAGGTTGACGGAAGCCAAAGTAAGAACCGGCAACACTGAGAGGGAAAGCAATAACAGCCCAAAGACCCAAAAGAGTGAACATAGTTCCAAAAGGAACAGCACCAGAAGAGTGAGAGCTGATCAAGAAAAAGTTCATGGCGAATAAGAAGCTCATAATTGAGCCAGGAACAAGGGAGGCGGTTAAGCCAATGTTCATCTTCCAATTCTCGCCACCGTTCATCTTGTATACACGAGCAGAAACATAACCAGCAATACTGTTAAAAACCATAAAGAAAATAATCATCACAGTGCCTAAAGCACCACGATTAGAGGGAGATAAGAAACCAAGGACAGCAAAGATGAGGGTCAAGCCGGTCATGACGACAATTTGGGCGCCGCTACCCACCAAGATAGAAAGGAGCATTGGGCGTTGAGGGGGTCTAAAAACATCACCATGGACCAATTTCCAACCGTAATCTTCTTGAACATCTTCTTGGGCTTCGACAGCGTTGTAGCGAGAGATATCCTTATGAAGGGCACGGATCAAAATCATAGCGACCATACCCGTCAAAAATAAGACGATAACAATAGAGTTGACCAAAGAGAACCAATGAATAGAAGGATCCAAAATATGCAAATAGGCGTCCCAACGAGTTGCCCAGGGCGTAGCAGATGGCTATTTATTGTATCCGCACAATTTATCAATAAGCTTTGAAATCACCCATATTGTGCACTATTGACAATTTTACCTTCCAATTCACACTGTAAGAATAAACCACTTGCTCGCCTCCCTTAAGGACCATCGGTCCACCAGTAGGAACGACTACACCCTTTTCTACTTTTTGTGCTCTACTAGAAGGAGCAACCAAAACACCTACTACACGGTATTTGCCATCCTCACGGTGATGGTAATCAATAGTAATTTCGTAATGGTTGTTTAATTCGGGTACATTTCCTCTGTTGCCCCCAAGAGCAAAACCAATGCTGTAATATTCCTCATTCGTACGTTCGTCAATACTGAGATGTGCGGCAGGGAGGCCATCAACAACCCAATTTAAAGCATAATCGTCCTGAATACACTGGTTGATGAACTCGGCATCCTCTTTGGGAATGGTTGTAGATGTACATAATAGTTTATCTTTATCATTATTTCCAAGTGAAAGCTAAGGAAATTACATATTGGTTTTAAGAGAAATAAAAGGTTGGTTGACAGGTATTTTAGCGACCAACCGGTTCATCTGCTATTTCTGAATTCTTGCTTCTGTCCTATTTTCTTTCGCTTTACTACTTATCTCTTCTCTTACCTGAAATGCTGAAGTAAAGATACGGTCACCGAAAAGAGCAGAGCCTAGACTTTCTGCTTGTTTCTTGGCGCCACCCTCAGGTTCACAAAAATGAAAACGTTCATCATAGTAATCGTACGATAAAACTGATTTTTGTTGACTAGACATCGGACTAAGGGTATTTACAAATAAAGGTACATCGTCACCCTGGTCATAGTCATTGGGTGCTACACCCGGCAAATATAGTGCTTTACTAAGACCACACAGGGCCAAAAGACCGAGTAAAATCTTGGCCATGCTTTGCTAAGTGAAATGGTGTATGCTGTAGAGTAAAAGATGTTTGTTATTTTTGATTGCTGCTAAAAAAAGAAAGTGAGGACAGCCAACAGTCGGTCTAATTTGGAGGGGACGCACAACAGTTGCTGTGGCCGGTTGATTGGCACGGTGCGGCGGCTATTCAAAAGTATTCGGAGCAAACAACCAAAGCTGGAACAAAAGTGGGGTGGGCAAAAAGCACACACCTGGAGATCACAACGAATACCAAATATTCGAGAAGCAGACTTGTATTCCATCCCTTCGTTTTTGATACTTTCATCCATCATCTAAAATGCTCTTGTACTGTGATATCATCTCCGGTAAGTCTCTATCAATTACAGATTAAGCAGCCAATATAATCAAAATAGCAGTTAGAATAATGCATTACTTACAATCTCAATTCTACTTCTAATTAGGTGACGAACTCTTCTCCGATGCTTACGTACGTTTAATTGCCAATTATAAAAATGATGGATTGTAGTATTTTTCAATTGAGACTCATGTCCAACCTTTATAATTTTGTTTTGGGTTTTTATTTTCGATATAGCCCGTCAAGGAAATTGACGATGTCGCTTACGAAGTCGACTGTAAGATGATCCAAGTCGGTAATGTCGATGTCGATATTGGTGCCAATCCTTCTGCCGAAGGTGGTGAAGAAGAAGGTGCTGATGAAAACGTTGAAACTGTTAACAATGTTGTCTACTCTTTCCGTCTCAACCCTACCAGCTTCGACAAGAAGTCCTATATGGTCTACATTAAGGGTTACATGAAGGCTCTTAAGGCCAAGCTCCAAGAAAAGAACCCTGAACGTGTTCCCATCTTCGAAAAGAAGGCTGCTGGCCTTGTCAAGAATATCTTGGCTAACTTCAAGGATTTCGAATTCTACACTGGCGAAAACATGGACCCCGAAGGTATGGTCGCTTTGTTGAATTATCGTGAAGATGGTGTCACCCCTTACTTCACTTTCTTCAAGGATGGTCTTACTGAAACCAAGCTTTAAATAAATTGCTGGGATGTTTACCATCATGTATATTCATAACTTTCGTCATATTTTATGATAATCTCTTGTCATTTCGGTGAATTCAAAAACAATAAATAGCTGAGCATCATGTTTCTTTTCGTATCAAATTCTATGTGCCTTTTTGTATAATGAAAGTGAAGCTGCACTTATTACAAGTGACACGAAGGTATACTGGTAAAAAATTATGCCAATCATCCAGCAGGTGTGAACCAATATTTGACGTTCAGATTGAACAGTGTACTCAGTCAATCAGGAGGAGCTGGTGGTATGCATGCGAATGATTGCACCTTTGCAACCCACGTCGAACTATTTTAACCTGAACAAATTGGTAAAGAGGAGTTTTATTCATGAATGGGCATTTTGAATTCATCGAGCAAGAGAAAGAAAAAGAAAAAAAGCAAACCTCATTCTGCATGATAAATGTATCGTTATAGTTGCAATACTCTATGCTAACATACATTTATATTTAATGGAAAGAAGTATAGCTGATTATAGAGTTATGATTTTATGAATACGCGCTAAAGAACGATGAAATATATACGTACAATTGTAGTGGAAAAAGGAAAATAATGGATAAGGGCTTTTGTTATAATTTGTCAACTTGTAATTGTCATTGTCACCTATTGTCGAAAGTGAAATGGATAACTTTCTCGCGAAAAGCGGGTTTTGTGTTGAGTGGAGAAGGTATTAGATGTGTAGTCCGCCAAATTTTGTACATGATCTAAAAATTTAATTTGTGAAAGTAGTATAGAACTAAATGTACAACTTGAAAGCATGATAACAAACTTATACTACTAGAAGAAAATTGAGTCTTTGTAAACGGGATACAGGGCTTTTTCAAAGCCTTATTTGTTTGTTAGGAAAAAGATCTTAGACAACTCCCGTGGATAACTACAAGAATAAAAAAAAAACAAGCTTAGTGTTCGAAATTAATTAGGTGATGTGCGCTTTTTTTTTGATGCATGCAAAATGGTAACCCAGCGCGTGGCAATTAACTCTCAACCTGTTCATGATTGGCCCAGGTCCTTATTATTTTCATTTTCGCTCTGATTTCCCCTTATTTCTTTGCTTCGTTCAAACAATTTTTCCTTTCGCTTCTTCTTTCAATATCCTTTTCTATTCTGTTCTATATACCTTTATACAATTACTATCTACCTATTTATTTATTTAAACTTCAGACATGGCACATGTAAGATGATGACTTGTACTATAACAAGTAAACTAAAACGAGGGGCTTATTGTTGATTGAAATTTAGAGACTCGGTGGACGTAGAAAGAACGTTAAAAAAGGTTTTCAATTCACTTTAATGGTGGTTGGTGAGTTGATTTTTTCAGTGTTTTTTTCTGACATTAGAGTACTAAAGATGTTTGTTGCATTTTTTAGGTGCTTCTGGCACTGGTAGAACAACATTTGTCAACACGCTTTGTAACGACCGTGTGCTTACTCGAAAGGATAACGATAACCCTGAAGATGCACATAACGAAGAAGGCATTAAGATCAAGCCTGTTTCTGTCGGTAAGGGACACCTCTCATAAATCAAACATTATATTGGATACTTTATAACCCATACACTACAATTTTATTTTCCTTAACGTACAGAATTGGATGAAGATGGCGTTAGGTAATTAAAATGACTTCTTTTTTGATTCGAAAAAAAAAAGAAAGAAAATGCAAGGAGGAGGTTGTCTTTGAGGATATATTATGTGTAAACAATAACAGACAAATGGGCAAGCAAATAAGCGAGGGAGAAAATTTTGCTTTTTAGGAGTAGACCATGTTTATACATGAAATAACATACGCACATACAGACCCGCACACACAAACACATATATACATTCCCTCTCTCTTTAAGGGGGAGTAAAAGAAACAGAAACTAAGTAGTAAACATGTCATTTTTTATCTCTTTTAGAATTTCTCTGACTATTGTCGATACACCTGGTTTTGGTGATAATATTGATAATGAAGCATGGTAAGAAACAAGCTACCAACAAGAAATTTCATGAATGGATTTTGTACACCGCCATGTAATTTTTTATTAAATCATATTCTTTTTTTTCCTTGTCAGCTTCCATGAAATTGTCGCCTACTTAGAAAAGCAATATGATGATATTCTCGCTGAAGAATCTAGGATTAAACGTAACCCTCGTTTCCGTGATAACCGTGTTCATGCTCTTTTATACTTTATCTCGCCTACCGGTCATGCGTAAGTATTTGAAGCTGGTATGATTAAATTTTGTTGGGCTCGACAAAACAGACTTGCTAACCTCTATCGTTACAGTTTACGCGAAATTGATATTGAGCTGATGCGTCGATTAAGTCCTCGTGTCAATGTAATTCCAGTGATTGGTCGTGCAGACTCACTCACGCCACAAGAATTGAAAGACTTTAAGCAGAGAGTAACGTGTAGAAAATAGCAGCAAATCACTGGGCATCTAGTGTATATACTGACAAACCAACGGTATATATATTTACCTCATAGATCATGGAAGATATTGAGCATTACAATATTCCCATCTACAACTTTCCTTTTGATGTCGAGGAAGATGAAGAAGATACCATTGAAGAAAATAGTGAGCTAAGAGCTCTATTACCTTTTGCTATCATCGGTAGCGAAGAAGAAATTACGATCAATGGTCGTACAGTGCGCGGCCGCTCATACCCTTGGGGTGCAGTAGAAGTCGATAACCCAAAGCATTCTGACTTTGGTAGATTAAGATCGGCTTTACTAAGGTTAGTAGTTCGGCAGTGAACCATTTGTTCAAAAAGCTTTTACTTAATATTAATCAATGTTTCATTCTTTTTTTGACAGTTCTCACCTGCAAGATCTGAAGGAGATTACTCATGACTTCCTTTACGAAAACTATCGTACTGAGAAGCTTAGCCGCACTGTCAATGGAGGTGATCATGAAGATGCCTCACTCAATGCCGAGGATATGGCTACCCAAAGCGTACGATTGAAGGAAGAACAATTAAGGAAGGAAGAAGAAAAGGTGAAGAATTTTGAATTCTTTATACAAGTTTTGTTAACAAACAAAAAGGTTACTAAACATGATTTTTTCATTAACATTCAGCTTCGTGAAATCGAATTGAAGGTTCAACGTGAAATTCAAGAAAAGAGAGCTGAGCTTTTGAGTAAAGAAGAGGCCTTGCGTAACTTGGAAGCTAGATTGGCACAAGCACAACTGGCTGACTAGAATTGAGGGCTTAGACAGATCGTTGCATGTCAGGCATCAGAGGGGAGTATCGAAAAGAAGGACAAAGTCATATATCAATAACTTACACCAAACATCTTAATATTTGAACAGCTTTTATTACTTTTTTCGAGATCTCCGACAGAAAATTTATACATTAATTTACTTACTTTACCTTTATTCTATAATAAAATACTCGTTTATACATGGCAAGTGAAGCTACCTTTTGCTCAATTTCTGTCTTCAACTGTATAGGACGGTAAGAATTATTATGGAGGAATTATTACGAAGCAAAGCAAATTACATTTATACAAAGGCTTCTTTTCCGTGATAACTATACTGATAGAGTATATGAACTATGAGACCGATTTCAAGACAGATCATTGAAATGTGATAAATGTATATGCTACGAGTACGTGAAGAGGCACAAAGAAAAATAAATTAAGAAATGCTGTAATACTTACATATGAGGTGTAGTGCCAAAAGTTAGAGTTGAGCAGAATGACACATTTGACAGAAAAAGTAGTGTTACTGAGGGCTTTTGGCAGTCTTGTTCATTTCTTTATATTTCTTACCCAAAAGGAGACAAAGAGAATATACTAGAACCAATCAAGTTCAGGTTTTAGTCATAACTTGGCTTCCTTTGCTTAACACCCAATTAAGCAAATGGACAAAAAGTGTTAAGAGAGTCTGATTTCTTTTTTTCCAGTCTGAATAACTCACCTCTCAGATGGGAGCATTTCATTGGGCGATTTCAATTTTTATTTCCCAAAAAATAAAAAAAAGTTCAGATACTATTCTATTTGATATACTGTATCGATTGAGATCGAGCATTGTCGTTCTATATAACAGTTAAAGATGATGGTTTTCATGCCTCTTTGAATGATGCAATTTCAACCGCTCATATAAGTATTTAATACTTTATAAAACTTTTGACTTTCCTTTTCACGCTGAAAAGATGAAGCCAACATCACAAATAAAGAAGGTAATTCTTAACAGACTCTTTTCTCGTTCATTCCGACTAAATCCCATAGAGATAAATATGTACCTTTTTGTATCTGTTATCGCAGTAATTCACGAACTACTTCTTTCTGTTTCCACTATTTTATTTCGGCTTTTGTTTAACGCCTATTTATGCGGTTCTGACTTAGATGAGGAAATGGCGTAGAGGACTCTACATACGCAATATCAATGTTGCTACCCACATCTGATATCGTTTCAAATGAATTCTCAAACGATGCTTATAGACAAAGACTAAAATCAACATCGATCATAGCAAGCCAAGCAGCAGCTTCCGGTGAAGAAGAAAGAACAGTATACTGTAATTTTTGACAATTTGAAGCTGCAGCAAATGTTCCTTGCGCTTACGGTAATTCCATTCTTTTGAAGCAATTTATTATAACATAAATAGTTTGATCATACCGCAGAAATCCGTCTAATATCAAAGATCTGCGTGTGGAAAATATGGAGTACGCTCACATTTTTCAGTCATTATCACCTACATATAAGTAAAATATGACTGCCTCACATTTGCCACAATCAACATTTAGTTCCCTTTATGTAATAAATTTACGCCACAAACTGTAATTTCTACGAAAATACCCAGCACAATCAACGGTAGTCATTGGACGTACATAATTCCTTAATTTTAGTTTGAGGAATTGTATGATCATGCTACAGTACACTCTCTCTTTTTGATACTGTTGTAATACATAAACCCTGCCGATGTTGATGAAAAACATACTGGATATTAAAAAACAATTTCAATACTACTTACGCGCATGAAGAGAATTTGCTGTTAAATTGTGCAAACAGCAAGAGAGGAGGGGCTCGGATTGCTTGCAACCAAAAGCTTTAGTTTCGTTACAGGCCTGCAGTTGCTCTTCCTTTATAATATTACCAATCGCACTTTTTCACTGAGATTCAGCACAATAACTATAGTGCTTAGACTTTAGAAGATGGCTAAAATAAGCAATTGGTATATCCTGGACACTTTTATCGTGAGAATGTTTCCCAAAGAAATTATTGCTCAAAATGATTTCATAGCCTATTGAAGCGGATGACAGAAAGATACCTCTTAAAGGTTTTATTGTCTGTCTGCAAGGTATATTTAGTAGTAGCAGATCACCATAGTGTTCCCATCTCCACATTTTGTAACCCAACAAAAACCAATCATAGTTCGAAGGCTCACCGGAGATTGTCATGTGAAGAAAAAAATCCAGAGTTGAGGATATCAGAGGATAAAATGTTTTCCTTAAATGAGATTGGCCATTGCCCACGTTCCCTTTAACGATCACAGGGCATTTTTATATCATCTGTCAAAAGGATGATGCACAGCAATGCGGAAATTCAATGACGCATATATAAAAAGATCGAATGCCTCTTATCATCATTTAATAGTTTCATTTCAATTCCTTCCCTTCCGTTTTAACTGCTTACCTTTTATCTTCCAAATGCCATTTGTCAATGATCCTTGCACGCTAAATATTGGACAAGAGCAACCTTTTATCCATAAAATATCGCCTACCATCATGTATGAATCGGATCAAGATAACTCTGCTGGTGAAACTTTTAAATATCAAAAGGATTTACCAAAGCTGCCTATCCCAGATTTGAAGACTACACTAAACAACTATTTATCAGTTTTGAAACCATTACAGGTAGAGTATGCAAAAACATAACTTAATGCTTGATGCATACAGCAACTGAAACGGTTTGTCCATATGTCAGACATCCGAGGAGCACGAAAAGACCCGGTATGCTGCTCAACAGTTTTTAGATGAAGAAGGCCCTGAATTACAAACAGAATTGCACACTTATGCCACCGATAAATCCTCTTATATCGAAGAGTTTTGGTAATACAAAAGTCAACATCAGTTCACTGCATGTCTACTCATATGATTTGCAACATAGGTATGACTCGTATCTCCATTCTACAAATCCTGTTGTTTTGAATCTCAACCCTTTTTTCTTGCTGGAAGATGATCCAACACCACAACGCAGCAACCAGATTATTCGTGCTTCCTCTCTTATCTATTCCACCTTCATTTTCATCCAAGCGCTCCGCCGTAAAACACTTCCAGCCGATGTTGTCCATGGCACACCTCTCTGTATGTCCCAATTTGCGCGCTTATTCGGTACGGCACGCGTACCTACGACTCATAATGGGTGCTATATCCAAAATTCATTTAGTTCATCCCGACATATCGTCATCATGGCCTATTCTCAATTCTACTACTTTGATGTTTTTAATAACGATGGTGACATCTTGCTGACCGAAAAGGAAATAGTCGCCAATCTGCGAGTTATTTTAAAAGATGCTGCGAATACACCCGTCGAAGATAGAGCCAAACAAGCCATGGGTGTGCTTACCACTGAGAATCGTATCAATTGGGCCAAAATAAGGCAACAAGAATTGTTACGAGAAGAGAGTAATGCGGAGGCTTTGAAAATTGTAGATACTGCCTTGTTTGTGGTGTGTTTGGATGACGCTGATCCCACAGATACGAATACATTATGCACGAATATGTTGTGCGGTACTTATCGATTGGAGAATGGCGTTCAAGTAGGCACTTGTACCAACCGCTGGTACGATAAACTACAGGTAAGCAGAAAAAAGTAGAAAGAAGAGGGCTTTTTATGTCGTAACCTTGCTGCCACGTTGTTGACACATAACTGTCTTTTGTTTAGATCATTGTGTGTAAAAACGGCAGCGCTGGAATCAACTTTGAACACACAGGTAAAGTAAAGGATAAAAAATGACATAGAGTAATTCATGTTGTAAGGTTTTGCTAACACATGCGCATATGTAAATATTTTCTTCTTTTATTAGGCGTGGACGGACACACTGTTCTGAGATATGCTTCTGATGTATATACAGAAACTATACTTCGGTTTGCCAACACTATCAATAGTCAAACACAATCCATGTTTCACTCAGCCCATACAAAAACGGTTCCTCAACATTTGAACTATGCTCAGGTATACAAGACAATGCAACAAAGACATGATACCAACCCACGCAAAATTGAATGGGTCTTGTCCGATGCGATACAATCCGGCATTCGATTTGCCGAAAGTCGACTGAGTGATCTAATTTTACAAAGTGAGGTGAAAGTATTAGAATTCAACAAGTATGGTAAATATTTCATCACCGGTATGAAAATGAGCCCAGACGCTTTTGTTCAGGTGAGTTGTATATAGAGGCTTACAAAAATAAAATGTACGTGATTTAAGTCAACTGGAATTAAACTGTATCTAAATACTGTAGATGGCGTTTCAAGCGGCTTACTACGGTTTATACGGCAAATGTGATATGACATACGAACCCGCTATGACGAAAACTTACTTACATGGTCGTACGGAAGCTATCCATAGCGTGTCTGAGGCATCTTCCGAGTTTGTTAAACTCTACCATTCATCATCAGTGACTGTTGCTGACAAGCTTCAAGCCCTTAGGAACAGTCTTCGCCAGCATACACAACGTACAAAAGATTGTTCTCGAGGTCTAGGTCAAGACCGCCATCTATATGCGCTTGAATGTGTTTGGAATAGGCTCTACAAAGGAGGGGAAAATAGTGAAGTTCAAAAGCGACAAAAGCCTTTGTTATTTACAGATCCGGGTTGGGCATTATTAAACCACACTGTGTTAAGTACATCAAATTGTGGCAACCCTGCTTTGAAGTTGTTCGGTTTCGGACCTACCGTTTCAGATGGATTTGGTATTGGTTATATTATTAAGGAAGATGGCATTGCTGTAAGTGTTATCACTAAGGATGCTGATGTACGCAAACACCTATGCTAATATCATACTCTGTCAGTTTTGTGCATCTTCAAAACATAGGCAAACACAAAGATTTTTGAACAATTTAGAAGCTTACTTGATAGATATACAAACCTTGTTACTGAAAGAGAAGTACCCTACAAATCTATCTTATCGTCTAGCATCATTACATGAAGAGGATGAAGCGGAAGCATACGAAAAAAGTGAAAAAGCGTCTACAGATGGTTACAATTACTACGATAATGGTGAGAATAATCGCATCCTACCGACAAAGAAGAAACCGAGTCCACAACAATCTCCAACAAATAGCTATAAGGAAAGGAAAGTAGGTAGACGCTTAACATTACAAGGAATTAACATTTGATTTGAACACCAAGATACCATTTTTGATAAACTATATGTATACCACCTCATTCATTAATTAACGTTAATAAGAAATTATACTATTCGCATCATGTTATGAAATTTGGTTGACCTTTTTTTATTTATATGACGGTTGCTTCCAACCAAATGGAAAATGAATAAATATTACATTAATTAACTCAAACTATATCTCACTTTTTATTGTGGAATAAGAGGTGCATCGAGACACTGGGCTTTGTTCCTCTGATTACTTTTATGCCGTTTCAGTGCATCCAACCTGGAAAATGTCTTTTTACATCCGCCACATTTGTAAGGTTTATCTCCTCCATGAATTTTGCTATGTCTTTTCAAATCATGATTTCGACTAAAGGCTACCTTACACACCTGACATACGAACGGTCGATCATCGGTGTGAGTTCTAGAGTGACTCTTTAGGTTATAAAGTCGGGCAAATGTTTTACCGCAATTAGGAAATAGACAAGGATAAAATGTTTGCGGTTGATTATTAATGATGGTAGTGACAGGTGTCGAAGAAGCATATATATTCATGGCATCAGATTGGGTATTGGCTAGTAAGGCAGCGGTATCGGCGGATCGTTTTCGTCTTCTACCCATAGTAGCTGTTGTTATTGTTGAAGAAGAGTTAACAGGTGAAAGTGAATAAGTAGAGGAGGTATCATGTTGTTGTTGTTGGATAGTGGAAGTAACAGCAGTATTATTGCTAATAGAGGAGGGCGAGGATGGCGAAGTAGTAGTATTAGAGTTATTAGAATGAGGTTGGATATGCGGTATCATAAAAGGGCTTTGGTGCTGTTGTAAAACTGCTGAAGTAGCTGCATTGTCTACGCCATCTGCGGATGCCGTCGCTCCAGTATTATTAGAGGTATTGATGGCATTATTTGTCGCCGGTGGTGATAAGGAAGGATGTTTTTGTTGTTGCTGTTGTAACTGCTGTTGAAGTTGTTGTTGCAGAAACTGAGGGAACAATAATAATGTAGCTGGGTCAGAATAATTGATGAACGATGATTGTTGATTACTAGGGCTGTTAGCAGAAGAAGTAGTATTGGCTGCCGTATTGGAATGAGGAAGGGTGGTTGCAGAAGTAGCAGTAGAAGGCTGCTGCGCGGAAGTTGAGGAACTAGGGGCAGCGGATGCTGAAGGTACATTTTGATTAGAAGAAGCTGTGGCTGCCGCCGCCGCCGCCGCTGCAGTTGCTGATTGTAATGAAGACAATAACGCTTGAGATATCAATGTCTCCAAAGCTACTTGATCTCCTTCTTTGATTTTTTCAGTGATCTTTGAGGCTATTGTCAGCCAATCAGTCAAATCTGACAAAGGATTCTGACTAGTATTATTGGAATTCTGATGTTGATTGCCGAAACTATTCGCTAGCCCTCCAGCCGGTGTGCTGGATGCAGCAACGGATGTCGGCGATGTTGATGCAGGACCTGCTGCTGCTGCTTTTGAAACCATTGGAGTAGATGTTATTGTCCCTTTACTACCATTACTACTGTTTTTACTATCCTCCAGGTGGCATCCGTCTTTTCCCTCTTTGATTTTACTCTGTAATAATTCTTGGTCTACGTATTTGGGCGCTAATGTGTTATCCCATCTTTGCTTCAATTGTTTTCCTTTTCTACCCGGTATGATAGCAGCAATTTCTTTCCAGCGGCCATAACCGAACTTTTTGATACCAGCCAATAATAGTTCGTCCTCCTCACGTGTCCATGCTCCTCTTTTCTGTGGCTGTTGCGTAGATTGACCATTCATACCATGAACGGCATTCATTGCACTCGCAGTATTTATCAAAGGTGAAGATGTAACGCTACTTGTCGTATCTAGACTGGGCGAGCTTGTTGTCATGAGTGATGTTGCAGTTTGGTCAAATGCACTGCTATTGGACGACTCTAGTATAGTAGTACTACTGGTTGTTACGTTTTTATCAGATGTTGTCTGTTGCTGAGCTAAACCTAGTAACTGAAGAGCCGTAGCTGCTGCTGCCTGATCAAATTCATTTGTCGCTATCGTTTTATCTGTTACATTATCTTTACTTTCTTCTTCCATTGTAGGCTGCTCTTGTTGTTGTTGTTGTGATTGATGCAACTGGAACAGTAATTGTTCTGGAGCATGATCTACTATTGAAAAGCAGAAGAGTAAGTACAAGTGGTAGAATTCAACGGTGATAAGAAAAGTTTTACCATTATTAGCATTGTTGTCAGTAGTAGTGCTTGATGTTGAATTTAATACAGCTGCTACAGCTTCCATCAAATCCATGCCAGTATTCGTCTTTCGTAAAAAGGCTTCCGTTAAAGCTGCTGCATCTTGACTAAGGTTGGGTAACGGTGCGACGGCGGGCGCCTTTTCTTGCTTTATACTAACGTTGCTCTTGTTATTGCTACTGCTACTACTTTTCCTTCGCCGTTGTTGGTGTTGTTGTTGCTGGTGTGGTTGCTGTTGCTGTTGCTGTTGCCGTTGTGTTTCTTGCGATTGCTGTAATGACGGTTGTGGTGAAAGCGATGACAGTGGCAGTGATGGAGAGGGAGGTAACTCTTGTTGTAATAAGATACTCTTCTGCTTATCCGAAGAGGATTTGAACATATGAACACGAGCCATTGTTACTAATTATGTAGGAATTATTCGGTTTTTCAATACTGAATTTGGTGATAATGTTATCGATGAATGATGGATATATAACTGCAATTGCAAAAAGTGGGATTACTGAGTTGAATTGAATATTGTTACTTCTGTTGTATATAAATATATAAGCCCTCTTTCTAGCTCAACAGATAATCTCAATTGACAGTTTGAGAAGCTGTACGTGCGTTTATGTAGAAAAAAAAAGAAATTAAAAAAAAGAAGGGGAACAAGAAAAGATATGTGTATGTGTGTGAGTTACAGACTGTGAAAAAAAAAAAAAATTGCAGTCGCTGATTTCTATTTGCTGCTGAAACGCCGGCTTTCAACCAATCAAAACGACACTTTTTCGATCAAAGCTTGAAAGGTGAAATTGGCATTTGTGCTTCAAAGCAAGCTGAATGAAAGTCGTATTTAGAAGAATATCTCCCGCGATATACTTTACTATGCTGGCCAAGTAATTTGTCATTTTATAACACGTTATATGGTCAGATAAGTCGAGAATCAAAAGTAAAACTCTTAGATATCGACTATAGTCAAAATGCCGGAATATTAAATATCCTTTATGCAATTTTTTTACTTTTGAGAAATAGGATTAAAATAATTGCATGCAAAATTAGGTACAATATAATTTGAAGGGAAAATACCATGCTTTCCATTCAAAATACCTTCCCACCAGCCACTATCATCTTTTTTTGTGACAATAATAACATCTCCTTCGTGTAGATCTAATTCTTCAGCATTCACTGCTTCAAAATCATACAATGCCACTACTGTCTCTTGTAATTGATGCTCGGTCATATCCGTTCCTACTGCGGCTCCTTCTTGCAATGAATCCGTCAAATAAGTCAAGCCATCATTATCATTTTGTTGTAACTGGTTTGTTATATATTCGATATAGTTGGCAGGCACAAGGCCAACTTCAGCACCTCGCTGTGCCTTAATCCATCCCGATCCATCATCAGGTTCGACTACAGTTAGTATATCACCAGCTGTCAAGTTTAATTCATCGGCATTTTGTGCCAGATAGTCGTAGATAGACTGTATTTCGGTTGGTGTAGTAGTTATTGCCGTAGCATCACTCGAACTGACGGCAGGCTCTGTCACTATGTTTGCTGTCGCGGTTAAAGGCGATGAAGGATGTAAGTGGTCGTTGCTGCTGTCAACTGCAATGTTTATATTTGAAGAGATAGCGGGCACGGGGGAGCGTATAGAACCACTTGTACTCGATGCTCGACTTCTATTTCCACTGCCTGCTGCGAGTGCTAATGATTGAGGAGGTTGAGGGTTGATTTGACCTCTCTTTTTACTACAGTTGGGAACAACTTTCATTTCACATTTTGTATGGCAATTAAAACCGCAAGCTTTTTTGAATCATTAGCATGTTAGACATGATGAAAGGGTAGCATTTCGTTAATGACTTGAAACTATCCCTTACCTTTGCATGTCAGTCCTTTAGAAAGGCCCCATAAGGTAGATTTACAATAGTCACAATTAGTTGGAATTGTAAAGGAAGTTATTGTAAAGTCATGCGGTGCAGCGTTGAGCCCCTCATCTAACAGGAAATACTGTTTAGTATTTACACATTACGTTTACTACCTGATTCATTATATTACGCTACGAATTTACCTCCTATACTTTGCACAATCAACTCAACTTCACTTTGCACTCTTACTCTTTGCGTTGTCAGTAGTGTAATATTTCTCTTTAGATCCAATAACTTTTCATAATAAGTATCGTATTCAGAAGAATACTTGTCTTGTATCGAGTCTAAATTGCTTTCAAACTTTTGTAATTGAGTAGCCTTTTTAGAAAGATTACTGTCCAGCGCTTCCATATGTCTATGATCTTTTAATAATTTGTTGGTCAAGAAAATAGAAGCTGTATCATTGGTGACTAAATTAGTGTCCTGTTATTAAAAATTAGCTTAGTTACATGTGGAGATACTGAAGAGGGTACGAGTTCCCTCAATTGTTCATTTCTCTCTTACCACACATACTCTGTCAATAATAGTTTCTGCTGCATTAGCACCGCCATTCCAAGGGATGAATTGGAAAGTGACATTAGCAGCACGATCCTGCACATCCACGCGGTTTCCGACTGAGCGAGTAAAAATGCTGGCATCCACTGCAGGGTTGATTTCCTCTACCACTTTCAATGATTCATCATGGGTATGTTGGACTCCAGTCAATAAACTGTTCTCCAGATTTAAATAGTGTGTTAAAATAGATTTTAAAGACATGATACGTGATTCATCAGAAGCTTCGAGTTGCTATTGACAAATTGAATACCGAATGAGTGATCCAATTTAACATTTTCCTGTACTGTTGAATATTTCGTTGCCTGTTCTTAACCTACATCGGCTAATATAGGGATATCCTCGTCAAAATACTTCGATCTTTCGGCATTGGCGATGTTAACAGCCAATAAATACAAGTTCTTGTTCATTCAAGAGGAAAGGAATTATTACTGGAATCCTCAGCGCAGGAGAACAGTGGTGCTAAAAATTACCTTCTTATTATAACAGTCTAAAGTAGCCGCGTCTATTTGCCGTTGCAACTATCGAATAATACAATGATAAGCATTCACTGTTGGCTCCATCATGACTTCATCGGTCATTAAGTTACTTTTTCACTGTCTCCTCCTCGAGCCTTCTTGGCTTTCAAATTCTCAATCTCCAGGCAAGCTTCATCATAAGCTTGTTTTGCTCTATCTTTTTCAGCATAAGTCTTGTCTCTTTCACTCTTTAACCGTTGGTAAAAGGCTGCGTGTTTTCTTCTACATTCTTCTTTTCGGACAGCAGTTTCTCTTAATGCTTCCACAATCATGTCATTTATATCCTCAGCTAATCGAAATCGAATTTTTGCAATGTGACCCGTTTGCTTCAACAAATGGTTCCATGCTTGAAGTGTGGTGCTTTTGGAGATGTATGCGATAAAGAGTGCGAATAAGCAACCTATAAAGATTCCACTGTGTGCTGGCAAACGCCCTGCAAAAGTAGGCTTACCTTTGATCTTCTTTTTTGACAGGCTGTTGTTGCTGTGAAGGGTCCGCGCCAGTCAAAAAATGCTTGACACTGGTATTGTGTTGTGATTTATATTTCTTTGATAATTGTTCCAACTTTTGTGCATATTCTCGTTCGATATTGCTTCTTTCTTTTAGAAAGCTGCGAAATTGATGGAGAGATTCAATACCGTCCCCAACATATTTGACAATAAGCGGGATCTGGTCCTGCAATATAGCCAATGCCCATCCAAACCAACCACCATGTGCCCGCAGTTAGTATCATTGAACTATTATATGAACTTTCTTTCGTGGCCAAAGCTTTTCTAATGGGAAGCGTTACCTTTAAATCAGTGCCAAATGTCATTGACGAACTGTTTATTTACAAAAATAAGCTTAAAAAGGCAAGAAACTGTTATATCAATTCCTGCTGTAATGTACTACACTTTTGCTCCGTCCGAAGAATTGAATCTCCTCTTTTCATCGTGTCCGTGCGACGGAAAAGGAACTGTTTGTCAAATTCCAGCTCTCAGTGCGTTTTCCCAAGCATCACATAATGCATTGAACCCCCTTGTTTCTAACAATAGCAACACTGTTGCCCTTGATAAGGTTAGTACAAGCCACTTGATGCCATGGATATAACGGAAGCAAAAAAAAACTGTTCTTTATTAAAACTCAAATTGACAAGGTAGGAAGCCATGATAGAGATACGGTTGCAATATGCATTATGAATTAGTTCTCTGCAAGTTAGCATATACATAAACTATACATTGTGATTGGTTGCAGAATAGCAGAGGTATCGTTTTGTAAAAGAATCAGAGCACGCGCCGTGAAATCTCCACACTATTAAGTATCTCTCACTTACCATTTTTCCTTATAGCCTGCCAAACTTTAATGCTCTCGTTAATCATGACACGTTTCATATAAGAAACCGCAACTATTGCTGTTTGAAACAGCCTTGCTGCATGAAGAGTTTTTGAGATGAGAATATATACATATCGGTTCTTTATTTGTACATTTAAGAGGGTAGTTAAATAATGAGTAGATGGTCAGAAATGAAGGTAAATGGTGGTATATGGATGATGTTAAGAGGAAAAAAGTGGATGGGCGACTACAATATTGCAGTATGAAAATGCTGCTGAAAGGATGAAAAGGGATGGTGTTATGCTTTAGAGATGTGTCCTAATTTTTTTTTTTTTTTGCGATGTGAAGAGAAGGGATTTACGATGATTGGTCAACAATATCTGACTGAACGCGTTTGTAGAACTTCATGAAATTGCTTTGCATTTGCTTCAATAAACTTGTACGGATTGTGGAAATATGCTCGCTCAAAAAATCTTGGGATAATTCAGGAACGAAAGCATCAGCATCCATATCTTGGGCCTTAGTCATGACTCTATCTGAGGAATGTGATGGCGATGATATAAAACTCAATAAATGTCTCTTGGCACGAGCAGCCCAGGAAGCATCATTGTCAGCAGCGGCCAAATCAGACTTCACTTTTTCGGCAAGTTGATATTTATCAATTTGTTCAATCAAGTTCTTGGCGACGACACCGTTGAAGGAGGACAAGAAGTTCAAGGTTCGTCCATCATGATCACCGTCGAGTATTCTGGGGTCCCAAATGGAGTTCCAAACCAATGTGATAGAGGGTTCAACAGCGCTGTAGACTTGAGCATTCATCTTTTGAATATGTTTGCCAATGATAGCGGGCATTTTGATCAATTGCTTATCTATCAACAACAGTAGAGTAAGCATATGTTCTTTGCTTAGGATCACGCTTTTTCAATTTATTAGAAACTTGTGATGTGTACCTGATAAAGATTGAATTCCCAGATGCTCCGCTTGGCTGGCTAACAAAGTGTTGACAGAACTTTTAGGAGCATGGATCAGGTTTAATAATAAATCTTCGCTCTCAATGCTTAAAGCAGTGTCCACGAGGTTTTCGTAGTAATCAACAATATTGTTGTAAATTTCATATTCTTGATCTAATCTGTCATCATTCTCAGCACTTCTATAGCTAATGATTTCTAAAGAGCGAGGACGTTTTTCGTATTGCTCCAAACCATTCAAGTTAGCGTCAATAGGCAGTGCTGTTGTCATGGTGACGCTGATGAGAGTTGTGAAAAGAGTGGCTGAGATAGTTGTTTGAAGCAAACGCATTTTCGTTCGAAAGAATAACTGAAATAGAGGGTAGATAACGATGAAGATTCTGTTCATCAGAAAAAAAGAACGTCCCTTATATACTAATTTTTTTTTTTGGTTTTTTTTTTGGTTTTTTGTTAGCAATCATAGACAGAAAAATTTTTTTTTTTACATTTTGATTAGAAATGCGTGTTATTCAGCATAGATGGTAATCCTTACCTCAAGGATGTTTGCCCCCTAAAAAAAGAAAAATTGACCTTTAGAGGCTGGCCGAAAATATCAACTGAAACATACTCATTTTTTCCCCTTTTCTGGTTAAAACTTCTATCTATTTTTCGGCTTGGTTTCAATAAATAATAAAGTTTTATCCAGTTTTTCCACGCGGTTTGTCTTGTGTCTACGTTGTAATGTTTTTATGGTTCATATTTTTGCGGGGAAAAGGTTCTTCATCTGTTTCTGTATGTTTGTTGCATTTATGTATGTATGTATGTGCGTATTGCGTGGCATTAGTAATGTTATGAGTTTGACATTTAAAGCCCTTTTACCGGTTCCTCATTTGATAACAGAAACATATAACAAAGTTGTTGCTTATTCCTGGATAGAAAACATTCCAAATGAAAGTATCAAGCAACTATAATCTTAAACACTGAATCCACGGTTCAGATGGTTTTTTTTTTTTCTTTTTTAATTTCGCATGCTCTTTGCTTGTCTGAAGCATTTGCACATGGCCTTAAAGAAAAAGCCGAGTCATTGCAGGCGGCAAAATTTTCTAGGACTTTGAAAATTTTTTTTAAAGCTTGAGCCCTAAAAACGTTTAAAAAAAAAGAAAAACAGGTGTCGAGCCATATGGTGATTTTAGAAAATAAAAATATATTGCAAGCAAACAAAGGATTTCGTAACATTGAAGCACATGCCCGTGATTACCGAGTTTGTGGTTTATTGACATTGGAGTGAGAAAAGAAATAGAGATAGAGTATGTCACTCGATTCAATAGGGACTACTTTGGCAAGCTTATGGAACTGAAATAGATTCAAAACAGTGCGTAGTGTACCTCTCTGGTACCAAATATTGTCGAATACTTTTTCGCTTCTTCATAATCATTGTATAATAGAAATATCACGACACACACAAAATCAAAGCGTGTAATTTCTTCGACTTTCTGGGGATATCTGTTGTATCTTCTAGAAGTAAAATTTTATTGTTTGCCAATGGCAAACCTGGATAGTCGACCCGTCGAAAGAGTAAAAGTTATTTAATATCTATTTGAATTACTTTGTAGCCTCTACTTTTTTTTTTCTTTTACTTACCATCTTTCCCTACAGTCCACAGCGTTCCGCCGTACCACACGTTTCTTATCATCCAGTGCCATTGCTAATTCTTGTATAACTGACGGCCTAAATGGCGACAGATTAGCCGGTTTGCCTTTTGCTGCTATTTCACAAAGACAAAGCAAGGCTGAAATGCGAATATCCACAGCAGTCTCCAGCTGAGTCAGTCTGAGAAGCGCATGAATAAGCGATCCCAAATGTTGCACGACCAGATCCTGTGCCTCTGGGACAATCTGCTGTGCTACCTTCATTGTTGCTCGTATTAGGTTGTTGTCGTGCGATGATAAAGCATCAATGATCGGTAGCATCAACTGTTGACACATGCAAATATTTTAGTTTTTCTTTGAAATTTCCAAATCTGGTTAAACGAACACACAAAAATAACCGTTTACCTTTGCACTTTCATTGATCGCGAACTGATTAGGAATATTTTGTAAAATGTAAACTATGGCTAAAAGGTAATTATTTTTCAATTCTGCAAAACATGTGACATTTTGGCGCGAGAGGACACGACAAACAATATTATTTGTTAGTAATCTTTTTTTGTTTGCGTAAACGTTTTTATAAAAAAAAAAAAATGTTTGTTGCTATTTTTACCTGGTTTACGGATATCAACAGCTTCAGCGCCGTTCATTAATTTTCTGAAGCAATAATTATAGACTCTTTGTTTGAACAAAATCTATAGTTTTCAATAATAATTAGATCAAGAGTTACCATATAAACGAAAAGGCAAATTTTCTGACATGTTGAAGGAAGATCAACTTCTCAACATGGACGGCTGCAAAAATATACTTACAGAAACAGTCGCGTGAGAGGCTTTATTTAGAACGAGTTCATCCTGCTTTAACAAGATGTTAAAACTCTCCGCCGCTTCAGTGCCTAGATCTACGCAACCGCATTGTTTGATCACATCATCTAATAGCTCGAACCCGTGTTTATGTGCTCTAACGACAAGAGACTTGATAATCTAAAGAGACGGAAAAAAGTCAGTCCGTTGTATTGGTTACCTCTTCTTTCGGATTCACTCATTCCACTTACCCAGATCAATAGAAGAAAGGCAGTTTTTCTATCTTCTAGCCGAGTGGAGGCAGCAAGTGCTGCTGATAGATGTTCTGAAATGCATCTCTGAATACAATTGAGGATGTCATCTAGCATGTACCAAAAAAGGCAACAAAGAAAAAAATTCTATTTAGATTTTCGAGCGCACAGAGCAACAAGAATTTCTCGTCATTACCATTTATCCATTTGTTAATAATAGAAGCAGCCAATTTGACCAGTGCCAGTCGTTTAGCGCATGATGTTGTTTGTAAGGCTGTTTGTATCAGCCCTTGAAGAAAATTGGGCATATCGCTGAGCGGTAAGTGAACCTATTTCGTTTTTTTAATTTTAGTTCATACTCTCTTTTTTTGTTTCCTTGGCAAAACACAACATGTATTTACATTTTTGCAACAATTTCCCACTATAGCAGTGAACAATAATGTGATATCGACTGCTGTTATATCCTATAAATATCGATAAGCAACCATGATGCTTCACTTACGTGTTGTTTCAGAAACTTACTTGAAACGGTTTAAAGGACACAGAGGACGTGCCTTTGTTCATATGCGCGCCGTATTTACTGAGATCTCCTTGTACAAAACATTTGTAACTGTCATCAACAGCTACTTGTTGTTCACTAGACAGCATACAAATGACAAGTTGTAGAAAAAAACGATCGAACTCTCTATACCAAAAAAGAAAAAGGTGTTACCTTGACGAGGAGAGTCGTGTTGTAATAGCTGTCATCATAGCAAAGACTTCGACCAAAAAGTCGTCCAAATACCAGGTGCCAGAGCCCATAGAGGATTGGATACATTTTGAAAAGAGAGTTGGCACTATTGTCTTTTGTCCAATGAGTGAAATTTCGCAGTCCTTGGAGGCACCTTTGTAAGTGTGTAGCATAGCAGAAGCAATATCGTGTACATAAGCTATGTTTTGATGGCCTTGAGAATGATTGTGTGGTAAAAAGCAGAGATGAGAAAAACGTTCATTCACTATTCTTCCCGTCTCATTGAGTAGTTTAGTAATCATACCTATTGTTTCGCAAGCATAATTCAACTTATCTAACAAGGTAGGAACAATGATTTTAAAGACGGCAGGATGAGCCCCCAAAGTTCGGACTGCATTCAAAGCAAATTGATATGTATCTGTCGTATTATAATTATGTTCTGCTTTTAACTGTTCTAACAAAATAGGGAAAGTACGCTGACTGAGATCTTCAGGGTATAATTTGGCAATGATGCCGAAGGTAGATAATGCAAGCTGTCTACATAATGTTTGAGGCAAATTAGCATTGGTTCATCAGAAGAATAAGAGACTATATAATGGGTTCTTCAATAGCTTACCTAAGTTTCTCGTCTTCACCCGTAAGTTGCTGTGTAAGGAGATCAATAACCACATGAACCTATATTTTTACACAGTTCAGTTTCTAGCGATCGCCTTTTTCCTAGAATTAGTATTTGATCAAAAAATGGTACCTCTTCTCCTTTCAGAAATTGCTTCATCAAAACCATTTCGTGTATGCCTTTGAGACTTGCCTGACGTAAAGCGACGTCAGTTGAGTTCGTATCCGTGAGAGACAATAAATACATCTGTAAGATTTGCTGTTTGTACATAAGAAAAGGCGTTTGAAAATCACGATCTAGTGGCAAAGGTTCCTGTAAGTCACTACTACCCTTTACTGTGCACTCCCTTCCCCTTCCCTTTATTCTCTGTAGTCCGTTACCATATCCAACATCTTCCACTGAACCATATAACTTTTTACTTCCTATCAACAGTTCTGTCATAATATCCAATACTGATTTACGTCGAAGAACGGACGAATGCACATCGTACTGCTGTAAAATGATTGGCAAAGCTACATGTGTCACCGAAGTGCATGCCGGATCAGAGGCTGAGGCTGCTGATCTCAGTATATAGGCCGCTGACCTCGCTTTCTTCGACTCTGGTTCTTTTAGTTCTTCGACGCATTTTGTCAGTAGGGTATCAATGGCTTTTTCAACTGGATCCCGAATATTGGCGATCGTGATACCCGTACCCAACGTTGCCACCACATTATGTATGGTCTCAAGTGCTGCGTTCACCATGGCAGGATCTACTTCTCCGTACACTTCTTTCATTAAAGCGTCAAATAGATTCAGCGCGTGGGGCAAAATAGCATGTGCGCCGTATGCAGGAGCACATAAGCTGATGGTTTCCATTGCATCTTTCTTTGCACTCCCTTCTGTCGTTAATAGCTTCTCAATGAGCAAAGGGGTAGCGTAATACGCAAAATAGGGTGTCGCTGCTAAACATCGTCGTAGGCTATCTTTGAGATCTTCTGTTGATACGCCAAACGGGTTCGAGTGTCGATTATTGTTGCTGCTGGGATGCGGCTGAAAGCTTATAGGGAAATAACAAAAGACAACGTCGAACAAGTCTTCAATGTGACGTGAGATATCGAATCGATCAATGATAGCCCGTACTAATTCGAATGCAACCATTAAATTGCGAGGGTCCTTCTCCCCGTCCATGCAATTGATGAAACCACTAATAAAACTGATTTTTGCGCGTTGTGTTTCTAACAGAATTATAGAGAGAGGGAAGAAGACAATGGTATGTCAACATGCTGGTTGAAATTATTGCCGAACAACTAATTTTGGTTTACCCCTCGCATAATCTTCCAAAACTTTAGCAAGAATGATCAAAATTTTGTATCTACTCTGTTGTGGCAATTTCTTCACTTTGATAGTAAATAACCTAATGTGAGGAGGGAGTTTTCAGCCATCTTAACATTCTTGGGTGAAAGTTTCTAATCGTTATTACGTACAAATTACATATTTGTATAGCAACGGACCCAGTGATGCTGTCTGAATGCATTATTATGGACAAAATATCGATAAATCGAGGAATAAGTGTTGGATCATTGAGACGTTCGCCGACAAACTGGATAATGGCGCTATCTAAATTTAGTTACATATCAGTAAGTATTCGCATCAAGTGCAAAGCAAAAAAACAAAAAGGCATTGAAAGGTTACTCGTCGAAGCATTAAGAGTCGCCTGGCTTGGACCTAGACATTGCGCTAAAAGTTCAATACCTTGGTATTTTTTAAATTTCAATAAAAAAAGGGGGCAGGTCGTCAGTTTCAAGCATATTTGACAGCTTATTCCTTAAAAAATCACAAGTACATTTTGTTCTACTCATAGCGTCTCCTTTTTCCCAAAAATTGGCCAAGAGGTGCAGCATATCATTGATTCCTGTTGATGTTTTGTTTAGATCTGGCAACGGATAAAAAGAAAAGAAGAAAAAAAAAAAAAAAAAAAAAGAAAAAAGTATTTGGAATGGCACATCAGTCCTTCCGTTTAATGGTACGATCAGAGTTATGGTAATTTACATAACAAGACATAAGCCAGAAATGAAGGTTCGACTCCTGATTTTTCAGAAGAAAACCAGTCGGTTAATAATTGCGATATATCCATAAATTATTCCGTATCGTATCTTTATGAAATGATCCAAAGAGTATATTGTGGTATAAAAGAGGAAGACAGAAGAAAAAATTAAAGACAAAAAACCTTAAAAAAATCTGATAACCAAAGTACCTGCCTTTTCAGCCTCCTGTAATCACTTCCAAGAGATTTTTATCAGATTTTTTTCGTGACTTATATAACTGTAGACAACGCGTTCCCCCGCTTTGACTGATCGATAAGGAGATTGTACTACCTTTGAAGAAATGGTGATCTGTATGGTGCAATATCTTACTTGTTCAGGGGTATAATTACGAAAGGTCAGGACCAGAATATAAGGCATGTTTAAGTTCAATTACTCGTTTCCTACAGAAATTGTCAAGTATCATTTTCGTGCTTTTACTGAAAATACTACAGACGGGAGCGGTGTATAAATGTATTTTACCAATGAACAAGTAGTACTCCACTCCGCTGTAGCGAAGCAAGCAGAGAATTTTCTGCTAGGTCCGCGCCTTTTTTTTTTTTTTTTTTTTTGGTTGTTGTGGATTTCTGGGATCAAAAAAAGCCGTTCTTACCAACGTTTACAGTAAACAACGTAGGTTTCTAAATGGAAAAAGAACCGAATTTATGCCGTGCTTATTCTTTTATGTCATACTACTCATTGTTCTGGAAGCATTCCATTTTATGTTTGAGAATAGTATTTGATGACTAAAAACCGATAGTTGCATGAGTTCAAAACACGTTTGACAAGGATCCTTTTTCGCCATATGCTTCAAGATTAGAGATTATAATTATGATATGCGTATTTCACTTTATCATTTCACTACTTTAGCCATTGCTGCTGTTGCATTGAGGCTTTAAGCCTAGACATGATGATTTTTTCTAGTGGTTCAACATAAAAATCCAATTTCAGACTTGGAAAGTCAAATTAGCTGTGCTACAAGCAGCTGCAATGACTTTAACCAAATAAAGTTATCGATGCCACGTAAGTCGTTTCTTTGACTGAAACTTATTATTAGAAATTGTTTACGTGTTCTACGTTCATGTTGCTAGGATACTTTGCAAGGAGGAAACCACTTGTAAAAGATACATTTCGAAGAACTTGTACTATACTTCCGGTAGAACTGAAGTCGTACATGTTATTCTTCAGCGACGCGTTATTCGGTTACAATATTTGTCTTGAAAGTAGAATTCAACATAGAAAACCAGCCCTATCTTTTGATTGTCGACGCTATGATTTTTTCATATTTTTGCAACTTTCATTTGAAGTGTTCTCTATCGTCCGCATTTTGAAGATTGTTGATGAAGAGTTAATAAAAGCCCATTGGATTTCATGGTTGGTATACATTATATCGTATACAGAAATGATACACTGTTTTCGAGCAACTTATATTATTGGGAAGTGTTCGTATATCTTCCTATTTTTTTGTTTGCATCCTATAACTATGCCGGGCAAAAGATATATATAGAACATCATCAAAGGCAAACTTACCCTCATGATAAACACCGTAAAATGAGCACTTCTTTTCTTGGGTTTAACAGCTTTTCAACGTGCTAAACCGATATCCTATCGGTATTTGTTTCCTATACTGAATTAGTGATGACATAAATGCAATGACTGTTTTAATTTAATAGATACATCAGGCCCTTTTATGTATATTTTCAGCAAATAAAACGCACATCGCTTTAGAGTATCAGAAACTCGAATGACTCCTTTTTCTCAATGTTATATCTCAACAAACAATTTGAGAGGCATTATAGCTCTTCCGAATTAATACACTTATATATCATTATTATTTACATACTGCCTTCAGTGTCTGATAGTATAATATAAAAAATAAAATGCTTAAAATCCAGCTATGTCAGTAACAGTAGCAACATTAATTTGATTCTTCGGATGAAAAAATACTTGGTTTTATTGATGCGCTTTAAATAAAGATACACGTTTACTCTTGTTGACGATATCACAACCATTGGGTTGATTTTGATGTTCTACTTTATTTGATATATTTTTAATCTTTTGTACGGATCATAAAATGCAGGTTTTGTTCCAACCAGCATTGAGTTATGGTCTACTCCATGACTGTTATTATTGCTGTTGTCAATATCATACTGTATGTATTTTCTTTTTTGTTTTCGGTTACAGGGTTATGTGATTTTATCGTGGCCTTTTCTCGCTATTTTAGTCCCAATTGCGTCAATTTATCTTGTATCTCTAAATTCCTTAATTGAAATTCTAGTTGTTCTCGTTATTACAGAAAATTACTGCAATTCATTTTGAGATTAATCTTTCTACGTCAATGAAAAGTGTATCGAAAACTTCCTTGCTTATGAATCAAGAAGTAGATCAAAAGCATCAAAGTGCTGTAATCAATTTAATGGTCTTCCCATAACGTACATACGAAATCTGACAACGGTATACCTGGAGCCTTGAATGTTGCTTTTCATTTTTCCTACTAGGGTTTATCCTAGCCACCTATCTGAGCTATTTCCTCAGTTGTCATTAATGCTAAAACAAGTATATAGGCTCTGCACTCAATATAGTTTATAATAATCGGTGCTTGATGGAGAGACCACATCAGCGATTTTGATGCGGCTTGACCATTTCACCGAAAGTGCAATCTTTTAACACCATAGATATCCATGCATTTTGAAGCAAGAATTATTCTCAAAGGTTTCGATTGCTTTATTAAAGAGTTGCCATCTTAGGCTATATAATTACTTTCTCGCATTTTCTACACCATCAACAACCAACAGAAGTACAATAATTTCATGTACTTAAGCCAAAGGCGGTAAAGACTCCTGTTTATATTCTTCAGGAATTCGCTCCAGTACTTTTACTTTGTCACCAACACGTATTTTTCCCGAAGTCAGTGGGATGACATCGCAACAAAACTGCCCTTGGTTGGGCTCATCAACGAATTGCCGCCTTAATTTTAAATAGTCAGTGGGTCCTTTGCCATCCCATGTGTCTTTCACACCAGTATCCTGATCAATGCCCGGAACTTTTTTTGCCATGAAAAGATCAAGTATGGATGAGTTATTCACCCCCTAAGTATCAATATATGGTACAAAAGGATTACCTGTACACCGTGCAATTGGTCGAACGATGTAAACTGTTACTTCTCCAACCCTAATGAACAAGCCAGCAACATTATATTCTTTTGTATATATACTGCCGGAAATTGTCACCTATAGGCCTTACTTTGCAACCAGCCATTGATCTTCCTCCCAAGCAACGGTTCCTGAAATAGTGATATTATTCCTAAACCGATTCATAGGGATAGTATGCCCCTTACTAATACCCGTTTCCTTTAATCCACGATTCACATCCTTTAAACTACTAGAAAACCCAAATGAAATAGGTGACCAGTCTGCAAAGGCTGACTGAGGACCATTAAGCTTTGGATGAGCCGGACGATAATAGACACCGTTTTTTGGATCATCCAGCGTAACCAAGCGAACGGGTCTCACAGGTTCATCCACGTTCACAGGATCATCTGGATTATGACTATTTTCCAAATCATGCTGCCTATGATTGCTAATGAACTGCGTAATCCATACAGCTGCTTCATCGCCCATATCGTAAACTGTTAACTTATCTTTCCATAATTTGACAACCCTTTTGTCTAAATCTTTAATTTCGGGTTTCAAAGGTAAAGTAAAACTTTTTTGTCCATCGGCTGTTAAAGTCAGTGTATTTTGCTGTTCGTCAATGAGCGGCTTAAGCAACGTCAGAGATGCAAATTTCCTGTATTTATTTGATAAGTATTTGTTATAAGAGGGTATTAAAGGTGGTTGTAAACCAGCTTTAAATTATTGTTCACCTCTGAGTAACAAAGTGATTGGTGTCTTCATAAACAATCATAAACCGACGATCATATTTCAGACCCAAATTGTCAACTTCGCACTCTTGCAATTGTATATAATGACAAGACTTTATAGGATAGATAAGAATGCTCTCAACCGTAGGAGTATCTGCTGTAGACATTTACAGGGTGTGCTATTTACGAAAAGGTATTTGTTTTGTCGGTGTATCCGTTGAACTGCCACCGCAAAGGCGCGATGGAAAACGGATAAAATGGAAAATTGTTTAAAACAGAGAATAATGGTGGCTGTGTCAAGGGGGGAGGAAATTATCTAAGCGCTCTCAAAATGGCTATGAAGGTTGGACCTATTTCCATTTCATTCACCTTAGAGAATAGAATATGACAGCGTTTCCCATTGTTTTACTATGAAACAATAAGAAATAATAAACAATTGGCGCATTGTGTATCTTGGTAATGGACAATGGACAATAGGTTATTGTTGCCTTTACCGTCTTCATTAACGGATATGTTTCTCAGAATCATTCGATTTTTTCAATTTCAAGCGGAAAGTCAAACGATTCAGTAAAATGATTATTGTTGTTTAATAAATGATGGGGATGTGGTGTGATTTGCAGACACAAAAACGCTAATTGTTAACAAATTCGGACTCACTCACAGAAAAGCTCCAGCTTTTTTCACTGACAGCTGTCATTATCTTTGCTGTATCTCAAATTCCTAAAAATTTTTAAATATGAATCTACATTGTCGTTGGCCCTTTTTTTTTCTTTTTTACCTCATCTTATCTTTTTCGACGCTCTTAATTCAGATAGGACGCGATGGATACCATATTGTACTACGCGGATAATTATGTGTTTGACAAGCTTTATGCCAAAATCTGGCCTTCATGCACAAAAGTAGTAGCTGACACAGTTATCTCTGCTTGGCCTCGCGATGATATCTGGCGTATCAATCTTTCAATTTACATGATCACCTGTTTCTTCGGTTGGACTCTTTACTTGACAGCTGCCACTTTATCGTATTTCTTTGTATTTGATCATGACTACATGAAGCATCCCAAATTCTTGAAGGGCCAAGTGCGTATGGAAATTCAATGTGCACTAGGTGCTATCCCATGGATGACACGTATGTATCACTCGCAATTAGTAATAAAGTGATTTGACATGAATGGACAGTATATGACTAATTATAATCGACTTTCTTACAGTCTTCACTCTTCCTTTGTTCGTTGGTGAAATCAAGGGCAAGTCAATGTTATATGACGGCGTACCTCAAACAACCTATGACTGGCTCTATCTTATTTTATCTGTCCCTTCTTTCCTATTCTTCACTGACTGCGGTATCTATTGGTTCCATCGCTGGATGCATCATCCCAAGGTTTACAAATACCTTCACAAACTCCACCACAAGTGGGTCATTCCTACTCCCTATGCTTCTCATGCTTTCAATCCCGTCGATGGTTTCTTACAATCCCTCCCTTATCATTTGTATGCTTATATGATCCCCATTCACAAGTACTTGTACATGGGCATGTTTGTTTTCGTTAACTTCTGGACTGTTATGATTCATGATGGTAAGATCTATACGCGCAATTGCAACTCGTGATGATATCGTGTTATACATATACTAACTACCGTTCATTGTTTGATTGTAGGCGCATTCATTTCTCATTCTACAGTTATCAGCACAAGTGCTCATCATTTTGTCCATCACTTATACTTCAACTACAATTACGGTCAATACTTCACATTCTGGGATAAACTTGGTAGCTCTCACCGTCAACCTACTGAGGAGCAATATGACAAATCCCTTCGCGATGATGTTAAGGTTATGGCCCGTCAAGCTCATGATGCTGAAGAAATTGAAAATGAAACCCTTGGTATTAAGCCCAAGTCCAACTAAAGATAGCTTGAAATAATGGCACGACATCTTTTCAAATTACCGAAAAAACAAACTACAATTGTGGATAATCATATCTACAGTCAAATATCGACTGTTTACAACTTGCATTGTGATTTTTTTAGATGAATGACTACAACATCCCATTCTCTTCTTCCCTCTGCTAGTTTATGTATATTTCCCTATTTTAAGTATTTTATTTATAGATCACTCCTTTCTTGCATCCTAATTCTTATACAATTTATATATTTTGTTCGCTTTCCATTGTTTATTACTCAAAACTGATATTTCGTAACACATTCCATCTATCGTCTCAACTAGCATTATTAATCAAGTATAGTAAATAAATACTTTTTTTCCCTGCATTGTTCATAATTCAGTTTCAGATAGAAACCTGCTTATCTGTTATCTGATTGTTAAAATATTACGCCGCAGGAAAATTACGTATTCATAAAACGCCATCTTCCGGATGGATAGACAGCAGTAGAAGAAGTATTGAAATATAAATTTGAGCTATCTGAAAGGTTCCCGGCTTATATAGCGTTTTCCGCCTATTTTTACCGGACAGTGCATTAAAAATCGGGCCGAAAATGAAATTTATCACGTGGACATACTTTTTTCTACTTTACTTAAAGAAAAAAAATATTTTCAAGTTCTTCCTCAATGGTCTAGTGGCTAGGATCCGTCGCTCTCACCGACGTGGCCGGGGTTCAATTCCCCGTTGGGGAACTTTTTGTCTTGGTATATTTTGGGTGCGTGTAACATTACTCGCATTTATTTAGCCAATCAGTAGGAAGGTTTTTTCCTTAGATTGTTTATGCACCTATTTAATACTCATAATTGTCTTTTCGTTCTGCTGTAACTTTTTTTTTTCATCCTCTTCTTTAATTTCCTCATCTTCTAAGCTCACCATAATTAGTAGCATGACAATAGCACTTTTGGATAATAACTATAGGACGTCTCCCGCCGCTGACGAAGCGAAACGATGGATGGTAATCGGAGCTTATCAAGCAGGCGCATCAGAAGGACGAATAGCCAAGATATCGAATCTCTCAAGACCTGCTGTACGTAATATCCTTTTGAACTACAAACGAACCGGTAGACCATCTATACCTGCAAAGATACCCAAGAAAGGTATTTAAAAGAGAAGTATTGGTCTAATATATACTAAAGATATTCTCATTAATGAGATATGCTACTACCACGCTGCACATAATTCGGCTAAACAGTAAGGCAAAAATTACTTGTGGAATATGACGAAAATGGCGAATTAGTAGTATCTTCTGATGAAGAGAAGGAATGGATAGATATCAGTGATACCTCTGAAGACGAACACAATAGTCAGTCGCAAAGGTCAGTTTTATCGAATGAACAGTCGCTGCAAGGTTGATCCCAAGAAAGATGCCACTGCTAAATATTAAGCAATTTTACTTCTACAGAATAATAGTAGATCAAGGCAAATCTACTGGTAGTAGATCATCGCATATGAGTACGATTTTGGACATGAACGATATGCTGACAGCAGCAGCAGCCTCAGTAGATGATTTGCGGATATTGCACAGCAATAGTATGTCTTTCGAGGGGTTACAAAATTGGACAAATGTTTTCTACACACCAGTATCAGCAACTGCATTTGCAATAGAAAGAATTATTTACCCTTCTTCTATTCCGGCCTTTTCAACAAATGCTAAAAAAAGAAGGTCGCCGTACTTTCCTCGGTATCAGTCATCGTATAAAAAGGCCTCTAATACCTCGTCATCCACTTGTCCATATAATCAGGATATTACAGGATATAGTATTTGGACTCACGAGGATGACGTTATTCTGTTAAATTATGTTCTACATCATTTATATTCTGGAGGTTGGTCCCGCCTCGCTGAGTCCAGGTTTAACGGGAGGCATACTGCACGACTTTGTTATGACCGTTGGAAATCTATAAGAAGTTTATTGTTGAAAAATCTGACAAAATGATGAACAAACAAGATCTGGTAAGGACTTCTTCTTTTCTTAACATAAGATTAAAGAAAAAAGAAAAAAGAAAAAAGAAGAGGCCTCCATCATATGATATACATAGCACAACTTGATTGGCAGCCTGAAACACTTCAGCTCCATCACTTAATGACACCAATGCCTATGTTACTTCCAATCTTACTGCTTATGATCGATTAACAATAAAACATTTTTTGTGAGCTATTCTAATATCTGCACTCCTTAAAACACAACCTACTATTTATATTAACAAACCAGCTTTTTACTCACACCAACAAGGGCCTTTATAACATAAGGAAAGTCTTATACTTTTATTGTTATACAAGTTGGCGTACAAACCCGAATCTAATGCATTATTTTCGTAGCATGCTTAACAAAAGTGGGAGCGATTTGGGGAATGATACGAAGTTGGGGAAGAGCGAGCGTCATTTCATGAGCCGCTAGTTTAGTCTTACTACTATTAGTCGCAACAGATTTTTCATCATCACTGTTGTATTCCAATTCATCCATATCCTCAAAAGCGTCCAAAACTTCTTCACTATTAGGTAGGAAATCCAGCATATCTTGTGCATCGACTGCTAGGTCGGTCGTGTTCATCAGCTTTTGACGCTTACGCTCCATATGACGTTGCTTACGAGTTCGGTGGTAAGCGCACATAGCATCAATTTCCTTTCTTAACTCAGGGTATTCATTTGGCGAAATACCTGCTTCTTCAATAACTTTTTGCATATCCAAGCGTTCGGCAAAGCCTTGCGTGTAAAAGTGGAACATGCCGTCGACGTAGCTTAACAGATTGTCAAATAATTTAGTCTGATCTTGCGCGTGGACGTTGTGAACAAATTGGTAAAAGTATTTCTCATGGCGTTGAACTAAGTCTACGAACGGCTGAGCGCTGTTGCTGACATCAGTAACATCCAGCTGATCGATGACTTCAATCAGATCAGCAATAAAGCTGGCAACATGACCAACGGTGTCGCCAATATTAGCAGACTTATAGACCTGAGCTAAAGGTTCATAAAAGGTAGCAAATAAGTCTTTGATAACTTCGCAGGTAACGCCTTGGAAAACAAGAGACATGAGGCCTTCTTGTTCCCGCTTCTTAGCATAAAGAACCCATAAGTCGTACAAGTTCTGCACTAAAGCACGCGCCTCCACTTTGTCAGCTTGATTGGCGAATGCGACCTTTAGAATCTGTTCTGGGCTCAAAATAGGTTCGATGTTTGGATTCTTAAGTAAGTCCAAGATTTCAGTGATAGAATTATTAGCCTTCTTATTCAAAGTGATCTTTTCTACTTCATCGGCAGGTAGTTCAGTCTTAACAGCATTGGCAATCTTATGGCACAAAACAGGGTCATTAATCTTGGTTTCAAGTTCCTGAATATCCTTTGCGATTTCTTTTGACTCTTCGCCCATATTCGTCAAAACAATCCTGCAATTCACAGAAGCGAGTTGGGATTACAAAAACGCAATTTTGTGCTGTAAAGACATTGGCCGCAATAACCATATATAGCTTACCTTTGAAAAAGACTTTTACGACCTAATGGCTGTGCCAGAAAGAGATCCAAAACACCCTTAATCATAGCAAATGGATTGGAAAGTTTCAGAATCTGGGCAATAGGACGGTAAGGCATTAAGGAATGTGTACGCTTCAGATTGGCAACATTATCCACGGAGCTATCAGACGTAACAAATTGTGTATGTAGTACAAAAGCGAGGCTTTGAACGTATATGACAGTGGTTAGCGTTTATCGTGTGACAAATGATTTGCGAAAAATCATGCAAAAAATGAAAAAAAAAACCATACAAAGACTTACTTAATTCTGCCCCACTCAATAGCTTTACGTAATTCATCAGGTAACTCTTCTATGGTCTCAGTCTTTTTGATTATATCAAATACCTCAACCAAACCATTAGGCTTCATGATCTTTTGCTTGAGCATATTCAGTAACCCATCCAACTCAACAATCTTTTTGTCGACCTCATCACGGAATCGTTTCTCTTCGTCTACTCTACTTTGATCCATCTTCTGACGTTCTGCGGCATCTTGCTTTTCTTCTTCAGTTAATTCAATAGCATTATTCAACAAGAAATCACGGAGGATTTCACTCTTAGCGATCACCGGATCGGCAGACAAGCGACGAAGAAAAGATCTTAACAAGATACGGTCCTTTTCTCGGTGCAAACGTTTGGTGTTGGCATTGCCGGCTGAAGTCTTGTTATTATTAGCATAAGATGGATCACGCGCCTTCCCAGGGACCGCAGGAATGTCCAAGTAAGGATAGGCCGCTTTTAAATCATCTCGGAGTTGGCGGAAATGACCATGGCGTCTAGCCACATAAACAGGAGGCAACGTTTTGTTACTTTCCTTCCCTGTACCATCGTTGTTATCTTCGTTGGTTATCAAGTTGGTTTCGACAATAAATTCAGAGTGAAGGTGCTCACGAATTGTTCTCACCTCACTAACGTCTCTAACGGTGATAATATTCAGTTTAAGTCCGTTCAAGCCAATCCATTCTAAATAATTCTCTTCACTTTCTAAATGGGTTAAATCCAATCTAGAAACCAAATCCTCTTCTTCACTAGCAGGTAATCGACTTTCCGTAGCGCCAGTCAAAGAGACGCTGATGCTCTCCTCCTTGCCCTGAAGAGTCTTCATACTGGCAGCCAAAGAAATAATCATCAACTTTTTTATCTTGAATAGCAACACGCGCTTTTGGGAATTCTTCAAGTACTTAGGAACAAACGTATCCAAAGTCACTTTACGGTATTCGTCAAGAAGGGTTTGAAGCTTGCTGTAAAATGCATTATCATCAATTCTTTTCAGGAAGGGAAACTCCGTAATGAAATGCCTGTTTAAATATTGAAGGAAAGGAATGTTGTTATCGTTATCTGTATCATTGCTTGTTGCTGATTGTAATAAAGAGGTCAATTGAGTCTTCTTTTTCAAGAGTTCAAACTCTCTGTCAATCTCCTCGGTTATCAGTTCCCGTTTGAGGTAGTGCAGTTGTAAAGGGGTTAGCTCCATTATTAGTAAGATGATGAAAAAAACGTAAGTAACTTTGTAAGTGAATGGAAAAAAGGAGGATACAATTTCAATTAATCTCTTTTAAAAAAAAATAAAAGAGTCAGCCAAGCAAACGGAGTTTAAGCAAATGATTTATTAAAATAAAAAAGTGACACAACACTTTAATTCAAACCCATAGATTACGTGTTGAGCATTAGAAGTTTTGTAAACAGCATTACTCTTTACATTAACGGAACGATTATAGAGAGGTATATAACTCTTCGGGATGAATATCAAAGACAGTAATTTGTTTATCAGAAAAACTCAAACTTCAATTTGCATACATATACAGAGATCTAGGTGGTGTTCTTAGTTTGGGTCTATTTGGGCAGGTTCTTGAAGTTAAGGGATGTCCTGTAACCAAGGACTTTCGAGCATTTGACTAGGCGATGCTCTTTTGGTCATATCCATTTCCAGCATTGGTAATAAAAAGGCGCTAATGGCATCCGCTTCTTCCGGTGGCATAAGGAACGTATCGTGAAGCACATCACGTAATCTGCGATAACGTAATTTTTTGATATGCTTTAGCTTGCCTGTACGATCAAAAAAATCGCGGGAAAGCTCACCAGCAGAGGTTAAAATCTTGGGTACAGTACGTAATAGCTCCAACATCTGCGCCAAGTGATCTATTATTACGATAATCAGTATATTGGCTGATATTACTATCCCTTTACATATGTGTAACTTTATTTTACCATCATCTTTGTTATATTTCGATCCTGCTCTTGGATCAAACAGGAATTCTCCAGTCAACAATTCAAACACCATGCAAGCCATACTCCACATATCTGCTTCATTTGTCCATTTACATCCTACAATAACCTCTGGACTACGATACTGTCGTGTTTGGATGACATGTGTATAATCTCCATCCATCCAGCATGCATTTCCTAGATCTGCAATCTTCACAATAATCTTATCAAACACTTTCATTCTCTCGTCTTCATCGTCTATGTCCCTCGGTAACAAGATTGAAGCAATATCTAGCGTAGAAGATGGTATCACTTTCGTTTTTCCTGTTCTGGAATCATCGTCCTGTGATATGCCGTCAACCGTTGTTGCTGTCTCAACATTTGAGATGCTGAGATTGTCTATTTTATCTGTCAATTTCCCTAATTCGTCCTCTTCGTCTATGGCGCTTGCTTTCTTCTGAGCTTCAGCCATCATCTTTTTCTTTTTCTTTTTTAGTCTCTTCTTTTGCGATTTTGTTAATCCATTAGCCTCAGTTTCCGTCAACCAAGGTTTATGCTCCTTTGGTTGAGGTCGCCCTGTAGTTGTTGTATGTGTGATTGATATATTTTTTCTTGATGATGATGCATCGTCTCTCTGCTTAATTGCTGTTAGCACCTCTGCCGTTTCCTTTTTCAAATATTCTTCAATATTAGGAATCCAAACCAACACATTTTCCGGTTTTAAATCTGTATGTACAATCCCACATTCTCGATGTAAATAGTCTAATCCTTGTAATACTTGTTTGGAAATTCTTTTCACAATAGGCTGAGGAATGCCTTTGTAATGATAACGCTTCATCAATGATAATAAACTTTCTCCAAGTACTTCAAATGTCATACAGGCGTGCTTGCCGTTTGGACCCGTGTGCCAGAAATGACTCAGAAGTTGAGCAACATATTGATAACCTCGGGAATGCGGATTAGTCTTCTTCACGCACTCCAATAGGTTTATTTCTTCTAAAGCGCTTTCAGTGTACCTGTCGGCTGATTTTACGATCTTGAGTGCTACGTGAGTGTCTGTCCTAAACAAACAGAGAAAAGAATTAATCAAATTGTAGCTCCATAGAGACGCTTGTCTGTTGTCGTAGAAAGGTGAAATTTCAAACAACAACTAAATTTATGCTCAGTGTCGCAAGATCATGTAGAAGAATCACTTACAGAATGTCTAAAGCTAACCAAACAGTTGAAAAATGGCCCCAACCAAGTTTTCTGACAATGATGTACCTCCCATTATCAAATCGATCACCAATGCACACAGGGTGATACCCTCCCTTTTTATAATCCTCGATGTCCTCTTCCTCATCAGAAAGAATTGACTCGACATCCGAATACTCGCTAGCCGAATAATCGTCTTCGCTACTGCAGCTGCTGTTTGACATTCTATTACTGAAAGAACAACAATCGCTTACACGTATAGAAGGATGAAAGAGAGGAGTACAAAAACTAATTTCCTTTTCAAGGAAATAGTGTCCTAAACCCAGCACTTTTGCAGAGAAGTCAAGTCTCAATCTTTTAACCTTCGGTATAATTAGACACTTCAGGTACCCATCCTTAGGAAGAATTAGTGCCACAGCAAAAATGTTACCCTTTTCATCGAAATCTTGAAAAATTTTTATACTACCCCATGGTACCATTGTCATTGCAGTTTCTCTATGATCACACTAAAGGAAGACGCGTTAAACTGAGCTTCGAGCGCGTCACAGACATTGAGGGACAAGCAAAACAAAGCATAACCTATTTGAAACTATGGCCCGACAGCAGTATCTCCATACTCACCTTACTAAACGAAACACAGACTTTGTGCTCTTACTACTCATCCGGTTGCAACCAGGGCTTGATTGATGTAAAATGCATTAAAAAAGATAAATTGCAGTTAGGCAGTGATAAAAAGTTAGGGATAATAGAATAATAAGACATATGATTTTTTACGGTGAGATGACATACAGATTACATATGCAGGTGGTTTCGAGTCTTCTTTCCTTTTCATCTTTCTTCTCTTTGACCTATTCTCTTATCTTCACAATCTAATGGGCTCAGCTTTATCTTCTATTGGAAAGCATAGACGTTTAGTGGATTATGGTTATACAGTGCCTCTTGGATTATATGCTGATAATAATAATATTCATAAGAAGAAGGGTGTGAGGAATGATAAAAAGCGATACAGCGATTTAAAGCATATTGAAGAAATGATTGTTACGAGGAAGTTATCACCATTCTATAAAGGTATGTAAAAAAAAAAAAGCAAACCAAAAAAAACTGTTTACATGTTAGTCAAATGAAAGGAAGGGTTGCTTATCAATTATACAGGGTTGCCTACCGAACCATTTTACGAAGCCGCTGATTCGTCTTTAATAGATTGTCTGCCCGGAGAAGAAAGGATGTTTAATTGCTTTTCAAAGCCATTGTTGCATCGTAGAATAACCTCAACAGAGCTTAATTTTGATATAGAAAAGACTGTCAAGCATGGAAGGTTCAGCCTTTGCTTTCGACCGATGAATGAGAGGCATCAGCGAAGAAGGTTATATTATAAGAGCGTTGAATGTCCTATTTGCCTTTTGGTGAGTTATTCTTACGGTCAGACTATATTTGTATGCAAAATGAGCAGGAAGTCATATTTCTATTCATTACGGAATTATCACATTCTTAGTATTATCCATGCAACATTAATTACTCTATATGTTGTAATCAACCTATCTGCTCGGAATGCTTTGTAGAAATTATAAGAAACAGAATATACTATGTGAAAATGAAATCAAGAGAAGCTGTTAGTTTAGAACAATATCCGCAGGACAACTTATGCCCTTTTTGTATGACAGAGGACTTCCGCGTAAAATACAATGGCTCGCCTTCATTCACCGATGACTTTACTGAGAAAGCAACCGCTCATTCTCATACTTTTGCAGCTTTTCGCAAGTCAGTGCGAACCGCAAAGCAAAGCTAAAATACATCTGCAATGCTATAAAACATCATGATGGCTACTATATTGAATCAGAAATAATAATAAAAGCTGAAGTTTTGTTAACTTTCTTGGCAGAGTAGAAGGGTGATCATGCTACTCACAATTATGGTCCTAGATTCACAAATAAAATTGGTAGTCATAAAAGGCGCATGAGTAAGATACTTCTATTACTTAAATCTCATACATCAAAACCAATTTATCATGTAAGGCTACAATACGGTGTTGCTATTACCAAGTTTCTTCCTACTGTCAAAATAGAAAGTCATTTGATCACATATTCAAGGTTGCCAATTTCATAGAAAAAGCACACTTCAACTGATAATAAGAAAGCTAAAAAGCCTTTGATGGGTTGAAAATGATTTTGTATGATCTCGAACAATAGATATGCATTACGATCCATCATTGGCGTTTTAGCAGTAATAAACAATTCTCCACATTGGAGAAACTGAATTTCAAAAATATCTCCGGCAGAAGCAAGAGAGGTTGTAGAAATAAGCCGAAAAGGAACAAGCTCTCCCTTTCTTTCTTCTCTTTTCCATCACTTTTGGGTTATCGCACATATACACACACTCAATTTAATGTCCAATAACAATAATAACAACACAAGTTTAGAACCTACTTCCGGTAAACGCATCGCTCTTCCTGTTCGTATTGAACCCAAAGTTTTCTTCGCCAATGAACGTACCTTTTTGTCCTGGTTAAACTTCACAGTGGTGCTTGGAGGTTTAGCATTGGGTCTGCTTAACTTTGGTGATCGTATTGGTCGCTTGTCTGCTATTTTATTTACTATCATTGCAATGGGCGTGATGTTATACGCCTTATATACTTTCCATTGGCGAGCAACCAAAATCAGAAATAGAGAAGCAGCAGCCTATGATGATCGTGTTGGCCCTACTGTCTTGTGTATCTTTTTGCTGATAGCGGTTTGCGTGAATTTCTATTGTAAGTTGCTCGACAAAGATACAAAAAAAAAATTTAGCAGAAACTAACTGTCTAATTATACTTTAGTGCGTATGGGTAGCAAACATTGATATGGATTGTTACAGGATTGTTACAAAACAGAAGAATTTAGGAAAGGAAGAAGAGTGAGGGGATTGTAAGGACATAACGACAGTGTATGTATATACTTTGCAGCAATTTTAATCTATCAAAAATTACCAATGAGCTATTCAAGCCCATATACTTGTAACATCTTTCATGATACTATTTAATTTCTATTACATACTTACTTCATACAAAACAGGGCAATTTCCCAATTACAAAATCACCAATTTTGAAAAAAACTATATCCCTTATACAAACAAAAACAATAAAAAAGCTATACACAGCAAGGGAGCTTTTTGAAAAAGCGTATTAGATGCTCTTCAAATGTCCACTAGTACATGTGGATCGATGAAACAAACAAAAAAGGGATTTTTTTTCCCTGTATCAGCCATATTACAAAGGACGATGAACAAAACGTTGCTGGGTTATTTCGATGGTTACAGTAGATAAACATTACAGGGTGGCCAAAAAGCTTAAATAGGCCAATAACATTTTACAGATTACATCCACGTGTTGTATGTAGGCGCAAATGTGAATTAGTCAATTTGTCTATGTGTACGTTACTTTGACTGTTTCCTTGTGTACTTCTCTGTAACTTCAAAGCATCGTCATTTTGTTATTATCACACCAAGACGCCCTTATACTCAGCTTTATCCAATGTCTGACTCAACTGCGGCCACTGAACCAAAAATCGATCTACAAATGGATATAGAAGTCTTCCCGTCAAAGAAAGCGATTGCACACGCGCAAATGATTCGATATAGATAATTTCAATCTTCTTGATGCCTAAGAACTGATACGTAGGGGAAAGCAAGTAAGTGGATATACTAATAAACACCTATTGTGAGACTGTTTTGTGGCCTTTTTCCGTAGAAATAAATATCTTTACCCTTGGTATATAGGCTAATAAACAAATGGGTATGCAGCTACCAGGTCCGTTACATAAAATCTAACAAAAAGTGAGTCCTTTTGTTTGCAGTTGCTTAATTGCTTCATATTGCTCAATTTACTAGTTCTGGCGAAGTTCGCAAAAAGATTTTAACAGATGCCACTATTGCATACAACACAGAAAATGGAACGGTCGACCAAGATTGGCCTACCTCTCTTGCCCTGGGGATTCGATGAATATAATACTGTCCCTTCTGTATAGATTGTTTTAGAGGGAAAGTATGTATGGTTGTAGGTACGTCAACATCGAATATTTCCAAAACTTACGGATTCTAGACTCTGTTCATATTGAATAGCTTTTTGTTCACTTAAACGGTCCGTTTTAGCAACCAAATAAACACGAGGGGTATATTTAATTGGTTCCAGAGATTTGACAAGTTGTAACATCTCTGCTGTATGCCCGCCTATAAAATTTCTTTATGTCAGTACAATGGCAATTATTAAGCTTAGAAGTTTCGTTTCAATTTTAACAAAATGGATAGAGTAATCGAATGTATTGCACCGAAAGTTCAACTTTGACGAATTTTTTTTTTTACCTGAGCCAAGGAAGATGCAAGTTCGACAAGAATTTACTCGTCTTCCTATCATTTTTTTATGTGCGAGTCTTCTATTTGGCAAAATACTATAGATTCTCACTATGCATAGCAGTAGAACACTGAGGATTATACAAATGAATTTCAGCATGAGCTTTCGAAGATTTTGAGATTTATTGATCAGTTTTAAGGTGGAATTAACAAGCTACGAAAAGAAGCAGTGGACTAGAAATTCCGTTCTCCGTCGAGTGACAAAAAAATATTTACATATGGCATCGTTTAATTAAATTGGATACTATCTGATTTCAGTCATGTGCTTTGTTTTGTCTTGAATTTTATCATGAGGAGATCCCCCACCTCACTTATGGCTTCTAATGTTTTGTCCAAGTCTTCTCTCGTATGTGAGGCTGAAATACAGAAACGCGCTCTTGACGTGATGATAGGGGTGGCTGGATAACCTACCACCACTACTGCCACATCTCTTTTCAGCATTTCTCTTGAAAAAGCTCTAAAAGTTATAGAAAAGCTATTAGCTCTTGTAGAATAACATAATAAGAAAAGAAAGACTCACGATATTTTTGCTGGGTTGAATAATAATAAGGGTATCACAGGACTTCCTTCGTCTCCATAAACAATAAATCCCATTCTTCTCAAAGCTGACGCAAAATACCGGGCATTTTCGGCTAAAGCATGTATACGGTCCACACCATTGTTGGTCCCGTCTTCACCTAGAATAATATCCATACTGGAGCTGACTTGTTGCAAAATAGGTGGTGTCATTCCTTCTGCATAAGAAAATGCATGGTTCTTCGCTCTCAGATGATCTATCACTGCCTATAAATTCATGCGACAAAGGAGGACTTCATGAGGAAAAAGTCTTTTGTTACAATTGTGCTCTTTTTTTTTCGTTTTAATTTACTCGATCGCCTGCAATGTAGCCGCCAGCGGCACCAAATGACTTTGTGAATGTACCCATCAAAATATCAACATGACGAGGATTGATACCATAGAAATCACAAACACCGCCTCCACTTTCGCCCAAGGCGCCAATAGAATGTGCTTCGTCCACATACAAATAAAACTACGAGATAAATCAAGTTACCCTCTGTTTGATATTCCATAGTTTTACATACAATTTCGTTTCTACCTTGAACTCATTTTTCAAATTGATCAGTTCGGGAAGATTTAAAATAGATCCTTCCATTGAATATAATCCTTCTACGATAACAATAATCTTCTTCCAAGGTCTGTGTGTTCTGGGCTGTCCTTGAGAAATCACTTCCCTCAAAAGATTTCTAAGATCTATCATATTGTTATGCTTAAAAACACGAACAGATGCTCCGGACAATCGAACACCAAAAATAATTGAGCTATGATTCAATTCATCACTAATAACCAAGCATCCCTTGAATACGGGGAAAAGTTCGATTGATGAGTTTTTCCATCAGTTCAAAATGTAACCACTAGATTATATACCTTGCTGACGAGTGATGGGATAGTCGTTGAATTGGTTGCAAAACCCATCGATATCACCATTGCATCTTCTTTTCCTACAAACTTGGCTACTTTTCTCTCTAGCTCTCTATGCAAATCCAAAGTGCCCGTTTCCATTCGTGTACTACCACCACTACTGATACCGTATTCTTTCACACATTGCTCAACTTGATCGGCACATACTCCTTTCTTTTGGGCGAAGCCCAAGTAGTTGTAAGAAGAGAAATTGATTGCACTGATCTTACGGCCTGTCAAATGGAATGTTTTGTTGAAATCCTTCGATTCACGTTCCAAAATCGTCACAGTACGGCCAGGGACACCAGTAATAGGTCTATTCCAGCAGTCTCTGTTGTAAACAAAACAATATTAATGTGCGTCAGTATTAATTTTGAAAGACATATATGTTACTTATTCTATATATTACCTGATACGGATGTACATTCGTCGTGTGTAGAAAGAATCAAAATCTGATACTAAGGGCGCATATCCCTATAGACCATTTGTATACATAGAGTATCCGTCTTAGTTTTGCATCTTTTATCTTTCCTTATCCTTTGCACAAGGCTACTCACCTCATTTGTTCTTAAATGTGCATAAGCGTCTCTTTTGAATATTTTGCCTGCAAAATCTCTTAAATGGCCAAACAAAATCAACACCAAATAATTTAAATACGTTGTCACCAACACAAACAAAGGCGCCGCTTCTATCTTTTGCTCAAAATCCGCATATTTACGCTGCTGAGCCGCAATTGAATTTCGTCGTTGAGCCGGTGTCAATCTCTTCGTCTCGACAAATGATAGTCTATCTTCATCCATGACTGTATTTTGATTACTGTTATTATTACTACTACTGCTGCTTCGATGATTACTGCTGCTGAGAAAGGGTCTTTTGTTGTCAATGGAGAGATCATAATTATCCAATACAGCCGAGGCTTTCGACTTAAGATGTGAAGGTAAGGATAAAAGGGGTTTGTACTTGATACTGACAGTATCCGCAGAAGATACGGAGTAGGCCCGTCGTGTTTTATTGACAAGATAATTTGTGAAAGAGAAAGCTCTCTGTCGACGACTGTGGCCACTACTGCTTCCGTTATGATTGCTACTCAATCCAGTGCTAACGCTAGTGTTGTTACTGCTGTCACAGCTGCTATTGCTGTTACGATGTCCGCTATCATAATTGTTACTATTTATATTTCCACTACTGTTATTGGTATTGTTATAGTTGCTGCCAAAACAACTACCAACGCTACTGCTGCCTCCACCTGTCATATGACTCGTCTTATTCTTATCGATGCTAGGTAAAAATACGCCGGCAAGTGAAGATGTACTTCTTTTTGTGGGGTGAATGCCGTTCTCTTCGGTCATTTTTAGCTGCTTATATGTAGCTGATTTGATATTTATTTCTTCCTTCCCCTCGTTCCTTCTGATAAATACTTCCTTGTTTTGGCTTGATACAATCCTATACAAAAAGTGAAGAAGAAGCTTTTTCTGAAAATATTTGAAGGGAAGAAGAGAGCAAGATTGTATATCTAAGCGGCAACATTGATTTAAAATTAAAAAAAAAAAAAATAAGTTCGTCTGTCTCAGATCTCTATTCCCGCCATAAAGAGAAAAAAAAGAGGATTTTAACTTGTATACCGACAATTCAGCGGTGATAATAGCTTTCTAAACGCAGTGAACAATTATTGTAGCCACTAACCGTGGATATAAGTCATTGCTACTATTTACATTTGAAATATGCTAGTCTTGAAACATGATATTAAAACATAAAAATAATATAAGCAACCAATCTTAAAATGTCTTTATTATTGATATTGTAAGCTTCAACATCAAAAAGGGTAGCAGCCGTGACTCTCATTATTAAGCGTTTGTTTTTGGAAATTAAAAGTCATTAGCGGCTTCGAGTCCATATTACCCTGGGAAGTTCGATATATGGCCAATCGTAAAGGGAAAATGACCATTTTTGTAAATATATCAATCCCTCGAAACAACATACGGTTTAGATTGCTTCTTTTCGGAGATTAAAGCAAGGGGCATCGCGTGTCTTAAGTCTGATATCCATGCCATTTGCATAAGCTCATTGAAAGAGATTATTCTTTGCTCGGAGCCTACCATGCCAGTTTCTTTAACTAGGTATTAGAAAATAAGCGCTTAGAAAGAAACAGAATGATTTCCAGCATAGAGATTTTTTTCTGAATAACTTTTAATGCAACTAAGTTCATTGGTTGCTATAATATGGTAGTTGTAAGCTGTGTCAAAGTACCAGGGATGTAGCAGAAATTTATTGGAATACAAGGATAACACGAGAATCAAAGGGAGAAGTATAGACTTGATTCTCCAAGATTCAGACCAATAAATTTTGGGTAAGTCATCAAAAAGAAGGGAGATTTCTTTTTTGTGGTTGTATGAGCCCTATTGAACTTGACAAACATCCACTTTATTCACCGTCTTTTTTTTTGGAAGTTCGGTCTGCGTGAGTAGCAAGTAAAATGAGCAATGAGTTAAGCCCTGATCTGCCTAATAAGCCCGGGACAGTAATGATTAATCTGTAATACTAGTGTACATTTTGAAAATCCTTATCTAAATAAGCCGTGAGGAACGATAGCAGAAGCGGAGAGATAGAACATATAACATCAATTGGCTTCTTATTTGCGAAGGTAATCAAGTGTACCAAGATTTATTCATTATATAAGTACGATTAGAGATTCAGTAGTAGAGTGCGCAGAAAACTTTAATTGACAACGAAGCATAGAGGCTTTTATTCTGGAATATTTTGTAGTTGTGAGTTACTAGTCATTCTTTTTTGAAGAATTTGTTGATAAAAGTTCCGTCTCCAATCTGAAACAGATCAAGGGAACAGTATGGATAGGCATCTTGTCATTGGAAGAGGCAAGGGCAACACTAGTAACAATTTTGGAACGGATAAACCTCTGAATATACACTGGTATCTACTTATGATATGAATTTTCAACAGGTTACTGACTGAAATATGACTTTTAATGACATATTTTAGATTATTCGCGAATACCTAATACATTAAGCATCTGTTGAACTGTATTATTGGGGACTTCAATATTTACATTATCAAAGAACAATAAGTAAATAATACAGACTTCAGTAGTATTTTAGAAGACTGTTGTGAATGCCTTGAACGCTTAAACTATTTTAGAAAGTTGCTGGTAATAAGTCAATATAGACAAGCTAAAGATCAAGAACAAGACTTTGTAGCGCGCCGATGTGTATTACAAGGCTAGCAATGTTACAATTGTCTGTAAGCACTGATTTTTATGCATCATCAGTGGTTGGTGGAGGAGCCAAAATACTGAGTGTGAGATGGCAGGCTGTACTCGAACCCGTACTAAGCAATATCAAGTTTAGGCTTTCATAAGCAGTTTTCAATAAGTTCATCACTGAAAACTGATATTGATGTTTTGAGAAGAACTTTTAATGCTGCGATAGGCAGACGCTTGTTCAAGAGCACTATGATGCTGCTGATGCCGTCCAAGATACAGTTAAGCAAAAGCTTGTTTTTAACCACAGGTTGGTTCGGGAACTCTACAAATTTGCGAAGTATAGAAATAGGACGGTGATTATTGAGTTTATACAGTATACTACATCAAGTATTGGGAGGAAGAGATGCATTAGTATGTATATCAGAATCAGCAAAAGGTGCAGAATATTCACTTTTAAGTCGAACAATACACGTAGCCAATAACAAGACATTGATATGCGAAGCTATGTGTCAGACTCAGAAATATTTGATGGCAGTATTGTTATAAGTTGATAAGGACGATATAATCAATTCCAGACCAAAACTATGGGTATGGCATCAAGTAGCTGCTTACCATAACATGCTGCTAAAACATCAGCCATAATATTAGTCGCCATTAAAAAGGCTGTTTATTGTTAGTGCTGAATCTGGATGGCTCATTAAATTGTTGACTGAATCACGAATAATTCCTTAATACTACTCGTCATCATGCGCAGCCAATTCTCGCTTATCTGAAATTTAAATCACTCTATACTGTTCGAGACGGTACAAACCATATTAGTTCAAAATATATATGTTAATGCTTGGTATCATTAGTTAATACTCTGAAGTTATTGACAGCTATTTGGCAGTCTAATGCGTTCACTCTGTCTCTACTATCTTGCTTTGCCACTAAATCACGAACGGCATCCGCTATAAAAACCAAAACAAATCGACCCACAAGTTGAGTTCAAACAGAATTTATTTATGTACCAATTTCATGACCCGACGGTCCAGACAACTCTTTAGCCTCAAAGTAATGAGTAAGGATAATATAGGCATTTGGGTAAAACCTTTTGCATGCTATTGTTATATCAATTTTTGGATTTTTGTAGGCATGGCCTTAACTTGTTTCTTCGCCTTGGCCGATCTTATCAAAGGTGGAAGGATTTTTGCTTTCCAATGCTTTGCTTGAATTCTGTAACGCTACTTTCTGTTACAGGAGGGAAGTGAAGGCAGAGGGAGCAAGATTGCTTCGTTGAAGCTTTTGATATAAGTGTTGCTGGTGAAGCAGGTTATGATTGCTAGCCTACTACTCTCTTTTTATTATACTTAAAAGAAAATGAAAAATGATTATGCATATGCTCGAGAAAACTACGGTGATCTTTAAATCTGAGCATATGAATCAACGGCAGCGGAAACTCGTTATAATACTTCAATAATGGCTGTATTTACAGTAAAGAGTGTTTTAGGGTTCAGACAGTGAGATGTAGCTTTTCTAATAGTTCTTTTGCGGACCTTATAAGGGTCGGTCAAATTGAATTTAAAAAGCAAAACGTTAATGTAAACATAGGACCAACTACGTTCAGGGTTTCTTTTATTCGTAGCAGTTGTCAGCTATTTCCTTCTATATCTTTCTTTCTCGCTTAGCGCTTAAAAGATGAATAACATACATGAGCCCATGGACAATAATGAGTCGTCAGCTTATGAGGAAGACGTAGAATTGACGCACGAAGAAGAGGACGACGAGGACTGGCAAGATGCTTCCTCCGAGCCAGTAATGCTTTTGGAGACTAACAACAGATCGGTTCCAGTTGTTGTAACAAACAATAGGGCTACAGCTACCGCAGCGAGAAAGAAGACAGAGGAAAAGCCGATAATAGACGAAGTCAATTTACGTAAACAAATAAAAGACATTCAATTAAATAAAGATCTGACTCAAAAGGAGAAAGCCAGACAGATTCAAGTAAGAATTCACAATTGAACGATCTGGAATGAACATTCTTTCTATCAGTACTAAGACACTAATACAATCAACCCACTTTTTCCAGCACTTAATGTCTCACGGCCTGTTTTCAGGACCTCCAAAGTCAAATCAAAAAGCAGTAGACAATGGCTACAGTAAATCATATCATGTATGAGTAATCTTCGTTTACCCTTAAGATATAGGAAAGCTAATCAATGTTGATTTCATATTATGGAGTAGAATGAGGAAAAGATGATATTAGGGTGTAAACACTACCAACGCAAATGTAAACTGCAAGCAAACTGTTGTCAAAAACTCGTGTCTTGCCGGTTTTGTCACGACGATGTAGAAGATCATAATATAGTCCGCCATGAAACAAAAAATATGCTTTGTATGCTCTGTATGACGTTGCAAACTGCTAATCAAAACTGCCAAAATTGTGGAGAGGAAATGGCTCGTTACTATTGCAATAAATGTAAGCTGTGGGACGACGACCCTAAAAAGTCAATATATCATTGTGATGATTGCGGTATATGTCGACAGGGCAAGGGTTTAGGCGAAGACTTTTTTCATTGCAAGAAATGTAATATTTGTCTTAGTATTACTATGAAGCAACATAAATGTATTGAAAGGAATTTGGAATCCGATTGTCCCATTTGTGGTGAGTATATGTTTACGAGTACCTCCACTGTGATATTCATGGTAAGGCAGCGATTGCCAAAGACCGAAGATTTATACTATGGCACAAAAATTCATACACTTTTTAACATTTTTTCCCCCATTCACTATAAATAGCCTTGTGGGCATTGTATCCACAAACATTGCTATACGGCTTACATCCAAACATCTTATCAATGCCCTACTTGTTTGAAATCACTCGGTGACATGTCAGAATATTTCAATCGATTGGATAAAGATTTGGAAAGGCAACCTATGCCAGCAGAATATGAAAAATACATATCTCACATATTTTGTAACGATTGTGAAAAGAAATCACCCGCCAAGTATCATTTCTTCTATCATAAATGCGGCCATTGTGGAAGCTTCAATACAACAGTTTTAAAAACAGAAAATACTGAAGAAACGGGAAGAAAGGAGTTATTGGAGCAAGTTAGAAGCAACAATAGCAGTAATCATAACCTTGCGGCAGCCTCCTCTTCCTCAATGACTGAGGCATCATCATCAACATCAGGAACAGCGGCCTCTTCTTCTAGTGCAACCGTACATCGTAATAATGAAGAAGCAGAAGGATCAGCATCTACAAATAACCGAGCAAGTGTAGATCAAGAATATATGATGCAGTATGGTGCCGACGGAGCAGCCGGAAACAGCCAGACATTCATAGGAATGGGCGGTGGTTCAAATGTACGCGATAATGACAGTAACTCGCTACCGTCCACTTCCAGAGGTGGGAATAGTGGAACTGAATCGAACGACGGCTGATAAGGCTGATAGACTGATTAAATGTATATATTTTGTATCTTATTTCCTTAAGCACCGCATGGAAATAATTGAAACATTAAAATAGTTGGCATCTCCTCAAAGTTTAAGCTGCTTTACTTTTATTTTTACAGATGAGAGATATGATTACAAAATTCACAGTCATCATTTTACTGACGATCCTGATTTCTAGTGTTATTTCTTTCGAATTGCTCTGCCAATGCTCTTTGCACTTCCAAATCCTCTTCGTCTATATCATACAATTGATCTCCATCTTCTTCAAGCTCTGGAAAATCTTCGTCTTCAAAGCCTTCTTCATCGCCTAACCTATCGTCTGCTTCGTTATTACTCTCCTCGTCCTCAGTATTCCCGCTGGCAGGAAATGCACCAGGCACTTGATTGTCATGTAATCTTCTTAATTCTCCCAACATTGCGTCGACTCTTTCCTGATCGCCTTCATTCAACGCCACACGTCCTTGATCTGTTATACGACGTACCAAATTCATAATCATATCCTGCAATCCTCTTGCTGTCGTAGGTAGGTTAGCTAAACTGGGAATACTGTTTTCGTTAGTGCTACGCATGCGCTCATTTATATCATACATGGTGGTAGAATCTGAGGGAGGTAGAGGATCAAACATGTGATAACTTTGGCTTGTAACTGAAGCAGGTAAATAAGATAGCAGAGGTTTGATATCCATCATGACCATATAACGACAAATATTAAGGGGTAGCGTATCGGAGGATTCGCACTGAAGAGTAGTTTGGTAATGATTCTTATCTACGCTTTCTTGGAGAATAGGACTCTTCTTAGTAATGCCTGTAAGCCATTCGAGAACTTCAGGCTCTTTCCACAATTCATAACATCGCTCAACATAATTGAGTTGGACAACTGACATGTAGTCATTGAGTTTTCTGCTTATCACAATTATAAGAAAGGCGTTAGTTAGTGATTTGAAAAAATATTTAACCTAACAATGACTTACTTCTGCAGAGTGACATATTCACTAGGTAGCGACTCGCCCAACTTCTCCATTAATTGACAATAGATCAAGGGATATTTCTGAATAGCCGATTTCAATAAGTCATCTGGATGCTTGTCTTTCAATAATAATACATCGTCTTCATCGTCATTGTCCCTATTCTTCTTAGATCCGCCTTTTTGTTGTAGATTCTTGAAGCTGGCCAAAGCTAATGAATAAGCAAAATTGGGCATATCCTCCAACTCTTTTGGGTAAATTGTGCCTTCCGTCTTCCAATGCTGTACCATTCTAATCACATAGTCGTAATCATGGGCTGACAGAGCATGGTAATCCATCGAAATCAAAGCACCCAAGGGATCTTCGTTGGGGTCCAAAGCAAATAGCATTTTATTGAATTCAAAAGCTGTTCGCCAGCATCCTCGTCGTGTCAAGAACTGAATATGGCGAAACACTGCTAAAAAGAAAGAACGGTTTTCAGATCGCTTGTAAGAGAGACGAGCGGTACCACTACTGAGTGAAAAAGTGGGATGCAAGGCACGCTCACAGGAGTAAAGCCCACGCTCGATAAATTCGCCAGCGGCTGTCCAGTCACCACTATGCTTAGCAATTTCAGATAATTGCAAAAGCGTATCAACATGATAAGGATACCGACGCATGACGAATAGAAGAGCATCAGGACTATGCGTAGCAATGGCGTTAAGAAATTCCAGCTGAACATCTTGGTATTGCTCTGAGTGTCTAAAGGCATAATGAGTAGTTCCATTATTGGCTACTTGTTGTTGGTCTCCTGTAGAAAGAACTTCCATAGATAATCCGTTTCTTTTGTAAGGCGGCCAGTCAGATTTGGGCGTTGTGAATTTGGATTTCTTCAGTACTCGACCACTGGAACCAGAGCGACGTTCTTGATTCACGACGTGAGAACCAAATAAACGTTTCATTTCTGCCTCAGCATCTAAATAACGATAGTTGATACATAATAGTTGTCGGCTTTTTTCGTTACGACTGTTATCAAAGTTGTTGAATACATCATCGGTGGAGTTATTGGATGACTTATGGCCGAGTTCAGCCAAGACTTTTTCTAATTCCTTCATATCCATGTCCTCAACATCCTTACTAGAATGTTGTTGATTGTTATGGCTATCAGTATTGTTACTCTTTTTATTGTTCTTTCTCTTTTTTTTCGATTTGTTCTTCTTCTTATTGTTAGGGGCCTATAATAGGACAGTAACTGTAAGTTTTAGGAAACAAACTGAAGGAAAGACAATCCTCACCTTTTGTATATTTGGCTCGAGCCGTTGTATTCCCTCCTCTTCTTTTTCTTTAATTTTTTCAACTTGTTGCTCATCCTCTACTCCTTCTTCTTCTTTTTCAAGATCAGAATCATCGCCATCATCGTTTAGCTACCATTCACAGTTGCGACTTTTGTTAGAATTAAAGAGAGCTGAACTCGGCTTTCGCATTCACAAAATTTACCAAAACAAAAGGATTAATTTGCTTCACTGGCTTTTGTACAATTAAATCGTCTTCGTCGTCCTCGTCTACTTTTTCTTCCTCTTTCTCTTCTGTTGTTTTCGCGACAATATCTACTGTTTGTAGCTTTTGAAGACGCCTCAACGCTCTAGAGGACATTTTTGTTTCGCTCACTTGAGGTAACAGAAAGAGAGCACGAAGTTTTCTTCTCCAGCAAGCTTCAATTGCTGCATTTGAAAAAATTAGAAGAAACGAATATCATCAGATGGTGAACAATTCTTCAGTTTTCCTTATTGATTTAGCAATGAAGGCCATCTATATACTCCTACTATTTTTGGCCATTGCTTCGTGTGTAAATGCCAATACAGAAATACTTCGTTTCACTACTAAGAACATAGCACAACTATGTACTGAGGAATACGAGATCGCTTCTGAGCATGATGTTTTGGATACAGCGTCGATCTTAACACCACCGTTTACTAAACTTCAAGCTAAAATAGTACCTGCAGACGATGTGCAACTATACAAGCTTCAAAATTTGACGGAGGGGTCTAGCTACGAACTTCGAATATCTTATCCAGCAATCGTAAGCTTAAGGAAAGGATAGCAAAAATGGGCACACGAATAAAACCGTTTATTGCTCTTTGGATTCCTCATATAGACACCAGCCGATTTTACAATGAGAATAACCCAACTGTGTCGATTAAATAGAAACGTAGGCAGTGTTGAGGGATTGATTAAGTTGACAGCCGTGTACACAGGCATATCTTCAATAAAGGATATGGACAAAAACCCAGTAGTATACAATTTAGGTATGCCATATCTGATGATGTTTGCTTGCAGTAGCCTAAATTGATGCCTTTATTTCCACCAAAAAAAAAAAAAAAGTACTTGAACGTCTTTATTTAGGCTTCCTATTTTATCAAGCATACAAGATAGTTATCGCTATTGTCACTATGATTGTTGTGGGCTATTTTGTATTTGTACCCTTTCTCAAAAGCTTCCTTACCCAACAACTAAAAAAATTAGAACAGCACGAGAGCAATAAATGTCATTAAAGAAGTAGAAACAGAGCCTGGAACTTTAATTCGAACAACCACTATTAGCCAAGGGCATGTATTATTTCACTAGTGATCATTTTTTTGATAAAACCTACTGTTAGTGACAACTATTTTCAAAATAATTTATCCACTGTTGTAATTCTATATCAGTAACATAACGAATTGCATCAAGCGAGTTGTTTACCATACTTTTTTGTCAACATATAGATAGCCTACCATTTGTTCTTTTTATAGGGTGAAAGCTAGCCTTCTTTTCAATATGGCGCACAGCACGAGAACTTTTTTATTTAATTGACAGTGAAGAAGTTCTAACACACGTTTAAGTCTTTATTCAGTAGAATATTATAGCATAGCACTCTACATAAGGCAATTTACTTATTCAATACCTAGCTTGACGAAAAGTCAAGGAGCGGTTACTTTTGTCGTTCTATATTCTAGGCACTGCTATAAAGGTACGCCTCCTCAAAAGCGCCTAGAATAGTAGTTTTCGGGAAACCCTTATTGCAACAATTGTCATGGTAGCACATTGATCTATGCACGATTGTTTTTCTTTTCCGTTTCACAACAAATAAACACATTTTCGCGTGCAGATTTAAATTGGGGATGCGCAATGACATTTTGGGCAATTTGAAATATTTAAACCAGCGTTTCTCTTTTTATTTCAGCACTACCCCTTCAACATTACAGTCAATCGCCAAAGTCAATCTTGATTTGTTTTCTTTCTCCTTCTAGCTATTTATCGAAACACTAAATCGTTATACCTGGGAGACACAACTTAAAGCGAATGGAGTCAACTGTTAAAAGAAGGCACATTCCCGGAACGTCAGAGAAACAACCCGGTGATGACATAAATTTGTACAATTTACAAGACGATTATAAAGGAAAAAGTTATCGTCCTCAAACAGAAGCACATGTTGCTTATTCCTCAAATAAGGTTAGATCTTGTTATACAGAGGATGAGAAGAAAAAAGAAGGGCGTGTAGATGCTTAAGAAATATGGTTAGGTAGCTGAAAACCAGTTCTATTGGTCTTTTCTATGTTGTTAGAACATCGCTTTTTTACAACAAAATCAGCATACTGTTATCACAATTATTCTTACACTATTGGCTTTTTGGACCAGATTCAGAAAGATTACACTGAGTAATCAAGTTGTGTGGGATGAGGTAAAGCTACTGAGTAGAATGAAGCCGCATAAATATATATAGCATATTGATAAGGTATTCAACTTTCACTTTCTGTTTCAACCATAAAAAAATACATAGGCTCATTTTGGCAAGGTATTAGGCAGAGATAATGGCTGCTCCTCAACAAATACTACAGCAATAGGAATGCGCGTAACTAATTAATTTGAGGAACTTTTTTTTCCTGGATGATTATTATAGTTTGGGTCACACTACATCAATCATGATTTCTATTTTGACGTGCATCCACCTTTGGGTAAAATTTTAGTTGGCTTTTCAGGTTGGTTAGCCAACTATAATGGTTCATTCGGCTTTGATTCCGGGGCTGTTTATCCTGAACATGTCAATTTTGGTGTTATGCGTGTATTCAACGCGTTTTTCGGTGCTATGGTAGTACCTCTTTCGTATCTCACTGCTGTGCAATTAAAAATGTCTGTAAAAGCAAGCTTATTAGCCGCCACCATGGTTTTATTAGGTAAATGTCTTAGTGTAGCATAGGATTTATTGATAGCTGTGAACTTATTTTATGAATTTCTCGGTCTACAGATAACGCAACCCTTACCATTAGTAGATTCATTTTGTTGGATTCTATGCTTCTATTCTTCACTGCAACATCATTATTCACTCTTACAGTGTTCCACAATTTACAAAACGAGTAAGTTATTTACAGGATAGGAGCGCAAATGATAAGTGCTCAAGTTCCATAATATTCATACCTAAACATCATTTCCATCATTAGGTCCTTCTCTCCAAAATGGTGGACCTGGCTTTGTTTGACTGGTGTATCCTTGGGCTGCGTTTTGAGCGTCAAATGGGTTGGTTTATTTGCCGTTGCTCTTGTTGGTGTATACACTGTAGAGGACCTTTGGAATAAGTGGGGTGATTTGAAGATGCCCATGAAGACCTATCTCAATCACTGGATTGCTCGTAGCATCGGTCTTATTCTTATTCCTGCCTGTATCTACGTTTTCAGTTTTGTCATGCATTTCCATCTATTATATAAGAGCGGCCCAGGCGACGCTCAAATGAGCTCTCTTTTCCAGGCCAACTTGGAGGGTAACGATTTCGGTGATAATCCTCTTGAAATTGCTTATGGCTCGCAGTTGACTATTAAAAATTCTGGTTACGGAGGTGGTTTACTTCACTCTCACGTCCAAACATATCCGGAGGGGTCAAAACAGCAACAAGTCACCTGTTATCATCATAAAGACGAAAATAACAAATGGGTCATTCGTCCTCCTAGAAACCGCAACGAAAATGAATACGAGCGCCCTGAAGAGGAAGACTTTATCCGTTTTGTTCAAGATGGCGACTATATTCGACTTTCGCACGTTCCTACCAGACGTAATCTTCACAGTCATCCTGTCAACGCGCCTATCTCTACCTCTGAATATGAAGTCAGTTGTTACGGTAACGAAACCATTGGTGATATTCAAGATAACTGGATCGTAGAGATTGTGGACGATGCCGTTTACCGTAATAAGGATAGAGTGCGTTCTTTAACTACTCGTATCCGTCTTCGTCATGAAAAGTTGGGTTGTCTGTTGACCGCTGATGGTACCACTTTGCCACAATGGGGCTTCAAGCAATCTGAAGTCTTCTGTGCTAAGGATAATGATCTTGATGATCCTTACTCGATGTGGAATGTTGAACAACATTGGAACCCCAAGTTACCGCCTGCTCCTCCTAATGCATACAAAACTAGCTTTATCCGTGATTTTATCGCTTTGAATGTCGCTATGTGGACTTCCAACAATGCCTTAACTCCTGATCCTGACAAGTACGATATCCTTTCTTCTGAACCTAGTGAATGGCCGTTCGCCACTGTCGGCCTTCGTATGTGTGGTTGGGGTGACAAAGATATCAAATACTATCTTCTCGGCAATCCTATTGTTTGGTGGTTGTCTATTAGTGCTATTATTGTCTTCACTGTTTTAACTGGTTTCTATTTTGTTCGCATGCAAAGGAAGATTTTCGATCTTTCTAAGGGTAAGTTTTTCAATCTAGAACAAGTATCAAGTATAACGAGAGTTCTTATACACAATTGCCCATTTTTTTTCTATATTTACTATAGACAAATGGGAGCAGTATTCATATGTTGGTAAAACTCTTTTCCTTGGCTGGTTCTTCCATTATATTCCCTTCTATATCATGGGCCGTGTCACATATTTACATCATTACTTCCCTGCACTGTACTTCAGTATTTTTATGGTGCCTTTCCTATTGGAGCACTTTACTCGCAATAGCCCTAAGGCAGTTGTATATGCTGCTTATGCTATTACTTACGTAGCAGTTATTGCCACCTTTATTCACTTTGCACCCGTTTCCTTCGGTTTGACAGGCCCTATCACTAATTATGAATCCCTTGTTTGGAGAGACACTTGGAACCTCATTGAAGAGAAGAGAAATTGATGATGAAAAATGCTTCGCATGATGATTCTTTATTTTTTTCTGCATTATATACACACTTTCTTATTATAAATCCTTTGCTCTTTTATTTAATAATCAGTTTTGGTGGATGTCATTTTATTTTCAATTCATTTGACTATTGCTTGTATTACTGTAATCGTCGTTCAATAATCAAAGGTTCAGCTGGAGGGAATCTTGTCATACCGAGCATGACATTATCTTTAGCTCTTTTGCCACTACGAGTGCGAATATTATAGCGCATAATCATAACAGCGACCACATATTTAATCTCATTAGCAGCGAAAAAGCGACCAGGACAAGCATGTGCGCCCAAACCAAAAGCCATATGCTCCAAGCCAACCGTCGTTGACTTGATATTCGTTCCCACAAATCTGTAAGCATCGAATTCTTCCAGAGGAGAAGTGCCTGAGTGTACTTCACCTGTCAATGGATTGACAGGCAAGAAATGCATGTCTTGTTGAACCTGATCAAGAGCGAGTAAGACGAAATAACCTTTAGGAACAACATGCCCTGTTGACAACGTCGAATCCTTCAATGTGAGATGATGCAGACCTAAATAGTCAGGGTTACAACGAAGCACTTCTCTAAAGAAGGAGTCCATCAAGGGTAGTTTAGCCACCGTTTCAGGTGTCATATCGCCCTGGAGAGTGTGTAATTCGGCTCGTAGGTCTTCGACTAGCTGAGGGCGGCACGCTAGTTCGTGGAAGGCAAAAGACGCGAAATGAGATGTTGTATGAATACTTGCTAGAGCAATGTTGTTGAAATAATAGGCAGCGTCTTCCACTTTTCTTAAGGTTCCGTCTTCTTTAGGTAAATTGAGTGCCATGGTAGCAAACGTAGCCTCATAATCGTCACCCATCTCACCATTTCTGATCTTTCGCAGTTCAGGTACTAATAAGGCCATGATCACATCCATTTCTTGTTCCACAGAGAAGATCCATCGTACAAGGAAGCGACTGAGCCAGCTGGGTAAATAAGAAATGAACAGGCCTGCTCGGATGATTTTTTGTGTGAAGTGAGCCATACCAGTGATCAACTCTTCGTTGACCCCTACTTTACTACCGGCGAAACATAAGCACGAGATACGCGAGATAATGTAAGCTAGTTTATCTTTGATGTCCACTGCTTGTTCATCGCCTGGTTTGATATTGAGCTCTTCATCAAGCGCTTTGTCAAGAGCATACCGGATACGTTCTGAAAAGACATCGATCTGGTTTTCCTTAAAGTTATGCTTTATGGGATAAATAACTATATCGATTCATATTTTTATTTAATTTTTTTGTTTTTCGAAAAGAGATTGGTTAGTAGATATGCTAGACAACTTTCTCAACATCAGATTATTTTTTTTCTTTTAAAGAGCTTACTGGGATTCTTAGCTCTAGGGCTGATTGCTTCTTTTTTAAATTTATGGCCGTAGGAGATTCTAACCACTTTTTCAGCAGGAATAAGGTTTTCAATCCCTTCATCAAAGCTGAAATTTTTTGTGGCTTTCATTACTTCTTGGATCAAAGTGCCCGTGACGACAACTGTGTTGCCTAAACCGGGTAGGTATAGACGGAAGCAGGGCCCGAAATTCTTCCTAGCATCGTTCAAGTATTGTCGAGGATTCTTTTGAAGATCCAGCAAGTTTCCTACTATTGGAAGTCCACCCTCCACTTTAGGGGGTAAAAGTGTCGGATCAATGTCTGTTCTTCTGTTTCTGCTGCATTGTTTCCAAACAAAGTAGGTAATAGCCGCCGCGACGGAGAGTGAGACATACTGCTTTTTAGTGATAGAAGATTTTTCTATCCATTTTGTGGTATAATCTGCTTGCTGTTGTATAAGGGATAGTATGTTCATTTCTGAATTTTTCTGTAGAGTGTTGTTGTGTCAATTCTCGTAAAAGGGAAAGAATAGAAAACAAAAAACTGCTAGAAACCAAATCTGGGGTATATTTTCCCTAAAAATGATCATTTTATGAAAGTCTTATCAATAAAGCATTCTATGTTGCTATAAAAATGTGGAGCGGTGTACATAGGCCGGAGTGACATTTCCGCACTCTTTCTCTTTTTTTGTTTTTGTTTGCTGGGCCGAACTTTTTTGCCTGCAGTGGCTTATCATTGGCTATTTCTTTCTTGGGTTTCTTACAGTGTCAATCTTTGCGATTTCAGTTCTTCTACATTAATATCATGTCATCGTTAGCGAGTTTGATCAATAGTGTCAAAAGCAACACAGCCAATAATGCTCACATTAGCCGAACTCTAAAACGAAAAGCCTTGACACCAAAGTAAATATTGCTTAAAATAAAAACAACAGCACATTTGATTGCAGGCTCCTACAAGTTTTAACATTATTTGTCTCTATCTACAGAGAGATAGCAGCACAAAAGAAGCAAAAGAAAGTCGAGAAAAAAATATCCAAGGAACCCAAGGTAGTTGTATTCGACGATTCAATTTTACATAAGAAGTCAACAATAGAAGATAAAGCGGAAAGAAAGCGATTTATGGTAAAACATCAAACAAAGGGATGGCGTCGAGTAACTCTATATCAAGTGGCTAACAGCCTCGATAGGATTCAAGAATCAACATACCAGAGAATCAGAATAAGCCCGAAGCTAAACAGAAAATGAGCGAAAAAGAACAGGAGGAAGAAGTGTAAGTGAGAATATGAAAGTCTTTCTGTTGTAGTCTGCTCAGCAGGACGCTTATCTAGAATTTCTATGATACAGAGAGAACGAGAAGAAGGATGTAGAATTACAACAACTTATAGCTACGAGTTATCTCTTAGAAGAACTTGGTAATATATTGACACGCATTACAGCGCAAAAGTGGGGGGGGATGAACCTTGTCACTGAACAATTTCCATTTCTTTTTCTATACACACAGAAAGAGAAGAAATGTCTTCGAGGGATAGACGAAAGGATACATTCAAGAAGCTGGAAAAATTAGGCATGAAGGTATCATATGAATCTGAGGCTATTTTGTATGACTGGAGCATGATCACTGACCCCTTTTTCGATGTTAGAGTTCGGGTGGACAAAAGATGCCAGTTCAATTGAGACTCAATATTAACGCAGTAAAGAAGGAAAGAGAGACCAAAAAGCTTCAGGAAGCTAAGGATTTGGGCATTTATGATAAGTCATTGAAGCATTTGTATGTCAAAACCTCAAAGAAGAAGAGAGATCGTGATCCAGGTATTACCACTGGTATTGGGCGAATGAAGGGTGCTACATTGACTATCAGCAAATCGGACCTGAATAGAATTAAGAATCAAAAGCATTAAGCGTTGACACATGACGTCTGCATTTGTAAATATGTATAAGATAGCGCGCTACAATCAAAGTATACCAGATTATTATTATTACTATCACCCCGTCATTGCAATACATTGGAAATAAATTGTACATAGAATGTTATAGAGTTAAATTTGTTCATAATATCATTATATAAGATATTTCTTTTAAATGGTTAAAAATGGAAAGCAAACTATGGATAAGATTTGAATAAGATGGTTCATCTCTATAAAATAAACGGTATTTACTACAAAATCTGGGATGATTGAGAAAGAAAAAAGAAGTAAATTTACAATATATAAAAAAAAAAGGAATAGAATGAGAGCTGCCAGGCTTTTACTTAAAATCGTTCTTTCATACGAGCAGAAATAGTACGAAGAGTAGCGTACACTTTACCAGGTGGACTACCCAGAATAAGACTAACAACAGCATCACGAGCAATTTTAATATTTTGGAATGAACCTAGAATGTGAATCTTGCTATATACGTCGATAGAAAAATTCGTAAGTTTACATACATCAGCTGCAGCGTCAATCATTCAGTATTTCTACAGCAAATCAACACTTACGTATCTGCTAATACAATTCTTGTTTTACTAGCATTTTCGATTGTGAACTTTGTTTTACCATCACGACCTGCAATACGACCAATAGCACGAGCTAAATGATCTCCATGTAAAGTCTTTACGTCCTTAATTTCGAATGTATCCAAATAAATATCGTCTAATCTCAATAAAGCCATAGCATCTTCTACTTCAAAACCTAAAGCAAAAGCTTTGACAAAATCCGCACCCTTTTGTAAAGCGCCATCATCTTCAGTTTTGGGAGACGTCTATAATATTCCCAATGCGGTTTTAAATTAATGCGGTTTTAAATTAAGTATATCTCAGCAAGAAACATCATCGTCATTAACCAAAACTAACCTTAAGTTCAACTGTTTTTGATTTGATATTCATCCTCACTTGTAATTTCATATGCTCAACTAAAGGTGAATAGATTTCCAACCAGTGTCTTTTCAAAGGTGACATACGGTGAGGAGGAATAGGTATCTTTCGTGCACCCTTTGTCACTTTCTGGTTTTTTTTGTTTTTTTTTGCAAGAAAAACGATCAGGTTATCTGTCAGTTTTTAGATCGTCTCTCTATAACATCAGTAGTAATTGCTCTACCTTTAATTCAGAAGCACTGGCAGGCGCAAAGTTGGGTTTATCGGTTGATGATCCTTCGTCCATCATGACATCGTCTTCTGAAGGTTGTTGTTGTGGTTGACTGGGTAAAGCGTTGGCGTCGATGACAACATCTTCATCCTCATCGGCTTGTATTTCTTTTTGTGTCTTTTTGCTTAAACCAGTAGGTGCTTTTAGAGATTGTAACGAAGCCATGTGTCTTTTTTGAAACGAAAGGGACCGGTTTAACTGAGAGAAGGAGAAAAAAAAAAAAAAATAAAAAAAAATAGTTGGATCGAAAAACTTACAAAAGCGGGAAAGGAAATAGGAAAACCAGTCTCTCTCTCTTCCATTTCCCAAATGGGATCTCCCTTTTCTCCGCCACTGATGATTTTTGTAATGCAATAAGGTCCCAAAATCAGATCATTTTTCTAGATTTCAAAATATTAACGTAATGTATTTGAGCTGTCTTGATTGAATGATGAAAAACGTCCTTATAGGCAATTGGAAGTAGAATAGACGGTGTCGGGTTAGTTGCAAAAATTCGGATCTTCCAAGAAAGGGTGGGTGAGAAATGAGGCTAATCTTTACGTTTTTATGCCTCCAATGGGATTTGTGTATCTTTGACCACCAATTACATCTCATGTTTAGACATCATGAGAGTTTCTGTCATATATTCATACATGCGCGCTGCACAGTTTTAGAGTACTCATGCCTAATTGCAAGCTTTCAAATGCCAAAAAAACCAAAAAAAAAAAACGACGCCCGAACTCTTTTTCTTTGTGCAACCGTGGCAAATGGGTAAAATACACCTAACTTAATTTTTTTTTTTTTCTGATTTTAATCTTCATGAAGGGGCATATTATCTTTTTTTTTGTTTTTTTGGGTTCGAAAAATGTAACGAAAAAGATAGCATAATGAAAGGGAATATAGTTCATGATTTGACAGGTGTGATATGTATGTACAAGTTCTGCAAAGAGTCAGACAAGGGGATCAAGATTCCGTTTAAGGTTATACTTAAAAAGAATTTTCGAGATTTCCAGAGATGTCGTAAGGTTGATATAGTAAAGAGAGAAACTGCAAAAAGCAAGAGTTAAGGTAGTGGATGGATTGTTGTTATACAGAGTAAGGGTGAGTGTTTAGATACTGTCGAGATGCCGAGCATTATGGAGCTGAAGCAGTTGTTCGGTTTGTCTGTTTATCGCGGATCATTTGCAATATATGTTGCATGCCTTTTCGTGCTTTTGCTGCATTGGCAATGAAAGAGCTTTGTCCAAATCCTTCGATACGTTGAGTCATTCCCCAGCCAAACCTGGAGATGATCCTAGCTTCTGTTTTGCAGGACGTCCATTCAGGATTCTGTTCGTGTTGTTTAAAGTATTGTGTCTCCACAATTTGCATTACTCGGACATGATTCAGGTTCTTTGTACGGGTGACCATTGTTTTGTTCTTTGGATCCACTTCTGATTCTTCGATAATGAAGGCTTCCGAGCTTTTCAAAAACTACATTGAGAAGAATCATTAGATATCCTTGGTTAACTTATAACAGCCTTTAATTGATGACTTACAGATTCTGGAAACCATTTAGGAGCTTTGCCTTTCTTTAAAACGAGTCTTGTTGTTTTCAAGACGCCGTTTTCGTCCACACAGCGATCCAATACATCCACTGCAAGCACGTGTGAAGCGAACGGATTGGGGTATCTTAACCAAAACGCAAGCGTTACATTTTGCCATGATGAACTAGTAGAATCCAAGGATTTTCGTGGTTGATTAGTAAACATACTATATTTACTGCATTGCACAATACTGATACTTTACTCGTAATTGAAGACATGCTGGTAGAATTTGACCATTGTTCACCTTATCACAGAGTAGAATGGCTTCAGTACAAAGGAGACCAAAATACGATAAAATTAGAAAGTGTGTGTTTCGCTTGTCAAAGAATGAAAAAAAAAAATAAAAAGAGAAAAAATCAAAAAAAAAAAAAAGACAAGATGAGACGAATACAAAATGTATACTCAGGTAAATCATTACGACTGGTCGACAAGGGTAAAATAGAAACATACTTAAATGGTAACTGAAAGAGCAGAAAAATGGTTAAAAGGTTCAATTCCAGATGAAAAAAAACCTGTGACTTTCCGTTCATGAACAATTATTAAGCAACTCGTTTTCCTGGAAGAATTACAAAAAAAGAAAAACGGATTCAGATTCACTACCTCTTTTTACCTTAACTGTTTTTTTTCTTTTTTCCATCAAATCTCTTCTGAGCATTCTGTTAATAGCAACATCGGTCTATATATTCAGAATCATTCAATAATATGTCCTCTTTTTCACAGATAACACCTGCTCAGATTCTTCAGTTCAACTTGAACGAATCCGCCTTGGATTTATTAAATGCTGCTATTGCCAGTCATCAAGAGAATATTCAAAGTACGAATATCAATGCTGATCCATCGAATATGAATAGATCACTTCCTGCAACTATACCACACTCAAACAGTCATAAGCTCACAGAAGTGTTAAATACATCAATATCATCTACTTTATCTGCGAACAATAATAGTCAGAAAGAGCCATTAACCACAACGAATAACACCAGCAATGATGCAACGAATGGTAAACCTTAGAAAGAAGATTGAGGTTGGCGGAAACGCAGGCTTTGTATATATATATACTCATGTGGGCATTTGTGTTTTTTTCTGCAAATTTAGCTATAAATAATCATGTTAAACGAGAACTTGAAAAAGGTAATACTTTAAATTGGATCGTAGACAGATTATTATTTTTTATTAAGTCCATTTATTGAGTATAGATGAACAGACACCAACAGCGCCCAAACGTGCTGGCAGGAAACCCATTGAAAAGACTTTACCGTCTGTAAGTACAATGTAACGCTTACACAATCTGTTCCACTCTGATCTGCCCCTTATCTGATCTGAGCTATGTTTTGTTTGTGTATGTTTGACTGAAAACTTTTTGCTGCGGTCAACTTAAATTTTGTTACATAGGATGTACCTCCTGACCCTAAACAAAAACGAAAAGCACAAAACAGAGCTGCTCAACGTGCTTTCAGAGATAGAAAAGAAAAACATGTAGCTGAATTGCAGGCTCGTATTGCTGAGCTTGAAGCTCATGCGACAAAGACCGAAGACTTAGTGAAAGAAAATCAACAGCTGAGGGAGCAACTGCAAAAGCTGCAGGAAGAGAATTATGCTCTCAAAGGAGTCCAATTTACTTTTGAGTTTCCTGTTCCAAACGCCAACAATTCCAGTCTTCCTGCCGTATCTGCTATGTCATCTAATGAAAACCCTTCGAAGAGTCATTCTATGGATAGTCACTCCTCAAGACATAATAGTATGAACTCAACCTATAGTTCTTGTAATAGCACATACAACAACCTATACAGTGCCCCTGAAGAAACAAGCTCTCCATCCTCTTTCGAAAATTCGCCTAGATCATCCAATTCACATATTCAGGAAGACGACTCTTCAGCCGAGACACCCAATTCACTATTCACAGCAGATCCAATTCAGTTTGGCCTTTTCTCGTCTTCAACAGCACCACCACAAACCACAAATAAGCATCCACATGGCAATAATAGTAAAAGTGACATCAATAGCAACAGCAACTTTAATTTCATGGCAGTAGCAGACTCGTTCGTTGGTTTTGGCAATCCCTCTAACCCTTTTGATGTGAATACCAGCAATATGTTTCCTGCAACAAATGATCTTTTCCATGGCAAAGATGATTTGGTCTCACATTATCGACTGCCCACCACCAATAATAACGCCACCAACACTACATCATTCCTTGATGATACTAATCAGTTATCTACAGCTGCCATTGATGACTTCTTGTTGAACAATGGAGACTTAGCCCTTCTCTTTGGCCCCAATGATGATCTATTTGACATGAACAACAGTACTTCTGTCACTGCTGTCACTAATAGCATGAATGCACAATTCGGTTTGCCAGCTTTGCCAACAACAACGCCTGCAACTGCAGCAGCAACAACTGCAACAACAGCAAATGTAAAGAAACTGCCATTGTCACATTTGACACCGGAAATGAAAAAGAACATTATTGAAAGATTGCGAGAAAGTCAACGACAAGGCAAACATCTCCAACAAGTGCATAAAGAAATATGCCCTGATTTTGATTTGGATGGTTTATGTGAGGATATTAAGAGAAAAGTAACCTGTACAGAAATGCAGCATCCCATTACAGATCATATCGTTGATGTCTACACCAAGATATTAGATAGAGTCTAAGAATCTCTGATTCCTTTTTCTTCATTTCTTTTTGTATATTTTCCTCACATCATGTCATTTCCCGCGTTAGCTTAAACTCCACCACCTTGCTCTGTTACTTACTTTCATCATTCATATTACGTTTCTTGTTTTTTTCATCTCACCTTCATCCTCTTTTACAGGCAACATTATCTTCAAGCAGATTCTATCTTCTTATTTATGCTCTATCAACAGTCGTATCTCAATAAATACAAAAATGAAACTTTTGGTTATCGCAGGCATTTGTATAAGAATGCATAATACCTGATAACGCGCAATAAGCTGCAACTTCTTAGTTTAGCATGACTATTTTTGCCTATTAACGTTATCTCGGGTTCAGTCGAATCACTATTATCAATAGATAACAACATTTCAGTGCAAGTATTGCAAAAATATGTATCCTCAACTACAATCCCTAATGCTGGGGGAGCAGCAGCTGTGCCATTTAAGTACGTCTGTGTTCGTTGGACGCGCACAAGCAATCACATTCCGCTGTTACAATCAATTTGGTTAAAACAAAATTGCTTGGTTTCTCACATCTTTTATCTGGGAGAAAAAGAAAGAAAAAAAAACCAACAAAGCTGACCGTACCACGATATGACTCGTAAATTAAAGAAAGGCATCACTACAATTGGAAAAGACTTATACAATATCAAAAAAGATGTTTCTTTTTTTTTTTTTTTTTGTCTTTACTTCTGACGTGCGTGCATTTTATAGTTCTATAGCTTTTTTCATTTGACGAAAAGATACCATCAGGGCTCGCTCGTGTATAGCAAAGAATTATTCTTTTTTTCTTTATTAGAACTCTCTTAACCATCAGACATTAGAGTAGAGTCCGTAATCGGCCTGTCAAACTTAGATATTACCCCATCTCCCCTAACTCGACCCAACCCTCCCCATTACTCCCCGAAAATTACAAAATTTCAAAGCCACGAAGTATCAAGCAGTGTGATTTTTAATCATTTCACACCACTGTAGTATGAATACACATATAAAGAGTTGATTTCTTGGACCTGAAAGAGTGTTTACAGTTAAACAAGCAAAAAGATACATTTTCGGTTACTGACGATATTGAAGGGCCGATACAAACTTGCTGTATATCAATCTGACTTACTCAATTCTTCCTTTCAAGCGACAGTAGCGTCCAGCAATACAGTTCATTAAACTTTTTTTAACAAGCTGTCTGTTCGCTTAGTGCCATTTACCAAGCAAAAGCCACGTTATCTTCAACTGTTGCAAACTGTTGCATGCCGCTCTCATTAAGAATCATGATGCTACATTCTACATCATCTTGTTCACAATGAAAAGTAAAAGTTTCTATAAAAAAGTGGGGCCTGCTCTTCTAATCCAAAATAATCCTTGACATTTCCAAAAAAGAACAAAAAACTTTGGAACCAAGTATATTTGTCTTTGAAACTGTTAGATATGTGCACTCCCTGTGATGTTTCTGGTTTTTTTTTGAACTTGTGTTATTGTACCAAAGACAAGAAAGACTCTTGATAATCAAATAGTGTTGAACAAACTATTCTGAAGGGAGTCAGTTAGTAACTTCTGGTCATCCTCTCCTCCCATAATTGTTGAATTGCTACAACGAAACACAATACTTTATAGAAACATACGTTCTTAAATCGTTCATACTGTTTTAAGAGACAAGAGTTTATTCTTGGAGTTCTCAATCAATAAAGGCACCGAAAGTCCTTAAATTCTTTTTCAACTGCTTCACAATATCAACAACAACAATAAAAAAAAAGGAAGAAGAAAAAAAAAAAAGAAATGCGACCAGTCCTTTGCTTCGGCTGTAAACGGATTTCCGTTGCCCTGCGAAGCACTTCAATAATTTGAAATGGGAGTCAAAGAGACCAGAATTTTTAGGATCATGTCAGGAAAGCATAATTCTGAAAGTCTTCTAGTAGTAAGACACTATTGTGTTTTCTTCTGTTCGAATGCTGTTGCTCTTGTTGTCGTTGCAGTCGCTGTGCTCTTTTCACGTTTTCTTTATATTTTTCAGCAGCTGACAATCGTCTAGACGGTTGACTCGTGGCATGTAATAAGGCAATTGGAATTGAATCTTCCTCATCGTCGTTATCGTCTGATGAACTTGCAGTTGAATTTGTTCCTTGATTCAGTAATAATAACATGGTGGATGTCGGTATGAGAGGTGAAGAAGAAGGCGAGAAGGGCTTTGTGGTTGTAGGGGATGAACTTCTTCTTTTATCGAATGAAGCAGGGGGAACAGAATGGATCAGGCCTTTGTTGTTATTGATAGTAGCATTATTGTAATATTGTTTAATTCTTTCTCTTTGCTGTTTCCATTGATGTTGTAATTCTTTAGCATGATTGGACATCTTTAAATAATGACTCAGTGGCGTATTATCTTCTTCCTCTTCATCATCGGTATAAGTATATCTTGCTGCTAGCAATTTTGCATCTTTTTGCTTTTCATGAAGAGAGGTTTTGTAGTATATCATCATAATAGGGAAAAACTTGTGCTGTAAAAGAAGAAGACGAAGAAAAAACAAAAAAGGTCGAATAGAAGTAAATAATACTCATATACCAGCAATTTTAGAACAGTTCTGTCAATAACGTCTCCTACAAGGAAAAGCGAGACTCTCTTCTGTTCTTCAATGGCACATATCATTTTATCTTTTCCCTGCATAAAATCTCCTATTCCGAGCAGGTTTGAACATTGAGCACATTTCAAAATGTAGTTCATGCAAAGCAAAGACTCAAAGCCTCCTTTCAAAATAGTGTAATGTATAGCAATATCTGGTATTCTCCTTTCTGTAAGCGACAACCGCCCTCATCATGTGAAATAATGAAAGTTATTATAGTAAGGAACAACATCAAATAGCAGCATTTACTGTTATATTACAAATTATTAAGGCACCCTTCCTGTTAGTTAATTCCGTTGTTTCTATGTATTCAATAGAGTTGGACCATAAACCTCTTATGTGTGAAGATCTTGATACGCTTCCATAAGCAATCGCTTGCCAATACTCAATTAAAGCCATCTCGATATATAACTAGGCCATGACAGGTTAATGCACTTGATTTAAATATCAAAGCTTCAAGGCTCTAAATTGTCACTCAATGTAAAAGAAACGTAAACAACAATATGGTGCTCTTTAATTCAATCCGTAGAACAGAAAAGAAAAAAAAAAAAAGAGAAACAGAAACGCGATTTGATGTGTATTTACATATATACTGTAAAAATGATAAAAAACACGGAATGATGTCTGTTTAAACATTAATTTCTTTCTATTTATCATGTCAGTGAAATAGAAAGGAAGGTAATAATGCTATACTTAGTAGATTACTCTTTTATCCGTCTATAATTAAGGAGGAAGGATTTAGTTTAGAAGATTGTGATAAAGAAAGAAGGCTTGCGATAAAAGCTTTTCCTTTTACCTTAATGACAATAGGAGGTTCATGAGTGTTGGGTCTTGAAATTTCTGCTAGTTCTCTGCCAGCCTATTACACAAATATGAAATAGGTGGTTTTAACAAATCAAAATAAATAATACGAAATTAAAGCCATTTTAAGCACTTACACTCCAAGTACCGCCTTGTATGAGCTGACTAAGAGATAATTGCTTCTTGGTTAATCTTAATGATTGGCGAACACGTTCAGCAACAATATCCAGATAGGCTACAGTCAATGCACGCCATTCTGTGACAACGGGGTCCGACATTTCAAACATCGGAGCAACCTCAATTTTGGGCTGATAAGGTAAAAGAGAATTTGCATGGTAATTCTTTATGCCACGTTCGTGATCTTCAGGCTTCAATGTAAGGAAACCAGTATCAATAAGGAAACCGCCGTTGCAGTAATCGGGAAGTGGAGTCAATAAGTCAGTACCCTCGATAGTGGCACCCAGTAGCTTTTCCATGGGTTCAATAATAGAATAGATGATCCATTGTGTAAGCTTATGGAAGGCAACATAAGTAATTGTGTTCTTATTGAGATCATCTGTTGATGATAATGAGGAGGTGGAGCCAGCGATAGCAGCACAAGGCCATACATCTCCTAGACCAGGTGTACCTCCAACATTTTCTTCAGCAGCCCATAATTCACCCATTTCCAAGACAACGGGCCAAAGTGTTTCGATACTGATCAAGGGTCCCTTTTTGGTTTTAATGGTTGTTGGATGACGTAATAAGTAATCTTTTAAAGGCAAAAGAATAAAGCAAAGCAAGTATAAGTGTACACAGCGTGTAAGTAGAACAATAAAAAAATGGTGTGATTTTTGCAATAGAAAAAAAGAAACAAAAATTAACAAATGTGAAAGGTAATACAAAATGAAGCTTTCTGTGTGGCCCTATACTTTACCCATCAAATTGCCAGGTCGATGGATGGCTTCTCCAAAATAGTCGGTACAATTCTGTAGCACATGTCCTAGGTGAAGCAAGGCTGCGTGTCTTTCCTGAATACCGACAAAAGAGTTACTATCACTAAATTGAAGACAGTCAGAAAGTGCTTCAAATGTAAGTCCCCGTAAGCCCTCAGCTATTATTGATTATAAACGATACAGTTAGTTAGAATAATCCTTCAGAGATTCTAATTAGCATGGTTTTTTTTTGTTTCTACTAAAATTATCTGTCAAAACGTACAGTCAACTCGATGAGGTTGCGCTGGATCAGATGAGAAGACACCGTTGACAAACATATCCAGAATAGCTACTGCAATACCGTCTTTCCGTTTGAAAATTCTGCCTGTTGATTTTTCTGTGTAGGTCCAAGTTTGACAAGGCTTTATATCCATAAGACAAGCAATCACCAAAATATCAATTAATTTTCTCGTTTGTTCCAATGCATCCTGTCCTAGGCTCGCCCAGGTCTGGAGTAAATTGTTCAAACGAGGTCTACCTCCAACATCAAAATGACGCCATCGACTGTAAGGTGGAATTTCTGAAGGAGTATCATAATCTCTTTTGATGATCAGTACTACAAATTGAATCATTTCTTCTAATTTTGTTGGATCAACGTCAAAGTGTTTCAAACGATTGCGACTCGCGGCTTCTTGTACTTTAAAGCATCGTTCACGGACAGAGTTGAGACTTAGCAAAAAGCTTTTATCGGCACTTGTACCATTTGAATAAGGAACCATTCTCACGTAAATTTGTAGTAGTCAGAATGCTTATTAAATTTAGAGGATAAATGGATTATAGTTAAGGAAAGGAAAGATTATAGTATTAAGAGTATAATATTGATATGAAGGATGAAAAAACGATAAAAAGATGATGATGATGAATTAAAAAAAAAAAAAAAAAAAAAAAAAGAAAATGAGATGAAGAGGGAGAGGGAGTGAGAGGAAGAAAGGAAGAGAAATGAAGAGTGTTAGACGGATATTCCAAGTTTAAATTTCTTTTTTCCAAGGTGGACTACACAACGCATAGATATTTGCACAGGCAAAAACAAATCAGTGTTTCCCACTTGCTTGATAACAAATTGGGGTTACTCAAGAATAAGGGGTGTTATCACGAAGAATAACAAGGTCGGTGAATGCTGTACTATATAAAGCTTTATGTCGAGGTAGTGTGTCGTCCTTAGAGAAGAACAATAGTAAGACTAGGGTACTAATTTGAATGCCAAACATGTGATAAAATCTTTAAATTGACAAAAGCTAACAATAGGTACATATCGACCTCTAACAGCAATAACAAGTTCTATAATGTTAGAGTTGCAATAAGATGTCCAAAAGGGGTGATCTTATTCAATTTGTTTCTTGTGTTCCAATGCTGTATATGGAGGGACATAAAGAAGAACCACTCTCCTTATTGTTCTACCTGTCTAAATATGAAGAGTCATTGATAAAAAGGATACTAAGGTAGCACGGGAGGAGCCTTTTGTGTGCGTTAAAATTCGTTAGTGCAACAGTTGCGACTGGTTCACTTTTTTACGTAAGAAAAAGAAAAAACCCAAAGAAAACGTGATAATGTCAGGCTAGATCAGTAGAAAGTTTTTTAACGAATCCTAAAATATCTTTATAGCAGTCAATTTTGTGTTATACTGTACATATAATGTATAAAATTGCATCAGTTGTTTCAACTAGCAATTATAAGAAAAAGCGTATGGTAACAGAGCGGCAACAGTGTCGTTAAAACACTTAAAACGACTTTTGCAGCATCGTTATTGTATTCGTAGCACTGTCTTTTAGAAATTAAGCGTCCATAAGTACTTTGATGCAGGGAAGCAAGTGCTTTGTATCCTCAAATTATCGTGAGGTTGTCTGATTTTTGCAAGCTTATTTCAATTTTCATGCATTAGAGCGATCGGAAGTGTTTTTCAGGCACCGTTGTGACTTAACTCAATATTTAATCCTCGTTAGAGCCCTCCATTTTTGCTGATCAAAATCATCGTTTTCTCATTTTGAGCATATTTCTTGCATAAATAATATAGTATGAGCAATTTGGAACATGTTGTAACCAATTATATGATTACAGACGATGTACACTCGGCTGAAGCAATACAAGCTTCGAAAGACATTCTTAAGAGTATGATTCTCTTCGAATTGGAAAAACATGAGTCGCAATCGATCGTCATGATTAGTTTGACATATCATTTTATATTTGCGCACAATAGTTGTTGATGAGGGAGTTGTTCAAGATAATTTGCTACAATTGGTTCAAGCTTTAGGTGAATACTTGATTAATGATGATGAATATATTCGAGCCAAAGGTATACAACATTTTTGTTACGTGCTATCATTAATAAGCAGTTTTAACAGTACTCTCCAATGTATACATAGCAACTGCACTTCTATCAAACACTCTAGCGGAATGCAAACAGGACGAAATTAATGAGACAGCAGGTAATAAAAAAAGAAAAACTGAAGATGAGTAGAACATGGTTTAACGTATATTTCAACTGATTTGCAAATACAAGTGTCTGTACTCGTCGATTTTTACTGTGAACGTTTGACAGACGGTACATGCGTACCAAGTCTTCTAGAAGGTTTAGTAGCTTTAACCAAATACTCCAATTTTACTGGGAAAAATGCCGTTACTACTGCAAAGAGGTAAATCGCATAGTCTGTCAAAATTCATTCAAAAGAAGGGGCCCCTCTAACTATAATTCTCGTATGGATAGATTGATTCAAAATTTACAAATGCAGCAATATCCCCAGGGAACCCGAATTGCTGGATTCACAGTATTTGCAAATTTGATTGATTACCATGCGGCTGCTTTGAAGTCAATCAACGATGAATTTGTGTTCGGGTTCACAAAACAGTTAGATGGAGAAAAGGATCCTCGCAATTTGATGCGCGCCTTCCATATTGTAAAGGAGCTTGTAGACAAATTAGATATCAGTAACCATGTCGAAGATGTTTTTGAGGTTACATTCTGCTACTTCCCTATCACTTTCAAACCACCTCCAGGCAATCCATACGGTATTACTGCAGAAGACTTGAAAGCTAGTCTAAGAATGTGTATGGCCTCTACTCCATTGTTTGCCAAATTCGCACTGCCACTTATTCTAGAAAAGTTATCTTCTACTGCAGGTAGCGCTAAGGTAAAGACTATATTCGTTTAAAAGATGAAACAAAGATACCCTAAGTTTTGACCTCTCTTTTTTCTTAATTTGTTTTTTGTTTGAAGAAAGATGCAATGGAAACCCTGGCTGCATGTGCACCAGTTTACGGTGCTGCTGTTTTAATACCGCATATTGAAGAAATTTATACGTCTCTAAAAATAGAAGTGTTTCATTCAATTGATGCATCACTAGAAGATGCTGCTGTTGACGCAATTCGATCTGTCACTTGTGCCTTGACTGCAGACAACGCCCCTCAAGACAGTGAAAATACTGCAGAAAAAGCGTTGAAGCATTTGATTGACGAATGTGCGACTAATCTGAGGGATCCTGATATGAAAGATCATCAACAATCTGGACGTATTTTAAGAGCAGTAGCTTCAGCCTCACATGCAGCATGTCTATTAGTCGTCGATATTATTGTTCCACTTGTCCTAAGACAGTATCGTGAGACGAATATGGCTATGCTGAGAAAAGCAAATGTGGATATTATTCTGGAATTGCTAGAAGCTGGTAAAACTTTATATGGATGCTCGAACGATGTCAATAAAGCAACCGGTCAGTATTTTTGCATCTCCAAATTAAGTGTTTATCAAAGAGTAAGCTCATACCAATTGCTTTTTTCTATCATACAAAATAGCTGCTGCAACCGTTAGCTCCCCCTTAATCCAATATAAAGAAAAGTTCAGTGGTATTTTCGAATCATCGTTGATGGCATCCAATGAATACAATCTTCTTCGTCTTAGCGGCCTCAATGGTTTGAAACTAATGATATTGTCAAAGGATTTTTTGGAAACCAATGAAGTTGGTATTGCTATACAATCCATCAACAAAATTCTTCTAGAAGAAATTGATGAAGAACTTCGGTAAGTACCATCAATTCCTTTAGAAATACTGTATCTTCCTAAACAGTTTTTTTTTTTTCAAAACTTACTACAGCTCTGCTGCATTAGAAGCACTCAGTATTACATCACAAACATACTGTAAATATATAAATGAGATCACTATACCGTCTTTGATTGACCGACTTCCCGACAACACAGTTAAAGATGGCAATAAGAAGTACTCCCGTCTATTGCATGCTTTCAAGGTCCTCGCGTCAGTACCCTCTGTATATAAACAAGCGATGCCTTTATTAATAGAAAAGTTTAACTGTGTTTGCAAACAAGGTAAAATCAGTTGCATCATTGCCAAAGTATAAATTTTTTAGCGTGTGTGGTTCATAAAATAGGTATTGACGATTTTCATTTTACAACAGATGAAGACCCTACCTATGCAGTCGCAATCGCGAAAACAATCTTGGATATCATCAAGACCAAATCAAGCGAAAATCATCAAGATCTCCTGGAAGGTGTACATACCATTATACCCCATTTCATTAAAACAGCAGTCGAAACATCTATTACCGCTGAACATAATTTGATATTGGACGGTGGCGTGATGGATGCCCTGACTTTAACCATTACTGCTGTGCTTGTGAAGGCTGACAGCAAGTAAAATACCCTTTTTAAGATAGAAGATAGGTGATACTGAAGAACATATCCGTTTCTAATACTTCTACTTTTGACAATGTAGTACCCAGAAAAAACTCATGGAGAGGGCTTTCAGATTATTTGTAGATGGGCAGTTATCAGAGTTCGATATTGCAACTTCTTCTGATGTCGAATTTAAGCCCTTAAACAGCGCTTCCTCGAAAATTTTGAACTCGCAGCAGAAGAGTACTTGCCGCTTTTTTGCAGCAATTATATGTTCGTTGAGAAAAGACGTAGCTTTGCCAGTGACGGGTTTGGAAGGGTTTTTGAATGATTTGATAGCTGTGGCACTAGAAAGTGATAATCAAGTTCAATTGACAAGCGTGGCAAGGATGATTGGTTCACTCATCAACAAATGGAAAAACAGTAAGCTATCCTTTGAAAAACCAACTTTCTAATACTTACGACAGACTAAACATGAACCATTCTTTAAGACTCTGCTTTAGCTGCATTTGTCAAGCCTACAGCGTCAAGGTTGGAGGATATCATTGCGCAGCAAACAACTCCAGATAAAGGGAACGCAGTGGAGATCTATTTGTGGATTGCTAAAGCACTTGTATTACGTACACATAGCTTCGGCTACGAAATGACCAACAAGATAATCCAATGGTGTGGCGATAATACAGCAGGGTCAAAAGCACCCCAAGGATTCAGCATTCTCATTGGTGAAGATGCGTTTGCATTAAATAAGGCTATGTTCGCTACAACTATGGTATGGGCCGTTATGAGAAATTCAAGTCGCAGGAAGTAGTACGTTGTCTTACTTAGACTTCTTCTTTTATAGATCTTATACAAACAGAGATTTTTCGAGCATTGCCTTTCTCAGTTGGTCGATGGATTCCGTTCAGCAAGCGACGGTATGATACGAATTTTCAATCTCTTCCTTAAAACAACTCTTTATTGATACGTTCTTTTCTTTTCTCTAGATATAAAACCGAATTATTTGATTGCTTTATCCTATCTTTTGCAAAATGTTCCTAAACAGATCTTGTTGAACGAGCTGCCACCACTTGTCCCTCTTTTGATGCAATCTCTTACTCTACGTGATAGCGACCTCAAGGTGTCCACACTAGAAACTTTGAGCTTAGCTGTATCTGAAGCCGCTGATATTGTTGCACCTCAAATTAGAGTAATTTTGCCCGCTCTGGTAGGCTTACTGCAGGACACAAAAGAAAACCCACTACGTGTCCGCATCGCTGCACTCAAATGTCTGGCACAGTTCCCTAATTATATCTCCAAAGACGCTTTGAGCTCACATGTAAATTATGTTATCCGTCAATTGAAGACTTCTCTAGATGACAAAAAACGTCTTGTTAGAAAAGAAGCAGTGGATTGCCGTTTTAATTGGTACAATATTGCAGTCTAGAGAAAGCTGCTTTGCGATAATAAAGAACAAATAGTAATACATAAATCTTGAAAGATATTGGGTATGAATGTCAACCTCTACTTGAAATATATTTCGTTTTTATCGTTGTTAATTGTTTAGATCGTCATCCGCAAGGACAACTGCTAAAAGCTGTAGTATATTCGTTTCTGCAGAACCGATGCAAACGGCTTTACAAAATCACGAACGTTTACAATTACGGTATTTTTTAAAGAGGTGACGCAAAGCGACGAGCGATTTTTGTTGTTCTGCTTCGATTTCGTCAAAGGTACAGCTAAACATTAAGCCACTTTGAACACACTAAGAACAACTCATTTCAATATACTAATCTCGCTTTGAAAGCAATTGTTTTATAGCCAATGCTTGGATATGGAATTTGAACATTCAAAAGCAACTTTCTAAAATTTTTGATTAATGGTTGGCTACATATCTTCTTTTTATGCCGCTATTGAGATATATGGCTTTTGATGTTTTGGTATATCAGTGGGTTTCACCACATTGAAAGAGCTCAACAGTATTCTTTACCGCTCATTGTGTCACTTTTATTGATTGTCTTTTGTTGTAAATTTGATCATTGACAAGAGATCGTATCTGCTTTCTAGGCTAATAGTAACAATGCCCTAAACGCATCCGTTATTATAATGAGTATTAATTGTCTAGCGGGACGATCATTACGCCTTACTGATACTCATTTGGAGTGTACACTCGGCTGGTACATTGCTCTTAAGGTATCCAAAGCAAGCATGAGTATTCGACGCAAAAAGTCTATTAATGCCATTAAGAGCGGTTTTCGTATTACCAATCAGATATATCGTGACGAGTACCTTATTGATGCCTGGACAAATAATTGCCTTTTGAATAAATTGTTACTCTCGTCCGAATAAGACAGATAGACTTTTATTCTGTAAGCAACCCTATAACTGTTTGAAGATTAAGTGAGGCCCCTTACATGTATGAACTTAGAATTTGAGCAATTGCATTAACTTTATATGAACAAGTAATCTATGGTTTCCATTCTTTATTCTTGTACAATCACCCGAATGCTTCAAGTATACGAAAGTATAGAAAACTATATTATATAACAGTCAAAGCAGATATAGTCACTTTAAAAAGCTTCTTAGACTTTTAAATAATATATTAAGATTAGAAGGAGCAGGCAATACTTTTTGAAGCAGTTCATGCTTCTCTCTCCAAATGTGTGATATTGAGAGCCCACGCCCAAACCAGAAAGGCCAACTATGCCCTTTTGCGTTAGTCTGAAGAAAAAAGACCAGAAAGAGAGAGAGAGAGCAAGCTAGTATAACCACGATTAGTAAAGGCGCGCGATTTAAAAGGGTATTTTTTACATCTTTATGTCTAGTTGCTCATAAAGTACGCCCTTTTGTGCTTCAAAGAGTTAAACACATCTTCAAATCTCTCGTTGTGGGTTTGAAAAGTTAGAATAAGACGAACAAAAGTTAACAAAAAGTAAGAAAAGGTAAGAAAAAGGTGCTTGTCCCGTTTTATGATTGTATTGTTTAATTCTCATTGTCTGTTGCAATTGCATTTTTGGTCGTTGAAACGGTTGTTATAACTAACTTTAATCGGCCTAACAGCATAATTGCAAGTTGTCTCTGTTAAATCTACGCTATTTGTCTAATTGAAATATCTCGATTACTGTAAGTTGTTACTAAAAAGCTTATTAGGTGTAAATTGTTTGTTAAGACACTACAACAAGCTGCATTATCATTGATTCTATTCATTATTTACAGAGCACAAAGAAAAAGAGTGCAACTGTAATTGTTAAAGAATTGCTTATCGTTTTATTGAACACAGCAATTGAACACCCTCAAATGAAGAGCCTCACATTGAAAACCAGTTTCAATTCTTAATTTTTGACAAAGCACGTGTGATCATTATTCATAAAAAGACAAGGAAGCATAGAAAGTTGTGTTTTTTCCTTCGTCTTGAGATAAATTGAAACTGAATGGGACTATGCACATCTCTTTCTGATGACACTCTTATACTCTAATCACACATTGCCATATCCGCCTCTACTAAAAAGAGTGGTAGCTTTGACAGAAATAGCTGCACTTTTTCATTGTAGAGGTAAGTCATAATACAAGGTGGACAGGCTTAAAATGTAATGGGAGTCTGCACGAGGTTAGAAGGTTTCCGTCAGAATGGATAACTGTAAGAAAAACAGTTACTTATTGCTGTTGCCTTATTTTTGTTCACTCAGACTACTCGATCACCCACTATAGCCCTTAGAATTGATTAATGTGAACAATCACTAGCATGAAGTCATAGGCTGGTTAGTAACCCGAACTAGGGTCATCAACCTAAGCAAATAATTTATTAGCAGCAGGTTACGCAAGTGAAAGGGTTTTTTTAAATCATAAGTATCAGACCATTCTATTGAAGAGCTTTTTACCAAGTCGCATCATGTTGCCATACTGTGCTTTTAAAAAGACATTTGATTTGCCCAGTCCAGCATACGATATAGAGATAGACTTTTAAATCTATTGTACGTAAAAAAAGGGTTTCCTACAATACGACTTCTTAATGTTTGTAGATGAAATGCACCACGTCATGTTTCGAGAAGGACCCTGAGACTCGTGATTTACTCAAAAGAGAACCTCCCCTCCCATTCATCGAAAAATACCAACTTTTCCCAAAAATTCTCATGATGACAAGAAAGAGGGAGCCTCAATCATCCCGAGGAACATGATTTGTAACACCAAAGAAAATCGACCCACCAACCAAAGCGTCTTTCAACACTCACCCGTACTATAGACTTTTCTCAAATCCATTTGCCTACTATTTTTTTTAAAGGGCTTCTATTACTTGTCCTTCCTATCAAAAGTAATATGTATTTACTTTGATGAATTTTTGCAACTTCCTAACTTGTTGTTCGTTTCAAGGCGTAAAGCTTTCGTTCAATGAATAGTAAAGAAGAGGAGAGGCAGCTGTCGCTCATTTGTCATATCATTCTCTAGTGTAGGACAAGAATTTGATTTTCTCTGGAACAAATTTAACAAAAAAGGGATATAAGTCCTTGTTTTCCTCGTTATTTGATGAACACTGTACACAATTGCAAATACAGTAAATGATGTGGAGTTATACGCACTTTTGTGTGCACAGAAAGAATTTTAAGCTTAAAAAGAAAGGGTTCGGTTGATACTGACATAATAAGCATCGCGTTAAAGATGTCTTACTTTTGTATAAGCGCCCAGTGTCACTGAGGAAAGTAAGGGGATGCTTAGGTTCTCAATCTGATGTTCTATTTCAGTTTAACCAGTAGGATTTTATTGCCTGGTATAGAACGATGACGGGACTTTTTTCCTTTTTTCTTTTAAACGTATTGTATCAAGGGTATATGCCCATTGCTGCTGTGAAAGAAAGTACATGAAGAGGTCTAGCAAAAAAGGCGGGGAAACAGCGGGGATGACAAACGTAAAATGTGGGGGAAAGACAATGGAACTCTTGAAATGCCCGTTCGACTGTTTGATTGGTAATGGTAGGAAGCGGGTTACACGTAAAGCTGCATATTATTTTCCCAATATTCAGTTACTGGTTGCACCTTTTTGAGATCGATTACTCACGGTGCCACAAGCCATTACGGCTGTGTATATTGCTATCTTCTCTCACTCACACTATCCTAGACTGTGGTTATCATATTCCCAATCAATGATTTTGGTATATAAAGGTCGCAAAAATTTGTTAGTTTCCCAGCACGATCTTTTCATAACTGTAATAAACCATTCTTACTTTTCTTTTCTTCTTTTTTTTTTTTTTTGTACTTTCATCATATCTCTAAGCACTCACACAATTTACTCTTTAATTGATCGATAATAAACTAAACGAATGGCATATAGTTTTCAACTCTACGTAGTCTGCGCTTTTGCGGCCATTGGTGGTTTCTGTTTCGGTTATGATTCTGGTGTTATTTCTGGCGTTTTGACTATGCCATCTTTTATTGCTAAAATGACCAATGGTGGTGATCATTTAGCAGCCATTCAAACTTCAGTCATTACCGGTTTGTTGTTGGCTGGTTGTTTTGTTGGCTCTCTTTTTGCTGGTAAATATTAGATTAAAAACTTGACATGTGCAGATCAAGGAGCCTGGAATAACCATAAAGATTGTTTTTTTTTTTTGTCCATTTTTGATATTGTGTAGCTCCTCTTTGTGAAATGCTTTCTCGTAAATATACCATCATTCTTGCCTCAGGTGTATTCATCCTCGGTGCCGCTATTCAAACAGGCACTAACGGTTACGGTATGATGCTTGGTGGTCGTTTCGTAGCTGGTCTCGGTGTTGGTTCACTATCCATGGCTTGCCCACTTTATCTATCAGAACTTGCTCCCAAGGAAATTCGTGGCCGTCTTATCTCTCTTCAACAACTTATGATTACTATCGGTCTCATGATTGCTGTAAGTCTATCGTTTCTAGATCAAGTGAAAATACAGTAGAACGGTTTTCAAACTAATATCATTGATCTTTTTATAACAGTTCTGGTGTGGCGCAGGCACCAATCTTCACATGACCAATGAAGCCGCATGGCGTATTCCTTTGGGCATTCAAATTATTCCTGCCGCTATCCTTTTCTGCGGTATTCCCTTCCTCCCCTTTTCACCTCGTTGGTTGATCAGCAAGGGCAGAAAGGAAGAGGCCTTGGCTGTTCTCGCTCGTCTTAACGCTAATGGTGACAAGACTAACCCTAAAGTCGTCGCCGAATACGAAGAAATTGTTGCTCAAGTTGAACATGAGCGTGCTGTTTCCGTAAACAGCTACGTCGAGCTTTTCAAGGGTACCATTCTCAGAAGAATTATTTTGGGTATCTGTATTCAAATTTTTCAACAATTCACCGGTATCAACTCGATTATGTACTACGCTCCTACCATTTTCCAACAAGCTGGTATCCAACAACAATCTGCCTCTTTGATTGCTTCTGGTGTCAATGGTGTCCTCAACGTACTCGCTACCATCCCTGCCATCCTCTTCTTGGATCGTCTTGGTCGTCGTTTCGTTTTGATTTCGGGTGCTACTTTCATGGGCTGTGCTATGCTTTTGGCTGGTATTGTCATGGCAGCTACCGGTCGCGTCTACTACGATGCTGTCAAGGATGAAATGGCTGTTGATATGTCCGGTAATACACACGCTTCTTACTTCTGCATCGTTATGATCTACTTCTTCGTCGCAGGTTTTGCTTATTCTTGGGGTCCTGTAGGTTGGGTTTATCCAGCCGAAATCTTCCCTCTCTCCGTGCGTGCCAAGGGTACATCTCTTACTACTGCTGCTAACTGGCTTATGAACTTTATCATTTCTCTCTTTGTTCCTGTCATGCTTACCACCATTACCTGGGGTACCTACATCTTCTTTGGCTGCTGCTGTATTGTCATGTCTGTCTGCGTCTTCTTATTCTACCCTGAAACAAAGGGTCGCTCTCTTGAAGAAATGGATCTTGTCTTCTCCGGTAATATCATCGTTTACAAGGATGCAAAGGAAGCTGCTCGTAGATTCAGAGACGCTCAGCAAGCTGAAAAGGCCGAACATGCTGAAGAAGCCAAGGAAGCAGTTTAATAACGCGGCAGCTGAATGGAAATGGACCTTTGACGTTGGAACCGGCTTTCCCTTATCACTGTTCCATATCCCATTTATTTACTATCACCATATCCTAATTTTGTATTCTATTTAATTTTCTCTTTTACCCATGTATTACCAGCACATTAGTTACTTTTACAAACTACATTTAATACTTTTTTTTTTTCGGTCAATTTTACCTAATTAATAAATATTCTTCAACCATCGTTTATAATATCACCCATCGACTTGGATATGTTCTGATCGTTACAATGAATATGCTTTGTACTCAATAATTTAAAAAGTATTTTCAAGACAGAAGAAAACGAACTCTTTAGTCTGGAATTCCCATCCACTGCTTCTATACCAAACATTGGATATAATAATACAAGGGATGAACGGATCTACTAAAGCGTTTTGTCAGCAAGAATTTTTTATATCTTTTTCCTAATGTTGGCTGAGGCAGCATGATGAAGTTCTTGTCAATCAAACGAACAAGCCAACTTCGAAAAGATAGAATATATTTTGGCTGGACAGCAATTATAACTAGCAGAGTATTTTTTGTAATTATTCAACAATGAATATAATGCCAACTTCATTGACTACCAACAATAAACAAAAGAGACAAGATACACAAAGAAGACTGTTCACCGTTGATGGAAGGTATAAAGGAAAGGTTCGAATATAGCCTAAAAAACAGTACCTTTTAGGACTATATTTGAATTAGAACATAATCGCTTACAATAAGCTGATCGTACAAGAGCAGAAGGTAAAGAATAGCTCCCGCATTTACCTTTTATCGAAGCAGTTTACCAACCAACAGCTACACGAGGCTACTACAGTTGTCTCCTCATCCTATTAGACCTTGAGCTTAAGAAGGATCATTACAATGGCTCTCAAACCAACTACAGATTTGATTAATTCATCGTACTAGGTTTTCAAAACTACTTAAAAATAGCGAACCGAAAAAATTGCTCTCTGATAGAAGGAAAAATGGAACTTTGCAGAAGGAAGCAAGATGCAATCGATATGACCGCATACAGAAAAGAGTTAAATAGAGGATTACCAGAGGTATCAATGAAGGCCAGTGCACGTCAAAAGACACTGTTGTAATCTACCGGCACAGAAGATACCACCAGACGCAGGCTATTGCCACTTTTTTAAGAATGTGATCGTCTGTAAAACAGATGCAAAAATGATCAGTGATGTACAGAATATTGCAGGTTTGCGTTGTACCGCTTGTTTTTCTGCATACAACAAAGCAAATACTTCACAGAAACAATAAAACTGAAGAAAAGCCGTAGTCTGTCGTACTTTGACGTGGCTTGAAAGACTAGCCATGTAATCCACTATTGTCTGACAGATCAGAATAAAGCCGTTAAATCGTTTTGGTTTGAAGCAGATGCATATTATTTGCTGATGGTAACATTTTGACCGCACGGGAAATTACGCAGTTCAACAAGCATGGATGTGCTAAACTAAGGACGTCCTATCTATTGCAAGCTATCATGTAGGTAATTCTTATTCGAATATCTTTAACACCAACACTTCTTGCTATCATAGAGCCTTCGATAATCTGAGAAAAGACTGATTCCTTCATTAACTGATAATTACATTTTGATGGAAAATGATCATAAAGAAAAAGTATTTATTTAAAGCAATAGTACTTAGAAAACTGATTAGAAAGGAAGAACAAAGACAGAGCAATGCCTGAGGTATGATTGCTGATTAAATAGAAGCGACAAAGGAGAGTAATTGTATAAAAAGGATGAGACAGAGGAGGACTATATACAAATATTGGCATATCTTTTTTTTTTTTTTTTTTTTTTTCTGCTTGCTTAGGCATGGTAAGCATATAACAGTGTATTTTTTTCTATTGTTGTGCTGCCTTCACAGAAGAGAAGTTTTCTTTCCCTAATTTGTGTTTGTCAGTGTAACAAGGCACTTTTTGCATCAGCTGCGTTTTTGTAAAATTGCATAATTGTCGTGCATATTCACTTTGAGCAAGCAGCATAAGGTCTTCTCTAGTCATCGAAGAGGCTACCTTGTTGCCATGTTGATCGAGCCTAGCAGGTGTTTTCGATTGTAAGGATGCCATATCTATGTACAAATGGTAACAACGAGTATTATGCTTTGTTATAGTGATAAATCAAGACAATTCTTGTGTAGAGTAATACGTTGCAATTTGCAAAGGGAAAAAAAAAAAGAAAAAGAAAGGCCAAATATATACTTTTTGTATTTCTGTCGTTGTTGGTTGTATATGTCTGTCATAGTTTTTTTTTTTTTTTTTTTTTTTTTTTCTGCCTCTCTTATACAATTCCAGCTCTTTCTGCACCCACTAAGCATGATGTCATATCATTATTACTTGCGGAGTTGTTTGCCAACTGAACTGTTGTAGTCTTTGTCCATACAAAAAATTTGAGCTTCCTAAACCTCATTCTAGGTGACCACTCATTTGTTAAAAGTGCGTCATTGGGTTCTTACCGGCTAAGAATAAAGAGTAATATGAGCCAATCACGAAAATTTACTTTTTTAAATGACATAAACATTGTCGTAGTCTTTCTTCGTTCCAGATTTGAAGGCTTGAGATTTTTGCAGATTGCGTCTATATCAGAGAGCTGTAATACAAGAGTGTTTAAATTTCGTACAACGAGGGTCGCATGCATCTTCTTCCTCATCAATTGTCAGATAGATCTAACAGATGCTTGGGAAACTATGCAGCAATATCGAAATATTGGCATCGTTAATGCAGCAACGCATTAAGCTATTAATAGCTGTTTTGCAGCTATGAGTACGAATTAGAGGATATATTGTTCACTGATCTAGGGTCTTAGTAGAATAGTTTACATCAAGCCAGAAAGGAGGAGTTGCCATTGTCGGCTAACGTTCCTCTATAACCTCTAGCGTACAAAGGAAATTTTAACCTCTTACATTTTCCCGATTTTAGTTGACCTTGGGGCTTCTCTTCATCGTCGATTAGCTAAATAGCCGCATTAAGTCGAGTATGTAGAGTGCAACAAACAAAGTTTGCCTTTGAAGCAAAAAATTATAAGAAATTTCTATTTCTGGTAATAGCGTTTGCACTTCCTTTTTTTGTACAAATCGCAATTGAAGTTACTTGACGTTTATTAAGCCTTTCTCACATTTTTTTCGATCTGTCATCGATTTTCTTTTTTTAATTTAAGCTTTTTTGCCCTACAGGCACAACTTCTAGATGGAAGGGTAGTTACATATACTGTTTTAGATCAAAATAACTAAACTAATACACCAAGGTGACATAAATGGGCGTTGAGATAGCTACCCGAGGTTGTGAGACACCGGTGCAGGCTCTGAACAATGAGACATATAAAACTCCCATCGTATTTGAGCAAAGATGTGGGTCGTTACGTTGTGGCATTGTCCATCGAAATGATGTCGCAGCCATTACAGTCCTCGCATTTCGTCAAAGAGTAAAAATAGTTTTGTTATTGCATGGCTCTTTTGTTTTTTCTACGATAAAGGTGTTCTTTTTACCCGCGTTCATGCATCGGATCATCGAAATATGCTGCGATTTAGCTTTGTTGCCGCGTAATACGAAGTCGGGCCATAAAGTTTCGTTATAACTGTCTATTAATCGTCTAAAGCAGTGCCCTGTATACGAAAAGTTCGGTTATAAGACACCTTTTTATCATGTAGACGAAAGAAACTAAAGATGGCCTCTGTAAAAAACTTGATTCTATTAATTTAAGTTTGCCAAACTTCTTTATGGTGATAATTGTAATAAATCGACCTGTCGCCATCTGCAGGAAATTATAAAAGATAATAGGCCCATCGAATATTTTAATCAGGATATTGATAAAAAAAAAAACCGGAGCTTATCTTTTCAAGATGTATGTTGCACGAGAAGGTGTGCAGAATTCAGAATATTTTCAAAATGCCCTTATGCTAATGAAGAATGTAATGGTGCATGTAGATGCTTTTTCTTTATTAACAGGTAATGAACAATGGGAATTCCGTGTTGTACCTGAATTTTTTTTTTAAAAAATAAAATTCTGTGATGCGATTATAACGTTTTACAGAACAACTCTACGTGTACATCTTACTCCGTAGTGTATGTTTGATACACAGGTCATCGTCTAGTGGGCTGTTTTATCGACTGAAATCGAAAAGACGATCGTTACAAGAATTTGCACGGAGCCTTCAATCATTTTAGAAAATGACCATAGCAGAAATGAAAATTAAAATCAAGCGTTCCATTTTGCAGCGTCATCTTTGTTGCTATCTAAAAATTGTTTCTGATCGATTCATTATTAAAAGAGCACCTTAGTCACTAGGAAAGAACCTAGCACTTGATTTGTAACAATAGCAACCTCCTATAAAGCGTTACAAAGTTCAACATGAATATCATTTACATCTGGTACATCATATAGCATATTTTATTATTCTAGCGTTTTTCGATTTGATCAAAACGAAACAGGGGGAGGGAGTGAATAGCAACTGTGATGAAGAGTTTAACTAGAATCGCTATTCTCTTTAATTTTTGTTATTTACTCAACAAAAAATGTCACTTGTACGCAGCATACACGCTTCTATAACTGTTGCGGAGCCGAAGATGATCGAAATAGACACATAAAAGCTTATAGAACGTAAAAAAGGTCTCTCGAGTGAACTTAAATTTTTTTAATCCGTATACTTATCCGGACAAGTTTGATAGAAATGTCAATCTTTCTTTATGCATGATGTTATAATCTTTCAAATGACGACTAGACCGAAAAGGCTATACTGGTGTTATATCATCCAGCAGCCTCAACCAAAAGTTAAAGGACAGTTCGTGCTCAACATTATCAGTGGCTTAACATTGGATCAGAGACTGTTTAAGTACACAGTGCTTTTTAACCAGCAACGTCAATTCCTTAATCACGATAGCATTCTTGCATATTACCATTTCAGGCCTTTACCTAAATCTTGCCATGCAACGCTGTTGTGCCTTTCTGATGTGTTGCTCTCTGTCATACAAGATTGCACGAGTTTTTATTTTTGACTCACAATCATATTGCTGAATTGTTAACCCGGAGTAAGGCTGACGGAAAAGTAGAAGACGTTCTATGTTGATAAGTTTTGCTCCTTTATTGAACTAGGACGGACGACAGCGATATAAAAAAAAGTGCAATAGCTCCTTTTCAGCACATCTTTGGTGGTGGTAGCCCCACTCTCTTTGTATAATTATTATTGGCCACAAAGAAAAAGGGATATAAAAGGGAATCTACATACATGATTTGTAACACGCTAAAAATTGAATTTCTTCAATACGTACGCCAAAAAAAAAAAGAAAACGATCCATTTTGTTGCATGCGTTCCTATAAAGTTATATTCAGGCATTTGACGTCGGAAACCTCAGGTCTCAGCTAGATAAATATTGAATCTTTGTTCTTACTTACTATAACATCCACATTTATCACCAGGAATAAGGAGTATGCACAAAGAATTCTAAGCGTATTACATTTATAAAATTTGTTAAGGAGTCTTGTATAAAGTTGGTTCAATTATCTATGGTTATCGGGAAAGGAAAAAGGACACTGGGGCGCAAAAAGAAAAGTTATATATCAAAAGTACCTTTACTGGGATCGACCATATATAATCTACTGTCCTAATGAATTAGGGAGGCACGGGAAGACAAAAAAAAAAAAAAAAAAAAAAAAAAAAAGGTACGCACGTACACACCATCATCAACCACCCACACGTAAAACCCTAATATACAATTTTTGGCATTTCAACCAAAATGAAATGCCCCCCCCTTTAGTAAGTTATCTCTTATTCTATTTCTTCTTCCCATCCTTTCAACTTATTCTGCTTTCTGAACCTTTGCTTTTTCTTTTTCTCATACTTTCGCAAGTCTAGTTTAAGTATTACCTTACCAACACACAAGTTCTATACATAAGATAACAATAATGGGTTGCTGCCAGTCTAATGAAATCCATGATGGAAAGGCTCGGAATGAAGAAATCGACAACCAAATCAAAAAAGATAAACTCAACATGAGAAATGAAGTGAAAATGTTACTATTAGGTAAACAACAACAGTCGGTAGCCTACAAAAAATATAAACAAGCATTTCTTTACAAAATGTAATACTTATACAAAATCATTGATTCTTTAAGGTGCTGGTGAATCGGGCAAATCAACCATCTTAAAGCAGATGAAATTGATCCACGATGGTGGCTATTCTCGTGATGAAAGAGAGGCATTTAAAGAAATCATTTTCTCAAATACTGTTCAGTCAATGAGAGTTATCTTGGAAGCAATGGAGAATATGGGTGTATCCTACGCCTCACCTCAGAGTAGACACCACGCTTCTATCATTCTGGATCTACCTTCTCAAATTGAGCGTGATTCACTCCCATCTGAAGTCACCTCGGCCATCAAGAACCTATGGAAAGACGAAAACTTAATAAGTGTCTTTGAAAGAAGTAGAGAGTATCAATTAAACGATTCTGCAAAATAGTAAGTTTTACTTCATTATAATTTATAACAGCATGGTCACACATTGTTATACATGAAGTTTACTTACTTTATATGGCTTTCATAATAGCTACTTTGATTCAATTGAGCGAATTGGCGATCTTACTTACCTTCCAACAGACCAGGATGTTCTGAGATCTAGAGTAAAAACGACCGGTATTACGGAAACGACCTTTGTAATAGGAGATCTTACATATCGTATGTTCGATGTGGGTGGTCAAAGGTCAGAGCGTAAAAAATGGATCCACTGCTTTGAAAACGTTACAGCTATCATCTTCCTGGTTGCTATATCAGAGTATGATCAGGTCTTGATTGAAGACGAGACCGTCAACAGAATGCAAGAAGCTCTGACCTTGTTCGATTCAATCTGTAACTCTCGCTGGTTCATAAAGACTTCAATTATTCTGTTTTTGAATAAGATTGATATTTTCAAGGAGAAGCTGCCTAGACATCCCTTGAAGGAAACATTTGATGATTTCGGAGGTAAAAGAAGTCTTTTCAAAAAGGAGAGCTTGTACGCAAGCGGAAAAAATGGTTATAAAAATTTGATCTCCAATCTAAATAACGTTCATTTCACATAATTAGGTCCTGAAACGTATGAGGCTGCCAGCGATTACATTCTAAACAGATTCGTATCATTGAATCAATCAGATTCCAAACAGATTTATACTCATTTTACTTGCGCAACAGATACTCAACAGATCAAGTTTGTCATGGCTGCCGTCAACGATATCATTATACAGAATAACCTAAGAGATGTTGGTCTCTTGTAAGCTTACACACATTCTATACACCTCCCTTATTTAAAATGCATTAAAAATCTTTCCCCATTCAAGAGAAATATAAATATATATGTATATGTATGCTTATATATATACACACCCTTAACAAGCCTTTTCTTCCCTTTTCAACCCATTACACTAATATTGCTTTTCGACGCTTTTTGTTTTCTTTCTTTGCAGATGATGTACAACCTATTTGAAATAAATAAATTAATATATCAACCTAAAACGCAGATAGACAGCAACTTCTGTTCGAGTGCCTGAAAGTATTTATTCTATGTCCGCGGAAGTGTTTCACTACCAACCAAAATCAGGTCACAACGATTTCACCCTCGCAAAGATTTCCCCCGACCCTGCCTCCCCCTCCCTCCTGTCAATCTCCACTCTTTACTTAGTTTAGATTACCTTCTTTTGTACATCAGCTTACATACACGAAATGTCATTGTTACAAAGAATCTCTCGAACGATTCCGTGGAAGAACGGTTGTCGAAATTTTAGCACTACAAGAACATCTCTTTCCTCAGAAATATCGCAGAATACAACCCCAGCAAAACCAACAGGTTTATACCAATTTTTCGAGAATAATGAAGCTTTACCCAAACAAATATGGACAGGTGAGAGAGGCACTTGGGAATTCTATTTGTAATCGAGAAAATGAAGCAGCAAAGTTTAATATCTCCAGATTAAATTTGTTGTATTAGGACGTGCTTGGAAAGCTCAAGAACTTCGTCAGAAATCATTTGAAGACCTTCATAAACTGTGGTATGTGCTACTGAAAGAGCGCAACTTACTTGCAACTCAAAAAGAAGAAGCCAGACGTCTAGGTTTGCCAAAGGAAGTATGGACAAACCAAGGCCGTGCGATAAAGGTACTAACACAACAGTAGAAATTTGATCAAAATATAATGGTAGAATCCATATATAACTCATAATGTCATATTTCGTATAGTGTCAAAAATCTATGGCTAGAATCAAACGAGTATTACATGAAAGACAATTAGAGTATGAAAAGACTTTATTAAAAAAGGACTCGGCATCTGCAACAACACCAGCATCCAAATAAACAATTTGCACACTTGATATTTATAAGCAGACAGAATCAACTCTAAAGCATTTATGATAATAAATAACAATGTGGATATTTATAGAGGGATCCTATTGATCATTTAGCGTTCATTACACTAGTTGAAATTTGAGAAGATAGCAAAGATCATTTTTGTATGGAATATCAGTTAGACCGAAAGCTGTAATAGTCAATAGATGAATAAGAATAGCATGTAAAAAATGTTTGCGCTTGACACAAGACACTTTAACAAGATAATATTGCCTACATCGGAGGCGTATGGTTTGGCTTAAAGTAAAAGATCAATGGCAGTTTGTCAAAATTTCTAGAGAACTAGTACACTGTATAATACATACTTCCGTGATTTGAGTATGCAATCGTAGCATTAGAGATGTTTGAGCAAGCGTTCTATAACCTTTCGTACTGATTTCGTTGACTGAACTTGCCACTATATGCAACATGCAGTAACTTTTTAATTGAAAAGTCTGATAAAGCCAGGCATGTCAACAAGCAAAAAGGCATTGCTGCAACTCTGAATTTAAAAAAAATCCTATGTTACTGGCCTATCTTTTAGACCAAATTAAATTGAGAGAAAAGGAAAAAGGAACCGAAAAAAGGGTCCATTTTTACAGTTTCTTTTACCTTTCATCTGTATACCAGCATGCTCGAAATGGTCAAGATGAAATCCAACGGGAAGAACCACTACTTCTCAGCTTTATTGTTATTTTTACTAGCATCCACAACTCTTGCGGATATATCAACTGTCGCGAATTCTTCCCTGCTTTGGGGAACTTACAGACCCAACCTATATTTTGGCACCAAACCGCGTTTACCTGAATCTGTCATGACAGGATTGATGTGGTTCGATGGCAAAAACTTTCAGGGATTTCAACGTAAAACCCTTAAATTCAAGCATTGATACAGCTTTGAGGAAACACTATTAAGAAAGAAATACTATTCTTTTTCTATATTGGATAGATATCCGTCATGCTTGTGATCAAGGTGATGGTATTGAGGGCTATGGCTATTACAAACATGATGGTAGAGACTTTGCATCTCAGAATATAAATGATAAACCTTCTAATATAAGGCTTAAAACCGAATTCTTGAATATACCCGGTGGAGATTGGGGTGTTCGCATCCGAGGTATACCATATAATGAGCATGGTATGATAGATCATTTTTCTTTTCAATTTCTTACGGTATTTGTGGATCTGATTAAAAAAAGTACAATTTTTCTCTTATAGAAGAGCCTGTCACATCTGTCTTGTTCTATGTCGGAATTGACGGTGCTGGTGGTATAGATATCATGAGTAAACTGGCCAAGAAGGTTGGTCGTAGCATCAGAGACATACAAAGCATTTAATCCTCGCGATTCTAATACGCAAGGTATTTCTCGTAGGGTTTGCATTCGCCTGTCAAATTAGAAGGCGACACTCCAGATTTGGGAGACTTTGAGATACAAATTGTCGATGGTAATATTGTAAACGTTTGGATGTTATAAAAAAAAACCAAAAAAAAAAAAAAACCAGCAAGACTCTTTACTAAAATAATAAGGATATTTCCCATCAAGATCCCTTAAATGTTTATCCTCAAGATGATATGGACGGGCAAGATCTTCAGTTAACTCAATGGTTTGGAAGAGAACTTCCACAAGGAACTATCTGGAGAGCAAAAGGTATACGCCGAGAGAATAAAGTTGTTTCTCCATGATAAACTTTCTAATTAGTTAACCATGCAGAGATCGTATTCGAAAACATCGTCAGAAATGCCAGAGATAGACTCCAAGGTATACAAGAAAAGGAGCAAGAGGCTCTAGCAAAGCCATTTAAATATTTTATCCTGGGGAATACGTTGGAAGAAGCTGATGGTGAAGTAGCTAATGTATACGTGTTTCAGAAAGTTTTCAAAGGCGAGTTCCAGGTAGAAGAAAATTCCGTGCTTACACGAGTTCGTATTGTCTGTGAAAAGGCTAATTTACACAAAAACTCTTTAGTTCGATGTGCTTTTCCGTTCCATGAACACAGATAATCAAATAACCAGTAAGAAAAATAGGCATTGTTTATCTACAATTAGAAAAGAGTGTATAATGATATCCCCTTTTTGATAGCTGAAACACTCAGTGCGGGCTTGCATAGAAAGGAAATCGACTTTGATAATCGTTTCGAATCTATTTTCCAACTGAAGCAAAAAGGATTTACAGATGATGAAATTGAATTTGCTCAATACTTATTGAGTAATATGCTCGGTGGAATTGGCTACTTTTATGGCTCATCCGTCATTGATCGTTCTCATCCGCCTATGCAAGATGAAGAGGATTTCAAAGGAGAACCCGTAAAGCCTGAGTTAGCGCCCCCACAGGCCTTATTTACAGCAACTCCTAGTCGTCCATTCTTCCCTCGCGGGTTTTACTGGTAAATGAAATAGTACTATTTTTTTTTTTTTTTTGTAATCACAGCTGGGTTAACACAATTAAACGCGCGTATCAAACAGGGATGAAGGCTTCCATCAGTTACTCATTGGAGCTTGGGATAATGACCTTAGTTTGGATATTATTAAACATTGGACTGATTTAATAGATGAAAACGGTTGGATTGCGCGTGAACAAATTCTCGGGGAAGAAGCACGTAGCAAAGTGCCACAGGAATTCCAAACTCAATTCCATCATTACGCCAACCCTCCTACTCTATATCTTTCTATCAAGCAATATATTGATCGCCTGGAAAAACATTCGCGGCATAAAATGTTGAATGAGATAAGCAGCCAAGCGAATCAATTCAAAATGGGTACTTTGGAGAATACCGATATCCTTCGCAATCTGCATTTAGATGATCAAAAATTAGCTCTCGATTGGCTCAAGTCAATTTATCCTAAACTTCGCAAAAATTGGCTCTGGTTCCGCTCTACACAACATGGTTATTTGGAACGTTTCGGCCGCCAAGCACCCTATGATGAGGCTTATCGCTGGAGAGGACGTACTCCTAATCATACATTGACGTCTGGTTTAGATGATTATCCTCGTGGCCAGCCTAGTGTTGGTGAATTACACGTTGATCTCCATTCTTGGATGGCTTTCGCTACTGGGCTTTTGGAAAATATTGCTGCTAAACTGGGCCCTGAATACGAGAACGATAAAAATGAATATTCAGAAATTCAAAAACACATGCTTATCAATCTTGATATTCTTCATTGGAACAAGGAAAAGCAAATGTACTGCGATCAAGCCATAGAAAATAACAAGCCTGTTCATATATGCCATAAAGGTTATCTCTCACTCTTCCCTATGAACCTTGGACTTTTGCCCGCTGATTCACCAAAGCTTGGCGCTATTTTAGATCTAATCGAGTCCGAACTATGGTCTCCTTACGGCTTGAGATCTTTATCAGCCTCCGATCCCTATTTCTCTACAGGCGAAGATTACTGGCGAGGCCCCATTTGGATCAATATCAATTATTTGACACTTCAAAGCTTGTATAAGGTAATCAAACAGTTGCAGAAGCAGTCTGTAGATATTTCTAACTAAACTTTGTCTGATGATAGAATTATATGCATACCCCGGGCCCTTATCAAGACCGTGCTCAACGCATCTATACTCGTTTAAGACAGAATCTCATTCGTAATGTTTACAAGGTAAAGGAAAGCTCAATATTGATCCTCTAAATTGAACATTTTCTTCTTCTAACCACTGTGGATCTCATCATTGATTTATAGAACTATAAGAAAACCGGATACGTGTGGGAACAATATTCTGAAAATGACGGACATGGTTTGCGTAGTCATCCTTTTACCGGCTGGTCCAGTTTGATTTTGCTTATTATGGCAGAAAAATACTAGATATTAATTTGGTGTACACTCATTCAGTATTTGCAACACGTATAGTAGATATAGTACTTTATATAAATAATGCACATTGCATATGACAATAAACGATATAACAATAAACCGCATCAGAAAAGGCTATTAAAAAGACTACGTTTTACATTAAAGTAAATATCACCTCCAACATTGGTTAAAAGCAAACTTTAATACGTAGATTTATCTACCTATAAATTAGTTGTATAGTGTTTAATTAAATTGTGTTTGATGGCTCTGAATTGTTGCTTTACAAGTGGGATCAGATTACGCGTGATGGTCTCTACCGCGGACACGTCCTCTGAAGCCTCCACGACCGCCGCGACCGCCACGACCGCCACGAGGAGAATCATGATGGCGATTATTGGTACGATTGCTGTCAGTATGATTCTGACCACGGCCATCTTGTGTATTTCGGCTTTGAAGGTTTTGAGTTTGTGCAGTATTTTGATGAGAGGGGTTGCTGACATTGATTACAGTGTTGAAAGATAGAGTTGCGCCTCTAAACTCGGAACATCTATACAAAATGTTGCCAATGCATTTAGCAAATCTTGAAGCAACTTTTACGTATTTCAGAGATGATGAATACTTACTTTCCACCAAGGTCAGTTCCGCTCATGAATGTCGAATCAAAGATAACATCGATTGTCTTTTCGCGGACACTCACCACTGTACCCTTTGTAGCAATAGGCACTTGGCCAGTCTCGCAGGCATAGACAACACGATCACCCAAAGAAAAGGTTTGATAGTTCAAACGGACTTCAGCATCGGCAGGCTTCAACAACACCTTACGAGGAACACCTCTAATGATTACTTTCTTGAGATCTAGGTTTTCATATAATTCATGGTAGCAAGTTGCAGCATTTTCAATTTCTTTGCAATATTTCTCTTCCAATTCATCTTCATCCAAACGAGCACGTGTCAAATTATTAATACCCTTATTTTTGATAAATTCTCTCATTTCATGAAGGGCCTTAGAACCATCGTCTGTCCAGCCAAAATCGGCAACACTGAGCATTCCCCCACCATTTTGACTGCTGAGCAATGCAATAAATTTAGGGAATGCTTCACAATATTCTTTGATAAGGGCTACAGCAGCTCCAGAATATTCCCAATAGCCAACAGGATGTTTGCGAGTGTACCCCAACACTTTTTCTCCACGGCCGTCGAATTTTAAGCTGAGACCTACGTTTATACGTTGACCGCTCTTCTCATTCACCGTCAGGGAGGAAGTAATCTTGGATAAAGTTAAAGGATGTATACTGAGCTTACGACAGAGGTCTTGTGCAGACACGAACTGAACCTCTAGTTCTTGTTTGCGAGTCATGTCATGTCCAAATTCAGGCTCGTGTTGGTATTTCTCATTGATAGGAACGGTCATCTCAATATCAACGTTGCCCTTGCGATGACCTACTACTGTAACTTGAGAACCTAAGAACTTACTGCCCAAGAAAAAGGCTGACGATTTCAAAGGGAAGCTCTCTTGTACAGCAGGAGCAGGCTTTTCCATAAATCGTGGGTCAGGATTGGCTACCTTGATAACCACCGTTTGAATAGGTATAAGGTCTTCCATAGAGGGGTTAACAAATTCTTTAACAAGAGCACCTTCTTCCGTTTGATGCATACCGTTCAGAGTACAGACATGGAAACCGACCTCAATATCACCGACAATTAGACCGAAACGCTTGCTGGGAAGATATTCGGCACGACCCATACGAGACTCCCAAGATTCCTTTTCCTTATTGTCCCAGAAATGCTCGAGGATCTGCTTCTTACCGTCTCTGAAGGATACGTAATACTTTTTCTCTGCATCAGAAACACCGATAACAACAGCCTCTTGCAGATAAGGATAATGAACATAGACGCTTCTGTAAAGGAATAGCTTAGCAATTTCTGCAATATTTGCACCACGGAACTTATTGTTGAGATGAATGAGGACTGATTCATTACGACTATCTTGTTGAAAGACATGAACAGAGTGGTGCTTGATTTCATGACTAAACGGAATAGTTTGTAATGAGGGAAAACCGGCCAAAGCATCTTTACCAAACTTTGCTCCTGGCAACAATCCCTTCCTGAGCTGAATCGTATCAGTCAATTGAGGAAGATGGTAGACTTCTTCACGAGCAAGACAGTGATGAACATCAGGGAAGACACCAGGCAATGGGCTGGGAAACACAGGCAATTGTTCACGGTCGATATTTTCCAGGGCTTTGTTGAAGATGTATTTGTAGCTAGGACCAGATTTAGACATGGCGACCTCTTCCTTTGTCAAACGATGCTCACGGCTTTTCATGGCTGCCAATAAACGCTTCTCATCAATGAAAGGAATTTTGACAATAGCCTCCCAATCTTGCTTCTTTCCGTTCATATCCATGGAAAATTGCCGAGGGTAGAAATCAATAATAGGTGAATCAGGATCTGTCATCAAGTCCTGATAAGCAGTAGGTAGCAGTTTTTTACTCAAGCTAGGCAAAACACCCATCAATTGCTCGAAAGGTTTAAATGGTTCACCAAGAGTGAATTGATGGTCAGAAAATCGCCCAATATTCTTCAAATCTGACATTTTCGGTGCATAATGGTATGGGAAGAACCAACCCCAAGAAGCTACACCTTCATAATAATACTTGAGAACCCATTGAATACCGACAATATAAGAACCTACTAAATCGTCCATAGCTTTGCTATCATCGATATCAATGTCCATCTTTTCCTTATAGTAACTGGCCTTCCATTCTTTCAAATCTGCTTCAAACTGCTCCTTTTCTTGACGTTCAATATCTTCCTTAGTCAAATTATCAGGAATAATCTCAGCATCTTCATATTTACGTAGCACACGATCGCGAGCGGCAATTGCTTCCTCATCGAGTTCTGATATGTCAGACTCGTTATCGTCCATGGTATCTTCGTCGGTATCAAAAGAAAGTTCGACGAAGGTGGATTTAGTATCTTCATCATAGTCAAACTGAGCAACCATATTCAAATCATCAGCTAATTTTTCCATAAATTTCTTATCACGAGACTTAAAGGGCATATCAAACTTGAGCGTAACACCTTTACGTGTTGTTTCTTTGACAAGTTCTTTGCTGACTTGACGGAAGATGAGTTCTTGCTTATCTGTAATCACCATTTTCCCTTGTTTGGCTTTCTTTTTTTCTAGCTCGTGTAGTAATTGACGTTCTGGTTGACCATCTTCACCTTTACCGCGTAAATATAGAAGGTCTGTAGCTTCCATTTCAAAAGCTTCTTTTTCTACAACCTCAGCAATCTTTGACAGTATCCTTTCAAGTCTCTCCATATTCACTCTTCCGCCATCCTGAATATACCCCTCACAAGTTGGTAGGGTTTCTTTATAGATTTTGAAAACAAGACCCAATGCACCTTCGTTGATATGCAAGTTGGGTAAATTAGGCAAGAAATCGTTACCTACAAATAGAGCCATCAAGATAAAGTCATCCAAAACACGTTCAAAATCGTAGGGAAAAGAAAGAGAAGCCCGTAAACTGTTGAATTCAAGATCCAAGTATTCCCTCATTAATGATAAATGCATCAAGTAAAAGTTTTGGCTATCCAAACTGAACAAGTGCCAGTTTTTACGTCATATATTGCAAGAGGAAAAGAGAAAATGTCAGGATCACAGTTCTACATATTGTACTCGCATTGAAACTTACGTCTTTTTCTTTTGATTCTGACGACCGAAAGATACTTCCTCACGCAAAAGAGCAAAATGAGGATCGTGGCTCAACAAGCCAAGCATAATTAAATCAGCATCCAAACCATACAAACAATGTCTGGTATTGGGATCATAATCAGGCTGTGCTTTGGATAAACGAATATACTCCATAATCTTGTGCTCGCCTTCACCAGGAACATCAGGACCTGATAGCACAATTTCCACGTTACGCCAATTGGCGTCTTCAGATACTTTTTTGTTAATGAAATAGCGAAGTTGTGCAGTTAATTTCCTCATGAATTGTGTTCCAGGTGTGATACAATTAGAGTCAAATGCTTCTACATCGGGTAACTCTTCCCCTCTTGCTAAAGCTTTTTTTCTCTCTTCTTCAGCGTCTCTAGCAGTACGGAAACGACGCGATCGTTGTTGGTTCATCTTGGCTCTGGGCGCAACACCATCAACAGCCATAAAAAAGAATTTCTTTGGCTTGATTTTGGAGAACAAGTGATCAACATAGTTGAATACCTGCAGCCAAATTTGTTCTTCAGTAATTCTGAAATGAGCATTGGTATTGTTGTTATGTGAACAATTGTGGATAATGCCATTCATGTCAAGGTATAGATTATCTTATTTTTTGAAAATATAGAAATGGTAGGGTAGGTTAAACAAAAGCTTCTGTTGCTAATTAACTGTATGGGCTTTTCTAAACTGGCTGTACGAATACCAACTGCCAGCCCATTGAAAATGCCAGGTAAATGAACTAACCGAATTCTGGTATGGCCTTGTCAGTGATCAGTTGTGAACACATAGGATAGCGTTCGCTTTTTAACGTGCAAAGAAAAAACATAATATTACTATACGGTACGCTTTCATAGCACAATATAGGTTTATACGTACCTAATCCATCTGAAAAATTTGGGAATACCCATATTAAGTTAAGAATATGTTTAAGTAATAGAAAAGATAACGGGGAGGAAATCAAATGAAAAAAGTTTCTTTATTTTTATTTTTTTTTTATTTTTTTTTTTTTGCAAAGTGAAAATTTGCGCTCTTATAAATCCACGAAGAAGCTTAACTCTGACTTAATTTCAAATGGTATGACTTTAATCTATATAGAGGAGGAGTATAGGTTAGATAAACACGGTTGGCAGTCGTCCCTGGTTAATTGTTTGCGTGTTCTTTACCTGGTAAATTGGCTATAGCCGTGCTTACTCATTGAAAACCCTAAGCCGCTTTCTTTAGCTCCGACCCAAGCTAAAGCAGGATCAATGTAATCACAACGGTTCATATACCAAGTACCCGTTTCAATTCGATCACCAATTTCAATGGCTTTCTCTTCATTTGAAGTCCAGATACTCGCTGTCAAACCATACCTTGAATCATTCATCAACCTGACAGCTTCGTCATCTGATGATACTTTCATTATGCCCAGTATAGGTCCGAATGTCTGCATAAAAAAAGTTTTTGAGTAACAATTCATCTCCACTTCAAATAAAAGAAAAAAGGAACAATGCTATACTTCTTCTGTCATGATAAGCATATCATGATTTACATTGACTAAAATTTGAGGTCCAATATAGCATGTTTCTTCCTACAGATCACGTTGTTTATATAGGTTGTGTTATGACACTTTAACAGTGGCTGAATAGTTTTCGTAACGTATCTATGTGCTCACCTTTTCCATGGGAAACACTTCCTTGGTGTTTATCAATGGCTTGGCTCCTTTATCAAGTGCGTCTTTAAGCTGAGAACGCACATTATTAGCAAATCTAATATTTGCCATAGGTCCTAGTGTTGTTTCTTGCTTAAAAGGATCCCCGAGGACATAATTCTTAATGCATATAGTAGAAGAAGCGTGAATATAAAAAAGGAGGCTTCTTCTTTCAAACCTTCGTGGGGTTTTTTTGTTTGGCTATTGTTTACCTTGGTCATAGCAACAACCTTCTCAACGAATGCATCATAGATTTTTTCATGCACATAGCAACGCTCAATTGAACAACAGCATTGTCCAGAATTGAAAAAAGCGCCGTCAATAATATTTTCTACGGCAAAATCCAAATCTGTATCAGGCAGGATATAGGCAGGATCCTTTCCACCCAACTCCATGCCACAACCTTTAAGTTGTTGACTATCACCAATAGTTTGTCTTATCTTCTTGCCAACAGCCACACTGCCTGTAAAATTGACAAATTGAATAGATGGATGCTGAACGAGATAATTCGCTTCCTTATCCTGCAAATGAACCACTTGAACAACATCGTGAGGTATGCCGGCCTCTCTTAGTGTCTCCACAAATATGTCTGCACACTGAAGGGCTTGAGGTGATTGCTTCAAAAGAACAGTATTGCCTGCTATCAAGGCGGGGATGATGTTGTTTACAGTCGTCAGAAAAGGATAATTCCAAGCAGCAATCAAGAAGACAGGACCTAAAGGCTCTTTGCGTTGGAACCTTTTCACCTTGCCGGGAATATACTCGATGATATCATCTTGAAGACTCTCCTCGGCCACAGAAATCATATAGTTGGCTCTTTCGAGGACGCCTTTCACTTCACCATGCCCGTAGCGGATGGGGCGACCCATTTGAGAGGTAATAGACCGGGCTACTTCGTCCTTCTTTTGTTCAAATAGAGTACAAAACTTTTTCATACATTCTATACGATCGCTTAAGGGTACTTTCTTCCATTGTTGAAAGGCTTGTAGAGATGTCTCTACAGCTTTATCAACCTCTGTTTGCGTAAGGGCATTCACTTCATAAACGACTTGTTGCGTACTAGGGCAGATAACTTGAATTGTGGACGATTGCGTCATTTTAAAAGTGTGAGAAAGTCCAAAGAGAAAATTCAAATTGCTTAAAAAACAATTAGAAACTGTTTGATTTTTATTTTGAAGGAGGGCATGATAAGTCTAAACCTGAAATTCACAGTCATAATCTTATTTGTTTGCTCTGTTTCTTCCAATCTTTAACTTTATAATGTTCTTACGGTTTATTCACAATCCGTATGAAGAAGGTTATCAAACGGGATAAGCGTTGTCATTATATGGTCAAGAAGCAATAAAGCAGTCTATGAATATCAATTGCCAAATGCTCAGCTTGCGTATAATTTCTGCTTTTTCGTAACGGATGACTCCATTTCTACAAATTCGGAAATACAACTACCGACTTTCGGCAACTTGTAACACAATAGCTATTATGCCGTGGATAGTATTCTTCATAGTTTCAGTGCTCTAAAGGTATTTCTATGTTTAAAGAAAACCAAAAACTTGACGAAACTGCTACAGGCCACGAAAATGCATATGCTCAACCCAACCACGTGCAAGTCTAAAACCAATGGATCGTTTACAATTCTATGTCTGGCTCTAAATATCCATATTATATAATACAATGGCATTGATTTTTTGTCCACTCTTCCCTTCGTTTTGAATTTCAAGACTGCAAAAATGCAGACATATCACTGTAATTTGGACATATGCATACCATAACGAAACCTGCAATGTAAATATCGTGTACCTGATATCTTCATTTGCCTAATTTGGAGATATTTCTGTGCATATCCCTTGTTTTAAAATTCTCGTGGTAAGACGGATGCCTTTGGATACTGGCTGCATGCTCTTTGTTGTCTCAAAATGCTGTTACTCAAGCCCTTACACTCCTTATTAAAATACTATCGCTGGATAACTCCTTATTTAGTTTAAAAAATCAGGTAAGCATTCTCAAGTAACGTAACTGAGTATAGGGTTGATCGCGAAACAGGTGAAGGGAAAGCTGTTTATGAAAGCGCAAGTTTTAATGGGGCATGTTTCTAAAATTGTAAATTTGTATTTTTATCTATTGGCTCAAAATAGCTTTGGGCATTTGGAAAAAGTTGAGATCTATCTTTGCCTGACCCTTTTTTAGAGATTTCTTTCTCAGCCTAATGAATATGAAATGTTGAAGCCCTTTGCTATATTATTGTCTTACTTGGGTATTCTTGCCCTTTTTTTCTTTTTTTTCTTCATTTTGAAAGCGAATATCTTCATCTTGCCTATATCTTTTTCATCTTTCTACGACGAAGCGTAATCCCTTCACCAAGTGCGCGAAGACTTTAGATTTTTGTTAAAAACAGCAGTCAAATAGACAGAAGAGAAAAAAATAAAAAAACACACTGTTTTCAACATTTCTATTTTTCTTTTTCTTTGTTCAACATACTTTGACTATAATATCCATCTATTACACCCACAACCGATTAATATATACTTCATAACATCAACGTAATTATTCTTTGGAGACACCCTCATACTATCAGAAGATGAGCCAAATCACATACTTTTTCGACGCACTAAATTTCAACGGCATATGTAGAACTATTGCTCTTAGTCTATGTCCTTTGATTGGAGAACATGATGCCATCGAACCAGTTTGTTATTCCCGTAACGTTGACCTTGGAGGAAACATTATCTTCCAACCTTGTAAGTTGCGATATTCAATTTGATCTATACGAATGTGACAAACGCTGTCAAAAAATTTTTTCTGTCAATTCTTATCAAATTCTGCGACGTTTGTACTTCCTTAACATCTGTAGCCACTCTAATTATTGATGTTGTTGCTATCATCATGGTTTTAATCATGGTCTACCATATCCGTTCTAAGTATACTGCTGTTGGTAAGTTTCTGATGTTAATGGTATTTGTGTCTTTTTTTTTATTTTGTTGGGTTTCCGTTCAGAAGAGCTTATGACGTTGCTTTTTTTTCGGGTCTTTGACTCAACATTGTTCTCATCACAAATTTGTATTCTCGTTATGCCAATAGGTCGACAAGAAATTGTTATGTTCTTTTATATGTATATGATTACCACTTTACTTGATATGTTACTTGTTACCGGCATTATTCCTACATCCTCCTCTGCATACCCTGTAAGTTGAAGTGGACCTTTTGTTTTGTTTTCTTTTTTTTTTCCAGAAAAGACAAACAGGTCTATAAATAATTTATTAATCTGAAATTGAATTTATTTTTTTTTCTAACCCATATTTTTTTTGTTTTTGTGTCTTGGACAGTGGTTCACAGCTATTCACGTAGGCTGTATATGTGCTACTTACTGGTGTTTACTCTTAAATGGCTTTGTTGGTTTCCAGTTTGCTGAAGATGGCACACCTCTTTCTCTCTGGGTAAGTTAAAATGAAGGAGTTCTGAGAACAACATGGTTCCTAGTTTAACAGGAGACGTAAAGTTAACTAACGATCTGTAATATAGTCAATTCGTATCAGCACTTTCATTTGGTTCATTGTCACGGGTTTCCTTGCCATCGGTACTTTCTTAGGTGTTGGAACACTTTCTTACAAGAATCAATCAGCATTGTGGGTCTTTGCTATTGTCTTGAATTGGGTCATGTTCTTCATTTATATTGTTTCACAAATCATTCTAGTTATCAACACATTGGATGATCTTTGGCCATTGGGTGATATTTTGTTTGCTGCAGGCTTCTATGCCATCGGCCAAATTTTGATGTATGTCTTCTCAGTTGTGATCTGTGACAGCACAAAGCACTATGTCGACGGCATGTTTTTTGGCGCTGTCTGTAACTTATTAGCAGTGATGATGATCTATAAGTATTGGGATTCAATTACCAAAGAAGATCTCGAATTTTCAGTCGGCTCAAAGCAGAATGTTTGGGAAGTCAAAGAACTGTTGAATGAAGATGAATTATCACAATCTTATGGTACTTATCAACACACACCACCTCCACCCACTACTCAACATTATCAACCTTACGAATAAAATTTAGCTAAATCACAATTTGGAAACGTCTCACTTTTTCGAGAAGAGACCCCTTTTAACTTATATAATTTATAGACTGGAAAAAAACGTGCAAACACATAGTAAGCAACTTTTCAAGATTTTTCATCTTGTCAACTCACATTCAACATGTAAATAATCTATTCACTACCCTTTTTCTTTTCCTTACAACTTAAATTGTACTCGTACTTTAAAAAAATATTTTTCCATTTTTCATTTCCACACAAAAAAAAAAGGCATAAAAATAACAAACACGGGCTTTTTTTTCTTTCCTTTTTTTTCTTTTGCTAAAATCCTTTCTTTTTAAGCATAATTACATCAAAAAAGTACATGTTTAGTAACAGTAATAGTATATGCCTGCCGAAAAAGAAGAGATAGACATACTACCTTCCCAACAATCACACCCATTATACGCAACTTTAGAAAGCGGAGCCGATGGTAAACCAGGAGGCATTTTGATTACAAGTGTTGGGCAAGAAGTATTGCCTCATATTTGGCTCGGTGGCTATAAGGCATTAGAATCTATCCATTTTCTGCAAAAGAACAATATTAAATACATTCTGACCCTGGGACATTTCAAGCATCGCTATAAATCACCAGAGTTTTCACATAAGGTATAGACTAAGGATCATGATGTTTTTGAAAGAAAAATGAATCATCTATTCACATGGTATTGTTGTCATTATGTCCATCTAGATTATACCAATCAGCGATAATCCAGAAGCCAATATCATACAACATTTTCCAGAAACAGAAGCATTCATAGATGAGGCACTTGCCAAAAACGAAAATATTTTAGTGCATTGCTTAGCAGGTGTATCTCGAAGCCCCACCATACTGACAGCGTATCTTATGTCCAAGCGGAGAATGAGGTGGAAAGCAGCACTGGCTTTAATCAAGCAAAAAAGACCCTTTGTCTGTCCCAACCCAGGGTTTATCAACCAGCTTCGACTCTTCCAAGAAATGAATTACGAATTCACAAAGGACAATCCAGCTTATTTAGAATATTTAGATCAACATCCTATAGATGCAGCTCATTACGGTCATGAAGACGAATATGAATAGACAAAGAATAAAAACGAGTACCATTGCGCAATTATATGCTAAAGCATATTACTTACATTATTATCTATTTATCCATTGTTTTGTTGTGCCTTGATAAAGAATTCTATTTTCCGAATATCCCCATGGATTCATTTGTTTTCTTTTCCATATTATTCAATTCGGTGGCCCAAAATCATCCGTTCATGCAACTTTTCGTTTGCAGATCGAGGGTATCGCTTGTGACGGTGTTTTGTGAGAATGAGTTTTCCCAATGCCTCCGTTCTGTCCTAGAGTAAGAAAGCGTTTTGTGTACACATTAAGCATCATGTCTGATCCGATAAAGAAATCACGATGGGTTACAGAAGATGAAGATAATGAGGAACCTAAAAGACGGGAGAAAAAGCAGAAACATCGCCATGATAATCACCATCGCTCCCATCGTACGCACAAAAGCGAAACAGCAGCAACAGCAGCAGCAGCAGCAGCAGCAGCAATAAAAGCTACTGTCAGTCCTAAAGATCGCATCCTGAATCGTGCCGCTACTATGAATACCGCTTTAACAGCAGGAGCAACTAATGCGAGCGCTGCTAAACTATACCCTTATTTGAGAGAGTGTCGACATGTCGACTGTTTTGAGAAGCTTAATCATATTGAAGAGGGATCTTATGGTGTCGTCTTCCGTGCGCGCGATAAAGAAACCGGCGAAATAGTAGCCTTAAAAAAACTCAAATTGCAGTTAGAACAAGGTGGATTTCCCGTAACAAGCTTGAGAGAAATTCATGCCTTAATGAATATAAAGCATCCTAATATCGTGAACGTGAGGGAGATTGTGATGGGAAATCGCATAGAACAGTAAGCTTATCCTCTGTATTTGTCCTTGAACTTGAGAAATTCTTACTGACGGATAGATGGGATGATACATAGAGTATTTATTGTTATGGACTACATTGATCATGATCTAAAGGGTTTAATGCAAGATATGCGTTCGCCGTTTTTGCAGTCCGAGGTAAAGACGCTGATGTTGCAGCTGTTATCAGCCGTTGCTTTGATGCATGAAAATTGGTATATCCACCGTGATTTGAAGACGAGCAATCTACTGCTGAACAATCGTGGAGAAGTCAAAGTGGCCGATTTTGGATTAGCAAGAAAATATGGTAGTCCTCTGGGAAATATGACACAACTCGTGGTGACATTATGGTACAGAGCACCCGAACTTTTGTTGGGCGCAAAGGAATATACAACAGCCATTGATATGTGGTCTGTAGGATGTATCTTTGCAGAGTTACTGAATAATGAACCTTTATTGCCAGGTCGAAGCGAAATAGATCAATTAGATAAGGTAATCGATTTTGAAAGAGGTGATTACTGAAAACTGTTATGTTACTTGTTAATAACCCCCTGCCCACATCCAAAATCATAGATATTCAAGTTGTTAGGTACACCTACTGAAGAAATTTGGCCTGGATTCTCAGAACTACCTCATGCCAAGAACATAGCACCCATTCATCAACCCTACAGCACTTTAAGAACAAAATTCACCACTCTAACCCAAGCAGGCTTGGACCTCTTGTCAAAATTATTAACTTATGATCCCACAAAACGCATTACAGCCGAAGAAGCACTCAACCATCCCTATTTCTCTGAAAGCCCAGCGCCCAAGGATCCATCATTATTCCCTACCTGGCCATCCAAGAGTTCAGGGCATAAGTAAGTTCATCGTTTTGAATTATAATCAGCACATATAGTTTTAATACCACTCCTAATCCCCTCCTCTCGCTCAGAAAACATGAATTTAGTCCTTCTGCTCCGGCTGCAGCCCATGGTGGTGAGGCACAAGAACAGGATGCATTGGCTGGTACAATATTTGGTGGGCAAACAGAATCAACGGGTTTCCGTTTAAAATTTGCATAACGATAAGGTGTTCTTTTTCTTTGTTAATCTCCAAATTTATCTATATGTCCACTTTGAATATCTTTTCAATTACTTCTTTACATGATGAATGTACTGTCTCAATGATAGGCTGTTTTTGTGAACTAAAACGCTAAACTACGTTTATCGGTCATGACGCGAACAATACAACCGTTTCCAGCCACCTCAGTTAACTAAAGTTGAAAGAAAAAAAATAGACAGATGAGATCTCCCGCCATTTTGAATGTTATCCTTGACTGTTGATTTTTTTCTTTCAATTTACCTTTTCGTGCCATGTCAATAAAGTGCTAGAGTTGAACATTTCTGGTTTTCCCATACCAGCATATAAATACTTCATCAAAACGTCTTGTTGTTCAGTAGAAAGAGATTTGACAAATTGGGGAATATCGCTTGCTCGGAATAAATTTAAAACTTCTGCTACTGTTTTTGTACTTTCAGCCTATGGATGGACGTAATTAAGCATAGGTATGTCAAAAGGATGACCGAGATGAAGGAAGCTGCCAACTATTTCCTTTTTGCTAACCTTTGCAGAATCAAATTGTCGACCATAGGGTGGCTCTTCCAACGCGCGAAGTAGAGCATTATTCAAATCGCTTCTAAATAATGGGTAGAACCATAACGAAATGCGTTTAGTTGGGCGGTGGTTTGTCGTAGATTAACTTGATTTCGCTTCAGTATAAAAGAATTTACTTTGATAGCAAGTTACGAACGTCGGTGCTTCGTGTTTGGCTTGCTTGGTTCACTTGTTCTGGAGATAGACCACTCTCAAATTCGGCGAGGATTTCGTCCTCAGTGTAAGCATCTTCATCATATTGGTCAATGTCAATTCTGCGCCAAGACATGTTGCGTTTCTTAGTAGGTAAGGTCGTGGATGGGGGGAAGAACTGGTCGGATTCGCTCCAATTTAGCAGGAAATTTGACGCTTTGCTGCTGACTTTCAAAAAACTCGCTCATAATCGAAACGTAACATACGTGCACCAAGGATAGGACATTGATAGTTGAGTTATTAAATCGTTCCATTCAATAAGGCTCAAAATGTGCTAGGCTTTGTAGGAGAGTAAGGTATTGATCATATTGAAAAGGAAGAGTCTCGATGTTCTGTGTATAACTGAAGAAGCCGCATCACATACAGACAGACAGTTCTTATCAGCATAAAGTTTACTGGAATCAAGGATGTCAAGCCCAATATATTTATTTATGCTTTCAATAAGAGAATTTCATTATCACATGCTATGATGATATGCAATGTATGCCTGACTACGATAATGTTTTTGATGTCTAAAGTGTTTGAATTATTGGCTTTCGTACCCAAGTGGCCCAAGAAATGAAATACCTGTAAAAGACGCTCGGATCGCACACACTCTCTTTTTCTGTCTTTTCATGAGTGCATCAGTTGTTCTGCAAACCCTGCATAAATGCCCCTTATTTGCGTTCTGAGCGTGTGCAATGTGTTGTAAAACCTGAGCATGCAGGCTTGGCTGAGAAAAATGAATGATATAAAGTTTCATATTGACGGGCATGTCAATTTTTTCCCCCTTCCCCACTTTAGACTTTCTCTTTAAATCGAATCATTTGATTTCTTAATAATTGCCAGTTATATGAACTACAGTAGCAATGTTGACAATTGTCCTGTGCCAGCAGCCAATCCTGACGATGAAGGTTGTAAATTACTAGATTCTTTTGCCATTCTTGTGCAAATTACACTTGCGTCCACTGCCCTCATTACCTTATTCTATAAACGCTCAAGAGAGAAACCACAGAGACCCGTTATTATTTGGTAAAAAATAAACGATTTTTTTAATGTTAAAGAGAAAGACAAGGGATTAAATAATGTGTAACTATCTTCAGGGCTTTGGACGTCAGTAAACAGTTTATTGGTGCAGGTGTAGTCCATTTCTTGAACCTCCTGGTTAGCTATATTGCGGGTCGACCCAAAGACGGCAAACACACCAATCTTTGCGTTTGGTATTTCTTAAACGTTGCTGTGGATACGACTGTGGGTGTCGGAATTTTATGGTGCTGGCTACATCTGATTCAGTGGTTCTTACAGAAATGTCATATAAAATATATCAAGACCGGTCAATACGGTCATCCACCTCAATATTCGGCTTGGTTAAAACAAACTCTGATCTTTATTTTAGCAGAAACTTTAATGAAATTATGCGTGTACGGCATGTTTCGGCACCTATCGTTTTTATTCGCCTGGGGGGAATGGGTTCTAAGGTGGACGAAAGGAAATTATAGATATCAAGTTATATTTGTGATGCTTGTGTAAGTATTCTATCTGAATCGATTCTTCATCCTTCTTGTATTTTAAAATGACACGCTTGTTCCCCATAGCTTCCCTCTCATCATGAATGTCATTCAATTCTGGATTGTTGATACCATTGTAAAGGTGACACCCAAACTCTCTGATGAGGAAGAACAAGCAGTGCATTCGGCCGTAGAGCAACAACTGCAAGCAGACGCAGAACAGCATACCGAACGCTCACCATTGATTCCCAAATAAACATAATACCCTCTCCCCGCCGCCCCCTCCCATTCTTTCCGTCAAATTTCCTTTTTAAAGCATAAAATGGGCCACTGACAGAATAAAAATCCGGTCGAAAAAGAAAAAGAAAACGTTTAAATTTCGTACATTTGCAGCGCTCTTAAAAGTTTATAAAGTTAATTGAAATGGACAACGTTATATTCGAAGATGGTTTAGGGGGAAAGTTTGATGAAAATGGTGTTGCAGTTTGCGTTGTTGATATGGATGTTGACACAAATAACTATCCTTTGGGTGCTGTTACTGACTTTGATATGTATAATGACTTCAAACCTCCTGAGAGATCTGAAAAGAAGGAGATCAAGAAAGAATCCAACAATAAGTCTGATAAAAAGCTGATTAAAACTGAAGAGATGCCGAAAACAACCTATAGAAAATATAAAAAAGAAGATATGGAAACATTTTTCTATTTAGTTACTGAAAAAGGGATGTCAATTCGCGGTGCAGCGAGCGCGCTCAAAATTCCTAAAAGCACAACATATGGCTGGCATAAAAAGGGTCTTGAGGCGGCAGATGAGTATGTCGATATGAGAAAGGCTGGTAGTGGCCGGCCAGTTGGCAGACCATCACCCTTGACTGAGAGTCATCGTCAATATCTTGTCGAACTCATTGATGATAACAGTGATCTTCGTTTAGATCAAATGATGGAGAGCTTGACTAATCAATTCAAGGATCTCTCTATCTCTAAAACGGCCCTTTACAATTTTGCAACGCAAAAGTGTCGCATCAGCTTCAAAAAAGCCCATTTTCACTCTATTGAGAGGAATAGCCATGATAAAATTGAAGAAAGATATCAGTGGGTTAAGCGATGGATAGAAAATACCGATTTGGACTATGAAAGCAATTGCGTATTCATAGATGAAGCAGGCTTTTATATCAATCTAAAGCGATCCTTTGCTTGGTCTCAGAAGGGAACCCGTGCAGTTGTTAAGACTCCCAAAACCAAATCAAAAATGACGACAATTTTTGGCGCTATTTCGCCCTATGGAATTGTAAATATCAAAGTAAGGGCTGCAAAGGTGATGGCAGCATCGAAAAAAAGAAAAGTAGCAGGTAGTGAAGGCACAGCAGCAGTTGCTGCAGACAAAGGCAAAGGCGGTACCTGTACGGGACACTATTTCAATTTCATTGCCAGTACGTTAGATATTATGGACAAGCATGAAGAGTTCAAAGGTCATTATCTTGTAATGGATAATGCACCTATACATACACATGACGACATACGAAACTATATACAAGGTCGTGGCTATGGATGCGTTTATCTCCCAGCTTATTCTCCTGAATTGAACCCCATAGAACAGTTTTGGTCAGTTTGTAAAAGCAAACTCAAGCGAGAAGCACTTTTAGACGAAGAAACATTGACACTACGTATTCGCGATGCCTGTAACAGTATTCTTCTGAGTGATATAAAGGGATTCTGCAGGTATTCCGTCCAAAAGTTTCCTGATGTGTTGGAGCGCAAACCCCTCTAGACATTTGGGACATTTGGCCCACTTCCATTTCTGTCCCATACAATAAATTTTCCATGGCCCAAATTATTTTCTGTCAGTGGCCCATTTTATGCTCAGCTATTGTCCGTTTATTTTTTCAATTGGGTGTCCGAAATTTTTAGTCAGAAGTGTCCGAATAATTTCTGAAAATAGTGTAAAACAGTGACTGAGGAAAATTTCAGCTACTACAGCATATTTTTGGTAGATGTTGTCGTTATTTAGATCAATTTTTACGATCTACAGTCATCAACCATAGAATCTATGTTTTCCATTGCTAGATATACAGGAGAAAGCGACGACGAAAATAATAAAGATGTTCGTACTTTTGAAAAAAAGAAGGAAAAGCTCGACAGTCTCAATGCACGTATAAAACAGAAACGAAAAGAGGATTTCGACAAAGATCAACCGAAAGAAAATAAAAAGACTAAGCACGAGATAAAAGAAAACACTCGAAAAAGATCAAACATAAACAACAAAGACTCTAATGGAAAACCAGAACAAGACGAGCAGGAGATTGAGGAATCGGACAAAGAAGTCACTTCTGACAAGGACGATAAAGTAGTCAGTGACGCAACAGATGAAGATGACGATGACGATGAGATTGAGGATGAGGATGAGGATGAGGATGAGGATGAGGATGAGGATGAGGATGAGGATAGACTCGAGCCAGAAACCACCGATGAGAAGAGGGACAATCAAAATAAGGATATTGAAAAAGATAACAATGATATCGATATGGATGATCGTAATAGCGTCGATAACATAGATAACGAAGATAATACGCCTGTGCTTGAAGCTTTTCCGGAGATGATCTTACCCAAGAATAAACATAGCAAAGAGGAGAAGAAACTACTGCGACAAATGGGTATTCCCGAATGGATGCTACAACCTACAGTCATATCTCCCAAAGAGCATTGCGAGCTGGATAAAGTGGGGCTGTCCGAACATATTATTCAACGTTGTAAGAGTTTGGGTCTATCATCTTTGTTTGCAGTTCAAATGGCTACCATTCCTGTTTTCCTGAGACGACGCAACACATTATATGATACACGAAGTGTACCTGGCGATTTATGTATTTCAGCACCCACAGGTAGTGGTAAAACTTTGGCTTATGTCTTGCCTATTGTAGACATCTTATCAACGAAACGAATTGTTACAAGACTTAGAGCGGTGGTGGTATTACCAACGCGTGATTTAGTGGCGCAAGTAAAAGAAACCTTTGATGCGTTTGTCAAAGGCACCAATTTATCAGTGGCAGCAACCAGTGGTCAACAATCATTTGCTCATGAACAGCAAGTTTTGGTAGGCAATGGTGATGAAAGGTATTGCTTTACACATCCCTACGACTCATGTGGAGAATCATATTAATGTATTGTATTCTGTTCTAGGTATCCCGGCGGTAAAAGCAGAGTAGATATCTTGATCACAACACCTGGTCGTTTAATAGATCATTTGTCATCCACACCGAATTTTACTTTACAACATTTACGTTTCTTGGTTATTGATGAAGCAGATCGTCTTTTAAATCAGAGCTATAACGATTGGTTGAACCAAATCTTACAGGCGACGCGGCCATCCACTGTAGCCACTTCCATTGAAGCTATGAATACGAGTGATTGCTCATTGCCTGACATTGCTTTCAAAAAAGATAGGAATGGGTAAGAAAAGCGAGCAGCTTTATATCATGTTGATAGGCTCATTACTCACTGTCAAGGTTCATCTTGCCTCTAGTGTATACGAAGCGGATGCAGTTGCACCAAGTTTTCTTCGGGCAAAATTCAACTTACCTTCTACCGACCTTGATCTACCTAAAATAACATCCGTGAGTATATGTTGACCTTTATATGTCAGAGAAAATGGTGGTAACTGATCAATTTCAAATTGTTTTTTTTTGGATCAGGTTCAAAAACTACTTTTCTCGGCTACTCTTACCAAAAATCCTGCCAAGATTGCAGAACTGCACCTAAATGACCCTAAATACATATCTGTGCAGAATGCAGATGGATCAGACGCAACCGCTCAAGATTATACCACACCAGAAGGCCTAAAGGAGTACATGGCTGTCTGTGCCACGGAAAAGAAACCTTTGATGGTACTTTATTTATTGCATCATTTAGGGTTGCGATCGGGCTTATGTTTTACGAGATCAGTAGAATCAACTCAAAAATTACAAACATTGGTCGAAGCGTTTGAGCAGACGCAATCTGAAGATAAACGAATCCGTGTCAAAGAGTATTCTAGTGAACTGGGGCCTGTGCAAAGGAAGCAAATGCTGAAACAGTTTAAACAAGGACAAATTGATCTGTAAGTGTTACGCTCACCAAGACCACTGAATTACAAAGGGCATTCTTGAGTGGATAGAAAAGGCTAATTTAATTTTTTCCAACGAACTCTAGTCTTATTTGTTCAGACTTGATTGGCCGTGGTATCGATTTAGATTCTGTGCAGTTCGTCATCAGTTATGACGTTCCTCATTATATGGATAAATATATACATAGAGTTGGACGTACTGCTCGTGCGGGAAGAGAAGGTGAAGCTTATACGTTAGTTGAGAAGCAAGAAGCACGACATTTTAAACAAATGCTACGTCAAGCGGGCCACTTGACTCAAGTAAAGACACTGTCAATTGATAAGGAAAGGTTGGGTGAGCTGACATCAGCTTATCAAAAGGTTATTGATGAGTTTAGTAATAACCAATAAAGCTTGAGCATGCTTGAATAATTTAAAAAGGTCCTTATGATAGAGCAATGGTAAATGGTTGTTTATTCCATAAGTGGATCAACTTGTATTGTTGTTTCGTTTTTTCTTTTTTGGAAAGTCTATAGCTACAGCATTAAGATACTTTTTATCTCAAGTAGTTGGCTCTTCGTCATACCATATCTGATAAACACTTGTCATACGATACTCTGCTGTTGTGGTCTTAAACGTCTTTTTGGTTTCAGACAAAACATAATTTATCGATTTCTTTTTCAATGAGAGGTGGATTTATTCTATTAAAAGGGTACCATCGAACGAGCAAATAATTTAAATCATAATCAAAAGAAAACAATTAATCGTCATCCTCTTCCTCATCATCAAAATCGTCGTCTACACCAAAATCACTATCATCTCCAGATTCATACCAACTATATAAACAGATGAAATACATGATTCAGTGTCTTATTCTTTCTACGACTTTTGTAACATGAAGTGTCTTACAAGTTCTCATCTTCTTCAATTTCTGGTGGTGCAGCGGGCATAAAATCTTTCTCTGATGTAGGCATTTTAAATCCAGGAGGAATATCTTTCTTTGACACTTCCACTTGTTCTACAAATGTTGATAACATCTAAATAAAATGCACCGATACATTTCTTTTCCTTTGTCGCTCTACTTACTTTTCACAATGGCTTCAAATACAGCACGGTCCTTCCTGTAAGCCACCTAAAAAAAGAAGTCGACAAGAATTAAAACTTCATTCTATGACTGCACTATAACTACGACTCTACTATATTTTAGAATGCGAACTTACACCCGCGTCTACATTCGCCGGACTTGAGCAGTTGGGATCCGCAAGTAAGGATATAATTGATACTAGGACACCTAATTATATAAAATATACAATCCGCTTAATGCCTGCTTATTACCTTGCCGTCTGAAGACAACTATGGAGTTCCCGCTTCAGAATGTTCGTTGATATCTACTTACTTTCTACAGACTGAAATAAACAGTGAAACAAATTTTCTTTTCAATAATGCCCTTCTTTTGGCAAATAATATCGAAAAACAGAATTTTTCTTTTCTTTACCTGTGTGGGGTTCCATCGTTCCTCTGCTTTTTCACCACTCACGGGATCTTCACCTGGTGGATGAAGAATTGAAATACATAGTCTACCGTCCGGATAAACTATAGATACGCACATATGTGAAACAACGAAAGTGATGAGGATAGACATCACTAAAATTCGCATATATTCAGAGGTAACTTACCATTAGGATGGTAGAACTCATTATTGAATCGGAAAGTTGGAGGATTGAAAGGATAGTCATCGGGGAATGTCATTGTTGCCTATAAAAAATTGAGGGTAGCAATATAAGTCAATACACACAAGCTTTCATTGGTACATCCCAATAAGCAATAACAAAATACGATGCTCACCTTGAAGTAGCCGCCTTCGTAAATCGTCTTTGGTGTACCGATAAGTGCAACATCCCTAAGAAAAGGTTAATCACGTTATCCAAAACCACACAACAATTTGTCATTCAAACAAACATTCATACCATTCAAATATGTTATCGTCTTTCAAATCAACCACAAAGCCAGGTACTGGATTTCTTGTTAATTCTATCCAATACAATTGCAACGAGTAATTAGTCAAAGAGTCTCAATCTTGCAAATCATCCTGCTGCGAGAAAAGAACAACACCTTTCAATTGTCTTTGTAAAATATTTGCTGCAGAAGACATATTTTTCTTGGTTTTTTAAAATGCAAATCTTGATAATAAGTTCAGAAAAAAGCTATACCAATTAACTTGAGAATACAACAAAAATACAAGTGTGCGAGTGAATTACAGAAAAAGGGGAGCAAGAAATGCAGCAGTAAGTGTTGTAATGATTTTCTTATGTCGGAGAAAGCAACAAAAAAAAAACAGAAAACGAGCTCCACATTAAAACACCGACGTTAGAAAAAGGATTCACCAATCAGATGGATGTGTCAAATTCAGGGGATTGTTTCTTCGGTTTATGGCCACATGAAGAGTAGGATCATAGCGGCCAATATGAGTAGCACGAGAACCCGCGTTCCGGCATGGATTACATTTTGAATGGCAGACGAATGTTGAGACGTTTTCAAATTGATTTTGTTGTATAGTATTGCATAAAAATATTCAAGCTGTGTGTTAGATGAGCAATGATCGGATAAAACAAATACTGTATTATCAGATATACAGACAATGGCATTATTCAGATGACATTGACTTCAAGTAGTCATTATCAATGCTTCTGGTCACCTCTATGGAAAGAACAGACTACTACTATTTACAATGCGAATTTATTTTAATTTGAAAGTACAATGATAAACAATGAAATATAATAATAACAAAAAAAGGGTAATATTTGAACAAAAGCAACAGAAAAGCATAGTTTTTCTAACTAAAGACAATAATAGCAGAAAATGAGTGATAAATATTTACATATATGTGAAAGATGACTTGCACGCTACAGTGCGTGGCTTCTTGATTATGACTGTGCACTTAATATTGTTTCATTTGCTTTTACCTTCTTTTTTGTATGATGGCTTTCTGAGGTTATTGGACGAAGCGGTGGAGAAGGAGACTAGATCATAAAGAGATGAATAAAGTAAATAACAAGAGCCAATCTTCTAAAAAGAAAAAACGTATAATGACTTACCAGAGTCAAACTTCTTTTAGGATTGACACATGTATCTGACTCTTTCTTCTTCCTTGGCAAAACATCCTCAGGTAAATCGGATGCTTTCAAACATTTAGAAACAATTCCTAGATGCTCTCTGTCGTAGTTGGGATGATCTTCGAAGTATGCCATAAATTGGCGAAGTTGTCTATTGAGCGTTACTTCTTTATCGCGTGCTATTTAAAGAGAAGCAAGGCATTATTAAAAAGAAGCTAATCACTAGATGAATCAAACAAATTTCCTTACAATTTTTCGTTTTCACATAGAGGCCGATATAGAATATTTTTGTATATATGGTTCTAGGTGCAATGCGATTTTCATCTGAAATGGGTTGCGTAGCTGAAGGAAGGATACCATGACCATGAGTTGCAGCGATAATATCGTCGATACTGTGGCAAGTATATTCATATTCAAAACCATGTGCAAAAGGGTGTACTAAAGTCATCACCCGATGTGCTTCTAGAAACAAGACAAGTAGTCTGAGTCTAGATTCAACCAAGCCAGCCCAGGATGTGAGTCCTTCAGCACTATCGGCACTGACAACTACTCGCAAATAATTTGTGTAAATTTCAAAGAAATCGGTCGGTTGAAATAAAGCCGACCAAGAAAGCTTGTTTAGCAGAATTTGATCAACAATCTCAGCTGCTCTACGAAGCTCGCCGGTGGTGATCATTTTCGTTGATTTGGTGACATTATGTGTTGTACACATACTAGGATACGATGGTGTAATGATGGGCATAATGTGTCTCTTATCTTGCTCATTCTGACTCCATGGCTTTAAAGCATAGCTTAGCCTTGGTCCCTTTGTTTCAATATTCTTCAACGTCACAGGGAGAGGCCATCTCCAAGTCTTGGCAATATGGAAGAATCTGTGCACAACGACACTGGCCGTGGCATTTGGATAAAGTTGACATATGTGAGCCACCCAAATAGCCCAAGCAACTCCGCCCAAAAAGCCAAGGACATTTGAGTAAACCTCTCTTCTAGCAGCCCATAGTTTTATGCATCGCAACGCAGTTCGAAATGTGTCGACGTTGGGTACGAGTTTTAGAATATCATCAGCAACCCGAGTTCCATTAAGGCTCAATATACACTTATGGTGCAAGCCTGCTAATTTATACGCATCACTAAAATCAGTACTCGAATCTACGCTACTTTCTTTCAAACACGCGCAGATAAGATCAATCTATTCGAGCAGATCCTCAGTAAAACAAAATATCGCTCAGATTTAAAGGGAAATTCTACACTTACATGTATATCCTTATGTTTAAACTTGATGATAGGCACATATGCACCTGGTACAGGCTATTAATAATCGAAAAAAATTGCAATCAATTTCAAATTCTTGACAATGTTCCTTTTCCAAGGACTAACTTACCACAATATGCGTTATACATGAGGTATTTTTCAAGATGGATAGCATCTCTCTGAAAAAATCTTCACGCTGAACAAATTTAGGAACAACACACAAAGCATCAATATCAGCGTCTAAATAAACGAAAAGTCACAGATCAGAGAAATGTCACCATGTAATATATAGGAAAATCTTACCTGCTGAATTGACACCTAAGCGATAACTACCGTATGTTACGACAGTTCCACCCGCTTTTTCTGTCAAATGTGTTGGGACTTTCCGCCTGATGCACACAGCACGAACAAACTTCCTTGTCAATTCGTTTAAATGCTCTAAGGCTTCTTTTCTGTAGATTTTACGTAACAAATGGACATTATTATCGTATTCTGGCGTGTTTGAGGAGCCACTGCTTCTTTCTATCTACCTTTGTTGAACAATTTCTTTTGTGTCATACATATTTTGTTCCTTCAAAACTGCCTCTAATTGCTCTGTCAGCCTGATTTCAGCATTAGTTGGCCCGTCTGTTGATAATACTTCCATCATTTTAGAGGAACTTTTTGACAGTTTTGTGAACAATGAGTATTTGCAATTTCCGAGATTCGAAGAAAAAAAAAAATTAGAAAGAAAGAGAGAGAATGGGTCCATTTTACCAACAGCAAAAACAGTAATTTATGTCAAACTCAGCATCACGGACTTCACTTGCTGTTAAAAAATCTGGATTTTTTTGCCATGACAAACCCATAAATTTTTGGTTTTTTTTCAGTGCCATAATATACGAAAACAGTAAAATACCATTCCATTCGTCAACCATAGCTTACAACGATGCATCATAAAGAATAATGTATGCATAATAATTTATACTTTTTCAAACGTTATCCGTGCTAATAAGCATAATTTTGTACAGGTGCAGCAGCTGTTGCTGCTTTCCAGTATTTTAGCTAATATTTTAGATAAATTACATTTTTTTTGGACGATTAATATTTTTATTTTAGACAAGTTGCAATTGTGTTGTAGACGAAGATGTAACCGTTCAAACAATGATTCAAATTCAAAAACTTGTCAGCAGTGCGAAACAAAAAAAAAAAAAAAAAAAAAAAAAAAAAAAAACGGTACTATTCCTCACCTGTAATGATCTAAATCCTTAAAATATAAGGAAAACCGTGTTTATTACGGCGATACTTTTTCCTTCTTCGCTGGCTTGAAAACGTCGGGTCTTCCCGCTCCAGACCAAACTGCTTGAGATATGGTCATCCTATTGATAGCGGCGTTAATGTCTCTCTGCCATAGCTTTAGACATTGCTTGCAATGAAGAACGCCGGTACCCTTGAATCCAGGAGTATCAACAATTTACATATCATTATAGAAACAGAGGCTGTATGTTTTAGAGGGTTTGAATTCATCGATTGTGACAACAATCAATTGACCTTCAGCCTCACGTTTCTTCAGAGTTGTAAAAAGTTTACCGACAACACCACATCTTTGCCAAACATACCAGCACCAAACACAATCAGTGGCACCCTTCTAGGGGTTTCCGAGTACTTATCAGCCTTCCACTTCTGAACACATCGATTTATGTCCTGGTTGCTTGCATTTGGTACAATATGCATTGTCTTTATTTGGGTCTTCATTCATCTCTTTCCTTGCTTTTTTCTTTTCTTTCTTAATTTCAAAGTTCTGTTTGCGTTTTCTGCCTTTCGAACCAACTATAGGTACAATAAGGTCGCGTACTAATGATGACTTTACCAACTTTCAAAGTCACCTGAGCTGCTTACCTTGATCTGCAGTTTCTGGTTCATACAATTCACATTTAAAGTATTGTTTAGTGTAATGACCCCCTTTACCGCAATCAATACACGTTACATCTAACAGTACACGATGATTAATCTACACATATATATATGATCAGGTAGATAGGCTCTCAAAAGGCAAGTTACCATTAACAGCACTTGATTTTTTCTTTTCAAAAATTTGCTTTTTTTTTTCATCAATTATTGTTTTGAACATGGGTCATAGTATGTATCATAAAACGTGAAATAAAAGTGAAAGAGACAACATTTGACTATAAGAGAGCAATATATTTTATAGTGCTTATCTTTGAAAGTCACCCATGAACGCATACAAAAACATTGACAACAGATAATATAACCATCCCGTTCCGCTATGGTATCTGTTATACTATGGCCCTGAGCACTCTATCAATGGTTTGATGTTAATCAATTCAAAGTTGACCTTTTTTGGAACACTGTACAAAAAAGGCACCGACAAATATCGGGTTATTCCCGGAACACATCGTCATTTAATAAAAAAGTTGTCAAGCTTTTTGTAATCTGGCCTATTGCAAGATAACGTCAATAAAACCATTATTGGCGACTCTCTTACTGATAGAGACTCATTTCTTGGGCTTGATTGTATGTCATCCTTAATGCTGCTTGGGTATCACTGAATAATTGAGTATCCATAAATCCAAAATTATATGAACTTCATTCTAAAATTTTTTATTAAAATCTTCTAAATTTAAAATATATATTGTTTTTATTAAAATTGTAAATGATCTAAAATATAAGCTAAGATACTGTATTCAAAAGCGTTGTGACGTATTGACTTTTGGTTGATCGATCAAATCAATAAAAACTTAAGTTTAAACTTTCAGGTTCAGATTTTTAAGGCCGAAAGGTAATCATCCGCATTCGCTGTTTATCTGATTTTCCTCTGTCGCATGCTCATCTTTATTTTCTGATTTGGCATGTTATTTATTTCTATTCTTCTGCTTGTAATATCGAAACATTAGAATTAGAACAGACATTTTAGCACGCTACTTTTTTAATCCGGTGATAAGTTGACAACTGACATTAGTATTCCTACTTATAGAAGCGGCAGCCCGCTTATTGCTTGTGCTCCCTTTTTGATATCGTTCGTACGCTTACGTTTGCTTCGTTAGCCTTAAACGAATAGAACAATTGTAGTCCTTCCAGCACTGCACAATAAAAGATGAAACGGAAGTAGCAATCAATAGTACTTCGCTTCAAACTATATACATCAGAAATATTTGATGGCTCTCCTTCAGTTACTTGTTGCGAAACGAAAACATATGGACCAAAATTCAGAGGTTTAGTTGTGGTTTCTCTTGAGTCCAGTCCAGGATTGTAGAAAAACGACAGCTATCCTACACCCTGCTTCCGGACAATTCCTTATAGATTCTCTTAATATTAAACCAGTTTCCATTGGGGCATAACGCATATACCAACCACAACATTATCAATAAAGCTAGTAACACATGGTAGCCCTTCTATTAAGAGTAGTGGCTAATGTATATTTAAAGGTCTGCAGTATAAACAAGATACGGCTGTACTCCATTGTTTCGTAAATACTAGAATATAGCTCCCCGGGATTTTTTACCTTTTTCTATATAACAATAGCTGAGCAACATCTAGACAAATTAAACTGATCAACTCTTAGTATCCACGCTGAGATTTACCTTATGCTTAATCTCAACAACCACTTAAACTGCAAATAAAAATTGCTGCTTCATCTGACTGATCCTTGCAAGCCTGCGGGATTGAAATGTCATCTCAAAGTCGTTTAAGAGCTGAACTGTTTCTTTAAAACTGCGTGTGCTTTCAGAATAACGCTCTGTAGACTACCATTTTCCCCTATTATTGCATTCTTCCTGCATTATGGCACTATTATATAATCACTGTACGTTAAACAGTGACATATTGCTTTGATTAATCTTAAAAGAGGATAAGCTGTGACAATTCGAAATAATAACAATAATGCGATTGTTTAGAACTCAAACTCCAACGCAATTTTTAAATGTTCAAATTCGAAACAGAATTTCTGTGCGCTAAAAAATCGACAATTTCCCCTTGAGACTCTTTCACATCTTTTTCTTCTTTTATATTACAATATACCTTTCAGCTTCCCAAAGGTAGCGTTTAAAACATTCTAAAACTAACGAAACCTGCTTTATTATTTTAACCCATCAACTTATCTGCTTTTTCTACCCTAATTTGTTTTGAAATTAACCGTAGAATTGACAATAAAAGATGGTATGTACATTGGCAGCGTTACTTCTTGAAAGCCGACATTCAACCAGACACAGCTATTTATACAACGCATATCATTTTTATCTCCCTCAAATAGGCTGGAGCACTTGAAAACGCACAAAAAGAAATACCTAGAATTAGAGACCATGAACGCGAGTCTGATTTCGGTTCCATCTTCTCTGTTTCTGGTCCAGGTAGCTATAATCTGCTGCAACCCAAAAAAAAACAAACAAAAAAAAAACTCTACTCAAACTGGTTATGTGAATTCTAGTCGTTGTCGCTGAAAACATGCGTGGTTCTGCCATGTACGAGTTGGTAAGTGTTATTGCACTCTAGCCACCTCCTATCCTTCAGCTTTTGTTTCGAAATGTTTTGGATTAATCTTGATTTCTCTTGCACTTTTGAAAGGTTCGTGTTGGTCACTCTGAACTTGTTGGTGAAGTTATTCGTATTGATGGTGATAAAGCGACCATTCAGGTGTACGAAGAAACTGGTAAGAACGATAAACTCCTTATGAAAATGTTTCATGTTCGTCTGCACATTTCTAACATTGATATTTATCAAAAGGCGGTTTGACTGTTGGTGACCCAGTTTTGAGATCCGGTAAACCTTTATCTGTAGAACTTGGTCCAGGTAACGGTTTAATTATGGAATAGATCGATCTTTGGTTGTTGTTTTTTTTCTAAAACAACAATTTTACAATTATGCTATTGCTGATTGTAACGCATAGGTCTCATGTCAAACATTTATGATGGTATTCAAAGACCCCTTAAGGTAAATATGAAGCAATATATTGTTGACTAGCACATCAAGAGAGCGCTAAATAATACTTTGAGATAACAGGAAATTCATGATACCACCCAAAGTATCTATATTCCTCGTGGTATCGCCACTCCCGCTTTGGATAAAGTCTACTCTTGGGATTTCGAACCTCTTAACTTCCAGGTAAGATGAAAGATGGAAATATAGGTTGATTGCATTTTTGGATTTGCTTATATTCGTTTTACCTCAATAGGTTGGGGATCACATCACTGGTGGTGATATTTATGGTAAAGTGTATGAAAACTCTCTTGTCACTTGCCACAATATCATGTTACCACCCAAGTGCCTCGGTACTATTACTTATATTGCACCTAAGGGCTCTTACACATTACAAGATACTGTTCTTGAAACTGAATTTGAAGGAGAAACTACAAAACATACCATGAGTCACCTCTGGCCTGTTCGTACTCCTCGTCCAGTCGCTGAAAAGTTGACCGCAAACCATCCTTTATTGACTGGTCAACGTGTACTTGACTCTCTCTTCCCTTGTGTCCAAGGAGGTACTACCGCTATCCCTGGTGCTTTTGGTTGTGGTAAAACTGTCATTTCTCAATCTCTTTCTAAATACTCCAATTCCGATATCATTATTTACGTCGGTTGTGGTGAACGTGGTAACGAAATGGCTGAAGTGTTGATGGACTTCCCTGAATTATCAATTGATATTGACGGCCGTAAAGAATCTATTATGAAGCGTACTACATTAGTTGCAAACACCTCCAACATGCCTGTCGCTGCTCGTGAAGCTTCTATTTATACTGGTATTACCCTTTCTGAATACTTCCGTGATATGGGTAAGAACGTTGCTATGATGGCTGATTCTACCTCTCGTTGGGCTGAAGCTCTTCGTGAAATTTCCGGTCGTTTGGCTGAAATGCCAGCAGATTCCGGTTATCCTGCTTACTTGGGTGCCCGTCTCGCCTCTTTTTACGAACGTGCTGGTCGTGCTACTTGTCTCGGTAACCCTAGTCGTGAAGGTTCCGTTACTGTTGTCGGTGCTGTGTCTCCTCCTGGCGGTGATTTCTCAGATCCTGTTACTGCCTCTACTCTCGGTATTGTACAAGTATTCTGGGGTCTTGATAAGAAGCTTGCTCAACGTAAGCATTTCCCTTCAGTCAACTGGAGTTTGTCTTACTCTAAATACGAAAAGATCTTGGAACCTTATTATGAGAAGCACGATAGTGAATATATTGCTCTGCGTGATAGATGTAAGGAAATCCTTCAAATGGAAGAGAACCTTTCAGAAATTGTGCAGTTGGTTGGTAAATCTGGTTTGAATGAATCAGATAAGATTACATTGGAAATCGCACAGATTATTAAGGATGACTTCTTGCAACAAAACGGTTATAGTAACTATGATCGTTACTGTCCTTTCTATAAAACAACTTGGATGTTACGTAATATGATTGGTTTCTACGAGAAGGCTGTTCATGCTGTCGAAGCTTCCAATAACCAACTGTCATGGGTTAAGATCCGTGAATCTATGGGAGATATTTTATACAAGTTATCTTCTATGAAGTTTGAAGACCCTGCTGAGGGTGAAGCCGCTTTGGTTGAAAAGTATACCGCTCTTCAAAAGGAAATTGAAGCCAAATTCAATGATATTGAGGCTTAATTTATACTTTGTGAATATATCAAAAACTCGTGAAAAGAAGAAAAGTTGGATGTTGTCTGTGCTCATATAAATATACATCATATCTTATATATACTTTGTCATTTCAGACGGAATAAAATAACCATTTTTATTGTTTTTAAAAATTGCAGCAGTAACAAAAGATAATCTTGCTTTCGTTCTTTTTTCCAGTGTTAAAAGACCATGTCTTTTAACTACAGTAATTGATCATTAGCTTCCTTCTCTAGGTTTGTTTTCGTTGTTTTTTTGAAACTTTTGCTGATCTTAGAATGGAGAAAAATCCTGGTAAACGGCATATTGATCTGTGTGTGCGATCAAACTGAGCTTTTTTATTCTAAGCCCTGATTTCTCCACTAAAACGCACTAAAAAGCTAATTATTTTGATGTTGCTAAAAATACACATTTTTATAAGCATTCGTCCTTCCGTCCCGTATAAGTACTCGGGATAAAGCTGTCTGTCCATTTGCCAAGAGGTTATTGTAATACAATGACTTTTTTATTTCAATTCTCTGCTTTCTTTCATCTTTATTTTTTTCTTCTCTTATTACTCTATATCAAAAGCCATTCAAAGAATTGGGGTTTTTTTTCTTCTTTCTCCTTAAAATACAGAACAATAGAAAATCATGTCTACAAAATATGAGCAACCAGACATCCCTTCTTATCATCATCCTGATGGTTATTATCATGACAGAAATCCAACGTCACCCCCTCCCTTACCGCACCATATAGATACTGTCAGACCATCAAACGATAGCATGCGAGATGTTTCCATGAATTCACCTACGCCTTATCCTGTTTATTCTGCTCCACCAGTCCAAACCAATACACAACCACGCGAATCTCTGATGAGCGATATGAAGTTTATGTCCCATTATGATTCTGACGACCATTATGACGACACAGATGTGGAGAAAACGATGATACCTCGTGAACAAAAAGAAAGAAGATCATGCTTGGATAAATTGTGTTGTGGCTGTTGCACATGCTGTCCTAAATGGGCCCGTTGGTGCAGTTGCATTATTTTGATAATGATCGTTATTTTGGGTATTGTCGTGGGCGTATTAGCAGCTTTGTTCAAGGTCCCTAATGTGACGTTCACGGGCTTACAACAAGAACCAAACTATGCTTTCGCTGATAAAGTATTGTCAATGACGTTCAGTGTGGGGATCAGTGTAGACAATCCAAATTTTGAAAGTATTACATTTGAAACAATCAAAGCCGACGTAAGTTCTAACAATTTCCACACTAAAATAAAGCTTGTCATTTCGTGAGAGATGGATCTATCGCTAAATCACCTACTCAATCATGCGTAGGCATATTATCCTGCACCCTATAATGTCTATGTAGGAGGCGGAAATGTGACTAATGTACACATAGCTTCAAATGCTGTTACCAATATCATTTTCCCCTTCAATGTCAAAATCAATTCTTCTGATCCTAGTCAACAAGGTGTTCTGATGGATTTGGTGACAAAATGTGGGTTGGATGGTAGTACGCCGCAACAATTGAAGTTTGATTATTACATTTATCCAACAGTAAGGATCGCTGGCATAGCTATTACACCAAGAATATCAAAATCAATGAGTCTCGCTTGTCCGGTAGGGAAAAATTGTGAATGTAGATAGATGGATAGGAAATCACTTTGCTAACTTACTCCTTCCTTTTTCATTATGCTTACTATCATGGCCATAGACCTCTGCGTTGGATGGCTTATTAGGCGGTTTATTTCATTAAAACAATCAATTCAACTATATTACCAAATCTTATTTATATTACTGTACATATCTGTATATCAGTTTTTATGTATTTATACACTCACCCAGATTCCAATAAACTCAAACACCTTTTGAATAGCTTAAAATGATCTACAATTTTGAATGGTGGCTCATCCTCTTTGCCATAAAATTGTCTTATGTACATTGTAAAAAATATTCTCTTGAAGAAATACGCTGTTTTCATCAGTTAGACCTTGAGGGCGTTGATCTTGATCCTCAACAAAAAATTTACTTTTGCATCAAGTCCATCATAACAACTTTAATGCCTATCCATCATTGTGCATTGTAAGAATAAGCAGTATGTCAGACGAGACAACAGTTGAATAGTCTTTATTATTCCGTTTTTAGCGTTTTCTTCAAGTACTTTTTCATAAACAAAATGGCCACAACACTTAGTATTGCCCACAGGATACCAACAATAAGTTCTATGATTTGTTGTGATTGGGAGGTAACTGAAAAGATTCTAAATACTGTTGTATCCCATGTACTTTCCGTCCATGTGCCTTTGGATGGATCAACTACCTTTATCAATCCGGAAACCTCATCATATTGTAGACCGGTTCCATATGCTTCATGATATGTTGTGAATGATGCAGTGCATTTCTTTTTGATACAATACTCACCCATTTGACAGTCTTTGATTGTGTGGCATGACACCGTTTCATTCGCTGTACCTTCCTGTATGCGTCGTTTCCCTGTCACGTCACTCAGGTAACTGAAAACAAACCTCTGTAATAATTGTGGCTGAGGATAGGTAAAGGATAAAACAGACGAAGAATGGCTTATTTTTGAGATGCCATTCACTATGAGCATAACGAATATCAAATGGATAAGGAAAGCCAATCGTTTTTAACCATTGTTAAAATGCATTCTTCTTACCCGTTAGATAGTCTTGCATGAAAGGGCAAGAAAAGTTGGAAATGAGACAGTCCAGTAAAGAGGATATAAGAGTACAATTGGCAGACAAGAGGTTGGACGAATTCCCGTTCGTCGCTTGATTATAGATAGCGTTTGCAGAGGTGCTCACGAGCGAGCATATGGAATGGGTAGCCTTGTCTAGATCAAGTGTATCGTCCAAGTCGCTACTATAAAACGGTCCAAGCTCCTTTTGGTAATCGGTAATAACAGCTGCTGGCAGTTTGCGGTTCTTTTGTAAAAAGCTCATCGCGCTGCTCGGCGGTAATTTTCTTTGCACACCATCCGCTGAAGCTTCTTTAAGATTTTGAAAGGGTCTGAGTTTATTGAGCAAAGCTTGACTTTGTTGAGCATCATCCACATGAACAAAGAATTGATTAGAATAATTCGTATTGATTCCAGAAACGGACTGAAACTCAAAGATAGAATCAATGTTTTCAAAATTGATTCTATTGAAATACAGATTACGTACACAGGGGAAGGTACACGGAGCATCATTGTAAGGACAGGCTACAGCCCTCGTACTGTTCGTGCAAACAAAAGGTGTTGATATATCTTTGACAAACCGCTGTGATCCTGCAAATGCCCATGATTCGGCTGTAAATAGGGTATATAGGATATGCTTGGGTAAGCTTTCTAAAGGTTGCGGTGCCTAGAATTGTATCAGAAGAAACCACAGTGTCAACCGGTCAGAGCAGAGCAAAGGTGGGGGGGGGCAATGATGGACAGACTCTTTTGGTGGTTGAAATGCAAACTTACGTGGCTCAAAGTATCCGCAATGGCTAAAACGGTGACTAACCCTGATATACTGCTGGAAGCTCCAGTGGTAAGGTCATGGAACATAGATCGACTGTCCATGTTAGCTGAGACGACAATAATAGGTTTTTTGTCTTTTGCTGAAATATTTAAAGATGGCGAGGAGAAAACCGACATACCACCCACAACTTGGCACCAACCTCTTCTTAAACAAGTTTCTGAATTAACAGCAGCCCACATAAATGAATCGAATTCGACTGCCTTCAAGGGGTAACTTTTATATTGACGCTGAACATTGTAATCTACATTCTAATGTGCAGAAGAAAAAGGCAACTCAGTTAGGCTATCCTTTTTTGTATCACTTCAGTTGTGCCAATACTTTACCGACAAAAGATAACTATAAACTGTTTCTGCTACAGTATCGTCTTCAGGTTTTATAGCAAAGATGGGAAAATCAAATGCCTGCTCAAGCAAGCCTTGGGCACTAGGGTTCCACTCATATTGTTTCGTGTCGTTCGCATACAAGCCATACTCACAATTTGGACAAACTGAATCTGGCGACGACATGAGCGCGCTTCCCGACGAGGAGCGGGTCTGATTGGAAGATAAAAGCACAATCAAGCCTGCCAGTTTATGGTCATCCATAGAAACAAGAGCATCCATATTAGCTTTTGTCAAAAGGACAAACGGTATCACTAATGCAAAATCGTCTATTGCTTCTTTATTGTTAATAAAGGTATCAAGCTCGGACTGGCTACTGATGTGGTAAATGATACCGCTTTTCTTCTTTATCGCTGTGATAATGAAAACAAATAAAAGTATAAGTTGCATTACAAATATCTAGAGCCTAGCTTTCGGTACTTACATTGACAGCCGACGGTTCCTGTAGCATTCAGTAGTCTTACACAAGGCCAATTATTCAAATTAGTGTATATGTAAGGGTATATAGTGGTGGCAAAATCTTCTGACTTCACTGACGACAGAAAACCAGTAAATGTAGGGTGAGAAAAACTGATCATCTTCTCAATGGCGATCAACCTGTTAGCGATCAACCTGTTTCAGTTTAATCACTTACCGAATAAAAATAGAATCACAAAATTGAACAGAGTGGCATGCAAAATCACTCTGTTTAAACGCATACGTCCAATAGTAGCTTTGCTTAATGTCAAACGAGGCGACGATGTCCATCCGAATCTTGATGAAGCTCAAAATTACTGTTCTGCTAAGATCACCAGCGGAGTTATGCCGTGCAATTAATGCATTCCGACTTTTCAGGGCCATCATTTTTGTTAACCCAAGCATGCAAAACGTTGGTTTGAGTTCTTCTGGACTTGCTTTATCGGTTAATTTCCAATTAGCTTCACCCTCTGTCTGTGTCATTTTGAAGCGCGTATGAGAGATGAATTCGGTTGATCAGCAATACGTCAGGGTTTGCCAAGGATAATTATGGTCTTTTTTTAATCCGGAAAATCACCAAGCTGTGAAGGTATATTTTAACGTTTTCCAAATGAATACAAAAGATACAGAGATAAGATAAAGCGAACCACTAGTATTGAAATAAGAAAGCAATTATGGTTGCATATTATATCATGAATAAGTTCCCACTGTGAGGATATACAAGTCTAAAATTATGAAATTGTACCTCATTCGTTCATTTTTCATTTATTATATAGCGTACAAAATACCCAAGTATCTCGGTGTAATAAATAGATAAGCTTAATAAAGCTCACCATAAGGAAATAATAACCAGATTGGCGTTGTTAATATAGTTTATCTACCGAAATTTGACATAACCTTACCAAAAAAATATACCCTTTATTAAACCTGAACGGCATTCACACAGAATGATTAAAAAGCCATTTGATTGGACAGTCAATGAAGTGCTTATCGTATATACTCAGAAAGGCACTGCTGCTGCATAAATCAGAAGAAAACAATCGCAACACATGATCGCTCTGATTATATCGCTTCTAATTCTGGGATAGGTGGCGTTTTTTAGCTGCACTTATTAATACGTCTTTACTAATTCCCACTAATGGCATTGAAGTTTGACAAAAGACTATAGCAGTAACAGAAGAAAAAAAAAATATTTTTCACTCTGATTTAGTATAAATTGGCTCGTTCTTCCCTGCATTTCTTTCTCTGATTCACAAAAAATACATAAATCATAAATCAACCCACAAAACAAACACTCAACAAACAAGACGACACCAATTTAAAAAATATGCCTGGACCCGCTACAATCTTCTCAATCGGCGCTGTTGGTGCCGGTGCTGCCGCTATGTACGTCAACCGACGAAACTCTCAGTCGTCTGGTGGAGATGAATCTGTTTTTGGTGGTAACAGCCCACCCGCTTACAATACACCTCATGCATTAGCCAGAAGACGATCAAGTACAGTCCGTCCTGATCACTACTGGAATGAAAGAAAGCAGCCGGAATACATGTGGCGTCGCGATAATGGTATCAGCTTCAGTCATAATTCTAAACCAAAGTTCCCTATCGGTCTAACACAAAAAGACATTCAGCAGACATCGTCTACAAAATGAAGCTTATTTGAATAATCATCAGGACGAGGATGAGCCATCTTATCATCATTCTCTTCTCTCCCAATTGGTATTGCTGTCATTGATCCCAATATGAATCATACAATGGCAAGTGCTTCGTATACTACTACTACTACTTCCATGAAGACAGCTACAACGGCTACTGCTTACACGCCTATTTATGAATTTCTTTACCCATTTTTCCCCCATTCATATCATCTTTAATTATTCGTCTATGCAAATAGCAAATTAGTAATGATAAATTAGCATGAATCTTTCACATAAAAAGCCTTGAATAAATAAAGTTTTTTGTTTCATCCAGTTCATTTTGCTCATAAAGCTTATAGTTCGATCTCGAGCTGTACGTGGGAAGTATTATGAATGAAAGATTATTTTGGACGAACAAAAAGCGTGTTCGTCTTTGATAATCCTTCATCTCTTACCCATTGAAATCATAGACTACGAAATTTATGCATGACTTTTGATTGGTTAATTTCCCCTTAATTTGACAAGCTCTTCAAGTATTGTCAATAGAGCATGTGCTACCGTTCAACAGTCTGAAAAAATCGTATAAAGTAGTTTTCTGTCAGACATGAAGTAGGAGTTTGTATAGGAAGTTATCTCTAACTGAGATGGATCACGTGTACCCTCTCACCACTCGGGTATGCGGGCATCATAGCAAATGAGCGCTTTCAGTGGATAAGATCTCCTTACTATCTGACAGCACGTCGTTGCTTGTACCAAGTCTTTCTAATCGTCTTCCTGGCGGGCGCGTCCTAAACGTGTGCAAAGTAATATCCTTTTTGAATCAGCAATGCATGTTGACAAACTGTTCCAAAATTCCTTGCGTATTACGTCATTTGAGGAAGTTGAAATTTACTGATAGAAGCTCATATGCAATATCCATTTAAAGAAAAAAGAGTAAACGAACTATTACATTTTTCCCTTCTTTTCTTCAACAACATAAATTCATTGATAAGATAGTAACAAATCCAATAATGCCTGGAGACAATATGAATGATCTGGCTGAAAAGTACCAGGGTCTTCGCAACGATCCTAATGCTTCACAAGAGGACAAATACGCTGTTATGAAGGTAAGAACTGAACGTGAAGAAAAATCTCAACATAAAAGCTAGTCGTAGAAGGTCTATCAGAAGACTGACAATGACTCTTTTTACTTGTCTTTCCTGTTTGAACAAAACAGGCTCTAGGTGATCAGCTTGGTTTACCCGGTACTCCTGCCGCTGACATTTTGCCAAAGCTCGGTAAACCTGATGAATTAACACCCTCTCTTGACGGCAATAATTCTGCGTTCATCCAAACGATGCCAGGTGAGATAAAAACTCACAATTTGCTATGCTACTGCGACCCCTACTCACTTAGTAAGGTCTACATTAAACTAGGTCCCATGATACCCAATCAACAACAAGCCAACACGGAATCCAAGCAACCGCCTTACTACTTGGTGTATTATTTGAAACCGAAAGAGCAATACCTTTATTTCAAGGTAAGGAGCCCAACGGGACTGCTGAAACTTGACTATTTTGACATAAGAGGAATGCATGGTTAAGTTAACTTGTTATATTAGGTGGATTCTGAGAAGGAAACCGTGATCACTTCTGGCTGGAAAAAATAAGAGGCTTGAATTACTTCTTACAAACTGAATATACTCAATAAAATAACCTTACTGGAACTGTAATCCAACCGCCCTCTTTTGCTGCTGTATTAAGGTGTAAGGACGATAAGATGGGAAACTGCAACTTTTTTTTTTTTTTTTTTTCAAGCGGCACAATTATTTCTCTTTTCGTTTTTAGAAACATGTTGGTGGTCATCAGCCAGTTGGGCGCCCCTTTTTCTGTATTTGCCCCACATTCTTTCTCTGCTCTTCCCTTCATTTTTAAATCTTTCTTCTTTTCTTTGATACGAATGGTCGGTTGTAGTGGCAGCTTATTTAAACAACTTGGCCAAACACTTAAACGACATTCTACTAGATTCTCCAATAGCAGTAGCCATTCGTCTGCATCCTCAACTGTCATTGCCAACTCGTTTGTCTCTGATTCCAAGCTAAAGCCTTATCATAGTAGCAATTATTCAACCATGGCAACGGACAAGGATAAAGCAGCAACCTTAGCTGCAGCTTCTGATTTTATTGACTTTCTTAATGCTTCACCTTCACCTTTCCATGCTGTTCATGAAGCTTCTGTACGTTTAGAAAGAGCTGGTTTTCAACGGCTCAGCGAAAAGGATGACTGGGAACTACAGAAGCACGGAAAATACTATTTTACACGGAACGGTTCTTCAATCGTTGCTTTTGTCGTAGGCGGCAAATACCAACCCGCGAATCATCAATCCGGATTTTCGATTGTAGGGGCTCATACAGATAGTCCGTGCTTAAAAGTTAAACCTATTTCGAAAAAAGAAAATGTCGGCTATCTTGAAGTGGGCGTGCAGCTCTATGGTGGTGGTATATGGTAAAGTGATGGCATAAGCGATGAGAAGAGAAACCCACTTTTTCTGAACAATAGAATGTTTTTTTTTTTCTATTATAACAAAAGGCATACATGGTTTGATCGAGACTTGGGTATAGCAGGCCGCGTGATGGTCCAACAAAACGATGGGTCCTATAAGCATACACTAGTGCACATCAAAAAGTAAGCGTGTCTTCTTGGGATGATAAATACTTGAGTCACAGTTTTATACTAAGATCACTTTCTTACTTTAGACCGGTTTTGCGTGTGCCCACACTAGCTATTCATTTAGACGGCTCAGTAAATGAAGTTTTCAAGTTCAACAAAGAGAATCATATGTTACCTATCCTTGCCACTACTGCTAAATCGTAAAGTACTCAATGATGCTGTCTTTTTTTTTTTTCAATCAAAGATCTTGCTAGACTCAATTTTTTTTTTGTACTGCTTCATTTCTATACTGTGTAAATTATAGCGTGCTGAACGCTGTGGATGCGACTACAGAAAATAATGGGCCCGATTCCGATCAAACAAAAAAGCATCACCCTGCGTTGATTCATATGTTAGCTGAGACGATGCACATAGACCGTAAGTACTCTCCAATACTACAGATTGAAAGGGACTAGAAGACAAGTAACAAAACGTACAACCTATGCCTCTAAATTCAACAGCCACACAAATTGGAGATTTCGAATTGTGTTTGTTTGATACACAACCTGCAACGCTAGGCGGTGTAAATGATGAGTTTATTTTTTCCGCAAGATTAGATAATCTCGGCATGTCTTACTGTTCGCTCATGGTATAAAACCTCTTATTATTCTCAACCAGCATCCACTGTGTCTTTTGCCATATTCATCATGTCATTTTTGTACGTATAGGCACTGATTGAATCCAGTAGTACCAGGAATACCCACCACCAAGAAGAAGTAGAGCCAAAAGGTGCAAGTTCAGTAGCTGATGACCCTAATATTCGACTCATTACGTTATTTGATAATGAGGAAATCGGCAGTACATCTGCCCATGGAGCCAACTCAAATCTTTTACCCAGCACTTTGGAACGCATATTATCATCTTCTGTGGATGGCAAAACTTTATCACCAAATACTTCCATGAAAGTGACGTTTGAGAGAGCTATTCATCGCAGTTTGTTGGTGAGTGCAGATATGGCGCACGCCGTTCATCCCAATTATGCGTAAGACATCTATAGATTGACAGATCAGAGGAAAAAACAAAAGAGACTGAACTTCTTACCATGTCTACTACAGTGAAAAGTATGAGGAAAACCATAGGCCTCACTTACACAAAGGAACTGTTATTAAAGTCAACGCGAATCAGGTAAGTGGGTGATGTTGATCGCTTCAGGACAGAAAAATCTAACATCATGGATATCCAATGATTTATAGCGATATGCTACCACAGCACCTACTAGTTTGATATTGAAGGAAATTGCACGCCAAAGAGACATACCCATTCAGGTTAGATTCCATAGAAATGTACAATAATGACGCGTTTGATGTACTGATATATCGTTTGTAAACTACAAATTTAGGAGTTTGTTGTTCGCAATGACTCACCATGTGGTTCAACGATTGGTCCTATGTTGAGTGCTAAGCTTGGATTACGTACCATTGGTAAATAATTCTTTTATTCTATTTTATTCTAATCTTTATTTTTGTGGGTGGGTGGGGGACCATGCGCGCGCTCTATTGAATCTGGCTCCCTCTGTCTCTGTATGCCTCGAGTTCACTCATCGCTTTATTTATCCATTTTTTCTTTTTTTTCTTTGCTCTATTAGACGTTGGTAATCCACAATTAAGCATGCACTCTATAAGAGAGGTAGGAGGAGTAGATGACGTTAAACATGGCATCCATTTATTGAAGGTACAGTTTCCTGCTATGAGCATTAAAATGGAAAGGATATAGTACACAGTAACTAAACATCTTTTTTTTTTTTTTAACATTTAGGCCTTCTTTGAATTATTCCCTTCTGTGGACTCAAAAATCATTGTTGATTAATCAAAAAAATTTGAGGGTTCACCAGATATTGATAGACTTTTAGAGTTTGTCGAATTGACAACATTCTCCGATTGATGCTGCCCTTTTTATTACCAGAATCGACCCAAAAAATAAAGTTACTGCCTGAACACTGTGCCTGTTTCTAGACATCACATATTACAAGAAAAATATCATCAAGGACTGATTTTAAAGAAAAAAGTTTAATTTGATATTTTTTGGTTTCAAGAGCACATACTATCCCTTATCCGTCCCTCTTCTTTACGAAAGAGAGCATTTTTTGCTGATCATTGCTAAAGATCAATGACCATTACACGGCTAAATTATGCTCATCAAGCGGCCATGTTGTCTCAACAGCAACAGCAACAACAAGCGTCGTCCGCAACACCACCTGAAGTCTTGTCTGTAACTGATAGTACCCATCATGATAACAGTACCACTCCTAGGGCCCAAGAAAGTAACAGTAAGAGTAAGAGTGTCTCCGTTAGAAATGATCAAAAAATTCCAGATCGCTTGTCTCACAAATTATTTGCTGCAGGTCTAATTGATTCGCAACCACAAGCACAACAGCGGCCAGAAGATAGTAACAGTACTACTGCTTTGGACCTTGGCTTGATAATGACCGACAGTGAAATCAGTGTTCAAGTAACCAATTGGTAAATTGCTTCTTAATGTACTATAAATCACATTGTCGCGATATTCTATTTATCCAAGAATGTGATATATAATACCAATATAATAGGATCAGAGCGAATTATGTTCAAGAAAGAGAACATAATGTTCCGAGAAAAAACATGTTTGAACATTATAAAACTTATTGTGCTGCTAAAAACTTGTCACCTGTCAATTCAGCTACCTTTGGCAAGCTGTTAAGAGTTGTATTTCCGAATTTGAAGACAAGAAGATTGGGTGTTCGAGGTCAATCCAAATATCATTATTGCGGTATACGTGTTAAATCTGGAGTAAATGCTGATGTTGGGAACGACTACTCAGCTGATACTCAGGCGACACATACGACCAATACAACAAGTCCTACAATGACATCAACTCCAACGGATAATCACAAGGATATCAACGAGAGTAATAGTCATAGTAGAAATGGTAGCAGTGACAATCAACCAGTGTCTATTCCTACTACAGCAACAATACCCTTTAGTCATACCTACCCCTATCAACAACAGCAGCAGCAGCAGCAACAACAACAACAACAACAACAACAACAACATCCGCAACAGCAACAGCGCCAACAGCAACAACAACAACAACCACAGCAACCGTGTCATTATCAGCATTTAATTCATGACGGTCAATTACCTACTTTTCAAATCCCTAGTTATATGTCATCTTTTAAAAACGTAGATCATGGCATGTTATTATCTTTCACCACTTTATACGAACAGCATTGTCGTGATTTACTTGAATTGGTCACAACCAATCAAGTAGGCAAGGTGAAAAGTCTCATGTTGACTTTTTATCAGGACATGCCGGACTCTTACAAAAGATTGGTGCATTCTGTACCTGAATTATCAGAAGCCATTTGGCGTTGGGATTGTACGCTTTACGATACCATGATTGAGAGGTTTTTACCTACAGTAAATCAACGTCTTTCTGAAGAAACAATAAGAAATTTACATATTTTCACAAGAGAATTGAAAAACTACATTGAAGCATCTGCCGTGCAATACCCGTCATACTTGGTTCAGAGAAAACTAGATGGTAAAGAAAGGAAACATGTACAAAAAATGGTACTAGAACCCTCTAACAATATCTTGCACAGTGGCTCGCATCTTTGCAGCCAAATTCCGCAGGCAACTTTCGTTGAATTTTGCAGCCCAAAATGCGGCTAGTATTTTGAGTAGTCTACCTCATGTTGCTCATATGAGTGAAAGTTGGAACAAATTAGAAGTAGATGCTGTTTTGGATCAAACGTTATGGGTATGCGATTGTGACACAAATGAAATAAAACACATTTGTGTCCAAGTATATGAATTGTTGAATAGTCGGTCTAGCATTGATAACTGGATCAGCTGGATTCATGGAATTGTCGAAAAGTATCTGATAAAAGGTGGAAACATACCAGTAAGTTATCTTAAACTCACAGACACTCCTCACTTGGAGTATCCAGCTTTTAATAACCGTTACTTTACACTTAGAATTCAATTTCTCAAGCAAATCATTATTTACACTGTTCTAAACAGTTTTTGCTGAAATGGAATTTCTACACTACTCTGATTATGAAAGATATTACGCTACAACGTACTGAAAGCTTTGGTTCTTTTCAAACTTTACGTTTGTTCTTGGATGATTATATCTTATACTTAGTAGAAGAGTCAATTGCTCAGATGAATTCTGAATTGATGCAATCATTACAATTGCAGCAGCAGCAACAGCAGCAGCAACAGCAACAGCAACAGCAGCAACATACAAACTATTATCACCCTACTGCTGGACCTACGCCATCGACATCCTCTTCTACTACGTCAGCTTCAAACCCTCATAAACCACGAGGCCCTCAAAAACACCCACCGCCTACCATTACATCCGCTATGACCGCCAGTGGTCACCATCACATTGGCAATAAGAATAATACTGGTACTACACCTGCAGCCGCTGCACCCTATCAGCAGTAAAATTTCTCGGTTCTTACGACAATGCATAAATCTTTGCTTCCTTTTTTTTAATTTCCCTTAACGATTCTATTCTTGCTTCTAACCTTGCTTATTTATTTATGTTTTAATACCTTTCTTTATGTTGTATACATATCTCTTCTAATATCTATAATTTTCTATTTATTTTGGCTCTTATATAACTGTACCCTACAGTAAAAAACTTTAATATGCTAATTTTTTTTATTGTAACACTCCAATAAAGGGAAAAACTCAAAAATGTCTTTGCACTTAACCGTGGAATTTCATCTGTACATTTACAAAAATAAATGATTTTGCGAAATAGTTGGCGAAAATTTTGAAAAGTAAAAAATATACTCGTTTTGGAAGTTATACTTTTTAACATGTTCATCCATAGATGGAAAGAATGATATCACATTTTCATGCTGATTTATGTAACCGACTTTTTTACTTTTGTACCCAATAAGCGTAATGCGATCTCAGAATGTCTTCATTTCACGAATTCATGGCAGAATTGTACATAAGTTGAGCATAAGTTATTTCTTATTTTTCTTTTGTTCGTATACTTTTGCTGCTTCTAAGTAACAAAATAAGCAAAACCAAGAACCCTAATAATCTTAGAATGCAACATCTAGCCGACCTTAACTTCAAATCTGATAGAAATTATCATGATTCTAAAAACAGCGTTTATTGGTTACCCAATGATCATCCTGAACAAGAAAGGTTAAACTTGGTAAGAGAATTTGCGTACTGCATTCAATAAACTGTAGCATCACCAAACCAACATCCTCTCCTACTACGCCGTATAGCAACATCATATTCTTAAGAGTATGTTTGGAGGGTAAATATCTCTCTTTCATTACTTTGGAAGTAGAAAACGATTCAATGATTCTTTTGTTTCATATGCTACATAGCAATGTCCTGCAAAGTGTAATAGACAATCTGGATTTCCACCATTCGCGTCTGAAGGTACTCGATGTAGCGTCTGGTACAGGAATTTGGATCAAGGTTGGTTTAGTCTTTCATAGAGAGCCTCTTGGCCTTCTAGCTTCTGCTTTACTACCATAATAAACTTAAAACACTGGCATTTCTTTGTAGGATATGCAAAAGGACTTTCCTAATTGTTCCTATGAGGGTTGTGACATCATTGCACCCAAAGTAAAAGTTGAAAAATCAACGCCAATAGATGAAGGATGCCTCGTCACGGATGCTAGCGATACTACTGCTACTACTACTTTTAGACTAACGTATGGTGATGTGCTCCAGGGTCTTGATTATCCAGATGATACGTTCCATTTCGTGCATATGAGACTACTTGTTGCTGCTTTTCGTAAAGAGGAATGGCCAATAGCTATAAAAGAGTTATTACGCGTAACAAAACCAGGTGGTATGATTCAGCTCCTGGAACATAACTCACGGGTAAGTCTGAACAAAAAAAAGACTTTCCTTTTTAGTATTCGTTAACGTTGTATTTACATATATGTATCATGCTAAACCAGGTTGCAGGCGATGAAAAAAACCCATTTCACCGTGCATGGAAAGCGGGTAAGTTTTCTTTAGTTAACGATAACCAGATCACTTCTACTGCTGTAAGCGGTTAACTACTGCTAGCCGTATTTCTGTGCCGCTCTTCTCAACATTTCTCGTCCCTTTATTGTATAATAGTGTCTGAGGTATTTGAAGAGAGAGGTATTGATACTCAAATTGCGTTCAATTTGCCGTCCTTAATCGAAGCACATCCAAATGCCCGTGTTGTGGAATATCATAATAGATACAGTGATCTTGGTAAAGTATGAAGTTTCTTTTGTCCCCTTCTCATCTTTCTCTCTTCCTACCTCCCGCAGTAGACGTTAAACTAATCGGTTCCTATATTTCACATTTATTTTCATCTGAAGCATCAAATTCAGATTGGGCTAAAGCCATGGTTATACAATATCGTGAATTAATTCATAGTATGATGCCTATGTTAGCAGACAAATTGGGTATTACAACAGACGAGGAAAAGAAAGAGTTCTTAAATAACCTTTGCAAGCCTGAAGCCTATACCGAAAGCAATGGATATTACATAGCTATGTCTGTAAAGAAATCTTAAATGCATTACTACCATTAGGAGAAATATATGTTCTTATACATATAGATTATCGATAAATCAATCTTCCCTTTAAGAAAGTTTACGGAATAATTATAACTTGCACCGTGTAATATTTTGCAGAATGTATACATCTCGAATCAAACAACGTTGGCTTCAGATGGTAACTTTTGTGCATAAATAAAAGAAAGATATTACAATCTCATAATTGGCACCGCCATTATTTTAGGAATATCAGATACCGTGAGGAAGTGATGAGTATATCAGTTCACGTTTTTCGAAGAGATTGCGTCGTAAAAGTGCGGAAAACTGCAGCCTCATTATTCGTTCGATATTTTTATCGCTGGGTATCTTTCACGTACAGCTAAAGTAATAATTCAACTTCGCTTCTGTACTGTTGAACAGTATAACTCACATTTCCAAAGATGATTCCAAGAAATACGGTCTCATGATCTATTTGTTGTATCCACATTTCCCTGAATATGGGTGACATATGTGTTACAATTGCCTTGTTTTATCAGGTTCACAATGCAGGCAAGCAGGATTACTCTTTGAGTAACTAATGGCTAGTTACACGGTTAGACACTGTATCATACTGATCCTGTGAGACAAGTCAACAACTATTGTTGTATAGCAAAACTTTTCTTTTCTTTTACGACGACAAAGGCCCAATGAAATAAAACAAGTATTTTTTACAGGATTTTAAAAGCCTTCGTTTTCGCGGCAAACTCTTCACTAGCGGCAAAAATGGGCCTCGAACCAAAGTAAAGATAAACTATGTCGTGTAGAGGAATTTACAAGAGTTTGAAACGGTACTTTTGAACGCAGTATCGTATCTGTGAGTGCACAAGCTTCGCAGACAGATTATAGAACAACATTTTAGCAAACAGTTGAGTCCGAATGATACTTGATCGTGCAACTGACGATGATATAAAATTGCGGGTTTCGTAGTTGTCTGTGGAGTTCCTTTGATATACGATAAGATACCTGACTTTTCCTTACTTCATTATCCATTTCTTGGCGCAGAAAAGAGTACTTTAAAATGATTTATCCTTGATAGCACATCCAATAGCAATTTTGCCGGCTTTGTTACTGAATTCTGCTTACCACCATCGTTTCTACAAGTGTGCAATCAACATTCGGGCGGGCACTCATCGCAGAGTATACTAGCTGCTCAACACCCTTCGTGGTTATAATATTAGACCTATCGAGGCCAATTTCTGCAATCAGCTGTTTGGAGATTTGATTTTCATCGTCAAGCTCGAGGTTTATTCTTATTCCTATTACACCGCTAAAATGTCGTTTATAAGCACAAGCTTGTGATAAACAAAACGTTCATGTCCTTTTGTCCTATCGTAAGCTTTCTGCTTTTCGACATCGTTAATGTTATTGTTTGTTCATTTTTATGATTGACAGTTATTGGTGAAAAGAATATCGGATTGAAGTAGTACCCGCGATTTAAACTTGACATTGCAATGAAGTATAGTTTTGAATTAACCTTCGGGTCTTTGAGCTAGTTAGCTCTGGTGGTTCTTGCAGTACACAAATTTGGTGCCTGATGTTTCGGTAAGCTAACAATTATTCACTGAAATTGATTCATTGAGATGAAAGAGAAATAGTTGATAGAATGCTTAATAATGCAACAACTAATTTGTCATTGTACGAATATTTCCTTTGCCGTGTACAACTTTTAACACTGTATCACTTTTAAAATGATTTTAATATTTAAATTTAATGATATTACTCCGCTTCTTTTCCCCCTTTTTTTTTTTTTTTTTTCTTTTTGATGATTCCTTCTACCTTTCCTTTCTGTAGAATAAAAACAACTTTATCTATTGTTAGATCAAAATTTGGAAAATAATGGGTGCTCAAACTGTAGATTACAGAGTTTCAAGACTAGTTGTTTTATGTAAAGATTGTGGAAATGATGTTGGTTTATATCCAGCACGTCATAAATGCCAACCTGTAGATAGGCCTGCCATGCCAGCTTTACCAATACAATATAGCAGTACTGATGCTAAAAGTAGGTATATTGACTTGGGCAGTCTCTACATTTTCATGAAGGAAGATAAACTTATTCCATGAATTCCATAGGATCGTCCTCAACTTCACCTAGTTCAAGCTTCTCTTCTCGATTAAGTCACAATACCAATAAGACGACTGCTACTGCACCCAATGTACAAGAAGAAGAAGATTCGTCTGTTTATCTCAATAATTTCACGGCTAATTTACCTGAACAACAACAGCAGGACTCAAATGGGAAAAAGCTATGGGGAAAAGTACGACAAAATGAAAAATGGAAGCAGCTAACAGAAAAGAGTAAAGTTACTCACAAATACAAAGAAAAAAGACCTGACAAACTAAGGAGGCAAGGATGAGACATTGAACAAAATTTTCTTTTACATGTATACAGATGATAAAAGCAGTAAACAAACAGGAAAGCTTTGGGGAAAACTATTACAAGCTACGCAAAGCATGGCTGACAAAATACCCTCGCGCGAAGATCGTGGACCTGGTACAGTATATTGAATAGAAGTTTCGCAATTGGAAGATGTATCTAATGGACCGATTGTGAAGAATAGTTGTATCTAATCTTCTTGCTTCTTAAAATGACTATACAGACTCGGATGAAGATGACTGGGAAGGGGAAACACATGTTTCAAGAATTTTACGCGAGTACTATGAACGAAAACAACAACCACTACCGCACTGGTTGATGGACGACGATGTAGATCCTACTCGTAGAAGACAAGGTCATAAGCTTTATGCAGAATACAAAGATTCAGATTATATGGACCCCCCAGCAAGCAGTAGAAACGACATTTTAAGATCACACTCCAGACGAAGACTATGGGAGCAAGATAACGGAGAAAATAACAGCTCCAAAAATTTATCTAGTAGAGAGAGGGAAAGACAAGAGTTAAGACAACAGGCAAGGTCTGATTCGCAGTTCTCCAGACAAAGACGACCTATCTCCAATGATTATGATCAAGAAGAAAAATTGCACAACAATCATAATACTGGGGATAGTAGCAATAGAAGGGACTATGGTCGTTACGGCGATAGATCAGACGAGACAAGAAGCTATCAGCACCACTCAAATCCTGATAGAAACTATAGCCACAAGGAAGATAGCAACACCTATAGTAGAATGGATAAATATAATAATGGAAATTATGCAACAAGTGATAGCGGTGGTCATCGCGACAGAGAAGATGCTTTTGCAGGAGATAATCGTAGATTATTACAGCACAGGTCCAGAAGTACGATGGATAGCAGCAAATCAAGGCATTATCAAGCTTCGCAACAACAGTTATCACCCATCCGTAGCGGAAGAAGCGTAAGAGGCTATAATGGACCATCAGACAATTCTCATACGGAGAGGGGTAATAGTAGTAGGACCGTTTATCCTTCTGCTCCGTCAACTCCTACAAACTATGAATATGCTCGTTCAGAAAAGTCGACAAGGCCATCATTTGCGGATAGTAACAGACCTCATCGCTATGGACCTCCTGAACCAGGATACTTTTAAGACTTATCCATTTATTCCCTTCTACCACCTTATCGTATATCCCAATTAACAATGTAATTTATTACACACATATTTATCAGATGGGTGGTGCAATTATTTTCGTTAAAATTCTCTCAGCCTCGTTGAAAATAAAAGTTTTTACGTTTTTGTTTGTAAATCAGGGAAATGTCATTCGCTGTCATTGAGAAAGAGAGATGCCAAAATGGCAATTACTTTACGAGAAAGGTTTACAATAAATCGCATGGCAAACTTGTATACGAGCATTATCAACGAGAACTTCAGGCGTTCAAACAACTCAGGATAGCCTCAATGAAGGATTCTATTGAAAACCATGTAAAAACAGCTCGTCTTCTCGTAAATTGTAATATCACATACTGACGGCTTACTTCGTTGTAACAAAAAGTATAGATTATCTATCTTTTGGATCATGATGAGACACCCAACGCTTACAGGCTAAAGTTTCCTTATTATTCTCAAAATTTGGAAAGCTTTATATATACGCACGAAAGCGATGTTGAACTGGCAAAAAAATTCCTCTTACAAATTGCACAAGGATTGCATTATATTCATCAACACAATATCGTACACTGTGACTTGAGCCCAAGTAATATTTTGATACAATCAGAAAGTTGTATCATGATCAGTGACTTCGGCTGTGCACAGGCTGTGTCTGATACTAGCATGATAAGTAGCAACAGAAAAAGAAGGCAAGATTTCGTTTTTGGCACAAGGTGAAAAATTGTTCGAACGAATGAGCAGGGAAGCAAGCAGGTTAACGATTTATCTCGCTTCGTATAGATGGTATAAAGCACCAGAACATCTATTCGGCTCAACGGTGTTCGCTCCAGCGACTGATATATGGTCACTTGGTGCTATCTTTGTTCAGTTGCTAATAGGATACCCGATATTTGTAGGTCAAACTGACATTGAGCAAATTGGACAAATTACCTTTCGAATAGGTAAAGCCTCAGTGGAGACCCAAATCGAGGTATATATAAAGAATATGGCACCTTCAAATTACAGGGTAATTGAATGTTGATAGATTGTTGCAAATTTCATCGATAGGAAATGGTAAATTATCCAGATTTCGACAAATTGAACTTTTTCTTTACAGAGGATGATATAGATGGTGAAGAAGAGTTTGATTTGACCGACGAAGAATTACAAGCTAGGAAACCGTTAGATGAGATTTTTGCAGCAGAAAATGTGCCAGAAGTCCTACAGCTTATCTCCAAAAAAATGTTGACGTGGTCCGTAAGGAACAGACTATCTGCTAAGCATATCATCGCCTTATTGACTGAATAATACATTCATTTGAAGATAAGTGCTCGGCAAATGAAGCTGATTATTTAGGTTGATCATGCTTTGATAAAGATTAAATAGAAAGATATTCGTACTGTATTGTAATTGTTAAGTTTGTGAATGCTTTTAAAACAGTTAGAGCTGGAAGATAAAATAAACTAGCTTAGTCCCGTCATTCATCAGAAAAGGAAAAAGATTTCACATGTATACAATTTCGAGAAAAAAATAGAACTCGTCAAATGACAATTGATCAGAGTTTTCACCCACAGCATCTTTTCGTTAAAGGAAAACGACAATTATTGTATTAATCGTATGTCGCTTGATTATTGTTTTGCTATAAGCCAGGGCTGATTTCTAAGGAACGATCAGAAACTATAATTCTTAAGACGAATCTGGGCTGAATCACGTTTCTTCCAATGAATTAGGACCAGTTTGAGAGAATTCCACGAGCATCTATTTGTTTCTCCAGAAAGAATCACCTGATATTGTAGTTATTATGGTAGGTCGTACTGATTAGGTACCCATTCGGCTATTACCGTGTAATAATGACTGCTCTCTACCGATTACAATCCTTGATATTCATTTTGAAAGCTGAAAGTGATCACAACGCATACAATTGATCATCTTCGATACCCGTTTAAAGTGTAAAATATTGAAGTTTTTTTTTACAGCTAAAGTATGATCAATCTTTCACTCCAGATTAATTCTCGGTTGGATTGATTGCCTATTATGTCAACAAAAAAAAAGTGAATCAATTAGTCATGGATTTGAAAGCATGCAAGGAAAATGGCAAGATTAGAATAAATAGATAACCTGGAGCAAATAAGATAAGTTAGTCACGCTGATCTCTATTTGACACACAATAAGATATGCCTTGATTTATCTTCTTTGTCTGTACTTCATTTTAACCGTGGCAAACAACAGCAGCAGCAGCAACGACAATAGTTGAAACTTAGTCAATCGAAGGTTCCTTTGATTTCTGATTGTCTTCCGTTACACCAGATCAAAAAATTTATGGAGAGAGTTTAGCTAGCGTAGATCTGTGATATAAATTATGGAAGCTTAAACTAAATGGATTCAAGTTAAAATTGACTATTGAACTGCTAATACGCCTTAAGCAAAAGTACTGGGTGTAAAGGTGGAATTATAATCTTTCTTTGATCTTGACGCGGACGTTCAAAAAGTACTAATTCGACTTGTTCTAGAAGTTCTTTTTCGATTTGTGCAGGTTTTGCTTTTTTTTTTTTTTTTTTTTTCAAATCCTTTTCTGCTTTTTATCAACCTCACCTTTCTGTTGTTGCTCATTTACTATAAACATACTATCCGAACGTATTTCATCTCAACATAATATTGCTTCATGTCTAAAGCACAAGCAACCAAAAGTGAAAAAATTGCTGACTTTTTCAACAGACATCAAATAGGTAACGTAATATAAGTCTAATTGAAGCGTGATGCATTCACATTAACCGGACACTTGGATTTTGGAAATGTTCAAATTGTCTTTATAGACCTTCCCTGGAAAATCATCTTTCCCATCATCATTGGACATTTGTTGAACATTCGATTTTTCACACAATTTATATTTATATCAGGAGAACTTCCAAATGGCCTTTATAGGAAATGTGCGTGGGATCTAGCTTTTTTGTTCTTTTACTTTTGTGTATTTACACTTGTCCGTGCTGCAACCATGAAATATGTATTGAAACCATTATCCAGCCGTCTGAATGTTTCGAAAGGGAAAGTACTTCGTTTTTGTGAACAGAGTTGGTTGGTTATTTATTATTCAATCAGCTTCACTAGTGGATTCGTAAGTTATTATACCTGCAAAAAATGGAAATCGAAGGATCTGTCATAGAGAATACGTGGTCGATTATAGTTCAATTAACAATGCATTTTGCTGATAGATTATATTATACAATTCGCCAACATGGAATGATACATCCTACTTCTGGCGTAATTATCCTGATTGGGAGATGACGGCTAGCTTAAAGTATTACTACTTATTGCAGTTTGCATTTTGGATTCAACAGCCATTTGTGCTACAAATTGAAGCACCAAGAAAAGATTACAGAGAGTATATGTTACATCATATTAATACATTATTGTTGGTCGGCTTGAGTTATGCGTGTAACTTTACTGCAGTCGGCGTTGCTGTTTTTGTGTGTATGGATTTACCGGATGTACTTCTCAGTGTAAGTTAATCACATTCTATAAATCAAAAAGATGTGTATGCGCAAGGTATAGCCTTTTTAATATAGTTCCACTATATTACTATTAGTTAGCGAAAACCTTACATTATCTCAAATTCGGATTCATATGCGATGCAACATTTGTAGCAATGGTTATCTCCTGGTTATATACAAGAGTGTATCTCTATGGACGCATTATATGGTCAACCTATACTGAAACGGAATTATATATCCCAGAATTTAAGTTGGACCCAGTAAATGGTTACTGGTTCCCTCATTTCGTCAAGTACATTATCGTCGCATTGATGATGGGCCTTTACATACTTATTGTGTTTTGGACTTTGATGATTTTCAAAGTGGTTTACAAATTGGTTACAAACACTGGCATTACTGATGTGCGCTCAGATGATGAAGATGACGATAGTATGGAAGATGATTTAGGGGATAGCCTAGAAAAGGAAGTAAGTGATCGTAAAGCTGAGGTGCCAAACTATGGCTTACTGGCTCCACCAGCACCTAAAAAGAAGAGGTATGTCACAATGAAATCTGAAGGACAGAAAGGGAAGTAAAGCACAATTACGCTGACTATATTTTCTTAAAGGCGTTTGAGTAAAACGGAGCAAATTAGGAATTATGCGGCGAGACGATAAACTTACCATTGATTGAATGTCAAAAGCATATAGGATCTATTATTTTTATTCAACCTTATAGACATATTTCTACATATGTATATACATAATATACCAAGGGTTTATTTAGAATAACCTGTTTTTTGTCTTTTTTGAGAAAATACGATTAGCGTACGCTATATTGCTAAATTTATCCAAACACATGTGCTTGATAATTATCGTGGAAGATTCAATAGATGGGTATAGCTACAAGGTAGGGCATCAATTCAGATAGTTGTCAATGCAAATGCTCTTACCATGATGGGTTTAACTGCCCAAGATAATATGATTTAGTCGAATATCATCGTACACTTTATGAGTCTCGCTCAACTGTAAATGCAATCGTATCATCAGTCCCATAGACTACATTATTATGTCTTAACAATATAGTCAAGCCTCATCCTAAATCTAAAAACCAATAATTATGGCTAATGATGGCACTCAAAGGCCAGCATAGACAGTCAGATTTTGAAGTGATATCCATAATGGTAAGCTGAAGTACTCTGTGCAAAGGTTGGACTACTTTGTGACGAAAAGTTGAGGGTTGCTTATTACGGACGAAGTTTATTCAGAGCACAGCGTTTGGTTTTGTGCAACTTAAAGTTTCTGCAGAAACCAGTTTGAGTCTTCTTTACTTAAGAAAAAAAACCACATTATTATAAATAAGCCCTGTTACTAGAACCCAAATTCTACACATAGCAAAAAGCTAGGGTTTATTGTGTACAATTTCAATATTGAAAGAGCTGTATGGTTGATACACCTTGCGATACAGATATGGAAGCAGATACAAGCTGCATTTTTCATTGTTTTTGTTCTTGTTACAAAACAGATAACCGTGCGGTAATTCAAACTTGGAATAACACCGCGAAATTGAAACATAGCAGTGGTTTCCCCAAATACCCATAGCCCCTTTTTCTAACAAGAGAACAACGATATTCATACCCGAAATCTATTTGCTGATCTCCTCGTTAAGAAGCTGCAAAGCTATCTTTTCATGCCCTAAAAGAGAATCCATGTATTGTATCGACCAAATTGAGTCTGTCTTCAAAGCCGCGTGATTGTGAACTTAATGGTTAAACTCGCATCGGGTCAGGAAAAGGCTTGAGATTAGATTAGGTTTGATATCTACCCTTTTTTTTTTTTGCCTAATCTTCGTACAGCTACGTACATTTTGATAAGGCCTGTTTACTCTCGTAGATACTGCTGCTCCACATAAGGTTGTTTGAATTGAATTGGAAAATAGATGAATGAAACGTAGAAAGCTGGAGAAAGTTTTATTTATATTTCTATTATAATATTTACTTAATAAAAATATGTGCATTTCATCTAGCGTTTTTTACAAGATTTGCCACACTTGGAGCAAATACGCCTAAGCGCAGTTAATTCACACTTTGTTGATACTGTCGGCCTTTCCCTTCATTTCGTGTTCCAATCAAAACCTTATCCAGGTTCCCATTTCAGATCCCCCAACGGCCAATCAAATTGAAGGCAAAATCGTCCCATTTTAGTGATTACTGCTCCTCAGATTTTGTGTAAAAGTCAACACAATGTAAGGTTATTCAAGATTTATGCACGTACTCAGGGTTACACACATATAGTAACTGCAGTAAAACGGTGCAGTTAGCACTGATTTATATCAAAATAGCCCAGTCAAGCGTAGTGCACTCAATCAGTTTAAAATTTTTATTAGCTATAAACGTGAAACATCACCAGTATTTGATTGATTTGAGACAATTACAGTCTAGCTGCTGAAATTCTTTCCAGCATAATTGACCCAAGTTGCTCAAACGCGAAAGCGACATAAAAGTATTCGAATGGTCGATACGAACACCAGTTTCCCTCAGTATTGTAACAACATCTAGCAAACATGCCATATAACCGTACTCTATGAATATAGCAAGCTTCATCATTAGAAGACCGAAGCTGAAAGAGTAGCTGAGAAGCCCCCAACAACCCTACTTTTCAACTGAACTTCAATCGAATGAAACTTGCTATAAAAATCTAATCTAAGCTTTGTTCGTAACTTCTTTTATAACCTCCTTCTCTCATTCTTCAAATTATCATTTCCCTTTTCTTCTCCACTTATACCATTAAACAAGAAAAAAACCAACAATATTATGACTGATTTCACAGATTCCCTCATTAAAAACTTTGGTGCGCATTCTGCAAACCCAGTTATGGCTTCAGTTAACATGGCTGAATTAGGTGAGAAGCTCCGTCAAGCTCGTTCATCCACAATTGCTTCATTATCCAACGCTTTATCATCGAAGAAGCAACCTACTGCCACTACTACTGCCACTCTCACAAACAACAACGTCACCACCGCCCCAACTGCTAAAACAGCAACGCATTCTCCTTCTGGAGAAGCAACAGGAAGACTTGAGGTCAATATTGTTGAAGGTCGCAATTTGACAATTACCGATGCTCTTAAGGCAGATACATACTGCATTGTTCATTATGAAGGCAACTCCACTTCTACCCTTGATAAAAGTGAAGATGATATTGTTTCTTCCACTGACAATGAAACGAAGCCTACCAAGGCCAATGCCTATAAAGCTTTTGAACTAATGATGAAGGCCAGCTCTCCCAAGTGGATGCATCGTGCCACTTTGTAAGTTCCTTTTTTAGTATTTTTTTTTACGAGACAGGGGAAAAGCAAAAAAAAAAAAAAAAAAAGAAAAAATTTTTTATTCAGATGTTGATACTGTGATGAATGAATACTGATATTCGTTATTCCTTGTTTTCTGTTACAGTGATGTTACAAGCGGTGACAAGGAACTATTTGTCTTTGTTTATGACCGTGGTAATAAGTTACCTAACGGTGAGGATCGTTTCTTGGGTATGGCAAGCATCACCCCCAGATTGATCAGCAACAAAACTGTTGAACTTATTTTCCCTTTGAAGCCTCGTCCCACTGATAATCAAGAAGTCACTGGTGACGTCCGTCTTCAAGCTACTTACATGAATGCCAAGAAGGTAAACTATCATTGAGACATTGCATTTTTAGGATTCTAAGTTACGGCTACTTACTAGTTTTATTTTTAAACAAAAAAAAAACCCCATTTCTCAAATAGGACAAACTCATTCCTGAAGATTTCCGTATTATTCGTATGATTGGACAAGGTGCAGTTGGCAAGGTCTACGAAGTAATCAAGCGTGATTCAGGCCGTAGATATGCTATGAAAGTGTTGTCTAAACGTTGTTTGGCAGCTGAAAACGAAATCGATAATGTTATCAACGAACGTAACATTTTAGCGAAGACTCTTTCTAGTCCTTTCATCGTCAATCTCAAGTACACTTTCCAAACTGCTAATCATTTATTTGTCGTTATGGATTACTTCCCAGGTGGTGAGTTGTATGATTTTTTGGAACGTGAATTCTGCCTAAGTGAAAGTCGCTGCCGATTATTTGCTGCCGAGATTCTTTGTGCTTTCAATGATATTCACGCTCAAAATGTTGTTTACCGCAACCTCAAGCCTGAAAGTGTTTTATTGGATGCTAGTGGACATATCGCTTTGACAGATTTTGGTTTGGCTAAGCTCTTGAAGAACGCTGATGATAAGATTGAAGATGTTCCTGAACACATTACACCTGAATACCGCGCTCCTGAAATAGTTGAAAAAAAGCCTTATGGTAAGGCTGTCGATTGGTGGAGTCTTGGTATCTTATTATTTGAGCTCATGACTGGTTGTCCTCCTTTCTATTCTGACGATGACAGTCTATTACAAAAGCAAATATGTGAAAGTCCTATTGAATTTCCTGGTAGTAGCTGTATATCTGAAGAAGCTAAAGACTTTGTCTACAAGTTGTTGGAACGTGATCCCTCTAAGCGTTTAGGTGCTAATGGCGTGGCTGAAGTAAAAGCTCATCCTTTCTTAAAGGATATTAACTGGTCTGCTGCTATTAAGAAACAATTACAACTTCCATTTACACCCGAAATTGAAGAGGAACTTATTGAGGAAGCTATTGCTGCTGCCACTACTGGCATTGATATTGCAGATAATGAAGTGAAAGATGCCACAACCGCACCAAAAGCTACTGCTACTGCCGCTGATGAGTCCAAGTTCAAAGGGTTCAGTTATGTACGCGACGAAAATATGGATGATAATGCAAAGAAGGGTGATCATCCCCTTGGTGTGCAGCCTGAAGATGAGGATCCCGAAGTTGATTTCTGGTTTAGAAACTAGACAATGATAACCGAGAGTCGAGAAGCCTTGAGAAGAAATTTTGTTTTTGTTATTTGAATATATGTATTCCTTTTTTTCCTGATATATTATATTATTCATTTGTAAATATTCTGCATTTCATGCATGCTTTCATTATATTAACCCGATACTATATTAGCTTTTCTTTTTGCTTAAACTGAAAAGAAATAAAATTTCTTAATTTTTGATACCAATAAATACCATGGTTTTTGTAGAGCGGCACTGCGCCGTATTGATTGAAAGAGTTGCAAAAAGGTGATAAATAAACGTAAAAGGGTCGTTTACCTTACTTATTGCACTACATTCACAAAATGGGAGTATTCATTTCGGCTTTCATGTATCTCTAACCAAATAAGCTGATAACCCTACAGACGATTGAGCAATCAGTGAATATTTTAACAAATACACTTATATTTTACAGCCAACACAGTTATCATTTTTACCATGGGCTGATAAGCCAGTAGAAAGGAGCGGTTAATTGCAATTTTTACGAACCTCAGCTTAAGATTTCTCATTTTCTCGTCAGCAACAAAAAAGCCTTTTTGCAGTTGCGTTTTTTACGGTCAGGTTAGACGAGTCACATGGAACCTTTACATATACTAACAAACTGGATCTGTCTACTGGCGGCCATTATTGTTTATTAATTTCAAATAAGTCAACCAATCTGCTTTGAACAACATTCATGGCAAAGGAATAGTCGAAACAATCATTAAGTTAATATACAATTTTTAGCCATTTTCTAAGCTGCAGACAGTATATTTGATATAGAGCAGGTAATATGGAATTGAGAGATGGATTTTTCAAGTTGATATTGTTCAGCAACCACCATAAATGCATGTTGATAAGAATCAATTCGTGAAGTTTGATTGATTTAATTTAAATTCACGTATTACGGGCTTCAAAACGTTATCAATACCCTCAGATAATCCTGAATCAAGATTCGCTTAGCTGTAGATGAGTAGTTGTGATAAGATGATGATTAAGTGCATAGTATATTTATTACTCTTAGAAGAAGCACGAATTCTTCACCATGTAGAAACCTAATGGGAATCATTGAGGACGTGTTTATGTCAGTCACTAAATTTCAGGTTCATATGCTTTCAAAAAGAGCCAGAGCGGGGTTTTGAATTCCTATTCTTAGCTCTCTCATGGCTCTCTCATTTCCTTTTGTTTCATTCCACTCATTTATTGCATAAATATCATGGCAAACACAGGCAAACAGACTGCCATTCCAACAGTGGCAGTTAACAATGCGCCCATTACGAGTAAAATACCATTGGCTACAGAAGAACCAGTTCGTCGATCATGGTTGAAGTCGGAACTGGCAGAGCTTAACAGTAAAGAGGAAGAGGAAGCAGTGCTTGAACGAAGGAGACAAGAGGGGGAAGAAGAGGATTCCGATTTGGAAGAGGAATCAAATGGCAGTAGCAGCGATGTTGAATCCATTGACTCTAGGACAGGTCAAAATAAAATAAAAAATATTGAGGCAGCAAAGGATGATGATAGTGTCGTTAGTGATATAGAAGAGTCGCCAAAAACGACACCAACGAAAGATAAAATTCAAGATAAACAGAAACCTGCGAAAGATGAATTCGAGGCCCGTGATATAATGGCTTGTTTGCAGCAAGAGATGAGAGAGTATCAAGAACGGCAAGATTCTGAGGTTGAGAAATATGAACAAAGTGTGACTAACGAAGAGGACCTTTTGAATGAAGATCCTGACTTGTTGAGACGTACTGAAAGCAATCGACACATTCCCTACGATGAGCCCGAAAGCAAAGAAATTGTATGCGGAAATACGTCTGATAGCAGTTGCATACATGTTCAGAGTAATCAATATCAAAAAAGCCTATTAGTCTTCTCGGACAACCCTACCGTTATCGAAGAACCCACCAAGTTGCGTGTTGTGCAATATTACGGAGCAGGGAGAACGGGCGTCATGCCATCAGCTTACCGACAGACACGACCATCAAAAGCGTACTTGGTTGCTTGTGATTTCAGTAAGGAGAGTTTATATGCGCTTGAATGGACGATGGGAACCATGATGCGGGATGGGGACGAGCTACATGTAGCAACGGTTGCCAACAGAGACGATAATCCTGATATTGTGGATGCTTCTGGCCTCGACCAAAAGGAGCAGGTACATTTTGTAGGATTTTTTGTTTCGTAAGAACTAATCTAACCGTCCTCCACGAATCCTTTAACTCTATACGTATATAATTATAGTTGCGTGCCACGTCGGACGCATTGATTGCGGAAACAAAGAAACTAATGGGACAGATGATGCTATTCAACATTAAATTGATAACATATGTTATGATAGGAAGGATTAAGGACGCCTTAAAAGCTTTGGTAAATAATAGCAATTATACTGGACAAGAAATAGGGCGTCATTAACGTTTATTACGTCTATAGATGAGGGAGCATAATTACACCATGATAGTTTGTGGAAGTCGTGGCCGTGGGTCCATGAAAACGTAAGTCTAGCCAATCATTATACTGTAATTCTACGTATCGATTACTAATGTATACTTGGTGGGGGGTTTTTTCTTTTTCTTTTTTTTTTTCTTCTCAGCTGGTTGATGGGTTCAGTGTCCACTTATCTAGTACATAAATCTCCAGTGCCTGTTGCAGTTATTCGCAGACAAAAGAAAAAGAAAATGAAGCACGAAAAGCTAGTTGCTCATTCTCTTAGCGAAAGTAAGGAACAATTTAAAATGTATTTCAATTTGTATTATGTTTACGAATATATACTCTTTGCAAAATAGGTATGAAAACGGGTCAGCTACATGTTGATGAGCTAAGTTAGGAACCTGTTGATTTTTACTATTTTATAAGTTATTCTCTTTCAAAATATAACTTATATTACACCTCAAAATTCTTGCTGAACTATAAGTATTGTTATGGTGCAATTGGTTTTATTTGCTGTGGTATTTCACTTGAACAATCTAATCTAAATGTCAGAACGCATGCTCTACTCTCTTTATGAAAGAGCATTTTGACGCAGGACTAAGTACGAGAGAGGAAAAAGTTCACTGACTCCAAAATTTTGTTGATGATAAGCTGCTCATATAGTATGCTCTTCACAATTTGTTATGGAATTGGGAAGATAGGGTAGTGAAATTTTTTGGGTTTTTCTTTATGTTTAAATGATGTGGGGTACACATTCAGATACCAATGAAGGCTTTGACGGGAATCCAACTTAAATTTTTTGACGAACAGAAGCGCTGAAAAAGATTGAAGTAGTCCTTCTCCAGTTTTACTTCCTTTTTCCTATTGATTCAACCATTGAAAGATATGTTCAAGATCACCCCTCAGCTATACAAAAAAATTAAGCATTATGCGAACTTTCCGCAAACGGGGGTTTCCTTAAAGCAAATGGTTATGTTCGGTAAAGGATCAAGCGATAAAGATTGTCTCCTAAAACAAAATTATAACTTTTGTCTCTCTTATTTATACTTTCTGTATTTCTCACGGAATGCTTATTCAGGGCAGAAACCATCTCCAGCAACGTTTTTTAAAGCGAGTCAATTTTTGCATGGTAAAGGCAGTTATCATATCGCAACTGAAAGAACCCAGAAAGTAAAGCTCAACTCATGAAAAATTTGGGGTGTATAATAAACATAAACAACAGAGGAGTTACCTATACGTTTGGCGCATCGTGTGAAAGAGCTTGACGAACTGCCACCAAGTCTAGGACAGCAGCCTTCAATTCTGAAAGTCAAGGACTGGTATGCACAATCTTTCCAGGTACATTCACATCATCGTATACAATTTTCATTGTCCGGTATGAGCGAACACTAAGAAAAACAATAGGAATTAATAGAATTACCTACACCAGAAATTTCATCTGAATTGAAAGCTAGCTTTAAAAAGGCGTCAAGAAGTTCACCAACTTTACCACAAAGCAGACCTAATTTGGCTGTTCAGCAAATGAAATCCAAGAATTATTATTATTATAAGACTGTCGACAACAGGTAAACGAATTTTCATCAGGAAATCGAACCATTGGAGCGTTAAGTATAATTATTCATTCTGATTTGATTCGACTTGCAACCTCCTTTTAGATACTTCAACAACTACGAGCGTATAAAGTGCACCCCGGCTATGTTGGTGTATTCTGAAGCATTTGTAAAAGCAATTGAAAAGGTGAAAAAGCGTCATGATCCAGTAGTAACCACAATGGCGCAAGGGATTTTAGAATACAAGCAGCATCGACAATATAATATAGTAGATGCAGATGTACAACAGTTTTTGGATAGGTTCTATATGTCGAGAATCGGTATCCGTATGCTAATGGGTCAGCATTCAGCCCTCTACCGTGGGCCATTTATGCCTAACTATGTTGGTGTGATATGCACCAAAACCAATATAAAAGAGATTGCTCAGGACGCAATAGCTAATGCTAGGTTCATTTGTGAGGAGCATTATGGCTTGTTTAAAGCACCTGAAGTGCAAATGTTTTGTCCAGGAAACATCGAGTTCATGTATGTTCCCTCACATTTAAACCACATGGTTTTCGAACTGCTCAAAAACTCTTTGCGTGCGGTAGTGGAGAGGTTTGGCACTGACTATGAGGATGAATACCCGCCAATTAAACTTGTTATTGCACATGGAAAAGAGGTAAGTTCTAGGACTTGTAGGCATATCAATCGAAAGCGACAATGTCGACTTAGTGCAATAAAATCACTTTTAGGATATAACAATCAAAATATCTGATGAAGGAGGCGGATTACCACGTTCGGGCATTCCAGTGATCTGGACTTATATGGTATTGGAAGATCTACAACTCCAATATGTACCGTTACATTTTTAACAATGTTTGTTAAAATTATAGTACACCACAGCACAAGCACAGGAATTAGAACCCGACTACAATAAATCAGAATTCAAAGCACCTATGGCTGGATTCGGCTATGGATTACCTACTTCCAGATTGGTAAGTTGGAAATATAGTTGCAAGTCATTTATGTTTAGAAGCTGATGCATACCATGCCATTAACAGTATGCTAGATATTTTGGAGGAGATCTGAAACTAATATCGATGGAAGGGTAAGTATGTGTATTTTACTATTTCTTTTATAGCTCAACCTCATCATGTTCTACCATTTATAGTTATGGTACAGACGCGTACTTGCATTTAAACCGCCTTTCAAACAGTGATGAACCACTTATTATGTAAAATGTAAAATAGTATCTTTTAAGAAACTCATATTCTCCAATGGCAATAGCTATATCTGTACATAGAAATTTGTTCATAGACATTCTGATACATCATCATCTCTATATCCATCTTTCCTTCCCTTAACCTGCCATCCTTCTATTTTACTAATTCTGGCCTGCTTCATATCACTTGAGCCACAAAGTCACCGACTCAATATTGTGTAAGAATAGATTAATGGTCGTTTCAATTATCAAACGCTTATCTAATTAGAGTCTTCGATGTTGTCTTACTGTTTATAATGGTTTTTCACTAAGGCGATATCTCAAAGCTGGAGTAATAAATGTGAAACCATCTTGTTGGTTCGGTTAAAGGTATAAATTTTATGTGGTGATAATTACATGTTGAACAAAAAGAAAATAGTATGACAACTAGGCGGTTGAACTTGTCGTACTGTATAACTGTTGCATTAACTAAATGTCCCCTCACCCAAGCTAAAACTTTTAATACCGGGAAAACATTGAACAGTAGCTTTAAAAGGTGTTACTAGTAATTTTCATCAGTGAGAACTCGAATAATAAACTGTTATGTTAAGAACAGTGTTAAAGATAGTTTTCCTCGTAGTATGACTGACAAAAACCTTAGCACCGGAAGTTAGATATGTAAACACACGAGTTACTATATAAATCTCTATCTATTGTACAAGACAAGGGAACAATCCGGATTGTCAATATTCGTTTCGTGTATGTAACAAATCTTTTGTTACTATGCGCTAATATTGCTTAGTTGTGATACTGATGTTTTTAATTTCATCATCTTGTCGCCTTTATCGGCTTATTTTTACGTTTACGCGTAAAGTATATTGAAAATGCATGAATTTCGTGTTGTACTCAGCAAACTTTTAAAGTCATCCTCCCATGGAAGAAGGCTCCAAATACCATAAATAGTAGTAACGGTCTTTGAATATACAAACCCATACGATGTATTTACTCATACAGTTTTTTAGCTTTGGGTTTAGACGAAGCCGCAATATAACTAGACGATAAAAGTAAATTTTTGAGACCATCAAGTTATAATTTCAAGATCGAATTACACAAAAATTGAGACGCTTACCTGTAAAAATCAAACCAGCTTCGTGCTGGCGATTAGAGGATGGTGTTTAAGTGGTTGTTGCGGTTGATTTTGGTTTTCTAGAAAACTCCGCAGGTCTTCCCGTTGACTTCCAGGTCGAAACGCTAATTGTCAACATGTTTTTAGCAGCGTTGACGTCCCGGTTCCAAAGTATCGAACAGGTTTTGCAGGCAAGGATACTTTGGCCGGGAACTGTCTTCAATGCTTCAAGATTGTTGGAACGACAATTATTGCATATTCGAGAAGTTAGGTATTCATCAATGGTTAATACGAGCAAATCGCCAGCAGCCTCTCTTCGCTTCAAGGCACGCCAAAGAACTCCCACGACACCAGTCTTATGGCCTTTGATGGGCACTGCACTCTTCCCGAACATGCCATTACCAACTACAATCAAAGGGATCTTTTTAGTGTCGCCTACACTAAAGGGTTCAGGCTTCCACTTGTTCTTCAGGGGATTACTGTAGAAAGCATGAGTTCTATCAATATTTCTGCGAATAGTGGATGAATTGCTTATCATTTAAAAACCTTACCTCTCTTTCTTAGCGAGAACATCGCTTACTTCTCTCGCATCTGCTTCTTCCTTCTCTTCTGGAACCTTTTGCTTCTTCTTCTTCTTCTTTTTACGTTTACAAAAGGCCATTCTGTCGGTATTCTTCTTTGGCCACTTGCTTCGATCTTTCTTCTTCTTCAACCTCAATTGCTTATTGTACTTTGTGGTTCCATTAATAAGCAAATTGACCATGTTGTCGGCAGCACGCTCCTGACCCTGGTATAAACGAAATCGTTCTTCAGCAGTTCTCTCGCCGTAAAAAGAGAACAAGGCTTCCAAGTGCTGCAATATATATTGTACATGACGGTCATGTTGTTCGATAATAGAAGTTTTGGCGGTTGGTATGCCACTTTCGATCATTTGAATTGTGCCTGCTTTCTTCTTTTCCAGCTTTGCAGCGTATCTGGTACTTCCGGTCATATGATAATATTCCTTGGTAGAGCAGCTGCGTATTTGATGTTTGTTATGATCTAGACCGATTGCCGCTGTGAAGACAGATCTTCGCCCTGGATCAAGGAAAGCGGGTCTGTAATTGTCTTGTACTTCGTCATAAGAAAAATCTTCCAAAGTCAAGGTGTGATTATGAATGGTCATGTCTTCTTTTGTTTTCTTTTTGCGGCTGAACAAAAAGTCTACAGTAAAGCCGTCCGACCTAACCATGTTTCGAAACATTACATCAGAACTTTCCTTCAAAGCGGTTAGACTATGACAGAAGCAAAAATAGGGGTGTGTTTACTATTAGGCAAAATTTTGCTGAAAAAGTTCTTCTATAGTTTTACCTCTTAGAGCCAAACTTTTTGAAGTCGAAGACTTCACAGAATTGTTCGAGTTGGGCTGTATAACCCTTGGCAACTTTTCCGGGAAACATGAAGGGTGTAAGAGCGTTTATACTTATCGCGATGAAACGCCATTTCAGCGATGGAGTAGGAAAGAGAAAGAAACGCTGAGGAAGTGGTAGGACACGGACATCGTACGGTTTATGCTGTATATGTTCTTGCTCGTACGTAAACTGTATGTTCCATAACGCATTAACAAACTTTGCAGGAGCAGCAGAAAGAGAAACGAGGGTTACTTCTCCTGGAATGAACTCTTCAAATTGTTTGCAGAATAATTCAATTCGGTTTTTGTCAACGGCCGCCAGCTCGAGGTTTTCTGGCCAATGAGGATGACCATGACAGACAGATTGGTAACAATACAGCTGTACAATTCTTTGTACATCAGTGCGTTTGATATTCTAGAATGTGTATAAAGAGAAATAAAATGAATAAAACAGCAGAGCATTAAGAAGGTACTCGGTTACAGCCTTACCGGGAGCATAGTTCTCAATTTGTAAGTAAGGAACTTTGTTAAGCGCTGCTCGAAGCGCTCTACAATGGAGTTCGTGTAAGAGACGCTCAATTCCTTTGCTGCCTCTGTAAGGCAATGGCTATATTCCACGGTTAGCTTGTGTTTTACTTCGATAGTAGGGAACTTTGCCTTGAAGTCTGTATAATACTGTTTTATGTCCTCGGATAATGCCGTTTTGTGAGTAACTTGCTTGCCCGTTACTAGCTGACCTACTGAATACCAGAATTGCTGGCAGAATACATCAGGAATAGACCTGTCTTTGTTGGCTTCTTTGCTGTCTTTCTTGCTGTCTTCTTTGTTGGCTTCTTTACTGCCTTTCTTGCTGTCTTCTTTGTTGGCTTCTTTACTGCCTTTCTTGCTGTCTTCTTTGTTGGCTTCTTTACTGCCTTTGTTGCTGTTTTTATCATTGTCTTTCTTGTCGCCTTTGTTAGCATTCCTTCTATTCTCCTGATAATGAATGAGGTACGAGTTAACGAATAATTGACTAGAGAATACTATTCTCCTTATGTCAGAGCAGCAAGAGATGACTTTCCCTTGGAATTGTTCGCGAAACGCTGGCTTCACAGCAGACGTAAGAGGGAGCTTCCTCGTGAATACAGTGGAGCCTTCTCCAAGCGTCGAGGTAATAACTTCTTCCTTTGAAGCAATGTGATTGGGACATTCGAGAGAACGAGAAGTAGAATGACCCTTTAAGCCACAACTGATACACTTGATATCTCCAGTTGTTTGCTTCTTCTTTCTCTTTGCTTGCTTCTTTTCTTCCTTGATTGTAGCTGATTGCTTACGTTTCTTACCGCTACTTCCAACTAAATTTCCGTTAAGCAAACATAAACTTGTCTTGCAGTGAGAGCATGATACTTACCATCAGCTGCAGAAACTGCTTTGTAAAACTTGCATTCATGGTATGCCTTGTTGAAATGTCCGAGTGTTTTGCAATCCTTGCACTCGATGTTCACTAGTCATACAAAACATAATCTGAGGATTACCACTATAACTTATTTGTGGCAGCGCGCTCAAGTGTTACTTACGGAAGGACTCATCTTTGACTTTATTCTTATGGGCTTCTGCCACCGATTTAATTTTTTGCAAGATTTGGGCTTTGTACATGGTAAGTAATAGCTATCAGGATGAGGAAAGAAAGATGAAAGAAGAATAAGAAGAAGAAGATGGAAATCAAAGGAAAGATGTCAAACATATTTTTATCTGTAAATGCTTCGAGTTTGACAACATCTATTTTCTTGTTACGATTGACAACAACAACCGTTATCTACGTGGCGGAAGAACGTTCCTGGGATTAGTTTAACGCGTAGATCAATTCATATGATCCATAAACAAAGTCTCGTAAACTGCAACCCTATATCTATTGCTTATAAGACCTGTGTCACACTATAATACTCAGTACGTCTCGTAGTACTTTAACGTAATGCCACTATCTATTGAAAAATGTCCACTGACCTTCAAAGTAATGTCTACAATTATTTATTCAATAAATCGTCCAAGAATATTATACCATTTCATCCTAAAATAATTTAAAATTATCTAAATTAAATATAAAAATTGTCCAATAAAATTTGTATAAAGTGTAAAGTTGAAGCTAAAACACTGTAATATTCTTTGATCTGTTCGCACAAGATTCCGTGAAGAAAGAACATGATACATAGTTGTCTGTGTATGAAAAATTAAAGTTTGCAATGTTGAAAATGTGGGATGCAGATTTGACGGATAAATACAGTGTTTTAACTACTATTTCAGACTTTTCACAAATTTTATTGGACACTATTAAATCTTTAATTTAGACAACTTTCAATTATTTTACGATGAAGCGGTATATTATTCTTGGACGATTTCGCTGATAATCAATTATCCAGTATCATCCAAGCAGCATTAAGGATGGCGTACAAGCTAGTCCTAAAAATGAGTGCTCATAGTAAAGAGGTCGCTAAGAAAACTCTTATTGGCGTGACTTTGCAATAGGACGAGCTACAAAAAGCTTGACAACTTTTTCGTCATTTGACGATGTGTTATAAGACCCAACCAGATGTTCGTCAGTGCCTTTTTCGGAACTTTGCCCAATGATAAAGACGTGTCTTTCTTTTCTCGCGTTTTGTTGTCAAAGTTAGATTATAATGAAGGGGTTCTTTCAAACGAGAATAAGATCCCTTCTTTTCCGTATTTCGCTTTTTTTGTAACTTACAGCTCTATTCATGTACAAAAGTTTCATTATACAGAAGATTAGATCTATTAAAGAAAAGCATAAGAACCAGGTTAAAAGGAACCCATTTGATAAAATGCTTGATAATTGTAGGAGAACCGTCAGATCAAGATATAAGGATTCTGATATTTGTTGTAATTTTTTAGAGCATACCAAGTGTCGAGACTGCTATGAACCAGGTCATTTTGACAAGCGTTACTACAAATGCAAGTATTACAAAGCCGTAAATGCTGATGATGGTAAGCAATAAACCTAAATCTATCTTACACACAGCACTTAATTGCTTGTGAGTAACCTCCTTAAAGTTGGTAGCAGTGGCAAAAAGAGAAAACAGAGTGACCAAGTGAAAGAGAAGAAGAAAGCAGTTAAACGGAAAAAGACCACCGCACAAGCTGTAAAGTGCCTCAGCTGTGGACAAGATGGCCATACCACTGCTCGTTCGCCGCAATGCCTCAAACACACGCCTTCGAAAGAAGAACTCATTTCATCTGTTCTTGGTGATGATGCTACTGTATTCACAAGAAAGCTTCCCATCGACAGTGCGGTGTTACCAACCTTCCGCGAGAAATTCAGAGAAAGAGTCATTTCGTGCTGCAATGACATTAGGGCTATTGTGTTTCGTTCGCAACTATTTGTTAACGCTTATCTCATCCATAATAAGAAAGACACACCAAAAGAAATTTTCACCCAACAGTTCTGGTATTCGGTTGGACAACTTGTAACAGGTAAAACAGTAACCAACAAGAAAGCAATAAATGATTCCATGAAAAACTTCTATAAGCAGTTCAAAGAGAAGCATCCAGCTGTCGAAGTAAGTTATAGCTTCACCAAAGGCTATAGCCAATGCTTAACAGAAGCTTGTAAAGAGCTCAGTACCACATATACAAACAGCATTGTTGAGCTTTTTGAGCAGCGAATGCTTAAATATCTATACTATACCTTGCAGAATTTGTTCCCGGTAAGGATTAACTTTACATTAAACCAAACAGCAGCAAAGTCAATATTCTTTTCTCTTTAGAGCATGGTAAAGCGCGATGTTGACGAAATCGCAACAAAATACTGCTATCAAGCGATTTGCAAAGGCGAACCCAAATGGCCTGGTAAAGTCAAGTTAAGCAGTGATGACAAATTAAGAATAGATAATTTGTGCAAGAACTTTGCAGACCTTGTGGAGGAAAAGGTTACGCTTTTATCATTGGCGGCCGATCCGGTCAAATTTGTCAAGCCCTTGTGGTTTATCCAGGACTACTACGAAGAAGAGCATTCTAATCATTTTGCCTACGATGTTCGTAGGTTACCATTACCTCATCGCTTCTTCCCTTTTCCAACACCCTCAGTATCATGGCGCTTCATTACCATCAGCATAAACGCCCTTACTCCTTTTTTATTTCCTGGAAGACTTGTAAAGGGCTATTGGAATCAACTTGAACAATTTTGTAAAGTGTTCAACTTCAAAAAGTTAGGCTTCAGAAGGTAAAGTAAATAGCACTCTGCTAAAAGACTCTGTTCTCAAGATTATTCTTTCACTTATATCATAGTATTGCTGAGTTAAAGACAAACACAAGTATGCTCTTCAGGAATCTCATTCGATCTGATGGCTTCACTGTAGACTTCCTATTTAGTCGTAAGAAGAAACCAAGAGAAGACGCCATCATTGATCATCATGACTTGACGTTGGAAGACTTCTCCTATGAAGAAATCACGACAAACTACAGACCCACATTTGTTGATCCTGGCCGAAAGACCGTATTTACAGCAGCAATCGGGTTAGAAACAAACAGACATGAGATACGGCGCTGCTCGACAAAAGAATATTATCACATGACGGGTAGTACTCGTGTCAGTGCAGAATTAGAAAGGAAAAAGGCCGGTTGTATGATAAAAGCGATAGAAAGCAATATACCGAGTAGTAAAACAGGCTCGCCTGAACAGTATAAGAGATATACTATTTACATACTACAACATTTAGAGATCCTGTTCTCATTCTATGGGCCAGGTATGGGTGAAACAAGGTTCCGTCTGCATCAAGGCAGACAGCGTGCTGCAGACATGATGGTGAACATGCTTGTCGATGGAGGGATCAAATACGACAAAGAATTACGGAAGAAAAGAAAGGAAGAACATATGAAATGGCCAAAGAAGAAGGGCAAGATTAAGCATAAAAAAGGAAGAAAGAAGACGAAACAGAAAGTGAAAGTAAAACAGGAAGAAGAGAATGAGAAGGAGATCCGGGAAGAAGAAGAGACAAAGAGCGATAACCACGTTCGGTAAGTCTGTAGCGATTAACTGTCCACTGAATTTGTGTATACTCAATCTACTGTCTTCCTTCAACAGACGATGGGCCCCTGAGAAATTCAGGCTGAGTGATCGCAAAAAAGTTCCTCTGGTTGTATTTGGTGACGGCATGTTCAATAAATCCGCCGTTCATCTAAAAGGCCTTAGAACTGGTGTCGTTGGTGTTTTGTGGCGTGCATTGAAGCGAAGAGAGGCTGCTGGTGATCTCCTTGCCGTGACAATTGATGAATACTTGACATCACGCATATGCAATTGTTGTCGCTCAGACACATTGAAAGCATTAGACACCGTGCGTGGCTGTAGTATCCTTGTTTGCAAAACCTGTAAGATACTATGGAACCGCGATGTCAATGCAGCAAAAAACATGATGGCCATCAGCATTTCGGTATGGAAAGACAAGGAACGTCCTACAGAGTTCAGCCGGAAGACAACTTCTTAGTCTTTTGATTTTTATTATCGCCAGAACGAAACTGGCTTGATATTTACAGGTAAACGTCTCCATTTTAGTGTAGTTCGATCTTCAAACTCTAACTCAATCGTCTCAAAATTTTGGTCATTCCATCCAGTTATTTTTAAGCTGCGTCTAAACCCGCAGTTAAAAAACTGTAGTCAATCTTACCTGAATTGTTAATTCGTTCCATATCAATCAAATAATTGGCTCTGGCTGTAAAAACGGGAAATGGCGTTCGTGCTCCCAACAAAATGCCTTTTTATCAGTTTACTGTACTTTAATTTGTTGTTCAAGCATGAGTACAAGCAATCTATGTGAGCTACTTCACTACATTTGCTGGTTTCCCGGATTTTTCAGCAGAGATGCACTCAAATATATAAGTAAGCCATCAAAAGTAGATCGAAATGACAAACACTGATATTCAATCAACTAAACGATGAAAATATCACACATAGTCGTCGCTATAGCGCTTACTTTCTCTGCAAATGTTTTTAGTCAAACAGACAAACATTATGGTAGGTTATTCCATACAAAATTAGATAAGGCGGCCCAGTCATGTAATAAAACCAATGACAATGAACATTTTCAATTTAATCTATAATTGTAGCCTTGAGTACTTCTGCCTCTGGTTATAAGGTGGATGGGAAAGTTAAGAGTACTGACGCTGGTCTTCAAATTCCTTTAAGTCTGATTTCCGATAAGAAAGATGGTATTAATCTATACGGAAACACGATCGAAAATCTTGTGGTGGACGTCGATTATGAAACAGAAGAGAGACTACATATAAAGGTATCTATCGCCTGTCTCATTCATTATGGTTTAAGGCTTCCCTTGGCTCTTTTCTCGGTATCATTATAACGCTAGTTCAATTTCAAAATGTATAGATTTCTGACAAAGAAAAGAAGCAATATACGGTGCCTGACTCTCCTTTGGGTATTGAACGTCCTAACGTCGTTCATCGCGCCGAAAAAGCAAATTATGATTTCCAATACACTGCAAAGCCATTCAGTTTTAGAGTTGTTCGTAAAAGTGATAAGGCAGTCATTTTTGACACCTCTAATATGCCTTTTGTATTCGAAGATCAATATCTTGAATTGTCAACGAAACTTCCTGATGATGCAAATATTTATGGTCTTGGTGAAGTCACGGCACCATTCAGACGCACAACAGTAAGAAAGTTATTACACATTTGCGTAAAAGATAGCATTGAACTCATACCCATTTTTTTTTCGTTTTGCTTAAGAACATCACTACTATTTGGGCCCGTGATAATGCTGATGAGTAAGTGTATTTCCAAATATTAGTGATAGTCATGATCTGATAATCTGTGGTTTATTTTATAGTTTCTACCGTAATATTTACGGCTCGCACCCTTACTATTCCGAAATCCGTGATGGCAAAGCTCATGGCGTACTTTTGATGAATTCTCATGGTATGGATGTTGTTACAGCTGACAATCGCATTACTTACAAAGTAATTGGTGGTATTTTGGATTTCTACTTCTTCGTTCCAAAATCTGGTTCACCAAACGACGTCAGTATCGCCTATACTGATTTGATTGGCAAACCGCTGATGCCATGTACGTGTCTTATTTTAGATAGAAAGTCTCGAAAACATCGCTTTTAGTCATATTCTAATGTATGTACATATAGCTCATTGGATGCTTGGTTGGCATCATTGTAGATACGGCTATAAGAGCATAAATGATGTTGAAACTGTCATTAAGAAATATAAGGAAGCTAATATTCCTCGTAAGTAAGAACTCTTTGAAATTCCATAAGCAAATTCAGCTGATTGCTTCTTGTATATCACATTTAATAGTTCAAACCGCCTGGGTTGATATTGATTACATGGAAGAGACAAAGGATTTCTCTTTCGACGGCGTCAATTTCCCAAAGAAGCGTATGATTGCTCTCGGTGAACAGCTTCACAAAGAAGGACAGAATTACGTTGTCATGGTTGATCCTGCCATCAGCGCTAATACTACCTACGGCCCCTATGTACGTGGTACTGAAATGGATGTTTGGATTAAGAACCCCGATGGATCTGACTATGTTGGTATGGTATGGCCAGGCTATACTACTTTCCCTGACTGGTGGCACCCTAATGCAAGCGCTTACTGGGAGAAAGAAATAGGCGATTTTGTCGATATGCTTGGTGTAGACGGCTTGTGGATCGACATGAACGAACCTGCTAGCTTCTGTCTTGGTTCCTGCGGCAGTGGAAAAGTAGATGCTGGCAAACAACCCTACCGATGGCTTTTACCTCAAGAAGTTCAGGACGCCAATCATGCTGCCCAGGAAGAGGCTCTCAAAGCCTTAGGCAACCCTCCTGGAGAAACACGAGATCTTTTGTATCCCAAGTATGTTATCAATAACGGCGGTGGCAATCTTTCTGAACTGACTGTTGCTACAACTGCTCTTCACTATGGCAATGTCCCACACTATGATATTCACAACTTGTACGGTCACGCTGAAAGCTATATAACTCGTAATGCCCTGATTAAACAAAACAGCAAGGCGAGACCGTTTGTCTTGAGCAGATCTACCTTCGTCGGCACTGGCAAAAATGCTGGCCATTGGACAGGCGACAACCATTCATTATGGGAATATCTTAAGAGCTCGTTAGCCAATATTCTTAACATGCAAATGTTTGGTATAACCTATTCCGGTGCTGATGTTTGTGGTTTTAACCAAAATACGACAGAGGAACTTTGTACTCGATGGATGTCCATTGGCGCTTTTTACCCTTTCGCTAGAAACCATAACGCTATTGGACAATCTGATCAAGAGCCTTACTTGTGGAACACTACTGCTGAAGCCAGTCGTAATGCTCTTCAAGTTCGCTACGCGCTTCTTCCCTATTACTATACACTCTTTGAAGAATCACATCGTTTAGGCACCGGTGTCTGGCGTCCACTTATCTTTGAATATCCCCAGTACAATGAAATCGCTGCAAACGACCTTCAAGTACTCGTGGGCTCTGATATCTTGCTCTCTCCTGTACTCGACAAAGGTCGAACTACTGTCGATGCCCAGTTCCCTCCTGGAATTTGGTATGACTGGTTTACTCATGAAACAACAGTCGAGAACGTAGGCAAACACGCAGAAGTTGAAACCGTTACTCTTGACGCACCTATTACGCATATACCTGTCCATATTCGTGGTGGTTCTATTATTCCTACAAAACAACCCAAATATACAGTCGGCGAAACCTATTCAACGGAGTACAGCCTTATCATCGCCCTTGATGATTCAGATACTGCTAAAGGTAGACTCTATATTGATGATGGTGAATCCTTGGAAGTTGAGAATAGCTCCGATATCTCTTTCACTTACAAGAAGGGTAAGCTCTCTGCTTCTGGTGAATTTGGTTACGCCCATCCTGAAAAGCTCCAAAAGATTACTATTATTGGCAAGGGCGCAAGTAAATTAACCATAGCCCATACTGAGCACAAGTCAATCGAATTGACCAAAGACGATAATTCTGTAACTGCTGACAACGTTTCTATTAATTTGACCGAACCTTTCGAAATTAAATTTGATTAATTGAAAGTTGTACAATAATCATATAAAAGTCTTTATTACTGATAAATAAAACTTTATCAGGTATTTTTAAGTTAAAGTTGACTTATGATAATAACTTCATAGACGCTTGTTATTGTCTACAAGGTACATATAGTGGTGCTTTAGTTAAATCGCTTCAGAATGAAGCGTGGATCAAGATCGCCAAATATGTCCGTAGCTTTTGTCTTCGTTGACATATTCTTGTTATCAGAAACTGGTGCTAAGTTCTCAAAATCTTCATTGCTTGTCATAGTTGCTGAGGAGCAGAACTCTATACAGCGATCACCGTTAATAAAAAAATAACCTTACCAGCTCTACGAATATACCATACCTTCCCACATTTCCTCTTCATCGTCTGGATCCTTTGAGGTCTTTTTGGGTTTCTCTGCTAAATCTTGCTTTGGAATTGTTGGAGCAGGGATACCTCTTAATGCAGCATATTGATCATTCGAAGGAGGTTCGAAACTGAACCTTTTATTAAGATCTGCAAAGTAGTTATCGCTAGACATAGACAGCGGTCGAATATTTTTTGATTCTGCGCAATAATAGTAATTCCTTTGAGAAAAACTGTGGCGTAAAAAAGTTTTTAAACAGGTACTTACGTTCTTCTTTTGAAGCATTACATTTATCTCTCGGCAAGTTTGCAGATGTGGAAGGCATAACGGCAGTCGGAGATAGAAGACCACCGGTATAAGTGGCTCTTCTAGCTGTCTTTTGCAATTTTAATCCTGCAAGATCTGAAATAATGCTGTCAAATGTACTATTTGGCTTTGCTGATGCGGCTGGGTTTGTGGTGACTTTTCTACAATCAGGAAAAGATGGTAACTCATTCATGGATACAATGGCCTGAACTGCTGTTAATGCTTCCTTTCCTGGCGTCATCGCTGATTCTACCGGCACCATAGCTGTTGGAACGTCGGCCTTGCGATAGCAAGTATTACTTTGATATTTATCTGTATCAACCGATGCTTGAGCATCAACGAGATTAGGACTTATGGCAGCTAGCTGTACGAGATAGAGACACGTTGTTAGTTTTGATACTGCTGAAAAATCTTCCAATAACAAACAATTTGATAACATCTACCTGTGGGTATGGTGTATTGAGGTTATGACTGTTATGATGAAAGTTTAGCATAGGCATGCTTTTGGTTGATTCAGGAAATACTACTGATGGCAATGGGAATGCTGAAGTAATTGAGCTTTGCTCAGGTATAATAGTAGAATAGGACTGGTCAATTCTGTCGAATTCTGTGGAACTTCGGATACTTTCAGATGAAGTTGTGAATGAATCCTGATTGCTATATGTAGATTGACGGCTACTATTTCGTCGATAAAGCATATCTCCAACTGCTCTCTGTTCAGTATAGAAGGCAGGTATATGCGTAGGTTCTGGATAGGCCGTTAAATTCAAGAGATAAGGCTGATTAGTAGATTTATCAAAATCTTCTGTTTGACTCGATTTGTATGGGCTAGTTGGAGAGGTAGGGCTTAAAGGAGGGTTTGGTAGTTGATAGGGAGATGGGTGATAGTGATTTAATTGCTGCTTATAGCTATAAATAGCCGTCACGTCTTCTTTTTGCATGATATTCATTTCTTCATTAGCAATCAATGGTACTTGGGAATAAGCATCTACAGCTTGTTTTTTTGATTTGTTTACAAGCGGTACGCCATTTTCATCAAAATTTTTATGGATCAATCCGAGGACCTTTTCTTTATGCGACTGAAGCAACGCCGCGTTCAACCATTTAAGTTCATAGTATTTCTGCCTCATAAATGCACGTACATCGGCGTCTGATTGCGGTTCCGGAGCATCATGTGTGTTATAATTGCTGAGCCAAATTTGACAAGCTATTTCGTTTCCACCATGTTCGAGCGCAAGTACTTCCGGACCAGAAAATTTGCTAGCTGATATAGCTTTGACTCTATGTCCAACTTCACGGCTATAGTATACAGTGATTAGCTGTGCTGAAATAGAGATATAATTTAGACGAGATTAGCACTTACACTAAGCCGGAACATCTAGTGCAAATGAATGTTTGAATAGTTGTATTTACAAAAGATGGACCCTAAACAAACCATTTAGAGTACTTGAATAGTGATAAGTAGTTGCTCCCTTTTGCTTACCTTCGTTGGACAATCGAAACACTTTTTGTTTTCCTTTGAACGCAGCAAACTGCGAACTTTCCTAATGCGGTCAATTTTGAATTGAGGTCAATACCCGCAACTTGTACAAGATAGAATTACGGATGTCATTACTTACTTTTGATTGATTTCTTCTTGGCTTTTGTTAGATAGTAGAGGCATCCTTTATAGATAAAGAAGCAGTAAGTAAAAAAGCATGAGTGAAGAAAAGAAAATAATCTGAAAAAGGTAGACTGGGCTGAGCTATTTATATTGTTTTCTGATTTATAGGTATTACAGTGTGGCTTAAAAAAAGGAACTCTTTGGTCTTTTTGTTTTGTGCATTTATGTAAACAATTGGGTTCAGAAGGCATATGGCGTCAAATGTCAACTGACTATGAGTAAGGCTTTATTCTTTTTACATTTCTATTTCATTTTTATGTGACCGTAATCAATTTGAGGAGAGTTTGAATTGGTAAAATCGCAAAATTCTTTCCGACAATGGTGTTTTTCTACAGTACTTTAGCGATCATTTTTGAGGGTACGATACATCGCGATTTGAATCCATGTTCATAGAATTATAAAAACGCATGTTTCAATAGACTTCCAGTCCCAAAGGACAGATAAAAAACTTTTCTCTAGAAGAAGGCTTGCAAAGGAAAAAAAGGTGCTTCAAACCTTATTTGTGTGTTACTTACAGTATTTTAACTAATATTTTAGATGAAATACATTTTTTTTGGACGATTAATATTTTCATTTTAGATAAGTTGCAATTGTGTTGTAGACGAAAATATAAACCGTTCAAACAATGATTCAAATCCCAAAAACTTGTCAGTATTGCGAAACAAAAAAAAAAAAACAAGAAAAAAATACCGTACTATTCCTTACCTGTAATGATCTAAATCCTCAAAATGTAAGGAAAACCGTGTTTATTACGGCGATACTTTTTTCTTCTTCGCTGGCTTAAAAACATCGGGTCTTCCAGCTCCGGACCAAACTGCTTGAGATATAGTCATCATGTTAATAGCAGCGTTAATGTCTCTCTGCCATAGCTTTAGACATTGCTTGCAGTGAAGAACGCCGGTACCCTTGAATCCAGGAGTATCAACAATTTGCATATCATCATAGAAACAGAGGCTGCATGTTTTAGAGGTTTTAAATTCATCGATTGTGACAACAATCAATTGACCTTCAGCTTCACGTTTCTTCAGAGTTGCAAAGAGTTTACCGACAACACCACATCTTTGCCCTTTCAATTTGACTACATCTTTTCCAAACATTCCAGCACCAAACACAATCAGTGGTACCCTTCTAGGGAATCCTGAGTACTTATCAGCCTTCCACTTCTTGTCACTTCTAAAAATTATCAATCAGTGCATAAGCTAAACGATGAACATGTAATTCCATTGAAACTCACTTTGTTGGCTGCTGTTCGTCAACATTCTTTCCTTTCTTCTTCTTCTTCCGCTGTCTTTTCCTCTTCCTTGCCTTGCTTCTCTTCTTGTGATTGTACTTGGCCGTTCCATGAGTCAACATGTTGGCCATAGTTTCCGGTGCTCTTTGTCTTCCTTGGTACAATGAAAACCGGTCCTTTGCAGTTTCGGGTCCATAAAAATCCAAGAGAGCGTCCAGGTTATTGAGTGTATAGGCAGTGTATAGCTCATATATTTCCAAACGAGAGGTTTTTGGCGAGGGTATCTGGCTTTCTATGATATCTATGCCTGTGACAGCCTTCTTTCTGTTTAACTTGGTACTGTATTGGGTCGACCCTGTCATATGATAGTATTCAGATGTAGTGCATCTTCGCACTTGTCTGTTATATTCAAGGCCAATAGCAGCAGTAAAAACAGACTTTCTTCCGGGATCCAGGGTAATAGGTAAATAAGTATTGTCAACTTCATCCAGAGAGAAATCATCAAGAGTGAGGTCAAATTTTTGGAACGAGGCACCATGGCCAGATTGTTGTCTTTTATAAAAAAGAAAATCAACTGAAAACCCATCCGTTCTGACAATATTACCAAAGAGCTCTTTGTTATCACCATTCGGTGTTAGTTCAGAGATACTACAAGTGCCCAAGAAGTTAAAGCTCATACATTATACTCGACTGTATACCGTATTAACTGTATGCTTACCTTTTGTACCGGAGTTTCTTGAAATCAAAGACATGGAAAAACAGCTCTAATTGGCTTTGGTAATTGCGGGGTAAAGAACGTTTCACAAAAGAAGACAGAGCGTTCACGCTCAAGGTAATGAACCTCCATTGAACGGAAACCTTTGGCAGTAAGGATAGCAATTTTGGAAGAGGACGTCGTCGTACGTCAAATGGTTTATGATCATCGTGTTCCCTCTCAAATTCTGCGTTCAAAGATAACAAAAAGGGTACGAAAGACCCAGGATCAGCAGATAATGTCTTCATGTTCACTTTCTTCCCCAGCTTCTTCTTCCAAGGTTCACAGAAGGTTTGGATCTTTGCTTTTATATCTTCGGTAAGGTAGTCATCAGTTGGCCATTTAGGTTTTCCTTGACAGATCTCTTGATAGCAGAAATCACTTGTGACTTTTTTTACAAGCTTCCAAGGCATACACTACGCATGATAAGAGCTTTTTTTAAAATATATATAAGACCCAAGTGATTTTGAGTTGCAACTTACCACAAATGCTGTTTGTATTTTATATATCAAAAAATAGAGAAGTTTCTCCTCGAAATTTTCCACTATACTGTTCGTATAGGAAGTAGCAATTTCGGTGCATGCTTCTGTAATGGCTTGACTAAGTCCAGGAAAGAGCTTGACAGGGAAGACAATCTTAGGGTAAGTCGTTTTAAAAGAATCAAACGAGCTCAGTAATTGTTGTGATATCAGCCTACTATTTGTTGGTCTTTGTCCATTCACTAGCTGTATCATAGAGTACCAGAAATTTTGTGTAAAGATACATTTAATACACTTTGGCTCAGCAAGAGCTGCATTTTCCAAGACGTAATAATTCACAAAGAGCTTCGCTCTAAGAACCAAGTTGCGAATAACAGAACAAGCTTCAACAGCTTTTGACTTGAATGCGTTGCGATAGTCACCAAAAACACAGTTATCAAGAGGCAACCTTCTTGTAAACGCCTTGTAATTACTTCCCAAATGATGTTGAAAAACCTCTGCCTTTGATAATACATGTTGAGGACACAGAGGAGAACGCATCGATTTATGTCCTGGTTGCTTGCATTTGGTACAGCACGCATTGTCTTCATCTGGGTCTTCATTCTTCTCTGTTCTTGCTTTTTTCTTTTCTTTCTTGATCTCAAAGTTTTGTTTGCGTTTTCTGCCTTTCGAACCAACTATAGGTACAATGAGGTCGCTTGCTAATGATGAATTTACCAACTTCAAAGCTACATGAGCTCCTTACCTTGATCTGCAGTTTCTGTCTCATACAATTCACATTTAAAGTATTGTTTAGTGTAATGACCCCCTTTACCGCAATCAATACACGTTACATCTAACAGTACACGATGATTAATCTATACGTATATATATGATCAAGTATATAGGCTTTCAAAAGGCAAGTTACCATTAACAGCACTTGTTTTTTTCTTTTCAAAAATTTGCTTTTTCTTTTCATAAATTATTGTTTTGAACATGGGTCATAGTATGTATCTTAAAACGTGAAATAAAAGTGAAAGAGACAACATTTGACTATAAGAGAACAATATATTTTATAGTGCTTTTCTTTGAAAGTCACCCATGAACGCATATAAAAAACATTGACAACAGATAATATAACCATCCCGTTCCGCTATGGTATCTGTTATACTATGGCCCTCAGCCCTCTATCAATGGTTTGATGTCAATCAATTCAAAGTTGACCTTTTTTGGAACTAAGGCACCGACGAATATCGGTTGGTCTTGGAAAACATCGTCATTGAATAAAAAAGTTGTCAAGCTTTTTGTAGTTTGTCCTATTGCAAGATAACGTCAATGAAACCATTATTGGCGACTTTCTTATTGATAGAGACTCATTTCTTGGGTTTGATTGTATGTTATCCTTATTGCTGCTTGGATATCACTGAATAATTGAGTGTCCAAATTGTTATCCAAAATACTATTAACTTTATTCTAAAAATATTTTCTAATAAATTTAAATTCAAAATGCATATTGTCCATCAGAAATTGTAAAATGTCTAAAATATAAGGTAAAATACTGTATTACGATATATAATGTGGCAAATGGAATTGCCGGTCCGGGCATTAAAATGCTTTTTCAGCATGTTCAGCTGCGTATGAATTCTATTGAAAAATGATCAAAATCATTTTTATTCAGATCTTTAATGTAAGAATAAGCAAAAAAAGTATCATTATTGTTTAGAAAAGAGCTAATAAGTTGATGAGATACAAATTAAGGAACGAAATACTTTATAAAATAAATAGTAAATGTGGTTCGGTGTTTTAAATATGGACCGATTCTTGTAATCAAGGCTTTAGAAAGCCAAGTAAGCAGCACCAGCAATTAGAGCGAAAGCATAACCGCTCAATTGCAATTTATTGGCAGCACTTTGAGAAGCGGAATTGTTTGAAGTTGAACCAGTGCTAGGGGCCGCAGAAGGTGCAGCAGAAGCAGGTTTGATGGCAGTACTGTTGGATGCAGCTGGAACAGCAGCACTGGGAGAGACGGAAGTAACAGCGGGTGACGCAGCGTTGTCAACAGGAGTACCAGCGTTAGTAGCACCGGTGCCGGCAGCAGTAGTAGTAACGCTCGCACCGGTGTTAGTACCGCTTGCGGAGGCGGTGCCAGCTGTTGGAGTAGTTGGAGAAGTTGGAGAAGCATTATTGGCTGTAGTAGTAGTTTGAGGAGCAGCTCCTGTAGTAGTAGTAACTGCTGAGCTACCACATTGGTCGTTCTTATGCTGTTCGTACCAGGCACAAGCACCAGCAAATTCATTGCTGAAAAGGGTAGGATCATCGGGACATTTAGCCATACACATACCAGCCTGAGTCATAAAAGCCAAGTATTCCGAAGTGCCTTTTGTACACATCAACTTCAAAGAGGGGAGAAAGTTTTCTGAAGTGTGATCCATAGTCCAACCAGCAACATACTTACTACCAGCTTGCTTTTAAATTATTGCGCATTAGATGACTGACTGTTCAATGTGTTTGATAATACTATTATAGCGTGTCTACTTACAGTATTACAATTGGTAAAACACTCGCTAGAGCTAGGAACGTTGTAGGAAGGGTTACAATCCTGAGAAGAGACAACTGTAGCAGCAGCAGCAACGAGAGCAAGGCTTGCAATAGTACGCATATTGGATTTTAGTAAAAGAATAAAAGATGCGCTTAAGTAAAGTTACGCTTAAGTAAAGTTAAAAAAATAGAGAGAAAAGAGGCAATTATACGGTGGAATGCGGAGGTTGCGAGCATTTTATACAGTAACCGTGCTATTCCAGAAGAGAAAAATACGCTACCCCTGTTGGCTATAAACATTGGTATCATTTCTATCGTTGTTTCTGATTCATACGAATCTTTCCTTTTCCGGATTTCTGTCGAATACGAACGCGCATTTGTAAGACCAACTTAAACTCAGGTCATCGTAGAAATTACGGGAAAAAATAGTATAAAATGGGCTTCAAACTGTTTTAGACATTCTTTTACAAGGCAATATAGCCGTAATGAATGTGGAATCTCCTGTACAGCAGTATACAATCAATGAACAAAAGATTGAAATCATTTTTTTTGTTGTTGTTTACTGTCTGGGTAATAATCGAGCTGTGCAACGATTACAAATGTTATCTGATCTTTTTGTCTGAAGGACGGATGAGAGGTGAAATACCCTCTACAAACCATATCTTTTCCCAAGACTGATGATGATTGTCGCTTATCTCGATTTTGAAAAGCTAGATCATTTTGAGTAGCAAATCTTTTTTATCTACTTCGGTTTTGTCTTTAAAATAAAAGTTTGTTCTCAAAGTCATATCTATAAACCTTGTGAACTACAGATCCTAGATTGTTACATTATATATCTGTGGAGCAGAACGGGCACAGGTAACTGTATAACAATACCAGCACGAGCTTTTTTTCCTAACTTTGACACGATTGAACATTTTTCAAGATTTAGTGGAAGTCTTCAGTATTACAAACTTTTTTATCTGATAAGATGGTTTTCTGGGCGGGGACTTGCAATTGATCAAACGAAGAAAGAAAGAATAATCTGCATCTGATAACTAATCCGCAACTACGGAGAAACGGAGACACGTACAAATAGGGATCCCTACGCTGTTTTCCCTTTTTTTTTTTTTTATTCCTTCATGCATGTTATGCAAACCTGATCAATTAACTTTGCTTTTCCCTCCCCGTTATTTCCTTTCATTAATAACAACCAAACAATAGCTTGATATATTGAAAACTAAAAAAAAAAAAAAAACCAGACATCTTCAAACCATTCTTCCGCAAAAAACAAAAACAAAAAAAAAAAGCAAACCAGACTTCAATAAAATGAATCAATCAATGAATCTGACTATAGCTGATACAGAAGCCACCCATAGTAACAGTACTATTCCGATGAACAAGGAAACCACTTCTATCTCTGTTGATACTACTGCTAATATAGATGAAGCACCAGAACCAAAATCACGGAAGTTTCTGTGGTGGATTCCATTACAGCCCCATGTCCATCCTTTACAATTCTTTGCAATCATTTTTTCTGTTTTCACATCCTTATCATTGATTGTTTATATCGCAGGCACACAAAGTCAAATTATTATGGGTATTCTTGGTCATATGAAAGATTCTGGTGACATTACTGGTTCTTTGTCCCTTTATTCTGAAATTATTGCAGTCGTTGCTGTCGTTGTATGGTCCATGGCAGCAGATCATATCGGACGTCGCGGTGTCATGAGCATAGCCATTTTTCTCATGGGCATGGCTATTGTTTGCTATCCCTGGGTAAAGAATGTCTATCCACACATGCTCATTTTGAAGCTGCTCTTTTCCGTTGGTTCTGCTGGTTCTACAGCCATGATGGTGGCTATGACAATGGATGTAGCACGTGGAAAAGGTGGTTTAGTGTCAGGCTGTATTGGTATCTCTTCTGGATTGGGCGCTATTTTTGCAGCTCTATGCCTCTTTATGGTTCCTGCTTACCTGTCCATCCGTTATCCAACGAACAACCATGGCGTAACTTATTCACATGCTGCCATTGGAGGTACTTCTATGGTGCTTGCATTTATTCTCTATTTTTGCATGCCCAAGGATTCTTGTAAGCGCCCCACTGTTAATCACTTCAGAGGCTATATTGACAAGCTATATAATGGATTAAAAGTGGCAAAGGATCCTCGGATAGCTCTTGGCTATGCTTCAAGTTTTTTTGCTCGTGCTGATGAGATCATTATCACCAATTTCTTATCTCTGTGGATCAATCAGTATTATATAGAAAGGGGACAATGTGTCGTTGGCAAACCCTGCTACTTGGGTTTAGCTTCTTCTTCAACGTTATCGGGTTATGCGCAGCTGGTAGCATTAGGTACGACTGCCTTCTTCTCTCTTGCTTCAGAGTATCTCCCTAAAGAAATTGCCCTCTTTATTGCTGGCGCTGTGGGTGCTTGTGGCAATATCCCTTTTTCATTCTCCATTGACCCAACGTCAAAATTGTCCTTGGGGTTCGTCATCTTGATTGCTACAGGCCAATACGGGATGATTATCTCTGGTATGGCTATGGTGGCTGGCAATCATGTAGACAGAAACGACAATGCTGCAGTCTCAGCAACCTACTCCTTTATTGGTGCTATTGGTATCATTGTATTGTCCAAGCTTGGCGGTGTACTTTTCGACAAGTGGATGAAGGGTGCCCCTTTTTTACTATTAGGTATCGGACACTGTTTAGTGTGTGTTGGTTCTGTCCTCTGTTATGTTGTTCAACTCTCTCAGAAATATAGGAACAAACGCGAGAAAAAGCGGGTTCTAACAGATAACGATAAGTTATCATTATGAGCGTTGAAAATGAATGGATGAGAATTCATTCATTCTTAACCAGCTTATACTTTCCAGAAGACCGTTAGGTCTAGTTTTTTTTTGTGCTATTTATGATTACATATAATTTATCTTTTTACATACCAAGCAATCTCTGTCCATAGAAAATATCCCATGTATATCCAAGCATGAAGTGGCTTACGTTAACTTATAAATGTCTCTTACACTCCCCGTTGTTAATTGTAAAGACTTGGTAGAATATTGTTAATATATTTTGTTTCGCTGAAGAGCAGATCAAAGTAATTTAAAGGCATTTTAGGTTAAACGAATCAGGGTTGTGACAAACCTTGGAGGAATACATACAAAAAATTGGATCAGATGATTCAAGAACTAAATTCTGAATTCAAAATTATTTTTGATGAGTAAGTATAATTTTAGATGTCGAAATGAACAATGAGGTATGCTTTCGGGGGAACTATTAATAGGATATCAAATTAGGGTTACAAACTAATGGTAAATGAAGAGAGGTATCGGGTTACAATGAAAGAAAAAAGGAGAGTGAAAAAGCAAATATTGCTACTGCTTTCAACAATGAATAGAGTGATCTGCGGGTTATGCTGCGGGTGCACTATGACCAGAGATGAGCCCGCAGTACAGGAGGTCGTCCTCGTTAAGAACAGCGAGGGTGGAGGTTGTTGTCGATGCTGACAATGCATTGGGTTGAACCAAGCACTCACGAACAATCAAAAGTCGCAATCTTTCATGCGATTTTCTGCAACCTGCTAATGCGGCTCTTTCGAACCAGTAAGTCGCTTTTGCTAGATCGATGTCACAGCCTAAACCTTTTTCATAACAATTGGCGAGATGATACTGAGCTGGTGTTTGGTCGCTACTACATTCCGCGGCCCTCTTGAACAGTTCAAAGGCCCGTGTTAAATTCTGCTCTATACCTTTCCCTTCCTGTAGATGGATGCCCAATTTGTCCATAGCACGGGCATGATTCTGAACGGCTGCTCTACTATACCATTCCACGGCTTTTGCATCATCTTTTGTTACACCAATACCGTTTGCATAACAGAAACCCAGGTTACACTGCGCCCAAGGATTGTTTTGTTTGGCCGACTGGTGATACCAAAATACAGCACGTGTGGCATCTTTCTCAACCCCAATTCCTTCTTCATAGCAAAAGCCAAGACTGTTTTGTGCTAAAGCATTACCACGTTCAGAGCTCTTTTGGAACCACTTGACAGCTTCTTGCTCATTCTTAGGAACACCGATGCCGTTTCGATAGCAATATCCCAAAGAGAGTTGAGCAGGAGGATGATTTTGTTCAGCAGACTTGTAGTACCAGAAGACACTTTCTCGCTCGTTCACGGCAACCCCGATGCCATGCTGATAACAGTAGCCTAAAGAATGATAGGCAAATGTGTTGCCTTTTTCAGCCGATTGTCGATACCATTTGATTGCCTCTGCTTCGTCTTTTACCACACCAATACCGTTCTGATAACAGAATCCTAGGTTGTGTTGTGCTCTTGCGTGTCCCTGAGCAGCCGCCTTTTTGTACCAAAAGACGCCCATGGTATCATCTTTAGGTAACCCAATGCCATTTTGATAACAGTATCCTAGGTTACACTCTGCCCACGGGTAGCCTTGTGCAGCAGACAATTGGTACCATTTTGCAGCTTCATGGTGATCCACTTCAACGCCTATGCCATCTTCATAACAATAGCCAAGAGAGTTTTGTCCAAAAGCATTTCCTTGCTCTGCCGCGCGTCGGTACCATTTCACCGCTTCTTGTAAATCAACATCGACGCCGATACCTTCTTCATAGCAATAGCCAATGTTATAAATAGCCACCGTTTCACCTTGATCAGCAGCTAACCGGTACCAACGCATCGCTTCTTTCTCATCCCGTTTAACAAGGCCATTCGCAAAGCCCTCACCGTAACAGTAACCAAGGATACCTTGTCCTCGTGGATGTCCCTGTTCCGCACTGGCTTTGTACCACCAAAAAGCAGCCCCTTCATCTTTGGGTACAGCAATGCCGTCATGGTAACAAACACCTAATGCATATTGAGCCGCAGGATCATCATACAGTGAAGCAGCTTGTACAATCCATTGTATAGCGTTCGGTTGTCGACTGACTCGTGCCATCCATTCTTCTGCCTCTATCCGGTCTATTTTGACGTTGGGTCGGCCGTATTTTCGCAAGAAGGCCATACGAGCCATACTGAGGCCATCTTTATGCTCTATAGCTGCCTTTGAATAATGATATTCGCTTTGTTTAAAGTTCGTTTCAACACCTAATCCAAATTCATAACAAAAGCCGAGTATTCCTTCTGCCTTTGGATGACCTAAAGACACGGCATGTCTCAGATGGGATACAGCTAGCGAAGGATCTTTTTTACAGCCATGCCTGCCAAACAAATAACAATTTGCTTTGTCAAAGGATTCATCTGCTGATTTTGTAGTTGCCTTTTTATTAGCCATACATGCAGTGGTTGAAGTAGTAACGCAATCAAATTCGCAGGCGAACGATTTCCTGCGCAATACAACTGTTGATTTATGCCTTGCAAAAGAGAGAATTTGAGGTGAAGACGAACGCTTATGCTTTAGTTTTAGTGTGTGTTGTTGCTTTTTATTTGCTGTAGGTGGCTGAGATTGTCTTTTTTTATTCAAAGTAAAAATGGATTTCGACTTGGAAAACAAGCTCGCAAACGGAATGGACGATGGCATAACGTTGGCAATGGAGATTGTGCAAAAAGAAAAAAAGTGTTGATGAAAGCAAAAGAAAAAATCAAATTTTCTGAATCTATGAGAACGATAAGAAAGAAAAGGGATATTTCTGATATGCCAGAGAAGAACGAAAAGAGAATAGTAGAAAGTGTGATTTGTGCCTTAATCTTTTCCCACTTGTTTGTTTTATCTGGTTATTTTTCCTCCTTGTGATTCTAAGAAAGGTGCTCGCTGCAAATAGGTGAAGTAACGTATGCCGTAATTCTGTATTTATGCTTTATTGTCCTGAGTGTGTGTGCCGAGAAGTAAAAAGAGAAAATTAAAAAAATGGGCAAAAAAAATCGAAAAAAAATCGCCTTATTTTAAAACAGACAGACGGTTATGTTTTACAGCAGAAACAATCAAACACAAAAGAGACATTGCACCAAATATTAACGAGTTTTAATTAAGTTTTTTTAAAATAGGGCAAACCACCTTTTTTTTTTTTTTCTTTTTTTTCTTTTTTTACCCCTTAATTTTTACGATGTTGGAGCTAGGAGAAATTCAAGCCCAGAAAAAAAAAAAAACTACAGTTGTAGCCATTCCAAATTTGTTAATGATCTGATAACGCTTAAAGTTTTCAATCATTTTATATTGGGGGAATAAAGACAGAAAACGTGATCAAAATAAATAAATCAACTAGGGAGAAGAGCTTTGTTGTGATGATGTCAATGAGTTATATGCTATAAGGTTTCTTCGTTGTCATGGTGAAGTGGTTGCTACGGTTACTTTATTGCTCTTCGTCCTTAACACTCAAAGCATCCATGATTTTTTCTAGCATAGGATTGCCGCCCAGGGATTTGATTTCTTCTCGGGCTTCGTTTTCCAGAACCTTTAGGAATTTGCGACAATAATCGAATGTGTTTGTCTTTTCCAATAACTGCAATGCAAATTGTTTGAGTTCGACCGAGTTACTACGCTGCTTCAAAATATTTAAAAGCTGACGATTGGTAGGATCTGACCGAATAGAGTGTATAATAGGGAAACTAAACTTGCCCTCTGTCAAGTCTTCACAGAAGCCTTTGTTATCAGCGTACTACAAGAACGGGATTGGACCAAAAAGTATTTCAAATGAGTTGTGTGCAAAAACGGGAATTTGTTTTCTTTCAGCATTCTATTTACATTCTTTGATTGCAAGTTCATGTAGTCATCTCTGACTTGAAAATGAATACCAATCTTGTTAACAAGACCAGTGTAGTCACTAAGAAAGGTTGACACACGAAATAAGGAATGTTTTTCATTCAGTAAACGAACAGCCTTCTGAACCTCTTTTTTCTTTTTTGATTCTTACATTTGTGATTGACTCGCTTCTTGCATCAGCTTTACTGCTAATCTTAAAAGACCGCCAGTTTCTAAAAATAGTGGATGTTCATTCATAAAGAAAAAAGTTTAGCCGTTGTGTATGTTTTACTCAGAGACAGGCACAAGTCTTACTGTCGTTCACCATGTCAAGGAACTCTTGTTCAGTGGGACAAGTCAGCGTATCACGCCAGAATAATTCCATGCCTATCGTAAGATCGTATTGTTGATCAGCAATCTGAAGTTTAAGCACAATGGCACAACCTGCCGAGTATTTTTTTTTGCTTTTTACCTTGGCCTCTGTGTAAATTAATCAATTCCTCTAAAAGTCAAATAGGCAAAATGCATCATTTAGGTTCTTTCTTAATTATAAAAGACAAACACATGCATCCTTGTGTCTAGATGTATAAAAAGGGGTGCCTACCTGTATAAATAGTAATCATGTTTGGTTTGTTCAATTTAAGAATTTCGTTCAAGGCAAGGAAATAGACATAGTTTGCACAGTTGATGGTTTGTGGTGTGCCGTAAATATGATGGGCAGCTGGTACACCACGGCGAAGAACAGAGTCATCCTCTACATCATCAATTCTACAAGATCCATGTCAATGAATACCCTATTTTGGGGGCTCAATAAAGCGAATCAAGATCCACTTACAATAAACTTGCACTGTGAAGCATTTCAATGACTCTCGTAATGACAATCAAGTCTTCTTTAGGTACATTCAACCAGGTATTGAACGCAGCAATCATCTTTGCTCTCACATCTTTGCCAGGGTTCGAACAGAGATAATGAAAAGGCTCCAAAAGAATCTGATCCAACAAACGCGTAAAAAGTCAATAAGTAAGCTTGGTACATTCTTTCTTTCAACAAACGTCCTATCGCTCACCTTCTCTTGGGACTCTTGCGCTGTTTCTGTTTGACCGGACTCATGTTTTCCATAAGGCAAGACTTCCTGCATTTTCTTCAGATTGGCCGGTGCAATACCGTTGATGGCAGTGGTCGTTGGAATTTGAGCGTTGATAGAAGCAGATAACATTTTTTTTTGTATTGTTTTCCTTTTTGTTCGGTTTGGGGTCAAAGAAAAATAGAAAAGAGGAACAAAGAAAGAAGGTCCTTTATATAGTGATGAAATAGACTTTTTTTTTTTTTTTAAGGGGTAACCAAAAAGTATATACTCAAAGAACTTTATCGTGATTTGACGCTTCTTTGCATAGGCTTAGGTTACTTAATGCAATAAAAACTTGATTTGGGATTTAGCGTAACTTCTGTGTCAATCCATGTACTCATCCCAACGGACAGATATCTCTCCTACGACCCTACTTTTGTAGCAGAGTTAGCCGCTTTACCTTGCTTAAAAAAGGGCACTGAAAGAGTTTGGGTGGCAAACAAATAAAAAATAAAATAAAAAAATAGGAGTCTTTATTTATCCTTTTAAAAAGAAAAAAGAAAGAATGAAACTGTTGTGTGCCTGATACAACACCCCCCCCACTCTCCTCTGTCCTTAAAAAGGTCTAGTGCAATTGTGTAATGGACATTCATTTAGACAAGTATGTGCGCAAATACGTGACTGGAAGCTTTAACCATCTTTATCTCTATATCATCATTAAAAATCAAACAGCCAATGTACTTAGCGACAGATCGATCCCTTTTTCTTAGTGTGGGGCTTTTGGTTCTTCTTTATCTGCAAAAGTCAAAAGGCTCTTATTCTCTGCTACCAAGTCACCTACAGCATATAAAACTTGATCGACTTTTCCGGCCATGGGTGCTTTAATAACGTGCTCCATTTTCATCGCTTCTAGAACAATCAAAGTATCCCCCTTTTTGATATGTTGGCCTGGTTGAACTAAAATTTGCGAAATCTTACAAGGCATGGGAGTTTTGATAGATCCCGCAGCACCTGCAGTACCTTGGCTATTTCTCAGACCTTCAAGATATTTTGGTGTAGGTAATTTTAATGTAGTACGACCAAACTATAAGGAGGCAAAAAGAGAAACGTTACATTTCCAAAAAAGTTTAGACTTTTTCTATGCAAATGCAGCCAACCTCATCGAATACAACTACTTCGTCGTTGTGCAACACAACATTACTCTTGAGTTTTTTGTTATCCAAAGACGACACCAGTAAGCCATCTTCTTGATCAATATAAGTCTTGACTGCTTTATAACTTTTGAGCGTTTCGCCTGTTTCGCCGTTCATCACGTCCATGTCGATCAAGCTATCATTTTCAGGGTGAGTGGACACAACGACTTTATAGGGCTGAGGATGGTCATCTTCCTTAGTCGTCACAGTATATTCTTTATGATTTAAGTTGTTGATGCGGAAACTATCCGAACGAGTCGCCCAAGGATTATAGGGATCTATCATGCAGGCAAGTATATATGTTTCCATGTTAATAACGAGGAGGGCGCGGGGGTTGGTTTACATTGAGGGGAGGTGGGGGGGGGAGGGAGGGGAAACACTACTTTTTACATCTTTTATTACCTTGAAGACTTTTTCGAACCGATTCTATTTCCTTTAACCGAAGCGCACTCGCTGCTAATGCTAAAGTGCTTGGATCAGGTTCAAATTTTCCACCACCTTTCGTACGGAATAGGTCTTTTTCGTATTGTTGGATAAAGCCTGTTTCCACCTCTCCTTTGATGAACTCAGGATGCTCTGCTACAGTTTTGATGAACCCAATATTGGTGTTCAAACCCACAATCTGATATTGTTCAAGAGCACGGCGGAACCGACGCAAAGCATCTTGGCGGTCTTCGCCATGTACAACCAGCTTGGAAATCATAGGGTCATAGTAGACGCTAATGTCGTCACCTTGAATAAAGCCTGTTTCTAAACGCAAATTGGGGCTAGGGGTTGGAGTACGAACGTTGAATAAGGGTCCTGTATCAGGAAGGAAGTGACTAATGCGAAAAAGTTCGTTGTATGAGCATTCAACTGGTATCACAGAAAGAGGAAAAAGGGAGAATGAGGGATGCATCTTATCCCCCCCCCTCCCCTTACTTACTTGGAGGGGTTTTCAGCGTAAACACGGGCTTCAAAGGCATGCCCTGATAACTTCAAATCCTCTTGTCTCATAGGCAAAGGATTTCCTGCTGCCACTTCCAACTGCCAACGGACCAAATCAGTATTCGTTACCATTTCAGTCACCGGATGTTCCACCTGCAATCTCGTATTCATTTCCATAAAGTAAAATTGCTTATCCACGTTATCCATAATAAACTCAACTGTACCAGCATTTACATAATTGACAGCACGTGCGGCTGCCACTGCTTTTGCACCCAATTCCATACGCAGTTCCTGAGAAAGACCTGGTGCAGGCGCTTCTTCGATTACCTTTTGATGTCGTCTCTGTACAGAGCAATCTCGCTCGAATAAATGGACATAATTACCGTGTTTATCAGCAAAGACCTGGACTTCCACATGTCGAGGGCGCTCCAAGTATTTTTCAACCAACACTTTATCATCAGCAAAGTGCTTGAGGGATTCTCGCTTGGATGAAGCCAACATTTCTTCAAAATCGTCGGGATGCTGGACGATACGCATGCCTTTACCACCGCCCCCTTTGATGGCTTTTATCAACACTGGATAACCGATTTTAGCAGCTTGCTCCTTCAAGAATTTAGGATCTTGATTTTCACCATGGTAACCTGGGACGACAGGCACACCAGCATCCTGCATGATATATTTTGATTCACTAAGCCCAACAAAAAGTTAGATCAGGATGGTAAGAAAATCCCAAAGTTTCTATCGCGTATGTGAAAAAAAAAAAAACCCCTATTCACCTTTTAGAGCCCATAGCACGCATGGCGTCACCTGAAGGACCAATAAATTCAATATTGGATGCTTTGACCGTATCGGCAAAGTCAGCATTTTCAGAGAGAAAACCATAACCAGGGTGGATGGCTTGTGCGCCTGTTATTTTAGCTGCGTCGATGATTTTATCTATACACAAGTAACTTTCAGCTGACGGTGCGGGACCAATAAGAAAAGCCTCATCAGCCTACACATAGAAAGACTTGTTATATAACTTTGTTCTTATCACGCGTAGAAACCCGCAATGTGTCTTATCGTTGCTCTTATACATCTGCTTACCATTTTGACATGTTGAGCGTTTACATCTGCTTCACTATAAACGGCTACAGTTTTGATACCGAGGTCTTTTGCAGTACGCATTACTCGAAGAGCAATTTCACCTCTATTGTTGAAAATGGTCAAATCAGATACCTTACTGCCCTCCCCCGCTCCCTCCCCCATTATCCTCATTTGACTCTTTTTAAACTATCATTTGCTCGTTCTATTTACCTGTTGGCGATCAAGATCTTTTCGAACAAAGGCTTTCGATCTACAATAAGGTCAAAACCACGAGCATTTGGATGACATTTCATTAGTCTCAGTGTAGCAAATCAACTTCAACTCTATCCTTTGAGGTATAGAAACGTATACGAACCAAAATTCAGTCTCTTCGCTGTATGGAAGAGACGGAAATGTGTTGCATGATTCGAGCGTAGAATAGCTAAAGGTTTAGTACCAATGGGAGCCTTTGTCGACAAACGAACAAGTTGAAATTGAAGCATTTAAAATACAAGAGTCTCTCCTTAGTGGAAAGAAAAAAAATAAAATAAAAATGATTTGAACAATTGATAAAAGAATGAGAAAGAAGTAGATACGTTTATGACGAAAGAAAAGGGACGTGAGAGCATATTGGAAAGCGGGTACAGACGCCATCGTGGGAAAAAGCCTATGATAGTGCACCAACTTACAACTTTGGCTCTCTTTTACTCTTAATCGCTCACGTCACCTTGAAAGCTGTCAAAGAATTGCCCGAAAAGTTGCACGTTCATGTTTATAAATGCTTACTGATTCACAACGAATTTGTTTATTCAGTTTTATAAGTGTATAAGCTTGATATATCTACATATGTATAATTTAAACAAATGGGTGCGCCTATTTCTTTCCGGACTTTTTAATACCACCACCAACTATAAATGCCAACAAGAGTGTTAGTAACCCATTTTTCTGTGGTCGAAGCTGATGGAGCAATTGACTTACGTAAAGGGCCCTTGCCAGCAGCCTTTTGTTGTAATTCTTTCAATTTCTTGGCTTCTTCAGCCTTCTTCTTCTTGAAAGCAAGATCTTCCTACAATTACATAAAAGCAGAAAGTCAGCGTTTGCAGACAATCAAACCCAACATGGTCAAATGTAAAATTTACCTCGTCTTCGAATTGCTGCTTCTTTGGCTTCTTAAGAGGCTTGAGCTTACCACCTATACAAATGCCATTAGTGTATAATCTTGATTTTATTAAAACTCGTGAGTTATGTTACCTTGTCTACCGGACATCTTTGAACTTTTGTATGGTCTTTGGGAACAATAGGAAAAAAAAGTTTTCCAATGATTTCTGTTTCTGTTCATTCATCTTTTCAAATTCCGACTATTTTACCTGCTGTCACGGCTTCTAACCGGAAAAGGATGAACTTTTTTGATTTATCAGGGGCACAAGAATACATACATTTCCACTGATATATCGTTATAACTTCTATCTGTACTTTCTGCTCTTGTCTTTTTTTTTTTTTTTTCCATTAATGAACACCTTTAGTACTTTCTCTATTGATGAACTGCTAATCATCATCTTTTTGATTTTCTTACAATTTTCTTATTTGTTTAATAGAGGGTTAATGTAGCTGTTGAAAGTAAACACACAATGTGTTTGTGTGTGCTGTCTTGGTGAAGAAAATAAAAGATGATTGTATTATATTACGATGGGTACTCATTTCATAAAGAAGAAAACAGACCATGGATGTCCTTCAGATGGTGGTTCGATTTCTATATGAAGATGTGCGTACGCATTATAGTTAGAAAACTGGTTGATAACCTGGTAGCCATTACAGCGTTGATAGTCTTTTTTGGTAATTTCCAGTTACATTGTCGTTCGAACACTTATTTGAAAACCGGTCAAACGTTCGCAAAACAATCATGCATCTTCCTACATGAAACATGCTATTTATTTGGTCACTTGGCGAAAAAAACTTATGCACCATCCCTCTTTCTCTTTTTACCTGGTTTCTATATCAAAGTATGTCAACATCAAAAAACAACTTATTAACACGCGGTCATGCCATATGCCTAGTACTTGATATGGTGCCCACTGTTGACAATCGAGAGAAAGGAAATGAAATAATCGACAACAGTGTGTTTGATGTTACGTATACTGAAGCTCTAGGTCCTCAGCATCCTTTTGCCATGGGGAAGTCGATTATTCAGAAGAATCCGTTCACATACAAGATTTATCCCAGGCACCACCTACCAGTCCAACGTTACAACCAACCAATACTGTGGCCAGTAACGAAAGCAGCGATTTCAACAACGACAGTAACAACAACAATAATGTCGATAGCGACTCAAGCATCGATAATTCAAATGTCTACAGCCTTCAAAGTATATTATCGATTACCAAGTCAATGTTTTTCAAAGATGCTGAAAATGAAGATCTCTTTGACTATGCCTTTTACACGACAATGGACATGTATAACAACGTCGCCAAGCAACTGCCACAACTTACCAAGTTTATGAATGGATCAAAATTTGGAAGACTTATCAAAGACGAAGACTTTGGCAAACGGATTTCAAAACGTGTCGAGGGAAAGAGTATCAAAGGAAGAATACTATACAAGCTGAAGAACAATGCAATCGGAAGCTTGGTGGAAACAACGTCTGCCTTTCGCATAGAAATCAGTAACGATGGTAGCAATTGGATAAATGTTGGATATGTCAGGAAATCCCCAGGCTCTGAAAGCGTGGCAACACGACAAGCACTCCTCGAAGCAATGATAATGAAGTTAAGGAACCGATGTCTCTGTCGTTTTATCTTCGCCTCTACCAGTTCAACATCATCTTCACCGATCTTGGAAAGAGATTTCTTGCAGGGTAACACTACCAACAGCAACAAAACCGTCAAGGCAACAAACCTAGCACATTGCGATGGAGATACTCAGGCTATGATAGACTTCATTGGACATTCAATGAAAAAGGTCCGGCTTTGTGTGATTTCATACGCTGGTTTATCAAACAATCCTGGCGACGTTATCAAATTACTAAAGTATGAAACTATGAAAAATTGTTTCACAATGTTTATTCCATACTAATGGTTGTATCTATTATAGGAGCTGTAAGATGATCAAATCAATCATAGTGGATCATGGCAGCCATATAGAGTCACTCAGCAGGTATTCACTTCTACATGGAGACAAGAAGAAAATTGAGCTATTCAAATCAAGAACTGGTTTTGTGAAACGGTCAAAGTGATTCTTCTTTCTCAATAGTTTACTTTATGTTCGTAAGTAATTAGTACATTTTTCTGTATCATTTGGCCGCGACTCATGTCCATCGTTCTTTTTTCTGCACTTTCTCGTTTTCATCAATTACATCCTTTATTTAGCCCTATGGCACTAGTTATTCTACTACTCTCTCCTTATATCTCTACCACCATGGTATATTCATTCATCCTTTCCGTCGCAATCGCTTGTAAAACTTGAATAAACAGACAAAATAGAAAAAGCATTATTCTCTTTTTTTTAATTAGTTTCGGTAAGAGAAACAAGTTTAAAAGCAAAGGAAGAAGACAATATCTAAGGATTCATAAATTCAACGGAATCACCGAATTACACAATAAAATTGTTGTCTATGTCTAGATTCGTCAAAATGGTTGTCATATAGCAGGACACCAATATATTTTAGAGTGTAGACAGCACTTTTCAAAGTGTGTACAGCACTGTTGAAAATGTACACGGCACTGTTGAAAATGTGTACAGTACTGTTCAAAGTGGGATAGCCCTTTTTAAAGGGGACAGCACTTTCAACGTGGGATAGACCTTTTTAAAGTGGGACAGCACTATTCAAAGTGGGATAGCACTGTTCAAAATGGGACAGCACTTTCAAAGTGGAAAGCACTATTCAAAGTGGGACAGCACTGTTCAAAATGGGATAGCACTATTCAAAGTGGGATAGCACTGTTCAAAATGGGATAGCACTATTCAAAGTGGGATAGCACTGTTCAAAGTGGGATAGCCCTTTTTAAAGTGGAAAGCACTTTTCAAGATGGGACAGCACTGTTCAAAATGGGATAGCACTATTCAAAGTGGGATAGCACTGTTCAAAATGGGATAGCCCTTTTTAAAGTGGGATAGCACTTTTCAAAATGGGACAGCACTGTTCAAAGTGGGACAGCACTGTTCAAAATGGGACAGCACTTTTCAAAATGGGACAGCACTATTCAAAGTGGGACAGCACTATTCAAAGTGGGATAGCACTTTTCAAAGTGGGATAGCACTTTTCAAAGTGGGATAGCACTGTTCAAAGTGGGATAGCACTGTTCAAAGTGGGATAGCACTATTCAAAGTGGGATAGCCCTTTTTAAAGTGGAAAGCACTTTTCAAAATGGGACAGCACTGTTCAAAATGGGATAGCCCTTTTCAAAGTGGGACAGCACTTTCAAAGTGGAAAGCACTTTTCAAAATGGGACAGCACTGTTCAAAATGGGATAGCCCTTTTCAAAGTGGGACAGCACTTTCAAAGTGGAAAGCACTTTTCAAAATGGGACAGCACTGTTCAAAGTGGGATAGCCCTTTTTAAAGTGGGATAGCCCTTTTCAAAGTGGGACAGCACTTTCAAAGTGGAAAGCACTTTTCAAAATGGGACAGCACTGTTCAAAGTGGGATAGCCCTTTTTAAAGTGGAAAGCACTTTTCAAAATGGGACAGCACTATTCAAAGTGGGACAGCACTGTTCAAAATGGGACAGCACTGTTCAAAGTGGGACAGCACTGTTCAAAATGGGATAGCACTGTTCAAAGTGGGATAGCACTATTCAAAGTGGGATAGCCCTTTTTAAAGTGGGAAAGCACTATTCAAAATGGGACAGCACTGTTCAAAATGGGATAGCACTATTCAAAGTGGGATAGCACTGTTCAAAGTGGGATAGCCCTTTTTAAAGTGGAAAGCACTTTTCAAGATGGGACAGCACTGTTCAAAATGGGATAGCACTATTCAAAGTGGGATAGCACTGTTCAAAATGGGATAGCCCTTTTTAAAGTGGGATAGCACTTTTCAAAATGGGACAGCACTGTTCAAAGTGGGACAGCACTGTTCAAAATGGGACAGCACTTTTCAAAATGGGACAGCACTATTCAAAGTGGGATAGCACTGTTCAAAGTGGGATAGCCCTTTTTAAAGTGGAAAGCACTTTTCAAAATGGGACAGCACTATTCAAAGTGGGACAGCACTGTTCAAAATGGGACAGCACTGTTCAAAGTGGGACAGCACTGTTCAAAATGGGATAGCACTATTCAAAGTGGGATAGCCCTTTTTAAAGTGGAAAGCACTTTTCAAAATGGGACAGCACTATTCAAAGTGGGACAGCACTATTCAAAGTGGGATAGCACTTTTCAAAATGGGACAGCACTATTCAAAGTGGGACAGCACTGTTCAAAATGGGATAGCACTGTTCAAAGTGGGATAGCACTATTCAAAGTGGGATAGCCCTTTTTAAAGTGGAAAGCACTTTTCAAAATGGGACAGCACTGTTCAAAATGGGATAGCACTGTTCAAAGTGGGATAGCACTATTCAAAGTGGGATAGCCCTTTTTAAAGTGGGAAAGCACTATTCAAAATGGGACAGCACTGTTCAAAATGGGATAGCACTATTCAAAGTGGGATAGCCCTTTTTAAAGTGGAAAGCACTTTTCAAAATGGGACAGCACTATTCAAAGTGGGACAGCACTATTCAAAGTGGGATAGCACTTTTCAAAATGGGACAGCACTTTCAAAGTGGAAAGCACTATTCAAAGTGGGACAGCACTGTTCAAAATGGGATAGCACTATTCAAAGTGGGATAGCCCTTTTTAAAGTGGAAAGCACTTTTCAAAGTGGGATAGCACTTTCAAAGTGGGAAAGCACTATTCAAAGTGGGATAGCACTTTTCAAAGTGGGATAGCACTATTCAAAGTGGGATAGCCCTTTTTAAAGTGGGAAAGCACTATTCAAAATGGGACAGCACTGTTCAAAATGGGATAGCACTATTCAAAGTGGGATAGCACTGTTCAAAATGGGACAGCACTTTCAAAGTGGAAAGCACTATTCAAAGTGGGACAGCACTGTTCAAAGTGGGACAGCACTATTCAAAGTGGGATAGCACTGTTCAAAATGGGACAGCACTTTCAAAGTGGAAAGCACTATTCAAAGTGAGACAGCACTATTCAAAGTGGGATAGCACTTTTCAAAATGGGACAGCACTGTTCAAAATATCCTGTTTCAATTCATCATAACCACCATCCAGTCGACCATATTGTGGTGGGAGATTGGAGAGTTGGATCTTAACAATATCATCATCAGAAGAGAGAGAGTCAAAAGCATAAAAGGGACTGTTGAAGGAAGGTAGATGGAAGCCGTCCTTACAACACATTTGTTCCCGCATAAGGGATGATACTACTGCTTCTACAAAAATACGCTTGCCTTCAGTACGTGGTTGCTCCTTAACGTACCATAAGTGCGAAGAGCCGCCACAATAATCGGCAAGGTCTTTGAAAAAGGTTTTGACATCTCGAACTTGAGATGTGTCGATGAGTATGGAGTCAAGGACGGTACCTTTAAGATAAGGGTCCCGGGTTGAGAGAGCGAGGCGCTGCGAACTGTTGTCAGCCGCCTGAGACATGAGGGATGTCTTTGTGGTCTCTTGTTTGAAGAGGGAGGCCCATGATCCTTTTGACAGGAGAGTAGTGGGGGTTGCCTTATTTGGCAGTTTGTGAGGTTTAGCGGGAAGAAGCCGTGTATCTACATTTAAAAAGCGCTGTCTACACTTTCAACAGTTCTGTAAACATTTTCACCAGTGCTGTATACATTTTCACCAGTGCTGTATACATTTTCACCAGTGCTGTATACACTTTGAAAAGTGCTGTACACATTTTCAACAGTGCTGTATACATTTTCAACAGTGCTGTGTACATTTTCAAATAGTGCTGTATACACTTTGAAAAGTGCCGTATACATTTTCAGTTACACCGTCAATCGAACTCTTATTCGAGAACCGGTCAAACGCTCGCAAAACAATCTTGCATCTTCACGTGAAATATGATATTTATTTGGTCACTTGGCGAAAAAAACTTATGCACCATCCCTCTCTCTCTCTTTTTACCTGGTTTCTATATCAAAGTATGTCAACATCAAAAACCAACTTATTAACACGCGGTCAAGCCATATGCCTAGTACTTGATATGGTGCCCACTGTTGACAATCGAGAGAAAGGAAATGAAATAATCGACAACAGTGTGTTTGATGTTACGTATACTGAAGCTCTAGGTCCTCAGCATCCTTTTGCCATGGGGAAGTCGATTATTCAGAAGAATCCGTTCACATACAAGATTTATCCCAGGCACCACCTACCAGTCCAACGTTACAACCAACCAATACTGTGGCCAGTAACGAAAGCAGCGATTTCAACAACGACAGTAACAACAACAATAATGTCGATAGCGACTCAAGCATCGATAATTCAAATGTCTACAGCCTTCAAAGTATATTATCGATTACCAAGTCAATGTTTTTCAAAGATGCTGAAAATGAAGATCTCTTTGACTATGCCTTTTACACGACAATGGACATGTATAACAACGTCGCCAAGCAACTGCCACAACTTACCAAGTTTATGAATGGATCAAAATTTGGAAGACTTATCAAAGACGAAGACTTTGGCAAACGGATTTCAAAACGTGTCGAGGGAAAGAGTATCAAAGGAAGAATACTATACAAGCTGAAGAACAATGCAATCGGAAGCTTGGTGGAAACAACGTCTGCCTTTCGCATAGAAATCAGTAACGATGGTAGCAATTGGATAAATGTTGGATATGTCAGGAAATCCCCAGGCTCTGAAAGCGTGGCAACACGACAAGCACTCCTCGAAGCAATGATAATGAAGTTAAGGAACCGATGTCTCTGTCGTTTTATCTTCGCCTCTACCAGTTCAACATCATCTTCACCGATCTTGGAAAGAGATTTCTTGCAGGGTAACACTACCAACAGCAACAAAACCGTCAAGGCAACAAACCTAGCACATTGCGATGGAGATACTCAGGCTATGATAGACTTCATTGGACATTCAATGAAAAAGGTCCGGCTTTGTGTGATTTCATACGCTGGTTTATCAAACAATCCTGGCGACGTTATCAAATTACTAAAGTATGAAACTATGAAAAATTGTTTCACAATGTTTATTCCATACTAATGGTTGTATCTATTATAGGAGCTGTAAGATGATCAAATCAATCATAGTGGATCATGGCAGCCATATAGAGTCACTCAGCAGGTATTCACTTCTACATGGAGACAAGAAGAAAATTGAGCTATTCAAATCAAGAACTGGTTTTGTGAAACGGTCAAAGTGATTCTTCTTTCTCAATAGTTTACTTTATGTTCGTAAGTAATTAGTACATTTTTCTGTATCATTTGGCCGCGACTCATGTCCATCGTTCTTTTTTCTGCACTTTCTCGTTTTCATCAATTACATCCTTTATTTAGCCCTATGGCACTAGTTATTCTACTACTCTCTCCTTATATCTCTACCACCATGGTATATTCATTCATCCTTTCCGTCGCAATCGCTTGTAAAACTTGAATAAACAGACAAAATAGAAAAAGCATTATTCTCTTTTTTTTAATTAGTTTCGGTAAGAGAAACAAGTTTAAAAGCAAAGGAAGAAGACAATATCTAAGGATTCATAAATTCAACGGAATCACCGAATTACACAATAAAATTGTTGTCTATGTCTAGATTCGTCAAAATGGTTGTCATATAGCAGGACACCAATATATTTTAGAGTGTAGACAGCACTTTTCAAAGTGTGTACAGCACTGTTGAAAATGTACACGGCACTGTTGAAAATGTGTACAGCACTTTTCAAAGCGTATACAGCACTGTTGGTTTGTATACGGCACTTTAAGACTGCAAAACATAAGCAGTCATACAACTAGATAGACCCATGGTGGGCGCCATGCTGGTACAGTGGTGGTTGAAATTTTAGGTATGCCTATTGAATGTTCATGGAGGAGAATGGGAGGATCGTCTTTGCTAGTTAGAGTCTCAATACCTTGAACAACTTCCATCACACTTTGAAAAGGTACGACTAGCTTCTGAGATAACAACGTATTACTACCAATTGAAATTCAACGTCAGTATTTGAGAGATAAATGCAAGGAGTTGATGAGAAACAAAGATGAAGAGGAGAACATGAACAACTTGGAAGCCAGTGAGAATTTTATTAGAATTTGTAGAAGAAGATGGGCTCATGGGTTTTAGAGAAAGACAAAGAAAGGATAAAGCAAAGAGCAGTTAGGGCAGCTTAAATACAGCAAAAAGATGCTTTTTATGACAATTAATCAGATGCAGAAGGATAATTCTACAAGATGTAGCAGTATACAAGTTGAACAAGGAGAATAGATATGTCAACTCCAAAAGCAGTATCTTTTCGCGCTACATGTTCAAGCAGTTTCAAAAAAGATGTTGTAGCTGCCGTAACTAGTCCTTCCGTTGGAAGATGAAAAGAGTATGGAAATCCTGTGCCGAGCCTTGTCAATATACATAGAAACGTAGCCAATCTAGTAGCAGATGTCAATCATAGGATTGTACGCTTGTAACTGCAGCAAGATGATCGCTATGAAAAGAATAAAAATACTTTTCAGCGATTTGCTGAACAAAGCGATCGTACCAATCTTGCGCTGTTAAACAATACTCAGCCGTTAACAGGTGATGTACGAATACTCATGCTGCAGCCATAGTGTTTAAATTCTCAAATGAGCAACATTTCGTTAAATACGAATATCAACAACGATTTGCCTCAAGCATCTGCCTTTTCTGGTGTTGTTTCAACACACCATTCACCCTTTTCTCCTCTCGCTGCTGACTCTGCACCTTCTGCTCGGTAACCTGTTGCTATAAGCCCAACCCCATCAACAATACCCATTTCCAATACCAGTAGTTCATCTAGATCAAGACAAAAGAAGAAGACCAAATGGATCAATACGGGTCAAGCTGATAGTAATACATATATCTCTCAACTATCTAACAATTATATGTATATACCTATCAATCTTTCCTTGCAATAAACATATGTATTAGACTAACACATCATCATTAAAAAAAAAAAAAAAAAAAGAAGAAAGTTTTTTCAATTTTGCCAACAATAAAGTATCAGAAAGTGAGAGAAAAGAATACAAATGGTGGTATAAAAAAAAACCTGAAAGTACACCATATATGTAAGCCATACGAGATAGCTAATGCTGGTCTCTAAGACTCGACATGACATTAGCAATCAATTAATGTCAAAGCTAATTGATGTTTTTATGGCCCTGTGGGACTCACTATGATTTTAGTGCTTTTATCCAAAAATGAAAGGATACTATAAGTAATAGTAGCTATTAAACTATTCAGGGCCTAGCAATGTTTTTCTTTATTGGTTGACCTTTTTATGATATTGAAAGAAATGAAACACATTCGGTCCTGCTGACAGATTGGATTTTTTGATCTGCTCCCAAAATCCCCGCTATGGCATATGTTCCCTTGCTTCTTTACCATAAAACGTACGATTTTTGAACGAATGGATACACAATAGTGTTTTATTGATACGACAGACAAACGCCTGTTGAAGCAGCTCAGAGTATTAGAAATAAGGTTTAAACAGAAAACTCAAGCGGTTTTTCTATCCTTCAGCAGACTCTGCAAGTAAGATGCCTTTTTGAAAAAAAGCGCGTTTTATAATTTTTAAGTAACTAAATGTTAGGACCCTGAAGCAGATCATAAATAATGTAGGTCGTCTTCTCCACCAATAAACAATTCGAATGATATTGTATTTGAAATACTCAAAGAAGCGATCTCGAATTGAATCAAAATTACACTTGTTGCTTTCTCGAAAGAGCTTTACAATCGCTAAATTCATACTAAGAGAATAAATACCATGATTGTATTCCCCAGAGCAGCTGCGCTTCATATTAAAGCTTTCTTTTATAAAAGTCCAATTTACGTGATCCTCTTTCAACTTTTAATTAGAGATTAAGTGGCTCCGTCTTAAATTTCTTTGATCGGATAAAGTGACAGATGATGTCCCCTTCCCCAAGAGAAGCAACCAAAATAATATGTATGATTTTTGGTTCAGGAAATCGAAAGAGACATTGGTTTCGTTATATAAATTAGAATCATGGGAAGATGTTCGGAGACCTTTGGTTTTTCTTTCAGTTTTCTTTCCGTCTCTTTCTTATCCTTGCTCATTCTACTTCTGTTATACATAGCAAAGTACAAATATGGCTCCAACTGCTATTCAAACTACTACCATTACATTAGAAAATAACGAGGAGCGTATTGCTCAAAGAAAGAATGAAGAGATCCGAGTATTGTATTCTAAATTGAGCGAAAACGTCCCTACTACCATTCCCACTATTACCACCACTTTCAATGACAAAATCAGTCCAGTTCCTTTGTCCAATACTGCACTAGCACGTAAGCATGCTGAAGACATCGCCTATGCAAAAGCCCTCCACGGTAGTCAACTTAAAAAAGGTCTTTGGTCCAATCTGAGATCAAAAAACAACGATGTTTATAGCGTCACATCAAACACTTATTTCAGCATGTGGGGAAAGGATGCCAACAATGACACGGAAGAAAATGAAAAGGATCGTGCCTCTCGATACAGTACCTTAGTCAATGCTTACTATAACTTGGCTACTGATTTCTATGAATATGGATGGGGTAAGAGCTTTCATTTCTGTCGATTTTATCCCGGAGAAGAATTTCATCTTGCTATGAAGCGTCATGAATACTTTTTGGCGTTGAAATTGGATATTCAGCCTGGCATGAAGGTGCTTGATGTAGGTTGTGGTGTTGGTGGTCCTGCTCGTGCTATTGCACATTTGACGGGCGCTAGTATTATCGGGCTGAACAATAATGCATATCAACTGGAAAAGGCTAGAGATTACGCTGTTCAGGAAGATCTATCAAAGCAACTAGAGTTTATCAAGGTACATATAATGACAACTCTCATGGCAATGAGAGATAGATATAGAACGCAATGACTCACACAAACTCATTTACGTATAGGGTGATTTTATGGCTATTCCTTTTGATGACAATACTTTTGATCGTATCTATGCTGTTGAAGCCACTTGTCATGCTCCTACGTTTGAAGGTGTCTACGCAGAAATTTACCGTGTCCTGAAGCCTGGAGGAAAGTTTGGTTGTTATGAATGGTGCATGACAGAAAACTACGATCCTACTAACCAAAAGCATAAGGAAATTGCACACGGCATTGCTCTGGGTAACAGTCTGCCCGATGTCCGTTCTATTGCTGATTCACTAGAAGCTCTTAAGAACGTTGGATTTCAAATTGAGTTACAGATGGATTTGGCTAATCAGGGTGACCGTATCACTTGGTATTATCCATTAGAAGGTGATTTGCGTCAGTGTCAAACACTGCGTGATGTCCTCACTACTTTAGTTATGACAAAATGGGGACGTTTTACCACAACAAATATCTGTCGTGTGCTGGAAAAAATAGGTCTGGCGCCAAAGGGAACTGTCCAAACTCAGGAGGTGTTGGAAGTTGCGGGTGACTCTGTGGTGGCAGGCGGTCGTGAGGGTATCTTCACTCCTATGTTCTTCTTTGTTGCTGTGAAACCTGAAACAGCAGCTACTAATGCTTAAATTATTGACGATAGTTTCCAACTACATTCGTCTGCTTACACCTTAAATTCTCATATAACAAGTTATGCATACGCATTCCTTCTCCTTATAGTTATCATTTAGTTACTGCTTTTCCTTTTAATTTTTATTGTTTTATTTTTGTTTATACTAGTAAGATCACGTTGTAATAAAATCGGTATTTTCGTTTATGAATCAATTGATGATAGTCTAAAAGTAGTTTTAAAATAACTGAAAATGTCAAAGAGTGAATTGGTGGATGAAGCGAGGTTCTTTGTATTCGTCGCAACCTGTGATATAAGGGTACGTTTCGTAATAAGGGCAGGTACTATTGATACACTGTATTAAGCTCTTCGCAACCGAGTCTCCTTCCAACCAGGCTCCATGTAAATAGCCATAATATTCAGCAGACATGGCTTCGCCTGCAAACCATAAGGTATTATGTAACGGTGCACGCATATTCTTATGGTGTCTTCTCGATGCCCCTATTGGCCAGTTTGAGTAAGAGCCGCGGAAAAGTGGATGTTGATGCCAGCGTGGGATCAGAATATGAGTCGGAGGCTCAACAATGATGCTTGTTGGACTACCATTGTGATGATCAGCGTTCGTTGAAAACATTTGTTGAAGCACCTGCATGATTTCTTTTTGAACCTGAGCATCTGTCATACGTTCAATTCTGTGGGATTCTTTATCTGTGGTGGTTACCATAAGTATATTGTCACCCGTAGCAGTAGGTTGGAATAAGTAGCCCGGTGCATTGAGATTTTGCCAAACAGTATAATAGCCTCCATGATGAGATACATTGTTGGCATACAAGGCGAACTACATTTATAGAATACGTGAGTTTTATGCCAACATCAGAGTATAACAGCAAACTGAAATGTGTGTGACCTGCCAATCCCCCCAGAATCTATGGTCAAACTTTAAAAATATTTTTGTGTAAGTGGTCATGTGAAAACTTAATAAAGCTTCCCGTTTCCATTCCGGAAAAGAAGGTTCAAATTCCACATCATCGCTTTGTAACACACCTAAACTGTATACAAGTGTAAAATGAAATGGTTAGAGACCACTGAAGAACAAAAGTCTCTTTGTTCTGTTGTATGAGTAACTAACGAAAAAGTGCAAATCGCATAGTCTGCTTCTATGATGTCATTGCTCTCAGTTTGAACAGTGACACTGCGATGATTATATAAGACTTTGGTGACTTTTGTGTTGAGCATCAATCGCGGATCAAGTGGTTTAAGGAACGTGTTTGATTCTTGCTTCAAAATATAGTTAAAGCCTCTAATGTAAATAGAAGAAAACAAAATAGCCGTTACTTATTTGTTGAGCAGCAGCATTGAATGCAGTCTGACCTTTCATCGACTACAAACTCATTGCCCAAAGGATAGGATCCAGTAATAGCATCCTCCATTCCCGTTGCATAATCCAAAGAACACATCTCTGCTGGCTCAGCAAATTCCCAGTCAATATTAAAGTATTCTACAGCGGCTTTGAGAGGAGTGTCAGGGTTCCAGCCTAATAAACTCAGTGCAGATCTACTCGAAAGATCGACTTGTCGATGCCGCATTCTCTGTTCTACATGAAACGGAAATTCTTAAAACTCTCCTCTCCTTGCTGCACTTTCAAATACTCTTCTCATTATATGCTACCTGCATACTCTACGAGCCGTACTTTTACCGCTTCAAATTCGTTGCTCACTTGTTCACCAATGCTTTGGTTCCTGAGTATGCCTCCATTATCATCGAAATAGACCACGTTTGCTTTATCATTAGGCGTGTATTTTAACCCATGCTTGACTGCCAATTTATAAACTGGATTATCTCCTTTACCGTATATCTAAACATTGAAATACCAACTTAAAGTCTTTACATAAAATGCAGTCTTGTAGAAATGTTTTTACCCAATTGGCTCCCAACTCAACATAGCTATTGCCAAATTTTTGATGCTGTACTCGACCTATTTTTCATTATGATGCTCAAAAAAGTTAAGCATCTTATGCAACCATAACCAGTTTTTTTGATTCTTTATGTTGTGTACGTCTACCTCCTATAAAGGGTTGTGCATCAAGAATTACAAAATCCTCTACCTTTGCTTCGGATAATGATTTTGCAGCAGATATGCCTGCTGCACCAGCCCCCAAGATAACTACTTTTGTTCTAATATACTTCGATAGAGCCGGCTTTGGTGTTATAACTAATACGAGTAATAACAAAGTCAGCCAGAATAAATTCACTGCTCTTAAACAACTCATTCAAAAATAGGTAGCGAAAGAAGAGAAAGAGAAGGGTATTTATTCCTCGTGCGCAAAACCAATGAGCAACAAAACTTGTAATATATTTTATTTGTATGAACAATGTGATTTCTATAGTGTGCTTTGTGGAAAAAAACTGACTTAATGTTATCATGTGATACGCATATCATATCAGAATGAAGATTGAAATGTGAGCTTTTAATAGAGATCATAAAACGTTTATTGAAATACTGCCAAAATATTTTGTAATAAAGAAAAAAGAAAAAGGTTTCTCTTTTTGATGTGTATATGTGTATATGTTTCTGGATAATGCGAGCGATGCAATATATAAAAAGATGAAAAAAAGCATATAAATTATTTTGCCTTACTTACTATATGCCTACATAATTGTCATAAAATTAGAAATGCCATAAAGTAAAAGAAACGAATAAATAAAAAGAAACACCATGAAAAAAAAAAAAAAAAAGAAAATTAATATGCTAGCCGTGATAGAATTGTATGTAAAAATATAAAAGCTGCTGTCTTGGTAAGAAAGAATATGATGGATGGCTTTTTTTTTTTTTTTTTTTTTGGGCGATTTTGTAATTTTTTTTCAAATTTTTTTTGTTACTGTCGTTTTGTTATAGTCACTGGTTTGTATATAGTTAAGATGTGATCGTTTTAAGCGCCAAAAACGATATTATTCATATCGGTCATATTGATAAAAGGAGTGGAAGTGTATTGAGGTTGATCAATAAAAGTTGTATGGATGGAATGGGAGTCATTCAATAAAGAAGTAGGTGAAACTGTTGTATTAAAATTAAAGTGGTTTGGATTGTTGAAAGACATCAACATTGAATTTTCATCAAAAATAGGTTGAGTTAAATTGTAATGACGCTGCTGATAGTCCATCATCAAAGAATGATTGGCTCCAGAGCTAGAAGTAGGTACTAATATCGTTGCACTACTAGTAACAGAATTGGAAATAGTCTCCTTTTGTTGTTGACGGTATTCCTCATCATCGTCAGATTGAACATTAAGCTGTTGATACTGTATTGGTTTGAAAGGAGAAAGCAATGTCAAAGGCGCTGTTATCGATTTCCTATGGGTGGAAAGGAAGCGACCATTTTCATCTTTACTGTGAAAAGTGCTGTGGTTATTTCCAAACTGAAACGTTGAACTAGGTGAGGAAGCAGATGAAGAAGTGAGATCGTCTTCCATCGGAGAGGAATTGGGGTTGTTGAAATTCTTCTTATATATCAAGTTGGAGGTTGATATAGAAGAGGACCTACTACTCATAGCCATTGGGGGAGTGACAAATGCTTGACTAGTACTCACCGAACCGTGAATGGCTGAAAATAGCGTGTTGTCCATGATATTATTGTTATTCACCATCACCCCTGTGGTAGCAGTAGATGAATTTATGGGTTCCAATGGCATAAGTGGGTGGCTAGTTCTACGTGCTGGCATATTTCCCATGATGGTTGTATTGTGAGTCGGTTGTTGTTGCTGTTGCCGGCTTACGGATGTGTCAATATCAGACATGTCGTAATCAACATCGAGCATTGGACTAAGGGTACTACAACGGCTACTACTATAATAACTGCCTTTTACACTACTAGCGGTGGTAGCAGCAACAGCCATAACAGCAGCAGCGGGAGCAATATCAGCAGCACTTAGACCAGTAATAGAAGAACGCGTAATATTATCGAATGAATGTCGATTGGTTGAATAGAATCCTTGAGTCGGCCTACTATCACAACGCTGACCAGTTCCCTGCTGTTGCTGTTGTTGGTACAAAAAGGGTTGACTGGTATTTGTATCGAACAGTCCTCGTTGATAAGGCTGATTTATGTCTGGAGATGAATCATCGTCGTTATCATTCAAGAATGATGTAGTAGGAGGTGTGTAGTCATATGGTTGGATTTCATGTTCAAGTCGATGATGCTGTGCAAGAATTCCTGATTGAGAAAAGTTTTTGCCACATAATGCGCATACGAACATATGTGCAGCATGCATATGACGTTCAAGGTTTTCCGATTTATTGAATACGTGTCTGCATTCCATAACGGGACAATGAATATCTTGTTGCTGCTGATACGGATGATGGTGAAAATAAGGCTGTGCTGCAGCTGTTGTGGACCAACCTTGAGAATGATGACTTGTAGGTATAACAGGTAATAAAGTAGTAGGAGAAGATGTAGGTGTAATGGCCATTAGTTGGCTTCCGGATACAAAACCCGCTTTTGCAGCGGCCATAGCGAGTCGACTAGTACTGTTGCTATTCATATTACTTAGGCTATGGGAAAGCTGTGGTAAGGTAACTATGCCTGTTGCTGGTTGATGTTGGCGACGAATCCGTTCCGGTCTACTACCAGCAAATGTGTGTGTCAATTGTAACTGAGAGTTTTGAGCTGACATAGAAACTGAAGTTGCACGACGTCTTCTCTGTTTGTACGATGGTGATCCATCAAATAAACTCAAGCTTCCAAAAATAGTTTTGGACTTCTTTAACACATTGGGATCAACTGATTTTGAAGGAGTTACTTCATGCTGTTCTTGTTGTTGTTGTTGCTGATCAAAATTCTTATGAGTAAGAGTAGTGCTGTTGGACATAGAAGCAGTGATGTCTAGATCATTCACTCCATTTGAAATTGGATCCATGTAGTCTGGTTGCTGATGTTCGTTGTTATGACAAGGAATCATGGGAGAAGATATATTGGCTGTTGAGGGCTTGGAGATATCTGTCAAGGCAGTTGTACCACTACAATTACTCAAATCATCTCGAAAACTGTCATCTGTAGAAGTAGTATCTGTAGTATTCGACAGCATAGAGGACGTAGTAGAACTTGGTATGACACGGCCAGATCGAAGACGGGTAACAGAAGAAGAGCCAATGGTCTTTCCAGCAAAATAAGAGCCATGACTTAAGCGATGATAACGTTGTTGATGCAGCAATTGTGATTGCTGTTGCTTACCAAGCTTTGCAGGCACAGAATTAACACGAGCTCTTTTCGCTTGCACAGCAGCACGTTCTAATCTGGATTGTGAGGGTGACCAAGACGTATGATCTTCATCCGATACTTTATTCTTGGTGACTATAAAAAATATGTAAAGGAATTTTTATTGTTAGATTTGTGAAATTTAAGGGGGAAGAACTTTTTAAAATTTTGTACCTTTTGAACTGAGGAAGGTACTCGAGCCCAGTTTAGGAGAGCGCCTTTTCCCATCCTTTGATGTTGTTGTTGAGAAGGTATCGGAAGGAATGATTGATTGTGACATAGTTCGTCTCATCTGATCAAATAGCTCTTGGGTTGAGTCTAACGAAATAGAGGTGGCTGGCTCAGCTACAGCTTTTGTTGTAGGTTCCATACCCATCTTTTCACGTTTTAAATCACGTTCTAAAGCATCAAGGAACAGTCGATCATGAGGTACTGAGAACCAATAAAACACCTTCTGCTTCTTCTGCGTACGGATACAGTTATTCTTGTACAGCATATCGAGCAATTCTGACTTGGGCTCTTCCAACCGAGCATCATGACCGGGCTTTAGATTACGCAAATCTGAGAAAATGCCTTCTTCAAATTTCTTTGCATTTGTAACTGGTCTACCGAAGGCATGAAAGCGAAAGTTGAGAGAGCGTACGATATCAGTACCACTAATAAAGAAGAGGTCATTCCAAAGCACGCATGCGACGTTCTCACCACCAGGTAGAGCGAACTTTTTAACTGATTTTGAAGGGTCCCAGTTATGAGTAGCTGTCGTAAAGAACAGCTTCATATCGTCGATTTGGTTTAACCGAGCATTGACATCTTCGTTAGTGGGTGGTGGTAGGCCATAAGCTGACGTGACTGTTGCATCTAGTTTGCTGCTGTTTTCACCGTACTTTTTACTATATATATGCGGTTTAATCATACTATTCTGAGATAGTAATGTTGTTATGAGTTACGGGATATTTATACAGTTAAAGAGAGGATATAATATATTCAAAAATAAGAGCTTATTATAATACAAAGAATGGAGGAGAAAAAGTTGAAGATAATGATAGCTTCAATCTTTCTTCTCGTTGTTAATATCAAGACTAATTATGGTTCTGATATATAATGTTATGGAGTAGAAAAAGTTAGAGCAAGAAAAGGGAAGCGAAAGATGTAAGAGGAAAAAGAAGAAGGAAAAGCGAACAAAAGGAGAAGAAGATCAAGTAAAGGTTGTGGAGAAAAGATGAACTTTAGATGTAAACGGGGATATGTTGAAATAGGTGCATTCAATATGCACATTCAGTTATTTTAAAAGCACCATTAAAACGTATCTTTTTTGTCTTTTTTTGTTAATGATTATAGCCTAAAAAGAAAAAAAAGGGGGTCATTGAAGAAGGCATCTTGAAAAAGAAATCAGGGGAAAATACAGGAGCAACAGGAGTCGTTGGGGAGCGCGGAAAGGGTGATGAACTTTTTTGTTGGTATAGCTAGCATTGACTATCTGTAAACAAACCTGCATCACTTCAAGATGGACCGAAAATAGCCTAAAGTACAAAACCACTACCAACATATGAATTACTTGAATGAAGTGATGCTACTGCTTTAAGACTGTTCAAGTTCAAGTTTTCAGATAGTATAACTCTCAAGTTGACGAAAGTGGATCAACCAGCATATTTCATTACTATTGGTTCAAATTGCTATACATTTTCGTTCTGCTGACTACATGTATCACTCACACACTGCATAATGGGCATGTGTGTGTATACTAACAACTCAACTTTCATGTATACATATTTACGTAATATACATCATTATCATTTTGTATAAAGGTTCTATACACATGTACCTACACGAGAAATCGTTTCGCTTCATCACATGGAAATTCATGGATGTACTTTTATTGATAAATGCAGATCAAGTTCGTTTGATTGACATATAAGTCGTGGGCATATGGCTGTATGCTTGCTTGTTCTAGTTGAAAAACTGCTAAATTTGTGTGATTATATGTGATTGTATTACATACTATTTATTGATGCTGAAGAGAGCGTTGAAAGAAGATAAAGATAGAAAAAGAAGGGCTACTGTCAAAAAAGAAAATAAAAAAGCGAAAGATATAAGGGTTTACAAAAAAAAAATAAGATTTTGACAAAAATGTTGAGCAATGCGTCACATTTTGAGACACTCAACTTCTATTTGAAATTGAATGACACTTTTGTTTAGCGAAAGCCTTTGTGCTTTGACATTGCAAGATACCTTTCTGCTATGATAGATGTTACATGTGCACTGCTCAATGCATGCTTCAATATTACTGCTGTTCATCGTAACAAGTATAAAGGCCGAATTAGTGACCCAATATTGAGCCCGTTGCATTTCAAAGGGTTGCTTTAGATGGACCAAAACAGATCACGGAATGATTATAAGTGTAATGGTATTCTAATCACCCCTTACTACAATTTTAAAAGAGATCAATAGCTTAACCTTTCTATGAGTGTGAGTGTATGTGTGCAAGTCACTCCTAAATTAATGCATTTCCTTTCACTCCGGTTCACCATATCTTGTAGTTATTTTAAATCGTTACTTTTCTCTTCCTTTCTTATATTCTCGTTTAGGCACTGTGTAAATAAACAACGACGTAATATAAACAACGCACAAGATTTCCCTGTACCTGAATTCAAAAAGTGAACAGTAATCGGGTCATGACGGAGATCAAAAAGGATGGTTTTCTTCAGGTGAAAGAAGATGGTTTAAGAGCTTGGATTTGGTCAAGACGCTATGTTGTTCTACGTGAACAAACCATTACCTTCCATCGTAACGAGGTATATCTTCAGAAGAAAAAGAAAAAAAAGTATAGGTTTTCTTCCTTTTTTTAAGATTCATTCTTATTATTTCTACCTACTCTTAGCAAACAGGGCATTGCGTAGCTTTGCTTTATTTGCGAGATATCAATTCAGTGTCTAGATCAGAATTGAAATCGCATTGTTTTGAGCTATCTACAAAAGCCAAGTCCTATTATTTTGCCTGCCGTAATGACGAAGAACTCTACTCTTGGATGGACGAAGTCTACAATGTAAGCAATGGCAAGCCTCATAAAGTTATGAGTTCTTAGTAAAGCTCATCCTACTTATGTCATCATAGAGGACACCTTTAGGTAGTTCTTGTCCAACAAATTTCGTTCACGAAGTTCATGTCGGATTCGACCCCAACACAGGTGCATTTACGGTAACTTGCTACTCTATTGAAAACAGAACATAAAGTTCAATATTTAGATGACGTATATGTATACATTTATTAACTATATTATTATAATTGCTTCGTTCCCTCTAGGGCATACCACAAGAATGGAATGCTTTACTGAAGGGCTCCAAAATTACACCTGAAGATGCACTTAAAAATCCTCAAGCTGTGTTGGAAGCACTCAATTTCTTCACAGACCACACTAATAGAAGCAGCAATAATAAGTCTTATGGCGATCATAATTGCTCTCAACGTGAAAGTAAAACTATTCAACAGGAAGAATCAAAACAACCGATGCAAGAACAAAGACAAAAGAGTATGACGGCACATTGTGATCTGTCTTATCAAGATGAACTGGTTAACAACAAGGTGTCTGATCCTAAACCAAGTAGGTCGGCACCTGCTCCAAGGCACGAAGAAAAAATTTTACCTCCTAAGCCTATATCAAAATCAAAGGTTCAACAATTGGAGCTTCAACTACCTAGTCTAGATCTAAATGGTAATAAGAAGCGAAAAAGTATCGAAAAAGGGATAAGCAGCAAACAACAACAGAAAAAGCAACAGGTAACAAAAGAAATGGCATTGTGTATCATATAAGATCATTCTGAAAAGAGCGTATATATTCATCGTACTAAATGTAGACGAATGTAACTGAACAACTGCAACAGCCGCTAAACCGTACATTGCCACCTGAGGTTTGCCTTATTCAGTTTCAGACAGATCTTTGAACTTTGAGAACTTTGCAATAACTCATGTTTCTTTTTTGGGCTTCGCCTCCACCAGATAACATTTCCTGCTACTAACACGACTGCTAACACTGTCAATAATGGACATATTATCGACTTTAGCAAGCCACTACCAGTGACTCTCCCAACGACAGCAACAAGATCATCAGCGGCTGTTGTAACTCCTATATCTCCAATACCTGATACAGCTAGTCCAGGGATAACAATCAACGCCATAATACCATCGCGGATGGCTCCGTCTCAACCTTCACAAAAACAGTCTAAAAAAAACGCTAATACTAATCATAGACGGATCCTAACATCAGAGGAGAAAAAAGCACGATTCGAAAGAGAGAAGGAAAAGTTGAAGCAAGCAGCTGCTTTTTTAAACCAAGATAAAAAATTAAATAAGCATACCACTACCAATAACATGATATTGATGCAACCGGATTCGGGGGCAACTACAGCGGCCACCTTGGCCTCTGCTGCTGCAACAACTGAAAAAAACCATCCCTTTAAAGTCTTCAATATGAGTAATAACAAAAAAATATTTCCAATCAACACTTCTTTACTACCACCTCAACCTCAACCACAAGCATCAACACCTGTACCAACCACCATGAATCAAAATATTGAACTAGATAATGAATTCGAAGCACAGCAGAATGAAGAAATGCTAAATAGTGCTGACGCTCAAGCATTAGCAAAACTTCGTAAGAACTGGAAGAGATATAAAGTTATATATCTATCATATTGAAATTAAGGGTCTAATTATTCCTATTCATATTTGTTTGATATAGGCTCTGTAGTTACGACAGGAGATCCGCATTACATCTATAAGCGTGCGAAACGAATTGGACAAGGGTAAAAGACATGAATGGGTCATTTTGTACATAGAAAAACGGATTACTTATACACATTTATTGCGAATCTCTAGGGCTTCCGGATCAGTTTACCTCGCAAATCATATTAATGATAATACAAAAGTAGCCATTAAACAAATGGAATTATCAAAGCAATCGAGGCTTGACTTGATTGTCAATGAAATTATGATTATGAAGGAATCCCATCATAACAATATTGTTAACTTTCTGGATTCGTTTCTTGTTCGCGGTGATTTATGGGTTGTCATGGAATTTATGGAGGGAGGCGCGTTAACAGATGTCATTGAGAACAACGAGATGACAGAAGAACAAATTGCCACTGTGTGTTTAGAGACGGCAAAAGGATTGGAACATTTACATTCGCAAAATATCATTCATAGAGATATTAAATCTGACAATGTTTTATTGGACTTTCAGGGCCATGTGAAGATCAGTGATTTTGGTTACTGCGCAAAATTAACATCGCAGAAGAGTAAGAGAGCGACCATGGTTGGTACACCTTACTGGGTAATGAACTTTATATACTATAATTTTTCTGTTTTTGGCGTTCGTGCTTTCTTACTTGAGTGCATCTTTATCTTTTACAATGTATAGATGGCACCTGAAATTGTCAAACAAAAAGAGTACGGTACAAAAGTAGACATATGGTCATTAGGTATTATGGCCATCGAAATGATTGAAAATGAGCCACCTTATTTGGACGAAGAGCCTTTGAAGGCATTGTATCTTATCGCGACAAATGGGACCCCCTCTCTTAAAAATGCAAATAAAATCTCAAGGGAGCTTAGTAATTATCTCGCTGTCTGTTTGTGTGTGGATGTACAAGTACGTGCTACTGCAGCACAATTACTTGAGGTAAGTTGTGATACCACTGACCTACAAATTTAAGGCACCTAGACTAACTATTCATGATATTTAAGCATGCCTTTTCAAAGAAAGCTGGACCAGCGAACAAGTTGTTGCCACCACTCTTAAAATTCAGAAAGAAATAAACGAATAACAAGTTATGATATAGCCTTCTGTCTTTATGCTTTTTTTTTAACCAGTAACCAGTCCATACAAAGGCCTCTAAAAAGGAATTTTGACTATAAATATTTATTAAATGTCAGGGTAAAAGATTGTTCATTGTTTGCCGGCAGCATTTACAGCAGCAGCAGCACTTTCATCAAAATTGACTAACTCTCCTCTGTAACCATGCTTCTTACTGCTTCTGTATCCTAGGTAATCAGGATTAAATGCTAATGTCAATACCAAAGCAATAGTTAAAATAAAAAGAAAGATGGCAAGAGCATTTTTTGAGTATTTTTTCCATCTGTAATCAATTTTCCTATGATAATCTTCCTCTATAATTGCTAATTTCTCTGCTGTCATTGCTGCTGCTGCTGCTGCCGTGGCTGACGTATATTTTGGCGTGTAAAATGCGCCCAATATCCATGTAGGAGGGAATAAGAAGCCCAATACAAAAAATAAGAACGAAAGTCGAGTCCTTAATTTTGGAGATCCAGTAGAAAGTTTAGAGGAAACATTTTCCAATTGATCATCTAGGGTTATAACATTAGACCGCGCTAGATTTTCTTTCACTTCTGTTAATTTTGTACTCTGGTTGTTAACGATAGGATCAGTATCAATAAAAATTGCTTGCTGCTTCAGCTTTAACGCGTGGTTCTTCAGTCGACGTTGAATACGGGTCGTCATTGAAACGCTTTGTAGAGGGTTATACTCCGTCCCATTCCATTTATTATTAAAGCATTCATACTGCAAAGTTTTCAATATTTCTAAGCGCTCTTTCCATAACTTCTCTTCCTCTGCTATGGTGAGCTCACTAGCATCGTAATAAGTGACTCCTTCATCGGATAAACCTCTTGCCACCTGACATTTACTACCATTTTCTACTTGTGCTCCATTGCTGTAGTCATTCTTTATATTGTTTTGGGGATATCGTTTGATGTAATGTATGCCTTTGCTATAACCTCTATTGATGTTATGCTGTAGATGTTTTAGATTAGGCAATTGGGGATCGGGAACTGGCGTCAACAGGAGTTGTTGTGGTTTATCATCATTGTTGTTATCAGTTGTAATACCAATGCTCTTGCTGTCTTTTGATGCTGATGCAGTTGTTGATATAGTTGTATTCAAAGACGAGCTCTCAAGCTTCTGAAGCTGTTCTATCAAAACAGTCTGCTTAGTTGCAGAGTCATTACGACTGCTTTTAGTAATTGGCGCGGTCCCTACAATATCTTCTTGTGCCAAGGGCCATTGACCTTTGTAAAAGAATTCATAAGTCGGTTTTGGTCGTGGTATTCCTTGCTCAAAAGAGCCAAAACTATATTGAGGATTGAATATCGACTCCCATTGCTTGTGCTTTTCAGCTACAGTAGTAGAAGAGAACTTCTCTTTCATTTTCTGTAAACACGGATTATTAGTGTAAGGAAATATAATGGTCGGACTGTAGATCTCGTTTATTTTGATGGTATTCGCTGTTGTTGCTGCTGTCTCTACATGGTCGTTTTTGTCAATGCTTTTTCCTTCATTACTCGAAATGGTAATAGATGTTTCGTTATATCCGTTTGTGGAAATAATGCTAGATACGGAAGTTGAAGCTGCTTTTGCTGCTTTTGTAAGCATTTGGTTACCGCCTTTATGTATAATAGTAATTGCTTTTATGGCCGTTTGATGTAAATCCTGCCTTATTTCTGAGCATTCAAGCTTCCTTAGTTTAAAAGATGAATAAGCTAGATTAGTTTTTGTTACTGCTGATCGCGAATTATTACGGCTGCTACTGCTGGATAAGGAACAGTTGCTTTTTCGACGTTGTGGCCTGCGAAATGTCATACTTCATATATGTTATACATTTACAAGAGCACGAAATAGAGCGAAAAAGTAACTGCGACCTTGTGGATAGCATTTTCTAACGTTTTGATGGTCAAAATGTGAATCTTAATACCCCGGAAATTTTTTTCTTCGTTCATGTTTAGCATTTCATTGTTCCAGATGTTTATATATTACTTCCTTTTATGAGGGAAAGAAACGAAGAGAATTCTGTTAAGTATAAAAAGAGTGGTGATGGATGCTTACAGTGTTCCTTTTCTTCTTTTTTTCTGGAAAGAATCAACAGCAAATGTTCTTCTATAACAATAAAGCACATATCTACAGAGACGCACTCGATTTGAAACATCCAGAATCCAAACCGATAGCAAAGGAACACAACCTGAAGCAAAGTATGTTTGAAAATACTATTCTTAGGATACAATAAATAATAACTATGTTTTCTCTTATTGTTAAATAGCCACAATCAATATGACATTCGATACCGTGGAAGACGTTGCTGGATTCACTTCGGCCGTGTTTAAAGGCGAGAAAGAGAAAGTGTTTAAAAATGAACCTGATTTTATGAATCCACGCAAAACAGCCGACCTATTCAACGATTACAGCGCTGGTTGTGTATTAATGTGAAGACTAAATCATAAGGCCTTTTGCAATTACAAAAACGCACGACATAACTACACCAGCATCAGATAATAATGCTGCTATCAAGCCCCAGTTTTCTGATCGAAAGCTACATATTCAAATAATTTATACCCGCGTATAATAAATGCATACCATTGTATGGATAAGCGAGTGCACCTTTTCCTCTTTTAAATCACAGCGTTAAAGTTTTAAGCTTTTGTCTGGATTTTAGGCAAATAGACAATTTACTTCAAACATTGCAAATGCCTGATTTGAATCTTTTAGCCTTCAACGTCAAGCAAGCATTTGAAGGTGAAAAAGTAATTAAGCGACTAATTCGTGATTCTTAACATACTTTCAAGCTAAAAAGTCGGATATTCTGATTTCTCAGTTCGACAGAGCGTTGTCTTGGTTACCCACTGAGGAACATCCTTCTGTTTTAAGATACAAATTCGACAAAGATAAGCATTTAGCATTAGCTAGCTTATTGCTCAGACGATATTATTTTTCAAAGAAACTGAATATATCTTGGCATGACCTGAAATTTGGAAGATTATCAGCGGGAAAGCCATATCTGGTATAACACAACAGCTAAGCTATTCTATTCTGAACCAGTAATTGAGATGACTTTTTTATGTTTCGGTGTAGATGAATGGCGAAGGCCATTTTGATTTCAATACATCGCATGAAGGAGATTGGGTCATTTTCGGATGCGTTGTTGCTCAGAATATGAAGATCGGTGTGGATGCAGTTTCGATCGTTCCACCGAAAAGCGGCACAATAGATGAATTCATAGAATGCTTTCAACCCCAAGTAACGCAATAGAAAATGATACTTTTAATTAGCTATCAATCCTTGGCATTAAACATTTTTTGACTAGCTTACACAAGGTGAAATGCAAATGATAAAGAAGAATAATCAAGATGAAACTGCTCGTTTGAAAACATTTTACCAATTATGGGGCTGCAAGGAAAGCTATGCAAAAGCACTTGGGTTGGGTCTTTCTTTAGAACTGAACAAGGTGGAGTTTACGAGTGAAAATAATAAGGTACTGTTGAGGTCTTCTTTACCTCGTTATGTTTCCAAACCTTACCTCATCATTTATTATTTAGATAAATATTAAATTTGAAGGCGAAACATTGAAAGGCTGGAATTTCCATATTAGTTATTTAGACACTGCTGTAATGGCTGTCATATGTTATGGACGTGAAAATTCTACACATTTAAGTCCAGCGAGCCAACATGCTGATTTACTGACACAGCCAACTGTCCTTTTTGGAGATACATGTTCTTCAAGTCCGAAAGAAAAGAAAGGCAGCGTATTTACATTTGTGTCCTTTGAAGATGTAGAACAAAAACAGTCATTATATACCTAAAATAAATGAGTGGACATTAGTTTGCAAAAATATGATCAATATTCTGTAAGCTCTGGTATGAGCAGGTTAATCTTACATACATTGTAAAGAAGTTGTAACATAAGGCATATTCTACTAAACCCTAACGATTTTCGTGAGCAACATGAAAAAATCGCGTTGTTCAAATATCGATCTGCCATATTTGGCAAAATTGCTTGGAGGAAAAAAGGGTTCCTGAAACTCTTCTTTTGTAAAAACAAAATTTCTCTTTCAATCGAAGCGATCATGAATTTGATGAACAAAAATTCATTAAGGTAGAACAACAACTTGCATCGTTTTCACCTTTATGAATCTAAACTGAAAGAAAAGAAGACCTGAATACTGAGCAATACCCAATTTCTCTTTATCAAATTATTAGAGACAGTTTGTTGGATCGGCCAATCCATAAGCGATTGGACGATGTCCAAGAAATTGCGTCAAAAGAAGATAATCGGCAACTCAGGGATCCTGAGCAGCAACGTCTCTGTTTCGCTTATCTTTATAAATATATGAAGAAACACGCAGGAACAGATGCAATTTATTTCAAGAACAGAAGCCTAGATACGAATAGCTTCGAATTTGCTCTACGACAGTTTATCAAGGTCATTAATCCAACGTTTCAACTTAGAAAGACAAATCTATTAGAAGATGCTATAAAATTTCTAAGAAGTGTCAACTATCCTTTTGTTGATTCGATAAATCCTACAACTCTAACCCCCATTGGAGCTAGGCATAACTTACCTCAGCAACTTGGCATATTAAAATGGCTAGCTGAATTATGCGAAATTCTGCTGGATGACACTGCCAATGAAGGGGACGACTTGAATGAGATAGATGTGTACTCTTTGATTGATCATGGTAAACAAGCGGAAGTGAACGAAGAAGGAACACAAGATCAATATAGAGAGGCAAAGACGGCTGCAGATCTCCAGTCTTTAAAAACCTTAATGCACTACAGTTTAAACACTTATCAATCTTTGTCAGACAAGAAAACTGATCATACTGTGGAAGACGCGTCAGTGAGCTCAAAATTACAACAAATACACAGCAGTATACTCCAAGAAAAACAGGATATAAATGCATCTGTAAACGAAGTAGTTGAAGGGCTTCAAAGCCTTGATGCGCGTCGTGTAGTGTACAAAAACTCATTTAACTACTGAAACGTTACATTTTTCACACATTGTGTTATTAATACCCTGTCATAATCTCATTAGGATAAAATAGACGAAATTAGCAGGTTCTATCGAATATATCAAGAAGATTTAAAGAAATATGAGGCTAGCTTGGCAGCAAGAAGAGCAAAGCAATCTAGGGACGAGGGTATTTTACAACAGATTGCTGCTGCACTAGAAGGTGCGCAAAAAAGAGTAGACGATCTTCGAAAAGAGAAAGCACAATTATTGCAGGGAATCAAAAGCACAAATATGACGGAAGAGGAGTCGAAGACACTGCTTGAACAATCGCGTGAAGAGTATAACAAAAGAGCTGCTGATGAAGCTAAAATACAGGAGATTAATACTCTAATTGAAAGGAAGCTGAAACAAGTTGATGAATCTAACAATCAAGTAGGTTATCCTTTTTATATACACAAGGTCTTTTTTGTCTCTTGTTACACCTATAAAGCCCGTATTTATTTATGCTCTATTCTTCAGGTCAACAGTTTTTTGAAAGAGTTCGAGTTGAGAATATCTTCGACAATCCCTTCAGTGTTTGAGGGGGAGGATTTATCAGTAGATTTTGTTAAAGATGATTCCATGACACCCAAAATGAAAGTGAAAAAATTAGAGGATTCGGTTCAAGTATGGTTTCTTGTCATGTATTGTTCGGATAACTTATTCGGCCAATAACTAATAATCCACTTACCGTACAGACTAAATTAAAAAGGCTAACTGAAAATGCAAGGCTGAATAATGAGGAAATTACCAGAAGAACAGGCGAAGTTAGAAACGCATACAATGAATTAATAGAACTGATGGAAACGCAGAAGAAACAACTCAAACGCAAAAGACTGGAATGGGATCAATTACGAGACCAAGTTCGTCAAGAACAAAATGTAAGTATTCACAATTGGAAACAGAGGAGCTACAGACTCAGCTGAATGCACGTAATTTATTTGTAGGAACTTGACGAAGAAGTCAAACATTATAATAAGCTGTTGGACGGATTGAAAGAAAAGATCGCAAAATGTTGTATGCGCAAATTAGAATATGATAATCAAAATTTTATGAAACTCAAGTTAAAAGAGCAAGAGTAAAGAAATGAAAAACAAACGTTGAGAGCGTTAACACCTGATGAACTGATATACATATCGCTTTTTTGTTAATAGACTGACTGGTTTGAAGGAACGACGAGAAAAATTGGAAATGGAGACAGAGGAATTAGAAGTATTGGCAAAAGAAACCGAGTCTTTTACTAAGGAACAGAATAAAGATGCTGATGATTTCTTTAAGCAAATCAAAGAAGCGTGGGCCAGCAACGAAAGTGAGAAAGTACTAATTCTATACCACAACATTACCACATCCAAATCCACTTAAGGGTTTTCTGTGTGAATATCTCATAAATAAATTAGTGACGTTGCTTTCTCTTATAAGATTAATATTCTAAAAGTCAATTAAGCTAAGGCCTGGCCTTTATTGATGTTTGTAAAGTGTTCAAGTACAACTGTATGATATGAAGAAAGGTATAAATGTAAGTAATATTGTTAGATGGTTAATGCATGCATGTAGTGTTGAGTATGGTAAGAATTATGGCTATGGCGACAGTATTAGAAATGATATGCATGTAGAGATTGTAACTTATTGTGCTGTTGCTATCTTGAGGTATGCCCTTTAAGAAAGTAACTCGCTTGAATTATTGAGTTCATTCTGATCAATGATGTAGGCTTGGACAATCTCTGTATATGCGAAATGGTTATAGCAGGGTTAGTCTCCATAACATTGCTAAAGATCACTGTCAGCTCAATGGAGTATATACCTAGTTTTGTGATTAAAGGCCCCACACGTACAACATCTATAAGATACACTGTTGACAAATACAGACATAGAAGCTTTAATAGTAGCAGCAGACATTGGTATTATTATAAAAGTTGGTATTGCAATGCAGAGAATAAAGAGCTTTGATTGATGTAGAATGTTATCTACGACAGAAAAAGCAACTTTCAAATGGTAGCTTTTATATTATAGGAAATATGATCATCTAAATTAATCCGTTAACTACTTTATTTATACATATTGAAATCTAAATTATTTGAATGCGACATACATTACTTGCGCAGCTGTGTATCTCGGAATTGGGGCATATGCAAGCGATTGACAGGTACGAACGACCTAGTTTGTCTCACATAAACTCAAAATTTAGCAACAGCAATACTTGAAAAAGATAGCAGTTAGAATTTATGATACTTGAAATGCAATAAACACGTACCATGACTCATATTTTCCTTATTTCCCTTTCCATTCACAATATTATTCAGGTAAACAAACGTTTTTGTCATGTTACTGGGTGATTGCATTTGTTAAATTAGACTTGTTTGAAACAAATCGTTACTGAACTAATTTTGCTAAGCCTACTGCAATCACTTGGTGCCGAAAAGGAAAATTTGTTTCGAGCGTCACATTGACTTATAGGGTTTACATCGTAAACAGTAGTTGGAGGTTTGAGGTATGACATGTTAGAAACCATTTTTCAAGCTTATTATTGATCCGCTTTTATGTACAGCTGCCACTAAATTCGCTTGATTTACTTTGGGTATTTATGCGACCACCCCTAATTGATAACATGTGTTTACTGGACACAGAGCGTTTCTCAACTAATAGGTAATATGTAACTGTCCCCAAAAATCGAAAACAAGAAACATAACCCCATAATATGCTCCTATTGTGACAAATGTTATTGTGGGACCTACAGTTGCTTCTGGAAACTTTAACTTTGTGTTTAGAATGAATTATTTAATGTAAACAAACTAATACAAGGTTTATCTTTATGCCCTGATTTGTTTTTCTTTAGTTTGATACATTTCTGTGAGAAACAATTCACCAAGTGAAGCAATTGTAAACGTACTATGGCAGAGTTATTTGACACGGCATCCTTATAACAATGATGACGTATCTATTTTTATTAGAGATATAAAAACAATCGTCTGCATCCTGAGGCCTGAATGAATGATCTTCGGGATAGTACCTCTTCGTAAAAACTATTATTCAAAGCATTGATCCGTCCACAACTCTAGAATTGGTAATTGCACTGGTATAAAAGATACTGATAGAATATTCGCTGACAATGATCAACAAAGAACCTTATAATCATGCGCAAGCCCAGTAACTATTTTCTTAAAGACAAGCTCATTACATACTGATAACAAACGTTTTGAAACCAGCCTTTCCCATTCTCATGGTGAATAAGATCATGAAGCAGTTCTCTGTCAATTACCCCTAACTACCTGACATTGAGTATTATATGTACATGTTTCAGAATAATTCGAGGCTTCATTACAACGTCCCAAAAGTTAAGTTAATGTTCATTCTTGTCCTTGTAGTTTGAAATGCAACTTCAATATGCTAATTGCTAGGATTCACTGCTGATTGTTATGTGCGCTTATAGTCGCGTTGCAAATACACTACTTTGCATCTGGTTATATTTATTTTAACTGATGATATTAAAAAAAAGTCAAATGAAAATATTATAGTACAAATAAACAGAATACAAAATGAGATACAAGAGGTAGAAAATCTATTAAGAAGTATATACAGAAAAGCTTGAATATTTACATTAGTTGGTCGATTGATAATGTCCGACCCTATTTACATGTGCTATGGTCGACGTGTTTAATAAACGCGTATTTTCATCTGGAGGGGTAACTGCTGCTCTATCATCAGCTGAGTTTTCTATTTGCTGAATAGCCCCTACTTCTTCCTCTATGAATTCAGCTGTGGGTCTCCAAGATATCAATAGCACACCGCAAACTGTAATAGTTACTCCAAACATGACTAGAAGTAGATGCCACCATTTTATTCTATTCCACTGATCATAGTATACTAACCCGTTGAACAAACAAGAGACGTTAAAAGTGCAGCTTGACAGCGGAACCAAAATAACGGTGTCACATAATTGTAAGCCTTTATTCAAGTAGTACAGCTATTTAATTACTGTAGCGTTAGTAATACTGTATGCAGAAACGATGCATGAATCACTTTCTTACCTGCAAAATGGCTGTTAATACCATCATTCCTAATATGATCCATGTCAGGGCGTATTGAGTTTGGTTTTTCTCATACACAATAGTCAGTATAAGTAATTCCAATCCACTTTTTGCAAAAAGCATGCTCTGACTACTGATATTTCCTGAGAGAACTCCATAACTGATACCACAATATCTCTTCAAATTCTCCATCTTCTTGGATTTCGCTGCTGTTAAACTTTCTGATTGGAGAACTGACTCCATACGATTGTAATACCTTTCAGAATAATGAGTGACAAAAAGTCCTATGGCAATCACACACTCTATCACACTAAAGTAAGCAATAAAGGCCGGTTTTTTGTACAATCGTATCAAATCATCTATGTCATGATCCGGTTCGGGTATCACACCAAAAATACCCACCAACAGAGCTCCCATGACAATTAAACAAGTTCCCCATAGTGTATTTCGCCTCAATGGATCTCCTAATACTATCTTTGCTGCAATAGCATTAAATACTAAACCCATAGCGCCGATAGGAGCCAATATCACAATGGGTAAGTATCCAATGGTAAAGATTGAACCTGTCAAATTAGCCACTAGAAATGTCACAAAACTAAATACCCACAGTGGGCGGCGAAGAGCATGTTTGCGGTTTTCAACGGGGTAAATGGCATCGTTCATGACGTGAGATTTGCGTTGTAATGCCATGGCGAATGACTGAATGAAGTTGGTGAGAATAGAAACGCCGATACCTATCCAGAATTCTTTGGTATAGGCATGAGGCTCTGGGTTTTCTTCTGGTGATGATCGTACAAGTAATATATTCTTGTTATTGATAGAGAAATGCTCTTGATTCCAGTAATGATAATTAGTGGAGCTGTTATTGACATAAAGGTTATTTATAACGAGCAATGTTGATAGCAGTTTGGCAGTTATTTGATCTTGTACTGCCATTGTTTATAGTATTACTGTCGTTCTTGTAAATGACAGCTATTATACCGTTGTTGTTGATGGCGATTAAAATTGTTATCGATTTGATCAAGTATTTAAGGAGATTAAAAGAGGAAGAATATGAATATGACGTTGATATTAAAGGATAGTAATGATAAAAAAAAAACCGGGGAATATATATTCTCGGCTAAATTTAAATTGCACATCTGGGAATATGCATTACAGTGATTTTATAGATAAATGTTCCAACCAATGAAGATGGATAAGTCGCTAAACTGTTACAATTGCATCCGGACACGAATCACCTGCTTCTAACTAGGTCAAGCTTCCTACTCTTCAATTCGAATGTGAAACTAAAAAAAATGTAAAAGAGCCTTCTAGGAACGCTACCATATTACAGCACAAATACACAATCAATACCCTTTTCGGCCAGCGGCCATTGATACCGATGCGTACGACCGAGATCCGTCCAGATTCATATGCCACTCAAAACTCTCCAACTATACCCTCAACAGATTTGCCAGGTTTTGTTGCCGGAAGAAGGCGACTAAAATATTAACGATAACATTGATAATAACAGCAGTCGCAATAATAGCTATAATAACGACCTTAAAAAAAGCAGAGTTGTGGCGAATGACTGCTGATGCTTAACGTGTCCCCTTATTTCGAAAACATTACAGCGTCAATCAACTTTATTGGATTGGATAGATGAGTATCAGCAAAAATGTAGACAAAATCTGTCGTTAACACAACGTTTGAAATGTGATCTTCTCCCGCATATTTGTAGGCAGCCCATAATTGATTTCGACAAAGTATATCCATCTGCAAGAATCTATGACGCCTTGTCACTACTCTAAATCGTTCTAATAAATTTAAACTAAAAGGATAAGTAGAAGGATATACACATTTATATTACCAGTACTCAGTATACTAATTTTTTCCGTGCGTGTCAGGATGTATTATCCCTGACTACATAGTGATCTTTCGGATGTGAATGTTTTTCCATTTCATTGATTGGAAATCTGATTTTTCAAAGAAAAATTGCGTTCACGTCTCATAAAGTTATAAACAGTATTGCGTCAAACCTTAGAATACGTGATCATATTAAAAAATGGTAGGCCACTTCATACAGTCGCATCATTGCTTGTTGGATCACTGTATATGTGGCACAGAAAAAAGTAACGTTAAAATTATGCAATGCTATGTGATGTTATTTATTTAAAGACAGTTATAAGGGATGTATAAATTGTGGAATTTGATATGCTGAAATTGAATTAGTGCTGACCAGTTTTATCTTTACTACGACTGCTGCTGTCTGAAGGCTCCTTTTTGGCGTTTTCTCTTTCTTCATTGTCATCTTCATCCTTTTCAGGTCTTGTGGACTCTTCTTCTTCGTTTTCCTTCTTCATGTTCTTGTTATTGTCACTACTGTCGTTCTCATTTTCTTTAATCTCCATATGCTCCATTTCTTCCGCAAGAGATGCTGTAGTATTAGCGGTCTTGGTTGGAGGCGCCGCAGAAGCCGCCTTTGACTCTTCATGTTCTTCTTCTTCCTCTGGTTGCTGATAGTCAGGCGCGTTGAATATCGTGTCACTATAGTTGACAGAATCAGATCTATTACTTCTTTTCTGATCACTCTCTTCTCTTTGTGAAGGTTCTTCTTGTGGAGTTATATTTGTAGATCCATAGTGTGAGTTCACATCGTCATGTAAGTTGTTTGTGACAGCTTCCATATTGTTACTATCCTCAACTTCAACCTTTTTTCTCCGAGGTATTCTGTGCAATAATCCATACCCAACGTCACAGCCTAGTGATCCATTTCCTCCCCATTCATGATTTGGTACAATGATACACTAGATAGATGGCATTATAAGCACTTGTATATATCCTTAGCATAGCACAAACGAATGGCCTACCTCTCTACAACTATCCCACTCTGAGTTGTATAAGTAGAGTCTCAGTGGTTTTCCAAGATATTCTTCCACTAGACTATAAAAATCATCTTCATTTCTCAATGTCATATGAGGGCTGCCAATAATGTAGTCAGAGTAAGGTATAATACCCGCCATTTCTGCAGGTGAGTTCGGTGATACATCCAATACATGCCAAACGTTTTCACCGGCTTTTTCAAAAGAGCAAAAACGAATGGAGCAACCTTTTTTTATACAAACCGTTTTGGGTTAAAGAAATGTTTATCTATGTTGAAATGTAGTGTATTTCTTTTTACCTATCAAACTTTTTTCCGTCGGATCAGTAGGATGCCAATTTCGACTAGGTATGAGAGTAATTTCACGAAATTCCTGATCTTTACTTGAATAAATCCCCATCGGTAGCGGCTTGCCTTCAAATTCCTGCAACGTTTTCAACAAAAGTTGATTATCCCCATTGCTCTAATTTCATTTTATGAGGTTAGCGAAAGAGCTTCTTTTTTATTGTAAAAGCAGAGCCTAGCCAATAAGCGTTCTTTTATTTACCAATGGCTGCCCATTGATGGTAACGATGTAATCGAAGAATTGTTCAATGCCAGCATGAAAAGCCGGTGAATTTTCTTTGACCTATAGTTGGTGGTAAGATGGAAAGCAACTTTCGATAAGTATATATAGCAGACCGGGCAATTTAACTATCAGATAAGCTCCAACCTTTAAAACATGAAAACCATATTGACCTTGCTCCGTACTCTGTGCCCCACCCATACTTTCAATGAATTGATAAGAAAAGTGAAAGGGAGAACGAAAGAACACGCTGATTTATTAGGCTGTTTCAGTAAGGGAAAAAATTAAAATGCGAGACTTCCATTTTTTTGGGTTTACTGAGACCAACTTTCTAAACAAATTGAGTGAGTGGAAGTTATTCCAGAGGTGGTTGCATCACCTCTCTTTACTCGCTGAATAAGCTTTTCTTGTGAATTGTTTTCTTCTCATAGAGAAGCTGTGTATCTCTTTAATAGAGTCGTTGATTTCAATTTACGACCAGACACCTAGAAAGTTGAACGTTCCATATTGTACTGATTACGAATAAGAAACCTGTTATCTTTGAGGAATGATGAACACATGATTGTCATTTTCTGGGTTATACCAGATTATATATAGGGCATAGTTGAGGATTAGAAATAGACTAGGAATAGTCCACAATGATTTGATTTGGAGGGATCAGCAGCTGGCCCCACACAAAAATGGCCTTCTTATTTGCTAGTTAGTTCCGCTTATCCTTTGTTTTTAGTCATTACAGCTGCTGTCAACTTGTCTAATATGATATATTATATTATGCAAATTTGGTCTGCGCCCTGATCGTTAGGTAAAAAAATCACTGCTCCGCTGAGGCTCTAACGGATGCTGGTCATTTACTCTCATACGAACTTATTAAGGACGGCTAACACTGGATCCTTTGTTATTGAACCGATTTGCATTAGATTCGCCGATCACTTGAATCACAGCAACTGATAACTTACAGTATCACAAAAAAGTCTCTGCTTCAGAACATTGTGCTTCGAGGACGACAGTCGAAAATTATGAGTCAAAAACGTTGATGCTCTCTTATTTAGGAAGTTAATTCTACTTTCTGTTGTTTTTTCTTTTAAAAGGGCGTGAGTGAAAGTAAATAAGTGGCCAATTACTGTAATGATCAGTTGTTGTTCGTTAGGCATGTTTATCCAAGCGGTCAAAACTGTAAATATTATCTATGCATCACTCTGACGTTCGATCTCTTTGTTATTCTTCCGATGCGGTAAGGGGATACACTATTATAAAGCTATATCTACCTTTCCAACAGCAACAAATAAGCAATCAGCCTCTTGACATTGTTAATACTTAGTACTGCAAAGAAAGAAGAAGGGGAAGAAAATGCTGAAACCTGGATCTGCCGAAAAAGGTTCTTTATTGGCCCGAAGTCTTTGTCACCTCAGCTCTCTTGAAGCCGATTGAGACCCACAGGATGAAACAAAGTTTGTATTTCGAATCGTGCAAGTTACGAAGAAAGGTGCCCTTGACTCGAAAAACAATGTAAAATGAATCCTGTATTACTTTTAGCTCTGTTCAACGGTACCGAATGAATATATATATGTGTGTGCATTTGTCTCTTTCTATGTTATCTACATCTCTTATCAAGAAGTGCACAGTTGGATTATGTATACTTTAATATTTGATACTTTAACCGAATAACAACAGCTGCATTGACCTTCATCGCATGAGAGTTTTCTTCAAGTTTGCAGTATGATGATACGCATTTTGCGTGCAAACGTGCAAATTGATTACTTCGCCTTATACTGTTCATATATGCTTCGTATTAGGATTTATGATCCATTTGATTGCGTAGTAAATATACGTTATAATGCATCTTTTTATTTTTGCATAATAATACCGTTATATTCGTAACTGTATTTAAACGCAATAATTCTCAATGTGTCATCTATTCATCGACTTTTATACGTACCTTTGGCTTTGACTCGCAAATATGGCTTTCGTTTACTTTTGTCAATTTGCCTTGTGTAAAATTCCCAATCGTAATGGTGAGATCACCGAACACATAGTAAACCGTGTCAGTTTCCATAATGAATAAATAATGCCTCGTTAAACAGCACTGATATTCAGTCAGTCCACTGTCCGATGCTTCACTATTTGTATTCACGTCTTTGTGCTATGTTATATGGAACTACTCGTATACTTAGACAATCTGTCTAGTTCTATCATAGATTCTATTCTACTATACTTTATGTATAAATGGAAAAGTTATCACTCATGATAGACCTGAAAACAAAACCTTTCTAGAATAACTTTATTACTACTACTAATAAGTTTTAGAATAAAAAAAAGGATATAGAGAGATTCATAGTAAAAGGTATAGCTCCCAAAAAAAAGATGATAAATTAAGCAGAAGTAGTAGACGATGTTGCTGGTGCGGATGAAACGTTGTTATTACTTAAATCTGGGGAAGTACTCGTAGGATAAATAAAAAAACCAAAGACAGCACCTAAACCAGCAATAGCAGCGCAAACAAAGAAAATCAAATTCGGCATAGCGGCTACTGAGGCACTGTAAATAGTGTTTAACAGCATGTTCGATATCATCACTGTAGAGAATTTTGAAATATGTTAGTTTGTGTCTTTTTCATCAGCATTTGCTCTTGAATCCTCCCCCTCCCCCTCCCAAACACACATCACATTGCTCCCAAAATAAAGAGAAAAACTTTACTTGCGCAGGCTTCTAAAACAGCCATAGCCCCCAACATTTCCCCAACTTCTGATGGATGGACTAAGGTGGTTGTAAGGGAGCGAATGGAAGGTGTTGCTAATAAGGACAGACTCTGTAAGGCACCTGTTGCCATAAATCCAGCGGAAGTGGTGACAAGCCCAAAGACAATATAACAGATGGTTTCAGCTGTTAAACCAGATCGTATCATCCATGCATCAAATAAAATAGTACGTTTGATGTCTTCTTCACTACGCTTGTCCGTTTTGATGTCGTCTTCGTCTTTATCTTCCTCTTTGTGATGACTGTCATTGTCGTCGTTGAGAGTAGTGGCGTAGGTGGGCTGAGAAGTGGATGCTTCCATGCGACAAGTGATCGATTGCTGTTGTTCTTCTGCTAAGGGTATCTCTGGTGGTATGACATCCGTCGTGGTTGCTCCTCCTCCTACTATTCCTTCTCCTTTGGCACATCCTTGCAGTTTACCACTAGCGATGGAGGAGGATGCGTTTCTATGAAACAATTTTGACAAAAACGGTAGCAGAAGCATCATGATCAAAGTTCGCATGAAGGCTGCTAAACTAATGTACAATCCACCTTCATAGGCCGTCCATCCAAATTGAAGCATAGCATATAATAAACTCGGCGGTAAAGCAACCATATAAATGACAAATTGAATGACAGCAATGATAGGCATGATATAAGGGTGGGTATATTTGCTGGCGACGGGTGACGAGGGAGCACGGGTTAGCATACCGAGTGCCGAAAAGATATTGATGCGTTGTAATATAGAGTCATAGGTAGAAGCTTTCTTTTTTTTCTCTTCAGCGAGTTCGGTTGATTTTCGACGTGCTTCAGCAGATTTTGATTCGGGCAAGATCAACATGACATAAAGCTCAAAGAAAATATTAAGCGTCAAGACCAAGTAGAAGACACTTGCAATGGAGTTGGTTCTTTTCATTAAAGAGGAGGCGACGGTCGGGCCAACGGTTGCGCCAATAAAAACAGAGGCCATGAGTCGACCAAAAGCAATGGTCCTTGTTCCTGGCGTAGTACAATCAGAAATGTAGGCTTGAGCAGCTGCTATCATGACAGCATCACCGGCTAAAAGGCCCCTTAACAATGGCGCGATGAAAAGCAAGGAAATTCCAAAGACCTCTGGAAATTTGATGGTCAAGATATAACTTGATACCAACACAATGTTACCAAAGGTAGAGATTTTCAAAATTAATTTTCTGCCTTTCCGATCGGACAATGAGCCATAATATCCAGCAAATAATAGAGCTAAGGAAGAATAAAACACGCCCGAAAAGAAAAAGTATGAGGCAACAATGACGCAGAGATTTTGTTGGAGGGGAAAAAAAGGAAAACTCTACTTGATCCGTAAGTAATCATCATGATGATAGCTTGTGCTCGTGATACAATGGCTTGAACTTCAGGTATGGCACAATATTCAAGAGGAATATCAATATCACTGCTATTTCCATCTTTCACGACTGTAACTGATTGTTTTTGGTAATATCTATGTGATAACTTTATGGGTAAGTATTTGAGCAAATTGGACTAAAGTTTCGCAACGCTTTACAGATAACAGAAGACCATGGTATAAAATTGAATCATTGGAGCAAATAATGCACTAATAGAAGAGGTGAGTTTGGCGAATGAGTAACTATTGTTCCATTACCGGATTTTTCTGCGTTTGCAGAATAGAATAATGGTAGTTATGGTGATTAAATGCAAGTAGGATGCTTGATTTTTACCCAAAGGAAAACGTCAGACCGAAAGTGGGTATAAGAATATGCCATGGTGATGGTGCTTTGAAAGTAGCAAGGGAAGGATTCGATAGGTTGAAATGGTTTGATCTAGTACTGCTACTGCTACTACTACTGTCGTTATGTTTATGTAATAAAGGCGTGGTTTCTGCTACTTCTTGTTCGACTCCAATTGCATGCTCTTTCTGTTTTCTTTTCTGTAAGGTATTATCAAACATGGGATATGAGAAAATCGAGTATGAAAAAGGGAAGAAAGGAAAGAGGAAAAGAAAGACAAGTTTTTGATTTCATCTCGTGGAGTAACGTGCTTAGAAATAACCTTCTCTAATTCTGTTGCTTATGTCTCACACTTTTATTTGAGAATGCCTTACTCTGCTGCTTGTCAAGCATTCGTCTTTTTCGAACTCAGAGGTAGATGACAGCGAATGTACGACATACCGACAAGATGTATAACTTGTTCGTTTCAGGTTGTGAATAGATTCATTAACGAAGCATCGCTCATGGGCTTTTGATTGTATATTATTTTCGCATATTTTAAAGAAGGAAAGAAAATTTAAACAAAAAATATCACGTTTTCTTGATTCTCCGTTAAAAAAAAAAGAGCTTGTAGAGGGCGTGTATGAACAGAGGTTTCAGATATTGTACCTAGAACAGTCATGGGCAATTCGGCCCTACTGATTCTCCACGAAGAGCTGTTATTGCTTTTTTTGTCGTTTCCAATAGTGTACAGATACATCACAAGATATTCAAATGAGACACTTATAAAAGGATGATGGTGTTACCTTAATTCGAATGATAAAAGGAATTTGTCAGCCATCAAGCCTGATCTTTTCCCGAAGCCATGGCGACATAAACTTACTACATGATTATAACTTGACTTTAATAGAAAGTGGGCAAAAGACGTTGGATCACGTTAGGAAACGAACTCTTCTAGATTCATATCTCAGAGTTTGGTTGGGGGTTTTTTTTTTTCGTAGATTGAAGCAATAGAGCGCGTTCTCAAAGCTTACCGTATGTAATAAAAGAGTTGTGATCTGAGCCCCGCGCGACGCACAGAGTCACAGAAATATTTGAAATGCATAATCATTGTCGTCTCTCAACCATTACTACTACTATTACTATTACTATTACTATTACAATAATTTTTTCTCTCCTTTTTGAATGAGCACAATCGCAGAAGAGGATCAACGAGAAGCTGAATCACCAAAGTAAAGATCACAATGACAGACTCATGTCTTCAATGACTGACAGTTTCTTCACGTTTAACACTTCAGAGAACCTAGTCTTCTAGAAGCCTTAGGACCTACTGTCGAAAATGTTCAAAATTCATTCGGTTCGATTTATTCAGTGAGTAGTACCTGAGAGACAACAAGGCGGGTAGGGGAGGACAATCATTCAATAGAGTCCCATGAAACTCACAAATTATTGATCAGACGTTGGAAAAAGGGTTACAACAAAATATGCAACTCAGTCAGACGATGATGGGCATGTTTGATGAAATATACAAAGCAAACATAAAGATTGGTGAGAGCAAAGTGGAACGCACCTGGAACGATAGAAAGGCTTCTCTTTACTCAACTAAATTGAATCACCCATAGGCAGTTCCTTTAAACCAGCTGGCAATGGTAAAGTGATTATGTCGTTGATGATCAACAATAGAACAAGGTTACCTATGCTAGATTTAAAAGGCAAAATACAAATAGAAACTGATGAGGTTTGATGAAGAACATTTTCGGCTTTTGGCAATATTGAAGAATTTTTCTTATGTGCCCAGTGTTACGTAATCCATAGGTGATTATTCAGTACAAGGAAGCGTTAGATCAATTGAATCAAGCTATACCAAATATATTCGAATCAGACGAAAAATGTGATTTCATGCCGCATCAACAATATATCCAAAAAATCGAGATAACTTTGAATGAATTAACTCAATGCAATGGACAGGTTCAATTAAACTTTCTTAATCCTTTAAACAGCAAACCAATAGAAATACATCAACCCTTTGGTATTTATCTCATTGATCAGGTACTGGTGAATCTATGCGTTTTCATCGATTTGGTAATAGACACTAAGATTTCTTTTTTGTGTGAAAAAAAAAAAAAAATAGTTGAACAAATTGATAAATACACAAAAGGATGATAATGATGATGCAGTAGAGACGGCGCTCGATACGATTTGGTATTCAACTGCTTTTATACGTGAAATAATGGCCATTCATCCAGCCAAAGGAATAGAAAAGAATACGACTATTATTTTGGAAAGTCATACACAGGCACAACAACATAAGATTTATTGTAAAATCAGTGATATTTCTACTGATTTGAACAAAGTGCAAATTCAGTTTTATTCAGAGGATGAGCAGTTGACAATGAATTTAATCAAAGAATTGAATATCTTACAAAAATAAATAGTAGTAAATGTAATACGCGTTGTGACTAATTATATGCGTAAATATATGTTTGTATGAATGTGTGCATATGTTTGTGTGTGTGTGTGTTTTGTTAAATGTGGGTATTTCTTTTCTTTTTGTTAATATAAATAAGTAGAAAAAAAAATGCGAATGGTAGTTTTATAGCAGTGCTGTAACAAGCCGGTTGGCACACATGAAATGATACACTAGGCAGACCAGACTGGATAAGATGAGGAAGCGGAATATTCTCCAAACAAATTCAGAAATCAGCATGGATGTGGTGGAGGTATTTAACAAGAGTGAGGTGGATGTTTGTTCTTCTACTTCTTTTTCGTATGTGCTGAAAGAGATGGGTTCTTTTAAAGACGAAGTCATGAGTGCGTTGGGTGCATATGTGTTTATATTTATTGATTCATCAATGCATTCAACTGATGGACAATGATTAGACGACTGTAAGAGTTCTTGATGTGCTTCTTCTTCTGTAAATGCTGTCCTTTCCTCAGTTGTGGGTGTTGTAGATGGTGTGAGCATCGGTAATACAGTTGAAGTGGATGTGATGAACTGCTGATCATCTTTCTCGGATGTAGGTGTTGTGGGTGGAGTTAGCAGCGTATCACTGTTGCGTAAAAGGGAGCTTTTACGTCTGTTCCGTCTTTCTTGTTCAAAGAGATTCTCAGCTAAACGTTCAATGACATCTTGGCTATGGAATTGTTCAAAGAGAGTATCCAAAGCAGTAGGTGCACCTGTTTGTTGTAAAAAGGTTTCCAAAAGTTCCTGTAAGACGCCTTTTTGTTCTTCTTCCATTTCAACTTCTTCAAGTGCAGCTTGCGCTAATTCAATGAATTTGTCTTTTTTATCATGATAGGATTGCTGTCGTAGAAACTCATCTCCACTCTCATCTGTAGTGTCGATTGTGAATCTATGGTAGGCAACGTCCTTCTTTCTATGATACATACTGTGAAAATAAGGATTGATGTTGAACCGTGTTGTAATCATGATTTGAATAGAATAAAAATTTAAAAAAAAAAAAATAAAAAAGAAAAGAAAAGCTTAAAAATTGTTGAGTAAACCTTTTTTATTTTCAAATGATTTTTACCAAGGGGAAGGGCAGATCTTTTTGTCTTTTCTCGCTGATTTGCTTTCTTTTTTTTTTTGAGTCACGCGTTTGCATTACGCTCTTACTAAAAAAAAAAAGGTATTTTTGTTCGTCCCGAGAGCCAAAGAGAGAGATGCTGTGCACACCATTATTTATTTTGATCTGATGATGCGTGAAGGGACAGGAACCCGTCCGAAATCAACGCACGAGACATCATCTTCTTTCACCAACCATCATTTTAGGTAAGGTGCATATAAAAATAGTTACACAAAGACAGCTCTGCCTATTCCTTTATTAGACCATTGCGATTCTCAGATAACAGAAAATGCAGGTCCCCGCCACGATAACCAACTTTCAATGCATCGATGAAGAATCTTCTATTTTGATATATCATACAGTTTTTTTCGATGAAAATCGGAAATACTACTAGGTAGCTTTGAGAAAATTTAAGTATATTTATGAGAAAACATTTTGAGATATTTTAGATAAAATTCTGTTATAATTCAGACGTACTTACCAGAAATTACCAAATTGTTACCGAATTGTGAGTTGAGTAAATAAGGTCGAAACAGTAAGCATTCAGCCTCTGGTTATACTTTATAAATATATTACAATTTACACTGTAGGGATGTGTGAAGGAATGATATCAATCACACATGTAGGTCTCGTTAGAAAGATGTTTTTGGCAGCATTGACGTCGCGATTCCAAATTGTATTACAGTTTTATACTGCAATACAGCATGTACTCTTCGCTTTGATGTCGCTGTCGTAACATTCTCTAAACTTCAATGTTCGCATACATTACATATCTGACTAGTCGGATATTCATTGATTTTGAGAGGTAACTTACTCGAATTGCTTCTTGCCAGTTGTCAACTTTGATCTTGACCTGAAGCCCAGTTTTTTGAAGTTGAACAGTTGATAATACATATCTGTAAGGTCAGATTCAGTTTTTTTGCCCGTCTTGTAGCCATCCACGTTTGCTTCTTTCACTAATCTCCAAAACGCCTGAGCATCCATTTGGATTGACTTGGTTTTGACTGAGTATAATGGTGCGAGTGAGAAAAAGCGATGGCCTCTGGTATCTGTGTATTTTGTAGGACTGAAAGTTCCGGCATTGATTCTGATTTTGACGGTGTCGATGAAGACTTGGATCACGGATAACTGTTGTGATGCGAGGTTCTGTAGTTGTTTTCCCGGGAGAAAAGGCTTATCTGAGTTGACTGCTGCTAATGTTTGCTCAAGCAGAGAACTACACTTCTCCCTATTCAACGTAGCAGCAAATGGAATTTCGAGAAAATCCGGCGAATGTAAGCCTTTGATGCAACTTTTGCTGCTTGTGGCTCCATAATAAAAACCTTCTTTTAAACCTCCTTAGTTGAACCACTTGAAGAATAAGTGCGGCTTAGAATACAGTGTTTTTGAGTCGCAATCACTTGGCTGAAACTTTTCCCATATGGCAGTGAGATTGGCGACTATCTTGTCCAGAGCATCACTTCTAGAGAGAGAGGCAGGCCATGAGGGGCTTGATCCCTGCTTCTTTCCATAGATATAATGTGCTAATTTGTTTCGTTCTGCTACAGAGTCTACAGAATTGTTATCAACAACACACCCAAAAAATACATGATTGATCTTTTTTCATATGTTTCATGTATGTAGTTTCTGGTGAATGTTTCGTACTGTTTACCGGCAATGTAAAGAACGCTTGAGTAGTTTATAGTTTTTAACAGCTGCGGGTCCAAAGTCGTCACGTCACAGAAGGTCTTGAAATGTTCTTTGATGTAGTCCGGTGCCTTCTTACCATTTCCGGTCATCACGGCAAAGATATTTGTGAACAGAGTTTGCTCAATAACAGGAACATCAGCATCTTTGATTTCAAATAACTTGATGATAGGTAGTTGACAAACAGAGATCCCAAGTACAAAACTTTTGAAGTATAGGCTGCTACTTTCAAGATCTGTTCACAAAATTGCTCACTTTTGCAAACGTTGGACATAGTGGTTTTAATAACAAACTTTTCCACTTTTTCGTCTTCGTCGCAAATAGGTACTTTTTATCTTTCTGCTTGGACACAGATTACTTGCCTGCCGTGCATGTGTCGTTCTGCTTACAAAGAGGGACAAATAATCGTTTTTGTGGATTTGTTAGAAGCTTTGAAATCTTTGAGAGCTTCTTTTCGTCCATTTTATTTTGAAACTTCTGAAAACACTGGTGCAGATAAAGAAGCGCTAGAAGAATCATTGCCTGTCATTAGTATTAGTGTGTGTGTGTGTAACTGGGGCAACATTGATGATTTCTTGATAGAGCCGTAAATAAAACAGTCTTACCTGTGTGCAGTTTGGGGTCTTTACATGGCCGTTCTGAGCTGGGAGACGTTGTTTGCCTTTTCATATTTGCTGAAAAGAAGAAAGCAAAGGGGAAGAACAATGCGTTTTAAGATTGTGTATGATCTATTAAGTATAGTGTTGTCAAAGAACTGCTTCATTGACAACATCACTCAATAAGTAACGGCTCTTACCAACATGCACCAAAGTCCTAAAAAAGCATTGCTATATACAGACAGTGACGTATCTCTGCTCCTCAACTTTTTGATGTTATAGTATGCTTAACATATTACACAGCATAGGTAATCGCGCTGGTTAGTGCTCTTGTTTCCTCGTCATCCCTCCGTTTTGTTGTGCCCCTAAAAAAAAATTCTAAAAATATGTTTCAAACTGTAAGTAACAAAATCTTAAAATTATTCATGGTAATTCTTAAATCCATTATTCTGTTCGTCTGAAGCAAACAGTATAAAGTCCGCATCGTAAGTTAAAAATCTGTATTTCATTGAAAGAATGTTCAATTGATTGATTTCAGATTTAAATCTCGGACTGGGTTAGCGGAGAGTATTTCATATCAAGACACTTTGTGAATAATTTTAGACAAAGTTTACAGATCTATTAGATTCACCAAATTTTTATTGTTACAGATTGACATACTTTCGTTTGAAAGGAAATAAACTTGACTCGATTGTCTCAATTTTCGAAAATGTGTTTGTCTGAAAAATTTCTGTTTGCCTGATCTTCATCAAAAATAGCGTAGGAACCAAATGCTTGTATACTTGCGCAAATACTTTTCTCCTTTAAATGCTGAGTAACTATTCTTCAAAGCAATATACAGATTCATCGTTTCATTTGCTGTCAAGGTGTTCAAGCGAGATTTGTCTTTTATTTGTTTGTTTTGAGTACCTGCCCTTGGATAGTTTCAAGACTGAGTTTATAAAAGAAAAGGGGACGACATAAGGCAAAAAAAAAAAGAGGACTTTTTGATTGGTGGACCAGAAATAAAAAAAAACTAGCCACACTACCACATCAGAATTTCCAAGTCTTTTTGTTAATTTATTGTAGAGTATAATATATGAACATTTGTCTTGATAAAAACTCCAACGGTGTATTTGTTTAGAAAACTGATATACGTAGTATGTGTCTCTTCAAGATAGCCCTTTGTTTGCTTAGCATGCAAAAAGCGCGCTTTGGGGAACCTACTACATAATAAGGAAATGAAACAGTTTAGGAAAAGAACGAAACATATGTTTCTGAACATATGAAAATTACCAAGAATCACAACGAGGAGCATGGGAGTGAGGATAACGCACCTTCAATATTAATAGGAATCAATACAGGTTTCAATGTTAAACTTGGCTGTGGCTCAAAAAGACAATAAAGAAAAAAAACTCAATCTTTTTCAAATAATACAAATGGTCATATCTGTGTTGGTTATCTACTAAGTGAACCTACTGTTAGTAAGTGATATGCACCAAATAGGTTTGCCTTTTTGAATGGACATGCTGCTTTTTGTACACAGAAATGCAATAGAAGGAAAGTTGTTCCGGTCGGGCTGAAGTCAATACACATATCCGGACATTGAGTACGGAGAATGATTGGGTCAATAATTGATACAGCTAGGAAAAGTCGGTTTATTTAATTTTTTCAGGTACAAAGTAAACCTACTGAGCATTCTACATTTAGAATATATCATCGTACAATAATGGGAACAAACGAAAATCATCTTCCAATATTTTTTTTTAATTCTTAACGGTCTTCTCCTCTTCTATTTAATTTTGCATTACATCATAAATGACCTTAATGCGATACATACAGTTAAAATGACTTGGTTTCGTATCTACGAAAATGCCATTTCAATTGCGTTGTGCAGTTAGTAGGTTCGGCTCCTGATAATTAATTTCGTTACACGTAACGTGCTTCTGTATAAATGATATGTATATGTATACCGTTACCAAAGTCTGGTATAGACTGAGGGAAGTGAAGGTATAGGCGCTTTAGATGGAAAGAGAGAGAAATACAGAATGAGGTAACTTCCTACCACTAAATATTGTTGAAATGTTACAGCAGAATTGTCTGTGCTTTTCCAATTTTTTTATAGAACAAAAGACGAAAAGGGTCAAAAAAGACTTTTTCGCTGCTGTTTGTGTTGCAGTAGTACAATATTTAACGCTTGGTTGCTTTACATATAAATATAGAAAAAGCAAGACAAAAAACGAATTGGCGACTTTTCATATTTGATTATTCGTTTTCTGATTGCTAGACACTTTTTCTCTCCTTCTTTCTGCGGAAGAAACATTTACATAACTTATAATACCTGTAGATTGAATAAACTGTCCTTCTTCTTCATAACAACATGCCGCCTCATCCTGTTAATATCTCGCAGCAACAAAAGCAGCAATATTGTAATATTTATCAAGATCAATTTATTCCTACAAAGCAACATTGTCTCAGAGTAAAGCAACTACTACGCGCACTCCATCCTGACCATGAGCACGATTCGACATCTCTCATTTACATGAAAGGGAAAACTGGAGAAACAAGAGACAGCACAGACGTCGATTTAGAATTCAGGCAGGAGAGTAATTTTTTCTATCTCACAGGTAAAATTTTCCGCACAGCGCACAAGTCCAACAAACCCAATACTCGCTATTATAACTAATACTATGACTACCATTAGGCGTGGACGAACCTGATTTTCAACTTATTTTTCATCTACAAAATGAACGAGTTTACCTCGTTGCACCTACTGTACCTGAAAACGAAGTCTTATGGAAAGGCCCAAACTTTCAACCCGCCGATTTACTCGTCCAATATGATGTCGATGAGATCATTCCTGAGCAAAACTTCTCGCAATTGATATACACTTTAGATCCGAAAAGGATTTACGTTTTAGATGAGCAACAGCAAATTGCACTCAGTCAATCGATATCAACATTACCAGGATCAGCATTAATGAAAATAGATACTCAATCCCTTTTACCTGCTCTACATGAGTCCAGACTTATTAAATTTCCTTGGGAGATTGAGCTTTTACGTCACGCCATGCATGGTTCCTCTCAAGCGCATATTATGTTGATCCAACAGTTTCAACCTGGTATGACAGAAGCTCATCTTACGGCTCTTTTCCGATGGTCTTGCGCTTGTCTGGGTATCTTCCGACAAGCCTATCTGCCGATTGTAGCCTCTGGAGCACGTAATGCTATATTACATTATAACAGTGCTAAAAATCAACGCCAACGCGTGCCTGTACATGATCTCCACGCTTTAGTCTTGGTCGACGCTGGTGGAGAAAGAGCATGCTATAGTAGTGACATTACAAGGACATTCCCGGCTCAGGGAAGATTCTCCGAAGAAGCCAAAACGATCTACAATATCGTACTCAAAATGCAAAAGGTATATTTTTTTTTTCAGCTTTTGTTTATTATTTATTTATTTTTGCCCGGGTTTCATATATGAATACAATATAGAACATTTTATCATCCAATCTCTGTTATTGACATATTTACATAATCTTTTTTTTAAAAAAAAAGACTATTTTATCTAGGTTAAGACCTGGTGTTTTTTGGGCAGATATGGAAGATCTAGCTATCCAAATATTATGTAAAGAATTAGTAAGAATTGGTATCCTCGTTGGTGACAATATAGATGAGCTTATTCAAAGAGGCTTACCAACTGCCTTTTTTTATCATGGTAAGAGTAATCCACAAAAAAAAAAAGAGATCGGTTGTGTCACTTACTGTTATGCTTCCGTTGTGTAATACGCGTCTCTAAAAAGTTATACAATGAGTATATATACGTGTTAGATAGACTAATTTTTTTTTTTTACCAATCTAGGCCTAGGGCATTCAGTTGGATTGGATGTACATGACGTTGGAGGGTAAGAAGTAGCATCACAAAAAGCATTACCGTACCCTTTCCTCACACATCTTCCATTTTTTTCGCTTTTCATAGAAGAAAACCTTATATAACAACGAATACCGTGAACAAAGCAGCAACTGTAGTCAACAACTGTAATCATATAGAACCCAACAAGAAAGAAGAGGATGAACTATCAGCATTTCTAGAAGATAGACCATTAGAGAAGAACATGGTGCTGACAGTAGAGCCCGGATTATACTTTAATGATACATTATTAGATATTTGGACACAATTTCCAGGGTACCAGTCTTACTTTAACCTAAACGCACTAGCAAAATATCGGAAAGTGGGTGGCGTTCGAATTGAAGACACAATCGTGATCACAGATAGTGGGTACGAAAATCTAACGTCTGTGCCCAAAGAAATAGATGAGATTGAAAGTTTAATGAAGCAGAATGATAGTATACTAGCGGTAGACTCGTAATTTAAGACTATCACGCTATGACGAAACATACAACAACTTTTGTACATATACATAACTCTCGACCCTTCCTCTTCTTTATCTCTCTCTCTCTGTCTCTTTCTATGTCTCTCACTCTCTTGGCATGCCAGGTGACAGAAAATTGCTCATTTTCTTTATTTATGTCATCTAGATCTTTTGTACGCTTTTGATATTTAGTTCCTGTTTTTGTACTTTCTTTTTGTATTCTGCAAGTATAAAGAAAAAATATTATACAAATAAAAAGTTATTTTTGGCTGTCTTTTTTCATTTCAAGAAGCAAGCCAAAAAGATTTACATCAAGTGCTACGTATTCTTTAAAGTTATGCCTTTTTCAGAAATCCCTCAAAAGAAAAGAAAAAAAGCAATGATGTATGTGTACAGATATTTATCTGAAGTTATCGGATCACTTGCCGAAATCCTATTCCACTCTTTACGACATTGGTACACCTATGTACAGTATTTCTGTACATTTGCGTATTTATAATTGCGATGCACTGAAACACAAACTTGGCATATATCTACAGGATCCAGTTCTCTATATATACTTTAGAGATAAGCTCGGAAGCTACAGAAATGGAAATCATGGAAAGACTTACAAGGAAAATGCTTCAAAAAACTGCTCGAGCTGTTTTTGTGCCGCCCAAGAAAGAAGCATCTCGGCTTCTTTCCTTTTATGTACATGTTATTTGAAATATGTAGAGTCATTTTTTTTTTTTTTTTTTTTTTGCTTGTTATGTTGCAAGGCTATAGAGAACCTTTTGTTTGGCAAAATTGCCTTCTCCATATATACAATAAAGCTTGGTCAAAGTAATGGCAATAGTAATACTATTCAAGTTTTAGAAGCTGCACCTCGAAAGATAGCAAAAAGAGAATGAGAATATTGGTTTCCCTTGAATTATTTATAGATCGTTCAACTTATTTTGCCAACGATGGATTACTGATAAGTTCACATCCATTGGCTTAACGGGTAAAAAATTAATATATGTAGGTCGTTAATACTACACAATATAATGGCTAAATTGAACTGATATCATTCAGTTAAATCGATATATCAAATTTTTGACGACTGCTACTACTTAGCTTTTTTGCCTCGCATTCCTAAGTGGTAGCAAAAATGTGATTTACTTTGGTAAGAGCCTATACTTATCAGTATTTTGTAAATGCTATGACTTACATAGCGTCAAGCTGTGCTTTGAAGGCTTTAGTGATCTCTGGACGTTTGATTTTTTGTGCAGCCGTCATTAAACCCTACAGACACAAAATGACGTTAGAGAGAACAGGATTGCCAAGCATCATCACAGGTACCGCCTAAAACTTACAGCCTCTGTAGTCCACTCTTCATGACATAGATACACATCATACAATAACTCGGATCCCTTCAATCCTCCTTCTTTGGCTTGCGCCAAAAGTGATGCCAAAACAGCTTTTCTAACATCATCCATCTGACACAATTTCTCAAATTCAATTCTTTTTGTTTCATCCTCTGTACTAAAAACCTTTTTTTCCAGAGCCAGCTGTCGAAGCACAGGCTCTGATACGACTGCTAAGGCGACAGGTTTAGCAACTAATGGATCAGCATACACGCAGATATTTGTCACATGGATACAGCTCTTGTAGATAGATTCAAGTTTCTCAATAGCAATATATTCACCGTTATTTAATTTAACCAGATTCTTCTTACGATCTATGATTGTTAATGTGCCATTTTCGTTCCATTCAGCAATATCACCCGTTTGCAGCCAATTGTCTTCAGTGATTGTTTCTCGCGTTATTCTGTCTTGTTTCCAATAACCTTTCGTAATGGCTGGACCACGCACCCAAACTTCTCCTTGAGGTTTGGGTGTATTCGTAGAAAAATAGTTTGCTTCAGGAACGTCAACCAATTTGATTTCACAGCAAGGGACAGGAGCACCCACAGGACCATATCCAAACTGTTCAGGTGCCATGATACAGCACATGCTAGAGTAAAGAAGCAGACATGAGAATCAGCGATTAGACGAATGACATCTCCTAATATATAAGCTACATGTGCATTTTGTGTACTTTACCCACAACCTATGTTTTATGGTGAGACGAAATGTTATCATTTTTAGAATGAAAATGAATGAATCTAAACATGAAACACAACTTTTTCACAATAATATTTTGTCTTTTGTACTGCTATTACTTACTTTCAGTCATGCCTTTTCATTTCCATCACCGGTGTAAGTACGTTGTATGAAAAAGTAACGTAAAAAAAGTAATAGGTACAATTAGTACGAACGAGACTTTCCGTACTTTCCAAGCTTTCTTACCATATCCACCAAGAATAGGGCACACTGTTACCGACAAAAACTTTTGTGTCTCAGTAGCTACAGGAGCACCACCTGACAGTGCGAAACGAAGACGACCCCCAACCTGCTCTTTTATTTTATTGAATACTACCCTATCTATAAACTTAGTTGGCAAGTGACGCTCCAATAACCAAGCCTTCGTAGCATAAGCCTTGTAAAACATCTTTTGGGCTTTGGGAGAAGCAGCTGAAATCTTCGCTAGAATGCCTTTTCGAATGGTTTCCCATACTTGAGGCACACCTGTCATCAAAGTAGGTCTGAACTCCTTAATGTCACCTTTACAGTTTCTCACAGATGAATCTGTTAATGTTCTAGCAGAAGCATAGCCAAGACTGTCGATAGGTAGAGATATAGATGAGTTAATGTGGCAGCCATCGAGAACTTCTGAATATACTTACGTTATTCCCCAGAAAACACAAACATTCTCTACGACGAACTCTAATACATGAGCTAGAGGAAGATAGGCAATCATACTGTCATGATCTGTTACCAAGTGCCCCAGAAGAGTATTTACACCACCAACTAAAGATCAAAACATTCCAAGTTTTTTTGGTTTTTTTTTTTTTGGTTTTTTTCGGATGAGTATATGCTTTCAACTGCCCAAATATGCCTACCTATAAGGTCGGGGAATGCGCTTATTTACCTGCAGCAACAATGTTTTTATGCGACAGCATGACACCTTTCGGATTTCCTGTACTTCCTGAAGTATACATAATACAACAAAGATCTTCGGGCTCGGGTGGTCTCGCTTCCCTTGGATGTTCCCTTCCTAGCTTGGCTACTTCATCAAGAGAAATAAGCCTTTGTCCTGCTTTGCCATCATTCTTGAATTGATGCACGACATCAGCCTTGGCGTCTCCACTATATATAATGTATTTCAAGGAAGCACATTTTGCTGCGACTTTCCGTACTACAGGAAGTAAATCTCCAACTGTGTAAATAGCCTCCACTTCTGTTTCATTCATCGAATGAAGTAATCCATCCTCTCCCAGAGTGTCGTAAGCTGTCACAATAGTCATATTCTGTGTAAAAGCGCTATAAGCAGTCAAAAGCCAATACATACTAATAAAGTGAAAAATAGGTATTCGGTTACGATATGTAACAGATGTACTCAACTTCAAAAAATCAATCCCCAACTTCCTTACTTTGTAGGTGAAAAAATTTCAATCTTTGATTTCTCTTTTAATCCAAGATTTATCAAGCCAGCACCCACATCATGAACAAGACGAATGGCCTCTTTGTAGGTCAGATAAAAGTACGGTGAAAGTTGAATGAATTTCCATATCTTCTTTTCTTTGACTTCTTCGCCTTGAACGTACTTTGTCACCTCTTTCTCTTCCTCAATGACCTTTTCGACTTTACGATAGCCGAACGCTTGTCTCTCGGGAAATTTCTTAGCACTATGGCTGATAACGTCGTATAAAGTATGAACATTATTAATGGGTACGCGAACAAGGGATTCTGGGCTAAGAGCAGATCTTCGAACACGTCCGCCGTTATTGAGCTTGTCAGGTCCCACTTCAGTTGAGAATGATTTCATCTTCTTGTATTGTTACTTGTATGGTACAGTTTCTATTGACAATGTTAAGATTGGATTGAAAGAAAAAGAAAGTGGGGAACAGAGAATGAAAGGAAAGTTGAGAAGAAGGAAGAAAAATAGGAAAAGACAATGACCAACCAACGAAACAATAATAACTTGTAGCAATGAAGAACGATACTCGACATTTCTTTTTCTGAACAGTTGCACAAATTCTTTAACGTAACATAAAAGCTTATACTCTTTATCTTTGATCCACTCTTTTAAATCATTACTCTTTACTTTTTGAGACGATCGAGTTTATAATCAGCGTTTATTGTTCTCTAATGATTTCACATGATATTCTGTAAGAATGCTTTTTTTTTTTTTTTTCTTTCTGATTCCCATTTTAAGGGAGAGTGTCCGTGCTTTTCAATAAATACATTCTGAAAGTTTCGCTTTGCGAAACTATCATTCTATTTCAAATGTTGTAGTTGTAAAATCAACGAACAACTGCAAGAAGAGGAAGAAGAGGAAAATAAAAGAACCACTCTACGAAAGTAGATTCAAGGATGTTCGGTAATTTGAGCATCCGTAAAATTCATCGCTGCTGTTGGATATGATAGAAAAAAATGTAGATGAGAGCATACTCATGAATGAAAGTATGTATTATTCTTCTGCAACTGGTCAGCAAACAGTAATCTTAACCACATGGACCTATTCCAAAGCAGCCCTTTTTTCTTTTTTCTTAAGTAGAATGTTGTATTCACGGTACAACGGTGATCATTTATCATTGGGATCAGATAATACATATAAAATTTGATAATGTATCCAAAGTGCTACATCAAACTAACTACAGAACGACCTCCATTCAGCCTTATAGTCTAGTGTATTATTACTTCGATGTCCGCTTGTTACTTTGACCTAATTTCCTCTGTTGAAATGTTATAGCTCAGTTGTGTAAATAGCTTTACACCGGTTAATATCCTCGTTCTCATATTTTATCATGTCACTATCAGCATTCTAAATGCACTTTTTTTATTGTATCTGGTCTAATTTTTACTGGTTTTTTCTTTTTTCTTTTTTGTTTTAATTTTTAGAAGCTTTAATATTGTCTGATAAATAGGGACTGAAATGAGAGCAACCTGAATAAATTTGTCGAATTCCTTGTTCCTTGTTGTAAACTTTTTAATAGTAATCTGATCCAGTCTTCACCTCAAGGTACACATTCATTTGTTATAGTTGGTTTCAAACATCAACATTAGTTTATCCGTACGTTCGTTTGAATTAAATAGAAGTATACATTTCATTTACGCTTCAATAATGTAGCAATTCTATTTGCGATGCTTGTTTGTCTAATAAAATGATAACGTTCTTAGTCAATGATTATGTACCTATTGTGTTTATTACTCTTCAGATGAGGTCAAAAGATCATTACTACGGAAGTTGAGAACATGTATGCTAGCATTCAAGTGCTTCAGAACTAATTATTTATCTTCTTTTATTAGATATTGTACATACCTATATTAGATGCAATATAGATAGACCTTAATAGAATGTATTCTCTACCTGGTTACGTAATCGAGTATTGTAGTCGTTATTTCACCGAACGCGTCGCTATTTTTGTGTTTGTTCACTGAACTACAATTTTTATTGCTGTTTATTGTCTGTCATATACAACATAGATGAAGCTAAAAAAATTGTAACTGCACCAATAATAGAAAGTGCCAAGTTCATAAAACGTTAATAAGACAAGGAAGAGGACAGGAACTCCATATAAACCGGCAAAATACATTACTGCCGATAATATAAATATACTATTACTTGAAGAACTTATCAGAGTTGCTTAATAGCAATTAAAAAAATTATCGTGCATAACGTGAGCATTGAACCAGAATTTTGAGTATATCTATTCTATTACTCTGAAACTTATTGTCGTTACTCTGCCATCTTTTGAAATGCCAAATGACAGCAAGAACAGTTTCACTATTGTGGTATGATCAGTTAAACACGGCTAAATTTGGAAAAGCCAAAATCGGACTATATTGATGCGTGATTGAAACTGATTGGACAGTACAATATCACGTGATATTACATAATTAACTTTTGATATATATATATATATTTTTTGGAATTTTGAAAAAGGGTTCTGTGGCGTAGTTGGTTATCGCGTCGCCTTTACACGGCGAAGGTCTTCGGTTCGAACCCGGACAGAATCATTTTTTAATCAATATTTTGCTTACGTAATGTTTTGTCCTGTCGTTTGCTTAGTGAATTAGCTTTAATTTTTGAAGGGTCTTCCTTATTCATTCATTTAGGTATTCATACATTTCTTATCTTGATGAAAGTTGATCTCGCATAGGGTCGACGACAAAATATTATTTTATACAGGATCAATTGAAACGGCGGAACAAAAGTACGCTTTCACATTTAAAATGATCAAGGGCGTAGAGACTGACATTCATTTAAGGCCTCAAATCTCGTATGATATCATGGTCTATCTATCCGTACATGTTCTTACTAAGACGGATTATTTGTTTACTATGGTTTCAGAACGGCGTTCTATCCCAATCGAAAGTTAATAGATAAAGGCTTGCGCAAATAGAAAGCCTTCAAAATTAGGATCAACCTTATTGAACACTCAGCAAAGTCTTCACGAATATCATGAAACGTTAGAATTGCCATTCATCCTTTTTATTTTCTTCCACCTCATTTATTACATATGCTCAAATGTCAGCCTATCATTAAGTAGGTGCTCGTGTAAGAAATAACTACAAGTATACGGCAATAGTTGCATATAATCAAATTTACTTATACTTAATGGTTCTATAGAGTGGAGATCCTTTACATAGCCAATGAATACAACGATGCTTAGAGTCTGCATCGCTTTCTACTCTCAGATTGTATTGTTGCAATATTCAATAAGACCTTTTTATTAGTTTAGTATGAATAAGAATTAGGATATCGTTACATTTATACAGAGCATATCTAAAGTTCTGTAATTTCTAGATTTTAATTGCTACTTTCATTCTCTGCTTCTGCATTTTCGTGAACATGCACAACTTCTTCGCGAGCATGAGCCGTCTCATAATTGTCAGGATTTAGTCGCTTACTTAAAATATAGGTTATTGTACCAATCAAAGCAAGTACGAAAAAGGTAATGTTAACTCGTAGTTGGAATGGGAAAAAGGTAGCGGATAAAGACCTGTTGTATGAAATAATGCAGTGTGAGAGACATTTATACAGAAGAACGCTTATGCATAACATTTTAGAGGTCCAACTTACGCTGCCCAAACTGTGCCGCAAATAGCCGGCCCAACTGATCGCATAGCACTTGCACAACCTAATAAATAAATATTGTCAGCTTTTAAAGAGGTAATTCTTGATAGAAATGAGTAACTACTTCAATGCTTACATTGAGAGAAACCATTGACTGCACCCAAAGCATCAACTCTCGGGCATGCATTATTAACCAAAATGGTACAACTTGTGAAGCAAATGGTATGTCCGATTGTCTTAATGGTCAAGTTGACGATTAAGCCGACCCAAACCCAAAACTTAGTATTCTGCTGACCATGTAGATCTGGTACGTAGTAAAGAACGCGAATGAGACCTTGTGACATGTACAGGAATATCATCGTAGCCAGCACAACTTGGAATATGCGCAGTAATGAATATCTTTTTGTTAAACTAGGCAGAACAAAGATTTGACCAATGATGGTTACTACGCCGGCATAACTCAATGCCATGCCTATTTCGTTTGGAGAGAATCCCAGACCACCATGCGATCGACTACTAGCTGTAAACAATGGAAATAGTTCTATAAATCATACCACAAGAGAAAAAAAAGTAAAGGGTTTGAATATCTGAACCAAACGATAAACCATCATAAATGCATAAATTATTTACCATCCATGAAAACCGCTTGAAGTGCAAAGAAACCATATGTAATGCAAATTGCTAACACAGACGGCGTAAGAGATTCCCTCAATGTAGGAGGAGCGACTTCATTATGAATTGTAGGTGTTGGTGAGTGCTTGACTTGAACAGATCCAGTTGTCGAGTTCGTCTTGAAAGTAGCATATTGTTGATCATTCTTTGATGTCGAGGTATTTAATAAAGCTTCTTCTTCATCGTTGCTATTTGATTTTTTCTCTTGAACAACATGTGTTTCTTCCAAAAAGAAAAAGCCAAATATAAGTCCCAGCAAACAGATAAAAGCTGATATAAAGCACGGTAGGAAATAAGGGTATTCAGTTAAAAAATCAGTAACAGCACCAAGTTGGCTGAAGACGTTCGGAAAGTTCGTAACAGGATGAGACAAGAAGCCTCCCAGCATAGGACCGATGATAGAGCCAAGACCATACATTAGCGGTAGAATCGAAAAAACGCGGGCTCTTTGGTGTGCAGAATAATCCATTGTCAATTCTGATACCATACTTTTAAGCACGCCTACGTTACCATTCTTTTGTGATCGATCAATATCAAAATATACTTTTGAAAAGTACGTGTGATCCTACTATAAACTTACAAGTAAACCACACAGACTACGCGATAAAAGCGCCCAGACGAATGATTTGGATAAACCAAACAATAAGATACTTGTAATTGTTCCAATCAAACCTTGTAAAATGACAGGTCTTCTACCAATTCGATCGGATAACATTCCCCAATGTATACCTTAAAATTCAAATTTCTTTTAGCAGCTCTTCAGCTTATAGTATCGACGACGATCAGCACGTTACCTGTTAAGAGCTGCGTAAGAGCAAAGCAAGACGTAATAAGACCTACATAATAGCCCACATTTTGCTCTTCTGCAATATGAAAGTCTCTAACCATCTATATGAACCACAGTGAATCTGTTAGTGACGTTCAAAAACGCATGCCTCACTTTTTTTCTCTTTCACGTCGTACCTGCACAACGAAAGGGAAAATAACAGTAAAGCAGATTGGCTCCTAAAATTTTGTAGAAGACAGAAAAAAGGTTAAATGGAATTATATTACAGAAATCGAAGAGTAGTTTTCAACATCACTGAAAGCAGATCTCTTCAGCGATCTGCATCAACAACCAAAAAAAAATAAAATAAAGCAGCTTGAGTAACTCACAGCGAAACGGCAAACAGCAATGATAGCAATTTGCCTCATAGGCAATGGTTTTTCTATTTTATGTGACATGTATATTAAAAATAATATGTAATTCTCAAATTCTTCACTTCTCTTTCATTGAAAATGTAAGAGAAAAAGAAAATTGAATCGTTCTGATTTTTGATGGTGAAACTTCGAACAGATCGGGACAAATTTCTCCCCATTCTACGAATAACTTGCAAAAAAGGCAACTTGACAAAGCTAAAAAGTTCGTGATGATCTAATGGTTTCAGAGACGCTAGTCATGTTATTAATGTGGGGAAGCAAAAAAAAGGTAATCCTCCGCATTGCAACGTTAACTATCCATGGACTCCGTCTAAAGTCTGCCAATGAGTAAGCATGAGCAGCTAAATAAGCTTTTGAATACACAAATCAGGCTATGCCATATTCCTTTTAAAACTAAAGCTAAGATTGATTCGACTATTGATTGATAAACATTGGGCATTGTAAATTTCAGTAATCAAATGTTTAGAATACACATGTTACACAACAGCTGTTTCTCTACAATGATATTGCAAATGGATCTTGTGGAATGATATAATGCTTTTTAATAATGATGTACGGTTTGAGAGATGCGATTTACAAGAAGAAAAATCGAACAGAAGCGGAAAAATTGAAAAAAAAGAGGAATAGGTTATTTAGATGTCGCGGCTCAATGTTGCTTGAGCTTCAGGAGTGAACAAACCACGTCCAGACAAAAGATCAACAAGAGGACGGTGAACCATCCACCAAGCATCCAAAGGCTTTCTGTTCTTCATATCTGTGACAGCAATTAATTCAGTCACTGGACGATAAGTGACACAATTACCGGAGAGACCGACGACTACAGCAGATTCCGTAGCATTAGTAAGTTCAATGGGAGCAGGGCTCTTGCTGCGATATGCTTGATCAAGTGCATATGAGGTGTGTTTTTCAAAGAAGTCAATAGAACATTTAGCAAGACGTGTGGCTCTGATACGATCCATTGGGCTAGGGTTAACACCTTGTTGAATGTGACCCAAAACAGCTGTACGAGAATCAAATAGAGCATGACCTTCATCCTTCAAGATGTCGGAGATAACGTCAGTGGTGTAAGTCTTGCTGACAGTCTCATTACGCAAAATAATTCTTCCTTCTGATTTATCAGCAGCATCATCCATATACATAGCCATTAAGTGACGAGAATCGGATTGAAGACGAGCAAGATTGACACCTTCTTCAGGAATATAAATTGTGCTGGCACCACTGGCTAAACCAGCTTCAACGGCGAGATAACCGGAGCGGCCGCCTTGGACTTCAACAATAAAGACACGACGACGAGAAGAACGAGCAGATTGCACAATAGCGTCGCATGATTCTACAATAGCATTCAAAGCTGTATCGGAACCAAGAGAAAAGTCTGTACCAGGCACATTATTGGATACAGTAGCAGGAATCAATGCAATAGGGATGTGAAGTGCTGGATATTGCTTACGAGCAGCCTCAAGGTTGATAACGGAAGAGAAAGCTTCAAAACCACCCACGATCATGAGGGCTTGAATATTGTGCTGTTGAATTTGATAAGCGATTGTACCCATATCAGTATTTTCACCGGGAACGGCACGGTTGGTACCTAGTTCAGAACCGCCTCTGTGTGTCCAGCCATCTACACCGATCCAAGTAAGCTCTTCAATATTGCCACGAGCCAAACCCGGGAAACCGTTATAAATACCAAAAGGCTTATGGCCACGATTAAGACAATAACGAACAGCTGTGCGAGTAGCAGCATTCATACCACCAGCTGGTGCACCAACGTGAATAATACCAACGTTCAAGCGACGATATTGAGGAATGGACATCGTACTATCATCCATGATGGTTGATGCAGTGTAAGCCTCGTATTCATCAGCAAATTGTGGATCACGAAGTTCCATAGCGCGTGCAAAGTCCTTCTTAGCAATTGAGTCAGCAACTTCATGAGTCAACTCGACCGCTTTCATGAGAGGACCAGTTGTAACCTTATTGTTGTTCATACCAATCAAAGGAGAAGGTGTTTCAGGGGTAGAATTCAAAACAGCATCTACAGCTTCTACACTTTGAATGGTAGCTAAAATACGGTCAAAAGCGGCAGGAGAGCCACCACGCTGAGTATGACCGAGTGTTGTGACACGTGTATCAAGACCAAGACGCTCAGAAAGAATATTTTTGATATCGTCAGGCCTAATAGGTTTCAAGTTGCTGTCTATGGCACCTTCAGCAACAATGACAACAGTCTTACGTTTTCCGAGTTGACGGTGACGATGTGCAACGGCACATAAGGCATCTCCCCAGTTTTCATTGGGTGGACGTTCAGGAAGGAAAACGAAATCAGCACCAGTTGCAATACCAGCGGCAAGGGCGAGCCAACCGCAATGGCGGCCCATGACTTCGACAACAAAAGCACGAGAATGAGATAAAGCAGTGGTGCTAATGGAGTCAACAGCCTCACAGATACGGTGAAGCGAGGTGACAGCGCCGATGGTAATATCAGTGGAAGACATATCATTGTCAATAGATCCAACCAAACCAACAATATTCAAATGCTTATAGGCATCGGATTCTTCTTGAGTAATTTTACCAGTCTTCAATAATTCTTCGTTTAAGCTATTCCATTCTGAACGGAAAAGATCTGCGCCAGTCAAAGAACCATCACCACCGCAGACAATGAGTGCATCGACACCGCTTTTAATTAAATGGTAGGCACCTTGGAGTCTACCCTCGCGTTTTTTGAAAGCCATACATCTAGCAGTACCAATGTTTGTACCACCCTAATAATCAATGTCAGCTTATCATTACCTTATCTAACAGATTTCCTTACTTTGTTCAACTTACAATGCTGAGAAAACCACGAACATCCTTCCATTCCATCTTCTTGATACCATTGTCGACAAGACCTAAATTATGCGGTAAATTTATCATTTACGGGGCCCTATAAACTCGTACAATGAATTTTTACCTTGATAACCCTCGTAAACAGCAAAGACTTCACAACCCTTGGAGATACCATAACGTACAACAGCACGAACACAGGCGTTCATACCAGGTGCATCACCGCCAGACGTCAAAATACCAATTTTCTTACATTTGCCCATTCGCTGACTAGCCTCCTCAATCGAGCCAGGTCCAGTAAGTGGTGTATCAAGAACATTGGGGAATGCTGGTTTGTTTGTGAAAATGACTGTATTATTCAAAGGGTCGAGTGCGTAAATTTCAATGAGCTCAAATGTGCCACTGAAAGATTTTATAGATCTATCTTGATAAGGGCAATTCAAGGTGTCTAGTTGAGCCTTGACAGCCTAGAATACAGACATGAAACCATCTCATTATACTGTTCCGATCTGTTTAAGTTGAAGTCTAACATCCTTTGGAGATAACTTACTGCAATATCAAAAACAGATAAAGCCAAGGCTGTTTCATTTAATGCCCAATCTTCCTTATCGTTGGGTTTTTCGCGAGGCTTGGCGGCAGCGTTCAAGACTAGGCGAATATTGACATCTGTTGTCATAGAATGTTCACTAGAATTTAGTCTCAACCAAACATCCTTTGCTTCTGTTTCTTTTTTAGAGTTTTTGAAAGGCTTAAATCCAAAAGCCTTATAAAAAGCGACTGATTGCTTCAAGAGCTCCTCGGAACTTGCTGTATAAACGATATGAGAAGCACCTTTAACCATGCTGTTTGATAGTCGAACCCAACGTTAGAGACAATATGAAGCGTTATACTATACTTTATTTCTGTATAACAATAACTGCAATACCTTTAAAGATTTTTTTCTCGACAATAAGCAAAAAAGAGGGAAAGAAAGAAACAATACTGTAAAAGCTTGCTCACGTCATTTTGGTGTTTCGGTTATTTGGGAAAGGTTTTACATGATTTTTTTCAACGTGACTTTTGCTAACATTGCACACTCTTCGGGCCTTCCGATTATGTGTACCACTACGTCAGTGCGTTTTTTGCATTAACGGACACTGTTATCCGAGTTATGGCATCAATTCTAATGTATAAGTAAGCAGCATAATGCTTGGCGATGAAGTTCTGGCTTTTTTTAATGAAATTGTTACGGGCAAAGCTTTGTAAACTCAAAAACAGCATCTGCAAAATCGTCAATGAGTTTCAATAAAAAAAAAAAGTGACGAGAAGGATGTTCCCGTTGCCATTCTATCAGGGATACTCAAGTGTGACAACACGAACATACAGCGTTTGCTCCATTCCGCGCGCCATTCTTTAGCAATAGACGATTTATCTTTCCTACATAAGTCAACGATAGCGAAAGCGAATGTTCAAAAGGAAGTATGATACAGCTGAAGACGGAGGTCCAAAATTGCAGGGTAGGATAAAGATTTTGACCTGGATTCCAAAAAATTTTGACAGCTTGGCCTCCTAACGATAGAGTTTAGCCATACTCATCAATTGAAAAAAAAGAGGATAGTGGCTCATTATGCAGTAGATCAATATCACTCAGAATTCACAAGCGTGTTGTGCTACAATTGATCGGAACTGTATAATCGACATAGAATGCTAACCATTTAAAGCGCTAAGCAAGAACACGTCCACCGGCCTATCGCTACTGATTAGTTGCGCTACTATCATTATAATGTTGAAGATTTGCTCGATATTATTCCTCATTGGTATAAACGTGTGGAGAATAGTGGCGATAAAAGCAACTGCAGAAAGAGAAATTAACGGCGGAGTTTTTACCCCCCCACTCTCTTCTTTTAATGTGTTAAAATGAGTCAGAGAAGGAAGGTTTCCCTTTTGGGTTATTTTCCCCTTTCTTTCTTTTCTCTCTCTGCCTGTTAGCGGCCACTTCTAATAGAACCATGGATGCCCAACAAGTACAAGCGACCTCAACTCTGTTAGAGAAAACAGAGAATAACCTAGCTGCACAACCGCTATTACAGAATAATGAAGGGTTCAGTCTGCGTCATCAAATCAATGATTTAATATTTGGTTCGGTAAAAAAGACAATAGATGGTTTGTCATATTATTTTGATCTGCAAAATTGTTGATTCGGTCCATTTTTCCTATTTCATCTGAAGGTGGCAGGCATAGTTGGCAAATTTGTAGAGTTTCCGTTCGATACTGTCAAAGTTCGACTGCAGACACAACCCTTTGACCGACCTTATTTTAATGGTCCATGGGATTGTTTTGTTTCTACTATTCGCCAGGAAGGGATACGTAGCCTTTATTCTGTAAGTATGTTACGGGAGGAAGTTAAATACTGTCATATTGATCGATAAAGATTACTGATAAACGAACTTTTTTAGGGAATGTCATCACCACTTGTAGGCTCTATGGTTGAAAACGCAGCATTATTTGTAGGATATCGTCAAGTACAACGATTAATCCGTCATTACTCAGCAACACCTAGTGAACGAGACAGATATAAAAATGTTCCAGAGGACAAATTACCCCCGTTATCGCTTTCGCAGCTTGTTTTTGCTGGTGCAGCATCGGGTGGTATTGCATCCTTCGTACTAACGCCAGTCGAATTGATCAAATGTAAACTACAAGTACAACTTGTGAGTATGGCAGCAACGCAGGCTATAAAATTCAGCGGACCATTCCACGTTATCCGTCATGTAGCTCAAACACATGGAGTCAGTGGGTTTTACCGGGGCTTTTTAGCTACACTACTTCGAGAAGCAGGTGGTGGTGCTTTCTGGTTTGGTGCTTATGAGTATACATGCACACAATTCATTAAATACCATGAGCAGAAATTGGGGCGTAAAGTAACCAAAGATGAACTCTCAGCGCCTGAATTGATGCTAGGTGGTGCTCTCGGTGGTATGGCGTACAATGCATCTTTATTCCCTATTGATGTTATCAAATCTCAAATGCAAACAGATGAGCAATTATTGTCATCCAAGGGTTCATCACAACGCTCTTTTGTTCAGACTGCAAAAGAAATATATCGCGGAGGAGGCATCAAGGCTTTTTACAGAGGCTGTGGCATTACTGTCGCTCGTAGTGCACCCACCTCTGCCATTATTTTCCTTACTTATGAGCTTCTTTCTCGTCATTTCGGATAGTTATTGTAAGAAAATACCCATTTATTAACCTTTTGTATGTATATATAATTTAAAATTACCAACTATTAGTTCGCATTTGTTCACATAAATCTCGATTAGACTTTTTGTATTATATCGTTATCCCTATAACATGCTAAGTGGTAGAGCCGTTTCTCGGGCAAAAACCATGAATCTGATTCAGAACGTCACATTATTCATGCAAAAAAGTTAAAAAGAAGCAAAGACCTGCCTTTTTCACTTTGCTCCCTTTTCTTCTAATCTCACTCTCTGACGATATGACGAATATAGATAATATTCCTACCGAGATCCTGTTACAATTAGTAACTTGTTTATCTCTCCAAGATATACAGCAATGTCTAACTACTTGTCAGAAATGGAATAATGTATTCAAATATGCATTTTACAGTTCCGTTACAATTCATAACTCCAAACAATTTGATAAATTTATCAAAGCAATAAAACAATCAGCAGCTCGACGACAGCAAACGGCAGATGATGAAACACACATTGGACACATTGTGAAGGAGCTTTATTTCTGTAAAGACCGTCATACTTGCGTTCTTGGCCTATTTGAGGAAAAGATCATTATCCCTCATTCTTTTGCAGAACAGCTTTCTTCGCTTTGTCCTAACCTAGAAGCGCTAGACCTAGGCTCAGCAGAATGGTCATCATTCAATTTCCATAGTAATTTGAGGAACTTGAGGCGACTAAAACGGCTACCTAGCATTTATAAAACGGAAAAACTGCCTTTTTTACTGTGTCTTGGTGAAGGACTCACTAGTTTAACGATTGAGGGCACTTTGTTAAGCGAGCTATTGTCACAACATTGTTTACTCAACACAGTTTTATCCTTTGTACCCAATCTTGAAGAGCTCATTTTAGGGAAAGAGGATGAAGAATTGAGCCCCAAGGGACAAGACTTAACACTTAGAAAACCTACTTTGGCAATCGAGCATCTTGAATGTATACACAGTCTTCTGTCCAAGCTACGGGTACTAAAGATTCAAGGCTGTATTGACGCAAAAGTTAGCGAGAGTAATGAACAGGCATTGTTAAAGCAATCGCGTGCCAGCATTGCTGCCCTTAATATCCACACTTTCGTTTTGAACACGTCGGCGTCCTCACATGAATGGCTGATCTACATTGCACACAAGTACCCTAATTTGCGTGAGCTAACTATATCGATAATGGAAACATCTCACTTAAAAAATGTACGGGTGAATAACAGTTTTGAAAGTGAAACATACCATAACCTGGAAAAGTCCTCATTTCTATACCTCCTCGACAAATCGAAATATCTAAAAACCATCATTTTATCCTGTACACTATTGGATAATTGGCTAAATTCTTCGTTTCTCCTACAACTACAACAATCATGTTATGTAAAGGAAATGCAGCCTCTAAAGCACAAAAATAATCAGATGCAGAGCTTTTCACAATTGATGGTAGCTGTTAAGTATGGCAAAGAGTTTTTAACAACGTTAGAAATTGATCAATGGAGATTCGGTGTAAAAATAGATCGCATTCTGGAGCAATTGAAATTTTTCGAAAGATTGACAGTATTAGAATTAAAGAGTGATTCGTACCATACAGAATACGACTTGCATAATATCCTTGAAAGCTGCTCGAAACTTGAAGAGCTCAGTCTGCAATGGGGAACGCTCGTTACTGTTAGTACTGACATTAATCGTACCAAACGTAAACAGATGCAACACTATAAGTTACGGTCCCTTCGCTTAACATTCATTGCTTTTCGGTCTGAAGATTTTACGTACTTGGCGCAAAAATGCCCAGCAATAAATTACCTTCTACTGTCTAAAAGTAAATGTATATGCCAGCTCAATGAACAGCAATGCGTGATAGACATTGCTATGCCCTGCCACTCTTTCAATTTTGTAGGGATCGACAATGTTCGACTCGACTGTCCTTCTGCTACACTCTTTTATCCAGCATTATCGAACTATCTGCGACTCATATCTATTCGAACCGAGAAATGGCAGCGATGGTATCAGCATATACGATATCTAAATCATTCCAGTATACCCAAGTTAGAACAACTGGATCCTTACGAAGCAGCAACAATAAGCTCTTACTTTGCAGATATGGAAAAAAGGCGTAGTAATAGTAGTGCACTGAATGAACACGATAGTGTTTATAACGTGAATAGACTGAAAGTGAATAATCTGCTGAAGATGGATTTACTCTTTGGTTATGTAAAATTGCGTTGTGCTAAGGTGGAAAGTATTCAAATAGATGGAAATCCCAATAGATCTTTCAGATGATCCCCATTCCATTCAGCTTGTATAAGCTTATAATCTGTATACCTTAACCAACTTTATAACACTGAGCAAAGCTGATCCTTGCAATAAAAAAAAATTTAGTAGCAATTGCATCTTTATTACATCAGGAAAAAGCAAAAGGAAGAAAAAAAAAAAAAAAAAAACTACAGAGATACAATTTACATTTGGATATTGAATGCGCAAAAGACTTGCAGTAGTTGGACAACATACTTAATTCTAGTTCTAGATGTCAATTTTCAATTATTGAGAACACATGTTGACTAATACTAGACCTGAAGCTTCAGGGTGATTGGTGGTAATGGTATTAAGGCTTTGTTCGTCTAAAGTGTTCCTATCTTTGACAAGCAGGGCTTGATATCTTCTGTCACGACGCACCAATTGTTGTTGTTGTTGTTGTTGTTGTTGAGTTTTACTAATATCTGACAGTGAAAGCAGCATAGCATCATTATTACCGTCATTTTTTGAAGAAACAAGCCTGATGTTCACAGTAGCTTGATAATCAGGACCATGAGGGAGAGGATTTTCCGCACTACCACCGGAGAAAGCAGCATCAAGCATATGAACATGATTGGCAATCTTACCCTTGGCAGCAGAGGGGATGGAGAGTTGAGCGCTGAAGCTGGCAGTCGTGGGATCACTGACATTAGCAAGCGTAGCAACACCGCTGGCACTCACATCGTATTTCTCGACTGACGAGCTGGTATTATTATGTATTCCGATCTGTACAGCAGGCTCGATGTAGGATGCGTTAGTGGAGTGACCAGCAATCAAAATTCTTGGACAGTTAACGTCGACGCCATAAATCTTTGTAACCGCAAACATCTTCTTATACAATCCGATTTGTAATCCAACAGCGTGCCCTAATTAAGGTTGTTAGCCTTTCTTCTTGATTATTTGCTTTCGCTTTAAACAATAAAACCTACATGTGCCATTAAGTGTAGACAGATCGAAGTTAGTTTGTGCGACAGCACCAGCAATGAAAGTGGCAACAGCAATAAGTCCCGTAAGCTTCATATTGAAAATTATTATTATTATTTTTTTTTTTTTGCCAAGATATAGAAAGAGTTTAGAAGAAAATAAAATAAAAGTAAAATCTTGACAGTTTTATTGACTTTATATATCGCTTCATAGGACATGATTTTATTGGGTGAATTTGTTTTAAAAGCTGTACATTTTCTGCATTTCCTGTCAAAAAACGCACGGGCTGCAAAATATGTTTATCCGCGTGTTTTTTAGCTTCATTTAAAAAAAAAGTGTGAAACGGACATTATCCAAAAGCCATTGTTCTAGCAGAGAATTTGTGTATTTGCACCTTAGATAAACTATTAAAGGCAAAAAAACTTACAGCTATAACAATTTATCGCAAGGCAAATTGTTATCGCTTACAGAAGCTGAGGCTTCGGTGTTTTGGCAGTAGACGAAGACAAGCATAGTTTTATCCGTCACAAATTCTTTGTTGGGTTTTCTAAAAAGCAGCGTAAGAAATGGAATTTTCTACTTCATACTATTTAAGCTTATACGTGTAACAATAAACCTATTGATTAAACATTACAGAATAGTTGAAATTTTCATCTGTTTACCATACAGTCTTCGAGCAGTGTGTTGACCTTTGTACAAAGGAAACCATAAATTCACTTAAACGCAACATTTCGAGTCACGTTTTTGCTTGCCGCCTTTAGTATCAATATGAGGAGCTCCAATGCTCGTTCAATTCTGTGGTATACCAGCAATTGTTGAAACGCCTACTTCTCGAACTCTCTCACATACTATCCTGGGAGCCATACCATCTCTCACAGGATGAACACCACACCTGCAAATAAGTCCTTACGAACGCTCTGTATGTAAACCAGTCTGCCTGTTCTCCAACCAATCATATGATCCCAATGATTTGAATCTTATCGTTGTTCGAAAGCGGAATGCCAAGCGTTGACTTGATTTGTTTGATATAGTATCCTTTGCTGATGATGGTGTAGATATGCTTTCATCTGCTGAGGGTGTAGAAGTAATAGTTAGCAATTTTTCTACCCGTAGACGCTTGTCGAAGATGTGCCAGTTATCATACCTGTAGTCGATACTTATGTTCATTCCTTTATCCACAATTGAAACCCAATTTGTCCATGAGTTTTTGAGTAATATCATGGAGTCAGTGGAGCGTGTTTCTATTATCTCATCAGATGCAGCTACTATAAAGTCAGAGAACATTACGGTATTATTGTTGCCACATTCATCTAGGCACTGTAAATCATTAAAATTAAAAGTTTAGTAAGATAAATATTGTATGTGTGGAAATGTACACTTTACGAGCACTGCGTTCAACTTTGTCTATTGTGGTCATGTAGTAAAGCAACTAAGAGAAGAAAGCTCCTTTCGTTTCTCGCTTCTTCTTTTTATGTAGTGCACGATGTAACTGAGGTATTTGCTTATCATTGGAAATTGATAGCGGTTATAAGTTGATGACTATAAACTTTAGTGTCTTTACTATTCTTCAAATGAATTAAAAGAAGAAGAAGAAGGAGAAGAAAGATTCATTGCTGATCGAGATTTATTGGGACGCGTATGCTAATCATTAATTCCAGGTTCAGATGCTTCACATGTCATTCCTTATACCTCAATCCTCTATCTTGTTATATACTGGTACTTAACCTATATCAGATGCAGTATAGATAGACCGTGGTAAACTGTATTCTTTACCTGGTTGTACGTACTCGAGTATTGTAGATGTTATCTCACCAAACACGTCAATACCTCGTTTAACTGCACCTTTGAGGATTGACCAAAAAGCTTTCAATTGGGTTGAGTTCTGGAGAGTATGGAGGAAGATACATTGTCCTATAGCCTCTAGCTTCTATCATACTTGTTATCTCGTGCGAAGTGTGGACTGGTGCATTATCTATTGAAATATAGAAATTGGTCATATCAGGAAACTTATCCATTTCATCCAATGCTTTAGAAACGAATCTCATGTAATGGCCAGTAACGGTTCCCTTGGGCATATTACTTTGCTGCAGGCTTCCTTCTCGTCTTACTACCATCAACCTTCACTTTTTGGAGCCTCATAGGCTCCCTTATTTCAATTGTTATAACATCGTTGGCTTAGACAAAGTGATGAGATACTTTTGCGAGAATCCCAACTATTTACAGTAAGCACAGAAAACACGAAAAAGGCTTTTATCTTTGATAATAAACATGACTTGGTATTAGCCGGGTAAACTCGTTGGTGCTTAATATTGAAGATGACCATTAGTCAAAATGGCTCACAAAACAAGAATGACAAGAAATAAATGCAGCAACAGAGCGTGAAAAGAAACACCTGCCTCAAGGAATGAAAAGTTACCTTGAGGCTTTGCCAGAATCCGACAAAATCAACGTACTTTTCAACTACTTGAACGAACAGCAGATAAACCCTAATGATTACCGTGGGCTTTATTTACTGACAACGCTATTGTACAGTCTTGATTTTGATTAGGATATCCTACTTGCCTTTAAGTAACCAAGGAGAAAAAGGCATAAAGCGTAGGATTTGGGTAATAATTGACTGGGCATTTGACGGAAGCAATTTAAAAGTAGGAATGCCTTGCTTTTCAAAAGATCAAATAAACACTTTGTATTTACCAGCTCTATGATACTTCCTGTTTGATAATTTATATGCATATACTCCAACATTATCACTATTTACTTTTTTTTTTTTTTTTTTTTTTTTTTTTTTTTAAAAAAAAAGCTTCTTTTTACTTGTAGAATCTCCAAGTCCCTGGTCTTCCGTGACCAACTCAAACCTCTTGAGCAATGTGGTAGTTTTTTTAAGAAAATTAGAATCCGAAGCGATCTGCATCTTTTTTATGTATCGAAAAGAATGAAGGAGACAAAAGGGCGTCTATGATATTTGTTTTATATTAGTCTTACTTGATACTCATAATTTTATTCCTATAAATTAAATTTAGATACAACAAGGGGTTCTTTTTAACTATACAAAGAGATGCGAGAGATAATTTCATATATAAAGGTATGCATGACAAATCAAAATAGAATGAGAGTAAAATGCCCTCCGATTTTATGGCTAATGTTGCTGCTGATGATGTCGTTGTTGCGTTTGTGAATCCGGAAGTGATGAAAACTCCCAAGGAGTCATTAAAAGCCCCATCATTGATTCATTAGGCGAGTCAGGTATAGCAGGGTCCATAGGAAAAGAAGAGGAATCGATCATCATCACTGGATATTGCTGTTGTGGATAGTATTGCAGGGCTGGCTGTTGTTGTTGTTGTTGTTGTTGTTGTTGTTGCATAATTGACATTGGTATCATAAATGGTTGGGTATTATTGTTACTACTATTGCCTACGCCGCCGCCACTACCATGCATCATGGTAGGAGCTGAAAATCGATTATAATTCCGTACGGCCATGGCATGTAAACTGCTACTACGTACAGGTGTAGATTGGAGAACAGTGTTGGGCGACGGTGACGATGGAGCTGTAGAAGGTGGAATGGACGGAGCAAGCGTATGGTGTTGTTGTTGTTGTTGTTGTTGTTGTTGTTGAATTGTGTTCGAAGGAGGAATAGCGTTATTATTTGGAGAGGGAGCAGCAGCAGCAGCAGCATTTGGAAATAGATCAAAAAGATCAGGCGGTGTATTACTTGTCAATGTGAGTTTGCGTAAGTTTGTGTACGGTTGACCAGGCGCACTGTTTCGATTGATGGATCTTTGCTGTGAAGGAACGATGAATTCTCCAATGGAAGAAGCACTTCGCCTCAAACTTCCAGCCCTTTTCCGGGAAAGCGATGTTGTACGTCGAGGAGCAGCCGTCCATGAATTCCTATTGCTCGCTTTGTTACCGGTATTACTGCCATTGCTTCTACCACCGTAATCCAAGTGATGATGACCGGCTTGGTGATGTTGCTGAAACGGAGTAGCAGTAGGAGAACTCGGTTGAGAGTAGCTTGTCATCTGCCGTTGTTGCACTTGTTGCTGCATTTGCTGCGTCTGTTGTTGCTGCTGCTGCTGCTGCTGCATTTGCTGCTGGTAAAAGTACGGTGATTGTTGATAAAGGGACCCTAATGAAGGTGCTGAAAGGCGATTATTGGCATAGAGTGTCCTGTTTGTAGATCTTTGCTGATTCACCGTCCCTACGACTCCTATGGTGGGTGATGCTTCAGCACTGAAAGAAGCACTGGACTGCACCAAATAGGACATATCCGATGATGTGGAGGGAAAATGTAAAGAAGAGCGCGAATGTCTTTTCCTGATGGAAGGTGCCGGAATATTGGGACTGTGTGGTGAGTTGAGCGCCGACGCCATGATCAATGGTGAGGAACGTGTGGACGAGGTATTCGACGGCGAGTTGAGATGTATATCAGATCGGTACTGACTGTTCAGAGTCATCGATGGCTGGTGAGTAGTTGTTGAGCTTTCCACCTCCGTTGAAGGTGAGTTCTTTATCAATAACTGTATCAAAGAGGAGGTTTTTCGATACATCTCTTGTATAAACTCTGCCGAAAAACTTTGGTAGCTGGTTGTTGTAGTCACCAATGCACGCTGAATAGTTATAGCTGCAGATAAGCAATAAATAATCTGCTGGTGGCCTCGTATGACTTTGTAAAAGGAAGCGATCCCAACAGTTTTCACTAGACGGTCTACCATATTTGCAATGTAAAAGGAAGAGGAGACACAATGAGACATGTACGGCTCACAGAGCTGCTTTTGAACGTCATCATTCAGGGCGTAAGTTCTGTACAAGAGAATAATGGTTAAATGGTATATTAAATGAATGAAAGACAATTGTAGGTCATTTTCATCTATTGATGGTATACTAGCTCCCAATTCCGAGAGAGTGCTTTCTATGATAGTGAATTTCCTTTGCATTTCTTCGTCATGTCTGCTGTCATTGTCTTCATGGCTTACATGATTGTTGTTGTTGTTGTTGTCGTTGTCGTCGTCACTCTCGGTTTTGGTACATTGACTGTATTTAGAGCGCATAAACCGCAACACAATCGCCATTGTCTGTACCGTTTTTGAAAGTAAATAAAACTTATTGGTTATATCGACATCAGCATTAGAGTCGTCAGAAAATGGACTTGGGAGATTCACAGTGCACTGTTCTTCCGAAAACTTCATTTGTAACCCAAGCTCAGCACTATCAGAAAGGGGGGGGGGAAAAGGATACCTTGCGTATTAGATTATATACAATCTTCTTTGTCAAAAACTGTTCCAGTGAGTTCTTTATTCACCTCATCAATACATCATAGGCATACACGGCCCAGAATGTTCTCCTTCGAGTTTCTAATTCCTGATCTCCTGCGGTAGGTTGTGTCTCTCGAGGTGCCTCCTTGGGGAGACCAAGATCATTTGACATTTTGATAGCCAGCCGCAAAAAAAGTTTTGTTCTCCAGAAAAATCCTGGGCGGTGAAGGTATTCTTGATATTTGACAAGCAAAAGGAATGCTTGGATGGTGGATAGTCGTGGTACATCTGCGTATAAGTCGATGAGGCTGAGAGCCGTTTTGTAAAATGACCAGCCTGGTGGGTCTTTGTCAGCAACAGTTGGCTGCTGATGCTGTTGAAGGGATGGAGTGAATTTTGACGCTACTGCGTACATGGCATTCAACAACAGAGAAGGCTGTTGGTATCGGTTGAAAAGTGTTCGATTCACGAAAGGAATAGAAGGATGTATATGCTCGAAATAAGCCTGGATCAAGTCTACTCGTAATGCGTTCGAAACTGTTGGATCCATTGAAGGCGGCGGTGGTTCCGAATTGAGATTTGAGTTTTTGTAAATAGGTTCGATTCGATCTATACGAGCTGGAAGATCAGGTGTATACAAAGAATGACCAATGGCTGTCACATCCAGTATGTCAACAGTTTCAATGGTTGGATTACTGTTACTGCTACTGTTCCTATCTATATTTTCTGTCATACCTTCAGCTGAATAGTCTGACAAAGTTTTATTTAATGGATGCTGATATGATGACTCCAACACTTGTAATACGCTGTCGATGGTTTTCAATCTTGTTTCAAATGGTTCGAGGTATTTCTTGGGAGGTCCTCTTTTGGGTGTCACGTTTGAGAATATACATTCTGTTGAAGATTTTTGGCATCTTGAACAAGGTTGTGCACCATCACAACGTACCTGTTGTTGTATGTGATCAAAAGTCAAAATCAACATTAGCTATACAATTTTAGGAGTTCCGGGGAGGGGGGGGGGCAAAAGAGCTGAGGTAACAAAAATAGCAATAAAACAAAATGGTTCAGGTGAAACTTGACGAGTTGGAAACTGTCAAAAGCCCAACTTCAAGCATAAAAGACATATTGGAGCGATCCATTTTTTTAAGGAACAACGAAAAAGAAAAAAAAAAAATCAAGGTACAACAAAAAGGAGGAATGATAATTTTGTGAAAAAAAAAAAAAAGTTTTTTTTTTTTTCGACATTACCTTTCTTTTGCGACATTCATCACATGCACGACTTACTTTGTTTCTTTTGACTCCACTGTTAGAAGATAGTCGGCTCTTACGTTCCGATAATTCTGGTGTGGATGGTACTGAGTCTTCCATTCTAGCATTGTTTTCCCTTTTGTTCACGATATACTGGTGACCTAATTTTCTACTGCGTTTGTTCGTATTTCTTGGTAGATTTATATTTTCTGCGGCTCAATTGCTTTTTTTGGGACTGATAATTTTTTTTTTTTAGGCTTATTGGCTGTATCGAAAACGACAATGTGATAAAAAATGAAAAGGATAGCTAATGATACATAAATAAGTTACAGATATACAAGAATTCCACTAAAATATACGTTTAACAATACTGACGGGAGCCAAGTAATGTAAAATTTAAAGTTTTTTGTATGTACTTTTGGTTGCGTAAGTACTGGTATGAAAAGAAGGGTATATAGTTGGGATGAAGCTGAAAGAAAAAGTGAACAAAAAGGAGGCAACACACAACTTTTTTTTTTTTTTTTTTTTTTTCTTTATGTCTCTTGATGGCTCTTGTCGGTTTCAGGCAAGTTTCCCTTCCAAGCTGAGTTATGTTTAAAATCAGCACGTTTTCTTAATTATATTGTAATAATTGTAGGCCCTGTTTTATCCAAATGTTTGACTCGACTGGATAAATCATACGTTAAAAAAACCCTTCCTCTTTGTATGTTACTGTGTACGTTATCGATCTATTGATGAAGGGCCTTCTTTTTGGGAAGGCATGAAGATGTTTCTTGATTTAATTTATTTTTCTTACAATGCCCTGAGCTGATTTTGAAGACAGTTATCATGTAGTTGATACCCATGAGCTTCTAAAATCTTTCGCGAATAATGCCCACACCACTCCCTACTTTCTTTCTAGAAACACACACAATCGGGTCACCGGCGTCTCTATCTCGGATAACGGCCATCTCATTTAGAATCGACTCGTGTTTGAGTATGAAATCATTATTCTACCATGAAAATTGTAGACCAGAATTGCTTGTCAAAAAGCTTTACATTATGCTGAGTTAAACGATCGGAAGAAAGACAACGATTCCATCACCTAAATTAGACAATGTTACTAATAGTACGGACCATGCTTACAATAGGGAATCGATTTATTGTTAGTTCACGGATTTTACAACAACATGTGAGGGCATTGAAAATAGGCAATCCGTCTGAATCAGATTTAATTAAATTTTATGGATGATCTAGGTTCTCAATAGCCCATTATACAATCGCAGTTGAAAAAAACGGGTTAAAAGGAAGAAAAAAACGCATTGTTAATTCATGCTGTTTACATAAAGGTCGATTCTAATGATAAGCCACTACCTTATTCATACAGAGACAGTATCAAGAAGAAATCGGTGATTACATTGCAACCGGTCGGCAAAGCTGCAAGTCAATTTTTTTTTATTATTTTTTTTTTTTTTTTTTTTTTTTTTTTTTGACAGCAGTGGTGACCTTGCGGGCACAACGCTGACTTTTTACCCCATACAATCCAGGACCTGAGTTTTTTCTTTGCTGGCTGCTGTTGCTGCCCACATAAATCTGTTTAATTTCCCTTTCTTTTCAAACAGTTATACGAATCCATGTCCCTCAGTTTATTCACAAAATCAGCACTAGCCTATTCAAAGCAACCACTTTCAGCAGGGGGTCTCAGCCCCATGAAAACTGTGATAGCTGCCACTTTCCACACCAATCAACATTGTGCTGCTTCTGAAGCTGCTCAAACAGAGATGAGAACCCCTGCTGCTCCAACTTCCTCATCGCAATGGACAGTCCATTCTATTCGTACAGGTGTCATTGCTCGTAAGAAAGGAATGACCTCAATATGGGACGAATCGGGTGCTCGTTTACCTGTTACTATTTTACAGGTAGAGTACAGTTCAACTTGATTCATCTCCTCCAACAGGAACATGGCAAATAACAGAAAGCATAACAGTTTAAGCTGCAATAATATTGATTGATTTTTTTTTCTTTGCTATGACGTTTCTCCCTAGTTGCAAGATGTTGTGGTTACAGATGTTCGAACAGAAGATAAACATGGATATACTGCTTTGCAAGTGGGATGTACACCTAGGAAAGAAAAGAACGCACCTAAACCACTCATAGAACACTTCAAATCATTAGGCGTGGGGTTACGTCAAAAACTATTTGAATTTCGAGTGACAAAGGATGCTATCCTCCCCATTGGCACAGAATTGAAAGCAGAGCATTTTGTCACCGGACAATATGTGGATGTCACAGCACCTTCGTAAAGTTTTCTGATTTGAAATGAAATATTTGTATAAGAATAACGAGAGAATCAATCACAGTTTGCTAACATGTGTCCTGTAGAATTGGTAAAGGTTTTGCTGGTGTTATGAAAAGATGGAACTTTAAAGGTCAACCTGCTTCCCATGGTACTTCCTTGACACATCGTTCAGCTGGTTCTACTGGCCAGCGTAAGGTAATTTTTAATGGGGGGGGGGTTTTTTGTCATCTTTCTACTTTAATGGGATGTCGATTTCTCAAAAAAAATATCATGTTTAACCTCTAATGATTCTTCTTTACTCTACAGTGGCCAAGTAAAGTCTTCAAGGGTAAAAAGATGGCTGGTAGACTGGGTGGAGAAAACGTTACAGTGCAAAATTTAAAGGTTGTGAAAGTGGACCCTGAATTGAACTTACTCTTTGTTAAGGGAGCTGTCCCAGGGTTTGACGATCAATTTGTAAAGGTGAAGGATGCAGTGAAATTACGTGGTGAGAAGTTGTTTCCTAAAGAAGCTATCCCGCCACCCTTCCCCACTGTTCAATAGAAACTACTTTTTTTAATTGTAATATAAAATGATTCCGTCATCATAAGAAAACGTACAAAAAATAAAAAAGAAGCCTTGTATATTTTTATTCTCTCTTTGGAACAAAACACTAATACACAATTTTTTACACAGATAAGACACATTATTTGATACATAGCGCATTAGGAGGTGAAGCGACGCCATCTTCCTTGTTCAAAGGAGCACTGGTGAAAAAGTACGTGTAAACCTTATCCTTTGCTGAATCCTCAGCCAACTTTTCCAGATCAAACATCTCACCAATAGGCATACCGAACCCACCCAGAAAGTAGGAATCTGTAACGCATCTCATGCAAAATTAGTTTTTCTAATCATTCCCAACGATAGCATGGTGCACGTGTGTTGCCTTCTATGTATATATATACTTACGGCAGGAGGTTGCCCAGTCTGTAGGCGGGAATGCTTCAAAAGGAAAATTGTCCGAAGCCACGGCTGCAAAATGGTGATCCCAAACCCATCGAAAAGTCTCTTCACAGGCTTTTACGCCTGCACACGAAGGATGCTCCAAATCCTTGATCCTTTCTGTCACCTTCTCACCCAGTTCCTCGTACATTTTCATCCAGCCTGTTCGTACGAGCAGGATGTCGCCTATTTCAAATGTGACTCCTTGCGCTTTAGCTACTTGGTCCAGTTCATCTACAGTAATTTCATATCTGTCAAATGGATCATACAAAGTATTATGCTCTGCTGCCCAACGACCATAATCAAGAAGGACAGCACGGCCTGCTATACCGCGACGGGCCATGTGATGGATAGCCAAACGTCCATTCGATTCTGAGTTGCCCCCCCTAGCCACTACTACTTGTTCAGGTCGAATGCCATTGTAAAATTGACCTGCAGGAAGATGAGCCATATGGCGAAGACCGTCCCATTGAGTAGAGGATTGTGTGTTAAAGTTATGATAGCAGTCGTCATAAACGAGACCGTTTGGATCGAGGGATTTATACTCATGCTGTACCTCGTATCGACCAAACAAAGCTGGCTTGGGACTTTCGAGCTTCCAATTCAAAGGGAAAACAGCTCCCCGACGGATGCATTGAGCAGCCTTTTTTGTAGTCATTTCAACAGAAGAGCCAAGTCTCTTTCATTAACATGGTTCCTGCTCACCTTTTCGCGTATTTTATGACGTTTACCTTTTGAACCCTCTCTTCGGTTAAAAGATTCAAGGTACCATAGTTATCATCCTCACCCCATAAACCCCAGGCTGTATGTGGAGGGTACTTGGGGTCAATGGGTAATTGATCATAGGTTGGAAGAGTGTTCTTTTCAAAAGTCATAGACAGTTGGATTGTTGGAATTAATTAAATTGAATTGAAAAAGAAAGAAAGAAAGAAAGAAAAAAAGAATAGAAAATTGAACATATCCATCAATTGAATGCTTGGATTGGCGGGTAATACAGCAACCATAGCTGACTATGCGTTGGATAGGCTAAACAAGTAAGCCATCTATTTCCATGTAAACCCATGTCAGTCACATCAGGTAAATCTATATTGTATTCCTAAGGCGATCCCCCGTGAGAATGGCACTTTGTCAGTTGAAAAAGAAAAAAAAAAAAGTGGGTATAAGCCCTAATAGTGCGCCCCTTTATTGATGAGTGAGTGATGTGTATGCGGGGGGGAATATTTTTGTACGTGTAAAACGAAGGATAAAAAGATTAGCCCACTTCCGATGATACTACAGTGGCGGTTAAGGTTGTTCTTCCTGTTCATCCCTTTCCTGTATAAGTTGTCTTTGCTTTTCTTGTTCTTCTTTTGGTATCTTGTCAAGGTATTGACCGATAAATTTGTTCATACCAAATGCATCGACCTGGTCATTGCCTCCAAATAATTCCTTCAAATTGGCATCACAGTTGATAATTTTCTTATTCGTCTCGCTTTGTAATCCACGTTGTTTGATGTAGGCCCATATCTTTTTAACAGCTTGGGGCCTCGTACACTGGAAATAGATAAAAAAAGTCAGCTTCAGTTGCGCTTTTTTACTCTCAAGACGGACGAAGGGTTGAGCCTATCTTACATAATCAACGCTAACAACATAAAGTAGTGGTGGAAGTACTTTGAAGATGGGCCATTTTGGACTTCGTTTTACTGGTTCCTTCTCTGTCTTTTTCTTTCTGGGAGTAGTGGGTTTCTTGATGGCTGACTGCGTTGTCTTTGGAATCCTGTCTTTTTGCACGACTGGAGGAGAATAGGCTTCTTGTTGCACCTTACTTTGCTTTTCTTGGAAAGTTAAAAATACTGATTCAATGACGCCGTTTATCTCTTTTTTTATAGAGTCTAAGCTGGTGGCTCTTTTCGCCTCAAGAGCTTTACGAATTTTTTTGGTCGTAACAGTGGAAAGATCCGATTGTCTTAAAATCTCTACGTAGCATTTTGTTAGGCGGGTTTAAGAACGAGATGGCAGGCATTCAACTGACTTTATCCTACCCCCCATCGGTTATCTCTTAATCTGCAAGAAAAACAGTTTGCTAAAACAATAATTACCTTCAATATCTGCTCTATATTGTTCCGCCATTATTAAAAAACACAATAGTTTGTTAAAAGATGGAGTCGATCGCGAGATGACTTGAGCGCTTAATTTTATATGAGAGAAACGCACTTCAAAAAAAAAAAAAAAAAAAGTCTCGCTCCCCCCTCAAACAGAGTCGTGTTTTGGGAAAAGAAATTCCATTGAATGGCCCCCCTTCCAACAAAATAGGCCGTACCTTTTCCTTCATAAAATTCATGGATAGTTTCTTCACAGAAAAGAGAGCCTGGGGGTATTCACTACGGCTGCCTTTCCTTGCCTAACGAACCAGAACCCCATTGTCCACTTCTTCCCATTCTTGCGACCACGAGTGACTGAATATTAAATCTGATAAGATTTTGTAGATAAGCATTGGGTGCAAGACAAAAGCAATGACCGAGCAGCCATTTGCCTGTTCGTTTTCCGCTTCACCCTCCATAGCAAAAAAACTCTCTTTTCGAGTGGGGGGAAACATACATTTTCAAATGCGCCTCGGGACATACACTATTTCGTCAGTGTTGAAAGAAGATCGTCCCCGCCCTCAAACACACCCCTCCCCCAATATCATTGGTTTGACAGTCCGGTGAGATGATTCCTACGTAACAATAGTACACGTTTTTTGCTTTTCTTTGTTTCCTTTTTCTTGCAAAGAACGCTCCTCCCATCGCTGTAGAACAGGGGACAAGAAACTACAATGTCGTTTCAAGCAGCAGCATTTGCATTTCTATTTCCTGGAAATGCCATGACAAACTCTCTACTGGCAACTGCCTATATATCCATCTTTCCCAACCTGCTTTTATACTTTGTTCCTCCTGACATTGACACAGGCGCTTTGAATGTGCTGGTCAGCTTTGCCGTCGGTAAGAGATGAAAAAAGGCAGACATCTATTTTCGAGAGGATCGGGCAAGTAGCACTCAAACTCAGTCTCTTTCTCCCAATTGACCTCTTCTTTTACAGGCGGGTTGCTTGGCGACGTTTTTCTTCATTTATTGCCTCATGCCTTTTTAGGAGAACCTACAGAGGAAAATGCTGTGGTGGTGGTGGACAATCAAAAGAACGTTCTCATAGGGACTGGTATCTTTGTTGGGTTATTCTTTTTCTTTTTTATGGATAAAATGATGCGCGTTATCAACGGTGGCAGCGGTCATCACCATCATCACCCCCTTCCTGCCGAGACGCACGAGCACACACACACCGATCCTATCACAGCCGCCGCCGGTACGACGACCTCTTCCTCCGCATCATCGCATCGTCGTGTGGAAGTGCGCCAACGCAAAAAGACCAGTGAGAAACAAGTCGTCCAGGGCGAAAAGGCGTCAGCGAACAACAACAACAACAACAACAACAACAACAACGGCATCAAGCTCAGCGCTTACCTCAACTTATTGGCAGACTTTACACACAACATGACCGATGGTCTCGCTATGGCAGCGTCGTTCTACGCCTCACCCGCGGTGGGGGCAACGACCGCGGTGGCCGTTTTCTTTCACGAAATTCCGCACGAAGTCGGTGATTATGCTATTTTGGTCCAATCCGGTTTCAGCAAGCAAAAGGCCATGATGGCCCAATTCACCACGGCGGTGGGTGCTTTCTTGGGCACCTTGATCGGCATTTTGATCGAAGAAGAGGCTCTCTCGAACAAACTGCTGGATGCCACGATGCCTGCGGTGGGCTTGATGGGCACCGATGTGACGTGCAGTGATTTGGTGATTCCTTTTGCAGCCGGTGGATTTTTGTACATTGCCACGGTGGGTGTGATCCCTGAATTGTTGGCCATCACAGGCAATGCAAAGAAAGATAAAAAGCAAGCCTTTGCCGAATTTGTGGCGATGTTTATTGGTTTGGGCTTGATGTTTCTTATTGCTTGGAATGATATCCCCGCCTAGAGAGAAAATAAAAGCATCTATTGTATGTGTATTGTAGATTATAATAAAAAGTGCCCCACTTGTCTCTAAAAAGAACAGCACACACACATTTGAAATGAGCAAAGATTGTTTATTGATGTTTCATGTTTTTTAGTATTTGTAACAAAAATGTATTTTCTTTTCTGTCCTATACATTTTTTATAGAGAGGAAGATGGAGGGAGGTGATTCTTTATGACAAATAAATTATGGTATTTAGTTTGAAGGGTATCTTGACAGGGAAATCAGTCATCATCACTGTCGCTTTCTTCTGATTCTTCAGACTCTTCATCGTCTTCTACAGAGAGAGTGTGAGGAAAAAAGAAGGATAAGAGGATGAGCAAATGTTACACAGCAAAGAAATAAGGAGTACTTACTGAAGAGAGCACGTAATGACATTGGCTTTTTGGTATGATTTGCAGGGGGTAATAGAGAAGGATTTGCGTTTGTAGCTGCTACAGAGGTGGAAGACAAAGAAGACGGAGGAACGGGACCGTTCGTACTGGCACCTAGGGAAGGGTGCTGAGGAGAGGGAGGCTCCGAAGTATCAAGCCCTATCACAATATGCTCGGCTAGTTTGTCAAAATCTTCATCATCATCGGAGTCAGTCTCGCTGCTGCCGCTGCCGCTGCTGCTGCTGGCACTTTCTTCTTCTGAGCCTATTTCTTCACTAGCGGCTCCTGAGCAGGCGGCGGCTCCTGAGCGGGGAGAGGCTTCTGAGCGAGGAGAGGCTTCTGATCTGGAGGCGACTTCTTCTTCTTCTTCCTCACCTGAAGATGAAGCTTCGCTGTTGGAACGACTGCTGACGTCGTCGTCTTTAGACAACTTACGGCGCTTTACATTAGCCACAGCGCATGCAGGCACGGGCGGTGTACTAGAGCTCAGCGATTTAAGACTGATAGGAGTAGCGATGGGGGCAGGCGGATGAGACACGGGAGAGGCAGTTTTGAAAGAAGATGGGCTATCTAAATGACGGATAGGAGCAGAGGCCATTTTCACCTTACGTTTTCTGGGATTGACGGGTGACTGAGGTTTGAGCGCCGTGCTTGGGCTATTGGCGGGTCGCACACCAGGATTTCCATTTCTGTGATGGTTGCTGTTGTGATGGGTGGTGGCACCTGTTGAAGAAGGCGTGGGTGTGGGAGGTAACGCTAAAGTGGGTATCTGAGGGGGTAAAGGTACTCTGTGATTACTGGTATGGTTGATGGGCGTGGGAGGGAGGCTCAGTGGGTGGGTGCTTGCTACAGGTTTGTTTGTTGTTGTTGCTGTTAATTGCTTGGAAATTGGTGTTACCACCGCTGCTGCAGGCGCTAGCAGCGTGGGAGCTGTAACTTCTTCAAACACCTCCGAAGTTTCTGAATCGGATGGACTGCTGTCATCATCCGAATCGCCATCCAAGATATCATCCATATCTTTGGAGAGATCAAAGTCAAAGTCGTCGTTGTCATCCTCCATGGCTGTTTCAGGTTGCGATGGAGCGGCGGTGGTAGAAGGTAGTGTGGTGGTTGCTGTAGAAAGTGGTGTATCATAGGCGGGCGCCTGTTGTGGCGAAGGCTTCGGCGGAAGATGCAGCTGAGTGGGGAGAGGAGGGAGTTCCAGTTTTGAATGTGGAGGCGTTTCATCTGCCATGCTGATGTAAGCCCCTTGTCTTTCGATCGTACAAGTCTAAGGCGCACAAAAATAAACAAAAGCAGTTAAAACGAGTCTAGACAAAACAAATCAAAAGGGGGGCGGGGGCGGAAAGTTTTCTTCCTACCATGGCTTTTTCATCAAAGATAAGGATACAATCGTTGAGGCTTGGGGCTTCTGTCATCTCAACGTCAAAAGTCTATAGGTAGAGTGGGCAAAAAAGTAGATAATTTAGAGCCAAAAGGAAACAAAAACAAAACTACACAAAACGCGTGCAAAAAAAACCTGAAACATGAAAGGCTTACCCCGCTTTGAGATATGTCCAGTTGGTACTTTTCTTTCTCTCTCTGTAACAACTTGGCTTCTCTCTTGAACACCTTGGCATCGGATTTTTTCGCGTCTATGAGCAAGAAAAGATGGGTTTCAATCATAAAGTATATTTTTATGACGAATATATCTACAGCTTGGTCTATACTTACGCTTCACTTTGTAGAACTTTGGTGCTTTCTTTTTGATTTTTGCATCAAATGATTTCCCAAGTACTATCTTATAACGACCTTTTACTACCAAATTGAGAGGCAACATACGGAACGAAGAAAGGGGGGAACAGAAAAATCAAAGGGTGACAGAAATAAGTTGAGCAAAGACGGGTCAAACGTATAAAAGTAAAACTCAAGTGCTTAGACTAAGGTTTCAAGGGTAATATAACAAACAGATGGCGATGACTAACTGAAAGCAGAACTAAAGATGAGCAGATGTAAGGAGAATAGAAGAGAGAAAAAAAAAAAGTTACCTGGTTTCATAACAGAACAGAACCCACATTTATAGCATTATCATGCTGAGGTTCAATTTGTCGCTATGCAAGTCACTGACGCCATCCGAGGTGGGGCGCATTCACCTTATCCTCTCTCTCACCTTTTGAACAAAAGTGGGGGGTGGAGGAGGGGGGGGTGGGGGCGTTAGCAGATGAAGGCATCTAGAGAGACGCATTGGGACTCTCTATAGATAACCGTCATGAACGGCTTGAATTTTCAAACATATTTTTTGTACCCTAAGTTGTCTAAAATAGACTGATGCATGGACTATCCTGGTCATGGGGGCAAAAGTTGTATAATCATTGATGGACCATGGCAGGCTGTATTTTTTATAAAAAATATGCTGACTATCTTTTGCTCTGTTTCTTATGCGTGCGTATCAAAGGCTGAGACGAGGGAAAAACTGTTTGTCTAACCCGTTCAAGTGAGTGGGGCGCGCCCCGCTGTTCAGGCAAGCCGTTCTTTTTTTTCGATTTTTAGAAAGCAGTCCTAGGCCTCTATGCTTCACTTAAAAGAACACTACGACAACCTATCGTCGACAATAGACACATCCTTTTGTTAGGGGTGGTTGCTTTTTTTGTACTTTATATGAAAAAATCAAAGGACGGAAGATGAAAATGCTTCAAAGTGATGTTATTTTATGATCATGATGAGAAAAGAAAGGGTTTTCCATTCGATGTTTCAGTGAAAAAGACGCTCTATGACTATAAAAGAAAGGGTTTTTTTTTTTGCAGGCTCTCCCCTCGATTTGGTTTTTACTCTTTATCGTTTTTCTATTGATTACAACAGGAGGGTAAGCGTTTCATTATCATTTTAAGCTTGCAAATACAACGATGGCTCCATCTACGGCAGCAGATAAGAATGTCGACAAGGCAAATATCAAAAGCGTCAGCGTGTTCTGTGGAGCTGACAGCGGTGCGGATCCTGTGTTTGAGCAAGAAGCTGTTGGTAAGACATGTGAGAATCAAGAAATACGACCCACTCAAAAATGTACTCTTTCGCCTTGAGGAATGTGTAATGATGACATTGATGTAACTACTTACTCTAGAGCTAGGGAAGATATTAGCAGAGAATAATATCCGATTGGTGTATGGTAAGGATTATCTACTGCTCTCTTCCACAGCAACGAGAGAGTCGCCTCCATTCACAATGTCTATTTGTATTTACTGGGGGGTTGGGGGGTTGGGTAGGTGGTGGAACTGTTGGCTTGATGGGGGCAGTCGCTCAATCGGTCTTTAAGAACGGTGGAAAAATAACTGCTGTTGTGCCTGAACCGATGCTCACGTTAAGCGATGAGCAACTTTGTGAGCCGACAGTTGTTCCTGACATGCACAGCCGTAAACGCCGTATGCATGACGAGAGCGATGCTTTCATTGTTTTGCCCGGTGGCTTTGGTACCATGGAAGAAATGCTGGAAATGATCACTTGGTCTCAACTCAACATTCACTCCAAACCCATCATTCTCGTCAACACTAAAAATTATTTCACACCTTTTGACAGTTGGGTTAAGCTTTGTGTGAAAGGTAAGAGGACGTCACTCTTTCATGTCGTCTAGCTGCCTCACTCAATCGACCGCCTCCTCCGTTCATTTTCTTTTTTTTTTTTTTTTTGGGTGTAGAAAACTTTATCAAGTCAGATAACGCCAACATATTTGTCCTTTGTGAGTCAAGTAAGCAAGTTCTCGATACCCTAAACAAATACAAAGCACCCGAAGCACGCTATGTCATCCATTGGAAGCCTTCTGAACGAGACACTCTGGTTTAGTTATCGTTACAGGCAATGGCAATAAATGTATGGATAAAAGCTGAAGGCCGTCCTCTATTTTTTCATTGAGTAAACCCATGGTCATGACTCTTTTGTTTAAACCATGATTTTTGAGCTAAAAACACTTGCGCAGGAATTAGGTTTGTGGCGCATGTATGCTTTCACAACGGGGTGGGGGGGGGCTGCTGCGATTAAAAAAGTTTCTGTTGGAGTTGAGATAACCTCTGCTAGTGATATAGAAGCCTTTTGATACAACAAGGCGATGTTGTGTGTGGTTTTTTTTTCTGTGCGGGTGTTCATTTGGCTTATACTACCTCTTCATGAAGAGATGGTTCCCTTTCACGTACCACAATGCCCAAAAAAGAGGGAACTCTGAACGACGGCTGTCATCCATAAAGGCTGTTTACAGTTTGTACCATTCAAGGTCGGACAGAAAGCATCATTGCATTATATAGCTGCTGACAGAAAGATATCTAGTACTAGACTAAAGAGATCAAAAAAACCCTTCCATTCGAAAGCGTCAATTTAAATTCAATGTCTCCTCATGTTGCGACTCAGTTAGAACGCGCTCTATTCACTCTTTCCAATACGCGTTATTACTCGTATTCGGCGATGGAGAATGTAAGATGAAGATGAGCCAAGTCATTAGAGTACACGCATAGTAGATAGGATATCCTTTTCACAACACAGCACTCTTTCAAAAAAGGGAGTAGACAGGCTTGACGATGACCAGCATGGATCGAGTGCTGTGGAGTCATTTGTAAAGTTTATTGAGACGCATAAAAAGAAAGTGGTAGCATTATTCCAGCCAATGGCTTATGTTGCAAAAAATGCCTAACCCAGCACGTTATGAAGTGTATTTTTTTGAAATAGGCTATTCAGATAGACATTCTCTATCTATGTAACACTCTTTTGTATCTTCATTCTTTACTTTCTGTTCCTGAGATGAATGGTATCCATCGTGACCACCTCAAAGTCGTCGCTCACAATGAGTTTCTAGAGCCAACCAAAAAGAGTCTGATGAATATGGATTTAAAAGTGGGTAGAACAATAAAATGCCTTCCAGCCGTCCAAGATGAACAACATCAAGTTCTTCGAACGAGAGAAACAGCCAAACATCTGACGAGAGTATCCGCCATCCGACTTTTACAGAACGTCAGAAATACATATGATTTGGCAAAAGTTTACCATCAGGTGTTGTTTACTATCACTTTGAAGAAACAAGAAAAAAGAGAGCTTAAAGTGCCCAACGGAACTTTAAAAAAAGCAGAACAGAAAACAATAAGCTCCATTATTCAAATCTTTATTAAAAGTTATGAGTGCATTTTTATAGTCATCTACCCGTTAGTCCTTTAAAAAATCGGTTATTGACTACTGGGTCCCCCACTTCGTTTTGGTAAATAATTCTTTATTGTTTCATTGCAAACGTTACTTTTTTGAATATGTCTTTTATTCACTGGAGGGAACTTCTTTGTGGTTTTTTTTATTCTGTACACACACTTTTTAGAAAGCTTTCTTCTTCCTCCGCGTTGACTGCGATCCCAAAAAGTTAAATATGGATTGCAGACGAGCAGCTTCTTTCACTTCACATCTTCCTTCAGAGGGACCTATTCATCTCAGCCAACAACTGCCCCAAGAGACGGTTCCATCCTGTTTTATGCTGGGCCGCGTGATGCCACTTCTTTTTCAGTGGATGAACAGTTTACCTTTGGGATGGGCAAAAAAGAAAAGATCCGTATTATTTTTTGTTGTCAGATTTGTTTGTAGAAAGAGAGCTCTCATTCACCGCCCGGCTGACAACATTGTTCATGCGTCGTTTTTGTTGTCGAAAAGGTCTCACTTTTTTGTCGGTTTCATATTGTGACCCATTTTCCTGGGGTAATTCCGCCTTTTTTCTTATCGGAAGATCATCCGAGCAAAGGGTTGTTTTGATCAAGAAAGGAAAAAAAGTCGGGTCAGGAGGGAAACAAAAACTTGCACCCTTTGCCGTACCTGCACACACAGCTGGATGTACACCCAAAAAAAAAAAAAAACCCCAAAGTAAGGTTACTTTTAAAAACCTAACCTTTTTTTTTTTTTCTGACAAAGTTTTAATTTTTTTTATTTTTTAATATTTTTTTATTTTTTAAATTAGAAAAAAAAAAAAATGTCAAGTTAAAAAAAAGGGTCTTTTTTTTTATGATTTGGGGGGAGGGGAGGAAAAAAACAGAAAAGAAAAATATACACGCAGCTGCATAAAAAATGTATCAAAAAAAAAAAAAGCTTGAGCCTAACTTTAAAAAAGAAAGAAGGGGATTCTCTTTTTTTTGCATAGATAATAATAAAGAAAAAACCAAGAGATAAAAAGGAAAAATAAAAAACCCGCAAAAAATGATGATTACGTCAAAAATGAAAAAAAGGGGGGGGGGAGTGAGTGGTTGTTTTGATCAGCTATAAGAGAATGATAGCTTTTGTGTGGTTTCCAATAAAAAAAAAAAAAAAAAAACGGATTTATTTTCATTTCAGCATGAGAGGACCCATTCCAAGTTCCGAGGCATTTTGGGTATCATACATGGACGAGTTGGAAGTTTGAGGAAGCACCAGTTGGTTTCGATACAACTCGTTTGCTGTTAAAGTATTGGTCAAAGGCTGTTGTACTTGTGGAGATCTTTGCAAGTAGTAGGATCCTCCATAAGGCTGTTGCTGTTGCTGTTGTTGTTGTTGTTGTTGTTGTTGCTGTTGATGATGATGATGATGTAATGGTGGTGGTGGTGGATGAAGTTGTGTGTTGAATGGGGTAGCAGTAGCCGTAGCCGCTGTGGATGATGTCGCTGTGGTGGTGGTTGTTGTTGGTGTAGTCGTCGTCGTCGTGTTGTTGGTGGTAGTGGTGGCAGTGGCAGGGGTCGTGTTCGTGTTCGTGTGGGTCGGCGTGGTGGTAGGAAGGCCAAAAGATGGATAGAAAGGATGGTTGTGCTGCGCTTCTCCTGGTTCCGCTTTCAACGCAACAGCTGCTGTCGTCAAAGGATGCACTGGGTTGAGTAATTGTCCAATATGTGGTGTGGACGTGTTATTCATAGGATCAGAGCCATTGCCCGTGTCATTCTCTGGTTTCATTAAACCCACATCGGACATCATGTGAGGATGAATGGAGGGCTGTTGTGTTGTTTGTTTATGGGTGTTGCCACCATGAGCATGATCTAACGGGTGACTATTGGATAATAAATCAAAACCGTTGCGATGTGTCGTCGTGGTAGCCGTTGTAGTGTATCTGGGAGGCGGCGGTCCATTGGATGAGGTGGAAGAGATGGAATAATTGCGCGTCTGCTGCTGTTGCTGCTGCTGCTGCTGCTGCTGCTGCTGAGAAAAGGAGGGACGTACAGGAGATAAAATGGGTGTATTGGGTGAGGATGTGATGCTGGAGGGTGATGGTAAAGGTGGGAAACCGTGATTCATGGGGTTGTGATTATTGCCGTACATGCTAGCAGTGTAATAAGCAGACAAATTGTTGTTGTTATTTGCATATTTATTGCTATGGTGGTTATCATCCAAGTCCATACGCGGGTTGAAGGACGAAGAAGAAGTGGTATATAACAGTTGAGGTGGTTGAGGTTGGCCGATAGAGGAACGACTCACAGGAGGTAGTGTGCTATGAGATGCATAGCTGTGTGATGTACGCAGTGATCCCATGGACATACTTCGATAGGAATGCATACGTCTTTCTTCAGCTTGATGAAAAAAAAAAAAGAAAAAAAAAAAAAAAAAAAGAAAAAGTAGGCTCTTTAGTAAGTTGTGAAAAAGGTTGCAAAATTAATCTGTCATCCTCTGTACCTGTCAAACCTCCTTCATTATTGTCAAACGAGGGTTCAACCAGAGGAGGCACTCTAAAGTTCTGTTTAACCAACAAGTCAGGTGAAATTTCAAGGCTAGCTAATTCTGGTACAGAAGAAGGCGTACGCAATTTGTTCTCCATGATATCACCAGGATGATAGTAAGAAATTAAATGTTGAGCGACACCATTGACAACAATAGACATGGTCTTCTTTATCAGACCATTTTTACGGAATCGATAAGAATCAGAAAGACTGCCTACTAAACGACGTTCACGATTGCTACGGTCAGGAAGACCACCTGCTACAGCAGAGGCAGAAAGCCCTCCCATGGCTGTTTGATCGGCACTGAAACTACGAGGTTTGGTGGATGATTCAGCATGAGTGTTATTGTTGCTGTTATAACTCTTTTTTTCGCCTGGTGTTTTTTTGTCTAATTCACGATATATCAAGAAATTTCCCAAGATACGTGATGGACTCCAAACTAAACCGTCTGTCCATCGTTTAATTCCTAATTTTTTTTTTTGAGGAATGATTTAATAATCATTACGAATTTATTTGATCACCCTGTTTTCACTTTTCTCTCTTTTTTGTAGGTTGAAGAAAGTAGTATGTCTGTGCGTGTAAAAAAATATGCGTTGCGGTCTCCCATACGTTTTTCCCCCTTTCTTTTTTTTTTTTTTTTTTTTTTTTTCCACACATTCTTTTGATATTCCCCCCTTATCTTTTTCACAAAAATCCCCTAAACCCTCCGCTCTTTTTTCTCTTTTTTACTGACACGCTTTTTGCTGGAAAAGCAAACAAAAGAAACGTATGGCTGGTCTTTCTTTAACCATCCCCGCCCTTTCTACACCGTATAGAATAGGTTACCTGATTCTCTTTCATCAAACACAAAGACGGACCCAGACCGTATCATACGTCTTTCTTTTTCTTGAAGTCTTCTACACACTCTTGGCAATAAGCCTCTTCTGCATCCTTCAAAAATAAGCAATACATCTTGCGTTGTTTCAATATAACCATGAAAAGTTTCTACCATTCTATGCATGAAAAAGAAAAAAAAAAGATGGATGAAGCGTAAGAGAGCTGGAGAATGAAGCACTGTTTTGAATTTGAGTTAAAAAGAGCATTTCATGTCGAACCTGAAATTTTAAGATTTAAAATGTAAAAAATAGAGAGAGAGAAAGAGAGAGAGGGGAGGGGGGAAAAAGAAAAAAGAAACTACTTTTTTTTTATTGCTAATAATAAAAAAAAAAAAAAAAAAAAAAAAAAAAGTTGAATAAAAGTGGTGAGGTTTGTTCTATTTCGACTGGTAACACACAAACTTGTACAAAAACAAAAAATAATAATATAAATTCCCGCTTCGTTATAGCAGTAAAAACAACAAAAAAATAAACCAAAAAGAAAAAAAGAGTAAGGTGAAAAAAGAGAAAGAGAAAAGGTATATACACCTCACGATTAGATAACCACAAAAATATATCAAACAATTTTCATTGAGTTTGTAAACTGACAAAAGAAAAAAAACCGTTCTTTTTTTGGGCTGTATATAAAAAAAAAAAACAAAAATTGAGAATTATGATGCTATTGCATTATTCAATTTTCCCCCTAAAAAAATGAAAGGTCCTTTGTACACAATTATAAACATTTTGAATCTATTTTTTACCCTACCGTCGTCGCAGGGGGTTGTCCGCGGGAGATAATGGAAAAAAGAGACACTACTGGTTTCAACCCCGAACACCTCTAGCTGTTCTTGCAGAAAGGGAATTCTACCCGTCCAATCGTTTCATCTCTCACACGCTTTTGTATAGACGAAACCACTCAATGTGTGTGTGTGTGTGTATGCTATCCCAATGTCAGTGTTGGGGGAGTTTATCTGTTATGCATTCGCCATTGGGTGTGAAAGAGGATGATTTTTGTTCTATTGGACTCAATGCCTTATTTCCTCGTCTTAAAAAGAGAGATTTTCGGGCTTCCCCACATTTTTTTATTTTTTCTTGTACCTCGATTCTTGTCGATTTTTTTTTTTTTTTCTGTACATTGCGAAAACTGTCAAAAAACAAAAAAAAAAAAAAAAAGGTTCTTCACAACAGAGTGTTTAAAATTTGATTTACCTTTTAAAGTACCTTTGCACACATTTATTGGAGCATATCCGGAGCGACCTTGTTTAAAATAGGCAAAAATAGTCCATTGTCCCTTTGGCTGGGAAAACCATAACGTACTCTTTTACTACTCTAGGCCTTTCTCTTTTGCCTGCACAAAAAAACAAACCCATTGGGTATTTTTTTCCTTTTTGAATCTTGATCAACTCTCATGAAGCGGGCGGGGGAACCGCCTGCCAGTGATGACCTTGACTACTTGTCCATTTCTCAGGAACCCCACTTGTGCATGCGTGAGGAATGATCCATCCATGTGGCAAAAGGAAAAAAACATAAAAGACCCCATGGGAAGGTTTCCCATGTCGATCCCATCCCTCACGACTTTTTCTTTTTTTTTTTTTTTTTTTTTTTTTTTTTTTTTTTTTTGCTTCATTGTCATGTTCCTTGGTTCAAGCCCAACATGACAATCAAAGAGAATGTCTGTGCGACAATTCCAGCCTCTCCGCGCACTCCCCCCTTGAAACGTGCAGAGAATAGGTTGCATTTGGCATTTGCATTTTTGCCATTCATGCAGGATGGAAAAAAGAAAACCCTCAATGAAAAATGAAAGGGGTTCATACTCATTTTTATTTTATTTAGTAAAACAATGTCTAGTATAAAAAAAATCATGAAAGGGAAAAGAGAAATGATATACATGTGTTTATGTGCACGTTCCATGTCAACGCACAAAAAAAAAAAGGCCACATAAACATTAGAATGTTGTAAAAAACGAAAAAAAAAAAAAAAGATAGAAATACATTTTTTTTTTTTTTTTTTTTTTTTTTTCCTTCTTCAACAAGTACAAGGAGGTTCAATGATCCGTCAAGGTGTTTGGAATGATGGGTTTTTCTTACATCATACCACCCATACCGCCCATACCGCCACCCATGGGCATAGCAGGCGTCTCCTTTTGAGGAGCATCTACAATCATACATTCGGTGGTGGTCAAAAGAGAGGCAACACCAGCAGCATCCACAAGAGCTGTACGAACCACCTTGGTAGGATCAATGATACCGCGTTCAATCATATCACAGTATTCGTTGGTGGAGGCATCGTAGCCCCAGTTGGAGTTACCCGACTTGTCTTCCAAAATCTTGCCAGCGACGACCGATCCTTCACCACCCGCATTGTCGACAATGGTGCGACAAGGACGTTGGATGGCTTGACGGATGATATTGATACCCAATTGTTGGTCAAAGTTGGCACCCTTGAGGTTTTCAAGAGAGTTGGCTGCCTTCAAGAGAGCCACACCACCGCCAGGAACGATACCCTCTTCCACAGCGGCACGAGTAGCACACAGAGCATCATCGAAACGATCCTTCTTTTCACCCACTTCCACTTCAGAAGCACCACCGACACGGATGACAGCCACACCACCCGAGAGCTTAGCGAGACGTTCTTGAAGTTTTTCCTTTTCGTATTCTGAAGTGCTAGGGTCTTCAATGGCACCACGAATTTGTTCACAACGCTGAGAAATGCTGTCCTTGGTACCAGCACCGTTCAAAAGGACGGTATCTTCTTTGGTGATCGTGACAGAGCCCGTGGTACCCAGAAGTTCGGGGGTGGCCTTTTCTAACTTGAGGTCTAATTCATCCGAGAAGACGGTGGAGTGGGTGAGCACACCAAGATCGCCCAAGATCGATTTACGGTTGTCACCGAAACCAGGCGCCTTGACAGCGGCCACTTGGATTTGTCCACGAAGCTTGTTCAAAATACAAGCAGCGAGAGCTTCACCATCCACATCTTCAGCAACAATCAAAAGAGGACGGCGTTGTGTGGCAGCGGCTTCAAGAGCAGGTAAAATGTCTTGGAGTAAAGAAATCTTCTTTTCGGACAACAAGATCAAAGGCTTTTCGAATTCAACGCGTTGTGTCTTGGTATCGGTGATGAAGTAAGGAGAGATGAAACCACGGTCGAAGCGCATACCCTCAGTGACTTCCAATTCATCGTCAATCGTCTTACCGGCCTTGACCGTAATGACGCCTTCCTTACCCACACGCTCCATAGCTTGAGCAATCAAATTACCTACATGCTTATCACCATTGGCAGAAATAGTAGCCACCTAAGGAAGGGTCGGGAGGAGAAAGGAGTTTTGAAATGTATAAATACATGTCTCTTTTTTGTTACAGGGGCCCATTATTCTCTCTTTCCTTCTTTTTTTTTACTTACTTGAGCAATTTCGGCAGAGGTGGTAATCACCTTGCTATTAGATTTCAAGAATTCAAGAACGTGATCCACGGCTAATTGAGCACCACGACGAAGGTCCAAAGGGTTACAACCAGCGGCCACGTTTTTGACACCTTCAGTAAAGATGGCACGGGCCAAGACGGTAGCAGTAGTAGTACCATCCCCAGCAATTTCGTTTGTCTTACTAGCTACATCTTGAACGAGTCTATAAAATGCATAAGGGAGAAAAGAAAAAAAAATAAATTGTATGAGTTTTTCATGCATCCATTCTATTTTTTACGTTTTCATGGCCGAAAGAGCGGATCGCCTTGTCCCATGGGCTCCCCTTCCGCGATGTCACCCCCACCCTCTCCAAACAACCCTTCTGTTGTTGTGGGTTTTTATTTTTTTTTTATTTTTTTTTTTTTTTGCTTACCTAGCACCCAAGTTTTCAAATTTATCTTCTAAAACGATGGATTTAGCAACAGTAACACCATCTTTAGTAATCTTGGGAGAACCATAAGGTTGCTCAATAAGGACGTTACGACCCTTGGGACCAAGAGTGACAGCAACAGCCTTGGCAAGAACATCCACACCCTTCAAAAGACCGGCGCGACCTTCGACGCCAAATTTGATTTCTTTGTGGGTAGAGTAAAGACGGTTGAGAATGCCAGTAGCGCTCTTACGGCTTTGGCGAGAGGCAGTAGTTTGAAGTGCCTTGCTGACAAGTCTGTTCATTTCCTTAGTACAATGGGCGATGCACACGAGTTAAGAAAAAAAAAAATGAAAAGAAAGAACAAAAAAGGGGGATTGGGAAAAAAAGGGGGGGTTGGGAGGGAGGGGTCCTGAGATTTTTCTACTTGCCCAGCAGTGGAGGGAACAGAGCCCGGTCACGGGCGATAATGGGAATAGGGCGAACAAAAGAGCCATCCCAACCCACGAAGAGAAATTATTGGTTCCGACGGAATTTTTTTGTTTAACCTTTTTATTTTTTTTCTCTGTCGTGGAAATCACTGGAACCTTCTCTGACATGTTTGGTAACAATGAAGCTCAGTAGGGCCTCTTTTTCCCTTCTCGTCCAACCCGTCCCCTTTTTGAAATACAAAAAAAAAGAGGGCAAAAAAGGTGAACAAGTGTCACTGTCCATCGTGGGAATAACTATCATCTATGACGCTGCGTGACATATGGTTTGACTATGAGCGTTTTTGAGCTACATCCCTCCCATTGTACACCCGGGGTGGGGGGGATGTTGAATCGCAGGAAGAGGATGGGTTTATCGTGTAGAGGAGAGGCCATTGACTATGTTTCGCATAAAGTAGACAATGGGTTCGTTAAAAATGGCTTATGATCTTTCTATTGTTTTTGATTCAGCCAACGTATTCGCGGATGATTTCACTATGAATGGAGAAACGGCTGGTGTGTGAGTGGCATGATGTATATGCTTCTCTCTCTCTTTCCCTTGGATCCATACACTTCTTTCTCGTTTGCGGGCATCCCTTGTTCTAGCTATCTCTCTCTCTCTCTCTCTCTCTCTCTCTGTTATATAGTATCGTTCTTTTGCAAATGTCGGCGAATGATTGTATCGCCTCACCTTTCTTTAACCAGTCTACCGAACTGTAATGACTCAATAAAAAACCAAAAAAGAAAAAAAAAAAAAAAAAAAAAAGAAAACTACAACAAACAACATCCTAAAGGCTAACTCAACTCTCCATTTTCTGTTCATTTTCCCTTTAAAAGTTTGAGTTCTTCTCCAAGAAATCGTTTCCCAAACCATGTAGATAGTTGCTATGAACACATGCATGAATTGGAAAAAAAGTTTTGTAAAGACTTTTCTTGTTGCGGTTTAAATCTAGAGAATCTACATGATCTGTTGGAGCATTTCGAGGAATATCATTCCATGAACACGGAAGGCATGACCGATCGTACGGCAGCCAGTGACGAAGAAATGGACAGTAGCAGTAACAACAGCAGTACCCTACGCCACACGCTCCATCGGAAAGAGCAGCTTCCACATCCTCAGGCTGCCTGCTCTGTGGTTGCTGCTGCTTCGGATAGGATGGCGGACGAGGCTTCCATCTTATCCGCCACGGCTTCCCCCACGATTTATCAACAAACCATCATGGCGATGATGACGATGGATGACAACCACCGCGAAGACGACGTGACAGCATTAGAACGTAGCTTTCCCTTTCTGCTACAGTCCACAGCAACAGCAACGCACATGCCGTCCAGAAAACAGCACTTGACAAGGACCGATCTCGCCCTCTTGGAGAATGCCAACACCTATGCCGCTTCCAAGACAAAGGTCGAAACGTTGGACTCGATCAAAGATGGACATCCACATCATCATCATCGTTTGCCTACGCCTACCCGTGTGGGCAGCGCTGGGACTCACCGTCACAGGTCGGCTTCCACCATGGCTCCTCCTCCTCCATGGGAGGTGGATCCTAAAGAACACATCGAAAACAGTGTTGCAAAATTGACAACGCAGCCAACTTCCTGCCCCTCTTTCAATAAAAGCATCAACAAAAACAAAAAAGGCTCCCCTTTTGCTATGAATACAGTGAGCAGCGGCAGCAATAGTAGTCGTAGTAGTCGTAGTGATAGTAGTAATAGTAGTAGTAGTAGTAGTAGTAGTAGTAGTAGTGATATCTCGATCGAGGGTAAATACAGATACAATCTTTTATCCATAACACAAGTAGATGTTGATCGCTATTTTTTTTTGCTTCCCTTAGTAGACACAGAAGACAGACCCTACCGTTGCCATGTAGCCGACTGTGATAAAGCTTACAAGAATGCCAACGGCTTGAAATATCATCGATTACACGGTCATTGTCCACCTTCCAACGACAACGACGTGTGGGATGCCAGTCGACCTTACGTTTGCTCTTTTAACGAGGGTCATTGTCGAAAGCGGTATAAAAACTTGAACGGTCTTAAATATCACATGGAACATACACACAAGATAAAGATCTCAAACCTGACATCAGACATGTTTCTAAAGCAAAACGAAGCAAAGATAAAGAATAATCATACGCGTAACAGTAACAACAGTAGTAGTCAGCAACAACAACAACAACAACAACAACAACAACAGGAGGCGTCTGATAGACATGCAAGTGTCAATGCAACAGAAGCGCCGCTAGGAAGGGTCACAAGAAGTAACAGCCATTACAGCATCTCACCAGAACAAGAACAGCAACCGATGGATAACAACGCTGGTGCTGCAAAAGGGATAAGTGACGACCTCTCCATGACGTTGGGCACAAAGCGGAACCTTTCGTCTACTTCATTGATAGCATCATGAAAATAAAAAAAAAAAAAGCCCTTGATCTCATTCATGCAAAAAATCCCCCGACTGCATTATTATGTAACCCTCATAGGGAGGTGAAACAATTATTATTTTTTTTTTTCTCTGGTATATATGATGTCTCTATTTGCCCATGAGCAGTGATGAGCCATGAACCCACTTGAACATAAAGGATGAGGCAACGAGGATAATAATGGCCATGACAGAGTTTGCGTCATTCATTCTTCCATCACTATGGCTGGCTCGGGTTGTCGTTTCGCTTCTCTTTCTTGCACTTTCTTTTGTCTTGCTCTCTTTAGCATGTCGAATAATGTTTTCCCATTCTGTGCTCTCGGATTATCTCTTTCATTCAAAAAATAAGCCAAAGCGCCAACGGTGACGGAAAATACTATATCTCCTGACCTAAAACGAAAAATGGTTTTTTGGCCATGGGGGAGGTGGAGGGGCGAGCAGCATCGCTTTTGTTTTAGCTTTTTTTTTTTTTCTCCTCAACGTATGCGTTTAGTAGAAAAATATCTGTTGAAATCGAACCTTGAAATGAGATAATCGTATTTGACTGGAGGTGGCATGGTCAACCCAACGGTCAATGTTGGCAGATGGAACAGTTGTTGGAAAGGGCCAACAAACAAACAGGGAGCCATTCGTACGAGCCTTCCACAAAAAAAACTTGGCCGCTGATTGGCTGGATGATTACCAAGCTTAAAGCAGATCTCTCTAGAGAATGAAATTCCTTTTCTCCATGAACAGTGTGACGTGGTTTACCTTTTTAGTGGCGGGGCTTTCATGAAAAAGAGAGGATCCACTTTTTTTTTCCCTTTTTCCTCAAAGCCCTTTTATACCACTTTTTGAATAATAATAATGGCCGTTCAAGAAACAACTTCAAACTACAGTCCGTCTTCTGGACTTTATACCTGTCTTGCTTGTCAAGTGGCTTTCCAATCGGCCGAGGGTCAACGTAATCACTACCGATCCGATTGGCACAGATATAATTTGAAAAGAAAAGTGGTGAATCTTCCGCCTGTCACTTTGGAACAGTTCAATGCTAAATCAGAAGGTAGGTAGAGTCGACATGCTTCTCCCATGGGTTGTGTCGATAAGCGGTCTCTAATCCTTATGTATTCATAGCTAGAGCAAAACAAGCAACAGCTACAACAATAGCAACCACAGGTACAGCAACAGGCAGCACAATAGCATCGTCTGGTACGGCCGCCGAGTCTGTGAAAGAAAATAATAACTACTGTAAAGCCTGTCGCAAGTCATTCCGATCGACCCATCAATATGACAATCATATTCAATCAAAAAAACATAAAGATACAGTAGCGAAAGAGGCAGCCAAAGCATCCAAGGAGAACAATAGCAGCACACCCGTTTCCGATAAAGAAAAGAAACCTCAGTTGACGAGTCGAGAGCTTGCTCAACAGATGGATCTTACCATTACAGATGAAACCACAGAAGAGGAAATGCTTGCCATGATTGATGCCAAGATCAAATCGGCTCCTCGTCTAGCAGAAACCGACTGTTTATTCTGTACGACCCAGTCAGATACCTTTGAAGAGAATATGCAGCACATGACCACCGTCCATAGTTTGTTTATTCCCGACATTGAGTATTTAATGGACATGAGAGGACTTATACGTTACCTTGGTGAAAAGATTACAGTGGGCAATGTCTGTATTTATTGTAACAACAAAGGAAGAGGTACCATGAGATCAGTGGAAGCTGTCCGAAAACACATGGTAAAAAACCTATTGCTTTTTTCTTAACCCTTCCAAGGTGGATTTCATGGAAAAACTCATCCACCCGATGTTTGCTTTTTGTAGATTGATAAAGGACACTGTAAAATTGCATACGAGGACGATGATGATGCAGCTGAATTAGTCGACTTTTACGATTTCTCCTCTTCCTATCCTCAAGGTCAAGAGGGGGATGAAGAAGAAGTAGATATTGACGCTGATTTGGAGCAAATGACCGCCGCCCTGAGTCTAGCGGATGATGAATTGTCTTTGGTTTTACCCAGTGGCGCGGTCGTCGGTCATCGTGCTATGAAGCGCTACTACGATCAAAAGCTGAAGCCGGAAGACAACAGAGATTCTGTCTTGATCAACAAACTTATTGGACAATATTCCGAGTCACCTGTCTTTGAATCTCTAAGAAAGACAAGCGGTGGTCCCAAGGGAAGTAAGTTGATGATTACCGATGGCAGACATGGTATGCGTCCAACGGAAGCGTTCAAGGACCTCAGAAATCAACATGAATACACGACCAAGGTCGGCATGAATCAAAATAGATTACAAAAGCATTTCAGAATTCAAATCATCTAGAAGCCCACTACTATCATTTTTTTTTTTTTTGTATATATCTTTTGTGTCAATGAATGAAATAAAAAAACAACAACCGTAAAACCCTAGAAGCAACCGTGATTTATTGAACATAGAGAGAAAAAAAAAAAAAAAAAAAAAAAAAAAAAAAAAGAGAGAGAGAGAGAGAGTCATGTACAAGTGCAGAGCGAGAGAGATAGAACTGCAAAAAAAAAAAAAAAAAAGAAAGAATGATAACAGTGAAATAAGGCTATGGTATTGTGAAGGGTAAAAAAAATAAATAAGAGAGTATTATAAATAATAATAAAGAAATAAATCAGCTAAATTAACGGAATTCATAATGGCTAAAACCAGCATCAGGTACATAATCTAAATTCAACTCTTGGAACCAGTCTTTGTGATGACGGAAGAAATAATATCCTTTGATATGCTTGGTTGAACGTTGATAGCAAATATAATAAAAGCCGGCAAAACTGGCACCATGAATAGCATTAATATGGTGATCAGGTACCAAAAACATTTCTTTCCAACGCATATAAAGAAAGTCGCCATCTTGGTCATCCTCCTCTTGCCATAACTCGTCTTTTGCAAAATTTTCTAAATAGGACTGAACAAATGACGGGAACTTTTTCCAATGCAAAAGATCACTTTGTCGGTCTGCTTGCCATTTTCGGGTGTGGAAAGAGTATTTTGATCCTATGATTTCTGCTTGAAAAAATGTCTATGCATTGTGTGGAAAATTTACATTAATAAAACTCAATCCTTTCTGGGATGGCAAACCAACGAATGGGAGTGTATCTACTTACCGTAAGTTCAGGGAATTCACTTGTCAAGCCCTTAATCTTTAGATAGCCACTTAAAGTGCTTTCTTTCATATTGACATTCTATTCATAAGAAGTGAGTCAACCAATGAAAAAAGAAAAAAAAAAAAAAAAAGAGAAGGTTAACAAAATTCATGCAAGCTGAAAAACAAAAAAAAAAAAAAGAAAAACTTACAAGAATCTCCACATTCACTTCATAACTTGTTGTACCACACTTTTGTGTTCCCTTAAACATAGAACCAGCATATAATTCACCCACACAATCAGACTGCATCCTGTCTTCTGATAAATTGACAACATCCTCATCCTTATTCTTTGTATGCAATAAGACGACTCTTCTTTTCGTTGTCTGCTTTTGAGTTTGCTGGTCAGATAAGTGTTGTGGGTCGTTGTATTTTTGTGAAGATGGACCCTCTTCATTCGACTGCTCTTCTTCAGCGACATTCAAGCGTTCGACGTAGGCATCTGTGTCCATGGCATCATCTGCTATCGTATGATTTTCTGTATCGGGTAAAGTAGACGAGTGGTTGCTATCGATGTTGTTGTGAAGATTCCTGTTGTCATTGTTACTGTTGTCATGTTGAACGATAGCACGAGTGGCTATTCTTTGTGCGTCTTCTAAAGACTGTGGTTTGCTGTTATTCCACTTGTTGGCATCTTCAGTGGCTGTATCCGTTGTCACAGCGATTCCTGTCAATGGTATCACCACATCCATGGTCGAGGAACCTGTGCTTGTCAACGGAGGCACTTGAGGACGATGGGATGGGGAGGAAGGTACGGAAGGAATAGGCATGGTGTTTTGTTGTTCAAATACAGATTGAATAAAAAAAAAGAAAAAAAGAAACAGGGAAATAAGTTGTGAAATGACGATAAAAGGCGAATAATGTAGTGGGGGGAAGGAAACCTTCTTTCATTCTTCCCCTTAAGAGGATGAGTGATATGATTGGTTTACCCTATGCAAACCTAAAATAAAAAATGGAATAATAACCAAAAAAGAAGAGTCACCACCCTTTTTCATCCGGGCAAAATAAAAGCTTGCTGCATAAAATTCGAAAATAAGAAGTTTTCCTCTACCACATTTCCCGTTCATCGTCCATCGGCATGACAGCTTTGTCATTGAGTCAACACAAAACACAAGCGCTCACCTTCTTATCGACATCCATGAAACACTAGGATTTCTTGAACCAAGTCGTTGCGAGCACTGAATAGTTCGGCAAGGATACGCTGAGAATACTTGACATTCCCGGCTTCACGGTGTTCCTTCCGCTATGAAGCCATTCCGTCTATTGTGTGTTGTAATGTCGATCTTGTACTCATAAAGAACTACTTAAATTAAGGCTGCTATGCAACATAGATAGTACTGTCGCTTTTATAAACATTCAGTCGTTCTTTTCCTTGCATCTCTAAACAGAGGACCAACTGAATGGAGGGTGTCTTGTATAAATAAAGAACTTTCTTCTCAACTTACACAAGTTACGCCTAACGGTCTTTCATGAGTTTCAGTCGTTGTGCGTCAATTATTCATAGGATCAACGACTGTCGCATAGAAAAAATTAGATAGGAGGCTAGGATTTCGTTCTGTGCCTTTGACATTTCTTTTTTCTTTTTTTTTTTTTTTTTTTCTTTTTTTCCCTTTGTTTTCTGGTAAACCAAAATATTAGCTAATTACAGCTAAAAGAGCAAAGGAAAGATGGAAGACGATTCACAGCAAGATCAACATGTAAACAATTCATTAATGATGGAATAACCCATGTTTGCGTAAATGACATACTCATCTTTCCATAGACACAACAACTGCTAATTGCACTATGGCAATCAGTAAAAGCCATTGCAAAAGAAGAAGGTAATACGATCTATACAAAAGGCCCAGCAAAAGATCTCTTTCTGTTGCTTACTACCCTGACTCGGTTTCCCTTTTGTCGCATCATAGCCAATTCACTCAACAAAGACGTCTCTGACGCATTTACAGCTGCTTTGACAGAAACATTATTTGACCAAATCCGTAAGCAGCACGACAACCAAAATCAAAGACATGCTCTGAGCACTGAATTTAGTTTCTTTTTTTTTTTTTTTTTTTTTTTTTTTTTTAACAGAAACAATGGCAATCGATCTTGAAGCATTTGCAAGGTAAATGCGTTTCTATGGCAACGCCTGCCTCTGTTAGGTTCTCTAATACGGTCTTTTTCCTTCAGTCATAATAGTAGAAGAGCAGTAATCAATATGGAAGATGTCAAGGTAATTGAGTCTTGATGTTACATTGATTCGAACATCAGCTGTTGTAACACAAAGTGATACCTTTTTCTTAGCTCTGTGCACGACGTAATGAATCACTGGTAAAAAATAAAAGATAAAGACAATACACGTTTGAAAGCTGTGTTCACTGCTAATAGACAGTATGATCTGAAAACAAATCCCTTCTATTCTATAGTACCAGATCATTTCTGAGAGAGCAAAGGAGATGGCAGAAGAAGCAACCAATAAGCGGCGACGAAATTAGACAATGATCTGATTGTATATAGATGACAGCCCCTCTTTACTTTCGACCATTTTTTTTTTTTTTCTTAACCTCTTATTTATTATTATACGTTATTTATGTACCAAACCAGTATGGCCAAGACCCATGTTTTGATTTTGTTCGTTCATATGCATCGCTTGACTGCGAAGTTCATCTGCGTGTGTACAGCCTTTTGACGGTTCATTCGTGTCATGACGTGCTGACACACCAGGAAACAAACCGGTGATAGCCTCTGCAAAAGGAGAAGAAGAGCGTTGATTTTGTCTTATTTCATGTTCGCCCACCGAGCTATGTCTGGGTCTACTGGTCGTCGTCGTCGTCGTTACAGCAGCAGTATTCGGCTCGTCTGCCGCCGTCATGAGATTGTTATCTGTTGAGGAAACAGAAGATTCAGAATTTCTACGTCCTACGACGCCTCTTTTACTTTTACGATCCTTCACAACATCTTTTACAAAGCCAGCGACATCTTTGACATAACCCACCACACCTAATTTTTCAGGCGATAAACTGTGTTGAGCCAGTCGATTTTGATGTTCATGTGGGTCGTTTGTTGGTTGAGCATGTGTGGGTGGTCGTTTTGAGAAAGGCTTTTGATTAGGCGCGTAAGCCATATCAATAGGTAAGTGTTCAGGAAGGTCAGGTGGATGATGATGCGTATTCGTGTCCATCTTTACGAGGATCCGTACTTTTATTTATCTATTGTATTGAAAGAAAACAAACTTGTGAAAAAACCCAAAATAATAAAGGGAAAAAGGGATGGGGGGCAATTACCCAGAATTACAAAAATTATGCAGCTGCTCAATAGCCTCACTCTTTCGACCTATAAGATGGGACGGTTGAAAAGGTTCAATTCAACCTTAAAAATGAGATGGAGGGAAAAAAAAAAAAGCCCAATGACATCAACGTCCTACTATGCACATTGACACTTTTTTTTTAACAGATAATATACATTTGGGGATTTCTTGAAGAATGGATTCAATAGACTTTTTTTTTTTATTATCGGTTGAGATAATGTGATTCTAGTTCAGTGATAAAAGGGGGATTATTATAATAATTAATAGTACAATGAAGATAAAAGAGGGAAAGAAAAAACTAAAAAAGACGGCTAAAAAGAAATAAATGATGTAATAGTACTACTAAGATTACTTTCTCATACACGCGCGACAAAACGCGGTATATCCTATAAATAATGAATGTATGAATGGTTTAAGGTTACAACATATTACTCAACACGAATAGAAGCGCACCCATCACTGCAGATGTCAATGCTGTGTTGATCGTAGTACCAGCAGCACCATTGATATTCTTTACTGTCTGAGATTGTGCAGCGTCAGGCGTCGTAGCAGGAACAACAGACGCAGTGGAAGCCGCCATGGTACTCTTGGGAAGAGCAGAAGAAGTAGTGGTTGCATTGGCTTTGGGCAGAGGAACATTCGCTTCCTTGTAAGAAGGTACACCAGCACATTCTCCGACCGTCACCACTTTGTAGGCCTTTTGTAGAGCAGGCAGGTTCTTGATGGCAGCATCTACTGTCGCCAGCTTAATATCGTGCTCCAACGATAACCCGCCACTGGAGGAAGTCGAAGCGTCGGCAACCCATTGAGTGAAATTACCATCGATCCATTCGGCCTTGAAACCAGCAGCATTCTCCGCAAGCTAACATGGATCACAAAAAAAAAGTAAAATAGATGAGTCGTTCTGTATTGCTTATAAGAGAAAAGGAGGTGGAAGAGGTGAGCTTACCATCCAATCATTTGTATCATGATCCCAGATGACAGCTGTTGGGAAATCATCATCCCATGTTAACAAAAAGAAACAATGATTAGTTCCCATTTATTTTTAGGGTGGGCGTAGGACACACCCTAACAGACATGAGCGTATGAGCACACTTACAAGTAAAGCCAAGAGCAGTACCGATATCTCTCACGCGATTATCAATATCACCATAAGGCTATAAAAATATGTTTCTGCTAAGTTCAAATGCTTCTGCAAACAGATATGTGATATGAAACCTTACAGGTCTAAACAATCGAGGCGAAACACCTGTAATTTGCTTGATGGCTAATTCAGTCCATTTCAATTCAGCAACAATCTGCTCGTTCGATAACGTGGTCAGATAGGAATGAGTCCATGTGTGGATAGCCAATTCATGGCCTTCATCAAAGGCACGTTTGACAATAGCAGGATATTTGATCACGTTGGAACCAATCATAAACAAAGTGGCCTTTTGGTTTGTAGACTTTAAGAAATCATAGAGTTTGGGCGATACGTCGGAGGGTCCATCATCAAACGTGAGGCCCCAGATGCCCTTGGGACAGCTGCCGATACTGGAACCCATACAGCCAGACATGGCCCAATCACAGTACTTGTCTGCACCATTGACATTGGGTCCTAACGTATAGAAAAAAAAATAAATAAATTAAAACACATCATGAGGGTCATTCGAGTTGATATAAATTCATACCATCATCACCATTCGACTTTAGAACGGGCGCATTGGTGATATTTGCATTTTTGATCAATTCTAACCATTCCGGTTTTGGTACGGGTGCAGATCCATCAGCGGGATAGGATTCTGTGAGTTGTCCCGGAGTAGAGGAAGTAGCAGTGGTAGACGTACTATTCGACGTATTTGAAGAAACGGGAGTGGGCGTGGTGGATGTGGAGTCTGAGCTACTGCTGGCAGTGGTGGTAGTGGTGTTATTGTTGTTCTTGCTGTTATCATTGGTTGCTGAGACAGTCGTGTTTGTTCCTGAATCGGCTGTCAAGGAACCAGCCAGTGAATTATCGTCGACACGAACGGCATCTTCTTGAGCTCCAATGACAGAAATAAAGGCTAGTAAAGCCGCAATTGTAGTAGCACTTGTTGTAAGTTTCATGATACGTTATGTAATATGATCTCTATGCAGAAAAAGAAAGACGAAACAGGGAAACAAATCACTTGAAATGAAGAAAAAAGTTTTAACCGAGTTCTAAGGAGAAGCAGACGACCAGAAGCCTTTAAGCAAAAGATAAAAAAAAAGGGAAAAGAGGAATTAGAGGAGGCAAGAAAACTCTATGTAGCGGCTTTTATATACGTGTTTCTGTGGGCATTACAAAGAATTACCTTGTTGATACAACAGCTACACAACAGGAAGTAAGGGGCGAAGGCTTCTATTTTTTTTTTTTTTTTTTTTTTTTTTTTGCAAAGTTGTGAATGTAACGTAAAGAATAGCTAGACTTTACAAACATCTTAACCTCCCTTTTTTCCTCTATTGAATCAAATCAGCTTCATGCTCTGATGCCTCTGGACTTGCAATTGATGAAAAAGTAGATACATTCGTACATTACGGCTTACAAACGATGTCGTATTTCAATCCGCAAATGTTAAAGTTATATGGTCGCAGCAAGAACTAAACTCTCTATTTACGAGCAATACTACTATTTATAGGCCATTAGTTAAGAAAAGGAAAGCCTAAGCCCGAAATTCATTGGTCCTTTTCGTACCTTTCATCTGTACTTCCTCTGCTGATGTCTATTTTGCTGCTTCTTCTTCGTAAGATTCAACGCGGGGACAAACGGGAGTCATGCTACTAGTTTTCCTTTCATCAAAAATTCGATAGCTTCTTTTTTGTTTCATTGTACAATCTGCAATACTGGGTAAATCATCACGATGAATAAGATGCATGTATCACTGTAAGCACATGCGTTTCCTGCAGATCCTTCTCCAAGTTCAATCTTCTTACTGAATCTTAGCCATTGTGTGTGAAATCCTGGGATAAACCCGCTTTGGTCAACAATGCCAGAAAATGGTATTTTTGGTATAGTGGTACAAAAAGGCTTAGTTGTACAATAAGAGTGTAACAAACGATAAAACAAAAATAGCAAGCTTACGTGGTATCCTACAGCAACAAAGATCAGCCATCATCGACAAAAGAACTGGGTGTTGAGGGACATATTTCCCGGGTTCTTTGGTAAAGGCAATGTCATGGCTGTGGAAACCACGAACCTTACGGTAGTATAACGACCTCACGCATGATTTATCATGCAAGTGCTTACATTATCTGTACATAACAAAAAGGCTTTGAAGGAAAAAGAAACCACTGTAGAGTAATAGAAAACAGTGATTTTTTGTCTGCCTAGAGGAACGACGCCCCAAGATCAATCCAAACCGCAGACGAATGTCATAACCTTTGGACTCAACATCTTATGACCTTTTTTTTATTACTTTTTGCGCGCTGCACTTTATTTATAGAAAATGCTTTTAGAGCAACAAAAAAAAAGCAAGCATCTTTATTCGAGTCTATTTACGTTGATCTACAAGCATATACTATTGTATGGAAAGGGCAAAAAGAAGTTTCTATTGAAAAACACAGTTTTATTTGTCGGCTTCCGGTCATTATGTACAAAACACTATGATAACTATACTTTTATCGCAATCTGGCCGGTTTAGTATGTTGATTTTATCCATATCATTGGCAATGCATCAATTTTTTTTTGTTTTTTGTTTCCGGGTAGAATCAGCTCATACTAGGTTTGAATAGTACATTCATCTTTTTTCCCTTCTCTACATCATGCATATTAAAACTATTTTCTGACCCAGCCATAGGTACTCCAGGCTGTACCATTCAGCTATGTCTGTGGTGTGATGAATGATAAATCACCATTCTATGTGGTCATATAAGTAAAGATTGCCTTCCATAGTGGGACAGCTGCAGCCCTCTAACAAACAAAAGAGTGATATGTCAATGGATGCTACATACTGCTTAGATAATTTCCTAGCTTTTCGGGCGAGCGTTATAAATGCTATTATCAAGAAAAAAAAAAAGGTCTTAATTGACATGGAAAATTCAGATACGATGCCCATGTAACGCATATAGCTTGCGTCTCTATGTGGAGAAAGTAAGCTGGCATGCATCGATAAACATTTTTTTAAGTGTGAGGAATGACACAATAGGCTCATGGTTTACACCACGTACAGAAAGGTTTTTTAAGTATTCATGTACATATTTATGATGGATACAGAGTATTCATAATGACAGAATAGGATGGAAAGGAAGGGGTGGGCAAGAAGGTAATATGAACACCCGAGAAAAAAAAGCTTGATTATGAAAAAGGGATCATTTCCTTTATTGCTGTACCATACATTGTTATAAATGTTGTTGTAGAATTTTTATTGACGAAAAGGAGCAGGAGGAGGTTCAAGAAGGGGCTCCAAAGCGATTTTTTTTTTAAAAAAAAAAAAAAAAATTGAGAAAGAAAGAGTGAGAGAGAGATAAAGCGGCAGAGAGAGTAAGGTAGCATTTGCTCTTCATAATTCAAATAATTGCATAACACAGCAGAGAAAGAAAGGGGAAACCAAAATAAAGGAATAAATTCGGGATCGAGAATGGGTCAATCAATCATCATCATGTGAGGGAACATGTTTATTTGAAGAAGGCATTAAACATTAAGGTGCAATTTCGTCAGCAGGGACAGCTTATTATATACATATTATATATATGTAATTAATATTAATGAGAGACGAGAGAGACTAATTTACATGAGGGTTGTAAGAAGTAAATTTGGAGGAAGGGTATATTCTATGAGAATCATGAGAGATATCAATGTCTAGAAGTGTAATTTGGGTAGTTTACATTCATGGCAGTAGCTGCAGCAAATGCCGCGATTGAAGTTGCGGAATTCGTTGTGGAATGGTTGTGATAATGATGGTAGTAATTACTAAGTGAGGAGGAGGAGGTTGTCGTTGAGGAGGATGACCTTGTTAAAGCGGGAGTATCACACATGTTGATTGTTGGAGGCTGATAATAAGGGTGATGCTGCATTACTACCCTTCTCTTCGTTTTATGACCACTTAAATGATAATCTGAAGAGCGTTTATGGCTTGCTCTATTACCATAGGCACTACTATCATTCAATGTGGGTATTGAAACAGAAGGCATTGTTGGAATGAGAATACTCTGGGTTAAAAGCTGTGATAACCACTGCTGGCATTGCGATGCCCACGAATAAAATTGTGCCTGTTGAATGCATATTTTGTATTCCAATGCAGTCAAAAACTCCATCTCCATGATATTCAGCTCATATAAAGGCACACTTGAAACTTCGGACCAAGTCTGTACGTATGTACGTGTTAAAAATAAAAATCGATTAAAATAAATAAATAAAAAAATAAAAATAAAATATAATCTTTTGCTTAGAGACACTTCATTACAGTGTATTGCATATCGAAGCCGTACCTTATTCGTGAATGTGTTATCATCTAAGAATTTGTTGGCCAGTATAAGGGCTGTGGTAAATAGTCTGATTTCAGAGCCGATTGAACCCTTTATTGAAGGATATGCAAACCGTAGTCGATATATATAGTATAAGGCGACCAGCACACATGAATTTGAAACTTGTGTTGCTTTCATGACATTCTGACAAAAGAGGCGGAATGCATTGGATCTTTGAGAGGATAAAAACGTCGAACCCGTCCAGATCTTTGGCACCATGTGTGTAACCAATTCTGACACTTGTGATATACTGGTGAGTCGAACGATAGGAATAGCCGGCATATGAAAGTGAAGTAGTGTGCAAGTTCAATCGATTAGTAGAAGAGGGAGAGATGAAGAAAGTGAGCAAGAGAAAGAGGAAAGACGAGCTCTAAATGAAAGGGAAAAAGAAAACATCTTAAATAAGTTATGCAACTGACAAGAAGTAAACAATATTGATTATTTTAAAACCTGTGGTTAGCTGTGATAATAAGGGTACATGTAAATTGTAACTTAGCAAAAAACCGATATGCTTTCTGTTGTTATATTGCTTTTTGCAGGATGATTTAGTGCATCTAAAAATGTTCCGAAAATTCATTGTTTGAGCGTTCCTTCAAGGAAATCCCCAAACTTAGCACCCCTCATTTCCTAAGGTTCTTTCCCTATACTGTAATTTTCTATTCAGGTGTCTCTCCTCGTTTCGTTTCTTCGTTCGTCTTTTACAACAACAAAAATTTGGCGGGCTTTTCTTTTATTTTTATTTTTTTTTATTTTTATTTTTTTTTTTTGTTCCTTTAATTCCTCAAGTGGAAAGACGCATATTTTTTACTCCTCCTTCTTCACTTTTAAAAGACGATGACGCTCTGGAGATCGATTCCCAATGTTGATTCAGAGATTGTGAAAGCCACGTTAAAGAAATACAATGAACTCCCTAAGCAAGGAAAACCGCTTGTCCATGAATCAAAGGCCGAATGGACTGTCTTGGCTTCCATTGTTATGATTTACTGCTGTACATACGCTTCACTTTCATTTTTAATAAAAACTCTTTTTTGACGTAATTTTTTTTTCCGTTTGCTCAAAAGCTAGTAAGGATAATTATTCGATTCAAGTTATGTCCTTAGGGTAAAATAGTCATAAATAAAGGGGAGCGCCGGGGGGTCGGGAAAGAGACAGTTATAATATACATAAAAAAATAACAAAGGGGCAGTACCGAAGAGAGAGAGAGAGAGACGTAGACCTTCAAATGGAAATAAAGAAGTTTAACTTTTTTTTTTTTTTTCTTTTTTTGCTTTAATATAAGCAGAACTGGCCTCAAATGCTTGCCGTTCAGCAAACTTTGTAAGACAGGAGATTTACTAAATGATAGCCACGCAGAAGTGATCGCTCGAAGAGGTTTTTTAAAGTAATGTGTCGTTATATAATAATAATATCAACTTGACAGTAAATCTTCTCAGATCAACTGCAAATTTTAATGCCCACTGCTCTGCCAAAACTTAGATATCTATTAGACCAACAAGCTCTGATAATGAACGAAAGCAATACCATCAGTCCATTTTACATGGAAAGGGACCGTCTGAAACTGCGTCCTGAATATTCCTTCCATATGTACATTAGTCAATCACCATGTAAGTAACCCTATCGTTTCGATTGGAGTACTAAAGGCAAAAAAAAAAACAAAAAAAAAAAAACGCGTGCTGGGAAGGGCTTGCTTATCACTCCATCTTTCACTTTGAATAGGTGGCGATGCGTCAATGTCGGCTTTAGCCCAAGCACAGACTCCAGAATCCTTGGAGGCCTTTGAATCAGGGCAAAAACGGAAACGGTCTTCCGTTGAAGATTATGATATTTTGGTAGAGAATATCTATAAAAATAAAAAAAAATTAAAGTTGGCTAATGGTGGTGACGAAGTGAAGCAATTTAGAAGGGGTCGGTTTGGTTTTGACCAACTTGGAATTCTACGAACTAAACCAGGTAAGAAAATGACAAAGCCTCTATCTATCCTACTCTATAAACGCAGGCTCTGGTGGATGGATTCTGATTCAAAAAACAAAAAATATTTCGTTTTTTTTTTTTTTCTTTTTTTTTGTTTTGGTAGGGAGATTGGATTCAGAGCCTACTTTGTGCATGTCGTGCAGGTAAAATGAAAATGTTTGCTTGACCATTTTATTACCATCTACCATTTGACCTGATAAAGCGTACCTTCTTCTCTAAATGAAAAAAAAATAATTCCCAACCAAAAAGCGACAAGCTAGCAAGGTGGAATGTATTAGGTTTACAGTCATCATTGCTGTCGTCTGTATTTGATCCTATTTACCTGAGCTCGATTACTGTCGGAGACATGTATGACAAGGAAGCATTGGAAAGAGCTCTTTTTAAACGCATAGGGATCATCAAAGGTATACAAAGTTGATTTACTAGTCTCAGAACAGCAAAAGAACAAAACAAAAAATTGAAACCTACTTGCTTTTAGGATTGCCTGAACCATACAAAATTAATCGCCCTGACTTATTCAGTACAAAGATACACTATCCATCTTCGAAACTGTCTTTGGAATCCTCCAAAAATTTCAAGGCCGTTGTTTCGAGCTCTACCTCTATTTCCTGGGTTATCGGAATGGCAAAACCTGAAGTTTATGTGAATGGGTGTAAGCAAGGTGCGCCAAAGAATAAACCTCCTACAGCGAAGACAAGGCCAACCATTTGTAAAAAGAGTCTGCTACAGAAGTTTTTGCAAAATGGGTCGAAGGCTGACGATGAGCGGCAACAATGCACTTATTTCAAGTGGAAGCATGAGTCGACAGCTTATCAAAAAGCAAAATCGATTCTTTTGGATCAAGCTTTTGATATGTGGGTTCAAACACCTTCGGAGTACGAAGAATTTACAGCATGTCAATAATAAATCCAATACCTATAATTGCATAACACCTAAAAAGATACACTGTTGCTTTTGTACAATGTGAGTATATACACCTGTGACAAAACAGAGTCGAACATTTTAAAACTCTGCAGGCGACAAATCCTTTCCTTATGAAACAAAAGCAGTAGTTTCTTAGTAACTCAAATCGCTTGCCCATGCCCATGGTCCGCGCTTCAAATATGAAACAAGTCAGAAGGTTAGCAATGATATGGCTTTTAGCACACATATACAGCACAAAATTCCTAGCAGTTTGATGGACTGTTAACCTGTTTGTTATTGTCATACTCTCGCATGTCTCACATCAGTAAGCTTATTATTCCCTACAGAGTTGTACATGAACTGAGTTTTTTGCCATTTTTCTGCGTCTTAGACTGCATTTGTTTGGAATAAATGATACTCCTATGACCAAATATTTACAAGCAAAAAGTGGCCCTGCCACAATACTTTGTGATTGTCATCATCAGATGCTTATAAATGTATTGTTGCGTAGTTAATTAGAGGTTTGCATAGAGTGATTAGCAAGCAACCCCAAGACACCTATATCATTTTGGCTTCAGCAGACCAAGAAACCTTAATGTCAGACAGACGTGGAATGCTCAAGATGAATTCCATTTGAATAAGCGTAAAGGAGATTTAGGATGCCACCGGAAACGTAAAGCCTAAATAAATGAGTGAGAGTTCTCCTTTTTTTTTTCCCCTCACACAAAGTTTTTTACCGCCTTTCTGTAGTTTATGCTTGAGTTTCTCCTTAATTTCAATGCATTCGTTCTGCAACACTTAATACGTCTCTCTTCTGTTTCCTGTACTTTTCTCTTATTCCTCTTTTGAAGATCTAAGGGAACAATTCTTCATTAGATCTGCTGTAGTAAAGCGACCTGATATTGAGATTTTCTGATAACCTCACATAGTCTGCTAAATTCATCAGATTAACAACGCACCATAACCATTCCATTCGTTAAACAGTATCGTTATCTTAACCTGTACATTCTTTAGACAATGGAAACAATCGTCGGTATGGAAGGTCAAACTGCTCCCGAGTCTACACATGGACTGTTTGATTCGCCTCAGGTAAAGATAAAATTATCTCTTTTTCAGGGAACCGATCTAAACTCTCTCTCTCTTTTTATCTCTCTCTCCGTGTCAATATCGTAGAGCGTGCTAAATTCTTGCCGAAGCACTACTTCAGATAAGCGTAGATCGATAGATTTAACTCCACGAAGCCTAATAAGTAACGGCTTTTACATCAATCAAAACTCTTTACAAAACCACTCGAATGAGTTACATACAGTCAAGGAAGAGGATCTTTCGACGCCCTTTATCAACGCAGCCTCTCAGAATTCGTATCAAAGAAAGCAGCGTGCCTCAGTTGCTCATTTCAACAGCTTTCCTAGGAAGATAGTACTTAATTCATCTGAAGACGAAGAATCAGCGCAACTATCGCGAGAAGATGTATTGGCCGAGACCGTAGCTAAATTAAGCGGACAGAACAAACGTATCAACACAAGTCATAATGATCACACTGCGGACATAAACAGGTTCAAGAACACGATGTATACTACAATGAGACATGGTAGCAGCAGTACTGTTTCTGATAAGCAGAATCGTCGATTATCTGAGCCTTTCTCAAAAGCTTACTATTATGGTAACAACAACAATAACACTATCCACCAGCAATTACAGCTTCAACAGCAGAATTTTTCTGACGTACCACGTCCTTTTCCCAACTCAACCTTACATAAGAGAACATCCTTCCATCAATATACACCGGGCTCTAATCATCTATCTGAAAATAAAAGGCGTTTATCGATGTCCAGGATCAATGTTTCGGATTATGAAAGTTACAGGCAGCAGCAGCAGCAGCAACAACAACAGCAGCAGCAAACAACAATGGGGCGAGACTACAACTGGAGGTCCAAAAGTCCTTCCTTCTCAGCGGGAGGTGGGTGCTTGGCGTCTCCTTCTTCAACACTTATTTCTCCGCGATCCTCCTCAAGACCCAATTCAATAGTAGGTTTTAGCAATCATAATAGCTGCAATAGTATGAATCGATCTACATGCTCGCCTACCTTTGAATCCACTGCTAACAGTAATGGAGGATCGCCACAACGCAAAGCCCTATTTGTATCCCATCTACCATTTTCTGCTATTGTTCCGCACCTGAAATCGAACCATTTCGTAAGCGGTATTCTGCGTGTCAATAAAAGGAATCGATCCGATGCATACGTGTTTTGCGAAGAACTAAACGCTGATATATATATATGCGGGTCGCGTGATAGAAACCGTGCTTTGGAAGGGGACTTTGTAGCCATCAAATTGATTGAAGTGGAGCAAATATTGATGGAAAAGCACGAAAAGGAAGAAGCAAAACTAGTAAGAAATAATGGTAACCCTGTCATTAGAAAACCTGATGAGGAAGATGAGAAGGAAATCATTTTTGGAGGAGAAGAAGACGTCGATCGTGTGACCCCAAAGTATTGCGGAATCATTGTCGCCATTCTGGAACGTGTTCAGAATCAAATGTTCTCTGGGTAAGGCTTTCAGTGGGTTTAAGGATACAGTTCATTGAGTGTCTCATACAATGGGCAAAGTACGTTTGGATCTGACAAAAGTCTTCATCAAACTTTCAATTTATTTCGTTAGCACTTTAGGTTTGACTCGTCCGAGCAACAAGAGATCGAAAGAGGCAGACTCAGATTCAAGACGTGAAAGTGGTACACCTCGTATTATTTGGTTCAAACCAACAGATAAACGTGTTCCCTTAATAGCCATCCCTATTGAACAGGCTCCTGCTGGTTTCATTGAAAATAGTGATGCTTTTGAAAACAGGCTCTTTTTGGTTAGTTTGAATCTATCACACATGACGTGCTTTATGGCTAGTTAGTTGACACCATTTATGTAGGGTTCTATTAAAAGATGGCCTATCACATCTTTACACCCCTTTGGAGTGCTCGAAAAGGAATTAGGTAATACCGGAGATCCCTCTGTTCAATTGAAGGCCATATTGGCAGATAACAATTTTGTGCCAGATACACAAATCAGCAACGCCGATAGCAGCCAGCTTTCTTCCCATTTATTAAACAAAGAATCAATAGAAAAGGAGATCAATTACAATTCACGGCGTGATTTACGGTCCATAAGATGCATTGCTGTGATGGATGAGGAAGGAGGCTATATCGAGAATGCCTTTTCTATAATGCCTAAAGACGACGGGGACTCTTTTGAGGTGGGCTTTCACGTTTCTGATATTAGCTTTTTCGTTGAACCCGATACAGATCTGGATAAAGAAGCCCAGTTGAAAGGTGTCGATGTCTATTGCACAATGACTGAAAAAGCGAGTTTATGGCCAGAAACACTGCGGGAAAAATGTACCGATTTGATTGCAGGTGAAGATAGATACGCTTTATCTATTTTCTGGACGATAAGCCAGACCAAAGGTATACTAGACACATGCTTTGCAAAAACAGTGATATGGTAAGTAAGCCTACCTTTAGTCATACTTTAATTGCGAAATACTGATAGTACTTATTCACTATAGTTCAAATACAGTCATGTCTATACAAGATTTACAAAGAGCAATCACTGCTCCAAATAATATTGTTGACGAGCTTACACAGGACATCAAGTTACTTTACAGCATCGCTTGTATGCTTAGACAAGTACATCCACAGGAACCATTGCAACTCGACGTACCAGAGCTCGAGATTCATTTTGAAGACAGCCAATTTCCGAGCTTTGCAGCTCCCAAGATACGCTTTGAATCTGAAGTTATCTTGCAAGAGTTCCAAACTCTAGCAAATAAGCATGTTGCACAAAATATTTCTAGCCACTTCCCAGACCATGCATTGTTGAAATCACAAGCACGCCCCAATGAGAGGAAATTGAAAGAATTAACCCGTTATCTCAGCAGTCTTGGTTACAGATTGCAACCAGACAATCCAGAAACTCTACAGCAATCCATAGACAGTATAAAGAATCAGGATGCTAAAAGTGTTATACTATCACTGCTCATAAAGACAATAAGTCCTGAGAAATATTTCTGTGCAGGTGCTCTTGATATTAGCCGTTACTACCACTATTCAAAAAATACACCCTTGTACACTCATTTTACATCGCCAACCAAACGGTATGCTGATCTTATTGTTCACCGTCAACTAGATGCATACATTAAAGGAACACAAGGCTTCTATTTAAACACGGATGCTATCCAAAAATTGGCGCAGCACTGCAATAGTCGTACGCGATTATCTGAAAATGCAAAGGAACAAACAAAGCACATGTTTCTTTCCTACTATTTAGCCAATAACTCTGGCCTTTCTATTAATCGACTAGAGGACGCTATCGTGGTAGGCGTACAGCAAGATTCTTTTGATGTCATCATTCCAGGCTTCGTGCTAGAAAGACGTATTCATACAGTCAACTTACCTTTACAATCTGCAACCTATAATGAAGCAGAAAATGTTCTTCATCTCGTTTGGATTCAGGGTAAAGCCACAGTTGACGCGACAGTTGAGACAGATATACCAAACGAGGACGAAGAAGAACAAAGTGATGATTATCATCTCAGGGATACTCACAGCGCCCGAGATGAGGACTCACAGGCAAGTACTTCCGATTTAGTCGAACTTTCCGGCGAGGAGTACGATAACACGTTGATGAAAGTCAAGCATTTGTCGTTAAAGTCTTCTTCAACGACAGCTTTGGACGATTTGAAGAAAAAAAGAAAGCGCTCAACATCTATTCGCGCTATAAATGGAGAAGATGCGTGTTCAACACAACGAAATTGTATGTTTGCGCATGAGTTCCGTCAAGTAATACGTCCGTTTGATTTTATTAAGGTCGTTATAACAGCGGAACCAGTTCGGAATCCACCCCTAATTAGAGTGTTAGCCGCAAATCCTTTTATTGCCAAGCCATAAGTTACTTGATTGAAATGGAAATGTGAAAAAAGAAATGTCACGATATGTGAATGATGAATTCATTATCACTGGACACACTTTTGTTAGTTACCGTTCGAACGTGTTCTCATACATAATCAAATAAACCGTAACCGTTTTATTTATTCAGTGCTGTTTAATGTTTGGGGTCTCTAACCTGAAAAGTTATTCTTCTGGAAATAAAACAAATGCAGACATAATATTCTGTGTTGTAGCGTGCTTGGGCAATCGATTAATTGAATTAACAGAATTACAAAAATTACCGTCGATAAATAAAGTTGTACGGACAGTGTCTATAGTATTGGTCATAGTCATAAAATAGCAATTAGTTCAGATGTGCAGAAGTTGAAAATGAGAATTCTTTTAGAATGAATGCTAACCTTATTACTTACACATTTCTGTAGATAGCAAGATGACAGTTCCAGCTTGGTTTTAGGTCGTTCGATCACTATTGTGTATTCTCGCTGCTGTAAAGGCTTTTAAATGGCACACATAAATTTAGGCTCCCAGAACAGTATAATTGTTTACAGCATCCTACGCCAGAACTTTCTTTATCACAAGAAGAACCACTGGACAAACAATCAGCACCTACAACCTTGCTAACAAAGTGCTGGGAGAGCCATAAGGCTATGGTCAAAATCGGCTTGTAAAGCCGTATTTTCATCTCTTGAGAATTAGTGAATAGGAAAGAAAGAAAAGGAATCAATTTTGTCTCACAAGCACAACCCTCAGATATTTTATAGAATTCCTTCCACTCGAATGGATGATCTGCATGCATCATACATATTAAGATCATCCTCCTTGACAATACGTGATTTAATGATAGACCCTTTCAAAGTAATACGCAATGCATATATTTAAACACATAAAGCTTGAAAACAGTAATTTATTTTTATTCATAGTATAAGTCCATGACAGCACTTAAATACGGATAGTACCTTTCTGAAACATAGATTTTACCGCATTCCATTTGAAAATAACTGATGTGATCAGTTCAAGTAAGCCGACTAACAGAATAACAGGGGAGAATATAATGTACCAGAAGATTTGATGTATCTTTTGTATGCATAGTTCAATTTTTTGGCTCTTTAACGCAACTCTAGCAAACCACGCCAAAACGCCGAAAAAGAGGTCAACGACGACAGTAGGAATAAAAGTGCTCAATGCAGGACTCGTCTTTAAGCATCTTTCTATCACCCAGTCGCGTTTGATGGTGTCCAATTCTTTAGATATTTCAATGAAGGTACCAAGGAAAGAGGCAGTTAACAAGGAGCCCAAAACAACAACTGTTAAGAATAAGTAGACAGCAAGTAGAAGGCCTGCCGCTTGAGGTTGGTAATATAGTGTATTGCCAATCTCAGGAGTGCTGTTCAAGGAAATTCATATTTCGATTAGACAAAAGGAACATAAGTAGTAATATTTAGGCTTCTACTTACTGTAAAGCGCCCAGAATTAATAAACGAAGCATGGCTAATGGCTTAATATCAGCGCGTTGAAGTGCACCGAGAGCAACCCAGAAACTAACAAGGACCAAAGCACCTAGACTTAGAACCCAAAGACTATTGACAAAGCACCGATGTAGAACAGTTGCAGTCCTTTTAGTAGACCAGCACGAGTTTGAAGAGGAAATAAAGACACGGAAGAACATGAGAGGAGTAGCAAGTATAAGCAAATTGTAAGAGGTGCGGAGCAGGTATATTTCATAATCTATTTGTTTAACTGCTGTTAATGCATAGATACGAACGATAAATGAAGCCACCAATAATGTTGCTGTAATGAAGGCAGTGTAATAAGATGCCTTCTTCAAATATACGCAAGGACGTGTAAAGAGTTTATAAAGTTCGTATAAGCCATCCGAGAGTACTAAAACGTAGTAGATATACTCGTAGACATGAGGAGTGTCAGACGTGTAGTCCAAATTGGAGACACTGGCTAAATGGAAACCAAGATAGATTAAAGCAGAAACCAATTCTATCATAGTTTGATATCGAGCATTTGGCCATCGTGCTAAGTAATCAGTAAACGTACGCCATAGTACGAACCAAACGAAATTTTTTGAAGGCGCTTCTAATGGAGACTCATTATGATTAAGCCATATATGACTAGGGTGTTTAGGATTATTTCGCCAATCAGAACCATTTTTATACATGTCCTACATATGTAACATATAAGCTATCTGCTCTTTTTTATACACTGAATGATTTTGTTATTACCTGAATTACAAGCTGCACACGTGCGTCATTCAAGATCAATTGACAATTATTATCCGCAGCCAATTCCAATGCTTCAAGTCATACATATAGATAGTAGTTCAGGTTAGTTAGGAAAAAGAGGAATTATAAGATTTATTATATTGGCTCTTTATTTAGTATGTTACCTGATTTTCCATTGATCCATCTACCTGTCAACATTTCGTACAACACAACGTGTGAAGCAGATGTTTCTTGCGCCTTTAATCCGAGATTCAAAGTTGCCAAAGCCAATGACTGAAGTGAAATATCAGTATCTGCGGAATGACCAGATGATTGCCGACGCTCGTGTAACAAAGCCATAACAGCACAAACAGAGGCATTCTTAGCCACACCAAAGACATCCTCAGCAGAAGAAGAATATGCCTCTTCCAGTCGCTTTTTTTGTGTCTTCACAACCGTAGTGACGTTTCCACCACTTACTTTTTGTCCAATATCAGTTACGATAGTTGTAGCAGTAGAGGCGATGTTATTATTGGTTATCAGAGAGGCAGATGAACCTGAGCTGTGAGGACTGTTCAATCCATTATTATGTTTTTGCCAACCGTGTTTTTCTTTCCATTTGTCAGTAGCGAATTTCAAAGCATCAACAGCTAAATCACGTTTTCTCAATTTTTTACCACTATCACTCACTACTTTATCGATGGAAAATTCATTGAGTTTCTTTTTCAACATGTGATGGGTACTTCCTTCGTCGCAGTCAGTGTCACTGCTGCTGCTGCTGCTGCTACTATCGCTACTTTTGCGACGTTCAGTGCTGGGTACATCGGCATCTCCGTTTTCACGTTGCTTCCCTTGTTTATTAGCAGCATTCTGAGCCAAGGCACGTTCTTGTTGCTTCTTGATTTCACCAAAGACAAGAATATCTTGAACTTTTTCCACTAATTCATTTGATGGAACGGTGGGTTGGCCAGCGGAAATAATGCTTTGAAAATGCTGTGCTGTTGCTATATTAGCTCCAGTAAACCTGAAACTATTGATGCTTTCCTTGACAGAATTTCCAATAGTGATAATGGTCTCTTTATGTGTGGTAATCTTTTGTCGTGTACTGTAACTTGTTGTGGATGTACCCAGCAGTCGAGTTTCCTCGGTAGTAATCATATGGTTGCTGTTTGGAACAGGAGAAGTAGGCGTACCGTCCACCATAATCAAAATCGCTTTTCAGACGTGAATACAAATGATTGAAGGAGAAGAAAAAATCAAGAAAGCCTGAGAAATTCAAACTGTCTTTTTCATACTAGAAAGCTATCGGCCAGAAGTTGAAGAATGGAAATATGGAATAAGCTCCAATGCTGTGAAACCGAAGACAAAAGGCGTTCACGTTAACCTTATTTTTAAGCCTTTGAAATGAACCATTCAAGTTGTTTATGTATGAACAAAAAGTAGCGGTATGTAATTAGCAGTAGTAAGATGTTCCGTGTCCATGAATAAGATATTAGGGTACAAATGTAAGTTAAGGATATACAAGTTCGGTGTTTTTATCGTTCTTAATTTCTTTCAAACAGAACAGAGCCACTTATTTGTTTTTGCGTTTTTCAGTCTTTCTTTTGAAGGAAAATAAACACAAAAACTTTCTCACATAATGAGAAAAATCAGCTTTTCTAACTTTCAAGCAAATGCAGACGATGTAAAATAGACGTCCTGCCAGCAAAAAACTGTTAGAATGACGGAACAGATGCGTGTCCTACAGCAGGTGCAGCTACCAGTTTGATAAATACTGTAGACGAAACCAATTATAACGGTAAATGCTGCTAATGGTCATAAACCATTAGAGAAGATATATGATATAACAATATAACGGTTTCAAAGGTAACTTACACATATGTAGAAATTTTTTGAACATTTAACAAAACCTAAACTGCCGTATATATTCTGCTTAACGACTGTGCAATTTCTTACTGTTATTGAGTATCATCATTACTAACAAGTAGAGTTAGTCCCAAATCAGCCAAATAGGTTCGTCGTTTTTGTCAGATGAAATTGGTCCGGCCCGATTGAACCACTTTTTTTTTTTTTTTTTTTTTTTTTTTTTTGTGGTGAATGTGTATATGAGTTCGTGATACCGTTTTTTTCAGCGGCTACAGACAGGTAATATTTACTGTAAATAACTTTAGAATTGCAATGCTATAATTTAAGTATGCCGAATAGCAGGCTCAATGAAGAGTCTTGTATGGGCCACAGGTACAACATTTCTTAACTGTTTAATACTGCCACAGGATTCTTTGCAAGCACAATACGCTGATATCCTATGTTGGTTTCTATTGTGAGTACTCAATAAAACGTACAAGTGTGTACAACTACTTTTGGTAACTAAACGACCTTAATCACCGGATATTTGATTTTTACAATAAATTGAGGAAGCAAAGGTTCAATCATCCTTAAATGTGGAATACGCTTATGGTACTACCATTTATCTGCAAAGCTTATATGACAATTTAAGCATTCTTCTCACATATACAAAGAATAAACGCATCGTTCAGTCGAGATGGCATCGTCATAATTTATCTAATATCCGTTGAGTATTTATTGAGTATTTGATATATCCGACTTAATTCGAAAGTAGACAGTCCGTCCTGTTCTGTTCAATTTAAGCATTTGCACATCCTTACTTTTATGAACCTCATACGCATCAACAACTTTGGGCCTTCGTAACAATTTTTTGAATCGCTTCAATTATAAAGATCCCTTATAGGCCATAAAAGGTACTACAAAATGATACAAAGCCTTCACGTTTTGTTCCCAGTAAGCACTAGCAATATATCGCAAATGGTTGATCTCCTGCCGAACCAGAGTCATTGATAGTTTCAGTGGCAAGGCATCCCCACATGATCAGTATTTACACTTTGCCACTTGAATAGAAAGTAAAAATAAGCCCCATATACATTTCATTCATTTCAGGGGAGCAAAAACAGTTCTGCCAGTACTAATTCGAGGTTCAAGTATTCACTTGCTCGTAGTCTCTGTTTTACACATCCTTGGCTTGTTATCGAATTCTTTAGGGGTGGGAAGGGGGCACATATCAGTTACTGTATGCAAATTGAAGTATACAATAAGTACGATGATCTGCGGGGGTTCTAAACTCTTGGCTGATAGGGTAGGGTTTATGAATAGTTTTCTAAAGTTGGGCGCACCTTTACTAATCATTGATTCATGTATCTGTCAGTTATAAATACTTAAGAGCAACTTGTATATGATCGTTGAAAGCGTTAATTGTTGCTCTGATTTAATAAAGCGGCTCTTATTACTGCTGTGCAAAGGATGATACTTGACGCATTCTCATAATTTTGTTGAATTTGTGAGAAGACGTTCTTAATACAGTTAACAATATGAAAAAACGAGAAGGACACTGCCAACGAAGAAAAAGCAAAATTAAAAGAAGAAAATACCCAAATCGTCTAGAATTATTCAAACATCGTAGAGATTCATACAAAACTAAGTTAGGAATTTAGACCCAATGCTTATGCCTTAGAATGTGTAGAAGTAGCCTGCGAAACTTTCAATGTCAATCTGCAAACCTTGGTGAGGATCCATTTATCTTTATACCATTTTTGTTGATGCCCCGGAGCATGAAGCCAACCATTGAAATGTTTCCATTATAAATCACTTCTTGTGAAGTTATGGTTAAATATGGTATATAAATTGTCGCTACTAGGAATCCAGATTAGCATCTTTTCCTTTGTAATATAACTGAATGTATCTGTGATTAAGCATCATTTTCTGTCAAGAAAGACATTTCCTAAAACTACCATGTGCTAATTATCGACTAAGTTGCGCGACGAAAAGAAGTAGGTGTATTACTAATCAATATGAACTTTGAATTAGCAATAGCCGTTTCTTTAAAACTTCCGATTTCTTTCGCACGATAAATGCCAGAACTGGTGGAAGCTATCGATTATAAAGTCCCTAAATATGCGTGCCTTTATCTTCTTGACCTTTTTTGTATATCCTGAATAGTGGATTCTCGATGATTGAACGTCTGAACAAATTGCTAGTGTATGACTGGTATGAAGGAAAGAAAAACAACAGTTGGGAGATAGATCTCCAAACAACTCCTTCGTAAGTAGTCCATCTAATATCCTGAAAATGCTTCGAGAAGATTTTGTTAACATACAAACCCGTTGAACGCAGTACAATATCAATAATATCACATTGCTACCCAAAACATTTATATCATTAAATTCTATACAGTGCTGAAGAAAGTTGTTGAATCATTCATGAAGCAATCGGTTGAGTGCACAGATAGACAATTTCGTTAATAGATGATAACATTGCCAGACTGTGACAATATGGATTGACTCTTCTGTAACTAGCCAGTCCAACCATTTGCTGCAGAAAAGCATTCTGTTGACACTTTAAATTACGTCATGATCGAGAGTCTTTTATGCAGACACGTTATCAAAATAAAGATGGTAACTTTATCATTATCCAGTGTACAGTCTTGTCGCAGGTGACTACTGGTGCGAAATTCAAAACAGAAAGTATGGAAATGACAAATATTGCCATTTCAGTACTATTTTCTGATAATCTGAAAAACTTTAAACAGTAAGTCAATTGATACAAACGAGTAGCAGCCCCTTTTCGCTTTACAAAGTGTTTCGGGTTTACAAAGATAATGAAAATTTTTTTCTTATCTTTTTTTGGTTAAAATCATTTCTTTTAAGGAAATTTTCTGATCAATTCTTTCTTTGTCGCCGAACCGAACCTGTCAAAAACTTCAAATAAGCTACTGAAAAAGCATTTAACCGAAGACTTGATTTCTATTGTAGGAAATGAACTGCATTGATGATTTGAGAATATAAAGTAACTTATGTTTCGATTTTTCAACCCCTCGATATTAGTAGTAATGTATGTATTGTAAGCTATACGACAACTGAAAAATTTGTTCAAGAATAACATGATTTGACAGATCAAAAGAATTTTTCCCTCTTCTTTTTTTAGTCTGTTATTTAAAAATACACCTTTCAAGTGTACCGTTGGATAACAGATTAATGACATTTGAGGGAGAAGGGAATATCATTAATATCATATGATTAACAAATGACTGATTCAATAAATTAGTGTGGTTATGCCATTTCTTTGTTCGAAATGGGAAGTACAACTACACAACTGTCCACTAGGCTTGCACAGACTAGGCAGTGTGAAAAACCTGAGAAGATATAACTTGAATCAAGGTAACAACGATTTGTGCAATAATAGATTATTATTCTTAAACTCCCATGATCTTGTTATCAAATGTTTTTATTGCCAACTTATTATTACGTCGTCAGACTACATTTTCGATAATAGACGATGGCATACTCTTAAGCAATCTACATCAAGTTCGCACTACGAAAACAAACGTGATCCAGGTGGAGACAGAGAGTCAGAAAGAGAGAGACAGAGGTAAAAGAAAGTCGTAATATTTACCTGTCAGCAGTAGCTTTTTTTTCTCATAGTGTAACTTATAAACAATAAGTTATTGTAAACCTTAACACTCAGAAAGTAACTATACAATATATCCTAGAGTACTATTACCATCAGAAGCAGAATCTTATATAAAGGGAGGACTTCGACTTGCTTTTCACCGTCTTTTTCTAGGTTGTTAATTCGCTGCTGTTGCTTAAAAATAGAACGAATAGATAAAATTTTCAAAAAAAAAAAAACTTCTCAAATCGCTATTATAAATCCAGTCTTTTCTTTATTTGATCTCTTTATTCTTTGTCCTTCTAATATTTTCAACAAATGTCAACGTTATACGTCGACAATCCTATACCCAGTTACAATGAATCACTAAAAAACCAACTTAGAAAATTTCCAACCTACACTAAAGGCTATATTAAAAGCTTTTTTCCTTTTGTCAATTGGCTGCCAAGATACAACTTCATTTGGCTTTCTGGAGATCTGACAGCAGCTTTGACTATTGGCGTGCTTGTTATTCCGCAAAGTCTCGCTTATGGTACAGAAAATACAATCTAAATTACTATAGAAGACAAGAACTGTATTAATGACATTGAACAATGGTTAAATAATAGCAAAAATAGCCAATCTACCTCCAGTATATGGCTTATACTCCAGTTTTCTGGGTGTTATGTTATATCCCTTTTTAGGAACTTCCAAAGATATCAGCATAGGTAATACACCATATGAGATTCAAATAAGGGTCTTGAAATTGATGAGGTTTAACCGCTTTTGTGCAACATTAATGAGTATAGGTGCTAGTGCCATTTGCTCCTTGTTGGTAGGCCAAGTTATGAACAAATTTTATGCATCACAACAATATCTTTCTGGACAATGGACCACCCACGATGTAGTAGTAACACTCACACTTTTTTCTGGATTAATTGTACTTGTTCTGGGCGTATTACGATTGGGCGCCTTATTCAACTTTATCAGTCAACCAGCAATTGCAGGATTCATGGCTGGAAGTGGTCTCACGATTATCATCAACCAATTCAATAAGATTTTTGGCGTGCCCCATATCAACACATCAGAAGCACCTTATCTTGTGTTTGGGAAGACCTTGATTAACTTGCATCATTCAACTGTTGATGCCGCATTCGGAATTTCAGCCCTTATATATCTTTTCACTGTAAAATATTACGCCCAACATCTTATGCAACGATATCCTCAGTATGGTCGGTGGATTTTCTTTTTCAACAGCAGTAGATCTATTGTTGTTTTAGTATTTGGAACATTGCTCACCTTTATGATCAATCACTTCGGTTACTTCCAGCAAAGTCCTATTTCAATTATGGGTGTGATTCCTGCAGGTTTAAATGACATTGGTGTGCCTAGTATAAGAACTGACATTCTCAGTTTCTTCTCTTCTGATTTACCTGGCATCATCGTTCTCATGGTCATGGAACACGGTGCTATTGGTACCAGCCTCGGAAAAGTTGCTAATTATAAAAGTATGTTGAAGTTAAAACTTTAAATGAAATGTGGATTAAACCCTTTATCTCGATAACCCACAATTAGCTGATCATCTCTTTTTCTTTTATTTAAAAGTCAATATGAGCCAAGAAATGTTTGCCACTGGTTTAGCCAATGTTTTTGGGTCTTTCTTTTGTTCCTATCCAGGTACTGGTACCTTCTCTAGAAGCGCTGTTATGTCCAAGTCAGGCGTGCGAACTCCTTTGGCCAGTTTTTTTGTAGGTGTTATTGTTCTACTCGCAATTTATGTATGCACCCCCGCTTTCACTTATATACCATCTGCAGCCTTGGCTGCAACAATCGCACACGCAGTGACCGATCTTGTGTCTGGACCAGCTGTGTGGAAGAAATATTGGGACGCAAATCCGTTCGAATTTGTAATCTTTGCGTCTGCATACATTATTGCTCTTTTCAGTCGTATTGATATTGCCGTCTACGTACCCATCGCTTTATCACTCCTTGCTCAACTTTATCGCTCAGCTCGGCCCAGATATGCCGTTTTAGGCCGTTTAGATCTGGATTTGGAGTTAACAAACAGCATTTCAACGAACAACGACGAGAAAAACCAGCAAAAAAGTCAATTTGATCTATGCGTTGTTGACAGCTACTCAGATAACAATCAATATTTCCCAGTCGATCATCCTACATTGAATAGGTTTATTCGCCCTATTGATGAAGGCATCATCTGTTTCCGGCCTTTGGAAAATATTGTGTTTGAAAACGCTACTTACATTTTTGACAAACTTCAAGAAGAAATTGAATCAACTACTCGTCGTGGTAGAATGCCTGCTGAGAAATTGGGCGATCGACCATGGAATAATGCTGAACCTGCTGGTAAAGAACTGGAAAAGCCCTTGTTGTACTCTGTCGTCCTTGATCTCTCAGGTGTCCATCAAATGGACTACACTGGAATGGAAGCCCTGAAAGATGCCGCTATAGCAGCAGAAGGATATTCTGGTCAACATGTCAATTGGTATATTGTGACAGGTGATTCTCTAGCTGTTCGAAAATATCTCTTATTTGCTGGTTTCGGTAACCAGCGTCGTGATCTCAAACGACACGGCTCTTTCTTCTCTGATTTGCGCCATGGTGTAGAAGAGGGCGGTCATCGTCCTGGTATTGCAGGCTGTCGAGCTGCTACCGATGCTCAACATGCTACCGAAACAGAAAAGAAAACGAGAGCCGCTCATAATGAAATTGTCACCATTGAAGAGGTTCACAATAAGCACCGAGCAAACTTTTTCCATTTATCCAAAGGAAGAAAAATAAGCCATTCTCAAAGCATCAACTGCAGCAATAATCACAACAATGATGTTTATACCGAAAATGATGTTAGTGATGATACCCAACAACCCAAGACTGTAGATATTGCGGATGAAGAATTGGGAGACGCAGCCTCTGAACCTCACGACAAGTCTAGTGGGTGGTGCTACTGTAATTACGCCACTAACAACTTTGAAAACCCCGCAGAAAACAGATTTGTTGAGCTTCAAGATCGTTTCCCATTTTTCTTCACGTCACTTAATGAGGCTGTACGCGCTGCTCTCACTAAAAAGGATGAAGAAACTGACATATACTCACTCAACAGTGTCAGTGTCATCTCTGATAGAGAATCACCTGCGTTCCATGAAGAAGCAAGTTCGTCAACATAAATTCTTTCCTTACTTTATAGACATTTTTTACTTTCCCTTTGTATATATACTTATATTATTGATCACTAACCTATTACATTCATTACCTGTACTATATTTGCTTACTAACTCTTTGAATCTTGTTGATACCATTCTACTAAACAATATTGAACCAATATCCGGTAGTTCATATTTTAATGCATAGTTTTATTAAACCTATTTGTCAAACTATCAAATTCCGTGTCATCCTTTTCAATTCTGATTCAATATGCATATTACACACAGGCTAATCTAACGTCCGTTTAAGTGCTCAACTGACAGGTTAGGACCGTAAATTATATTCATAGAATGTCATTTCTCATGATTTTTCCGCAACTGCTATACCTCGAGAAGGACCGGATCAAATAGGTTTCCTTTTTCGGAAATGCCTGACATTTTTTTTTTTTTGTTATCCCGTCAACGAGCACAAAATTTTAGGCCAAAATACCTTCATCACCTTACCTTCAACCTCTTTCTTCTTTTAACGTCAACTTGCAGGTCTGACTTGTAGGACAATTCCGAATAAAATCGTGTTTGACCATCACCCGGAAGAAAATCAGGCCTTCACTTTTTGAAACAACCATATTTATCGACCTCCTTTTCCTTCGAAACGAAAAACGACGGACACACTTTTCGTAACTCTGATACCTTTAGCATAATAGGTACGATCTAGTTGATGATGAGATTTTAGTTGCTTCGGATGATAAGCCACGCGTTCAAATTGGTTTGCTCAATTCATCCCTGTGGCTGGTTTACGTTTCTTTCCAATAACACACTAACGCTCACTCGACAAACCACCCATCTTTTCGCTTTTTGGATTCTATTTATTTCTATTTGCAACTTTTAGGATAAATTCCATACAACAGCAATTTTTTATTTACTTCAAACTGAAGCAGCATGCCTTTGCTAAAACGTAAAAGATTAGAACCCTTAAAAACCCCGCACTATGATCCTCGGAGTAAGGAGTCAAGAAAGAAAACTGTGTGGTATTCACCAGTGACAAACGAAATCTTTACCGACTACTCGTACGTATTCTTTAAACTTGTTCATATTCTTTCTCTTTTACATCGATCGTTTTACCACATGTGTGACGCAATTTGGTAGTTTCACCGCTAACCTACAAATATCACGATTTCGTTGTTGTTTCTAGTGAATATCTGCAACGTACGACACTATATAAGAAACCGATTTGGCAATGTGAATCCACTGGTAAAGCAAACTTAACATACAAAGAGGCTTTAGAAAGCGAGAAATTACAAAAAGAACGTGTTCAAGAGAAGTTTCCTCCGCAACTACAAAAGCGTATCTTGCTTTATCTTCAATTCAGTAAGTTTTTTTCCATCTTTTTCTAAAATTGCTTTCCTCTTATGAAGTGACAATATTGATTTCTTTTTTCGTACCAACCCTTCCATTTGCGTTACAATTCTTATGTACTCAAATATTAGAAACTGCGCGTCTAGATGCCATTGTAGACGATGTTTATCAGCATCTTGTCAACAGGTTCGCTGTAGGCGAACTTGTGTACTGTGAATGGGATGATAATATTTCGTAAGGATCATAACAACAATATATGAAAAGTCATCTATTATTAACCTATGTTTATGCACGTCATCCTTACGTTTCGTCTGTAGATATAATGCTACAGTGTTAAAAGTCATTGATGGAAGTAACCTGCCACCAGCGGAAAGGGAAAAGAAAAACATTGCAGAATCAACAACAGGTGAATATTATAAAGTTCAGTTGATTGATGAGAATGGTGAAGGGATCGATGATGATGACTGTATAAGGATTGTTCCCAGCGACAAATTGAGGTACATAAAAGACTCTTTTCAAAAGGGAAAAAAAAAATGTGGATAAAGACTCACCATATAACTCTATCCCCCCTCCACCCCTTCGCAATGTCATCTCGTTTATAGACGTGAACGTTTTGCATTCTCCAAAGCTTACCTCAAAAAATACATCAAAGAATATACTACCAAAGACACATATATTGGTGCTCCTTGGTTAGCTAGAGTAAGTGAGCTCTTGATAGGCCTCCCTTTTTCCATTGTTTTATAAAGCTTCTAATATTGTTCATTCTTCGTTAGCCTGATATTGCCGAGAGATTGAAGATTGATACTACATTGCCCATGGATCTTCAAGCAGCCAAAGATGTTGCGTACTCCAAGTCGAGGAGAAGAAGACAAGAAGCTGCCGCTGCCGCTGCCAATGCTGCTAATGACGATACTCAAACAACAGCTAACGAAACTGCTACCGAAGAAAAAAAGAAACCTATCATTATTGATGCTCGTAGACTAGAAGCTACTTTGAAGTATCCAATGGAAGATCTAAACATTCCAATGTACCGTAGAGATCCTTCAGGTATGGGCAATATTGTTGATATGACACCGGGTACCGAAGGTCAGAAAGCCGTTGCTCAAAATCCCACGGGTGATATGCCACTACGACCTACACCACCCACCCAGCCTACAGTACCTGATGATTGTTATGGATCTTTTCTTATGGTTTGGTCTTTTCTGAGTGTGTTTTCTCAACCTTTAAGATTGTCACCATTCAGCTTAGACGATTTCGAAAACGCATTACGACACAACTCGCATACAACCATTATGACGGAAAGTAATGTAGCTTTATTGAACGCCATCATTAAGCAGAGAGATCGACTGAAGAAAGAAAGCTTGGGTCACGGTTCCATGGCGTTGGCCGCACAACAGTCATTGTACGGCACTGGGTATCAGGCATCGCGCATGACTGACCCTGTATATCAAAACCCCTCCCTTGCGTCCGCATCCGCCAGCCAATATAACAGTGAAGATGACGCAGATTTCGACAGCCATACGTGGAAAGCAAAAAGACCTTCTGTTACGAAACGCATACCTACTGTCGAAAGAGGTTGTGGTAGCGCTGAAGTAGAAGCCATCACTTTCAACTGGGATAATGGTACCGTGGATACCGAAGAAGAACGCATCGGTTGGGAAGATATTTTGATCGGTTTCATCAACCAACTTGCTCCGATTGAGCAATTGCCTGAAGTGGATAGAATATTGAGTCATCTTGTGCCCAGTGCAACATCGACATTAGAAGAACGTGAACAAGCTTATATCTCACTAAGTTTGCGGGACAAGATCAAAATTTTTGAGCTTCTATTGAGCGTGGCCAACGAATCTTACGTGATCAAGAACTATATGGATGAATGTCAAGATCAGCTCACAGAACTCCGTAAACAAAAGATAGATTTGAGTCGCGAACGTAAAAGAATTGAAGCTGAAAGACGAGAATTGGATGAAAAGCAAAACGAAGAGAATAGAGATACACCTGAGGTCAGTGAGAGTGTGGATGATAATGATTTAGACGATGAATCTGATTCCAGCGACAATGACGATACTGCTTTATTGAAAGCTCAACAGCAGCTCAGTCGTCATGAATCACGACAAGCAGCTATGAAGCGTAAGCAAGCAGAAATGGAAAGGAGAGAAGCGAAGCGAATAAAGTTACATCATCTCAAAAGAGAAGAGGCACGGGCCAGGAGCCAAGAACTAAAACAGCGCAATGAAGCTCGCAAACGATTAGATGAAGACGAACGGGCCATGCTTAAAAAGGTTGAACAAGTGGAGCGAGAATTACGCAAATATCACACTCATCGTATTAAGCCTCTTGGTCGTGACAAGTTCTACAACCGCTATTATTATTTGGACGATGTAGGAGGAACATTACTTCATGGTTCCGGAAAGCTGTTTGTCCAGTGTCCTAGTGATATTGATTTGAAGATTTTACAAGAACGAGATGAGGAGGGATCGATTGACCAGAACGCTAAGCTGCCATGCGGGCGTGGTGGAGGAGTCAGTTTTGCTGCTCAGTTAATGAAAGCGCAGGGGATGGAAAGGCAAGCTGATTTCTTGGAGCGCCGTGTTGCAGCTCTGAAGCAAGGTACTGCAGAACCATTGGATGAATGGTGGGAAACATTTGAAGACCCGGATGATATACAGAAATTGTTGGAATGGTTAAATCCTAAAGGCCTTAGAGAATTTAGACTTAAAAGAGAATTAGAGAAACAATTCCATAATATCACTAATGGAATGAAGAAACGCGTATCTGATCAAATTGCTGCTAGTCGACAGGAGGCAACACGTCGTACTACGCGTAGTAAAACTATCCAGCAATATCCTCCAGGTTCATTTTTGGCTTACACTAATAAGCTTTCTTAAAAGCAATTTTAGGATCCTTTGAACTTTTACCTTTTATCGATCTATTTTCTTTAATACTTCCTTTTATTAATTTCATTTTTTTTTTTTTTTTAGCCTTACCTGAACATTTATAAACCCTCCTTTTTTTTATTGCATTTATACTGTGGTCTAGACGTATTATTTATTATCTTCGTTTGGGTTTTCGAAATAAAGCTCGGTTCCCCAATAAAGTGTACCCAGACAAGAAGCTGAACAACAACTGCTGTGTACCTACCTTTATCGAAAGACTTCCAGTGTCAGTGCTGGATCATTCGGTATCAGGACATTATAGTAATTTATGATCACTACAAGGAAAGCCTTGAATCTTTTTTTTTTGGGGGGGGGCAGCTGTACATGTATTTCTAGTAACAGCAAAATTGTAATTGGTATTACTTATACTAAAAGCATGTGTACGTCCCGCAAGAGTTTATATGCCCGTGCAAATCTGCAGTTTATGTAAAACTCTCGTACTTCTCCTTTTACAAGTTGCTATTACTACCAAAAGTATAACATTATATAGGTTATATTTTGCTTTGGTTTCGTAAGATGAAGGTGTTTCGGATTAAGTCAGCACCCTAGTTCAGCAATAAATAATTGAGCACAGAGTGACCCCAGCTTACATACAGTAAATGTTATCACCCAACAGTCAAGATTCAATTCTGAAGATTTATGGACACGCTAGCAGTTTTTGTCTCGTACATTAAAATAATCACATTAACTTATTGTTTCTACCTTTTTGGGTTGAATCACTTTGTTTTTTGATATGTGCTGGTGTTTGTTCTCATTACGAAACTTTACTATGTATCATTGTTGTATTTAATCTGTAGCATCACCTTCATCATCACTTCAAGATACGAGAAGCCGTTTTACAGTATTTTTTCGTGACTACTGACATTTCTTACTTGTAGTAGGCTGTCTTTTTCGTCGAGTACATCTTTTTACTTTGATAACAATTTGCTAAACATTATAGAGTGGCTTAAACAGACGGTAAATTCCCTCTCTTTTATAATTTTTCAAGAAATGGACGCAGTGAACAAAAGCTACAAACATCTCCAACCAAATACATAATAGGAGATACAATCCATAATAGATATAGAAACCCAACAAAACTAGAAGAGTGACTACATCAAGGATGAGGCTAGGAAGACTTATAAGCAGAAAAATGTTTGGGAAGCAGTGCGAACAATACCGAAAGTTTCGATCAGCCATGAATTCTGTTTTCGGCAGTAGACTGAGATAGGGCACAAAAGGGTATACAAGTGAAGAATAGTGGAAAAAATCATACTTATGCAGCTTAAATCGTCGAGGGAAAGTGTATGGTTCAGAACGACATTGCTGTGTTTATCCAGAAAAACTGTCAAATAGCAGCGTGAGAGCTGTACCACACTCAGGTTATTGTTATATAATGTACGTGGAAAATTTGAATGAAACTCAGTTCTCTCATACCTCTCGATGTTCTGACCACGTTGAACACTCTCTTGTTCTCTTTCGAACTATCTTTTTCTTTGTTTAAACTATTCTCACGTTTAACATCTTTATAAAACTTCAATCGCTATGGCAGCAGCAGCTTCTCGTTCAAGCGTAACACGGCTTCTAGGCTTGTTACAAGCAGGCGCTAACAGTTGTCCTTGTCACTCGCATGCTCACTCTCATACTCCTACTCTTGGATCATTCTCAAGTCTGTTGAAATATGGTCGTAACTATGCTAGTGCTAAGGATTCTACTGATTATGCTTTTGAAATGGCCGCTAGTAATATTCGTTTTGGTCCTGGCGTTACTAGGTAAGTGATTGGTATAGGCCTGTTTTAGACCTATTTGCATGAATTTCACACATGACCACCATGCAACATAGTGAGATTGGTATGGACTTGAACAATATTCAAGCGAAGAAAGTGGCAGTGTATACAGATAGTACAGTAAGTCGGGGCTTTACATCCCATAGGGGGAACCGGTTGAGGTGTGGACTCCTTTTCAAAATTTATCTCATTTTTTCTCACGCTCTGTGCGCAAAAATGATAGATTGCCAAACTGCATCCTTTGAAGGCAGTAGTCGAATCATTGGAAAAGCATCGAGTAAACTATGTTATTTACGATACTTGTCGAGTAGAGCCCACGGATAGTAGCTTCAAGTCTGCTATTGAATTCGCTCGTCAACATAACCCTGATGCTTTTGTTGCTGTGGGTGGTGGTTCTGTTATCGACACTACAAAAGCTGCTAGTCTCTACAGCGCACACCCAGAAGCTGACTTTTTGGACTTTGTGAATGCACCCATTGGTAAAGGTTTACCCATCAGAAAGAAGTTGAATCCTTTGATTGCCGGTATGTATACAACGAAAGCCTTCCCAGAGAGAAAATAAGTGGTGAATGATGTGTCGTACTATCATTAAGGTTTTAAACGCAATGTTATTCTTTTGTTCAGTTCCCACAACCGCAGGTACAGGTTCCGAAACAACCGGAACAGCTATTTTTGACTATGAGCCTCTTCATACTAAGACCGGTATTGCTCACCGTGCGCTGAAGCCTCTTTTGGGTATCGTTGATCCCTTAAATACCAGAAGCATGCCTACTCAAGTCCACGCTTCAAGTGGTTTGGATGTACTATGGTTAGTGTGGAACATTGAAAGACTCTTCAAATGAAGACAATATATACTAAAATGATGACCCTCCCCCCCCCACATCTTTTCAAATAATGTATATAGTCATTCCCTTGAATCTTATACTGCGTTACCTTTTAACCAGCGTTCACCTCGTCCTAAGGACCCTATCGAAAGACCTGCTTACCAAGGCTCCAATCCAATCAGTGATGTATGGTCTCTTCATGCTTTAAAGATGGTAGTAGAATATTTACCTCGTGCTGTTAAGGATCCTGAAGACCACGAAGCACAGAGTCAAATGTTGTTGGCTGCCACTTTCGCAGGTATCGGTTTCGGTAATGCAGGTGTTCATCTCTGTCACGGTTTAAGCTACCCTATCAGTGGCTTGAACAAAAAATATAAACATCCTGGTTATAAAGTAGACCATGCCATTGTGGTAAGTGGATAGTCATAGAAACAACACATTCAAGACATAGAGCTCAATACGTTTTTTGGCTTTCTCTTCTATTTACAATTTTTATGTAGCCCCATGGTGTTTCTGTTGCCTTGACAGCTCCTTCTGTCTTCCGCTTCACAGCACCCGCATGTCCTGATCGTCATATTGACGCGGCAGCAGCCTTCGGTGCTGATCCTGCCCATATCAAGGAATCTATGGCAGGTGAGGTTCTTGCTGAAAAGCTTACTCGCTTCTTAGAAGACCTAGATCTTCCCAACGGTTTGACGGCTCTTGGATATGACTCTTCTTATATTCCTAAATTGGTTGAAGGCGCTTTGCCACAACACCGTGTAACTAAGCTTGCACCTGCCGGTGAGCCTGCTCGCGAACAATTAGCTTCTATATTTGAGAATGCCTTGACGCTTTATTAGAGAATTTCTGTGAAGGAAACAGATAAAAAAGATGAATAAAATATAATAATACGAAAACAGATCACATAAACGAGTATATAAAGGGTTTGAACGAATGTATTAAACTAAAATAGGGATCAGGTGAAGCCAGTTTCTATGCACAATACTAGAACTTAGAGACTTGCACATAACCGAAGCGTCTTGAGTTGGCTCAACAATACTAAGCAGAGTGCGTTATCATTACTCAGAAAGGTGATTTATTTACAAAAGAATGAAAAGAATCGTATTGACGTTCTCATAGAGTCCAAGCTGCCACGAGATGCAACAGGCAGATCGCTAGTTTTTATTAGCATCTTCTGTTGCTTCTTCGTCAGCTACCTCATCTTCTTCATCCTCTTCATCGTCTTCTTCTAACGCGTCATCGTCTTCATCATCTTCATCTGTTTTCACTTTCTTTTGATCAGTGATCAAATCTTCGTCTTCCATCTCGTCTACTGTACGCTTTTTGCCAATGACAGATTCCTCCATCGCTGTATCTTCATCGGCCTCGTCCTCTCCGTTTTCCTTTGACTTGAGTTCGTCTCTCTCTTTCTTTTTCTTCTTTTTTTCACGCATCAGCTGTTGATATGCTAAAAAGTGTTTTCAAACGTCTAATAAGAACATCTACACTTGGAACTAACAATTTCTAACCCATTACCTGATAGAGCATCTTGCAAATCCGGTATTAAATTATCTAACTCTGCCACCTCTAAGGCTTTGAATACATCGGTTGCTGTGATCGTTTTATGACCAGAACCTTTTGCTACATCATTAGCACTAAAGGATCAAGGTAATAATTGTTACCAATTGTTTGATTGCTCTGCTGAACTCGTTTGAATTATACATACAGCGAAGATAAATAGTTGATAAAGACCGTAGATGCTCTATTGACAGCTAACTTGGCATCTCTTTGCCATGCTGTACCCGGCGGAAGCTAGTATAACAATAGTCATAGAACGGTTATTACTACCAAAATAATTCAATCGCCTAATCCTACAAATGCAATATTTACTGCCTCTGCTAATACTCTTCTGACGTTGGTTTTAGGTAGTTCGTTATCTTCGATTGTGTTTGGACTCGACATCTCTGAAATGATTTCGATGAATGAGAACTTATTTGCGAAACAATACCGAATTAGGAACCGATTTTGGTTGGATTTTTTTTTTCACTGAGAATCAGCTTTGTACTCCAACGCGGTCACGACTTAAATCCGCAAGAGCAGCAGCAGCAGCAGCATGATGAATGACAGCAATTTAAAGTGTGACAAAAGTAAGCGGTATAAAAGTGGATTATAACTTGTCTTTCTTCTTTCTCCCTTCCATAGTTATATTTTTGTTATATCAATGAGCTCTTCTGAGAGAAAAGTATTGTTTAGAAACATGTATTCCTTTTTGAAAAAACAAGCACTCCTACAATGCTAACTGGTACATAAAACAGCCTGTTCTGTATAGTTATTTTAGATCTTCTGCTTCTTGGCGTGTTCGTATTGCTTTAGCATGGAAGAACGTAGACTATGAATATAAGCCAGTCAACCTGCTAACCCATGCCAACGTAAGTTTGCACAGTGCAAATGGATTCAAAATAGTTATAATAATAATAATAATAATAATAAAAAAACAACCCCCACCTCTAACGAAGCTATATAATAAACTAGCTTGAGAGTGACTATCGTCAGGTTAATCCTACCGGTAAGGTTCCTGCTTTTATAACGGCCGAAGGAGAGGTTCTTGCTCAAAGTCAAGCAATATTAGAGTATTTAGAAGAAACGTTTCCAGGTAATCATCAAAATGAACACTATTTTGCGCATGGGTTGTACCTAATGTTACTGACGTGCGTATGGTTCGATAATCAACAGAACGCCCTATGCTTCCCAATTCACCAGTTAAACGAGCAGAGGTTCGTGAAGTTTGCCAGATTATTGCTTGTGATATCCATCCGCTTCAGAACTTGGGTGTTCTGCAACGTATCTCCGGCGATGACATGGATAAAAAAGTAGAATGGGCAAGAAATACCATCACTTTAGGTTTCCAAGGTTTAGAAAAGCGATTGGAGAAGCTGAGTGGAACTTATTGTATAGGCGATTCCGTAACCATGGCGGATTTTTTCTTGGTACCTATGGTTGGTAATGCAAATCGTTGGAATGTGGATATGAGTCAGTTCCCTCTTATTACAAAGATCAATAATAACCTCATGACTCTACCTGAATTCATTGCTGCTTCGCCTCCTAAGCAACCCGACTGCCCTGAAGAGTTAAGAAAATAGAAACCAAACAATGGTCATTATTGAATCCATTTTGGCTTTAGTTACGTATGAAGAAAACCTTATTCATTACTGCAAAACGAAACAATAAAAAAAGGGAACTCTGCCTCATTATTAAAATTGAAGCCAGTTCGCTCTATAACTTCTCGTATGTGTTGTTTAAATACTATTCTTGCCATAAACAGAGAGGTGTTTCGTACAAAAGTTTTAAAAAAGATGGCATAGGCAAGAGAGGGCATAACTTCTCCATCCAGAATCTGTTTTATGCTGGCATCCAAATGCCACGGCCCTTTTAGTGTATAAGGCGGCGCCTGATTTTAGGCACAGAAAAAACGGGGTCACAATTTTTGTTGCTTCGAAATATTTTTTGACAGATCAGTTGAATCCATACAAACCATCTTAGTTCTATATCACTCACTCTTCCTTATAGTACCTTTTGAATATGACCGATACAGATATAGTTATGACGACAGCTGTATCTTACAGCGATTTCAGCACTTACAATCCACTCTCTTTTGACTTTGCTGGTGCTGTTAATCAGCTATCGGTTGTGATTAAAGGATCAATTTTTGCAAGCTTAGATCTTAGCGTCATACACGATCCTTCGTTAGCATCCTCAAAAACAGTGTTACTCGAAACGATCTCTAAAGCTATGCTCAATCCAGAATGGACAAATTGTATTATAGATTTATTTAGACCTATTGTTATTGATCTTGTTGCGCGATGGACTTTACCTGGATTCACTGATTTCATCGATGCCAACCCAGCCTCCCCCAATTCCAACAAAACTGTATATAAAATTGAATTAGTCGCAAAAGCATTTAGCACTGTACTTCCTACTGTGCCCCAAGTGAAAAGGTTTCTATCAATTATTGTAATATTCTCAAAAAATTCACCAATGGAAGTACTCATCCTATCTTACTTATTTATTCTCAAACATGATAGCTTGGCTGTATCATATTTTTCTCATTCCACGTCTCTATTTGAAAGACTAAATCATATTAATTTAAGCAAAGAAACAGAAGTAAGACGAAATAATGAAGAATGCAAATGCAATTGTAGATTATTAACATCATTCATTTAAATTCTAGATTACACAGACTCTGACAGCTGAACTATTCGAATTACTCTTAACTGCATATAGATTGTTATCGTTCTCTAGTTCGACATTTATACCAATCTGGAATTGGGGACCTGTAGTACAACTGCTGGAATACAGAGAGCCAACCATACAATATATGGCCATTTTATGTTTGTCGAAAGTATATCAACTAAGTGATGTACAAACAAAATCTTTAATAACAGCTACTGTGGGTGCAGGCAAATCAATAGATGAATTAGAAACTCCCATTCACGTTATAATAGATGGAACTCGTGTGGATATACGACTATTAGAGTATGCATTTTTTCTTTTCAATAATGTAAAATCCAAATTTTATTAATCAGCTAACCGTTTGTTTGACAATTCTAGTCTTTGGGAACAGCAGAGATTAGCGGAAGCTCAAGTAGCCTACATGAAAAATAATCATGAAGCTGCAGATACAGAACCTGCTTTATCTAATGAAGATTTATGTCATCTCACCAGTAATTTATGCGGTGTCCTGTTACCGAGAATCTCGTCGTCAATAGTAAAGGAAGATTCAGACACATTATCATACGATCCCAAACTTATCCTGACACCCACAACGTCCAAGAATCTTCATGCAATTAGTCTCGCATTATCCATTGGCGCCCCAACATTGCTCGAAGGCGTCACCGGCGCAGGAAAAACAGCATTAGTAGAAGAACTTGCAGCAAGAACAGGAAGAGGAGCTGATTTAGTGAAAATTCACTTGGGTGATCAAACAGATCCAAAGGTCCTGTTGGGAACCTATGTTTCAACCGCTACACCTGGCTCGTTTCGTTGGCAAGCAGGCGTACTAACAACAGCAGTATTGGAAGGACGATGGGTTTTAATTGAAGATATTGATCTTGCACCAGCTGAAGTCCTTTCAGTCCTCTTGCCACTCTTAGAAACCAGACATTTATTTATACCTTCTCGCGGAGAAAAGATTAAAGCAAAGGAAGGGTTTCAATTGTTTGGTACACGTTCGTTTGTACCTACAAAATCAGGGAAAGGCTCACAACCTAGAGGAGGTGAATTAACGACAGGCGGTAATTTATGGACAAGAGTCTATGTGGAGCCTCTTTCTGCAGATGAATTAGAATCCGTCATCCGTCAAAAATTCACTCATATTGGCGATTTTGCACCTCACGTCATGAATTTATATAAAGCAGCCGTTGATATGTATCAAGATCCCAATTTTTCGATGTTATCAACCTCAACAATGGGCCGCTTTCTGTCCACCCGTGATTTAATAAAATGGTGCCACCGTGTTGATCTTTTAATAGGGGAAAAGTTAAGCAACAGCAACGAGGTTGGCATGGATTTGACATTACGACAGGATTTGTTCAGCGAGGCAAACGACTGTTTTTGCGGCATGATTCCGGACTATAATGTATGGGTTACAGTACTACAAACATTAGGTCGTCCATTGCAGATTTCTGAAGAACTCGTACGCAACTATGTGGACCAATATAAGCCTGCTTTTGATGTGAATGATACGAATATCCGTATTGGTCGAGTCAATTTATCTGCAATTGCAGCTAGTGGAAAGCAAAAGCAGAAGCAAAGTCTGGTCAAGCGTGAAAAGAAAAGACCGTTCGCAACAACAGGCCATGCTTTACGTTTGATGGAACGAATTGCTGTGTGTATTCATTTGACTGAACCTGTTCTATTAGTCGGTGAGACAGGTACTGGTAAGACTACAGTTGTGCAGCACTTGGCCGATATGATGAACCAGTCCTTGATCGTTGTCAACTTGTCTCAGCAATCAGATAGCTCCGACTTATTAGGTGGATTCAAGCCAGTCGATGCAAAAGTACTAGCCATTCCGTTGAAAGAAGATTTTGAGCGCCTATTTGAAAAGACATTCTCTGTTAAGAAGAATGTTAAATTCTTGGACATGGCACGCAAAACTTTTGTACATCAAAAGTGGAAGAATTTCGTTGCTCTATTGAAACAAGCATATAAAATGTCACAACAAAAGTTTGAAGCTGAGCAGACTTCGGAAAGCAAAAAGGTGTCGTCGCCTACCCTTCGCAATGCTTGGAAAATGTTCTTGAAGCGTATCGAAGAATTTGAAGTCCAACAGGTACAATCCCAGAATAAGTTTGTATTCAACTTCATGGAAGGTTCTTTGGTCAAGGCGGTTCGTCAAGGCGACTGGATCCTACTCGATGAAATCAATTTGGCAACTACTGAAACGCTTGAGTGCCTTTCTGGCCTGCTTCAAGATGCCAATGGCTCTTTGTTACTGACAGAAAAAGGTGATGTAGAGCCTATTAAACGTCATCCCAACTTTCGCCTGTTCGCTTGTATGAACCCTGCAACCGATGTTGGCAAACGTGACCTCCCTCCTGGTTTGCGCAACCGATTTACAGAGTTCTATGTCCATCCTCCTGATAACCGTTATGACGACCTATTACAAATTGTCAAGCAGTACCTTGTTGGTATTGCTTCAGGCGATGAGAAAGCCTACGATGACGTTGCCGAATTCTACCTGAGTGCCAAGAAATTGGCGGCCGAACACAAATTAGTAGATGGTGCCAATCAAAGACCTCATTTTAGTATGCGAACGCTGGCTCGTGCGTTGACTTATGTGTGTCAAATATTCCCTGTTTATGGACTTCGTAGATCTTTGTATGAAGGTTTTTGTATGACTTTCTTGACACAATTGGACAAACAGAGTGAGACTTTAATGCATGACCTGATCTTCAAAACTATCCTGCGTGGGATACAAAACCCTAAGAACCTTATTACTCAAATACCGCGTCAACCTAGAGATGACTTTATTCAGTTCGGTTACTTCTGGTTAGAACAAGGACAATTTTTGCCAGAAGAGGATACCAAATACATCATTACACCGTCAGTAGAAACCAAGCTATATAACCTTGCTCGTGTTATTATGTCGAGGAAGTTTCCAGTACTTATTCAAGGCCCAACTTCAGCTGGTAAAACGTCCATGATCGAATATATGGCAAAGAAGACAGGTCATCGATTTGTTCGTGTCAATAACCATGAACATACTGATTTACAAGAGTATCTTGGTACTTACGTTTCAAACAATGAAGGAAAGCTTGTATTCCAAGAAGGTGTTTTAGTCGAAGCACTTCGTAAGGGTTATTGGATTGTGCTTGATGAACTCAACTTGGCCCCATCTGATGTCCTTGAAGCTCTTAATCGTTTACTCGATGATAACCGTGAATTACTGATACCTGAAACGCAGGAAATTGTAAAGCCGCATCCTCATTTCATGCTCTTTGCTACACAAAATCCTGCAGGTCTTTATGGTGGTCGTAAAGCATTGTCGAGGGCTTTCCGTAATCGTTTTCTTGAACTTCACTTTGATGATATTCCTGAAGATGAGCTGGAGACAATTCTCTCAAGACGCTGCAGCATAGCGCCTTCTTACTGCAAAAAGCTTGTCAAAGTCTATAAAGAATTGATGGAACGAAGACAAAGCACCCGTATTTTTGAACAAAAGCATGGTTTTATCACTCTTCGTGATCTCTTCCGTTGGGCTGGTCGAGATTCTTTGGGTTACCAAGAGTTGGCTGAAAATGGCTATATGCTTTTAGCAGAACGTTGTCGCAAGGATGAAGAGAAGAAGGTGGTAAAGCAAGTTTTGGAACAAGTGATGAAAGTGAAGATCGAAGAAACAGCCATCTATGATTGTACAAAATTAGAAGAATTTGCTATCTACAATCAACTGTTGGAAAAGCAAGCTGCACATGCCGGAGAGGATACCAAATTGGTTTGGACAAAAGCGATGCGTCGTCTCTTTACCTTGGTTGCCCGCTGCCTCAAATACAATGAACCGGTTCTTCTTGTTGGTGAAACAGGTTGTGGTAAGACAACTGTTTGCCAAATGTTGGCAGAAACTTATAACCGCGAACTACATATCGTTAATTGTCATCAAAATACTGAGACTGGTGATCTGCTTGGTGGCCAGCGTCCTGTAAGAAATAGAGACACTGCTGAAGATTCTGAAGCGCAGCAACAGCTATTTGAATGGCATGATGGTCCACTTGTACAAGCGATGAAGGAAGGACATCTATTCTTGCTGGATGAAATTTCGCTCGCTGATGATTCAGTTTTGGAAAGATTGAATTCAGTTCTCGAACCTAGCCGACTTCTTGTACTTGCCGAAAAGGGTGGTAAGCAAGTTGAAGAGCTGTTTGCTTCTCCTAACTTCCAGTTCTTAGCTACGATGAATCCTGGTGGTGATTATGGCAAAAAAGAGCTATCTCCTGCTTTAAGAAACCGATTTACTGAAATATGGGTTCCTTCTGTTACTGATAAGGAAGATTTGATAGCAATTATCAATGAGCAACTAGCTGATCCTGAACTGAAGTGTTATAGCGAGAAGATACTCGATTTCATCACTTGGTATACTCAAGCGATGGGTCAAAACCGCACTATAGTGTCTCTTCGTGATATTCTTTCGTGGGTTAAATTCATTAATGTTGCCGTTGAGTCTGGCATAAGCCATGACCTTAGCTTTGTCCATGGTGGTTGTTTAGTTTTGCTTGACGGTTTAGGTTCTCATGGTTCGTCTGGATCTTTCCTTTCAGGGACTCTTTTGGATGAGTTTAGACTCAAATGTCTTCGTCGTTTGTCGAGTAAACCTGATGCTGCAGAACTTGATATACTGGGCAGTGTAAAGGACAATATACAGTCTGCTGATGATAAATTTGCCATTGGTCCCTTTCAAATCTCCCGTGGTCAGTTGGCGAAGACTGATATCAAATTCACACTGCTGGCTCCAACCACAGCTGATAATGCTATGCGTGTTATTCGTGCTATGCAACTCAAAAAACCTATTCTACTCGAAGGTAGTCCTGGTGTCGGTAAAACCAGCTTAATTTCTGCTTTGGCAGCTGCCTCTGGTCATAATCTTGTTCGTATCAATTTATCTGAGCAAACAGATTTAATGGATCTCTTTGGTTCAGATTTGCCCGTAGAAGGTGGTAGTAGTGGTGAATTTGCTTGGAGAGATGCACCCTTCTTACAAGCTATGAAAGCCGGTGATTGGGTCCTTTTAGACGAGTTAAACTTGGCTTCTCAATCCGTTTTGGAAGGTCTTAACTCTTGTCTTGATCATCGTGGTGCCGTCTACATCCCTGAACTTGATAGGGAATTCTTCTGCCACAAGAATTTCCGAGTCTTTGGTGCTCAAAATCCTCTACAACAGGGTGGCGGCCGTAAAGGTTTACCCAAATCCTTCGTCAATCGTTTTACTCAAGTCTATGTTAAACACTTGTCTCCCGATGATTTGCTGTTTATCTGTACTCATCTCTTCCCTGACTTCGCTCCGGAACTCTTAGCAAAAATGATAGAATTTAACAATAGAATATACGAAGAAACAATGGTGCGCTGCAGTTTTGGTCGTAAGGGTAGCCCTTGGGAGTTCAATCTGCGTGATGTTTTCCGTTGGTTGGAATTGATGCAGAAAGACCAAGTTTACAGCCCTGCAGAGTATCTAGATATCATTTATCTACAACGTATGCGAACCTGTGAAGACCGTGTTAAAATCGTCAACTTGTTCGAATCAGTTTTTGATGAGAAATATGATTATTCTGCTCAACCTTCATACTCTGTAACGACTGATTCTTTCAATGTCGGTCATTCTCGTCTAGCACGAAAAGAAATGAGTGTTTCAAGTGATACCAGCGAACAGGAAAATCATATTTTGCAAACATTCTTGTCTCCTTTGGAAGCATTAATGAAGTGCGTCGAATTATCTTGGATGGCAATCATTAATGGCCCTTCTGCGTGTGGTAAAACCTCTTTGGTTCGTCTGTTAAGTAAAATAACCGGAAATCACCTAGAAGAATTTGCCATGAACAATAGTGTCGATACAATGGAATTGCTTGGTGGATTTGAGCAAGTCGACCTCAACCGTCATCGACAAGTTATAGTTGAAACTCTTCGTCAAATGGTTGTTCAATCATCTCGAAAACTGCTTGTCTATATTACGAATTTTACAGCTGCCGATGAGCATTATACAAATGCTCTAAGACTGCTCCGACAAATTAATGAATCTTGGTTCGTGTTGGAGAATAAGCAACAGCTAGAAGCCAATTCAATTGACACAGAGTCTGGAAAGCTTGATTACGCTCTTATCAGCAATATCATCAATCTTTTGAGGTCTACTGCCTCGATAGATCCCGAAAGTGCGTTGGCTATTGATGCGCTGGTTGTCTCAATAGAAAATGTGCAGAAACTTGAGAAAGAGTCCGTTGCAGGCAAATTTGAATGGATTGATGGTTTGTTAATTCATGCTCTCGAAAAAGGTCATTGGCTTCTTATTGATAACGCCAATCTGTGTAATCCTTCTGTTCTCGATCGTCTGAATCCTTTGTTCGAAAACAACGGTGTTTTAATGGTTAATGAGCGTGGTTTAGTCGACGGTACTGTCAAAGTAATTAAACCCCATCCCAACTTCCGTATGTTCATGACAGTCGATCCTCAATATGGCGAATTGTCAAGAGCTATGAGAAACCGTGGTATAGAAATTTCGTTGATTGATGCCAATATGAATAGTAATACACAAGACGTTATTAAACTTGCAAACTCTCTTGGTATACGTGGATCTGAATTGCCCCTCTTACTGAAAACATTACAGCAAGAGGCAGCAATTCAACGTAAACAGTTTTTTAAAACTGAAAATATTCGTGATTACCTCTTGTTTACCACATACCTCACAGAGCGTCTTCAAAGAGGTCAAACTCTCAAATCTGCGCTGCATGATTCCTTCTTACAAGTCTTTGTAGATGTAAAGGACCTTCCTGGCGTGTTGGACACATTATTACAATCTGAAGCAGAATCAGCACATTTATTAGCAACCCCTTCACCGACTAATTTCCCTACGCTTATCAATGGTCGATTGTTCAGCGACGATTCTACTCTTGCTACTGTTGCTCTCCACGGTGCGTATCTAGCATATTTATTGCTAACTCCCGGAGAAAGTAATGCAGAATTAGCCAAAAAATCCGACATTGCCGGTGATTACTTCATTGAACACTTAAACGTTGAAAATTACGGGTTAAGTCTTCGTTTCGCTAGTCATATGGCTCACCAAACCACCATCGAAAATACTGATATTCTCGAACGCTTGGTCTACTTGATAAAGGAGCTTGCTCCTCATCCTTTATTTGCAAAATATTCGCAAATGCAACATAGCCATGATAACGGTCCACTGTCTAATTTAGATGACTTCAATTGCACTCGTAAAGCCTACCAACTTCTGCTCCGACTTTTCAAGAATAAATTTGCAGTTAAACAAATGCAGTCAACTGCTCAACGTATGAAGTCTGGCAGTTTGACGGCATTACAGCAATCGTACAGCTTTTATGAAGGTCGCTTGAATGAAAGTCAATTGTTACACCCTGTTGTACCCAAGCTTTATCCTTTCTTCACCTCAGTGAGCGAGAAATTCCTCAGCTGGATTGATCAAAATCACTATCATGCGTGTTCTGAAGAGACATTCGCTTTGATCAACAGAATTTTGGATGTTTGCGATTTTGCTTGGTATCTTACTCAATTACCAAGTCTGAGTCTCGATAATCTCGTTATCATAATGAAGATTACAAAAGAACTCATCTTATCCAAAAATATCAATGATACTTCACTTGATGACTTATTGGTTCGAATCGAAGATATATTATCTGGTTTTGATGTTACTACTAGTCTTTCCATGAAGACTCTGTGGAAATATTTCAGTCCTCCAACTCTATCTTCTTTGCCTTTGCACGATCTTGAAAAGAAACTACGTCAACTTAGCGCTGATATGGATGATTACAGTTTTGGTAAAGAGCAAGGTCTTAATTCAAAGTCTCTTATTTTACATGTTAATCGCGAAGTGAAGGAAGCTCTGGTAGAAGGTATAGCTACTCTGTACGTTGTTGGTGAAAATGATTCAGAAATTGCTGAGGTCTTGAATTCCTTAACCAAACTTCCTGAATATGTCCAGCGTGAACTTGCAGCCTGCAGTTCATCCTTGGAGACAGCGAAGGAAGACAATAAATGGGATACAGCTTTGATCCCTATTCAAGATTACGCAAGTATTATTACTGAAATGGAACTGCTGGCTAGCCTTTATAATATTATAAGTGCATCACCGGATGCATTTACATTGCAAAATATTAAGGAAGAAATAAGCAAGTTTAAAAATTTCGTTTTGGATAAATCATCCCGTACTCCTCTTGATATGATTCCCTACCAACGTTTGATATGGTTGTTTGATACTGATAATATTACCAACATGGTCAATGGTCTTCCTGGTATGATACAAGATGCAGTTTATGGTTATCATCAACGTCTTTGGCGATCCAGTCTGTTCCAACAAGATTTGCACCACCTCACTCCAAAGGAGGAACAACAGGTAAGTTATATTGTTTACAGTACCCTTAATCCAAGCTGACTATTCTTATTATCTGTATTTAGAAGCTTCCCATCACAGAAGGGCCACTTAGTCTTTATGAAAGTGTTGAAACTATAACTTGTTTGAACATTCTTTCATCCGTTGAAAGTTTAGATACACAATCATTCGAAAATGCTCTCAAACAACTTGTAGGTTTGAAACAGTATTTGTCATCCTCTAACAACACAAGCGACAGAAAATATTCAGAACTTGTAGTGCTCATTTCTCTAGCGAGCCAGGTAAGTTTCTGATTATGAATACGTTTTGTTAGAGTAGCAACTCAAACTCTTTTATTCTCTATTATAGTTATTCTATGCTGCATCGCCACTATTTCCTAAGGATGTCACTAGTTCCGTTTGCTCTGCTTTCGATAACATTAACGCTTTGGCTAAACCCTTGCTTAGTCATTCCGTCTATTCAGACAAGAACTTCGCTCATGAACTTGAAGGCATTATGGAGAGAATGAATGATGTTTTAGTACACATTCAGGATTTGGATATCAATGCCTTTTATGTTGAAGCACTTTACCAGCTTGCTGCTACTGTTAGTCATTTGAAATCTGGCTCCCGTGAGGAATTTTTCAAAACTGCTGGTAGAACACGAGTTCTTCTCGGATTGGCATTTGTAACAGCTTATATTCCCGACTATCCTGTTGATCCTACATCTGAACCGAGACTTCATGTTAACTTACTGACTGCGAAGAAATCGAAACTTGAAGAGAACATTGATGTTCGTACCAATATTGAAATTGTTTACACTGGTAACAATACAAATACACGCATCAAGGAAGAACAAGCTATTTTGGATGAAGTGAATGTACAAATTTCGAAGAGTAAAACTGTTTTCTCCCTGCGACCTGAGCAAGCTCAATTGGAAGAAATTTTCGTAGACTTACGATATTTACAAAAAAGTATGCTTGAAAAAAATGTTGAAAACTTGCTGAACGATTTCGAGACAGGCAGTATGGAATCTGTTTTACAGCGCGAAGAACTTTTGCAAGGCAACGCTCTTCAATTTATTGATAGAGTTAATCAAAAATTCCCCTTGTACAAGGATATATTGCAACCTCTTCTTGTTGCAGTTCAAAATATCAAATATGGTTTACGTCTGCTCATCAGTAACTTTAAGAAGGATGCCATGGATAGCTTTATCTCGGAAGTTGTTCAATTCTTAATTTCTGATGGCACCTGTTCAGAATATCTGTCTTCCGAGAAGTGGAGCAATCTTAGCGCTAATGACAGCCTTGTAAAGCTCAGAGACATCATATTCAGCAGATCGTCGACAAGTAAAAAATGGTCTCTTTATCTTAGAATTTTGATTGTTATACTTCAACACTTAATACACAGTATCAACATACATGGTACCTTAACAGCTGAAAATCTTGTATCAATCAACATTATTTATAACGAAATTGTTCAAGTGTGGAAAGCAGCAGAGGAGTATAGAAAAAAGCAAGAAGCTGAAAAGGAGGCCCTTTTCAAAACACGCGCTAAAAAGTATGAAGCAGTTCCTGACGAAGAACTTGAAGAGAGGGACATGAAAAAGATTTTTGCTGCATTCGATGAGGAATTCGCTGATTTAACAATTGAGGATAATGATGAACCAGTGAAAGCTAGTGCTCCTGCAGAGGTTGAAGAAGTTTCTGTATTGAATTCAGATGATATTCGTCGTATTGGTCACCTTCACAAATGGCTTTTCAACACATACAGTCATGCTAATTGCAATCGCTCAAAAAAGAATTGGGATGGAGAAACGACTCAGGCTTATGCCGCTGCAGGAGAGTTGTCTAATATGACTAATTCCGCGTTCGAGGACACTATGGATCGCAGCTGCAAGGTTGGTAACATGCGTGCTACTTCCTTGATTATCAAGCGCCTTGAGTCCGATAGTCCTTTGCAATCAAATGATGGAAAGATTTACGACTTTTATCAAAATGAAAATGTGGCAGAAGCTAAACGTGTAGTACCTATTGTGAATCGCTTTAAAGCACGTGTATTGCAACTTCTGGACCAGTGGCCTGAGCATGCTATTTTATCTCAGTTAGTTGTTATTTCGGACCGTATACTCTCGTTTTCAGTATTGTCTCCTGTCTCCAAATTTTTAACGGGAGTTGAACTCTTACTACAGAAGTCGGAAGATTGGGAAGCTTATGCTGCGAAGCATGTGTCTCTGAAGGACCAACGTGAAGAGCTTACCAAACTAATTGTTGATTGGAGACAACTCGAACTCAACTGTTGGCCAAAACTCCTAGAAGCTCAAGAGCAATATCATCAAGATGCTGCATTCGATTGGTGGTTTAATCTTTACGATGCCGTTAATAACACATCACTAACTTCGGAGAAAGAGGAGAAAAATGTCAAAAACACGCAAGATTTACTTGGTGCACTTGATCATTTCTTGCAAACAGCTCCAGTTATCGAGTTCTCCCCACGTCTAGCTATGGTCGATTCTTTCTATAAGCAAGTCATGCTTCAATCAAGTCTTTCGCCTAATGCAAGTGAGCAAGCGAACTACGAGAAGGTTGCTACCATTTTGCGAAATGTGTACATGTACTACCTACAATTCGAGGAGCGTGCAAAGACTTTAATGGCTCAACTACGTCAACCAATTGAAAAAGAACTCAAGGACTTTGTAAAGATTGCTACTTGGAAAGATGTAAACATTTATGCTTTGAGACAAAGTGCTTCTAAAACTCATAGACAGCTGCATAAATGTATTCGTAAGTATCGTGAAGTCCTTAGTACTTCTATGCTAACAGTCATTGCCAACTACAATGAAGAATATGCTATGTACCAATACGGTGATGATAAACGATATAGTAAGGATATCAACATGTCTTTAGTCAGCCAGCTTCCACAAGCCAGTGTTTGGTTAAGCACGCTTGAGCTTCCTGATGTCAAATCAGCGGTAAATCTACCATCAGATTCTATCAAGGCACATTTGAGTGATCTTTCTGTGACGTTAAGAAGAATGAAAGGTTACTGTCGCAAGGACATTTTTATTGATGATGATGATATCAAAGATTTGCCATTAGAAAAGTTCATGACCGAGATAATCGACCAAATAAAGTATTTCCAAAAGGAAACACCAGCTGTTATGACAGAAGAAAATAAATCGATGGTGAAGAATCAGAAGTTACTGAAGAAAAAGGCCTTGGTTGATTTCCTTAAGGAACTCCGTCGTTTAGGTTTGAAATCTCGACTTGGTAGAATGAAGGAAGAGAACAGTGATACAGTCAGCCTCTTCAATCAAAAGGTCGCTGATCTCGAGTTCTTAGCATTTAGCAAAGGAACTTATCATGGAGATTTATCTACGATTACTGATGCTTCCGTTGGTGCAATGGAGCAGTGGAGAAAGGCGAATGACTATTATTTCCGTTCTATTGCTAGATTGACTCACTTGCGTACTCTAAGCACCACCAAAACCAGCAAAGATCTCTCTCTTCTTGAGATTGAACGCGCTTTAAGTGCTACGGAGCATATGTTCACTCTCACACATAAAGAACGTTCATTGTTGGCTCGCGCAGAAGGCAGTTTGATGGTCCTGCAAGGTTTCGCTCTACAAATGTCAGCTCTATACTCCTCTTTCAAAAAAGGGCATACACTATCAAGCGATAGAGAAAAAGTTTCTATTTTAAGTAAACACAAGATTTACGTCGACGAAGTTGCATCTCTGTTATCTCAAGCTCTTCATACTCTTTCCCTCAGCAATGAAGCGAGCCATCAACAGTGTATGCGTGAATTACGAGATATGTATGACAGCATTGAAAAGTTGCAGAAAATTATCGATGAACTGTATGTCCTGCGTTATCTTTTCCCTAAGGCTGCTACTGGTATCAATTTGGCTGCAATAACAAGTGACATTGAAGCATTAATCAGATCAAATATGGAGAAAATTGATACTATGTATAACCGTTTACAAAGTATCATATTTGCTCAACCTGGTTATAACTACATTATTTATCCAATCCTACAACACATGAAGGCAACTTCAATGTTTGCTGATGCTTCAATCGACGCCGTGGAAACTACTGACATCAGTGTCACTGACCTTCGTGATCGTATCTACAGCCTTATTGACGTCTCATTGCTTGCTATTCAGGATCTCAAAAAAGTCAACGATAACTTGACAGAAACCACTGTTACTGTTAGCGAGGACACAGAGGACCAAAATGATTTGGCGGACGATTTCATTCGCCAGCAAAATAAGAAGCAATTTTCACTGGCTAATGCATTACATTTAGAAGCTGCCTCCAGACGTTCTTTAGACATACTTAGTGCAATTTTCTCTTTGATAGCTCAAGTTAATAGCAATACAAGCATTGCAGAGCATATTTCTTGTTTGATACAGGAAGTCTACCCTTTCTTGCAACAGTATTTGCTTATTGCTCAACATACCCTTACCAAAATACTGGTGCATCACAAGTCAATGGCCAAGTTAACTTACTGTATGATCAACTCTTTCAGTATTATTATCACAAAGGGTTTCTGTATGCCTGAGGGAGCTGACGATGGTGAAGAAGGAGAAGCTGATGGTACTGCTACTGGTACAGGTATTGGTGAAGGTGAAGGTACCAAGGACGTAGGCGAGGAAATTGAAGATGAAGAGCAAGTACTTGGAACACAAAACGAAGAACGTAGCAAAGATGAACAAAAGCAAGATACTAAGGAAGAAAAGAATGGCCTTGATATGGAAAATGATTTCGATGGCAATTTGGAAGATGTTGAACAGAGTGAAGACGAAAATAAAGACGAATCTGAAAGCTCTGATGAGGAAGAGGATCCTGACGAACAGATCGGCGATGTGGATGATATGGATCCTGATGCTGTGGATGATAAAATGTGGGGTGATGAAGCTGAAGAAGAGCTTAAGGAAAGCGATAAGACAGTGGATGATGCAGGTAACCAACAACAACAAAAGGATTCCGAAATTGTTGCAAAGGAAGACGGTGATCAACAGCAGGATCCCAAGAACGATACACGTGATGAGTCAACAGAGAATGATGATCAACAAATGAAAGGCGAAGAAGAAGAGATGGATAGTAACGGAGGAAGTGGCGATGAAGAAGAAATGGAAGGCGAGGGTGAAGATGAAGAGGATGTTGAGAACAAAGCTGGTGAGCAGCTCAACGCCGAAATTCCTGAAGCCGAAACGTTAGATTTGCCAGATGATATGAATTTAGATGGCGATCAGAATGAAGGCGAGGATGAAGAAGCAGGTGAGGATATGAATGATCCGATGGATATGGATGAGACATCTGGAGGACAAGAAGAAGAGCAAGTACAAGAGGAAGAAGATGGTGGTGAGGCTTTCAAAGATGCTCTTGATGATATTGATGAGAATATGAATGATAAGGACGAAGAAATGGCAGACACGACTGCGGAGACTGATATAGATCAACTCGATGCTAATGAAGATACTGAAGATAATCAGGATAAGGAGAATGTTGAAGGTGAAAAAGAAGAAGATCTAGTAGACGAGACAGGTGATGCTGAACAGCAACAAAAGAATGGTCAAATTATGGAAGATGAGCAAGACGCTGAGGAAGAAAGTAAAGCTCATGGTCGTGAACAACCGAGTAGTGATGCTGTTGCAGATAATCAATTTGGTGTTCAGGGTGAAGCAGGCAAGCAAAGTAAGAGCTCTGGTAAAAATAATGAAGGTGAAGAAGAGGATACGTCCGCCGAAGCGGAAGATGATTCGACAGCACTTAAAGAGCAATCAGGTGCACCAGAAGGTGGCAGCGGCCAAGCTAACCAAAAAGAAGATGCTGACAGTGAAAATCAGGATGAAAAGATGGAAGAAGAGTCCAATCAAGATATGGCAAATCCTCAAAGAAGCCTTGGAGATGCCCTTGAGAGATGGCGCAGAAGGTTGGCTGATGTTAATGACGGTGAAACTGAAGAGGAGCAAGAACCTGATACAGAAAAGAAAGACACAGAAGCAGACGAAAATCGAGTGAATGAAGATACCTCTTTTGAATATGTGAAGAACGACGAAGAAGCTCATGATATGCAAACAATGGGCAATGCCCGACCTGATCAAATCCAAGATATCGATTTGGCCGCGATTGATGAGGAAACAACAGATGACCATAAGACTTCTGGTGAAATGGACATTGATGAACCTGTGGAAGATAATGACAACAGCATGCCCTTGCCTCGTGAAACACTTGAAGCATCTGGTGGTTTAGATACTCAAGGCGCTATTTTGAACAAGAAGCTGAACGAGCCTCGTACATTTGATGAAAATGAGGTTCTAAAAATGGATGAGTCTTTGATAGCACACGAGCCTCTTGATCAAGAAGACATTGAACGTATCAGAGAGGATCTTGAGAATGAAGTATCTTACTGGAGAGATGAAGGTCGTGATATCAATAAAGCTCGCGAACTTTGGCAAGGCTATGAAAACTTGACCTATGATTTAGCAATGGGACTCTGTGAACAGTTACGTCTTATTCTTGAACCTACTTTGGCTACTAAACTCAAAGGTGATTATCGCACTGGTAAACGCTTGAATATGAAGAAAATTATTCCATATATTGCAAGTCAGTTTAAGAAAGATAAGATCTGGTTACGTCGAACAAAACCAAGCAAACGTCAATATCAAGTGATGATATCTGTTGATGACTCTAAATCCATGTCAGAATCTCATTCGGTACAATTAGCTTACGAGGCACTTGCTCTCATATCAAAAGCTTTGTCCCAACTTGAAGTTGGCGAAATTTCGATTACTTCTTTTGGTGAGCGTGTTCGCTTGCTGCATTCTTTTGATCAACCTTTCACATCAGAATCTGGTGCTCAAGTTATGCAGAAATTCACTTTTGCTCAACAAAAAACATTCGTCAAAAACTTGATTGAAACTTCAATTGGATTATTTGAAAACGCTAAGCATGCTTCAGGACCAGGTAATGCAGAGCTTTGGCATTTACAATTGATTATCTCTGATGGTATTTGTGAGGATCATGAAGCATTGCAGGCTCTTGTTAGACGAGCAATGGAAGAACAAATAATGATTATCTTTATTATTGTTGATAACAAGCCTGAAAAGGATTCCATATTGAATATGACCAATGTTAAGTATGCAATCAAGGATGGTAAATACGACATACAAATGACATCTTATTTGGAGACGTTCCCCTTCCAATACTTTATGGTATTGCGTGATATCAATTCTTTACCTGAAGTTTTATCTGATGCCCTTAGACAATACTTTAGTTTCGTCTCTGCATAATAGTTCGAAAAACTTTATAATTCTCGTTATCTTAATAAAATTGTTTTTTACTTTAACTCTTTGCGTGGTTACGCAATGCATTTTCTCGTAATCAAATCAACATTAAACTGTGCATATATGTAACTCATCATGACAACCGTGCACTTATTTTACTTATATTTGGACTAAAACAATAGCAATTTATGTAGTAAGTGTAACTTTTGTGTATTGACTGTTTTCGCTATCTGTGAATATAACATATATGCAACTATTTATCATCGATGAATGACTTTAAGGTATGAGCGTGTTTAGAACTGGAGTAGCGTAATTGTTAAGTAAGATGAACCTGATTTACAAGTTCACATTCAATATAGAAACAATAATGCTTCATTTTCGGTGGTTTAGGCGGCTTTGGTGGGATAACAATCGAAGGTGGAGATGGAATATTGGCTAAGGGTGCGACACTACTCTGCCTGCTGGAAAGTGTCAAAGCGGCATCAACAGCTTGTGCAAGTTGACTGCTAATTCCTCCCTCCTCAGACGGTTGCCGCTGTTGTTGTCCCGCGTTCATATTGCTTATCGCTACAGGTCTTTCATCAGTAACTACATCATTCATGGTTGTGTCATCAGGGCTGTTATCAATACTGTCTTCAGAATTATCGTCAGAACTGTCTCCAGTTCTTTCTATTGGATCTACGGTGTCGCTATCGCTACTGCTAGTGCTGTAAATATCGTCATCTTCATCATGCAAGGAGTACAACAGATTCAGATGTGAGTGATATGCTTTGTTATCTTGATACAGTACATCAGCTTGGACTGCTTGTTTGGAGGGAGAGAAGTATTTCATAAAATCAATTTGGCAGCAAGAAGAAAAAGAAAGATATTCGTAATCATAGGCTGTACAATTCACTTCTAACGTTCGCATTATTTTGGTTTCTGGTAATCTAATAGATAGTTGGCAGGCGGTATTATTGAGGAACAGAGGATTTTCAATGGTAAGATTGTTGATGACAGGAATGACTGAGGAAATAAAAGGAAAGGTAATGCTATGCAGCATAGATGTCTTGAGTACCATTTTATCAATGTTTTTGGGTTTGTTCAGTGTGCAAAAAGTAATGGGAGGTTCAACAAATAATATAAAGTCCTCGAGGATCAGTGTCGTTGGGTGATCATGGTAGCAACAGAGTTTTATCAATTGCTCAAATATAAACCAGTTATAGTAATTGACTTTTATATTCCTACTTGCACCATCTATGTACATGCCACAAGATCCAGAATCACAAATATTATAGTTTGCAGTATCCAGACACATAATAGCGTGAACGAATTGTGGCTCAAATTGCTTAAGTATTGCCATAGCTTTGTTGACGTTGTAGGTATGAATGTGTTCGATATTAATTACCATTTGTAAAATGATTTGCTCTTGTGTCGATGTAAGCTGAAGACCTTTCTTTTCTGGATTGTCTATGCCGTCACTATAGCAGTGGGAAAGCTTCAAAACCTTCTGCTTCCCATTTACTGAAGATGCATAATCAACACAATGTTGGAGAACTTCAGTCGATATACTGTTATTCTTCACTTGTATTTTACACGACGACAATGGCATATTAAATAGTTTCACCAGAGTGCTCCAGCTGATGTCGTTTTGCCTGTCCTCTTTACTTATCGTATCTACTGTCAAGTGCTGCAAATTCGGAAAGACAACTAATGATAACACATCTACAGCAGCGGATGATACTACGAGTTCGTTTATGATGATAGTTTTTACGGAATTATCATGAGGAAGGATATCCAGTATTGCCCGTTGGTGTTGTTGATCATCTCGAAGGTTCAATTCATCCATCTTCAGCTGTTGCACTGATTTTGGTATTTTGCTCAAGATGGATTTCAATGTTTCAACACTGCAAGGTGAACTGAAGGAGATGTTCAATTTTTCTAAGGAAACAAATTGATCCAACTGATGAACCAATATTGAAAAGTGGCCAACTACACCCATTTCTTCGATGGCCATATTGGAAAGAACTTGTGTACCTTCACTACCGAGAAGTAAGTAGAGACTTTTCAATGTAGACCTGCATTGGTAAGCTACACGTGTGTAGAGAGAAATATCAACCATTTTGTGCGGTCGACTGGTCTTCTTCCAAGACCAGCAATGAATGAAATCTTTCAGTTGAGCGAAGTAACCGTCCCGAAATGTCGACATACTTGACCAAACAATGGTTCGTAAGTTTTCTTCACAATCAAGGTATTCGAGTCTTGGACACAAACGCAAAAACTGTCTGCAAACGTTGGCTGGATCGTTGTTGTTGAATAAGAACTCTTTTTGGAACTTTATGTATCTAACCCATGTCCCATGTTTGGGACTCTTCTTCAACCACTCCAAAAGAGTAACTACCACTTTGCTGTTCACATGGATATTTCTGTGCAGAAATGGAGTGGCTACAATTTTCCAATTTTTGCAGACGAGCTGACAATTGATGTAATTCCTTTGCGTGCGCAAGTAAAGAAGGGAGTTCAGAGTTAAAGAGGAATCAGTGGTTGGTATTCCTTCAAGATGTTTGAGAACATTAAACAGAACTTCGTAAGGCAGGTCTGCCCAATTTCGATTCGACATATCTGTTTAACACCGTTCAAGGGAATAGTACAAGAAAGGATTTGGTGGATGGAAAAGGTAGAAATGAAAAGGAAAGAAAAAGAGACGATCCATGCTGCGCAGGTTATAAATCACTTCTATATACTTAAGCGCGTCACTTGTTGTACGCATTTTATCACGCATTTCTGTATTTTGCTTGTTCTGTTACTTGCGAAAAATGCATGGTAGTTTTATGAATGCGTTACCTCTGGGAAAACTAACGGCAAGAGTAACAATGATAATTACTCTTCAGGGTTGATGTGGTAATGTATGTGCTGACAAAATCTTCAATACAGTTTTGTAACGAAAAGCTGGTTAATAATAAGCAGTAAACCTTCTATAGGAGCAAAGCACAATCAACGTTGAGTAAAATGAGTATTTCTGTTTTGAATAGTAGCTATTCTAAGGAGTTGAGCAAGAATAATGTTCAGTATACAACATTATGCGTTACTCGTACATTTTATTACAGAAGCTTGCACATGCAGTAAGGAAATTATGGTACAAAATACATAAAAAAAAAATAAAAGATGGTGGAAGGGATGCCATGGTAAGAGCGATGCAGTAGGGTAATGCTAACAAAATTACTTGAATTAAAACTTAATAATAATTTTAATGGTACGTAGTGTAAAAGATAGAAAATAGATAGTTCATACAGTCAACTGAGACGCAGAATAAGTAGGCAACCTGTGAGGTTCATATAGTGGTAGCGCATCTTCATACTCTATTGCCTTCATAAACATTGGAGTTGGCATATGGCTGTTGGGGACATTCCTATTACTTTGATAGCTTGATGCTGGTGCAGGATAGTATTTCGAGTAAAACTTCAAGTCTGGCGACACACCTATACCGTAGCCCAAAGTACCGATATTGAGAGGTATATCTTCCAGCTTTGTGTTGTAGTTCCAAATCCCACCCATCGGGCCTTTCTGTTGTACACTGAGTTGCAGTTTATAGCGAATCTGTGCAAGTCTACCATAATCGACATTTGGCGTCACGTCTGCAGGAATGTGTAAAGATATAGTTGCCTTGCAACAATATAAATGTTGATCGTTATTATGACAAGGCGTGTTCTGTATATCGTTCGAATGATTCTCCGCTGGACAGCTAATCAAGAGCATTTTGTGAAGGTTTACTTTGACAGTCTCGACATGGTCTTTTATTCCTTCAAAAGCGATCACTTGGACGACCCGGACCAATTTAGCTTGAATGGTTACATATTTGAAAGGCGATTTTCTATCCATTTTGAAGCTCGACACGCTCATGGTAATTGGAATAGTATCATTCGGCACATAATCAAAAGATGAAATTTCTGCGTGGACAGACAAATGTCCTCTTCGTGCTTCAAGCAAAATTGGTTTCTTTAGAAGTTTGGTCTCAATATAAGGCATATACAGGACATCCTTTGAGCATTGTACGCTGGTATTTATTGCTGACTGAGCATCGTTCTCCTTTGAGGTTTCAAGACTAGCGACAAGCTGATATTTGCATTGATAAGCAGGGTGATTGGCAGAAGGAGGAAGTTGTAGTAACGCCATTTGGATTGTAAACGGGAAAGTGTATTCTGAATTTGCTTCAAACTTTTTTGCTGCGCCATCACATTTGGCGCTCCACAGAGTCCGTTGCACTGCAAAAAGATTACTTCGAGCTTTTCGCAACACGCCAGGAGAGATTTCAAAAGGTGGAATACACTCGTAAGCGCGAAAACTCAACTTGACCTTTTCAATATTGGGCACACGCGACAGCAACTTTAGCTTGACAATTCCTTGAAATACAGAACCGGGGCCATAGACAGGTTGATCTTTGATTGACCAGCCAAATTCTGGAAGCAATGAGATATCTAGAGAACACGTAGACTTCTGTAAGGACATATTAAATCGTTAGATTTCGTAACTTTGGATCAATAAGAGGAAGAAGAATATGGAAATACAAAACAATCGGAATCGACAAAAGCCTTTTTATAGCGTTTCAAGTGTACACTTATGCTGTTGATCTCGACCAGGATGACACGCAACAAAAGATCAAGAGCCGCAGCATTGCTTTACTCGGGTTTTATGTGTAACAATAAAAGAAAGTATTCATTTGCTTTGTTTTCTTTATTTTGTTTAGGGAGGATAAATAGAATCAAATAAACTTGAAGGCACTATGAGTACATAATTAGTGAATATACTTGTGAAGAAACTTTCTGTGGAAGTCAGAGCGCAACATATCATTGACGAATCTCTTTTTAGGTTTATCATCAAGGCCTTTTGCTTGATTTTTGAAAATAACATCATCGTCCCACCTAAGAAAGATGAACAGCAGTTTAGATTTGACATGCCAAGGCACGCACTTTTCCTAGGTGACTCATCAATTGAGAAAATATTGCTCACCTTCTTTTCACAGTAAAATCACGTTTTTCAGTGCCAATATTTAAAAGAGGATTGCCACTCATGGCTTCCTTCTCTGCCTCTGCCTCTGCTTCTTGTCGAGCCTCTCGTTCTTGTCGTTCTTTTTCTTCTGCACGCTCTTTTCGAATACGCTGTAAAGTAGCTAAGAGTTCTGCTGCATTATCATCATCATCATCGTCGTCATCTTCGCTGAAGTCAGAAGGAAAGAAAAAGAAGGGGGGCGAAGAATGGGATGCTGGCAATGTTAGATCAATGATAACATTATACAATTGCCTTACAACATAAGTGTTTCAACTCACCTACTACTACTACTTCCACTGCTGTCATCGCTGTCACTTTCTTGTCCGCTATCATCTTTATCTAACTGTGCTAACCGCGCCGCCTCAGCCATTAATCGTTGTTTTTCTTCATTTGGTGATTCTTCGTTCTTTTCCTCCTGATCTTTTATTAATCGAGAGCTTGATGGCCCACCTGCTTTTTCTTCAAAATATTCTCTTTCTGCTCTTCTCAATTCTTCTAATAACTGTTCTCTATCACCGATTTCGTCAGTTGTGCCTTGACCAGGTTGTCTGAATTTGAGTTTAGTATGCGAAGCAAGGTCACGAGCACTATATTGGAAGCTAGGTGCTTTATTGTCATTGCCTCTAGCAGGATCAAAGGTGGGACGAGCTGCTGTGGTCTAGCATATAACAGGTATTATTCGGTTAAGGGCTTTGCTGTAGAAATAAGAGCTATGAATAAAGGGTTATGACTAGGGCTAACTTACCATATTGAATCAGATGAAAATATTAAAACAAAAGCAGAACAAAAAATCCATAACATTCACTTTTTTTTTTTTTCCTGTTCTCAAAAACGGCTGTTTTTGAATTTGACCCAATCAATTGACACTCCCCTCTTTTTCTTTCATATAGCAAAAATCTGAGCCCTATACCTTTTTGCTAATGTATTACAGCAAGTTGTTCGCTAACCTGGCATTTTGCTGATATGACTTACAAAAACCCTTCCACATATATTTTGATCAGTATACAAGGATTAAATTAGCATGACTTGAGTAAAACCTGGTTGTAACGTAATGAAACATGCTTTTGTAAAAAATAATGATTGTTATTATAAGGATGGATGGAAACCCATCAATTCGGCACTCAACAACAGTTGATGTATCAATAAGATCAACGCCCATTGTGCTGGAAGAACCCGGGAGTTCATTACTGTTCGCCCACGAACTGTTTTTTACAAAGACAGTCATGGAGAATTTCGGTGTTAATGGTCAACGTATTGCAAGTGTTTTATTTCTTCTTGTGCAAATGATCCTTTCGAGAAGAGGGTCGTGTGTTGCGTAAGACTTAGGTTAGAGCTCTTTAAGATATGCCTGAGGCCAAGCTACATAAGGTTCTGTCCATGTCTCTTACATAAAGAAATCATACCCTTATCTGAAGTTAGTGATGACTATTGAGAAAACAACATCTATAGAAAAAGACATTATCCTCAAGGAAGAAAGCAATTGCGAGTTCCCATTAGTTATAGACTGTGAATCCCTTTAGGATTTCCTACGTAGATAAATAATATAGGTTTGCGCATGGTTTGTTTGGCTAAAAGGGGAAAACAGACATTTTCTTTACAGAGAGTAAGACGCTGCATCTATTCATATTGTAAGCTGTAGTCGGCTTCAATTACGAATGACGGACTCTATGAGTAACAGAAGGTTTTTCTTAATCAAGCAAGTACTAGGTTCTTCTTATCTTTCCTGTACAACACTCTTTCTTTATTTTGACATTTAGGATGATTGCCGTATTTAGGAAGCAGGTTTACAAGAAAAAATTGATTTATCATCAAAAATAGTCCATCAAAAGCATTTCATCTGGATACAGAAACCTACCTCTAGTATTACGAAAAATAAAAGTTAAGCTTTGATAACATTGTGCGAACTATAGCATTGTGTTCATGTTACACGCATTAAACTCGATCATGCTTTAAGTACTCGCAGATCATATTCAGAAGGGTTGCATAATGACCAGCTAAAGTAAACAAAGAAAAAAGGAAAAAGATTTTATTCTAACAGTGTGTGATTGTTTGTACATTATGAATATTATAAAATGAGGTGACATCATCCTTTCATCGGATAAGTATTAAAAGGGGGTATTACTGTAATGGTTTCAATTGATCTTTTTGGAACGTGGTGGTTGTTTATAGCTTTGAATGGGTACTTGCTTGCGTGGTAGAATGGAAACGATGCCTTCAACGAGGATAAAGCGTGTAATAAATTTAAAGATGAATGCCATACCATACATAACAATTCGATAGAAGGGACCTAATCTAAGCAGTATTTTAACTAACGTAGTATATTAAGAGAAAAAAGTGTGTTAATTTAATAGTGCTCATGGCATAATTCAATAGTTTGTTTCTAAACGTACTGGGAGGTGGGGCCCACATGTAATTCAAGTTGAATCCAGTAGTAAGCGAGATAACATGCAATAACGGTGTATGGAAGAAACTGTAGGAGAAGAACGACAAAAACAAAATCTCCTTGGATCTCGGCAGAACAATGTATCGACGGCTGTATATCATATATACGGGTACCAATAGCAATAAAATATGCTCTATAGAGAACACCCAACGGGATAGAAAAACCGGGATTAACAAACAATGAACAACCCCCCAATAGCTGGGTGACTCCCAACAAAAATTTATTTTATCCACTTACCAGCAAAAAAGTTGAACGTCTCACCTATTAAAGAATGTTCTCTCAAGTCTGGGAAGGCCAAGGCTGCCAAAGCGCCCCATTGCAAATGAAGATATATGTTGAAAAAGATTTGAGGAATGGGTGACCGTTTGTTAGGATAAACAAGCGTAAATAAAAGCAGGACGCCGCTCATATGACATGGTTGCAGCATAAACCATACCCGGTGTCGGATGACCTTATGCGTTAACGTCAGTAATAATGATAGAAATAAGGCAAAGGTCACCGACCTTTCTGTGACAGAGGCTTTCATAACAGGTTGAAATGCCACCAGACGTTCATAATTCTTGGTGCCCGGAGTCAGTAGCCGACGGAACATGAAGTAAGTGACGAAACCATACGTTGTCGCAAGAAACAATAGCTCTAAACCATGTTGAAAAGGCTGATTATACCTGAAGAAAAAATGAGTTTATCATTGCAAAAACAATTCCATCATTAAAGTGTCATTCTTTTACCATGAACCATAAGAAGACTGTGCCCAGTCCGTTTCTACAGTAACATTGGCAGCGATCGATCGTACAGAAGCATCGAGTTTGACAAGCCAAGGTTGAAGTAATTCAAAAAGCTGATCTTTCATGCTGGTCTGAATGGCAAAAAAAAAAAAAAAAAAAAAAAAAAAAAAGGCGAAAAGCAGAGCCTTTTTGAAAGAAGGTAGACAACACAAAAGGTATAAAAAAAGACAAAAGGTATGGAAAACAAGCAGTTTTAGAGATAAAAAAAAAAAGGTAAAACTTGATAGGGGCTGGTTAGCTTAATGGAACCATTTAAAAAGCGGAAAGAGCCCTGTTTTTTGATTTGCTTCATTCCAAAAAAAGGAACCTTTATTTTTCCTTTCTCCTGCTGAGATTTCATCCGGTTTTTCTTTTTTTTCTCATTTTCTTTTCATTTTTTTAAAACTACACCTGTTTTTTGAGAAATTCATTCAAGCCGCTTATAATGTCCAATAGCTCGCGACATTCTCATTCTACAAGAGATACAGCATCTTCTTCGACTCGACGAAGATCTCGTAGTCCAACTTTAGATTATCGTCATAAGTCTGACCATGTAACTTTCTTTTGATGAAGACGAATTTCCCCCCGTCACTGTTTTACGCTTTTGAAAAAGTCCATCGCTGATTCTTGTCTTACGAATTATATTAGCCATCCAGTCGTGAATACGATAGAAATGGTAATCGTAAAACGACCAGTAGCAGGAATGACAGAGACAGAGACAGAGACAGAGACAGAGACAGCTACGATTATAGAAGCCGCCGTCGTCACGACCGATCCGATCGTAGCCATTCTCCAGACATTGACAACCCCATTAACCATAGAGGAGAACGCTATAGCCGCAGAACTTTTGACCGTTATGGCCGTCGTTCATCCCCTGAAGACGACGAGGATGATGAGTATGATCGTTATAGACGCAGTAGTAGTCGCTATGATGAAGAACAACGAAGACAGGATGAAGAGCCTTTAACACCCAATATCAATGTTGTATTGAGAAACTTACCTGATAAAGCAAGAGAAGTCGATGTACATTCCATTAGAAAAAAAAAAAAAACTCGTATTTCGAATTTGCATGTTACAAGGAAACAGTATATCCGCTAATCTCACAAACCCCCCCACTGGTTGAAACACAACTGTATAGATTCAAAATCAATTAACCACTATGAGTGCAAGTGTTGAAGATGTGTCACTGATCAAGGATCGCGAAACGGGTGAATCAAAAAAGTTTGCTTTTGTTCGGTTCACAAGTGTTGGTCATGCTATTCAGTTTGTGGAAAAGTATAAACGGTTCGAGATGGACTCTTATTTTGTCCGTGTTGACTATTGTAAAAAAGGTCATCAAAGAGATACCGCAGAAGAATGGCGTTGTAACATAGTAAGTTGTTCTTCTTTTGCTTGAGTTTGAATTCAAAACTGTGGGTTTACTCATGGGATCTTCTTTCCGTATGTAGTGTGGCAAGTTTAATCCTGGTAGTCGTCGTCTTTGTTTTGAGTGTAAAAGATCTTATCAAAGTAAAGCTCGTTTTTTTCTTTTTGCAGTTTTAATGTTATGTAGATTGCATTTGTTCGTCCGCTGCTTACACTCAACACATGTGTTTAGGTGAGGCATCTGAAAAAAGATTGCAAGAAACAAGCACGACAGAAATCAATGATGGCACAAGAGATATATCGGCTGTTCCCAGTCGTTTTTTACTTTTACGCCAGTTGGACCACTTAACAACAGAAGAATCTATTTACAGCGCAGTACAAACTTTACAGGGTGTTTACCGAACTATTCTCATCAGAGACAAACTTACAAAGATGTCTTGTGAATTTGCTTTTGTAGAATTTTTTGATGTTCAGGTAAAATTCTAATAGACAAAAAAGGCCTCAAAATTTTTTTCCTTTTAGCTCATCACAGAAAGCAAATCTCTTCTTTCGTTCCCAGTCAGCATCTTTAGCTTTGGACTATGCTACACAGTCATTAACGATAGACGGACGCAAGGTCTCAGCCTCATTTGCTACTGAAGAAAGCTTTATACCCGTTTATGGCGAGACAGAATGGACAATAACGTCCGTCAATCCTCTGGAAGGTTTAAAGGCTTATTGGGACAAAGCATTGTACGGTACCGAATATTCAAAAGCGATTGAAGACGAAAGACGGCAGAAAGAAGAGGAACAAAAGCAGGCAAAAGAACGAGAGGAAGAGTTGAAAAGGAAAGAAGCGGAAGCCAAGAGCAAGAAGAACACGCTTGAGGACGACCTGAACGATTTCTATGCTAGTATGGGCGATTTTGATACCGACAGCACCAGTAAATCAGACATATTTTCTGTTCCCAAGTCCTATTAATTCTATCTGCAGTCACAACTGCATGTGCTTTAAAAAGAATACAGTGAAATGAAATAAAACACTGGGTTGCCAAGCTTTATACTGCAAAATAAACTGAGAAGCAACAAGATTTTCCTGATCCTTTTGATTATGTAAGAAAAATGAAATCAATATTTATTAAAAAAAAAAAACGAGTGAGTGGGTCTGTACAATAAAATGTGCGCAAAAAGTGGGAGCATATATAAAGGGTAATGGTATGAAAAACGAAGAACTTCAATTTTCTGTATTATTTATAAAAGCAAAATAAGAGATGGAATATTACAAAGAATGTCGATCCTTGAACAGATTGTTTGCGATGATGATTGAAGTGATTGGTTATTTATTTGGAGGAAGTGTACTTGGTGACAGCCTTGGTACCTTCAGAGACAGCGTGCTTGGCCAATTCACCAGGAAGGATGAGACGGACGGCGGTTTGAATTTCACGAGAGGAGATAGTGGAACGCTTGTTGTAGGCAGCCAACTTGGAGGCTTCAGAAGCAATACGTTCAAAGATATCGTTGACGAAGGAGTTCAAAATGGACATGGCCTTGTTGGAAATACCAGTATCAGGGTGGACTTGCTTCAAGACCTTGTAAATGTAAGAAGAGTAGGTTTCGCGACGGGTGATCTTCTTCTTCTTGGCATCAGTGGTCTTAGCCTTGGTAGCATTTTTGGTGGAAGCGTCGGCAGCCATTTTATTCTTAATATTAGAGACAAAAGTTGTAACAAAAAAAAAAGGAAAACAATAGAAAAACGGAGAGAGACAGACTGCTTTATATATAAATTTGGAGTATGTGACGTGTATTCCAAAAATGGAAGTTTGCATTTCATTGAATTTTTTTTTTGCAGTTGCAGAAAAAAGAAAAATGAAAAAAAAGTATAAAGGACGACACTACAAAATTGCAAAAAATATGGTTAAATAATCGTGAAAACACGAAAAAAACGCGTATTTCATCCGAACTATAACAACTAATAATCATTGCAAAAGTAAAAAAAAATTTTTTTAGAAAAGCTATTCTTTGCCCTACTCAGGCATCATTTGTTTTGGTGAAAAATTGGCGAAAAACAGAAAATGTCAATTTTTTTTTTTTTGCACAAGTGTACCTCGCGTTAAGGGCAAAAAAAAAAAAAGAAAAATTGCAAAAATTTGCAATCTTTTTTTCTTTCCATTTTAGGAAATAATGCATCGGGGGTTCATTACTTTGAAAAGAGTATAAAAACCTCACATAAATTTCTCAAAGTCGTTTCAAAAGTTTTTTTTTTCTGCTTCTATTGTTCTTTATTGATCTTTTTTAAGACTAAAAATTATATCTAACAATGTCTGGTGGTAAATCTGGTGGAAAGTCTGCTTCTGGCTCCAAGTCTCAAACTCGTTCTTCTAAGGCTGGTCTTCAGTTCCCCGTTGGTCGTATCCATCGTCTTTTGCGTCGTGGTAACTATGCCCAACGTGTGGGTGCTGGTGCTCCTGTGTACTTGGCTGCCGTCCTTGAATATCTCGCTGCTGAAATTCTCGAATTAGCTGGTAATGCTGCTCGTGATAACAAGAAGTCTCGTATTATCCCCCGTCACTTGCAATTAGCCATCCGTAACGATGAAGAATTAAACAAACTTCTCGGTCATGTTACCATTGCTCAAGGTGGTGTCCTTCCCAACATTCACGCTTCCTTGTTGCCCACCAAGACCAAGAAGGCTGGTGCCTCTCAAGAACTTTAAACATTTCTATGGAAAAAAGTCGCTACAAAACAATCCTAAATCATATTGTACGCAGCTGTGTATTCAGCTTTTTACGACTATAACAAAAACCACGATCTTTCAGCATAGCATCATGTTTTTATCCGTTTAATTTGATATCCCTATTCGATTTGAAGTCCTTTTTTTTAATCAAGTTCGATAGTAATTATTATATTTGTCTCATGTGTAGATGGAGTTGTTCTCTTTCTATCAATCCTTTTGTAAATAAAACAAACCCGAAATGACTCGCTTTCTTTCATCTATTTCTTGTTTGTCATTCTGTACATTCTCTTGTCGTTTTCAATGAGCAATAGTTTTTAAAAATGTCGGTATTTCAACACAGACGTTAGGTCCGTGCCAGCTTTTACATTTAACACATGGAGAAGGCTCTATCGTTGCACAGAAGAAAAAAGAAAAATACAAAAAAAAGTCGAGTGTGATTGACATTGACATTTGCCAGTCATAAATGTTGTCAAAAAAAAAACAGGCACTCACCGTCTACATACATGGTCGATTCGTCTTCTTTTGCCCGTTGGAATGTTACACAACGGTTTCTGACAAGATGATACAGGAACAGCACTCGGACCCTTCCTTTAAGACTTTGACATCCATCTGCAAAAACATCTTCAAAGTGATTGACATGTTGGAGTGGAAAAAACAAGTTTATTAGTTTCAATTATTGAAAAAGCCCGAAAGATAAAAATAAAACTGTACAAACAAAGACCCAACTTCAATTTTTTTTGTTTAAAATAATAATAGCTTTAATTGATTAGAAAAGATGACTGATGAACGAAATAGACCTTTTCCAGGTCTTTGCTAAATAAACGGGAGGAGTAGAGGAGAGGGGTATTCTGAAAAGATTATATCAAAGTTCCTTACAAAATTGTATTTAAGAACGTTCACCACGAAGACGACGAGCCAATTGGATATCTTTGGGTTGAATAGTGACACGCTTGGCGTGGATAGCAGCCAAGTTGGTATCTTCAAAGAGGGAGACGAGGTAAGCTTCAGAGGCTTCTTGAAGAGCACCAATAGCAGAAGATTGGAAACGTAAATCGGTCTTGAAGTCTTGAGCGATTTCACGGACGAGACGTTGGAAAGGAAGCTTACGGATCAAGAGTTCAGTAGACTTTTGGTAACGACGGATTTCACGAAGAGCGACAGTACCAGGTCTGTAACGATGAGGCTTCTTAACACCACCAGTAGAGGGAGCAGACTTACGGGCGGCCTTGGTAGCCAATTGCTTACGGGGAGCCTTACCACCGGTAGACTTACGAGCTGTTTGCTTAGTACGAGCCATATTTAATAAGAATGTGTTTTGCGAAAATTTAAAAAAGGGAAAAAAAAAGGAAAAGAAATCTTTCAAGAACTAGCCGTTGACTATTTATAAGATTCTGATTGCGGATATTCAATTCAATCTACTTTCCATATAAGTATTTGGAAAGCTACATTTCTTTTTTATTTCTTTCATCTGCGCGGTCATTTAGCAAAAAAAAAAAAAAAGCTGCGAAAAAAAAAATTTATTCATCGCGTTGCTATCACGCTTCCTCTCCTTCCCTCATGTCCGGGTTAAAACGACAAAAAAAAAAAAAAAAAAAAAAAAAAAATCATCAACACACCATGTTCTACTATTCTCAGACATTGTTGGCAATCCTTTTGCAAATCAAATATATTGGTTTAAAAAAATTAGTGCCTTTCCAATGTGTTTGAAAATTTCTACTGTTTGTGTATATGTGTTCAATTTTTTTCTTATTTTTGGATAGAGACAGCAATAAGAATCATAAAATTTCAGGTCTTCATATTTGCAAACAAAAAAAAAAAAAATGCGAAAAAATTATTTCGCGTGAAAAAAAAAAAAAAATTTGTCAGAGTGAAAAAGTATACTTTTTTTTTTTAATCACTTTGTAAATTTTTTTTTTGTTTTTGTCTAGTTTTTTTTTTTTTGGCCTCCACTCCCCTTGTGACTTTTCTGAAAACATATTTAAATAAACGTTTTTAAAGATCTGGGAGAGATTTTTTTCCTTTTTTCTTTTCTTTTTCTCTTTATTCATCGATTTATATAAATATTCAAAATGACTGGTCGTGGAAAAGGTGGTAAAGGTCTCGGAAAGGGTGGTGCCAAGCGTCACAGAAAGATTCTTCGTGATAACATTCAAGGTATTACCAAGCCTGCTATTCGTCGTCTTGCCCGTCGTGGTGGTGTCAAGCGTATCTCTGGTTTAATCTACGAAGAAACCCGTGGTGTCCTCAAGGTCTTCCTTGAAAACGTTATCCGTGATGCCGTTACTTACACTGAACATGCCAAGAGAAAGACTGTTACTTCTTTGGATGTCGTCTATGCTTTGAAGAGACAAGGCCGTACTCTCTACGGTTTTGGCGGTTAAATATGCTTTTTTTTTTGGTTTAAAACGATAAACAAAAAAAAAAACCAACAACAACAAATATCAGCCAATATCACTCACAAGACATTTACAACAAATACTCATTGCTGCTCATATCAATTATAAATATTACCCCTACCAACTTCGAACACCTTTGTTTCTACTTAACAAAGTCGATCCCCCCCGTTCCCTTTTTTTCCCTTTATTAAACTTATTTTATTGCTTAAATCCCAACTTTTTTCTTTTTTCCCTTTTCTAATTGCAAGTTTTTCATGTAAATAGCTTCATATAATAAAAACAAAAAAAGGTTACAAAAACGGAAACACCCATTTTGGTTTTCATGCACTTGATTGATATTTATTAAATCTTGTGCATTTGTTGCGCATAGATTAAAAAAAAAAAGAAAATTATAAAATGCAAGGGAAATGGAAGGCTTTGCTCGGTGAATGTGATAAAAGTGGACTTTGTGCCATTTTTATGTCCACTGATGGCGCCTTAAAATAAGAGCATACAAATGTATATACTATGACGCTACTATGCCCATGAAACTTGTTCATATGCATTTATCACTTGTCAAATAGAGTATCGATGTGTATGTGTATCTATGGCAACCGCAATCTTTTTTTCTTCCTTTTTTTTTCTGTGCATCAAACTTTTTTTGCAGTCTACACAAAAACAAATGCCCACTGCCTCTCAACTGCCCCGAAAACACACAAAAAAAAACTTCAAAAAAAAAAAAAAATCTGTACAAGATCAGCTTAAGTTTTATAAATAGAAAAAGCGAATTTGGAATAAAGAAAAACTTGGGGAATTTTTTAATAAGTCGAACTTGATAACAAACTGGGTGATCATCCTACAATCTGCATTTATATACTAGAAACAAAACACAAAAGGTTAAAGATAAAAGCCGTTACAAGGACGTCAAGAAAGCTGTAAGTTTTCGTCATGAAAGGAGTTGGAGAATCAAAGAATTCAAGGGTAAATAGCGAAGTTATATATAAATATATTCAAACAAGTTGATGCCCATATATTTAAAGTTCTTGAGAGGCACCAGCCTTCTTGGTCTTGGTGGGCAACAAGGAAGCGTGAATGTTGGGAAGGACACCACCTTGAGCAATGGTAACATGACCGAGAAGTTTGTTTAATTCTTCATCGTTACGGATGGCTAATTGCAAGTGACGGGGGATAATACGAGACTTCTTGTTATCACGAGCAGCATTACCAGCTAATTCGAGAATTTCAGCAGCGAGATATTCAAGGACGGCAGCCAAGTACACAGGAGCACCAGCACCCACACGTTGGGCATAGTTACCACGACGCAAAAGACGATGGATACGACCAACGGGGAACTGAAGACCAGCCTTAGAAGAACGAGTTTGAGACTTGGAGCCAGAAGCAGACTTTCCACCAGATTTACCACCAGACATTGTTAATGATGTTTGACAAATGAACTTTATGAATGTAAAAAGGGAAAAAGGGGAGACGAAAAGCAAGAAGTTTAAATTTATACAAAACACATTGAGAAGTCACATCAGTGGTTTTTTTTTAAAAAAAAGGGCAGCATTTTTTTTTTTTTTTTTTTAATTCTGTCCATTGAGCCATTTTGTCCCTTATACTGCGCAATAAAGGTGGATCCAAAACAGTCCCATTTTTTTGTCGAGTTTTTTTATTTCAAGACTACCAAGATAATACATAGTATCGCGGGTAATAACGCGTTGTTTTCGTGTTAAAATGTCAAATGTTCAAGATTTTAAGATTCTATTTCGTTGTATCTTTTTCGACTGAACCCATTTTAGGAAATTTCCCTTTTTTTTTTAATTTTGACGCGAAAAAAAAAATAAAAAAAAAATAGGGAGCTGTATATAAAAAGTCTGGAAAAATTACATCTCATCCACTTTTTCCTGTTTTTTCTTCTTCTTTTCACACATCACCTAATCTCATTTCAATATGGCTCCTAAAGAAACTGTAGCTGGTAAGGCTCCCGCTAAGGCTAAGAACACTGATGCCAAGAAGAAGAAGATCACTCGTCGCGAAACCTACTCTTCTTACATTTACAAGGTCTTGAAGCAAGTTCACCCTGATACTGGTATTTCCAACAAGGCCATGTCCATTTTGAACTCCTTCGTCAACGATATCTTTGAACGTATTGCTTCTGAAGCCTCCAAGTTGGCTGCCTACAACAAGCGTTCCACTATCTCCTCTCGTGAAATTCAAACCGCCGTCCGTCTCATCCTTCCTGGTGAATTGGCCAAGCACGCCGTCTCTGAAGGTACCAAGGCTGTCACCAAGTACACTTCCTCCAAATAAACAACTTTACAATCTTCAATGATGATATACAAAAGTATATGTATATATTAGTATAATATATATGTATATGTAATGATGCCCCGATACGAATAACATAAACATCAAAAAAAAAGTGATTGGTTTTTATTCTTACTTTTTTTATTTATAAAGCTTCTAAACATCACTCATTATCAAAATAATTTCTTTTATGAATTTTTTTTACCCAAGTGATAAACCATTAAAAAAAACAACAACCAACGCCTTTAGTCTATTTGCTATTCTCATTGATTCATGTTTGACTATCATTTTTTCGTTTTTTACTAAATGCGTACTTGCTTAAAGCCCAGACATGTATCCTATTTATGCATTGTGCCTCCAATCTGCTTGATTTCCTTAAAAAAAACTCGGTGATCTGATGAAATGTGAGAAACGTCAATTATCAACTTCTCAAGCATCCATAAATAACGAGATGGCATGTTGTGTAAAGCATCGTTTGTGAATCAATTTACAATATGCAAACTATTTTTATTGGCAGAATAAAAATGAGTTGTAGACGTATCTAAGCAATGAGCTCAATAGCACCACCAGCAGCCTTAATCTTCTTTTCTGCAAGAGCAGAGACGAAACGAGTACGGACAATGACAGGTTGAGAGATGACACCCTTAGCCAAAACCTTACCGTAACCCTATTCATCATATCATTACAAAAGGAGTCCGTCAGTTATCCAACTTTCAGTTTCAGATGACTCCATTCCCGTTCACTAATGCCGTCTTCTAATGCCCACATCTGTTTCTGTTTTTTTGTGCCCAAGTCGACTACTCTTCTACTGTTGTTGTTTTTTTCCTATTTTCAAGCTCGTATTGACTACACTGATCCTTACCTTTTCGAGGACATCAATAACAGGAACCTTTTCAGTGTTCTTGTACTTTTCACGAACACCTTCACCAGCAAGAGTCCAGAGCTTGTCAATGTTGACAACAGGACGCCAGTTGGGGTTCTTCTTCAAGTGGAAGTGACGCATACCGACCTTACCAAAGTAACCGGGATGGTACTTATCCATGTTGATACGGTGGTGATGTTGACCACCAGCAAGACCACGACCACCAGGATGCTTTCTGTGCTTACCTAAAATACATTGGTGGATGAGAAGAACGAACAAAAAAAAACAAACAAAAAACAAAGGTGGTGTCAGGTCAATTACTCCTCTACTGCATAGTAAGAATAATTCTGACAATAACATCTGGAGAAATGTATATCGAATGAGATCATTTACCAATACGACCGTGACCGGCGGAAACGTGTCCACGCTTCTTTCTGTTGTGGTGAAGTCTAGTAGGCTAACAATAGAGACACAATCATTGATGGACGTATAAATTGATTAGATATAATGAACATATCATCTTAGGATGGATGGATGCATAAGTAGGCTGTAGATTGTATGTAGGTTGATGTTTACCATGGCTAAAAATGCTTTACTGGATAGAGAGGGATGAATGGATTAGTGCCATACCATCATTTTACCCTGTTGGCCCCCCAATGGAGCCTCAGTGTGATCCCGCCTTCCATAGCCAAAAAAAAAAAAAAAAAAGAAAAGCCCGACCCGAACCTCAGAATTAAACCTTTGCTCAATATATAACCAATCAAACAACATTTTTATTGTTCTATCCCTGATGAATTAGTTTATGTACAAAAAGATAAGAGGGATTGGGACAAAGAAAAGCATGGATATATATATATATATATATATATATATCTATTATATAGATAATAGTATCAGAGTGGCAATGCCTCGATAGCTGGGTGGGGGGAGGGTTCGGATTCTTTTTTCTTTTTTCTTTTTTTCAGAGTGTACAGAAACCTTTTGAATGGACAATTCAAAAGGTTGGATAGTATGTTTTGTATTATTTTCTCAATTTCTGTAACTCTATTTCTAGTTTGAGTTGTTCTAATTTCATTTGTTGCATTCGTTCATCGTGCTCCATTTTTCTAAACTCCAAATCATATTCCATTGTCTTTAATATGAACTGCTCTGAGGCACCGCTCTCTGGTCTATAATTACATCCGCACCCACAAGAGAATTGTTCGAATGAATGCATGAATCTTTGCAAAACACATGTATTTTATTTCTTACCTTTGCAATAGGTGATAAGGTTCAATGCCTGCATGTGTCATTGTATGGGGTCGTTTGCTGTAGGTCTCTAATCGTTCAGCATTGCTGGCTATTCGTTTGAATGGACGTGTTTGGACTTGCGGTAAAATTTTTTGTGTGTTAGAGGTCGAGGAGGACTGTGCTGCTGTCGAGCGAGCGCCTTGGCTGCCACTCGATGTACTGGAACTCGGGGAGTAAGGGCACCCTGACGGCACGGCAGTTGGTATATTCATGGCTCGATGGGATTCTGAGTTGACGCTGGAAGTAGGGGTGTCGCTCGTGTTAGTAGTGATGTTGGTGTCTGTATTTGTGCTCGTGTTGTTGTTGGTGTTTATATCGGTCGATGTCATACTACTTCCAAGTATGGGTTTACAACGGTCGTAATAAGGGAATTCTTTCATCATCTTTTCTATTATTCAAGTTTAATAGTATCATGAATAAACGTGCACTGTTCCTTTCTAAGCTCTTGTTCGGTCTCGTGTCTCTTGCTTATTACCTCGAAGCGCCGCATGTACGGCAGGCTTCTGTTGCGTCAACGTAAGCTGCTCATGCCAACTCTTAAACCGACTTTCCAGCCAACGAATCTTGAACTTGATAGCTTCTTGATTCATTGGATTGCTGAATTCTTGTCCAGTGATCCCCTTGGCAAAGCTTGATTTGTTTTCTTTCCATTGTTTGTAGGCTCCTGGTTTTTCCAATTCACTCAATAATAGATCAATGTCTCTTTCATTCCATATTGTGTAATTGCGTGCTACTTTAGGCGTCGGGTGAACTTGTGTCTGCACCGTTTCGGTCATTCGGCTTTGTACTTGTGAAAGTGTGAGGGTCTACCGAATAATAGCTTTTGTCGGCAAGCAAGCAACTTGTTAAATGGTTAGAGTAAAGTTCCAGCCTTTGATTGATTTCCTCAAATGGCTTAATTTTTTTATTTTATTTTTATTTTTACTTTTTTCAAGTTACCTGCAAAAAAAATAAAAAATAACAATACACGTTCTTTTGGCCAATCACAAACGCGCTTTTACCTCTTCCCCTTTGAGAGCTTTTATAATGATTTGATGTACGGTTATCCGCCTCTATGTGTATCATACTCTGAGTACGGCCAATAGCTTAGTTTATAAGAGACCGATGTTTTGACGATGAGTTCTTCAGGCCAAACATCCCCAGCGTTCCTTTCAACGATACCCATCTTTCAGGAACAGACGTCTCCTTGTGCTTTCTACTAGCCATTAGAGCTAAAAGCAGTCTAGCTACTATGCTTTCATAAAACATACTGTAAAAGATATCATGACTCACCATTTTGTATCTGCCTCACTTATCCGAAAAAGAAAGAGATCCCCCTCCGCAATTGAACTGTCATACGCTTTGGCAAGTGAGCCAACATTAAAAAAAGCTATTCTAATTCTAGAACATTGCTTTTTATGGTAGTTTAGAAAGCGCACAAACGTCCAGCGAGTTTTTTCCCTTCTATCATCTTAATCGTATAAACTGATAAACTGATCTTATCGGACATGAGCAAACAATCATTCGAGTACCCTGCTTTATTTGACTTTCCACCATTTTTTACGTAAGAGTACAAAGGGATAGGGAAGCAGAATGGAAGAAATATGAATACCTGCTGATGAATGAAGCGGATTGTTTTGCCATGTATAGACGACAAGTAACAGATGCAACATGGAAAAGTCAGGCATCACAATGGGAAAATTTCATTCTAGCCTATACCCAACACAAGCATATCTTTCGAATCAATCTCCACCAGGCAACCAGTCCTGGAAGCTACGAAATCTTTAGAAACGACACAATCAACAGACGACTATCGTTTGAAACGTTACGGGATATCATAGATGAAATGGCGAAAAAAGGTAAGCATTGAACTAGGGACACTGTTAGTTTCTTTCTGATAGAACCTTCCTCCTACCCCGCCCACGTTCTCTAACTTGTTCTCCCAAACCAACGGAATAGGTACCGCAGAATGGGAAGGAGGATCTAAAGGGCTCAAAAGTGAAGCACTGATCTATTGGCATACACCAGATGAATGGGCTAACTTGATATGGAATTGGGTAAGAAGAATGAATCCATTGTTTTTTTTTATAGAAAATGCTGTGAAAGGAAGCTCATGATGGAACCCGGTTTATCAGGTCAATGAAACAGGACAAAGTAATCAAATTGTTACTTATTACGAGATAGCTAACGGTGATTTAGCGGAAGGACAGGGTAAGCATTGTCGAAAACATAAAGAACACGCTCATCATCATGGATGCGCGGTAAGATAACTTTTATTTTTCTTTAGAATTCTTTGGTCTGGATAAAGTTATTTTGGATAAAGCATTGAATATATTAGTTAAAAGAGGACATGCGCAAATATTCAAAGGAACGGATGAAGTTAGTATGGGCGTCAAGTTTTTTGAGCCGTAATAAAGGGAGTGAACTAAAGCGAGACCGCATACAGTTTTCTTTCTTTATTTATTTTTTCGATTTAAATTGGCTGCGTTTCTCTCTTCAACCAAGCAATGGCATCGGCATCGTGAGATACTAATGGGCTGAGCTTCTCATAGCATTCTGCATGATAGTCATTTAACCATTTCTTTTCTGCCGGTGATAAAGCATCCTTATCAATCAAATTCAATCCAATAGGTGCCATCGTAACATGTTCGAATTTCAAATAGCCACGCTCGTTGAAATTATGAGGAGTGTTTGCATCACAAATGAGCAGCACATTTTCGATTCGAATACCAAACTTTCCATCTTCATAATATCCAGGTTCTTTAGTTTTTTTATAGCAAGACGAGTTAGCACTTCCTTTCGCCCAGGACGATGGATTCACCTACATATCTTTTCCTTACCATTGCTGACAGTCATACCAGCCTTTAAAGCTGTATTGTTGTAGGGAGCTCGGACACCGATTCCGTGAGGGCCTTCATGAACATTCAAATAAGAGCCGACACCATGTCCAGTGCCATGACGATAATCTAAACCAAGCTTCCATAAAGGCATTCTTGCAAAAGGATCCAATAAATAACCAGTTGTACCACATGGGAAAACAGCTCTATCCAAAGCAATATGGCCTTGAAGTACAGCTGTAAAACATGTCTTTTCGTAGTCTGTAGGTGTACCAAAATGGAACGTACGCGTTACATCGGTCGTACCATCCTTATATTGGGCACCTGAATCACAGAGATAAATCTGATGAGGATCAATGATTTTGCATGTCTCTCTTTCAGGCTCATAATGAATGATGGCACCGTTAGGTCCAGTCGATGAAATGGTAGGGAAAGACAAGCCAACATAATCTTGTTGAGCAGCACGTAACTTCTCAAGATGGTCTGCTGCTTCGACTTCAGTCAGTTGATGGCCCGCTTGCAATTGCTTTTCGAGCCAAGCGAAATACTGAACTAAAGCAGCACCATCACGAATATGACAGTCGCGCATGCCTTTCAATTCCGTGCTGTTTTTAATCGCTTTTGCATCATTGATATAGGAGCGTTCATCTACGACATTTTCAGCACCTACGGCTTCTTCAATAGCTAAACTAGTATTTCCGTCAATAATCATTTTTTGCTCAGGCGCCAGCGTTAATTCCTGTCGAAATTGCTGCTTCAAATCATCGAAAATAACATCGTAAGGCCTTGAACAAACACCCTCCAAATATTGACGTACTTCTGAAGTGAGCTTATCAGGATGAATGTAGAGGTAGGCATCCTTTCTCGTAACAATAGCATAAGCATAGAAAACTGGATTACAATCGACATCTGAACCTCGTAAATTAAATAACCAAGCGATTTCGTCTAATGCAGAGATGATGACGCCATATTGCTTTTGTTCTTCGAGGTAAGCACGTACTTCTAGTAATTTTTCCTGATATGATTTGCCTGGCGCATTGTGTTTGGTATGAATGAGAAAGCCCATTGTTTTGGGGAAAGGATAGTTCACGTTTCTTTGTGTCTTTTTTACCTGCAAATTCCATAGGATGAATCATGACTCTATCTAATGGAGGAGAAGGTCTGTCACTTCCCCAAGCCATGTCCACAAGGTTTTTTTCCACAGGTACAAGTTCTGATTGAACAGTGTCTAAACGTTCCTTTAATTCTCGAGCATCAGCTACTGTTGTCAACGTTGCATCCAAGCCAATACGTGATCCTTTTGGTAATCTCTATATAAAACCCAGCCGTATAGATAGTTCGTTCAGAAAATACTGCTTATTGTGTCATGATAGGGTCAGTTTTGATTTTGCTACAGGCGTGCTCTTTACAGTTACTAAATATTCCTGCCATGTGGGTACACCAGGTAAACCTTGTTTCATCAAAGTCCAATTTTCATCTAATTGTTCGGAAGCTTGTAAAAAATATCGACCGTCTGTAAATAAGACTGCCTCACTTTGAGATACGATAGCAAAACCTGCAGAACCGTTAAAGCCAGAAATCCATTGACGTCTTAGGTCGCAGGCAGCCGTGTATTCACTCTAAGCGAACGGTATAAGGATAAGAATAGATGATACAGAGTAATTGTCTTTTTTTTTTTTCTTTGAGGAGAGATCTTTACCTGATGAGCATCTTCAGAAGGAATGAGACTATAACGTGATGAACAAGCCAACAAGAGAGTTCAGGGGAACAAAGAGGTTATTTCTACATTTTTTTCATTATCGTTTATAGTGCACACAAAATAAAAATAAAATAAAATAGGTGGTGCTTATGTTACAATGCGTCTATCTTTTGATTTCCAGATTGAAATAGTGCACGTAAGGCTTGTAAACGTTCTCCTGTAGGAACTGTCATATTGATGATTACAAATTAAGGGGGAAAAAATGAAGAAGAGAGCCTTCTGTCTGAGAAATAGAACCGCTGTCTTAAAAAGATTATAACTGAGTATGTGTGTGTGGAGGCCATTCAATAAAAATAAATCAAAAAACAAATCACAATGGATCTGCAACATGATTGATAGGATTAAAAGCTTTCAAAAGAATAGATGTAACACAACATCTACGCGTATTTTCACAGAACGAACCAGGTCTAAGAATCTATAAAAACATTTTATTTCTTTTTTGTTTTTACAAGCGTTAGACGCGAGCATGGAAAATACATGCTAATATGAATTATACACTAAAGGAAAGTAAAAAGCATTCAGAAAATCGTCCTTTCCTCCTTTATGAAATGCCACCATTCTTAATGGTAACAGCCTTTAATTGAATGGATTCACCGGATTCGGTCTTAACGATAAGAGGCTTATCACCATAGTAAGCCAAAAGATCATCCTTTGTGTTGAGATCAGGTTGAACAGCTTCCCAGTACTTCTTCTTGGGAGGCAAAGATTCCATAGCCTCACCTTCAATGCCATCAACGACAACTCTTTGACCAGGCTTGAGACCATTAGTACTCACAGGCTCCAAAAGTTCAACAGCTGTATGTTCGGCATTTGAAGCACACAAAACCATACCGAAAGACTTGACACCACGCATGTTAGCGGGCTTCAAGTTGGCAACCACGAAAACGAAACGATTTTCCATTTGTTCAACAGTATAGAACTTACGAAGACCAGAGACGATGGTACGAGGACCTTCCGGTTCACCAAGATCAATTTGCTCAACAAAGAGAGAATCGGCACCTTCGTGAGCCTTACAAGATTTAATGTAACCAACACGAAGATCAATGCGAGAGAAGACATGTTGATCAGATTCAGCAGGAGCAGCTATTAAAATGGACTTGTCATCAGTCATGAGTTCTATTAATAAATCATATCAATAACTTACCAGCAGCAGGTTTCTTTTCACCCTTCTTCTTTTCCTTCTTGGGCTTGGCGCCTTGTTGTTGAGCAGCATTAGGGGCAGCCTTATCATCAACCTTTGCGGCAGCTGGTGCATTACCTTCGGGTTTCTTATTATCAGCACCCTTCTTATCAGCTTTTTTCTGTTACAATGACATGACAAAAAGGTACAATTAATTCTTTCCAAATTATTACCAGCAGAGGTAAAGAAAAAAAAAGTAAAATTCATATAATCGAACTTACGGCGGGCTCAGGAGCGACGGGCTCAGGAACATCGTCCAAATTGATTTCGAAGAGAGGGAATTCCTCAGTCAAGTTGTTGGCCTTGATCACCACATTTTGAATCAAATCAAACCAACGTAAGGTGTTGGGTGCAGAGTTGACCTTGATACTTTTCTATAGGTTTCCATAAACATGTCAATACGTTCTACCATCATGTAACTGCCCAATTGAGATTGCTTACACTGTGAGAATGAAGAAGGCCGAAAACAACAACATCGACAATAGTCAAATGGTTGCCAACAAAGAAAGTGTTTTTGCTCAAATGTTCATTGATTTTTTTCTACAAGGTCAAAGTATAAAGCAAACATATGAGTGATATGTAACTCTCATTAAGAAGCAAAAAACTGGCATTACCTCAATATTAGAAACAATTTCCTTTTTACTGACACCTCTGAGAGATTGGTTGCAGAAAGACAACCATTCTTCGACCTAAATATACTTAAATATTAGTAAGATTGTTCACTTGAGCTTATAAAATATGATCTATTTAGGCTTGAAAGAGAACATACTTGAGCTTGTTCAGCCTTATCAGCACCGAGCAATTCAGATTTAGACTTGTTCACAAGGTATTTAATGATAGTGTTGGGTGCATCAATCTTTTTGCCTTCAGCCTGAGGGTAATCGTGTGGTATGAATGACCTGTCAGTTGAGCTCTCGAAAATTTCCACGATGCTTTACAGAAAAAAAAAAAAAAAAAAAAAGGAAACTTACTTCCAATAGAAGTTCATTGCCAGTTTCAATTTGAACATTGGAGTTAACAAACTTGTGAGCTAAACGGATTTCATTTCCTGACTTTTCAGGGATGCGAAGAATGGCAGCCATGCTTATATAACGATTGAAGGATAAAGAGGTCTAGGCTAAATGTTGACGCGCTCGTTTGAAAAGTGAACGACCAGAAAAAAAAAAAAAAGGTAATGCTGCCATTCGTGGCTTGTAATTGAATGTCAGATTGATGAATTGTAGAACTCAAGACAGAGAATTATTCTTTTAAGCTTATTATGCATTACTATTCCATAGAGTTAAGATATATTTAGCCAACAATTTTCAGCAAACAATGATGGCTTTGTATATACATGACAACAAGATTGGTTGTTTATTTTGCATCCGTGCTATACTTGATATTCTTTTTGTTATGATTTCAACTGACAAAATGAAAGAACAGGGATAAATGCAATTGCTTGTAGAGACTCTCCTGTATCTCAGCCGCCTATTTATAATATATGTACGGCCATGGTGCAGCAGTCTACTGCTAAACTTTAGCATCACTTGGAGCACAATCATTGAAAAGAGAATCAACCTGATAACAGCATTACTACGTAAGCTTAAGGGATGTAATCATTTCAAGCAATATGACTTTTAATACATTCAAATCAGTTTGCGTGATGTATGTGCTTTTTACGTAGATTGTCTGTTGTTTGAACTGTCCATGTTCATAGACTTTACCCCTTTTCCTTGACGGATCAACAAAATAAATTATCTGGATTTGAAAAAGGTGGGGTTTGGTTTTTCTTTTTGCATGCAAAAAAAGTGTAAATGCCCAATATGCGTGCGTGCGTGTGTGCGTGCATAGAGCGTAAATAAAAGAATAAAGCAGTTTTAGCATTATGAAAAGCAGTATTACTTACTTTTGAGGGTCCATTTTTCTAAGCGCTGCTTTTCCTATATTAAGTACAAGCGACCCTTTTGGTTAAAACTCTATCACATCATATTCATCTTTCTGTAAGAAAAAAAAAAAGATCGACTCCGCTTTTTTTTTTTTTTGTAACTCTTTTTATTTTATTTTTTTCTTTGGTAACCTCCTCTTTGCCCCCCAAATCATTATATTTCTTTCCTTTCTTTGTTCACTTCTTGTCCTTTTTCGTTAAGGCCCCTTTGGTTACTTTATTTAAACAACGAAACAAAAAAAAAGAGAGAAAGAGTCTTGCTGATTACATACAGAGAATGTCCAAAGCATCTTCGTTTGTTCGTGAATACAAATTAGTGATGGTCGGAGGCGGCGGTAAATATTCTTAAAGATTTTTGATTTGAAAAAAGGGGAGCAAATAATTGTAAGCACAGAAGAAGCTCGAGATTCCCCCAATCGTCGTCATCTGTTTGAACGTTATCAGTCTGCAACCTGATAATGATAGAAGTAGTTGGAATACTGATTGGCATCTTTTATATTTACTTTTTTCCCTTTTTTCTTAATCGTTATAGGTGTTGGTAAGTCGGCCCTGACTATTCAATTCATACAGTCTCACTTTGTCGATGAATATGATCCAACTATTGAAGGTAGAACAACGCACTCGTCATTCCCTGTTACCTGAAAGTAGCACAAACTTAGAAGTCATCTTTACCTCTTTTTATTTTTCTCGCGCGAAATCCAGATTCATATCGTAAGCAATGTGTCATTGATTCAGAAACTGCCCTACTTGACGTACTCGATACTGCAGGTCAAGAGGAATATAGGTACAGTAAAACCCGTTGAAAAGGATTAAGCGGAGAAAGTAGTGAAATGATATGAGCTTACAAAACTTAATGATCTATTCTACAGTGCTATGAGGGAACAATACATGAGAAATGGTGAAGGATTTCTATTAGTATATTCAATTACATCACGTATGTCCTTTGAAGAAATATCAACATTTTATCAACAGATTTGTCGTGTCAAAGATCGTGATTATTTCCCGATGGTTTTGATCGGCAATAAGTGTGATCTGGAATCGGATAGACAAGTGTCAAGTCAAGAAGGAAGAGACTTGGCAAAAAACTTTGGCTGTCAATTCATCGAGACATCGGCAAAGCAAAGAATACATGTGGATGATGCCTTTTTTGAAGTTGTGCGTGACATTCGTCGATATAACAAAGAGCAAGAGACACGGGGGCATAATCAATTTGGCATGCAAAATGCCCCTGATGTCGGCTCGGATAAATGTTGTATATTGATGTAAGAAACCAACCATCATGATATAAATTTTTTTCGAAAATTGCAATTGCTTAAACACACACAGACACGCACACACACACACACACAGACACCTATATAAATATATATATAATACATATATAATTACGCTAATGATTATTTATTTCTCTTTACTATACAACTTTAATACATATATCAATCTCATTTTGAACACAAAAAAAAAAAAAAAAAAAAAAAAAAAATTCAATAGCTCCCAGTGCTGGTCTATTCATCCTTTTAGGAGCGGTATACTGTACAGTAACATTTGGACAATATGAAAATGTTTGCCACTTCTCTCTTTTTTGTTCGTCCGGCGATGATGAAACGTAGTACACAGCATATTGTTCAATAAACTCTGTGGAATCGTTACATTCTACAGCAATGCTTCATTGAAAGAATATGAGCGTGTTTTGCCACGTTTCTCTGATCATATTCACCTTGGCTTTATCTTTTTCCCGAACGATAGCACAATGATGAGCTTTATTATACCAATGATGTGGTCGCAGGTTACACCACTCATACCGCTTGTTATAAAGAAAACAATAATCGTGATGCAACTGTATAATATTAGTAGTAGATTTCTATTTGGATATAATAAACATTACTGAATGTAGAATGGATAAATGAATTGCAATGTCCAGCATGTATACATACATATAGGATGAAAGAGAAGGGTACAGATGATAGTGGAAGCTATACGTTGAGCTTATTAGGATATCATTTTAGCGACCAAGTTTGCGGCAATAGAACCGAAGTCGGGGCCGTCTTGCTTTTGTTGTTGTTGTTGATCTGGTTCACTATTGTTAGCAGCGGTACCATTGTTGGTCCTGTTGTTGTTGTTGTTGTTGTTGTTGTTACCACCACCCAAGAGTTGTCCAACGATGGAAGCAATACTACCACCTCCTCCAGCTTGACCGCCATTAGCGGAACCCATCAAATTACCCAACAAACTACCAATATCACTGCCGCCACCATTAATGCTACCGTTATTCTCACCATTCTTGTTTTGCATAGATAAATACAATTTTATAGCCATTTGAGCAGCTTGTTGAAGAGCTTGGATCTTCTTAGAGTTATCACCATCTTCGCTCTTGCTAAAAAGAGTGGAGGCGACACTCATGGCAGTTTGAATCATATCATTCAGATCGCCACCATTTTCGGCGTTATGTTGCAAGGCTTGTACAGCAGCAGCATTACCGACATGATCAGGAGAGTTGATGGCTTCTTGAGGATTGTTGATGACCTGTTGATAAGACTCTTGAGCAGCTTGAATTTCATGGTCTTGAGCGGGAGCATGGTCGCCAGGGTTTGAAATGACGTTGTTAATGGCTTGTTCAAAATGCTGCTGCTCAGGTTGATGAGATGGTTGAGGTTGATGCCCTTGAGGTTGGCTATTGTCGCCTATATGTAATAGGTCGCACATAATAAACGCCACAAACAGAGCGTCAGACAAAATAGACGTTCCTGTAACACAATGCATTTCTTATTGATTTACCTTGGTTATAAGCTTCCATTCTCCAAACAAAATTTACTCGCGATTTTGACAGAAATTACAGGAAAAGAAAGAAAAAATACTTGGCTCAACATCTCTTTTATCCCTTGTTTGTCGTGAATCATGGTGATATGGAACTAGCGGTCCAATTTTTTTAAACAGAGCACATTTTTGTTCGAGGCTGTTATAATGGACCAGTTACCTATTACTTCCAGTTTTGCCCAAATGCCTTTTGCATTAAATTACATTGATACGGGTTTCTTGAGTTCTCTCCGAACTGTGACAATTTTGTCACAGATTACAAACATCCTTTGCCATATGCATTTATTTCAAAAATCTATTTCCGTCAATGAAAGATTTATTACAACTATCACCATAATCAGTGGCGCAACATAACTATTTTGGGGAACCAGGTTTCAGTTTGATAAATTTTAATAGATGATCGGTTTTTCTAATTTAATTGCAATGATTTAGGCAGCAGAGATCGTCCTGCTCAGGCTGTTGTGGACCAAATTCCAACAACTAACATCTGCCTTTGTAAAAGGCAAAGTTCAGTTCTAGCCACGTGTATAGAATTCCTTTTTTATTTGTAGGCTTAATAATTGCATTTACAAGGGACTCATTACCATTTAAAAGTATTTTAGGTAAGATTGCTAAGCACTTCTAAAAGATTTGGCGTTACAGCAATTCCCTTCAATCTTCCAGAAAATTAAACAATTTTAGTATGTATAAGTGCTTTTCTCATTGACATCAGTTATACCATTGACATCAATTATAGATCATTAATATTCAATACAAATTTTATTCTTGCGCAAACAGAGCTCTAAGCTTATGATAGATAGGTTTTCCTTCTTATATTCGTGGTCTCTAAAGTCAATGAAATGCACTGAAAGCGAGAGAAAATATAGAACTGTTGCAAAAATCCAATCTTGGCATTCTAATTCACGGCGTACTGTCTTTCCGCCGTCAATTGGTCACTTTCTTGAAAAACTTGGTCGCTTTTTCTTTTTGAAAAAGTAAGAAATACGTTTAAACGAAGATTTTACTACATCATATTAATTTTTAAAGCCCAATGGACGAGATATTAAACTTATCTAAATTGCCCGGGGCAGCTCCAAAGGCTGAGGAGAATCTGAAAACCCCTTAGGGCTCAAGGTAAAAAGGATTATGGACTAAAGGGTTGGGGGAGGGGAAGAGGGTAACCAGTCGAGCAATAGGTGCCCTAACCGAGGAGTTGTAGGCGGCTCTCGAAAGGTGGTGTAAGTAGTCGAGCTCAAACAAAATGTGACAAAGTGCTGGCCATAGAAAATGCCAGTTTTGTATTTGGGATGGGTTTTTGATCGGATGTGTAGGAAGACGGTCGAGGACAAAGGTAAGAAATACGTTTAAAGAGAGGTTTTTATTGACAAAATAATTTTCTTTTAAAACCCAGTGGTACAAGGTCTTTACCTGCTGGTGGCGGTTGCTGCGCGCATCGTTAAGTTCAAGGTTATCTTTGCATAGTCAGCGCCCTCAGCGCTGGCCATCACCCGAATGTCCACTATGTCTAGCACCCATTGAAGATGACTTTCACTTTGTCGTTGGCTGCCATATCAAATGGTCCTTTTGGTCCGCAGCTTTAGTCTATCTATCTCTCTCTGATGTTCTCCGGTCTCCAGATGATGTCTGGCATGTTCTCCTCCAGTTGAAGCTTCCAACAAATACATACACTGAGAATTACACCTTAGAATTAGTTGGTAATATTTTGGAAACCCTTTGGCAATATCATTGGTATGTAACCATCAACAATGAAGCTTGGTCCACAACGAATGCATTACAGAAACTCCAATCCTCTGTAACTTTAAGTATTACGTTACAAAATGTTGAAAACGTGTCCCCACCAGACATTACTTAAACACTGTGATGAGTACTGTTCATAATGTGCCGCCCAGGTGCCTCTTTTAGCCCCCCTTCTTCTCCTCTTATACCATTCGTCTTCAACTTTACTTTCATTTTCTGTCTTTCTGTTCAAATAAATCGCACATGAATTTAAACAAAACCCCCCCCCAGTGGGCACCATGTTATATAAAATTGCCCGGGGTAGATCCGATTGTTTATAAAAGTATCTAAACAGCCCTTTAAGATCAAGGGTAAAAACGAGTTTGTCACAAGGTTGAGTGATTAGAAGGAGACATCCAATGGAGCAGTAAAGATTCTAGAGCAACATCCAAGGGTGGGGTTTCTTTGACGTGGAATAGGTAGTTTAGATCATATAGTATGTAGCAGAGGATCGGCCATTGGTGTTCCCATTGACGTTTTATCGTAGGTTGTCTAGGCGGGTGGTTAGGTGGCTGATTTAGAAGATACGAAAGGGGATCATCTACTTGCTGTGGTTGCTGCAAATGCAAGTGCATATTCAGGCATTGGATTGAGTGTGTCTTTGTCAACAATGCTGAAGGATGCCGGATGCAGTAGGTGGTGTTACCACTAGGTAACCAACCAAGTCGCCAACGAAGACATCGACTTCTTTCTTCTCTTGTCATTGGGAGCCATAGTATGGGATCTAAACTTACTGTTGGGCGGCAGACGGATATGAGCTTAGAGTTTGTTGGGGCGCTTTGCATTGCTTGTAGGGATTCTGTACGAAAGTCTCTCAGGGACTGTTTAAGATTTTTCTAATCCATTGTCTGGGCGTTTTCCTTGGTTCTTTGCCAGAGAGGTGTACGAGATAGCTGAATCCAGATAGAGGAGCTATTTGGTTGTTGTACATATGGTAGCAGTAGGGACAGTAGGACATCATCTGGGAGTGTTTGTGATCGTAACAGGAATTTAGCCTGGAGAGTTTAGGCTCGTGTAAGAAATACAGTGTTTTAATTGCTATTTCAGACTTTTCACAAATTTTAATGGACAAAATTAGATCTTAATTTAGACAACTTTCAATTATTTTACGATGAAGCGGTATATTATTCTTGGACTATTTCGTTGATAATCAATTATCCAGTAACATCCAAGCAGTATTAAGGATGGCGTACAAGCTAGCCCTAAAAATGAGTCTTTGTTAGTGAGGAAGTCGCTAAGAAAGCTCTTATTGGTGTCACTTTGCAATAGTCAAATGATGATGTGTTATAAGACCAACCAGATGTTCGTCAGTGCCTTTTTGGGAACTTTGCCCAATGATAAAGACGTGTCTTTCTTTTCTCGCGTTTTTGTTGTCAAAGTTAAAAATAATATGAAGAGGTCCTTTCACGAGAATAAGATCCCTTCTTTTCCGTATTTCGCATTTTTTTGTAACTTACAGCTCTATTCATGTACAAAAGTTTCATTATACAGAAGATTAGATCTATATAAAAAGCATAAGAACCAGGTTAAAACGAACTCATTCGGTAAACTGTTTGATAATTGTAGGAGAACCGTCAGATCAAGATATAAAGGTTCTGATATTCGTTGTAACTTTTTAGAACATACCAAGTGGCGAGACTGCTATGAACCAGGTCATTTTGACAAGCGTTACTACAAATGCAAGTATTACAAAGCCGTAAATGCTGATGATGGTAAGCAATAGACCTAAATCTATCTTACATACAGCACTTAATTGCTTGTAAGTAACCTCCTTAAAGTTGGTAGCAGCGGTAAAAAGAGAAAACAGAGTGACCAAGTGAAAGAGAAGAAGAAAGCAGTTAAACGGAAAAAGACCACCCCACAAGCTTTAAAGTGCCTCAGCTGTGGACAAGATGGCCATACCACTGCTCGTTCGCAAGAACTTTGCAGACCTTGTGGAGGAAAAGGTTACGCTTCTGTCATTGGCGGCCGATCCGGTCAATTCTGTCAAGCCCTTGTGGTTTATCCAAGACTACTACGAAGAAGAGCATTCTAATCGTCTTGCCTACGATGTTCGTAGGTTACCATTACCTCATCGTTTCTTACCTTTTCCAACTCCCTTAGTATCATGGCGCTTCATTACCATCAGCATAAACGCCCTTACTCCTTTTTTATTTCCTGGAAGACTTGTAAAGGGTTATTGGAATCAACTTGAACAATTTTGTAAAGTGTTCAACTTCAAAAAGTTAGGCTTCAGAAGGTAAGGTAAATAGCACTCTGCTAAAAGACTCTGTTCTCAAGATTATTCTTTCACTTATATCATAGTGTTGCTGAGCTAAAGACAAACACAAGTGTGCTCTTTTGGAACCTAATTCGATCTGATGGCTTCACTGTAGACTTTTTATTTAGTCATAAGAAGAAACCAAAGAAGACGCCGTCATTGATCATCATGACTTGACGTTGGAAGACTTCTCCTATGAAGAGATCACAGCAAACTACAGACCCACATTTGTTGATCCTGGCCGAAAGACAGTATTTACAGCAGCAATCGGGTTATAAACAAACAGACATGAGATACGGCGCTGCTCGACAAAAGATATTATAACATGGCGGGTAGTACTCGTGTCAATGCAGAATCAGAAGGAAAAAGGCCGGTTGTATGATAAAAGCGATAGAAAGCAATGTACCGAGTAGTAAAACAGGCTCGCCTGAATAGTATAAGAGATATACTATTTATATACTACAACATTTAGAGATCCTGTTCTCATTCTATGGGCCTGGTATGGGTGAATCAAAGTTACGTCTGCATCAAGGCAGACAGCGTGCTGCAGACATGATGGTGATCATGCTTGTCGATGGAGGTGTCAAATACGACGAAGTATTACGGCAAAAAAGAAGGGAATTAGACACCGTGCGTGGCTGTAGTATCCTTGTTTGCAAAACCTGTAAGATACTATGGAACCGCGATGTCAATGCAGCAAAAAACATGATGGCCATCAGCATTTCGGTATGGAAAGACAAGGAACGTCCTACAGAGTTCAGCCGGAAGACAACTTCTTAGTCTTTTGATATTTATTATCGCCAGAACGAAACTGGCTTGATATTTATAGGTAAGCGTCTCCATTTTAGTGTAGTTCTATCTTCAAACTCTAACTCAATCGTCTCAAAATTTTGTTCATTTCGTCCAGTTATTGTCTAAACCCGCAGTTAAAAAACTGTAACAGACCAAATACATATGTATACATTTATATATATATTCGCAACGATGATGACTTTTTATTAACAAGGCAGTACAATGTGAAGCAAAATTGCATAGATAGTTTGTTAAGATAACATAGTTATTGCCAATACACATATTTATTATGGGTATCTTACTTTGGCGGGGGGGGAAGGTAAGTTCATCATGTTGTCGAAGGGGGTAATTGTGCTTAAATGTGAATTGGGCTGCTGGGTACGCTCATGGGACCATGCTCTGCTACAATACTTGCATGCTTTCCTTCATTTAAACGAATTATCATTGGATTTATAATATTGGAAAGTTTTTGAGGTCTTTTGGTCCTTTGATCTTAAAATGTCTTTATGCTCCTGTTTCAATTCCTTTAGCACTAATAACGTTTCCTCACAAGCAATCTATATTCCCAATACTGTGTAATATATCCAGTTACTTCCAAAGACTTATAAAAATAAAATAAGACAGTAAAATGACCAGACACAACAAAGTTACTCTTTATTCAAGTTTGTTGAGAATGATACTTTTATATGAGAAACGGGGTTTTTAACGGGTATTCAACTATTAATACAACTGAACTAAAACTATCATGAGAATGATAAGATCTTAGCCACAAGCGGGTGTCAAAGTAGATGTGTATCAGATTGTCAAGCAGGTACTGAAGTCGTTCTGTAGTTTAAGACGTATGGTTGTATCTTGGATACAACACTGTGGGTTAATACAGTCTTTCTCTATTTAAATCATGCTCTTGAGCTATCCAACTTACAGCAAGTGTTTTGAAGAAGCAGATAAACGGCAGAATTGTAATATCTTTTTCAAAAAAACTGACAGGAACAATCACTTTCTGCTCTTTGGTCATGATATATAGGCTGGGTGCTTGAGTTGACATTGACCAATGCCTGATTGAATTGCCTATGCAAAGTAAGAATACAGTTAACAACTCCAATTGCACGTAAACATAGTGTTGCGCGAGCCACTTACCATGGGCATGCAGAAAATGGATCTTCAATTTTGTGAAAGTGTTGAATGAGGCTTTGTCGTATAACTGCGCCACTGTTCTTATCATTGCCAATATTCCAAACATCGCTTTGTGATGGTCAAAACTTATTTTACCAGCGTCATTCGAACCATAGCCTGACGACACTTCAGTCAAAAGGATTTCAACGGAAGAAAAAATTATTGACGATGAGTGTTCCAGCAGCATTATATTTGTATCGACCGTCGTTCATTCCTTTCTGCCTTAACTGTGTGGTCATGCAGTTGAGTTCAATTTCTCCTGGCAAGAAGGTAATATCGTGGTTGACATTGCGTAACTGTTTGGTAGTGGCCATCATACACTTATCAAATAAATAAAACCGGTAGCACGCTTCAGAAGTACTTCAAGGCCACAATTGTCATATATATAGTCATTTCTAAAATGAAAAAATGAAAAAAAGAAAGAGAAAAAGCATTACAATTGAGTATATGTCTAAGTTTTTACTACTTTCACTTACAAAGTGCGATAAATATCAACAATCAGTTTTTTTTCTGCAACGAAGACTAGATCTTCGAGCACAATACAGTATAGTAGTTCAATACAGCTTTGCATTCCGATGTTGGATTCCTATAATACTAGTAGTTTTAGATGCTCGCATTTTAAACTCTATCTCTGATAGCGACATACCACATCGAATACAGCGCTGGAAAGATCGGTAAGACATGCGCATATATCCTGCATCGTGACTAATGGTATTTCCTGGTTTAGCTTGTCATATAGCTCAGAAGGTAGACAGTTTCTCCGTCGAACTAGCTTTCCGCACCAAATCACCTTATGCATTTTGGGGCTAAAAAGATGTCCTTGTTTGTGTCTGTTCTTGTTTGTTTTGGTCTTGTTTTGGCTGTGCCCACGATGTCCTGTTGCTTCCTGTTTTGGTACTTGGAATTTGAGATTTTTATTGATTGATTATTGGAAATAGACAGTGAATCGGTGGTCAAGTCTTGTTTCTGTTTTGTTTTTTTTTGCTTGGACTCTTGCTTCGTTTGTGGACTGAACGCTTGGTGTTGCAATGTTGCTTTTGATGAATGCCAGTTTTGTGGGGGAAGCCCCGAAGTAAAGTAAAATTCTATATGGTTGGTCTTGTGGGGGAAGCATGATACGGAGTGTGAAGGATTGCCAGCCCAACCAATAGAATTAGAGCACGTGAGGTCCGGCTCGGTGCTCGGTAGATTGAATGTGCGGAAATAGAATAGTTTAATTAATAAAAAGTAAGGGCAATTGATGCCACACAGGAATTGCTTCCATACTTCCCAAATACTGTCCTTTTTATCGTCACCGCTGTCATTATGGTCATCGTCATCACCTTGTTCGCTGGTTGTTTGTCATCAATCACAGTAATTACCTTCCTTCTACTTGCTCTAGTACAGCGAATTAGACCTTCTTCGGAATCGTTACCATCCATAGGCCGTTTCCTAGCATTTTCTTTTTCTTCTTCATTGGCCACTTGTTCAGCCATCGCGCTTTTTAATCGAGTCTACAGAATCAGTGTTTGATATAAAAATGAGTATTCACGTTCAAGTGCACTATGTGCAGGATTGCATAGCATTCATGTTACCTTTTGAACACCATATTTCAGCGTTTCTTGAGTCATTTGGTTGGCATAACTGTCAAAAAATGCATTAAATGTTTTCTTTCCCCTTGAATGTAAAAACTGGTTAACGAGAGTAAAAATAATAATTATGATGAAAGTTTACCGACCTGCAAACTGGATGCCATCGTACTTGCCATTGTCTCGGCGAATTTGCCTGCTATCACTTGATTTTTAATTATCTCTAAAACATGCAGTCTCTGTTTCCATGTTGATATGCAAATTGTTGATACTCATGGATTCAAAGGTACCGGCGTTCTTCATTGCAAGCAATGTCTAAAGCTATGGCAGAGAGACGTTAACGCCGCTATCAACATGATGACTATATTTCAAGCAGTTTGGTCCGGAGCTGGAAGAACCGACGTTTTCAAGCCAGCAAAGAACAAAAAAAGTATCACCGTACTAACACGGCTTTCCTTACATTTTCAAGGATTTAGATCATTACAGGTGAGGAATAGTATTTTTTTTTTTGTTTTTTTTTCTTTTCGCACTACTGACAATTTTTTGAATTTGAATCATTGTTGAACGATTTATATTTCGTCTACAACACAATTGCGATCCGTCTAAAATAAAAATAATAATTGGCCAAAAAAAATTGTAATTTATCTAAAATATTAGTTTTAATACTGTACGTACTCCGCTATCAAGCGCTTAGCCCCATCACGAGCTCATCTTTATCCCATTAAATAAGGTAAAAGGGCGTGATAAAGGAAATTAGCTTTTTAAAATGGTAGTTTCGCTGTTGATTTGATAATTAAACTTCATCTTTCCCTTTGCTTTTTGTTTTTTTCCTGTTCTTCTTCTCTCTTTTTTTTTTTAACTATTTCTTTTCTCTTTATTGTAAGCTAAACTATTATTTCACAGTATGGCTGTTGGTACCTTAATTGTTCATCCTGGTATGCCACCATTGTGCAAGTAAATATCGTCGTATAAGTTTTTAATCATTGTATATTGTTCATAGAAAATCTTCTTGGTCTACCATCTGATTTGGCTCACGGTAAGGAATAGATAAATGTTGCATTCTTTCGTCATCATCGTACGGTAAGAGTAATCCATGTATACGTGTATGTATAGATGCTAGAATCTTTGTCGGTTGCTTTGTGCGAGAAAATGATAAGCATAGAACTCACTCCGAAAGTGGTCCGGAACCTTACTGGAAGGAATCACTAAATTGGTATGTTTTCAATTAACTCTAATTCAAAAGAAAAATAAAGGGTGGGCATACCGAAATATATACCGATATGGATGTTGTTTCTAAAAATATTCGTTTTTGTAATTATTGGAACAGTGAAGTACGTGAAAGCGATGATCATTTGAACATTGAAATAGTGAATGAAAGCCCAAGTAATGGTGGCATACTCGCCTCTGCCAAGGTCCCGCTTGAACCTGTATTCAACTTGGGAACCGAGCAAAAGACAGTTGATTTGAACTCGCACGGACGACCTGTGGGTCAGCTTAGATTAAAGCTTACCTTCAATGTAAGAAGGATCGATGTGTCTATAAACAAAATATACGGGACTGACTCTTGAAACATTTTATAGGGTTCTCATAGCACCGGTTCAGTTACTACATCATTTGGAAACATGAACTTAGCTGGAGGTGGAAATGCATCTTACCAACAAACAGCTTCCTATTCTCATACTACATCTCATCATGTCAGTAGTGACAGTCGTCAGAGCTCTTACTCCTCTTTGGGCCCAGCCAATCCTATACCAGATAACTACGGTGCTGGCAGTCCTCCTCCATTCACCCCTCCCGTTGGTGCCGCTGCTGCTTATCCTGGAAAAGGCAATACTTCCATGCCCGCAGCGCCACCAGTAAACAATGTTATGAATGCAGAAGGTGTAGTTGATCCCAAAAAAATGTCGAAAGACGAATTTGAGGAAGCTAAAGCTAGAGGCAATCTTCCAACATGGGCTGTAAGATTCCTATTCTATCATTTTTTTTATTTTTGGTTATTCTATTATTGAACCTATTTTATACATATTCGATTTCACTAGAAATATGGCGGCGGCGTTTTAGCAGGTGCTGCTGCCATCGGTCTTACCGCTTGGGGCGCCCATGAATTGAAGGAGGCATTAGAGGAGAAATATAGTAAGCCTACTGCAGCCCCACATATTCCCGATCAAGACAAGTTACCCTACAAAATCGAGAATTTGCAACATCAGCAGCCACAGCATCCTCCTACACAACCCCAACCTCATCAAGCATATCAGCAACAGCAGTCTAACGTTGGTGCTACTCTCCCTGCCGCTACTACTGCTTGTAAGTCTTCCAGTTCTGATAAAAAAGATAAAAAGAAGGATAAAAAGGATAAGAAGGACAAAAAAGAAAAGAAGGACAAGAAAGATAAAAAAGATAAAAAGATAAAAAGAAGTCAAAGAAACGCAGTGGAAGTGGCTCTTCAAGTTCTTCTTCTTCAGATTCCAGCTCTGACTCTGACTCTGACTAAATTACTCTTCATAAATAAAAGCATCTGTTTTAATGAAGCTTGTTCTTAAATAAAGGATACTTCCATATAATGGCTATGTAGATAGTTCGTCGGTGTGCAACAATTTTTAATCATGTTAACCTTTTTCCCGTCTGTGACTTTTCTGACTGCTGCTTCTCAATTAGTTTTATGACCGAAAGGAAAAACGCACTTTCTTTGCTTCATATTTCATCCTATCTTTTAGCCTATTTCTTATTCTTTAAAGCTAGCGAAGAAGAAATCTACCGATTAAATAGCAGCATAACTTTGCAGATATTATTCAGTAACCAATTTCCGGCCTAAAGTTTAATATACCTCCTTCTTAAGCGATAGAGTAATAATTTGTTCGCAGACATCAACCAATGGCAACAGATTCTCCATCTCTCCCAAGGTAAATTGCAAGTGGTGTATGACAGTTGGGCTATGACATTATGGAGAAGCTAACAGAGAATAAATTTCTTTTTTTAAGCTCACTTAAGCCTGATGTTGATAGCTTAAGCGAACCTTATAGTAGCAACAATATGAAAGATTCAAAGGCCAGCAATGACAATAACAATATGGAAGTGTCCGTTACAACAGCTCATCAAGTGTCTGAAAGTGCGAAACCTGATCATGAACCTTTTGCTCCTATTCTTACACCTATTAAGACAGAAGCATCGCCTGTAAATGCAGTAAGACAAAAGTCCCCTACACCTCCACCACCTAAATTACCTCTATTACAGTCTCCAACGGTAACTTCCGCTTCCCTAAACAAAAAAGCGTCTTCAGCAGAACCACCATTCGCTGCGGCTAATGTAGCAACAAATATGACTATTCCCTCTACGCCCAGAACTACATTTGCGCCAGATACAAATCCCCCACCACCGGCGGCCAAGAATACTTCACCTAATGGCTATCGACCTCTAAATGTAAAAGATGCGTTGACATATTTAGATCAAGTCAAAATCAAATTTTCAGAACAACCCGAAGTCTACAACAGGTTTTTGGATATCATGAAAGAATTCAAAAGTCAAGCGTAAGCCAAACTGATCAATGTGAATTGTATTGCGGAGAGAGTGCCAAATTGAAAAAGAAAGCGAAAATTAAAAACGTACCACTTTTTATATACAATACATAGTATTGATACACCAGGTGTGATTGAACGCGTTTCTACACTATTTAAAGGGCATCCCAGTTTGATTTCTGGTTTCAACACTTTTTTACCTCCTGGTTATCGCATTGAATGCTCCACTGATGGTCAGTCAAGAGATGTCATTCGAGTAACAACGCCTAGTGGAACCACCACTAGTACAACTCATGGTGAGCCTCTTAATTTGCATTCAAGTTCAATGAATATAGCAGCAGAAGACTTTTATACTTCACAGAGATCAAGTAATAGACCGCCATCCACTTACAACCATGGTTATCATGAGTCCTTACCTCCCATCTCTACGTATCACCATCCAACTCATGCTACAAAATTGAATCCTTCGTCGTCATCGCCGCCATCTTTTATACCATCGCAGCCTACAGCTCTTGGGCGGCCATTTTCTCCACCCCCTCCACCGTCTTCAGCTAGTGATAATAACGCACTTCATGGAAGTCGTCGTTCACCTGTAGAGTTCAACCAAGCTATCAATTATGTGAACAAGATTAAAAACCGTTTTGCTAATGAACCCGACACATATAAACAATTCTTGGAAATTCTACAGACATACCAAAAGGAACAAAGACCTATCCAAGAAGTCTATGCTCAAGTACGTGTCTTATTCAATGGAGCTGAGGATTTATTGACAGAATTTAAGCAATTTTTGCCAGATACAACGACACAACAACCCGTCATGGGCGATGGTGGTTTAGTATCTTCAAAAGCGACGGCGACTTCTGCTGCTCCTACTACGAAATACAAAAAGCGAACCCTATCTGGATTACCTCGACAGAGAAGAAAGAATAAATACGAACTTTCGGAAGTTCGATCTTCTTCTGTTAGGGACGGAGGAGTGGATTTATCTACACCATTGGAAGACGTTACTGCATCGTCAGCAGTAATAAAACCTATTATTACGGCTATTGAAGTTGAATTCTTTGAACGTGTGAGAAAGTACTTCGGAAGCAAGTCGACCTATCAATCGTTTTTACGTCTCTTGAATCTGTTTAGTCAGCAGATGTTTGATGCCAATATGTTGATTGATCGATGCGAACCATTTTTAGGCGGCAATAAAGAATTGTATGATCAGTTAAAGAAATTGGTGGGATATGATGGTAAAGATAGGGTGATCGAGAATGTGCCGCTTCCTTTAAAGCAAGACTATGTTTCGAGCTCTGCGTATGGACCTAGTTATAGATCAGTTCCCAAAGCGGTAAGTTTCTTTTCTTGAGTTGTGGGAGGTGGAAAGTGGGCTATCGCCTTATGACTCAACCTATCTATGTTTTGTACATCAGTGGCAAGCACAAAATTGTTCTGGTCGAGATGCATTATGCTGGGAAGTACTGAATGATGAATTTGTATCGCATCCTACATGGGCCAGTGAGGATAGTGGGTTTATTGCTTCTAAGAAAAATATATATGAGGAAGCTTTACATCGAGTAGAAGATGAGCGCTACAGCTACGATATGGATATCGAAGCCAATTTGAATACAATCACTTTATTGGAACCTATCGCTAAGAAACTAGCCTCGATGACAGACGCTGAAAGAGTTAATTTTAAGCTTTCGCCTGGCATAGGTGGCCCTTCTAAGTGCATTTATCAACGTACCATCAAGAAGATATATGGGAGAGAGCAAGGACGAGAAATTATTGATATGCTTCACAATCATCCTGCTCAAACAGTACCTGTCATTTTGAAACGTTTAAAGCAAAAGGATGAAGAGTGGAGAAAGTCACAGGTATAACAAAAAAAAGGAAATGTTTGAGCCTAGAAAGTCAGCTAATTCATTCATATTATATGTTGCTATAGCGTGAATGGAATAAGGTTTGGAGAGAGGTAGAAGTCAAGAACTATTACAAAGCACTCGATTATCGAGGCGTTATCTTTAAAACAAAAGACAGAAAGACGACATCCGTTAAGTATCTTGTCAATCAAATCGAGGCCATCCGTTTGGATCAGATCACTCCTGAGAACTTTGCTGTCAGCGAACCTCAACTGTGTTTCAAGTTCAAAAGCAGGAGGATTTTTAAAGACGTGACTCGTGTACTGTATAGGTTCTTCGACAGACAAACCTTGTATGGCCACGATGATTGTGAAATAATGAAAGCATTTATAGAAATGTTTTTGCCTGTTTTCTTTGACGTGCCCGATGTTCTGCCTGAAACGGACTTACACAACTGCAATAGTGATAATCTGATGGAAGATGATACAACGGATATGGAAGATGACGTGGCAATGGATGATGATGTTAATAAGAATAATAATGACAATGACGATGATGATAATGATACCCAGAATTCTTACGATTCTTCTACAGATACCACACGTTCCACAAGACGCACCAACAACTATTCACGCAGAAATAATGGCAGGAGATCGCCTCGTCATCGAACAAACGATGAAGACCATCCTCGACTTTTAAAAGACGTTTTAAAGAAGAGCGTTAATTCAACTACACAGCCAAGATCAGCAGAGACAAAATCTCAGCCTTTCCAAATACCACCAGCAGATGATGATGAAGAGGATATGGTTGATAAAGGCCAAGCATCAAAAGAAAGGAAGATACATAATCTGTTTGGCAATACAACATTCTATTGCTTTTTCCGACTATTTCAGGTAAATAATCTATAGACTCCCCAAGTAATACCGTATGCCATTTTTTAACTGAGGTAAAATACTACAGATTTGCTATGAGCGTCTATACAAATTCAGACGGTTGGATAGAGACTATAGACTCAATGGTGATAAAACTAAAGCAAAAAACAAAGCAGCACTGCAGCTGAACACTCCGTCAGTCGTATTTAACGGTATGTTTTCTCTTTTATCAATTTATCTAACAACTCGTATTCATTGAATGTTATTTTCTGTATTAGGCGTTGAGATTGATTTCAGAAACGGATATTATAGAGCGTTGTTGAAGCTCGTTGATCAGTTTTTCGATGATGAATTTGATCAATATGTATTTGAAGAATGTGTACGATATATATATGGAACGGAAGCTTATGAAATATTTACTATTGATAAATTGATGTTAGCCATTATACGACAGGTAGGAAACAATTTTTACTAGCTTCCAAACATCAACTGACGAAGGCTAAACGTTACATAAAAATAAAAATAGCTCTACTGTATAGTTACTGACCCTGAAGCACAGGAAATTTTGTCCTTCTTCAAGAAAAACCATGAACATGAAATCAACGAGTCTCAGTTGACACAAGCTTACAGATTAGAAGTGACAGAAGTTTTAAAGCAAGAAGATAACTTGTACAATTTAGCTTTTGATACAAGGGATAGAACCTTGTCCATTCAATTATTAGAAAAACACGATAAAACATTTGAATTATACGGACTTGAAGATTATACCAACTATGTCGATAACTATACCAATTGGGACAATGAGACGCCCGGTGTCGATAGAAAAGGAATGCTACAGCAATACTTGAAGAGGTAAACCTTATTAACTGACAGTCTTTCATTTCGAAATGTGAATTTAATGAATGGTTTAAACATAGAAATCTGAAAAGAAATTCAACTAAATCTGAAAATGTTTATGTCAACTCGAACCTACAATACAAAATATGCAGGAACACATATCATATGTTTTACGTCGTAGGGACGGAAGATGTATTTACGAACAATACATTTGAAGTTGAAGGAACTGAGGATAAGTCAATGCGAAATGATGCCTTTAAAGCGTGGCTCAATCGAAAGATGGAAACATATAATCAGTCCGTCGAAGAATTACGACAAAAGTTTCAATAGGCAATTTCCTATTATCTTTACTTTCCCTTGTACATTAATACTCTTAATAAATGGTCCAAATATTGTCTACTTGTTACCACTCCAAAGCGAAAGGCTACAGACGATGCTATACTTCCAGAGTATTTTCAGCGATATAGAATTACATCTTATCCATAACTCTTGCAGCACAGGAACTCCTATGGAGAAAGACAAACTACTGCGACAGATTAGAAAAAGTCAAAAAACAAAACTGAGCGTTGTGGAGAGAAGCTTCTATTGTCCAAAACTCAATAGCTGTTGATATTATTATACGTGTGTGGTGGAAATGCTCGAGAAAGAACCAAGAACGTTAACAAGCGTCAAGAGATCTGAGAAAAATATAGTAAATGAAATCGTTGTGTACAATATTGCTCGACAAATTTTATTCCGTTATACTCGATATAACTAGGAAACCTATATGTATACTGTTTGCTGACACTCACACTTGCAATACTTACATATTGAATATTGAATAAAAGAGATGCTAGTAGACATGTTATTATACATAGGTACAGAAAAGTGTAGCTAGAAGAATATATTGTTTTGCCGCAAGCAGATCGTATGGCAAGTGAGATCAGTAGTGTTCGACTTTCCACACAACTTGAGAGGTTATTGGTTAAGTCAAAAAGCGAGGTAAGTAAGCTTTCCGTTGAGTTATTTACAAGAACTTCGGTAGTTGCTGATGAGTGTAAAACCACGCTTAAAAGCTTGTTACGAATTAAACGTTCGCCTTCGATGAAAAAAGTGTAGCCTGATCCAGAGTCCTGAAATCTGCCACTTAATACTAGGAGAATCCATCACAAAGCAATAATAATTGGTTGAAGCGGTATGTTTAAATATACTTGATAATTCCTTCATTGCATGCTATCAGATCAAATGTTAGTTCAGTCTTTGTGAGCTGGTGTTTATCGACTTTGTACCAGGTTGCAAACGATTCAACAAAATACTGTTCTATTGACTTAAGACCTGAAACAATCACATATTACGGAAATAAATGCTGATAACGCTTCTACTAGAAGCTGTGGTACTTTAGTTTCGCAAAAGCAGCTGAAAATAAGCATAAAGAAGCAGCTAGAATTGGGCAATGTGTGCCCCAGTTATTGAAGAGTATTCCTTTAGAGGGTGCGTGTCTAAAAATAACTTTAGCAAGCTGATGAACTTTTCTGTTCTTATAGGATACAGTTGTTACCTCTTCAAATGTCTTTAGCCGCAAATGGCATTTATTTGCTAGTGATGATAAAGAATTATGTCTAGTTGAAACCACTTTTATAGTGATCCGTGAATCCTTTTGCTTCATGAAGGTATGGATTGAAACGACCAATGATATAGTAACATATTTGATACCCACTTTTTTATTTCATACCTTATTAATATTTTCAATAGTGTGAGCTTCAAGATCTTCTAAAGAAAGTTTATAAGAAAACATTAAAAGTAACAACGGGAGTATTATGAAAAAACGGTAAGAATGAATATATTTTTCTCAATGTCCTTCGCCCATAAGATCCCTTTTGCTTTGCTCTTTTACATTTTTTTTTACAGCTCTTTATTAAATTTTTGAAGAGTCTTAGTTCAAATCGCTCGCTAATTACATTTTATTTGATAATAAGACTGCAAAAGCAATAATAACAGCTTTGCAGTACCAATATTTACCATATAGGGCTCCGCAAAGTGGTTGATGACTGGATAACAGAAACGCATCGCTTGGTAAACTATGTGCGAAAAGTTTTGACGAAACGCTTTCCTTTAATAAGCCAGATTAGGAAATGAAAAGTGCCTTTATTGAATGAGTTCCAAGCGTTTGATCCATGTCATATTAGCAAACACGTGTGGCTCCTAAATTATTGAAAAAGGGGGCTTATCCAAAAGTGCTGAGTTTGTCACTTTTTGTCCTTTTTTGCTTCGTGAAAATGAAGACTTCAATTTCAATAACCCCACAAGTCAAAAGTGTTGCTCTTTTTGTGTCTCTCTTTGTATGCCCCACCAATCATTTGTAGGCTTATTTTTGAGACAACATAGAAGACCATCCATTCTTAAAACATATTCCTTCCAGCACTCCTTTAATAACCAATTTATTCGCGGCATGAAGGCTTATATTCAATTTATTGGACAATATTCACCGGAGGGTCCTCCCAGTTTACTCGTTCATTATGATTCGCAACGTTATCTCATCAACTGTCGCGAAGGGACACAACGGCTTTGTGTTCAGGATAAAGTACGGTTTAAACAATTAAGCAAGGTGTTTTTGACGAGAGTTAATTGGGAATGTGCTGGTGGTTTACCGGGTACTTACACAGCAGCTACTATATAAGATACGACATCATGCTGTAGCCTCTAATAATATGTAATATGCTGCAATTGTTTAGGTATGCTTCTGACGTTGACAGATACTGGCATCGGAAATATTGATTTGCATGGTGGTAAAAACTTATCACACTTAATTGCAGCTACTAGGCAATTTGTATACAGGTAGAAATAAGATTTCAAGTTGTGGAAGCGAAAACTACAACTGTGTTAATAATCGGTGTTTCTGTTTTTTAGGACAAATGCAAATGTTAATGTTCATGAATTCAGCGAAGATTCAGCACCATATACCGATAAAATCGTAACGGTTGATCCTATTATTGCTTTACCCGACAGAATACGCAAACGAAATTACGAACAATTCAAGAAAGACGACAATGGTACATGTGACATGGAAGCATCGTCTTCAGATTCTGATGCTGAAAAAAGAGGTCACCCTACATTTATGTTGAAAGGCGATAAAGCAGACGATTATAGAAAGAATGTCATATCGCAAATGTTTACCAACATAGCATCAACAAACGGTCAAAAAGCTCCTGGCCATACAATAGAAGCTGACTGTACACCTCGATTCACTGCACCAACAAACAAGCCTAAAAGACAGCAACCGCCTTATCTAGTTGATCCTTTACCGAAAACGAGCGCCTTTCCAGCAGCTATCTCTTATATATGGAAGGGGCCTACGGTGCCTCGTAAATTCAATAAAGAAGCAGCACTTAAATTAGGATTAAAGCCTGGTCCTAATTATGGTAAATTGCAGAAAGGAATTTCTGTCACTACCGACGATGGGCGAGTCATAACTCAAGACATGGTTTGCGAACCTGAAAGACCTGGTCATGTATTTATTGTTGTTGATTGCCCGAGTGTTACTTATATCGACAGCCTTATACATAACGCTAAGTTTGATCTTTACAAAAAAAACGGGACCACTAAAGCACACGTTATGATTCATTTTGTTGGAAAAGATGTTCTGCGAGATCAGAGATACTTGGATTGGCTGCATGGTTTTGATACTGAAACAGATGTAAGTTGAAAAATCAAAATATATACCTTTACCTTAGCTCAAGGGGTTTACTGTATATTCTTTGCAGCATGTCTTTGCGTCTACGGAAATCTGTGCGCAAACAGTCCAATTCAGATCACACGCACTAGGACAAGTGAAATTATCCATGTTGAATAAGGATATTTTCCCGATTCCACACTACAATAATACACCGGAATTGGCGTTAGATAAATGTAAGGAACTTTGTAAATGCATCGAGTTAGAATGAGTCCAAGTATCATATTAATCAAAAGCGTTCTTATAGTGAATGGCCTACCTGAACGAAGTTATGCCTTGAAAAGTATGGACAGTTATATTCTTGAACCAAAACCTCAATTGCAACACTCCGACATACCCCTTTTCGATCATACAAATTCAAACTCACCGGAAATTCAAGAACTGAATCAGTTGACTGAATATCATGAAGCGGTCAAGATTGCAAAGCAACAAGCTGATAAAGTTCAAATAGACGAAATATTTCCCGGTAGCAATGTGGAGATCATCACTTTGGGTACTGGAAGCTCTATACCTGCAAAATACAGAAATGGTAAGAGTACACCTTGTATCTATATTAGAGAGTTTTATCAAGGCTGACTTCAAACAATAACAATTTACATATAGTAAGTGCTACATACATCAAGATTCCTGGATATGGTTCAATCATGTTGGACGCAGGCGAAGGAACTTATGGTCAATTGATGCGCAGATTTGGGATTCGAAAGCTTGGAGAAGAATTAAAATCACTACGATGTATTTTCGTATCCCATCTACACGCAGACCATCATCTAGGTGTTATCCAATTGATCAACAAATGGAATAAAGTAAATACTCCGTATAAAAAATGGCTTAGAACGGTGAGAAACTTACCTTTTGATTTCACATATAGATGCACTGGGAAGATGATGCTACTTTGACCATTGTTGCTCCTTTCATCTATATGAATTGGTTGAAAGAGTATAACAGAGTTGAGTACTTCTTGAAGAAAAACAAAGTGAAATTTATTAGAAATGAGAGCATTTTGGCATCACGAGAGCCTGTAGGCGAAGAATTAAAGAGGTAATCCTTTTAAATAGGTGACAAAAGTTAATATCATTTTCGGTTCTCATATTGAAAAACGCATTCAATTTCAGTTTGGAGAATTTGAAGACGACGTTAGGACTCTCAGTACTCGAACCAGTAGACGTAATTCACTGTCTATATGCATATGGCTTGTCTTTGGAACATGAATCCGGATGGAAACTAGTGTAAAGATTACAAAACAAACAAACAAACAAAAAAGTCTACTCTAATTTTCTTTTCTTTTTTTTTGCTGCCATTAAATAGCTATTCGGGTGATACCCGACCTTGTAATAAGCTTGTTGAAAGAGGAAAAGATGCAACCATACTCATTCATGAAGCAACGCTTGAGGATGCAGAAAAGGAAAAGGCGATAGCAAAGCGTCATACGACTCTAAGCGAAGCCATTGAAGTGGGAGAAAGGTATGTTACAAGGCAATAGTTTTTTGTAGCGCGAAATATTCATTTAATCATGTTTTTTTCTATCATTCATAGAATGAATGCTCGATTTACATTGCTGAATCACTTTAGTCAGCGATATCCTAAATTGCCTGTTCTTTCCAAAGATCTTAACGTTTGCTTCAGCTTTGATTTGATGTCTTTACCTATCAAGCATTTGCCATTGTTACCCAAATACACGGATGCGATGTTACTTGCCTTCAAAGATGACGATGAAGACAATAATACTGTTAAGAAGTAGTGTAGTATGTCTTCTAATCTGTATATATAGTTATTGTATGTATCAGTTTCCCTTTTGTAAATAAATTGTATATAATAGTGTATGTATCATCCTTTTGCCTTTTGTCGGTTCTCGAAAGACAAAACATGCAACGTCTAGATCCTTTTTTTGTTCTTTTGCGGCTTTATGTGTTACGAGGTGGCCGTGTTATGGACGCAGGGAAATGGGAAAAAGGCAATCGATGATGAAACTTTTTTATCATGCACCACTGCTACGGCTCGTACCTTTTTAACCTTCTTTTAGTGCGAGTGCTTTTTTCTTTTCGCTTTCACGGTCTTTTCTTTCTAATTTTTTCTTCTCCCTATTTTATTCTATCTTGAATATGGCTGAAATCATGGATACTGTTACTGCAAGCCAACAAATGGTCGAGAATCCCATTCCAACCGCCATTGCACGTTAGTATCATACTGTATTCAGAGTTATAAGACTAGGATAACGTTTGAAGGCGCTCACTTATTCATGTATAACAGCACCTGTCACTATTGGAGGCAACTCTAGTTTAAATGCTCCAGACACTCCTCCACCTTCTAAGCGAACACTTAGTAAGTCAGAAACGGCTAAGGCTGTTGATGCATCTTTCGAGCAAGGTAAATTACATGTGTCTGGGCAATTTATCGGTGATCCATAGACATTGCTTTTCTAACTTCCCGATAGACCCCTTTGGCTATTTGCGTGCAAAAGTTCAATCCCTTATCCTTTGGGAAAACCGTCGAAATAGCGCTCTCGTTCTTACAGGAACACTCAGTTTCCTTATTTTGACACAATATTACTCTTTGTTACAAATTGCTGCAGGTATCTTCTTTTTCATAACAGGTCTGAACTGGGTTTTTGTCATAATCTACAAACAAGGGCAGAAGTATATTTATGGCAAGGCTCCTGAAGAGCTAACAAATCCCCACAGGTATAGCATTCAAAAAAAAAAAAGAAAGCAGAAAACGACGCATGAATGAGAAATGAAGAACTCCGTGATATATTGCTGTACTATGTCTCTCGTTAATCCTGACTTTTCCTTTTTTTTGAAAATCTCTTCATGTAGAGAGCGTCTTCGATACAATGGCAGTTATATACCCCGGGATCGAATCGTACATTTGGCACAATTAAGTGTTGACGTGTTTGAAGTGTTTGCCCAGCATATCACAAAATTGGTTTTGATTGAAAATAGTTGGCGTTCAGCTGTAGCTCTAGTTATTTCCTTCACAGTCTGGACTCTTGCCAAATACATATCGACCAAATATTTAATTGGCTTGTTCCTTCTTTCTGCTTTTACAGGTCCTCGACTTTATCTTCAACATCAAGCAGTTATTGATGCTCATCTTCAACAGTTACTTCAACAAACTCAATCTTCAACAGAGAAATATGGAGGCTTGGCTTGTGCTAAAGCAAAAGAACTCTCTCATCAAGCTACAGAGTTTATAAAGCGAACGACTGCTAAGGCTACTACTGCAGTCAAGACCAAGCCAATAAATAACTCTGCTACTACTGATACAACCTCAGCAACTGTCACCAACGTTCCGGAAATGAACGAAAAGAAAGATCATTAAGAATGCTATTTCTTTGCTTTACAATAAGTGAAGCTACAGAATTAAGGAACTACTGTTTACTGCATGTCATTAAAACAAGAAAATAAATATATGAAAAATGAAACGAATGAAAGTGTTAAGGCCAGTGGCAGTTTTAATGGACAATTTATATTTTAGCACGTACCTTGGTCTATCAAAGGTAGCTTCATTTCTTGCTTAGAAGCGGTTCATATATTTGTATATAGTACAATTCTCAAAAGGCTCGAACGAGCCATTTAATATTCCTACGAAGTCGCACTCTTAAAGGACAAAGCTGGCTTAGAAGTATCTAAACAAATTTACAAAGCGATCCTTCTAGAACTCAATGCATCGTCGAGTCAAACATTATTGTAGTTCACCACCCGTGCAGTTATCGCCTATATTTTAAAGCCTCACGTATATTACATCCATGAGATGTTAAACCATTTGGCTTTGAATCTCCATGATCTGCTGCTTATATTTTTTCTGAGACGTAATCGGTTTTCAAGCCTGAAGAGTCCAAACTTGAAGCAGTGTTAGCTCATACAGAAGTTTCAGATCGAATGATTTTTTTGCAATATCAGCTATGGATTAGTTCAGTAATTTTCAAATCAGAAGACGTAGTTACTGTAGTCTGAAGGGTATTCGCTTCGGTTCGAATGTTAAACTGTATTTGACTGTAGGCTTCTAGCAAATGTTAGCGTAACTAAGCAAGTTTACAGGAATACATATAGCCGCGCTCATTACGTTGATCGAGGAGCTCCACAGATACGACACTTCGTGTTAAGGCCAAATATTCACACTTGGTGGGTATCCGTTTAACACAAGCAACCAGGCTCCTTGGAGATGGAAGAGTTGACACGGTTTCAAACCGAGGAATTCGTTATCCCATCCAAATCGGATGTTGGTTATCATGGACTTGTTCCCTTGGTCAAAGGATTCCTTACGCGGAAACGTTTGTGCGGCATCAATGGTTTTATTAGCAGTAGAATGGCTATCTGCTAACCATCTGCCTTCCGTCATCTTCATTACTAATAGTTTATTCCGTTGTTGAAACTTATATATATATATATAAAAGGAAATATCAATAAGTAATTTGTAGTGTGTTATCAAACATGCTAATTACATTTATTATAATTTTCTCATATTGTTTATCCGATTTTTTCTGTGCCTCCAATTTGGCCTTAAATATCATGTATTGAACAAAGAGTTATACGCCATAAAGTCAAATTGTAGTTATTGTGCCTTCGCTTTTACGGATGAAAGAATGCTGGTATAAGTGTATTGTATATATGCTATATAGTGCAGAGAGGGGTATCATAAGGGTTGGTGAGCTATTAAACAAAGTCCAAGGAGACATCAGCCAAAGTCAACCTACATTTGAAAGTAACTTTAATCAGGTGACCCATTGCCATGTAATATCTGTATTTACAGCAGACCCAATAGAGATTCTTCAGAAATTCAAAGTCTTCTGTGTAAAAAGGCAGGAAGTCGATAAGTGTACACAATTCCCTATTTGAACATGGCGAAATTCCTTGTAGACACAATAATGAGCCAGGTCCTTTGTACAAATGAATATCTTGCGGTGTAAAACCAACAGTGATATGGAAATTGCAAGGTGGTAACCCTAAGAAACGTCGAATTTCTTGTCCAAACGGCCAGAAAATCACCCGATAATAACTGACAGCATTATCTTTTTTACAAATGCCTAATCCAAGATCTCGAGGTTTTTCCCAATGATCAGCGTTCCCGAATTTTTCATAAACTTGCTTTAATAGCTGCATCTGATGTTTACGGAAAAGCTTCTTTTTTTTGGACAAGGAAAGTTGTACTTCCTCACCTCGCTCATTGAGTTCTGTATCTGGTAAAAAGGACTTAATCTCAAGATGATTCACGACGGTTATATGGTACCCTGCGGTTGGTCCATCCCTTTTACGCCGATTATCACTAAGATCCTTTGTGACTAGCGGATGCTCTATTGTGCCGAGACTGTTAACATATGGTCCACGTAGCGAGAGAAATCTACCCTCGGCTTCAAAAGATAGATTTGACATTAACCTATTAACGATGGCAAGAGTAATAAATTGATAAAAAGGTCTGTTGTTTGGATAAAAGCACAGCTATTCTGAGTTTTATTTTTGATTATCTTTTCAATGAAACTCTCTATTGTCTCCAAGCAATATGCACTTCATCCGTTCTAAAACGTTGAGTAATCGTTGTCTCTTCGAACGGTGTAGTATAGCCTGTTTTATAAGCTAATAGGCCAGCGTGTGCAATCATAAGGCCATTATCAATACAGAACCTTTCATCGGTTGCACATACAGTACCATTCCTTTGCGCCGCCATTTCTTTCATCATTTCTTGTAATCGAACATTACCTATGTGCATATTAATTTGAAAAAAAAAAAATTGAAAAAATCGGTAAGCCCAGCCATATCCTAATAAAGAATGGTAAGATTGAAACTTACATCCTACACCTCCCACTAATAATACTTGGTTCGACTCCACGTGCGCCATAGCACGTTCTGTTATTTCGACCAGCATAGCGAATAGCGTCTCTTGTAATGAAAAGCATAGATCCTCAGGTGTAATACTTCCTTTTGGTAACTCTTCTTTCGCCAACTTTTCTATATGTGATAAAATACCCGAAAATGACACATCCATTCCCTTTACTGAATAAGGTAGCTGTATAAAATTTTTTCCTCTCTTAGCATACTGTTCAATATTGTATCCAGGACTGGGATCATTCGATAAGTTGAGAATTCTTGCAAATCGATCCAAACAATTGCCGATAGCTATATCGAGTGTTTCTCCAAATATGCGATATCTTTGTTGTGAATAAGCAATAATTTGTGTATTTCCACCACTGACATAAAGTACTACTGGGTTATCCGCTTTTGTTATTTCCCTTCCCATTTCAATGTCTATTCATATGGGCAGTCATATTAAGTATTCAAAATTCATTCGTAACATATTTGCTAACGCAACATCAACTTACGCCCTACGCAATGATTTACACCAACAATAGGCTTATTCCATAATAATGCCAATGTTCTCGCTGCTAAAGCAACCGATACTAGTGGTCCACCCATACCAGGACCTACATTCATTAAATCGATCAATATGAATTGAGAAAAGAACAGATCTCATAACTAATCTATTAATTCAAAAGTACCTTTTGTATAACAAATAACGTCTATATCTTCGGGTGTTACATTTGCCTTTGCCAAAGCTTGTTTTGTAACGGTTAAGATGCAATCGCGATGATGCAGCGCTGTATCGCGTGGTAAAAAGCCTTGACCTGGAGGAGTGATATATGTATCTCGAAGGTTTGCCAGAACTTCAACTTCAGATCCTTCATGTTTAATTATACCAACACCAAGCTTATTTGCAGAGCCTTCAAAACCAATCGCTACCACCATTTTTCCTGCTATGATAGGAATGCGTTACGTTGAAAGTGTGAACAAGAGTAAGTGACCGGCTCAAAAGTTAAAAATATATTTTTGAATTATCTGATTCTGAATTTTTCAGTCGTTTTCCTATATAGCAGTCTTTGACAGTACAAGGCAATTCCAGCAAGGCGATGCAATTTATATTCGTTCACATTTTGCTCTTATTTTTGAAAGTTACGCCCAGCTTGTCTATAATGCTGCGATAATAAGAAGCGGGAGGCCAACATTATACACGCACATCGGCTTTAATTTTTCCAATGATCAAACACTTATAAAAGTAAATTCTTCTAATTTCGATTAGAGTAGTACAGCTTTCGCATGAAAATGGTATTTCTCCATACAAGCACAAATATTAATGGCATTCTACAGCTTTTACACCGTTAGCCATAAACGAATATGGTATTTCTATCTTATATTACATTAACTCCCTGGCCTCAATAAGTTCAAAAGATAGAAAAGCCTCTAAAATATGCAATAAATATTTCACTTAGGGATTGTCTTTATTTTTTGATAATATTTTGACTATTTACAATTTAATCTTCTTGTTCATTTTCCGATTCCTCTTTAGCTTCTACCTTCTGTTTCTTAGGCTTATGTTGTCTTTGCTGATGTTTATGATATCTGTGATAGAGTACTTCGCCACTGCAGAGTCCATTTGTGACCTTGGTCAATTCGAGTGTTAGACGTGGGCCCAGTTCATGAAGACGCACCGCTCTCTGTTCATTTTTACGATTATTACGTCCATGATAATCCTGTGGTAATGTAACCGTGGATTCCGGTCCATCCTCAACATCACTTTCTGAAATGACTGCTTCTTTTAAAATGTAATCTGAAATATCTTCATAATCACCCAAATTCGGTAAATTGGTATTTATCACTCGTTTTATAGACTTTGAAATGCCTGTTGCTTTTACTCCAATGCTGTAATGACGCATGTCAATCATGCCTGTATCTTCATTGTAGTTGAATAACAAAACACGTCTTGCTTCAGAAATTTGCATTGTTTGTACATCTACTGCAGGAAACATATTCTGTAGCATGACAGTCAAAACCTTGAACTCTTTTCCGGGTTGCTGGAAGTTGTTTAATACTAAGAGAGGGCTCTTTCTAAACTCGATATCGGATGTTCTTGGATTGCGCTGTAATGCTATACAGTCTTTTGCTAAGGCGTATTCATGTACACGGAATGTTAAAGTGGGTCCACGAGGTACACGACAAATACGAAGGTTGACATTCTTTTCTGTACGACTGAATATCAGAAAATGCGTAACGCCTAGTTGCCCCGCTACCATGACAAAGTCCTTCAAACGGTTCGATCTACGTTCCTATTGTTTTTTTCAGATGTACAGAAGTTTAGACAAAGGTACACTACTAGTAATGCAGCAATAGCGATAGTCTACCTTTAAATGGCTTGCTGTATTTGGTTCTAATACTCTTCGAACATCACGAACCAGAGCGGTAACAGTGTTACCGACAATTCCTGATCGCATAACGAAACTTTTGGGAATTTTATTCATTTCTTCCTCAGTAGGCACAACATGAGTTCTGGTCTTTCTCTAACAATATGAATATTGCACAACAAAAATGTGAGTAAAGCGCTGTTTTCATTTATTCGATACAAACTGCCTACTAATTACCTTTCTTTTCCCCATCTTTTTTACAGATTTATAGGATAAATATTTGAATGAAACGAGCTTTTAGATTGCCACAGCTGCTTTATTTTTGTAATCTTGGATCGACGGCTTAGAAAACAGATAAAACGTCACAGCTCGGAAGCGGACCGTGCACACTCCGTCCAAAAGGCGATTTCTCTAAGAATTAAAAAAACGTCAACATAATTGATAACAAAATAATAACTGAGAATTGTATTAAGCCTAAAATGTCACTAATTGAGACTTCTATTGCGAGAATCAAAGTTTTTCTGTGCCTCTTTATGGGAAAATTAAGCATATAATAATAGTCAGCAACACATCAAAACGGAAAAATGGTTGAAAATGTGTTTATTCTAGATATGAAAAGTGTATAATCTAACAGATAAAAAGTATGGAAAGGTTGTGATATGTGGACTATTGCTTACTGTTGAGAACATGCAAAGGAGAATCTGCATTGTAATACATTTCAGTGCCGCCAACAGTACCGCCACCACCAGTGACACCGAAGGTTGTCCATGTTTTAACATTAGCATTAGGCTCAAGAGAAGCCCATGAAATACCGTTTGTTTTCTTTAAATTGATTTCGATCTTTGTTGAGAGGACCTCGTATTTTGATGCAGAAATGTCGATTGGCTAAAGATCGAAGGCTCATCAGTTATCCAAGAGAAATGAACTCCTAGGACAATTATACGCTTACCATAAAAAGAGGAATGGTTTTCTTATAACGTTTATTGCCCTTCATCGTAATGTCAATATCGACACTTTGTTCTTTGAATTCAACCTTAGTATTTTCTTTATTCTTGGCAAAAATGCTCAATATGGCACTTGATTGTGTCTGATACCAATCAGTACGACAATCAACCATTTCCTCGCCCTATAGAACAAATTAGCCGAACAAAATCAGCAACTGAAGTAGTGTATCCTTAAAACTCTCTGTTTTTGTATTACTAACCTTATTACTCGCACCAAGGAACAAATGCTTTCCTTCCTTACAACCTGGAATCTTCAAGAAATCATCAAAATCTAACACTTTACGAGAACAACAGCTCCAACCCTTGGAGCCTTCATGAAAAACAGGAGTACCGGAATGATAATGGCAAACTGCTTCAGCACCCTCTCCGCGAGATACATCACAGCCTTTCCATACACATCCACAACCACGTCTTTTACACACAGTACCATCTGGCACAGGAAGTGATTCGTCGTCTTCTTCTGTAATTTCAGACTCCTTAGGCTCCTCTTCCTTCTTTGCTACAGCTTCTACGGCTGTCAATGTGGATGTCTGCTGAGATTGTGGGTTATTTTGCTGGCCATAAACTTCGACACCATCAGCTGTGACATGACTTGCTTCTGTTACAGTTTTGCTTTCAGTAACTTTGTTTTGAACAGCAGGTTGATCTACGGGCTCGGAAGAATGGCGGCCGAACGTACAACCAGGAATGGCGAGAAACTCATCGAAGTCAGAGACTCGTTTCTTACAGCAAGACCAACCCTTTAAACCTATATTAATCAACGTAATCATACGGGTCTTTAATTTTTTCTTTTGAATAGTTGAATCGAAGGTGCTTATTTAATATTTACCCTCATGGAATACAGGAGCTCCTGCGTGATATTGACAAGCTATTTTTATACAAAGGGCCGATGAGTTGACCAGTAACAAGATCTGCAAGGCAAATAAAATGGTTTTCGTTTAAGGTAGAGACTTACCATTATCTTTATTATCTTCTTCTGTGAATTCTTTACCACAGCCTTTATGTGTACACTTGACCATTGTGTTCGTTAGTTGTTAATGACGCTGAAGGTTGAAAGAAATAGTTGAGGGGCAGCTGGAACAAGTCAATTAAAAATAACCTCTGAAAATTTCTGGAAATTACTAGATACATGATTTTACAATTTTTAAACCCAATGGGCACACAGATAAACTACATATCAAAAAATTGCCCGGGGCAGCTCGAGTTGAGAATAGAGCGAGGCATAGTGTCGGTCAGGGTGCCGTGGTGGGCGAAAAAGCATACTATCTGAAATGGGGGCAGGGGGAAGGGGCTAAACTAATCATTATAATTGATAGGCTAAGTCTTTGAGCGCGGTTCGGGATCTTGCTTAATTAAGCCTGGGCGAGCACCGCAATTATTCATAACTTGTTTAAACACCAACACCGACCGAGAACCACCTTGATAGCGGCATTAAAAAAACCCTAGGAAGCAGAGAGAAAGGGATCAAAGCTGAAAAAATTTCAGCGGCGTACAAGAATCGTTGGTTTGGAAAGCTAACGTGTTAACTACCTCCACCGGGGGCTAGGCCCCCTTTCTGGAAACTACAGTATTTCGGTTTTGATTTAGACGTTCTTCTATCAAAATTGGATTTTTTCAATAACCTAATTCAGACAATCCAAGTACTTATTTTTCGATAACTTATTTCCAAAATTCGGACACTTTCAGTATATCTACCACCCATCCCTACCTTCGTCTGAACAGTCTCGATTTTTCACCGTCTGCTTTAATATCCATTGGGATATATGGACATCGTTTTTTCGGATGATATTGTATGCCATTCCGTTTGACACCCCCCCCGCCAATCCATCCTTAGTAAAGTTCACAATGTTAATTCATTGAGCCTGTCTTCTTCATAGCTCTTGCTGGAAGCGGCTGCCTTAGATTAATTACCTACCACAGAAAGTGTCTTTTTCTTCTCCATGCCCCATCCCTCAGAGATGTTTTACGAATTTATTTATTTTTGAATAAAATAATCTACAAAAAAAAAAAAAAAAAAAAAAAAAAAAAAAAAAAAAAACTTTCAATGAACTATCTTAGGCCCTCTTCTTTCTGTACGCATTTTTCCCTTCAGCATGCCTGATCTAACCCCTACAATCTTTAGGAATAAACGTTTTGCAGGCTTGCACAATACGTGGTGTAAGAGCTTATTGCTGTCTAATGGTGTGCCTTTGGTGTTATTTTTATCCTTAGCCAAGCGCTTACTTATAGGATCAACAACCGGTAAATAAGATGGATGAAAAAGCGGCCTATATCTGCTTTCGTTGATGGCATATTTAATAAGTGAGGTATGGTCATGGTATCTGTTTCTATCTGTTTTTCTACCATTATAAATTCTTTGAATGTTAAACCATACATTGTCAGGAAACTTCTTATTCATAAGCTTCTGAACGATAACGTACTATTCGATTGATATAAGCACAGGCTGTGTCGTACTACTCCGGATCTGGTTCAAAACAGGCTGCCTTTTCTCTCAAACAGTCATAGTGTGATTGTCTGTAAGTAATTACGTACATTTTTCTTAATTCCCATGACAGCTAGGCGACCAGTTGTATTCTATGTAAATGACTCATTTTTTTGCATTCTCATTGACTGTTCGGCATCTCTGTTCATCTAAAACTTTATCACTTTTTTTTCTTTTTCTACAAGAGAAAGTGTTCCCACTCTAATATTGTTTACCTCTTCTATAAGCTTATGTAATTATGCCTTTTCGAGAAGCTAAGAGGCATCTCAAGCGAAAAGTAGAAAGAAAGAAAAGATAAATTGCTGAAGGTATGTCTTTGCTATCTTATGTTCAGTTACAGAGTTTTACAGTTCAATACTCCTTACGAATGTAGGAATTTGTAAGGACTGTGGAGAAGTTGGTCATATCAACAAAAAAAGTTACAAATGCCAGCTTTACGATGCATGTAAGCCGTGTTATCACTTTCCGAATGAAAGGTAAACAGATCTCTTACCATACCCGTTTTAAAGCCAAAAAAAGAAAAGCAGGAGCGAAGGATGATTACGAGACTAAGGCTGCAAAGGCTAGAGGAAAAAAGAAGAAGTTAGAAGACAGCAAGAAACGAGCAGAACAAGACGTTGTTTGTTCCTCTTGCGGTAAAGCAGGCCATAGTAGATCATCTTCACCACTATGCTTGAACTACAAGCCCCCAAAGGATGTCTTGCTCCGCCAGCTGTTCGAAGATGGTCATGAAGTCTACAGCAGGAAGCTGCTTCTAACCACACTGATGAGACCAGCGTTTGCTCAAGTCGCTACAGAAAACATCATCAAATTAGCAGAATTTACCCGTCAAGTGGTGTATAGAGCCCAACTATTTGTGAACTACTACATTACTGATAACTACGAAACAACGACTGGTCACCCATACCTTTATGAGCAGAACTTCTGGTACAGCATCTGCAAGCTTATATTAGGGAAGCGGGTCAGAAATCGACAATACATGGGCATGTCGGTCACGCTTGCCTTTGATGACTTTAAAAGCAAATTTCCTACAATCGTTTACAGTCTGAAGACACATCCCGTGAAGGGATACAGCGATTCGCTGGCAGCGGCCTGCGTGACACTGGCCACTACTTATTCAAACTTTATAGTAGAGAATTTTGAAAATAGGCTCAAGCACTACGCTCGAACATGTTTGAAGCATCTGTTCCCTGTAAGTCATGATCGCATCCATAACAACTGTAGTAGCAGAGTGTTTCACGAAGTTCTGTTTATTTTATGTTCTAGGAGCATAAGAAAAGAGAAATCGACAGAATCGTCAACGAATACTGCTTCAAAAAGATAATGAAGGGGGACTACGAATGGGCAAACGGGGTGGCCGGTTTGGAGCGGTTAGAGGAGGCTAATGCCATATGCAAAGCTGTTGAAGACGTACTGCCCGCGATCCCGAACATAGAAAATCTTACTGCCAACGGGTCTATGTTCCTACCAGCGTTAGGCTTGATGCTGCAGAAGGTGTTGTCTATTTCCAAAGCTACTACAGACGAGCAAAAAAGCCACGACTTTTCTCTTTGTGTCCAATGCCCTCTTTGAAATGGCGCCATATCCATATCAACCACAAAACGCTGTCTATTATAACGAGCCAAAAGTATCCGGGAAATACCTACAGAGAACAGGTTGAGGTTTTTCACCGCGTTTTTAACTTGTATACGTTTGGATACAGTTCCGTCGATGATATTGTTAACGATCGTGAAATAAAGCTAAACTGCACTGCCCAAAGCGATGGACATGGTATCACACTACAGTTTGTCAGACGAAAGGCTACTTCCGGTAATACAAAGGCACTACTACAACTAGACGACTTCAATCTCGTGGAAGTAGGTGAGTATTTTCACCCAATTACTGTTGATCCTGGGCGGAATGAAATTTTTACAGCTGCGGTTGGCTTCAACAATGTTAATCACGAGATACGCAGTTGCAGCAAAAGTGAAAGAGCCAACTTTGCGGGCTACACGAGGAGAAGCACTTATTTGAAGAAATTAAAAGAAAGGAAAGGAATAACGTCCATTGAGTCGTCGCTGCCTTCACCGAAGGTCGTGTCCAAAGAGGCCTATATTGTGTACTTGGAATACACATTGCAACATCTGCATACACTATTTGACTTCTACAGCTTCAAATCGGCCCAGTTCAACTTCAACAATTACCAAGGCAAACAACGGGCAAATGCTGAGGTAGCTAATGTGCTAATTGACGGCGGTCGCAAGTATAATAGGAGGAAAAGAAAACATACAAACAGAAACAAGAAAAGGAAACGACGACTGAAGAATGGCCAGAAGAAGACAATTAGAAGCAAAGTTAAAAAGACAAAACGGGAGCGTATGGAAGCTCAAGAAGAAAAAAAGAAAAAAACGATAAAAGAGGAGCCGAAGAGAAAAGAAGACGTTGACTTATGCAGGTAAGCGTTTTTGGTGGTAGATGGCTATTCTTAAGGCACTTAAAGATCTACTTCTGATACAGATACAAGGAAGATGGACGGAGAATCTGGCATCAAGAGCAGTTTATGGACAAAAGGCTAGTCATTCCTCTTGTTGTGTTCGGGACGGGGATGTCGGGAAAGGACAAATCTCTGGTGTCACAGGTGTCCTCTATAAAATCTTATTAAAAAGGCAGAAGCAACAACTTGTTGCGGTAGTCGACATTGATGAATATTGCACGTCGCAGGTAATTAACATTTCCCTTATACTGTGCAATATATGCCGTATTTCTATGAGCCGTTTTTCTACATTCCTTACTTATACATGCACAATCAAATATCAGGTCTGCAACAACTGTTTGCTCAAAAATATGGAAAGTGTAAAGATCGGTGCTGGTTCACGTTGTTACAGTACGAAAGTTTGTAAACACTGCCACATACTTTGGCAACGTGATATAAATGCTTCAAAGAATATGATGACTATTGCCACTTCAGTTTGGGCAGGTCATGGAAGACCCTCACAGTTTACCCCACAGAATCGCCGTAGCGAAGACGGTGCTGTCGGTTCCTCGAACCAGGCGGCTTAAAGATACTTACGCGTTTAGGTGAGTTCATCTTGTGAAATTTCGCACTGTACGTTTCTGAAGCTTTTATTAACTGCTGCTTGACGTTACTACATACTCAAACATGGTAGATATTCTGTGCTTTGGCACAGTATATTTACCTTGTTTGAGTAAGAGTAGGTCGCACATTTGGCATTGAGCATTTGGACAGAAAAGGTATGATCTGAAAAACTATGCATTTCATCTAAATAAAATTTTAAATTAGTCTGAACTTAATTGTAAGATAATCTCAATTTAATAGCCATTTCGTGCGAAAGTCAAGCGAAAAAACAGTAGATACAGTTGTTTAACTGCGGGTTTAGACGAAGCTTAAAAATAACTGGACGAAATGAACAAAAGTTTGAGACGATTGAGTTAGAGTTTGAAGATAGAACTACACTAAAATGGAGACGCTTACCTATAAATATCAAGCCAGTTTCGTTCTGGCGATAATAAAAATCAAAAGACTAAGAAGTTGTCTTCCGGCTGAACTCTGTAGGACGTTCCTTGTCTTTCCATACCGAAATGCTGATGGCCATCATGTTTTTTGCTGCATTGACATCGCGGTTCCATAGTATCTTACAGGTTTTGCAAACAAGGATACTACAGCCACGCACGGTGTCTAATTCCCTTCTTTTTTGCCGTAATACTTCGTCGTATTTGACACCTCCATCGACAAGCATGATCACCATCATGTCTGCAGCACGCTGTCTGCCTTGATGCAGACGTAACCTTGATTCACCCATACCAGGCCCATAGAATGAGAACAGGATCTCTAAATGTTGTAGTATATAAATAGTATATCTCTTATACTATTCAGGCGAGCCTGTTTTACTACTCGGTACATTGCTTTCTATCGCTTTTATCATACAACCGGCCTTTTTCCTTCTGATTCTGCATTGACACGAGTACTACCCGCCATGTTATAATATCTTTTGTCGAGCAGCGCCGTATCTCATGTCTGTTTGTTTATAACTCGATTGCTGCTGTAAATACTGTCTTTCGGCCAGGATCAACAAATGTGGGTCTGTAGTTTGCTGTGATCTCTTCATAGGAGAAGTCTTCCAACGTCAAGTCATGATGATCAATGACGGCGTCTTCTTTGGTTTCTTCTTATGACTAAATAAAAAGTCTACAGTGAAGCCATCAGATCGAATTAGGTTCCAAAAGAGCACACTTGTGTTTGTCTTTAGCTCAGCAACACTATGATATAAGTGAAAGAATAATCTTGAGAACAGAGTCTTTTAGCAGAGTGCTATTTACCTTACCTTCTGAAGCCTAACTTTTTGAAGTTGAACACTTTACAAAATTGTTCAAGTTGATTCCAATAACCCTTTACAAGTCTTCCAGGAAATAAAAAAGGAGTAAGGGCGTTTATGCTGATGGTAATGAAGCGCCATGATACTAAGGGAGTTGGAAAAGGTAAGAAACGATGAGGTAATGGTAACCTACGAACATCGTAGGCAAGATGATTAGAATGCTCTTCTTCGTAGTAGTCTTGGATAAACCACAAGGGCTTGACAGAATTGACCGGATCGGCCGCCAATGACAGAAGCGTAACCTTTTCCTCCACAAGGTCTGCAAAGTTCTTGCGAACGAGCAGTGGTATGGCCATCTTGTCCACAGCTGAGGCACTTTAAAGCTTGTGGGGTGGTCTTTTTCCGTTTAACTGCTTTCTTCTTCTCTTTCACTTGGTCACTCTGTTTTCTCTTTTTACCGCTGCTACCAACTTTAAGGAGGTTACTTACAAGCAATTAAGTGCTGTATGTAAGATAGATTTAGGTCTATTGCTTACCATCATCAGCATTTACGGCTTTGTAATACTTGCATTTGTAGTAACGCTTGTCAAAATGACCTGGTTCATAGCAGTCTCGCCACTTGGTATGTTCTAAAAAGTTACAACGAATATCAGAACCTTATATCTTGATCTGACGGTTCTTCTACAATTATCAAACAGTTTACCGAATGAGTTCGTTTTAACCTGGTTCTTATGCTTTTTATATAGATCTAATCTTCTGTATAATGAAACTTTTGTACATGAATAGAGCTGTAAGTTACAAAAAAATGCGAAATACGGAAAAGAAGGGATCTTATTCTCGTTTGAAAGGACCTCTTCATATTATTCTTAACTTTGACAACAAAAACGCGAGAAAAGAAAGACACGTCTTTATCATTGGGCAAAGTTCCCAAAAAGGCACTGACGAACATCTGGTTGGTCTTATAACACATCATCATTTGACTATTGCAAAGTGACACCAATAAGAGCTTTCTTAGCGACTTCTTCACTAACAAAGACTCATTTTTAGGGCTAGCTTGTACGCCATCCTTAATACTGCTTGGATGTTACTGGATAATTGATTATCAACGAAATAGTCCAAAAATTAAAATTACTTAATATTTCCGCTGATTTCTTCCGGAATTACGGGTATGAAGAACTGTCAAGCCTACCATCAGCCTAAAGAGTTTTGGTTACTGTTGCCTAAAGTGAATTTGTCAAACTTTAAAGAAAAGACCAGTAAAATGAAAGATTACTGTGTAAACTGCATCGAAAGGAAAACTTGGTAGCCAAGAAAAAAGGCTATCATATCGAATTTGTCCTAAGAATCTGTTAACGTCTTCTTGTTCACAATTTTATCGTCATGATTTCAAAATACATTAGATGGCCAATAACCTAAGATATCAGCTTTTGAGCACTATAAAAAGGTATCTTTATTAAGGCGTTTAATTTTTACACATAATGCAAACTGGTCACAAATTATTGCATCAGTCATAAACACTTCATCGACTGCTACTCCCCCTTCTTGCTTTGAGCGCTGCTAGTGGTGTGGGTGCCAGATGACACTCGGGAGCTAATCAATTTCTTTCAGCGTAGCTACTATTGCTGCCGCTACTATTAGTTTTGTTGTTTTTGAATATCTTTGTGCTTGAGCGCATTCCTTTCTTTAAATCTTGCAATAGTGTTGATTTTGATACTTGAGGCATAGGTGGTATACTATCTATATTAGGGGCAGTGATGTTCATTTTCAAATAGTCAATATCATTAGCAGCATCAATTGCTGTATGCGACAAGCGATACGATGATAATATTGTGTGCTCCTGGCTACTTCTACCATGGAGCGGTTTGTCAGCAGCTGATTTAGGTCTTTGGGCGATGTGTTTTTGCTGCTGCTGCTGCTGCCATGAGAAGAATATTTGTTCATCAGCAGTATGATAGAATGATTTAGCAATATCAGAATCGGTAGAAGTTAAACGATGTGTGCTAACTGATCTTGTGACCTGAGGCCTATTGAAGCTTATTCCTGTTTGCAAATGTGTAGCTAATAAGCCTAATCTTGCTCTATTGTTCGGTATAAAGAACTTTTCGGATTTCAATGCTGCATTTTCTGCATTAATGACTAAACCAGGAAGATGTCAATGTTAGCTTGCTATTGCCTAATGATAAGTAGAGAAAACGGCATCCTATACTCACGTTTTACTGTCAAATAATCCTTAAGAGTTGCATCATCATAGAATACAGGCGGACTCGGTAATGGAGGGCCAAAATCCTTAATGCCACTCTTTCTCACAACTTCAACTCTAATTCGATAACAAATTATTAATATCTATGCTGTTTTATCTCTTTTGAAGTAGTTATCTCTTCTGAAAGCTTTTTTACCTCCAAAACTTTCTACCTCCACTTGTTTCTGGGCGTACGATAATATATACATGGAGAAATTGTGACCGAATTGCCTCTGGATTGAATTTCTGTTTCCCACTTCCCTCGAGAAAAATTATACAAACAATATCTGAATAATACGAGGAAGAAATTAGTTCGATCTCCTGAATAAAATGATCATAAAGATGAAGACTTGCCATTTCCTATATGCTTTTTCCTTAAAACTTGTTGCCTATCATTCATTTGTGATGGCATCATTGGAGCCACGTGAAACACAATATCAAAATTGTTCCATTTTGAGATGTAGGCATATTTGCCAGATTCGCCAGCTGTAACGTAAGTGAAGATATATAGCCGTATTAGCTAACCATCGGTTTGAAAGTATAAACTGATTTTTGTAGTTATTTCATACTTTTGGTATCCAGACCAGCCGCATACCCGGTGTATCCTTTGAGCTCTACTTTTCTTCCCATGGTCGCGAGAAAATGGTGTAGCTCCCTTGATAATCCTGTATTTGAGAACCATGCTTCCTCAGTAGTCTGGTTGTCTCTTATAGTCAAAACGCCAAACTTGTATCTTTTTGGAATCTAAATGAGTGAATAAGGGCGTTAGAAAATCAATATCGAAGTTCTATATACTCTAAAGATAGAGTAGCATTTACGTGCAGTTCATCATATTTCAGCAAATCCTTTTCTAAACCTGCCATAATTGTAGATTCTGCTGATAGTTCTTTAAAATATTGCAAGTCAACGTCGGGACAGACTGTCAGTAAAGCTGCCCGTAACATTTTTGACGACTGCGAATTATCAATAGAATTATCACCGGTATTCGAAGAGGACGAGGAAATTGAACAACGATCTTTATTTTTGCTTGCAAATGGTTTGCCACTACGTCGATCACTCAACGAGGTCTTTTCAAGTCTATAGCCTTTGTTCAATTTTTCCAAACGCATTCGTGTTTCCTTGGCCATTGACTCATGTATTATATAGCGTCCTTGTTCGGGCTTTTGAAGTAAAGTACATTATCATTCATAACTTCTTTGTCAAGGAATGTAGTTAACTAATATATATGCTTACTTTTTTCGTCCGTACTATGATCCGATATTGTGTACCGAGAATAGAAGCTGCACTATTACCGAGGCCTGCAAAATCTCTTGCACGCTCCTGAATGACCGATACAATAGCCATTGAAGAAGAATCCTCTGTATCATTTATGTGGTTTCTATATTGATCGTTATTGTTATCATTGGATAATGATGAGCTCCTACTGCTGTTATCGCCGCTGGATTTATTTTTTGACGCAGATAACTTTCGTCCGACTTTTTTGTCCGAGGCTATGGTGTCAGAACTCATTATTGAGTTGTTATCAGCATTGTGCATCACACCAATGAAGGTACGATAAGGTTTTCCAACAAAATGGTAACGAAACCAAGTAGCATCAGGGTCAATCTTGTCAGGGATGTAATCGCAATAAGATGGCTGCTGTTGTTGGGCAGTCATGATAACTTTCGGCGCTTCTTGTACAAACTTTTCTGACTTGCATATACTCAAACTTTTTTTCGCCTTAACTCTTGCTGATATGTCTGAACATTTCAAAACAATACCTTCGATCTCTTCGAGCTACATAAATACATCTATAATGTTATATACCTGTTGTATTTTGATGAAAACTATAAGAGTTCTCTTACCGCTGAAGTGATTGTGTTATGAAACTCTTTCACTTCGGGTTTAGTGCTAATATTACGGGTATTGTTAGTACTACCCTTCAAACGCATGCAGATATACGAATGCTGCTCTTTCAAATCAATAATATCTTCTTCAATGGAAGAATACAAGGGTTCTCTGCACGCATCAATCAGAAATTGTATGTCGCTTAGAATTAGTTCTATTTGTTGAATATAGGTGCAATTTGACAGGTTATAATATTCTACGGCTGTCTTGATATTTGAGCAGCGTTCCATTAAATAGTCGGCAAACTCTGCAACAGACGAATCCGCTACTTTTGATGGCAGCATTGTTGCTGTAGTTGAGCTTGTTGTTGGCGTTACTAATCCAATGCCATTGAAAATAGATAGCATCGGAGACAGTGGTGGAGTGAAATTGGAGTACATTGCAAGGTCTGGAAGAGGTGGTTCTTCTGAAAAATAGCGGTTATTATTGTTGGCTATGGAAGAAAGAGGAGAAAATGGAGGGTCTAAAAAACGCCCATTATCTGTTACTGCCTGGAGTTTATTTGAGACAGTCTTTGCTTCTTGATAAGATCGTTTAAAATTGTCTTCAGGAGGAGGTAAGGCTAAGTAAGGGGTCACTCTTTCACCTGCGGTTGCTACTGCTGCTGTTGTAGATAGTATTTCATTATTGTTTTCATTATTGCCCATTAAAGATCTTGGCAACGAGGAGTTACTCACTTTCGGACGTTGCGGCTGCGGCTGTTTATAGTGGGAAAGATTAGCAACGAGCATTAATTAACGTACATAGCATTGCTTACTTCAGCAGCTCGATCAGAACACTTACATAATTGGGTAGGGTCTCTGATGGTGGTGGTGATGATGGTGAGTAATTTTGATACTCCTCGTTAGAATTTTTTTGTCGAAATATCATTTGACTAATACGGGTCGGTAAATTGTCACTAGTACTTAAACTGCTGTTACTACTGCTATTGCTGCTGCTGCTGACAGTCTTATTCTGGCTATAACTGTAATTATTCGTTGTTTGCTGTTGCTGTCTAATATTGAATGATTGTACAATCCTTTGTGGTAATTTGCTAGCACGTGAAGAAAAAGACGCTCTTTTTGAAGATAAAGAAAAAGATGAATTATCTTCATTCATGACATGTATATGCCCCTGCTCGATATGGCTGTCAAGATAGAGAAAAGAGATGTCTAGAGAAGAGAAAGTAAAAGGAAATAAGAAATAAAGAGAAAGGACATGTTCACAAAAAAGGTACAGGAAAGGAGGGGACGAGCTATCAGCAGTAGAGAAAGAGATTTAAGGTTCCCTATCCTTCTTGCACACAGCAATAGCTAGAATTGTACAGTCATTTTCCTAGTGTTTGACCATTGTGATATTGTAATTGAACTAATATGTGTACAGTGTCGTACAAAAAATCTGTTAGCCGAACTTGACAAAGAAACAACAGCTCCTTGCTTCATTACGTTAAGACAATCTGCACTTTTGAAATATGTAATATATTGAAACTTTACTCTTCATCTCAAAAATATACCTTTGGAATATTCATCTGCGCATTTGGATCTTAAATTCGTAACTCTGGGTAGATAGATTCGATTTTAGCAGTTACCAGCGGGCTCTTGTAAGATTTTCACTTTTACTTCAGGCAGATAAATGCTCAATTAAAAGCATTTGTTGAAGAAGTAGTACAAATTCACGACAGTGTAAGTTACCGAAATGTAAGGAATTATGCAACTGATGCATCAGCATGCTGTCCTAGGATTGCTTTATAAAAACAAAAGCAAACCCTTTAAATGGTTGCTTCAAATCTGATGCTGAAATTCTTCTTTAGAGATGGTATTCATTCACGGTATATGACTCTGTTTCAAATTTTTATCGTACAAAGTTTCAATTAGATTGAATTGAACGAATATAAATAGCCTTACAGTAGCCCAATCTTAACAGCTTTATCACAATAGTTTATTCAAGATACGTCAAAACTCTGTTCTAGCAGGATAGAATATGCGTTCTTTAGAGCTTACTTTTAATCCCGTACTTCAATGTTGACATCAATGAAATTAAGCCAACACTTATGTATGTATGTAGTTTCGGTTCGATGTTCTTCTATTACCGTTTTTATCAATGCTTGGAAACTTCGCGGCAATTTCTGCTAATTTGCCGTCATTATTCTCTCTACCTCTTATTTGGACATTATAAGTAGTAAAATGAATTTGCCCTCATTGCGAAGGAATGAAGCTATTACTCTTTCAATGAATTCAAAAATATTACATTCTTTAACAATAGGCGACGCTGCATTTTCAAGCTTTTGTTCTTATCGTAGGCCCATAGCAACAACATCCTTCGATAAGCTCTATCTGCTACGCTCAGTATCATTGACGACAATTCATTGACGCTAAAATTATTGCTTAGTGCACTCAATTCACCATAATATTATGAGCAAACATTGCTTTGGATTGACCGTAAATAGTCTTTTGGTTTTTGGTCATATTCAGGCCCGTTATCGTTTTCGATAAACTGTCCTACTTTATTGTTTTGAAGACACGGATTATGAAGTGATGTACTTGTACCTTATTTATGATGATTTAACTGAAGGATTTACTCGTTATCGAAATTTAAAACATTTTTATATTCTCACCATCTTTGCAGACATCATGCGAAATACCCCGCAACGCGTTTTGATCTGCAGCTTACGAGTTATTTTTTCAGTTAGTGAGGTCACATTTAGACAACCGCAAGCCGTCACCACGCTTTTTCTTTAAAAATTAAAAAAAAAAATTTTTTTTATCCTACTTTTAAGCCTATAAAAGCGAGCACAAGTAATTTTATCTAGAAAGGCTCTTCTTTCTTTATCTACTCTCCCAAGATGTATCTATGTTAAGGTAATTGTCACTATTAATTTTTTTGTTGAAACTGTATGTTTGTGTATATCATTATCCTTGATGAATGCTTTGCCGCCCCAGGCGGAAATATACCATGTCGATAAACATGCAAGCTCTTACCCTTTTCTGAAAACTTGATAACGCAACATACAACATTATTTATTAAACTTGTTGACTTAATTTGTTTACTAACATTTATTATAGTTATTCTTATATAGATATCTGTCACTACAATTCTACTGTAAAAGATAATATGTAGCAATGTCTGAGAAATAAAAATACTTGATAATGTTACGATGAATAGCGTTTTATTTTCCATTGTCAGTTTAAGTGATGAAGCTGCCCTTAGTCAATACTTCGATGTCTCTTACATTTTCATCCAAAGCCTTTATAAATATTTGATATGATGAATCAAATACATTCCATGCTAACACGGATTTCAGCATGACCGATAAAGTGTACTTTAATTTCTGAATCATCTATTTATGAACTTTGGCTTTGAATGTGTAAGAGTGTCGTTTAGTATCAGTTTGAACTTTCTTTGAATCTCGTCTTCATACAAACAAAATCTCGTATGAACAGGGTCATACTAATTCGTTATAGGCTGTTCTACTGATTTAGTAACAGCCTTACTCCATGTCAGTTGTATACCTTATTCTTACAGAATATAAGAAGTTTATGATTTGCGAACCAATCAGCTTGTTAAAAGTCTCCTGAACTTTATGAACAACAATATTAACTATTTATCGCTAGTCATTGATAAGTTTTTCTTCCTTTCTGCAACATGTCTTTTCAATATCCATTAATACTTGATGGTGGTCTTGCCACTGAACTTGAGAGAACTTTTAAAAAAAATCTATCAGGCACGTCAAAACATTCGCGAATAATACGCAGGAATAATCCCCTGTAAGCAGCCAGCAGACAATATGAAGGAACTGACTATTTGTGGTAATTGCATATAGTGGGTAAACTATGGTCTGCGAAATGTTTGGAAAATGATCCAGAGGCAATCAAAGTAAATTGTACAAAAAACAGTCGAAAAGGAAAAAGTCATCTGTTGCTCATGCCAACATTAAAAACATCTGTAGTCTGTACATAAGTCTTACTTTGAAGCGGGAGCGGATATTGCTACCAGCTGTAGCTATCAAGCGAGCATTGACGGTTTTATCGAGGAAGGTCTAACGAAGGAACAAGCGATCAAATTGATGCATGAAAGTATCCTTCTAGCTTGTGAAGCTCGTGACGAATATATGCAAGGTGATGATTGTGGCAAGAAAAAGAAGCTAGTGGCGCTTTCCATTGGATGTTATGGAGCCGTATTGGCAAATGGCGCGGAATATACAGGCAATTACGGCGCCACAACAGTTACTGACCTGATCAATTTTCACAAAGAGAGATTATCAATATTCTTGAATTATGGTTATGGTATTAGTGAGAAACAAGTGGATTTTATTCTGTTTGAAACAATTCCTTCCTTGGCAGAAGTGCAAGCTATCGGCCAATTAGTAGAAGACTGGGCAAACGATAATGGCCATGAACATTGCAGGAAACTTCCACCAGTCGCGGTATCTGTTCAATGCCGCTCAAATGAGCAAATTGCGGATGGTTCTTCTATAATAGAAGTTTTGAAGTTGCTGAATGAAGTCGTTCGAATATTCGCTGTAGGTTTTAATTGTACAAAGCCACGCTACGTCGAAACTCTCTTCAGTACGATTGCTGAATTTAATAAGGCACACAATAATAATAAAGCGATAATCGCTTATCCGGATGGCGGAGAAGAGTGGAACGAGACGAGGAAGGAGTTCGATGAGAAGACGAAGTTTCCTGAGGAACGTTTTGGTCAGTTGTTGACAACATGCGTTGAAAAGTATGGGCCCCGCGTCATAGTGGGTGGTTGCTGTGGGACAAGCCCTCGGCATATCATGGAGGTTGTGAACGGTTTGAGTAAAATGCATTCATCGTAGATATCAGAGGATTACCATTAATTTTAGCATCTATAACGCATCAGGAGCTTACTGTAGTATTTCTATCAAATCATTCAACGGTTATTCGTAATGCTTGATGTGCTGCATGTTTTCACTGTGGTTTTTGTACGATGGATGAATGGTTTTCTGTAGTAGAAAAACCTCTTGCATCGTTACCATTATTTTAGTAATAATTTTGACTATAATTTTTATATGTTTAAGCTATTAAAATCATATTATTTCCAGCAGATCCTATAGATATTGTTAGGCACTTCATTTATCATCCAAGTCATAGTAGAAATATGGCTTGCTGTTTGGATGTTTGGGCGCGTTGCATCAGTAGCTTTGAAAGCTCGTTGTAACTACTTTTCTCTCGTATAGCTGTATATCACTATTTTAGCATTTACTGAGAGTTCAAATATAGCAAGTCAACTCCTGATCTAATACCGCGCTACAATCTTATGATGCCCTGTCTTCCATATCTGGCATTTCCAAGGATGGCCAGAAGTAGTACCCTTTCTTAAATTCATTGACAGGAGTTGCATTTTTTCTACAACGTCCAGCTACCTTCATTATCTTACCCATCTAATGTACCCTGACATTAACATTGATCACAACTGCTGCTAAAATGGTCCCTTATATAGATTGCGTACTATGCTTTTGTATCAGAAGTCTTGATAATTGTAGGTATGACACGTCTTAAGCGACTAAATGCTGGTCTCATACTATTATTAAAGACGCTTCCATCCAGAAATACATAGTTATTTTAATAGTCAATATCCATATCCATTTATTTCACAAACCTATAATGACGATCTTATAATGTTTGGCATCAGCAACTAGGTGGCGATTAACATTTGTTATTGTCAACGAGCATTCATTTGAGATAAATTTGTTGACAGCTGAGGGTGTAAGAATGAGCCCGTCGAAAATTTGTGTTCCAGTCCTCAAGTGCTTCCTCTGTAATCGCGCATATCTTCCGAACGGAAAACTTTATCAAAAGCACTCTTTGAGGTTATTGTAATCGGTTTTTTCTGGCGTTCACTTTGTTTTTTTCTCATAAAGATATAGAACCTCTCATGAGGAGTAGGGGGGAGAAAAGGTAGGAAACACAGAGAACAATATATGGGATCGATTGATGAATTTCGGGGGATCAGAGGATTCAGTTACGAAACATCTGGTCAATATCATTAAGTAGGCGGTGAGAATCTTTCTTATGCTGCAGATGATCCAGCTCGTAGAATATTTATTATAGGCTGGCCAACGGAGTGACCACGTCTGCTGCTGTTACGGTTAGGGGAGGCTTTGACAGTAACAGGTTTAATATGGATGAAATTGGATCATTGATTGATGCTGGTGAATACAAACGGTGGAGCACGTAGAGATAGTCCATTACAAGATTTTTTCGTTAGTAGTGAGTTTGGATGTCTGTGACAATATGAATTTTATCTTGTGAGGAAGACAAGCCGCCATACAAAGGTATCAATCACTGTTCTACAAAGGCCACTAATATTCATAAGATAGGATCAACGCTAATGTCTGAACGGCGGCAAGCAAGAAGTTTAGACTTTTTCTTGGTTTTGCTTAACTTGTTTAAATTGTTTACGGTAAATTTACATAAACATGTTGAAGACTGTTCCTACCAGCTAAATTATTGTAATGCGACCAAATAAAGAATTGTACAGAGAGAGGCATAAATAGATCGGTTAGAGCTTTCTCGAATAACTGGCATAAGCTGGGTTAGCAGTGCATCATCAAGTAAAGATTGAAATCAAATGAGTACTTGACTAATAATATAAGAAACGCTAATAGGTTGTTGCTGGATGAAAACTGCCAAAAAAAGCCGTAAACTATTAAATGATATGTTTGCATGCTTATTAAAAGAAAACACAAAATTTTGTAAATAGCGCAAACACTACGCTTGACTCTATAAATAACCGTTCTAAAAAGCAAATGACTTATACATGATACTAGCGTTTTTGATTTTCTTTCATTTTTAAAAAGGTTAATCTAAATGGCTGTAAGTTTTTTTTTATCATACTGTTCATTGCTTCTTTTTAATATATTTGAAAGATCGGTTTGTATCAAAAGATAATAAGCATCACTCGGTCATTTGGTAGGCGAGTGTTAAGCCTTCTGGTCTAAAATCCGCAGCAAATATATGTTTCTCGGAAAGCTTGAAGATAGACAAGTAATTGGCAGCAAACTGTAAGTAACTACTTTGCATTACATAAACTTCAAAGTGAAATGAGGCATAATATACGTATCTATCAAGGTTCTTTCGTTGACTTAGAGAACTATGTGCATTTAATACTTAATTTGACGGAATCCTTATGCTGAATAAATGATCGACAACTATGTGTTATAATGCAACATATTAGCTTTTTGATCTGAGTAAAAAAATCTGGTTTTCATGCAATTAAGGAAATGCGACAGAAAAGTAAAAAGGAGGAGGATTTTCTGCAAGCCAGAAGTTTTACGTCTATAGTAAACGGTTATAAAAGCGAGGCCGATCGAACGCTCGTTTTTATTTATTTTTTCTTTTATTTTCTTTCTTCAAGAAGTTTATTTTAAAGATACCTTTTACTCTAACGAACTATTTATCCAATCCAGCCTTTATACTCGTTTTCGTTTCAATCAATTAGATTCCCTTGTATACCTACTTACGAGTATAACCATAAAGCAAGCCATACGGAAATCATAAACGGTCAACAAGTTGCCTACTCTTCTCGGAATTATATTGGTAATATCGTTAACGGCCGTAAAGAAGCTGGATTTGTATTCGATTATTCAATTGTTACGGAGCTCAGTACTAGAATCCTGGACGTCCCTAAATTTCATCAGGTTACGCTTTAAGTAAACCATTTCTTCCATTGATTTAACTGCTTCAGTCCTAAAAAGTTTCCTTTGTACCTAGCCAAATGGAAACATAAAGTACTAGACCTGCAAAAACAATAGCAGTCCTTTCTTCGTTAGACTCAGCAATGTTATATCAAGTAATGACAATAACATACAGATCAAGTTTCATTCTTGCTGTGAATAATACATTATCAGATTACATTCAGCGCGGCGCTACTTGCAAACTAATTTAAGGCAGTCATACCTGAAGCACCTTCCAATATGGTAAGAATAAACAATTCAAGCAGTCGTTGGCTCACATGCTCACATTATATTATTTCACTTACCCTTATGTTAGGCTTGTAGAACTTTATACTCATAACTTTAAAAAAAGGTTTTAGGTTATTGCTTATACTTCCTAAACAACCACTGAGTGAATAGTTCACTTCAGCCAGTAATCATATTGTTGCAGTCAAAGTTACTTCAGCTCGCACAGCTCCTAGAACAGACAGAACTGACTTTTTCTTACTCCCGGAAACTGTATCATTTTCTTCTGGATATTCGGACCGTGTCAAAGTCAATAATAAAAGTCATTCCTTACTTCAACAAGTTTCTCGCCTTTTCATCTCCATGAAAAATTGTTATGAGATAGTGCTTAAGAGTTTAAAGCAAGTTAATAGCAATGGCAACTCATCATTTTCACTTTTGCTCGCTATGAAGAACCTTCTACTGACAAATGGCAACAGTATTATTTATGAAATAATCATCCAATTTATAAATCGCATACAAACCAGCCATTAATTGAAGATCATTTAAGCGAGGTATCTCGACAATGTTGGAGCGGAAACAAAAGAGCAACATCCATATCTTCGGAAACTAATCGCCTATTCGAGCGGCAAAGAAGATGCAGTAGCAGTGCTATACATGAATTAGTCATATGAGAACATGTAAGTGAAATATGCCACAACTGGGACAGAATGGGATGTATGAGGGCAGCACCCACATCCTTTAAAACTGTTCTACAAGTGAATATTTGCTTATTAGTGAGATTGATAACGATTGTAAGTCGATGACTATGAACTTAGTGTTTTTGTTGCTCTTTAAATGAAGTAGAGAGATTGTTTACTCTGTAAGGTCTAATAGGAATATATTAATTGAGGACGCGTATGACAATCACTAAATCAGGTTCGACGCTTGATGTGTGATTATTGTACTTAACCCGGTATTTCGTTATATGTTGTACATAACCTATGTTAGATATAATATGGATAGACCATGGCAGAATGTATTCTCTACTCGGTTGTACATATTCTAGTATTGTAGTTGTTACCTCACCAAACATGTCAACTGGTAAACGACAAAAACGATATAGTAGTCCATCTTTTGTCGACATTTTTAATACACAAAACAATTGAACTCTGATCAGTATACCGCTTTGAGAGATGCAAAAATGGTGTAAAAGACCATCATGGATCTTTACTTTGCTAAAATGGTATGCCTAAAAGACCAAGAAAATTGGCGGACAGCAAACTAGAAGTCTTTTTAAAAGCATTGTCTTCACGTTGATGATTCTGATAAATCCAAAAGAGGAAAACGAACTTTAAACTGAAATTTATGTATACTGTTCGATTTATTCTAATTTCAGACAAAATTTGATACTTTATCAACACTTCAAAAAGGCTTGTATCATAAGATATTTAAACAATTCACCCAACAACCACTTATAAGATAACAGATGAACATCAAGAATATCTAATTGTTGATTTATAAGCATTTAAAAACCTTTCGCTGACAGTTTTCTTGAATAACAAGTACGCGAAAGTGATTTTAGACCAATATCTGGCGGTTGTAATTCATAAAGAAAGGATACACATGGCGCAACGAGTTATTGCACCGAGATTTTGAAAAGTAAGTGCATCTCACTTTTTTTCTGATCTGGGTCGACAAAAGTCTACATCGTTCTTATCAAATTGCTCAAGCAGAAGGTGTGATGTCAAAAAAATCAGAATAACCATTAGAAATATCAGAATAGTTCCTGATCATTCGCTTGTGAAATGATTGAAGCGAGAATACTCGTGTCTTCTTATTTTTTCCCTTTGAATCTCTACCTATGTTAGTGTAGGTTATAGTTTATTAGGGATTCAATAATTTGTAATCAGAGGCTAACAAGACCTACCAATAATGGAGTTGATCAGTAAATCGAATTATATAAAGTACTTCTACGGGCATGAAGGATTTAAAGGTAGAGATATACAATGAGATGGAGGAGTTCTTTTATGCGTAGTTGCGAATAAAATATTAAAGAAGATTCTGATTGGCTTGGTCACTCTGTCTGTGCATTCTATAGGGCTTTATCTTATTGATTCGAAATATAACTCGAAAGATATAATAACAGGAACTTTTTTTACTATTTTATTCAACGATTCAACATTTCTCATTTCTTGAATGTCATTCAATGACTTTGAACAAGGATACAGTGATACACTAACGTATTCAGCAATACCCATTATAGGTATCTCTTTTACTTTGTATCTTACAAAATTTCTTTCGGTAATAAAGTGGTGTAGCTTTTACTAATGCACAGTCCATTATGCAGATGACGACATTGAGGAACAGAATTACGCTGAAATCAAACGAAATCTTATACAGTCGTTGAAATATGCACAAGGAAATACTGATAGTATTGAGAAGCTTATGAATATCTTTGCTGGAACTGAAGATAACAACAAGCTGTACTGATCGTTTGCATGAATAACAATGGGCATTGGCAATAAAATCAAAAATAAAAGTTAAAAGAGCGCTGATCTGATTTTTTGGAAAAAACCAGGCACGAAATCACTACGGCAACTCGTGAGTTGATCAAAGATGCTATGCAAGATTTGAAAGCATTGTCGAGCTTCCAAACAACGGACAAAAGCAAAGCTGTAAAGAACAACTACCTATTTGCATTATAAGCTAATTTGACATTGCTAACTCAAGAAATTTTGTCAAACTTGACGCGCACATATTGCAGCACAAACGACGCTTGGAACAACAAAAAATATCTAAAGATTTACAAAACATAACATCAACTTTCCAAACGTTGCAAAAAGTTCTCGCAAGCCAGCAACGTGAATCTGTTAATAGAGTGAGAGCAGCAGCAGTTATGTTGGAGGCTCGATCATCGTAAGCGTATCTTCATCAGTAAAGCATCTATTATATTTGGTGCATAACATCAACATTTGTTTAATAGATCTGATATAGCAGTAGAAGAGGAATTGTCGTCTATTGATCGAAATAGAGCAGAAGTACTACGCAGTCAGCAGAAACAAATACCAAATCATGCACTGGATCAAGAAGTCGAGTATAACCAATCGTTGATAGCAGACAGAGAAATTGAAATAGAGAACATCGAGAATGGTATTACAGAATTGAATGAAATATTTAGAAACATGAGCATGTTGGTTAATGAACAAGAATCTGGTATCCGTAAGTCTGAAACCTTTTCATCTTTTTTTTTTTTTTTTTTGATCACTTTACTGAACGTAAACTAACTGTTGACCTTAAATTAATGGTAAAACTGTAATATACACTTGCATACATACACTTGTACGTTGTCAGAGAGCATTTATGGGAACATATTGAATATAGCACAGAACACAAGACAGGCAGCTGATGAATTGATAATAGCTAGTCGGCATCAACGAAATACCTTTCGAAACATGTGTTTATTTCTAATTATTATTACAATAGTAGGAAGTATGTTGGCCTTAATTATAATAGCAGCTTAAACAAATATGCATAATATGTCTATCGATTGTTCGTTTTGTAAATGTCCCTTGCTCCGTCAGAAAGTGATAATGATTTCTGCATCACTTGGTGCAAGTATCTCTTGTTGGCCTCTTCGTCATTTAAATTCTTGTCATCTGCCTCGTCTTCTTCATTTTCTTCCTCGAAGCCTGTCAATAGTGGATCGTTTTCGTAAGTTGGAATCATGAATTGCGGGTCTTTCCAAAAATCGGCATCCATAGGCACAAAATTCATGATGCAATCTTCATTGTTGTAATGGCTGGATAGTTCGTTTTCATCTTCTAGTGCCTTGTTACATGAGAAGCATTTGGTATGTGAGGACTGACGACGAATGTAATTGATAAGTACTATTGTTTGATAGAAATCCAAGCCTATGATATTCTCGAAGCGTTAGTCATCCTTGACAGTACAGTTCAATCAGATAACCAACGGCAAAATTCTACTGGGAGTTTACCTTTCTCTTTTCTCAGCTGTGTCAGATCAAATCCATGATCTTTCCTCATATGTTCGAGCGCATCTTTGGGTGATGGTAATACTTGAGTGTCAAACAAGCACATAGTAGATTCCTGAACATCCTCTTCCCAATCTGCCCAAGAGCTACAAACAATCTTTTGTTAAACTATACTGTATGCATACACTAAGCGTTCAAAAATGCGCCTCTACTCACTCATCAAGGTTGTCATCATCACTCTTATCGTTTTCGTTTTCAAAATTCTCCCAATTTTTACCAGGTTCTAAATAGTTGATAACATAGAATTTATCGTATTGTCTATTCTTGGCTGCAATTTTGAAATGCTTCTTCTTTCTCATGTGTTTACGTAGAACAGCCGGACTAGTAAATGTTTTTTCACAGTACAGACACTGTAGCCTATACAACAAAATAGTTGAGTCTTGTTGCAGCCGAATTTATACTCATGCTTTACAAATGACTGAAGTTACTTTGATAATTTAGCTTCCAACGTGTCCAAGAACTCATTCACGTAGACAAGATTATCCGGCAAACCAATATTAAAATTATGCTCAGCAAACATATGTTTGAATAAAAGTGCTCTGAACGATATCAAGCAAGGATGTTAATGTGAGCATTCATAACGCATAGGCCATCTTCCGTCCGTTGTCAAATTTTTACCTGTTTTCGCAGATTATTTTACAGAAAAGACATTTCCTTGGTTGCTTTGAACAGTAATCACGTTCATTTTGTTGTATGTCCAATACTTCGTTCTATAAAAACGAACAGTTATAAGTGAGGAAAAGTCGTTATCGAACTTTTCGAATGCTGTTATTATTTACCAATTTGTCATGCTGCATCTCAGTTCTGATGGCTTTGTCTAGCGCACACTTTTCATGATCGATAACATAAACTAAGAGCATGTAACAGAGTGTTGATAAGTCTTGATTAATACATTTAAAGCACTGTAAAGGATGTCCCTCACCTTTATCAACATCACTTTCACCCTCGTTTTTCAAGTATCCGTAATCCGACAACGGCTTAATTTGTAATTCTTTTGCCCATCGAGTCAAATAAGCTTCCAAAGCAATATACATATGGTGCAGATCTTTGAATATAACGTGATGGTCCTTCTTCAGATGGGCTACCAAAGATGTTGTATCTAAGAAAGGGACAGGTGATTCACAGTCTTTGAAAGGGCAAGATACAACAATAGTGGTATGATAAGGCGGGACTGGCAAATCAATAGGATCAGTCTGTCCATCGTGCTCTTCCTCTTCATCCGAGGAGTCGATATTGTCATCGACGGCGTGAAAAGGGTTGCTGCTATTGCTACTGGCCGTCTTTGCTGAATGTTGTTGATGGTTGGCATCATGGTTATGGCGACGATGTTCACGACTACCGGTGGACCGAGTTCCTGTTAGTGAGTTTTTGTCATTGTCTCTGTGCTTTTTGCTATTATTATGTGGTACGTGTTGGGACGGACGACGTTGCTGTTGCGTCGTGGATTTACTTTCCAAGTCTTGCTTTTTGGTGGATGAAGCTGCTGAATTGATTTTATGCTTCGATTTACGTCTGGTGTTAGATCTCGTTGTATCAGATGCTGTTGGTTTAGATGACCCTGCATCGCCAGCTGTATGCTTGTGACTACAAACAGTATGCCATTCAGTGTCGTCAGCCATAATTGAATATGTACGAAAATTGAGTAACAGGAAAAAGGAATAATGGATTACATTCACTAACAGATAGTTATAATATTTCAGTAATAATTTTTCCCTCGAATGATGGACACACCCAGCAAATTCCAGAAAATGCCCACATCCCGTCGAAATTGGAAAAAAAAAAAGGTCTCACATTGACTGTGGAGTTATATGCATGAACAGTTTTATGATTTCTGTTTGTCATCGTCATCTTAGAAGCACCTCTCCCGCCTCAAGTGTCGCCAATATCCTTATACTTCAGACATTATTTTCCAAGCTGTGAAAAATTCAAATTATTGCTTTATTGTAGTACAAGGATTGACACATCTTTGTTGATTGAAGCTGGTGGATTTCAGTCCCTGCTTTCAGTCGAAAATTCTGGAAATTTCAACCATCAACCCGCAAACAATGGTAAAAAATACAAATCAACAGTGCTCACTACTAGAAGTAGAATGATAAAACTTTCCAATGCCTTTGCTTTTATTATCGAGTATCTTACATTCTTGCTTTTTTTCGACGAAAATAATTAACTTGGAGAGAGGGTAAACTATACAAAATACAAAAAAAGATAAATTATGCTGATAGGAACTGCTCAACTTATTCAGTAAGTTTGGCAAGAATTTCAGAGTCACGGAATAAAAGGTATTCCTATAGAATGATGACAGATGTTTATTGTCAGTGCCTGTTTCTGAAAAAGCGATGATGCTGCTTCAAATAACTACTTACTTCTTGTCCAACCTTGATAGGGTTACCACCATAGGGAGGAAGGATAACCTTATCACCAGCTTGAACTTGAAGAGGAATGTGGTTGCCTTCTTTGTTAAGAGCACCCTTACCAACGGCAATAACGGTACCTTCGTTCAAAGCTTCTTGTGCCTTCTCTGGGATGAAGATACCAGAAGCAGTTTTCTAATCAATTCAACGATTCGTCACTTGTCTATTAGCTGAGAATTCTGGCGTCGTTCCCCTCTTTGTTCTACTGCCCAAAGTGTTCTGGTGGAGTCCATTTCTTACCTGTTGAGGCTTGATGCGTTGAACCAAAACGCGGTCAAGGAGAGGGACAATGTTCTTCAACTTGTTGGCAGACTAGCAAATTCAATGGTAGCATACGTTAGCGCTTCACTTTTCTTCTCATGAGTTTGTTAAACCGATAAAATACCATTGGAATTGATGTTAATAAATAGGCGTTGGCTACTTTGTAAAGAAGAAAAAGAGGGAGTGAAGTTTGAGAAATGGGCCCTCCAGGGAACTCTTATAAATTTTGATGTTTCCAGGGTTGCACCAATGAGATCGAATGAAATTGCAGATGTTTTTCAAAGAAAGCCATAGAAGTTTTTCAACTTCAGCGCTTCAGTGCATAGCAATTGTTCTCTCCAGACGTAACTTGGGAAAGCAATTGCTGGTTCTTCCTGAGCCATTTTCATACCAGCAGCATATGGAATAAACATTTTCAATTGCCTGCCAACGGTATATACGTGTTTGCTGCTTCAAAAAAGTTTTATTTTTTTTCCATCAAAGGGGATAATCATGGGTTTGCAAGCGTGACATGGGAAGAGAAGAAGCTGAATACTATGCATTTCGGAGGATGCGGGAGCTATGCTGTTCGTATAGTTCCGCCAACAATGAGAAAAAGAAAAAATTGTGCGTCTTTAAGCATCAGCTGTAGTTATGATATACAAGATATACAGGGAGTATCATCGGATTATAACAAAATACTCGTTGACGTTCTCGCCCAGTATTATGCCTATGACTGCTGACTTGTTGGGTGTAGGCAATGGATATGTCTATGTAACTTTTTGAACTCTCTACAAGATTTTTCCATCCAAAAGCAAATTATACGTAGCACTTTGATATCAAATGCTTTAAAGGCTCACATAACATCCAAAGCGTTATAATTAGGGAATATAGGCTTCGACCTTGGGTTCCTCGGCATTGTCTGAAATTATTCATCTCGATAGGATAAGACCATCTTCCACAACAATTACGCCCGTCAATCTTTTGTTGGATGGTTGAACGAGTTTTTATATAATGCTCATATAAAAGCTCGACTCCTTCTTCACAATTTTCAAGATTGGCACGTGCGCGAAAAAAAAGGCCTTCGTTGCTTGAATTTTCAATGCAGCCCCCCCCCACTCATCCTTTACTATTGAAAAACGGAAGTTGTATCAGATGTATCATGTATAAGTGGAAATGCTATAAGAATTTTACTTGGTCTATCCACCATGAAAGCGAAACGATCAAAATCACGGAGATCCTAGCTCCATTCACGAGTTCAATGCTATTCTTAAGCTGTCTTTCTGATAGTAATCATTGTCAAGCTCATATTACTTGAGCAAGTTGATCCCAAAAAACCGGAAGATTAAAAAGACGTATAACAAATAGTCTATCTTATTCTTAATCGGAAGAAGGTTTCTGATTTGAGCACGGACATCACGTCCTTACTATAAATAGGGTATTAGTATATCCCGGTCGTCTTTTTTCTCTTTTTATTCTCTGGTTACATCCTCATTTTCGGCCGTTTTCATACCTTTTACAAAGATGTCTGTCCAGACTAATGGAGTCAAAAGCGACATCAAACAATGGTATCCTTCGAGAATTCTAGACAAAAATGGAGGAGATAAAAAGTTCTGCTTGATCGTGTTGAATCAGCCCATTGTACATTTAGAGGCATTCGATCGCTTATGGTCGAATGGTAAGAATGCCGCTTACTGAAATCAGACAAAAAAAAAAAAAAAAAAAAAAAAAAAAAAAAAAAAACATAGATGGGCTGGTTTAATAATCGTTATACTTTGTTTTATATGACAAACATTAAAAAAGCTTCCTACAAGTTTTTTGCGGATGGTGGAGCCAATAGAGTCTTTGATACGTTCAAGCACGATAAAGCATTATTAGAAAGGTACAGCACTCAAACAACAACCCCCATTTTGAAGATTTGCCATCTAATCCTACCATTTGGTCATCGATTCTAAAGATATACTCCAACTGAAATTCGAGGCGATTTAGACTCCCTTCGTCCTGAAGTTCGGGAGTATTATGAATCTAAAGTATGTTTGTTTGCACGCTTATAGATTCTGTTTATTCCTTTTTCATCACTGACAAAGAATGTTTCTATCGTAGAATATAAAAATTACTAGAGTGACATGTCAAGATACCACAGATTTTCAAAAATGTGTAGCTCTAATGCATGAGAAAGAAGAAAAAGATGGTCAAATTGTAAGGGGGGCATTAAATTCTGGAAAAGTTACATAAAAGGCTAATCTAATATAGAAAAAAAGTATGATCTTGTTGCTGTGCCTGCCCTTGGAGGAAGATTCGACCAAACAATATCCAACATTAATATGCTATTTCAACTAAGAGATGATACAGACAGAAGGGTCATTCTAATCAGTGATGAGAATCTTACTATGTTATTGGATAAGGTATAAACACAAACAAAAAAGACTTATCGCTTAGTTATTGGATTATTCACTATGCCTATTTGCGCTTAGGGAACGCATCACATCCACTGTCAGCTGGACTTGGAAGGTAACAAGATAGAATACCATCTTTTTGTGTTACTAACGAGTTCTATGAGACAGAATGATAACTCTTTTTGACTCAATTCGATAGGCCCGACGTGCGGTATTTTGCCCATGGGAACGTCAGTTACATTGACCACTAAAGGATTAAAATGGGATATGGGTAAATATTTTAAATACTTTTAAAATGTAACAAATATGTGTTCTCCATTGCTAAATTGCTATTTATATGCATTGATGCTTTCAGATCAATTGTACTGTTCGTTTGGTGGCATAATAAGCTCTTCTAATAGTGTTGTAAATGATCTAGTAGAAGTCACTGCAGATGCTCCTGCCGTGTGGACGATTGAACTTAACCTTCCAAAGTAAAAAAAGAAAGCAGTTTGAAAGGCTCATTTATCAATGTTGCAAAATCCATTTCTTTATGACGAAGCTGTTTGCTTTTCATCGTCAAACTTCAAATTTGTTTTTGGTAATTCTGGGGTCAAATGCCTGCAGACAATTTCAAGTTTTGAGTTTTATTGAATTTTCCACATTTCTGATCTGGTTCGGATTAAATGCTTCTAGAGGCAACACTTTTTATATCCTTTAAGTTGACTGATCATTCTACTTTGGTGGCTACAGATAATAAGTACGGCTAATCGGTACGCCGCATTAGTATGGCCGACAGTGACACACACTCAATTATATTAACCAACTCATAGTCTGTGTCACTCGATTGTGAAGGATTACACCAGCAACGCCCCTTTGTCAGAAACTCTCGTTGTAAACCATCATGGAGTCATATCATTAGGCAACAAGCTGTTCCAATAATGACAAATGTGCCATTTGATTGGGCAAGGAATTTAATAGTCCAGTTATGCGCGTAAAAGGCTATTTCCTCATTGATCTTGGTTAAGGACGCTAGATCCTTTATATGCGTGAGTGTACAGACTAAAATCTTGCAATGGGAAGGCTCGATCTAGAGCGATTGATATTTGCTACATAAGGAAGAAAAAAGATTTTCTATATAGTTAGATCTTCTCTATGTACGATTTATACATCTAGGAAAACATGCTGGGTGTGTATGTGTGTGTGTGTGTGTGTGTCTTACTCAATAAAGTCATAACAAACTAATCTTTTTGGATTTAAGCTACATTTGGTAGTTTATATGCTCTCTTGTAGTTGTAGAAATTTAAGGTTATTGAAAGGCTGCAATTGGAGGAACAAATCGTCGACGTTGAGTTACTATCATTTGAACTTCAGAAGCGGTAAAAGCGCGCATCCGCTGAGTTTCCCCATGTGAGAAAAAGAAGATAGTGAAAGAGATAGTGAGGAATGGTGTGAGGAGGAGTGAGGACGAGTGCGGTATTGCCCCTTTCAAAAACCTAATTTTTGTGGGGAAAAAAGGTTGGTTACTTTTTTTTTTTTTTTTTTTTTGTTTCATTTTCTATAGTGTGTCCCTGTTCTTCTTTTTTTTTTTTTTTCTTTTTTTGATAGTTTTCTTTTTTTTCCCGAGTATGAATGGTTTAGATCCATCTTTAAAAACTGCTTCAATAGATAATAATAATAATAATAATAATAATAGTTTGAAAAATAACTGCTTGCTATTGACTGACATACCATTATTCGAACCGCAAGCAGAAGATATATTAACAGATGAAGATCTATTGGATTTATTTCGAATTGTCAAGCAAGTCTTACGTAAAAATCCTGACACTGAAAGGTTAGCAAAGCTACTTTTTTGCATGTCCTATGCTTTAGGCGATCATATCAAATTTAGCAAACCTTGTCATGAAGACAGAATTGTCTTTCGTGATCATCATTCAGCAGTCTATTCAGTTCGGTTACCCAGCTCAAGTTCGTGTTGTAACCAAACAGATAGTACTACTACTCCTACTGTCTCTTCATCCAATGCTTTAAAACAAGGCATCCTTCTGAATGATAATACCACTTCTTCTACTACCGCTATTGTCCCACCTTCCTCCTCTTCTGCATTTAACTATTCTCCAAATGATATACTAAAACAGAATAATAATGATACTGTACAGAAATGGGTGGATTCATCCGCATCCATGGCGACTTCTATTACTTCACCTTCTTCGATCTCTGCAACTCTTCGCCCGCCGTCCATCTCGGGCCCAACATCCAACAATGGAACCAATAACACGACGCAATTACCATCCGCTTTTACTTCCAATATAACCAATGCATCTTCACTCCCCGAGATAGCATCACATCCTCATCCTCTAGCAGCTACTGCTACTGCTGCTGATTCTGCTTCTGCACTGAGACATCACTCACCTTTCCGACCTATTTATACTTCAACAAACTCAACGGGTACAGACCTTTCAGCCATCCCTTCAGCAGCAGCAGCAGCAGCTGCAACAGTCCCTAACACTTTCAACGGACGATCGCCTTCCATAGCTTCCACAGGAACGTCTTATACTACACTTCATCAACGTCAGCTCTCACACCATCAACTACCCGAGCTCGCAGAGATCTCTTTGCTGTCAAACACGCCACCTCCACCTCCGCCATCTACATCCGCTGCTGGCCATCAACGTGCTTCAACACCTATCCCAACTGCTATCTTACCAGACATCAGCAACAGTACCACCAGTAATAGCAATGGACGCTTTATTATTCCGGCACTTTCAGCAGTCCCTCCTCCAATCCATCATCATCATCATCACCAACAACATCAACAGCAACAACCTTCAATTACAAACACGACAAACGAAGTAGTCATGGAGCCTCAACAGAGAGGCTTTTATTATCAAGACGGGCGAATTGCTCGCGAGCCAGTTTTACTCCAACGCTATGCCGAGCAAGGTATCCTCACTCAAGCATCCTTAATGAGGAAACGTAAACGCCAACAATCCGTTGACGGTACCCCTCCTTATGAATTATCCAACAACATGCCCGTTGCTACAAAAAAGCCAAAAATACCTCACCGCCATGGTGAATTCGAACAGAGACGTAAGTTGCTTTTCTTCATACCCTTTTTTTTTTATTTTCGCCATTGGGCTTGTATAACTAAACGTTCTTGATGTATAAAAAAAACAAAAAAAAAAAAAAAACGAAAAAACAAATAAACAGGTGACGATATCATTCACAGACTGCGAACCATCACGATGGCCGACCTCGAACAAAAAGCACAACGATTACCGCACCCTTTCACGCTTGCCATTGACGATTCTGCCACGATTGCAGAAGACGTTCTACGCTCGACAGTGGCAAACAACACACTTTCTCGCGAACAGCTTGGCGAATTATTAGAGCCTGCACTGCGTATTCTAGCCAACCATTCCAATATGAAGCCTCATTTGGATAACGGCATGAACCAGAACGGCATTTATTATAATACTGATTACTTTCGACTTTATCTTGCTTTCGAACAGTTTCAGCGTACATTTGCTATCTTATTCCCGAATGAAATTGTGCAAGTCTCCCCACCTGCTAATGCAGTAGCAGTAGCAGATAATGAAGCAACAGGAAAAAACAACAGCAATAACGACGCGAATAGTGAAACCGATAATAACTCCACAACAACTACGAATACCACTTCAGCCGCTTCGTCTTCAAACGCAGAACGCGACAAAGACCGAGAAAGAAACGCTAATATGAAAGCCTACCGTGTTTGGATTGAACCTTTACTTACAGAAACTAACTGGGCGGCTTTCCGAAGAAATATCGTGGTGGGTGAACGTATGATGCAGCTCACCAAATCTGTGGGTCAAGGTGTACTTCTCATGACCAAAGAGCTCAGCGGTTCCAAACTTCACTTGACCTTCACGAACAGTGAATGGGATGAGTTTATCAACGGCCTAAACTCTGGAAGGTGGGATCAGACGATCGAATGGGACACCGAAGAAAAGAAGCAATTGGAAGAGGAACAAAGAAGACGCGGTGAACAAGGTGTTCCATTATTGGTGTCTGAGCTACGTACAAAGTTTGCCACTCATTATTGGTTCTATCCAGACGGTCTTTTGGTATCGACGAAAGAAAGAAGAATGTTAATCCATACCTCCACTGTACGAAGCAATAGCGTCAGTAATAGTGGCACTGCTGGTGGAAACAGCAGTAGTCATAGCCATTATCACCGACATCAGAATAACTCACACCAGCATTATTTGCAACAGCAGCAGCAGCAGCAGCAGCAGCATCATCCGAGCCTTTACCCACAGCATCATTCAGCCGCATCCTCCTCCTCTTCTACTGCACATCATCGATTACTTTTGCATGAAGATAATTTACATCGCCGAAGCCAACAACAGTACCAACATCAACACCATCAGAACACCTGACGTTTATCTCTGTTATTGTCATAAAAGAAACATTTTATATGATCCCATCTCAGCCAAACAGAATCAGGCATTTTTTATTTTTTTTTGCTGCCTTGGAAGTACAGTGATCATTCATCTGTTTCTGTGATTGGTGTCACTTTAACTTGTTTTTTTAAAAAAAAAAAAAAAAGAAAAAAAAAAAGTAATAATCTCTATACTCAATGTCATCATTCATGCCTTATGAAATACCCCGTGTATACCATCTATAGTCTGTATATTCAAATCACATGATGAACAATATGATTTAAACATTTTTCACTGCTTAAGCTCCCAAGCGTATATATTTCTATATTAGACAATAATTATCTGGTTTTTTCGGGTCGTCCGAACAATCTTGAAATTTATGTATAACATGATACATACAACTACAATTACCATATTTCTATTCAAGATATATTGAATATATTATTGAATAAACCGCCCAACTTTTTCACAACCTCATTTCTGATGTGCGTGGTCTAGAACTAGGTACTTTCCATCATGTTTTCAATGCACTAAGATTAAAAAGGATATTTAAACCATATCAAGTCAATAATAGTGATGATAGAAAGGACATTTAAGGTTGACAAAAAGAAAATCAAGAAGAATCAGAGACACAAAAATTCTAAATACATGAAGACCAGGTATGCTTCCTCTTCACTCTCCCCCCACCCACTCCTCACCGGAATTTAAACCAAGAAACGAGGATCCATATTTTGATATAATGTTGTTGACGCACAAAGCTTAAAGTCTTGCATGAATTGGTTATACTCTGTATATCTGATATACGCTCTAAATCTAATGGATCCACATATTTTGACATAATGTATATCTTTTTGCTGACGTGTCAATTATGCTCCATATTATAAACGCACATACGTAAATTTGATGTTACCTAAATTTGTGTATGCACAAACGTGAACCTTCATTTCTCGGTTTCCTTCTAACACAAGGCACGTTTTTCTGATAGAATCTCAAGTTTTTATTTCCCAGCAACCAGGAATTTCAATTTTCAAAATCGTCATGATTTATTTGTTCCCTATTTTCTTGCACGACATGGAAAACCTTTCATTCACTGTGTCACAATTTCGACTTCTTGGTTTTTTCTTTGTACTTTCGATAAACAGAAGCATTCTCATTTAGGGAAAATGAAAAGAGCCACTTTGAGCTTTTGCTGACAAATTTTATGTCATACTCAGACCAAATAAGTAGATAAACTGAAATTTGAAGCTCGAAATGATGAGCTTCAATCCACTGGACATAACAATATACATTTGCAACTGTGCTATCCAGCAATGAATACTTTAAGTCAGAAGCCTGTGTTAAATAACTGGCGATGTGAACAGTGGCAGTCAAGTGGGGTGTACACATGTCTAAATTAGTTATGTTACCTTGCGTTAGTCTGATTTTCATATCGAATGCCGAATAGTTAATCCAAACGCAAACTAATAATGTTATTGAAAGAAAGAGGAAAATTCTCAACCCCTTATACTGTCTTTGTCTCTACCAAGGTCCGCTATAGCAGCGGCTTTTGGTAATCCATCTATCACGTATCAGAGGGATAAGCCGAATTGAAATGCTGCTGAAATTGTAAGAAAGATTTGCTTTTTTTTTTTGATAATGAAAACTGCTGCATCATAAACACTACGATATTCCAACCTTGCCGAAGCAGCAAATGATAAACATAGACAAAGGCGAGCTCTTTGAATCAAAGGTGATGCTAGTTGACTACAACAGTAATACTTTCATGTCTATCCCTGTATAGCATTATGTATGAGCGATCTATGGTTTTTTGTTGGTTTTTTTTTGGAGGGGGGTGGGTAAAAATTAGCTCAGTTTCCATACCACTATTTTTCTCCATTTTGCACCTTACTTTTTTTTAGTTTGCGTACCCCCGTATGATGAAATAATTTTTGCGCCTCAAGATATCAATTTGCGTACTGGAAGAAATATTTGCGTATCGAGTTTTTATTGATTTTGTGAGTTAAAGATTTAGTTCACCGGCTAGACATCTGTCGAAGAAAGACATGAAGTGCCTGATATAACCCTGACAGACTTCGATTGTAACTAGTTTTGCTGCCTCTGTAATCCTTTCACTGAGATTATCTTTGACTGTCTGCTGCATTATTTCTGGCTGAGAAATGAAGGAACGAGGACCTTTTCGGTTTGCTGTGAACGCTCCCCTCTCTGATTTTCAGTGTATAATAAAAGGACTAAAGGAGACTCATATCACCCTGCAGTTTTTATCAATTATAAATCGCGTTCACAACAACAAATAACCACAAATATCACAGGTCTGGTCAAGCTCTGGGCGGAGGTCCGTGAGTCTCTCTTTCCTGACAGCCAGCATAACATCAAGTGCAAATGGGGAGAGTCCAAGACACACCACAACGATTACAACGTCGATTGTCGAGTCATTGCTATAATAAATACACAGAAGGTTGATGTGCTGGACGTGGAGGCAGCCCGGTATCTACAAAACCGGAAGACCAACAACGACCATCTGAAACTGGCTATCGAAAGCAAAGGCGTCCTTGTTCATATTGTGCGATATGTTGCTTGCTTCAATCCAAGAACAGATATGGCCCTCATGCTCCAAGTCTGCCAGAACCAATGCGATGTCAAAGTCCTCTCCTTATGCGTTCGTGGTCTATACTGTCTCTGGAAGGAAACTAGCCTTTCATTGCCTTCCTGCCCCAAGCTTTTCGCCGAAGACGCTGATTCGTGGTTTGCAACTCTGGAGCTGATCCGCACATCTGCAATCAAGCTTTCCCAACAATTGAATCAGACTGACGACAAATCCTACGACGCGCACTTTAATCGCAAGGGAAAGAGCAAGGCGGTTGACTACAAGGATTGGTTCCGAGGCACTTTCTTCCCCCCTGAGACTGCTGCTGACCCATTGATTCTGCCTGTGCCTCTATACAATCCAGCAAGCAATGGAACTGAACCTCCGAAGAAGCAAAAGATCATCTTCTAAATTTACCCTGTCTATCATCCAAGTTTATTACAATCATATGAATATACCAGTTTTAACAAAGCATAATACAGTACACATGAGCGCCTTTCATTTCAAAAAACGTCTGGATTAGTGCAACGTTTGTTATACGTTGTATAAATAGAAAAAGTTCAAAAAACCTTGTACTAGAGACCCTAGGAACCGTATATAAGCCTATAGTAACTCTTTAGAGTTGTACTAAACGCAACATAGATAAACAAGGAAAGAAAAAGAGTATGATACTTTCTCTTGGCTAACTATTGATAATGTTTATGGTGCCCTCATAAATATGGCTGCTGCTATACATTACGTAAGAAAAGCCTTCGACTCTCCGAAAAGTGGATAAGCATTTAACTATGACAATTGTAAAAATACATGCAGATAATAGTTTGATGGCTCATGAAGGCTGAAGCACCTATTGAACTTCTCCACAACAATATTGTTTAGTCAGCGTTTGAGGAGATCATCTTCACACCCACTGTCAAATGATGGTAAATGCAAAGTCTGATAAGGTGAGCATTTCAGAATTCTTTTCTCTGGTCGTTTTTTTAGGATGATTCGCTCCTACATGTAGTAGTTTCTGTCAAACGATCTTTACTTACATCGTTTTGATGGTCTCTTCCGCTTGCTGGCTGCCTTTACGGGAAATGGAAGGAATCAAAAAGCATCCTTGGCAGATGATACAGCCTTCACAAGTTAGTCTGGGGTGATATAATTTACCACATGAAAGTGAATTTATATTGAACTGATTTGAGGAAGCTTTGACCATTCTGGGTTTATTATTGTTCCCTAGAATTATAGTTGAACCCTTAATTCGTTATGTTAGAATTCTAGATTGAGCAAAGAGGCACCTTATTAACGTCATTCATCACAGCACTTCATTCTTACCTAAAAAAGAAGCTCGTCTGTGGAGCATTGATTAGAAATGCAAGCTGAAGTTCATTATGCATTACATTTGCCACCTCCTGTCAGTTACTTCCGTCACTTATTTGTAGAGGATCGACGTTTGAGTAGTATATCAAAGTAAATTCTGCAAGTTAATGGAAAAATGAAGTAGCACATTATTCATTCTCGACAGAAACCATTTGAATCAACTGCGTATTCAGAAGAAGGCTCTTATTCCTTTCATATCAACTAGGTCATATTACATATACATTTTTTGAAGAGAAGATTTGTAAAGTGGATAGCAAGCTCTTCTGAAATATTGAAATTAAAATAAAAAAAAAAAAGATGGAACACGACTGTCCGTAAATGAAATAGGTATTTTGCAATGTTACTGTAAATGTGTTAATGGAATGGTCTTTAAGTTGCTCCTTTACAATAGCCGTAAGGTTTCCAACTCTCTCTCGTCGTTAAGAAAAAATAAAAAAGAATGGGGAGGTGAGAAAGAAAGAGTTTTTTCATACAGCTGCTGTTTTAACCACATAAAAATCGTTTTAACTAATGGTTCGAAATGTCAATCCACCCTAAACTTTTTGATATCACGAACTTACTTTGAATTAAGAACCTAAAACAGATTACGAAGCTTTAAGTTTGCACTGTAAATTTAACGAAGCCAGTGCTAACGGGCCTTATCTAGTAAATGCCATAAGCAAGCGTATAAGCGCTGAATTTGAGACATGACGCTTTTAATAGCTGTCTTGAGGAATGATCGTTTTCTGTTACTATCTTGAGTACTATGACTCCGGGCAGTAGAAGCAGGTCGAGAGGTTACATCAACCTGTGATAATCACTTGTTGAAAACTGGAGTGAAACTTGCGGTGGGGAAGCTTTTGTGGGTTTTTCAGAAATCTTTCAATGTTTTATCGTGATATCAGTATTTTATACTTCATTGGATGAGGCGGTTATCTGCCTTATAATTCAGTCTCTGTTCAATTAACTAGCCATAGCCTACTTCATTACTCATTTTGCACTGTATCATCATGCTATGACAGTATCATTGGCACAGGTATTAGAGTATCTTGAGAATTTTCACTATAATTCACAATGCAGTAGTACTTTCGGGGAGCTGTAGATATAGACATATGGCAGCTGCAAGGCGTACAGTGACCTCTGCCCCTTTTTGGTTTCCTTTCTTCTGGTTCACCATTCACTTTTGCTACGAAACTGGCAGGCTTTTTCCCCTTACAATAAGCCGACTTGCCATCACTTAGAATCTCACAGTTCGATATCTCCACTTGTTGTACTTCGTTAGTTCCCCTCTTCTTTTATTAGCATCAATAAGTGTAAATTAGGCATAAAGAAGTCTCCATTGTTCTTCTTTGATACTCTATTCGTTTTCTTAACCAGACAAAAGTATCTTCTTTCCATCTCGAGCAGAAAACCTCCCTACCCTTTTTTACAATCCAATATCGTACTTATCGCATCTCTTTTCTCAATTTTCGAGTTCTTTAAACTTATTTATACACACAAACCGTTCCCCCCTAGCAATGCCTACTCCTTTTTAATAAAAATATAAAAAAGGTCAAAGCATTTCCCCAATTTTCTTTTCCTAATTCTTCTTCAAACATTCAAACTTAAAAAGCTTTGTCTCCAACCGTACAAAATAAGTATAATGTCTACAGCTATCTCCAGCTCATTCAAACTCCAGACAATCAGCAAAGTAACAGAGAAACCTCGACCTTATCAATGCCCTATGTGTCCCAAAGCCTTTGTCAGATTAGAGCATCGGACTCGACATATCCGAACTCACACAGGCGAAAAACCTCATATTTGTTCCTATCCCAACTGTGAGAAGAGATTTTCTAGATCTGACGAATTAACACGCCATGTTCGTATACACACTTCGACAACGAAGAAAAGCGGAGCGGTCAATAGAAGAATGAATCACTTTAACCACCATAGTACCGTATGCCATTCTCTGTTACCGATGCAATCTACGTTTAATGTTGGACATGTTTATCATCACTATCAATTTCAAGGCAGCAGTAGTAATTATCAGTACGTTGATAGCTACCGTCATCATACTGTCAACAATCACCAGCAGCCTGTAGACGTTAATAAGAACGATAAAAGATCACTTTTGCCATTGAATTTCGATTCGAACGTAAAGAGACAATCACAGCATCTATATTCTCTAGAGCAATATTCATATTCTCACTCAAGGCAACAGCAACAAACAACTGGATATTTGTCCATGTCCTCTTCATTCTCATCCGATTCAGACAGTGAACATGTTTCTACTCCAGACAACTCACCCATATTGAGTCCCTTTAAATTCCCATCGACAAAATCGAATTTGACTTTACCCCCTCTTTTAAGTAGCGGTAGTACTACTTCTTCAATAATCAATAATAGATCATCAATAGAAACTGTCCGAGAGCGAACCGCTAGTAGTGATAACAAGCTGCTACTATCAGAAACAATTTCATTATCATCGTCTATTTCAACAACCTCATTATCCTCTTCATCCACTTCACCGGAGTTGGTAGCCGTAATGGCAAAAGACACGAAACCCCCGCAACTTCCTTCCATTCAGTTTCTATTGAATTGTTAGAATCTGTAGATTATATATTTCATACTGCTATAACAATAAAACAGGTCTATTTCTGCGCTCTAGTACGTACAAGCCTTATGTAATCAATTTATGCAAGCCCTAAATTGAGTAATGACTCTTACCCCATTTTTATATACCTTTACAACATCTCATGATCAATCTTATGTTTTATTTTCACTGTAATATTTATTTGGTATAGTAACACGCTTTTCTAACGCAAATTCTCGTCAATAAACCTTTCTTATCTTTTCATTTTGAAATAATCTGCCTTGACACTGAAATGCTCTTTGAGTGAATTTTTCTAGCCTTCAATAGCGTTCGATTTGTTGCTTTGTAGTTCCACACTTCCCTTGCTCAAAAAAAAGCCCATCGTATGAAAACAAATTGCCAGGTTTTAGCTTTTGATAGGCGGTAGCCATACTAGTATTCTAGTATACTGCCAATACTCTTACCCATATGCAATAAATGCTAGAAGAAAAAGGTCAATTACTTAAAGATATTAATATGTATATTTGCAAATGTAAAGAAATTAGACAAGAGCTTGTCAATTGTATTGTGTTGTATGGTTGCAATGAGTGCAGAGAACTGATGGAAGCTGAAACGACGAGATTTGGATCTGCATGACCGCTTTGACCATAATTTTATACAGACATATATGAAAAGATGAGAAATCCAACCTTATTATGCATGGCGTTTTGATAAAGCACTATCAGTCAAGCAATTTAAGGGCAATCTTCTTCTAATTGACTAAAGATGTAAGAACCACACAAAAGAAAGAAAAATGCATGCCTTACCCACCTCCTTTATAAAATGATATCCAATATATTGAGTTCATGTATTATCTCGTTTCATTAGAACTTTTTCTTTACATAATTCAACATTTTTTATAAGGCTAACCAGAGGTTTCTAAAATTTCTCCCACCTTTTTGTTATTGTTACTTCCTTCTTTCGAGCATTTGACAAAGTAGCTATTTAAATGTCAATGACAGCTAATGAAAATTCAGTAGCCACAGAAAATTCGATCACTCCCAATGAAAAGACAAACATAAAGGTCGATACGACGATATTAAAAGATGAAATAGAAGCATCAGTTGACATGGTCAGCGAAGAATGCTCTGAAGATGCCATAGATTTTTCGGAAAAGCAACAGCAATTCAAGCTTTCTGATGTCAGATTTATTATATTATTCACAGGGTAAGATAGACTAGCATAGATCATTGGCACTTGAAAACAATATATTCTGATATCTATTTTTGTTTATTTCCAAGATTGTTGCTTGGGTTTTTTATGGCAACATTAGACACGACTATCATCATCACTGCGGCGGGTATCATTGCATCCGAATTCAACGCTGTAGATCAGATCGGCTGGGTAAATGAACCGTTTCAACCCCCTCTCCCCAATTTGCAACACTTTTGGCTCGGCTGAATAGTAATTAATTTTTATTAATAGATTGGCTCAGCTTACCTATTAACCTTGAGTGGATTTCAACCTGTTTATTGTTCAATTACTGAGATTATGTAAACTCGAAACTTATGGACAATTATCAGTAATGCAATTCGAGGCTGACCAAAATCCTCACCATTTTTTTCCCAACAGTGGGCAACGGATATCGTACTCTTGCTGCATCCTTATCTTCATCTTTGGAAGCGTGCTATGCGGAGTGTCGAACAGTATGATGATGTTGATAATCAGCAGAGGTGAGTGAGAACGTCGATGATTTCATGCATCTACTATGCAGCAGTTTATCTTAATATCTCCGTCCTGTACATCAGCTGTACAAGGCATTGGCGCTGCTGGCCTTTTCACGTCTGTCCTTATTATCATATGTGAATTGATGGATAGCAGAACAAGAGGTAATGCTGTCAGTTTTGAGTCAAACAAACAACTGTATTTTTAATGCTGTCAATTTTTCTAACAATATTGAATAGCTATATATCAGGGCATATTAGGACTTGCGATTGGTATGGCTACACTTATTGGGCCCTTGTTGGGAGGCTTCTTGGCTGACCGTGGCCAATGGAGGTACATAAACAGAAACGCCTATTTACGCTAACGTAAATGATCAAATAACCCATTTTTCTGTATAATTGGTTAGATGGGCTTTTTACGTCAACATTTTTGTCGGGTAAGAATTGCTTGTTTGTTTCCAATTAAATTGGCCAATGTTCATTTCTGGACGTATACTAACAATGCATAAACTATGTAGAGCTGTTATTATTACCCTTACTTTAGTATTCTGCAAGTTACCACTTACAAAGAAACAGAAGGAGAGAATAAATGGTGAAAAGACAATTTGGAAGCAACTTACCGAGGTCGATTATGCTAGCTTGGTGCTTTTAATGCCTGGCGCTGTCAGTCTCTTAGCAGGCCTTCAACTGGGAGGTGAAAGACTCTCCTTTACAGATCCAGCTGTAGTGGCCCTATTAACTCTTGGGCCTGCGCTTATCATCCTTTTTGTCGTCACTGAGGTATTTTTAATCAGATTTCCTATATTTCCTCGCCATTTTGTCATGTCCAGAAGCAACATAGCCATTCTTGCGTGTCAATTCACAGGAGGTATGATGAACAACGCCATCATGTATTTTGTTCCTTTACACTTCCAAATTGTCAAGAATGACAATGCTGTTCAGTCAGCTTGCAAGCTCCTGCCCTTTTTTGTTACAGCCGTTGTAAGTGGACTGCTATCTGGCCTTATTGTGCAAAAGACAGGTTATTATCGCTTCTTGTTATGGCTCGGAGCTGCTTTCTGTATTGTGGGGTCATCACTTTTGCAAACATCAAATCTAGCTACACCAGAATATCTTCTTTTCATTTATCTTGGTTTATTCGGTTTAGGTCTTGGATCTATAAAGAATATCACCACGGTTGCAGGTCAAGCCGGCATTGCCAAAGAAGAGTATGTTGAACGCTCAGTAGTGAATGATATTTCGCTCTGCTGTAACCCTTCAAATGATCATAACTTATCTAACTTTCTCTTTGCACTGATTGTGATTGTTTCTCTATCTTCGTAGTCTTACAATTGCGACAGCTCATGGGCAATTCATGAGAATATTTGGTGGTGCATTTGGTGTGAACATTGCAGCCGTTTTATTCAGATATGATACAACTACCCAATTGGAACATTTGAAAAAAGTGACACGTTCTGATTTCAATCTGAGTAGTATACCTGCTTTGAAAAGCCTCCATTACATGCTGAGACAGAGGGTTGAGAAGATATGCTTAGAAGCATTGGACAAAGTCTATTTATTAGGTAAGATTTAAGAAAGTTTGCTCTCACTATGGATAGCCAACTTGCAAAAAAGAACTTATCGAGTTTATTCCTCCGCCCATATATAGTTGCCATCGTTTCGGGAATCGCATTTATATCCACTCTTTTAATCAAAGAATATTACATCATAGTCGACTCAAAGACAAGGACTGGAGATAAGTCTAATGTTAAAGAAGAGGAGATCAAGAAAGTGTAACTTCATACCTTGAAGTTGTATAATATTCTTTTGGTTGGATAAAGCTTTCTATCAGTTACAAACAGATATTTTCTCATTTTTACGCCTGCCAACCCTCTTTCGGAATTACAGAACACATCATTAAATTATTCATCGTTTTCATTAAATTATTCATCATTTTCATTGCTTTCAGTTTTAGTAGCAGATGGTTTGAAGTCCATTGCAACATAATATCCTTCAGATGATTGCTTTCTTGAAGCATCAGGCTTTACATACATGACTTTTTGAAACTCTGACTGTAGTTTTCGTTTGAATTCGCCCTCTGTGCCTCCAGCCAAAAACTGTAAGGAAAAGCATAACAAACATAGAGTGAGCGAAAAGATGAATTTTTGTATAAATCACTTCCAGTCAACCTTGGACAGGAAAAAATTACCTTCGCAATAAAATGCCCGCCCGGTAACAGGTTCGCCTTTGCGAACGTAAGAACCGATTCACATAACTCTATAGAGCGTGCATGATCTCTCAAATGATTTCCAGAAAAATTGGGTGCCATGTCGGTTAGGACGACATTCACATATTGTCCATTTAGCATATCTTTAATTTTCTTCTGTGTTTTAGTTGTCATAAAGTTTCCTTCGATCAATTGGATATTCTGATCTTTCGTAGAAAAGGGTTCAACCGGCAATAAATCGATACCAACAACAAGCCCTTGCCTTCCCACTTTGCGAGCTGCTACTTGTGTCCAACCGCCTGGTGCTGCCCCGCAATCAACTACGATATCATTTTTCTGAAAAATGCTATACTTTTTATCAATCTGTATCAATTTAAAACTGCTTCGTGCTCGAAAGTTGCTCTCTTTGGCTAGCTTCACATAAGGGTCTTTTGCTTGTCTTGCTAACCAGACCTTCGAAGAGTACAATCGTCGGAATGGAAGAGCAATGGTCATCAAAAGAAAAAAAAAAAAAAAAAGAGTGCAAAAGGATCGGTTATGTTACGTGCTCGAAAAAGAAAATCAGGGGATGATAGAATCCCCGCCCTACCTCCCCCCACCCCCTTTTTTTTTTGCTTGCTATTATGTGAGGTGCGCGAGGCTGATACGGATAAGATTTTCACTTTTACATTCATTTGTAGGTATAATGCCAAATCGTATCTCTGCTGATCAAGCGGTATTCACAGTTTGAAGATATGGCTGAGGTTATGGCTGAAGTACATGCTCTTTAGATTTGCAATATTATTATTGACAAAACACTGGTCCCACCTAGAGACGTACATGCTACTGACAGTTGAAATAATGACATTTTTATTAAAGTTGTTTATTTTAAGTCTTGTCCAACATGAAAGAAAAAAAAGATGTTGCTACTGAGAAATTCCGGCAAATCTAGGCTTGATTATACAAGTAATTTTAAGAGAAAACTATCTTTTTTCCCTCTTTTCGTAACTCTGAACTGTGTCATTTCAATCTCAAGCAAAATGTCTACAAATGAATCCTCGCCCTCTATGAATGAGAATAATTCAACTCGAGCACAATGTATTATGCATAAAGAAACAAATGAAATAAATGATTTTCAGGGCCGATTCCCCATTCTTTACGTTCTGAAATAAAAGATTTTTCTGATATTAGACGTTGTGGGTGTTTGCGCTATGGATAGAAAGGCTAGGTCAAAACCTATGCGGCACATCCTTAATAGGTTATTAGCTTATGGTGATTTTGAAATCGTCATTTTTGGGGACAAAACCATTATTGATGAAGGTAAGCAAGTGTGCATAATATGATCTAAGAAATTGTATACTTATTGCGCTACTTCTTTTCAAAAACAAAATAAAAAGATATTGAAAATTGGCCAGGCTGTGATTTTTTGATCTGCTTCTATTCTAGTGGATTTCCAATGAAAAAGGCTGTCGCTTACACAAAGCTACGAAAACCATTTGTTGTCAATAATGTGTTTATGCAAACATTATTATGGGATAGAAGAGTAGTTCTATCCATTTTGGACGCTATTGGTGTACCCACCCCCCCTCGTTTGGTTGTGTCAAGAGATGGTGGCGCCAGAGTAGATCCAGATGCCGCTAAGGCATTCAAAGAGTGCACGGGCATGGATATTGATCGCGTGTTGGCAAGATATGCAACCAATACTCAGTCAGTGAAGATTCACGATACTTACATTGAGGCACAGGGGAAAACCCTGGAGAAGACATTTATTGAGAAGCCTACCAACGGTGAGGATCACAATATCAATATCTACTATTCAGAAAGAAGAGGAGGAGGAGGACGAAGGCTTTTTAGAAAGGTAATTTTTAATAAGGACTTCTTTGTTGGGTTATCCTTCTTCAGTTTTAAAAAATTGCTTTAACATGGGGCATACAGATAGGCAACAAATCCAGTGAGTTTGATGCTGATTTATTGAGACCAAAAGAAGAAGGATCGTGGGTATATGAAAAAATGATGGAAACAGAGAATTTGGAGGACATAAAGGTATACACTGTAGGACCGCAATTTGTTCATGCCGAAACTAGAAAGTAAGGAGACAAAAACTATAGTTACCTATCATATATTGGCATTGATATGTTAGTCGAACAGATCCCCTACTGTAGACGGACATGTAAGACGTAATATGGACGGTAAAGAAATCAGATATTGCGCAAAGCTTACACAGGAAGAAGAGGATATAGCACGAAAAGTATCAAAAGCATTTGGCCAAACGGTTTGCGGCTTGGATATATTACGAGTACAAGGAAAACCCTACGTAATAGATGTCAATGGCTGGAGTTTTGTGAAAGGAAACGATTTCTACTATGATCAATGCGCGAGAATTTTGAAAGAAGCATTTTACAGGTCTATGCAAGAAAGGCCACTATCACTTGCTGATCAGATTCCTCCCGAGATATCACCTGCCAATTCTTGGAGGTTAAAGGGATTTGTGGCAGTGTTCCGCCATGGTGACCGTACGCCCAAAGAGAAATTGAAAGTTTCCATTATGGAGCAACCATTTATCGATTTACTTGAAGGATCGAGACGTGAAGTAGTATTTAGACAAAAGCATCAGTTGCAATCGGTACTAAAGGCTATTGATGAATGCCTTTTTGCCTTCTCTATCACTGTTAAGGATGAACTTAAGTTGAAATCGCTCAAAGAGATATTAGAGAAAAAGCACGAATTACCTGGTACTAAAGTGCAGTTGAAGCCTAAATTTGATAAAGAAAGTCAAAAGCTCGTCAAATTGCAGATAATTGTTAAATGGGGAGGAGAGGTGAGCTTGCGACAATTCTTCTGATACCAAAATGAAATACTGATCTTCGCTGTAGTTTACGCATGCAGGTCGACATCAATCACGAGATTTAGCTGAAAATCTAAGAAAAGATATGAATATTTTGAATCGAGAAATTTTAGCTGACGTTAAGATTTACAGCAGTTCTGAAAGACGTGTTAGGGATACAGGTAGCTATCTGTTTATATGAGCATCTACCTGGCCAGGAAGCTGACTCTTTTCACTCTCTACAGCTCAAGTATTTGCTCGATGGTTCCTTGGTGATTCTGAATCATTAGATGGAATTATCTCTGAAAGCAAATATTTATTGGATGACAGTAATGCTGCGAAAGATCAGGCAGATGCAGTTAAACGACAATTGAAAGGATTGTTACGGCCTGGAAATGATATCCCTGAATGGATGCTGGCGCAACTAGGTTGGTCACCGAAACTTCCGCAACCTCACGTTGTCCTTGAGGAAATAGCTACCATTATGGGAAGGATGCAACGAATTATGAACGAGAATTGGGCTACTAAAGACGTTGACAATATACAAAGACGCTGGTGTTGTTTAGATTCACCTCTTTTATTCAAAGAAAGATGGGAAAGAATGTTTCAAAACTTTGCTTCTACTGTAACAGGTGATGAAAGTGATGAGGCTGAAATGAGACGACTAACGCATCCTGATAATTATCCTGACCCATCTTGGATTCCAGCGTTGTACGATTCACTGAAATATGATGCACTTCACAACAGGCCATTTCTACAAACTATTTTTAGTGATGAAACGGCAACCAACTATAATAGTGATGACTTTGACAGCATTAGCAGTTGTAACACGAGTAATATGCGAACTTCTTTTGATTCAAATTCATCGCCTTTGTTAAGTAGATGTGGATCCGAGATTCGACGATTGTACAGAGCAGTTAAAATCATGTTTGACTTCATCGCACCCTTGGAATTTGGTATATCAGATACGGAGAAGAAGAACATAGGCATGCTCATAGGTTTTCCTTTGCTGAAGAAAATTTTAAATGATCTGGATGAGATGAAATCAGCTGATAACGGACGAACACGCTTATATTTCACGAAGGAATCTCATGTCCACGCACTTCTGAATTTGATTTACTTATCGGGAGTACCTACTAAGGTCCCTCGTAACACTCTACCCGAACTAGACTGTAAATAGCATAGAACACTTTCATTCTGCAGTCCTGAGCACTGACTAACCATCCAACATCTCTCGTCTTTTTCATCCAGTTTTGACACAGATCACATTTGAATTGTATGAACGAAACAGACAGAGTGTGCCTGAAAAGGAATACTCTCTTCGTATTGGATTCAGTTCTGGTGCGCATTATGATAGTGTACTGGATTTGAAAATGGATGCTGAGCACTGCCTGAAAGTTGCGCCAAGAAGGTGAATACTTATCACATAATATCCATCATCTCACATCCTCTGTGCTGATCCTATGTCTTTTCTTACTCATAGAAATTTGATCCCACACTTATTACTTGAAGAAGTATTGACATATCACAAGGGTTACTTAAATGTGCCCAATCTCAAAAGTATTGAGGAACAGATCGAAGAACGAAAGCTGTATTATGCCCAGGAAGACAACAATGATCAATAGCATCCTTAACTACTAGCTAAAAGATTCGGATGAGTAGTACAACAATAACATTTATTTTATGACGAAATAAAAGAAAAATTTATTGCACCTTCATTTCTGCTTACGTTTCATCACCTGCTACACAGATAAGACAATAAGCCAAGATAATATTGATACAAATTCTTTAACGGTTGGACTTGGCAACACGTTCAAGTTCGTCCTTCTTCTTGATGGCATAAGAGTTAGCAGAACCCTTAGCAGCGTTAATCAATTCATCAGCGAGACATTCAGCAACAGTCTTGATGTTACGGAAAGCAGATTCACGAGTACCGATGGTCAACAAAGAGATAGCTTGGTTGACACGACGAAGAGGAGAAACATCGACAGCTTGACGACGGACGGTACCTTGAGAACCAATACGGGTGGAGTCTTCACGGGGACCACAGTTGATGATGGCATCAACGAGGATTTGGAGAGGGTTGGCATCGGTCAAAAGGTGAATGATTTCAAAAGCGTGTTGAACGATACGAGCGGCCATGAGCTTCTTACCGTTGTTACGGCCAGTCATCATCAAAGAGTTGGTCAAACGTTCAACGATAGGGCACTAAGAAATGTTAAATATTAGCATCGATCACGGATCTTTGCTGCGTTGGCAAATCAGATTTTAAGTTGGTGATTGAAACTTACTTGAGCCTTACGGAAACGCTTAACAGCGAAACGACCAGCAGTGTGAGGCAAGTAAACTTGTTGACGGATTTGAATGTAGTCTTGGAGGGAGATGTCCTTGACCTCAACGTCTTCGTAAGACCATTTGTTGAAAAGCTTACGGGTACCGTCAGCAGTAGCGCTGACATCGGCAGGCAAACCTAAAGCGGGCATGTTGTACTGTTGTTCATGATCGACGAACGTGAATTGATTGGAGATCGGGTGCAAACAAATGAAATGGTGAATGTGGAAATTCCAATTTAATGCATAATTGTCAAATGAAAAGGAACGGTCGAAAGAAATGTTTAGTATATGATGTATATTGATCTGGAACTTATGGATGCATGTATTTTGCATCCTAAGGAATCCATTCCATAATGGATGTATAGCGATATTTACCTATGATGTGAAAGAGGGGATATCTGAATTAAGCACATTGCTGTATTTTGTTCTGACAATTGGAGAGTTCACCCACAACCAAAATATTACATAATATTCCTGGGTGGTAAAGTACCAATTTACTCCGCTTTTTCTCAATATGTTTAGGCTGCAGACCAATCATTTAAACAGTGTAAGTTACATATAGCTTTTATTGCGTATTTTTTTAAGCTAAGGCGTACTAATTAGCTCTCTGTAGAAGCACAGCTCCTGATAGTCTTTTGTGGCCTTATAGTATGATACGTTAGGGTTTTTTTTTTGTTTTTAGCGTACCGTACGGTATAAATTTGAAAAAATTTCCATCTAATGAATGCGGTCATTCCACTTTTGGAAAGTATTGATATAGCAGTCTGCAAAAGCTCACTTGACAGATATATATATATATATATATATCATCTGATAGCTAAGTGAAGTAAATTAATTTTTATTTTATTCAGAGTGCGTAGATCTACTGAAGCGTTGTGTGCATGCAAAACATTGTTGTTCTTTTCGAAGAGAATCAAGTGTTCCATTTCGAAGTAAATACAGGATATAAATCTACCCTCTACCCTAATCAATTCAAAGGGGTGCGCCTTAGGCAGGACTGATCTGGAAACCAGAGCAAACCATTTATTGCATCTGTCCTTCGCTCTTATAATATTTGAACCTTTGCTTATCCATCTCTGAAGATTTTCGTTTTGCAATGCTTTTCTTCCCTCCCCTTTTTAGAGTATACTTTTTATTGACGCCAATACCAGTTTATGCTTTTGTTTTTCTTAACATCCCTGTAGTTATGCTTCTTACGTTAAAGCGGACTACTTTGATGGTATATCGCCATTAAGATGGTAGCTTTTGTCATGCTTCAATACTTTGTAATTTTCTTATATCAAAGACTAAGATTACCTCTTCATAATCAGCATTCCTTCTTCAATGTTTGCCTGGTACAACAATGCTGGTTCCAACTCTATTTACTGACTTCTGAACTCTATCCGCCTACTGATCGCTTGTTGTATCCAACAGCATATTACTCTTGGATTATTACATAATACTGAAATAAGAGACTACGGATCCTTAAAGGGGTTAGAATAACCGTGAATGATAGATTTGTCAGAACAGTTCTTTTCTTTTACGGAAGAATATTTCATCTGTATATCAGAGACAACATTGGATGCGTAATTGACTTCATTTAGGAATAAGATATTATAGTAATTGGATTTGATTAAATCAGATAACTTTATTAGCAGATCAAACCACAATACATAAATCTAATCTACTTAAGCTATTATCTTCTAACTTGTTGATCCTCACTTTAACCCTTTACATTCTGACAGAATTCAATAAGACTGAAACGTAGACGTCGGCAAAATCAAGGAATACTTTATCTTGCCCGTCACGTTAGTTATAATGTATCTGCCGAAGTCCGGGTCAAAGGAACCTTTACTCAGATCTACTCACTTACCTCCTTTCACCGATCCAATCGGTCAAGGCACCGCTACAGCATGATGAGCCGTGCAGTAACAATTGGGTATGTCTTTTCTTTCATCATCAGGTCATCTTGTAGCTAAGAGTTTAGATATAAAAAAGTTTTTTACAATATCCACAAATATAAATAGAAGTACTTTTTTCCTACATGGTTTTTATCTTCATTCTTTATGATAATATTTTACGAAATAAAAGAAGATAACTTAGTCTTCACTGATTTCCTTTTGTTTTCTTTTCTCTTGATATTTCTATCTTATTCGTATACAAACATCGCTGTTTTATTAAAATGAAAGCAGTTTCTTCGTTTGCTATTTATCATCTTTTCGATAAGGCTCAATATTATTTCTCGATAGACAGAAGGATACTGAATAAAAAAAACCGTAATTTGAAGGTAAAGATAAAAACCGTATTTATGGGGTTAAATGCTCTCTAAATATTGCAAAGGAAAAGAAAGGACGGCGACAATTGTTCGGGCGCAATGAGTATTTCGCACTGATACCGGCAACATCAATTAAGAGCGGACCAAATTTTCTGAGCAATCACGTGATATGACAATTATGTTTTTAACTTATTTTATTTTAAAAAACAACAAGACATCAGCTGATTTGGCCGAGTTGGTCTAAGGCGCCGCACTCAAGTTGCGGTCTCGCAAGAGGCGTGAGTTCGAATCTCACAGTCAGCATCATTTTTTCTTTTTGATGTCAGTTTCGTGAGACGTTTTTATTTTGGTGTCTTTTTTTGATGTGGTTTCAATTGTCTGTTGATGCTTCATCGTCTCATATCATCAAGGGACAAGAATTCAAATCCAGGAGTCATGGTGCAACAGAAAAGAGTATTAGGGCTTTCAAGTGGTTTTGAATTTAGAAGCTTAAATCTTTTGTTTGCTTAAACATCTTCAACAGCAATATCAGGTCCTGATACTATATGCGTGTATACATTTTGTCATTGTCTGAAGTGATATGTATTGCTTTTCCACTACAATTTTAAGCAGCTGTAAGTGTCTTGAGTATAGGACGTCATTGTTTGGTTATTCCTCTAAAGGCTATGTCTTTTTGTTGCTGCTGTTGGAAAAGATTCAGTAACTTGCCAAATTACATAGAGACGCAAGCTTCTTCTGTTTTCATTTTACAGCCACATATAGTTTCCTCTGCGGTAAATACTGAAAATTAAAAGGATTGCATATCTCTATTACCCATTGGTCACTACGTTTACTCTTTTGAAGAGCTGTTAATGACATTGATGAAACACGATTTTTATGCACAACTCTTTTGGTTCGTCCAATAAAATTGAAGGCTTTTCATTACACAAAGCCAGCAGTCGACAATATTGGGCGTCATTTTGTTTCTTTCCTTTGCTTTTCTTTTCTTTTCTCTTTTTGCCCCAATAGACAAAGAGTTTTGTCAACACTTTTCTTATTTCTTTCCAAGCCTTTATTTCCATTAAGTGACTTTTTTTTTTGTTGGAAATGAGCCTAAATTGGGTTATGTTAACACAAGACGGTACAGGTGCTGTACCGTTACCCCAAGAAAAAATGTTTTTGACACAAACAGAAGTAAAACTTATACTAGACTGCAACGACTCGTAAAGTGCAAACCAAAAAAAGAAGACTAGAAACGCGATAAACAATAGGATAGTAGCTAACTGGCAGTTTGCCATTGACACACTTTTCTAAATTAGGCCGGGAGGTTATCCTGGACATTCAGCGTAGGGAGCGTTACTGTTGATGCCATACCAAGCATGCTTTCTTATGAAACTAAAGGGATCATATAATTTATTTTTTTATTTTTTTTTAAAGAGGACATTACGAGTCGAGTAAAGGCACATTAATTCTCTCTAATCAAAGGGTAATGACATTATACCCGATAAAAAATGGAAAGACGGAAAAATGGGGGACTGACAGATCATCTGATGAGATAGATCGTTTATCTAGCAGCGCAGCCCACCCCTCAGTTTAAAAACTTGAATGTGCCCATTCTTAATTTTAAACAATGGAAGCTTGAACAACCTTGGTTTGGAGCCAATTATGTTACGGGCACAGTGATACCGGTAAGTACTGATCCATGATCAAAGGTCTTCAAAACAGATATTCATTGCGCCTGTTGCTTGAACGGCATGAATAGGTTCAGGGTGGTGGGTTGTCTCGAAATTGTCAGCTGAAACTTACATTTGCAGAGGGTGGTAAGGAAGTAAAAATGGGTATGAGGAGAATATCGCAGAGGATTTCGGTCTAACGTACATGGAGTACAATCTTTAAAACGAATATACAACGGATAGGAGCAATCGAATTCACAAACATATTACGCAGCTTATTGGAGCGAATGGGTGAGATAAATGAAATACCTCGGGAATACGAAGCCTTACCGGCTTATGATAATGGTAGCAGCAGCGGCAATTATAGCAGCACGGCGCCTCCGCCTCCAGCACCATCACACGATGATATCCCAGATGATTTACCTCCTCAATACACAGCATAGACTGAATCAAAACATGTGTTTTCCCCAGAAGCAAAGGGGGTGAATGGAATAAATAACCTTTGTTTTTCATTCTTAATCGAGATGCAATCATTCTTATTAAAAGATAGATTATGTAGATGGCGTTGAAACCGTATTACATACTATGTCAAAAAGATGAGCAGCACATGCTGTAACATTCCCTCATTAAGCGACGACCTTGGTTGAGTTGGTGTTGAGACGGTTGTGAAGCAAAATCACTGCTTTTTTCTATAGCAGTTTTGAAGTCATAGATAGAATCAAGTGAGAGAGAATAGATGTACCATTGATTGTTCAACACACATATCTTTATGAACAAGTGAATCATCGTGGAAAGAAGCTTGAACTTGACAAAGAGTACTTGATTAGCAACACGATCTTTGTATTCGTTTACTGACGCTCATACTATAATAAGGTTTCTCAAGGTTCGTAGAGTGGTTTACCTTTGAGGTTTTAACTTTTTTTTATTTTTGAGAAAGATGCTTTCATCTGTCAAGAATACAGAAAGTCGTCACATTTAAAGAGGGAAAAAAAAAAAGGGTTTAATAAGGGAATTTTCATACACAGGGGCACAGCCCGAAAAACAACATGGATAAATTTGATAATGAATAAGAAAAGGATGGTGAAGGGAGGAGGGGGGGGGGGTAACATTGATAATGATTTTTTATATATGATTTACAATATTCTATAGTGATAGCTCATTTTTAACCAAAGGTAGAGACAATATGAGCTAGCTGAAGCAAGCCGCTCGATGAAGAACGTTTACGTCCACTGCTATTATCGCTACTACCGCTACCGTCTTTTTTATCGTCGTCCATTGTAGCATCATCCTTCTTCTTCGGCTCTTCCTCAAAAGAGGGTTGTTGAAGTGGCCGATTTCCACTATTACCATTATTTTGATTTTGTGAAACGTTGGACATCATTGTTTCCTTTGGTTGCTGTTGTCGTTGCTGAGATTGTTCGGGATGAAGCAGTGTAAAAGGAAATTTAGACCTTTTCGGCGCAGTGTAGATGAGAGGACGGTATTGATAGAAGAAGGGATTCGTATTGCTGTTGGAGCTTGAATGCGTAGTGGAAATGGTGGTAGTTGTTGTTGTAGAAGGCGTTTGACGGTGAGATTGGTAAAATGCTGAAGCAGTAGCTAAAGATGGTAAGGCGGAGGTGCTGGTATGATCAGAGGACGATGGCTGTTGTTGTTGTTGTTGTTGTTGTTGCTGTTGCACTTGTTGATTTTGGTATTGATGTTGTAACGGGGCAAAAGAGTTTGGATGGTTACTGCCATGGTTACTTGTGTTGCCATAATGACTCGTACTTTGGGCATGTACATGGATATGGGTCGTATTTGAATCGGTAGTGGCTAGGATACTGCTGCTGTTGCGGTTCATCGTAGTATTGTTAGTCATATCGTTATCAATCATCATTTGGTGAATGGAAGGTAAGGACGCTACTGAAGAGGTATGAGATAAGGTAGGCGAAGGTGTAGAAGATGTGTTCTTTGCGACCTTATTAACAGGAGATGGTTGTGGTTGTTGTTTCTTATTCTGCAAAATAGAGGGAGAAGCAGATTTTGCAACTGCACTCAGAGGTAAAGGAAAGTTGAACCGAACAGGTGTATACTTTTCATTCGTATGACTTCCTAATGATTGGTGATAATTGGACAGATGTTGGTCGATGGTTAAAGGTGGCTCGACTTGTACAGGATCAGATCGAATACGATGGTGTGCATGTAAGCGCGGGCGAGGCCTTGCTTCTTCTGCTAGGCCTCTTTTTTGGGTCCTTCTTGATTTTGGTGACATGTGCGTTCTATAATGTTGCATCATGTTATCTTGACGTGAAAATCTAGATTGACAACCAGGAAATAAGCAAGGAAAATTCTTTTCTCCTGTATGAATCCTGTTATGTCGTGCTAAATGCCCGCTAAGAGGGGAAACAGGTGTTAGAAATTTCAGTTTTTTCTTTCAGAGCTGACTTATGTAACGCTATACCTGGTAGTGAAACTTTTGTTACAGCCAGGCTCTGCGCAATGGTATTTTCTTTTCGGTTGCTGTTGCTGCGGTTGTGATGAAGCGTCATCGTCTTGTCTATTGCTGTTAGGAGGAGAACTACTACTACTGGCGATGGGATGATATGATTGTAGGGGCTTTGTGGTTGCAAGAGGTGAGGATAATGTCCTTAAATGGTTATTGAAAGGTATGATATGATTGGCTGCTCGATGATGATGATGCTCTTCTTGTTCATTATTCAATATGCTCACTTGTCTTCCAGAAGAGTTTTTTATTGATAGTAAGCTTTCATTCATTTCTTTTTTTTTCTTGTTTTATTTTAATAGAATGTGCGTTATGTAATAGATGGGGATGACAAAATTTTTGAAAAAAAGGGAAAAAAAGAAAGGATAAAAAAATGAGGGAAAAAAAAAAAAATTGGTAAAGAATTAAAAATGGTTTCAGATAGAAAACTAGAACAGATATTGGTTGTTTGTATGTGTGTGTGTGTGTGTGCGTGCGTGCGTGCGTGCGTGTTGTGTGTGTGCATCCATATAATTTTTTCACACCAAGCACTTCTTACCTAAGCTTTTCCGCGGAAGGAGATCCAAAAAAAGCGAACCCTTGGCGGAATTTGAATCACGATTTAACTGCAACAAATCATGTTTAGAAGAAAACAAAAAAAAGAAAAAAAAGGGTTGTCAGGAAAAACCCAAGCACTAATGACAAAAAAAGCAGGGTTCAAGGATAACCCTTCTTTCCGATACCATGATGGGTTACTGCATGTGAAGCTTTAATTCTATATCTAATTCACGTTTGCATAACTCTTTATATTTGTTAAAATGCTTTAGCGTGACTTCTTTCTCAGATTGCTGTATGGCAAACGTTGTCAAGGCAACTGTTCCTTTATTCTTTGCCCTCTCGTGAAGATAGATTACAGATATCATCGTCGGTATGTCCCTTTCATCCTTTGGTAAGTGTCCTGGGTAATCTAAAACCATCGCCATGGTCTCCTCAAAAATAATTGAATTTTCCTGTGCTTCGAAAATGGGCAACAGGAGGTTACGTTTCTTCGTGTGGTAGACAAATATACAGCCGTTTAAATGTGATTCCGGTGTCCTTAAGTCGTCTTTGACGATATATTGATCTAATGTAATTGCTGTCTCAGATTTCAGTGCATGCATTACGGGCTGCACAACTGTTTCCAAGTACAATTGGTTTATCTTGGCGTCACGAAAATCAATCAACATGGCAGGCTTAAGATTTAACAGTAAAAATCCAAATTCACCATAGAGCAACATATCAACCGGTGTTAGTTCGCCTTGAAAGGTTACATGCTCTATTGTTTCTACAGAAAGCTTTTTCCAAAATTGCTGTTCTAATAGCGAATAATAGTTAAATGCCTCTTTTATATCCATGGTTCGTGTAGCTGCTATATGAAACTGCTCAGTAATGTAAAAAAAGGAAGGGCGATGATAAAAAATTTTTTTTTTTTACGAAAAAAAAAAGGTTCGATTGTGGACCCCGACGTACCGGAATTATACTTATCCGAGACGTTACTTGAACGTTCCGCGGAATTCTTTAATGTCAGAAATTACAGCTGGACCCTTCTTACCAAATCGTGATATGATTCGACCAGATGGAGAAAAATAAGCTTTTCTTCGCTCTGACTTATATTAGCTGCTGGATTCAAATGCTCTATCCCACTTCGTTGTAGCATCCTTTTATGAAGCTTTGGTAATAGGAACTCTCATTTTTATTGCTTCTCTCTTATAACCGAGGCAATTTCTGTTGGAGGATACCAAAACCATACATATAAAAATTTAGAATTCTGAACAGGCCAATCAAAAGCACTCTAGATTACGTAATAAAACATAGGTACATGGCTCTTTTTCTTTTAAGGCAACCCACTTTGAGCATCGAGGGAATGAGGACTGGCATGGCAAACTAGCATCGTGTCATCCAGCCGCTGTACAGAATGGCTGCTTCTTTTAGTAGAGAAACTAGTGCAGTATGAGTTTCGTTGATCTTATAGGAGCGACCCTACATCTCCTCTCTTCTACCAAACGAACAGTTTTTTCGATGAAAACTATCAAAGACTGATATCCGCTTATAAATGACTTAGCAAGCGACTCTATATTTTCTATTTTTGTTTTTCTCTGTCATCTTTAGAAAAAAGGGAAGAAGTTTAACATGTGTTCAGTGGAAAAAATAGGTGTGCAATTGGTCGTAAAAAGGCGGGGAAGGAAACGTCACGCAAAGTCAAGCTTCCAAAGTGTGTAAGAATAAGGAACACAAGCTTCATTATTGGCTCAAATCTTATTGAACAATAAAGAACTGGGTGGTCCCTTGTTCGTTGTAGAAAAAAACCGCCTCTATTTCTAACCCCACCTTTTCCCGGTATATCTGTAATTCTCCAGTTTTTTTTTTTTTTTTATATTCTACATTATTTATTTTCTTCAAACTTGTAGAACTAACTCTTCTCTAATAAAATAAAGATGTTGCCTACTCAAGAATCCTTAAAGAAGAACTTTGTCGTCCCTTCTCCTATTGAAGCCAGTGCTCCTCCCACCGGTGCTAACCTCTATGCCCGTTTCGCCCTTGCTGGTGCTCTCTGTTGTGGTATCACTCACGGTGCTATGTAAGTTCATCTGCTGAAATGACAAGAACGACATTTCCGAAAGGATAGATGAGCTAATCTTTCTTTATTTTCATACATTCAATAGGGTAAAAACCTTATTATTCAAAGCAAACAGGCACTTTGAATCAATTCATTAACTAACTGTTGTAAATTTTCCATCCATAGACTCCCGTTGATGTTGTGAAGACCAGAATCCAATTATCTCCTGAAATCTATAACAAGGTAAGAAAGAGATACGAGGAAAATATATAAGGGAGAGTAAGAGCTGGGAATAGAAAAACAAACATAATATATAATATATATATATATATATATATGTGTGTGTATTATTGCATTGGGGATGACCTCAACGTCAGCGCAAATCAAAGAAAAAAAAAAAAACCAAAAACTAACAAGCCCCATCCGTCGTCGTTTCAAATGATAGGGTATGATTGCTGGTTTCCGTCAAGTTGTTCAAGCCGAAGGTGCTGGTGCTTTGCTTACCGGTTTCGGCCCTACCGCCGCTGGTTACTTCCTCCAAGGTGCTTTCAAATTCGGTGGTTACGAATTCTGGAAGAAGACCTTCATTGATTTGATCGGTGTTGAAAAGGCCCGTGAAAACCGTACTGCCATCTACTTGGGTGCTTCTGCTATTGCTGAGTTCTTCGCTGATGTTGCCCTCTGTCCTCTTGAAGCCACTCGTATTCGTTTGGTCTCTCAACCCACTTTCGCTTCTGGTCTCTTGAGTGGTTTCTCCAAAATCTTAAAGGAAGAAGGTGCCATCAAGGGTTTCTACTCTGGCTTCGGTCCTATCTTGTTTAAGCAAGTTCCCTACACTATGGCCAAGTTCGTTGTCTATGAACGTACCACGTAAGTGTTCTTTTTCTGGTTTAAGTCACCTTGAATGGAGTGTTCTCTTACGAGTAAAAGATAAATTACTCGACTTCATACAACGGAATGCGCTAATACATTACTCGTTACAATAGTGAATTAATCTTGAAGAGCTTGAAGACTCCTAAAGAAGATATTACTCCCTCCACAATGACCGTTGTCAACCTCTCCTCTGGTATTGTTGCTGGTACCGTTGCTGCTATTGTTTCTCAGCCTGCTGATACCTTATTATCCAAGATTAACAAGCAAAAGGGTGCTGAAGGTGAATCCCTCACTTCTCGTCTTCTTTCCATGTCCCGTCAATTGGGTGTCAAGGGTCTCTTCTTGGGTCTCGGTCCACGTATTGTCATGGTTGCTACCCTCACTGCTGGTCAATTGTAAGTTCAACATTTTATTGTAGAAAAAAAAAAAAAAAAAAAAAGTCGAGGCATAGGACTCATTTTTTTATTTTTATAGCGCTATCTATGGTGATATTAAGCGTGTCTTGGGTGCTACTGGTGGCGTTGAAATCGCTAAATAAGTGTTTTTGCAACAGCCTGATCTCAAGCATTACTTATTTTATTCTTTATTTTATTGTAAAAAAAAGCCACACTATATGATACACCCCCCTCTTCTTCTTTCTTTGTATTAGGTTGAAAGAAGAAATAGAAACACTCAAAATCATGAAAAAGAAAAGATTAGGATTTCTTTTTGTATGAAATAAACTGATCGTTTTTTCGTTTATAGACCATCTAAACTATATCGCTTAATGGATCGTAAACTCGGTGGTCGACTACTACTTTGATTATGAGTAGTGCTACTACTGCTAGCATTTGGCAAAGCATTGGGTATCGGTTGATGATGGTGAGGTTTTTTTGTGCTCAACGATGACCTTTCTATTGTTGGTACATCAGCAATATGTAAACGTTTCATCATTGAGCTCCAGCTTTCAGTGTTCGACTGTATTGCAATCTACGATCAAAACAGTAGTCTTTAAAGTCGGCTAAGCTGCAACAAAAACCATACTATACGAAATGTAAAGTGAAGTTACCTGATACGGAAATGGGTTTCCTTCTGTAGTTGTAATAGAAGGAATGTGTTCTTTATGCCCATTGACAATCTTTAGTATCTTTAACAAAGACTGTTTAAACTGATACTCGACCGACTTGACTAGCTTTGCCTGTTCCTGCTCTGCCGCTACTGTTGTGTTATCGTTTATTAAGTGTAATGTGATTGTCCATTGTTCCCAGCACACGAATTCTTCTGATTTCGAGAATTGGAACCAATTCTTTCTTAGCCGTTTCTCATAGAATAAAATGGCTACTCTTTTGGTAATCTACCCATCATTCTAAACCATGTTAAGGGTAGCCATTACTGCTTACTGGTTTATTTCATTGTCATGTTACCTTTCCTTGCTGTTTTGACTGTGAAGTAGATGATGGAGACACTGCTGCTGCTATTGAGGAGGAAGAGGTTGCTGTTGCTGATGGGTGTTGAACGCTATTCAAGTAATCGACAATTTTCTCTTCTATCAAATTTTCAATATCAGGACTGTCTGTAATGGACTATACGTGAAGAATACATACGGTGAAAAGTTCTTAGAAGTCTATTTCAATTCCTTTTCCTAATTATCATGACACTTTACTATGGAGGTATTCAAGACTCGCAGTTCTCGAGGCACCACATGGACAAGTAATCGATGAAAAATGATGGAATGCAGAAGACCTACACAATGTACATCCATGACGAATGATTTTTGTCAAGTTAATGAACTGTTGCTCTTTTTAATCAGTTGCAGCGAAAAAGAGTTCACATGACGAATATCAATAAAGAAAAACTTCTGTACCTCGAAGTACATCATTAACGAGAACTATAGGTATCGAAGACTAAATGGACGCCGTGACATTGGTAACAACAACATTAGAAGGCGAAACAAGTCAACCGAGCTTTTTAATTCTACTTTTACCAGTTCAAGGTTGAATTCTTGGGTCATATTAGTCATAATAGATGTGAATGGATTATTAAAGATGAAAAGAAGTTGTAATAAAGGGTAAATCATTATACCCTTTGAATTGGGTAACGTGCGAGCGGCATGAAATTTGTTCATTTTAACCTGCACCCACACTCTCAATCACTGATTTTCCCAAAAAAAGGCCTTACATCTTTCATTTTTGTCCCCCTTTTATTGAGGATCAAAACCCAGAACGGTCAACGTATTACCAACCATAATTAAACTACCCGTGGTTAATACTTGTACTTCATCTTGAGTTTCTGACGATATATCTATAGACAGTTCGACAGCGTCTTGTATGGTATCTACAATATGAATATTTTGCTTGTCAAAGTGAGGTACTTGCTCCGTCCAGCTGTTGGCTAATGTTTGCTGCACAGAGGTTGCCTCCTCCAAAGAGACCGTCTTGTTGGTATTGTCTGTGGTATAACCTTCGCGGTAAGTGATGTTGGTGGTAAATATCACATGATCAAACGGCACTTCCAATTGCATATCTGATATCACTCGTAATAAACGACTACTATCACGTCCGTGTGTACAGTTGAACATAAGAATTCTTTTCGATGCTGTGGTGGATTTTTTAACTGTATCCTTAAACCACAAAGAGCATGCTGTTAAGCTCTCTACAGTGTGCGCACCGTCTAGATACCATGTGATGTTCTTGTTTCTTGCTGCTGTTGCTGTTGCGTACAATTTGGTGTCTTGGAAGGGTAATATCTGTCCTCTACCCGGCCATTTCAATAGTTTAAGACCAGCCCTAAACCCTTCAGGCACGTCCTCTTTTTGTTGAAAGCTGATACTTTTGCTTCTATTTAACCATATTTTACAGATTTCAATTGCTGTCAAAGCATTATATTTTTGATGGATGCCCGCTAAGCCTGTTTACAATTGTTCATCATGACATATGAGTGGTTCATCCTGTCAATATCTGCCTATTCTTAGACTGTGTCCCTTACCGACTTCAACGTTATCCAATTTTGAAATGTCACTTGCACGCAACACTGTCAAGGGTGCATTTTTTTCTCTAGCTCTTCTTTCAATAACTTCCATAGCTTCTGGAACCTGTTCAAAAGCTACTACAGGAACGTTCAACTACCCAAAAGATAGAGCCATGTCTTTCGTCAGCATATACGCAGAAAAAAAAGGAAAAAAAAAAAGAAAAAAAAAAAAAAAGAAGTAGGGCAATACTGCCGCTCACCCTCTTCCTCAACCCCGTATATTTTACCTTAATGATACCAGACTTATGCCATGCAATTTGATCAATGGTGTTTCCCAATACAGAAACATGATCCAATCCCAATGCTGTTATACCACACACAATAGGCTGTTCGATGATATTCGTGGAATCATATTCACCTCCTACACCCACTTCCAAAATGGCACAGTCCACTTTTTCCTGGACAAAGGCATGGAGCGCGACCAATGTCAAATAACGAAAGTAAGTGGGTTTATCGGGATGTCCTCGCTTATTCTTCAAAACATCCTTGATCGTTTGTTCACTCAGTTGCATTTCACGCAAATATTCTTCCTTCGTTGCTTCCAATCTTTCCCAAACATCTTGAGAATATTTGGCAAACAGTTCCTCGCTTATAGGTTTACCATTAATACGTATGCGTTCACGAACGGCGACTAAATGAGGTGACGTGAATAAACCCGTCTTGATCTGTTTCTTGCGATTGTTGTCGTTGCCGTTGTTGTCATCCACCATAGGATAATTGTGCAAGATGGATTGAACAAAAGCACTCGTAGAGCCTTTCCCTTTTGTTCCTGTGACATGAATTAAGTTGAGTTTGTCAAAGTCTTTGGGTTCGTAGCCGATGCGTTTAAAATGTTGTCTCATTTCGGGTAGACTTCGATCGTTCATTCGTGGGCCGGCTTTTCGAAGTTCTTCTAATAACGCAGCATTGCTCTGCAATGAATTGAGTTTATCCACAGCTTCTTCATAAGTAAAAGTAGAGCTCATTTTTCTAGTGATAATGATACTTGGTAGAATCTGTAATCGGCTAGTTTGCTTTTTTAATGTAGATGAAAAGATAGACAGTATAAAAGGAAAGGAAGAGGAAGACTGTTTCATTCTTTTTTAATTTTTATTCTTTATTTATTTTGACAGCCTCCTGAATTTTGATAAAATGTTTGTAAATAAAATAAAGGCATCAAAAAAAAAAATCTTCTATTGATGTTGATCGGGCTGTTGTTGATCAGATGAAAACAAAAAAGAAATAAAAATACTGAATTTTTACTGGCTCAAGAGATTTAAGGATCTGGTATTGCTTCCACCTGTAATATTTGAAAGGATTGTAAGAGATATGTTGCACGTTTGTCTCCACCAAACAACGACTACAGCTCGCGTTTGCATTAGAATAAGCCTCATCATTGATACGACACAAAAGGTTATCTTTTTGTACTTTTATTCGCGTCCTTCAAAGGCCCAAGCTCGAGTTTAAAGAAGTGATGGTAAAATCAATTAATTTTTGCAGTAGGTATAATAGAAGCTGCTAAGGTTTGTGTACAATTATCGGACCAATAACATCAAAAAAGTAGGGGTGTATTTTTTCATACCTCTTATCAACACGTTTTTCTTTACAGCAGATCAGAGTTTGCCTTCTTCCAAAATCCAGCCACCTACGCCCTTCAAGACCTCATCACTCACACTATCAACGTGGGCCAAGTCTTTACCCACCACACTCACAACTACTCTAGCACCATCTTTGCCTTTTCCCCAATTCGGGTAACTTCCAATTTTGATCTGTTTCTCTTGACAAGACTTTTGAAGTTCTGTTAAGAAAGGTGCAATCTCTCCTTCTGGCAGCTTAGTAGCAATTTGAATACGGTGATAGGACTGAGGATGCGTTTTGAAAACAATCGATTCCAAATGTGGCCTTACGACTCTTTCCAGTAAACTTTCAAATAATTTAGGTATGCCTGGTAAAACGTGTATATTGTCATTGACGACGACAACAGGGACCCATAATAACTCATCTTCTTTCTCGTCCATACGCAATTTTTTAGATGGCTCAGGAAAAATAGCCATTCTTTTCCTAGCTTCTGTTAATGTCCATTGGGGTTGGTCCGGCTTTTTGTTATAGGTCATGGCAGCAGACCTTTCCATACGAAGACAAGTTTCTTTATCCAACTGAAGTGGTAATTGGAAGGCTTTGGCAAGGGCTGAGTAAGTGATATCATCATGTGTAGGTCCAATGCCTCCGCTTGTAAATACAAAGTCATGATGGCTGGAAAGTCGTTTGATGGTCTCTTCAATAGCGTCATATTCGTCAGGAATAGTTTCGATACGTTTTAGATCAATACCCAACCGAAACAGATATTTTGCTAAATATTAAAGCACATATTGCCAATGGTCAGCTACTTGTGTCTAGAGGTTTTGAGCTAGCAATATATGCCCAGTAAAACAGACTTTACATATAAGTAAGTTATGGCGGGATAGAATATTTACCAAGAAAGTGAGCATTGGAATCTCTTGTCTTGCCATTCAAGATTTCATCTCCAATTATACAACATGCAGCAGAGAATGACGATTTTTGTTGGCTCATAATTTGTCTTGAGTATCTATGTAGGCTGGTGATAGAGAACGGTCGCGCGAGAAAAGGTTTAAACATGATTTTTTTTTTATAAAAAAAATAAAAGGCAAAAAAAAGCATGTCTCCAAACAGCAATAACGCAAAAAGGCGGGGTAAAAGTTAAAATTGCAAGATTTACTGAGCTGTTGCTGCCGGCCTACAGCCAAAGTTGTATGATTTTGATAATATCTGCCCGATATGAACACTTTTCTGTAGAATTCTAAATTGCCTGGACATCGCTGCTCTTCTACTGAATATTGTTGGAACGTTGATTGGATCCTTACTGTACGTTAATATGATTTACATTTTCAATGATTAGTCTATATACCGTAGCTAACACGGTTTTAATACTAAAAGTTATGTTTTATGCCACGGTTTTCAAAGACGTTTGCAAAATGTAAGTTTGTACATTGCACTGTACATTTTCATCATATACAAATCAATCAACTAGACTTTCCATAACTTACTGCTGCTACATTACTTTTGCTTCTTCTAATCCTTATTGAATTCATTCAAACTTCAATCGTGGTCAAAGCATTTTCAATTATGTTCTATTTTCTAGGTCGTGGCATTTGTAAGTCTTTCAGGAACATATCAATTTGATGTGTTTGGCAGCTAATAAGCTTATTTAATTCTTCAAGTTTACATATTGTAGGGTTCTCAAAAGTTTACTAAAAAGACACCGTGTAGCTAATTATCTAAATTGACACGTATCTTTATAGCTTAAGTTTAGTAGCAATAGAATTTGATTTCGATACTGTAATCAGCAATTGCATAAGTAAGTTTGACATTTCCATTGGTGATAAATGATGTACTGACGTTCCCAATGCTAATAGATTATTGTAGTCGGTCTTGTCTATGTCCTACTACATTTCGTTCGAAAGAACCAAGAGCCTGAGTTTATGTCTTTCAAACGTTATCAGTGTTTGATATGGGAGATCTCGCACGAATTTCCAGTAGCAAATAATCAGCGAGAAACTTATCCTGTAGCGCATCAAGTACCTATGGTTCAGCCGGAACAGGACATAGTTCTGCAAGACCAAGTTACTAATACCAACAATATACCTGATCCTGCTCCTGAGGAGAAAGAAGAAGTATAGAAACCGGCACCGATCATTCACTTACGAATAATTAACTGTACATGCTTTATCCCTAAAAAAATCACCTTTATTTGCTGTTAAACGCCCAATTAGGCTTTATAAGAGATGCGTTGATTTACTTCCGAAATTCTAGCAGTCTAATGTACAACTATATTATCTTAATCTAACCTGAATTAATGGACACATTTGCCTCAAAATAAAACTTAGTTAGGAGAGAAAGAAAAAGCGAGAATAACTGCATATAATCCTTTTATTATTGCTGTTTTTTCCCTATTCTTAATTTATTCAATTTTTCTAAACTACGAGTAAACTATCTGCAAAATAAGATACAGTAGACGGATACACTTTCAGTTACTGTTTCTTGCAGAAGAGTCATCGAAATAAGGAAGCTAAAGAAGCGGTGTTCTACTGTATGATCAAATTGGAACGAGTATATCAATCACATTGCGTCACCTAACCACGATTAGACCAAGACTAAAGGCTACTTCATCACGACAAGCTCGCGAGCAAGTGTCTAGTTGATAGAGAACACTATTAAACAAGCAGTAATATCACGATTCCGAATGGTACTCATAACTGCGCTCACTCATACTCTGTTGACAATTTGGATTTAGAATAGACAAAATGATAGGTAAAAAAACACCGTCAAGTCGGTCTACGAAATGAAGGCATGGTGTACAGAATCAAAAATTTTTTTTACTGCGGTTAGTTATCACAAACACAACACACTTTTGAATTGTCAATGAAGATACTGAATTTTCTTCATTTTCACTCTACTTAATTATCTCTGTTCTTTAAATGGTGCCATGATCTTTTTTCTAGGGGCACTGGATAGTTACAGGTGAAGTGTTGCTAGAGGCTTCCATCTGTTTTTCGGAACCAGCAAAAAAATTTTTTTCTGTTATTTTCCGCAAGCTTCCTTCATTGGAGGCTTCTGGAATAACAGTCAAGTGAGACGGTTACCGAATCAATGTCAGATAGGGATCGAAAAAGTATAAAAAGAAAGGAAAAGTTGACAAGAGTTTTGTTTCTTTAGTGACCGTACTCTACAGGATCTGTATTCAGTACGTTTCAATTCTACGTTTTCTAAACTAGATACAATACCAAAGTTAGTCGATGATTGTTAGTAGACCTTCTTTTGAGTGAAGTGTGGCAATTGCCGGCTCTCTGAGTGGCCTTTGTCAGTTGATGATCTCGCCTGTCTTCTATTCCAGAGACATGGCAAGGAAGGAGCTACAAGTCTGATAACTTAAACTTTTTTTTATAATTTCTTTATTATACAATGAAAATGCGAATGAAAAATTAAGTCATACATGGCTGTGATATGATTAGAATGCGTTATGATTCCGTAATTTCAGCTTGATACGGCGTAGCTCTGAATCGAGTTTGTCAAGCCTTGTTTCTAATTCTTCTCTACGCTTTCGAGTCAGAGCCTTGTTGCCTCCACTTACAGGCGCTTTGTTATACTCACATTGTAGCTATTATGGTTGAAAGAACTCAACAATTGATCTTCTTTTGGCTCACTACCGATTAGTTTGCACTACTTACAATTTCTTTTTCTACGGTCAATTGCTGAAGTTTCGTATGAAGGTCTGTGATGTACGTGCTTTTGTCAGTTGATTTGTTACGCTTAATACTTGGTGCAGAGCTTTGAACGCTGGGATCTTTTACGTCGAGTTTCGCTGCATCGTTATTGTGAATATTTGTATTACTAGTAACATCTAACGATATCGTCACATTGCTTTTCGTTGACCGACTCTTTGAAGTTAAGGTTGATGGTTGCCGCCGAGAAGAACGTCCACATTTCAACTCTGAAACGAAAGCATCAATCGATCTATTGACGTAGTAAAAGAAAAAGTAGTTTAAGAGTGATTATCCGGAAATTATAATCGTTGAAAGCTTTCCAGAGAATGAGTAAAAAGAGAGAATGGAAAATAAAAAAGAATTACGTTGTAGGCGATAATGTGGTATTCCAGTCGCTGTTAAAAACTCCCAACTTTAAGAATTGTTCCATAGTTGATTTTAGCAGTTTTATTTGACTTTGTGCTTGATGAAGCTGTATTGTCAAACGACGATCGTTACTTCCTTGCTTGGTATTTTCAAAAATTGTCACATCTCGCACATCTAGTAATTGTTTATTTTTCTTTTCCAGAATTTTAACTTCCTGTGATTTGTCTGCTATCTCTTTTGAATAAGACCTGTTTTTATTCTCCAAATGTCTGGAACACGAGTTGCAATATAATCTATTATGTAAGAACAAACCAATGTCAAGAGAATTTGCTAGTTGAAGTTATACCTTAACTGCTTGAAAGTTTCATTCATCTTGTCCAAAGTTTTCGTAAGCTCCTCTTTGTACCGTTCCTTTTCCACCTATATAAAAAGTATAGTATGGTGAGCAATCTGAAAATTGCAATTCTTTTCTGTTTCTTGGATCTGTACTTTTTCTTCCTCAAGTCTTTTCTTTAATTCATTATTTTCCAATACTGCTTCGTCTAAACTTTTACTTAGGAAAGCAATATCTTTATTGAAAGCTATCATTCGAAGTATAGCTATGTCAGTAGCCCGGAAAAATAATTCTTTTTGGTAATAGCCTGTACCTTCTTTTTGTTTTTGGAGTGCCTTTACAGTAGCTCTTTCTTTCTCTATTGTAATATGGAGACGTTCGTACTTTGAGTCGCAGCTTTGAACGGATGCACTTGTGCTACGTAAGCTACACAAGGATCGATTGCTATTTTTGCGATGTAATTGCTTGGTATCAAGATGCTTAGCATTGTGGCGTTGCTGCTGTTGATAACTGCTAAACTCTACCGAAGACTCATCTGAAGGGGCAGTTTCTTGATGCCGTTGTTGTTGTGAATGTTTGGTGTAATCTCTTGCCTTCTTCTGCTGTTGCTGTTCTAGTTCGTGTTGATTTTGCTCGTACATAGATTCTGCAGGCAGTACGGTCCAGTCACCCTTTACAGATTGCAGTGATGTACTGTTATATTTTGTATTATCACAATTGATAGCTGTTTCAATAGGTATTCCGTTTGTTGTTAAGGGAGCTGTAGCAGAGGTATTAAAATCAACACCGATGAGCTGAACAAATCGCTGCGTTTGTCCATCATAGACTAATAAATTTTGTAGAGCATTGTTGGTTGGAGTCGTAGGGGGTTTGCAATAATTGTTACAGACATTCACATCAGTAATTACGCTCATGGGAGGCGAAGGTGTCGTGTAGTTACGTGTTACTATCGCAGACTTATCACATGATTGACGAATGTGGTGATGGTAAAGATGTTGGTGATTCAAATATGCATAATGTGGTTCAGTATTAGAACGTGGGTTTTGACAGCAAAATGGTGGCTCATGCATAGTGCTGTAATCTTCGGCAGGGGGTGAAGCTAAATCTAAAGGAGTATATGAATAAGATTGATTCTTATTATAGATACTACAGGTAGGCTCTATATATGATAGAGGCCGTCTCCTTGAAGGCTGTTGTATCTGTTGGGCATCACATTTAACACCATTGGAGTTATACTGGGGAGCAGAAGCAGTTACTATAAATGGCTGCGAAAGTAACTGCTGATTATGCTGCAAAGATTGTGCCATAGAGGACGTTGTATTGAACGAGTGATGATGTTGGAGGAGAGGTCTATGAGTTTCAGTTGCTTTGAGATCATTATTGTTGTGCTGCACAGACTGTACCTCGGATGAGTAAATGGAAGAACTTGCATAATCATTGTTCACTTTGACATTTTGTGGGATTATAGCTATATCATGATTAGAGTTCGTAAGCAGTTGTGTATTGTCAGTATAAACTGTGTGAGAGCCATGCCGAATGTCATTTTTAATCGGCTCGGATGCTTGTATGTTTCCATCAAAGTTGTCAAGTTTCTTTCCATGTAAATCAGAATGCATATCATTTTTCAATTGCTGATCTTTCAAAGGTTCTTGCTGCTGTTTGGATCTTTTTGAAACTAACTCTTTTGTCGCGGTAGTTGTTGCTTTTTTTTCCAAGGTCCTATTTCCTAATAGCTGAGATATATCAGGTTTTGATTCGTCGGTTGAATTATTATCGCTTTTATCAAATGTTTGTGAAGCTTTCAACGTCGTTGGTGTTGTCGTAGTAATATTGCCAGTTTGGAAGGAAGTTTTTTTGGAATTACCACTTGCAGCATCTACTTCTTTGGTGGACTGTATCTTTGTTTTAGTCTCTTTGCCTGTCTTTTTAAATAGAGTAGACACGTAGCTTGTATGCTTTTCAAGAACAGTTTTATTTTGGACCGGAGCCACTGCTGATGAATCTATTGCCGATTTAGTATTATGGCATCCTAAGAAAATAAACACATTTTCAAAATTTATGTTAGACACAATGTAACTGAATCAAACATATTCAAATTCAGGTAAGTTACCTTTTATGCTTCCTTTTGATGGATCATATCTGTATGTAACCTTACTCTTTTTAGCAGTACTAGGCATCGTGTTTGAATTTGTTTCTACTACTATAATGGTTAGCAACTGTGAATATTTCAATGAAAACAGTGATAATGTAGACGCTACCAGTAACAGTACGTGTTCTTTCGTCCATTTTGCCATTTTTGACTGATTTGGTATATATGACACTCCTACGCTTCGATTCTGCGTCTAGGCTGGTATTGGTCGGCATTCTATGGTGAAGGTCGTTTCCAAAAATTGCTGCAACGATAATTCAACGCTACGTTCGGTAAGAAAGGAAGCGAAAAGGATAAGGAACGAAATACAACTCATATTCCTTCAATATAGTTTTCGAATAAGGAGTGTTTTCAACAAAAAAACGAACCTTCAAGGCTACAGACCGCAAAAATTGAGAAGAAAAAGTTTAATTGTTCAGGACGGTCATAAAGGATGGGAAGAAAGGAAGATCTTGAATAAACACGAGAAGGTACCTTAAAAAGCCATAAAGGGGTAAAGCAAATGAGGGGTTGGTTTTACAGTCCAACAATAAAGCTCATTCTGCGTCTGCGTATGAAACAACTTATTTTACGCTAATTCACAAAGTAATTTTCTATAAGACTTTCCTCTTTTGTTTCATCAGCAATGGCTTTTTTTTTTTTTTTTTTAATTCTTTCGTTGGTGTTAACTACCTCAACATGCACAGCTAGCTTCGGTAATACCAGTATCATTCTAAATGAACTTCTCCTTCTCACATTGACCTCTCAACTTAAAAGCTCGAATATCATAACTCACACGGAGCTTAGGATAAAGAAAAAAATGGATTACTTTTCTCCGCTCATTCATGTGGTTTTCGTTTCGTCCATATTCAAAAGATTATAGCAGCTTCTTTCCAATGACCTCTATAAGAGATGGATAAAGTCTTACCAAATGAGACGTTGTCGCATATTCTAGGTTACCTGAAAACAGATCAAAATACTCTTTTCCAATTAGGTCAAACTTGCAAGAAGTTTTGCGACTTGACTTCTCCTCTTCTATACAGAGCGCCTAAATTTGATACACTCGATCAGTTTGAAAAGTTCACAAATGCGCTGACGGATATGAATAGTTCTTATGTACGGCATATTGATCTGCATATGGTGCCTCATCGCTGGAATTCCAGCTTAATAAATCCTTTACTTTACTCAATGGCCTTGAAAACTACCGAATTAGAATCACTGAATCTGGATTTATGCTCTCAACTGTAAGCTTATTTTTCTTTATCGTTATAAATTGCTACACATTGATTCTCATTGCGCTTTTTGACTTCAGTACTAACAAAGCTCTAGCAAGAATAACGGAACGACTGCACGACTTGAGATTATTATCATTAGATCAATGTGAACTGATCGGCGATGAAGCTGTTTGTGCTTTGGCGGCAAACTGTCCCTATATCCAAGATTTGTATTTAGGCTCTACGCAAATTACAGACAATGCATTGTACTTGCTATCCGCGCAATTTATCCTTCTGACACACTTGCATGTCCCTTATTGTGAAAGAATAACGGAAGCAGGTGTCAACAAATTGATCAGTGAGTGCAAGACGTTAAAATATCTTAATATCAGAGATTGCTATAATGTAGTAGGAGTAGATATGCTACCGCAGTCCACTGATAGACGAACGTCTATGTTAGCGGCTGGTACGTTGAACGATGAAGAAGACGACGATGAGTGGACTGACTTGGACGATGAGGAAGAAATGTAGATATTTCATGCGTAAAAATCTCCGTCTGGCCTGATCTGCCTTTTATTCTTAAACACTTTTATTTCTTCATCATTTATCTCTATCCTCCCCTTTCAACTTAACTCAATCAATAATAAACTTTCAAAATAACTGAAATGACAACAGAAGATAGCACCGTTACAGCTGTCGAATACGTTGAAAACCAGGAGAGACTTGAAAAAGAAGCACAAGACATCCTTCCTGGAAAGTTTGAAAAATGTACTTTTTCTTTAGGTTATATCCGTCAACCTCTGTATGCTTGCAAAACGTGTTCAGTTGATAACGAAGACAATAAAGAACCTGCTGGAATGTGTTACAGCTGTTCAATCGCCTGTCATTCTAATCACGATCTGTTTGAATTGTTTCCGAAACGTACATTTCGTTGTGATTGTGGTTTGCCTGGCAAGTTTGGAGATCATCCGTGCTCACTCATGATCCCTGCAAAGAAAATTGTAAAAACGAACGAAAAGAATGCTTATAACCACAATTTCCAAGGTCGTTACTGCAGGTATAGCGTTTTTTACGTTCCTAATATGTACATAGAAGTGTATACGTCTGAATATCCAAATGCTTATCATTCAAATAATAAATTAGATGTGATCAACATTATGATCCTGATACGGAAGAGGCCACAATGTATCAAGTAATTACCAAATTTCGTTTTTTTTTTATTACTAATTTAGACAGACCATTGATAATGTATCGATACGTAAATCTCTATTTAGTGTCTAATTTGCGAAGATTGGTTTCATGAACGCTGTATCGGAAATGTAAAATATACTCGCGATAGAGAGAAACGCATGAAAAATCACGTAATTAAATCAAGCGCGTTTTTTTTTTTTTTTTTTTTTTTTTTCAAAACTTACATTTTAGATACCTGAGGAGATTGCGAATTTTGACTGTTATGTTTGCAGAACATGTACCAAAAGATGTCCTTTCATATTAAGCGGGAAAGATTCTCGCTTTAGTTATGGTTTATCAAAGGGACAAGCACCTATAAGCAAATGGATAATTCCAGAAGCGGTTGAACCTGTTACAGAGAAGGTTACATCCAGCAACGGGCTCGAAAACTCGTCTGTTTCCGTCGACAAACCTAATATCGATGTGAATACACAAAATAAGGAAAAAGCAGCACCATCTATACCTACTACAAAATCGCAAGATAGTGAAACAGTTACTATAGAGAAAAAACGAAAGCATAACGAAGACGAGGAACATTTACCATTTACAACCCAAACCAAATTGAAGAAGCAAAAGAAGCATGATACTTATTGTGAAAATAGTAAATCCGACTATTAGTCAAAGTAATAATTTCTTTTAAAAAATGGCTAACGTATCGTTTCTAGTCGATCAATCGTTGTTTGCAGGATACGACAACGTTGAACTCTTCCTCCAAGATGAATGGCGTCAAGGGTTATGTAAATGCAAAGAAGTGAGTGAAAGCCACATTGAAGTTCATTCATTCGAATTATGATGCTCATCCTCACTTTTGTTACGTAGTGTGCGCATGCCTATAAAGATAACAACGTCGAATTTTTATTGCAGGAAGAAGAAACTTATGAACCTGAGGAGGATGAAGATAGCAAAAAGTCACTACTCCAGATTGGAATGGAGCAGCTTCAACACGTGGATCGCGTTCAAGTGATTGAAAGTTTGATGGCTTATAAAACACTTGCAGCGGATATAAAAGGATATTTGGAATCCTTTAAAGAAACAGGAAAGGTGGTGACTAAGAAAGACATTCAAGACTTCTTTGACGTAAGCCTCTTGCTTGTTATTGATCATTTAGAACTTAAGTGCTTATCCTGTATATTATGTAGGCAAAACGACGAGATCGCCAAGAACAACAATAAAAATCATGTACTATTTATTCAAAATATACAGTAAGCGTAGATCTTATTACCAAAAAGAAAGACGAAAGGATATAGTATGTTGTATACAGTATTAATACTAGCTTGAAGAATCTATAAGCGAACTACCAATCATCATCTTCATTATCATGGTCTTGTGAATAAGCTTGCTGCCTTCTCGCTTTAAGCTATCATTTAAAAAAACATAGAGTTAGTGACGAGTGATTTTCTAAAAAATACAATAAATTGTCACTCTTTAAGAATCTTGCAAACTTACAGCATCTGCTAAAGATAAGGCAGGATTGTTATTTCTAGGAGGTGCATGTGGTGCTGTAACTACACGAGAAAAAGAGTTGTTGCTTCTCGTGGGAACGACTGGCTTCGTAGGAACAACTGGTTTAGCACCAGGAATAGGAGTTGTACGTCTTACAGTGGCTGTCGGTGTCGCCATTGTGTTGGTAATAGGTGCGCTTTCAAAACTATTACCGTCACGTTCTACCTTCCAATATGGGATGCCATTTGCTGCTTGTTGTGCTTGGCCATTCATTTGCTGTTGTTGTACGGGAGGAGGCGGTGGTGGTGCTCTTCTTCTAACTGGCGGTGCGGGCGGGGTTGCCGTGGGCTTAGGTGCTATGTATTCTTCAAGATAATTACTGGGAACCCAGCCTTCTTTACCATTTATACGTGCTAGCCACCAACCTATATAGTGTTAATTCGGTTAGTTATAGGTTACTGATTTTTTCTATGTTTTATAATGCATTGCTTACCATTTTCGTCCTTCTCAATAACTTCCATTATATCTCCCTTCTGGAACGATACTTCGCCTCCTTCCTGTGATTGGAAGGGATACATAGCTCTGTAGGTGGGGTTTGCCGGTTGTGAAGCAGCTGGGACAAGTGTAGGAGGGGTGTTGATAGATGGAGCAGAACCAGTTGTTGATGGCTGTTTGCTCAAAGTTGGTGGGAGAACGTTATTTACACTAACAGGCGCATTATTGTTAACCGAGAGGTTTTCTGTAACAAGTTTTCCTGAAACATTTTTGCGAACAGTCTGGCCAGTTCCTGCTGGCTTCATGCTCAACTTTGATTTCCTAGCTGCTGACGGACGAGATGCTAAAGGAAAAGTAGTATGAGAAAACAAGTTCTAATGCGACAAGCTTAGTATATTTTTATGAATTACTGCTTGAGGGGGGTTCACCGGACGGAACATTCACGACATGACTTTTATAGACATCGTCACGAGGAACCTTTTCATCCTTAATAAATTTCATTGTCACTGTTTTGCCACCTTTTTTTCTATACTGTATCTGAGGGCTGACATTGACAGCGATGCGTCCATTTGTAAGCTGAGACAATCGAGTAAGAAGTTCAGTTTTGAAGACGCATGATAAAACAAAATCTTCTGGCGAGGAATCGAGTTGGAGGACCATCCAATCATCACGTAAAGTAGAAACGTTAACACTTTTGATTACGTTTAGAGAAAGTACTCTTTCGTCCATCATTTGTAAGGTTTTTCCATTCTTTGTAGTGACGACAACGTGCAAATTTTGGTTCGTCTATATATAATAGTTAGTGCGTCAGCTATTAAATAAGCAAGAGCTCCCTTCCATAATTACCAGCACAAATGTTCTTGGACTTGGCACGCTTGAGCGCATTGGTCTTGGAACAAGTGTTTGACCTTTCATGCTGAATACAATCTCCTCTCCTGGTTTTAAATTAAAAGCATTGCGAATCATGGCTGCTAATCCTGACCCTTTCTGCACATCTAGATAATCTCCCAGAAATATACGCTGACTGATGAGTGAGAATCTACGACGCTCTTTTCTACCTCCAAGGAGCTGGTGACCCTGGTCTCTCAGCTGCAAATAACCAATATTATATTTGTTTTGTCTCCAAAATCGTTGGATCTTTCTGGCACATTCATTTTTATAGCGAACATGTGCTCGCCAAGCTCTCTGTATCCGAATGGCCATATTGTGCCAATATTTATCCCTTAGACTTTCAAGAGCAAAAATCTATCGATACAGAGATAAGTTAGTCGATGTTCTTAGTCAGTGGTTGTCTTCACTACATACAATCTCGGGATGTTTGATAAAAACTTTAGTTGTTCCCATCTGCCATTCCTCCTTTGCGATATTATTGTGTTTCAAAATTTCCATACAGCCACTGCGTGCATCTCCTTGCCATATATAATCACCAGCATAACCAGTTTTAGGACAAAGTAAATAGAATCTTTCAACAAACTTATCGAATCCCTAATATTAATCAATTTCAATTGAGTAAAACTGTAGGCCAATAAACAAAGCAACATATACTTACAGTTCTATAAGCAAAACCAGCTCTTCTAACTCGAATATTCTCACACAGCCCGAGATATTTGATCTGGTGAAGGACCCTTCCTTGGTCGTATTCAGTACAGCTTTTGTAGTCATTGGGCTTGATGGTTCGAATATAACTAGGGTGACACATCATTAACTTCTCAACTAGGGCGTTACAGGATAACTTGATTCTATCACTTGCAGTAGGTGGTCTCTTCTTGGAATTGGGATCAATACGTTCGGGGAACAAGGTGCTGGCAATAAATGGATCTTTAGAGCTGGCAGTTAAGTCTAAAAGATCCTTCAATAAGGCATCCTTATTCTTATCTGTTATGCCTGGAATAGTGTAATTCACATCTCCTGCGTAGTGACGGATCAAAAATTGAGAACCACGAGCTTCAAAATGTGGATTGGAGGATAGGAAGCCAAGTCTTTGAACGAAAGAATTGTCAGCAGCGCTAGGATCAGCATGAGCAGTAGCACATGCATCGTTAAGAGCGGCAAAAATACCCGGAGGACGCTTTGCTTCAATTAAATCGCATACAACTTTGTTATCGAAGAATTTGATAGGATTCCACTGAATCTGTTCACGAACATATTCTTCTTGCTCTGCCTTCAAGGTTAATTCGATGAAAATTTGTTGCAATTTTTCATTGACATAGTTGATACAGAGTTGTTCAAAGTGATTACTCTCAAAAATCTCAAAACCGTAAATGTCTAAAACGCCCATAGTATTTTGAACATTGGCTCGAGCCTGCAGTGATACGTTTATACGCGCCACAATCCATTCAAATAATCGCTCATAGATTGATTTCGCCAGCGCATCTCGTACTGAAGATGCTTGATTTATATTCAATGGGACTTCATAAACACTTCCTCTGCGATTGCCACGCTGAGTCTCCATGATACGGACAGTCAATGCCTTATTTAGTGCTTCATATTCCACTTGACAGAGATAGGCGATAAAGTTGATTACTAAGAACAAAAAAAAAAAAGGACGAAATGGTTTAATAGTTATTCTTAGTAGAACTCACTAATGTAATTACCATCAGGATCGGTTACTGCTGCATGTCCTTGATCATCTTCAGTAAAAACAACATTCCCCAACCAAAGAATCACTGAAAGCAGCTTGAAAATGGCATCCTGTTCAGATTTTTTCAGGCCAATTATTTCCATCGCTTTCTAAATACATTCACAGATAAATGAACCAGCCCTCTTGATAATACAAATATTGGACGTTGACTTACCAAAGTTTCCTGAAAATCTTTTGTATCGTCTATACCTTCAACGTCCAAGCAATTACTACGCATCGTATATAAAAAGCTCTCAGGTCCCTGCAAGCCAAATTGCTCTTCAATTCGAAAGCTTTAGTTGAACAGTATTTTTCCTGACTTGAACACTTTTTACAAATACCTTTATATTCAGCTGTTGCTGCCTTTGTCAATTGATAAAAAATGTGGAAGTTTCTCTCATTTTCAATTTGCCCAACAACGCGATTCTACAATTGAGTGAGTTAATTGTATGAGTCCTTTCTACAAACACCGTTAAAATATATAACTACCTTCTCCAATAAATAGTTCGTAATGATTGCACCAACAGGTTCACCTTGGGAGCTAAACTGAATTTCGAGATATTTACCCTAAATGAAAGTAGATGCAAGTCAATTTTTTCTTTCGTACATGCATCAAATAATTGTCTCAATCAATTACATGTCTACTAGAATTATTGTTTCTAAGTGTTTTAGCGCAACCAAAACTTTCCAATAAGGGGTTTGTCGCCAGAACCATCTCTTTGATCTCTTGAATAGCGGCACTTCTTTCTTCAGAAACTGCTGCAATGTATTGCATAATTCTCTTTGCTGCTTCAGTTTTACCAGCACCAGACTCACCACTAATGATAATGCATTGGTTTTCTTTATAGCTCGTCATATGGTGGAATGCGGATTCAGCAATGGCAAAGACATGTGGTGTAACCTATGGTTTGCGTCAAGTTATTCGTTGATAAGTACAGGAAATTTGTGCTACCATCATCATGCTTTTATTCAATTCCTTACTTCTAGTAGATTTTTGCCTTTATAACTGTTCAGAACAGTGTCAGTGTAAATTCCCAAATCTTTGAACGGATTGACACTGATCAGTACGTGGCTGATATACGTCTAATTAAAGGCTGTTAATATTTGTACAAGTGACAACTGATCCTTCACAAGACTCTCACATATATTTCGCCATTCTTCCATCGTAATTGTAAATTGTCATTGATGGCTTCATCAGTGATTTTTGTTAGCAAAGTCATATCAGAAACACCAACTTGTTTCTTCTTCATGCCATCTTTCCAGTCTGCTCTTGCAGGTCTCTTGGCCTTAATGACCTTCTTTTCTCCTCCACCTTTTTTCTGGTTACCAAAACGCTACACGAAAATATGAGACGTCAGCTATATAATGGTGACAATAAGTTGAAAGATGGCTGGACTTGCCTTCATGGTACTTCTTCCGTAGTTGAAGAAAATTATAAGAGAAAAAGTATGAACGATAGGGCTCTTATTTAAAATCGCTTTCTTCGTCCAATAGCTGGATTAACGATATGTTTCAGTTCCGTGATTATTTTGGTACCCCAAAATACATAAACCATGAGTTACATTGATCCATGTGCAATAAGAAGTAATGTAGCATGCAAGGAAACTAACTCATAATGATAAATTTTATCTTTGGGGACCAATGCTTTAGCTATATTCTTATTGCCTCTATTTTACTCCTGTTGACAGCTATAAAAAATGAATGCTAAAGATTATCAGTAAACTTGTCACAAAGTACGACAGCAGTAGGCTTTTAATTTTTATGGCCTGAGAGGATCAAAATGCCTCTGTCGTTAAACCTCTTTGACCTTTTTTGTTCTTCAAACAAAAAAAAAAAAAAGAAAAACCAGAAGGCAATCATGGAAGTGCTCAAATCTAACTTCGAATCAAAGCTTCCTCTCATAGAAAAAGCTTTATTAGAAGCTGATTTTATCGCCATTGATGCTGAATTTACAGGTACAGAGCCGTAAGCAACAACGATCTAAGTTGATCCAACTTTCCCAGATCTGCATCTTTCTATAACTCACTTATTGTGTTTCTAGGTCTTCAAACGCCAGATATCCAATTTCAACAGATTGACGATTTAGCAGTTCGCTACTCTAAAATGAAAAGTTGCGTCCAAGAGTTTACTATCATTCAGTATGGCGTATGTGCCTTCAAAAAGGATGAGCAAACCGAAGCTTATCATGCCAAACCGTTCAACTTTTATATATTTGGTGCTGATACAAATGAAGTTCAAAGCCGAAGAATTTTTTCTGCTACACCAAGTAGTTTATCCTTTCTAAGGTCCAATAAGTTTGATTTCAACAGATTAATTGAAGAAGGTATCCCCTTCTACAACTTCAATGAAGAAAATTCAATGTTCCAGTCAGTTCAAGGCACCAGTGTCCTTAATCGCCGAACGATGATCAAAGGTATACTGATAAGATATGAGACTTTGATCCATTAATATACTCATACCTAAAAATATTTCTTTTCATTTCAGAATCTACACTCAATAAATCGGGCAAAAGCTTCCTTGACTATAACCGCAACACCATCAAGAGATGGTTACAGGGAAATACAGAGAAACCACTTATAGTACAAGTGAATAGCAATTTTTACAGGAAATTGATCTATCAAGAAATTCAGGACAGCAAGTATAATGGGTTTTTGCAAGCGTCACAGAGAGATAGTAGACATCTGGAAATTACAAGGGTTAAAGAAGAAGAAAAACGCAAAAAGTCTGCAAATGTAATTCTCAATGAATGAATAGTAGGACTTCTTATTAAGCAAGTTCTAACAGTTTACCTGTTATTCTGACCTCTATTTTTAGTCTCCAAAATTAAATTTTCGCACCATAATCGATATGATAAGACGTGCAAAATGCCCAGTAGTAGCTCATAATGCAGCATTCGATATTTTTCATACTGTTGATCAGTTTTGGCAATATTTACCAGAAAATATTGAAGACTTCAAAACGATCTGTAACAGCATGTGGCCAACGATTGTTGATACCAAGTATTTGGCTGAATACCACCCTATTCTGAAGGTAATCGCGGATGCACTAAATTTACTGAAGCTGCACAACCTGTGATGCTAATGTTGATATAAATTTAGACCTGTTTTGATACTACTGTTTTGGGTTCCTTGTTCAATTCTATCGAAGCAGAGTTGAAGGAAGCTGGAGAAGAGATTGGTTAGTTTAATTAGGTCTCCATTCTTTCTCGATATATACTAACGTAAGTTATGTTTCTTTAGTTATGGCTGAAGGTTTTGATAGGTATAAAAATACTGAAAATGAGCACGAGGCTGGCTACGATGCTTATATGACAGGAACAATTTACCTCGCATTCATAAAATTCATTCACGAAAAACAAGGTAAGCATGCCCTTAAGAGTTAGGATGGATGTCATAAGTTTATTAAATCAAATATAACTTTAAAAGAGGAACAAAAGCGGAAAGCAGAACAAAAGGAGTCTCTGAAAAGAAAGAGATCATCGTTGGAAGACAATTCAGAAAGCAGCTCTCCCTCTACCGCTTCAACTCAAGTCAACCGAAAAACAATTTTCAAGGATGAGGATAATGGAGTCGAGATGGATACAGAAGTTGCGAAAGAGGCGTTAGACGATCGAAGGAGTGAGAAAGAAGAAGGAGAAGCAGAAACATCAAGTGAGTCTGACTCAGAGTCTGGTTCTGACTCTGACTCGGGCTCTGATTCTGACTCGGGCTCTGACTCTGATGACTCTAATAATGAAGGAATAAAGTCTAGAAATATTTTCATGGACAAGTCGATTAGGCCTTATTATGGTCGCATATTTTTAATGCGCAGTGATACACCTTACATCAACTTGAAGGGACAAGAAACGGTTAGTTATTTTTGTAAATCAGTTACCTTTATTGCAAAATTAATATTTTCTTTTGTTTTTTCATGGTTAGATTGAAATCGTGACGTACCCTAATAAATTCTTCCTTCATAATATTCCTCCTGGATTGACAAACACAGCACTTGAGAAGCTGTATGAAACAATTCAACCATTTGCCGTTTCCTGGATTAATGATCACAGTGCTTGGATCATTTTGAAAGATGAAACGAAAATACCGTTCGTCAAGCTAGGTTTGTTGGGTTTGTCTCTAGTGCAAAGCTTTCTACCAGGCTGTTCCCGCCAAGCTGAAGGACAAGCCTATGGAATTACAAAAGAAGCAGGAAAAATGGAGCTTTTATCTCATCAGCAATGGCAAGAAATATACGGTCCCAAAAGAACTGTGAATTACAATAATACAGCATCTATTATGAGACTTAATAATTTTAACACAGTCCACCCAGTTGTTTCCGGTACCACTGTCACTGCTACAGCTGCTTCTGCCGTTAGCGCAGATATTGTTACTAATGCAGAAAACGTTGAAATAGCGAACGACTTGGAACGCGTGCCAGAAGGCGGAGCGGGCTATGATGGTAATGTGAAAGGAAGAAACAAGCAAAGAAATAGAGTCCCATGTATGATTCTAATCTGTTCTATTCTTCTTCTTGGCCATATTAGACCTAGATATACCAATTCCACCATCATTTGCAGTTTCAATGAAGAGAAAGAGGAAGGAGGATGACGACATAGACCTTGATGAGTCAGTAAACAAGCAACAGAGGACATCTTTCTAGCTTATTAGGTTGCCTGAGCAATTTTGCTAAATAATTTTGTACATAGTTTTTTATTTTGAGATATTGAAACTCCACTTTTAAATTGTTAGATACCAGTTTTTCTCAGAGCTTATTTGTCCACTCAATTATGTAACAAATCCCCAGTACTCGGTTATAAATTCATTACCGTCAGGAACTTATCGCGCTATAGTTTGAAGTTTGTTGACAATTCTTTTTACATTTGAATAGTTCACCACGATTAGTAGCGGTTTATTGTTGCGTCTGTAATTCGAGGTGCTTTTTTTTTTTTTTTTTTTTTTTAAAGTTTGCATCGTTTATGCAAGCATTATTTCGTCTTTGTCTACACTGTAACTTCCTGAAAAAGGAAAGACTTCCATTTTATGCAAAAATAACGTCATTCAATTGACATTTATGTCAGTAGTGCTTTCGCAAAACTATATAAGCGTTAAAAGAATCTTTTACAATGAACATTAATAATTTCTCATTTAATCGAATATAATACAATATAAAAATGTCTGATCTTCACGTTTCCAAAGACGCTGCTGCTAAGCTTCAATCCCAAGCCGATAAATCTGGTGAAAACACTGGTAAGAACTCCACTCCCGCTGTCGCTCAAGGTCTCGTCGACAAGGCTGAGCAGGTTTCCAAGGAAGCCACTGCCAAGGGTTTTAGCACCAACTCCAATTATGATGAGCCCAGTACCAAGCCTGATACAGATACTTTCAAGCCTGATCCCGTTATGCATTAGAAATGCCCAGTTTGCCTATTAAAATGCTCTCCAGCCAATAATACATATAGCGGCCCCCTTTGTATTATAATGTAAATATGTTACATATCTCTCTTACTGTACTTAGAAACTTACGTTCAATAAATGCACTTTTTAAAGCCAACCATTACTGATAAATGCTTTCATTTTTAATTTGCCTTTAACGATCTTAAACAAGCACTCCATGCTGTCATTCGTGAAATATTTTCTTATTGCTCACTTTTAGCCATAATGTCTCGTTTGTTCAGAATTGCAATTGATGGTCCCGGTGCATCAGGCAAAAGTAAGCGACATCAAAAAATCAGTTCGATCGCATACTATTATATTCATAACTTCTCATTACATATAGGCACTACAGCTAAACTTTTAGCTAATAAACTGGGCTTTGGTTACATTGATTCTGGAGCTATGTTTCGAGCAGTAAGTGAACTATGGTAAGACAAGTATTTATGAACTCTTTATGAATAAAATATGTTGTATTTGCTAGATCACGTTGAAATGTTTAGAGCGAAGTGTTAATCTTCAGAACGAGAAAGAAGTAGCCCAATTAACAGAAAATGCCTCCATAACATTTCCTCAACAAGGTCAAGTCGAACTAGATGGTCACGACGTTAGCGAATCCATCCGTACTTCAGAAGTAACAAGAAATACAAAATTCGTTGCATCAAACCCTATGGTACGTGAAATATTGGCACAACAGCAGCGCGCAATGGCTAAAGGTGACATTCCAGGTGCTTTCTCGTCTGGTTTTGAGAGAAATGGCAAGTTGATAAAAGGTGTTGTCATGGATGGTCGTGATATTGGAACAGTTATCTTGCCTGATGCTGAATTAAAAGTCTTCATCGTTGCAGACGTAAAAATACGAGCTCAACGTCGTTTTGATGAATTGAAAAAGAAACAAGGACCTTCTTTTAAGGAGACGCTCCAAGGTATTCAAGAAGACCTTGAAATTCGAGATTTGAGTGATCGCACACGGAAGGTGGCGCCTTTGCTACAAGCAGATGATGCTGTCCTTCTGGATACAAGTCTTCTAACAATTGAAGAGCAAGTAGGAGTAATTGAAAAGATGGTATATGAACGTCTTAGTAACTTCTTATAAGTAATAAAAATGGCGCAGAATCTTTCCAAGAGAAATTACATCACACGCCTCTAATAATATTGGTAAATTTTGATAAATTTTTTACGTTATCATAAATTCTGTGAATTTAGAAGAGGTGTATAATGGTATGCTGTACAATATTATTAGTCTGATGTAGAAGTATATTCTTTATAAATGCCATCAGTCAAACATGATCTAAGATAAGGTAAGCAGCAGTTATTATAAGCATCTACAAAAGATTCAAGGATGGGATTACCATCGGGTATCCGTGAGTCGAACTGTTCACAATATCGCTTTAAACCAACGTCAAGTTTCTTAAAGCATTCTTCCAAATGACATTGTATTGGCTCGTATAAACTGATAGCTGGTAAAAGCCGCAATGCATTGAAAGCTGATAAAATATTGTTCGTAAAGATGGCCAATGGCGGATAGTTGACAAGAAGCATGGGCGGCTGGAAAGTCTGTTTCTTCATGGTTGATGCCTCTGCACCTCCCTCTCCTTGGCCTTCTTCGTTGACCTCCTCTTCATCCTGGGTTTTTTCATTCGAGGGTTGTACCTGTTCTTGTACTGAACCCGCTGATGCTGTAATCGTTCTGGAACACATCCAAGAGTTTGGAACGGATAATTCCTCTGTTGCTTTTGTGATTTTGGAAATAAATTCATCGGTGGATGCATTGATGAAGTTTATAATTATTGGCTGAATAACCTCCTCAAAAGAATCTACGAATATATGTCGGAAATCCAAGCCAATACGACCAAGAGACATGCCACAATACTGAAGTTGTGTCAAAAGAGAATTTAAAGCAGATGTATCCTCAATCATATGTAAATGCGTTTTAAGGATGTGTTTGATATGCTCCACTATGTGTATCATGTAATCCGATAGTAACGTTCCTTGTTCGTTCGGAAAAATAGAGACATACTGCGTTCCTATCTCAAACATCTGTTCTCTCATTACATCTATGAATCTTTTGAGGTATTCAAATGTTTCTGTGCTTCTTTGACGTGGATCATCTGAAATATCTCTTCTTATTCTTGCTAACTTCTGTAGCAGATAGTCATCTCGACACCTTAAAAAAATCATTCGGATTTCATTTTCGGATTTGAAAATATCCATACGACGTAGGAACCCAATGACATTCATAGCAGCTGCCAAACGAATCGGTTTCCGTAGGTGTGAGATAAGCTGTATCAGCATAAGGTCACTGGATGTCTGTACTTGATCTTGAATGCTCTTAATGATTGGCAAGGGATAGCGTACGTATAACAATCGCATTTGTGACGCTAAATCCATGGCTTCCGAATAGTAGCCATTCCAAACACAAGTATCCATCAGTTGAGGAATTTCGAACAAATCTGTCAACACGTTATGGTCTTCCAAAACTCTAGATATTTTCTCACGTTCATCTTTAATTTGCTGTGCATCATCAGTAAACACTTTACATGCTTCCTGCAGTTGATTTGCCGTAGATAGAAAGTCGTTCAAATGATCATCTAAACCACTAAGGGTTTCTTTCAGCTGATGACGACAAGTGTGAGCGTGGAGAAAAGCAGGGTATTCTTTGTAGGCAAGTTGTTGTCCTTCACGTTTCACTTTAGCTTGTTCTTCTCGCAGTCTTGTTGGCTCTCGAAGCAATTCGGACAGTGACTTTGATGTGAGGTTTGCTAGATATTCTCGTGTTGCTTTGGGATCCGTTAAATTAACGTTTTCAGAATCCTCATTCCATTTTTCAGCTAATAGCCGGTACAATTCTTCTTGGTTATTATGTTCAAAAAAAAGTTCTTTATCATGCGGAGAAGGCATATACATTGGACGCTTTTCTTGCAGAAGAATATACGTTGCTGAGCAAAGCAAGAAGTACAGTGTAAACCTATTATGGCGACGCTAACGGATAACAACCGATCAAATTGAAGATCCGATTTGAAGACGTTTTTTTATTTGCATAAGGTCGTTTCAATCAAAGAATATCACATATAATGCAGGTTCATTCACAAGGCCTCTTTGGCATGTATGAGATCGGTGATCAAGGCATTTGTCCTTGTATCTATACCTCTCTGAGATCCCAATCGGCATAGGTAACCATTGATGTAATCTACCTCTGTAAAGCGGTGAGCCTTAATATCTTGCAACATCGAGCAGGAATTATTACCTGCTAACGTAAACATATCAATAACATTTTTCAACAGAGATTCATAAGTTTCATCCGGCAAATCATCTTTCAAAACTTCGTATGCTTCCTTGCATAATGATTTAACTATTTTCAAACTGGCAGGCTGAACAATATATTTATTTTGACATCCTAGGATAGCCGCGAGACCATTTCCTGAAGCATTCACAACGAGTTTTTTCAAAATTTCATGATAAACAACTTGCCAAGGTAAGTAAGAAGCCTGTAACTCAGGTATACTTGTTAGACTCTGCATCAAAAAAGAGTTCTTTGACACTTGCTGCTCCTTTCTATAACTATTGCTGGGAAAGTGACCAATACATAGGCTTTTAGGGATATTAAATCCTGAATGATGCTGAATTTCGAACGGTGCAATACGCTCTACAGCATGTCGGTTCACTCCTACAAATATTTTTGGAGGGGTTGTATTCGACCAGAACTTTTCAGTCAGCTCTTCAGCTACACCCGCCCCGTTCTGTAATAATAAAATAGAGCTATCAGGTTGCAGTTGTTTCACTAGTGGTTCTATTGCTCTAGCTGTATGCTGCGCTTTGGTTGCTACAATCAACGAATGTATTGGCAGCGCTGTATTTTCAAATCTATCATCAACAACCTTTGCGCTAAAGCCACCAACTTGGTCGACCTTATCGAAGTGACGGTAGCTGATCGTGTTCTGCCGTGCTTCAAAGAGATTTAGATGAGCTTGTGAACGAAGTAAAAGAGTAACGTTATGCTTATGAAGTTTCAAAATAGAAGCAATATGACAACCAATAGCTCCTGTTCCAACCAAATAAATAGTCATGATCAAACGTTGTTGATAAGGGAAAAAACTGAAGAGAGTTCAATCTCTCTTCAATGACGTGAACTGCTTCTCTCTTGTTTTCCTCGGAGTTGAACTTTGACAGGAGAACTTTAGAAATTGAAAAAGAAGGTGTAAGAAAAATAATTTTTCTCCTTTTTTCTTGTAACTCACAGCAATATACGCGTAAATTAGATCATAATGGCATTGCGTGTACCCAAAGGAACCCTTCCACAACTGTTCAAAGACGGCTATAAAGTAATAATAATACGATTCTGACAGTTTAGATTTTCGGCTCAAACGACTGATCCATGAACAATCTTCACCCTTTATTGTATTAGTTCCAACAAGGTGTTGAAGAAGCAGTTCTTCGCAACATTGACGCTACACATGAGCTCTCTGAGGTCGTCAGAACATCTATGGGCCCCAATGGTAATATTTGACTCAAGTAGCCATTGTAATATAAGTAAACTCTTACAAATTGATTTGATCCTCAATAGGCCGGAATAAAATGATCATCAATCATCTCGAAAAGCTCTTTGTTACCAATGACGCAGCCACCATCATTCGTGAACTCGATGTTATTCATCCTGCTGCTAAGCTAATGGTAATGGCCTCTCAACAACAAGAAAATGAATTGGGTGATAATACCAATTTAGTTATTGTTTTTGCTGGTGAGCTTCTGCAAAAGGCAGCTGATCTTTTAAAACTTGGACTTCACCCTTCTGAAGTTGTTCAGGGATATGAATTAGCTAGAGATCGTGCCTTAAGTATTCTTGAAGGTATACAACTTATGAAACTTGAAACAAAGCTGTTACAGCCTTATTAACCCTTTTCCTCTTTTAAAGAATTATCTGTTGCCAAGGTAGAATCATTGTCAGACCGCAGTGAGCTCATGAAATTAGTGAAGGCCACCATCTCTTCAAAGCAGTACGGCTATGAGGAGTTTTTGGGAGATTTAGTAGTTGAAGCAGCATTAAACATCATGCCACAAAATGTCAAAGATTTCAACGTTGATAATGTTCGTGTAGTGAAGGTGATGGGTTCTAGCCTACATGAATCTCGTGTTGTACGCGGCATGGTCTTCGGTCGTGAACCCGAAGGAATTGTTCAAAATGTGAACAATGCCAAAGTTGCCGTTTTCACTTGTCCTTTGGACATTTCACAAACAGAGACAAAGGGTACCGTTTTGATTCACAATGCACAAGAAATGTTGAATTTCAGTAAGGATGAAGAAAAACAAGTAGAAAAAATCTTCCAGGAATTAGCAGAGGCAGGTGTCAAGGTTGTTGTTACCGGTAGTGGTATCGGTGAACTTGCTCTTCATTATCTGAACAGATACAATATCATGGCTGTCAAGGTCCTCTCAAAGTTCGATTTGCGTCGTCTTTGCCGAGTCATTGGCGCTACTGCCCTTGCTCGTTTGGGTACGCCCATGGCCGAAGAAATGGGTCAATGTGATATTGTTGAAACTGTTGAAATTGGATCTGACAGAGTCACTGTTTTCCGTCAAGAAGAATCATCTAAATCCCGCACAACCACAATTGTCATTCGCGGCGCTACACAAAATCATATGGATGATGTTGAACGTGCTGTCGACGACGCTGTTAATACTATCAAGGCCGCCACTCGTAATCCTCAACTGTTAGCAGGTGCAGGTGCAGTTGAAATGGAATTGAATAAGCGACTTCAACAAGTAGCTGCTAAAACACCCGGCTTAAATCAACATGCCATCAAAAAATTTGCTGAGGCTTTGGAAGTGGTTCCCAGAACCCTTTGTGAGAATGCCGGTATGGATGCCACAGCTATTTTATCACGTTTATATGCTGCTCATTATCAAGAAGGTGATACTGGTATGAGCGTTGGTATTGACGTAGAAAACCAAAATGATGGTACTTTAGATGCTTCTAAGGAAAATATCTACGATTCTCTCGTTTCCAAGTATAGTGCATACAAGTTGGCTGCTGATGCAGCGTTAACTGTACTCAGAGTTGATCAAATCATCATGTCAAAACCTGCAGGTGGTCCCAAACCTCCAAAGAAGAGCGGCCATTGGGATGAAGATGATTAAAAAAAGAACATAACTTATTCTAGCGACTGAACTGCTACTCCTATATTTGTCCATATATCACTAGTGTACACATTAAATGCTTAAATTTGCATCCGTCTTATTTTGAATTATTTTTGTTTTTGAATTTTGAATTTTGACGTGACGAAAATCCGCAACTTTTGTTGAAATGCTAGGTCCTCTTTTAATATCTCTCTTTAGATCTTAGAGAAAGCAAAGAGTAGATGATCAGCATTCTACACTTTGTAGCATATTTTGCTGCTTTACTTGCATTCATATTTGTGATATTCAGTTTAGGTATACTACTTTTATATTCCGTCGAATAGCCATTTCCATTTTGACATTTCGATAACGTACGTTTTACCGTGCCATGTAGCATGCGGTCTATATTACCTAGCTGAACTGGTAATGTCGAAAATAAAAATTCTACAAAAGTAAGATTGATCAACTTATGCTCTCTTTTGATGTAGGTGGAAGAATACTCAGTTTATACCAAAAAGGTCATCAAGACGATGACATTTGTATGTTTTCAATAGTACAAATATGCATAACAAACTGATACAGCACCATAACTAATAATGTCAAATGATAGGCTGTCATCGCTCTACATGTTCTCCTATGGGTAGTTGACCGTCTACCGTTCTTATATCTGACATTTTCAATATTCTGCCACCTTATCTACAGCTTGAATTTGAAGACATTTCCCTTTATAAGGCTGACTAGCATTCCGTTTATAAGTGGATGTAGTAAGTTACTCTGCATGTACCCTATGGACTCCAACAAAAATAGCTGATCTCCATATCTATAGTACTCGTTTTCGTTGATCACTTTTTGTGGTTTAACTATTTCACCACGCATTATAGACCCTTTATGGATATAGCAGCATTTTTCGGTTTATGCGTATGGTTGGTACCGTTCGCTTATTTCATCAGCTTGAGTGCAAATGATAATGCTTTACCAACTAGTACAGGTAAAGTGCAATAGACCTTTTGTTGAAATGAAAATATGGACAATGTATTTAATTATATATCCCTCAGATTCAGCTTTTGTCAACAACTCGAATACTAAACAAAAGCACGGTTTAATGAAGAGCTTGCTCAATATTGCCGGCTTCAAGTTGAATGATTCAGCTTCTTCGACAACCTCAACGGATTACACCAGTCAAGTATATAATAATACATCCCCGACATCATTTAGTCAGCCACCCAGTAATATGGGTTTAGCATCTGGTGTCCATTATGCAACAACTGCTGATAGAGATATACAAAGCAGGAAGGCATTGTGAATTGTATAGGATATATAAATTCTATTTTTTTTAATTTTCAAACATGAATTTTAATCCATGTCATGTGATGATGCATGTGCGATGAAAAATCCTCCAAGTAATGCTATCATGGAAACAATGCGTTGCACCTATCAATATACTGAAGTGCTTTGAAACCGTAAATCAACGACCGCTTTCAATCAAGGTCTCTAAAAAGTTCAGTAAGGTTGTACTTCAAGGGATATCACTCTGCCTTGGCAATGGTTTGAAGAATTTTGCTATCTCTTTCCAGTTCTTCCTGTGTTTTTGCTTGCAAAGTACACTTTTTGAATTTTAAATAAGCAACTTGTGCGAAGGCATCATCTGAATGAATTACTGTTTCTGTTTCCTCTCTAGACAGAGTTTAACCATGAGCGTAAGCTTTAGCCTTTTTTTTTTTATTTTCATTCTAATACTTACACAACAATTCTTCGTTTGAAAAGTGGACAATCAAGTGTAAAAGTTTCATACTCACCGCCTTCACCACAAATATGTAAATCGTACATTTCGTTCTATAATCAGTGCGATTAGTATGTGTCGAAAATAACGCATAGAAGTCGAAAGACACAATACCCATACATACCATCTTACATAGGATTGGATACATCTCAGCAATTGATTTACCAAGATGTGTGGGCTTTAATCCAATAGCTGCTATTTTGATCAAAACAGCGTTGACTTCGGCATTGGCCATCTCGAATAGTAACTCTTTTTGATCTCTTTCCCATAAGTAAGCGAGTGAGGTCAATCCAAGCCGGTTACAACTGTGGATAGTTTAGTATAATGATGATGTGTTTTTAAATAATTATCAACTACAAATGACATACACATGCTCAACTCGGATCCTTTGATAATTTGATAGAATAGCACCAACTGAGACACCTTTCACATCAGGGTGTTTTTTCTAAGTTACTTGAAGTTAGTGAATAATGTGCGCATATAATTGAGCAAATTGAACATACTAAAACTTCTATTAATAGCCTATAGAGATCTTCCGTTTCATCGTCATCTGTTGCTTCATAATTCATATCTTGATTCAAAGGTTTACCAGAGATCTCTTGTCTGTACAACGGCAAATCCATACATTGCGAATATAAGTGAATGACATCATGTCCAACAGTTTGGTACATAAAACTATCAAGTTCGTCTGAAGTATATTGTTATTATACAAGACACAAAATACTAACAGGTGCTGAAAGCCTACCTTTTCCACAGTCGCTGAGAGGTTTTAAATTGGCAAGCGCTACTATCTCATGACCATGTGCAACACACTGCATCATATTGTAGCAGCTATCTTTACCTCCACTAAAGAATATGTGAATTCTTTAGCCTGTTTTTCTTATACGTAAGCATGCTACAATTGAGTACCTTACGAGCCCGACGACCTTCATTAATTGCACGTATGGATGTTGATCTGATTGAAATGATTTAGGTTTGCTCAATTTTGACACCTACTGTCCATCTTACAACCAATTTTGATTTTATTGGCCGACAGGTTTTTTTTTATAATCTTAAAAGGTATGTTCGTCAAAATAGGTTAGTCTCTACTATATGTACCAAATATATTTTACTCCCAATGGACAGCTCATCTTAATCTTTTGTAAAAGTGATGCTCCAAAATAATGAACTACCAACATGACCAAAAAAATGCCATACAGTATTCGATAGACGCATCATCGCCTCGTAAGGCCAATAGCGATTTCGGCCCCATTGTCGTATCTTAGTTGCCCGCTACCCTCCTCGTTCGTCTACCACTTTGCAATCGTGGAAAGCCCGTTAAACGACAATTTATTACATTTCAAAATCAGATCGTTTGTTTCAAGGCGTTGATCTCCCCTAACCAAACCCGCTTCAAGGTTCCGCCCTGCTACAATGTTTGATTCCCTATATTATACAAACTACCACTGTTTAAACTTTTTTTTCCCCTTGATACCCAAGGGTTTTTTGTCACTATAATGTATAATCATCAGGATCTGCCCGGGTGATTTTTGCCCACTGGGTTTTGAAATTGTAATAAAATGAAACGTAGAAAGCATGCATCTTTTGGATGTACATATTTAATTTTACTGAAGCTTCTGCAGTCGTATTGTTCGTTTCACGGCGGTAGTCATTATCCTCTTGCTGATCTAGAGTACAGACTGCATCCCATTTGCCTTATTTTCTCCGCTGGTTTTTTTATCCTTACGACTTATGCTCTTAGCCAACTACAAGGAATTAGCTGAAGCTGATCAGAGTTCCCTCTCAAAGTTTTTCTTAAGCGTTGAGAAAAACCCTTTACGTGCGTAGACTAACTATTTCTGGTCTCGTATTAATTTGAATTATTCTGTTAACACTTCTTGCGCTTGTTTAGTCTTTGATGCGAATGAGAAGGACTCATTTTTAAAATTACTTCTGAACGATTTAAAGAATAAGCAGTGGACAGAAGACAGTAAGTGATATATTTGATGCATATCGTTGCTATGGTTGCAGTTTGATTGAAATGATTTCTGCCTGAATACTTATAGCCAAAACCCAAGCGTTGTCAGTTATTCGAACACTTGGTAGAGATCCGACTGGATCAGACGCGATCTTCAGTGAAGAGGTTAGCCAGGATTAAGCTCACTTTATCACTTTGCTGTGGATTGTTAATTGAATTTTTATTTTTTTTTTAACTATAATAATACGAAGGGTATGTCAACATTGCTAAGGATTGCAGGTTTACATAAAGATGTGGAAAGTAAAGATACTGTGACTACACGTGAAGCATTGAAATGTATCGCAAACAGTATTTACCTCAAAGCGGACATCAAGATATTTCTTGAACGAGAACAAGTACATTCAATATGCCGATCGATCTTACAAACGAGAGAACATCTCAGTCAAGAAGCCCAATTCTTGCTATGCCGTATTCTTTTCTTCTTAACTATAGATAGAGCGGATCTTGTTCGAGACTTGGTCCAATCTGATATTGCAATTTCGTTAGAAAAGGTATTATGGCAACATACAAGCTACCTCATCTTTATTATTGTTCTCATTCATCCTTGTTTTAGGTATTGACCCAAAATGTTGCTCAAATAGCAAATGAAATTTCAAGAAAACAGATCAACAGAAACACTCCTATCAACGCCTACACTGTAACTAGTGAAGCTTTGAAGTTACTCTTCAACATACTCTTGACAGGAGCAAAAGCAGAAGAATGCAATGAAGACTATGCAAAAATCTTCAAAGGCAGTTTGGGATCAATTTTTAGGCTATTGACACAAGTACCTTTTCCAGAGCCACAGCCATTAATACCGCCTCATTCGCAGGCGATTCACTCCCTTATGCAATTTCCTTATAACATTGTGGCTGAGAAATGGTCGGCACAAAATGAGTGGGCTGCGGGATGCTATGATATGAAAGAAGACAAAAAAGATCTATCGTATCTAACTGAGAAACTTGCAGGTGCTTTCAATTGTTCAATTCGATCATTGATACCTAGTGGGCTTCCGGATGAAGACGGTAATAAGCAGGTGGATGCTACCTTGGCTCCATTGATATTAGTGTTCGTATCATTTGCGGACAATAATAATAAGCTGAAAGCTGGACTGTCAAAGCATTTATTACCATCTGACAAGTGAGTCCGAGTTACGAGGAACTTTTATCCTTTAAGATAATGTTTTCTCATATGTGCTGGGCATTACTTAGTGACCGTTTAAAACCTGTACATGAAGGTAATGCCTTGTCAGCATATTTGATAAGGTTGATGACATCTACAATGCTACCACAAAGTCGAGATGCAACTAGTGAACTCTTATTTACATTATGTGATAAAGATCGTAAGTGCTGCTTTTTCTAAGTTTAAACGCGCTTCCCTTTTTGCCGTTTGATGAGGCGCAGCTTTATGAATATGTAATTGTTAGATAGCTAACTTTTACCTTTTTTCTTTTTATATTACTACTTAAAAGCTAACAAACTTACAGAGCAAATTGGTTATGGTAATGCAGTAGGTTTCTTGGTCAACAAAGGCATCGCAGTGAAACCGCCAGCAAGTGGTCAAGAGGCAGCAGAAGATATCAACCCAATAACAGGCCAATTTGTATCATCTGAGCCGGAACTAGAATTAAAGGACATGACAGATGAGGAAAAGGAGCGGGAAGCTGAGAGACTCTTTGTTTTATTTGAGCGATTGAAGAAAACAGGAATCGTTGACGTTGAGAATCCCGTTGCCAAGGCTATGCGGGAGAGCCAAGGAAGATTCGAGGAAATTGAGGATAACGATTCGGATAGTAATTAATGACCATTATCTAACCATGTTATCCACTTTGTGTGTTTTGCTGATGCTGTTTTTTTAAAATTGTACACTATTTTATCTCAACGTCAGCGAATGACAATTTTTGAACCTTAAAATTGTCAGATTCTATATATTTGAAATGTCCAACTGTGGTTTTTAAGGGACATTAGATAACGATAATATAGGAAATAGATACCAAGAAATATATTACTTGTCATTAACCTTAGCAATTAGGTATAAATGCATTCGTATGTAAAGTCTCCAATTAGATTGATGTTTAGAATAATATTCTAGGTTTAAGTAATGCAGTATTCAATTACAGCCTTGGTATGAGAAGCTTGTAAGCGGGCACAGTGGGCACTTGGAGGTGATATATTTCTGTCAAGGTAGTTTTTTGCACAGTTATCGTGTTGAGTAAACTCTCAATAGAGTCGCTAGATGGGAAACGTTGAGTGCCAATAAAAGGAAACTTTATAATTACTTACAAAATCTTATATCCTACTGAAACATTTGTGATGCTCATTTCATTCTGTTTATTGCCTCTACAGAGGTATGCGTGATCAGAATCGAACTACTTTGGCAATCAATACCAATTCCTCCCTATTGCAAAATTCATTAAAGTTAACGGTTTGTTACGCGATAGTTTGTTTAAGATCTCAATGCCTACAGCTTATATTTTGATACGATTAATCTCTCGCGCTTTTTGTTCGGAAGATTAAAATAGAGTTATCAACTACGCATTTGGTGAGCGGCAAAGAAATTCTTAGATTGTTAGCCTGAGTGCTTCTATGCTTAGTTGATCTCCTGCTATGCTTCTTTAAAGCTTTACCCACGAAATATCATTTTACACGGAATGCTACGAAGAGCTGTGGTAAAAATGCTGGGTACTATCTGAATGTTGGAAAACGGTACAATTCTCCAAAGACATAGTATGAGACAAGCTAATAAGCACTAGCAATAGGTGACAGCATTGCAGATCAATGTCAAAGTAGACGTGATGTTTTTGTAAATTTGCGCTGTTATAATTGCCCGAAAATGACCACTTGCATCCTTGACTTTTGTCGCTGCGTTCGATCCTTATAACGCGACAATGGGCTAGTACGTCTTCTGAACAACATTGCTCGGAACTATATAGGCTGTTAGGATGTTTTACTGGCTCGGTAAGTATTGGACATCCCATTCACAGTAATGTAACCCGCTCCTGTTGGTATTCCATGATTATCAACAATGCTAAAAGGAAAAGAAAACCAGAGGTTTATTCAAAGAAAGCTATAAGTATACAATTACTAATCTGGGAAAAGTGGGTCTTAATTAAAAGGGCAGGAAAAGTATTATACAAATTATGACATTGCGTATCATTTTGTACTGCTCAAATTTTTGCTGTTTGTCAGTTAGCATAAAGCTTTATCCTTACATCGACCATCCGTATTGCTTTCGACTCTAAAGAACGCACTGACTAAGGATGCAGACTCGATAAAGTTTCGTGCCACGTAGATGATTTTACCTTTACCGTTTCCGTGGAATGCAGGCTATTGACATGAATTTGTTATGGGGAAGGAGGAAAATAACCTTTCCGCCTTTTTCCTTATTGTGGGCTAAACTTTTTAGAGCATTCCACATGGATAGTCTCATATGTAAGCTAAAAATTTATTGTTGACTGCTGTAATTTGCGGGGTAGGACTGTTTCACTTTTCCAGCCTTTTCCCTCTCCTCTCAATAGTGCCACAGACAACAACCCTCTTCTATTCTAGCATGAGTTGTTGTATGGAAGCAGTACAAATGGTTAGAATGATTGCGACAAGAGACACAACCTAGTCCCCGTGTCTAAGCATGCCCTATCCCGAATTTGATAGGTCATCTTCTCATAAGGCCATTGATCGTAATATACAAAAACGTTGAGCAAAATTGCAATACAAATGCGTGCAAAAATTCTAGATAGACTAAAGCTCTATTTAAGTAGTTTGAATAGTCCGCAAAGTCATGCTTGCATCGCAATTGGAAAACAGAAAGACTAGAGACATCAATGACTGCTCCTTACGTTATGTCGAATTCATTTTAAGGTTTCTATAAGCTTCAATAATCGGATGTTCTTTGGAAAGAGTCCCTTTTGGCCCTATATGATCATATTTGGATCTTGGAAGCTTAATAAGCTGCTGAAACCTTGTCCTTTGTAAAACTCCGGAACGACATACACAATCGGGTCCAATATGCTAAACAAATTAGTGTGAAGCATGTTTTTTTTCGGGGTGGGGAGGGGAGGATCTGTTACTAGACCTTCTTCATCGGTACTCGAACTGCAGAGAACAGAGAAACGGCCTTTTTTCCTCCTGTTTGGTATAAAAGGGGCCTGTCTGACACTCTTCCTTTTCTGTAGTTTATAGTTTGATCGGCTTTGAATTGCATTATTCCTACTAATGTCTACACCGAATAGTGAATCAATTCATTCCAGCTCCAAAAGCAGCGACGAAAATACAGCCATGCCCAATAGCAGGTCTATTGTAGTCGACCCCATAGTAGAAAAAAGACTACTTCGAAAACTAGATTTCCGTCTTATTACATTCGCGTTCTTTTCTTATTTTACTAGCAACCTTGTCCGTAACAACATGCGTACGTGTCTATCAAACAGCTCGGTTTTTGTTTGTAACATGTAGATCACTTATACCATCTTCCATGTTCTTTTTGCATAATTAGAACAAGCCTATACCAATGGTATGGACAAGGACGTTCATATCAACTCAGAAGCTTACAACTGGTGTGTAACTTTCTTCTTTATCGGCTATGTGGTTCCCCAGATCCCTACAAATATGGTTGTTGCGCGACTTTTACCAAGGTACTTTTTACCAACTGCTGAAGTTGTTTGGGGTGTAGTTACTTGTTGTATTGCTGTGGCCAAGTCAGCTAATGCTGTTTGGGGCCTTCGTTTCATTCAAGGTTTAGCTCAGGCGACCTTTGTCCCTTCTATGGTTTTCATCATTGGTACGTGGTACACAAGCTCTGAACTTGCCACTCGAACCGCGTTTTTCATGGCTGGTAATCAGATGTCTGGTGCCATTGGTGGTATTCTTGCGGCCGGTATCAACGACCACTTGAAGGGTGCTTTAGGAAGAGCGAGTTGGCAATGGCTCTTCATCATTGAAGGACTCATGTCTATCTTTGTTGGTGTTATCGGCTATTGGCTTTTGCCCAATTATCCTCATAACACTGGCTGGATCAAGGGCGAAGAGAGAGAATGTGCTTTTGCTCGTCTTGAGGCTCAAGGAAAACAGATCAAATCGGAGAAATACACCCTCGACACCTTCAGAAATGTATTAGCGACACCTTATGCCTATATTCTGACGATTGATTTTATTTGCATCAACATTGGCAATCAGTTCATCCTTAACTTTTCCATTATTATTAGAGACCTTGGCTGGAGCGCCGATATGTCCAACTATCTGCTAGCTCCCATCTATGGTTTTGCTGCTTTCACCGTCATTCTCATTGGGCATCTCTCCGATAAATACAAAGAACGTGCATGGATCATTATTATTGTGCAAATATGGGTTTCTGTCTGGTATCTAATCTTATTTGCTGTCAGAGGCGGTGACACTCCTTTTTGGCTCGTCATGTTGGCAGCTTTTGCTATTGTTAATAATATTTCTATGTTCCCAATCCTTTTCTCTTTTATGAACGAGATTTTTGCTTTGGACACCAACACGCGTGCTCTTGCTATTGGCTGTATCAACTGTATCGGCAACTTGATTCCCAACTTTATCAGTGTTGGTATATGGAAAGTAAGCGATTCACCGAAATTCTTCATAGGAAAAGTTGGTACTTTCGCTCTGTCTGTCGCCTCCATTATCATTACTTTTGCTTGCTGGTGGTGCCTCAAGCATGAAATCAACCTTCCTCGCGTCCGTACACCCCCGGAACCCGACTTTATGGAAGAAGGATTTCCTGAAGAGAAGAAATAAACAGCAGCCTTATCATTATTTTTCCCAACGTGTACTATATATTCTATTTTTATTTTACATCATTAACTTTTGCATTTCTATCATCTTACTTTTTTTTTCTTGTTTTCCAGCCTTGATCGTTATGTAATCAACTGTTATTTGACTAAAATTTGCTAATGAAGCATTACGATAATCTTTATAATAAAAATTCACTACATCAATTCAAAAAGGTTTTAGATCACTTGTACTATGCGGCAGATGAAATTTCTCGAGTTTGAATTTACTCTCGATTAGATAAGCAATTTCTGCCCCTGTTTTGGGAGTTCATGGTTTAGAGGAAAAAAAGGTTTCTTCGGGACCCAGTTTTCGGAATCGGGATACACAAATTTTACCGCGGGAACGGTAGAAAAAGTAAAGTTCTACTTCATACGTCCATCAATCATTTGTGACCTGCTAATGTTCGTTAGTGGCAGCAACTAAAATGCACAAGTAGGCTTTTCCCGTGTCAAATCAGTAATTATTTTCGGTTAAAAGAATAAGTCATACGGTTAATTAATCAAATAGTAGCAGCTCAGTACCTCTTTCAAATCAGCATCCTCATTTTTTCTGCTGCACTGGTGAGGCTTATGCTGTCAGAAGACAGTATGCAAATTAATGAACAGGGGATTTTCGCATAACACAGGCATCGCTATTATCAGTTATAAAAGAATTGATTTTATTGTAAACTTAATGACTTGGTACATCTCAAGGGATATCATACAAATGTTCTTTCGTGAAGTTCACTAATCATGTCCAATATAAGTCACCAGCTTAAAGGTAGGACACAATTACCCTGTAATGCTACAGCTGACATAATCCCTTATACGTAGCACAGAATGGAAAAACGTTGCAGATCATCGTTGAGCGCATGAACCGTGTAGAGTTGCACACAAATGCAGGCCTTGCTGTGCTACATATGCGATAATTGGGATCGAAAGTAATTTTCGGCAGAACCATTTGAATAAAGCAACAGAAATATATCGCGTTAAGCAATATTTTACTTTAGAGAGCTAGAGCTGCAAACGCTTTTAGCATCTGTATGAAAGTACAGAATTTCTTTTCCTCTATTTATAAATAAGCCTATATGATCCTTTCTAATGTTTATAAGGTGTATGATTTTGAAGCGCATAGCTCACTTGCGTCAACAGTAATCTGTAAGAGAATATGGAGTTACTTGGCTGAACCGGTAAGAAAAGAAACGCACAGGCAGACTTAGAAAGCTAACCGTATAAAATAACTCAGGCAGTGATGAACATTTCATTTATGATACAATATACAAAATTTTTCGAAGGATATCTAACGAGAACAAAAAGGTCTAACAATATATATGGTGATTCTAGATACATATATATTATTTTACAAAATCTAAAACAGTCTCTTCAGGTTGAAGTTCAGAATAAATATTTTCAGCTCTAAGGTAGTCATCGCTCCAAAATTTTGTAAGATGGCGTTGGCCAGAATCATTTAGCAATGTAACAATAACATGACCAGGTCCTAACTTTTTAGCTGCTCTAACCGCTGCCACACAGTTAACAGCTGAACTACTACCAATGAATAGACCGTCTTCTCGCACAAGATATCGTGACATTTTAATCGCTTCTTCATCCGTTACGCGGAAAGCATCATCCACTAAATGCCTGCCTTTGTCAAAGTTCTTCGTTAAACGATTGATACCAATGCCCTCCACCACTGTATCTACTTGATGTCTCTTTCTACTGCCTTCTTTTTCAGTTGGCGCATACATGACGTTATACTTCACTTTGTTGTATAATCCAGAACCTTGGGGATCCGCCAAAAACACTTTCAAATTGCTTAAACGTTCCTTCAAGTAGCAAGTAATACCTGAAAGTGTACCGCCCGTACCTGCACCTAGGACCAGAGCATCCACTTTGCCTGCTGTTTGTCGATAGATTTCAGGCCCTGTATTGTTGTAATGGGCTTGAAAGTTGGCTTCATTTTCAAATTGATCAGCAAAATACCCCACAGCATCCCCATCGTGAAACGTAGCAGCTCTTTCTCTAGCCCAATTGACAAATTGCTTTTTATCGATAATACTGACGGGTCTAACTTTTTCAACCGTTGCACCTAGTTTGTCTAATAACTGGTATTTTTCTTTGGCTTGATCATCTGGCATAACAATCCATGCTTTGTATCCTTTGGCGCGAGCTACCATCGCAATAGAAATACCAGTAGAGCCTACTGTGCCTTCAAAAATAGTACTACCCTTGTGAGGCTCCAGTATACCATTCTCCTCAGCTGTTTTGATCATATTTAGTGCGACTCTGTCTTTAGAGCTGCCTCCAGGATTTAAGAATTCAGCTTTTCCGAGGATAAGACAGCCTGTAGCCTCGGAAAGGCTTCTAATCTTCATGAGTGGAGTATTACCAATTAATCCATCGACACCTTCAACGTATTGAGGGTACAATTGTTGTTGTTGATCTTGCTCATTCTGCTTCTCTGTGTCAGTAATGTCACCATCGCTGTTCCTTTCGCCTTGCCTCAAATATCGAAATATACCAGAGGCTAACACCGTCAATACAGACCCCGTAAGTATACCAATAAACACAGCTTTATTTGTTGATGTTGTTGAGACGGACATCATTTGTCTGATTGACTTTTATCGTTGAGAACACCTAAATGATAAATCGAATTTCTTAAGCGTAAGAAAAACTTGGTTTCGATCAAACGGAGTCAAAAAATTATCTCCCCTTCCTTTCTGCATCAAGCAGATCGATTGGTTTTCATGCAAGACTTTACAAGTGTTTCAATCAATGTAACCGATCATAAAGTAAACGCAACTTGCTCTTGATGGCGGTAAAATATTCTATGTATAAGCTGTATTTGATGGTGACTATAGTTTGTGCGCTTATCATTCATCTTCATAAAACCATGAACATGAATAAATCTGAGCTTTTTGTTTGAATTCCTTTTAATATTTGGCTAAAATTCCGCCTATTTACATTCACAAACTACTAGAAAAAAGATGATGAAAGGGCACCAAATTAAAATGAAATAAAAGACCAGCATCAATAGATTTTTGGGTCGTTTCTCTTTCTTTTTTTTTCTTTTCTCTCTCTCATTGCAATTCATCTATTTTTTATCTTTCTCTCTCTTCTTAATTATAGTCATTATGGTCGTTAGTGAATTTGAGCCCGATGATGTTTTAAATGACCTTAATCGCAAATTTGCCAGTGTCAGTTTGGAACAGTCGAAAGCTGAAAGCGTATATAAAGAAGTTTTATTTGAAGAAGTAATAGAAAAAACGAAAAAAAAAGATATTCCAAAAGCCCATGAAAGGCTATTTCAATTATTTGCCTTTGCAAAACGATCAACGATCAAGTTTGACCATCCTTTTGTTTTTTTTTTTATTTTTCAATTGCCTTTCTTCTTCTTGCAATAGCTATTTGAACATAAGCAAAATCTGTCCACTTCAAATAACTATTTAACATGTTATCATGCCATTAAGAATATCAGACGATATTTAACTCAGAGTATCTCACTCGAGCGGATTCAACACGTTTTTGATCTTGAATTGGAAGATCAGTTTATTAAAATTCTCGAATCGACAGGTTACGACGATGTCAAAGTAAGAGACTGAGCAACAGATCATACACGATCGGTCAATAGTAAAGTTTCCTTTAGAAACATTTAATAATGTATTACCATCCCAAAATAGTACGAGACGGCGTGGACAATTACAAACTTGGCTGTAAGACAATATAGCGACCTTCTAATAACTGATTGGCCCCGATTATTCTTATACTGGTTATCTTTTCAATCTAGTATGGGACTCGTCGGCATACAGCAAGAATAGTAGAGAGCGGTGTAATTGATGCGTTGGTGCATTGCTTTCGAAATACTGAAAATTATCGCGTTAAATCTCAGGTTTGTGATAGAGATAGTGAAAAAGTTACAGGGACTACGGCATGTACTTGAAGTGATTTACAAATCGAATTTTACAATTAAAAAGTGCGCATGGGCTTTTGCGAATGTATCTATAGAATCACCTACCTATAGAGAGTTGATGGCACAAGAAGGCCTCATCGGAGATATAGCAGCCGCTTTGAACTTCAAATGCGATACCATTTATGCAAACTTAAATGGAACCTTGAATCTGCAGGATGTGAAACACACTGCTGGAGATGTAATTTTGGATGATAAAGCAGATCTGGACGATGTAAGGGATTTAACATGGTCTTTGGCCAATGTCTGCAGAGGAGGCTTCAAAACAGTGGAACATTGGCAACAATATCGGACGGCATTTGATGCACTTTCGCAGTGCATCAACTTCCATCACGATGATATATGGACAGAGGCTTGGTATGTCAAATACTCACACAAATGCTACAGGTAGCACGCACTGTTATTAACATCCAATGCTTTCCAGCTGGGGCTTATCTCGAGTCTTAAGTAACATGTACAATTACGAGCCTTTTTTCTGTACGGTAAATCTAAATCCTAAGTTATGCCCAAGATTGATTGAATTATTACGGTAAGACACGCTTGTCGAACAGAGCACAGAAACAAAGTGAGTAGGGTCTCATGGGCATTTATCATTCTTTAGGACGGATTCACTCGAGCTGATTCTTCCAGTATTGCAAACGATTAGCAATTTTTCATCTGGTCCGAACGACTATATCGAAATATTGCTCAATGCCGACTTACTCAACTATATTTGGTGGTATATGTCGCCAGACATTCCAGCTCCTTTACGAAGAAATGCTCTCTTGACCATATCAAATTTAGCAGCTGGAAACGAGTTGACCGTGAGACGAGTTGTATATAATGAATCCATTATGGAAAGCGTCATCTCTCATATTAAGATACCCGGCCATGAATATATCACAGAAGAAAATAAATGGATATCCTCAGCAGCTGCCCTTATACCAGAAACCCGGGAGGAATGGACGATATTGAAAGAAAGTCTATGGGTGCTTTCTAATATTACTACTCTAGGAAACAACGATTGTATTTGGTAAATTTTCTTATCTGCAGCAATGAACGGACGATTCTAACGGTATTAATCATTGTAACATCTTGAGAATAGCGCTTTATTACGGAATTACAATACTTTGATCCAATCTTTGACTTCTTTGCTTCATTTCTCTCGGTTATCATCGTCCGTCTGCTTGAAAGTAGTAGATTGTTTATTGAAAATCACGGACCGTACAAACCAAATTGCAGAGTTAACACCGCCTGTATCACCCCATCCCCGAAACCCCTATGCCGAAGAAATGCTTAGGTCAGGTGTTGTTGAATGTCTGTCTTATCTGAACGGTGAAATTAACTCTGCTGAGTTAGCAATGCAATCAGAAATGCTGATCGTGACCTTGAAAAACAGTTCTCCACAGTCTTCTTTGATGGACGCAGGCTTGGTAAGTGCTTTTGGCTTAAGCAATACGGGTCATCTATCTACACCGCATGTTAGACGTATTGTACGGGGATATGAAGATGGAGACGTCCGATTCATTGAGCAAGCCATTCACAGCATGGAGTTATAAAGGTTATACAGAAGCAATATGATTATATTTTAGCCGTTTTTATAATAAAATAGCTTGGATGCATAGCGGGTTGTAGTAATTTTCATTCTCTCAGACGAATAGATCTTGCACCTCATTTACTATAGTTTCAGGAACATGATCCTAATACAAATTACCTGAAGTAACCCTACTCATACTATAGAAATGCTGATGCATCACATCGATAAAAAGTTCGTCACCCCCAAAAATTGAACATGACATATCTCACATTAAACACATATTATCGCAAATTATTGCTATCAAAATGGCCATGAAAGAATTGCAGTGTATTCTATCTCGATAAAAACCATGAGAGCTGCAGAAAACAAAAGCATCCCAATGAATTGGATTAAGTGTACGAGAAACTGACTAAGATTCGATTGTCACTGCATGACAATATTGAGTCATGTTTGGATTATGTCGGAAAGCAATGGAGCTAGTTCTCGCTAACAGTAAACCGACAATCAGTAAACTCTGCCGACAGGATTTACTTTTAGCAAGCTCGCCAAATCGTTAATTGTAACCCAAAGATATAAGGATAGCATACAGTTTACTTTTTTCTGTTGCGTCTAGTCTTTTTATTAGTCGTCGCTAATGTAGCGTCTCTAATCTCTTGGCTAGGAACGTCTTCTAACAATTGATGAACAACCTGAGGCGCCCAATGTGATTTACTGATAGTGTAGGTTTTAGTGTTTTCCCATAGTTCCGTCGCTTTAAATGTGTCAATAAGTGGAATTTTTGCTAACAGACGTTGATATAATCTTCTTTTTCGTCTTGGTGTGTATTCAAACGCAATAGCTTTCTGCTCTCGTCCATTGCCTTTCTTTTCTTCCAAAAACTCTACCAGTGTAGGCGTTCGTACTTTTGAATAAGGAGAATCAAATAATGTTTCTTTTCTGAGTAGGTTCGATCGCGCTGGTAACTTGATATTTGGTTGCAAATGCAACATCATTATCACAGCATTCTCTATTGATGAATAAAAGTCGTCCCACTTGGGGCCACCTTTACCTAATGAACTGCAGGATAGTGGGTGATCTTTGGGCGCACCTGCTTTTGATTCTAATTCACATATAATTTCGAAAGGTAGAGGTACAGAAACTCTATTTAACAGCATGGACCGATAACGCCATAATAAATTTGCTCTCCGTCCTGGATGCAATGGTTTATAAGCCGGCACTGGCAAAATAGGTTCGATTTTTTTCTGAAGATGCTTTTGAATCAGGACTTGTAATGGTTTACAGAGCTTAGGTGGTGGTGCAGTCCGAGGAACGTGAGGAACAAACGGATCAAATTCGATTTTGAAGTTGGCAGGACGATGTGCTTTCAGATAAGGCTGTATAGAATGACAAGTGTTGATAAGAACAAGAATGAAAGGAATTATTCGTTCGTGTAACAAATCTTACATAAAGTAGGCCATGTCTGACTTTGCCTTTCAAACCGTAGACTTCTTCCAGAACCTTGATAGCACTTTTCTGGCAACCCTTGTTTGCTTTTTCCAGCCTATGTAATTGCTATAAAGAAAACAAATTGCAAAGATAAGCAACTCTTGCTGTAGAATAGTTTAAAGTGAATCAGATTTACCTTTCTAGCTTCTTTTATTTTTGATTTAACTCGTTCGAGATCTGTACACGATTTATAGTTGCCAAAACTTGATCTAACTCGATTTCGAACATAAAGTCTTGTTGCTTGCGTTGATAAATAGAACTTCAGTCCTCTTTTACTTACATATGACAGAACGTTACCTTGCCCTTTCATCAAAGAATAATGATCCCTCCGTTAATAAGCGTTTATACAGAGATTTTATATACAGAGAATGTAATTTATGAAACATCAGCTACCCCAAATTTTTTGGAGTGCGAGAGCGTCTTATCAAGTCGGTATAGTTTATGGTTTGCATAAGACCCGTCACGTGCGGATTTTGTATATTGTTGTTCTTGTTGAGTCAATGATCTGGTGCATTTTCTTTCTTTACTTTTGTGAATCCTTTTATAACAATTACTGGTTACTCTCCATATAACAGCTCAAAGAACAAAGAACAAAATTACATAATGTCTCTGCAGATACCTACTTTAAAGTTATTACTGATTGGCAATTCCAATGTCGGAAAAAGCTCTCTACTTTTACGATTCACAGATGACACTTTTCTACCTCAGGAAGAAGTTTCGGCAACTATAGGTACGACTTATTTGTTTGCACAGCCTTGAATATACAGAAATTTCAGAGTAAGCTTCGACAACTAAATCATTTAACGCACAGGTGTGGACTTCAAAGTTAGTATGATGGAAGTGAACGGCAAAATGTATAAGTTAACTATTTGGGTAAAGCCAATGATATAATTCTGACAGAGTTCCAAAAATTAAAAAAGTTGCATTAAATCTTTTTTTTTTTTTCTTCTATTGAAATTGAAAATATCTCAAAAGGACACAGCTGGTCAAGAAAGGTTCAGAACTTTAACCTCTTCATATTATCGAGGAGCACAAGGTGTTATTTTAGGTAGGCTACAAAATAATGAAACAGAAAGCCCCATCTTCACTGATTATTCATCGATTACTCTACAAAATTTACAGTGTATGATGTCAGTAACCGTGAAACATTTAATGCTTTGAATACTTGGTGGAACGAAGTTAATACATACTGTTCAAGCCCTGATGTTGTAAAAATGATTGTCGGTAACAAAGTCGATAAGGTAAAACCGAGAAATATTTTCACGGAGCAAAGGCGTTTTAGAATAATTTTAACAAATGTCCGTAGGAATCATCAAGAATGGTTACTTATGAGGAAGGTGCAAATTTTGCCAGGAAGTTGTCTACACTTTTCATAGAATGCAGTGCCAAAACCAAAGTGGGAGTAAAGGAGGCATTCCAAGAATTAGTTGAAAAGGTTTGCTTCAAGTATTTTCATGGATCAATTTTGGCGCATAACGCTTACTGAACTATCAAAAAACAATGCTTATTCTAGATCATTGAAACACCAAGCTTATGGCAGAAAAACACTGCACCTAACTCAACAGTCAAGATGACAGGAGACAATAAAGATGATGCTAACAGCAGTGCGTGCGCTTGTTGAATTGATGACAGAAGGAATAATACCGATATAAATGACATTTCGTAAACATTATTGTACTTTGTATATACATCCTCTAATTCATGACTTAATACTAGCTCAACTTTGATTTGAAAATGTTCAAACGCTGGTATACATGCTCAGCGCTGAATCTAAGAACTTTCTGTTTAAACTTTACTACTACCATAATAACCGTTGAGCAATGAATAGAAGAGCCATTTAACTCAATTTTTTATACTGTATTACCCACATAGCTTATGTTCGAATATACTGATGATCAATCATCTTTCAACCGATTAAGTCAAGGAAAGGCCTGAGGATGAATATACAATGGATATTTGAGCAACACATGCCCATAATGAATGGCTTAAAATAATACTATTTTTCTGGCTGATTAAAACTTCTAACGAATGACTTCAAACCTGATACAATATCACTGTTCTTGCTTTTGGGGCACCAGTGGAATGATCATTAATTTTGCCTGGTACACTTCTGACTATTGCGTTTTTTAGAGTCATAATCAAGGAGAAATCATTAGAGATATAGGGGCCTAAACAACAGAGATTCTGATAAATACCTCAAAGGAGATAGCACTCTCTCATAGAGTTAACCAACCGAATTAAGTACATTTCATGCACTTCTTTGCAGTTTGAGGTGAGCAAAAATTCAATTTTCTTAGCTTGTAACTGCTAAAGGAGTCAGGTTGCCAAATTATCAATGATACGAGCCGCATTGGCAATAATTCTCAATAGACAGCTTCTTAAACAGATATCTAACAAATACTTGAATCGCCAAAGGGGCCATCGCCTTTTGATGTACATAATAAAGGAGGATTGTTAGGCATATCACTTTCACTATCATTGTACGAAAGTGATTGAAGTAAAAGGAACTAGGATTCATACGCAACCCCCCTCTCTAACGGATCCTTTTTGGTTTTTTTTCCTATTATAGTGAAGGTTTGGTAATGTATAACAAAATTCAAGGAGCCTTTGGCATGCTCGCGAGAAGAAAGAAGAAAAAAAGTCATCTTTGCCTCACGGAATTTGCTTTTCCTGATGGCGCACAGATGGCTCTTACTTAATTAATCGATGAATGTCTATTTAAAGTAAATTCTATGCTTAAAATTAAGCTGAAAAGCTTAGTAATAGGAAATTGATTTCAGTAATTTGGTAATGCTTGACTATGAAAAGCTAAGCTTTCTAGAACCATAGTCCAATTCTAGTTTAGTCAACACTTTAATCACGGTAATCGAACAAATTGACAATAACATAACTATAATATAGTTGCAGCCTTAATGCTAGGGTTAAGGTCAAGGAATGATCAAGAAATAGAATATTTTTATGGGCATTTGTTTGATCTGGACAAATGTTTTTGGCACATATTTCAACTACAATAGGCTTACATTCTTTTTCTATTATTCACCCTTGTTTTTTCTCTGCTGTTAACGAGTTTCAAGCCCCTGCATATTTGAGCTATAACCATAATGAAGTTAGAGTAGAATTTACCAGAGCTCCGTTACTGTCGAGGACAATAATCTATACCAAATCATTTGATGAATGACAGTGTAGCTTACTTTTTTTTTTTTTTTCCTTTTTTTCTTCATATTTACTTATTTACTTCGTTCTTTTTCGACGCGTTCAGAAATTTCTATCTCTCTTCTAAACTCCTCTAGAATAACTAACTTCCTGTGAGATCTTTTGAAAATTATATGATGCCTATAGACCAGACATTTGATGGCTTTATTGAAACCACTACGGATGCACTATTGATTTTCGAAGCATGTCGTAGAGGTATCCTACCCAAGATAAGCCGTCGTTTACAAGATAAAGAAAGGAGCATTATTCGCTCTGGAGCAGTCTTCGTGTTTGACGAAAAAGAATCAGGTATATCATAATTATTGATGCGCATTAGATAGCATCCATGTTAACATTATATTTACCTACGCACTCAAAAAGGTATCAAGCGATGGACAGATGGTCTTGTATGGAGCCCATCACGTATCCTCGGAAATTTTCTAATTTATAGAGAGTTAGATGGACGAGAAACAGCACAACAGAAAAGCAATCAGTTAAATACTATGGCCGATTCAAAACAAATACCCACTGGTTCAGCAGTCTTTTCTGAACCACAACAACTTTGCCGGAGCTTGACAGATACTTACTATACTGGTAGTAACATACATCAAGTGAATGCAGTAACCAAAATAACCGAAAACCGAAGCAGAGAACGTAATCTAGTAGGATCTCTTACTGACAGTTACAAGTTTCGGAGAGGGGGTCTTATCAAAAAAACAATAAGTGTACACCTAAACGGTTCTACCCAACATCTTGTTAGCTATTACAATAAGACAGATGTAGTTGAATGTCAGTTAGCAACGCCGTCAGTAGTACATGAACTTTCAGCTCTTCAAATTTCTCCAGATCTATTACTCAAGCAAAGTTTCAGGGTGCCGCCTTCAGTAGAATTTGCTGAACTTATAATCAAACGACCGAGCTTGTCACCTTCTTCAACGAATTCTACAATAACTTGCTGTTCTACGACACCCGTTTCTTCAAGAAGGGTTTCTAATACTAACGATAATCTTTCTTCACTGCCATATCTACCTGAAACTTACGATTTTCACCATCATCCTGCCAATAGATATCCATTGTGTAAGTCTTGTCATATTTGCTTGTAATGGACATGGAAGGAATGCATTTTAAGGTTACATGCATTTTCAAGGGGTTTATAATAGAACGTGCATTTATAGTCTTTCCTTTCTTTGATACTTAGCTATGAACTATTTCCAGACTACGTCCAGTACTGAAGAGTTAGGTCTGAATTATTTAGCAATGCACAATAAGGAGACCGATGGCAATGAGTGTATTCGAGGACGCACTTCGACTTCATTCGCTATACTTTCAAATAACAAATTTGAGAATAATGTTGTAGTGAACCCGCCACATTCACTTAGTGGCAACTGCATTTCCTTATCACATAATAATATGCAACAAAAAGCTTCAAACGGGGCCCCACAACCCTATAAGTCGCAAAAGTATGCTTGAAACATTGTATAACTTTCGTCATTGATTGTTTCAAAAACTTTAATACTTACCGATGCCAACTTTACTTTTCATAGACTAACCTTTTCAATGCCACCATCGTCAGTATACGAAGAAGATCCGGGTCATAGCAATACTAATGCACACAGTCCTTTGGCTTTCACATCTTACGCGATGTCAAGTTCTTCTTCAAATTACGAAATTAATAGGTTACATCAACAACAGCAACGAGAATCATCATATTTACATGCAGTTTCCTCAGCAAATGCTGATCAGCTGTTTGAAGCTAACGATGGAAATCTTCCAGAAAACACTTGCACTACTCCTGTTGCGCAGTATCGTGCTACTAAAGATGATCCCTCGTTTTCTCGTCGGAATCAGACATACGGAATGGAGTGTTCAGTTTCTGCTCAGCATTTGCCTTCTGTCAGTACGACTTCATCGGTACCAATAATTTCTTCAAATGTACCTTTATGGTATACGCCGCAACCATATCAAACTGAAAGTAAGTATGATCACAGAAAGAAACATGCACAATTGCAGATATTGCAATATATTGACATATGACCATAACAATAGCGACTACAGTGCCTTATGCCTGATCGTTGAATAAATAGCTTGCAACACGCAGTGAATAGTAAGTTCGTAAAACAGCAATCTAAACGCACCCAAGCAATTTTACGCGAATATTTATGAAGACGTCGAGGTTAAAACCGCTTGTAATATCCTTCCATATTTATAAATCTCTCTTTTATCATTTAATCGAAAAAGTCATAGTAATATTATTGCTACGCATTAATATCTTTTATTCACCCAATCAATCCAACAATTGTATATCTTTAATATATAACTGACATAACACAATATATCAGTAACTCTTGCTTGAACACTCCTATTGATATTTGCAATAAGAAGCTTCGTTTCAAGAGCTATACATCAACTATGCCTATGTTTGAAATTATAATTTCTGTTCAATGTGCACAACAACACTACTGTAAGAATTAAATGTTAGATAAGGCAGACTCAGCCCTTGCTTCATGAGTACTGCTCCAGATTTAACCCCATGAAATACAGGAGTTTCTGGGTTGTTACTCCATATTTTCACTTCGTATGTTGCAAAGTTTACTAAACGACGTAAGCGAATGGGACGCAAAGGGAGCCAAAAGGGGTTGTTTTGCCTGAAGGCCAGCACAACAGCCTCGTTTCCATTTGTAAGATTAGTTTGAGTAACAGCGGTATAAGACGATGGTTCAGAGGTAGGAACAACCAACCAGTCTAGGTCACCAAATTGTAGAATATGCTGTAGTGACTTATACAGCGATATCCATCCTTTATATTCTTCCTTTTCTGTTGGAGTCAGGCTATTCAGGTTAGATCCAATGCCTAGTGTGCCCATGAACGATACATGGAATCGGTATGAGATAGGAAACATTTTATACCCGTCACTATTTGGCATGTCTGTCACCCAGCAACTCATGGAATTTGGTGGAATAACAAAAGAAGCGCCATATTGTATTATTAAACGAGCGTCGGGCCGTGTGTTATCACTGGGCCAACATGTCTCGACTTTTCTAAGAATAGACATATCAGCTCTGCCACCTCCACTGCAGCATGTTTCAATCTGTACTAAGTTGCACGATAACTTGACCTTCATCACCATTAGGTGAAACGCGTTGACATGTTCAGTCCAAACGCTTTCGTTGAACGAGGATCCCGCTTCGGAGATAGGTCTGTTCATATCCCATTTGATATAATCAACACCTAGTGCATTTACCAGTGTGATAATCCGATCTAGAAGATACTTTCTAACTTCAGGCATACAAATATTCAAAACGAGCTGATTTCTTTCTTGATGACGTGGACGATCAGGATAATGATAAACCCAATCAGGATGCTCACGGTAGAGGTTGGAGTCAGGATTCACCATCTCAGGCTCGAACCATAAACCAAACTTCAAGCCTAACTTATGAACGTAATCAACCAAAGGCTTCAAACCATTTGGAAACTTTTGTGCATCAGCGAACCAGTCTCCTAAGCCTGCATGATCTGAACTTCTTCCACTGAACCATCCGTCGTCTAATACAAATAATTCTGCTCCAAGATCAGCTGCTTCTTTAGCAATTTTTTTTTGATTTTCCAGATTAATGTCAAATCCATATGCCTCCCAACCATTATAGAGTACGGGCATATTAGCTTTCGGGTTAGCAATGAGTTTTTCACTTTTATTATCTCTGATATGGTTTGTTAATGATCGTCGAGCTCCTGATAATCCTTCTGATGTATAACCTGCAACAAAAACGGGCAAATCAAATGTTACACCTTTTAAAGAACGACTGAAATCTCGATTGTGCATTCCTCCTGTTACTGTCACCTTTCCTTCTATATCCGTTTTTATTTCGATTTTCCAACTTCCACTCCAACCCAAGGTACCAAAATAAACTTCACAATCTGCATGCTCTCCATCTTTGTTTTGATCCTTGATAGCAAAATAAGGATAACATTGTGCTGATGGAATCCCGCGTGTAGATTCGAGTACATGCGTTGTTCCAGACTTCAAAGTGTGCTTTTGAACTTGTGTTTCTGCAGACCAGGCACCTGCTAATGTAATCAATTCACGGTTGCAGTTACTGGCTGGTGGAGGTATGTGCCATGCCCCCGTTAATGCCTTTGATATATAATATGATTCAGTAGAATCGGTGGTGACTATAGCTGAATGACGTATAATTAAATCGTTGTTGACATCCAGAGTGTAGTATAATTGAACCTCTAAATTTTGATGTTTTCTGTCCGTCATTATAAGGGTGAGCTTTTGCCGACCTTCTTGGCGGAAACCATAGTATCTGAGATCTACTTCACGTGTCCCATTTTCAAATTTAACACGCAAGGTGTCAAGCCCATAACGTAAACCTCCAAATACAGGGAACTCTTCTGCAGCAGATGTGATTGCTGGATCCTGAGAGCTTCTTTCATCAGCAACCGTGATGGGAAGGTCAATATCAGCAAAAGTCGCGAGTCTAGGACCCCAATACAGGTTTAATATAACTCCGGTTTTCTTATCAACGCCTATAATATAGGAGGTGTTTTGAGTCGTAATGCACCAAACATTATCTTCGTTAAGGTGTTTTTCAATTCCTGGTTTCAAAATCTGCATTCAAACAAAGTTAATGGTAAATCTTCCATTTTCGTTTATAAGTCATATTTAAAGCGGCATTAAAGCTTTATCGAATCATGCCGATGTGTGATACAAGCAGCTTTGGATTGGATAGCTAAAAGAAACTCTCTGAATTTTACTCTCAAATTAAGTATATATTTGGCAGTTAAGCTTATGATAAATGTTGATTGTTATTAGAAGACAATGGTATTTAGATTGGGCAGTTGGAAAACAGTTGCTTGATTTGCAAACGCGACATGTCCAACAGCGAATGAAAAAGATACATGCATGACAACGGTAATGAGCACTGCGCCAAATATAAGTCAAAACAGATTCGAGTAATGTAGTGAGCACAGCAGTAGATGCAGAATCCATACACCTTACCAAGAAGCACACTCTGCTCTAGAAGTTGCGGTTGAGTGCAGCATTTCGACGTCTATAGCTACAATACTAAATTAATGAATTTCTGTGGTAAATCTTTCTTCGGTTTTCGGTTCCAAAGTTGAGATCAGTGTTATCAATGAACAAAGGGCTCTTTTCCAAATATTTTATAGCGTTATTCAATAAAACCGCTGGAGAATAAAGGCATTGCGAGGCAGAAGCTTTGCGGTAAATTTAAAGGCTCAACTTTCTCTAATTCCAGGCCTCTCAGAGCACAGTACGAAAAAATGCTTCATATTATCAAGAAGAACATAATAAATATACTTATACATAGGTATACATGAGCTTTGTTTCGATTTGTCTAGTGTCGGTTCTTTTCTTGGATAACGCCAGTTGTAATAGTCAGTCGATGAGAAGCCTTAGTTGGAGAGTAAAGCATATCTCATTGTTAAAAACACGTTTCAAAAGGGCATAAATGCAGCCAGCGGTAGTTGGTTCAGGTGATATCCTCAATACAATTCCAACATAAACTTTGCTGCCATTGGTGCGATTGCTTGTAGTGCACCGTTTGAGTTTCTGCTTTGAATATTACAATTAACCGTAGTTATGACATAAGCGTTATTTTTCGTGGAAATCAGTTGGCTCAACAGAAGCTTTACGGTACTTCGCTAATACCATTTGATCTCTCAACAGCTGTCAGTCCTATAAGAGTGGAACCACTGCTGAGCCTTTTCAGAACATGTTGATGTGCGATAGAAAAAGTGTGTTTTTCTGCTTTACTATGCTTTTTTCTCAGTTGTGCAAAATTATATTCTATGTATACTATGCTATTCCGCTTTATCATATTTGTACAAAGTTCATTACTTAACAAAGCTGAAATGATAATGAGACATACAACTTTTTACGACATCAAAAACATATATTTATTAGAATTGTCATGGTAAAGCTGCCAATAGTTGAAAAATCTATTCTCTGCCTTATATAAACAATGTTCAGACCACTAAATCATAAACAGAGATGGATTATCTTAGCTCTGCATTAAACATCATTGATTACTGAAACATAGTGACTAATTAGCAGCATTTGTTATCAAATTAACTTTCAAAAATAATCCACTTTGAAAAGCGAACTTGCTTAATCTCCTTAGTAATCGAAGAGTAACATTTTGCATTATCCTGAGTCGACTATGCATTATAGGTTGCTGAAGATATGCTTAACTATGGTTGATATGCATACTTCTCGGTAATACAAGTCTTGAATTGCTGCCAGCGGAAACCATAATGGAAAAAAGGGTTTGCTAGTCAAACGGGCGTTTTGACCAAGATCATATTTCGCTACAAATATTATTAACCATATATTTTATGTATGTGATCTGAAAGGCCGTTGCTTGTAATCGGATTGTCTTTGTACAATAATCTTTTTTCCCCTCGTTGAAGTGATAAAATCCGTCGATTTGAAACATTCCTATGCAGATTTTTCTTCAAAAAAAAAGAGTGTCATGCTTGTTTTCTCGAACTGAATCTGAAAATTACAACTGTTGCTTTTGCTTTTAACAACAGTTTTTAACGATCAATAGTGTCTTCCACTCTTTAACATTCTCTAATTCAAATCGTATATTTCATTTGCATTACATTCTGGTTTATAAGAAAAAGCATTGGTATACTCGTTTTAAATACGCTAATTAAGCAGCTTTCAGCATATTCATATACGATCCGTGCATGGAAACCTCATATAAGGAAAGGTATACTCAAGCAAAACAACTATTCAAACAAACACCTATATCAATAGGATGAAAGAGCTCACGCAATTATTTTTGGGGGAAGATTAAAGTATTTTTGTCGAGTTCTGAGTGCCAAGAATGACAATAGTAGCAAAGACAAAATAGGGGCTTTTACCACTGACAGTTGGACTCCTGTCATTAATATGAAGGAATTTCGCAATACTTGTTTTCATGGTAAGAAAAAAGGGTTGACCTTAACCAGTCTATGGCTGTCAAATTTCAACGAGCAAATGGGTTATAGGTATTCCTGACGAGCCAGGCATTCGTGCAACAGCCTGGAAGGTGCTTCTTGGCTATTTGCCACCAGATAAAAGTTTGTGGGAATCAACTTTAAAGAGGCAAAGACTCAACTATTACGTAAGTACGTTAAAGCAGTTGAATCCTTGAGTTATCTTTAACTTCACTTACATGTTCTCTTTTCATGTTGGTAGAATTGGGTTAGAGATTTTTTAGAGGAGCCTGAGGAACAACCACCATCGACAGATCATGTAAGTTTACTACAGTTGTGTTACTACCGATTGACATAGGCAATAACCAAACAAGAACTGTGAAATAGCCTTTAAATGCAGTGCTTGAATCAAAATGGACGCTTTATTTTCAAGATAACTCAATTTTGGAACAAATAGATAAAGATGTTAGACGTACTCTACCGGATATCTCCTTTTTCCAAACTTATGTACCAGTGAATGCATTGAATCCTTTATCACCACCAGTCAATAGTTCATATCATCTCGACGAAGCCATAATTACCAGCAACTCGCATTATAATGCGGTCCAAAACGAGTTGACCGACCCACTATCGGGGCTCACACTGACAGAAGAACCAGTGAGCGAAAAGGAATCCTTGACAAGAAGGTTTTCATTTGGTTTGGTGGGACGGCCTCGATCTTCTTCCGCTGCGTCCAAAAAATCATTTAAAGCATTAAATAGTACAACAAGTATTAATAATTCCAATAATATTTTGAATGTTACTTCTGCTGCAACAAACAATAGAAGTACATCTACAGCAAGAGCCAGATCTAATTCCAAGAGTTCGGTACGCTCATTTTCATCAGGAATAATAGATAGTGGAACAGATATCATAACTTCACCAAAAAGTATTGTTAGAAAATTATCAACTGCATTTGGATCAAAAAGTAATACATCAAGATTTGCAATGAGCAATACAAAGAAACATCAGTACCCACAACAACTGGAACCTATTTGTCCGTATATACCAAACAGAAGGTCCTTATTTCGTCGTATTGCCCATTTGAATGAGGATGTAGGATCCCGTGAGCATCGAAATAATGGCGCCTCGCAGAATATGGGTAGAAAGGCCTTGGAAGCAGACACTTATATGATGGATTATCACTGGGAGGCGATTGAGCGTATCCTCTTTATTTATGCCAAGCTCAATCCAGGAGTAGGTTATGTGCAAGGCATGAATGAACTTTTAGCACCAATATATTACGTTTTCAATGCTAAACCCGCAGAGGACGATGTGGAATCACAAGCTTACGCGGAAGCCGATTCATTTTTTGTATTTACTGCTCTAATGTCAAATGTGAGGGACCATTTTGTACGCTCGTTAGATCAAGATGCAAGCACAGGAATTAACGCAACTATGTGGCGTATGAGTCAAAGGTTAGCTTGGTTTGATAGACCTCTTTTCCGAGATCTCGACAAAAAAGACATCAAAGAGCAGTATTATGCGTTTCGCTGGATTACAGTATTATGCACACAAGAGTGGGATTTGCCAGATGTCATTCGACTTTGGGATTCCATATTGTCAGATAGAGATACACAAGAAGGGGTTGATGAAACACAGTTTGAATTTTTATTAGACTTTGCAGTAGCAATGCTTATGTAAGTCGTGGTAATATCTCGAATACTGAAGGCAAGCAATGTTCTTTAAACTAAGAGACTGTTCATAGATGCATTCGTCAAGATTTGATACAGGGTGATTTCGCTGACAATATGCGTATCTTGCAGGTATGTAGCGCGTGTACTTAATACTTGCCAAAAGCCGGTAGCTAATGCTAGAATTTATAGAATTATCCTATAAATGATATACAAGTTGTGTTAAACACAGCTTATTCGATTCGAGAAGCTAGATTAGATGTCATTGCTTCCAGTATTATACCTGGCGTTAATGACAGAAGAACAAGTGGATTTTATCTGGAAAAAAGTGATACTTCCTCTATCTCTTCAGCAGGTTCTGGTAGCCGGCTGAAAAAATTGAAGGATACAACAGATATGGCAAGGGCAAGTTTGGATTCCTTACGTCGAGGGTCAAAGGGATCCCTAGATGACCTTTTCAAACGCGGTTTATCTATGACTCGAGGATCGTTAATAAATGAAGATATGGATAGAAAACGTGCATCAACGGGCGATATGGTGACAAGAAGCCTTTCACAAAGACTAAGTTTCGCCAATAATATTGCTGCAAAAGTTAGACGCGCTTCTTCTGTTCGATCTGTAAATAATGCCATTGTTTCTCAACAGCAGCAGCAACAGCAATCAAAAACGCCTATAACCGAAGAAGAACGACGACAACAGATTCACAGAGACTGGTTACTGGCTAATCAATCAAGTGCAGCAGAGTACGACAATATCAACAATAATTCTATCTATCCACAATATTCGACTCCGTCAACGCATGTTAGGCAAAACTCAATCACTTCAACTGCATCTTCCTTCTCCTCCTCCACTATACCTGCAAATATAACATCCCGTACAAGCTCATTGATGAGTCGATTCTCTCAATTTGTCTCGCCTAATAAGCCTGTTATAGTAGGGCCGTATGAACAAAACAATATTGGTCAACCTCAAAATGATAACGGCCATAACTCAGCTTTTTTATCCTCCTCAAGCACGCTTTCAGAATCTGGCGATAAGAAGCGTAGCTCTCTAAATCTGAATATCGACAACGCTCGAGAAGCTATTATGAGTTCCTATAGAGGGTTTGTATAATCAGCGAATGTTGTAACTAGTAATTCATAATACATTTATTACCTTTTATATATGCACTTTACCTTTATTCCTTTACTATCCTTTACCAACTGCTTTATATTTAACGTTATTACTATACTGTTCGCATGCACATATCATTATTTATGATTATTTATGTCCAGAAGGAAAATGTATTATAGTCCTTTATTACAAAGAGCTTTGATTCAATATACGTAGTGTACAAGAATTTATTTAATGAACAAAAAATTTTTTATCCACAACTGTATTTTGTGTAAAGGACGATGATGGCAGGTAATTACAATGGGCTGTCTTCTTTATTGTCTCCTCTTATACAGTATTTTAGGTTTCATAAGAGACGATTTCGAAAATTTTGTGGACGGAGTCGGTACCTTAATTGGGACGTTTCTTTTTTTTTAGTGGATTATAGATTTTTAATTTTAGACGAACTGGGCTTTTATGGTAGACGAAATATTTTGAGTAGATTTCTTTTGCTTTAAAATAAACACATCCCTGCAACATGGATTACATAAATTATAATCCTGCAAGTGAGCCTATGCTTTCCGAGAATACTTTTGCTATGGACTTGGATGAAATTGCTGTTACTTTGACTTGGATGAAATTGCTGTTACTTTCGGGCAAATTGAGAAGCTCGTCGACTATGATGAAATGCAGCGGCGCCCTGTAGTCGATGATGCGAAAATGGAAGAAACTGTTGAAGAATTAACAACAGAATTCAGCACTGTCGCATTAACGGATAAGTCCAAGAAGCGCAAGCAATATAGTGAGCACAGCATTAGACGGTTGATTCACTTAATCCAAGAGGCTGGGCTTACAGTTCCCAAAGCTGCGGTTGAGTGTGGCATTCCGAGGTCCACCGCTTATAAGTTTTTAGATCAGTGGAATGCTAGTGATGGTACAGTCCTTCCTGGTAGCAAGCCAAGAACCGGCATCTCCCGACCAAAGAAGCTTTTTGCAGAACATACTGAGTTTCTTATAGCATTATTTGATGCGAGACCTTCGACAACAATTGAATCTGCAAGACAGGAGCTCTGTGCCAAATTTGAAGGTTTGAGTATCTCGATACCCAGTCTCTGGGAGCATATGACCACTAAGTGTTCACTATCTTTAAAAAGAGCAAACAAGTATACTTCAGAAAGAGATGCGCCTAGGACAATCAAGCTTCGTTTTAGTATTGTTAGTCAATGGAAAGCTGCTGGTGTTGACTTTCAAGAAAATTGTGTTTTTGTGGATGAAGCAGGTTTCAATACGCAACTAATGAGAAGTCGTGCGTGGTCTAAGCGTGGTACTTATGCTACTGTTAAAGTCATGACTCAAAAAGGAGCAAACCTTAGTCTAATTGGCTGTATCTGCGCTCGCGGCATCATTGATTTTTCGAAGGTGCAGCCTTTGAGCATAAGTGATGCTATTAAGGTCGAACAGCAATATCAACCACAGTCCAGTTCAAAGAAGAGAAAGGCTGACACTCAAGAACTTCCAAAAAAGCCAATTAAAGGAACCACTGCTTATCATTACGTGAAATTCATGGAAGTTGTAATGGATACGTTGGGCAGACTGGACATGAAAGGCTATTTTATCGTAATGGATAATTGCAGGATCCACCATGCGCAATTCGTTGTCGATACTATCAACAAACGCGGCTACAAACCGCTATTCATGCCCCCTTACTCACCATTTTTGAACCCAATTGAAGAATGCTGGGCAAAAATCAAAGCAGGCATCAGAAGGAATCCTCTTCAAAAAGGTGATGAGCTCTCTCCACGTATCAGCGAAGCAATCAAAACAGTTACGCCCGATGATTGTCTTGGATGGGTAAGGCACGCTGAGAGTTTCTGGGAGAGATGTTTACAGAAGGAAGTAGGGCTACGATGAACGATAATGTTATTTTCACATATGCTTTCAGAATTAATATTGACGTCTAAAATGTAAAAAGATCTACAATAAAATCCTACTTCGTCTAAAATCAAAAGTCTATAGTCCACTAAAAAAAAAGAAACGTCCCAATTAAGGTACCGACTTCATCCACAAAATTTTCAAAATCGTCTCTTATGAAACCTAAAATACTGTAATGATACACTTCAGGGCTCAGCTGCAAATTGACTAATAGTTATGTTACACTAACATGTGTTTTTATTACACTAGCAAAGAATGCATTAAATCAAAAGCTGTTGATTGTCTCCTTTTTCATCCCGTTCTCTTTTCATCATTTTAGTGTTTCTTACTTTAGCAATTTGAAAATAGTGTAGACACTTATGAATAACAATACAGACAGTAAGGAAGACTCGCGACTATCATTGAATGGTATGGCTACACAACTCGGTATCAACATAGCAATTGCAGTTGGTGTTTTATTTCTATTTAATATATTGCGACCGAACAATTCACGTAAGTTAGGGCAATTGAGACTTCTTGAAGACAACTGTATTCACTATTTTTACTACTGCAGTTGTCTATGCTCCCAAATACAAGTATTCGTCAAAGACGTATGTGAACAGAAATATTTTTGATCCTATCTACAAAAAAGAAGGCAGTGTCTTAAAAATAAGCATAATCTTCTGCTAAATTAGTAAACAGCCTCCGCCATTGGGTCATGGTACTAAGATTAACATTTCACATTTCTAACGGCTACCTGTGAGCTTTACGGATTCAAATCGATTTACCCCCCCCCTTTTTTTTGAAGGGTTTTTTGCTTGGTTCTCTCCAGTAATATATACATCCGACGCTGTACTTATTGAAAAGATAGGATACGATGCTATATTATTTATACAGTTTATTCGATTGATAAGAAGAATGCTTTATGTACTCACATTTGTCGGTGTGTGTATTATTATTCCTGTAAATATAATTGCCACATCCTTCACTGGGTAAGTTAGTTTTCTGAAGAAGCTCAAACCGCGCTAAGGAATGATACTTACATTCTATACCAAATAATCTAACAATGACAGGGAATGGCCGCCTCCTCCAGGTGTAGAATTCTTATCAATTTCAACGATAAATTATTATGACGGCAAGTTTCATTTCTCCAATGGCAACTTAGATTGGTATTGGTCACATGCAGCCTGCACTTGGCTATTTTCTCTAATCATATACATTTTCTTATGGAGGTTTTATACACGATATGTCGAATTCCGAAAACATTATTTTGAAAGCGATGACTATCAGCAATCAATGCATAGCAGAACTCTAATGATATCCAATGTTCCACCATCTATGAGAACAAATGAAGCACTATCGAAATGGGTCGAAAGTTTAAACTTGACATATCCAGCTCAACAAGTCAACATTGGCATTCAAAATGAAGAGTTAGCAAAATATGTTGAAGAGCATGAAAAAGCCGTGCGACAGCTTGAGATTATCCTATCAAATCATTTGAAAGGTGCAGTAGCAGTATGCTGAAGACGTTTGTATGAAATGGATTATCACATCTCACCGGTTACACATACGTTCAACTAGATGGGCAATTGATACAGAACAAAAAGCGCCCTCTTATACGAATAGCAGGTTACCTTAACAGCTGTGGTGGTTACAAAGTCGATGCAATCAATTACTATTCCGAAAAGATTCAAGATCTACAGGAGAAGATCACAAGCGAGCGTTCTAAAATATCAACCAGTAAAACTACCAACTACGGCTGGATAACATTTGAAAAGGTATCTTGGGCACATGCCACTGCTAACTTTTTAGCTTCGCCATCTTCCCCAATAAAGTCTTTGCCAAAAAGACTGAGCGAGGGGGCACAACTTTCTGTTGCATTAGCACCACAGCCTAAAGACATTATATGGTCCAATTTAACCATGAATGAGCATGTCAAGCGTAGTAAGCGACTAATCGTAACTTGCATTTTCTACGGTTTTGTCTTTTTTTGGTTCATTCCTTGCAGTTTCTTATCGACATCCTCCAATGTCAAGACACTGATACGACTTTTCCCTAATTCAACCAAATTCATCAAAGAGCATTCGACGTTTGTCTCACTATTAAGCTCTTGGTTTACACCAATTGTAATGGCTCTTTTCTTCTTCATCCTTCCTAAAATATTAAGATTTATGTCACAGCAACAAGGCTACCTTACAGGGACAAGTTTGGACAGGCAGGTCCTATCGAAACTATTTATCTTTTTCATTGTCAATAATTTACTTGTCTTTACAATTTCATCTACACTTATTGCCGTATACACAGAGATACAAAAAGCCGCTCAAAATGGAACGACACTAACTGCAGGCCAGTTTTTCACCACTATGGGAAGTAATTTAACACAAGTTGCGAAAAATCTTAGTGGTAACATGCACCTCTATGAATCTGTCAAGATGAATTTTATTGTTCTAACGTGAGATATTCACCACTTTTATAGATGTCTCTACATATTGGGTTAATTATGTCTCATTAAAAGCTTTAGGTGTAATCATGGATTTGGCTCAAGTTACAGTACTGGTTTTAGTAACATTGAGGTACAATAACTAATGGATGACTTTACCTTTCCATAAAGAAGATGAGTAACGATGCTTCAATATTATGTAGAAAATTTTTCACTCGGCCAAGTCCTCGCCAATTGCAAGGTAAAATACATGCCACAATGCTTGCTTTATTGAAAATCCTCGAGCTAATCGGTTGGTTGCCAATTCAGAGTTCACAAGACCATCACCATTCGAATATCCATTATTCTACAATGTATTATTATTTTTTTTTACGGTCGGGCTAGTGTATTCTGTCATTGCGCCTTTGGTCCTGCCATTTACACTCGTCTATTACCTCTTAGCAACGATGGTTTTCAAGTACCTTTTAATGTATATTTATGTTACAAAAGTGGAAACAGGCGGACAGATTTGGAGATCACTATTCAATCGGTTATTGGTCTCCACCATGCTATTTCAACTCATAATGATTGGTGTCCTAAATCTGAAAAGTGCGAAAATACCTTCCGTTGCTGTCGCGCCCCTACCGCTACTGACTATTTTATTTAAAATTATATGCAATCGACGCTTTGATCCTCATGTTTATTACTACACCACTAAAATTGAAAACACATACTTCGGTCATTCATCAGCTGCGCGTACTAACGCACCCAATGACAGTCGCAGCATAAAAAATTCAGAGAATACGGTAGGCTCCAGATTTGGGTATCCTGCCTTTTTCTCTGAACTGCCCATACCAATGGTTCATGAAAAAGTACAGCATTTGCTTCCTAAAATTTATGGTTCGTCTGGTGGCAATAGAACATTTAAAAAGCCGTTTGTCAGTCGGATGACGAGACATAAAAGTGTCAAGCATGTTTCGGTTATTCATCTACAGAACAAACTGAATGGCGGTGAATTGCATTTTCAAAGCGTAAATGATCAGGATTTGGAACTTGATGACTCGACAGAAGGAGTTAATGGATTCTACAAATTCAACGATGATGACGATGATCAGAACTATGTTGGTACTACTGCTGCAAACGTTGGTCGCATAATCAGACCCAATGAAGCCATTATCAGTACTGGAGGTTCTGTAAAAACTTCTTTGAAGCGACTTAGCAATAAAATTAGTACTACATTACTCAAAAATACTAGCAGCAAAGACCCATATACACCTCAGCAACCGCTGGTAATATCAACGGGACCGCATGTACATGATAACCACTATGAAGACACGCTGTCTTCTTTTGCACACCATCAGCGAGATCAAAGCCCTTATGCTCAGCTGACACCTAACAATGGAACACCAGAAAATATGGAATATTTTATAGCAGGAAGTGCGTATAGAACATATGATCCGCGAATGTTGAAACGGACAAATATGATAGAGATGGCTAATCTATACCGAGAACAGCAGCAGCCTTATGAGCCACACCAGAATAGTAACAACTCCAACCACTCATACAGAGATAATTTTCATCATTACATACATAGCCCAATCAATGCTATTGTGTTTCATCATGGAAAATCAAGGCATCAGCATGATTTCAACTCATATTCCTAAATCTTTGTATAATGAAATTAACCGATAGTATCGAGTATATAAAGTGTAATCAGCTGTTTTGTTCTTCTTTACTTTCAAACTGGTTTGCAGCTTTCATTGCTGTTGTTAAACCAACAATCAATATGTTGAATTGATAAAAAGCATTAGATCCTGGCACCTAATCGGACGCTTGCATGGTTCACGAGATAGGGGTTTATGTTGGTAAATTGGACAGATCAGGAGGAGCTCATGTTGTCTGCACCTAGGCACTTGAATATGGGAGATCTCTAAAGTACACATCAATCATCGTCATGATAGTGTCGTGCACAAATGTTGCTTCGTTTGATTTGATGATTGGATAGTTCATACAATAGATTCGAGTAAAAGAATATAATATGTATTTCAGCTGTTGAATTTTCCTTGCTTCTCCATATTGTTCAACATTCTATCAATATTATCATAATTTACTTCTTTTTTTTTTTTGCTTCATATGATAAGCAGAACTTTGGCATAGACGAGACTCTTCTTCGTCAGCATTGGGTATGTGAAATTTAATTGATAGCTTCAATATCTTGCAAAACCTCTTCAATATGTTCAAAGGAGTAGTAGTATTTATAAATATGTCATAATCAAAACATTATGCCACTAAGTGCCAATTCTTCGCGTGCATCTAATTTTCAAAAGGCTTTAGCCTTTCGACACAGGTCTAGTCGTACTGCAAGAATGATTTGGGAACATTGCAACCCGATGGTACTTTTTGAAATTTGGTAATCGTAGATACGGGAGCATTATATATGCCTTTGTGGTCGTCAAAAATCAAAACGTCCCGGCCACTACTGGTTGAGAATCATCGGATGTGACACCTTTATCAATGTACGAGTCAGTAGTGATATTAGTGGGAGAATCTGGCTGATTTTCATGTTGTTTGCTTCTTGAAACTGGTGAATCATCCAAATTCTTTGAGAACTTGGTTGAGGAAACCTTTTCTAACAATACATGACCAGTTTTGCACGCTTGTTTGATTTCCTATTGTGGAGCTATATTAGAAAATCATTTCAAGATGATGAGAATTCAAGATATCGGTAGATGATCGAGAGACCGAGTTCTTCGCAATTTAGACGTTGCTTGCAGAGAAAAGAGAGCTGCAGTTTTATAGCCATCTATTTGCAGTTGTGTTCCCATCTGTTTCTTTCTTTCAATGAAAGCCGTCTTTTCCTCCCCTTCCAATTTCTAAACATGTCAAGTAGCTCGTCCAACAATTCACAGCTCCTGAACGCACGCCAATTTAAATATATTTGTAGCGACGATTTGTCCGGTCTTTATTTCACATTTTCCTGCAAGCACTTCCAAACTCAAACTTTCAATATTAGACATTAAGGGGAGAATCTCAATTTGACTTTGCTCGTTTATTGATTATGTAATTTGAGGTTGCTAAAGCACAAATTGGGTTTCAGCAAAAGCGCCAGATGGTAAGTTCAAAAGCGCAAGGTATTTTTAAATAAGCGCTATTTGGCACTACAGGCATTGTAAACGCACAAATTCTTTGTTTTGGGGCAACTTATGTTTGCTGTGTTTGCAATTCTGTCAAACAACAGTGATTGGCTAACCCCTTAATTTTGTTTTACCCTTTAGGGCAGTCTAATGGAGTTCAAAAAGGGTAACAGTGAATGAATTAGCAGAGGAATATCCTCTTTTTTCTATATTCTCATTCCTTTCATTTATTCATGTTTTGAGTTAAACTTGCCTTTATTGAAAAGTAATTTTTTTGTTGTGTTCCTGATTATACACATAAATCTACGCCCCTCAATTCCTTCATTTTGACTGATATGCCATATTCGAATAAAAATCAACGAAGACTGACCGGTTATAGAGGAGATACCAACGGAAATAACTCAAGTCTTGTTTTGGGCGATGAAGATAGCAATGACGGTCATCCCGAACTCTATACTATCGGTCATCAGCATGACATTTATGATGAATATGACGACAATTACACTAACGATAATACTCTTAATAACAGACCTATTCATAACCAATACCAACAACAACATTACAGCAGCGATGACCACTATTATAGCGAAGTCGATACTGGTACTACTCAACAGCAACGGCAAGATCAAGAGCACGATGCACTTGATGAGGGAGTTGACGATGACTCAGGTTCCGAACTCAGCATTCCTGATCCGAATATCGATTTTGATATGGTTTATGCATTACATACATTCGCCGCTACTGTCGATGGTCAAGCTTCTGTTGTTCGTGGAGATGCTTTAACGTTACTAGATGATACAAATTCTTATTGGTGGCTGGTTAAAGTCTTGAAAACAGCTGAAGTAGGCTATATACCTGCAGAAAATATTGAGGTACGAAAGTCTATTTGATCTTTGTAAACGAAAGTCTGAGTTTATGACTTAATGTTGATTTAGACACCTTATGAAAGATTGGCTCGGTTGAATTCGCATCGTAATATTGAGGTAGCATTAGCGCACTAATTTGGCATCTATATTCATTCAAAGGAAAATATATTTATTCAGGTATTCTACTTAGCTTACTAGAAAAGATATTCAAGATGTATTCCCGGCTCCACCTTCAAATAAAGCAAGGAAGCAAAAGAGAGTAACTTTAGCAAAGGAAGTGAAATTTCAATCACAAATCATCTATGGTGGTTTTAGTGATGAAGATGACGATTATTATGGTAATAATGTTGATGACGATAACGATAGCTATTTTGAAGCAGAGTTCCAGCAATGGAAAGAAAAGATGCGTTCCGACGACGACGACGATGATACTGAAGATGGCTCCGAAATCATCGTTCCGGGTACTGACAATGATGATTTTAGATACAGTTCAGATGATCCATATCATCAATATTGTGATGAAGCTTATGAGCAGCATTCTGAACAACAGGAACAACAACTGCTGTCACCTACAGCAACCGCAGAGAAAATAGAAGTCGATGGAAATGGATATGATAAAATTGACACAAATGCCATATCTTCAGCATCTACAAATGATTCGCAATACAATATAAGTGCAGAGCAACCAAAACAGCGACAAAAAATGTACGAGCATCAAAATTATGATCGATTTAGTATGGAATCGGAAAGTATCAACAATGACAGCAGGGAGTCTTTTAATTTGGGAAAGGATGAGACTATCAAAATTTCACTGACGCCAAGTATTGCTCGGGGTGATGGTGATGATAGTACGACTGCACACCATTCAGATGCACAAGCAAAACTGAAAAAGGCTGCTAAACTAGAAAAACTATTGAGCGAGCCCATCAATACAGCAGCAGAAAACGATAAGGGTAGCAATAATGGAAAGAATCCCAGTAAGAAAGAGAAATCCGGTATTCGCAAACTTTTCTCGCGCGATAATAGCAAGGAGAAAAAGAAAGATAAAAAAAAGAATAAAGATGACAAAAATACAGCAGCAGTCAGCAATAACCCCAGAGCAAGCCTGTTATCTTCTTCATCCACATCTTTGGAGAGACTATCGTCGACTGCTTCAACGTTAGAAACAGCTTCTCTCGAATCACAATCCAACAGTATTACCTCCATTGATCCATATCTCATCAATACCAACAGTGGTACAGAGCACAATAATATCGACCAACTTACTACGATTAACGATCAGCCAGGAACCAAACGGTTAAAGATAAATGCAGGAAATATCACGATATTCAGTGGACACACATATGTTGATGTATATCCGACCACAACTACTCAAGAACTGATTGATTATATAACTGCAAATATGATTAATACGATCGAACAGCCATCACGGCGGGAAAGTGACTCGTTGCAACAAGACTACTTTCTGATTGTGAAAACTCAAAACGGTGACGAACTTACGCTTGTTCCATCCGACAAGCCATTAGAGATTTATCAGTCGTTGACATCACACTTAAATACACCTATGCCGTCTCTGAAGAAAGCGAGGCGTATATCACAGCTAATGGAGGGTGAGAATGTTCACTTAGGAGGTCCGACTGGAGCAGTAGAAAGTAACAACAATGAAGAAACAGCTGTCCAATTCTTTTTATTCTGTAGAACCAAGCGTATGGAAGAAGGCGAAATTCAAATAAGAGTGTCATTATATCCTGGAAATAACGTTGAGCAGCAACAACACCAAAAAAGATTGGATAAACTGATTAAAGTTCCTGTCAATATTTTAGCAAAAGATGCGGTGACTCTATTATTAGAGAAATTTCATATCCTAAATGGCGTAGCAGCAGCCTTTAATTCAACCATTAATGCGAACGACGTCAATGATAACATAAAGTCGTTACGTTTGGAAGAAGACAAAGAAGTAGTGCAGTATCGACTAGGTGTTAATCACCAAGATGGTTTGCAGTCTTTGGTAGACCCTGATCAACGGCTGTTAGATGTTTTTGATGAGCGTAATATGCCTCACATTCATTATAAAAGAAATAGCAATCCGGATAGTCGAAGTTCTATTACAGTGAATACTATAACATCCGAAAGAGATGAAATTTATTTCATTTTGACACCATTAAGAAAAGAGACTGGAAATCTTGAACCGAATATGATTGAAGCAATGAACACAAGGACAGTTGATACTAATGAAGAAAAAGCAATAAACGACGCAGTAACACCTGGTCATCCAGCCCGTGAGTTCTCTGTTTAATCGGACTACTGTCTGTATTTTTGATTCTAATGTAAAACTTCCGTCATTAATAGCTGCCGGACCACACCGTGTGACACGTCATAATACACCAATGCCACGGCATGATTCCTCTTCAGCGATCAACAACGATATCTATCCTGAACAAATGTCACTAAGTTCGTTACTTTATCAACCGCAAGTTGTACTTGAAGATCGAAAAGTAACAATAGCAGAGCAACAAAATTATGATACACTTATTGCCAGTAGTCCTGAAGAAGACAAATCTCTGTGTTTTGACACTAAAACAACTCTGTTGACGAATTCACCAACAAATTCTACCATAAACGCTGGTAAAGATACCACTACATTATCAGATATGTCTACTATTACCAATACTATTGATACCACCCCTACTATGTCTGCTACGACTGCAAGCCCTGCCACGCCGACACCAATTTCTTATTCCCCACCTACAATTCCTAATCGCGGATACAAACATATTGCTGCAGAGCAGCTTTCGGCTGCTCCTACTGCCGCTACTGATGCAGCTATGGTCTATAACAATAAAAATTTACCGCGTCCTGAATCAGATAGCTCGCTATTATTTTGTGATGATTTCGGAATCAATGACCTGATGGTACTTATTCGTGGTGCAGCCATATCCGCAGTTGCCCAACATAGTCATCGCACGCAAGAAAGTATCAGCAATAGCAATAGTGCTGTTCGTAATGAAATCAACACTATTTTCAAAGATAGCCAAACAAGACTGGATCAATTAGAAAAGGTGAGTTTTGCTATAAAATCAATAATGGGTATTCTTGTCTATCTACTAAAAAGCTTCTCCTTTACCATTTCCGCATGGTATTCTATGCTATTCAATGAATGTTTATATAGGAGTTGGACCGGATTATGGCAGAAGCGGTGAAGGTTTATTCTTAGTTATAGAATGTATTATGTACTCTATTCTTTTATCTTTTTACCTTCGTTTCCCATTCGTTCCAATAATTATTCCTTCTAAATCATTTAATTGGTTACAATGTATGCAGCAGCTATGAGAAATGAGTCATGTATGTGAATTAAAAGGGGGTGATTTGGACCTATGTGCGGAAGGAAACAATAGGTGTTGTTCTTAATTTATAGAACACAGAACAGAGTTCAGCGAGTTTGGAAATGTTGCAATACACAGTAATTGTCTCCACAAGCTAAAATATTATTTTTTAACCCACAACTTTTCATTGAATACGCTCGCGGGAATATTGACTGATATGAGTTAGGGGCATCAAGGTTAGAAATTTTATACCTCATATATAATACTACAACAATAAGTATAGCTTATTCAAAATTAAGATTTCTGTACCTTACATTTGTTCAGCCTGATGTAAAACATAGTACTCTCAGCATACGTGTCGAAATAAGTTTGAAAAACAGATGGATGTAATAAGTTCAATTGATTTTGTTTATTAAAATGCATCTCTTCCGCTTTGGTTGATATATAGATTCTGTATATTTAGGAATGGGAAGATCATACAAAATAGTTGATTTATCAATCAACTAGAAAGAAAAAGAAGCAGATTTATGTTATATCGAAGTGGAAGTGTAAGAATATACTTAAATGGAATGTATAATGAATTTATAACAAAAAAAAATTTATGTAGCAACATAAAATAAGGAATGGTGTAAAGAAAAAGTATACACGTACGTTGACAATTTAAAGGAATGTGAATATGTATTTTAAGCAGCGGATCCTTTTACATATTTCTTGCATAGGTTTTATCTGTGAAGTTTTTTGTTGCAGTCAGAAAAATACAAACGGATAATCGTCTTTACTGGTTCATGCTTTTTTGTACAATGGAGGACTGTTTTAAATGCTGCTTTACAATAAATTGAGCGACTTCTTGTGCATCTGTTGCAGATGTAACCGTACGGTTATTACAACTAGGAGCTGTCCAAACTGAGTTGAAGGCTCGATTTTGCTGAAAATAGTGGGAAGGCGGTGCGCTAGGAGCTGATCTGGATCTCCTTCTAGCTATTAAGACAGCTGTTGCACTGTTAGTGTATCTGCTTTGCTGTGTTTTCAGCCATTCAGCTTTGAAGTTTTCTCGCATTTGTAGGTCAAGATCAATAGCATCAAGGAGAATATCCATTGATAATTTTTTGTGTTTGCTATCTTGATGCTGAGAATGACTAGGCAAAATGGAAGGCACAGACGTTATGCGAGGATGTGGGGATATTCTGAAGTGTAAGGAAGGTCTTTGTGGATGGCATCTCTTAATAATACAGCATTTTTGGTCTCGCTTCGAGTCACGCGAGGTCGATGGGATTGGTGGGTCCACATGTTTATATGAATTTGTTGTTGATGTGGGCGCCATTTTGTACAATATTTTTCAAAGACAAGTAGAGATTGTGTAAGAAAGTTAAGACGAGAAAGAAGGGAAGAGAAAAACAAAAAGTTCTTCGTTTATATAGTGACAATTTAACTTCACTCTTATTACTGTTAAAATGTTGAAAGCCGTTGTTTAGAATGAGTTCGATCCGATTTTGTCTCGAATGACATGATGCATGTACATTTGCCTCCTGCTTAAAATTTTTCCTTTTGTAATTTTTGAAGCTTGGCTAAATTTGGTACGTTTTGCCCAAATTCCAATGAATTTTGATACAGACTAAAAGTACCCTCCTTTATAAGGCGCCTCACTCGCCTTAGTGAAGAGAGAAATATTGTTACTCTTATCCAATCACTGATATTTGGTATCCCCTCTCGAAGAATATGCTTAATTACGCCTCTTTTCGTAAATGTAGTGCACACGGTTGACCAAGAATTTGGTCCATAGCATTCTCCTTTTTCTTTTTCCTGGCCAAGTAATAAGCCAACTTCTGCTTTACGTTTTTCTAGGATACATACAAATCTTCACCTTTAGGAATTTGAATGTCTCAAGGAAGCATAGTCGACTCCTTTCTCCTCAATTCGATCTATTTATAACAACCTGCTAATATGTCCTTATGTATATCTCATGAAACGAAACAAATTACTGTGAAATATTCTGTCGTTTTTAATGTATTGGAATGTATTATACTGCAATAAACGCGTTGTATTTGAGATAATATCCTCATCAAAATTACGTTTCTGTTATGATTTAATACATAAACCTTTTTCTTTGTAGGTACGGTTCCGATAAAGACTATATAATCATGACGATAATTGCAATTATATAGTTTTGATCGTGATCTCAATAAGCAAGCAAAAGCTCACGTGAGCTAGGAATGGGGATGCTGGTTTGATTAATTTTTACTTGAAAGAAACGGAGACGCAGGAACTTTGTAGATTTGTACAATGTCACCCTCGCACGTCTTCAAGCTGTCTCCATCTGCTTGTTTCACTTTGTTAAAAAGAAAACTATAATAAAGTTCTGTTCATTTCAAATATAATCTTCACAATCTGTATGTGCTATTTTATTAGTGTCGAACAGAGGCTCTGATTGCTATAGACAGAAGTAAAATGGAAGTTAACTGACCCATAAATGTATTAAGGGCTAACGCTCGTGTTGCGTTTTTCACATATAAACACAATACTGAAATATAATGCACAATGCCGCTGATTTGTATTCAGTTTCTTCTTCTACTGTCACTTTGTCCCTAAGTAGTTTTGTCCGAATCAAAACAAATTCACAGAAAGAGTGATTAAGTGAATGTGGTAGTTCAATAAAATAAAAGGCTATCATCTTTTGCGATATGACTGGCCTGGTTATTAGAAAAGGCATCTCGTTAAAATACAAGTTCAGGCTGAAGGGTCGGACAATAGCAAATTTTAAGGTAAGTTTAGACAATGCTGCCAGTATCAAAATATAGTTAATTTACTTTGAGTATTTGACGGTAATGGTTGAAAGAGAAGGATTACAGGTGTCAGCCCTACAATTCACGCTATCAGTATTAATCATTGACTATACTTAACAGAAGCTAATTGCAATTTTTGGAGATAAAACAGCCTTTTAAGTCACATGGTATAGTATTAGCTATTCCATATTAGTTGAGATAACTATTCTTTCTTCTAACTTACTCTACCTTCCTTCAGGAACCTAATCGCCTTGGTTGTAGTGCTATAGAATTGATACTGTTGTATCAATTTACATCCAAATGTCAATTATATTGGCGCCTTAGTTCTTTTGAAAATCAAGTATCGTTGTCGTATGCCACAATTAGTACCTATTTTGCGGAATATATTCAACTCGATTGTATACATCTGAGTAGAGTTTAAAGCTTCTTTGATGTACATAGAATCTGGAGCATTACTTATTCAACGAAAGCAAGAGATTCAATTAATATTGAGTAGTGATAACTCTACGCTTTTAGAAAGAGCTGACGTCTGGGCTTTGGAAAGAATATGTACATCTATCATCCTCAGCTTTGTTAACAAAGATTGCTATAGCCAACAGCAATTTAGCATTCGTTGATGATAGCAATAATGATATATTCGCCTTTAGAACACTAATACAGTCGCTCGATTGGCTATTCACTGGCATTGAAAGTTAAATTGTCGTGATAAAGAAGAAGATTTCTACGCATCGGGTATGAAATTGAGGCACATAATTTCATTGTTTGACGTCCATTTACTTCATTTACTTTGTGCTAAAGAGCACAATTATCAGAAAAATGTAAAGGAGTCGTTCTACTTAAGCTTGTTTAAATGTATGGTAATAATTTTGGTTGTTATACGCGGGTATCTTAGAACGGTTTACTGTCGCAATGGATTTTGTGTACTCATATATTTGTTTGGCCTTTCCGATGATTATGCTATTAAGAAGAGCTTTTGTTTCTCTGCGTCACAAGTCGCCCTTTAATAGACGGCTTTAAGCGTTGTCCCTTGTTCTTTTGACAAAGATATCATGGTACAATGCCTTTGCTATCGAGACATTGATAGACAATCTTGCTGCAGGAACCAAGCGCTTGCAAAATGACAATAGTTTGACCTTCCAAGAAATCATAAAGATATACCATAGAGAGCCTTCATGATTTTATTGATCGTCTGGGCTTTTGGTTTACATGCTTTACTACCCTTTTTGTAAGTCCAGGTGTATGTATGTAAAAGGATAACTATGACTGAGTCCTTGATAGTTGAAGCTGTAAAAGACACAACACAACATTTCATTTGTTGCTAAGCTGTACTGAAACTAAACCATTGTCATTGGCAACGAAGTTGATACTTCGCCGTGTGGAACCTTTCGTATGGCGAAAAAGAGTTAATAGCTTGACTAAAGTAGACTAGGCTGACAACCCAAGAGTTAAGCTAATTTTAGAAAAAATTTCAAACTTCTTCCATACCGAACATTCTATCTACATCGAGTATTGTGTGTATGTGGGAGTCGTTTGAGGCATCAATCGACGGCTCATTCATGCCATTGATGAGTTGTAGGATTAAATTAATGAAACGAACGTTGAAGGGAAAAGCATCAATTGATAAATAAAGTAAAAAGAGTTTTCAAATATCCATTCAAGACATTATTTGATTTATGTCTGTCCTTGGTTGATGCTAACTGATCTTTTCTAGGCAATCAATAGGACTACTTTTTCAACGCTGCTCTATGCGAATCAGCGTCTTTAGTAACTTACTTTGAGCTGGTTGACAAAGGTTTTCAAGTCCAACGGCCGTTATAATAATAATGGCCGGAACTGTTTGAATTTGGATGATTTTTTTTTTTTTCATAAACAAGGTTGTATTTGCAAATGACAGCTAATAATGAACCCCGTTTTTTCCAAAGGTCTTGTGGATGTGAATTGATGTTTATTGTGCAAAATCAGACAATAAGTATTGATTACGGCTTGTCATACTGCAGGTTCTATAAAGTAATTTATTGATAAAGGAGCGAGTACAATAGATACAGTGGAGAGTAGCTTTTATATAAAGTGATGTTCATTAGTACTTTTTCTTCATTACAAAAAATGTAACAAAGAAAATGAGAAGGTAGAATTCAAGCATACTGTGTTGATGAAAAGAGGAGGAACCGGCCGAAACAGGTTTTTTGTGTGCCACTTGATACGCTCCTAATTTACCAACAAGTCCCAAATTTGTACCAGGCGGTAAATGGAAGGATGTCGATCCTCCAGCATTATCGCCACCTACAGAAGCCTTTTTGATAGTGCTCTTGAGGTCATGAGCGTGACTCTGATCTTTTTTAATTTCACTGCGGTCGCTGCTGGCAGAACGTTGATGTTCTTGCTTTAGGACAGTCTCTATTGCCGGTGTTAAAGGTGCAGGCATACTAGATAGTGGTAAAAAAGCGAATGAACTTGTTGCTTCTGCCTCAGGAATTGAAGTAGATGGAGAAAGGTGAGTAGTTTCGTCAATGGAGGAGCTTGTTGCGGTGGACGACTCTGCTGCAGTTGTCGGCGTTGCCGAAGAGATGGGCTTTTCTGTTTGTGGCTGAACAGTGTCTGCAAAATATTTTTCTTCAGGAATGGATGGATAGCGACTTGCGTCCTCTTGACGGTGATCTCGGTTAGGGTAATCCAATATGTTATTGTTGCCGTCATAATATTCTATAAAAGTATGGTTACCATTTAGTAATTTATAGTCTGCTGGCGACTCATGAATGAGCATTTATGCATTTGATAAAAACCTTCTGGGTACTCGTTGCGCCACCTTGAATGGTCATGCGTGTGGGGTTCTTCTCTATAAAAATCCATTGTCAACTGTTTGTGATTTGATATGAACAGAAAGAAAGAAACCAAATTAAGCTATTTCTACAGGATGCTATATATTGCACTTTTTAGCAATGAAATGTTTCCGAAGTCTATTCTACTATCATTTAAGGTGAATTTTTTTGTTTGTTAAATTTATACTTTGTTTCTTATGTTTAGACTTACACTTGCCTCTCCCAAGAATTAAAATTATCGGGAATTCATCTGTGAGTGTGTAAACTCAAAACAGACTTCTATAATAACATCATTCACCTTTAGAAAAAGTACTCATTTCCTATTTGGATGCCTCTTTGTTAGAAATTCATAAAGAGGCTCCTCTATCATGAAATCTGCACTGCAAGGATGTTAGTGCTCGAAATATGGGTGATGATTTGGCTATCGCCTTCTAAACTTTTTGACATTAAAAAGCACATGAAATTTAATCGAAAAGGTCAAATGGTCTCTACATTTGAAATTGTCGGGATGTAAAAAAAAAAGTGCGCAATAGCAAGTGAAAAGCACTTGTAAAGAAACAAAAAAAAAAGGTTCTTCACAAAAGCCTCCCCCTCTTTATTTCTTCTTTTTTTTTTTTTTTTTTTGTTTTGCTCTTTTCTCGTCTCTTAACATTAAACGAAATGACAATCACTGATGATTCGGATATGAATAATGGTAGTACTAGTAGCCTTAATACTACTGCCTCGACAGAGATCAACACTGCGGATTTAATAGCTGCAACCCAAATTGCCACAGGTGATGATGATACAGTAGCCAAAGCAGTCGACAACATACATGTCAAAAAGGATACCGATCGCAGAAAATTAGGTGATGAGGATCTGTTCTCTTTAAATGAATGGAACACATCTGAAGAGTACATATCAGAGAATGATTTTGATATGATAGACATGTTATCTGCTGCTTTAGACCAAGTGACCAACCAAATCGAGGAGAAACAGCGTGAATTCATCAGCAAATCATCCAAATGGACCAACAAAACCAAAGAAAATATCAAAGTGCAGACAAAGAAACTGGAGGAACAAAAAGCGCGGATTCAAGCTTTACTTGTCGCTCAATATAACAGAATTGACAAACGCATGAATAGAGACGCAAAAACAGTTCAGCTTCGGGATAAAATTTCGTTTGTGGTCGGCGTCGGCAATGCGTGTATCGCACCCGCATTGGCGTTACGTTACCCGGATGTGATTCCTATTTTTTACAGCGTGCAGCTGGTCATTTTGCTGGTGTTGCGGTATGTCATTTATCGATCCAAACGATGGCATTACTTTATTTTTGATATTTGCTATTATGTCAATGCGATGACCATGCTATTTTTGTGGGTGTACCCAGACTCTAAAGTGTTGTTCATCTCCTCGTATGTGATGACACATGGGCCGGTCGCCTGGGCGATTATTACTTGGAGAAATTCGTTGGTGTTTCATTCGTTGGATAAGGTCACATCTTGCTTTATCCATATTTTCCCACCTTTGGTGATGTATTGCATACGTTGGATGCCGGAATTACAGCAAATTGATAAGGCAGCACAAAGTGCTGCTGCTACTGCTTGCGACCATGTTACTGCCATGATCAACTTACGTAATGAACGATATCCAGCATTGGCAGAGATTACAAAAGAAGGGGCCATGCCGACCTTGAAAGACGTATTTATATATTCCACCGTTGCTTATCTGATATGGCAAACACTCTATTATTTGTTTATTATGGTGGGACGACGAAGCAAAGTAGAATCAGGGCTTCGCTTGACCTCTTATTCATGGCTATTGGACACAACACATACACAGAAGAAGAGTCTCATTCAAAAGTTAGCATTTTCACTGGGAGAAGAGTACAAGCTGGAAATGTTTATGCTGCTACAGCTTGTGTACAACATCATTACGTCGATACCAACATTCCTTTTATTTAGATACATGTGGTTGAATGCAGCATTCCTCATCCTTATGTTTGCTGTGAGCGTGTGGAACGGTGCCAATTACTATATTGAAGTCTTTTCACGACGGTACATTACAGAAATAGAAAATATACATAACAAGAACAAATAATTAAGCAAGTCCCCTCCCCCCCCCCGTTTCAGTTTTCGTTATCATTCTTCATTCTCGTCTTTTACTTGACGCTGTTTACGAAATAAATCCATCCTCTGATCAATGACCCTTTTGACAGCCCGGTCATTACCGAATAGTTTGGCTTCTGTCCTCGCCCTTTTCAAATCCTGAGTCGATTTGAAATGATGTTCATTGGCTGCATCCATGAACGCCGAGTGGGAGGATTGAAAATAGAAAAAATTCATGGTTGCAATAAAAATGATCGTTCCAGCGAGCAAAGACATGATCGTTGTGTTGTTTCCAAAATTTTCTGCGGATCCTGAATACGATGTTTTTGCCTCGTCTGCCCAGTGAGCATTGGTATAGGAGGGTGGTCTGTAAAAACCGGGCGGTGGTGTGTGCATTGTTGCTGCTGTCCTGGCGTATTCATTATATAAGAGTCGTTTTTGTGGGTTTACTAATGTTTCATATGCTTCGGCGAGCTCTTGGAATCGAGCAGCGTCTCCTGTAGATCTTTTGTCAGGGTGCAGCTCTTTGGCGAGTTTGAGATACTGGTGACGAATTTCTTTAGTGGTAGCTGTTTCTTTTAGTGATAACACCTCCCAGGGTGATCTCTTTATTGAGCGATTGTTCAGCGTTGAGTAAAGCCTGAATGTTCTTAAAGATCCTTTCATATTTTAGGTATGGGTATATCTAGTAGACTGTGCTGTAAGCATTTGATGGGAAGAAAATAAACAATGAAAAGAGATAAAAAAATTTCGAAATTCGACAAAGCAGTGGTGGGTATTGCGCTGCTTTACAAGAAACCTGAGTTTGTATTTGTTTATGCACAATTTCACGTGTGTGGAGGGAATTTGCCTGAAATATACCATGAAAAAGGTATATAGCGCTAAGTATTTATTGAAGCGAATAGCGGATTGTGCTAAAGCTCGGGGTAATAGATTAAGATTCAGGATTGCCTTTCCGTTGATAATCCGCACAGTGTAGGGCGCTTTATCTGATCCTTCCCCAATGCCTAAGGTACAGTGAGAAAAGATGGGTGAGGATAACTCCGAGTAATGAATATAACAGAATCATGACGTAGACGAAAAAAGTCTACACTTTCATCAACTTTATATTTTATAATTTTTCACAACACTTGCTTCTTCTTCTTCGACTTTGAATTACGTATCCTAACTATACATTCATTCAGCAATGTCGTTTCGTCCGCCCCGTACACTACCTATTCTTACGCTATTTCACAATGTTAGAGTAAAGAACTCTCAAGCCGCTCTACAATTACTGCAAAGCAAACAAAAGACAGAAAGTGGGGATGAAAAATACCGCATTGATGTTGTGGATGAAGCGCATAGTCAACCTACAGAAACTCAATTGAAACAGATGGCCAGTTTTTTGGATAGCCCCACCCCATATAAAGATTTAATGTTCAATGACGCTGGTACTGGTGAAAGTCAAGTGACCAATGTGCATGATGCATTAAAGTATATTGATACAGCAAAAGAATTCGCTGCAGATAAGCCTATTTTACGTACACCTATTTTAGTGGATTGGGAGCGAGGAAAGGCTGCTATTGGACAACCTACTCTGCAATCCATTGAAAAACTCATCAATGAAAGAATCAAATAAAAAGGGAAATTTGATGATAATAATAGTAAATGCACATTTGAGTGCAGGCATAGCCCTTTTGTCATTTGTTTATTGTAGTGAATGGTATTAAGTAAGAGTAAAAAGTAAATTGAATTGATTGTGAACATAGAGAATAAATGAAAGGTGAATATGTATAAAATGACTTTTGTCATTGTTGTGGAGGTCAAAAACGTATATACAAAAAAACCAAAAAAAACGATGCAGGTAACTTACAATGTGTAAACATGCAAATAAGAGATCTATAAGTGAATGACAGTGTAAAGCGAACAAAATCAATTTTTTTTTTTTTTTTTTTTTTTTTTTACTTTCTAAACGTAAGAGTCTTCTTTTTCTTTTTTGAATCAGAAGAGCTTGGTTTTTCATTTTCCACCACGGACGGTGCGGTATCTTCAATGACAATGATATGACAGGCTTCTTTGACTTGTGGACTTGGTTCAACAGTAAGATGATGAGGATGGTCCGTTTGAGGGTGAGTAGGCGTGCACATATGAACACTCTTAACCCAATCATCTTCGAGGACGTCTTCTAACGTGCAGCGTTCCAAAGGATTAGGCGTCAAGATACGTTCCATAATGTATCTCGATTCACGAGGCAGCAACTTGAATAATTTATCCGCACTGCCGGTCGAAGGCGTAACAAAATTCTTAAAGGACTGGTCCTTATCAGGAACCGGCATGCGCCAAGGGAAACGACGAATGGACATGCAAACAAAGATGATACCGCACGACCAAAGATCCGTTAAGCGAGCATCATAGTCGGGTTCTGCAAACTGTTCAGGTGCAATGTAAGGATCTGAACCACAAATACCTTTGCTTTTGTGCACCTTCGTTTCGTGCGGGTATTTATTGACTACGGCACAACCGAAATCAATGATCTTGAGAATGCCACGTTCGTCCAACACAAGGTTATCTAGTTTCAAATCACGATGGGCAAGACCCATTTGTTGCAAGTATTGGATACCATTGAGTAACTGTCGCCAGCAACACGCAATTTCATCACGTGCCATTTTGCCGCTCATGACGATGTTGAACAGATCGTTCGGTGCAAACTCCATGATCTCGAAGAAGCTTTCACGTCCTTCTTGAATGATGTCCAAGGTTTCTATCACATTCATATGATGTAATGTGGAGCCAATACAAAACTCAGCTGTTACTTTCTTGATGTATTCTTTTTCAGGTTCGGTGGGAGAGCGTTTGCGAAACTGCTTGACTGCAAAGGTTTTTCCGTCCGTGCTACGACGAATTAAGCGTACGGAACCTCCAGCACCTTTACCAACAAATCGGCCTGTGTGGATTTTTTTAAATGGATTAGTGGTTTCATCAAAAAAAAAAAAAAGGACAAGTGCTGCCTGAACTATTTATCCACCTACCCCATTTTCCATATTTTCCTTCCAAACCCCGATTGAACTCGTTTGCAAACGAGACATCGCTTGCTGCTGTATGGGTTGATGAAAGCGAAGAGTGTCTTGTCTTATCGCTATCACGATGTGGTGGTTGATGATGATGTTTCGTATTCTTTTTCTTATCAGAAGATTTCTTGAATAATTTCTTCAGATCGTGTAAAATGGTATCTTTCTTTTCCAAATGATGGAAATGAGTATGATGGTATTCTTTGTTATAGTGTGGTTTTTTGAAAACGAATTGAGACGGTGTGGTAGGTCGAACGGGCAACGAGGTAACACTGGCAGGGATGCCTTTCGTATCAAGGGAACCTAACGATGCGTTTGCAGATGGAAAAGAGTGCGTTGATGATGATGATGTAGAAGCGGAGGACGACGCTGAAGAGGCTTTCTTCTCTTGTTTCTTAGTCATATCGTCCGCCTCCTTATTAATTTGCTCTCCGCCATTATCGCTATTTTGTGGAGAAAGAGAAGGTGGGGTATGTACAGCGGTCGGCGGCAGAGAAGGAGATGGCAAGGTAGAGTATATGCTTTTATGGGCACGGTTCGGGGTTAGTAGAGGTGTGCCAGGTATAGAAACATCAGGCGTGACATTTTCAAACTGATGAACGGCATGTTTAGTCTGAAAAATCTTGGCAGGTGAATGGAAATCTAAATCTTGCAACTTTTGTGCAAAATGATTATTATTAAAACTCTTGATGTTGTTTGTGTTGGTATCGCTCATTGCATGCGTTGGTTCAATTGCAATATCAGTTATGAAACAGTGGTTTATCTTAATCTTTAATGAAGAGGGCAGATCAAATAAATGATGGGATTATTCAAACGGAAAAGAAAGGTGTAAGAATGATTCAACATGTTTGACTTCAGGCGTCCTTTTTATAGATTACATTCTGAGAAAAGTAAATCAATCCATATAAGGCAACCCTATTCAAAAAGTAAACCCGAACCCCCCGCTTTTTGTCAGTAGTATATTTTGCGATAAAACGGGGCCCTAGAAAGCCTGAAATACACTTTCTATTGAACACGAATACAACAGAAACAAAGCAAGGAGTACGTCATTCACCAGCTCAGGCATTTTGATCTTGAGTAGCTTCATTCATTTAGTACGATCGTTCTATGCCGAGACAGATTTTCTTGGCTGCGGTGTATTCGGATGATCGAGGAATTTAAAGATGGATTCATCCCATGGTAAAAGATATAGATCCGAATGGGTTATGTAAAATGGAAAAATAAAGTCCCGAATTACCGGCTAGTGTTTTTTAATTTTCACAAAAAAATTCTTGATCTGTCTTCCCCTTGTATTCAAACTATAAAAATAAACATGTCTATCAACACGGTTAAATTAGATACTAGAAGCTAGTGCTACTAGTGTTGCCATGATGACTAATTCACCACTTGATCGAAGACAGTCCTATCCAAAGCCCTTCACCTCTCCTTTTTGTGTCCAAAGTCTGTTTTTATAGGTAAAAATGATAGGATTTCTTTTTACCAATAGAAAAAGGAGGACATGTATTTGGATATCATCGTTTTCCACGTGGGTTCAAAGAAAAAAAAAAAAAGGAAATTCATGATCAACTTTGCGCTTCCTTCCCTTTTTTCTACGAGCTAATAAAGTTCTAGAGCCAAAAGACAATGAAAAGATAGCTTGTTTGCTTTGTTTTGACAGGGTCTAGATCTGTGTTTTCTTTTGACTTTGTACCTGATTTTGTAGAACGTTTCGTCAGAAATATGACTTTTTTTGCAATCTCGTCATGCTCTGTTTGCAATTACAATTTTTCGGTCTAATGAATTTTGCTGCCATCTATTGGGTCTAGAGATGAGAAGGATTATATTCTAAGGTAAAGGATTTTGCCTTTTGGTTTGGGATTTGCTAGCTCCGAAGCCGACTGACGTGATCTGCCTACTGACTGACATTATCTGTGGCGAAATGAGTACAGAATCCATGATGGATATCATCTATTGTTGCTAGCTCTATGTCCTCAATGGCAGTCAAGCAGAGTGGTTGCATGTCGTTTCTCTCTAGTCACTCACTGATACACTTCCAAGGGATTGTTCCAAGAACCATTTTTCGATTTCGATACAGTTTCATGTGCACAAACAGTTATGCAAAGGATTCGATGACTTTTTTTCCATGATTGACAATCTGACATTACTGCGGTCGAAAACGATGCGTCTTTCAAAATAAAGTTGCTAAAGAATAGCACCTATCGCAAATACGGTAAATTGAATACCCGAGTGTGGGGTAAGACGTTTCAGAAACTCACAAAAGCGGAAATCTGAGAGGGAGACCAAGTATGGTGAATATAACAAAAAGCACGGACTTGTAATCACCGTACTGCCTGTTTTTAAGTTGGGTTTTTCAAATCAGGGAAATCATATACGGCTCGGATGAATGATGTGAAGCTATTGTATTGTAAATGCACAGGTCGCCCTCCCCCCTCCATGCCAAGAACTTGGAAAAGGGTTACGGCAAGCTTTTGAAACTTTTCAGCTTTTGGTTTCAAGAGAATAGAAACGATGCATCATTGAATGCTTGTTGGTAAAGTAATAGACTATTAGCTAGTCATTATAGTAGTTTAGCAAAGACCTATAAGAGAAAAATAGAGAGCTCAAAATTCAATGGTCTTTACTAGAGACAATATAAGCAGACGGAAAGCAAGCTGTATAAATACTGTGGAGTCAAACACAATGGCCACTGTCTTCAGATCGTAGATGTCGATGCTATTGAAACCATTAGTCATATCGAAATTTATTCAAAGATCAGGTTGAAACGAGTCAATTGTATAGATCATCAAGTTGTATGTCATCTTTTTTTTTTAACCTTGGCTCTTGCTTCAGAGACTCATAAGACTTTATAACTTGATTCAGGAACCTAATAGGCAACACTTCAGTTATAGGTGATTTCTCACTTCAAGCTTGCATTAAAGAAGGTATGTTACGGATATCCAGAGCATAACAATATTTATTTATTTTCTTAACCAAGATTTCTTTTTCATTTTACTTCTCAAAAGCCTTTCTACCATGAACGTAAGCTCGAATGATTTCACCAAAGTTTTGGCCTTGATAATGAGCTACTTTCTTTTCTAACTCTGTCACATCCCTTGAGCCATCACCTGCAGCAATTGCACCGGCGCCATAAGCTGAGCCACCAACAATTTCCTTTGCATTATTCAATGCGTCAGAGATTTCAGATGGATAACCGAGAGGAACATAAGTCATGCCTTGGTGAACAAAATAAGGCAACGTTGTCAAAGCTGTTGTTTCTTGGCCACCATGCTAGAGAAAAGGAAAAAAAAAAAACAAAAAAAAAACAAACAAAAAAACAAAAAAAAACAATAGTCAGATATCGGGTCAGTTTACTTACGCGTCAGATGCGACAAACGTACTTGTGATGCTGTACTGAAAAAAGTAGCAGCAAATTTACCACGCAAGGTTCCTTGAGCGAAATGGCTGCCTGTTGCGTCTAATAGTCTATCATTGAAAGGAGGGAAAGCATTTCATTAGAACAGAGTGACTCATACTCCTTTCCTTTTGCATTTTTTGAACTACAGCACCAAATAATTACCCTTTTACTTGACTAGGCATCGCGCCAAATCTGATAATTCGATCAAAATTCATCTAGCGAGTTATTTACCTGTTGCTTCCTTTTTCATTTTCTTTTCTATTTTACTGTTTGGTATACCTGGTAGGAAAACCGAAAATGATACCATCTGCTTCCGATAATTGTTCAGGTTGGATAATGGGTAAATCTGGCTTTGGAGGAGCATTGATCTTTTTCAAAACGGATTCAGGCAGAGTTTCTTGGACTGATGAGAGAATAGAGTATACCTTTAGATGGGGGGGATGTCCATTATTTCAGTCTCATAGCGTGTATTCTATTCTTTTAGATACCTTGAAACATTTTTGTGGCTACACCCGTTGATTCCAGGCCCTTCTGTACCTCAACTGCTAATTTATGAACGTGATGATAGACAGTATAGATAACAACGTATACTTTGGCTTGTTGAGTCATTTTTATCTACTAATAACGGTTGGAAGGTGTAATAGCAAGATGAAAGAAAACAAGCAATCAAAGACTTTCAGCTTTGACGCTCATTTTAAAAACAATTGCAATCAATGGGGAAGGGGACGTTGCACAATCGCGAGGTTTCTGTTGGTCAGCAAGCAGTCATGCTTATGAATGAAGAAGAAATGCGGGGTAACCGAGCGCCTCAGATCAACAGTAGGCGAGCCCACTTTACACCTGCGAGGCATACGGGGATTGGTGTGAATGACTAATCACTCACTCATGCTGATATAATCCCCTCGTCTATAAAGCCTTTCAAAGCCGACGGAGAAGAAATATGCAAAAAAATAGAAACTCCTCTACCCCATGCTAAGAATGCAGGCGGTCCCTATCATTGGCTTTCGTTGGTGACATTTAAAAAAACCATTTCCTTTCAAGGTGACTACTTGGGATTTGAAGGGCACTCAGCTCTGATATGTACTTGGCTTTTTTTTTTTTCTTCACTTGCTTGCATAAATTGCAGCTCTCTGTAGGACAGTCGTGACAGATAACAGTGCTTTCTCAAATAGAATAAGAAACAGGACAAATTGCACAAGATCTATATGCCAAAGTTCGTATAATGGGGCACACAATGAATATCATTGGTTGCAACAAAAAAAAGATGAAATGAGCTTTTATGCAAATCCATATTGGGGGAGAATGAACAATTGTTTGGATGAGCAAGGATTTTATGGAACCGTCTATTTTATGTGTTGAAGGAACTGAATCTGGTAAATCTCGTAAAGTCAAAAACGTACTTCCGTTTTCTATAAAATAAACGTTATCCTTATATCTATCTCATCATCTTATTCATCCATCGTGTACGAATAAGAAACAAATACCCTTTAAGATTTTTTGTTATTTTGCGGAAAATCACACTTTTCCAGTTTGATTCCCAAAAGCTAGCTGGACCGGGCCAATGAAGGACGTTTTTCATGCAGCTTAAACAATGATCCTGAGAAGAAGACAGCTATGAATTAAAATTTAAAGCGAGCAAAGCATGTAAACCCACGAACTTTAGCGGAGCAGGTGAGAGATGGTGTGGGATACTAAACCATAGTCGAGAAAAGTATAAAAGGAGGGAGCCAACGTCTCGTTTTTGTCGAGCGGATTCTACTATAAAAAAGGACTTTTTTCTCAACTTTCCACCATCCAATTTTTGAATAATGCCCAAGAAGAACAACTCCAGTAATAAAGAAATGACACAGAAAGTGGACAAGAACCGTCCCAAGTCAAAACACGATAAACGGGAAGCACAGAAGAAGCATAAACAAGAGGTATGTGTTGTTGATAAAAACTCATAGTGTCAAAAGAGTCGGTTCTGAACGAATAATCTATGGGGCGTGTATAGAAACAAGAAAAGGCTCAAATGGCGAAAAAAGGGTTCGATTAAGCTAAACAATGTATCCATCCACTCTTACCCTATGTCCACTATTTCTCATTTTGATGAAATACATACGAATTTTCCCGCGTATTATATAGCACGCTTTACAATAAATTTGTATCCAGATTGCTGGCTTTGCATGGTCATCCCATAGGATGGCTCGTCTATAACAGATTTTTCCATGTTGAAGAAGAAATAGTTGCCAAGAAAACTCTGAGAGTAATGAAAGCAAAGAGTATGCTAGCAAAAAGGTAACCATTGCGTCAACTAGACGCAAGTTCATGTGGTCTATAGCAGATATAGCTTCTGCCCTTTCATGCTGCTGTGGACTCGGTTCCCTATGTAAGTGATGAGCCCTTCTATTAGGTTTGATAAATGCTATCTGACATAGACGAGGAAATGTGATAAATAAAAAATGATGACTTGGCATGCTGTTCGATAGAGTAGCGCCATGATTTCATGCAAGCTAACTCTTTTTACTATTTCTAGCCGTCTATCTCTTTTCTTTTATCCTTTATCGTTTTCCATCAGCAACAAATGACTTACACCAAAGAATATAAGGAGCTTGTTAACTTTGAATACCCTTGCTACATTTGTGGCACTATTCTCAGTCGACCCAAGATTTGCATTGATCATGTTCGTCGAGTGCATGGTTACGAACTTCCTGTTCGTGGTGTTGGCCAAAACCGGCCTTCAGATCCTGTGTATGAATTTCAGAATAATCCCAATGGTGAATATGATGTACAGCATTATGCTTGCCCCTCCTGCTGGTACCACTGTCCCGAGACGGGGTTGCGTGAACTGAAGCAGCATACACAAGAAGAGCACCATCCAAAGATTGTTGATAGTGAGAAAGCTGCAGCTTCTACTACCAACAAGGAACCGACTGCTGAAAACAAAGATGAAGATAGTGGTATTGATGATGACGAAGAAAGCATGGACCAAGACAGAGAGCAAAGTAATGACATGAAAGGCAAACAGAAAATTGAAGGAAACGTTCGTGAAGAGGTGAATGAAGCTTTCAGAAAGTTGAATGAAATCACGGAAATGTTCAAGAACCTTCTGAGAAAGTGATTGAATAGTCAGTCTCTCAATAACCTTGTAAGCCCCTTACCCTATATATTCAGAGTTTTCCTTATTTTTTCTCTTTTGGCATGGAACCTATTTTTTTGAAAGACCCCCTTTTTCTCGTAACCCTAAAGCCCAAATAAAAACACTTGTAGCTGCTGTCAAAATTTCAATCCTTGCTTATAAGCGTCTCTCTATTTTATTGGTTTTTTTTTGTGATAGGCTCTAGAGATACACTCATAACAGAATTCAGCTTTATAAAGGTTTACTGAATTTTTCGTCATAAATCTGGTTTCAGAACCTTCATCACCGCGAGGACGAACGGAAAGCGTGACAGACAAAAAAAAAAAAAAAAAAAAAAAAAAAAAAGGACGGTGATTACGTTTATTCAATATAAAAACATTGGTTACATGGGAGAGGGGGCAAGACGGAAAGAATACAGAAGGACGAGTTGTCTAATAATACTATACTATAAAGCGGTTTGTAGAGAGATTAACGAGTAATGAGAAATAAGTAAAAAAATAGGGTAATTGCATAAACGGTCAACAAACAACAAACAAAAAAAAGTAAATTAGAAAGCAGATACGAAAACAAGTTCTTGATAGCACTTGCCAGGACATTCGATTTTTTCATCGCCAATAGTGATTTCAGCTGTTGCCTCATCAAGCCATTGGTAAATATACGGCTTTACGACAAATGTCTGCACGAGCTTCTTTAAGAACCAAGGAATCTCAGATAAAATATCAATCTTATCGATCAAATTCTTGACAGGTACAATCATGACGACTGACACATCCTTCACCTCGTCCTCTTCATGTTCCTTGATGGTTTTACCCTTCCAAGTCAACTTTACGTCTTGTGGAATATCATATTCTGTATCGTCATCCTTGACCAAGTTCATCAATTCCACATTATTTTCTACAGACACACTGATCAACTTATCGTTCACTACAATGGATCCTTGGTTCACTTCCACAGAGCCGTATTGCTTGGTCGTCAAGAATTGCATCATTGACAGAGCGGCCTTTTCTGATTGAAAGTTGATAAAGTTCCACTTTGAAGCAATCAATTGAGGTTGCATTCCTTGAATGGCATGGATAAACATACCATAGGCATCAATGTCATGTAGTTCCTTATCGATGATCACTGTACCCTTTGCATTACAACGAGGCCAAAACTTGTGCGACACAATACCCGCAGCAGACTTCTGGTCATCACCACCCAAATAGGTCTTTCCTTCGCCTACTTTAAAGCCTTTATCCACACGAGCAAAGTCCAAATCGACAATCAATTCGGGATGGGTGATAGAGATCTTGAAGCTAGAAAGTGTAGGATCTAACGTAATATTAAAGAATTCAGTCTTGACAGAACGACGGTCTTCTGAAAGTTTGAAATCGGATGACTGGTTGATATTCTTAAACTTGTTATCGTTGGATTGAGGATTATAAAAACGACATGTAAAGGAAACAGTAGGCTTCAAAAAACTACAGATAATAAAAAAAACCAGCATTTCTTTAGTTTCATCTCGTCTGTGCCTCTCCCCCCCCCCTTTCATGACGGGGTCGATTGGACACTCTCTTTTCTTGACTTTTTTTTTTTTTTTTTTACCCAATGCCAGAATAGATAAGCTGAACAAAAACAAATCCGCCTGTCTTGGTTGTCATGTAAAAGATTTGGTTTTCAGTAGCTGAACCAGATGCCAACGTCCATTCATAATCCGTAGGCATTAATTCGCTAAAGTATTGTCCATCTTTAGCTGTTTGAGCTGGTGTTTTGACGGTGGATTCTTCAGTAAAACCAGTAATATTACCAACGGTACTTGTAAGTTGAGAAACTAAAGAACAAAACAGAGCCATTTTCAACATTATGTTCTATCCAAGTGAGAATTCAAACATGCGTAATAATTACACCAAGAAGCCATTTTTTTCTATGTTTTATGATTTTGTGTAATCGAAATTGAAAAAGAAAAAGAAGAAATAGGGAAAAAAAAAAAAGGACTTCAAAGATCGACGAAAAGTCCTTTTTTTTTTTTCCCGGATTTCAGATTTCTTAACATTTCTCTCTTAGCTTATAATTTTTATGGTTCACCTGATTTCATTGGGCGGCCAATTTTAACCGTAAATCTGTACAGTAAAAAAACGTGCTTTTAACGTCCAGAAAAGAAAGAACCCTCTGTGCTTATGATGGCTAACTATTGTTATTGGTGTGAATACACACTTTGTATTTACCATCACCCTATTTATAGCAGGTGTACGCAGGTTTAATTTGGCCTTTGTGTTCCTGAGCAACCCTTTTGGCGGTTTCAGCATAGGCTTGCATTTGCTCAAGTAGGTCCATGCTGCCTACAATGACGGCAACACATACTGCTCTCTAGAGCCATCCACTCATCCAATGGACTCTATCATGATCCTTACACTGCACCCTAACTTCTTCACTGCAGATCGTGCCTCTGGTGGCTTGGTTCTCACCCTGAAGTGATCACTTTGACCGTTTTACTCCGCTCGTTTCTGTCATTCTGCATTGAAACCCCCCAAATGGTAGGCTCTTACTGTTCAATATCACTTTTTAACTATGCCAACTTTCCTGATCCAATTTGCTCAGGTAAACTGCCATTTTTTTAGAAAATAGCACGCCCATAGTCTCTGTGAACTTACTTGTCCCCCATGGTAGTTCCACGAAGAGTTCAGACTGCCCGAATTATTGTCACTTGCTCAATTAGAGAAAGTCGATATAAAGTACGATGAGGCAGATTACAAGTTGGATGTGAGTATCAACACCACCGGATCCGTGAGGAGCGCACCAGGCTCACTTTTTCCTTTCTTTCTTGATGTTTTTGCAGAATCCTTTTCTTCGAGTCGAACTCAATTCAGTCCAAGATGCACAAAAACTCATCAAAAGAGCTATTTTGATAAAGTAAGTGCCCATGGACGACCCCTCTCCGGGGCGATCGGCTCCGTCTGATGCATGTCATATGAAACTAACTTTTTATTTCTTCCTTTAGGCATATTTTTGAGCTTTGGGGCGAAGGTGAAACCTATGAACAAGTTCATACCCAAGTGAAAAAGACATCCGACCGTTGGCCGAAATACAATACTTGTTCGTTCAAATTCAATGTGAGGGCATTTGGCTCCACTATCGACCACAAAGAACAACTGGATATTATCAACTCATTTGCTTACCTTGGATTTGAAGGACCCATTGAATTGAAAAATCCTAATGTTCAATTCTACGTACTTGCCGATTACGGTTTCGAAAATGAAAAAGAACTGGAAGCACCTCGTTATATTTATATGGGCGAATTGATTGCCACAGGAAGCCGAGATTTAATCAACAAATACAATTTGAAAAAGAGAAAGTATTTAGGGACTACTTCTATGGATGCTGAACTATCCTTAGTGATGGCTAATCAAGCGCTCGCCGCACCCGGAAAGATGATCTATGATCCTTTCGTAGGCACAGGCAGTTTCTTGGTCACCTGCGCTCATTTTGGCGCTTTCACTTTAGGCTCAGACATTGACGGTCGACAGATACGTGGAAAAGGAAAGAGTGGTGTTCATACGAATATCGAACAATATAATTTGCAAGGACGCGTGTTAGATGCGCTCGTGTTTGATATCTGTCGCAACCCATGGCGCACACAACCTTGGTTAGATGCCATTGTGACAGATCCACCCTACGGTGTACGTGCAGGAGCAAAAAAATTAGGTCGTCATGACGGCAAAGCATTGGCCATGAGAACATACGATGGTGTACCCATGCATACGCGTGAAGATTACTATCCACCCACAAAACCTTACGAAATGTCCGAAGTGTTGGTCGATCTGTTAAGCTTCTCAGCACAGCATTTAGTTTTAGGAGGCCGATTGGTCTATTGGTTACCCACCGTCGTAGACGAGTACTCCAATACGGATGTACCACAGCATCCTTGTATGAAATTGATATCGAACAGTGAACAAAATTTCGGTCAATGGTCCCGTCGCTTGATTACAATGGAGAAGGTGAAAGAATTCGATGACTCTCTCCTATTGTCAGATTCAGAGAAGACTGAAATTATGGAAAAAGGAACAGAAGACCCAAAGAGACCTGGACATTATTTATTTCGTAACAAATACTTCAACTTTGGTCGCTCAACAACAGAGAACGACCGTTCGTAGATTGTGTACATAAGCCCCCTATTCTGACATGAATTCTTTAGACAAAAATACCATGCATTTGTTTGTACTTTTACTTGTTATAAATGATTTTCATCAAAAGCGTTCGACAATTTCTGTGTATAAAAAAAAAAAAGGAGAGAGATTTAGCATACGTCCTGTGCGAGGTATTTCAAGAGGGGGGGGGGTGGTGGTGGGGGCGTGTTGGTTACCTCCTAAGTCTTCTAACCCATCGTCTACACGAAAGGCCTCTCCCAAGTCCTCCTCATGGGCAATACCACTGTTTTGCTTCAGATTCAACTCTTTTTGCAACATCCTCACTTTATCCATAACTGCTTGATTCGCTATATAGGTTTCCAAATGAACTTTATGTTGTATCGAGGATTTGGATTTCAGCATATCCTGCGCAAAACTCATCCTCGCTTCCTTCAACATATCTTTTGTACAAACGAGGTTATGTACTGCTGTGAATGCCTTCCATTCCTTATTCTTAAACCCACTAGGGAAACAGGCGGACCATTCATACAGCATGTAATAACATTCTTCAATTTGATTCACCCAAAGATGACATAATTTGAACAATCGACTGCATATGCCCATAGAAACAATAGCCAGCGATACAAAATGCTCCAGTACTAATAAGGTGGATGTGGATCTATAGGTCTCAACTAGAACCACTTTCATTTTGTCTAATATTAAAGCGGCCCCTATCAGTCTATGCATGGTATATTGAATGGATTCTTTGGTAGGTATATAGTTCCATTTATTGACGCATCGTTCCAAACTAAAACGGAAATATCAAAAGCGTTAGAGGTGAAAGTGTTCAGTGCGGTGCTGGATCTGTCGACTATTTGTTTCAAGTTACCTCTTTGCATTCCAAAAAGAGCGATATAGCCTTTCCAACTCTTTTTCCAACTTCATCATCTTTAATCGTTTCACCAAACGTCGAAGTTCCATACTTCGCTTAAATCGATGAAAGGGGCGTTGCTGATTCAGATTTTTGTAATAAAGCCTATCTAATACTGCAATTTCTATCCAGAAAGATTTACGCTCTTTAAATAGATCTACAAACGATCGCAGCGATTTCAATTGTTTGTCTTGATGGATGTCAATTTTCTTATTGATCCTGACATCAGATAAGATCAGATGGGGTGGTAATGGTGGGTCAAGGAGAGTGTAATAAGGTGGAGGAGCTGTTGAATCGGTTGGGGTCAAAGACATGTCGAAGAAAGGGTTTATTTAGGAGACCAAATTTAAAAAAGGAAAGAGAAAAAGTTGAGAAGTTTCAAAAATAGAACAAACAAAAAGATTCCCATTTTTCGAGTTTGACATTATTTATGCTGTATTACACCATTAGATGTCAACCGAGAATGAAGATGAACAAGCGGTAGACATCTTGACCACAGATCCCCTCTGTTAGTATTCAACTGGCTATGGCATAGGAAACATTCTTCCCACATGACAAAAAGCGGGCTAACGAAATGCTCATCTAGTTGTTAGAGATGCAGGAGTCAGAGTAGTCAACAAACACTTGACAGTGAGAACAGCAACAAATAATAACGAAAAGTATGAGAAAAGACACTAACTTATTTACTTTGTCTCTTCTTGCGGATGTGTAGTTGCGTTCAACAATAGCTGGTCTATTGATTGGAACTATCATGTGCTTTTCGAACATGTACTTTGGTCTACAAACAGGCTGGGTTTCCATGATGTCGCTTCAAGCTTCCATGCTCGGCTTTTCTATCTTCAAGCTGTTCTTCCCGAAACACAGCAGCGATAATCGACCTGACTTTGGGCCACAGGAAAACGTTTTCTTACAAACAGTAGCTGTAGCAACAGCTACCATGCCTTTGGCAGCCGGTTTTGTAGGCATCATTCCTGCTCTGACTCAACTGTCCTGGTCGGAAGGAGGAGCTATCCTTTTCCCGGCGTGGAAACTCGTTGTCTGGTCCTTGGGACTCTCATTCATTGGCGTTTTCTTCGCTGTTCCTCTAAGAAAAGAAACAATCGTTCGAGAGCAATTGCCTTTTCCTTCCGGCACAGCGACAGCACAAATGATAGAAGTATTGCATGAACATCACGAACAGCAACAAATGGAAGAGCAAGAACAGTTATTGACACTTCGAAGAAGACAAGCTCGGCGCACGACATCTTTACAACCAGGAAATAACAATGACGCGTTAGATCATGATGGATTTGAGCTTTCAACCTTACACTTGGATGCGCCTTCCTCATTTTTCGATGAAGCAGAAGATGACGAAGAGATTGATACAGTTTTTGCTATGCATGAACATCATCAGTCGTGGTCCATCAAAATGAAAGCATTCGTATCGTCGTTTGCAGTATCCTCTACTTTTACGCTGGCTTCGTATTTCTTTCCAGTATTATATGCACTTCCTGTTTTTAATTGGTTAACTTTGAATAGGATTGACTTTAGATCTTGGGAATGGTATTTTACACCTAGTTTAAGTTACATCGGTCAAGGCATGATCATGGTAATAGATGAAAAAAGGAACCTATTTCTTTGTTCTTTGTATCCCTCAAAACAAAAAAGTATAACTTATAGTATGCTTCCATAGGGGCTTCCAGTGACACTCTCCATGTTAGCAGGCTGCATCGTGGGTTGGGGCCTCCTATCACCTTTAGCTTACTTTTCCGGTTGGGCACCAGGTTCTATTGATGACTGGCAATCAGGTGCCAAGGGCTGGATTCTGTGGATATCATTAGGTATTATGATTTCGGAATCGATTATTTCGCTGTTTGTTACACTTTTCAAGCAACTGTATACCACCATCAACACAAAGTTCAGACATGCCTATACGAGCATTCAGCAATCAAACCAGGAAGAATCATTAGAAGACGAGTTCAATGGAGTCAAACCAAACGATAAGGACAAGCCAATCGAAGATGCTCCTCCAGACCAGCAAGTGCCACCTTATATGATCATTTTTGGTTTATTAGCTTCTGTTGTTTTGTGCGTAGGCTCTGTCCATATGGTCTTTGGCGATAACGTGATGCCTGTTTCTATGACCCTTTTGAGTATTTTATTTGCTCTCTTTCTAAGTATTCTTGGTGTCCGCGCACTAGGAGAAACGGATCTCAATCCCGTCAGTGGTATTGGTAAAGTCAGTCAAGTGGCATTTGCTGCCTTCATGCCTGGTAACATTGTCGCAAACCTCATAGCAGGTGGAGTTGCAGAAGCAGCCGCTCAACAAGCAGGCGATCTCATGCAAGACCTTAAAACAGGCTATTTACTTCATGCTTCTCCTAAAGCACAATTTTATGGCCAGCTTATCGGATCATTGCTTAGTTCGTTTATAGCAACAGGTGCGTATTTAATGTATACTTCTACTTATACCATTCCTGGGCCCCAATTTTCTGTTCCTACTGCTCAAGTGTGGTTGGATATGGCAAGACTCGTCAATGGGCACCCGTTGCCTCCCCATGTGTATGAATTTATCGTTTCATTTGCTATCCTCTTCGGCCTTCTTGTGATTTTGAAGGCGATGGAAGATCGTCTCAGATGGGTTAAAAAATGGAGCTGGTTGTTTCCTCAAGGTATTGCTTTTGCTGTGGGAATCTACAATCCACCAAGTTTTACGTTGGCAAGAGTGATGGGTGGTATTACCTGTCATATATGGAATCGATATTGTGAAAAGCCGAATGACACGGGTGATGATCATATACAGAGTCAAGAAGAGGACTTTGCCAAGTTGTTACGCCGTTGGAGTAAACCTTACAAAAACGTTGGTAAAGTAGTCATCATCATTATAGCCAGCGGTTTCGTTTTAGGTGAAGGAACATGTGCTATTGTAAATATGCTTTTATACGCTCTAAGTGTCCCACACTTTTCATAATAACCACTAGATTAGCATTGGATATAAATTACATGCTTTATTGTTGCTGAGTATCTGGTATAAATGAGTAAAAAATACAATGAGTCAATCATTAAGATATTCGCTTTCTATCATATTTAAAAAATCAGTCGTGGAAAGTCTCTGTTTCTTACGAAACACGGGCTTTGGGTGCTGCTGTTGTAGCTGTTCTTTTCTTTTAAGTGTGTCCTTATTCCTCAGAAAGTACAATGCCGGTGGGCAGAAAGTCTCATGGCTATGGATGAATGATGGCGCCTCTGCTTTTTGTCCTGTATCATATTTGAAAGCGATCTCCCTCAAAAACCAGTAGAATTTATCATTTGCTGCCATATCGACTGCCATTGTTGAAACACAGGGTAGCGCTTTGTTGGCTGTTCTTATTTGATGAAAACCCAAACTTGTCAGAAACTTCTGAGCCACAATATCAATCACACTGGTGTTGGATATGTTCAAGTAAATGATACTACTTAATTTTCGAAAGCATTTGAGACTTTTGTCGGTGACCCGAGATAAGCCACTCAAGTTCAAGCCTTCCAGATAGGGCATTCCAATAAAAGATGAAACTGCCATATTCGTTAAATAAGAAATGCCAATATCTGATATATCTGGATTATGACACATATGGAGAACCTTCAGATTACTGAAGCCTTTGAGAAGTAAAAGATCGTCGTCGTCAATGTTACATCTACTGATGTCGAGATGAGTGATAAATTTAGGAAATTCAGTTGAAAGTGCAATAAAAGACGGTATAGCAGAGCGCGAAGCTCCTTTAGATAACACTACTTTTGTCCACGGAAGATTGGCACTCCTTAGTTCATCATCATATGATTTGGCGACAGCAGACAGAAAGGACGAGTTCAAAGGGGAATCTGTTGAGGTAAATACATGATTTAGAATAACTTCGATGGTAGGGTGAAAAGGAACTCCTTCAATTGATACAATCTCTTCAGTATGATTTTTTATGTAATCGAGACATAAGGAATACAAAGTGGGGACAGAGAGCATTGCACCTTCTGTAAATAGTATGAAAGGGGCTTTTGCAGCTGTCGTCGCCTCTGCCGAGCTGATTAGAATTTATGGCAATACCGGAGACAAAAAAAAAAAAAACAAAGCTATCCTACCCCGATTTCGGACCGGGCGTATCTGATTTATGCGACAGTGTTTGAGAGTGATTGGAAAAGGCAGAGGGGGGCCACCTGAGGATAATAACTAAATGCATTGAAGACACATAGTTTTGTTCCTTCTCTCAACCTAAAGGTAAACAATCTATCCATCCATCAATCAATCAACGTCGTCTCGACAATATCAAACATACTTACAGTATCGTCAATTTCTATCCCACTGCAACAATATAGTACCGATAATGGAAGCTGTTCAGACATTCGGCCGTAAGGTGAGTCTTCGGTTTCTGTAGATTGACACAGTCAGCATTGTATAGCATCGCAGCATTAAACTGACATGGAAATATGATTAAATCGTTATAGAAAACCGCCACTGCTGTTGCTCACTGCAAGCGTGGACGTGGTCTCATCCGTATTAACGGTTCTCCTCTTGATCTTCTCGAACCCGAGATCTTGAAGTTCAAGGTCTACGAAGTCATCCTTCTTTTGGGTGAAGAACGTTTCTCCAACGTCGATATCAGAATCCGTGTCAACGGTGGTGGTAAGTTGAATAACCATTCAAGGATAGCCGCTGTTGTAAGAGGAATGACAGTCGTTGAATCTTTACACCCTTCATCACTACGATAGGTCACACTTCTCAAGTTTATGCTATCCGTCAAGCTCTTGCCAAGGCTATCGTTGCTTTCTACCAAAAGTTTGTCGATGAAGCCGCCAAGAAGGAAATCAAGGAAATCCTTGTTCAATATGACCGTACCCTCCTCGTTGCCGATCCCCGTCGTTGCGAACCCAAGAAGGTAATACTAAAAAATTTGTTCTACTTGGATTATAATTATTTTAACAATCGTATCTATACTATAGTTCGGTGGTCCAGGTGCTCGTGCCCGTTACCAAAAGTCTTACCGTTAAACAAGCTACGAATGTTGGTTTCCTACTGGAAAAAACTTGTTTATGTCGTTGTTTTATATGGTTTGGTAGATTTTGTTTTCTTTAAAATAAAGCAAAAGAAACAATTACAAAATACTTGATATTATCATGGTACGTGCAGGGAGAAAGAATATTTCGATCTTAGAGAAGCATACTGCGATATACATGTAGCCAATTTATGGAATGCGGAAAGATTGAAGTGTTGATCGTTATCAGTAAATACGCTGTTCTTTGGATTGATGTGTTCCTAAGAATTTCAATGTGGTGTGATGTGCTCTTCTAAAATTTGTTTGGAAAGTCGTGTTCATTTTTGTTTGTTAATATTGCAGTAGAGCGTATTGCAGATAGGAAATTCTTGGTAAAATCTTACAAGAACATTGTTTGAATAGCAAAAACCTTCTTTGTTTTTTGTGGTTTGGTTTTTTATGGTATGCCTTCAGGATCGTCTCGTAGTGAGCCCAAGAAGTTTTCTTCGGCATCAATATCAACTGCATGCACTACTAATTTACATGAATCAGAGACATAAATATTTATAACGTAAACTGGGACATGTAAGAATAAAACGTGGATTCTTATACTTGTCAAAATCTTTTAAACTGTTGGTTTCATCAAACTTCATCGAAAATGCTCCACTGAAGTATGGTTTTAATGAATTTTCCACTATCATTGCCTTCGTTATTTGTAGAAATCCAGCAAGTACTCGACAGGGCATTGAGTTACAACTTACATCTGTCTTTGCGCCGCCACTGAACAAAATCCGAATGAATATCAACTTACCTTTCTCGCACCGAAAGGTCTTTTGGTCACTTCTCCATGCTGTTGCCAGCTCGTTTATGATATCGCGTCCTGCATGGTACGCTCGTACCTTCATCGTGACCTAGTGAGCACGGATGTATTTTTGAAAGCGTCCTAATTGACAGGTTCAAGTACCGAGGTCGACTTGTACATGCTAACACGGAGAAAAGCGCTATTATCAAATTCAAAGAGAAATTGCAAAGATAAAGAAACCAGCATGACTACGCCATGTTATGCTTAGTGGAGCCTGACAAGAAGAAGTGGCAAACAAGCTTGCTTTTTCAATTTATTGTTGCCTTGATACACTCAAGGTACGACTAATACATAAAGCAAACCTATCTTCACGTGTCGCAAGGTTGCTCATTCACAGGAAATGGCTGTTACTATTGTTCAATTCTCGATTCCTTTACGTCGTTTCTTGGTCCTTTTAAGTTACGTGAAATAACGGGTCTTCAAAAAATTCTCAGTCTTAAGATGCTGAAGCTTGGAACTCGGAAGTAGCAAAGGGTAGAATTAGAAATCTAGTCTTCTGTTTCTTAGAGATTGAGATATTGTAGCGCCTAACTTTGTTCCATTGTTTTAGAGCATGTAAATATCCAAGTCGGGACTGTACTATTTTTATGTTCAAAGTTCAATTGCATGCACTGGATTGGTATTTATTATGCAAAGGACTTGATAGATTACGAGTAACCTCTCGCAACATTTTTCTCTTACGACTACAAAAATGTTTTTATCTACTTCTCAAAATAACGATTTACGTAGTGTTTCCAACGAAGACTAAGTTCTTTCTAGAAAACTTTTGGCACATGATATCCACAAACATGAAACTTACCATATATTAGCACTTGCGATTCGACGTTATACATAAAAGTTGATGAGAAACGAAAAGATATAACTGCAAGCGATAATACTTCTCAAGCGAAATTTGAATTCATGCATTCAGTCAGGAAAAGAGAAAAGCCTGGTGCAAAGTATAAAATTCCAAATTACTTGCTATAATATAAACGACATAATATACCTGCATAACATCTAACCATCAATAATTGCTGTAAAGGCCTTTCTTCACAATGAATAAGCGGAATTTTGCCAGGAAGTTAGAGATCAATGTCAGTGTCAACATCAACGTTTCCAACAAATGTCAAGGAGGACAACTGACAGATTTAAATCTTTTCTTTTCACTACCACCATGCCTCAGAGACATTATGAATTACTAATTGTAGCCCAGAAGGTCATCAAAGCAGTTATCAATTACCGAGACTATCGTACTGCTTTAACGAAGATAATATACTTCGGGTTTGATTATGGCATACAGGACGTTTACGAATTCTGTAATAACACGTATAATATCCAACACCGTCATGCACTAACGTACATGCAACAGGGTACAATATAGCTGTATGCTCTCTTCAAATGCAGTTTAAATACTCATTTACCAGTGTCAGAAATGCTATTGCACAAAAATAGGAAACCGATAGTTTCATATTATTTTCTGGAAATGTAAACTAAATAACACAAAGCTGTAATCACGGCGTATCTTTTTCATCTACATGGTTTGGAAACAATAAAAATGCTACTGATATTTTTGTCACCAAACGACTTATTGGCGTTGTAATTAGTAAACATCAAATCGAATATTAACTCCTTGATCATGATGAAGGTGATACTGTACCGTATGTACTACTGAAAGCAATTTTAATAGGTTCTATACAAAGCGCCAATTGAAGTAAACTCTTCCACATTTAGCACTACATGATAAGTTCGGTTCACAACTAACTACACTACAACTTACATATTTGAGTCTGCTTTGAAATACTTTGGATAAGCGATGAAAAATTTTGTAGATGCCTTTCCTGTAGAGTACAAATGATATGGTTGATATGAGAGCTAAGAATTCATACAAACGGATATATTGAATGACGTTTATACACGAAATCTATAGTCATTGGAAATCTGAAGAACGTTCTACACAAGGAAATTCAAGGTGAATCTAACCAAACATAAGAGCTTGGGAAAACGTTACTACACGTATCACGTACGACTAAGTTAAGTTGTCATTACATGTTCATTTTCTTGGTACTACGAAGAGAGAAATTTTGTTTAGATTGGTCGTGGTTCCAACTCTCTAATGAGAACGTGTACATCGAGTAAGTCATACAACTCTACAGCCAAAAGCCATGTTCTTGACTACAAAAGACATCCAATCGTTCAGAAACAACAGCATCCAGTAATAGCTAAGGTAATGCTTTTATAAGCAGTGGTTATATAAGGCATACCCATATATCTTAAAAGTGTATCCAACTAGTCAATAGCCAAAAGGCAGTTGTAATACCAATTGATGACTTTCGTCGCTGTCGAAAGCTCTGAATGTTCTTTGAAGCGAAGACTTTTCATCATTTAGTCACAAATAAGGAAATTGTCTGTCCCGCTTCATAGTGGCTTGCCTGGTAACACCTGTTTTACGATAGGAAATCAAGATAGCCATATAAGCAAGCTGGAAGTGTCTCAATGGATGTGGCGTGGCGCAAACAGGGGATTTTATCTTCAAAGCCTCGTTGGCTAAGACTACTCTTTCTCTTATTTTATTTATCCTAAAGAAATGGACTTGAGCAAGACCTATCCAGTGACATAGTGTCTTCGACTCCAGTGAACAATGGCAACGTACTGGTAATTGTTAAGGATATTTTTTTGAAATGAAACAGATGGATAATTTACATGCATTATCTTTACTGCTTCAGTCTTGAAGTAGACTTACAAATGCTGCAGTTAATACGTGCTTCATACTCTTTAAATACACACGAGGACCCAAAGTATAGGGCTGGTTCATGTCTCTTTCCAGAAGAACTTGCAAGCTCTGAACACTCTAATAACCATCCGGTTCGCCGGGTTATGCCCGACAATTTCTACTACGAGAAGTTGAACTTCAGCTAATATTTGGGTGGTGATTTAAGGAGATGCATGCACCAGAGGAGAAAAAACTTTTCTTTCACCCAATAAATACTTGATTTCAACAAACGCTCTCTGTTTCTTTTTAGTTCTTTTTCAGTTTATTGAATTTACACTCAAAAGATCTTACAAACCATGGCTACTGTAAGTATAACTAACAATATACAAAGTGCCTGAGTTCAGTCGAAACGAAAATAAGGGAGAAATGGACTCCAGTGAAAGAGAAAGCAAGCTAAATGAGCGAAGGAGTACTATTGAAAAACGTAAAAGTGGAGAAGTGTCAGCACTGCTTAAGATTACGTCAAACTTTTCAAATGCTGAATACAGCACTTCATCTTCGACGTTTCGGTTGACTGAAACTCTTATCTTGAAAAAATTTGGAGATTTACCTACAAGTGACAACAATTCACAGTTTTAATCGACTTTTTACTTTATTCATAGGAACGCGAAAATAATGTTTACATGGCCAAGCTCGCTGAGCAAGCCGAACGTTACGATGGTAAAGCCTTTCAAAAATTGTTGGTTTTTGCCGCATGCTCAAAATATATTCATCTTCCCTCTATTGTAATTTGTTTTCCATAGAAATGGTTCAATTTACCAAAGATGTTGCCAAGGTAAAGAACTTCTTCCTCCCCCTCTTCTTTACGCCACAGAAACCATTGTTAAAGTATCTATCGACGCATCAAAAGCTAACATATCTTATGATTATTATTAGATGGGTATGGAATTGACCGTTGAAGAGCGTAACCTTTTATCTGTTGCCTATAAGAATGTCATCGGTGCCCGTCGTGCCTCTTGGAGAATTGTTTCCTCTATTGAGCAAAAGGAAGAAAGCAAGGGTAATGCTGCTCAAGTTGAAAAGATCAAGGCTTACCGTCAAAAGATTGAAAATGAACTTCAAGAAGTTTGTTCCGATATCTTGAACGTTTTAAGTGAAGATTTGATCCCAAATGCCCAAGGTGGTGAATCTAAGGTCTTCTACTATAAGATGAAGGGTGATTATCATCGTTACCTTGCCGAATTCCTTACTGGTGATGCTCGTAAGAACGCTGCCACTGAAGCTCATGACGCTTATAAGAACGCTACCGACATTGCTCAGACTGAATTAGCCCCTACTCATCCCATTCGCCTCGGTCTTGCCCTTAACTTCTCTGTCTTCTACTACGAAATTCTCAACTCACCTGACCGTGCTTGTCACTTGGCCAAGCAAGCATTCGATGATGCTATCGCTGAACTTGATACCCTCTCTGAAGAATCTTACAAGGACTCTACTCTTATCATGCAATTATTAAGAGACAACTTGACTTTGTGGACTTCTGATTTGCAGGATGGTAAGTTTAAAGTCTTTTCACAGCCTAGCAACATAATAAATTTAAAATAATGTATTTTTGATCATTTGTAGAAGCTGATAAGACTGAAAACAAGCCCGAAGAAGTCGATGAATCCAAGTAGATAGCACACTAACATCAACAATCAATTGAAACGTAGATTTTTTTATATTTCTTATACAAGTATAAAAATTCACTTTTCCTTTTCTTTTTCCTTTTACCAATTCCAATAAAGTTGGCCTAAAACGACATAAACACTTACACGTCAAGTTCATGCCAGTGAATAATTAAAGTTTTTGTCACTTGTCCATTTTTTCGGTTACGTAGACTGCTTCAAGAATGTCTTTTTTTACAATGAACCAAGATGCACAAATTTTTAGTGATAATCAAGAGTGTCTCCATGACCAATACTTGAACTCCCAAGTCCGAGAACTATCGAAAACTTCTAACTCGAGCACTAAAAAAGATGAAACTGAAAGCAGCAATAATAATTCTCATAGCAACAATAACACTACAGCAGAAACGAATAATGTACCCAATAATATACCTTCCATACATTCAAAGAAACCCAATCAGCGAAAAAAACTTGATTGGGCACATCCACGTTTCACGATGAGTGAATTTCAGCTTTATGAAACCAAAACAGTAGGAGCTACAGTTTCTATATCAGAACTCTGCATTTTTGACTTCCTAATACTTTAAATGTTCCTGAAAATAGAGATATTATCTCGTAGGTACAGACCAAGCAAAGCAGAAATTTCGAGTATTACAAATACACCGTACGAACTCTGCTGAGCTTGTTGTTATTGAAGACGATGTGCTTTATACAGAGCAAGAAAAGACGCGTCTCCTCAAAATGATCGAAGATGGTAATCTTAGCGTAGGAGGGTTACAGCTATCCCATATGCGTATTTATGGTATTGTGGGGTTTGTAAGATTCACGCAAGGATGGTATATGATATTTATTACGAAACGGCGGCAAGTCGCTATGTTGGGTGGTCATTATATCTATCACATTGATGAAACCCGCCTCGTCCCTATTGATTTGGGAGCGAAAATAGACAAAAATTCTGATGAAGCACGTTATGTCGCAACGTTTCAAAATATTGACTTGGCAAAGAACTTTTATTTTTCGTACACTTACGACATCACCAACTCACTACAAAAGAATTTGACACATCCGCCGTTGGCGAAAAAGAGAAAAGTGGTGAATGAACAGGGGAAATATGATGACGAGACCGAAGTAAAAGCTGGGAAAGAAGATGAGCCAGGTACACCAGGATTGATACACAATGACATGTTTGTATGGAATCACTATTTGCTGAGCTCCGGATTCAAGAACTTGAACAGCAGATCCGGATGGATCTTACCCCTGATATATGGATTTGTGGATCAAGCAAGTAAAATGCGGCACACATCTTGTAATATTTATATCGAGTATTTAACGCATTGATAATATAGAAATTTCAATACTTGGCCGTAGCATCGTAGTTACTTTAATTGCTAGACGGTCTCGTTATTTCGCAGGCGCACGTTTTTTGAAGCGTGGCGTCAACGATAAGGTATGTTTTTCAACGGGCAGTGATCATAACGTAAGTAAGTTGTTGACATTTCACTCAACAGGGTTTTGTAGCAAACGATGTTGAGACAGAGCAGATTGTGGCTGACCTGGCTACTACATCGTTTCATTCTACGGATTATTTATTTGGCAGTCCACGATACACATCTTACGTGCAACACAGAGGGTCAATCCCATTGATATGGTCGCAGGATACCACAAATATGTCGCCTAAACCTCCTATAGAATGTAAGCTTTGATCAGCGCAAAACAGACTATAATTTCCTTATACGCAACTTCCTTACTCATGTCACACCCATAGTAAACGTGGTCGATCCTTTCTTTTCAGCTGCAGCTTTGCATTTTGAGAATCTGTTTTTCAGATATGGAACACCCTGCATTGTCCTAAACTTGATCAAGCAAAAAGAAAAGACGAAGCGGGAATCTGTTCTTGGGAAGGAATTCGCTGAAGCCGTAGCCTATCTGAACCAATTTTTACCTGATGATAAGAAGATTAAATACATTGCTTGGGACATGTCGAGAGCTTCCAAAAGGTATTTATTGCAACGAGTAAGCAAGATTTTACGTTCGAGATAATTGAAGGTGTTTATAGTCATGATCAAGATGTCATTGGATATTTAGAAAAGATTGCAGAAGAGACAATGGCCGCTACAGGATTCTTTCAAAGCGGTATGCAACCGGACGTTACCAAGCTACGACGACAGCATGGCGTTTTAAGAACAAACTGCATCGATTGCTTAGATAGAACAAATGCTGCTCAGTTTTTAATGGGGAAGTGTGCCCTAGGCCATCAGCTTTGCGCATTGGGTGTCATTTCTTCACCCAAGGTTGATTTTGATTCTGATGCAGTTAATATATTCACAGAAATGTATCATGATCATGGTGATACTATAGCGCTGCAGTATGGCGGATCTCATTTAGTCAATACTATGGAAACATACAGAAAGATCAATCAATGGACCAGTCACCCACGAGATATGATTGAAACGATTCGCCGTTTCTATGCTAACGCCTTTTCAGGTAACTGCCTGTATAGCATCTTTGAAAAAAAAATAGGCAAATTAATTGAATCTGCAAATCACTCTCTTATAATAGACGCTGACAAGCAGGACGCAATTAACCTTTTTTTGGGAAATTTTGTAACAAGAGATGGGCAGCCCATGCTGTGGGAACTGAGTTCCGACTATCATTTGCATAATCAACATCCATTAGAAAAAGCTGTCAGAAGAGAGTAAGCTGAGTGTTAACTGTTGTATAGGCTTTTTTCAAGAATTAATTCTCAAACGTCTCACTATAGCTATCGACATTGGTACAAGAAAGAGGCTCTCGAATCAATGACACCTGAGCAAGAAGCTCCTTTATTCTATATACCGAAAGAATTCCGCGTACCTGCGAGGAATCCTGACGCCAACGACTTATATCAAGGGTATTGGGTTGAATACTATCAACATAAGGAATTGACAAGCCTTGATAGTCTATTTACCTTCAACATGAACGGTACTTTGAAGTATAGACCTTTGAAGGTTTCATTACGTTTGAAAGACCGAGAGTAAGCTTTTGCGTCATGAAATTGAAAGGTATTGAGAACTAAAGTTCATCGCTATAATTAGGCTAACTCAGGCTGAAGCGTTGGATATGAGCCCCTTCACTGTAAGAATTTCGAAAAGTACAAGCAACACAATACCATCTAATTATAAGGAAAAAACTAAAGCAGATGAGGAAAAGCAATTGTCAAACATGGAAAAGGCCCCCATATGGTCTATTGAAGGAATAACACGACGTAATCTTGAGCCTGCCATTACATTAGCTGAGCTCAAAGAATACAAAAGGTTGGTAATATTAGCTGATAACACCTTCCTTAATTTTCTGACATTTAACATTGTTCTGTTTTTATTGTTACAACAACAGATATACCCAACAGTTTAAAACAATCGAAAGACTAGCAGTTCCAAGTGAAAATAGGCATGCACAAATAAACAATAAGCAATTTGAAAGGTTCCCCGAGTACCAGCAATATCAAAGCTACATCAATAAAAACGCACTAGAAGAATACCCAGCGGCGATAAGAATAACTAATTTGGATGAACAAGTCTACCATGCGTATGTGGATATACCACGACGGGCTGCATCCATACAATTTGGTCGAGAATGGAGTGGAAACGCTAGAAAGAGATATGAAGGCTATGCATGCTACCTCAGGGATGGAAGATACCCCGCACAACAGCCACAACAGCCACAACAGATGCAACAACAAATGCAACAGTTACACCAACAACGGAAACAATTTGCGAATAAGAAGTCCGTGGCAGCGCCAACAACAGAATGATTTTGCTGGGCCTGAAACTAGCACTGCTTCGGTTTATCCTCCGTTGCATTTTCTTGCCCAAGTGTGTCTCTCTTTTCTTCCTTGATTTCTCGCATAATCACTTGACAGAGTATAGATATTCCTTTTTTACGTGAAACTCTACCTTCAAATATATGACATCGAATTATTTTAAAATTGAATATGATATATGACCAACTAGAACTGTAGGTGTATTTGTTGGTTGCATAAAAGTCGACGCATAATTTTAGACTAGTTTATATGGAAGAAAAATGAGTCCTAATGTTATTTTCAAAGTCGAATAACACATGAAGTATATCACTTCACACCACTGATAGAGCCTGCAAAGGAAGGCGTTACTAGCAATAACATAGAGACACTTACGATTCATCGAGACTCCGGGCACATGCAACTAAATGGTGAGATGACTAATAGTTCTGAACGTCAAAACGCTCACTCTAACACTTTAATTAGCGGCTATGCCACAAACTCCTTTAGAAAATGAACTCTTAATATACGGTATTGTAGGTTTCATAAACCTGATCAAAGGTAATTGTAATGTGCTTGTTATTTTCAAAGAAAAAGAAAAAAACTGTTACGGATATTCATTAGCCTCGTCTTCTTTTCAGGCGAATACTTAATAGTGATTACAGGCTGCAAAAAGATCGGTTCGCTTGTGCATAATGCTGAAATCTATCGTGCAACGAGCTTTCAAATTCTCCCTGTCACGCATGGCTTATCCAGTTTATCAAAAGTACAAAAGAAAGATGAATCACGATACATATCATTGTTGGAAAAACATCTCGAGCAGAATGGTTTTTATTTTTCATACAATCATCCTATAACGCTATCGTTACAAAAAAGGGCTTATGCAATTGAGAAGAAGAGTTGTAACGGCTGGCGGGATGTAAGTTTTTAAGTTGCTCGTCAAAAGAAGAATAGTATGATGCTAATGTATTTCAACGTAGGCAGACGGTCGCTTCTTCTGGAATCAATATCTATGTGAAAAGTTCATAAACGCGACACTTAGTCAGACCACAAAGCAGGATGTAAGAAGGCACAAGTCAAATCAAGGAAGACATTTTGACGGCATTAACCATTACTTTATCCTTTTCTTTTTGCAAATCAGTTTAGTGCATATATTCTACCTATGATCCAAGGATGTAAGTATATACGAGTAATCCGATAAACACAAGTTTCACTACCTCTAATTCATTTTTTCAGTTGTTACAATCATTCAAGCGGTGATTAACAGTCGAGCTGTCACATTTGCTCTCATTAGTCGACGGAGCAAAGAGCGTGCTGGAACACGATATTTTTCACGTGGATTGGATGAGCATGGATATGTTTCGAATTATGTAGAGACGGAACAGCTCCTACTATGTGATCCAGCTAAATCCTTAACCCAAGAGAATTTGATCCAGGCATCTCATATACAAACGCGTGGCAGTGTTCCAGCTTTTTGGGGCCAAATTCCAAACACACGATATACACCCAAACTTTGGGTAAACAGCAACTTATTAGATGAGAAAATACTACACGCATCTAAAGCACACTTCGATCAACAAATAAAACTCTATGGCCCGCAGATATTAGTTAATCTTACCAACACAAAGGGTTATGAATATCCGGTAGGGCACGTGTTTTCAGAAATAATAAAAGAGTTATCCGATCGAAATTTGAAGTTTATACACTTTGATTTTCATAAAGAGTGCTGCAAGATGAGATGGAACAGAGTACAATTACTGATAGATCAACTGGAATCAGACCTTCGCAAACAAGCGTTTTGTCTGTACGATGCAACATATTCGGCAGGGTCAAAATTACGGAAAGTGCAAACATCTGTGGTCCGTACAAACTGTATGGATTGCTTAGATAGAACTAATGTGGTGCAGAGTACGATAGCCAGATGGGTTTTGAATAAGCAATTACGCGAGATCGGTATTTTACAATCAACAGAAGTAATCGAGAATGATGAAAAATTTATGCACCTATTCAAAAATGGTAATGGTTCGATCTCAGGATATCAATAAGAAAGTACTGTTACTAATGCCAGTGTTACATTTAATAGCTTGGGCAGACAATGCAGACGGACTCAGTATTTGTTATTCAGGGACAGGGGCATTAAAGACTGATTTTACCAGAACTGGAAAACGTACAAGGATTGGGATGTTAAATGACCTGAACAACTCATTGAAGCGGTATGTGAAGAATAACTATTTGGATGGGTTCAGACAAGACGGCATTGATTTGATACTAGGAAGGTATAAAGTACCGTTGAATCACGCGGAAAGCCCGTTCAAGGAGTCTGCCTCATCCATCATTGTGAGATCGGTGCCATTATATTTGTTGGGCACTTTCATCGTGTCTTTTCTGCTTCTTTTCAAACCCTCTTTATTTAGAATTTCATCTACATTGATTCAAATTATTTCACTCTCGTTTACCCTTGCTATCTCAATAACTTGCTGGATGTGTATCGAACAAAACTCTGCAAAATTTGTAAATTGGCCAAAATTGGTTCCACATCAAGTATTACAGGATATTGAAACTAGATTGCCTGATAATGTCGGCCAGCATAATACAGCTAAACGTTTAGTTCAAAAATGGACCAGGCGCCGCAGTAGTTCGGCTTTGTTGAACGAAGTAGAACAAGGTTACGAAATGGCAACAGCCAACTTGAAAAAAACCACTTAGCCTCTTACCACATCGACAAACACTGTATTTTAATACTTACTGTATGGCGCAGATATGTAAATAAATGTCTATTTCATTTTCATTAAGTTTCCTATTCTAATCTCCTTTTTGATAAATGATATTTACACTGTGATTTTCCTCGCAAATTGTGCTTTTTACTACAAATCGAAGCATTAGAAGTGGTTATATACAATTTTGAGCTACCATGGGAGTGTTTCATGGAAAGAACCTATTGAAGACGCGACATATGCCTAGATTTTATAGTGATAAAACGGATTACAGTCGACCTTTGAGCGAAGAGTTAGGATTCTACATCCATGTAAGAGTTTTAACCATAATAGGTAATCAATTGTTAAACCTGTTCTATAAGATTCAATGAAAATAACTTTACAACACTTTATTCTTTTAAAATACTATATCATTTTCAATAATTACATTAAAATAGTCATTCAGAAATCTACTTCCTGTCTTCAATTTTCTACAGGCATTTATTTCAGGTCCATTCCAATCAATGCGATTCATAATGGAATTGCTAGCTTTTCTGGTGTTGAAGAACTCTATCATATGTTGATTTGGGATCTTTTTCTTTTCTGATGGAATCAATTTTATCACCACTTGCTTATAATGCTCATTACCGAATTTTTTCAAAGGGTTTAATATTTTTACTTCTCTCACTATTCCACTAATGCCCTCCGTTGTGCCGTTCTCAAAGCTAGTGTACCATTCATAACGTAATCTGTCGAAAGCGAACGTGCTGAATTTCAAGTTTAAAGGCGAATCAATAAACGTTGTGTCTTTCATTGTAACGGCATTATTTTTACTGATAAATGCATGTATAGTGAATACTGAGCTTGCTTCATTTATTGAAAATTGAGAAATAATTCCTGTTACTTCATACGGTAACCATTGGTGCGTTTTCGATTTCAATCTTTTGACTTTTATATCAGAGGTTAAGCTTGCCGATTGTGTATTTATGGTCCGAATATACCCTATGCAAATTTTTGTTAGCTTGCAAGTGTTGTCTTTCAATTGACATTTTAAGTACCAAACTCTGCAAAATTTCTAGATAGTTGAGGTTGGAACCCCTGGGCCGGATCCAGTTCCTTATGCATAGGTTCAATACAGCCTGTTCCAAGTATTTTAATCTTTGATTGAACTGAGAAACAGTAGGAAGAGACGGCTATGTAAGCCATCAAAAGTATATAACTAAACATATGTGAAAGACTCTGGCAAAGTTGTTCGAGAGGAAAGAGGTTACCGTGATTAGATAGATCACAAAAAGTTTAAATACTATTCTTTGATTGTTCAAATAAGGCAAATTCCAATGCAAACCGAAACTCCGTTTTTAGTGAGCTTTGCCGGCATCATTGTAAAGTTGATGATATTCGGAGCAGGTGAATTGGCACTGGTTAATACAGTATTTCGGGTACTGCATATAACCCGCATCTTAATACCCTACTCTAGAGCAGATGTACCTGCTTGGAAGTCAAAAAGCCTGTTACTGATGCTGATTTACATGAGATTACGAGTGTTAAATGTAGAAGAAAAAAAAAGTGCCTTTGACAGTACATTATTTTAAACCGCTAAGAGATGTCAACAATATTTCTTATTCCATTTTCATAAATATGTATTTGCCAAATTATAATGATAGTTGTTTAAAAAACAGAAAAGATGTCGAGGAATTCTCAAAAATGTCCAAAGACAAAGTAAACTACTGTATTTCTCTTCAATAATCGCTGATGTCCAAAATATGCTTTGTATTATCGGTTTACTTTTTATTGTGCTCCATAATATGTCTACGGATTTGAACGATGTTGAAACAATAACAAAGGCATTCAATCCATTTTTTGTCCATTCTTGCGCCGTTTAACTAAGACTACCATTTATAGACACGATACTTCAAATTATAGAATAAATGATCAAAGGCATTTATTGGATAATTTGGACCCATACCAAGCGATGTTACTGGCCGAAAGCCTTTTCAGCGTTTTCTTGTACTGTTTTTTCGCTTGACTTTCGCACAAAATGGTTAAAACATTGAGACATCTTTACTATTTAAATTTAGATTAATTCAACAAAATTTTTGGATATCAAGCTTAGTGTTGGGATTATACCTTTTCTGTCAAAATGCTCCATGCCAAATGTGCGGCTTACTCATACCCAGACAGAATAAATATGCTGTGCTTTAAGCACAGTATATTTACCTTGTCCGAGTATGGTAGTAAGTCCAAGCATCAATTAATAAAACAGTAAAAAATATACAGTAGTAATTCAAGATGAACTCACCTAAACACGTAAATATCTTTAAGCTGTCTGTTCTGAAAAGCTGGCAGCACCGTCTTCTGTACGGCGATCTCTGTTGTAAGGGCCAAATTTTTCCTGGCCAGTCCCAATGGCCTTGACAAAGGTGATAATGTTTTTTGAAGCATTAACATCACGTCGCCACAGTACTTAGCAAGTTTTACATATTTTAGTACTGTAGAGTCTTGAGCCATCTTGAATTTTTACGTCTTGCATATCGTCACTCTTGCAATTGTTACAAACCTAATAAGGAAGATCATCAAGTTACTTACCAAATGTAGTAATAGTAAATTCAGCATACTTACTTTTGATGTGCGATATTCATCAATATTAACAACAGCAGTTAGAAACGTCCGTTGTCTCTTCAGTAGCTGTTTATACAATATACTGGTGGCTCCAGTGGTATGTCCCCTCATTCTTACAGCATCCTTCCCATGCATACCATCACCAAATATAACAAGCGACATCGATTTTTTGTCGTCATAAAACCTTTCAGGCTGCCACTTACTTTTTCCGTCAATTTTAAACCTATTATTGAAGCTGGTTAAACTATATGCACTATGGGAAGCATGTTACATAGCGTTATATGTATTACTTTTTTCGTATCATTTTCTCCTTTTCCTTCTCGGTTCTACCATCATTCTTCTTCGTCAATTTCTGCTTTTGTTGCTGCTGCTCGTGCTTTTCTCTTTTTCGCTTTCCCACTTTACTCTTATTAGTCTTCTTTTTGCCTTTCTTCGTCCGTCTTTTCCTTTGCTTATTCTTATTTGTGTGTGCCCTCTTTCGTTTGTTCGTGTTGTTCCACGTACAATGGAAAACTTCATCTGTGATACGTTTGCGGTGCTAGTTCGTGGATTGATGGTATAGATATAGTAGTTTTACGCTTGAATTCTAATAGCCGAGACTGGTATTTTCTTCCAAGAGTTGTCTTATTAAAATAATTGAGAGTCTTTTCAATCAATTCAGTTCTTTCAATCAGTTTCTATTCAGTTTTAATCAGTGTTTCTCAAATACTAAATAATAAGACTAGCTAAAATAAATATATTATCAAAACTAAACTTAAGGTTGTCTATGTATTCAAAATCAAGTTCAAAGATATAAAATCTATTCCCTCAAAGCCTTTTTAAATTATCAAAGAATTAATTATTCTTTTATACTAGATCAACAATCTGAGTTCAGGGACGAGGTATCATTCAACTTCCGCTCCCAATAAGAATTCACTAAAAGATGAGCATGACTTTACGAGTGTCCGGTCCAGCATACTCTCCTTCCGCTTCGATCCCCGATACTGCTGACGTAATTTTTGAATATTCCACGCTCCGTGACATCTGTATTTTGCCAAATAACGGTGTGTGCCAATGGAACTATCGTGAAGTCGGTGGGGTTGATGTTCAGGATAGCGTAACCTGATCACATGAACAGGCCGATGGTAGGTTCAGTAATGATACCTACGTCGACTAAGTCTTCAAACGGTTTAAGGCTTTCTTGTAAACCAGCCAATACTTCAGTGGGGGGGCAACATAGGTAAGTTCGTGAGATTGACTTTAGTAATGGTTTTCGTGTCATCGGTGGCTTGGCAGGGAAGGATTTGTAGTTTGGCTTTGGGAAACTTGACGCCATTGTAAGCTAGGTCATTACTGTCCTTCTGTATATATATCTCAAGATATCTGTTACTATCGTCGTTTGCAGTGGTGCACCCATGTACCTCCGGGTGCTGTTCCATGACTAATTGCATCCACTGAAGTTCGGAGTACTCTTTCAGGACAGGTGAAATAGATAAAAACAAGGCTCCCGACCTATAAACGTGTGTTTGAAGGCGACTATAAGTCTTGCCTTCATCAATATCAGGAGCTTCGATGCCTTTATGCATCAGCGATACACGTTTAGTTGCCGTGGCCACTTGGGCATAGGAGCGTTTATAATGATTTTTCGTCTTGGAGGCCGAATTGGACTCGGCTGACCAGGAAAAGTGGGAGTTGGGAAGAGCCACGGGCTCAATGAAATAATATTGTGGAGTTACTGAAAGTGTCCGAATTTTAAAAAATGTAGTCGGAAATTATTCAACTTTACACTTTATACAAATTTTATTGGACAATATATATATTTAATTTAGATAATTTTAAATTATTTTAGGATGAAATGGTATAATATTCTTGGACGATTTATTGAATAAATAATTGTAGACTTTATTTTGAAGGTCAGTGGACATTTTTCAATTGATAGTGGCATTACTTTAAAGTACTACGAGACGTAATGAGTATTTTAGTGTAAAACAGGTCTTATCAGCAATAGATACATGGTTGTGGTTTACGAGACTTTATTTATGGATCATATGAATTGATCTACGCGTTAAACTAATCCCAGACACGTTCTTCCGCCGCGTAGATAACGGTCGTTGTTGTCAATCCTAATAAAAAATAAGATGTTGTCAAACTAGCATTTACAGAAAATAAGTTTGACATCTTTCCTTTGATTTCCATCTTCTTCTTCTTATTCTTCTTTCATCTTTCTTTCCTCATCCTGATAGCTACTACTCAGCATGTACAAAGCCAAAATCTTGCAAAAAATCAAATCGGTGGCAGAAGCCCATAAGAATAAAGTCAAAGATGAGTCCTTCCGTAAGTAACACATGAGCGCGCTGCCACAAATAAGTTATAGTGGTAATCCTCAGATTATGTTTTGTATGACTAGTAAACATCGAGTGCAAGGATTGCAAAACACTCGGACATTTCAACAAGGCATACCATGAATGCAAGTTTTACAAAGCAGTTTCTGCGGCTGATGGTAAGTATCATGCTCTCACTGCAAGACAAGTTTATGTTTGCTTAACGGAAATTTAGTTGGAAGTAGCGGTAAGAAACGTAAGCAATCAGCTACAATCAAGGAAGAAAAGAAGCAAGCAAAGAGAAAGAAGAAGCAAACAACTGGAGATATCAAGTGTATCAGTTGTGGCTTAAAGGGTCATTCTACTTCTCGTTCTCTCGAATGCCCAAATCACATTGCTTCAAAGGAAGAAGTTATCACCTCGACGCTTGGAGAAGGCTCCACTGTATTCACGAGGAAGCTCCCTCTTACGTCTGCTGTAAAGCCAGCGTTTCGCGAACAATTCCAAGAAAAAGTCATCTCTTGCTGCTCTGACATAAGGAGAATAGTATTCTCTAGTCAATTATTCGTTAACTCGTACCTCATTCATTATCAGGAGAATAGAAGGAATGCTAACAAAGGCGACAAGAAAGACACTGATAAAAACAGCAACAAAGGCAGTAAAGAAGCCAACAAAGAAGACAGCAAGAAAGACAGTAAAGAAGCCAACAAAGACAGGTCTATTCCTGATGTATTCTGCCAGCAATTCTGGTATTCAGTAGGTCAGCTTATAACGGGCAAGCAAGTTACTCACAAAACGGCATTATCCGAGGACATAAAACAGTATTATACAGACTTCAAGGCAAAGTTCCCTACTATCGAAGTAAAACACAAGCTGACCGTGGGATATAGTCATTGCCTTACAGAGGCAGCAAAGGAATTGAGCGTCTCTTACACGAACTCCATTGTAGAGCGCTTCGAGCAGCGCTTAACAAAGTTCCTTACTTACAAGTTGAGAACTATGCTCCCGGTAAGGCTGTAACCGAGTACCTTCTTAATGCTCTGCTGTTTTATTCATTTTATTTCTCTTTATACACATTCTAGAATATCAAACGCACTGATGTACAAAGAATTGTACAGCTGTATTGTTACCAATCTGTCTGTCATGGTCATCCTCATTGGCCAGAAAACCTCGAGCTGGCGGCTGTTGACAAAAACCGAATTGAATTACTCTGCAAACAATTTGAAGAGTTCATTCCAGGAGAAGTAACCCTCGTTTCTCTTTCTGCTGCTCCTGCAAAGTTTGTTAATGCGTTATGGAACATACAGTTTACGTACGAGCAAGAACATATACAGCATAAACCGTACGATGTCCGTGTCCTACCACTTCCTCAGCGTTTCTTTCTCTTTCCCACTCCATCGCTGAAATGGCGTTTCATCGCGATAAGTTTAAATGCTCTTACACCCTTCATGTTTCCCGGAAAAGTTGCCAAGGGTTATACAGCCCAACTCGAACAATTCTGTAAAGTCTTCGACTTCAAAAAGTTTGGCTTTAAGAGGTAAAATTATAGAAGAACTTCTTCAGCAAAATTATGCCTAATAGTAAACACACCCCTATTTTTGCTTCTGTCATAGTCTAACCGCTTTGAAGGAAAGTTCTGATGTAATGTTTCGAAACATGGTTAGGTCGGACGGCTTTACTGTAGACTTTTTGTTCAGCCGCAAAAAGAAAACAAAAGAAGACATGACCATTCATAATCATACCTTGACTTTGGAAGATTTTTCTTATGACGAAGTACAAGACAATTACAGACCCGCTTTCCTTGATCCAGGGCGAAGATCTGTCTTCACAGCGGCAATCGGACTAGATCATAACAAACATCAAGTACGCAGCTGCTCTACCAAGGAATATTATCATATGACCGGAAGTATCAGATACGCTGCAAAGCTGGAAAAGAAGAAAGCAGGCACAATTAAAATGATCGAAAGTGGCATACCAACCGCCAAAACTTCTATCATCGAACAACATGACCGTCATGTACAATATATATTGCAGCACTTCGAAGCCTTGTTCTCTTTTTACGGCGAGGGAACTGCTGAAGACAGATTTCGTTTATACCAGGGTCAGGAGCGTGCTGCCAACAACATGGTCAATTTGCTTATTAATGGAACCACAAAGTACAATAAGCAATTGAGGTTGAAGAAGAAGAAAGATCGAAGCAAGTGGCCAAAGAAGAATACCGACAGAATGGCCTTTTGTAAACGTAAAAAGAAGAAGAAGAAGAAGCAAAAGGTTCCAGAAGAGAAGGAAGAAGCAGATGCGAGAGAAGTAAGCGATGTTCTCGCTAAGAAAGATAGGTAAGGTTTTTAAATGATAAGCAATTCATCCACTATTCGCAGAAATATTGATAGAACTCATGCTTTCTACAGTAATCCCCTGAAGAACAAGTGGAAGCCTGAACCCTTTAGTGCAGGCGACACTAAAAAGATCCCTTTGATTGTAGTTGGTGATGGCATGTTCGGGAAGAGTGCAGTGCCCATCAAAGGCCATAAGACTGGTGTCGTTGGTGTTCTGTGGCGTGCATTGAAGCGAAGAGAGGCTGCTGGTGATCTCCTTGCCGTTACAATTGATGAATACTTGACATCACGCATATGCAATTGTTGTCGCTCAGACACATTGAAAGCATTAGACACCGTGCGTGGCTGTAGTATCCTTGTTTGCAAAACCTGTAAGATACTATGGAACCGCGATGTCAATGCAGCAAAAAACATGATGGCCATCAGCATTTCGGTATGGAAGTCAACGGGAAGACCTGCGGAGTTTTCTAGAAAACCAAAATCACCCGCATCAACCACTTGAACACCATCCTCTAATCGCCAGCACGAAGCTGGTTTGATTTTTACAGGTAAGCATCTCAATTTTTGTGTAGTTCAATCTTGAAATTATAACTTGAAGGTCTCAAAAATTTACTTTTTTCGTCTAGTTATATTGCGGCTTCGTCTAAACCCAAAGCTAAAAAACTGTATCTGAATAAGCGGCTGGGTTTCCGGGGTAAATGGGCACCTGTCAAGGGATCTCGGTTAATAAACACTCCTTTCTACAACATTTCTTTTCATTATACATTGTATGCGTAATGCCTTTCTACGAACTAGTCTGTATAGCACGACATAATATGCTTGAAGTAAGCTAATAAGCTGATGTATCTACAGCCCTTGGAAAAATTGGTATTGACTTTCATTCATTGAAGGGTAATTTAAAGGATCTTCTGAAGACATCAGCGAAACATGTCGTAAGTCGCGGGGGTGTTGTTCGTGGATTCGACAATTGGGGCGAAATGAAGATTCCACACAGAATAAAGAGACATCAGGAATATCATACGGATGGAAGGTAAAGGGACATTTTGTTTTTGCAAGTGCTCTTGGTAAAAATTCTCAATAAACTTTTTTTAAAGGTATTGGACAATGCACTTTTATGCTAACCCGCTCATCTTGCAAGATCTTGGAAAACAACTTTCAGTCGATTCACGAGTCTTGCGACACACATTTATAAAACTGGGTGAAAAGCTAGAGGACGTGGTTGAACGACCCGATAAAGTATGATTTGAGTTGGCATTATGAAGATTAAATCTACAAATTATTCATGGGTCAGCAAATTATAACAACGCTTCAGCGTAAACTCAATCAATCTCCCATTATCGAACAGTTAACAGCTTAAAAATACCTTGTATATAGATAAATGATTTTGAATGTATGTAATAAATCACCAAAGTCACGCATGTTGAGAAATTTATATCAGCTTTTTTGTATCAGAGTGATCGCATAATGACATTCTTAATTCTCGTCCCTATACGTATTCTCCCTTGAAAGCAAAGCAGAAAATTCAATGTGCTGCTGATACAAACGGTTTGGTCTACAGATCCAATAGTCTGGAGCGGATGAAAAGGTCTACTTCAATTTATTATGGGAGGTTCAGTTCCCTTCTGCTGTTCCGAGGAATTAGAAACATGCAGTTCTAATTTGACGTGATGCCTTTTTCTTTTCTTGAAGATACATTTGGGATTCTAATGTTTGCGCTTACTTTAATAGCCATAATCGCTGTTTCACCTTTCATGTCGAGCCGTATTTGGTAATTTTACTACAGTGTACAGAAATTTAAAATTTTTCAATTTGTTAGAGCTTAATGGATATCTAACTTATCTAAATTGCCCTGGACAGATCCAAAGACTATATAGTATTTAAGAAACCCCTTCTGGCTCAAAGATAAAATGAATTATGGTCTATTGGGAGACTACAGTGTACAGTATCTGAACTTTGAGACTGTAAACTAAAAATTTGCAAGCAAAGTTCCTTTTTAAAAAGTACTTTCTGAATCTCTCAGCTAAAAATTGGAAATACCAAGGTATTCGCCCTCCAGGATTCTCCATTTTCCGTATTAGATAGGAAAAGCGAAACTTACAATGTAGCTAAGAGGTCCATCAACGAAAGCCACCTCTCTTGCAACACTTACTCCCATTATCAGTTTCAGGTACAACTTTGTCATGAACAAACTACAATGCAGACAACAACTTTATCCAAATAACTTATAGTGCACTGTAGTTCCTGACTTGTGGATTTGCTAAAGCTCGACTCATATTCAACATTTTGCAGTTGTAATGTTATACTCAACGATTTCAAAGATTCTGGTAACAATTTTATACGTGGTATACCGCAACCAAAAATATCAAGTGTTTGTATGCACTCCTTGACAACTGTATGTGAACCAGCAACAGGCAAAATCTGTAGTAAATCGAAAGCAAACAAGTATTTCACTGAGACATTGCTTTTTCCTGGGCATTTTGAGCTGTTAATTGTGGGCGGGTATATGCAAAAATATGATTCAACACTATTTTTAAGGTCGTCCTTGAATCAGTTGACGCTTGATGAGCAAAAAGCTACCCGCGTCGCTATTTTTTGTTTGTTGCACTTTCGTTGCTATCATCATTAAAGGCAATCCATAAAGGTAAAATTGGATCAATTTGGTCTCTTGTAAATCGATTACCGTGCTAAGAAAAAATGATGAAGAGAAAAACAGCAGCAAATCGATGGAGGTGTCGGCTGTTAAAAGAGCTCCATGATAGTTACTTAAAGGTGAGCTCCTTCATGTTCTTGCTTGTATGAAGAGTCATACTCTTTGCTTTTTCTTTTCTCTTGTCAAAGATAAAGAGGCTAAAGAATAGAGCCATTTTGAGTTTGAAGAATGAAATTAAGAGAAAAGACGCTTTGATAATCAAATGGTTTAGGGGTAACTTGTAGTTTATTGAGTAGAGATATTTCTCTTTATCGTTGCTTTACTACAGATCCCGTGAAATTATACAAACACGAAATGCCATGAATTTTAAATAGCTTTACTGCTTCCACGCATAAGAATATATATTTTTTTAATCATCTGATTTCTTACCTGCTGGTTTTGTTTCTATATCTTCTATTATTTCTTCCTATTGAAAAGTTTAACACCAATCATAAGTGATCCTGATAGGCAAGAAGAAAATTTTGGATGCGCAAATACATATTCAAAAAATAATTAGTCTTTCCGTTCCAAATAAATTCCAAAAGTGCGCAAAAAATTGCACAAAAATTGTATTTATCGAAGCCTCAATACAATTTTAAACTCTCAGTAAGGTGAATCGTCTTTATTGGATAAGCTAGTTTTGATAAACGTCACATTGTGGATTTTTACTTTGTACAGCTACGGCAGTGAAAGGAATTAACTGTGCTCTGTTCCCCCCATCAAGAGCTATTTTAACTCTTTTCTACATATTCCCCAGTTCTTCAAAACTATTCTGTATCGAAAGAATTTAGCAGATATTGTTCGAAGAGAATTTTTGTTTCTATTTTAATTGGTAAAGATCGAACGCGTTATATACACAATGTGGTCGCTATCTAACTCGTAATTAGATTTCAAGTAGTTAAAAAATCTCCCAATGGCGAGCAATGATCAGGGTTTACCTGTTCCTGTAGGTGCTACGCCTTCACCCTATTCAAATCAATATAATCAGTATGCTTATGAATCCAATCCAAGTACTGAAAAAAGTCATGAAGAAAAGTTGAAGGAAAAAGCTAGAAAATGGCAGCAATTGCAAAATAAGCGTTACGGCGAGAAGAGAAAGTTTGGTAACTATCGTTCAGCTTTCTTTTTTCTATTTCATGCAACCCATTGATAACTAACGATCTCATCTTCTCTAACTTAGGCTTTATTGAGCATGAAAAAGCTGACATGCCTCCTGAGCATTTACGTAAAATCATCAAGGATCACGGTGACATGACAGCTAAAAAGTTCAGACATGATAAACGTATATATCTCGGTGCATTAAAGTATGTACCTCATGCTGTGCTGAAATTGCTCGAGAATATGCCTATGCCTTGGGAACAAGTCAGAGAAGTCAGTGTCTTATATCATATAACTGGTGCAATTACTTTCGTCAACGAAATTCCTTGGGTTATTGAACCTGTGTATATTGCACAATGGGGTTCACAGTGGATTATGATGCGTAGAGAAAAGCGTGATAGAAGACACTTTAAACGTATGCGTTTTCCACCATTTGATGATGAAGAACCGCCTCTCGATTATGGTGACAATATTATGGATGTCGAGCCACTTGAAGCAATTCAGTTGGAATTAGATGAAGAAGAAGATTCAGCAGTTTATGATTGGTTTTATGATAACAAGCCTTTGATTGATACTAAATTTGTAAACGGCTCTACATATCGTAAATGGAGATTGGATTTACCAATTATGTCAACTTTATACCGTCTTGCGCATCAACTTTTGTCTGATTTGACAGATAAAAACTACTTCTATCTTTTCGACCTCAACTCATTCTTCACAGCGAAAGCCTTGAGTATGGCTATTCCTGGTGGCCCCAAGTTCGAACCGCTGTATCGTGATATGGATACTGCTGACGATGATTGGAATGAATTCAACGATATTAACAAAATTATTATCCGTCAGCCAATTCGTACAGAATATAAGATTGCTTTTCCCTTCTTGTATAATTCACTTCCGCGTAGCGTCAAAGTCTCGTGGTATCATTATCCTACAGTGGTATTTGTTCGTTCAGAGGACCCTGATCTTCCAGCATTCTATTTCGATCCTATTATCAATCCTATATCATCCCGAGCAGTGGCTGATGTTGGCAGAAAACACGAAGAAGAGATCTTCGGCGATGAAGATGAGGATACCCAGTTCACGTTGCCAGATTATGTTGCACCCTTCTTGGAAGATACTGAACTTTATACCGATAATACAGCAAATGCTATTGCTCTTTATTGGGCTCCTCATCCATTCGATAAGAGATCTGGTCGAACCCGTCGTGCACAGGACGTTCCTCTTGTCAAAAACTGGTATCTGGAGCATTGTCCTCCTGGTCAACCGGTAAAGGTTCGAGTATCCTACCAAAAATTGCTCAAATGTTACGTATTGAATGCTTTGCATCACCGTCCTCCCAAGGCATTGAATAAGAAATACCTTTTCCGCAGTCTGAAATCTACCAAATTTTTCCAGACGACACAAATTGATTGGGTTGAAGCTGGTCTGCAGGTTTGTCGACAAGGTTACAACATGTTGAATTTATTGATTCACAGAAAGAATTTGAACTACCTGCATCTCGATTATAACTTCAATTTGAAACCTGTAAAGACACTTACAACCAAGGAGAGAAAGAAATCTCGTTTCGGTAACGCTTTCCATCTTTGCAGAGAAATTCTACGTCTAACAAAACTCATTGTGGATGCTCACGTACAATACCGTCTCGGTAACGTGGACGCCTTCCAATTGGCGGATGGTCTTCAGTACATTTTCGCACATGTTGGCCAATTGACGGGTATGTACCGTTACAAGTATCGTTTGATGAGACAAATTCGTATGTGTAAAGATTTGAAGCATTTGATCTATTACCGTTTCAACACCGGCCCGGTTGGTAAAGGCCCTGGTGTTGGTTTCTGGGCGCCTGGTTGGAGAGTCTGGCTTTTCTTTATGCGTGGTATTGTCCCATTGCTCGAACGTTGGTTAGGTAACTTGCTGGCTCGTCAATTCGAAGGCAGACATTCCAAGGGTATTGCGAAAACAGTTACAAAGCAACGTGTCGACTCACACTACGACTTAGAGTTGAGAGCAGCTGTCCTACACGATATTATGGATGCTATGCCCGAAGGCATTAAGGGTAATAAATCTCGTACTATTCTTCAACATCTTTCTGAAGCATGGAGAGCTTGGAAAGCCAATATTCCTTGGAAGGTACCTGGTATGCCTGCACCTATAGAAAATATGATTTTACGTTATATCAAGGCCAAGGCTGATTGGTGGACTAGTGTTGCTCATTATAATCGTGAACGTATCAGAAGAGGTGCTACTGTTGATAAAACTATTTGCCGAAAGAATTTAGGTCGCTTAACTCGTCTGTGGCTCAAGGCTGAACAAGAACGTCAACACAACTATCTCAAGGATGGTCCGTACATAACAGCTGAAGAAGCTGTTGCTATTTATACTTCTACAGTTCATTGGCTCGAAAGTAGAAAGTTCTCTCCTATTCCTTTCCCTCCTCTTTCCTATAAGCACGATACTAAATTGCTCATTCTTGCTCTCGAACGTCTTCGTGAAGCCTACTCTGTTCAAGGCCGTTTAAATCAAAGTCAAAGAGAAGAGTTAGGTCTTATTGAACAAGCCTATGATAATCCTCATGAAGCTCTTTCTCGTATCAAACGTCTTCTTTTGACTCAACGTGCTTTCAAGGAAGTCGGTATCGAATTTATGGATCTTTATTCACATTTAATTCCTGTTTATGATATCGAACCAATGGAGAAAATCACAGATGCCTATCTGGATCAATATTTATGGTACGAAGCCGATAAACGTCACCTCTTCCCTGCTTGGATCAAACCTTCTGATTCTGAGCCACCACCATTGTTGGTCTACAAATGGTGTCAAGGAATCAACAATTTAACTGATGTTTGGGACACCAGTGAAGGACAATGTAATGTTATGATGGAAGCTAGCTTCAGTAGAGTCTACGAAAAGATTGATCTTACACTCTTGGGTCGTCTTTTACGTCTTATTCTTGATCATAATTTGGCTGATTATGCTACCGCAAAAAACAACGTTGTTTTGAATTACAAGGACATGAATCACGTCAATGCGTACGGTTTGATCCGTGGTCTTCAGTTTGCCTCCTTTATTTTCCAATACTACGGTTTGGTTCTTGATTTGCTGGTGTTGGGTCTTCATCGTGCTAGTGAAATGGCCGGTCCTCATCAATTACCTAATGATTTCTTACAATATCGTGATGTGGAAACAGAAACACGTCATCCCATCCGTTTGTATTCTCGTTATATTGATCGTATCCATATCTTCTTCCGATTTACAGCAGATGAAGCTCGTGATCTTATCCAACGTTACCTGACCGAACATCCCGATCCCAACTTTGAAAATATTGTTGGGTACAACAACAAGAAGTGCTGGCCTCGTGATTGTCGTATGCGTTTGATGAAGCATGATGTGAATCTTGGTCGTGCCGTCTTCTGGGATATCAAGAACCGTCTTCCTCGTTCTTTGACTACCATTGAATGGGAGAATAGCTTCGTCAGTGTTTACTCGAAAGATAACCCGAACTTGCTTTTCTCTATGTGTGGTTTTGAAGTGCGTATCCTTCCTAAGATCAGAAGCATGAATGAAGAGTTTACGTTGAAGGATGGTGTCTGGAATTTGATTAATGAGCAAACAAAAGAAAGAACCGCTCAAGCTTACTTGCGTGTAGATCAAGAATCGATGGACCGTTTCCATAACAGAATTCGTCAAATTCTTATGGCCTCAGGTAGTACCACTTTCAGTAAGATTGCTAACAAATGGAACACTGCTTTGATCGGTTTGATGACGTACTATCGTGAAGCCGTTGTTCATACTCGTGAGCTACTCGATTTGCTGGTCAAATGTGAAAATAAGATTCAAACCCGTGTAAAGATCGGTCTTAACTCCAAGATGCCTTCCCGTTTCCCTCCTGTCGTTTTCATGACTCCTAAGGAATTGGGTGGTCTTGGTATGTTATCTATGGGTCATATTTTGATTCCTCAATCTGATCTTCGTTGGTCGAAACAAACTGAAACGGGTATTACTCACTTCCGTGCTGGTATGAGTCATGATGAGGATGCCTTGATTCCCAATTTATATCGTTATATTCAATCATGGGAATCTGAATTCATTGATTCTCAACGTGTCTGGGCCGAGTATGCATTGAAGCGTCAAGAAGCTTATGCTCAAAATAGACGTTTGACTCTGGAGGATCTGGAAGACTCTTGGGATCGTGGTATTCCTCGTATCAATACTCTTTTCCAAAAGGATAGACATACTCTGGCCTATGACAAGGGTTGGCGTGTGCGTACAGATTTTAAGCAATATCAAGTTTTAAAGAATAATCCCTTCTGGTGGACTCATCAACGTCATGATGGTAAACTATGGAATTTGAACAATTATCGTACCGATATGATCCAAGCTCTCGGTGGTGTCGAAGGCATTTTGGAACACACTCTGTTCAAGGGTACTTATTTCTCAACCTGGGGTGGTCTTTTCTGGGAACGTTCTAGTGGTTTCGAAGAAAGTATGAAGTATAAAAAGCTCACTAACGCTCAAAGAAGTGGTTTGAATCAAATTCCTAATCGTCGTTTCACACTGTGGTGGTGTCCAACTATCAAGTAAGTTAGAGAAAAAGATTACAAAATTTGAAGATTAGATTGTTAAAGAGAAACCAAACTAATAACTATTTTTTTGTTTGATAAAATAGTCGTTCAAATGTTTATGTTGGTTTCCAAGTACAACTTGATCTTACTGGTATTTTCATGCATGGCAAGATTCCTACCCTCAAAATTTCACTCATTCAAATTTTCCGTGCTCACTTGTGGCAGAAGATTCACGAAGCTTTGACTATGGATTTTGCTCAAGTTTTTGATCGAGAATTAGAGGCTCTTCAAATCGAAACTGTTCAAAAGGAAACTATCCATCCCAGAAAGTCTTACAAGATGAATTCTTCAGCTTCTGATATTTTATTGTTTGCTGCTTATAAGTGGCCTGTTTCACGTCCTTCACTTCTGAACGATCCTAAGGACGTAATGGATGGGCCTACTACTACTAAATACTGGCTCGATATTCAATTAAGATGGGGTGATTTTGACTCCCACGATATTGAAAGATACACTCGTGCCAAATTCTTGGACTACACTACTGATAATATGAGTATCTACCCCTCGCCTACTGGTTTAATGATTGGCGTTGATTTAGCTTACAGTATGTATTCTGCTTATGGTAATTGGATTCCTGGTATGAAGCCCCTCGTTCAACAAGCTATGGCCAAGATCATGAAGGCCAATCCTGCTCTTTACGTACTTCGTGAACGTATCCGTAAGGCCCTCCAATTGTATTCTTCTGAACCTACTGAACCTTATTTATCATCTACCAACTATGGTGAATTATTCAGTAATCAAATCATCTGGTTTGTCGATGATACCAATGTTTATCGTGTCACTATTCACAAGACCTTCGAAGGTAATTTGACTACCAAGCCTATTAACGGTGCTATCTTCATTTTCAATCCTCGTACTGGTCAACTATTCTTGAAGATTATCCACACGTCTGTTTGGGCTGGTCAGAAACGTTTAGGTCAGTTAGCTAAGTGGAAGACTGCAGAAGAAGTTGCTGCTTTGATTCGTTCATTGCCTGTCGAAGAACAACCTAAGCAAATTATTGTTACCAGAAAGGGTATGTTGGATCCTTTGGAAGTTCACTTGCTCGATTTCCCTAATATTGTTATCAAGGGTTCCGAACTTCAATTACCCTTCCAGGCTTGTTTGAAGATTGAGAAGTTTGGTGATTTGATTCTCAAGGCTACAGAACCGCAAATGGTGCTGTTCAACTTGTATGACGATTGGTTGAAGACGTTTTCATCGTACACCGCATTCTCTCGTTTGGTCCTCATCTTGAGAGCTCTTCATGTGAACACTGATAAGACTAAAATGATATTACGACCTGATAGAAGCACTATTACTGAACCTCATCATATCTGGCCGACACTTACTGATGAAGAATGGGCAAAGGTCGAAGTTCAAATGAAGGATTTGATTTTGGCAGACTATGGTAAGAAGAATAACGTCAATGTTGCTTCCCTTACACAATCCGAAATCAGAGATATCATCTTGGGTATGGAAATTCAGGCACCCTCTCTGCAACGTCAACAAATTGCTGAGATTGAGAAACAAACGAAGGAACAATCTCAATTGACGGCGGTAACTACTAAGACCCGTAATATCCACGGTGATGAAATGATTGTTACAACCACCAGTAACTACGAACAAGCCACTTTCTCCAGTAAAACTGAATGGCGTATTCGTGCTATCTCAGCTACCAATCTTTATTTGAGAACCAACCACATCTATGTCAATTCTGACGATATCAAGGAGAACACGTACACTTATGTTATGCCAAAGAACGTGCTCAAGAGATTCATCACTATTTCAGATTTACGTACGCAAATTGCTGGTTTTATGTTTGGTGTGAGCCCGCCTGATGCACCGAATGTGAAGGAAATTCGCTGTGTCGTTGTTCCTCCACAATGGGGTACACATCAAACTGTTCATTTACCCAATAACCTTCCTGAACACGAATATCTTAAGGATTTGGAGCCTTTGGGTTGGATCCATACTCAACCGCAAGAATTGATGAATATCTCTCCTCAGGACGTCACAACGCACGCCAAACTGTTAGCAAACCATAAGAGCTGGGATGGAGAGAAAACGATCACTTTGACTTGTTCGTTTACACCAGGTTCTTGTTCCCTTACTGCCTATAAACTATCCCCCGCTGGTTTTGAATGGGGCAAGACTAATGTGGATCCAGGAAGTCAACCTCAAGGTTACTTGCCTACTCATGGTGAAAAGGTTCAAATCCTTTTATCTGATCGCTTCCTTGGTTATTTCATGGTGCCTGCTGATGTTTGGAATTACAACTGTAAGTTTATTTTTTCTCTTAATACTGTTTTGTTCGTTAATTGGTACTGATTTTCTTCTTTTTTTTTATAGTCATGGGTGCTCAATTTAATGCGAATATGAATTATAGATTGGTACTGGATATACCAAAGGAATTTTACCATGAATCCCACCGTGCTGCTCATTTCATGAACTTTAGTAGTGAAACTGAAGCAACAACTGAGGCAGATATTGAAGATGCCTTTGCTTAATTGTTATTTTCTTCTCTGTTACTGTATATTTTTTTATCCTCTTCGCACTTTTCATTTTATTAAAATAATTTTAATTGTATCATATCGTAATGAATCAATTGTTGGTGTTTCTGTTTCTATTTAGAGGGCTTTTTTTCTTCCTATTTACATAACCTTGGTCTTCCGGAAAAAGATGAGATTGGTTTATTCGTAAATTTAAGTGTATTCGATTACTGTCAAATTATAATATATTTGGCAAATGAGTAAACAAATACCATGTTAATTGAATCCAATAATCTGTACTCATAGCTTCCATAAAGTACAGTTGCAGAACAGCAGGTCATTAAGCGTCATACATTGCTTGGGATGTATTTCTTCTCCTACGAACATCAATTTTGTTGTGAGTACTAGTTTGCAATCAGCAGCAGATCCGAACATTGAAAAAAGGAAGAAAAAAACAGAACTGTTGGGTTGATCCCCTGTTAAATACTAGGATTTGGTTAACCATATGCTTTTTATAAGAAGCAATTGCGATAATAAGCATACCATTCCTAACATGTTTCATTAAGCATACCTCATCAGTGTGAAGATTAATGACAGCTTTTTAGAAAAGCAACTGTCTTCGTGAAGAAAGATGTTTCTATCCACCATAAAGCCCATCAGATGGACAGTCTACTGCTAAATATATAGCCAACTTTTCCAAGTTCAAGATCCTTTTTGTGAATATTTACCACATAATGTGGTCAATGCCTATATTTATTTTTCCGACGTCAAAATATCAGGATGTATGCGTCAAGTATGTCGATAATACAAATACCAATGTTTGCATTCTTCTTCAAAGCCTATACGACTTCACGTATAGTAGCAAATAATTTGTCTACAATATGATACGGATCTGGATTGTCTTCATCAATTGCATTGTCAGGGTAACCTATCGTATCAGGGGCTGTAGCTACACATGGCTAAGCATAAAGTATAAATTTTTTGCTTCATCAAGAAGGTCATATATTTCACGAAATCTTACCATAGCAAAAACAGTCATAGGGTGCTCTTTTATCGTTTCTCGTAGAATTTCATTGTTTGAATAGCCTCCAGTAAGCAGTTGTTTATGTGAGCGAAACGAAGGAGAGATGCTGCACATGAAAAATACCCATGGGTACATTAATCAGTATCCTTTATCATTAGTAACCATTCGTTGTTCCAAACGGCAACTATAAATCGTATATAAAGATATAAATGTGGTATATGGATAATCCTTACAGCTTTAACCGCGGAGAATGAGTGATTATTGCTGCCTGCGAAGCAGCTTTATTGAAGGTATCTTTACGATCAATGTTTGATGTTGTAGACAATTGTAAGCAAGATGGCATTGATTCGGTTGTCAAATTTATCCTTATGGATAGCTAAGTGAACATTCAGAGTTATTAAATGAACAATGCTATCAAACGTCTCATTGGCTACAATAAAGATAATACAACGAACCTTTATTGTCGAGTTGAATCTGCAGTTTTTTAATAGATACCTCTCATTTATATAGCCTTTACCGACAAATTCTGACATATTGACAGAGACTGTTCCCAACTTCTGTCTGTTGCCCTCTTTAAAAATATCCATCCTCAATTCAGAGTATCGAAGGGTATGCTTTTTATCTGCCGCAATTGAAAGCATTGTTTTGATAAGGCAGTTCCAGACGACGTTATGGTTTCTGATATGGATTCTAAGTGTTAAAACGTAGTAGCATTTCATGTAAGGCTCGTTAATTTCAAAACAGATCTGATTTTACATTACAGCTAACTCCAAGTACCTTCTCGTTGTGCCGAATGCATCCGAGGCATTCCTTAGCTTCCAATCCACATAATAGTAGCCACTAAGCAGCGGCACATCGAGCAGTTCTCTGATAAGAATTTGTATTTCGAATTTGAACTTTTTATATTTGGATACAGGTAAATGAGAAAACAGAAACATGAGCGTCGATTCTGTTGATTAAGTCGAAAACAGAGGTAAGAATAAACAGAATCTATTCAATTGTGACAGAATTAGAAGGTAAAAAAGTGTAATAAACGTATGGTATAGTTTATAACCAGTATTTAGTTTGTCACTTTATCGGGAATCTCATTAGAATTTTCCCACTTTTAAGTCAGTTCAAGAAAAGGATATATCAACAAACAACGGGAATATGCATACAAAATAAACTCTATTAGTATATCCTTGCTGTATATCATGCTTTGCTATCAATGCTTCAGTTGTCCGTTGATAGCATGATCTGTTGATTGACTGGACAAATGACACCTGTCAAATAAAAAATGGATAAGATTACCTGTCAGGTCAGCCTCTAGCATACTATAATGACTCCTATAGTAACTATTGTATTAGCAATGTGCATTCTTACTAATCGCTGTGCTAATATGGAATTGATGAGCTTTTGGCATATAGAGACAGAAAAAAAAAGCTCATAACATACTAAAGTCATTTACTTAATGAGGGTCAATCCAGCAGCGGTGCGTCTGGTTCAGATAATGCAGTTTATTGAAAAATGTCTTTCTACAACTATTTTATTTCTGTATGATCGAATGATTTAAAAAAAAAGCTACAACGGTAATGCGGTTCCGAAGGCACTAATATCAATTCTATTCCAGTATCCTGCAACTTACGAGATAAACCTTTTTCATCAGTTCTTTCTAATAAAACAGTTTTAACATGAAGGGATGACATGATTGCGATGGATCTAATATAAATTGGAATCTATTCTTTTAACTTATAATGAGATTGATCAATGCATAAACATTCATTAATATACAAGTGCAGGCTGGAACCATAGAGGAAGAAACAAACATTGAGGTAAGTTTAAGGAAAGATCGATACTATCTTTTAGTCTAATCATAAACTGATTTCTCGGACCTCTACACGACTAGTATTTCTGCCATTGTTTTTCAAACTTCTTTTCATTTTTGTATCAAGGTACAGTAGGTTCTTATTCTATGCTCATCATTCAGCCAACATTATCTGAGGAACATTACACAAAATTGCTAACATCCTATAACTGTGTGCGAATGACAGAAAAAAGGGAAGAAACATAATGCGATCCACAAAAAAGCATTTTAGTCATTCAATAAGCTCTAATTGTTTATTCTATCAGAAATCTACGTTTGTAAACCGGGGCATGCTGTATTATTTCGAGCATGTTATTTGACAATATCAACTAGCTGCATTATCACTCTTCTTCTGAGCTGTCTTCTCCACCTTCGCTCTGGCTACTCACCCCAGAGTCATCGTCAGTTCCGGCTATTTCGGCCTCTGCTTTCTTTGTCAATAATTCAACAGCCTTTTCGTTATAGATACGTGAGATAACAAAAATCTCATTTGTTTCGTCGCTACTGATCAATAATCGACCATACTTATCTACCGCTAAACCGTAAGGTGAAAAGCAGGTACTTTCAGTACATGGTTTCTCTTCTTTTAAGATGACATCAGGGTCCAAATCCCACCGAGGCTTGTGTCCAAGATCATCAAAAACGTAATGAACTACACTGTGACCAGCTGATTGGCCGGGAAGACCATGATTAGCAAGAATAGGCGAATCAGTCCAGGCACAAGGAAGACCTACGGATGTACCGTGCGTTTCTTCGTCTCCGACAGAGCAGAATTCTCCCATATAAAACAATACACTGGTAGCAATCGAGTTGCTGGAAAGTGGAACAGAGGGTCCAATATTGTTAACAGACTGTTGACAGAAGGTATCCATTTCCACAGACTCATTCATAAACATTGGATGAGCCCATTGTGCACCCAAGCCTTTTGAAGCAGCAGAGACGCCTTCTAAATTATATTCAGTCATACAATATGGGAAGCCATAATTTGATTGAGGGAATTCGTACAAGTTTAATTCTTCTGCCAAACCAGATGTAGCAAGGTCTACCAAAGGCAACAAACAGATGGATGCTTTAGTATGAGTGCACCGAATTTAAAGTAACTTAACAAAGCCTACAACTTACTGTGATTGCCAGCAATATCAGCGCGTTGAATAGTGGATTGAGGGATGCCATTCAAACCCCATAATCTTGCTTGCGTATCAAAGCCCATTAATCCAAATGTATTAGTACCCACTGCTTGGATTTCACCATCAGTTTCGAAATCGAATCCATTTTCAGGAATCATTTTGATATTGAACTTCTTGATAACAGCATGAGAAGCATCCGATTTGTCATGAAGATCACTTACCGCACGAGGAACGAATGCATAGCCAAAAGGATCGATAGCAATATCAGGCTGAGCCGATGGATCGTCTGGATTAATATTCGTCATAATTTTGATACCTTCCTGTAATTCAGAATGTTGACCATCACTGTAAGGGAATTTATAGATGGAATTGGTAGTAGCCACGAATAAATTTCCGTTGTAAACAGCAAACCCATGGCCAAACGGTTCCTCCAATTTATCTTTTTGTAAAATGTTCTTAATATCAGCATTACCACATTTGTCGGTACGAATAGAAATTAGACCCTCTTCTGGAGAAATGACGAGGATATGATTGGTAGGGTCGATAACCATCTTCTTGGGATCTTTGATTTTATTTGTCAGAACCATCATTTCATAACCTTCCATTACTTTGAGGGAGCGAGAAGGTTGGATCGTCTGGTTTGGTTTACATAATGGTTGTTCATGAAGGGTGGAGACGATGATAGGATGGTCGGCAGATGCATCGGGTACAAGGACACCAGAAGCACCAACTAAAAGAGCACCCTCTACTTTTACTTCCTCACTTTCTTCGTCCAGCTGAGCATTACTGGCGCTACTGCTAGAGTCGTCATCGTTTTTTCTTCTATTTAATGTTGCGGCAAAAATTACCTGCAAAAATGCCGCAGTCAAAAGTAGCAAATAAAGGTTTTTAAGCATGCAAAATTTCTAGTCAAAGTAGGTTATCCTAGAGTATATACTATATTGCACAAGTCGAAAGATTATCAAGAGTAAAAGAGATAGGATGTTCCTTATCGTTTGGACTATGTAGTAGGAATTCTTTTTACAGTTGCTTGCAAAAATTCCCGACTTGACTTATCGGAAGAATCCCCATTATAGTGTCCCAAGAATTGATTTTAAGTCTTCAGTTCAAAGCTCGATGAGCATTTCATTTCTTATTTCAGGGTCGAGCCATATTTATCGGATTTCAGGTACAAAAGTTTCAGGAACCTGGCAACCAAAACTGTAGTAGAAAGATATTTTCAAAAGCACTGTGGACAAGTGAGTGAGATACTGATCCTGTATTCAATAAATTTATTTTTTCTCGGTTTTAGAGCACAAAGTTGAGCAGACAAATAGGATATCTTAACAAGGGAAAACAGAAAAATACACGAAACCAGTCGCGATAATAGAAAAGAACGGGGAATAAAAAGATGTACAAGAATTTTACAAAAGATAATATGTGTATATCAAAGAAGGACGACCATATGCGTTATTATTTTAGAGTGACCAAGTGATAGGAATGACACCTAAATCAAGACTTCCGAGTTTTTTAAAGGCAGAAGGGCTGAGATCGACATCACCTTCACCACAGCTTGGGCATGTATCGACCACTTTGACAGTTACTGATTTACCAGATTCGCTTTCAACAGTAATTGACTCGCCACAGTATGAGCCTTTCGAGCCGGAACCCATTAATTTTGAAGAGAGCGCAGCCACCATTTCGCTGTCAGAGTTGGTGTGACCGCAAGAGCCTAGACCAACTGAGTAATATGTGGCATCACCAGATTTGGAAGAGCGAGCTTCTAATTTATGATTACTGCGAGCTTTCAGGGAAGCAGAAGTTGTAGTGGGAGCAGCAGAGACTTGCATTAAGTATGCAATAGAGAGCAAAAGAAGAACAGGAACGAATGAAATTTGCTTGAACATTTTGATATTTTTTTGACGAGTTGAAATGAGTATAGTATGAAGTGTTATAGAATGTATGTTTGTAGGTATACTAATATGACGCCCAGCGTTATGATTTAAGGTGTATAAATATACAAAGCAAGTGTTGAAGGAAGATGGATAAACAAAAAAAAGAAACAGTGTTTGAAGCATCTGTATTTATATATTTCGAGTTAATGAATCTGATGCGGGTCCCAGCAAAGACTTGCCATGTATACTTTTCCAGGACTCCTCTCAAAATAACTGCCTATCATCCAGTAGGCTTTGAAAAAGATTTAATGGTCGTACATTATTTTCTTTTTTTCCTATATTTTAGCTCCCTTTTTTGTTTTATATTCTCAGACATACACCGTATCTTTTTTTTTTTTTTTTGAAGTACAGTACTGTCTCTGTTTTTGACGTCAAGTTACACCTCACAAAGGACACAATTTCTCTTTTTCTTTTTCATGTCCGAACAATAAATCGTTCAATGGAGCTTAAGTCGATACCCCTGAGGTACCCGGAACAGTTTTCTTTTTTTTTTTTCTTTTTTTTTTTTTTTTTTTTTTTTGTGCCAGATAATGGTTTTTCTCTTCCTTCCATTTATTTCAAGAAATGTCTTCTGGTTGCGATCAGCCTATCATGGCAGCTCGCATCATATCCATTTTAGAACGTGGAAGAGCGTTTGATAAGATCTTGAGTGCCCAACGGGAGAGTAATAATGCTGACAATAGCAATTACACTTGAGTATATACAACTACATTGATGTATACAATTGGTCAATTCCATCGTAGTGGATAGATAAAAGCGTTAGCATATCTAATTTTGAACCAATGACATAGCATAGCTACTCCTTCCAATCAGGCATTATTGGTATTGAAATCTACCTACTTCTTCTGAAGAGAAATGCTCGTATATATGCAAATGCTTGCTATATGTACAAATTACAGATACTTAAAACGTGATCAGATTGAGCACAGTATATTGCAAGAAGGTGTTGCAATTCATGGCCAATTATACAGTTGCAATGGAAAAAAGTGTAGGTACAGCCGACCAGCATGATATACACTTGATAGCTCTGCTGACAATAGTAATACGGTATGTGAGACGTATAACTCCAGTGAGGACACATCGAAACCGCCCCCTCCCCCACCCCCGCCTTCAGATTTACGAGCAGTAGTCATAACTTGAGACCAAAATTTATTACTGCTGAATATGAAACGTTGTTAGTGCTTTACTTATGCCAAAATATGCCATCGTGTCTCGAATACCGACAGTTGCACAAGAAGTTCTTCGCTGGCCCGTGCACAGATGCGTATGATAGTTGAATATCAGATGCCCTAGTGGACATAGGCGACTTAATCTCATCTCATCCATGTAGTCACTGTAAATAATCATTTATAATTCATACATTTGAGGGACGCGTTGTATATACGGATTGTCTGTTAAAGACTAAGGAAAGTCATTGACCAGACACTCAAGGATGGATTTATGGAGGCGTGGATGGGGAGCTATATCATGTGTTCCTGATACTAACACTTCGATGATCCGGATGAAGAAGTACTACTTCAATGGTTAGTCTCAGTACATCTTCATGCATAAACTTTAAAGCACTCTTATCATCGGAATATACTGCATAGTTCTAAATGGCAAAGTCAGGAAGGAAAACTGCTGAATAGCGGCGGTTCAATCTCCATAGGCATAATTGCTGCATTACAGAGTTGGACAGATTTATGATTCCGGTGCCTGTTTTTATTTTGCTCAAGTTCTCATCACAGTATGAGATTAAGCAAACAGTCTCAAAGATTCTGTTGACAAAAGGAATGCTGCCTAAATATACCATTAAAAATGGTTTATGGTCTACTCACGGATGTTTTGCTATTAAGTAGTTGGTAGAACGGCGAAAAGGAATAACTCCGCCAAATGATCGTCCTAACGGATGAGACATTTGACGCTACCCGTTGCATCCAGATTATCCAGCAAGCGCCATTCAACTGTTAAATATTGCGGAAGTTGGAAATTCTTACTTGTTGAGTTCTTATACTTTGTAGTGAGACCTGTATGTCTTTTTCTATGTAGATCTTTTTTGTTGGACGGTTACCTATCTATTTGGAGCATGTGTCTTGGCTAATTTTACATATCAATTATTTATTAGTGAACTCAATTCTATAAGTGTCAGAATATAAGATAATTTATTTTTATTCATGTGCTCAATTCAACCAGAATTATAACCACTGTGTCTTTTGATTGTAATAGTTCTCATTCACGACTTTGAACAAAGCAGTAAAGATTTCCCAACAAATATGGTTTCGAAAGATAAAGAGAGCACTTGAGATGCGCCCAAATCATAACTCAAATGATAAAGGTTAACTTAATCTCGCTACTCTTTTCTCCAGCCATGCTATAAGTAACTGTCCTGATGTTTTCAGATAGCCACCGAGGCTACAAAACGTTCGTTGCATGTCTCTACCCTCTTTGCTCATGTCAAAGCGTGGCTATAAAAACTATTGATATTGATTCGGTTTGAGTTCCGAAAGCAATTTTGGCTGATTAAATTTGTTCGGGTTCGTTCAAGTAACCTTCTTTAGTAACTTATACCTTATACATCATTGGCTAGCGATAGTGTCTAGTTTGGAGTGCGTAGCACTAACTGTCTGGGGCGAATGTCGCTGGTTCAATAGTGGGCAGCAATCGTTCACTAACCCAGCATTACGTGATTATTATTGAAGTGAAACCAGTAATTTATTCAACTGTCAGTTTGATATTTTCTTTTGTAATCAGTCGGACTATCATCAGCTCCCCCTGTAGATGTAGATAGTATTATGAATATGGCACTCATACAATTGTTATAGAAGATTCATCAGAATAAAGGGATGAAAATTTTGTGTACATCATTGGATGACAATCTGAATAAGGCTTTATTTGCAATCTTCGAATTTATCTACTGGACACTGTTTGCATGTTGTTGACTTTTTCAGTTTAGTCGCTTGTACAACTATCACTTTCTCCCTCCATGAAGCTATAGTAATAATGCCTCTATGTAACACTCCTATGGTTGGACCCGAAAGCTTTTACTAGTCAAATTGTTAGCAAAAATAGCATTATTAGGCGTTTAGCGTATCAATTCGAAAATAGGCACAGAACTTGGAACTTTATACGTGATATCGTATAAATGTAAGTATAACAGCAGAAAATTTACTGCTCAGCAGCATTTCTTCTTGGAAGGCGTTATTCTGGGTCCTGAGATAAGTATTGACAAAACAAAGTTGCCGACAACGAGTGTCCAAAGAGAGTGGGTCTCGAACGATCATGTCCTATTAAATAAATTTGTGGTTACGATGATGATCAATTTCCAGACTAATTTGCCTTGTGCAATGCTTTATTGAATTCGGGTCTGTCTTTTCTGGTAGTTCAGGTCTGGATAGCCATTCTCTTGTTAACGGTTCCACACAATAGCATTCGTTCTCTTGCCTTAAATTGAGTATTTTCCGAATTCTTTGAAATTTGCCCCCGCGCCGTCAAAATCTAGCCTGGTCTATCATTCATGCCAGTGATTTTTTTTAACCAATCAGTCTTTGCTCTTAACCGTAAGCAACCTTTCATATCGTTTCCTTTTCAATAGCAATTTCAAATAAAACTGCATCATTTTTAGTATAGCTTCCTAATTGTATGAATCATATTTTGTTCTTTTGTCCTTGAATTGGAAGACGGAGCCAGCATCCGCTGGCAGGTTTTTGAAAGATTCTGTGACACCAATGAAAACCTGCCATATTCCGAGTTCCTGAAGAGACCACAGGGAAGCATAGCTATTTACTTCCCGTCCGTTGAAGAAAATCAGTTGCGTCTTTTTAAAAGTGTACTTTTCCTGTAACTTGATGTGCAGCGATTTACAGCGACCCATAGCTGCAGACGCTGTTTAGTACACCAATGGATTCAATACCTACGCATAGTATCAATCAAATCCGATCACGTAGTGATACTTGAGTAAGGTAGCAGGCTAAGCACCTCTTCCAAACAACTATATCACAATAATGAAAGTGTGCAATATTATTGTGACAGACCAACGGGACATGGCAATAAATTAACTCAAATTTGATTAAGTAATATAGACTTGATCGGTATAAGCGAAGAGAATAACAAAGTGCCAAGTAAAGTTTACGTTCTATGGTTACAATGCACAACATGACTTATTTGCTTTCTTTAAAGCAAAAGCGAGCGGTTGTTGATTGTTGAATGACCTGTTGGATTTTAGATGCGGTACACTACTACTGCGAATCCATAAGAGGCTTTTTTAATTGTCAATGAATTGGATAGTTCTAGTTAGTTTTCAAGCTTCGCTGGAGAATTCTGGAATATATCTCTACCAATCTAAATCTCAATAATTAGTGTACCCTGGCCCCGATAATGGCCCCATTTGCACGGCTCAATATCCCAGGGAGCTATACTAAGCGGCATAAGCAGACACTTTATAATACGTAGATGAAGAATAGGCTATTCAAGTTTTGTAATATCAATGGTTCGAGACAAAAATTGAACATAGAAATACCACTTGACCGCATCAGGTCAACATAATGTTAACAGTAATCTCTCGCAATTTTGCCTATGAAGTTGAAACATAAGAAACTGTTAACTTTCAGCCCTCCAATAAAGGACTCTCTGGTTCAGCTTTTCATAGAGGCTTGTAAATATAGAATATGCGCTCCAAACAATACTTATAGCAACAGTGCCTTAAAAAATGCTTAGATAGCTGCTCTTTCATTCGTATTGGAAGCATTAGAGAGGGAGTAAAATACCTGTTTTAACTAAGCTTCATTATTTTGAAATGTCCTTGATTTGTAGGCTCCAATGCAATAGAAATACGGCTTTCCAAATAAAGGTAATTCGGGTCCGTTTTTTCTTTAGAGCCGATGAAATGCTACTGAGGAAATCAATTTCTTTTTAACTTGCAAGATTTCAAACAACTAACAAAGGATCAATAATATGAGTGCATCTAATGCAAAGGTGATTTCTTCTTTGGTCTAACTGACGGTTATTTTTGTTACTGATTGGTTTTATCTTTTGCATGATTTAGAAATTGTATATCGGCAATCTGGATTTAGCGATCAATGAGTAAGTCTTTCTTTTGTTTGTTGGTTATTGAGCGATAACGAGTGCTATTCAAATAGTAATCAGAGTCTATGAATTATACTAACGTTTTAAGGTTTGCTATAACCAAACTATTTAAAACTTTTGGGAAAATAACTTTCATTGAACTTATGGTACATCGCTCCGGAACGTATAAAGGCCAATCAAAAGGTTATTGCTTCTTAGACTTTGAGACAGAAGAGGTACTATTAGTGAACAAACTGTGAAGAATTACCCTACGGACTTATTAACAGGCATGTTATTCTTCATTGCTTTTTCAGCAAGCGTCAAATGCAATCAACGCACTTAATGGAAAATTGATTAGAGGCAGGCCGATAGTCGTCTCTTACGCTCGCATGGTAACAAAAATTGAGTTTTATTAGGTTCCGTTTTATCATAATTGTATGTCTAAATGGATTGTTCGTTTCATTTAGACAGCAGAAGAAGAGAGAAAAAGACGACATCATCTTCAAGCTAGGCCGACTACAGCTATCTCCAAACAAAGACAAACATTGAAAAATATCTCGTAAGTGTAAATAGCTATCTAATTCTTCGCATGCCAGAAGGGGAAAATCTTATGTATGCTCTTTCCGAAAAACCAACAAACTTTTACTAGAACGGATGTTAAGATAAAAGCCATAGAAAAAAAGTTAGAGCTACTGAAAAAAGCGCAAGCACAAAGATCACCTTCATCTACAACAACTTCAAGTACAACAGCTTCACTAAATAAATCAGATACTCAGTAGATCAATAATACATTCTCCCGGCTCAATGCTCTTTCTTTATTTGAATGAAAATTCTTGCGGGCTGTGTCAATGAAAGGATACCGCATTTACTGAGTCAACGATCTTTCAAAACACTGCATCTAATTACAATAGCAAAATGAGCCGAAAGTTGTTAATGAAAAGGTCCAATGGTTGTAGGAAGTGAAACGGATAAAAGTTACGTTTCAAGAATATTATAGAAACAGTTTTGACGATAATAAATAAAAGTACGAGAGAGCAGATATCGAGAGTACAGTAACTTTTGGTATCTTCATCTATCGCAACATTCAAGTATTACAAATGATAACTGTACAACATGATCAAAATAGAACGTGATGGATGTTATTGTGCAGTTTAAGCAAAACATGGCTTCCATATTTCAATTTGTAGATGCATGTTGCGCCTTTCTTTCAGGGGATTCTGAAGGCAAAAAAATTCTTTTAAAAAAAATGGTTAAAGATCCTAAGATGTATGTGAGAACAATAACATGAATTAGTATGGATTTAGCATTAATGTGTATGCGACATGCATATGGTGTGAGGAGGCTATAGTTTATCTAACATCCTGGAAACCATCCGATTAAGTTAATTTACATTATGAATCATTTGCACTTATTAACAAGTAGTCGATTCTGCATATGATATTCCTTGATGCTTATAGAGGGCTAATCGATACATGAATGAGGCAATTATTTGATCCTGATTCTGAGATATCTTGTATACAGCATTTCTGGGTCGTCCGCATCGCGGCAAAAGGAAGAAAAAAAAATAAAATAAAAGGAAAAAGAAAAAGTCTGCGCCATTTAGTTCCATTTAGATGGTTACATTTGAAGATAAGGTACACATACACATATCAGTTATGCACAGACATTTCCTGAACGAAAAAGGCAATATGCGCATAGAAAACATCGCTGATATCATAGTTCAGTAAAAAGCTAACAAACAGTTTCAGCATTTAATATAGCAGGATTGACTCATCAAACAAATACATACGTTCCCTTTGTGGGTCATTTATAATAAGCACTGCTGCTGTATTCACTGAGGTTTTGTGTATGTATGTGTATATTTATATGTAAAGTTTGTCCCTGTTTTCGTGGACGTTTTTAGAAGGTTGAATAGGTTACTTTTGAGCAACAACGACTTTCTTCTTTAAAACAAGGAAGGAATAACTGCTTGTTCTCACTCAGTTGATTCATCATATGTCCCTCTTTACTTTTCCAATTTTAAGTTGTTTCATTGGTAAGATCGGTTAAAGATATGCTTAGATTTTTTCTCTGAATCTGTTTTTGGAAGATTTCACACCTTGAAGCATAACGATGGATTTTATAACAATATAAGATTGCTTAAATGTGTTTAGGTACTATATATTTTTGAGCGCTAAGAATTATAAAATTCTGAACTTTCCCTATTTTCTTTACCTTTCTTTTAACTTTTGTAAACACTTGTCTTCTTTCTGCCTCACATTCACTATTAAGAATTATTCATATACAATATGACAGATAACAATACTACCAATTTGCATACAACTGCTTCACCCTTCAAACTCAAAAATCCTACGAAATACCATCTGTTGGCAACCCAGCAGCAGCAACAAGGACAGCAACAACTTGATGAGACCACTTCACTGACACATGTGCGAAGACCGTCATTCGTTGATCCTTTGTCAGTAATGGAAAGCCAACCTATGGAGTTTACGGATTCGTATACACAACAATTCCTATCTCCAATATCCAATTCGTCACCTCTACAAGATTTCGATGACATGGAATCGATTTCAGCAACTGGAGGTCGGCAAATTATGATGATACAGCCAAATTACTATCCACATTTTACTGAAGGATCACCATCAGATTATTCATCCTCAGTGGATGTCTTCTCAAACCATTCACATCCCTCTTCTTATTTGACCGAGTACTACAACAGAAATCAGCAACAAGACAGTTTATCTACTACTACAATGACAGCGTCACCTACTATGATTTATTACCCGAATAATAATAGTAATAACAATAGGCTATCAATGTCATCTGTAGGCGGGGGAGATCCACATCAACAAGTGTCTTCGTCACCACCACAACAACAGCCATTTTCAGCACCTGCTCATATGGGGTATGACTTTATGGGTCATATGAGTAACTTATATCATCATCAACCTCAGCAACAGTCTCCATTGACAATGAACAGAAAGAATAGTGACACCACAACGGTTACCACGACATTAAATACTTTGAGTAGCAGCTTGTCTACATCTAATGCTGGACATCACAGCTTGGAAGAATATGAATCATTTCAGTTAAAGTAAGAGCATAATAGATGAAACAAAAAGAGTTTATGATCTCTTTTTGTTTCCCTTTAAAAGATACGTCTTACAAGAAAAAAAGTGTAACAATATTCGCATTCTGTTATCATCTACTACCATAGTCAACAGTTACTTTTAGAGAAGAAAAGACGTCGAAGAGAGTCTCATAATGCAGGTACTTGATGCCTTTTTTCTATTTTTAACATGTATTGGTGATATGTACTCACGCTTTATCTAAATTTAAATTCTAGTTGAAAGAAGACGCAGAGAAAACATCAATGAACGAATTCAAGAATTAGGTACAATGTTACCTGAAACAATGCTAGAAGAATTAGCTAGCAATGGTTCAACCGGTACAAATAATAAACCTAATAAAGGCGCCATCTTGAGAAAATCTGTCGATCATATTCGACTTTTACAACAAGAAGTATCAAGTCATAAGCAACGCATTTTTGAATTGGAAAGACAACTAGCTGGTTTGACTACCAATGCTGTATCCAACAAAACGAATAGTACTCCTACTGCGGCAACTGCCACAACTCTGACACATACGACAGCCATGTCATTGTAAAGAACAAGATACCTCTAGCTTAAATCTATAATCATTATGTATTTTATCCGTATTTATTACCTACTTCATGTACGTCTACCATATACAGACACACTATTCGTTCTTCTTTACAATGGAACCCTTACTATTTACATTTCAAAATTGTTGTATAAAAAAGCGAAGCTCTCTATTCCTCTCTCCTTCTTCCTTGCGTAAATAAGTGCAAGGTATAAAGCATTATGACATATTTTGCGATTTTTAGTATTCGCTCCTTTCTTTTATCCGAGCACATGAAAACGACGATCGACTTACCCGTCCTTTTTTCAAACGTGCAGTCTTTCATCATTTTCGGCATAATTAGCTTAAGATCGCATAACAATTAATGCTTTGTGCATGCATTCTATTTTATGCCCATTCATAAAAGGAAGACAAGTTACCATGTGTGATTATTATGATAGATCCCAGAGAAAAAAAAGGAAAAGAAAGGATATTGCATAGCGTCATGCCTATATACTCCTACACAATCCATCATCCTTGCCAATATCATACGGGGCTGCTGTCTCTTTTGATCAAGCGTGAATTTAAAAAATAGACCAGGTGGCGGTCAATGTCTTTTTAGTTCTTTGTCGTTGTCGCATCTCAAATTCTCACTCCTTTCCCTGATCGTACTACATCTCTGTACAAGTACGCTAACTACCTTCGTTAGTGACACCGAAAAAAAAAAGAAAAAGAAAAAGCGAACTGTGTATTACAAACTGAATAGAGCCCAAGGAGATATAAAAAAAAATAAGACTTCAACTCTTCTATCATTTTACACAATCTTCCAAGTGTGCAATTTTATTATTTTTATAGCATTTGGCAAACGATTCATATAAGCAGTGCTCGATGTATTTTATTGTAATATACTGTATAGAATAAATATATAAAAAAAACTTTCTAAGTTAATAAAGAATAAATAAGGGCTCTTATGTAAGATCAACAATAGGGAATGTCTCTGCTTCGTTCTTTTTTTATTTTATTTTACAACTTGGCTTCAGCTTGAAGTTCAGTAGATAATAAATCTCTCATATCATTAGCAGCCTCTTCAATATACTGCTTGAAATGATGTGTACCATTGACATATTTAGTGCCGTGCACTTCCAAATCCTTAACACTGGCGACATTGAACTGAAGTGCGTTATTCTTGATCATATAAGCACAACCAAAACCATCATTCACTACTTGACCCCAACCATAACCGTCAAAATGTTCAGAGCTCAATTGCGAGCTAGAAATATACCAATGAGAAGAGTAAGCATAAGCGGGATCTTGGAATAACTTGGGCTTTTCTTCGCCGTTTTGTAATGTGTTCTTCAAACCAAACAAGTGACGATCGACACCATGACCGTTGACGGCATCGGCCATGTAGGCGCCTTGAGCCTTTAGAGCAGTGCGCAAGGCAGCCAACTTACTTTCTGTGGAGGCATGAGGGTCTTCCATAGTCTTTACGAAAGCAACAGATTCGGTCGTTACAGAACGGGCAGTTTCGGTACGACCCCGTTGGAATTTACGGGTTTGAGCAGATTCATAAGTGGGACGAGAAGTGCCAAACATTTTATAGTAAGCGAGTTGAAGGACCATTTGTACGAATCCATCAGGAGAGCACTTGAACTTCTTGATCAGATTCTTACCATAAGATTGGTAGGCTAAGACTGTAAGATCATGTTTGTTGACAAGGGTATCAAAGTTGGATTCGGCTGTTTGGATATCTTTCAGGACAGTGTCGTTCACTTGGAAGTTGAGAGCTTGGGGTTGAGGGAGGCTGGATCGAATTTGAGTGGAGCCGTGTTCGATCTTGTTTCTATTCAATCTGTTGTGGGGATACGGGATAGGGAAAAAGTTATCATTGATAAATGGGAATAGTTCTATTAGTAACCAATAACTTGATATACTACTTATTTCCATCCTGCTATATCTGATTCTTACCCATCACAGACATATTCGTTCAAACGACAGGTAGCTGTACCATCCATGCATGAATGCTGTGCACATATATCAGCAAACAAGTGTATCAGTCAGCCGTTCATTTTATGTGAAAAAACAGCAGTGGTTTTGATCATGTCAATAAAAAAAAATGTATTCTTACCTCGCCCATGAAGCCTGCTTTACCATTTTCAAAAACGATAAATTGCAGAGGTTTATCAAAGAAACGGTTGCGGCCGTCACCATGCCAGCAAGCACGAGATCCTTCATCACGAGTGACAGGAGTGGAATCGTCAAGACAAATAATGAAATCTGACGACTCTATCTTTTCTAAAGCCTTGGCATTTTCGGGACTAGCAGCCACCAAGCGTTCGCGGTACTATATATAATGAATGATTATTTTGTATTAAAAATGGCTCGTTTCAGCAACTCCAACATATCAACTTTTTACACCCTCCTTTCTAATTGAAATGATATGTAACATACCTCTGTCCAGTTATCACGGTTATCTGAGGTTAAGGCACCGATGGCCAAGCCCTTTAATGATCCAGCATCATTGATAATTTGCTCGAATTGATGTTGAAGTTCAGCAGTAGACAATTGCTGACCGTCGTGAATAGTGTCGACAACATAAAATTTGTTTTTGCGAAGAACGACGATATGGTTATTGTTGACAGGATCGAAAATGGCTTCGTAATCTGAGGGCTTCTTAGGCATACGACAATTATTAAACATGTATTTATAGGAATCCATACACATAGGTTCGCCTTTAGCCATTTCAACAGATAGTGTTTTACTACAATAGGAAGGATGAGTTCTTGCTCCTCTGTGTCTCTCTCCATACATTTTTATGCGTTCAATCTTGCTCACACTTACTTTACGACTTCCTTTTTAAAGGCAAGGGCCGCTGTAGCGATAGCAGCAGCACGCTGAGCAGGCAGTTTACGTAATTTATCATCCTTATACAAGAAGAAGTAACTGACATAGATGACAACAGGATCACGGTAACCCATATAGGCTTGGTCTAACCACCAATCTTCCATCCAGTTGACGACAGAGGGGTCTTGTGCACGTGCGAGTAAACGCTCCTGTAACTTTTGTCCCAAACCACCAGGAGCTTCAAAATCTTTCACAGCTTCTTCCGTTCGCTTAAAGTCTTCGTCATTCAACAAAGGACGGACTGATTTGAGGTATTTTTGCAAAGTGGCGCTGAGAGCAGGAACGGGAAGCTTGGGCAAGTTTTTTTGATAACGGAGCATAGGGCCGGCTGCTGTAGGGTCGATAGGTGTTTTGGGCTGATGCTTAGCAGCAGCAGCTACAGCAGACATAGCACGTTGCTGAAGAGTAGATCTCTGTAGCAATAAAAGTTATTTTGTGAGTAGGCCGAAAGATACCAGGTTTTTTATTTCGCCACTCATGCCTCCTTGCTCACTATTTTTCTGTCGATGAACTTACTGCTGCCATCGAGAAACGTGGTGAAATCTTTGAAACATTTCGTAGAAGCGACATCTTTAGAATATGATGATACAGATACCAGAAAGAAAAGAGTAAAGATAAAAAAAGGATAAAAGGATTGAGAACTGCAAATTTGTAGTCTGAGCAAAAAATCAAAACCCCACAATAGCCACTCAGTCAGTGGTGGAGGGCAATGGAAATCCAAAAAAAAAAAACCAAACTGACTGGGTAAAATTAAGTTATCATTTTGCCCAAATGCCACATAATTTTTGATGACCAACCCGCAATTTTAAGACTTGATGGGAAATTTGTACAACGCTTGTGATCGGTGTCAAAATTAACGTGCATCATCATTGGAGCAGCATATCGGTAGGAAATGCGGGGTCCTGGATTTTTATTCGATATAAAAATGCAGTACAATATAGACTAAATGGTATTATGTTAACAATTATTATTAAAAATTTCCAAAAGCAATCCCAGACTCAATTGCAGCTTCAAATTCTATAACAAGTTACTATACAACAACATAACAAGATGAAATAAATACGAGAATAAAGAAATTTAGAAAAATAAGGTAGTAGGGTATAGGTAATATTTAGAAGAGCATGTTCATAGCCTTCATAGAATATTCGACACCCAAGAATGTAGCAGCATTGGCAGGGAAGGCTCTTAACATAGCAGGGCCGAGACCTTTGAAAAGTGCGGAAGGACCATCTGCCTTAACAGTCTTTTTGAGACAATCCACCAAACCGGTATAAGTACCAGCCGGAGCAGATTGTAATCTTGACTTTAAAACATCAGGAGGGATGGCGATTGTCCACATAGCAACACCAGCCATACCTACGGAATAAGGCAAATGAGTCAGACTACGACGTCACGCTTACATTCTATTCTTTTACTCTGGTCTACTACTTACCACCAGCGAATAACACAGCGCCGAAACTCAAGTCTTCAGGACGAGCACCAGCAGGTGTAAGCTTCTTCTTGATCAATTCATAAGCAATGAAATAAGCGGCAGAACCGGGAGAATCACGCAACAAAGTAGCACCTGTGCCTCTGAAGATAGAGCGAACACCACCCTCTTTATATAACTGACGTACTACGTCCAAAGGACCCTTATATTTAGGCTCTCCTCCTTGTCCTTGAATTTGCATCAACACTTTGACACGTTCTGAGGGTGCCATGAACAAAGTAGTGGGTACAGCTGAAAATGCACCAGCCAACGTGATTTCGGCTAAAGAAAGGGGTTTTGAGGGATCTGTATCTGTTCTAGCGGCATAGCACATCTTTTTGCCAAGATCATAAGACTATATATAGATAGATATGAACGAACGTAGAAGGTTAGAGAGTTGTGTTATCCTATTTATTTGAACTTTCTCCTCCTTTTCTATATCTTTGTGGTGCGTATGTCCGTCAAATGGCTATAAAATACTTACAAAGAAACTGACAGCAAAGATAGGTGTGATACTGGCCAAAGGAGCAGCCATACCACGATACAAACCAAGAATACCATCATTTTTTATGATTTGTTTGAAACAATCAGCTGTACTCTTGTATACTCCTTCACTGGTTTGAAGACGGACTTTAACAAGATCGAAAGGCTGGCTATAGATGTGTATTCAAAATTAAGCAGATTCATTTCAGTTAAACTGTTCATTGTGTCTATTGCGTGTTGGAACATTTGATGATCCCTTACCCAACCAAGACAGCCGCCATACCACCAAAACCACCAGAAAGAAAGGATTTTATGGATGAAACGGTATCATTCTTGGGTTTGGAAACGACAAGGTCAACTTTTTGTTCGACTTTTTGTTCAATAACAGACATTGTTTGATTTGAGATAAAGAAAGAGAAAGAAAAGCACTCTGTTTGGTCCCACAAAAAAAAAAAAGAAATAGAAGACCTGTCCAGGAATCATCAGCGGGGTCTATCTATACTCAGCCCAAAAAACAAAAAAGGTACAGTATGGGGGACCCACAGTTCCAAAAAAAGAAAAGCCTTAAAAAAGTGCATTTGCAATCTTCACATGTGATCCAAATAAAGAGAACTAGATCGGATGAAGCTTGCTTAATCTGCTTTAAAACTGTATCTATCCCTTTAAGAGCTTCGAAAGAGTAAATTTGAGTTACTTTGTTTCAATAATGATGCTACACTACAGTTCGGAAATAACTTTTAGTTAAAAGTCGCTGGTTAAATTATATTCAGGCTTGGAGGATAAGGTAAAAGCGAAGAGGCGTAAATGACGCAAAGTTGGTGACTTACACGATAGTTACTCCTGATGCCCTTCAATGCTGTTTGACTTTAGGTTGGTCAAATTCCGGTTTACCTTTCAAACGATTGGAAGTATCAGAAAATGTTGCTTTATTGTCCATGTTTTGACAAATATTGGCCAAGGGATGGATGTCCAATGTTTAGATGGTCGAAGTACAGCTATTTGAATGCGCCCGTTGTTGCCTGGTTGTGTTTGAATAAATATGGAATTGGTAGATCTGGATGCACCATAAGGTAAGTAATTAATCGGTATGTACGCCAGCAACTGATCGAGCGCGTTTAAGCAGTTGCATAAGAATGCAGTTTGTACATCGAAGACAGCGGTTTCAATAGGCATTTAAACGTGAGCCATCGTAGATAATCTTAGAGATGTTCTCAAAAAACTTTAGACTCTACAACTTTGTGTTTACTGATATGAGCTATTATCATGCCAGTATATTGTTTGAGTCGAACAAACACATAAAGTAAAGAAAATTGAAGCAGATAGATTATGACTTTGTTCATAACATTAGAATAGTTACAAGCCTAAATAGATGATAAATAGCTTCCAAAAAGATGGACCGAAATCACGACTGGGAAAAAAGATGCACAAAGGAAAAACCAGCTTTGAAGTACAAGCCTACCTTTGTGCTATCTCAGCAATGATACAACCATATACGAAAGCATGATAAGCTGTCTTGAGTAGTTATAATCTCTCTCATTTCGAGCTTTTCATATCAAACACGTTCGCGTCATCGTGCTCGTTCATACTATTCATTCACATTTTTTTCACAGTTTAATTCGGCAAGTTCTTTGTGTGTATATATAAATTAACTTTCTGCTAACTTGCTGCCAAGTTCAAAAAAATAGTATATACGAATTGTGCTAATTTATGGGTCATGGACGAAAGAAGCACGAAAGGGCTTTCGTTTCTTTTTTTTCGTTTTGTTTGTTTGTTTGGTTTGTGATCAGTGCTATATCTAGTTTTCCACACCTTGTATCAGAGTGATATTGTCTCCTTTCAATAAAAGTCGGCCTGTATTCAGCGAAATGAAAGCAAAGTATTCGTCATAAGCCAGTTCATTAGCACTTTGGAGAAAAAGGAAGGGACGAAAAGAGTGTTATTTGATACTACTTACCAACTTTGACTCTGGTGTTATTTTTAACATCGACTTCTTCGCTGTCGTCAAGAACCAAGTTCATGAATTCATCGAAACCCTAAATGAATCATAACAACGCGTCAGGTCCTTTCTTATAAGCTCAATTGAGATCTTCCAGGCTGAAAAAGGGTTAGGGATCTTACAATAATTTGACCTTCAATTCTTAAATCTGTCTTGTCAAATAACCAAATTTGAACTCTGGATTTCTGTCGAGGAAAAATTAGAATTATGGATGAGACAACGTCCAATATTAAAAAAAAACCAGAAAAGTTATTTGTTGGTCAAAAACTGTTAACCAAATTACGTTTTGAAGGTATCTGAAGATCAGATTCTAGATGAAAAGGAGCGAAGGGTGAGTGGATTGAACTATCCCAAAGCTGTTTTTAAATCTGTTCTTAGCTTTGTGCAGACGTACAATGGGTTGAACCATAATTTTCTGAACTTTGGACGACATGATGTAGATTATACGTTATATAGAAGTGCTGCTAGTAGATCGATACAAATGTCGAAAGACGAGAGTTATCAAAAGAAATAAAACTCAAATAGTTTTTTCTTGTTAAAAATGAGTATACAACCAAGCAAAAAAAAAAAAAAAGGAAAAAAAAAAGCAAGTCAACCCAGCATATTTCTTAACCCAGAAAGAAGTTTAGCTTTAGCGGGAACACATTTTTCTATGTTTTTGATACTCCATTCATTACATGGATGCATATCGCATAGTTCAAGTTATCATCGTGTTATCTGTATGGATGGTTCTTTCTTTATTGAGAAGACGCTATTGTGTGCTGCGGAGAACCCCATCTATAGAATCATCCAAAAAAGAGAAAAATATCCAGTTAGAAAGACGTGGATATGATAAAAAATCAAACGAAACTCACACTCTGATTGTTTGATCGTCACTAGCAGAAACAAATTGTATGGGTTCAATAGGACGCCAACTAATGCAATTTACTGTATTTTCATGTCCCTCTAGTTCCTCTAAAAGCGTTTCATGTTCACGGCTCCAAATGTAGACGCGATTATCTTCACTTCCACTGATAACAAACGAATCGTTTCGTCCGCCCAAAGTAGATCGAATGATAAAGGTCAACTGCTTTTGTCCCGCATATTTATGTACAATTTGTCTTGTTTCCAAATCCCATAAATGCAGCTCTTGTAATTCCTGTACGTTGACGAGGGCATATCGACCGTTCTTTGTTAATGTTAAAGAGGTGATAGTACCTTCCTCTTCTAATCTTGCTATTTCAGTGAGCTGTAAATCCTCCAGATCATAGACATTAATACATTTATCCATGCCAATCGTGACAAGACGGGACCCATCTGCTGTTATTTTCATATCGGTTGTACGTTGTACAGGCCATTGCGTGACGGGCTGTACATGAGATTGTTGACAATGCCATAAGCATAATATTTTTTCACAGGCGCCAGAAATAAAATGTTCGCTATCGGGCAGCCATGCGCAGCTGGTTACTTGGTCTTTGTGGAAGGCGAATGTCTGCAATAAAATCCCAAGGAAAGGATCCCACAGACGTATGGCAAAATCGATGCCGCATATCAGAAGTTTCGTGTCATCTGGCGACCAACTGCAATACGATCCACTCTCTTCATTTACAAAGGATTGTACTTTCTCAAAGGTGTCCATATCCCAGATGATACATGTTTTATCTTTCGAAACTGAAGCGAGGTGCTTCCCATCATGTGAGTAAGCAACATGCCATATTTCGTCGGTGTGACCGGTGAGTATTTTGATGGTTTTCGTAGGAAATAGAGCTCTATAACGAGAGACGGATATCAGTACACTGGCTTCATGCTGAACTGCAACTATTTGATTTATTATCTTCCTTACTTGTCACACAAATGGTCTGAAAATAGCGAAATATCACAATCATCTGTAGGGTTGTGATATAAACAAGATCTTTTTTGATATTCCACAGCTTGATGGATCAATTGGAACAATCTTTGTTTTGGTATCATTGCAGTAGGATCAACATAATGCTGGATATCATTCAACAGTTGTTGTCTTGAAGTACTATTGGGCCTTTTGGTTCCGTCCCATGATGCTTGTTCCATGACGTCTTCAATTGAAGAGCATAAGACCAAACTTGTCAATAAATGTAGCCTTTGTGTGTTTTCACCTAAAGGCGTTATTTCTGTCCTTAATACATGAAGTGCTTGCATTGCTTCTCCTTCCTCTAAGAGCTCCAAAAATTTTTGTTGTCGAATCAAGAATTGAACTGTAGATAGATTTTCGACGTTGGTGAAGGGTATATTGGGTAGAAGGTCTTCTGCTAATTGCCATTGTCCTCCGAGTATGTACGTCCGTAGACGGACGATAAGGTCTGATTCCAGTGTAAAGCCCGACTCCCTTTGTAAGCACTCTGCTGCTTCACTATTATAAAGTCAAGAAAAATGGTTTGTTTCGAATTTGGCATTAGCAAGAGGAGAGGATAGCATACAGCATTTTCTTTCTTCTTATTTGCTTTACTTGTATCCAAGATCTATGAGCGACTGTAACATTAAGCGTACCAGATCTTCCTTTTTAACAAGACTGGAGATGGCACTTTGTGGCTGTTGCTTTGATGGTGAGGTCCTTTTTGTAATTTGCATAATTTACAGTTATTTATGTATGTATAAGTCTGAAAAGGTATAGAGAGATTATATGCGAAAAAAAAAGAAGAAAGTGTGGAGAAGCGATAAAAGAGAGAGGAAAAAAAAAAGCACACGCATCAAGTGAGATAAAATCAATGACGTGACAAATGGAAAATTAGCACCCATTTTTTAACCAAAAAGTCATCTTCTGCTCATGATACTCCACACACAACTTGCATGTCATACTCCTTGTTTGTTGCAAGTGCTTTATGTGATGTCTCCCTACACTATGGTTGAATGCACACAATTTTCTTTATTCATCTTTAGGATTCATAAATTTGCCTAATTTGGACTTCATCCATAGATCCAAATTTTTTGCCCTTGAAAATCGCTGTTTTGATTGGACGACGGCTGTTATCCTGCTCCTGCGTTAATGCATTCGTCAACCTGAAAGCTCGACAATTGAATACTTCAACTCGGACATGTTACGTGGTCTTAGTGTATCAAAGTATTGAGCATATGCCCGTCAAAACAACAAAAAAAGGTATTACAAATTCAAATCTTCCTTTGGCGCTCCTTTGGCCAAGTTGAGGATTGGGCTTTTCGGATGCCACTATGCAAAAAACTATTATCCATAGCCAACTTGGCTGTGATAGGCACTGTTAATAACGAAAGGGCATTTTACCATAGTTGGGCATATCGCGTTAAGACGCAACTGTTCGTAAGGCTTCGACCATACAGTATTTTAAAGTCAGCAAATGCTGCCTTTTGAACAATGGAAACCAAAGTAAAAGAGGAAAGGCTCGGTTTTTTTTTTTCATAAATTACATCATCCAGCGTAAAATACTCTATTAAACACGTAAGGAACGAAAGAAGTTTTTATTACCAAATTTCAAATGACGTGCCAACGGGACTGATGGAAGTACGTTCTCCCCGTTTACCTGGTCAATTGCTGGTGTTTCACGGAACTGTTTTCTGAAATTCAGACAAGAAAAACTCGGGATGAACGGGCTGTATTTGAATTCTCTCTCCGCCCCCAGCACAGCACTTATTGTTCTCAATGAAACGTGGAGAAGAACAATAGAAAAACGAAAGGGGGGGGGCTTGTCAAGAAAAACCAAAAATTAACCAGCGACTATATATAAAAACGAAGTTCTCGGGCTTTCTTTTTTTTTTAATTCCTTTCTTTTATTTGTTTTCTTTTCAACTTTTATTTCCCCACTCCATTCTTACAGTATCATAAATTATGTCTACTCCTGGTTCTGGTAACGCTGCTGCTGGTGCTAAGCTCTTCAAAACCCGTTGCGCCAGTTGTCACACTGTTGAAGAGGTAATGAGGAGGGATATTGAAGTGATAATCATAGATTCAGAATAGAAGAGTCACTAACCTTTATATATAATAGGGCGGTGCTCACAAGGTTGGTCCTAACCTTCACGGTATCTTTGGCCGTCAATCTGGTAAAGCTCCCAATTACTCTTATACTACCGCTAACCAAGAAAAGGGTGTCGTTTGGGATGAGCAAACTCTCTTTGATGTAAGTATTTTTATCTCCAATCTCTGGTTGCACTGAACAGAATTGTCGTAGTCATAAGGCGGATAGTCAGACAGAGTGGCTAATTCAATTCTTTCTTTTTCGTCCTCCAGTACCTTGAAAACCCCAAGAAGTATATCCCTGGTACAAAGATGGCTTTCGCTGGTTTCAAGAAGCCTAAGGACCGTGCTGATGTCGTCGCTTATTTAAAGGTAAACTCTTAAGAAACTGTTGACACATGTTTGGCTGGTGATTATGATCGTGCTCAACTGAACTCTTTCTTTTCATCATTTGAACTCTGTAGGATGCTTGCTAAAAGACTCTTCCTTCGTTTGACATTAAACACAACCCAAACATCATGTTAAACAAAAGGAATAGGAATAGGTGGTTTTTTTTATAGAAAATTATACAGTGTTCCTTCTATTTATTTCAAAATCTCTAATGTGTCTTTACGTAATTTCTCTTTCGCATCCTATCTCGCCACCGCCCACCTATTGTACTTTTCTTTGATAATCGTTTAGAGTTATATCTTTTTTATTATTATACTATCTTTATTTTTACTTTCTTTCTATTTCTTACATTCTTAAAAAAGTAAAGAAACTAAAAATGTGCCTGTTATCTCGTTCTATCATGATGTAACCTTCTGTATTGTTCAATTTCTCCGAAGCATCAGTGTTGTTGGACCCTAGTTTCAAAGTGAATTTGCGTAACCGAACACAATAACGGAACTTCAATAAAGGCACGTACTTCCTGACAGGGACATCATGGGGGGGTAGCCTATGAGAGATCATTCATTAACACAAATAAGAGTCAACTATTAACAGTAAGAAAGAAATCAACCTCATAAACACAAATGTTTTATCAATAAATAAGTTAACTATGTACAACGTAAAAAAAAAAAAGAATATTGGGGATAAAATCAAAGAAAAGAGCACTTCTACGCTATGCATCACATTAGTTAGCATGAACGCTTTGTGATAGATAGATCAGTCAGTCATTCTACGATAATGTAGATATTAATCAATTTTGAATAAATAAAGTGGGTGAATGAGAGCAGAGCTCAGATATTCATAAATGAAGAAGCATTCCGTAAGCTCAAAATACTCCGTACATCGGCTGTAAACCGTAGAGCATCTAATAAGGGTAATAAATCCAACAAGCATTCGTCTTCTGGATTGGATATCCACGTAGGTAAAGGAATTGCATTTTCTATGATTTTATGTAAACAAAAAAGTATGGTGAGTGGCCCTGCATCTTTCCTTTGTATAGGCCTGAGATGTCTATTCATTGGCGATCTACCTTGGCATAACTCGAAAGCAGCTATGCTGTTATCCACTAAGCATACTTTTGACGAATCCGGTTCAGCCAAGGAAATATTCTTCAAAAAGTTTCCATCTTTCAATAAACACGACTATACGAATAATACATGACATGCATGCATGCATGCAGGTCTTTTCGTCAACTCCAATGCATATGTGATTATTTACATATCTGATGAATGTCTTGTTGCTGTTACCTGTCTAAAATATCTCTGAGAGATATAATGCTGATCTTGATCCAGCCAATCAATGACAGGATCGGCATATTCTGCCATGGAAGCCGTGAAGATCACAACTCTGTACCATTGACTGACCTAGGGTATCATAACACAAATATGGAACCATGGGTTACTCTTGACAGCACAAACAAACAAACAAGTGAGCAGTAGAAAGATAACGACGTCTTACAGTGGATAAGAAAAAATCGACATGAGGTCGTTTATAAACTTCATAAAGGACACTTTGTTTATCATTCAGCACTTCGATGACCTTCTTTTTGATAGAAGCACTCGTCGCACTCCTCATCGTATCGGATGACATAGTTCCCAATCGAACAGAATGGACAAGTGTTTCGTCTAAATCGAGCACTATTGTCTTTCCTTTGTAGTATTGTAAAGCATTGGTATGGGGTGAACTGTTTAAATTCCTGGCTTTGGTCGTTTCAAAAGATGCGGGCGGTGATGCTTTGGCTCGTATCGCAATAGTAGCAGTACTAGTGACAGTAGGTATTCTTGGTTTCCATAATATAATCCATTGGACATACTTGTATAAGAATGTCAGTGTTTCTTGAACTCTTTGGAATAAAAACGATTTCACATTGAGACCTTCATGTCGAATGTCAGTCTTTGTTGGCATCGCTTGTCCTCTTATCAGGTCTTGATGATGATGACGAGAAAAACTGCAGAACTTTAAATAGCCTTTCAACAAAAGTTAGTATTGCGTTAATAAGCAAATGTGGTGCGATGATTCTGAGTAACTAAGTTAAAAGAGATAATAAAGGAAAGAAAAGAAATGGCAAAGTCTGTATGTCTGTGTCTCGCTCTGTGCGTGTGTGCATAGGAATATCTGTGATTTCTCAGCAAAAAACAACCGTTCAGCCGTGCAACAGTACGGAGTTTTTTTTTCACCTTTTAAATTTTTTTAATGCAGACAAAAAAGATCTGCGACCGGTTGTGGTGACAGAAGTAGCCTATAATAAAAAAATATCCTTTGGAATGGAAACCTATTGAATCATATGGTATTTGAGATAGCTATTGTTGCTTCTTTTGAATACAACTTTCATCGATGAAAGAGACAAAACTAATTGTATTATTGTAAGGAAGGTTTAATACCAACTTTTTCTGGTTTTTTGCACATAAAAAGGAATCGTCCTTAATGCATCAATGTGCAACAAGGAGGATCATTTAAAAAAAGGGGCGTGGTGGTGCAATCAATTACAAAAAAGCACATCCTACTGTTAGACCTTTCTAATAAAGTTTTCGTGGTCGCCCCTGTGTAAGCTTAGAAAGGACCTTTCAAAACGCCAACAAAAATGTGTTGCTTTTCTATTCTCTTTTATGGTTTCTCTTTTTTTTTTTCTGAAAGCACTTAAGACAAAAGTGCACGCACCAATTTGTATAATAGTAACGCTACTTTAAGCATGTATGCAAGAGAAACGAATGAAAAACAAGCTCGCCGTTGAAGGGTTGTAACCCAACAGATTTTTGAGACGAGAAAAGTGGATGAATGATGCCCAAGTAGGAAGAAGCTTTTATGAATTTGACCATAGTGAATAGGAAACAATGGTGATTGATCTATAGAGAGGCAGGACGAAGGGCTGGTGTCATCTGCATCCTTGGAGTTGATTGACACCAATGGTATCAGAAGCAGGTATCTTGAAATAGCAGACTATACGTACAGAGATGAAGGTGATAATGAGCTGCACAAGTCGAAAAATCATCTATTCTTTGCAGTAACAATTTTTAAGAATACCCTCGGTTCCTATTCCAGTCAAGCTACATCAACTATACATCAACATTTGTTATCGAGGAGTAACTTTACATCATTTGGACGATCCTGAGTCAAAGATGCTTATGGTTCAATCCACATTTCTGCATCAAACACAGTTACTCTTAAGAGGATACCGATCTTTGAAAGCAGCGACTTGGCTAGTTAGGCTGGCTTTCGATTGTTCTTTCTCAGTGCAGGATACTCCACATCTAATACTTGCGAATAGATGTAGTATCTTACTGCTTATTCTAGAGCCGACTCTTTTTTTTAGTTGTGCCTTGAAACAAAAACTTTAACCATGAAACTATGTCCATGATGGAGCAAAATATACTTGCAAAAAGTTACAGCATGCTACTGAAATACCAAAAAAAAACCAAAAAAAGTTGGAAAAAAGCACGAAAAAGGAAATGTGTAGTTATGTATACAAATACTTCCTTGGTATTACTCGAGATGGCCCGTTCATTGCGGCAGATGATTGCCAAACTAAGACGCGATCCAAAGTGCGTAAAAAACCGTTCAGCGCTGTTGAAGACAAACAGAATAATTCCATTCTACAAAAGCTAACTTGCTTCTAAGAGGTAATGCTGGTTCGCTTCGGTACTTTCCTTATAGAATTTTACATTACATAGTGTCTTAACGACGCTTGTTAAGCATGTTTCAATTCTATCGATGAGATTTGTTACAAATAGTAACGCTCTAAAGCCTACGAGCGGCTTTCGATGAGCATGTTATTTTACCAGCTGGAATAGTATTCAGACTGGATGAACAGGTCCATTAAGTCGATTATTCAGACCAATGCCATCTGTAGTACAGGCGCGCTCAAGCATCCAAAAAAAGAAGATAAAAAAAATATCAGAGTTGAATTTGTTGCATTGAATGATATAGTATGAATAAAAAATATATTCAATGCAACTTATCAACCTATATAATTACGAACCATATCTTAGAGGATCTAATTGACCGCTTGTGGTACTGCGCCTTGACTGCAGCACATTCTTAGACAGGCAATAATATGGACGTTAGGAATATAGCCGAACAGTGCAACGCTGACATAATTTGCTTTGTACATCAAAAAAAGTGTCCCTTGGGTTTGTCACATTTGACTCAAGAACTGTACATAGGATTGAAGAACTATATTGCAGCAATCGTCTCGTCAATACTGGATTTATAATGGTTTAAATAAATGAAGAACGACGATTGGATGAGTGTTTCGTATAATAATATAGTCCCTTGGTACCCACGAGGCGGTTCAGAACGAGCTTAGAACAGATCAATATAATTTAGTTTTTCTAAACGTTTCAGTTCAACAAAGAATAGTTCTCGTTTCGGGAACAATTATGGAAAACACACAATATACAAGGGTTGTAAGTCTCATAGATTTATAATATCAACTTGCGAGGTGAAAATCTCGACCCATCATACATTTGAATGCTTTAAAAGAAAGTTGTTGAGCTAAAAAATTAAATTGTGAAAGGAAGAGGTTCATGAGTGGTTTAAGTGCTTATTGTGCCAACTTTTATGCTTAGTAAATTGCCCAAGCCGCACGAAATTGCTCGAGTTTGAAAACGCTAGTGGATACCTATTGGAATAATTTATGCTTTTTTGTATGGAAGAAAAGAAGAACATTTGAAGTATATTACTTCAGAACATACTAAATCAGTACAAAAATTGCTATTGGCATTCAGAACGGTGAGCATGTATCTTTTGAGAAAGAAGAAAATAACACCCAGATAGCTGCGGAATCTAACTGTTTACGTTTGTGAAAGATAAAGGGATATTTGAACTCTGCCAAGTATATGGTTAATGACCAACGTCCACAGAAGATGCCAAAGTCACCCAAGCGCCTAACCCTCAAAAATATACACAATAATTGAACTTTTAAAAGTACGGTAAACTATATAGATTAACCATACACTATACAACTGTCAAACAACAATTGAACACATAGGAGATTCCCTCACAATGACACATTTACTGAATGCGAGAAATAAGAATGTTATTAAAGTTGAATAGGAACAAATCAATAGTGATATAAGTGTTTCGCTTGAGAATAGAATTATAAACGTATATTGTAACAAAACAAAATAAAAAAGTATGATGAAAACACCAATATAAACCTCTAGATGGGACGCTCTAAGTAGAAGTTGTGCATCACAAATCTAGTAGAACTGGATATATTAAAGTTGATCCTTACGCTTGTAGAAACGTCTCCACTTATCATCAATCTTTTCGATATAGTAAGCACCAGTAGCAATGTTATCAAGACTACCAGAGGGGTTGAAGTTGCAAGCATTATGGGTGCTTTCACGCATCTTCATAGCAGCGGCAAATTCTTCAGGTTTGGAGAAGGTACGGTTTTCAAGACGTTCACGAAGGTTCAAAGTCTTCTTCACGTTGTCAGTAGAACCGCGAACACGGAAAGAAATCATAGAAGCGGCTAAACCGGAACCATAAGAATACAACATGATACGCTTGTTTTGAAGGGTTTCCGACTCAACTTCAGAAACAAGTGATGCTAAACCAGCCCAGACGGCAGCAGTATACATGTTACCAATTTGCTTGGGGACGAAAGCAGCCGGGCCAACCTTTTCAGCATAACCAGCTTTGGTTAAGGCCATCAAAGCCTTTTCTAAATCCTTGCTTTCGAGAGAATCGGCATATGACATCTCTTGGAAAGGCTTGATCGAAGCATATTTTTCATTTTCGCTATCGAGAAGGAAGTCATTGTAACTCTACATGAAAACAAAGAAATTGAATTCGCATTAGATCAGCATTAAACAATGAATGTACGACACAAACCCCTTAAAGAAGTACTATCTTTGTATTCTCGTTCCATGTACTAAAGCTCTCTCCCCTCCCCCTTTTTCAACTAATTCCCACATAAACAAGTAAAACTGGGTTCCACTTACTGCACGAGCGAAGGATTTGTTGACTAACTTGGCATAAGGAGAGTGACAAACAACGTAATCGATATCATCCATACTAGGCTTTTCCTTGCTTTCGAGCTTAGCCAAGCGGGCCATATAACGGCGGTAACAAGTATCGAAAGCACGGAGGTAACAAACGTTAGAGAATTTACCATCAACAACAGGGTATTCAGAATGCATATCGGGTTTATAGAAATCATAAGCATGTTCCATGTGTGTGGCACGGAGACCGCGTTCAACAACAATAGGTGCGTCCTTACCAAGTAACATGGCAACGCAACCAGCACCAGAAGTAGGGCGAGCAGCACCGGAAGCATAGAGAGCAAGATCACCGGCTACAACAATAGCGTAACGTCCATCCCAAGAGGAAGATTCAATCCAATTGATGGCATTGGAGAAAGCAGCAAAACCACCATAACAGGCATTGGTAGTATCGATACCTTCAATCTCAGTGTTTCCGTGTTCGGCAAACAAAGTCATCAAACATGTCTTGACAGACTTTGATTTATCAATAATAGTTTCAGTACCAATCTCGAGACGACCAATGTCTGTATAAGAAATGTTGTACTTTTCCATCAAATTTTGTACAGCTATAAATATGTAATTAAGAAATAAACAGGAACGTTAACAAAAAAATTGAATTTCTGTTACCCTAAGCTCTTTTAAACATCACGTCAACTTACCAGTCAAACAAATGGATTGAATATCTTCACGGTCATCAATGAAAGCCATTTTCTCTTGACCAAGACCAATAGTGTATTTACCAGCGCTGACGCCATCAAAGGTTTCCATCTCTGATTGAATGACACACTATTACAGCATCTCCTTTTAATATAGAGGCCCTAATCTACATCAACTGTTACCTCTAAAAAAACTGTACTTACTCTCTTAGGAAAATACATTTCCATAGCCAAAATACCAACGTTTTCGGGATAGTTGTTATAGTTCGGGGCGGTCATATTTGTGAGCTGCTGTTGTACTTGGTCTAGTTGTAGAATAAGAAGAGGAACCAAAAATAAAAAAAAAAAACCTAAATAAATTGGGGGATTCTGAAAAGTTTTAAAGTTGTTCTTTTTTTTTTTTTTTGTTCTTTTTTTATACATGTGTATGATCTGACATTTATTTCTAAGAGATTTTGGGACATTTACAAATAACTTTAAGATTTTCTAAAATTTTCGAGATAATCAAAGCACATTTACAACAAGAAAAAAGTATCCAGTGATGTGTGTGATATTTTAATGATTAAAGAAACTTTCAATTGATTGATTACGTCTACTCCATCAATGAGTCTCTTTTACCTTTTAATGTATCAAGATGGAAAGCATTCGTCAATGGTTTAGATGTGTAATATCTATTGGCAGTTGAATAGCTATCCGTGGCATGACATCTTCACATGAGACATCTATTAGCAGTCTTAAGTAGATGGGCTTCTGTTACCCTATATGGGCATAATAAATCACAATATCTTATTAAAGTGTGGAATAAATCGTATACTATATATGCAAGTACGATAACGCGTGTAAATACAAGAGTCACTTGTTATCAGACAATCCAAAATCAATGTTTATTATTCCTCATGACGAAGCTTTACTTTATTTTTTCACGCTTCTTCTCATTAACAATGACAAATCATTTCAGCTATAATACCACCTACAATTATTGCGAAGGACCAGCTTCTAAGTGGTTTTTAAAGCAATTTGAACGGGATTTCCAGTGGGAATTCTGCAGCAATGTGAAGTCAACACTGCATGTCAATAATGCGCTCAAAAGGCATCAATGACCCAAATTGACTGGAGACTGACGCACACCTGTGGTCTAACAGTACTTTAATTATTCCAAAAAACAAACAGTACAAGATAATTTTTAATAATTTTTCTCAAAATCGGTTAAAAATGTTTCAAAATTTTACCAAAATGCTGTAATTTTTTTATTTTTCGTTGTTCGACTTCAAAAGTTTGATTTACCATCGAGGCTATAATTTGAAAGTCAGTTGATGGGTGTGTCAACTGCGTTGTTATCCGGTTTGTAACACAATTGCTTCGCTTATAATTTTTAACTTCGGGTTTTGACAAAGATGCAACATAACTGGACGGAACGAAACAGATACTCTTTGGAGTTTGAACGAACTACACAAAAAGAAAACGCTTAACTGCAAAAGCGAGCTAGTTTCCTTCTGGCGATAATACAATAAGAAAAGGATTAAGATGTTGTCTTTCGGTTGAACTCCATCGGACATTCCTTGTCTTTCCAAATCAAAATGCTGATAGGCATCAATTTTTTTTTGCTGCGTTGACATCGCAGTTCCATAGTATCTGGCAAGTTTTGCAAATAAGGATACTACAGCCACGGATTGTGTTTAATGCTTCAAATGTGTGTGAGTGACCAAATGGATTTTTATTAACCAAATTCTTATGTTTTTCTTGATAAGACATACCTTTTTGTATAATAAAATTTTTGTACATGAAAAGGGCTGAAAATTCCAAAAAATGCAAAATACGAAAAAGAAGACATCTTTTACCCATTTAAAAAGAATCTCTACAATATAACAAAACTTTGACAACAAAAACGCGCGAAAAGTGTTGCTGAAAGACCCGTTCTTCAGCATTGTAGCTCACCTTTTTTCGATTGTAATGGTAATCTGACAGGATGACCAACACAGTCCCAATATACATCTTTATTATGTCTAAAAATTCGAGGTTTGTCTAAATTTGAACCAAAAAACGGTGTTTAAAAAGTGCCGCCTAAGTTAAATTTATATTTTTAAAAGAGCAAATACGCAATTTTTATTCACTGAAATGATCATGTAGAGTTGATACAGAAACAAAGTAACTTGGCTGACTAGGAACAAAAAAAGATCAGTGCGCTATTAAACAGGTAATTCATTGCGAGACCAAAGTCCACAAAAGACTCTGTAATAGAAATAAAACATAGTATTACTGCAAGCCAAGAGTAATGATTCAAAGTGAGGATATAAAAGAGTACTTTATACTACAATTGTAAGCTTTTTATGACAATTTGACAACGATACTAATCAAAGAATGTAAATTTGTCAGAATCCTTCACAAACATTTCCTATGTTTTACATGAAACTTATGTTTTTCTCTCCTACCAATCATGATCAGTACCGTCAGACCTTCTCGCTGCGTCAAAATCTTCAGCTTCAATTGTACAGAAATCATCATTCGTAGCAGGATCACGGTATATAAATAAATTCTCTGTCGGATCATATCCTATTAAAACGATAAAATGCCCTAATGTATGTACGGGATCCATGAGATATGATGTACTTTCAAATAACTCAATGCACTTGAATTCCTTTTGCCTATATACCCAAGTAGTCATCACCCTTTATTTTCCCCAAAAGCATTTCAAACTGTCCGCAGACACTTCCCAGGCAACCTCTGTGCATCTAAAAAGAAAAGGGAGGCATATATGCAGAATATTAGTATATGAAAAGACATAGCAGTATCTGAAACCTATTTCCTATCCTCACCTTGCATAATTGACAATTTAATAACCTTGCATTCACCAACGTGATTATACCAAACTTTTTACAATATAGAAATCGTTTGAAATCATCCAAAGGCAGCATCCTGTAAACCATATCAATAAAAATATATACATATTTAAGCTAAACTTAAATCACATTCATATGCTACTACTGATCTTTCAAATTTGCTATCTTACATCCGTACGACATGAATAGAAGAGCTTTTGGCAATAGCAAATAGTCGATTCACTCGCTTTTCGTCTTCGTCGAAATCTTCCTGATAAAATTTTTGATCTTGGTATTCTTTTCTACTGCCTAAATAGCTTGTATAATAGGTGAAGTCATGCACATAGTTCCGTAGTAAGAATGCTAAATCGATTGTCCAAACACTATTGACTGCACATTGCCGTGCGATTTCTTCCAAGGTAACATTAAAGCCTAAACCTTTCAAGGTCATGGTAACGCATGCTAAACCGCAATCCCAGTTGGTATCCTAGTTTAACATAAAAGAGCAATGAATCAATTAAGATGTATTCTGAAATTTACTTTTGAGTATCCTATACAATACTTGTGTAATGTGTGGTATAGGGTGATCGCTAAATTCAGAGTAATTCATTATAGTATCCGTCATTGAGTTTATTATACTACCGTCTTTCCCGAGCGAAAGCATTTCACTTTCGTTCGCTCTTGTTAAACTATCTTTTTGTAACGTTACGGTTCAGTACTGAAGTAAGAGGTCAACAATGAAGAGTGAAATTTGGATTGCTTTTAAAATAAACAAAAACACAGCAACACAATAACAACTGGCAGCACATGTAAAAAAAGTGATAAAACTTCCAGTATTTACAACTCGGCTTTTATACAATTTTATTTTTCCAGCAGAGCATTTACACAAGCACACATTCGATAATAGCATTGAAAGTCAGTCTGCTTGTGTTTCGCCTTCCATGGCTCCCAACTTATAATGGATCGATATCATAGCCTTTTTTAGTTTCAACAGAATTAACCCTTTAAATCATCGTGCTACGATATGAAGTAATGCTTTTTGGTTAATAGGCGCATCGAATAATGATCATTTCCAATAGCTCTTAAAGTTCAAGTTGCGATTATCAGTCTCAACCGGATGATCATGACTGTTTTGTTGTAACAACGTTCAAGGAAAGCCAAAGTTGAACTGTTCAATACAATACTATTACTCTGCTAATCTAAAAGAGATAATTGTTGATTATAATAGCAAAGAAGTCGTGTCGTCTTCCTTCATCCTTTGTTGATTTTTGCAATACCTGAATTGTATGTTTCACAATTTTTCCCTTTTCAACTGTATTGTTTGACTTCCCATTTTGAGAAACCCATCATTTTCGCTGCCTGCTGGTCTTTCCACACTTTTTGCTTTTTGCATATTCATCTGCTTACAATCACTTAGTTATAAATGCAACAAGCACCAAGGCATCAGCAACAAAGTCGTATACCCGAACAACAAGGTGTAGGCCAAATATTACCTCCAGTACCTGTTGGCATCGACACTGCTAATGCTCCTCCATTACCACCTGGCGCCATGCCGCCAGGAACGAGACTTCAAGTGGGGAAATATCATGTTATTGTACATAATTTTATAGCCGAAGGTGAGATCTCATCAGTTTAGCATGATTATCTTTCTCATGTAATTCACCTTTTTACCACCGTACTTTGCAGGTGGTTTCGCGCACGTGTACCTTGCTCGTATAGAGGGCAAAACAGGTTATGTGGTCTTAAAGAGAGTAGCAGTGCCAGATGGTGAAAGGTTAAAAATGGTAGAAAAGGAGATTGCTTTCATGGTAAGATTCAAAAATATCTTTTGTAGCAAGCGATATCTGTAAGGTATTTTACAAAAGTGATCAACTTTCCTTCTCTTTCTTGTTTAGAGGAGACTAGGTGATCATAAAAATATTGTGAGATATTACGAGTCAAGGATTGACGCGTTACCTGTGGGCGGTTTTGAAGCACTTATTTTAATGGAGTATTGTCCTGGCGGCGGTGTAATAGACTTGATGAATAGAAGATTGCAGCAACGATTAACCGAACCAGAGATTTTGAAAATATTCAATGATGTTGCAGAAGTATGTGTATCTATCAAAGTTAAAAGTGACACGCTCTCTAATTTAAATCTTACCAAACACTTCATTATAAACGACAGGCACTTGCGTATATGCATTATTGTAACCCACCAGTATTACACAGGGATTTAAAAGTTGAAAATATTCTTATTTTGAGTCTAGATCATTATAAACTATGTGATTTTGGTTCAGCTGCTCTTTCCAAGGGAAATTATATACCAGTTACTTTAAAAGATATGCAAAAGATCGAAGATGATATACAGCGCCACACAACTTTACAATATCGTGCTCCAGAAATGATTGATGTTTACCAAAAGAAGCCTATCAATGAGAAAGCTGACATTTGGGCCATGGGAGTGCTACTATATAAATTATGTTATTATACAACACCATTCGAGGAGGAAGGACAATTAGCCATACTAAATGCTCGGTATTCTATACCTACTATGCCATTGTTCTCGGATGGATTGCGACAATTGATCATATCCATGCTGCAAGAAGACCAGAATCGCAGACCGAACATCTATCAAGTACTGAAAGCAGTCTGCCAATTAAGGGGCGTTGAATGTCCTGTTAGAGATGTAAGTAGGTTTATAATCAGTAAGAGTTATGTACGTTTCAAGTAATAATGTGCTTACGAACCTTTACAGTTTTACGTCGAACCTATTATTACACCAAATTATGGCCAAGCTCAATCAAATCAACCACAGCAATCGCAATACAACTCACCATCAGCAAACACTAACACTTCCTCTGATAATGTTATTTTTGAAAAGATCCCGCCACCCGCGCAAGAAATACCACATATAACACCTATGCGCAGAGGACGACCTGTTAAGCCTGAAAGAAGTGCATTAAACAATGATACTACTAATAGTCCTGCTATTAGTAATAGTAATACTGTTAGTCCTAATACCACCTCAAAAAATGCGGCTATATTTGATCCGTTTGATCCAAATCATGTCAGCAAAAACGCCAATCTATCATCCGGTATCTCTTCACCAGCGCCATCATCAGCACCAACAAATTCATTCCAAAATAGTTTTACTCCGACATCACCAATTTACTCCACCACAGCTAAATCATCAAATATTGCTACTAAAGCAACTACGTCAATTAACACTGATAAAGCATCATCAGAAGTAAGCGATACTATGAGATCACCGTCACCGTCACGAGCACAAAGTGCACCTATCATTGAGGAACCGAAACCTCAAATGGCTACCCGTATCTTACTCACCCAGCCGAGTACACCAATAACAACTACAACAACAACAGAATCTAAAAACCAACATAAACAGCCAGAGCACGCAATAAATAAAAAGGAGGAACAATCAGCAGCTAAACCCATAAATGATAGAGTAGAGATGCAAGAATCCAGACCAGAGAAAGAGTATGTGCCAGAGACTACTGATAATAGCAGTAATTCAGCTCGTCTTAGTCGAAGTGTCTCTGCAAGTATTGAAGAAAGATTTATGGCTATCAAAAATGCCAGCAGAAATAACCATCAATCGATCAAAACGTCGACCATTTCACCTGTAATGAACCACTCAAGTAACGACTTGCATAAAGAAAAGATTGACAATACTTCCGTTTCAACAGTATCCTCGCAAGAGCCTCCCAAAAAGAGTAAACCTGCACCTCCGCCGAAACCAGCAAGATTCAGATCAGCCTCAAACGCAAAAGCGGCCTTCCGACCGGAAGAAAACAATCAAAATAATACACCATCAGTAGATGATTTTGAACATAAGTTTCCTTCATTAGAAGACTTGGATAAAGCCATATCATCGCCTTAATTTATATAAATTACACAATAATCTGACATTATAGCACTTCAAGCGGAATAAAAACCCTGTCTGTGATGCGGATGCATGAATATGAGTTTGTAACTCAAAAAACTTTGGCTTTTCTTTTACAGTTTATTTTTGTAGATCAGGTTTAAAGCAATGAGCAGTAGTAAGAGAACGTTGGATGCTGATCTGCCTACACAAAAGAAAAGAAAAAGAAGTATAAAGGCAGCCTTAACACACAACCTTAAGGATATACAAACGAAAAGGTTCGACTTCGTAGCCAACATTTTCTCGAAAGAGTTGGTTTTGAAAGTATTTAGTTATCTTTCCCCGAGAGATCTACGACAATGCGCAGCTGTGAGCTATCGATGGTCGGTGATGGCTAATGACGAAATGGTAAATGTTGAAAAGACAACTATTGTTTACGATGCTTATAGCTAAAGCAGTAGCCTTAACATCCAATAGCTGTGGAAACCACTCTTTTACAAACGGTTCCATACACCTCGAATAAAATATCGAATCCCTCAAACCGACCTTCTAAAGGACAATTATCATCTCAACTCTCAACGTAGAGCCGAAACTGTCTCAAAATATAGAGGCAGTTGGAAGCTAAAATATAAAGTCCATCGTAATTGGTTGTTAGGTATGTATTATATCACTATTGCTATTGTATTAAATACTCATCGTTCTTCAACGTATCTCATTGCTGATAGGCCATTGTCAAATATCCGATATTATTTTTCAAGCTGTAAATCAGAACAATTCATCTCATTTTCGTCATGTACAGGTCTACAACAATATGCTCCTCACCAACCGCAATAACAGTCCTACAGTAGAAGTGTGGAAATACATGGCACATATAAATGGATCTACAGCCACATTAGTATATCAATTCAAAGCAGATGATATTAAGGACAATACACGTATCACCCAATTCAAGCTGTTTACTCAGCAGGAAGTGAAGAAGAAAATTTTGGTAGCTGGCTACTCAAATGGAGGATTCACTTTGTGGGAGATAGCAAACAAGGGAGCTGGTTGTGAAGATTTGTCAAAGGAAAACATCATAGAACTTTTTACTTATGTAAAATCAGTGTGTGGACGAACAAACAATGATGTGTCTGCTGTTTCTCTGGAATACCCAATTTTAACTGTGCATGCATATGATACTATCTCCATATATCATATAGAATCTGCTACAGTCAAGTTGATTCGCCAATTTCGGTGTCCATATGATTGGAAATCAGTTGCACTGAATGTTTTCCCTTGCAAGACAGTCTTTGGAAATCGTCCGAACAATCTGTGGAAGATAGTGATATGCTTCGTAATTGCAGCTGGCAATAGTTATCCTGCAACTGTAGGCATTCAGGTATATTTCAGGTTTCTCTTATTTTCTCTGATTCAGGGCCTCATGGATTTCATTGACACGCTATGTTTTCGTGTACGTTTATATAGGAGCTTCTCGTTTCCGAAAATGATATAGTGTCTTCAAAACAGAGTCTTGATGTTCAAAGCTATCCTTTGTCAACAGACTTCGCTTATTCACTATTACCCACCAACAGAACTTCGTTTACTATGGTCACTTCTATAGCCTATTCACCGCCTCATTTAATTACAGCATATGATAATAATACTATAGAAAAATACATGGTGACACCCACATCACCTTCCTCTGAAATCAGTAGGTTGCATATACACAAGCAGAATATACTTTATGGACATACATACAAGGTTGAAGCAATTGCAATAGATGCCCTAAGGCAGAAGCTCATTAGTGCCGATAGATCTTGTATCAAAATATGGAACCTTCACGATAGTTTATTGAAGCAGAGCGCTCTAGTACCATCTGATATTCCTGTTACCATCCCTATCTTCGACAACCTATCAGCAATGATGGAGTTACCCTTTTGTAAAGTCGAGAAACTGGATTTCAACGAAGACAAAATAGTGGCCATTATCGGCTCACCATTAGAAGACACCTCATCCATACGATTATGGTCTTTTCACACTTGAAGCTCCATGAAATCGCTTCATAAATAAATTAAAACAGCGGGAAGGCTATAGCATTGACAACCGTGACCGACAGTTATTGTGCATGGTATTTTCAATGCACATTCTGCTCAATACAGCTGGCTCTGCTATTTTACAGAGTGAATTGCTTTAGTCATCGATTTTGACTGAGTTTTCTTTTTCGGTTAATTGTGGAATTTCCCCACAATATTTGCTCGCATTATAAATTACGTTTTCTTTCATTTCCTTGTTTTGTCCTTGAGAGAGCATTATACATCCTCTTCTACTAACCGGTACATATGGACGTTCAAAAATTATTTGATGTTAAGGACAAGGTCGTTCTTGTTACTGGCGGATCTCGCGGTATCGGTGAAATGATAGCAACAGTGAAGTAGTAGCTTTTTTAGGCGGAAAAGAAACAAAGAAAAAGAAAAAAATAGCAATATTGAGGTAGTTCTTGAACAATTCTAGGGCTTTGTTCAAGGTGGAGCTAAAGTTTACATCAGTAGCCGTTCAGTAGACGCTTGTGAAAAGGTAAAAAGCAGTTATGGGGTTCAAGAACGTTGACTTTCAGTGCGTAGCTGAATCACGATATGAATTCTATGTGCAATATAGGTTGCTGCCAAATTGACAGCTTTAGGCCCTGGTCAATGTATTGCGCTGCCTGCAGATTTACAAAAGATGGAAGATGTAAAAAAACTCGTTAGCGATTTGAGTAGTCGTGAAAAGTGTGCGTATTGCAACTTTAAAGGATTCTGCAGCTGATATACATTTCATGGAAGAAAGCCTAATTTGAATTTCAAATGGTATTTCATGCACTTTAGATTTGGATGTTTTGGTGAACAATGCTGGTGCTACTTGGGGGGCACCTTTAGATGATTACCCTGATGCTGCTTTTCAAAAGGTTATGAATTTAAACGTAACACGTATTTTTAGCTTAACACAAGCGTAGGTATTTCGCACCATCAAATATCTACATACAAAAGAACATGATTCAATGTCATGATGCTGATATAGAAAGCAATCGTAAAAAAACTCATAGTTGCCTTCCACTTTTGAGGGCAAATGCTACAGCAGACAGTCCTGCTCGCGTAATTAATATTGGTTCTATCAACGGTGAAGCTGTAAGAATTATTCTTTCCTTTATAGGTAACCTATGCTATACGTAGCTAACTATTCCTCATCCTTTTAATGAATAGCCTCCTGGATTGGAAACATATGCTTATTCTTCTTCAAAAGCTGCTGTTCACCATTTAACCCGTCACTTGGCCGGTAGACTAGGCAGAGAACATATTCTTGTTAATGCTATTGCACCGGGTTCATTTCCTTCAAAAATGATGGCCGCTACTCTCAAGAATTTTGGCGATGCTATTGTCGCTGGCGTGCCTGTAGGTCGTGTAGGTACGCCTGAAGATGTGGCTGGTACTTGTATTTACCTATCTTCCCGTGCAGGACAATACACTGTAGGTGCAGTGATTGTCGTTGATGGTGGTGCTCTTGTGTCTTCTTCAAGACTATAAATAAAAAATATTATAGGACTACAATCCCATAAAAGAGGATTGTACTTGTCAACAAGAGTTGTAGAATTTGTTCATCCGTTAGAATGGTGATGCCTTTTTTGTGTTTATTTTACTGTCAAGGGTAACCTACTATTTTATGTGAACAAATTTATACTTATAAAGCATAGTTGTTAGAAAATGATGAGCTTATTCAAAATAAAGATTGATCTCGATTGTAGTCGTTGTCATCAACTTAAAGAATCATAACATAGTTGATTGAACGGACCTTTTCTTTTGCTGATGGTTCAATATTGAACTCTGTAACTTATTTTTGACGTCGTAAAAGCATGCTAACTAAATCAGACGTATCTCATACGTCTGAACAATGTATTATCTATGAACAGCATAAACATACGGTTCATGTAGACAATTTGCCCGCAAGATTGTGTTTTCTCCTCAGATACATTAAAATACGCTCCAGACCTTTGCGTCTGGCATAATTGTAATTTTTATTCTTTTCCTTTGCCTCTTTGTTGGAAACGCACACTCCTGAAGTTTAAAACATTTTATATTGAGAATTGCAATTCTTTAAGTTGTTCTACAATGTAATATAATTGTACATATTATTTTCGTCTACTGGTGCTCTTCTTTGTAGACAAATCAAAACTTTCAATAAATAATGAGCATAAAACTGTTAAGCAACTCAACCCAGCGCAGGCAATGTATGTATACTGTAAACCAACTTGATATGCGTCAAGAACGACCTCCAATACGTCTGGAGGTAACAGCTGACGTACTTCTGTGATTGATTTTCGAGCAATATCAATATACTACAATGATAGAAACCAGTGAGATAGCATAACTAAGTGTTATGAATTGCTCGAATAAATGACTTACCAAATCCGCATCAGACCCTGTAAGTGTTTCAGTAAGAATGTGCTTCACTACACCTTGAAAAATAGCCGATGTGAGCGATATACCGATGACGGCGCCTACCGACCGGAAGAGATAAGACATTGAGGTAACTGTTGCCATTTCTATAAAGATAGGGAAGCCGAATGATGATTCATCATTGTCAATGGGAGTATAGCTTTTTTATGTTTTATGCGACAGGACAAGACTCTACAAACCTGAATGATCCACACAGCTATGCATAGCGATCAGTGTTGTGACAATAATTGTTCCCATAGACAATCCATCTGCCATGAGACATATAAACATAAACCATGTAGGTGTTTGAGCTGACCAACAACTGTAACCTATCATGGAAGCCAATCCGACAAAAGACATAAAGATAGTAATCTTACGGTATTCTCCTACCCGTGACATATACCTGCCTGCGAGAACCGAACCCAAAGAAACAGCAGCTACTTTAGGAAGAACGTAGAAACCAGCTTTTGAAGAGCTGAAACCCAATAGAGTCTGAAAAAACAAAGGAGTTATATAGATAAGGGAAGTGGTAGACATGGTACACCACAAATTTGTCAAAGAGCAGGCAAAAGGCGTTCTACTGGAGATGATCTCCCATGGCATGAGTGGGTGAAGAGCGTATTTAGCCTCAATGATACAGAAAAGCACGACAAGGACGATAGAGATCGAGAAACAAGATACAACAATTGAATCAGTCCAAGGACGAATGTTACCACCTAAAGAAGTAGCAATCAAAAAACTAACGACGGCCAAAACGATGGTGATGGCACCTGCGTAATCAATGCGCTTGAGCCTTTCACGGAATGTTTGACCAGCATTTATTCCACCTAGGACAGAGGCATTTTCTTCCTCTAAGTTATAGTTGGTCAAAATCCTTGTGGCCACGTAAATGGTGATGAGCAGTAAAGGTAGATTGAGGTAAAAACAAAAGCGCCAACCCACTGAATCACTGATAAATCCTCCTAATGGCGCACCTACAACGGAGCCCGTCTGCAAAATGAATGAGATGTAGCCCGAAAAGTGAAATTTTCTGTATTAGTTCTTTTCTGTTCCTGTTTCTACGTTTGATTGCTACGTGCCACAACATGTGTGTACAACAACAGGGCCGTATAAGAGGTGAAAGTCACTTACAGCGTAAGCGATGTTACCATAACCTTGAAATTTTCCACGTTCTCTCAAAGGTATCAAATCAGCCGTGATAACAGTAGTCATACTGTTATTGGATGAACATGTTAGATCAAAATCACATCAAGGCACGTCATTTGAGACAGAGTCATAAGTTAGTCTACTATACCAGTTTATTCCACCTCCACCTATACCAGCAATGGCGCGAGCTATAACCAGCGCCCATAAACTATTCGCCATACCGCACAACAAGGATCCAATGAAGAAAACAGTGCTTGCGAACAACAAAGCTGACTTGCGTCCAAACACGTCTGAAATGCGTCCATCTATTTGAAGAATCATGGAATTTCATTCAGTTTGGTTTGTTAGAGTCATTGTGTGTATTCTGTAAACGTAAGAAATCTAGTCTGCTTCATTTACATAGCGGTTGTAAAGCTGTATAACTCAACATATAGGAGGTAGCAATCCATATAATTTCGTTTGATCTATGTAATGAAAATAAGGTTTATGCAATGTTTATTACTTGTGGCACACCTACAATGGATCTTAAAAGAACCTTATTTTGACAATTTGAACAGTATATACACACCTTTTGAAATCAGTACCAATTTTTGGGTAAATAGTAGCCACGATGGATGAATCTAGGGATGATAATATCACAGCTGTGTATAATCTACAAAAGAGTTTTCAGAGGGTGAATGAGAAGCCTTTTTTTTTTTTTTTCTTCTTCTTCCTGATTTGTTCACGTCATACCCAGCAAAGACAGCATAAATAGATGCTCCATTCAAAAGATCAGATGCAGTACTTGTAATACTAGCAATTTCATTTTCAACAATACTACTGTAGGTAACAACGGTTGGAACTGGCGAGGCACAGCGGCCGACTACTTTATTGCTTAATTGCTTAATGGTGTCTGCTTCCTCTACACAACCAATTGATTCGATAGTATCTTTGGAATTTTGCTGTGAATGATATTTGGTGGAAGCAGAACCTGCTAGTAGCGGTGAGGCTTCTTCCTGACCATAGGATTTCATCTTGTTATGACAGGAAAGGAGGTTACAGGAATTGAATAGGACCAAGGGTATAAATAGTCGGTTATGAAGAAAAGATACTAAGGGAATAAAAAGATGTAGACACTGATTTAATGTGTATTCTCAATTCATATGCAGTTTCTGAATCCCATACGTGACTCCCCTTCCTTTCTCCACAAATGTTCTAAAAGCTATCGGTGTAACTTTCGGATATTGGTAAGATGATGAGTTGCTAAGATGTGCCCCGATAACCCGGAGAACTGTGTTTATAAGAACGTTTGTTTGTAAAGACTGGAGTATTTGAAATCAAGACTTATACAATTACAACCCTTTACTAAAAGCTTGAGTGCAATGCTCAATTTGTCAATGACAAGTATCTGGACGCATCTGAAAAACGAAGAGATGCATAAAATGATAGACCGATAGGGTAGAGCTTTTCGTAACCACTACAAACCCAGTTTATCAATTGACAATAGCTGTACTGCATAGATGACATACACATAGCCAATATATGATACAAAATAGACAAGAGACGAAATAATAAACATTCTATTTTTTTCAGTACTGCATTATATTGTTTCTGATCTGTTTTTTTAGGCATTTTGCATGAACCCTAGGGTGCAGCAGTGACAAAGAAAGAAGAAAGAAAAGTCCGCGATTTGGCTGTTCAAAAAAGGGTTTCGCGTTCGCTTTCCCCTTGGCTGATTCGCTCAATTAAAATTCTTTTTGGGTGTTTTTTTTTCATTTTTTTTTTTTTTCTTTTACAACGGAAAAAGCCCAGTCCTCCAGCATCTTTTTAGCCTACGCTTTCTTAATTTTTTTTTTCTCAGTTAGTAGTCAATCGTCATAGATTCATAACTTGGATACAATAAAAATCGTAAAAAAATGAGTGAAGACAACAAAACAATCCTTAAAGAAGAAATGGCTGCCACTACAAGTGTTCCTCAAGCCCGCGAGAACCAACAACAATCAACAGAACCAACAAATAACTCTACAGCTGGTACAACTGATAATGGTACAACAGACGATATCGATAAGGTAAGACTCCCTTTGCGACCGATCAATTTGAACATTCTGGTCAACCATCTACAGATCGAAGACTTATCTACATGACTTTGATCGGCCAAACGTTGAATAGGAAGTGGAAGCAATGAAACAACGCGTAAAGGCTATGGAAGATGAAGCAGCAAAATTGCGTGACATGCAAGCCGAAGTTGAAAAACAATTGCATCCGGAAGAAGGTAAGAAACCCCATATTTTTGTTGTATTACGGGATAATACAGTGTTGGAAACTAATCTTTTTATGGATTCTGACTGCCGCAGACAAAGAAACAGTTGATAGTCGTTCAGTTTACGTTGGCAATGTAAGGAAACAAAAACAAGATGAAGAAGAAAGAAAATGGCTCCCTTGCAACATCTGCTTCTAGAAAAGCTCAACTGACGAATAACATTTTTTGACTATTGAATAGGTTGATTATGGTGCTTCACCGGAAGAACTCCAAGCTCATTTCCAATCTTGCGGTACCATCAATCGAGTTACCATCTTATGCGACAAATTCACTGGACATCCCAAGGGGTAAAGTTGACGGAAGCATCTATTGCCTCTCGCAAGATACATTTATTAACTTTATGCATTTTGAAATGGATGATAGTTATGCTTATATTGAATTTGCCGAGCCTCAGTTCGTTCAAGCAGCTTGTGCCTTGAATGAAAGTCTATTCCGTGCACGTCTATTAAAAGTAACACCTAAACGTACAAATGTACCAGGATTCTCAGCTCGTGGAAGAGGAAGAGGACGTGGAGGTTTCCGTGGGGGTTTCCAGCCTTACTACGGTCATTCACCCATGTATGGATATCGTGGTAGAGGGTACGTATATATTTATTTTATTTTATTTTTCTTTTTCGGCAGTCCATTGATCATTGCTTAACTTAAATGTCTTTTTTATATTTTTCTATGTCTTTATTTTTAGTCGTGGCAGAGGTGGTTACTATACACCTTATTAAGTTCTCTTCGTTTCTCTTTTTGGTCATCAACTTTTATATTATTACCGTTACAATCCAGACTTATTTTTATCCACGGTTTTACAACAGATCCGTCACTCCTCTCCCCTTTTCTCTTACTTTTCTTATTTGATATGCTGTTACTCAGCACCACTTTGCAGTTTTTGTTGATTATCATTGCAAGGAAAAAGGAAGAAAAGCAGTTAAAAAAGAAAGAGTGAACATATCAAAATTTGAAAAGAAAGAATGGTCATTAAAAACCAAAAAACCAAAAAACCAAAAAAAAAAGAGAAACCAAAAAAAAGAGACTACTTAGTATAGTTTCGAAAGAAAGAAAAAAGAAAATGGTGCTTTTCATAAAAACATTGCAGAAAGAGTAGGGTTAGGGTTAAAATGGGTTGTTCAATAGAGCGGGACCTGTACACAGAGGTGTGTATAAGGATGTGTGTGTGTGAATCATAGACAATGTATCCATTTCTTTTAATTTCTTTGTTAATTTTTAAAACTCACAAAAGAATTAAGCTTTTTTTTTTTTTTTAAAAAAATCTCTATCTTTCAAAGACTTTTTTCAACTTTACCTTTTCTTTCCTACCTATTTATTTTCTATACCCCTATTTTTTATTATTTCTTCTTTGCACTTTCCTTTCCTTCCTATTCCTTCCCCCTCATCCCCTTATTACTTATATACCTTTTAAAAACCTATTCTTGTATCTGTTGACAAACTAGACTCTGAATGGATAGCTATCAACACAGAAAACAAAATAAACGTAATAGTATGTTGGCTTATGTACCTATTCATCGTCGACAAGCTGAAGAAGACAATGAGGCCACATTAATCCCTCCGCCAACCCATCATCATTACAATAGCCACAATAACCAACGTAGTAGCATGAATAGATACCGTTCATCAATAAGTTCTTTTAATGGCAACGGAGCTGATGACCATTTGCAAGTAGAGTCAAGTGTCTCCACCGGTTCTAACGCAACTATCAACGGTAACAAAAGAATGTCCATGGGAGGAGGTTCCCGTCGACCGTTATCTATCAATCGATATCATTCCAACAGAAATAGTTTTATGGGTGGTGAGGACGACATTGATTATGTAAGATTCATACAGAGACATGGAGAAAAAAAAATAAATAACCTTAGAGTCAACTCATCCTTTGTTTTTAGATGCAGGATTATGAGAACGACCAAGCTGAAGATTGGGAAAACATTCTTCGTCAATATGATAGATATAGCTACCAGGATGAAGACAAAAGAAAGAGCCGAAGAGCAAGTCGACTCTTGGATCCCTACCAGGATTCAACCGGTAAGACAAAGCGTAATAGCAAATGGAAAAGGGAGTCGATTTGGCCAATCTAATATAAAATTGCCTCTTGAATGGATGATAGTCGAGGTGCCTATCGTAGATGAACCCACCTATATTTTGGATTGTTATGATTTTCCGCCTGCTTTCAAGACGCATCATCTACATGATATCTTTAGGAGTTATGAAAGCAGTCGTGGTGGTTACAAGATCAAATGGTTGTCTGACACTCGTGCTTTGATCATTTTCGATCATCCAGCAACAGGTAAACAATTCTAACAAGCTTGTTAAACAGTTATCTGTCAGTAAAAACTTACTAAATCCGAACCACATGTATTATTTCAAAAAGCCAAAAAAGCTTATATTGATAATGTCACACATGCCTTAGCAAAAATCCGTCCTTATGATGGTCCCACCGATTTCTTGAGAGATATCAATAATAACAGCAGCAACAGCAACAGAGCGAGTCGTCCTATGTCAATGGATTTGAAAAGACAGTCTTTCAATTATCATTCTAAATCAAACAGAAATTCTATCAAACGTAAGTGAAATTAGCTAAAGATCACAGTATGCCTGCTGCGTAAACATACTGAACTTGCTTTTGCCACATTTTACCATTGTAGTTGATGACATTGATATTAAAAGACTGAGCATTGCTCTTTGATATCATAGCTTTACTTGTTGCTTTGTTGGGCTGGTACTTATGTTCATGGATGTACAGCACATATCAGTTGCTGAAGAATTTACGTGAATAAAAAAATAATCTTTATCGGATTTCCCTTTCGTTGAATGACATTCAGACTACGGGCTGAACGAATAGAAGTGCTTAAAATGTCTATCACTTTTTAAAACGATTGCCTTCTCTATACATATTCTTTTGAAAATGCTAGGTCGAACGGGTTCATTTTCTAAAAAACTGGAAACAAAAAAAAAAAAATAAAAAATTTACAAGACAAATTATTCACCATTCCTTACATCTTTTAAGCTTTGCTCTTAAAACGCCAGATTCACAAAGAAACCGTTTCTCTATTTAATCATTTATTTTCTTTTCGTTTCTATTTCTACCTCTTTTCTTGTAGATAAAAATTTGAGCATTTAAGAGTCTTCTTTTCAAAAGTATTATTCTCGTTTGTCATGAGTCCATAAAGATAACTACCATCAGTTTTAGGAATACGACAAACTCTTATCTTCGCCTGGATGTAGATCTGCTTCTAGATCTTTTTGGATCATCATCATATCTATCGCGACGACGACTACTGTTGCCCCTACGACTAGCTTCATAATAATCGTCCAATTCGTCACTCATATTTCCTCTTCTGTCTCTTCTATCACGACTACTGCGGGGTGATCTCGATCTACTGCTCCTTCTTCGATAGGATCTATGTCTGGATGTGCTTCTAGATCTTGACCTAGAATCTCTTCTTATAAAATCGTGTCTAGACGGGCTTCGCGATCTGCTTCTACTTCTACTGTATCGGGCAGGTGGAGGACTAGCTCTTGGTTGTCGCCTGTAGTTATCATCTTTCTCGTCATAATAATCATCGTCATATCCCCTTCCGCCTCTAAATACCCCCAGTTGAAAAGCAAGATGTCAATGATAGGTTTTACAGATTGGATAGTTTTAAAAAATAAAATAGAAAAGAAGAGCATTACAATTTACCTTGCCTTGGCTCTTCTTTGCTCAATGTCGTATTCTTGCAATTTCTTTTCCAAGTCTCTTGCAATAGGAATTGGAATGCGCGGTAACATGGTTCCTTGGAACTTCTGCTCGGTTATGAGCATACGTATAAACTTACCAATAGTCACCTTTTGAGGATGAAGACCACTAGTAATAGTAATTTCTTCGTCTTCTTCAAGATAGTATTGAAACCAATCCCAAAGCTGAGCTGGAGCACACACATAACGTAAATAGAGGAAACCAATAGCACGAATGTATCTAAAAGAAGGATAGGAGAGTAGCACAAAATCAGCATAAAAGATAACAGAAGTAGCAGTTATCAACAACTCTTTTTGATTACTTTACGGTGAGTCCTCATGGTCGACCATATTTTCAATTTGTTTAATTGTTAAACGCAGCGTCCACAGTTTGAATAAGCAGCAATAGGCGGTTGAGGGCTGGTTACCTTTGATGAAGGGTGCTGACGAAAAATAGGAATTTGTGTGTTAGGTTTATTTCACTGAATCATGGACGAGGTATTCTTTTTAAAACGTACTACTCACTTAACACGTGAACTACACAGAAAAAAAGAAAGCGTAAAAGGATGTCAGTTTCTTATGTGCAAATCAAAAGTATGCAATGACAAACTACTTTTTACCTTCATTATAAATCTCGTCAACTACCTCATGAAAAGTCTTTTTTGAACTAGAGAGAAATGGCATAGATAATAATGATATTAGGAGATTATTCGAACAGAAGAGTATGGTCAAGACGCGTATTTGGGAAACGTTGTCATGCCTCAAAATGTCAACACTTACTATAGAGATCTGAAATAAGGAGAAGACAAAATATTTTGATAGATGATGGCATTGAGATTCATTGTTGTCTCATTACCCCAAGTCTCAAGTGTGTTACTTGCTTTCTTGGAAGCTTTTTTGTTTGCTGACATGTTTTAATATCCTTTCTCTCAATGATGAGACACTAGAGAAGAAATAGAAAAAAAAAAAAAAAGCATTGGACTTTTCAGCAAATCTGGCAGTCATTTCTATTTTCCATTGGCAGAAAAAAAAATTACTAAATTTGGCAGTAATTATAATCTAAAATGGGGTGCAGTTGCCAAGTACTGTATTGCCGCCGTCAATGGGTCACTTTTATGAAATTCAGTTGGTCACTTAGTAAATTTATTGTGTGGGTAACAAGTTTGGGATCAAATAGGTTCTTTATTCAAGCACTTATCAAATAAGTTTACAGAATGTTGAATACAATTTTTAATATGCTGACGAGAAACTTCTTCACAAGATTCAGTTATTCTACTAATAATCAGAGTTTATGTGTCTTTCAATGCATGACTTTTAACCTTTGCCTTAACAAGAGCATTGTCCATAACAATACGATGCCCTTGCATATCTGGAAATGTGCCCATAATATCCATTGTGCCAACAATGAAGTGCGTATAGTGAGCACCGGTAGTTCCATCAGGAACTGACACTCTATCACCTGGTGCTTTACGCTTAGTCGCTCCGGCTATTTCTCTCCTCTTTACGTTGTCCAGTTCTCTCATGGACACATTTATTACGCCTGCGGAAGAGATAGCTCCCCATACTGTATGAAATACAGCTCTCCCTGAAGGCGTTTCTACGACAGCAGGCTCACCAACAGCCGACAGAGCTCTTCCACGACAGGTCATGTTTATGTCGAATTCTGACTCATTTAAAACACGCAGTTTTGACAGCCTCTTCAATAGTTGCTCTTTTGTTCTCATCAAAAAAAAAAACTCGTCAAGTGATCTTTATGTCTGTCGTCTAGTTGGCTCACAGGGCGAAAAGAAACGAGGTTCGTTCAGTTGTGAGGCACATATCCTTCAATATTCTGTAGATACTTTTGCTTACATTTTCGTGCAGTATACTGATTGACGTTGGGAGCCTTCGCAGCTTTCTTATGTTTTGTCTAGTTTTTCTAAAATAGCCTTTATAATCTTGTTGTCAACTCAACATTTTATTTACATAGTGAGTTTGAAAGAAGGAGAATATTGGAGCATACTGGTAGCATGACTCGTGCACAATGAAGAGAAGAAGAGCTGAATTGGAGCACGAAGAAGTGCCATCTGAGGAAAATTCATTGACTACTCAAGGGCTCCTTGGGAGGTATAATATACATTCACAATGTTGAAGAAAGAAATGAGTTCAAAATGAGTGGTACATATTTTGATTCACAGTGAAAGATAAAAGCTCGAAGGGTTCTTTGTTATGTAATAGGCGACTCATGAACATTTTTAAAGGGCGGTTTCCTTTTCATCAACAAACGAAAACGCACCGACATCTTTTGCAAAGGATATACATTATTGAGAATCTAGTTTGATAGGTTTATTATCGATTTGTTATCGTAAAATATGTATTTTTACTCGTGGTGGAGACGGGTCAGAATATCACTACAGACGAAGTAAGATTGACGTTTAGGATTTCGCAGCAAATGTACGAGCCGCCACTGCAATTTTTTAGATAGGGTCTACCTGTAAAAATCGAGCCAGTTTCGTTATAGCGATTGGAGGATCCTGTTAAGCGGTTGATGAGGTGACTTCCTTGGTTTTCTACAAAAGTCAGTAGGTCTTCCAGTTGACTTCCAAATCGACACGCTAATTGCCAACATGTTTTTTGCAGCGTTGACGTCCCGGTTCCAAAGTATCGAACAGGTTTTGCAGGCAAGGATACTTTGGCCGGGAACTGTCTTCAATGCTTCAAGATTGTTGGAACGACAATTATTGCATATTCGAGAGGTTTTGTATTCATCAATTGTTATCGTCAGTAAATCGCCAGCAGCCTCTCTTCGCGTGAAAGCATCCCAAAGAACCCCAACGGCACCAGTTTTGTGGCCTTGGATGGGCACGGCAGGTTTCCCGAACATGCCACTACCAAATACAATCAGAGGGACCTTTCTAATGTCGCCTACACTGAAGGGGTCAGGCTTCCACTTGTTCTTTACGGAATTGCTATGAACCTCTGTAAATATTTTGTGCAGATAGTGGATGGTGTACTTGTCATTTAAAAACCTTACCTATCTTTTTTTGCGATAACTTCGTCTAGTTCCCTCGCTTCATCTTCTTTCTTCTCTTCCTCTTCTTTCTTCGTTTAGAAAAGGCCGTTCTGTCATATTCTTCTTTAGCCATCTGTCTCGATCCTTTTTCTTCTTCAACCTCAATTGCTTATTATACTTTGTAGTTCCCATTGATAAGCATATTGACCATATTGTCGGCGGCACGCTTCCGACCCTTACTTATAGTAATCCTGTGATATTTGTGGTTGTCATATGTTTTTTAGTGAACGCGACTTATAATTGATATGAAACTGCAAGGTGAAATGAGTCTCCTTTAGTCCTTTTATTATACACTGAAAATCAGAGAGGGAAGCGTTCATAGCGAACTGAATGTTTGAATTGACAACAAAAGAAAGAAGGAAAGGAAAGAGATACAAAAAAAAAAGGAGCTAAATACTCGTTCTCAACCAGTAGGAATGCAGCATTATGTATGCGTATGTCTTTAGAGTACAAGGTTACGTGTATAGGTGTTATCACGATTCTATGATCGTAATAACGAGTCTAGTTTTTGCAGATGTGTCTAATTCGTCTTTATATTATAGGAGGTATGGAAATACCACAAATGCTGGATGAAATCACGCAAATACTGGGAAATCATATACTGAGTGCTCCGCAGGGCCAGAAAAAAAATCATCATTTGTTTTGGCATCAGATGATCGTTTGGCGTCATGTTGGACATTAAAGACCAACAGTAACTATCTTGTATGACTATCTATGCGATATACTTCTAGGGCACCAGGTGATAAAGTGTCAGTTCCTGATGGAACTACCGGTGCTCACTATACGCACTTCATTGTTGGCACAATGGATATTATGGGCACATTTCCAGATATGCAAGGGCATCGTATTGTTATGGACAATGCTCTTGTTAAGGCAAAGGTTAAAAGTCATGCATTGAAAGACACATAAACTCTGATTATTAGTAGAATAACTGAATCTTGTGAAGAAGTTCCTCGTCAGCATCTTAAAAATTGTATTCAACATTCTGTAAACTTATTTGATAAGTGCTTGAATAAAGAACCTATTTGATCCCAACTTGAAGTGATCAACTGAATTTCATAAAAGTGACCAATTGACGGCGGAAATACAGTAACTATAGCTTTTACCTCTTAGCTGTTACTAATGCCTTTAAGTATAAATGATGGATAATATTATAAAATATAACCAAATTTTTCAAATAGATGAAAAGACGAACCTACAAAGGATGTCAATGTAAGCATAACGACTATGATCAAAGCAAATACTGCCATACATAATACTGAAACCGTGATGGAAGTTGACGATAAGATGAACGAAGAGCTGTATATCGAAGAAAATCTTGATGTGAAAACCAAAGAAGGTACTGCTTCTGAAGATGTTGAATAGATTAATAGCGCGATAAGATGAAAAAATAACTCTTCTGTCGCTGTTTTTACAACCCTGATGAATGGTAAGAAATTTTAAGATCCTCCTAAATAACTGTCGAAGTATCGAAAATATGCAATAGAGCAAATAGCGTAGTTTTTTTTTTTTTTTCTTTTGATTTGCATAACTCGAGCATGGAATCAGTTAGAAAAGCTACCGCTGCTAAAGGAATCACGGTAAAATCGGTTTATCAATCCAAACACAACGGAAAGGGTTTGGCACTCTGAAGAGGTAGAGAAACGGACACAGTTTCAAAGCCAAAGGCTGAAGTTAGTGACTTCATGATGAGACTTGTTGACAAAAATGCACAAATAGCTATCAAAGCAGCAGCAGCAATTTATAAGACATATATTGTTTTCCCAACGGAGGCGAAAATTAAGACGGTCTAAACACAGTATACAAATTCTTTTCTTGACTTTTTGTTGATTTTATATTTTGTTAGATCTTTTGGAGAAAGAGAAAATATTAGACATTCTGATACAGAGTTGATAAACAATTAGAGATATAGAAGGGGGTGGGGAAGATCGAAAAGCTTCTTGGTATTTGGTAAGAAAAAGTGATGTAATATAAAGAGGTATTTATCGACATTGCCATAGTTTGATTGTTTGGTCTACACTGCCTGTAGCAACAATGGGACTTGTTTGGCAGTAGCTACAATCATTGAAGGAAGTTGTAACATGTGAGCATACTGGATATATTAGATTTTATTTACTGCACGGAATACTTACGCTATGCATGTCACAAAATGTGAATGTGCTTCTAGTGTTTTGGTACAACGACCTGTCTTTAAGTCCCAAATTTTCATTGTTTTATCGTCAGAAGCACTTAATAAATATTTTCCATTTGGATGAACTACTAGTCCTCTAATCCAATTGTCATGTCCAACCTAACAGTTACGGATTGACGACAGATTATCGTTAACATTCCAGATTCACTTTGGCTTGTTCTCTATCATTTACCATTGTATGTAATAATTGTCCGTTTGAATTCCATAACTTGATCGTTTTATCTCTTGACCCTGTCATGATATATTGACCGGCGACAGCATCTTTTGCAGACTTGTTGTTAGTCTGTACCATAGCAATGACTGATAAGTATAATTGCACCCATTTTCATATCGAGTAACCACGCTTAAAGTTCTATTATTTACCTCTTCACCAATGAGTTCTTGAATGAAAGGATAAGAGTTGATTGGCATGAAAATAGCACATTCAACAACATGCTCGTGTCCTCTAAATTCCATCTTTGTTTCAGCTGATTGCACATCCCATATACGAGCCGTCTTAATACAATCGAGTGTTAAGTTGCTGCTGGCTTTAACTATTTTTCTGTAAAAGTGTCCATCGTACCTGATCGTTCGAAGCTGTAACTAAAAATCTACCATCTTCACTAGGTGAGACTGCTCTTACCCAATCTAAGTGTCCAGCCAATGTCTTGATACAGTAACTATCAACATAATAAAACATCGGTTTTTAGATACAACATTCATATGTACCACAATTGTTTACAAATATGTTCTACCCTGATGCTGCATCCCATAGTTTGATGGTTTTGTCACGTGAGCATGAAATGATCGTATCTCCAGAAGGTAAGTAGTTTACAGAAGATACACTATGATCGTGGCCAAAGAGTGTCTTGACACACTTATAATCATTATTAACGTCCCATACTTTGATTGTCAAGTCGGCAGAACATGAGACTAATGAAATGGTGGATATTTAATACATAACCATAAGCAAATGCACCTATGCTCCTTCCATGCCCTTACCAAGATAATTTCCTTTCGGGTCAAATGCAATATCTTGCACCGACTTGGTATGGCCTTTTAGGGTTCGTTCAAATTCACCTGTTTCATAATCCCATATTTTAATTGTTGTATCTTCTGAAGAAGAAGCTAAGATTTGATAAACTGGATGAAAGATAACACAAGTAATTGGACTTCGATGACCTGTCATGCTTTGCTTTTCGGGAGGACGAGGTATCCAATCGACCGAACTTGTTTGTTTTCTGATAGGTGCATTATTGATTTCTTCTTGCATTTGAGCTGATTTTGTTTCCAATTCCATTATCTATTACACATAAAATATTAAAAATTTCATTTACATAAAAGCGACCAACTATTGAACCGGTTATTCACCTTCTTTTGTAGACGTATAACAGAAGTCCACTTCTTTTCTAACAGTCCTGAATATTTTTGCTTTGGGTCAGAAATGAAATCCTCATTATGTGTTTCAGATTTTAAAGTTTTAAAGGATTCTGTAAATCCACTCGTGCATAAGTAGTCTAAGATTGCTTTATGTCTAATGCGGAAATACCAACATTTTGTAAATATTTGTTTAGAAAAGCATGTTTGAACAGAAAGGAAAAAGTACTTGCGATTGTCAACTTACAGTTCATCTTTCTGTCGATCGGACAAGATACTGGTCATATTTATCTCTGTTAGGAAGAACGGGGCTATCCCAATATAAAATAAAGTTTTTTATGTGATGGACACGAAAAGCTGATATGAAAAGAGAAAAATTCCAAATACAAGTGGTTATATATGAAATAAACAGAAGTAAACGTCGTTTCTGTCTTATTTTAATGGGAAGGGTATCAAGGTTCAAAGATGAAATTAAGAAAGGAAAAGAAACGTTTTTAAAAGAGAAAAAAATTAAAAAAAGCTGGAAAAAAAAGTGACGCCGCACTTTGAATTATCTGTTGCCCTCACAATAAACATCAATGGCTTTCGAGAAGCTACACAGAAGTATTACAATTACAAGTCTTTAACAGCTTGAAAATACTGTGTAATGGTCCATTCTTAAGTAGGCATAATTGCAAATTATATATATAGCGCAGTGGAAACGCGAACTTTGCGAATGGTAACTTAGCACAGAAAAGTTGCTTTCATTTAGGAGACGTTGATGTAAAATCATCACTCTCTTACTCGTAGAATTCATATAAAACTCTTTCAGAAGGATGACGGCCTTATAAAATTTATAGCAAAGTTCAGCCAAATTTTTCACTTGATTGTGATTGGTTGTGCCTGAATTTGTCCCTCACTGCGAAACTTTTACAGCGTATACGAAAAAGAAGTGTAGGAGCGGCGAAGATATATACTGACTGTAATATGACTGCCTTGTCATTTATATAACTTACATCACCTTTTTAATGTTTTACTGTGCTTGCGTGTTGTGTGTCCTATTTGCTTACGAAGAAAAAATTAGACTATCTATACCAACGGTTTAGGAGTTGTAGATAGCAAAAGTTTTGGATCATCCATGTATAATGAGGCTGGCCATTCATCAGTATTAACTGAGTAAAAAACGGTTACTTATAAGGTACTATTTCATAAAAGGTTAAAAAGAAGTCGGAGCATTGTTTTTAATTGTATGAGAAAGAGCGCCAAGTAATAAGTAGGCACTACGCATCTTACCGGCATGAGTAGCATTGCCTGACAAAACTGCTATGTTAAATGCAACAACATTGAAAGATAGAGCTATTCGTAGATCGGGTTGATTGGAATGTCTAAGGCAGTGAGGTATTTTATTATTTACATCGTTTTTCTTTGTTTGGATATCTTCTCAGCTGTATAAAGGATGTTGTCGACAATTTGAGCAACGCTGAAGACACCACCTACAATTGCACACAGGCTGGTTAAGAGGCTTCCAAGCGTTGGTCGTGTTTCTGAGTAGAGAACACGCATTGGGGAATGGTCCAACATGAAGAAAACTCCAGGAAGGCCACCCCTAGGGGTCACGACTTGATCCTGCTTACTAACGGAATATTGGAACGTTCGAACCTGTTTTCCAGTCAGGAAATCAAATTCGGAGGCAACGATTTTCAGAAAGTATTGGTACATCATAGCAGCTAATACAGTTAACAACAAAAAGTATCACGTACGTTTCAGCTTCTATAGTTAGTATCTTTGAACTTTTTTCTTTATTGACTTACCATCCATATTTCCCCATTTCGTCTTATCTAACGGGTTGATTATACTTTTCAGTTTTGTACGCTTCTGTAAGTGAGCTTGGTATTCGTGTGTGCCAAATTGCAAATGATGTATCTCGTGCATAAAATTCTGATTAAATTGATTATGCAAAAATGAAGACATGTCATGGATATGGGTTCCTCCTTGGTTGAAAGCTCGGCCGGATGAAAAGTGAAAGTTTCCACGAATTTTATTCACGGATAATGTACCGTGCATTCGACAGCCTTCACGCGATTGTGCATTCGTTTTTTCTTTCCAGTTCTCTTTAACACACTGTTGAATAACTTGTTACAAATGTTTCCAAAGTATTACTCATCTAGTATGTCTATTGACTTACTTGTTCAAAATTATCAGGATTGGCACTCCATCCCATATCAGCGTACGCACGTTGAACATCAGCACAAGTGTTACAACAAGGATCTGTCTCGCCTGCCACATTTGCTCCGTAACAAGGTCCACAATAATCTTCTGGTTGATTCTCACCATTTTCCATAGCCAATTGAGCAGCATTATTACTTAAATCTAGTAATGGATGTTTCTCGTTTAGCAATCCCAATCATATCGTCTGTATATTACCTTGATGTGAATTTCTACCTTCTGATTTTTCCTTCAAGATTGGCTTTCCACTGGAATCAAGTCTCTCTTTATATACATCATGTTCATATTCACTAATTTGCTCACCACTTTCATCCATGATATCCAAACTGAGCACTGAAATGACATAATAATCAGCATCAGCTTCAAAACGATATCTGTTTTGTTGAACTTACTGTAACAGGGAAGGTGAGGGAAAGTTATATCAAAAGAGATAGGAAGTTTTTCCTGAGAGTAAATGTCTTTAAGAACCCTAAAGAAAATTTCTGCCTCTGTGTTGTCTGTTGCGCCTATACCTGTTTTCCTCCATCTACCATAATCTCTGAATGCATAGTCGGTGTCAGATATCTAAATAATTCAAATAAAGATAGAACAATAATAATGACAAAGCTGATCATTGTAACTGTGAAAAAAAATGGAAAGTTGAAATATTGGTGAAAACAACAGTTTCATGTCTTCAACAAAGTAATATGTAGTTTTCTTTTACCAGTGCCACCCGTTGCTGTACGAACTCGAAAGTCATCCAACGTTTTAGCATGAGCATCAAGGCTCTTGAACCGCTTCAGGAGTGATTTTGATACCATCTCTATAAAAAGCTCAACAACTTGCGTTTAAAACTGATGAACTTTCCCTTAGTTAGTTTGCTTAGAGTGTACAAAGACAATACTAGACGTTGTTAAACGTTGATCAAAGTGCGATGTTGTAGGAGGTGTTAAGTGTAGTTCAATAATTATTGAAATCTAATCACCAGAAAAAAGCACTGAGCTTTAAATAACCAGGATACTTAGGACAGAAAGAGAATATTCTTAGTATGCATGAAATCAATCAGTTTCACTTCAAAGAGTGGTGAAGCAAACGTAGACGGCGGCAAGAGGACAGAACATACTTCACTACAATATGATTAAAACCCTTGGTATGCTTTTCAATGGCTGAGAACTCACATAAGCAGCTTGTAGAGTTACAGGACATAGGTTGTGAATTAGGTGGTTTAGGGTTTGAATACTCGTTAAATTAACAAAAGTCTAAATAGCAAGAACAAAATTTATTGCAAGTTATTTGTTAGGCAATTTCTACTAGCTCGAAATTAAAAAAACCTTTTAAACAAAAAAGTGGCATTACTGCTATACTGTTCAAATTCCTTTTATTATGGTTACCACATATCATACGTGTATAAGGGCCATAAAGAAACACAATATAAGAATTGGAAAATGTACACGCGGAAGAGGGACAGAGAGGGATACGTTGTCTATAAAATGGTATCCACCTCTTATAGTATGCATTGTAGAGAGTATTTATACAACTGTCGTGGATCAGGGGTAGCTTATTTCTTTATAGTAGTTGAAGAAAGCGGTACTGTGACATCTCCTTCCTTCATCTTTTCATGAAAAACATCAAGCCAAGATTTCACTTTTTCATAAACCATGAATGTAACGGCTTGACCTGGTGCTACTCTTAACAATCTCGGTGTCAAACCCTTATAAAATGCTCGGGGCCCTTCTTTCGTCATGATTTCTGAGGTTACTGTTTTGAATCTTTCCCATCCAGATCCCGTAGCATTGGACTTTTGAATACGGGTCTTGATAGTGTCGATGGGTGCATTTGAAAGAGGGCCTAATTATGGAATGATGCATACTTTGTTAAAGAAGGCCATCTGGTACAGTATAAAATATGGCTTACCCATAGCGCCGGAAACACCGCCGAGAATTAAATGTTGATAAGAAGGTAGCTCTTCCAAATTTTGGTATCTCTTTGCCATCTTTTTGAATTCTTGGTAAGCAGTGAAATTAGCGGCTTGGTTGGTAGCTATCAAATAAGGCCATACAATGTCAGTATCTTTTCAACCCTCTTCTTGTACCAACCCTATTTGTTACCTTGTCTCAAAGCAGTGAGTGTAACACCCTTGTATAAGGCTCGAACACCTTCTTCACGGACGATAGTATAAGCAGCGTGAGGAGCATTACGATATTTAGGTATATCCAAAGGATCAGCCATGGAGTGCCTTTGAGCCTGCCACAATAAGCAAAGATAATTAACGGCTGATATTATATACCTGTAACTAGATTCGAATCTAAAGCAATACCTGTAGACGGATTTTGATAAGGTCCATAGGAGATACCACTAAAACAGCTTCTGTAGTACCAGCAGCGAGACCGGCTAATAGTCAGGGTTTCCTTTATTAGTCATTGCTCTTGCGTATGTCACCCCCAAATTGTAATAAACTACTAGTTACCTAAAAATACAGCAGTAGTGCTCACTTTTCCAGTGTTGTCAGCCATCCATTGCTTATACAATTCAAACGAGCTGAATCTGATAGCCATCTTGGGAACAATACCAGATACGACAGCGCCTAGACCTTTGTATAAAGCCCAGAATGACTCATGACGAATAATCTTTGCACCTACCCCGAGAAAGCCCAAGGGTTTACCCTAATAAATCATAAGCATTTGCTCGGTTATACTGTACATAGAGCCGAAATATTCTTATCCTTCACCAAAACCTTCTTTACTAATAGCAACTTACAGTTGCGCTCCTAGCTGTGTTCTTGGCTAGCTGCATTCTGACTTTGATTGTGTCGAGAGGATGGCAAGTACATGCCTCCATAAAGCCAGCAGCACCACCGGCAACCAAATGGGTAACTAAAGGCGTTTTCTGTTTATTTTCAGCGTTTTTACTCATGGTTATTGAATGTCTTGGTTGTAGTTCCTCTCTGTTTCTATAAGGAAAATGCAATGATGATATCAAAAAGTCGAAGAAAGACAAAATGAAAGAAAAGGTGGATCAGGGATGAAAACGAAAAGGAAGACCTTTATTTTAAAAAGAATTTATGTATAGAGTGTAATTTTCATGTGCTTCCCGAATATCCCGCATACACGATTCCTCCTTTTATTTTTTTTTTTTTTTTTTTTTTTTTTTTTACCTGATCGCCTAACTTATCATCATGCCTTGTAAAAGGCTAAACACAAACACACGCGCACAAACACACACACTCACACAAATGCATATCACAACAGCACGTAACGGCGCCAATTAACCTTGATTATTCAGAGCTTTGAGAAAAAGCACCCTTATTTGGAGCCAATGAGAAACTGTTTGCATAACAGCAAATGTGGGGTAAATCATAAAATCATCGGAAACCATCACATGTTACATTTTCGTTATCAAATGTATTGTATTACCATTCCATAAGAGGAAATGCTAGTGACGTTTAGATGAAGTCCAAAGAATTGTGCTTACCGAATGTTTATTGTCAAATAGAATATAAGGTTCGCATTACCCAACAAAAGGTCAGTTTCTGTAATATCTTGTTATCATTTTCTGTAGTGTCTCCAGTCCAAACAAGTTGAAGTAATCAGTAAATGAGTTCCAAAAGGTTCAACTTAGGAGTGCAAATTCTACTTAGTAACCTTTCGAGACATTGCCTTCTACAGCTTCAGCAACTACTATTCTAATGATGAAGCCTTACACATACAGTGACTATTTGAGCTGAAAGGATTCCGCTAAATAAGAACAACAATTTGTGCTTATCAATCAATTGCTTATTCTGATTCAGTACCTCAAAACTTCAAAGCGTGGGAAGTACTCTATAAGGAAGTTTTTTCTTTTAATTTTACAAACAGATTTGTATGCTTCAGCTAAATAAACTACGAAAAAATTTCCTTTAGTTTGTTTGTTAGACTGCCAGTGGGATGGAAAAACTGCTTCAATGTACTCGTTGATTTCTTTCGTCTTTTCACAGAAATACATACAAAGTCATTATTATCACTGTCGAAGTATAACTTAGTAATGTCTTTCAAAAATGACAATGGAGAGCACAATAAATTGGAGATGGACACAGCGTCCGCATCTAGCCATTTCAATAATTTAATGTGTAACCAGCAACCGTCTGTTACAAAATACAATGATTTGGCACCGCAACATGCAGAGTCATTAATAGAATCTGATAGCTCGTATACTAACGCAGCCAATATAACGAACACAGTGTTAACGAGCACTATCATACCATCAATCAACAGTAAATTTCAAGAACTTTGTCGACTGCTGAAGTCTAGATCGACTGAGCTTCTCAAGTCAACAAAAGCCAGTCTGGATAATCTGTCTCAGCCAAAACACTTTTATAGAGGCAACAATAGCACAACAACGCTACCGCCTATACTTGACGATGTCATGCTGATAAAGAAAGCAATCACTAGCCTTTCTCCACAGAAACAATTGCTACTATTCAGCGAGATGATAGATGCAGAATGTACGAAAATCAACAGCCTCGACGAAGAGAAAGACGCCGTTCGTCATATCGACCTATCCATTTCTGAATGGCTCGCCAGAAACGTTCCTTCTGACCACTACACTCTTCTACAAGATCTTTTGGAAAAGGACGATAACGTTTTCTATAAAATGTTCACTTACGAAGCACAAAAAGCTCTCAAAAGGCTCGCTTCCAACAATCGACATGGCGACTATGAAAGTGAAGCCCAGTTCTTACTCGCCAATTGTTACGGCACAGGAGCATTAGGCGTTCCGATTTCAACAGAGAAGGCATTTACACTCTATCTGTTAGCTTCTAAGCAGAGTCACTTAGAGGCCATCTACCGCGCCGGAGTATGCTATGAATTAGGCTTGGGTACCAAGAAAAGTTATCGACATGCAGTTAATTTTTACCGTAAGGCTGCCTCAAGAACACATATCTCCAGTATGTACAAGTTAGCCATTATCTATCTCAGAGGGTTCTGCGCGCAACCGGTCGACATAAAAGAAGCCTTTGTGTGGTTACAACGCTCAGCATACGTAGCAAAAAAGTCAATCCAAGAGCATCCAGAAGTACTTTATGTGTTTGCTCTGTCACAACTGCCTAATAAGGAGTTTAATAAAATGAATGCTGTCACAGATGTACCGTATGCTCTTGAACTATTGGAGATGACTGCAAAGATGGGCTATTTACCAAGTCAACTGAAATTAGGTGAGTTATATGAGTTGGGCAGCAGCGACAATACGTTTCCGGTGGTAGAAGTCAATGATGTTTTATCTATTTATTGGTATACGCAAGCTGCTCAGCTTGGAAGTGCGGATGCTGCATTAGCTTTGTCATGCTGGTATTTGACTGGTTCGCAAAAGGTGCTTCAGCAATCAGATCGAAATGCCTACCTGTGGGCTAGGAAAGCAGCAGCATCTCAACAGGCTGAACGTTGGACAATCGCAAAGGCGAATTATGCAGTTGGGACGTACATTAAAGAAGGCATAGGTGTTCACAATGAAAAAGTCGAAGACTCCTTTACATGGTTTAAACGGTCTGCTGCTCTTGGGCACTTAAATGCTATCCATATGGTTGAAAATTGCCATAAATAAAACTAGTCGTTTAGATAGTTTCATGTCATTTTTGAATATCATAAACTTTTTTTTTTTTTTTTTTTTTTTTTTGCATATTTTGCTGTTGGATATTCTGATGTCATGAGTTTCAAAAAGAAAGGTAAGTGACGACATGAACAAAAGGTTTCAGTCATTCAAGGGAACTGTTAAAAGGAAAATTATCTACCAAAGAACAATAGCCTATACTCGTTGAAGTTTTTTTTTGGATTTCTGTTTTTAGGTATTGGAGATCTACACGCTCATTAACAAATAAAGCAAAAGTAGTAAAAACAATCCAGAGAACATAACAAAATCCTTAAGAATAAGCTCTAAATTCTTTAGTTCTCTTAGCAATCTGTTTCCTTCTTAATCCTTCTTCAGTTTTATGTTTACTTTTTTTTTCTTTCTTTCTTGAAAAGTATTATTTTGATACATCATCATGTTGGTAGTGGAAAAGCATCAGCACGATTTGATAGACCGAAATCGCTATATGAAATCGCATTTGATACCAGTGGTTCCTTATCATCAGCAGCCAGTCATGATGGTCAGGCCCACGGTCACGACTTCTAAATTGAAATATCCTCATCCTAAAAGCAAAAAAACCCAACAACAAAAACAACAAAAACAACAACAACAACCAGCGTCACCACCACCATCACCTCCTTCCATTTTCTTTGCAAAGACATGTTCAAGAATGGTTCAACATACCCAGAATTTTAACAGTAGAAGAGCAACATCATGCAGAAGTGTTCTATTGCCTACGTCTTGTTCCACCACGTTAAAAAGGCAGAAATTTCGTAGAGTGTCACCAACAAACAGCAGCAACCGCAAGTCTTGTACTACTGCTGCAACCATAACATCTAACCAGAACAATAAGAAGGTACAACAAGAAAAGTGCCCCTTGGTAGCCTTGGAAGAATATTTAAAAAAGCTCAAAGAAAAGGTAGGGTTTACATAACATAATGCACACTTGACATGCGCTTTGCTCCGAAAAACTGATGGACGACATGCTTTCGATTTAGACTGCACACAGCGAAGAAGTCATCAAGAATCAGAATGAGGAGATTGCAAACATAAGGAGACTCTCTATGACCTCAAGCCAGTTAAAGACTAGAAGCATGAACGAAGATGCTGAAATAGCTGTCAGTAATTCGACAATGCATAAAAAGGAAGATGATAAGTTGGAGTTAATCACGAAAAAGATAGAGGTAAAATAGTGATCCATCAGAAAAAACAGTACCAAATAAGTAAAAGATCAAGTAAAAAGTAAACAACGAAATTGCATATAAATAGAGCTTAAACTTGGATCATAGTGATAATGCATTGTCGACAGTTGATATCAACGATATGGTATCGAGATACACCACACAAATAAACGAGTTACAATGCATCATTAAGGTAAAAAAAGAAAAAAAAAACTTGACTTCATCGTTTGCAATAACCTGACTCACCTGCAAATATGATAGGCAAATGAAGAAAATACTGCTAAACAGCTCGAAGAATATCAGCGAAAGATTAGCGAGAAAGATGATTGTTTACAGCGCGAAAAAGAACTTCATAAGCAACTCAAGGAACAGTATACAGTGGAAATGAATAGATTGAAGCTTGAGCAGGAGAAGCAGCTTCGTGAAATGGAGCAACACCATGAGAATGATTTAATACAGCTCAGAAAAGAAATCGAAGAGTTGAAGAAGCTCAATCATAAAAGCTTGGACGATGCTATCGAGAAAGCCTTGTATGAAATCGAACAGGAAGAGCACAATCATCCTCCTACAACAACATTAGGACAACGCAATCTGAGAAATGTGTCGAGCAGTAGCTTCAAAGATAACCAAAAGAAAATAGCAAACCAACAATGGTATTCCGAAAAATATATACCTTCACAAGCGATCTCTTGGCCAGCGCCTCAAACTTCTCCCAACTTAAAAAAGCAGTTCCATAAATAGCAGCATAACCTCCCTTTAAAACCGCATAGCTTGTATTATATCCTATTCTTCACTGCATTTCACTTTCCGGTCTTAATAAACAATTCATATCCATTTTCTCTGCAGAAATACCTAGCAATACAAAATCAAAGTATCAAGTATGCAAGTATAATTCTTTTATTCATTTCACAGAGGCTAGAGCTTGCTATATGTTTACTGATGCTTATAATGATCTCTACTTATTCCTTCGCTAAGAGGTATTACAACCGCCGTTGTTGTTTTAATACTTTCCATTGAACTACTGTATTTTTGGTTTTGATTCATTTTAAGACTTTTTTGTATAGGTGCTGTCGGTTCCCTGAACCAGGCGGCTTAGAGATGCTTACGCGTTTAGGTGAATTCATTTGCAAAACCTCTTATTTTGCACGTTTCTGCAGTTTTAATTAGCTGCTGCTTGAATTTTCTACAATACTCAAGCAAGATAGATTATTCTGTGCTAAACACAGTATATTTACCTTGTTTGAGTTGGAGTAAGTCGAACATTTAACATGAGTATTTTAGTCAGAAAAGATACAATCCTAAAAAACTATGCCTACAATCCTAAATTTACTCTTGAATTTGAAGCAGTTCCTAAAGAAGTTCCGCCTGTCATTGGGTTTCAACTTTTTCATATTGACTCACGCCGAAAACAAGAAAAAAAAAAAAAAAAAAAAAATAAAAAAACAAAGCGCCTTTTGATCCCCTTTCCCTTTCTATTATCTTTTTAAAAAAACATTATAAAAAATGTTCAAAAAGTAAATTCTTCATTAAAAAGCTACGTGCTATTGTGCTATCACAGTTTTATAAACAACTTTTTTTTCAAACCATTTGTTTAGGTTCAGTTTTTCGGATAACATTGCTGGTCAATCGCAACTCAAATCTTCTGTTCAAAGAAATGTTCGTACAAAGTTAAATGAGCAATACCCAAAGATCGAATCTGTATTAGAAGAATTGATGCCCAAAAAGACACCAATTGTTCAAATTAAAGGGTAACATTCAGATTATGAGAGTACATGGCGACATAGCGTTGAGGTTTATCGCTCACAACAGTTAAAATTCATGCAATTAGCCATGAACATATCAGTTTTCTATCTGTCAACGGCGAAATTCTTTTCTTTCAACATTTTGATGGACCTTTCATTCCAACTCTTGCATTATTACATAAATGTAAACTCTTCTTGGTTCAATGACTCATCTGATCATCGACCTATCGCATAACTAACCATTCATCTACTATAGATCCTGATATTCTTCCCAAGTTACAAGTAGACCGTGGTGCTATCAAGTTTGTTTTGTCTGGGGCCAATATCATGTGTCCTGGTTTAACATCAAAAGGTGCTCGTATGGATGCTGATTTACCAGCTGGAACTGTTGTTGCCATCATGGCCGAAGGCAAAGAACATGCACTGGCCATTGGTTTACTCAAGATGAGTACAGCAGATATGTAAGTACATGATGTTTTAAAAATTGAGAAAAACTGAGGGTGGGCTGACCATGACGAATTATTCCAATCGATAGTAAATCTGTCAACAAAGGTATTGGCGTCGATAACATCCATTATCTCACTGATCCACTTTACAAAGAAGTCATTCACGTATAGAGGAAAAGATGCAGAATCCTAGTTTATTAATTACATCGCTTCATCACGAAAAGAGAACGAATTTGCTCCAACCGCAACTTAGCACTAAAGACCTTTATTATTATGAGAAAGGAAGCATCATCATCTCAAACTCTTGTTAGAAAATATAATTGAATAAACGTCATTGGAGGCAGTTCAGTTGAGAAAGAAGAACAGTTTTTATTTTATTTTTATTTTTTTCTTTCTATTTTAAATAATTGATTTGAAGGGATATATGGTCAATGAACATAGGCGAAGGAATAATGCAGATGTACAATAGAAATGGAGTATAAAAGAGGATATACATGGTAATGGAGGAGTTAGAAACGAAAAACCTATAGTAATGGTTGTCGTTCAGATGATAATGGGGAAAACGCGAAAAGCTTATTGAAGCCACTTTTGACAATGCCTGATAACTTCTTGTATAAATACTGGAAACAGGAAAATAGAGATTTATTCTTTCTAGGAGAAGCATTTTCTCTCTTCTTACTTGCACAAGCTTCTTGAGTTACTTTGCCTAATTCTTCATCAGTGTGTTTCATAGAAAAAGAAGGATAAGTTGATGAGCGAAATGGTACCGTCGCGGGTGCCTCCACTGGGGCGGATGAAACACTACTGCTTTTATCCGAAGATGCGCTAATGTCTTCGTCGTCTGCTGCTGCTGCTGCTGAAGTAGGACTCGAGATGAAATTAGTAATGGAGCCATACGACATGGTCGCTGATGATATAGTCTCGGGCATAGGGGATGGAATAGTCACTTCCTTATTGTGCGTACCGCCATTCGTCTGATTCATGATATCAGCAAACGATTGATATGACGTTGGGGAACACGTGTCATCTAAAAACAATTTTTGGCTAGAGAAAGGCGATCGGGTCACGGGGCTTGCTGGAGATGTTTGTTGCGTCAGTGCTGCTGTTGGAGTTAGTGTGGCAGTGGTAGTGGTATCGTATAAGTTTGTTAGGTTAATGATAGAAGATGATGATGACGATGAGGGTAATAAATAGATATTGTGATGTTGTTGTTGATCACTGCAGTTTGAATTACAATCAAACGCGATTTGTCGTTCAAGGGGATCCTTTCCAGAGTCTGTTTCAAGACTGCTGATACTACTGCTTCGACTTAATGTATTTGGATCTTCAGGTAGAGATGAGGGTGAGAGTTCTGGTGTTTCTGCGGCTGGGGATAAAGAATCAATATCAATAGAGACCGCATCGTCAGTGTCATGCTGCTGGTGATCTGTTTGTTGAGGTATTGGGATTTCTATTGAGAGCATGCCGTTAAAAGGGGCACTTTGTTGTTGGTTTTTGAGTTCGACGAGTTCGTGTTGCAACTCAATATAGTCTGGTACTGGTATGTGCATCAGCTCCTCGTATTTTGTGTTTTGTGTTTCAAATAAGGATGGGGATAGAGCGGTGGCGGTAGAAGTAATGTTATTGTGACGACTATCGTCATAGCTATTCGTATGCTCGATGGGATAACTGGGCTGCATTGTTTCAGAACAAGGACTGAGAGTGTAAAAGTTTTTTGTTGTTGTAGTCCAATAATGATCGTCGTCATCGTCGTCGTCGTAGTCGTCGTCAAATTCATCATCGTCAAACATGTATTCTTCTTCTTCTTCTTCTTCTTCGTCAACATCATCATACTCCTCTTGGTCCATTGTATCAAATTCTCCATATTGCTGAATGAAAGGAGGAGTAAACATAAAGTCATCACCTGACAAAATGACAGAAGGTCTCACTGGTGTGATACCTAAGAGTGTTTGTTGTGATTTGCTATAGATACTATGCATATGCCAATTTTCTAAGAATGAATAAGGAGAAGATCGACGTTTCGAAGGATCAGGACAGGCCTGACGAGTGAACTTGTTGATTGTCGCGTAAAACGCTCGATTGGCTATCTCGAAATTGTTTGCATCGCACCATCTTGACTGGATTGGGTCAGACGTTGCAGTGTTAGGATGCTGTTGATTTTTATGGTTCTGTTCGCTTTCTTGTTGCTGTGAATCGTGTCCTTTTCTGTAATAATAATTTGATTCGATGAAATCGGCGGGTTTAAGGTCAGGAACAAGATTCGAGAGAGGCGGTAGTGGTGCGGTTGCTGCTATCATTTTCTTTATTGAACTACACTTTAAAATATGTTTAGACGACAACGATCACTCTATTACTATGCTATGAATACTATTCTATTACACTAAATCAAAGGTACATACAGTTCTTTATGACTTTCGAGTCGAAATGTATAAAAGTTGAAATGGATGAAGAAAAAAGAAAGGGTTGCAGAAATCAAGGATGCAGTAAGACTTTTATTTCAAAGAAAACGTTGTCTTTTTGTATTATTCCTTGTTTTTAAAAAAGGAAAAAAAAAAAAAAAAAAAAAAAAGAGAATGGCTTTTATGAATGAAAAAGAAAAGAAAAAGAAAATAACGAAAATGAATCCCAACAACCAAAACAATATAACAAAAGCTACATCACTTTTGCCGCCTTTTCTTAATTTTTTTTTCTCAAAAAAAATGCTTATTTGTTTACCTTTATTCTAAAATTCAAAAATTTGTGAAACTATGTAAATCGTATGTAGACATTTTCATTACATGTCATGAGATTTAAGCTTATTTTTCTGGCCCCTTTTTTCTTTCTGTATGCAACTGACTTTTTTAAGTTAGTCTTTTCAAACAAAACAAAGTGCTTTTTTTATCGATTGATTCTCCGTTTACCAGCAGAAAGCATGGCCAACAAGTAAACATTCTACTAACACTTGTCACTGACTTTGATTACATAAATATTAGATTTGTTTACTATTTACCTGAGTAGTGCTTGATGACTACATGTTACTATCATTCTTCTGCCGTATATAGTAGACAAATGTCCCTAAATAGAACAATAAAAAGGCACACGGTAAAAGTTTATTTTCTTTTTCTAAATTAAACGGAACCCGTGCTGCTATCAAATAAGAAAACATGATCGCACGGAAAACGGTACGAGACTAAACTATAATTTGCCATCATCTCAATTTAATTTAACTTGTAAAAAGGCTCTATTCGGACTATTAAGGCAACCACATCTAATAACAACATGCTATGCTATTGAAAGTTCTGTTTATGCACACCGAAAGTAAAGAAACAAATGTGCCTGATTGAATATTCGTGTGTTGTTTCTGCAAAAAAATTGCCTTTACTGTTCTTGTCCTATGGAGGACCAACAGAAACCTGCGAATACTATCCCGCTAAAATGTTACCGACTCACTTGGCTGTCCCTTGAAAATCCCGACTCTCTGGTTAAATGGCTGCTCTGGCTAAGGAAGTGATTGTATCTCAGAAGATGATGGTAGGAAACTGTGTGCACTTGCACAGCCATGAATACCTATGATCGACTAGCATCAGTTTCTTTCTTACTGCTGTACCTGACGACCGTTAGCGTTTAAAGTCTACTATACATACCATCTTGGATAATGAATCACTGCAGTTCAATAGATAGAACAGGTGAGTAGGATGCTTAGCTGCTTACAGCAACCTGTACATATGGCGGGAAAAGCTTTTAGTTTGAATGCACCGGAATTGCTCAGTGAACTAACTTAAGAATAAATTTTCCAATACAAAGTGCGGGAGCAAAATTCATGGTTCCGTTATTTAACGAGGAAGAGCAAAAAGTGAGTTCTTTCGTTTGTTGATACTGCTATCATACAAAATGAGACAACCACGCTTAACATTATCGCTAACAAAAACATTTATTATTGCAGACGAATGGCTTCCATTGACAGAGAAAGACATTTCGAAATAGATGCGCCTTTTTGAAGACCCTGTACCTATTTTAGTCTAAAGGTTGGTCCATGAACAGAGCATGATTCTTCAGTTTGGTACGATGTTGACTGTGTTCAACTTTATTATACAGTTTCGTAAAGTATATCACCTGAGCTTATATAACGAATCAAAAGTGAACGACTTCTTGATCTGTTAAACTGAGCCACTAGAACATTTGAAGCCTTTTCACTCCCGCGGGGGTAAACTGCCTACTTTTGCATGCTTTTACGTCAAAAATCGTAACTCTGTTTTTTCTCAATCAATCTACAAGCAAAGAGTATTAAAATATGCCTCGGTTTTCAACACTTTTTGCTGGAATAACGCTTGTTACAGTCCTTACTTATCAATCACGTATAAACTTAATCAGCAATACAGCTGATGTGCAGAAAGAAGTGGATGAGGTGAAAAACAAAGTAGATCGCATGGCGTCTACCGATGACGACACAAATCAACCGACGCGGCTTACTCTACGTCGTCCTACCACGGCTGTTGAGAATGCAATGGATGATGCAACAAAATACTACAAGAACCGTTTTGTACCTTCAGGTAAGAGTCAGGCCAGAATTTCTTTGTTGCAGGGAAGCTTATTTAACTAACATTATTTCTCTGTTTATTTCAAACATATTGCTGAACATGCCAATTTTTATAGTGAAAGAAAGTTGGAATGCACAAGTGCTCTCTGTTACTAGGGCCATGATACACTTCAATCTGCCTGCACGATGTAAGAGAATGATTGTTCAAAATATCTTTGGCACAAGCTCCTGACGATAACATCATGGCAATATTTTTGAGTTAAAATGTTATCACCTTATTTTTATTTATTTTTGTATTACAATAAGTAAAAAAAGAAAAAAAAAAAAGAAAAAATAGGTACAGACTTTTACATTTTTGATAAGAGGAGGGGCGCATGCTTCTCGATAAAAAATAATGAGTGCTTGAAGCATAGAAGTATAGATGCAAACTAACGCCTTCAATTTTTGAACGAGGCATCATGGGGAATGGAACCCTCATTTTTTCAGGGGAAAAGTGCTGATATTTGAATCCCAGTCTTCTAGAACAGTTGCAGAATATCAGAATAAAAGCTATTGCACATGGCAATTAATTGAGACAAATTTTACTTAGCTTCTACACATTTGCTGACCTCTGCTTTGACAATTTACGTATGAATAAATTACGATTACGTAATGGCTATGAAATGACGAATGGACTAACAGTAGAGTAACGCGTGATAACTATATCTAATTATTAGCTGTTTTTTCAAAGGTTGGACCAAATTTTGAAACACGTCGAACTCACTATGGCATAGAGTGGAGAGGGCGATGAAAAGAGCGAGGCGCTTGATTGAATATGTACATTTGTTTTTTTTTTTTTTATCGAACCCAAATCAACAATGGAGCCTTCTTATATAGCAAGCGTATGAGAGAAAGGAGAGGAGGGAGAGAATATGAATACAGATAAAGACTCACAATATGATGAAGTAGAAGGTCTATAAACACAAAACTAATTAATACAAGGATGATATAAGTAATATACATGAAGTCTATGTGAAATGCTGAGTTGTTATCAAGGCTTAAATCTCGACTATCTTGGACGCTGCCTTTCTTAATCTATTCATGACAGCCATGCCTTCCTTGTCTTCGGGAATCCCTTCAACAAAAATGAGATCCACTGAGCGGCCATCCAAATCGCGCAAGCCCTTAAACATACCACGAGCAACTTCTTCGGGATGACCACGACGGCCCATTTGTAGCGAGATACATTCGACATTATCATCCACCTTCGCAATACTTTCCCATACTTCACTCTCACCGTCTTTTGTAGTACGTAACATACCAATCTTCGATATGCCCACGCCTGTCTGTTTAATGATGTCTAATTGCTCTTTCCAAACATGATCAAATTTTTCATCGAATGATCGATTTGCTGTTGTGTCGTTATCTGCTTTGCGGTCGATCAAAATAACCATTGCCTCTGGTGAGTAATGTCGATATTTCATACCAGGTGTCGTGGGTGCCATCTCCAAGTCCTTATCCACAAAATGCTTTCTGTATACTTGCAAATTCTCCATGCCATCGGATTGTTTAAGTGTTTCGTAAGTCAATCCACCTGGTCGTAAAATAGCAGGTGGCGATCGTAGGCCGTCTAACACTGTGCTCTCAACGCCGACGTTACATGGACCTCCATCAATAATCATGGGTATACGCCCTTGAAGATCATGATAAACGTGGCTAGCCAATGTAGGCGACGGTTTACCGGAAGAGTTGGCTGAAGGTGCAGCTAAAGGAAATCCACAAGCTTCTATCAAACTGCGAGCGACCGGATGTGCTGGGAACCGAACAGCTACTGTAGGATGGCCACAGGTAACTGAAGAGGGAATGAGATCCGATGTAGGTACAATAATCGTAAGTGGCCCTGGCCAATGCTGACGGATAATGGGCAAGTAGACTTCAGGTACTTTTCTGTCGGGCAAAATAGACTTTAACATTTCAATGGAAGACACATGAACAATTAAAGGGTTGTCTTGAGGTCGATTTTTAGCTGCAAAAATTTTCGATACTGCTTGTTCATTGAGAGCATTAGCAGCAAGACCATACACTGTTTCTGTTGGAACACCGATGGCTTCGTTCTTTTTTAACCAATCCACCGCCTTGTTAATCGCAGCCTGATCGTTTTCGTTATTGAGCACGCACGTCGCATTTTGTTCCGGAAAGTCAGTGGTAGTTGACTTTCTAAAGCTGAAATTACTGCTATTAACCTTATAGACTTCTGTTTTAAACATAGTGGAATAGAAAGAACGTTGAAGAGTTACAGCAGTCCGCAAGGAAAACCGCATTTATTCTCAATTATTGAAACCGAACCATGACAAATCCATTAGCCCCCATTTTATTCATACACCAAATGGTGGAGCCACCTAAGCCACTTTGTGTAACCAATAGACGATTTATTTCACGCATGAAAAAAAAAAGGGCGGATCTGCAATGTAATTTTTATTCATTGCTAGAAAAATAGTTTAAAGTGCAATTGCAAATAAAAAAGATAGTAGAAATCAGTCAGGTCAATATCTGAACGATCATGTGCGAGCTTTACAAACGCTCACTCGCTTTCTTTCACAAGCTGGATCTGTAAAAAGAGGTATGAGGGAATGCCTAAGCGTAGTGAAACTACTATGAAGTTGACGAGATAAATCAGAACAAAAAAAAGGGGATATGCACCGTACAGAAAATAGGTAATTTTTATTTAAACAGTAACCATACTACATGCTTAGTTTCTTGAAGTAACTAAATAAAAGGAAAAGGTCTTTTGTTTTTGTTTTTTTTTTTTTTTTTTTTTTTTTTTATGATACGCTTTTTTAAGAGACAATATATATGTATTGATGGCATTTCGAACAAAAACAAAAAGCCACGACAATAATTGATAGGGTCAATACGTAATAGATCCTGGTTGTCTGAAGCTCTAGACAGTACATCAAATCTTTTGCTAACTTAGCTATTGCTTCTGTGGTAAACTTTTTTTTTTTTTTTTTTTTTTTTGCTATCCTACGGGAAGGGGTTGACAGTTGTATTAAATCCTTGCTATTAGAAACGTAATTTCAACAGTAAATTGAAATCCTTAAAAAAACCAAAAAGGTATTCTTATTGCTAAAACGTATATTATACTTTTATTAGATTTAAGGTCCTTATTCATGTATACAATCTAATACAAGTCAGCTAATAAACACATTATAACTGTCTCACTTGCTATCATTATCATTTCTTGAGCGTCCTTTGTCATTCTCTTTATCAAGAGAAATATCGCTTTTTCTTGAACTGCGCTGGTTTGCTTCGCGAGAATCATGTCGCCTAGTGGAGCCTTGGGTATCTTCTTTTGATCTATCTCTTCGTTTAGAGCGGTCATCATTGTCTCTAAGCCTACGTCGTTTTGACGATGGCTCCTCTTCATCAGCCTGTCTATCTCGTTTGATAGGACTTTTTGTAGCATCCTTGGATCCTCGCCTCTTTCTGTCATTTCCAACTTCATCGTCCCTGGATCTAAGTCTTGTAGTTGTGTCTTTATCGTTGTCATTTTTTGAGCGGCGCGAACTTCTGTCGTCCTCTTTAGTCTCTCTGTGGCGATGTTTCCGGCTTGAGGTATCTTCAACCTCGTCTTTTGAACGGTAACTTTTATGCGATGTATCATCCCTTCCTCTAGATCGACTCCTTTTTCTTGCTGAGTGCTTCTCATCTTCCCTCGATCTACTTCTTCTTCTCCTTCTATCAGCTGTCCTATCATAATTATCATCTCTATGTCTGTGTCTTCTAGAACGTTCAGAACGTTTCTCCTCTCTACTTTCGGCACGTCTTCGTCGTCTTCTGGTATGTCTTGAGGATTCACGATGTCTACTGCTTGACCTCTCCCTTCTTCTAGACGTCGATCTATCAGTTGAGCTACGACGTTTTCGACGGCTATCTCTTTTGTCTCTGTAAGTACCGGGAGACCGTGATCTTTGTGATAATTTTCGCCTTCTATCTCTCGACCTTGACCTTGACCTTGACCTTGACCTTGACCTTGACCTTGATCTTGATCTTGATCTTGATTTTGATTTTGATTTTGATTTTGATTTTGATTTTGATTTTGATTTTGATTTTGCTTTTGTTTTTGATATCGATTTATTGTCATCTGGCGAAGAGTCTCGGCTCTGTGTATGTGATTTTTTATCTTCCTCTATTTTTTGACTGATGGGCTCACCGTAGTCATCCACTAAATCCCATTCATCTTGTTTTTTTGGTTTTGTTTTCCGTTGAAGACTAGCCAGTAGAGCCTTTGCTTCCTCATGAGTAGGATCATATTTTAAAGCGCGTTCCAAATGCTCTTCCGCATCAGCTAGCCTTTTCTGTTGAAGGAGACTATTTTTATGTACAAAATCATAGCATTTAACAACTACGATTTCAAGCATTTGTTTGATACCAGACATTTTTAGAGATGCTTTTTCTTACCCTTCAGCAACGTGAAACCATCCGTTTGCATATTTAGGATCCATATCTAATGCTCGTTTATAAAATTCCATTGCTTCCTTAATTCTGTGTTCTTTATAACACTTGACACCTTCTGCGACACTATCAGCCGAATATTATCCATATGTGTTAATCAAACTGCCATATTTGTCATCTTTTTAAGCTCATTTTCTTGTTCTTTTCTCTCTTGACAATCGGCATATCAGTTTTATACTTACGCATCGCGAGCATAATTTCTATTTTGTATATCTCGTAATTCCATAAAATTCTCTAAAGGTTTGATATCTTCTTTCGAAATGCCACGGTCCTCTAATACAGCGTCTGTACTTTCGAGATCCAAAAACGTTTGCATTCTAGCTGCTTTAGAATTAACATTGAACAAACTAGCTAGCTTTAACCATTGGTGAGGATTCATCAACATGGCGTCGTCGTGTATATTCGCTAACCAAGAATTCTGTTGGGCTGGTGTTAAAGTGCTAAGTTTTGTGAAAATCTCTCTCTCTGTATCACCATCTGGAGCCATAGGCTGTAAATGCGAGTGTTCACTTGCTGCAGTATCGGGCAGCTTTACAGAAGTTAAACGACGGCCATTAGACGTTTCTCTGTTGGCGTCACTAGTGCTCTTAAAAAGGTTGTTTCCACGAGCAGCCAACTCTTCTTTTTCTTTCCGCGCTTTTCTGTCTGCTTTACGTCTAAGTAAATCCTGCGTAGCTTCATTACTTATCTTTTCAAATCTCGCCCTGACTGATGTCTTATGAACGAACATGTTTATTCGATCTTCAAAGGCAGTAGAGCTGTTGTCATTGTTTTTGTTGGCAATAAACGCATTGTTATGATCAGGCTGAGAGGCCTTTCTATAAAAGTAATGCCTCGAGGGAGCATTTTTCACTTCTGCTGATGCTTCCATGATTTCAACAAATATATATTTCCATCAGAAAGCCTGACAGAGAGAAAGTGAAGTAGGCTATGGTATAAGAAACAAATTGTTAAAGTGTTTAGGGGCCACTTTGTCATTATAAAAAAATCTCATTTAAAGTCCGAGTCATCTGTATCTGGAAGTTTTTCAAATGGGCAACTGTTGAAGAATACTGCTCATATTTAAGCATAACCCTCCAATGAGGGTCATTCGACTTATTGTTATAATAAGACGATAAGCCTTTTAAGTCGTTACCCAAGTGTATTTTGAAATTTGTACATGTTGCAGGCTCTGCACCACAGCCCTTATGAAAAGGATTGATAAGCTACACGAAGCTCTATTGATAGATTGCAATGAGCTTGTTTGCAATATCAAAGTGCACAATAAGTTTAACGAGTATCATTTATATTGAACTCTTTATTTGATCGTAAGTTTGGCTATCCTTCTTTGAAAACTTAAGACTAAATAAAAGCGTACGAGGAAGCATCTTTATATTGGTCAGTTTAATTGCTTGCGGTTACACAGAGCCAAAATAAAGGGGTTCAATTCTCCAAGCCTTGGCCTTATTTTTCAACGACAATGAGAATAAACTGCAGCCTATGTTGCACGACACAGATATATTTTTTTTCTTTTTTTTTTTTTTTTTTTTCTTCTTCCTATAAGAAAGATCAAATACTTTGCTTTTCTTTCATTTCTCTGTTTTACCTCTTCTACTGTTTATAGCCTCGACAGGATCGTCTTATCTATAAAGAATCTTTCACTACACACTGATAGAGGAAGATATGCCACCCAATATAACGCTCCCTGAACAACTGCTATCTTCGCCTACTGTGGATGCTCCCGCGACACGCATCATCACAGAAAATGATTTTCAACGACTCATCAAAGAAGGAAACTCTGTGTTCATTTACGAATCCAAAGTATATAAAGTTAATAATTTCATCAAGAAACATCCAGGAGGAGAAGCCGCTTTAGAAAGTGCGTTAGGGAGAGATGTTACAGACGAGATACGTACAATGCATCCACCTAGAATTTATGAAAAAGTGATTAATTTATACTATTATGGTGACTATGTACCCAATATGATACACCACCCTGACTACAACAAGCAGATAAAACGAGATGATAGTATGACACATCATGATGGCAAACAACAACAACAGCAGCAGCAACCGTTAGCTCTGAACGCAACGTGGGATGGTAACCTCGACATGAAAGCGTTTGATGATGCTATAGAAGAGCTCTATATGCATCACTCAAAAGATTTAGCTAGGGACTCTTTAGCACAACAAAATCTGAACAAAGAAAAGATACGAGAAGCTTATCGAAGACTAGAACAGAAGATACAAGCACGAGGTCTATTTAAATGCAATTATTGGAAATACGCTATAGAGTCATGTCGCTATCTATCTTTCATCTCTTTATCATTATGGTTCACGCTAGGTGGAACCACAACATGGCATTATATAACAGGTGCCTGTTTTATGGCTTTATTTTGGCATCAACTCGTCTTCACAGCTCACGATGCGGGTCATAATGGTATAACTGGCCGTTCTGAAATTGATCATATCATTGGTGTGATCATTGCCGATTTTATTGGTGGACTCAGTTTAGGTTGGTGGAAAGATAATCATAATGTGCACCACATCGTTACCAATCATCCTGAGCACGACCCCGATATTCAGCATATGCCATTTTTTGCTATTACTACAAAGTTCTTCAACAATATTTATTCCACGTATTACAAACGCGTGTTACCATTTGATACCGTCTCGAAATTTTTTCTTAGACGTCAACATCATCTCTATTATCTCATTTTAGCGTTCGGTCGTTTTAACCTACATCGTTTGTCATTCATGTATCTTTTCTCCAAAAAGAATGTCAGAACGCGAAAGTTAGAATTAACAGGCATCGCTACATTTTTCGTATGGTATAGTAGCTTACTATCTACCTTACCGACTTGGAATATCCGAATGGCTTACTTGTTTATATCGTACATGTTGACTTTTCCTCTTCATGTTCAGATTACGTTATCTCATTTCGGAATGTCTACTGAAGATAAAGGACCCAATGAGCCTTTCCCTGCAAAGATGTTACGTACGACCATGGATGTCGATTGTCCAGAATGGCTGGATTGGATACATGGCGGATTACAATATCAAGCAGTGCATCATTTGTTCCCCCGATTACCGCGCCATAATTTACGCGCCTGTGTGCCGTTAGTGAAAGAATTTTGTAACGAGGTGGGGCTTCATTACTATATGTACAATTTTACTACCGGCAATGGTGTGGTCTTGGGCGCCTTAAAATCAGTAGCAGATCAAGTAGCTTTTTTGAACAACGTAGCCAAGAATAATGCAGATATCTGGGCAGGGAAGGAAGGCAAGAAGCTCCAGTCAAGATAACAAGCCCATGATCTATAACACATTAAATGCCGCAAAATAGAGAATATTCCCCCAATCAGTGCCAAAGAAAAAGATAATTAAGCAAAATTAAATGCATGCGTCAGTTAATTATCTCTGTAAGTCTTTGCTAAAGTTTGGAGTCTATTCATGCTGCCATATTATCCATTGCTAGTATCACATTTGCGACAGAGCTTTTTGTGTTGTTTTTTTTTTTTTTTTTTTTTTTGAGATTTCAACGTTGCGGGGTTTGAGGGGGATCAAAGCGCGTTTCTAATCCACGCTCGCTTTTCATCCAGCGCGGTCACAGGTTATTGTACAAATTCAAGCTGTTTCTATTATAAAAAGGGAAAAAATTAAACTTCTCCATTATAATCTCTGCTTTATTGTCGCTTTTCGTCATTTCTCAATTACAGGCTTTGGAAAGATGAAGAACAATGAAAACGTCCAGCCTGAATCCATGAAAACAAGAGATAAAGCAGTGAGTTACTGACACTGAAATAGTAAATCAAAATACATTCTTGCAAACTGATCTTATTGTTTTTTGCCAATGCAGTCGTCACCGGCATTGCCAAAAGTAAATCAAAGCAGTAGTAGTTGACTTAACTATATTTTTGAATATATCAATAACATCGATTGTCTCATTATTTTTAGCACAGAGCGGTTTTGTCTGACAGTCGAACACTGTCGCCTGACGCAGAACAACGAATAGTAAGACTAGGCTTTTCTAGCAATTCTAGATTGGCAGATCGTGTTTGACAACTTTTTCATTTTTTTTACAGGCTGCCACAGAGGATACCAAGACCAAATTAAAGGACTCGAAGGAGGCAACTGAAGAGTCAAAGTCAGGAACAATGGAACAACAGTCAGAATATGAGCCTACAAGGAACGAAGATCTCGCATACAAAAATAAGCATTTGGTCTTTGAAAACACAGTAGAAGTAGCCAGAAGATCACCTGTTCATTTACCAGAAAGCTTTCTTTTCAATGAGCCACTTACTGATGAAAGTAGTAGCTTTGAGTTCCTTTCATACCATAAAGATTCCCCAACCAGATCACCTCTCGGATCACCCATTGTTGCAGAAAAGAAGACACAACGACCATCCGATTCAGCAACAGCTTCACCCTTGCCATCCCAATTGCGAGATGTCACAAATATAGAAGAAGACGCTGAAGAAGAATTAGATAGGGCCGAAATCGAACGAGTACAGAAAGAAATGGACCATAAATCATTAACGATAGACGAGAAAGAAGCGCAACTTCGACGAGTACGCCAGGAGCTGCATCAAAAAGAAGATGAACTAAGCCATCTAAATGAACGTCTATCAGAAGTCGAAGCATTGGAAACAAAAATTGCAGATTTGGAAGATAAGACAAAGGAATACAAGGAACAATTTCAAGAGTTGGTCGAAATACTAGGCCAATCGACTATTGCAAAGAAACTTGACAGTAAAGAAGCTACTATTAATGAATTGCTGAATCATCTATCCGAAATCCAATACAAGATCCATGAACTGAAAGAACGTCGTCGTCGTCAAGAAGAATAGTAATAAAGTCACTTCTTCACTATTAGTAGCTTTGCATAATACATACACAAACAAACATTATTCACCGTCACGTACCTCATTTAAATATTATTATGCTTCATCATGAAATAAAAAAAAAAAAAAAATGCATTTTGTAAATCTCTTTTCAATTTGTTATTCTTTCATTTTGATATGGGTAAACGTAAAGAAGATACCTTCCATTTATTCGAGAGTTATTTGGCTTCTGGATTTGCCAATCAAAACTCCATAGCAAACGGTAACACTATAGTATTAGACTTCAATTAGGCTCGGACATTTGTATTAAGCTCCTCAACTTCGTACTATTATCGACAGTTCCCAGCCAATTTGTTCCGTTACCGGATTCAATGGTGAGTTTCTAATACTTATATTGTTTTCAAATGTGTGAACCGAACTGCTTATTCATCTTGCTTTTGCTAGAGAACTTCTACGCTCTTAGAGCAGATCGGTCAAGAACGACGATGGACAGAAGAACAGATGAATCTTGACATTGCCATTCTGGAGGAAAATCGGTTATATTACGTAAGTCGCAGTATTTGATTAAGTGGATTGGAATGGTTGTAATCAATGTTATATGATAGGTGAGCGACTTACGTGAACTGTCGAAAAGCAGTTGGAAGGTAAAAAGCAAACGCATTCCCCCACATTAGATCACAAAATTACGTAATAAATTTATGCTCATGTTTCATCGTTCAATTGAAGGTTATCACACTACTACCAATTGTTAAAGATTTGTTGCGAAAAGCTATTCGGACGCAAGATCAGCCGCAACCGGCTCGTAATCCACCCCCTATCGAGAATAGTACTACCATCAGCAGCAGCGTTTTAGGTAATGATCGAATGTTAACCACTACAGCAACTGCAGATGATCCCTATTCCAAATTAGACAAGAAGAGTCGAAAGCAGCTTAAAAAAGAAATAAAGAAGGAGAAGAAACGAATGAAAGAGAAAAAGTACAAGTCAAGATCAAGCGAGCCGCTCATTAATCAAGATTCTGAAACGGTGAGAAATACAATTCAAAATCTTACTATTGAGCATATAATAACGGGTAATAACAGTGATCCAACGACACCATCCGCTTTCTCAACGAAAAAGAGGGTTTCATTTTCGAACGAACTACCCATCACAGGGACAGAGCAAGATCATATGAGCGTTAGTAGTACTAGTAGTAGCAGTAGTAGTAGTAGTAGCAGCAGCAGCAGCAGCAGCCATTGTGAAGATAGTGAAACAAAGAATGCTAAGGGTGCTATTGCTTATGACGATGAACCAATGGCACCTACTGCAACCACGGATAACAGTAAGCACAGAATAATGACAGCGTCAACTACAATCACATCTAATGCTGTTCCTTCGAATGACGCAACAGAAAGCATGGTGGTCGATGCAAACAGTAGCAATCATCAGATGCCTAGAAAATTCGTAGGTCGACCTATCAAAGCAATAAACGGTAATCGTGTAAGAGTCAGGGCAGATAATGGCGAAATATTCGAAGCAGATCGATGGTGTCCACATAAACATGTCGATTTAGCAACTTGGGGACAAGTAGTCGGTCGCAAGTTAATTTGTACAAAACACAACTGGCAATTTTATTTAGATGGCTTTCCCTTGACCAAAGGAAAAACCATCAATCCTTGTAAAGTGAATGACTGGTGAAGCAATGTTACTGTTCTGCCTTTGCTATATTCGGCTATGATTCCTAGTTTGCTTCTTCTTTTTTTTTTTTTTTTTTTTGGTCTTCTTTTATTTCATTAGCAATAAATATACAATGAATAGGTATATACACAGCTGCATGCTAAGATAAATGTAGCAGTTATGACTTATTTCTTCTTAGACTTGGGCTTGGGAAGAGGTACCTCATAAGGTTGAATTCCTTGTCGATATTTTTCTACCCAATTTAGGATATACCTATTGTTGACGCATGCTTAATCCAAATTGAAATTTTCAAGGCATCTACAACTGAAGTTCACTTACTTTCTAGACTTTGTGTCAATACCCAAGTCATGTTTCATAACGCCACTACTTGTCGTGAATAATTTATCCCAAGTCTGAAAGCAATTGAATAACAAAGTCAGTACACATTAGCAACTGAATTGCGAAAGCTTGTTCCAATGTCTTTACCTCGAATTTCTCTGCATATTGTTCTGTGTTCCGTCCAATTGCTTTTAGGAAAGCATTGACGTCCTGAACGTTGCCTGGGCCAACACAGCATGTCAGTCACTGATCTATTTGCAAAGTCTCGTTTTGACAGTTTACCTCGGGCGGTTGGTACCGTTCTATTCAAGGCAACATCGCGCAAACCTCGTACGCTATTTTTTAAAATGTGTGTGCTTTTAAAAACGTTGGCGGTTGTTGCAATGACAAACATGGCAATAGGTTAATGTAAATGTGGGGGAGCAGCCACTTGAGGATTGTCTGCCCTGGCATAATATTGCCATTTCTGTGATCGTTGTCCCATCTGGATTTCGGCCAATGACAGCTGAGACGATCTGAACTTTTTTAAAATTGAATGTCCGCCAACCCTATTGTCAATCAACAATGAAAGGAAATTCATGCTGTTTGTATTTTTGAAATGCGTTTTTCTTCTTCTGTTACAGTATGAGTCATTATAGTAAAAATAGTCTGGATCACTTTGACTTAAGCTACTGTAGATAATATGTACAATAATAATAATGTATCAGAAAAGAAACAAGCTCCATCTTATGCTTTTGTAGCACCGAATGGCGGCCCAACACCAATGCAAAGAGAGCGTGAACAAGTACAACAACAAATAAACAATAATCCCAACGGTTATCCGGGTGTAATAGGTGGCACGCCTGCTGCCTCTAAAGGCGTGCAAGGTTATGATGCACAAGGCAATCCCATTATTCCGCCTTTTATCGCTCAAAGACATCAAATTGAGCAAAGCCTAGGACCTACTTGTCCAAAGGGAGGAGGATATCACGATTTAAGAATGCATTTAACCGGAACATCATTGTTATTTGCAGTTTTGATAGTGCCGTACTGCTGCGGTTATCGAGGCAGAAGAGTATGTGTCTGTACTAAATGCAGTCAAAAGTTCCCTAACATCGTATTACCATCAGCATAAGTAATGGAGAAAGGAGAATACAAACTTACAATGTTACAATGCAGCTTATATGCCTGAAAAGGTCATCTTTGTTTATTACTTTTGACAAACTATTTTCCCCAGTGATAGAAAACTTCAATTGCTAGCAATAAAAGAAAGCAGTTATTGACGTATCGAAAACCTTTGCTCTTGCTTGGTTTTGAAGGAGTCGATGCCAGAATAGTTAAACGCTTATTGTTATAATTGTTCATCGTTATTGTTATCCATGGTGATGACGACTGCTGTTAAATTCACCAACTCCACGTCATTATCATCATCCACTTTCTTTTTAAGTGATGAAAATTGCAAAATCTTTTCTCCACTACTTTCGCCCCAATGATCCACCATGTTGCCTTTTTGGATAACTCTTCCACTTTCTGAGCAAACTGAGATCCTATCCATATTTCCATTGTTACTTTGAAAGATAAAGGAATGTGACTATAATAAAGCGTTCAGTGCTGATAGTAGGTATAAGGGCCAACAAGATATCTTGCCTATTTCTCTTGCTTGGAAAAAGACAGTTTTAAGAGGCATGCAAAGTTGTATTGTCGCATCAGGAAAAACGCAACGCTGCCACCGATAAAGGCAACTAAGGCAGCAAGTAAAATGCCACCAGAACACCTATGGATACACTCTATAAGTGTCGTGACAAAAGTGAACCCAAACATAGGTGATATGATGTTATCAAAACAGAGACTGATGGTAACAATTAGCTAAAGGGCTTCGTGCACAAGTTAAGCTACATTCTGAATGACATATATATATATATATATATATATATATATTTGAGGTTGCAAACAGTCAAATCAATTGACAAGGAAAAGTAATTCTTTGTATATGAATCAGGTTGCTTACGTGCGATGAGCTTCCATTAAAACAAGTGGTATATCAAGAGTAATGCACGAAGAAGAGCTACGATACTGATAACGGTGAATAACCACTTCTTTCGTACCATCATTGTAAGTGGAGAGACAAAAAAAAAAAAAACCAAAAAACAATGGAAATTTTCTCATTTACTAGTTGACAAAAATGTCAAATTTGAAGGTGCTAGTTTGTCTAATGATGCGTTTTTGCTGCTTGTTGACGATGTGCAAGCAGACCATGCGACAAATGAACATTGATAAACTATCATTCAAAACCACAAGTTGTGTATAAATCGTCTGCCATTGAAGTGGAACTTCAACTTTTGACCGATGAGGAAACTCTTTGATCCTTCCATTCATGGAAATAATGATGATACTTCCCGGCTAAATAAACGATCACCCTCCTAACATTTGTGTCTGGAGATATGACGAAGTACGCCCGGCCACCCACCTTGTTACTTCAAGTGGCGTGTTTATGAAAGATCTGAATAACCATACATATAATTCATATTATGTATATACCAGAAAAACGAAAATGAAAAACGGAGATTGTATTTCTCTAGAATGAGCATGCCATTGGTCTGACTTTAACTTTTTACAGTATGCTATATTGTACAGGGTTGTTGTTTCACTTAGTTGCCTTTGCACTTGCATTGTTTGAGTTATCCCTTCCAATTTAGCCTACTTCAATTCACAGATAATGCCTGCCGCTCAGGAGACAAAAATCTTATTGGCGCCACTAAAGCTGTTTAGAGAAATATTGCGTGCTCATCGTTCACTACCGCCTGCTATGCGTTCATTAGGAGATGAATACGTCAAAGCAGAGTTTAAACGACATAAAACCATCGATAATCCAGCTCATATAGTAGGCTTTGTATCTCAGTGGCAATCGTAAATGACCATGTTTCACTAGACGACTCTCTCTTTTGTTGTTGTGTTAATACTAAATTATTTTTCTCCTTTGTGTCATTAGCTATCTTGACATGGTGAAAGAGCAAACAGCCCCATTAGCTGAAGATTCCACAGCACCTTCTCACGATCCTTTAGTGAGGAGTTTTCAAGTACCCGAGGGTGGATGGGGAAAGAAACTGGATTCACAGCTCTTAGATAAAATGAGCGATGAGCAGTTGAGTCAATTATATGAATTAAGGACGGAACTGAAAAAGTCGTTCAGTGGGGATGATACCATGAATGAAGTAAACAACGAAAAGGAGACGAAATAAAAGCAGCAAACGAAGTAATTACAGTTTCTGTCTAAAATTTATTACAAAAGTTTCGACGAGATACTACTATTCACACAGTTGTATGAGCGTTGGGTTCTCAAAATGCTGGCTTTCGCTTGTGATGACGAGTCAAAAGGGGTGGGATAAATACTTGAATTGTTACAGACCTATACGGTGTCTTCATAATCTGTCTTTTCTACTTCGTAATCAGGCACGTCACCAGTGAACATCCACGAACGTTGTTCACCCTCACTTAAATGGTCGCAACTGCCATTCATTACCAACTCCCAGCTAGCACCATTATCGGAACGTACCAGTTTGGACAAAGAACAAGTACCACAATGTACTGGGTAGTTGGCATTTTTTAACAAACCACGCACAGCACAAATGGCAGACGCAGCATGACCCGCCAAAACAATGGAGTGTGGAGGGTTAGGTTCGCTATCCAATTGTTTTAACAATAAATCAAGTCCTTTCTTGACTCGAACGTGGCATTCCTGAACCGTTTCAATGCCATTAGGTAGAGGAATGCACGAATGATGGTCGTCAATATTGAGCTTTGGAAAAAGCTTTTTTAATTCGACTAATGGGGCACAAGGAAGATACTACAATGAAAATTTTCATGAGAAGCTCGACCTCTTTTAAGAACTACAGTTTCAAGAACTTTCAACTACAATACCCTGCCATGAGCTTTGCCATACCATTCGCTACATCGAGGCAATCATATTCGTTAATAGTGAGTATTAATATTATATGCAATTATGCAGAATTGGCTATCACTACCCCCCCCCACTGTATATACTTTACGCCATACTATAGTCCACATAAAGTGGTACATTGCTCTTTTCGATAAATGGGTAAACTGTCTCTAAGACTCGATAAAATGGTGATGAGTAGACTCGATCGATGTTCTTGTCTTTCAAGAATTCGGCTAATTCCTGTGATTGCTTTCTGCCTGAATCAGAAAGAGTTGGATCGTTGCGAAGACCGGTTGGATAGTAGGGATCATCGTTCACCCAGTCTTCACGGAAGCCGTGACGTACAACCCAAATTTCCTTAACACCCATCGTGTTAATATTAAGTTGCTCTGACAACTAAGAAAAAATAATTAAATTAGGAGAGATCAAAAGTTCAAAAGAAATGTTTCATGCTTTTTTTAAGTCACAAAATGGCAAAATTTAACATTGCTCTTCAAAGACAATGTTAAACAGGAGCACCCAGACTACATGAACTGGATTGTGTAAGACGTGGAAGTAGAGTTTGAAACGAAATCACTTCAGCGACGTCTACATTTTCCCGTTTTGGTATACATCATTCGTTAGCTTTTACACGAAGAATTGTCAGATAACTTATACGAACAGAAACATCTGTCAAGGTACAGCAGATAAATAAGCTACTGTTTTCTAAATATCGCTCTTTAAGCAAGAAGCATGCCGTCAGCAGTTTTGCTATGTTGTCCGATAGTCTTAAAAAGTGAATCTGGACCTTCTTTCCAAGCTTTATACCCACCTTTGGACGGTTCTCGGCTCTAGCTCTAGACTTACGGCAGCTGCTTGAGCACTGTCTTTAGGTGAGTATCAACCAAATGTAGAGCGCGAGTTTTTATATCGTTGGTAACTCGAGCTCCATTTACTTTTTTGGTTGCCTCTTCATCGCAATCTCCATTTCCTTGACCGTCAAATGAATTAAAGTCCATTTGCAAAAATAAGAAATTCTCAAGTAAAGACAAGCAGTTATATTCATTCATATTATACGACACTCTTTATTTCCTTAATGCGTCATTTTTTTTTTCAGCTTATGCGACAACTTAATCTTTTTTAGTGCGACATCATATTGGCAAAAGCTGTACAAAAAAAAAAAAAAAAAAAAAAAGAATAATTTACAAACACTCGCGTTCATCTTTCTTCTTCAATCTAAACTCCGCTTTTTTTTTTTTAAATCGAATGTGTGATTTTTACTATCTTTTTTATATCCTTTATCAATAATCTTCATATAATCGATTGGTATTCATTAAATGGAATTGTTTGGATGGGGAAGGTAAGGTATTTGAGGATGGCTTACTTTCATTCATCATGGCTTGAATATCATTGTGCTTCCGAATGTTATAACCATTGTTACTATTATCAGCAGGTGTCGTGTCATTGTTGAGAGCCTCAGTATTTTGTGGGTTGTTGGCATTTGACATGGTAGCCTCGGCTGGTAAATACGAATTTACTGCTGCTGCTGTTGTATTTGTATTAGGATTGACAATTGTATTATGAGTGGTATCGGGCATAAATGAAGAGGGAGCATTTGTGTTGTATTGTCCTTGCATTCCAACTTGTTGCTGCTGTTGTTGAAGTTGATGCTGGAGTTGAGGAGATCCTCCAAGGCCTGATTTTGTTTGACTACGTAAACTGCAAAAAAAAAAAAAAACAAAAAAAAAAGACAGAGAGGCGTTAAAAAGACTCGCAGTACGATCAACAGATACTTGACCCGTCATATTAAAGTGGTACTTACACTCGACCACTCGACGAACCTGCAGGAGGGTGGAAATGAGTACGTTTTACAGAGAAAAGGGGATCAGCAATGTTTGGTTCAATTGGATTGGTTTCCTCTGCCAAAACCCTTTTTCTCTCATACTTACCACCTAACTGTTGCTGCTGTTGGTGTTGACTATTTTCTCTCACAAGCATTCGGCCGCCACCACTGCCGCCTGCTGCTGCTGCTGCTGCTGCTGCTGCCGCTGATGCATTTGGATAACCTAGATGTGATGTATATGGATCAGGATATATTGTAGGAGATGCTAACTGCGGCGGTACATTTTGTTGCGGCGTCATCTGAGTCTGTAATTGAGGAGGGGGTGGTTGCTGATGTTGCGTTTGCGGTGGCAATGGTTGATGCTGGTGAGGCGTGGGCAACATGGGAGCTCCAGCGCCGCCACTTGCAAAGTAAGTAGGTTTATGCTGCTGAAGCATTTTTTGTTGTTGCTGATATTGGAGCATCACATCATCCAATTTTCTTGAAGTTTCAGGTGATTTTGTTTCTGTACGATAAGGAGCCCTTAAATTAGCAGAAGGAAGCGGTGCTCCTCCGCCAGCTGCCATGGTATTTGTTAATCTCCTGGAATTGGCAACGGCGGCAGCAGCAGCGCTATGATCAAATGGAGGGTTGGATGCCATATAAGTATTCAAAGGGTTCATCCCAGCGTCTGGCGTTTGATAGGCTTTCTTTTCTTGCTATTAATAGAAAAAAAAAAACGAGATTGCATAAAACGGTAAGGAGGCACGTTCGAACCTTAAATAATGATTATGTCGCCACAGCTACCGATATGGCTGCTGCTGCTGCTGCTTCTACTGCTACTGCCCACTACTTACCAATTTACGGATGGTCCAATCAAATACATAATCGTACTGAAATCCTTCTCTTACAAACAAATCTCTGAATAGCTTTCTCAAGTAAGAATAGTCGGGCTTGTCATCAAAACGTAAAGAACGGACGTAATTGAGATATATTGCAAATTCCTGATGCAAACCACGGCATAATGCGTCTGCAGGCGTGGTCATCTTTTTTTCCATGATCTTGTCATATTTTTCTTTCTTTGTTCTTGCTCGAATGCCTTGCCAGGGTAACTGTCCTCTACAAAAATAGACTAGAATGTACCCTAGTGATTCGAGATCATCGCGCCGTGATTGCTCTTTGATTAAGGTAAAAGAAAAAGAGGGGGGGGGAGGCGGGGGCCGAGTGAGCGTGAGTAATCATGAAGCAGGCTGAGCAAATATCCATATGCTTTTTTAACCAATATTATATATTACCTATGCCTAAATGAGTATTGACACTAGCATAACGCGGTGTACCAGTTAGGTTTTTGTTTTCTCTGTAGGGTATATGAGCGTTACTCTTTGGATCTCTATATCTCTTAGCCAAACCAAAATCGATCATATTGACTTGATTTCCACGTTTGCCAATACCCATCAAAAAGTTATCAGGTTTGATATCTCTATGAATAAATCCTATAAATAGATATATGTTCAGCAAACAACTATTGCCTTAACGATGTGACAATATTTTTCTCGTTTATATACAACACCTTTAGAATGCACATATTCAACGCGTGACAACTAAAAGATAAATGATTGAAAAGAGGAAGGGAGGGTGTGAGAAATCAGGTCAATATTGATTGGTTTCTAACGGCTTTGCTTCTTTTTTGTCTAGTAAGCATCTACGCTTATACGTCTTTCACTTTTTTTTTTTCTTTTTTTTCACTGTCTGTAAAAGACCATCTACCCTTGACCTTTTCAACATGAGTATGATATATTTACCAACTGATCAGCTAATAGTAATACAGTCTTCAAAGAGAAACGTCTTTTACAATAATTGAACAAATCTTCCATAGAAGGGCCCAATAAATCCATGACCAAAACATTAAAATCGCCTTCTCGGCCATACCACCTCACAAAGGGAATACCGACACCACCTGCTAAAGTCTTGTATACTCTTGCTTCATATTCTAACTGAGGATGGGCTGCTCGTACGCTTTCTAATTTGACACCGACATCCTCTCCACTCATAATATTGGTGCCTAAAAGTCAGATGATGGAACGATGACGTTTTGTCATTAGAGTTGAAAATAATTGTTAACCCAGTGTAAAGTAATGGTAACCATGTGGTCTCGTCTCTTAGACATTGTTTCCTACCCAGGTAAATTTCACCAAAAGAACCTGCACCAATTTTTCGACCCAGTTTATATTTCGTGCCAATGATGATATCTCTTCCTTCTAACGACATTATATGTATTTATTCAGATTATGCTTTTTACGAAACGTAAATAGTTAATACTAAATGCTGTTTAATTTAAAGGTTTTGAAAAGAGATGAGAGGGGGGCGAGAAAAGTATAAAGAAAAAGGAAAATGGAATAATGGGTTTTCGAGTAAAAATAAAAGAAAACTGTCTGGACACAGAAAATTACAAAGAAAAAAAAAAAAAAAAAAAAAAAAAAAAAAAAAAAAAAAAAAACCATACACAATACACGCACACACACACACACATACACACACGCACGCACTATTTTTGAGGGAAAAAAAAAAAAAAAAATTTTAAGAATCCAAGTTGTATTGGGCCGTTGTAAATGAATGACGGCCGATCATTGGTCCAAACCAAATTTTTCCCTCAGTGGAATGGGCTCATTTTTACTCTGTTCATGGCGTGCAGTTATCAAACTTTTTTGAGCCCTTTCTGTTGTCAATGACAACACGTTCAAATTTTACCATTGAGTTTGAATTCTATCGTTACTTGGAACGACGCATTATTTGTATATCTTGAGTAAGGAAGATGCTATGGAAAACATATTTCCATTTTCGTGCTAATGAATTGAAAATATTCGAGTTCTAAAGGGACAATTGTCATAGACCAGGTACAGGCAAGCTGAACCACCTCTGTAATCATAAAACAATCAAACCGACTCCTTTAGCTTTTGAAGGAATAAAACACAGACGCGACTTTAACAAAATTGTCAATACTCAGCCATGACTAGTATATCTTTTTCTGTTTTCTTCATATACTTGGAAGTTTTAACAAAACATCATTGGCATAGTAACCCCCCCCAAACTGTTGGTAATGTCCTATGACAACGTGCCTTATCTTCAGATTCTCTTATGATAACAGTACTCCACACTTTGAAAAGGAAACAGCATGCTAACTAAGAAAGACATGTAATCGCTACTACTTCCAAGAGTCTGATAAGGCCTTTGATCATCAAATTCCTCAAACGTGCCAGAAAGGATTGCAACATGCTATTAGGTGGACTGCTGGCTTGAAGTAAATAATTTTGCCACCCTTTATTAATAGACCATACGAACCATAGCCATCGCAAAACGCCTCACGCAAAAACGGCACTGTTAACTAACCTGCTCGAGCATCATTAGAAAAGAGAGACCGTAGATAATGGAGTACTATTTTCCATTGCTTACGGTTTAGACGAGGCCGTAGCTCTGAAATTATTGACCATCGCTGTTTGCTTTTATTTATTATTCAAGATTGCAAGGTTAGACGGCTTGAGTATATAATTGGGTCCCCCCTTTTTTTTCATCTTCTATACAAGTGTATATGAGAGATAGTTACTCTACATACAAAAGAAACAGGTATTACTCCTTCCTCTTTGGGGCAAGCAGTTTACCATCATCAGACTAACATTCAAAAATGAAGCACCTCCGAAGTAGACTTTTTTTTTTGTTTTCTTTTTTTTTTTTACATGAAAACTAATTTGGATTCACCGTATTTAGAGTGAACATTGATATGCTGGGTCGTGCTCCATTCTTTATAGTAGCCCAGTTGTATGGATTTCCGCCTTTCTGAATAAATATGGATGTCCTGTTCGCCGTTGATAGAAGTGGTTGTCGGCTTACATAACCAGCAATGGTTAATGAGTCTGGAGCTATACGAGGGCTTTCCCTTTCCACTTGATACTGTCGCTTTGACGGGGCCATCCAATGCGACAACGGTTGACTTTAAGAATTTTGAACGAGGTTCAATGCCTACTATAGTAGCTCCTTTTATAACAGCTGCATCAAAAGTCTCTGTAGGTTGATAATTGCCAGTTATCATTCCATAAATCGTACCCAACATAATCCTCTCTCCAACTACATTCTACAGTATAAGATTAGACATTTGGCGGAAAAAGATGAATACATTCTTGATAGAGTAGTCTCATTTACCTTAAGTGCGATGACGCCTTTACCTAGTCCAGCTGTAAATCTACTGAAGCTGATATCTTCTAAATCGCCTTCCAGACGACCTAACCGGTTGGATTTTATTTTCAACTTCTTGTAATGTTGCAGTGTTGTTGGTAATATAACCTCGATATCAAAAAGTAAACAGTTCTTCAACAGAGAAGGATGGTGACTATTGATATGAATATTTTTGGTAGAATAGTTATCGACATCCATTTCATTTACAGAGATATGGTTAAACAAGTCCTCTGTTTGTGCTGAAAGGGTGATATTGACTATGATATTACTGTTGTCCTTTATACGATCTGCTGGTGTTGCTTTTCTTAGTCTAATCTTCCCCCTTCGCTAAACATGCCATCCACCCTAAGACTAAGCGAGGTGAACTGCTTTGGTGGAAAAGAGATAACGGTCGACTTTACTTGAGTAAGCTGAGTGATGCTGCATTCTGGAGCAAACGGACCAGGAGGTTTCTTCAATTTCAAATCGTCTGGTGGGAAAGCAATTCCACCTTTAACGCCAGCAGTTATTCTTGGAAGCCTAGCGCCAGGTTCGTGTAGCAACTTGTTCTGTTTTTGAAGTGATGGTTTTGGAAAGCCGTCTGTTGAAATGCCTCTCTCCTCTGCAATTTGGTAGACAACTGAACTTCTTTTCAAAGGATCTTTAACATCAATCTCCATAATCCCAAAAGTATCACTACCGTGGCTATCCGAAAGCGGATGATATATTTTGTGGTCGCTATTCCACAATGTATGGAGCGCTTTCATGAAATTTGACAGTTCAAGCGCATCTTTTGAATTGATTTCGTTTGGATAATCCAAAAATGAATGATGGAGAGTGCCCTATTGATTTTTGATATAACCAAAACTGATATGTAAATTGCAATCACCAAACTACCCCATACTCATCTGTTGCTGACATACATCTCTACTGTAGCCATATTTCATAAAAACAGTAATACTTTTAAGAAAATTGAGCAAAAGTATTATTGATATCAAAATACCAGTACGCACTATCGTTTGCATTCATGAACTTTGTCATTCTTCCACATAGTTGTTCTTCACGTTTGCAATAGTATTTTACCTATACATTTTTTTGTTTGACCTTGAATTCTTTTCCAATTAATCTGTATCTCTTCCATTGTTACAACACGTCCATAGAGAAGAAGCAAAAGGAAAAAGAAGAGATGTCAATTTTGGAGACAACCAAAAGTAATTCATGCACAATGATTGAGCGTATGTAATTGGCCAAGGAATGTCTGACCTGGAATTGTTACCTTTAAGTGACGAAACACAACTCCAAGTGATCAATGTGCTCAGTAAAAACAGATCGCCTTCACATAAGCTTCGAATGTACGTTTAAAGAAAGGTTTTTTTATTGACAAAATAATTTTCTTGAAAACCCAGTGGACACCATGTTATATAAAATTGCCCGGGGCAGATTCGACTGTTTATAAAAGTATCTAAAAAGCCCTGTAGGATCAAGGGTAAAAACGAGTTTGTCACAAGGTTGAGTGATGAGAAGGAAACATCCAATAAAGCAGTAAAGATCCTAGAGCAACATCCAAGGGTGGGGGTTCTTGGACGTGGAAGAGATAGTCTAGCTCATATAGTATGTAGCAGAGGATCGGCCATTGGTGCCCATTGACGTTTTATCGTAGGTTGTATAGGCGGGTGGTTGGGTAGCTGATTTAGAAGATACGAAAGGGGATCATCTATTTGTGGTGGTTGCTGGAAACGCGAGTGCATATTCAGGCATTGGATCGAGTGGGTCTTTGTGAACAATGCTGAGGGGTGCCGGATGCAGTAGGTGGTGTTACCACTAGGTAACCCACCAAGTCGCCAACGAAGACATTGACTTCTTTCTTCTCTTGTCATTGGGAGCCATAGTATGGGATCTAAACTTACTGTTGGGCGGCAGACTGATATGAGCTTAGAGTTTGTTGGGGCGCTTTGCATTGCTTGTAGGGATTCTGTACGAAAGTCTTTCAGGGACTGTTTGAGATATTTCTGATCCATCGTCGGGGCGTTTTCCTTGATTCTTTGCCAGAGAGGGTGTACGAGAGAGCGGACTCCAGATAGAAGTGCTATTTGGTTGTTGTACATATGGCAGCAGTAGGGACAGTACGGCATCATCTGGGAGTGTTTGTGATCGTAACAGGAATTTAGCCTGGAGAGTGTAGGCTCTCTCTCGCATTGAGGGTAAGTTGGCTAAGTGACGCATTATCTTGACAGAGGATCGAATTGACCCACCAAATATCCTGCGAATGCATCTGTTCTGTACGTTGTCCTGTTTCATATGATTTGTCCTGTTCAGTTTGCTTATCGCCAATCCGTATTCCAGTTGAGGGCGGACCAGATGAGCGTAGAACCTGAAAGATAGTAGCTTATTAAAGCCGTTAGGGTTAACTCCAATCGACGATAAGGTGTTCATAGTAGCCAGGGCTTTGGTTGTGTTGATATGTATGAGCTCTTGAGTGTCCAGGTTACCACTGTTATACCGTTACAGCATTTTTACTTGGTTTTCGGACCTTTTCAAAAAAATTTCGGACGTTCTCTTTTTTTTTTTGGACACTTTTATTCTAATTTTAGACATCCGCAAAAAAACATTCAGACAATTTTAATTTTTTATTGGACGAAATCTTTTTTATTTTCAGACTTTTTTATTACCTAATTTAGACAAACTCCGTTTTACAGTGCCTCCGGTGCCAAATTGCGCTTATTGAAAACACATTGCGCTTTGAAACATCCCAATTGGCGCTTTTGCTAGCATCCAATTTGCGTTAACAATAAACAGACAAAAACCAAATTATTATATATATACTATCATCCAATCAGGTATTTGTCCAGATTTTATATGTATGCATTGCATCCTGAAGGGGGCGGCGCGAAGCGCAAAGCGTGCAGCACCGTCTACATATTATTATCTTTTCTTCAATATTTGCATACATCCAAAACAGAGCTGCAATTTTGGGTCATTATGTCGATATAATATTTGTAATATAACAATTCTACTACGGTATTGGGTACAGCAGCGCTTCTAGACGCATACTAGCATTATCATATATTTCTTCATATCAATCTAATGCATATCACATTTTCTGCACTGAAATATTCTAGAACGGCTCCTCACAAAACTTCCTGTCGAATAAATAAAGGAATAAATTTATATTTATTTTTAAGATTCATAGCTTCGAAGAGCGAGATGTACCCAGAGAAATACTATGGTTCTGACATAAAATTTGATTTCGAGCCCAATGACTTAAATGTGATATATAGACTTCTCTTAACACTATAATCAATGAATAACTATAAATTTGAATGAAAAGCAAAAAGCCAGTTATTGTTTTTTATTAGCAACAACAATAGTAATAATTGAATATATAAAGACTGTACCAAGATAATGCTGGTTAAAAATGAGATAGATAATATAAAATAAAAATAAAATAACTAAAGAAGTACAATATTGTTTTTGTAGGTTTTCTGATTTTTATACTGTTTTTAGAATAGATAGATGTTCATTTCTGATCCACGTTTTAAATGATAGCTGGACTTGAAAAATTTATAATGCGTCTCTTTCTAGGCATAGTGTGATACTCTGCAGAGTGAATCGATAATATAGGAGGTATGTCAGTGCTTGTTTGATAGAAAATCCGTAAATCTAATTACCTATTCAATATCCATCGTTAAACAAAAAGAGCGCAACCTTTCACTTTTTGGACGAAGACAGCTACAATCTTCAAACAAAAAGCTCTCACCCGAAGATGGTATTGAGAATCATGAAAACGAATAGTTCCCATAGTAGCAATTCTCAATAACACTAAAGAGTTCCATCTTCCCAAAAGAATGCTAGCATTCCTTTGCAAACCTAAAGAGGATTAAGCGAGTGTTTTGCCCCAGAATTATTGTAGTGATGGTGGGTGGTGGTGGTGGTGGTGTTTGATTGAAGAACGAAAATGATAACTTACTCGACACCAAATTCAGTGAATCGATAATATAGGAGGTATGTCAGTGCTTGTTTGATAGAAAATCCGTAAATCTAATTACCTATTCAATTATCCATCGTTAAACAAAAAGAGCGCAACCTTTCACTTTTTGGACGAAGACAGCTACAATCTTCAAACAAAAAGCTCTCACCCGAAGATGGTATTGAGAATCATGAAAACGAATAGTTCCCATAGTAGCAATTCTCAATAACACTAAAGAGTTCCATCTTCCCAAAAGAATGCTAGCATTCCTTTGCAAACCTAAAGAGGATTAAGCGAGTGTTTTGCCCCAGAATTATTGTAGTGATGGTGGGTGGTGGTGGTGGTGGTGTTTGATTGAAGAACGAAAATGATAACTTACTCGACACCAAATTCAGTGAATCGATAATATAGGAGGTATGTCAGTGCTTGTTTGATAGAAAATCCGTAAATCTAATTACCTATTCAATTATCCATCGTTAAACAAAAAGAGCGCAACCTTTCACTTTTTGGACGAAGACAGCTACAATCTTCAAACAAAAAGCTCTCACCCGAAGATGGTATTGAGAATCATGAAAACGAATAGTTCCCATAGTAGCAATTCTCAATAACACTAAAGAGTTCCATCTTCCCAAAAGAATGCTAGCATTCCTTTGCAAACCTAAAGAGGATTAAGCGAGTGTTTTGCCCCAGAATTATTGTAGTGATGGTGGGTGGTGGTGGTGGTGGTGTTTGATTGAAGAACGAAAATGATAACTTACTCGACACCAAATTCAGTGAATCGATAATATAGGAGGTATGTCAGTGCTTGTTTGATAGAAAATCCGTAAATCTAATTACCTATTCAATTATCCATCGTTAAACAAAAAGAGCGCAACCTTTCACTTTTTGGACGAAGACAGCTACAATCTTCAAACAAAAAGCTCTCACCCGAAGATGGTATTGAGAATCATGAAAACGAATAGTTCCCATAGTAGCAATTCTCAATAACACTAAAGAGTTCCATCTTCCGTAAGAAAATCCAGGCTGGGTTATAAAGAGAAAAACGTCATCATTTTTGTATAAGAGAACATGCAAAAATTTACTCCGACGTACAAGCACCTGGATCTCTACCGGACCTAAAAACTGTTACGTGTCCGCAAGAAAAATATTTACGTGTCCGTAGCCCAGCCCTCCCTTTTCATCCTCTTTTGCCCTTTTTAAAAATCAAAACGGCTATGTCACAAACCAAGAAACCACAGTCGCTGACTAGTGAAATATATGATAACTTAGATACATCTTCTGTAACAGTTGAGTTGCTCCAAAGACATTCGTTATTGACAGAGAAGGAGTCAAGATCTGCATTTAAAAATGCGTTTAAAAACATAGAAAAGAGAAAGCACTACCAACTTTACAAAGATCAAGTCAATAAGTATAAGTTGTTTGTCGAACAGGTATGTGCCATGCAAAAGTAATCTGAAAAAATTAATACTAATCCTTTCAATTCTAGTTCCTGACATCCAAAGATGCGACAGATTATTTTAGGGACAACAACGTAGAAACAAGTATTATTGATGAAGAGATTGAACGAGTTATCCATCACTCATCTATCAGAAAGCACTATTACAAGAAGAAAGTAAGCATATCAACAGTTAAAAAAACTTGTCGAAGAAAAACCAAACATATTTATGTAAATATTAAATCACATTATCCTAGAACGCCGATGATCATAGGAAACGAAGATTCGAGGTAAGCTTATGGTAACATCATCAGATGTGAAGTTAAACTGATATTTTCTGTCATTTATGTCAGGCGTTATTTGATGATGATGGTGCTGAAACTAATGAATTACATTCACAAGCGCATATATCACCTGCCCGTCCTAACCCGCCTACTCAATCTCTTTCTGATGAAACTTATCATTTACCAGACCCTTTTATCGAACAATCAGAGGTAAATTTCTTGTTTGGATAGTTTTATACTATTTCCTTTAAGCTCATAACTTTGATTAGCAACATGTGTTGCGTGTTATCAAAGATAGGAATCTGTATAATTTACAAACACCATCCAAACATGTCATATCGCCACATAAACCCATAATAGAAGCAGAGGATTTATCTGTTTTGAAACCTTTTTTTGATATCTGTTTAAGTAGCTGCCAATCAGCAGCCTCGCCAAACACTATTATGGAATTTGAAGATATGCTCAAATCTCAAATGAATCTAGATAGCTTACGTACACTTGGTGCTGACATCGTTGACTGGGTAGTGCGCATACTTGGGTGGCAAGAAACCACCATGTTCAAAAACCTGGGAGATATACCAGATGTTCCTTTTTTGAACTTTGTCAAATTTACCATGGTCGACTTCCTTTTAAATTGTTTGAAACCCCAATCGTACAATCACAATGACGAAAGATCAGTCTACTGCGAAATATTCATCCCCATGTTCAAGGCATTTGGCAATACAACTAAAAAATTGAACTATGTTTGGTAAGTTTCAAAATTCTAAAAATTAGCAGATCAGCAATAACAGGAAATGTAGGTGTGAAAAAAAAGCGAAAGATTCAGATTATTTGTGGTTGGTGTCAAACAACTTTAAACTGGAAAAGGGGAATATCAAGCTTCTTGATGGTGTAGGTCAATTGGTTGATAAAAAGTTGAATTATGTTATGATTGAATCTTCCGGGTATGAGAAGACGAAAACCTTTTGATGAACAGTACTAATTTTTTATTACTTTTTAGATTCAACAATCCCAGTATGATATCTCATACTTTGAACGATTCGCTAAAGAACTTGAAGACTGGATCTGATAACTTGAAGTATTCCCTATCAAATTATAGAAATGCTTCATTTAAGACTGTGAAGAAGATCAACGTTTACACATGTCATATAATCCAAAACAAGATGACACTAGTCAGATACAAAGTATCATCTCCGTCCCAATGGCAGGTAGTCGAGTGTAGATCTGCATCCGTTCCCACTTCTTTCTCTGGAATTGTTCAATACACAAAAGTATTTGAGCTATTTGCGTTTCTTTTAGTAAGTATTTGTAGAATATTCGTTATTGCTATTGCTAACTCGATTTTTTTTTAGCTGGATATAGCTGAACAGGAGGCCATTTTTCATCAATTGGAATTGGAATCATCGGGTTTAGTTAAAGTACCATCAGATGAAACCGTTGCTCATCATTTAATGTAAATCCAACATACACTCTAGAAATCTCCAACAAAGCGTATGCTTCTCATCACGATCAACTTCAAACAAAAATAATACATACACAGAACAAGTGTCATGTAAACAAGCAGTTATAAAATCCATAAATATATCCACCTCAAACACAAATATATGAATTTTTTAATACCCAATAAATAGTTTATTTGCATTTATAGTTAGCTATTAAACTTCTTTTGATACTGAAACGTTTTATATCAGTTTCTGCTTGGGGAAGAGCTCGTTATCCACACCAAAGTCCTGTTTGATTATTTATTAGTACAGACTTAGTTTCGTTTTTGTCTGTTTATTGTTAACGCAAATTGGATGCTAGCAAAAGCGCCAATTGGGATGTTTCAAAGCGCAATGTGTTTTCAATAAGCGCAATTTGGCACCGGAGGCACTGTAAAACGGAGTTTGTCTAAATTAGGTAATAAAAAAGTCTGAAAATAAAAAAGATTTCGTCCAATAAAAAATTAAAATTGTCTGAATGTTTTTTTGCGGATGTCTAAAATTAGAATAAAAGTGTCCAAAAAAAAAAAAGAGAACGTCCGAAATTTTTTTGAAAAGGTCCGAAAACCAAGTAAAAATGCTGTAACGGTATAACAGTGGTAACCTGGACACTCAAGAGCTCATACATATCAACACAACCAAAGCCCTGGCTACTATGAACACCTTATCGTCGATTGGAGTTAACCCTAACGGCTTTAATAAGCTACTATCTTTCAGGTTCTACGCTCATCTGGTCCGCCCTCAACTGGAATACGGATTGGCGATAAGCAAACTGAACAGGACAAATCATATGAAACAGGACAACGTACAGAACAGATGCATTCGCAGGATATTTGGTGGGTCAATTCGATCCTCTGTCAAGATAATGCGTCACTTAGCCAACTTACCCTCAATGCGAGAGAGAGCCTACACTCTCCAGGCTAAATTCCTGTTACGATCACAAACACTCCCAGATGATGCCGTACTGTCCCTACTGCTGCCATATGTACAACAACCAAATAGCACTTCTATCTGGAGTCCGCTCTCTCGTACACCCTCTCTGGCAAAGAATCAAGGAAAACGCCCCGACGATGGATCAGAAATATCTCAAACAGTCCCTGAAAGACTTTCGTACAGAATCCCTACAAGCAATGCAAAGCGCCCCAACAAACTCTAAGCTCATATCAGTCTGCCGCCCAACAGTAAGTTTAGATCCCATACTATGGCTCCCAATGACAAGAGAAGAAAGAAGTCAATGTCTTCGTTGGCGACTTGGTGGGTTACCTAGTGGTAACACCACCTACTGCATCCGGCACCCCTCAGCATTGTTCACAAAGACCCACTCGATCCAATGCCTGAATATGCACTCGCGTTTCCAGCAACCACCACAAATAGATGATCCCCTTTCGTATCTTCTAAATCAGCTACCCAACCACCCGCCTATACAACCTACGATAAAACGTCAATGGGCACCAATGGCCGATCCTCTGCTACATACTATATGAGCTAGACTATCTCTTCCACGTCCAAGAACCCCCACCCTTGGATGTTGCTCTAGGATCTTTACTGCTTTATTGGATGTTTCCTTCTCATCACTCAACCTTGTGACAAACTCGTTTTTACCCTTGATCCTACAGGGCTTTTTAGATACTTTTATAAACAGTCGAATCTGCCCCGGGCAATTTTATATAACATGGTGTCCACTGGGTTTTCAAGAAAATTATTTTGTCAATAAAAAAACCTCTCTTTAAACGTATTTGAATTGTAAAACACCAGTTGAGTGTCAACTGATCAAGAAGCCACTTAACAACTTTCGTTACATCATTACAATGTATATAAAATATGCTGTTGCAAAACATAATACGTAAAGGCAGAACGCTTTTATTGAGTGATTAATTGAAGCCTAATCCACCTCGACGACCCATTTGCATCTGCTTTCTAAACTGTAAGCCATGGTCAAATTGTTTTTCCAAATCTTGACTAATACGCTGTTGCTCATCTTCGTCAATGGCAGACTTTAAGCTACCGTAAAGACCGCCGCTCTTAGGCTTACTTGCAGGGACGAAATTGCTAGCAGTAGTAGTACTAGCTTTCGACATGCTGCTGTTTCCCTTTTTGGCTCCAAGTAATCTTAAGAACTTATCCTTCTTCGCCGCATCGCCTCCAAACGAAGCCTTGTTCCAATCATTCCAGCCAGTGGTTGTTACATTGTTATTTTCGTTGTTAGCAGTGTCTGAAGTCTAAGCATGTTGGAAAGAATCGTCTAAGTCTTCATCATCAAAAATAGGATCTAGATGGTTTACTTGCCTTGCTTTCAGTATGAGGCTTAGTGTCATTCTTAACCTTCTTTTCATGTATAACAAATTCTTCATCAGAGTCGCTTTCACGATCTTTACGTTTTCTCTTCTTATCGCTGTCCTTTGATTTCTTCTTTTTGTCTTTCTTTTCCTTTTTATCCTTTTTGTCCTCTCTATCCTTTGTGCCCTTTTTATCTTTCTTTTCCTTGTTCTTATCCTTTTTTCCGGCTTTACGTTCCTTTTCAGACTTGGTTTTCTTTTCTATTTCGTCCTTATTTTCAGACCTGTCTTTCTTATCTAATTTTTCTTTCTTGTTCTATTAAAAAGTGAAGCAAAAACTTGTGAGGAGGCGAAAGTGCAAAAGCGAACTTTGGACATTAATAATCTCTTCTTTGCTAGGTTGTGCTAACCTTCTTGTCCTTCTTGTCTGATTTACTCATCATAAAAGTGTTCACGGATCTAATCTGATCTATCTATCGTTTTTGAAAAAATAAAAAAGTCAAACCAGAAATTTAAAGAGACCGTCCCTCATTTATAATTCTCGAGTCTCTCTTTTTCATATCCCACTTTCACTTTATTATGGCTGCTCCACTCTCTAGCCATCAGTATGTAATATAGGGACTGACAATCCATTGTACGAATGATATCTTTGTGCATTTGTTATACTCTCGTTATTGCACCAAAAATGAGACTGTCGGCCGAAAATATGGGCCATCTAACTGTTTGATAGTCTGGATCGTTAAAATATAGAATGGTACGTAAAGTCGATAAAGGTTGGTTAGCAGTTGACCAAAACACTGACCCACACGTTGAAAAGAAACTCTATATTAAATAAAATAGCCACTGATGGTATGGTTTGTTATCTGTTTTGATTGATTAGATGCACACACTTAACCCGGTATCTGCATGTGGTTTATTTGAGACTGAAAAGGCGGTTTAGAAATTCTTCGTTTGACTATTTACAGATCACAGTAGAATAGACATGGTCCATTTTACGCAAATACAGAGATTCAGCCAAAAAAGTTGTGAATGAAAGTATCTTGCCTGCTGAACATGTTTCAAAACTTGTATTCTTTCAAAAATACTGACAAAACTCAAATGGAGGACTAGACGTTGCAGGGGTGAGCATAACTCTTAACGACCGCATAAGTCTGCCCAGGGAACAATTGATACCCTGAATCTATCTTTAAGTTTTCATTAAAACTTGCACTTTATCGTATACAATTGCTCAAATTTGTTCCCTCCCACATGCGACAGTTTTACTTTGCATTACATACGATACATTTTTTCTCGGCTGCAACATAATATTTACACAAAACAGCTTGCATAGAGTGGCATTATTTTTTATAAAAGGTGTATTAGTACAAGGAAAAGCAGAAAGGTGGAAAGATAATATACAAATTTGCACTTCTCAATCATTTTACATGCTGAAAACTAAGCATGTACCATCATCGGAAGCACTACAGATAACGTTGCCATCACTTTAGAAAAAAAAAGAAAAAAAAAAGAAAAGGTTAATTACTAAGCGCTTTTTTTTACGAAGCTAGAGCAATACTTACTCAGCAACAGCAAAATCAAGAACAGTGTCGCTATGTCCAGACCAAGATTTGACACATTGACCTGTACGGGCATCCCACATTTTCACAGTTTTATCAGCAGAGCAAGAAGCTAACATTGGTGAGTTCTTGACGAATTTCACTTTGACAACAGCATCTTCATGCTCCAAAGTGGCACGTAAACGTTGTGTTTGAACATCCCAAATAGAGATTTTACCATCCACCGAGCCTGTTGCTGCTAAAGGCAGCCTATATCCGTTCAACAGAGGAGCATTAGAAAAAACGAACGTCAACAAAGCATCGCCTGTAATACTTACACTTCACAGAAAGATGAAGTTTCTATCGACTCCGTATGATTTTCTAATGATGCAACAATCTGGCCGAGAACATGAATTTCTTAATACGAAATAGTCAACCTCAAACAATGCAGGCTCCTACTTACATTTCCGTTCAAGATATTCACTAATCTAGCTTTCCCTGATACGTCACCAGTAATAGCCAGTGTACTATCTTTGTTAACACAAACAGATGTGATAGGCTCAACATGGAAACGTGCATCGTCACCGGACAAACGGTATTCAGCAGCAGCAGATTTAGGATCCCAAACGATAAAAGTCGAATCTTCAGAAACTGAAACAATTCTCTTGCCATCTGGTGTAAAGCAACCTGCTGTTACAGGTGCAGCGTGACCATTGAACATGTTCATAAATTTACCGCTGGGCACTAACGCACACGTGTCAGTCGATCTATCTTTCTACTTCCTTTCACAACGTCATCATTGGTAGGAATCGATACTTACTGGCCCACATCCAAATAGTAGCGTCTGAAGCACCGGCTAAGAGAATATTACCTTTTGGGTGCCAGTCAATCCAAATCACTTCATCGGGACCATCGACTGCGACGGCGAAATCACCCGTCTCTGCATTCCAGACACGTACTTTACCATCCATACCAGCCGACGCAACATATTTACCGTCGCAACTGAATCCAACACTTGTGACCGAATCAGTATGTCCATCTAAACACTTCAGCATTTCACCGGTATCGCAACGCCATAAATAACTCTTATCGTCGCCACCACCACTGACAATAATTCCATTGCTGGTAGGATGCATAGCAATGGCGTAAACAGGTTCACGGTGATCAAAAAAACCTTGTACTGAATCATCGGCCAGTTCCATTGTATTTTTATCGTCTGCGTTAGCTCTAAATTCATAACCTACGTTTACAAGAAGGTGCCACTAGGTCAGAAACAACATCCAACTATGTAATAGTTTCGTCCGGCATCTGTTATTATTATACCTTCTACACCTTCCCCTGAAGGTCCTGCTTCTTCTCCCAATTCATCAACATCTTCTTCATCATCATCATCCATAGGTTCAGCCTCATTCAAATCCGGCACGTCCATTTCTGCTACGTCAGCTTCTTGAATGTATTCTTCCTCAACAAGGTTGTCGAGTTCTTCTTCGTACTGTGAAATATAAATAGCCTGTGTATAAGTATACACTCATCATCGAAACAAGAGAGCAAAATAAATCGCTATGCGAGCTAACCTGATCTTGCTTTTGGTTTGTATCTGACATGCTGCTTTCTTCAAAATCTAACTGCTGAGGATGATGAAAAGGGAAGATCTATTTGTGCTTTTTTTTTTTTTCTTTTTGAACATGAAATTTACAAAGTGCTTTGCCATGATTTGAAATACAAAAAAAAAAGTCACACGTCTGTGCGGGGAAAGAAAAAGAAGCAACCCGTCAAGAACAAAGGTTGTATCAGGCCAAAATCAGTATATTATAATGATTGATAAATCTAATCGAATTCCTCACTCTCAAAAGTTCAAAAAAAAAAAGAAAAAAGAAAACGTATTTAGGTCAGATATAACAATATAATAATATCGAAAAATATATACTGAGCTAGTCATTAGGAGGTTAAATTTGTTAAAAGGTGGGTTTATAGTGCATTTCCATCCTTCACTCGTTAAAGACTGTCTTTTTATCGTTCGTGCTGCGTAAAATGCAGCCTTTGTAAAGTTTGATTAAATACATACTGTAAGATAAAGAAACAAGCGAACGCCTACTACTGATGCGGTATTCTTGGCTTTTTTATAAATGCGATAAGAAAAAATCACTGAGACAACATCAGTTTCAATACAAGCAGTTCAAAGAAAAGCAAACTTTGTAACTTCATCTGAAAGAGTTAATATCCAATTACAAGCTTATAGAAGTAGAGAATAATGTCGAAAGGGAATGAAATGAATGAATGAAACTCAATAGATGAAAAAAAAAAAAAAAAAAAAAAAAAAAAAAAAAAAAAAACCAGATATCTGTTCATTTTAGTCTTAGTTATCAACGAAAAACCTACACAAGCAGGATTAACAGGCTGTGTGCGTTTCCAGAGCATCACTGTAGCCGCCTCTGACAGATCAAAGATTCTATTTTTCAAATTTAGCAAAGAGTAAGGTATTATTCATACATTGTCATTGGGTTTTTCCTTTCAATGTAAAAAACTTGCCATTGTATATAGGTAGGCTGAATGAACCAAGTGTGCAAGTAAACAGCGGCTGGGTGTCATGGCTCGCATTATTCTGTATAGCATACGGAATGCCAAAATCTGTGGCCATATCAATGCTGACACTAGGTAACAGTACTGTAACCAATAATCTGCACTTTTACCAGTCCTTAGAGAAGGTTGCTTTGTGTTCTTATTTCATGGGATCCGTTTGCGCATAGTTTATTAATTGATGAGATTGATTTGATTCGCTCAGTTAGCTATTGATTTGCGTTTATAATTAGGGAAGTTTCTGTAAAATTTGATGATTCTCGTCTGTATATAATCTGTTGCCATTGGAGCTTAAATCGATAAAAAGTTCAAAATCACCAATGCAGCAAGCAAACTACTACTACACAGGTTACTCATAATTCTTAGGCTATCGCTTGAGGTTTATCTTTAGTATTGAACCAATCAAGGGGTATAAAAACCTAACATTCTGATGTGCTTATTTTACAAACGGAAGATTTTCATGAACATTGGCCAGCTATTTGTTTTGCGGTTTTCTGTTAGGAGGGTAAAGTATTCAATGTAAAAACAATTCTTATCACTGGATAAATGTATATAGATAATGAATACTCTCGAAAAATCTTGTAAGTATGTGTATGTAAGATATTAAGAAATTGTTTGTTACTGATAAACGACGATGAAGGGGCAGATACCTTCATTCTCTTGTTATTAAAGCCAGAACAATCATGTATTTGAATTAACATCCTATCGCTTTATTTCAAGTATAAATTACACTCCTCTGTTTTCTCCAAAGCAGCTTGTAAGCGGTATAATAATCTAAGCTCTCTTAGCAACGGCTATTACACAATTAATAGTACGATTGAAGTAAGTATAGATTGCTTTGAATGTATAGGCAATAAACAACTCTTTATCATACCTTGAATATCCAAAATAGCTTGGTCCAAAATCTTTTGTTGGAATTGAGGATCTTGCAATTGCTTGTTAACCTTTTCAATCAAATAAGCAGCCAATTGCTTTTGTTCACGTTCACGAAGGTTAGCTTCATGACGAACCCAAGCATCTAATGTAGCCTTTACTTCAGAAGCAACAGCAACTTTTTGCTTCAATTCAAAAGCTTCAGCTTCTAGTTGAGCAGTTTCACGGGAAAGCTCGAAAAGAGCCTTTGTAACATCGACAAGGTCGCCCATCTGACCGACTTCGTTAATACGCTCCTTCACGGCACTCTTATGATCTTCACGAGCTTGAATCAAGACATTTTTGATACGCTAATGTATTATTCATAATCAGTACCCACAATCCGCTTCAACGATGTATGTGATTTATATCAGTAAACTTACTTGAATGTGCTCGTTGGCCATGTTGTTGAAAGGTTCTCTAAGGTATTTAAGAAGGACACCAAGAAGAGCAACAGAAGAAATCAAAACCAATGTTTCTTCATTAGCGATATAAATTTCCTTGGAAACCAAGAAAGCAGCTAAACCAGTGGCAGCTGTAACGTAACCGGTCTTGGAGATGATGGAGTTACCGGGAAGAGCGTCAAGAAGACTGCTCGCCTTTTCTTTGGGTTCAACTACTGATGTTTAAATTGTTCATAGTGAGATTACTTTCTTGTTCTTTCGCATATCTTTTTTTTTTTTCGTTTCTGCTGGCTCTTCATTTGAAACACGATAAAACTATCCCCATTCAATAAAAGATAGTGTATATTCCCGAATAATTACCTTCGTCATTCTTGGTACTGAATCCACGAATACTATATATTCACAGGAAAAAATATTGTTAATTTCAGTTTCATATATTAAACATGACAACTTATTAAACAAAAGCATTTACGCAGAAGCACGAACAACTTGACGTGAAGCAGAGATCGCAGCAGGACGAACAGCCGCAACTTATTTTATTAAATTTTTGGTTTTTGCAGAAAAAACAGTTTTTTAGGTTAGTCGTGATTCGTTCGTCCAAAACGTGAATTTGATTGTTGCAATGTGTATCTCTCACCTGCAGCTTTTTTTGTTAATAATCTGAAGGCCATTGTATCTATTTATTTTTAATGTCGTCTTAATCGTTAATTAAACAGATAGTTTCAATGCTCGTAATTCCAGAAACATACTCAACTTTTCTTCAAAAAAACTTAATGAGAAAAAATAGAGCTTTTTCTAAAATCTAAGTATTTAAAAGCCCCTAAGACAACAATTCAGGTCAGCCCCTGCCCCCACACTGTTATAATCAGATTTTGAAGTTTGTTGAGAAAAACACTTCCCCACAAATTTTGAGCGAATCATGGTTCGTTTCGGGGAATACGTTGCCGAAACGCTTTTAGCATATCTGCCTAAGATATGGATTACCGCACTAGCTGAATTTCTGCTACATAACTGTAAAAATACATACAGAAGCTCTGATTCTATGATGCCTGGGTCTTCCTATAGTAGATAAAATCTATCTATTCCAAATTAATTCGTCTTTGACCATTCGTAGAACGCCTCAATCAAGAGTAAGTACGATGATTAGCGTACATTATATGTCAGCAACAAATATGCTTAACTTATTACTACCAGCGACAATGTTCACAATGGCTTAAGGCTATGGCATGATAGTGGCAACTGGAGGCGTTCGTTGTTTGACTTTATACTTTTTGCTGGCAACTTTTTACGAGTTTAGATGCTACATGATCCTCCAAAAGTAAACCGGACAATAAATCAAAGATCAAAAACAGGCAACAGCTTTTTTGTCGCTTAGTAAATAAATCAACAATTATACATATCTTCCCTCGACGGTTTTAACGTTTTAATGTTATTGAAGCATTGTTATGGATGAAAAAAAAAAAACAGCCCATCATATGTGTTCTGATAATTCATTAAAAATGAAGCAAAATTTTTGTTTGGCATATGGGTATGAGAACAGTGAAAAATAAATACAGACATTAGAAAGTCTTTTCTTCATGGTAAAGGCATCTCAGCGATGTCAGCGTTGTCTCCTGTAGAGTAAGATTTGATTCAGAGCAGATGCTTTGTTGCTTCTACAATTTCGTTGATCTTATCACGTTCGGTATACATAGCCTAAATGATGAAACGTTTAATATTACAACATATTGCGGCCTGTTTCTTGTTATCACTTACATTTAAAACCTTTGACATGAGCTGTATCACCTCGAAATATTCTTTTTGCAGCTCATCTGGTCGTCTGTCAAACCCGGTTTCTTGCTTCTCCACTTCTGCATTATCGAGCAAATTAGAAAAAATATCATTCATAGTCCTTAACGCGAATCACTCACCTTCGCCATCAATGACCATTGCGTTGTCAATATCTTTTTCCGATAAATTAGTTTCCATTTCGCAAATGCTTTTAGTGATGCTTTTCCAGGCAGTTGTGAGCTGCTCTCTTGAGCGTAAAACCTCTTCAGCTATAAATTGTAGAAAATTTTCTTTGGATTTTGCTTCATCCAAGAGTGCCTCGTCTGCAGCTTCAGTAAGGCTAAGATCATCTGAAAAGAAAACAATTCCATTTGTGAGGTTATCAAGTGATGCTGGTAATTTACTCTTTGGTAATCAAGATTCTCTTATACCTATGCTAAAATTCACATCGCCTGCAATGTCAGCAGATTGCATGAGATCTTTATAGCATTGGATGAGTAACTGAAAGAAATTCATCAACATCAATTCGAGTTCTATCGATCAGTTTGCTATTTAATGGAGTGTCAATTACATCGTTGAAAAACAATTCTTCGGCTTGTAACCTTTCGTCTTGTGTCAATTCATGTTTCAGTGCAGCTGCTTCTAGTTCGTCTCTATAATCCTGTAGAATATGGATGATTTTGGCTGCTCTTAAGACTGGTTTCGTCATAGAAACTGTATATTCACTGTTTTTATTTTTTTTTTGAAGGCAAGTTCAATTTTCTATTTGTCTTGATCGTTGGAGACGGATTCTTAGTCACGTTTTTCAACAATTTATGAATTTAAAGCAAACAATAGCAGTGTATGCACTCGCATTATCGTGGCCACTACACCTCATCGAATTTCTCCTTTCTTATGCTAGAAAGCCTCCATTGTGTTCTGAAATTTTTCATTTTCTTTTTTAAAATGAAATAAGGCATTTACATTATCAGTTCTATATACACAATGGTTCGAAGTCATTGTATTCAAATTGAACTCTTTGAATGGTAAGGAAAAACCATCCATCTAACCGTGTACTTTTTAATTCGAGCTGATATGACAATACGAGTCCATGAGGCATATTATTGTTTACCTGAAGATGTTTTTTTTCTTCATAACTTATATACAATGGAGCAATTATTATTTTTTTTCGAAGACTAAAATTATCATCAAGCAGCAGTCCGTTGCCATTAAAATCTTTCTACTTTGACTACTTCAGTGCATAATTTAATTATAAACTATAAACCTACTGACCACGCGCAGACACACATTGCATTCCTAGAGTTTTCTATGCGTTTAAGCATCTGATTTGTCAAGCTAGTATGACTTTAGAAGTACTTAGACGATTATGCAGCAGATAAATTTGGTGTTAGTAGTCTTAAGAAAAAAATTACGCGTCGTTCGTTGGTTAACTTCTTCAGCGCTGTTTTGCAAAACCGTGCTGTATGGCTCAGTTTTATTTTTTCTTTCCTTTTTCAAGCTTAAATCTAAAAGTTTGTCCATTACAATTATCATAATGAGACATATGGCTTTGAGGGTATAATGGATGGCTTCCCATAAGTTCTTTGAAAATTCGGTTAAATTGGTTCCGTGAAGTAGGTAAAAAATTGCATTAGTTCAACCGCACCCAAAATTAATTTGGTAAGATTAAATTGTAGCTGGTAGTACATTTGTTCTTTCAAAGATATAACAAACATTTCGTCAAAAACCAAGGTTTTATTAAAGTAGATTTTATAATACAAAAGGATAATTAAAGAAAATAAATGTGTTTAACAGAAGTGGTTAGAGAAAAAAAAAAAAGAAATGACATAAAAGAGGGGATAAGATGGAATCAAAAGTTTTCTTTGCAATAGTCTTAATCCATTTAAAGTTGGGCATTGACTTCAGGGACATAACCAAGCTTTTCAAAGTGCTTGATGACAGATTCAGCCTTTTCAACAACGTGTTCAGGTGTGATCTTGAAGTGCTTGTATAAATCTTCAGCTTTGCCAGAGGCACCGAAAGTACGCATACCAACTTGAGCATGAGAGTAACGTTCCCAACCGAAGGTACCGAGAGCTTCAATAGAGATGACAGGAACACCAAGAGGGAAGATTTGCAACTTGTATTCAGCAGGTTGTTCATCAAAGAGTTCGGAACAAGGCATGGAGACGATTTGAACAGCAATATTCTTGTTGGCCAAGGCCTTACCAGCTTCAACAGCAAGAGAGACTTCGGAACCAGTAGCAACAAGGACAACTTGAGGGTTCTTATCAGCAGAAAGAACATAAGCACCCTTAAGAACGGCTTCGGGAGAGGAGCCATCAAGTTGAGGCAAGTTTTGACGAGAAAGAGCGATGATGGAAGGACGTGTGGTGTTAACCATGGCAGCCCAATAAGTACCAGAGGTTTCGTTACCGTCAGCAGGACGGAAGGTAAGCATATTAGGTGTGGCACGAGTCAAGGCTAAAGTTTCAATAGGTTGGTGAGTAGGACCATCTTCACCAAGACCGATGGAATCATGAGTCATAACATAGATGACACGCATGTGTCCCAAAGCTGAAAGACGAGCAGCACCCCAACCGTAAGTCAAGAAGTTCAAGAAAGTACCACCGTAGGGAACAATACCACCATAAGCAGACATACCGTTCATGATAGAGAACATAGCGTGTTCACGAACACCATAACGGAAGTAGCGACCACTGTAATCACCAAGTTGGGTGGAAGGATGTTGGAAATCAACGGCTTCCTTCCAACGGGTCAAGTTGGAACCAGTTAAATCAGCAGAACCACCCAAAAGTTCAGGAAGAGCACCTTGCATAGCAGATAATACACCTTCAGACAACTTACGAGTGGCAACAGCAGGGTCGGAGGGAGTGAAACGAGGAAGAACCTTGTCCCAGTTTTCAGGCAACTTATTGGCGAAACGACGCTCAATTTCTTCAGCTTCCTTAGGGTATTTAGATTTGTATTGTTCGAACATTTTATTCCATTCGTCTTCGACTTGGGCGCCATGTTCAGCACGTTTTTTGTAAAGATCATAAACCTAAATTGAAATGATTCAAATACACTCAACATAGCGTTCTCCCTACAAGACCTTCTTTTCCTGCTCATTTCACAAATAGTCCTTACCTCATCAGAAACGACGAAAGACTTCTCCGTATCAAAGCCGAACTTTTCCTTCAATTGTTTGATGTCATCGGCTACAGGAGATTAAATCTATAATTAGGTGGCATTCTATTTATAACAATTCTACCTATTTGACTTACCTTTAAGAGGTGCACCGTGTACCTTTTCTTCACCTTGCAACAAGGAACCATAACCTGAAATAAAGAAACCAAAAATAAAGATGTCAGATTATGTGTCATTACGCAGTCATTGTATCACTTAACACAGCCCAGTTGCGTTTTTTTTTTTTTTTTCAGACGCATCCAAATTTCAAACACTAAAGTAACAATTTTGAAAAAAAACTTACCAATAGTGGTTCTGACCTTGATGATAGAAGGCTTGTCAGTGACCTTTTGGGCAGCCTTAACAGCTTCTTCAATAGAGGCAAAATCACTGTCGCCATCGGCGACAGATGAGATGTGCCAACCGTAAGCTTCGTAACGCTTCAAAACATCTTCAGTGAATGAAACTGCAGTATCACCGTCGATAGTGATGCGGTTGTCATCATAGAAACAAATGAGTTTGCCTAGCTTCCAATGGCCAGCAAGGGAACAGGCTTCAGAAGAAACACCTTCTTGAAGACAGCCATCACCGAGGAGAACATAAGTGTAGTTATTGAAGAGCTCGAAACCTTCTTTGTTGTAAGTAGCTGCGAGGTGAGCTTCAGCGGCAGCTAAACCGACAGCATTCGAGATACCTTGGCCCAAAGGACCGGTGGTAACTTCAATACCTTCAGTATCAATTCTCTCAGGATGACCAGGTGTCCTAGATAGAATTGTGATTGTTTAGCATAAATAATTTGAAATGACGTAAACGCGTAATGGAGTGCTCTAAAAGCACTTGGAGTCAAAGCATGACCCATCCACTTACTTGGATCCTAATTGACGGAAATTCTTCAAATCGTCCATGGAAACATTGTAACCCAAAAGGTGAAGGAGAATATATTGAAGGGCACAAGCATGACCATTGGAAAGAACAAATCTGTCACGGTTTTTGAAATAAGGGTTCTTGGGGTTGCAGTTAAGAAATTTGGTGAATAAAGTGTGAGCAATGGGAGCGCAACCCATAGGAGCACCGGGGTGACCAGAGTTGGATTTAGCTACAATATCAGCAGCAAGAACACGGATTGTATCAATAGCCTTTTGGTCAACGGAAGAAGACATATCTTTCAATTTCGAATTGAAGGTTAAAAATGGGAAAAAGAAGGAATGAAAGCGGGTTCCGCGGCTGTTTGCTTTATACCTTTTTTCTAACCTTCTCTCTTACATGAGTGATTGGATCGGAGCAGAATGAGCAAATCTATACTAAACAATAGTCACAGTGAAATCGATCATATTCATTCAAATCGACCATGCACTCATTGGGCAAAACCCAACTGATTCAATTTCCGTGCAGTTTAAGGTTTTATGGGACTCTAGAAAACATCAGGAATCGCTGACAAACGACCTGGCTCTGGGTCTAAAACTTATGTAAGCTATTTTTTTTTTTTTTTTTTTGTTCATGCTCTTTTCAGCGTTTTGTTTATACATGAGACTGGTAAAATAGATCTCCTGTGTCATGTAGTGTACTCGAACAAGACTAATTTTCTTAATTAACACCTTTTCTAAACAGATCTATCTCATTAAACAGATCTATCTCATTAAAAGTAAAGTATAATGCAAGCATCCTTTATTAAGCATAATGAATCAAATATGCATGGAAAAGATTAATAGTAAAGCAATTACTAATTCTCGGTGTTAAATTTAACGCCAGGATCGAGCGATTAAGTAATCAATTTAGCAAGTAATTTTGCATCGGAATTCAATTGTGTGGTTGTAAAGTACTTCAATTCCTGCTTCCTTCCATCGCTTTCATTACAAGCTGCGATTGAGCTACGTAGCTAAAGTTCAAGAAGTAGTCTTGCATTTTTGCGTCTAAATCAATAGTTTCGATAGGTGTCTCTTTTATGACCTCGCTTGTGAATACATCATCAAAATTTTCGGCTAATAATGGATCGGTCTACACGTGAATGGGCAGGATAAGGATATAAGAATACAATGACCATCGATATGTGACAATCTTTGACTTACCACAACAGGTTGTATAGGGGGTATCACTGTACGTTGCTTGAGCTCGTTCCAATCAATTTTACGAAAGAACCTATGCTGTTTAATTTTCTGAATTCCATCATCTCCTGTGCCTAACCTGACATTAGGGTTCTTTCGAAGAAGCTATATAAAAAATGAATCAGTAAGAAAGCAAACAAAAAGTAGGTTTCGTTGTTTGAAACTATAATATAAGTTTGCGTGGTATTTACGCGAATGAGTAAATCCTTAGCATCGGCTGATATATAATAGGGGATCTTTAGTTTTTTCTTCAAGATCGCATCAAGGGTCTTTTTCTTATTGTTGCATCTAAAAGGGGTCTGTAAAATAGATTGATTACGTCAAATCGAGCCAAACTTTAATTAAAAACGTATAATAAAGCACGTTGCTTACATAACCAGTCAGCATCTCATACATTAAAATTCCAAAAGTCCAAAAATCAACACTCTTATCATATTGTAACTCCAAAAGAATTTCTGTTTCATGAATCAGTGTTAGCAAATATCAAGTATTAGAAAAGCTTTGCAGAAAATGATATTTACTTACCGGGAGCCATATATTCGGTTGTTCCACACACCGTATTTGCTCTGCTTCCTTCTAATGATACTTTCGAGAGTCCAAAATCGGTCAATAGAACATGACCATCTCCATCAAGGAGACAATTTTCAGGCTTCAAATCACGGTATACAATTCCCAGCCCATGCAAATGTTCTAAAGCCAGAAGTAATTCTGCCAAGTAGAATTGTGCGACATCCTCGGTAAACATGTGTTCTGGTTTAATAAGAGCATAAACAAAGGAGTAAGATTAGTCATAGATTGTCAGTGCACGCATGCATGCTTCACAGCAACTGTAACGTAATACTGCATCTTATAGAAGCCAAACAAAAACATACCTGATGCCATGTGCGTAAAAAGTTCTCCCCCGGTTGCATATTGTAATATCAAATATAACCGATCATTGGTTTGAAATGCATAGAACAATTGCACAATGAACGGATTTTGAACCTCTTCTAGGATCTGTCTTTCAGCTTTGGTGTGTTCAACATTTTTGGCATGGACGAATAATGAAGCCTTTTTAAGGACTTTCATGGCATACAGAGTACCAGTTGCTTTATGCCGACATAACATGACTTTGCCATACCTAAATCATTTGTAATTGTATAAGGCTTATGTACGCTATACGGAAAATTATGGCTTGCCTTTTTTTTCATTCTCTCTTACGCTCCACGTCCGAGTAATTTCAAGATCTCGAAATCGTCCAAAGTAACTTTCTCAATTTTATTCGGTGAATGGCTGGAGAAATTGAGTGAAGAGGATATATAGCTTTCATCCAAGGCTACTTCGTACAATTTTTCATCCGAAGATATTTGCCTTGGCTCTGCTATATCCGCTTCAGAGGAATAGCCGCTTTCAGTATTCTTAGTTTCCTCTAATACTACAGATTCTGCTTCGGCAGGTAGGTCGTCGAACTCAAAAACGGCACTCATAGGTCACTTTTCTTTCTTTTCTTTTTTTTCGGTTTAGGTTATTTGATCTGATTATTTCAAATTGAGAATTCTTATAAATGAAGCTGGATACGGTTAGAAGGAAAGTGAGCTAAAGTAAGAGATGTTACTGATAATATCAAAAACATATAGAAAATATACGATTGTGTGTTGATAAAAACAAAAAAAAAAAATCGAAATGAAAAAAAAAAAATTGTTTTTTTTTTTATTGTAAAACACGGGGAGAAACAGGGTGCTACCTTAAAAGGAAAGCAGGGATCTACTGTCGCTCTTTCCTGAGACATTAAGAGTTCCAGTAATGAATTTGTATTGAGTTTTCCACTCAAGCGTATCGACTGTCAGTTTGAGTGCAGGTCAGTTGAAACGGACTGAACAAACTACTTAGAGCATATATATATACATATTTATATGATGTGAGGTGTATATAATCAGTATTTGTCAATATTTTGATTAAATGTTTTCAAATACACCTCGCTTGATTGAATCATGAATAGCTTTATACTCCTGGATGCCTATTTTTAAGAAAGGCATGAAAGAGGGGCGCGACCACCGTAATTTTATAGATAAACAGTGATTATCTGTCCTTCTTATATCACAATTTGTTAGGGAACATTATTGCCTCAACTATACATGTCGCGTGAAAACTTGTATAATTTAGTCATACGTTGAATGTAGGATGGTTGCCTGTATATCAATACTCATACGTAACACAGTTTATCAGTTTATCCTCAATTGATAATAAAACGGTAAGAATGACTAAAACAACCCATCAGTTTCTTGACTTCATAAAGCAATAGAATGGATGGTCGAACGAACTATGAGTGTCCGCAGAGAATGAATAGCACTACAATGGGAGCCTTTAATTTTACAGGAGTAGAGCAACAGATAATGTTCTCTTGAATAAGTTATAAGTATCTTCCCAGAAGTCTTCTAGAATAAAAGAGCGCATTTTCAGTGACGATCCGCATAGCTACTCGTAAATACTAGGCATTCTCTGTACAGATGTGCTTCACAGTCCACAGAAATAAGAAGGCGTCAGCCAAATTTTCGCGGAACTCAAACACGTCATGTCAGCCAGCTTTGGTTTAAATTACCAAAAGCATCGTTCATTTTCTAGTTTTCTCTGATTTTTTTATTGTCTTTTTCTTCCTTGATTATTTCAGAGAAAAGCCAAAGTCTATTTATACACTATGTCAGCCGATATGGATATTGACATTAACAACACTACACCAACTAACGATTTTATGGACGAAGATCCACCTACAGTCGATGAGGAAACAAACACTGTAGGTGTTTTGATTGATGAACTCAAACATGAAGATGTTACACTTCGACTCAACTCCATCAGAAAACTCGACGTAATTGCCAACGCACTTGGTGTGGAAAGAACCAGAAACGAATTGATACCTTTTCTTCAAGGTATAAACAACAGAAATTACGTTTCCCTCAAGGCTCCGGGAAAAAACATGAGTCATCTAACCGTTTTTTTTTTCAATGTGCAGATTCCATTGACGATGAAGACGAGGTTTTGCTTGCGTTAGCTGAAGAGTTGGGAAAGCTTATCGAAGCTGTTGGTGGAAAAGATTATGCTTATCATATATTGCCACCTCTGGAAAATATAGCTGCTGTTGAAGAAGCAACAGTTAGAGACAAGGTTAGTTGCAACAGTTCCAGCTGAGGAGAATTTTCGTTCTTACTAACCGTTAATCAATATTAGGCTGTTGATTCTCTCTGCCATATTGCTGAGGTCTTGCCCGATGATCATTTAACGAAATACTTCATACCTCTTCTCAAAAGGCTAACTGTTGGGGATTGGTTTACCAGCCGAACATCTGCAACAGGGCTTTATGCTACAGCCCTGAAACGAGCAGATGCCTCTCTTCAGGAAGAAATAAAGACGTACGTTAACAGCGAACACAGTGGTTTCACGATTAAAAAGGAGAAAAAAAAGAGACGACGACAGATAGCTAATATTAATTTTGATTTTACAGACTATTTTCACAATTATCAAAGGACGATAGCCCTATGGTGAGGAGAGCTGCTACAAAATCATTGGTGGTAAATGTCATTATGAAAAGTTCATCGTGGAAAAAAGCACACAGAAATTGGGTATTGATGGATTTTTTTGTGCTCCACTATCAATTAGGATCTTGTCAGAGAACTTCCAGAGGACGATGTTCGCTCAATTCTAATTCCACTATTTCAAAGACTCTCTGAAGACGATCAGGACTCTGTTCGTCTTTTGACAGTGGAGGTCTTAGTTGCTTTGGCTGAGAAGCTTCCGGCAGCAGAAACCAAGAGCGATTTATTGCCTGCTTTTACTGCTTTAGCAAACGATAAGGCTTGGAGAGTACGATATATGGTTGCATCAAAATATGTTGAGGTTAGTAGCCATTACACAATGCAAAGTTCTCCTCAGCTATCTTTTGAAACTTACGGTCTGTTCTTGTACTTTACAAAGCTTGCCAATGCTTTCGGTGAAGATATTGTTAGAGCCAATTTCACCTCGGCATTCGTCAGCATGCTAAAGGATGCTGAAGGTGAGGTTAGAACAGCGGCAGCTAGCCAAGTACCTGGATACGCTAAACTTGTCGATAAAACTGTCATCATTGATGAACTTTTGCCTTGTGTTAAATCGCTTGTTACCGATGAGAATCAACATGCTCGTGCAGCTCTTGCAAAGGATATCAGTGGCTTGGCGCCAATCATTGGACAAGACGCGTAAGTTATAACTAAGTGGAGTACTAGGCTGTGTATGGGAAATTAAATGGGCTTTTTACAATTAGCACCATGGAGTATTTGTTGCCTTTATTCCTACAACAATTGACTGATGAATTCCCTGATGTTCGTTTAAACGTTATTTCAAACTTGGAAACAATCAATCAAGGTAGGCAGTCATTAAAAGTGATACTTTGTAAGGATAACCAGCAGCTCACTGTACATTGTCACAACATAGCTATTGGTATTGAACGCGTGTCACAAGCATTACTTCCTGCGATTGTCGAACTATCGGAAGACAAACAATGGCGAATTCGCCTGGCTATCATTGAATATATTCCCTTGCTAGCCAAACAATTCGGTCCTAAATTCTTCGAAGAAAAGCTTCTGGAATTATGCATGTCTTGGCTTAGAGATCTCGTTTTCTCTATCCGAGAGGCTGCTACAGTGAATCTGAAAAAGTTGACCTTGGTTTTTGGAGCTGATTGGGCCAAATCTGCAATTATTCCTGAGGTGATGAAAATGACTACTGATGAAAATTATTTACATAGAATGACTACTATCTTTGCTTTAACGGTAAGTGTTGCTATAAGTTATTTGAGTCGATTGAGAAAGGAATGCATGTAATTTATAATGGTTTGGTATTGTTCAATAGACAATGGCTGAAGCATTAACACCTGCCATGGTGAAAGAATCCATCCTTTCCACTATAACAGAGATGTCGAAAGACCCTATTCCCAACATACGATTTAACGTTGCTAAATCATTGGAAACATTGATACCATTCTTGAGGAAGGATGACAGTACAGCTGAGCTTATCGATAGCATTGTTAAGCCTACGCTCGAAAAATTAAGTACAGATCAAGATGTCGACGTCAAATTTTTTGCTACGCGAGCTTTAGAAAGCTGTGGTAAATAATCGTCTTAATCTCTCAATTGCTTTCTACTTTGTCAATCACTCACTTCTTCTCTATGCGTGGATAGCTTAAAAAGGGATTTTTTTTTTCAATATAATTTCTATATTTCTTGACTTATAACCGTCTTTTTATTTTCTCTCTTCCGCCTTTCCTCTTAATTGGTTTGTATATTGTAGTCTAGGTCGTTGTAATGTTTGATTGGATTGAAAATGAAAGGAAGAATATGCAAAATAAAACTGATGCACCCATCAAACTATTGCATAAATGAATTGTGAGCAGATGTACAACTATTTTATTGTTATGCCTCAGTTACCTTCTAGATGCATATACTTGGCTTTTCTCTGCATGTGATAGATATTCACTGCGATGCTATTACACTGTGTTCTGGACTAAAATCAATTGATAATTGGAGTACAAACTGATTCACCATCTTCATTATACTGATCTTATTTCAGTTGGCCGGAGCCAACAACTGAGAAAATGTCATACACTTTCCGACATGATACCATATATGACGTCTATATTGTTATCATTGGCATATAATACGTACGAGGCGTTAAATAAGCTCAGTCGAACAATCAGAAGTATATTAAAAAATATAAGTCCCTTGACAGTTGGTGGGAAAACGGTAATGAGATTCTAATACAGTATTTTTTGCTCCATGAGTTGTAAACTTATACGGTTGAATGAATATTTTTATCTCTTCAGCCATAATATTATTTGTTTTGTGAGTGTACAAAAAGTACAATGGATGGTAACAACAATTTCTAGTTGAAATGCGCCAAGGTTCATTGCTTAAACGGTAATCTCAAACCTTTCATTCGGAAGAACGGGGAAAAGCGTAGGCCGCATTTTTTTCTTCTGTTTGGGACCAATAAGATGTCTATATGGAGCATTACGCTCTTTATGCCATCATCAATTATCATGGCCTTTCGTATAATCGTACCAATGTATACATACTACTAACACAAGGGACAACTCTGGTTGGTCGATCTCCCGCATTTTTAATCGCCATAAAAAAGCATCAGTAAATTTGCATTTTCTGCAGTTGGTAAAAGAAAGCCCTTTTGCAACCTTATTATGAACATACCCGATGACTACTACACTGTCATAATCAATAACCAATCTGAAAAATTCACTATCAGTAAGCGGTTTCGAATTATTCGTGAAGTTGGATCAGGATCTTATGGATCTGTCTGTAGTGCAATCAATGTGAATACAAATGAAGGTATAGACACTGGACCTAGCAATAATCATTGCTACATTGAGGCTTATTTCTACTTCACAATAGTTGTTGCTATAAAGAAATGTCGGCATGTATTTGACAAAAAGCTTATAACAAAGCGGTGTCTTCGAGAAATAAAACTTTTGCAGCATTTCAATGGCCATCCACGCATCATTGATTTAAAAGAGATGGATATTGTAGATCCACAGAATTTCAACGAAATATACTTGATACAAACTTGTTGTGATACGACAATGTCGGATATAATTCATTCAAAAGTCAAATTGGAACCTGTTCATTATCAATGGTTCATGTATCAGATTTTCACTGCATTAAAGTATATTCACAGTGCGAATGTTTTGCATAGAGACCTTAAGCCTGGTAACCTCCAAGCAGTTAAAGGACAGGATTTGTTGTTACACCCACACTCAGAATTTTAATGTTAATAGCAAACATTCTTGTGAACGAAAACTGCGACTTAAGGATATGTGATTTCGGTATGGCCCGCGGCATAGCAATTCCTTCGAATGCCATTGATTCTCAAAATATGACACACTATGTGGTAACCCGTTGGTATCGAGCACCTGAAATTATGATGAGTCGCAACGCTTACGATAAATCCAGTAATTATAAAAAAAAGAAGCGAAGAATAAAGAATTATATCAGGATGCTAACAATATTACTTCTCTAGTTGACATGTGGTCGGCAGGCTGTATCTTAGCAGAATTGCTTGGCAGGAAAGTGCTTTTCAAAGGATCAGATTATGTTGATCAGTTACATAAAATAGTTGGTATCCTTGGGCTTCCCAAGGACACATCTTTTTGGGATAGTTCATCATCGGTTACAGAATATATTAGAAGCTTACGTGATGAGTGTGGCAACCCTCCACCCGAAGAGCCTGTTGATTTTAATGTACTCTTCCCGAACGCTCCACCAGAAGCGATTGATCTGCTACAAAAATTGATACAACTGGACCCATTGAAACGGCTCACTGCTGAACAAGCGTTGGAGCACCCATTTGTAGCGCCAGTAAGGGACCTTGCAGAAGAATTAGATTGTCCTTCTAAATTCGACTTTGAAAGCTTTGAAATGATTGAAAGTGAGCATCTTCTACGACAATGCATTATTGAGGAAGTAATGAAAAGCAAAGGGGTTGAAAACCCTCTGTCACTACATCGTCAATCAATCTCATTCATGTGCAATCACTCGGCACGTAGACGATATACAGGAAGCTCCTTATCGACCCCCTCCTCTTCTTCTATAGCAGAAGCTAATCAATGCGCATTGCAAATGACTCAACAAGGTATGCATCTTGACAGTCACTACCATCAGCCGTATTTCATAATGGACAATAACGCTCAGTTTGTGAGAGAACCAGAAGACATGGATCAAGATGATTTTACAGCGATGGATGCTACTGATGCTGCTGTTGCTATTGGAGAAAGGCGTACATTGGTAGCTCCGATTAATACCGACGTACAGGCCTTGGAGCGTCATTTGAGCCAAAATTGGTGATATAATTCCCTGCTTTATTTTGATGACTACCACTTAGATACCTTTGAACTACAAATATTTATATTTATCTGATCTGATAAACTCTTACTACGCCTATCAATACTGGTTTTTTTTTGGTTTTTTCGCTTGGCTTTCGCATAAAATGGTTAACAAATTGAGGTATTTCTACAGTTCAGCTGTAAACTAGTTCAATGATAGTTTTGGAGTTTATGCGATTATACCTTTCCTGTCAAAATACTCAATGCCAAATGTGCGACCTACTCATACTCATAAAAGGTACTATACTGTGTTGAAGCATAATAGCAACCTGATCGAGTGTGATATGAATTTCAGTCAGTGGTTAATGAAAACTGCAGAAACATACAATGAGAAGTCTTGCAAAATGAACTTACCTAAGCGCGTAAGTATCTTTAAGCCTCCTTGTTCGAGGAGCCGATAGCAACCGTCTTCGCTATAGCGTTTTTGTGGGATAAATTGTGATGGTCCTCTCTGAATTGTCCAAACTGAAATGGCGTTAGACATCGTATTTTTTGAAGCGTTTATATCACGTTGCCAGAGTATGCGGAAGCATTTACAAACTTTCGTGCTGTAGCAACATGAATTTGCACATTAACGCTTTCCACGTTCTTGAATAATCACTTGTTGTGGACCTATCATTTGCTAGTGCATGTATAAGTAAGACATTCAGAAATAAGGCTCATAGAAATACGGCATGCATTGCACAGTATTAAGGAAAAGGTTGATTACCTATGAGATGCAATAATCATCAATCTCAATTACCGCTACAAGTTGCTGCTTCTGCCTCTTTAACGGGGTTCTGAAGAGTACACCTGTTACACCAGAGGTTCGTTCTTTCAACTATACTGTGTCCTTTCCGTGCATTCCCATCTCGAACGCAACAAAAGGCATGAATGGCTTTTCTACTATGAACCTCTTTGATCGCTAGTTTCTACCTTTTATCTTCCTTGTATCTTTATTGAAAAAAGATTTTTATATGCCTTAACAATAGCCATCTACCAGCCAGAACATTCACATATGTAAGCCGACGTCTTCGTCTTTTCCCATCGGTTCCTCTTCGCCGCTTCTTTCTTTTCCCCATATTAAGCCTCCATGCACTCCTGTCTTGTGTCTTTGCCTTTGCTTCTGATCGTCCTGATTGGCCACTCTTCAGTTATCGTTTCCTTTTCTTGTTTCTGTTTGTATGTTTTTTCTTCCTCCTATTATACTTTCGATCGCCATCCATCAACATACTAGCTACAAGCACATAAGCTTTTGGAAGAGTAAACGATAATAGAGTGGAAATACTTCTTCGTAGAAAAGTAGAAAAAAAAAAGATGAAGTTATAGTTGAGAATGCAGAAATATGAAGTCATTCATATCGGATACAACTAGTGCCTGGCTATCATAGTAACTAAGAGGAAAGTATGCAATTGATTGTTGTAGACAACCACGTGATGATAACTCAAAAGTAAAAACGGTCAGACAGAGGAATATAGTCTTTTCTTATGATATTTTGGTAGTAAGTCCTTCGAAGAAGCGCATGAACTAAAGCGTTTTGGTCTTAACGTGTGGTCTCTACCATTCAAAGAACGCACGATTAACAGACAAAAGCAGATAGCGTATTTTTTTCATAAGTATAGGGACTGCCATGCGTCAGTCATTCAAAACGATAAATGGGGGTATAAGCCTCTACTTGATCCATCTTATTTACTAGTTATTGATCCTAAAGTGAGAGCTAGGTTAAAATTAAAAGGTCACACCACAGGGACTCCATTAGACAGCAATAATGCTCTGGTACCGCGTGTTGTAGAATCCTGCAAACGGTTACTCCTGGTAATTGTAAGGATTGCCTCAGGCATGCTGTAACCTATTGGGACAGATGCGTGCAGTAAGAGGTAAGCCTAAGATAATTTACTGGAAGTGCCCCAAGTTTGAAAATAGTATGTGGCGAAAAATCACTTGAATATCTAAATTCTGGCTAATGAAAGAATCCTATTTTCAACAGACTAAATTCAAACCGAAAATATAATAGTTATCACTTTTTATCACTTCGTTTATTCAATTCTGACAAGCGTTGCATAGCTTTACGGTAGTTTTGAGCAGCGGCTCGCATATACCATCGCCTGGCTTCTTCTAGGTTTGGTTTTGTGCCGACACCATACTCAGTATAATGGCCCACGGCATATTCAGCTTTTGCGTACCCTCTATCAGCTGCTTTTCGCGCCCATAAATAAGCTTCAGTGTAGTTTTGGGCTAATACACCCTCTGCTCCGGTCAAATACCAACAAGAAAGGGCTAATTCGGCTTCGCTATCACTTTGTTCAGCAGCTTTAGAGTACCACGCTATACTACGCCGTGGATCAATGGGACAATTCAATAATCCATTCTCATACGCTAGACCTAAACGAAACTGTGAGGGAGCATAACCATATTGTGCGGCTTGGCTAAATAATTCTCGCGCATAGTTCAGATCAGCAATAACTGAAGGTATACCTTCCCGCTCGTAAGCTAGTCCCAACTCGTGCAATGCGTAGGGATGATCTTCATTAGCTTCTTGAACAGCACGTTTTAACCATGAAATACCTTCAGGAGGATTTTTTGGCTGTCCTAAAAGCCCCTTTATTAAAATAACACCCAATTTATACATAGCAGAAACTTCACCCAAATTGGCGGCTTTTCTGAAAAACATCATTGCATGATTCTTGTCCTTTTTTGTACCTGCACCGACCTCATAGCAGACAGCAGCACGATAGGTGCAACCTGGATGATTCTGCTTCGAACCTTGTACATATAACTCGGCAGCTTTTGTGAGATCAACTGATAACCCTATACTGCCAACAGCATAAGCGTTGGCCAAAAAGTACTGTGCTTCTGGATAGCCCTGTTTTCCCATTCCAGAATGTGTTGCTAACTTTTTAAGGATCTTTTGAGCTTCAATATTTAAAGCTTCTTTTGCTTTTTTCGCTTTTTTAATGTCTTGTTGGTGATCATCAATACGAATTTGTTTTGCAGCTTCAAGCAAGAACTTAGCAAGCTCAAATGATTCTTGTAGACCGCCTTCTTTTGCCTTTTTTCTGTAGTATTCCAATGTTTCCTTTGATGCAGGTGGAAATTGAGCCTTTTTAACCTTCTTTCCAGCTGCCATAGCAGCAGATAGAGAGCTGTCAGCTAAATAGTTGTCGTCAGCTATCATTGGTTGAGGGGTATACATTTGTGTTATTGGTTGCCGTAAAGGCATAGCTAATTGCTGGGAATAAGGCGATTGTATGATTGTCGTTGTCAACGGCGCCATATGCTGTTCCTGTACAGTTTTATTTATTGGAGGCGTCATAACTGAAAGAGGCCGCACGGTATAATTATAGGAGGCTTGGCCATTTTGTGATATTGCTAGTTGCGACGGAGAAATAGCCATTGAAGGACTTCCATATTGTTGAGGTACATAATTCTGATGATAAGTTTGACTCGCGCAAGATGTCGAAGCTGAGTCATGATTCAATTGTTGAGATGACATCTTGCTTCCTACTTCAGCTTCTTTTGCACTTATAGAGATAGAACCAAGATGAAGAGGCTTGTGATGCTTTATAATTGTTTATTTGTTAATTAGCCATAGATTTCACTATTTTTGGCAAGAGAAGTAGTGGTTGTGAGTCGCACGAAATTAAACCTCATCATCGCCTCCATCACTGCCTTTGTCTTTTGACATTGGTGTAACAGTAGCTTAGCTTTCAGTGAAATTCATTTTTTTTTTTTAAAAAAAAAACCAGACTGTGCCAGGAAAGCAATACGCAGCACTCATTTATACTGAATTTTTTTTTTTTTTTTTTTTTTTTTTTGTTTGTATACTCAAGTTATACTTAAAAAAAAGTACATCAATAAAACTAACAGCCGTGTAAAATTGAGTTACCATGAGTAATTGAGAATGTGTGCTGGTAACACTTCCCAACTAAAAAATTGAAAAACTTACCGCACAGTAGTACTATTTCAATTATACAGGTAAATTTCAGGAAATTTAGCAAGCTATTGATCGAAGAAAACTGGAAACAGCCAAAGACCTTAAAGAACTCTGTTTCCTACTATTAATACGTTGAACTGTAGATCAAGCAAACGTAGAATGCGAATCAAAAATTTTGCATAATGCACGTCTTTATTCATCAGCTTCAACATCCGCTTGATGCCGCAGCGACAACTAAGAAAACTGAATATGGATTGACTATTGGCAGGACCTTCTAGTCTTCCTTTACAGAATAGTGGTGGCTAAAAATGGTTGCCTCAACGCCCTTCAGCTCAGTACTACATCATATTCTTTCTACAGCAAAGACTACTGAAGCGAGTAATAAAGGAAAAAGAAAGGCAACGTCTCATACTGCAGACGTTTTACTTTCAGAGTTGCCAAAAGTTAAAAAGAAAGAGGAATCGCTCGACATACAAAAATTCATCGCATTAGTTGAGAACTATACAAACGATAGCATAAATAGAGGTACACATTTTTCTTGTTATGCTTCAAAAACCTTAATAACACCTATCTTTTACGTAACTACTTTCAGAAGTGCCTTCTCCTAAATTTGTAAATGACGTTGAATTCCAATACCCAAGCAAGCCGTTTATCAAACTGTCAAAAATAAATGGAAAAGATCTGCATACAAACCTAAACAGTTCAAATCAAGTTAGACAACCAATATCAAATTCCATAGCAAAAGCTTCATTAAAGACAGTTACAGTTTATGATCGCAATTGGTTACTACAGTAAGATTATGAAAAAGAATATCCTTCGCTGTTATACAAAGAAATTTAGGGTTTGTTATCTGTTTAAAGGGAATGCCTCAACTATACACGTAACAATGCAGAAGTGAATCTGAGTGCACAGCAATTATGTGCTGATATCTTCACAATTATAAGATCTGGTAAAAGTGACGATGATATCCAGAATTCGCTGGTTGAGTTATTGGGTTATACTGCGCTCGATTTCGTTACAACACTTATATCAAACAGACCCACCATCGTTCACAATATTATGAAAATGTCGGACTATGACGAACGTGTATTGAAAGAAACTGCTACAGTGCCTGTCGCGCAGACTGCAATTCGTAGACCCATATATGGAACACAATTCACTGTCCAAACAGAAAAGGAAATGAGGGAAGAGAAGAAGTTGAGGAAAGAGCAGAAGAAAGCATCAAGGACTGGAAACAAAAACGAAGGTTGATTGAACTAGTTCATTGAAAAATTAAATAATTTCATTTATTTTTATTAACTTCTGTTATTAATAGATAATGCAAATGCTGTATCTATGAGTATTCTTGGATTTGATGGAGAGGACTTGAAGCTAGCTAGAGAAACGGCTTTATCGGAGGCCAGCCAAGCACCACTATTCAGTTCCAATTACAAAACAGCATCAGCAACAAAATATCCACATGTTTATCAGTCTGGACAGAGCGGCAGTATACTATCTTTATATGGCACACGCTTTGCTTTGCCAGCAGGGACTGTACGTGAAGATTTCAATGATTATGAAGAGACAACTATACCTGTGCCGAAGATTGCACCAGTACGTTCTGGTGAAAGACGAGTTCCAATTTCAGAAATGGACAGTTTAGCCAGAGGAGCCTTTAAGGTATAGTAACATAGCTGAGTTGAAAAAGTGGAAGAAGAATTATCTAAATAGCACATTAACAAATATAATATAGGCTTATGAGTCACTGAACAGGGTACAATCAATTGTCTATCCAATTGCTTACGAGACAAATGAAAACATGTTGGTCTGTGCTCCTACTGGTGCCGTAAGTGACATTTACGAATTATCCTAATTCATAATCAGATAATTGACGAACCATTTTGCTAGGGTAAAACTGATGTCGCTATGTTGACTGTTCTGCGTTGTTTATCGCAACACTGTTCTCCCCCTCCACGCAAGGGAACAACTGAGATAGATTTTACAATCGCTAAGAACGACTTCAAAATTGTATACGTAGCACCAATGAAGGCTTTAGCCGCTGAAGTGGTTGAAAAAATGGCGAAGAGACTTAAATTTCTCGGAATCAATGTCCGTGAATTGACAGGTGATATGCAGTTATCAAGAACAGAGATAAATGCCACTCAATTCATTGTAACAACTCCAGAGAAATGGGATGTCATTACTAGGAAAGGTACTGGCGACGTTGAGCTCACACAGGTAGGTACTTTTTATTGTGATTTTATGTTAGTCTTTGTATTTTAATGCATGCTCCATAGAAAGTAAAATTATTGATCATTGATGAGGTGCATCTCTTGCACGAAGATCGTGGTGCAGTCATTGAAAGCATTATTGCTAGAACTCTTCGTCAAGTTGAGTCTAGTCAATCCTTGATTCGCATTGTTGGTTTATCTGCTACACTTCCAAATTACGTTGACGTTGCTGCTTTCTTAAGGTAAGCTGGAATTCAAAAATGTTAGAAAGTGCCTAATTGTAAACGGACAAGACTTTTTGAATAACAATTCGAATTAAAACAGGGTCAATCCTTACCAAGGTTTATTCTATTTTGATAATGGGTTCAGACCTGTACCTCTTGAGCAACATTTTCTGGGAATTAAAGGTAAACCTAACTCGGTCCAATCTAATGAAAGGATGAATCGTGCTTGTTTCGATAAAGTGTCAGAGTTAGTGAAGGATGGTCATCAAGTTATGGTTTTTGTACATGCTCGAAAAGAAACAGTGAAAACAGCTCAAATTTTGAGAGAAGAAGTTTCCAATGAAGCAATAACAGAATTTTTCGACTGTTCTGATTCACCTAAATTCTCTCAATTCAAAAAAGAAGTGGCGAAATCACGAAATAAGGAACTCAAAGAACTATTTCAGTATGGTTTTGGTATTCATCATGCTGGTATGCTGCGATCAGACCGTACATTAACTGAACGTATGTTTCAAGAAGGTGCTCTAAAAGTGCTCTGTTGCACTGCAACTCTTGCGTGGGGAGTGAATTTGCCAGCTTATGCGGTGGTTATTAAAGGCACCCAGGTGTATGATTCCACTAAAGGTAGCTTCGTAGACTTATCTATTCTGGATGTACTTCAGATTTTTGGTCGTGCTGGTCGTCCGCAATATGAATCTCATGGCGTTGGTTACATTTTGACAACACATGATAGACTGTCTCATTACATATCAGCTATTACACAACAACATCCAATTGAATCGAAGTTTATTGAGAATATTGTTGACAATTTGAATGCTGAAATATCTCTGGGAACAGTAACGAATATTGATGAAGCAGTAACCTGGTTGAGTTATACGTACCTTTATGTTCGAATGAAAAAGAATCCAATGATATATGGTATGGATCATTCTGAACCTATCAATGATCCTTTACTAGGCCGCAAACGTCATGAAATCATCACTCTTGCTGCACGTAAACTAGCCAAATGTCAAATGATAATATTTGATGAAAACACAGGTTATTTGATACCCAAAGACCTTGGCCGTATTGCATCGAATTTTTATATCAGCCACACTAGTATTGAAATCTTCAATACGATGATGAAACCTAGAATGACTGAAGCCGATGTTCTCTCTATGATGAGTATGAGTTCTGAATTTGATCAAATAAAATCCCGAGATAATGAGCACCAAGAGTTGAAGAAACTACTGGAGAATGGTTGCGCTTGTGATATCCGGGGTGGTGTTGAAGATACACATGGAAAGGTCAATATTTTGTTGCAAGCTTATGTTTCAAATGCATTTATTGAAGACTTTGCCCTGGTATCTGATTGCGCTTATGTAGCTCAAAACTCAGGCCGTATTGCTCGTGCTCTTTTTGAAATCGCTTTAAATAGAAACTGGGGCCCTACAGCATCCGTATTGCTGCAAATCAACAAAGCAGTTGAAAAGCGTATGTGGACTTTCCAACATCCATTGCGACAAATGGGCTTGCCTCACGATATTTTAAACAAACTCGAAAGCCGAACACATGAAGTTAGTATAGAAGAAATGCGTGATATGGATCCAAATGAACTAGGCGAGCTTGTACACCATAGACGCATGGGCATGACAATATCGAAGTGTGTTGATCAGTTCCCTATGCTATTGTTAGATGCACGTATAGCACCAATTACTCGCAATGTTTTGAATATTGAGTTAACTATAACACCCGATTTTGTATGGAATGATCGTATTCACGGTAGCGCAGAACCATGGTACATCTGGGCTGAAGACTCCGAAAATGTTGAGATTTACTATTCTGAATACTTTTTGTTATACAAAAAGCAGTTTGGTGAACCTATCAAGATTGCATTTACAGTTCCATTGATCGAGCCTCTGCCTTCACAGATTTATGTTCGCGCTGTATCCGATAGATGGCTTGGTGCAGAAACAATTTTACCAATTTCCTTTCAACATTTGATTTTACCCGAATTATATCCTCCGCATACAGATTTGCTTGATTTACAGCCATTGCCAATTTCTGCCTTAAAGAATGAAATATTAGAGGGTATTTGTGCTCAAAGATTCACTCACTTCAACCCTGTACAAACACAAATTTTCCATACACTATACAACACGAACCATAATGCACTTGTGGGCGCACCGACTGGCTCAGGTAAAACTGTCGCTGCAGAATTGGTTATGTGGGCGGCCTTCAGAGACAGACCTAGTTCCAAAGTTGTTTACATTGCACCCATGAAAGCACTGGTCAAAGAAAGAGTGCTTGATTGGAATAAGCGTTTAACGGGACCTATGGGCAAAAAATTAGTTGAATTGACTGGTGATGTAACGCCTGATCTCAAAACAATAGAAGCGGCTGATATCATTATCACCACACCTGAAAAGTGGGATGGTATTAGTAGAAGCTGGCAAAAACGTAGTTACGTACAAAATGTTTCGTGTGTCATAATCGATGAAATTCATCTGTTAGGTGGTGATCGTGGTCCTATTCTGGAAGTGATTGTCTCTCGTATGAATTACATCGGTTCCCAGCTCGATCAGAAGGTGCGTATAGTTGGTCTATCTACAGCTTTAGCCAACGCGGTAGACCTGGCTAGCTGGCTCGGTATTGATAAGATAGGTCTATTCAATTTCAGACATTCAGTTCGTCCAGTACCATTAGAAATATACATTGATGGTTTTCCGGGAAAGCATTACTGTCCTAGAATGGCAACGATGAATAAACCAACATATGCAGCTATCAAGACACACTCGCCAACACAACCCGTTATTGTTTTCGTATCTTCTCGTAGACAAACTCGACTAACAGCTCAAGATTTGATTGCTTATTGTGGTATGGAAGATAATCCACGTCAATGGCTCCACATGGATGATACAGAGATGGAAATGATTCTCGAAAATGTTCATGACGAATCCTTAAGAATGTCTCTTGCTTTCGGTATCGGTCTCCATCATGCTGGTTTGAAAGAAAGTGACCGAAAAATTGTCGAAGAGTTATTCTTAAATATGAAAATTCAAATCTTGATTGCCACTAGTACTTTGGCATGGGGTGTCAACCTGCCGGCACATTTAGTAGTGATCAAGGGTACCGAATTCTACAACTATAAAGAGCACCGTTATGTAGATTTTCCAATTACTGACGTATTACAGATGATGGGTCGTGCTGGTCGTCCTCAATTTGATAATACGGGTATTGCCCGTGTATTTGTGCAAGACAGCAAAAAGAATTTCTTCAAAAAGTTCTTGCATGAGCCATTCCCCGTAGAATCCAGCCTCCACAAATACTTGGATGACCACATCAACGCAGAAATTGTAGGAGGTACTATCAAAACAAAACAGGATGCTCTAGACTATCTTACTTGGACCTATTTCTATCGCCGCCTGCAACAAAATCCTACTTATTATGGATTGGATGACATGACACAAAATGGTGTTAATAGTTTCTTATCGAATATGATCAATGATGTTACTCAAAGACTAGAAGAGTCTGGCTGCATTGAGATAGTTGATGATTTTGAATTAATACCATCAGTATCAGCACATATTGCATCCTACTATTACCTTCACCCGCAAACTGTACGCCATTTTCATGAAAACCTAAGAAAAGATTCAGCTATTGACGATATTCTGGACATACTTGGTAACGTACCTGAGTATGAAGAATTACCAGCACGCTGTCAAGAAGATTTGATCAACCAAGAAATTGAAAAACATATACCTTATGATGTCAAGGGTACACCCAACTTTATCAGCCCGCATGTCAAAGCTTATGTGTTGGTGCAAGCCCATATCAGTAGACTGGAACTACCAAGCTCGGATTATATCACCGATCAAATTACAGTCTTAGATTCAGCCATTCGTTTTTCTCAAGCCATGATTGACGTGGCAGCCGATAGTGGCTACTTAACTACCACTTTAAGGATCATGAATATGCTTCAAAGTGTTAAGCAAGCACGTTGGCATACAGAATCTCCATTATTAACCCTACCTCATATCAATCAGCGAATCTTGCAATTTATAAAATATAAGGTATGAGCTGCCATATTCTTCAATATTGCATTTCTGTGGCTAATAACGGTAAAACATAGGGAAAACCAGTGAAATCTTTGACACAACTTATGAAATTGCAACGATCTCAAATCAAGCAGATATTTTCGAATATCTATGAACTTAATGACGAAAAAATTGAAGAGGTACGCCATATGAATATGCAGGATTAAAGCTACATATAGTTCTAACTTTTGCATCCAGATTTGCCGTATTATCGATAGAATACCTTCAATCAATATGAAAGTAGAAATAGATTCAAAGAAACCCTACCTTATTCCTGATACAACGTATAGGTTGTCTGTCCAATTAAACAGAGTTACTCATGACAGAAAACCTCATGATGGTCGTATTCATGCTCCTCTTTTCCCTAAACCTCAGTATGAATCATGGTGGTTAGTCTTAGGTGATGAAACTAGTGGTGAATTATTAGCATTGAAACGTGTCAGCATGCGTAATGGGCCTAATGAAAGTTTACAGAATCGTACCAACACGAGCCTAACATTTGACACACCGGCTCACTTTGGTAAGCATGAATATTCAGTTTTTTTGATCAGTGATGGCTATCTTGGTTTAGACATGAAGAAGGGAGTTATTTTTGAAACAAGGATGGATTTGGATCATTAAATTGCTTATAAAATTGACACATTATGACTTAACAACTGTTAAGATATATAGCTTGTAAATAAATAGCCTATTCTTAATGACTTAAAAACTGTTCATATACATAGCTTGTAATTAATTAATCGAAGAGATTTGTTGTATCGTACATTGCGCTCAAGGCAAGAATTTTTTTTTTAAAGTGAGTCTAATCGGATTTGGCATGTAACAGCGCAATTACTCTTACAATAACAAACTATGTTACTCCTTACGAGCCTTAGGCTTCCGTCGTATAATTTTCATTGATCAACTTCAACTTGCATTCGCAGCGAAAAGCCTTCATAGCTGAAGTAATCAAATATTGCAAAATTAGGCTCTTTATCCGTAAAAAGTAGCTAAGGGTATTTTTTTCTATGTGATAAATATCTACTTCTAGCGATAACTTGGAGGTCGGTTCATCTTGTTCCGTTGCAAGCGAAGTATCAACCAATCTACTGCATCCCTTACACCATTACTATACAAATTGTCCAGTTATTCACTAAGTATACTGCAGCGATTGGAACATCCTGACTATGTAACTTTGAAAACTTACCCTTCCAGTGCACTGACGGGTAATACTCTTGAATCACGAGCTCCCAATTTCACTGCTATTTTATTGAACACTTCTTTGATATCCTCCACCTTTAACGCACCAAGTACATCTTGCTTATTGGCAAGCATGAGTACTGGTACACCTTCAACTGCATCATTTGTAATCATTTTCTCTTTGTAAAATTTGAAGCATAAAAATCTCTCAGAATTATCATCCTCTAGCCGCATTTAGATAAACATCAAGCAATACTTACCAAACGTATCTCTACACTCCTCTAAGCGTTTTGAATCTGTTGAATCCACGACGAAAACTATAGCATGACATTCTGAATAATATCGCTCCCATATGGAATGTAATTCTTTCTGACCACCCAAGTCCCAAAAATTAACTTTGACTGATTTTATATCTACCTTGGCGACTACGATATAAAAGAAATAGCGTTACGCGATGTTGTCAATAACGAGCAATCATGCCAGCGATCGACTTTAACACAACATACTATTTAAACCAACAGTTGGTGCTATCCTGTCTGGAGCCAATCCAGCTATACCCATAAATATTGATTTAATACGTTCTAATAAAGTCTTATGTCAAGTCAGTAACTATATATGAAGGTCAAGATGTCAAGATTTAGGTTGTTAATCATTTAATCGATGCTTTACTGTTTTGCCAGCATTGTCCAAACCAATAATTAGCACATAGTATTCTTCCTTCCTCGTAAGATGCTTGTATAAACCACTCAATAAAGTATACATTTTGCAAACGTTGATTTCTTGAATTTGTGGAAGCTATAGTTCAAAATGGATATTCATGCGAGATAATCTCCTGATACGCAAACATAAAATTCAGTGCTATCAGATTCATTACAGTATTTCGCTTCAGATTCAGACTCTTTGAAGAAAAATTCGGACTTTTTATTGGAAAAATTTATACTGGTTATAGGAAACATTTTGGACTAATCAATTATCAAATTGGGATTCTTTACGAAGCTGTCTCAGACCGATTTCTTTTGCATCCCAAGATGGTCGCAAACACTTTTTTCTTCCATAACCGATCCACCAACCACCTCATAATGAAGCGACCAGGAGAATATAATGTGAAGCTGCGGTTGCACTCACATCTTTGGGCCAAGTACTCATAGATTCCACAGCGAAGCTTCAAGCTTACGTCAATAGATTGCGGGAAGGCTCTTCCATAGATACCGACGACCCAGATCAGGATTTAGAAACATCACTACCACGACGATTGGCCAACAGTAACCTTTGGCGTCATTATTCGGCTTCAACGTTTAGACTTCATCATCACATCCAAATACAACAAGCATCAGATATAGGGGTAGTTCCCAAACGGATGTTCAATCTGTTCTGGTTCCTTCCTTTGTTTCTTCCGGCTTGTGACCTAGGCTATCGCACCATTTTGAAAAAAAATTACCATGCTTATCAGTCTTACAAGCAGCAGGGGTAGTTTCATCTGCTATCTGCGAATTTTGTAATCATGATATTGATATGTTCGAACATTTCATAACCAGTTGCCCTCTACGCTGGCAGATATGGCAAGAAGGCCTCGCGATATATTTCCCATCCTTCTGCTTTGATCCTTAAAGCATCTCTGCCGCTCTCAGATTACACACGCCACTATCACCACCTTCGTCTGAACAATCTTAATTTTTCACCGTCTGATTCAGTATCCATAGGGCTATCTCGACTTCACTCTTCTGAATGATATCCATGACATTCCTTTCCACCCCCCCCCATTGGTCCTTAGTAAAACACACAATATTATTTTCCTTAAGCCTGCCTTCCTCGCAGCTCTTGCGGAGCTTGTCTTTTCCTCTCCATGTCCCACCCCTCAGCGATGTGTGACTAATTTATTATTTTTGGATAAAGTAATCTACAAAAAAAAAAAAAAAAAAAAAAAAAAAAAAAAAAAAAAAAACCGCCAAAAGTCGTATTTATACATGCTATGCAATAATCTGGTTCTTTGTTTATCTATGATCCAATAACAAAATCAAGTGATGAGAGGTCTCATTCTCAAAGATGCTGACAGTTCCCTTAACGATTACCTGTGCTCAAGAGATTTGGGCTGGTCATGAAAGACCTAGTACATTTTGCTGTCAATCACAAAGCGCCACCTCGAATGTGGTTGTCTCCCCTCGAGGGAGACATATTTTATTTTATTTTTTTTTGTAGATTATTTTATTTTAAAATAATAAATTAGTCACACATCGCTGAGGGGTGGGACATGGAGAGGAAAAGAAGATTTCTATGACAAGTAAATTAGTCGAAAGCAGCCGCTTCCCGCATGAGCTGCGAGGAAGACAGGCTCAAAGAAATTATGTTGTATGCTTTACTAGAGACGGATGGGGGATGAAAAGGAATATCATGGAATATCATTCGAAAAAATGACGTCCAGATAGCCCAATGGATACTGAAGCAGACGGTGAAAAATCGAGATTGCTCGGACGAAGGTAATGATGGTGGCGATTGTAATCTTAGGGCGGCGGAGATGCTTTGAGGATCAAAATCGAAGGATGGGAAATATATCGCGAGGCCTTCTTGCCATATCTGCCAGCGTGGTGGACAACTGGTTGTAAAATGTTCGAACGTATCAATATCATGATTACAAAGTCTGTAGGTAGCAGATGAAACTACCCCTGCTGCCTGTAAGACTGATAAGCATGGTAATTTTTTCAAAATGGTGCGATAGCCTAGGTCACGAGCCGGAAGAAACAAAGGAAGGGACCAGAACAGATTGAACATCCGTTTGGGAACTACCCCTATATCTGATGCTTGTTGTATTTGGATGTGATGATGAAGTCTAAACGTTGAAGCCGAATAATGACGCCAAAGGTTACTGTTGGCCAACCGTCGTAGTAGTGCAATTTCCAATGACTTATCTGGGTCGTCGGTAGTGATAGAAGAGCCTGCCGGCACCCTGTGGATATACGGGTGAAGTTGAACTGTAGCATCGGTGAGTAAATGGCCCAAGAGATGTGAAAGCAACCGCGGTTTCACATTATATTCACCTGGTCGTTTCATTATGAGGCGGTTAGTGGACTGGTCGTAGCGGAAAAAGGCGTTGGCAAGCATCTTGGGATGGCGTTCTAGCCAGTGCGACTCTGGTAAGCGTGTAAACAAAGAATGTAATGGGAAGAGTAATAAGCTCTTGAGTGGAATATCCTCCAATGGGAGGGTAACATTCAAATTCGAGGGAGACATAAAGATTCTACAGGTAAATAAGTCTACATTTTATCAAAAATATATCCAAAAATATTGTACTCAAATTCCCAATGTTTTTATTCGTGTCATCTGAAAACTAACTCAACGCTGTCTGAATCTGAACCGAAAAGGCTGTATTCTGTAAGTTCCAATTGTCCAACTGCTACTTTTTGAAGTCGATTACCTTCAACATGAGAAAATGCCTCCCACCCCGTCAGAAACATTAGGACAGCTTTTCCTAGATTGGCTCTATGCGCCCACAACCACCAATACTTGAGGGTCCCATTATCTCCTAGTCTGCTTCAAGAACCACTGCCTTTTTTCCCCTTGCACCTTCAAGGGTTTTTTAATTCTTATTCCATTTTTTGTTCTGCCCAGGGCAATTTTGATATGTAGTTTATCTGTGTGCCCATTGGGTTTAAAAATATTTTGTCAATAAAATCTATTTTAAACGTATTCTGTAAGTTGTACCTGTGACGTACTGTGGAAATACTTACTATTGTTTTTCTTTTGACTTCTTTGTTTCTACAATAATGACAATGGAAACAGTTAGCACTTTTCCCCAGGGATTCTTCTTCATTCGCTGTAAATCTCAGCCTTTGGCTATCGATGTCAGCAATGGCAGTATGACAGTAAGATCCTTTTAGTAAACAAGTGTTTCTGCTCCAGAACGCCAAACCAACTTTACATATATTTATTCTGCTAAACTGATAGAACGACGCCAACATCATTATCTGGCCACAGGTACAAAGTAACTTTTGCTGAACAGTTACTAACTTAGCGTACTGACCAGCTCCTATTTAATGAGGTCAGAAAATGGTTGATAGCATCAATCAGGTACCGAACAAGAGCCTCGGTCTAATTATCTTAAGCCATGTATTAAATGACACAAACTTTATATTAGCTTTGGATGCATGAAGAGGGGTTTTTGATCAACAAGAAGTCCGGGTTAGGTAACAATGTTTTATTTGAACGTAATCAAAGACATGTTATATGTTATACTTAACCTATTTTTTACCTTTAGTACTCGACATCAGAGGAGGAAGTAAGTTGTAGAAAATTGGAATACCGTGAAGTGTTTTCATTAACTGAGTATCATAGGTATTGAAAGGGACAAACCCATAATTCAATATGCTCGTAAACCTGGATTGGCACATAACCAAAGATGGATTTATAAAGAGGGTTTTATATCCCCAACGACAGCACCACATTTAGTTTTGGATATCAGGGTAAATGGACGACCATTTAAGCTATATGTAATAGCACTCACATTTGATATGTCTTCATGGATAGAATTCAGAATTCAAGAACGGAAATACAGTCTTTTTAAATAGCAAAAGTGTCCATTCTAAAACACAACAATGGATAATTCAACCCTTTGAGAATGAAAAGTCAGCCGCAGAATTGGCTTTACTGAGGCCATCTCCACGTGAGTTTAACCAACTTTGCCTTTGTCACCATTTGCAGTTGATTGCTTAGATGTGATCTATGAAATTTTTAGTTCAAAGAAACTCAACCTTTCCACGACAGGATGAATTATACGATTGTTATCGAATGGTTTACTTGGAATCAGCGCAATCTGTAACCACTGAGCAATTAGCCGGTGCAGCAGCGTTCAAAGTAAGAGCAGTAGTAAAATGGTTGATAGGCCTTTGGACCTTTTAATAAACGAGTTTTGGGGTTGTAGGGAATGAAAGATTATATTCAAGCATATAAACAGAGCCACAACAATGAGCCAATTGTAGCTAATGAACAAACAAGACAGGAATTGATTAATTATGTCCGAAATGAGGTATTTGTCAATGTAGTGATCAACAAAGAGGGTATATTAACTGGAGTTTTCTTTATTGATATACAGGTCATTAGATCACTTGATGCTAAGCAGATTGAATTTCATGCGACCGATATTATTGATTCAGCTGCAAATGTCGCAGAAAGTTACTTCAGTCGCGAGTACAGTACTTATTAAGTTGTGTAGTGTTTTAAGAAGCAATAAATTGATCACAGCCATTATATACTGTAGTATCGCCTGTTGCACTTATTGAATAGCTTCTCTTCTCATTTCAATCTCCCAATCCTCCATACCTTCGTATTCCTTGTCTGTGTGATTTCCTCTTTTTACTTCCAAAGCATTGGGATTGGTGTCATTTTCTGCTTTGTTTTGTATCGAACAATCTCTCTTGCGGTCATTTTTCTTTTCAATAATCTTTTTAGTGTTTTTATCATCGGTATCATCTTCGTAATCAAATAAGACATTCTTTTTGTCGTTCATGTCTTTGTCACCGCCAATTAGAGGTGATTCCGGTGGGTTACCAAATACCATTTGTTTTGTGATCTTGACTCTATAAAAATAGTTTTGCCAGAATACCGACTCTGAAACTCTATTCAAATAAAAAGAATTTTCGGTTAATATGACATGCATTTCACTCGTCATTTATCATGCCTACAAAAACTGATGATAATTCCATATCCATCTTACTGCTGTGGGACCAATAAAAATCTCAATTTTGCTAACTTTTCATCTTCTTTCAAAGCGGCTTGAGCTGTAGAGTCGTAGGCGTTGAGATCAAATTCAAAGTTGGCACCTGCAGGAGGAGGTATTAATAGATTGCGTTCATCCTATTTAGTAGTCGATATTTCTTAATGTAGCCCTAGAATTTCAATTCCATTGTGTCAAATGGTGAAGTTATAAATTACATTAGATATGTTCAAAATTGCTTCTTTTAATTGAGATCCGTAGCCTGTAAATCCAAGCCAAGGTGCCACCATTTCTGATCCCTTTGATTGATGAAGTATGCCGTTTTTCTTATCCCTCTTTTTATCCTTTATGAAAGTTTCCCTTTCTGATTCCAACTTGGCTTGTAAGTGAATCAAAGTACTTGGCAGCTCACGGGCTCTGTCTTGTATTTCTTGAAAACGCTTGCTGAGCTCAGGAATACCTTTCTTCTGAATAGTTTGAGTGAGTGAGGTCACATTGGCACTAACACTGGAAAAGAAAGAATTGCTGAAGAATCCACCACCAGAAGATGGAGAAATAGGAACTAAATCTGCTCAATTATAGTTTAGTAACATTTCTTTGTTGACATACGGTTACTAAATTGAATACCTTTCTTGTCACTCATGATACAGTTGAAGAAATAGAACTGAACCTCATGAATAAATCATCAGTCAAATGAGAATTTGGGAAAAGAAAAAAATGGTGGACGACAAGTCAAATTTATAGTTTTCCAGCTCAGGTTCGTGATTTAGATGAGTAAATGTATGACAGAATTGTAACCTCTGAGTATATTCAGAGTCTCAGTCTATTTGGCTCATTATTGCCACGATAACGCCAACAGCTCCTTCTTACCTCCTTCTTTTTTACGGATAAGTGCTAAATTGTCTTGCTTCATTTGTTTTAGTAGCGTCTTCATTGATTCTTCATACTAAAGAAGTTTTGAAGAAAAATTCGGGAATCTCATGATAGTAGGAGATCAATTACATGTAAGACCAACAATTAAGTTCTTGTTTATTAGGTTATAGCAGAGGAACTAAAATTAGTGGACTGTGTTAGTTGCAGCTAAATGCTTATCGAAAATTAATTGATGAGTAATATTATTACTACTGCCATTACTGTTCGCAGCGACGGTATCTGTATAATCTCCAATGTAGGCAAGAATAGTGTCTGTGAAGGAATATGTGAAGGTCATTATGGTCGGAGCAGTAGAATTACTCTTCTGTTCCTCCAGCTTACAGTATGGTTGGTGTTCTAATTGAAAAGGGGTATATTTTTTAAAATCTCTGAACGAAGATGGAGGTGTTAATAGCTGCGGCACGTAGACGTCAATAAAGTCATAGGAATTGCCCATTTTCTGGTTGCTTGTTATTATTGCAGCAGGGAATATATTTTGTGCAAAAGTAGTATTTTTGGTATCAGTTGTGAATGATCGGCATCCGAGGACCAAACTCTTCAATGTTGGTAAGCTGATCCTTTTCGTAGTGTCAAGCTCAAAAATGCGTAGCAATATATGTTCAAATCCCTCCGAAATATTGGGGAAAACTTTACGAAAGTACTGACGCGGTTGTTGCACGTACGAAACAAAGGAAGGATCAGTGAGGTTTGCTTGTGACCAAGGGTTCTGCGCAAACACCAAATTTATCGCGGTAATTCCTATACTCCAAACATCGTTTGCAAATGTATCATAGAAAGCAGCGTTATGACATTGCACGGATTTTGTTGCGGTATCAAAATATGGCACAATTCCTTGACATTCTACGCGGAAGGAAATGCAAAACGAAGTCAGAAAATACATACAACTCTACTGAAATTGCAAAAGTTGTTATCTTGGATTACGCTCTAATACCTGGTGAGGAATAGTTTAATGAACCACAATGAAACTGTCGCGAAACCAATTGTGTCGTTGCAAAGCCGAAATCAGCCAGTTTGACCGTATTGTTTGATTGTATCAGAATATTCTCTGGCTTTATGTCACGGTGTGCTACAAAGCGATAATGGCAATGCTGAACGGCATCCAGTATCTGAAGGAAATAATGGCGGATAATGGCAGTCGTAGTATTTTCTTGATGAAAGATAGTATGCGCTTGTGTGAGTTTAGTGAATAAGTCTCCGTCTTCAGCATGTTCCATGATGATGAATACATGCCCTCTCTCTCTTACTATTCTTTCCATTGTAAGAATGTTTGAATGCCCTCCTACTCTCTTGTGCATATCTACTTCGGTTTGTGCGAGTTTATTGTCTTTCATACATTTAACAGCGCAATAATGGGTTGGGCCATTAATGCGTGTATATCGGCCTTTGTAAACCACGCCATAAGAGCCTGCTCCAAGGATGGATATCAGTTCTATCGATTTTTTATCTATATAACAATGTAGAAATTCTTTTCTGTTTGACATTTGTCGGTAATTGTACAGCAAAAACGGTTATGTGTTGAATTTTGAAGGAATGGAGAAGAATAATTTTACACTATATGGAATTAAGGAAATAGGAAAGAAGAAGTACAGAATGAGTCGAAACCTTGCGTTCTATCTATTATATACCCAAGCATAATGAAATTGGGCACAGTCCACCAGAACCTCCTTTTTTTGTTTGTTTTTTTTTTATTGGTCATTTATACCCGCCAACAGTTGTTCTCTAGTAATAAAAGAGTGGCCGTCATGATGGGCTTTGATTGCCATTGATCAAAGTGTTCGTCCTACTCTGGGATTGATCGTGTTTATCTCTAATTGAAATAGCATTTTACCTCCTTTATTTCTAATAAGAAACATATTTTATTGTTTCAATAAGAATTGAAGATGCAACAATATGTTTTTATGGGCTTAAAGCCAATCATAATAGCTAGCAGCACTACAGTACGATGTTACCTTTTTCATGCTCGCGTTGCTATTCTTTTCATTACTGAGAGCTGCATTTATTGTTTGAAAACTCCTGAAGGTAGGGTACGTCTTGATGTCATGCTTCGGTTCTTCAACTTGTATTACCTGATTATTTGTATCTTGGGTTCGGAATACTATCCTACTCATCAGAAGATGCCTTAGTTTTCAATATGCAAAGTCGTCCAATCCTAAGTTATTTCTCAAAAACCTCAATCACTTTAGCACGCATTATCAACATTTCTATGCTATATTCAGACACAAGCATTTAATTTAATTTTCGTTGTTCCTCCGTGTAAAAACAATGAATTAAAAAAAACATGTGTTCATTGCTGATCAGATAACCAATAAGTGTAAAGTACAACAATCGCTCGTATTTGTAACTGTGTGTTACAAAAGAGTGAGGGGTCTGTAGTGGGTGTAGAAATCTGGTCTTATCCTCATTGACACTTCGTATAGCTTGTAGAAGTTGGGATCTGGCGTACGATAACTATATGCGCCTATCCGCTCAAATAGACTATGACTCAAAATTAATGATCGATTGCTGCGAAGACGCATAAATTCGTTGCTAAGGGATCGGAAGGTTCACGGATTCTGTGCACAAACTTTAACGAAGAATACTTTACTGATGAGAAGCAAGCTTCTATTACACAGACAAATAGTATCAAAATGCTATTTTCTGGATTTTTACCGCTAAACGTGCGCTAAAAAAAGACATGGACAAGACGATTTTCACTTTGGAAGGAATAAGATAAATTAGCAAAGAAAAAGACAATCGTGTATGTTCTAAAACTACAAAAAGTCTATGTATAAGAGGATGCTTCAAACCCCTAAAGCAAAATAAGTACACACGGGCTATACTGTTACAAATTTATTTATATCGACATGTCTATGTTGCTGGTTCGATCATCTATCATTCCAAAATTAGTTTCCGCTACCTAAACCATATTTTTCAATAGTAGCATTGACATCTCCTAAACCCTGGAGATTTCCTTGCACAACTACTGTTGCTTTTCCTGTACCACCACTTGACATACGCACTGCACCACGAACCACACGACTTGCTACTCTTCTCAACTCCTTGACATCCACTTTATCAATCTTACTCAACATTTCGTCAATACCCGTCTTCTTTCCATGAACTTGTACCTGTCGGCCTAAATCTTCCAATTGTACCATACGACTTTCTAAATTCATGAGTAGCGAGCTCTTCAATTGGTTTTTGGCACGATTCAACTCGCTTTCCGTCACTGAAAACCGGCTTACATCATTTCGGGAGACCAAATCTAATTCGCGGCACATAACTTCAAGCAAGGCATTGGCGTATTCGGGTTGGCACGATCCTGCAATACCGAATAAGCCAGAATCGGTATAACAGTGGTTAAACGCCTGACACGATTCAACCCAGTAATGCTGATTGAGAACATGTGTGAATAGACGTGAGTACATGCCTTTGCCTGGTCCGCCAGCTGAAAATGATCCACCACCTCCAAGCAATATTTGTAATGTAGTAAGGGCATAAATATCTGGATCATCAATAGACAAACCCTCGAAGGCGAGATATACATGAGTGAGAGGTGATTCAGCTCCTGCTTCCAAAAAGGAGTGACCGCCAGTGTAAGAAGCAGGCTTTGTTGCTATGGAGTATGGCGTATCCTCTACTATTTTTTTCTTTTTCATGTCATCAAATATTGTTTTGACAAGGCCTTTGACAGTCTTGCCTCCCTGTGAGTTGTTTACTGATGATGATAATGGTGAGCCATTTCGTTCTTGAGCTTGTTCAAATTGTCTCTTTATTGCTTCTGTATGTGTCATTACGGAATCCAAGTTGTCAGTAGGAGCAGAGGCAGGTAAATCACCGAAATATTGAGCTGCCAACTCAACAACACGATCATGCTCTGCCCCACAAGCTGCAATAACCATGCGTTCTGGTCTATACCAGGTCTTCATATAAGTCCTAATAAGATCGGGCGTCATTGATTCCAAGCTTTCAGGTGGACAAAGTAAAGGATTACCAAGGGTATTTCCTTCATAAGCAACGGTATGCAAAATTTCAGGCAAGATCATCTCAGGTTTCGACCAGATCTCGTTGATTTCATATAAGGCTGTTTGTCGTTGCTCTTCAACTTCGCTTTCATGAATGATCGGCTTGGTTACTACGTCGGAAAATAATGATAAAACTCGCTTGAGATCTTGAGAAAATATGGCTGACTGATACATAATAGATTCTCGCGATGAAGAGCACATTATATTTCCTCCTAATGATTCTAACTCGGCTACAATTTGATCTGCGGAGCGGTTGGTTGTACTCTATTACCAACAGAAATTCATGTCAAAGGAAAGAAGATCGACAATTGAGTTGTTCCAGTCTATCCTTATTGCATACAATCCTATTCTCCAATGTAGGTTTTGTCAAATTTACCTTAAAAGCTAATCTGTCTAAAATATGGCTAACACCACGGTTAGCAGCTGTCTCATATCGACTGCCCGCATCCACATATACGCCTACGGCACTGAAATGGCCTGGTGTATTTTCTGAAGCGACTCGAATACCATTGTCCAGAGTTGTTATTTTACAAAGACCTGTTGAAGCTTTCGAGTATTCCTGGACAATAGTTGGATACCCCAGCGTCGAAGTCTGGGAGAAAAGTCAATGGTTGAAAGAAGACACAAGATATAATATCATTAAAAGATATATAATTAATATCAATTGCGGCACTGTTTACTATGTCAGCAGCTGATAAAAAAGCAGAGAAAAGTCTCTACTCGATCAACTTACCTTTGATGTTTGTGCGATGGTAGATTCTGCTCTTCTAAACACAGGGGATAGTACGTTTTTTAATGCCGTGCTTTGGTTAGTGACCACTTTCGGCAAATGCGTGAGTAGTCTTGAAGTCATAATGAAAAATGAATGCAATGCGTGTCTGTTTGAAGGGCGGTTGAGTCTGTAGCTTGAGAGGTTTGTAAATTTCGAACGAGTGAATTACAAATCCATTTTTTTAACCCACCCCCTCATTTTGCCCCGTTTTACCCGAAATGGCAAAAAGAAAGAAAAGGCAAAATTCAACCCAAGAGAATAAAGTCACGACGCAGGACTAATTTTTAATTCAAACATCTCTGCATTTGGGAAAACCATCATTCCATCTCTTTATTTTCCTCCACAATCGAACTTTTTCATTCTTTGTTAAACTATTCTAATTGTATAGTAAAAATTTTGACGTGTAGCGAAACTCATTCATTTTTTAGAGACAAAATTAACAATTATGGATCCGGAAGAAGATACTTCATGGCGTGACGAAGCTCCTGGCCAGGTAGATAACGAGTCATCCGGGAAAAAGGTGATTATTGTCTTGGAGAATGCTTCATTAGAAATAGCTAGACTAGCACCCTATCAGAAAATGCAACTGTTAAACTGTGACGAGCATCAAGCTATTTTAAGACGGTTCAATAGAGATATTGCAGATGCTAGACCTGATATTGTTCATCAGGTACCAAAATGCTTTGATGACAGCGGTTGAACTTATGTACTTAACTTGCATTTGCTCCTCGTTCTTAGTGCTTGTTGACTTTACTAGATAGTCCATTGAACAAGTCAGGTCACTTGGAGGTAAAAACAATCATTGATGCACGATCACATTTACTTGGAAACTGAAAAGTGTCAAAAATCTAGGTCTTTATTCATACAGCAAATGGAGTTGTCATCCGCATCAACCCAGAATGTCGTATACCCAGAACAATTAAGCGGTTTTCGGGATTAATGGGTAACGAAAGGATTTTTGAAGGTGAAAGACGTACAACATGCTCATTCGATTTTAACTTTTTGTGTCTTTTTCGTGACAACGAACCTGTTTTTATGTACCTGTCAAAACCTTAAAAAATAAGTTCAATTATTAGAGAGAGGCAGCATTACTAGTGAACACGAAGGAACCACTAAAAAGCTATTAGAAGTGTTACAGTCACCTTTAGAGACATATTTTCCTCAAGATTGTAAAAAGATTGGTAAGCATACAAATTTGATGAATTTTGAGTAAAAGAGGAATTATAATTTTTGATCTGATTTTAATCATTGTGCGTGATTTATAAGCTCTTTCATGCGAGGCACGCAAAGTCAAATTGTACAAATATTTTGCGGAAGAGATACCCCCCGGAAAACCCGTGGTTATTGCAGTAGGAGCAATGGCAAAAGGGCCAGATACATTTGCTGATCGATATGTCAGCGAAAAGATAGGTAAAGGACATGACAACAGATGAGTATTCTTTCATGAAAAAGCTAAAGGGTCAATACATTCGTTTATACACGGTAATTGAATTATTTGATTCTATATCTAGGCATTTCAAGCTATGCCTTATCAGCATCTGTAGCTTGTGGCAAAGTTTGCTGTGCATTCGAAGATTTATGGGATATTATGTAAACGAGAATATGCCACAGAGCTTCTCATTTACCTTTGTGCACTTCAAATTTGCATCTCTGTTCCAAGCATACTATGCATTCTCACTAATATATACGTATCCCTGATTGCTTCATTGTCTGATAGGATGGAGACTGGAACCCGATTACACATCTCTTATTATGTATTTTAAGAAGTATCCGATATATATATTATGCCTAAATTAAATATTCTAATTCAATGCTTTAATAAAACACTATGAAAGAATTACTAGCTGAAGCGCGTTCAAAATTTATAGTAACCATTGAAAATAGCTCTTAATTTGGCAATAATTTTGCAAGGGGGATTGCTGTGTATTCACCTTTGGCTATTTCAAAGGGGAGCAGCAGCAAAGAAGACCTGAAAGGCGTCGATTCATTATTGCATTTGGCCTTAGGGGAAAGTGGAGCGACGACCTAATGAGTTAAAAGTCGCTACAGCGAGAATAACACATCATTGAAGGAGGCATACCTAAGGCTTTCCAACAACAAAAGGTAACTATTAATTGAACCTTCTAAACTTACTTTGACCCACGCTCTGTCGCATGATAGTTTTCTATTTACTGCAAAGAATTAAAATCAGCTGGCTGACGTTGATATCTGCCTTGGTGGCATTGATAAATTGTCTAACAATATTGACAACTGTTTAAGTAAGTCACATAAACACTGTTAATACTACTCCAAATGATCATGAACCATGGCAGAAACAATAAGAGCTCTTTTAAGTTAATCGAAATGTGAAGATTTCTGAACTACGCCGTTTTACTTCACGGGTGGTTGAAGGACGTACCCGTGAAGATACAAAAATACATGCTCGCCAAAATATTAATATTCTGTTCTTTATCGTAATACCCTTGGATATAATCGAAGCTGCGATACAAATGGGCTTGAGAACTTTCCTGTGCGATCATTTTGTTTACTGATGTGTAGTTCAAGTAGCATTCAATCTGAATATGCTCGACTCAACCACTCTTCGACTTTTGTAGAACAGTGTATATGCAATGGCCTTTATTGTATATCAGAAATTTTATTTCGCACCCATTCCTACTGCTTTGATCAATACATTAGATCCTGTAAACTAAAACAAGCTTTTAAGAAAAAGGGGTGTTATCACGCGCTAAATTTTGCAACTACATGCATCGTAGAGCATCTAGCATCTTGTATAGATCGCTGCTTTTCATTTTGAGTCTTCTCAGTTGCAGCTGCTCACGAAGTACCTTCACTAATAACTTCCAATCCTTCGGTTATAATATACAAACTTTCAATCTGCATTGCTAGCTTAACTCTTGTCTCCAAGCTTTTACGTTTTCAAGATCTGTTTTGAAGATCTGATAGGCCAGTGTTTGTTCTGGACATTTTCTAGAATAAAACTGGACTGGTGGCATTTTTTCAGTCCAAAACACCTTTATGACTGGAAGTATAACAATTTGGACAACCCTCTTTTCACATTTCTCTTCCTTGAGAGCCCTTCTCTAAAGGCTACAACATCGACCTGTCTAGTGGAAAGTTCTGCAATTGCAGGTTTTGTTGAGCATACTGAAACAGATAACATTTACGCCATTCCAATACATCAGATAGCAGTAGAGTGATAAATTGCTGTTCAGATCAGCTATACTACTTTCACTATTTCTCTATTTTTCTTTCTTTCTTACAAAGTTGCTTTAGATTCATATACTCTTTAGCAGAATCAAATGACACGGTCCAAGCTTTGTTACGAAGCTGAAGCTCTAATCAATAAAAAAGGATCAACAAATACGTATTCCTAACATTGCTTATGTCTATTTGAAACTGAAGGTATACTGCAAACATTGTATTTACCAAAATGATCCTAAAGGTGCGTACAGTATGCGCTACTGTTATAATGTATTATATTTTATAGGCATTCTCATAATACGTACAAAAGGACTCCTCGAGCTTGACGATACGTCAAAAATGCCACTGGTACTATTTAATGACAGGCTGACCGACAGAGCGCAGGTTTGCTTAAAGATTTGCAAGGTGATGTCTCGAATAAAATATACAACCATCTAAAAAATAAAGAAAAACAAGGGCTAGTATTAATGTTAGATATTGATGAGTTCTGTAAGTCAAAGGTAATGTATTCAATTGCATCAGTAATCATAATCACAGCTCAAAATTCTGATTTACAGTAATTCGTGTATTGTTATGTAACGCGTGTGGATAAGTCGGATTCAACAAACCACCGTGCTAATACAACAGGGAAAGAAATCCATCAAATACTCTTTTGCAAAAATTGTTAGTATTTGTTGCAATCGCGATATAATGGCGGCCGAAAAGATGTATCACAATGCTCAAGACATTGCCGTCAAACACAAAGCGCCACAACGAAAGTGATTGGGTCCCTTCAACAGGAGACTTGTCGGTTCTACAGAAAGTAATTCCAGTCTTAAGTCAGACATCTCTTTCAGCAAACGTCTTCTAAACAATTCAAAGAGCGGTCTTCTCTTTCCGATGGTTTGCTATGTTATTTTCGCAAGTAATGAAAGCATGGATCAGTCTCGAAAGACAAACTATAACGTTGATGCGCATAAGACGTGCAAAACGCTAAGAATTGACCATGAGTAAATAGAATTTCACTCTCAAAGTATTCTGCTTACAGCTTTAGATATTAGCTTCATTATTGCCTACCCCAATTCTTTGGTAAAAAAGACCAATGAAGGTTTCTAAATTCTTCAATATTGAATTGAACTGCTTTTGGTAGAAGTAGACACAAGGAAAGCTGCCCTAAAGCATAGAAAAAGCCATTCTGCATACGCGTATCACCACATTGAAAAGTTTATTTTCACTTAGCAGATTCTCATACAAAAGCATTGCAGCCTGCGGTTGAACAAGCTTGTTGCTACTCTGCTGGTCTTGGGCACTTGCTTTACTTCCAATTCGCCCATGACAGTGCTATGCCTACCTGTCTAGGAGCATTCTCATGCTCCCTTCTACAAATTTCGGAGTTAAATCCCGGAATGTGTAAAATTCACCGGCTCGGAAATCAAAACCTACGCTGCGAGCTCGTTTAACGGAACAAAAACCGCACAGAAAATGGAGAAGGGCGAAAGGGCAAAAGAACAATTGCGAGAGGTGTAAGCTAACGACGAAGCAGCGCAATTTAATTTACCCTCCTCTTCCATAACCTAACATTAGACATGTCTGGATCCAACCGGTAATGTTTATATTAAGGAAATGTAGAATGTGGATGGATGGATGGATGTATGAGGGCTTTGTAGTATAGGATCCTAGAGCAGAGGATACACATACATGATGGATGAACAGATTATTTCATGTCGACACAATCAACAATTACAATCAAAAGTTAAAGGAGAAAATGGCAAGACGAAACTTGCCTCTCTATATTCAAATTGAACCAGTCTTTGCAGATTTCAGAACTTCAGTTTTTGTATTAACAATGCTTGAAGCTTGCTTAAAAATAATTCACTATGTTATTTTGATTGCATCTCCATCCTTTCCACTCTACTTTCCGGAACATTCTTTTAATCGACTGGGGACTCTGCAACTAATATCGTTTATATCTTTTTTGTTGGTCAACAGTTTGTACAGCAAGGGCCGCGTCTTGGGTTACGAACGCGCCAAGCGTAACCAAAACCCCAACGTTTCTCTCATCCAAATTGAAGGTTGTCAAACTTCCAAGGATGCCCAATTCTATCTCGGTAAGCGTGTCGCTTATGTCTATCGTGCTCAACGTGAAGTCAATGGTTCCAAGATCCGTGTCATCTGGGGTCGCATTGCTCGCTCTCACGGTACAAGTGGTGTTGTTAAGGCTCGTTTCCGTAAGAACTTGCCTCCCAAGACCTTCGGTGCTTCCGTCCGCGTTGTAAGTTTCATTATTAAGGCTTTCTCTGTTAGTTGTTCTATAGATTTGAGGAACTAACGGTTTGTTTTCGTTTTCTTTCTATGAAAATTTAGATGCTTTATCCCTCCAACATCTAAATCAAATTTTAAAGATATGATACTGTTTTAAAATTGGAGAAAGCGGAACACATTTCCTTCTTGTATTGAACGAACAATTAAGGATGAAATAAAACGCATGTATACTCATTAGAGAAAATAGTCAATTATTAACACAAGTGAATTACAGTGAGCAACTTTGAACATTCTATTCGTCTATATTGAGAATTTGCACTCCAAACACACTTGGCAAGATTTACAAGCAAAGGAAGATTGTTTGACCTAATTGAATTTCAGTCTTGGAAAAAGCTGTATCCTCAGTTGTAGTTCACTTGTCATATGCAGCGGACTGTTCAATACCATCAATCAACCTTATTTACTAATCGTCTTAAACCAAGTGTAGGTTCTATTTCGCACTATAGCGGATATAGCATGCTCGGATTGGAGTCAGATTTGCAATAGTAGGAAAGCGCTCTTGCTTAATTGTGGCTTCGTTCACATCTTCATCTTCAGTGATAATCTACTACATATTCGATTTTTGTTGCCTACTTTTTTGAAAGATTACAAAAGGAATAAGTTCATAAAAGGTGATGGTAATCTCTTTCTGTTCATAATGTAGTCATGTATTTATTAAGATGGAAAGCAAAATAAGGAGTGAAAGTCATAACCAATCACACTGATAGCTTTATGGCTTATGTTTGATTCTTTGCTTCTGAACTTGTCCTATCTATTATTTCATGCTTTGCACGTTGTTGCATCAGAAATCTTTGCTGACGTTGTATCGAAAGCTGTTGTGGCTTTCTCTTCATGCTCTTCATTCGCTAAATGTTCGTTGCTCTCTCCTCGGGAAAGCTGCTGCTGTGGTCGAAATGTACCGTCAAAATACTTCGGCATCACATCCATGACAGTTTGGGGGGTCCACCAGTCTACCACCATAGAGCGGATTTTGTTTCTTTCTTCGGGTCTTTTATTCAAGTAATCATCCAATCCTTTCCCCTTTCTCATAAAGAAAATGTCCGTGCATGGCTTCAATCGAGTAGACGCACAAAAGTCATTTTTGCCATCGCCTGCATAGGCGACTTTGAATGCATTATCGGAGTGGTCCAGATCAAACCTTTTACTATATTTCTCTATAAGTCGATCCATTTCCTGACCTTTACATAAATTAGCAGCACACTCGTTTGGACAGTTATGCTGAGGTGCATCGACTGGAACATGACGCCGAACTCGTAATCGACCCTGATCATCAATATAGCTTGGATTGGTAACAATTTCTGTGATACAATCTATGACACCAACGCTCTATAAACACACATGTTTCATTGCCATCGAAAAAAGGCAAAAAATGCTTATTGTTATTAGTACGACCATTCTCTATTCAAAATTATTTCTCATTTCACTGTATATGTAGCACTACGAGTGTCATGAATACATTACCGTTAAGATTGCATCTATGTAAAAGCGGTTGGCATCTGATAATAATATAACCGGGATATGTCTTTCCTTCAAGTCCAACAATACACGTCGCATCTCGTTCGTCTATTCACCCAAAAAAAAAAAAAAAAAAAAAAAAAAAAAAAAAAAAAAAACCGATCAGATTAAATTAATCACACTTTATCTTTTATCATTTTGTGTATGCATTGAATGCTGTTTTACAAAAGGGATCTCTTTCAGATTATTGGCAATGTCGTCCTTGGTGATACCATAGTTTTGCAGTTTACATAAGGCCCAATCCCTTATAGAATGCATTATTTGTCAAGCATATACACGTCAAGTATTTTCTCTATTACTACATATAATTGCCATCGTTGCCTATCTTACATCAAATCAGTCCATTGCACTTCACTCTTTTTCTTGCAAACCTCTTCCCATAATTGTGGCGATAAACGTTGAATGGTCCAAACGTCGCTATCCTGCTCAATAACAGTCCTGAGCAAATGGATTAGGTTTTAACATTCCAAGCTCAACAGGTTCGAGAATCAAAGCAATCATTTTAATAATATGATTGCTAGTTTATTAGTGTTAATGCGTTACCAATCGAAGTCAAAAACAGCTATTGCTGTGATCATATTACGGTAGTATTTATGTTCTTATTTCGCAAATAAAAAAAGAACATTTGGATCCCTGACTGAATTATGCTCGATTAAATATTATTTGGTTTTCTTCAAAATCATTTAAACTCAGGAACATTGTTTAAACACTGGAGCAAGGTAAATCATACGAAAAACGGCTAACAACCTTTCGTCTACTTATTATAAAATTTGTTAATTGTCCACAACAAGAATCATATACCTTCAAATAAATTATCTTTTCTTCAAAATGAGCATTTAGTTTCTGTTTACATAGGTTATAGTCGGATTAAAGCAGCTTTATTCGCTCTATATAAATGGATTCTTTATATCCATCTGTCCAGACTTCAACAGCCAAATTTACACGTGGATGAAAGGAATCTTTTTCCGAAACGAACAACAATATCAAATTTAGCCCTTTTTCGGCATGATCTTCTTCACAACTGAAAATCGACTTGAGGGCTAACTGAAAAACTATAATTTGTCAATTATTGTTGTTTATAGCTTCGCCTAACCAAACATACCAGTCTGTGGTTCAAAGGACCTTCTTTTCTTTCGTCTTAAGTAATGCGTACGATAGAGACACCACAAAATTAATTTTTTAGACTTCTATAACACAATATGCCCTCTCTCTATTTATTGTAAGTTTTTTTAAATTAATTGGTTTTTTAAGCTACAAGTTGAACAGATGTATTCTGTTTTGTAGAATATGTGTGGCTTGGTTATCTAAAAAGCAATTAAGATTAGTAGAACTACTTCTGAACCACATTATATGCTGCTTTGACTATTTATTATTCTGTGCAAATCTTGCATCTGCATTGCTTACAGAATAGAACTTCCATAACAAGTTTAAATTATCCTCAAATATGTCGATTATATTTTAAAATTTTCGCCAAAAGTAAATGAGAAGAAGTATTTGCTATTCTATAAATTATATATCAGCGTTGTGCCCACGAAAGGATTACATTACTTCTGCTAAAATAGCCGAAAAGAGATTAGCAGAAAATCAGCAGTGATATCGGCCCCGCTTGCTGGGTCAACAGATTTAATACTGAGAAAAAGCCATATTCAATCAAAAGGAGCATATATATGACTAACTAAAAATAGAATGCAAATCAAACAAGTATTTAGTAAAGAAAAATGAAGACTGTTAGTTAAGTGTAGGATATCATTCGTAAATCGAAGGTATATCAACATCCTTATCGAATTTAAAGTCTTGTAGCAATGATGTACATGGGCACTATAACTCATTCGTACCCAATTTCTGATACTATACTCATATTTAAAATTGTTACATCTGCGTGCAGTGATAAAAGTTGCTTCAGTTTAGCTTAACACTAAAGGATACTTTTCTTAGTAACCGTTTAGCAGCACAAACCTTTCAACAAAATTTGAAAGAATAGAATTCACATCCTTTTTCTCAGAAATCGTTTAATTATATATCAATCCTTATGAGGTAGCTCTTTATCAGTAAAGACATCGATAATATAGTGAACTATTACTTAAAAGCAAGGAGCAGAAACAGTATGCCGAGAGTTATAAATTAAAATACGTGATTGTAATTGAAAAGTATAATTCCATGCTATGCTTGCAGTTGTGGCATATTCAAACGCATATTTTTCCAATTGTTGGATCACTATTTGATACTTGCATATGATAGCTCAGAATCGAGCTCATATAGACACCAATTTATTGAATGATATTGCTTACTCCAAGACAATAATTATTGACATGAGTGATATCTGTTGTATATAAGATACTACTATACGTCTTCAACTACAGAACGACTTCAGTACCTGCTTGACAATCTGATACACATTTACTTTGACACCCGTTTGCGGCTAAGATCTTATCATTCTCATGATAGTTTTAGTTCGTTGTATTAATAGTTGAATACCCATTAATAACCCCGTTTCTCATATAAAAGTATCATTCTCAACAAACTTGAACAAAGAGATCTTTGTTGTATCTGGTCATTTTACTGTCTTATTTTATTTTTTATAAGTCTTTTAAAAGTAACTGGATATATCAATATCTTTAAAGTCACCAAGATAAAAGATTTTGTGGAAAGGGGAAGAAACTCTACAGCATAGAAAGGACAGAATATAGAAAATAGAGATACGTTTACGGAGAAACTATAGGATATCTATGAAAAAAAGTAAAAGAATGACCTTTAATTAAACACCAGTATATGATCATAAAGCAGGTATGACTATTCTTTGTTTCAATTATGAAAGAAGATGGAACTGTTTATTGAATCAAGACTTGCACTCATTATCGAAGAAGGGGACAAAAGAGATGCCGACGATTTAGAAAACCGAAGAGGTGGAAGGGAGATGAAAGATGGTTTTAATTGACGATATGGTTGATAGTGTTCTTCATGTGTGGGAAGAATTTGATATTGTTGCAGCTTTGGCGATTGTTCTACTCCTGTTGTTGTTGGTGGAGTTATAACTGGAACAGATAAGGGCGAGGAAGCTGAAGAAGAAGAAGAAGAGGGGGTGCTAATAGTGTGGAAGTAAGAAGACGACTGTTGTAATGATGGTGATATAGGTGGTGACATAAGCTGATTATTGGAAGACTTTTCTTTTGTTCGCCGAGATTGTCGTTTATTCTGAAACCATATTTGCACGGTTCTAGGGCTCATACCCAATTGCTTTCCTATCTTCATTCTGAGCTCTGTAGAAGGAAAATGTGTTCGAACAAACACGCTGTTGAGTACATGTAACTGTGAAGGTGTGGCTCGTTTCCGCTTCTTAACAGGCTCGTCATCTTCAAAAAATTGATCTGCTGTCATGCTGCTTAATGGAGCATCATCGTATATACAGGGACTATAGGCAAACTGCTCATTGTGAGCTATTCGTGATGGATGCACATATGTCTTTCTTGAATGGCCTCTTTGACAAGATACAGATGGTAGAGTTAGAACCTCAGATAGTGAAGGCAAAGTGCAGGTGCTTTTCATTTCGAGTAATATAGTGAATTGAAAGAGTATCAAAATGTTAATGCTGTTTTCGTTAGAAGAAGACGATCTCTGGAGGTATATAAGCTTTGAACGATTTAACAGCAGCCCCTCTAATGATCTCCCTTCTTTTTGTCCGTGTTCACCCCCGAATGTATGAAATGTGTATCGTGAAGAACAGAGAAAATGAAGCTTAAATCACGTAATAAGATTGTTTTCATACATTTCAGTGGCCCGAGTTAATGATATTCAGTCCTTTTCAACTCCTCAACTACAACAAGTTTTGGACGTGACTCTGTATTCCGTACTCCTTCAAGCTCACCAAATATTACTCCTCATACCCTGAATACATGGTGTAGAATGTACGTGCTGTCTATTGACATTGTACTCTCGTATATATGAACATTAGGGATCTCAAAAAAAATATAGGCAGCTCTGGATTTTGACTTTACATTACGTGCCCCTGCCTTCTTGAATAAAATAATGAAAGCTATTTCTGCCTTTGAGTTTTGTATGCTATCATTCTATGAATATTAAAAATCATTTTTAGGGAGTTTGCAAAAACCCATCAATTGCTAAATTCTCACTATATGTGTTTCTAAGAAGAACTTAAGCGTACTGCTTCAATTAAATGTGCTATGTAAATTGTGGCAACTGTGAACTTGCAATGAAAACGCTCCGTAACGTTTTACAACTTAGTTAAACAAATCTTTTAGTTTTCTTTTACTAAACCAAACGTATGCTCTTATTAAGTAGAATTTTGAAAAGGTAGATCAGAAGGACACAGTCTGTCCTGACGTTGACTGGATCGCAAAGTGCGTTATTCAAAATCCGTTGTCCTGCCTTTAAAACTAATTTTAATTTAAGAAAAATTGGCAATCTTTTTCGACACGATAGCAATAAACCCTTATACTTCGGTTATCTTCAAAGTATGATTTAAGGCTACGTAAATGAAACTTATATGTCTTATCAGATATATTTAGCTCTTATAAGTTAAACCTTGTTCCCTATCATGTAAGTTTATTTGACTTCTCCTCAAGTAGCACAGCACAATAAAATCAAATTTAGCCCTGTGAAATTGATACACAGATCCTGGAAAAGGTACAGTTGAGGATGAACCTGATATTCTTCTCTGATAAACAGATGCTCCCAATGAACAATTCTGAATGTCCTCCCTTTACTATGTGTTCCCTTTCTTTTTCCCTTCAATTCAATACTATGAATTAACTTCTCTTTCGACCTTCTCAATCACTGTTAGAAATTGCTTCTTCGAACTTAATACTATATACCGTAGAAATACCAAACCGTAGGAGAGGAAAAAAAATATACAACTATAAGTTTTACAAGTTATCAAATGCCAGCAAAACAGATATTTTATACATATAAACAAGTACGAAATAAAAAAAAAAAGAGAACAACTCCTTTGAATACGATATTTGAGAAGAGATATACAATGTACATTATTTATGGTTGAACGCCATGTTGTAAAGAGACAATCCATACATGTTCAAAAAGAAAAATGAGAAACAAATAGCTTAACGACGTTGGGAGTAGACGTGGGCGAAAGCACGAGTAGAGGCACGCTTCAATTTAGATTGAGCAGCCTTCACATCATCAGCCTTAGTATCTTCGGGAGAGATTTCCAAAAGTTCCATTGCTTCAGCAAGAGCAGTTTCAATGGCTTCACGATCGCCACGGCGGAGCTTCATGTTGACATTAGGATCGGAGATGTTGTTTTCAACTTGATAGACGTAAGCTTCAAGATCTTGCTTAGCTTGAACAGCAGCTTCACGAGCCTTATCGGCATCAGCGTTCTTGGCAGCATCTTCAACCATACGGTCAATTTCGGCAGCAGAGAGACGAGTAGAGTTGGAGATGGTGACATCGGCTTTACGGCCAGTAGTCTTATCTTGTGCAGTAACCTTCAAGATACCGTTAGCATCAAGATCGAAGGTACAAAGGAGTTCAGGGGTACCACGGGGAGCGGGAATAAGACCAGAAAGAGAGAATTCACCGAGAAGGTTGTTTTCCTTGGTCATCAAACGTTCACCTTCGTAAACGGGGAAGGTGACGGTAGTTTGGTTATCAGCGGCAGTGGTGAATACCTTGGACTTTTGACAAGGGATGGGGGAGTTACGAGGGACAACAACAGCCATAATACCACCTTGCATTTCAACACCAAGAGAAAGAGGAACAACATCCAAAAGAAGGAGATCTTGAGTCTTTTCATTGCCAGCTTGGTTGGTGAGAACAGCAGCTTGAACAGCAGCACCATAGGCAACAGCTTCATCAGGATTGATGGACTTGTTCAATTCCTTACCATCGAAGAGATCTTGGAGAAGAGATTGAATCTTAGGAATACGAGTAGAACCACCAACAAGAACGATTTCATCAACATTCTTCTTATCAATCTTGGCGTCCTTGAGGACACGTTCGACAGGTTCAATGGTACCTTGGAAAGAAGTGGAGTTGATTTCTTCGAACTTGGCACGAGTAATGTTAGATTGGAAATCAACACCATCGAAGAGGGAATCAACTTCAACAGTGGTTTGTGTCAAAGAAGATAAGGTACGCTTAGCACGTTCGGAAGCAGTACGGAGACGACGGAGAGCACGAGCATCACCAGTGATATCCTTCTTGTGCTTACGCTTAATTTCTTGAACGAAGTGGTTGACAAGAGTGTTATCAAAATCTTCACCACCCAAGTGAGTGTTACCAGCGGTGGCCTTAACAGCGAAGACACCACCAGAGATGGTCAAAAGAGAGACATCGAAGGTACCGCCACCCAAATCATAAATAAGAACGTTACGTTCCTTCTTATCATTGGCATCCAAACCATAAGCAATAGCTATATCAGGCATATACCATAATCCCTTAATTAATCAAACTTCTTCCAAAACAAAATTATTGCAGCATAATCCTTACCAGCAGCAGTAGGTTCGTTAATGATACGGAGAACATCAAGTCCTGCAATGGTACCAGCATCCTTAGTAGCTTGACGTTGACCTGTAAACCATGGTTATATAAGATCATCAAATTCTTCTATCATTCAACAAACCGCAAAGAAAATGTAACTTACTGTCATTGAAGTAGGCAGGGACTGTGACAACAGCCTTGGAAACCTTCTTACCGAGCTTGGCTTCGGCAATTTCCTTCATCTTGATGAGAACCATGGAAGAGATTTCTATAAAGTTAAAATAAGTTAATGATTAATAACGTTGCATGATTTACTCGCATTTAAATCAATATTTTACCTTGAGGAGAGAAGGTCTTGGTTTCACCTTCAAATTCAACTTGAACGAAGGGATTTTCGTTCTTTTCAACAATAGTGAAAGGCCAGTTCTTCATATCTTCCTTGACTTCAGGATCATCAAAACGACGGCCGATAAGACGCTTGGCATCAAAAACAGTGTTCTTGGGGTTCATAGCGGCTTGATTCTTAGCAGCATCACCGACAAGACGTTCGTTATCAGAAAAGGCAACGTAGGAAGGAGTGGTACGGTTACCTTGCTCATTGGCAATAATTTCAACACGTTCGGTTTCCCAAACACCAACACAGGAGTAACTGTTACCATCATATTAAATTGTTGAAAGATAGTAAATCAAAATATATTCAATTGATTTTTGTACAAAGGTTGCAATGATATATTAGAAAGATGTTCATTTTGATGTCTCTATTCTTCACAGTTATTAAGCATAAAGCCTACTTCAAATTACTTACGTAGTACCCAAATCAATACCAATAGCACCCTCGTATTCAGCAGACATTTTCAACTATATATAGCTCTCAAAGGAGAAAGAGAAAGGAAAGAACAATCAAAGGTCCTGCGTCTGCGTGAATTATACATGCGGTCAAAAAAATTTTAAGTGGTTCAATCAATGCTTAAAAACCGTCACTGCCTCTTTGGTTTTTTATGTTTCTCGGGGAGTAAAAGCCACTACATGCATAGACAATTGGGTTCTGGCTGTCAATAAGATGCCTTTCTGAGTTTTCGGCGTGCAACCTAGAATCAGTTATGGTAACTTCCTCTTGCTGCCTTTATTTTCTGGGGAAATGAGATCTTGTGTGATGCAATGAACTGAGAAACTCTAACTTTTCAATCATTTTACCTTAAGAAAAGCCCCTGGCATTTTAAGGTTTTTGTCCCCATCAAGGCAGCACAAAATTGGCATTTAGCTTACCACAGTGGTTCATGAGTATAAACGGGGCCTAAAGTTTTGATACTCTACTTTTTGTTTTCCTTTTCCCCCTTGACACATTGATATCAAACATGTTCGCTCGTACCGCCGCTCGTTTCGGTATGAATAGTTTGGAGAAATGCCCATCAAGTCCTACAATTCACTAACATTCATGCTTTTCGATATGCTGCAGCTCTCAGACCTTGTGTTGCTTCTCCTGTTAAGGGTATCATTTAATTTGATTTGATTTGCTATTAAACATAAAAGCATAGGATTTAAAAGTGTAACTAAACCATGAACGATTTGTAGCCCGTGCCTTTAATACTGCTTCTCGTGCTACAGCCTCGCTTTCTTCTCGTCGTATGGCTACCATGGTTACTGCTGGTGTAATTACTGCAAGTGCCCTCTCTTATGCTTATTTGCAAAGTAATGTAACATTCAGAAATATCTGATAGGCATTGAGTATATTTCTGATTCTTTCTTTTTTTTTCGGCATTATAGAACCTGTTTCTGCTGATTCTAAACCTATTGCAGGCGTTGAGTAAGTCGAACATTGTTATAACGTACCAGCTTACAGATAGAAAACTCATGCAAACTATAATTGACAGAGGTACTTTCAGCGAGCGTACCTTCATTGCTATTAAGGTGGGTAATAGTGCAGAATTGATAAGCATTTCAAATTAAAATGGCATTACTTAAATAAATATTACACATTTAGCCCGATGGTGTTCAACGCGGTTTAGTTGGTAAAATTATCAACCGTTTCGAAGAACGTGGTTATAAGCTTGTTGGCTTGAAGGCACTTGTTCCTTCAAAGGAATTGGCTGAAAAGCACTATGAAGATCTCAAGGAACGTCCCTTCTTCGGTGGACTTGTTAACTACATGACTAGTGGTACTCCCGTCATTGCCATGGTAAGAAACACATTCTTTTCTTGAAAAAGCAACTGCCCGATAACGCATTTGTGGCTTTCATTAATATACGTAAAAATAGGTTTGGGAAGGTAAGGATGTCATTAAGCAAGGCCGTGCAATGATTGGTGCTACCAATCCTTTACAAGCCGCTCCTGGCACTATTCGTGGTCAATATGCTGTAAGTCTGTGCAAAATAAACAATTGATCTATTGAAAATAGGCTGCAATCGTGCTGATACTTTGATTTTCTGCCGCTTATTGTAAACCAGATCTCAACCGGTCGTAACATTATTCACGGTTCTGATTCTTACGCGTCTGCAGAAAAAGAAATTGGCTTATGGTTCGGTGCTGCTGGTGAACTCACTGAATGGACTCCTGCCAATGTTGAATGGGTTCAATCTGACAACTAAGGCATTAATATTTGATAAAGTATTTTATTCCACATCAAACTTGTAAACAATACAAATCAATGCAATAACTAATGCTTGTACGTAAAAGTGACATGAGAGTGTTGTTGTTTTGCAGATTCAGTCTGATTTTTCTTCAATTTTGCTAGTATTTGAGTCCTTCATTCTTTCTAAATTCTGTTCGAGAGTATTGAGACGCTTCATGATGTTATCGCCTATGGTAAGTTTTGAATAAGCACAGAAGGGCGTTCACTTTAATGGTCGATATCGTGCTTACATTTTTCATCAACGCTACTGCAATGTTCTTCTATTTTTGATTGCTGTTGGATATTATAATGGTTAGTTATACGTCGAACTACACAGATGACGTAGAACGTTGCTTATACTACCAATTTATTCAGAGATTCCAGAATCTATTGCCATTCGCCAATGAATAAACTACAACTTAAAAGAAACTAAGTAATACCGTACTTACGTAGCCAGTCAGAGCGCCAGTAGTGTTAGAAGATGTTTTGAAACGATCGTCTTGCTGTTCCTGTAAGCTCATCTCGGAAGGAGGAGACCAGGTTGCCGCTATTCTAAGGTTGGAGCTTAATTATGCAATTTGGCGATGCATGAAGTCACAGACCATGCAAGTTTCCCAGTTCGTTCTTCACGTTCGTTTTCACTTCCCACTTACTTTATAGTTGAAGACAGACAATGCCTGAGGGGAACGATTTGAGTAATGCAGACAATGCGTTCGAACTCACGGACGAGCAAATTCTCAGATTTGAACAGGATATTAAAGATGAAGAAGCCCAAAAAGTAGGATGTTTAGACTCTTAGAGAACACTTTGTTGAACCCCATAAAAAATAAACTAACAGGGAAAGCAACACGATAGATGCCATTGGTTCTTCAAATAAGTGATATTTCAACATTAACTGAAGAGTATCAGTCAAATGAAAGATTCATTAAAAAAATTCAAGTAAGGGTTACTCTTCAAGTTGATGAAGGCAAAAATCCGAGTAATGTTCTTTTTCAAATTATAGAATCTGCGCAACTCACACGATAAAATAAGACGCTGCCGTGGTGATGGTAATTGTATCCAAAACAGGTGATAATACTTCTGTATATTTTATTAACTTGAAACATAATATAAATAGGTAACTGCTTTTTTAGAGGTACTTACAATAACACTTACGATCATCATGATACTCGATAAGATTCTAAATAGCTAGCGTATGGTTCATAGCATTCTCCTTTGCTTGGTTTGAAAGCGCCATGTATGATCAACGTTTGTTTGATGCCCGTCATAAATTCTTAAAAGAATCTATTGACTTTTTGCAAAACGGTGGGTTCGATAAGATGGCATTTGAAGATTTTTATGAAGTTACTTTAGAGACGTTTGAAAACATGAACCAGCATGATCCTGATATGCTTCTCGTCAGTTTCCAAACTGATGAGGTTAGTAATGCTATTGTTGTCTTTTTCCGTTTCATCACATCAGCTTACCTGCGTATTCACGCTGCCGAATATGAACCTTTCTTAACTGATGAGCTGGTCTCTATCGATCAATTCTGCGCAATGCATGTTGAAGCTTTCGGAAGAGAATCGGATCACTTACAAATTATTGCTTTAAGCAAGGCTACTGATGTGCCTGTGGAGGTTGCTTATTTGGATGGTGGTGAGAGCGATGAGGTAGCCCTTCATGGATTCTGGCCAACTGAGCAAGATGAAAAAGAAAAATTAAAGCAACCTATTGATTTACTCTACAGACCAGGTAAATAATAATAAAAATACGTGCCAAAAAGCGAAAGACAACTCACAACATACCTCAAATTGATTATAAAGGTCATTATGATATTCTTTACTGCAAGAAGCAATGAAAATACGATCTTTTTACCAAGCGTTTTCATGATTCCGATTTTTGTTTGATGTGTATTGAGTATAACGGAGCAATTTAATGCCACATCAAGTACAGAATAACAATAAAACTACTGTTTTTTCGCTTGACTTTCGCACGAAATGGCTATCGAATTGAAACTATCTTACAATCAAATCCAGACTAGTTTAAAAAATTATTTTGGATGAAAAGTATAGTTTTTCAGATCATACCTTTTCCGTCAAAATGCTCAATGCCAAATGTGCGACCTACTCTTACTCAAGCACAGAATATCTACCCTGTTTGAGTATGTAGTAACGTCAAGCAGCAGTTAATAAAACCTCAGAAATGTACAGTGACAAATTTCACAAGATGAACTCACCAAAACGCGTAAAAATCTTTAAGCCGTCGGTATAGAACCTGCAGCACCATTTTCGTTATGGCGATAGCGAGAGAAAATGTCGGGGCGGCCATTGTGTTCCCATACGGAATTTGCAATAGTTAGCATATTTTTGGTCGCATTGACGTCTCTTTGCCATATTATACCACAGGTTTTGCAGGCCTTGGTACCATAGACGCTGGAGCCGTTCGAAATTCGTACTTCTTTCATTTCGACACCATTACAATTGTTACAAACCTACGAAAATGACATTACTTCTAGAGAAGGGCACTTGATTTGGCAATTTGGGACCCACCTTTGAGGTTTTAAACTCGTTGATGTCCACCACCGCAGCAAGAAAGCAGCGCTGTCTTTTCAGGAGAGTACGATACAACTTTCCTGTCACACCTGCTGGGTGGCCTTTAATTTATTGTCCGTTGTTAGTTACTTTTAATAAAGTACGTGAATTAAATACAAAAAAAATTTCTCTCTGCTTCCTAGGGTTTTTTAATGCCGCTATCAAGGTGGTTCTCGGTCGGTGTTGGTGTTTAAAGAAGTTATAATTGTGGTGCTCGCCCAGGCTTAATTAAGCAAGATCCCGAACCGCGCTCAAAAGTCTTAGCCTACCAATTATAATGATTAGTTTAGCCCCTTCCCCCTCCCTCCATTTGGATAGTATGCTTTTTCGCCCACCACGGCACCCTGACCGACACTATGCATCGCTCTATTCTCAACTCGAGCTGCCCCGGGCAATTTTCTGATATGTAGTTTATCTGTGTGCCCATTGGGATTAAAATTATATAATAAAAAACATGTTTAAACGTAGTAAAATGGCGGGTACCAAAACTAAAAATTGAAATCTTGCCAAAGAGAATAATCTTGAGAAAGCATGTTCAGGACATGGAGGCTATGTTGAGATCTTTTGTTGACTTAAAGGGGCAGTTCTTTCGGTTATTTTAAAGAGAGCTTAAGCAATGGTGTAGGCGCCAACTTATTTCGCTCCTCTCGGGACGAAATTAATTATGCAATAGGATGTAGATTATAGCAATTAAACATATTCCTTCTTTCTATTTATTGAGCATTCTAAGTTATTCTATTCAATGGAGAAAGCGCGTTTACTCAACCGTAAAAGAAAAGATTTCGACCGCGACATTGGCGCTTCAGACAATTAACACAACTGGCGTCCGAGGATAAGAGTATATCCGGAAATTGTCAGTATAATTTCCAGCAGTCTTGTTGAAATCTCAAACAGCTGTGTTTCCTCCCCTTTATGAGGTCCGTACGAGCCAAAGTAGTGACTGACACATCTAAGGCTTTCATAAAGCTGAAAATTGTAAATAGTGTTATTTTAACCAATTTATACATCAGAATTAACAAAAATTTACAGAAAGCCTCTAGAATAACAGAAACAGTTCAAATAATACGTTGGTGGATAACCTCTTATTGAACGGCAAGTGTAATGCACTGTTGCCTTTGCAGCAAGTGCATTTGGGTAGAGCAATTTAAAAAACGATTAAGAAGACAGCGGGCTAGAGAGCTATTATATAAGGATATCTTTACGAAAGATAAGTTACATAAGGAGTCAGACAGCCTCGGACACTCTATAACAATTTGATTTATGCAAAACGGCCCACTTTTATCCAAATTGATTGGTTACCACAAAAGGAAAAATAAGGGTTAAAGGTGCCGGTTTGGACTTTTGACCTTCTTTTTTCTTCTTTGTCATTACTTTTGCTCTTCTGCTTTCTCCGTACAACATTTTCAATATTGTTCATGGATACAAAAGAAGTAGTCTCACTGTATGTTACACCTGAGTCGTTCGTTCTCGTCAAGAACGAGTCTATTGTGGAGATTGACTTCGAAGGGCAGAAACCAACTCGCAAAAGTACTAAACCATGCTTACGTTAGGTGCAACGGCAAAGGGTACCTTTTCTCACCTTTTATTTTGTTCAGATGAGTTTGATAATAAAAACGTAAAATGTCGAAAATATGACATTTTCGGTGTTGTAGGGATTGTAGAAGGTTTCAAAGGTATGATGAAGCGACTATCTTTTCTTTAAGTGGTGGCGTTTGAATAAAGCTGACAGCCTTTATGCATATCATTCACAAACATAAGAAAAATACCTGATCGTTATCTCATCTTTGCAGTCCAAGGGTCGGTTGATGGAGAACCCGGTTTATACTATCGATGGTGTGCTTTGCTTAAGTTTCAATTACCATGAAGCTTGTCAACTATTAGACAATCCACAATTCAGGGTATGATCATCCTTGTTTTTGCTTATTTCTTACATTGAAGTCATCCAGAAAACCATGCTAAAATCATGAAAGACCTTCCCTATTGAAAATAAGGAAGTCAAAAAAATTGATGAAGAAAAAGCATCTGAAAAGTATGAACGACCTATTCACCTGACACAATCCAAGTCGTTTATTCATCGTGTCAAGAGTACCTTTGCAAAAACTAAAAGTAGTAGTAACACAATATTGTCAGCCAGTGATAATAATGGTTTAGACAAACTGTCGACAGATTACCATATTCCAATGAACGAAGAGGCAGCTGTATTGCAGCCGTCAAATATAAATGCAACGTCGACGGAAGACAGTATCAAAAATAATAGTAGTGGTGGAAGCAGATCCCCATCTGTATATTCTGTCTCAACCTCTGCGTCAGATAATGAAGAAAGAGGCGAAAGCGACAGCTATGAGGATGACGAAGATGAAATACTCGAAAAACGCTTAGTTAAACAAATAGTCGAAATGCTTAGTAGTTCTATGTTCCTATATTCAACCACATTGGGTAATACCATCTCGTTTCGGATGCCCTCAAAGATGTTTATTTTCACTTGGACTAATATTTTCATTCATATAGACCTTACGAATAGTTTCCAGAGAGTCAGTAAAAGAAAGAAAGCTGAACCTACTTTATATGCGAATGAAAATATACCACTTTGGAAAAAAGTAGATAAGCGGTTCTGGTGGAATGAGTTTATGTTGCAAGACTTTATCAAACAGGAAGTGAGTATTTTAATAGCATTCGGACAAACTATATTTGTGCATCCTTCATGGCGTTAAAAGTACTTCTTAAAAAAAAGCTTGATGAATGGATTATACCGATCATGCAAGGAACAATCCACATTGAATCATGCCAAATCGAAGGATATGGGTTCGACTTTGCATTAATATCCAGAAGAAGTCGAGAAAGGGCAGGTATGCACTAAATTGGTTTACATTTTCAAATTTAAACAAAATTTGATTGATGTGAAACATTTAAATTGATTCAATATGATGTGGAAGGTATGCGATATCAAAGAAGAGGCGTAAATGAAGAAGGTCAAACTGCCAATTATGTGGAAACTGAGCAGACAGTGATATTTCAGGTAGGCCGAAGAAGAAGAAAATGACCAATGATACTTAAGCTAATCGCTTGGGCATTCAATTTTGGTTAGAAAGATAATGTTACTCATGTTGCATCCTTTATCCAAATAAGAGGTTCAAGTAAAGTATAATTTCCAAACATATCTGAGCACGATTGTACTCACATTATTCATATTAGTTCCGTTATTTTGGAGTCAGTCGCCTTATAGTTTACACCCAATACCCGTGATGGAACGGACAGAGAATGAAACTAAAGAGGCCTTTCATAAGCATATCAATACGCAAATTTGTTTGTACGGTAATCTGACTCTAATTAATCTGACTGAGTTGGTGGGAAGAGAGGCAATTGTGGGTGCACAGTATAGACGATATGTAGAGGACTTAGCAGAGCCTAATGTGAAGTAAGTCGATGCTGGAGGGCTTTCGCATGGACCCAGTTTTACCAACATGTTTTAACAATATCGGTTTTAGGTACGTTGAATTCGATTTTCATAAAGAAACGAAAGGGATGAAGTTTGAGAATATAAGCAAGTTAAGTAAAAGCTTGCAAGACGACTTTGCAAAAATGCAGTAAGTATAGAGCAATGTTGAGCTCGCTATGTAGGAACGTCATATAACGATATACTAAATGTTGCTTCTATTGGGAACTGGCACAAGATACTTTTGGGAAATGTTTAGCGATGATGGCATAGAGAATACTGTATATAGTGAGCAAACAGGGGTCTTTAGAACAGTAAGTATATACCATATCTTCCCATTATTATGGGCTTGAAGTGTTTTAACCATTATCGCTTTATATACAGAATTGTATGGATTGTTTGGATCGTACCAATGTTGTGCAGGTAAAAATATGGAACAAATCTTTGCATAACACAATCTGAAACTTTCCTCAGCAGTAATTATCAATCGTCCTGTTTCGATATGCAGAGTGCCTTCGGTAGAACTGTTCTAAACCTTCAATTGATGCGATTTGGTATTTCAGAATATCCGGAGCAAGGAATTAGATACTATAATGATTTTGAGAGGGCCTTTAACAATGGTAAGCATTTTCGATACGTTAAGTAGGCAGAATATTATAATCAATGCATCATTGACTGAACTTTTTTGGCAGCTTGGGCGAATAATGGTGATATGATATCAAAGATGTATGCCGGTACTAGTGCTCTCAAAAGCGACTTTACAAGGTACATTTTTACCCCCCAATCATGCTCAAATATGCATGCTTATAACCCTAAAATTTGGTAGGACCGGCAAAAGAAATATAACTGGTATGATGAACGATGCATCTAATTCGCTAGCGCGAATGTATTACAACACTGTCAAGGATTTTTGGAGACAGGCAACAGTAGATTATATACTCGGATATCATAAAGCAGAAATATTCCGACACGTACTTCAAAGTACAAAGATGTCAGCGGAACCTGGATTTCAGAAAAGATGGCTCAAGATCCGTTCCGAAGCTAGTAAGATTAAACCTTCTTCCTCAGGGGTGACAATTACTATGAACCGCTACTAATCCATTCTGTATATGTACAATAGTCAATATTAGTAGTGATATCGTTATTGCTGACGACGAAACACGCATTAAAGGTTGGACCTTACGCTCCCCAGCTGTTGTCAATAATATTATTGCTAAACTTGGCCCTAAAAGAAAAACCGCCCACCACTATCGAGAACAACAACTTGCCAAAAAGCATTTTGAAGAAAAAATTGTTCTACTAACGGAGAAGGCTTTATATGTCTGTAGTTACAATTACAAAATGGAGAAAGTCATTCAATTCCGAAGAATCAGCCTTGACACACTTGTCAGTATTCAAATTGGTGAATACATTTTGTCTTCTTTGACACCTGCTTCTCGATCCGAGGATTTTAATTACGGGTTTGTCGTGTGTCATAAGCGTCATGGTGGGTCAGAACGGTGGAACACAGGTAGTATGCTCAATCAACATTTGAGTCTTGCAAATACTGTAAAAACTTCTAAAGATCAACGAGGAGAAGAGGAGCCAGTACCTAAAGTAGAGAATGAAGACATGTTGAAGACAGAGTTAAGGAAAGATAAAAGCGAAGCAGACATCGTTGTGGGACCAAAAGAAGATATAGAAGAAGAAAAACTTGGCGCTGATAATGCTTGTATTGGAACTGAAAACATAGAAACGATCGCATTCAAGGCTATTAGAAATGATATACTAGGAGAGTCAGAGAATCAAACAGAGACTTGTAAGCAGCAAGTTCTTGACATCGTTCATACTATTACTAAGGCTTGTAAGAAATTGAATGACCCCAATTTTATTATTGAGAAGCCTATCATAAGTCTCAAGCAAGCAGAAAAAACTGATGGAGTCTTAAAAAAGATGGGATATAAACTTAAGCGAGCCATCTGGTTATAGCTCTTATTTATTCATTATAACGATAATCTCATGTTCCTAATTTACTGGCCTGTTTTCAAAATGACATTCAAGCAAAATCAACCTAATTTTCTGTTGATGAAGTTTTAAAAGCCTTACTAAAATGTTCATCTAGCAACTTATTGTATCTTGACGGTCGTTCGCCAGGAATACCATGACCACTGCTGTCAAAAACTTCTAAGGGACACTCTAATACTTTACTAATGTGGTATGAATTCTTGGGATTGACCAAATTATCCCAGGTGCCAGTGATAACCAAGACCGGAATGCCTGAGTTTTTGATCTTTAATAAGCGTTCGTCAGATACATAATGCCGCAAACAAGCAGCCATCTGACCTAAATTTCCATTAATTGTCTGCGGCTTAGTGCGCTCGATTCTTGCTAAAGCCGTAGAAATAACCATATCCCGGTTGGTTTCAAACTTCTCGTCTGGATCGTCCTCAACAGTAGGTTTTGAGGAAAGCCATTCCGGAGGATAGACAATCTCAATGAAAGAGCCGAGTTTCAGTTTAGGATCTCGAACAAAAATATTTTTAGTAAGTGTTGTGATGGCTTTAAGCTATCATATTGGAAAGATATATCGAGCGATGAAGACCATATTAGTATGTAATTTTGCAAAGAAAAGGATGAATGACAGCTTTCTTTAAAATCCCTACCGGTGGTATTTGTCGACCAGAAGTTGTGCTTGTTAAAATCAAAGAAGCAAACCTATCTGGCCAAGTGGATACAAGTTCCAATGCTATCATTCCACCCATAGAGATACCATTTAAGTGAACGCGATTCTTCCAACCAAGGTGGTCTAGCATGTCGATCACATCTTGGGCCATTTGAGAGGTTGTATACATTCCTTTTGGAGAATCAGACAATCCCATACCACGATTATCAAAAATGAGAACAGTATATTTGTTTGTCTCAGCAAGATATTTAGTTTGGAGCTCCCATGAAAAGCATGATGAGTTCAAGCCTATATTATAAGATTAATAAGACTAAATGAATCCCCCCACTTGCTGGATTGGGTATGCATGATTTTTCTGTTTGCAATTTTTACCCATAATAAGGCACACTTTTTCAGGGCCATTCCCGTGCAGTTCATAGTAGATCTTGATCAACGGATTATCTCGGCCCTGACCTACTTCGATATGTCCGTTTTCAGATAAAGTAGATAGTGACATATTGAGAATGGTTTCGTAAGTATGAAATTGAAAGAAAAGACTTTTATTTTATAGTGCGCAGAAAACGGATTCTTATTTCTGAAATTGAGCTTAAGAAATTGGATTATAATTGCTTTTTCCACCTGAAAAGTCGAACACATGACAAACACTCAGAATGGAACAGCATCGAACTGTTAATTTTCATGATTGTATTGTGCTGTCTTCGATAAGGCTTGCCAATAGCAGAATCGGCATACTACGGTGTGGCTTTCATCTATATTAGCAACTCTTAGTTCCGTCTTTTTTTAAGTTCGGCTTATCTGACGAAAACAGTGGAAGGCCTTTGGTTGTAGATTTGAGAATTACAATTTAATTTTCTCTATGCCTATTTAAAACGGTAGAGCTATGAATGGATTTTCTCATTTCATATTTTCTGTTCTGCAAACAGTTTTGGAAGCTTGTTAAGGAAGGAACAACAAATTTAACATACCAGTTTTATACGAAAAAGATTACGCTAAAACCTAATAGTACTTCATACTTGAGGTTTTTATTCAAAGCCAGACATACAAAATTTTACGTTAAGTTCAAGAATACTTCCGGCAAAATTAACTCGCCTGCCAACTGGATTGGACTTACTATCGCCGCGCTGCGTTGATCAAACATAGCACACCCTCCCCCCTCAATCTACTTGATAAATTTTGTCTTTTATGCAATGTCTCATTCATTTCTATTCTTATAAATATTGTACACTCTCCTTAATTTTATAGTATCTACGACTATTGAGAAAACCATCTGTACAGCTGTCTTTCTCTCTCCTCTCTTTTTATTCACTTTATTCACAAACTACTGAATTAATTTATGAAAGCCGATCAACAGACCGATGAAGGATACATAGAACAGAAAATGGATGAGCCCTCATTTCTGAATAGTCTCACTGATGACCAAAAAGCAGGTAAATGAAGGGTGAAGAGCCTCTACCTACTTTGCCGAACGAACTTAACAACTTTTTGTAGAATTGGCTTTTCGCCTCTTACGTAATATACCCTTATCAAAAACAAGACAAGTTGTCGACTCATTACAACTTATATTAAATAAAGATCGTATATCTGTAAGCACTATATTGCAACATGATTATCATAATTGAGTCCGGCACTCATTGTTAGGTTTCATTTCTTTATAGTATCTACCGAAAGAGATTGTTTTGAATGTTTTGTATTATCTAGATATCCCTTCTTTGCATCATATGAGCCAAACGTCAAAATTCTGGTTTTATACCTGCCAAGATCAAATCTTGTGGAAATATTTATTTTTGGAACAACAATGGACAGTAAATCAAGCTGCAATTGATCGATACCTAACTTATTGCCGCCCTCGCAGTCATCATGGGATAATTCAAAAAACTTTAAAAGTTATCAGTAATTACGCCCCTGAAACATCTACAACATCTTCATCCAGCTCCTCTTCGTTTATTGTCAACGATGCACCTTTACGTTCTTTGAACAATTTTGAACAATCACAACAACAGCAACAACAACAGAGTCAGGATAAAGAAGTGATATCTCGTGTTATTGTTGAAAGATTCTCGAATACATCTCTTAGCAATAGGCGCTATCCGCGGATCTTTAGTGAAACTGCATATTTTCATTACGATGAATCTGAAGATAGGCGATTTATCAACTGGATGAGACTTTACCATAACCGATTAAAAATAGCTAAACGATGGAAAAAAGTTCAATGTAATATGAAAATGTTTCCTCCACTTCAATCTTATATGATAACAGCGCAACCAACGACAACAACGACAACAGCGACAACAACCATATCTACGGAGGTTGGACCAGCGCAGAACGAAAATATTGAAAATGAAGTATCAAGACCTACAAATGAAAGTACACTTGAACAACAGCATCAGCAACAAAATCAGAACAGTGGTATTTATTGCTTACAATTCAATGATCAAATTTTAATGACAGGAAGTCGAGATCGCTGTATCAAAGTTTGGTCTATCAGAACAGGACGTCTAAAGCACAAGCTACAAGGACATTTGGGCAGTGTCCTCTGTCTACAATTTGATAATCACTATGTAATTAGCGGAAGTAGTGATAGCCGACTCATGATATGGGAACTGCACACAGGAAAACACATTAAGACGTTATATGGCCATTCAGAAAGTGTGCTTAATGTAAAGTTCAAGAATAACCTGGTCGTTAGTTGTTCAAAGGACAAAACATTGAGAACATGGGATTGGAAAAAAGATGATATCAAAGAATCAGACAGCAGACACAACGACAAGAAGCGTGGCGGAGTGACACTCATGGTCTTCCGTGGTCATCGAGCCGCTGTAAATGCAGTACAGTTCAAAGATGACCGGATCGTATCTGCTTCCGGTGATAGAACAATTAAAATCTGGGACATGAACACGGGTCAATGTTTGAAAACTTTGGATTCTCATAGTCGAGGCATTGCTTGTGTGGAATATGACGGGGAATATATTGTTAGTGGTTCAAGTGATCAGTCCATTCGAGTTTGGAATGCGCATACGGGAGAATGTATTCATATCTTGATTGGCCATACAGATCTTGTTCGGACGCTGCAAATGAATCGGACCTTCAAGACCATCGTAAGCGGCAGTTACGATGGTACAGTGAAGATCTGGAATTTGGAGGATGGCAAATTGATAAAAACATTACCACAAACTGCACATGGCAGGTAAGGTGTTGAATAAGATCAATGATCGTATAAAACGAAATACTCAATGTTTGCTCTCACTGTTTCCTTCGATTTCTTTTCCCCGTTGTACAAATATAGAATACTGAATTTGCAGTTTGATTTCAGTAAAATTGTTTGCTGTTCTAATTATGGAAGAATTGTTATCTATGATTTTGCCTCTGGTATCGATACTCAATTTTTGCAGGGCTAATTTAATGAAGTTTAAATGGAAATACTATTTTATAATTAGCTTTAACTGCTTCAACGCGTTCCAAGCATTTAATTGTAGAAGGTAGACGATACGGGTTCAGTGACTTAAGGTTTTGCGAAAATGTAATGCTCAATGGTCGTGGAGCCCTTTTGGCCTTCCGTTTCACGGTGGCCCGCAAGCAATCGTACAAAGCACTCCAGCCAATAACTATTTAAATAGCAAGGGAAATAGTGTTGATGCTTCCCAATTCACACAGATGTGTCTGTATAACGTTGGTTATGCTAAATATATCAGTTCCGCTTTATTTCAATAGAAAAAAATTGAAGTGTCATGCGCCCCAAAGCTTTTTTTTTATTTTCTTTTTCCTTAATCTTATCTATGTATACAATAAAGAATAAGAATAACCACAAATGCGAACTATAAAATGCAGATACGTACGGAAATAATGGCCATTTCCTTCTATTCATTAACCATTCTTTTTGTCGTTGCCGCTGCTGTTGTTGATTTATTGTTATTTGTAACTACAGCTGTGTCAAAATTGGTAACAGTAGTCGGTTGTTGTATTACACCGTCCCATTCTAAATCTTGTCTACTGTAAGGTATAATATGGCCTCTCATCAATCTATGTAAACTGGATACACTTGACCTAGCAACAGAGGTAGTAGAAGTTGGATGACTCGTATTGGGTAGTAGCAATGATGAATAGGCATTACCGCCTGTTATTGAAGTTGGAATATCCGAATAGCGAACACTACTCAAGCTTCTTCTATGGGATTGTTTTGTTGGTATATAAGCTGAGCCATTATTGTCAGTATTAGGAAGACTACTACTACTATTATTATTATTGTTACTACTATTGTGTGCTGTGATGGTAGTAGTCGCAGAAGCAGCAGCAGCAGCAGCAGCAGCAGAAATGTTATTGGTAGCTGTTGGACTTATCGGTAAATCCTCTTGCCAATCTCCGTCTCTTTCCAAATCAATGGTCGTGTTTGCCCAACGTGGCAATCCCAATAGAGAACTACTACTATTACTATTACTTTTTGCAGGACGCTTAATGGTGTAACTGTCAGTGTAATAACTGTTTAAATTATCGACACTTCCATGGTGATAGAAAGCGTTTGGATGTTGCTGATGCTGGTGATAACCATAAGGGTAATATGGGCTGTAGAGCGAACCTTCTGCTGGAGCGGTTTCACTCAACTGGTCTACAGCAGCCCACTGGATCTGTGGTGGTACTTGCATTGTGCCTAATGTATTAGCTCTGGGTCGACCTGCGACGTTTGCGTTAATATTATTATTGCCGGCTGTAGTTGCAGTCGCATTATTATTGGCGATAGTTTCGGACGGTAACGATAAATTGTGATGCAATAGGGATGACTCTTTCATATTATTGTTGATTAACGCGGAAGAATGATGATTGTTATACGATAGATGCGGTTGATAATGAGAACGATCCCGATTATTCGGTTGGCTTATTTGTTGTTGTTGCTGTTGTTGTTGAGGATATTTATATGGTGGTTGAAAGTGATGTGGTGGTTCAATGACACTTGGTAAAGGAGGTATATAAGAAGAAGCGCGTTTATGCTGAGTATTGTTGGTTGAGAAAGTTGGATTTGATAAATAGTTATCAGAATGGTAGGAATTTCGATTGCTATATCCGTTGCTTCTGCTGCTACTGAATAACGGCTGCTGCTTGGAGGAGGTGGACTGTGAGGGTATCGGAGGTTGCTGCTGTTGCTGCTGCTGCTGCTTTCTTGGAATGAAAGGTGGTTGAAAAGGTGCAATAAATTCTTCGCCTGTAATGAAAGGATGTTTTTTGGCTTGTTGAGGCGACCACCGCTCAATTGGGTTTAGGTTTAATAAACCTTGTAGAAAATCAATGAATGCGAGTCGACTCTGCTTTTCCTTTTCAATCTCTTTTCGAGACATTTCCGATTTCCTCAGCATAGGATATTTATTTATAAGGTCTGGCAGTGTTTTTGCCGAAAAATAACGTTTCGAAGGTTCTTCTTGTTTACCTTGTTCACGACAATATGCCTCAATTGACTTGAACTTATAACTTTTACCGCCATTCGATATTTCGCAGTCAAAGTATTGGTGGGCATTTTTACCAACTTCGATCATGTAATTTGGTGGTTTCCTAGCATAGTCAATAACATAAATTATGTTAGTCGACGCGTATATTTCGATACATTGTGTTAGTAAGTATGATAGTTACCCTAGCATTTCAATAATTCTCGATAGTTGATTGTATTCTGAACTACCAGGAAATAAGGGTAAGCCCAAAAATAACTCGGCAGCAATGCAGCCTAAAGACCACATATCAATCGCACTTGTATAAGGTAAACCAATCAAAACTTCTGGAGAACGGTAGAACCTCGATTGGATATAGGTATACATGGTTTGCACTTCATGGCAAGCTGAACCAAAGTCAATCACTTTGATTGTCGGTGATTCTAGACTGTTTTATATAACAGATAAATAAAGAAAAATTAATTAATATGTCTCTGCTGATTATTTCATGCCCACCTCAACAAAATCCATACTTCTTTAACAATATATTTTCAGGTTTCAAATCACAATGGATAATTCTGGCTTCATTCAATACAGTCAATGCATCTAAAATTTGCGCTGTGAAAACTCGTACAAGATTCGTTGATAAACCGCGGAAATGATTCTGCTTGATTAATTCGTAAAGATTGACAGACAATAGCTCAAAAACTAAACAAAGGTGTTTCTTATGTATAAATGTATCTTTGAGCCGCAGTAAGTGATGCTGATCTAGTTCGTCATATTTTTGGTTGAGCTATGAATAAGTATTATAAGTAACATAATACGCTCTCTAAACGGAATATGGCGTAATCATACTCTACCATTTCTAGTATAGCTACTTCCATCATACTCTGCTTAAAGTAGGCCATCTTATTCTTTACCACTTTGACAGCAACGATTTCCTGAGTTTTTGTATTTCTACATTTTACGACTTGGCCAAATGTACCTGATCCTAGCACATCCAATATGAGGTATTTGTGTCCTTCTGTGTTGCCCAAAGTATCATTTACATAGAGTATATAGTCGAAATCCTCGTTATCATATCCATCATTTTTACACGGCTTGCTTGGCTTTGTGAGAACTCTTCTTGGGTTATTCTTGGAGCTATATTTAAACCCTTGATTACAGGATTGATAGGTCGTATTTAACTCTATGGTAAGCATGTATAAAGGCTATGTAAATTTGAAAATATGTGGATTAGACAAAAGAGGGAGAAAATCCACTTTTCAATAAATCATATATACGATTTTACCCCATATCGCTTGCCTTCTCTTGTTCTTTTACAATGAGACATTGGCAAGTCATCTCGGCTGTGAATCTTACGGAATGCGCCAGACATTGCTCGAGAAATGAAATAGTTCTCCTCGGGCATTATCATAGGCTGTTGATGTTGTTGTTGGTACGAGTGATGATGCCGTGACGAAAAGGAGTAAGAAGAACTTAAACGAGGTGATTGGCAAAAACTACTGCTGTTCGGCGAAACCGGTGAGGGTATTTGTTGTTTATTATTGTTTGTTTCATGAAGACTGCGTTGCTGCGGATGTTGCATGGAATTCAAGCTTGAAATGGACAAGGAGGAATGACGAGTATGGCTATTATTATTATTACTATTGATACTATGACTCAAAGATTGATGCCGTTTTAGGTTAGCGCTACTATTGGTAATAGTGGTGGCAGTCTTCGGTGGTGGCGGTACTATGTGCTGCTGTTGCTGCTGGTTATTATCATCCGATATAAGTATGCCTATAAAATTCGTATCTTGATATAAAGGTAATAATTCTTCTTTTTTCAATTGGCTGCTCTTGTTGCTATCTACTGATTTTGCTGGTGACGTGATATCTTTGGTTTGTCGAAAGGATCCCATAGAAAGGAAAAGAAGGGTAGTGGGAAAGAGAAATAAGTATTTCTTTATAAATAATGTTGAACACAGCAAAAGGCGAAAGGAGAAAAAGAAAATAAGTTTTATTCCTAAGATATTCGAAAGATGTAAGCTTCTGTTTCTGTTAAATTTGCGGATCTTTTATTTTACGTTTTCTCTACCTGCTTGCTTTATGCCGTTTTAAAAGGACTGAATTGGCATTACAGTTTATTAACTTTAGATTTGGACAACACACACAAAATTTTTAGACGATAAGGAAATTAAGTTTAAGCGGATGTAAGATAATAGTAGACCGTTAAGAATAAAATGTTAGACAGTTTGCACAACACTAGAAAGTATAAGGTTTTCCATTCTTTTTACCTGTAATTATCAAACTGGGTTCGTTCCAGCGATGTTGAGGGAGAGGGTGTCTTATGATTTTGTCCGTGTAAATTCTTTCGGCCTTCCTAAAGCCTTCTAAATAGCACAACTGATTTTCATCATGTTCTTGGCAGCATTGACGTCTCGATTCCACAGTATATGGCAAGTTTTACATACAAGTATACTGCAGGTCTTAACGCCTTTCAACCTCTCCAAAGTATTGTTCGAACAGCAGGAGCATATCCTGGATGTCTTGTATTCATCGATTTCAAGTACAACCAGGTCTCCGCTTGATTCACGTCGCTTGAGTGCACGCCACAAAACACCCACCGTTCCACATCGGTGACCCTTGAATGCGACATTATCTTTAGCGAACATACCATTGCCAAATACAATGAGAGGTACTTTTTTGACATCACCGACACTGAAAGGTTGGGGCCTCCATTTGGCATTTGAACTACTATTACAAAAAACATGTTACTTTCTATAAGTTGTTGATGATGATTGCTTATGAACTTTACCTATCTTTCTTCTCCAATTTCACTTTAACTTTTGATGTCCCTTCTTCTATACTCTTTTTCTCTGGTGCTCCTTTCTTCTTCTTTTTTCGTCTTTTCTGAGAAGCCGCCTTGCCATTGTTCTTCTTCTTTGAGGCCTTCTTTTCTTTTTCTTCTCTCTTCTTCAATCTGAGATCCTCGTTATACTTTGTACTGCCAGTAATTAGCATATTTACCATTTTGTCTGCTGCACGTTTCCGTCCTTGGTATAAATGAAATCGATCTTTGGCAGTGTCATCACCGTAGAAAGAAAACAAGACTTCCAAGTGCTGTAAGATGTATGCTGCATAACAGTGATATTGGGCTTTGGAGCCTGTCTTGGCAGTTGGCATATCACTTTCGATGCCCTTGATTTTGTCTGCTTTCTTCTGTTCCAGCCTTGCTGAATACCTAGTGCTACCAGTCATATGGTAGTACTCTTTGGTAGAACAGCTTCGCACCTGGTGCTTCGTTACGTTTATCCCAATTGCTGCTGTGAAAACGTCTCTTCTACCAGGATCAATGAAGCAGGGTCTATAACCAGATTCGATTTCGGCATAATCAAAATCTTCCAAAGTCAACCGATGGTCTTCGATGGTTTTCTCTTCTTTTGATTTTCTCTTCTTACTAAAAATAAAGTCGACAGTGAAGCCATCCGAGCGGACGATATTACGGAATAGGGTCTCTTGGCTTGTCTTGAGGTTATTCAAACTGTTGTCACAAAAAATGAAATTCAGTAAATACCAATGACAACATTTCTGCCAAACTTTTTTTTTTTTTTTTTTTTTTTTTTTTTTTTTTTTTTTTTTTACCTATCAAATCCCATCTTTTTGAAGCTGAACAGTTGATAAAACTTTTCGAGTTGATTTGTATAGCCTTTTGGAGCTGTACCGGGAAACATGAATGGGAGGAGCGAGTTGACGCTTTTGGTGATGAAACGCCAATGGAGCGAAGGCGGAGGGAAAGGAAAGAAGCGCTTGGGCAACGGTAATCTACGGACATCGTAAGCTGCATGTTCGTCATGTTCCTTTTCATACGAGGATAGGATGTGCCATAATGCTTTGGTAAACTTGGCGGGATCGGATGATAAGGAAAGCAACGTAACCTTTTCCGTTATAAGTTTCTCAAAGCTATTGCATAGCGTCTCTATCTTGCTTTTGTCTTCTTTACTAAGCATGATTCTATCAGGCCAGTTAGGTTCGCCTTTGCAAATTACTTGGTAGCAGTATGCTTTTGATATTTCCACTGCGTCGGCCTTCTTCATGCTCTGATTATAATAAAGCAAATACAAATGGTTAGAAACTAAGAAATCGAAATTATAGTAGTGATAACAACACGCACAACAAACATGTTTTGCAGCTTATAGGTTAGATATTTAAGCACTCGTTGTTCAAAAAGCTCAACAATAGAGTTAGTATACGAAACGCTTATCTCCTTGGCGGCTTCTGTGAGACAGTGGCTGTAACCTTTAGTGAAGCTCTGACTGATTACTATTGTCGGATGCTTTTCCTTAAAGTCATCAAAATAATTTTTGATGTCGTCGTTCAGCACCTTCTTGTGAGTAACCTTTTTGCCCGTAACGAGTTGTCCAACAGAATACCAAAATTGCTGTGTGAAGACTTCTGAAGGAATGGCATTCTTATTATGCACGAGGTAGGCATTAACAAATAGCTGGCAGCGAAACACTATAGCTCTGATGTCCTTGCAGCAGGAGATGACCTTTTCCTTGAACTTTTTACGAAACTATGGTAAAACGGCACTGTCGATAGGAAGCTTCCTCGCAAAAACAGTAGAATCATGGCCAAGGACAGATGCAATGGCCTCGTCCTTTTGATTGTATGTGATTAGGACAAAGAGGCGAACGAGGAGAAGCATGGTCGTCATTCCCACAACTGGAACACTCTACAGCCTGTGATGCTGTTCTCTTCTTTTTCACTGCTTTCTTCTCTGCTTTAACACTGGCGCTCTGTTTTCTCTTCTTATTGCGAGTCCCAACTATATGTGGAAGAGATGGTCTATTACTTGGCTTGTGTGGCTAAAGACAGGTCGAGGCTCAACTTACCATCATCTGCGGATATAGCTTTATGGTACTTGCATCCCGGGTAATTTTTATTAAAGTGACCCAAATCATTACAGTCCTTACATTTGGTATGCTCTGAAAAGTGTACAATAAGGTTACTAATGTGTCAAACTACACACCGTATAGTGATATGCCATTACCGGACGGATTTTCCTTCTTGGTATGATTTTCTTTCACTGAATTGATTTTATCTATGATGATTGTCTTGTACATGTGTGTAGAAAATAACGTTGGTTTGAAGGTAATGAAGTGAAAGAAAAGAAGAAGAGAAGAAAATAATTGAAAAAGGTGAAAGATAAGAATGATCACTAAATTTTGGCAACATAACATTTCGTTTAACAACATTTATAATAACAGTATGATTTACGCGTTTAATGTCACATTTAAAAAATACGCAGATATTGAAAAATTTGATCCGATACAGTAATTTAGCGTTGGATTTAAACAAAGCTGCCATATGAATGGACAGTACAAACCAGATTTTTGAGACGTTTACTCAAACCTTCAAATTTGGCACAGAGCTCCTGTCTTGCAGCTTGAATTGTTGTCAAAGGTCTCGCATCAAATAATGCTATAAGAAACTCAGTATGTTCTGCAAAAAGCTTCTTTGGTCGAGAGATGCCGGTTCTTGGCTTGCTACCAGGAAGGACTGTACCATCACTAACATTCCACTGATCTGAAAACTTATAAGCGGTGAACCTCGGAATGTCACACTCAACCGCAGCTTTGGGAACTGTAAGCCCAGCCTCTTGGATTAAGTGAATCAACCGTCTAATGCTGTGCTCACTATATTGCTTGCGCTTCTTGGACTTATCCGTTAATGCGATAGTGCTGAATTCTGTTGTTAATTCTTCAACAGCTTCTTCCATTTTCGCATCATCGACTACAGGGCGCCGCTGCATTTCATCATAGTCGACGATCTTCTCCATTTGCCCGAAAGTAACAGCAATTTCATCCAAGTCCATAGCAAAAGTATTTTCGGAAAGCATAGGCTCACTTGCAGGATTATAATTTATGTAATTCATGTTGCAGGGATGTGTTTATTTTAAAGCAAACGAAATCTACTCAAAATATTTCGTCTACCGTAAAAGCCCAGTTCGTCTAAAATCAAAAATCTATAGTCCACTAAAAAAAAAGAAACGTCCCAATTAAGGTACCAACTTCGTCCACAAAATTTTCGAAATCGTCTCTTATGAAACCTAAAATACTGTAATAGCGGAGCCCCCTAACAGATACCCAACACATTGGCAACAATATCACACTCATGGTGAAATAGTGACGAATACATACCGTGGCAAGAACGGTATTGCTCTATTGGTAAATCCCAAATATTCCTTACCAGTACATCACCTACAATATGATCACCCATTACTAGCAAAGTATATACTTTCCTTCACTGTTCACAAGATCCTTATACACTGTCTCTATCTTCCCCCATCTATGTCAACCCCTGATATAACAACCCTTTTAGAACAAATCCCACCATCACTGCCAGAAACCACAAGTACCATTGTATGCGGTGACTTTAATGCCCGAATGGGGTCTCTAACTGGCGATACTACCTTTGATTATCGAGGTAAACTGCTTTATGACTGGATTCAAATTCGACAACTAACAAATTGGAACGCGCGACTATGTTACGGCCAACCTACCTCCTTGACATATCACGGTACGAGTATTATTGATTACTTCTTTAGTGATACCGAATTCAGCTCCACAGCCCTCAACATTCGGGAGGATCTATCACTCGACTCAAACCATAAATTTATGACATTCAAATTCAGGATCCCCACTTCTATTCCAACCACTATATCACCACAGCGACGGCTTTGGAACTTGGGAAAACTTCGAGAACGACAGCATATTGAATCCTACCGTCAGCACTTCAGCGAAATACAGCCAAGCCGACCTGAAGATACTAACCACCTTTTGGATAGAACCCACGCCATTGACCATATAGAACTCTTTAATACAGCAATATGTCAAGCTATTTATGATTCTTTAGACATAGTATGTGGACGCAGAAATCAACAAAGAAGCATAACAATGGAGGATTTTTGGACACCGGCAATGCGCCAGAAGTACGACCAAAAGGAATATTATTACAAAAAATGGCGTAAAGCGGCAGGCATCAATGTCTTACATTATTGGCTTCTCCATCAGCAGACAAAGGCCCAGCTACGATTCATGATCAACCAACGCAGAAAAACAACCTGGCGACAGTTCTGCTCACAGATGAGCTCTCAGGAGTATACAAAATCTATAGCACGATTTAGCAAAATAAAAAAGTCCCGTACCCTCAAACCTTCATTTTCCTGTGTAGAAGGTCCCCAAGCTGCTGCGAACCTCATGGCCTCTCATATGCAGTCTACCTTTTCTGGCCGATTTTTACCACAGGAAACCCGACAACAACCACCCTTGCCTGTCGACACTACCCCCCCCCCACGATACGCTCCATTTTCCCATTGATACTGAAGTTATCAAGGATGCCATCCTTACCTTACCCACGAAAAAAACCCCAGGACCTGATGATATTCGTATCGAGATGCTTCGCCCTATCGTCGACCTTTTAGCACCAAATCTCCTTTACCTATTCCAACTTGCCTGGCAATGGACGTATACACCAATTAATTGGCGAATAGCACAAACCCTCCCTATATACAAAAAAGGAAATCCACTTGATCCAGCTAATTATCGCCCAATCAGCCTCACCTCTACCTTCCGTAAGATACTCGAGCACTGTTTGAAAGATATTGTCTTAACGTCTGGCCCACCCATTGGTCTGGCTCAAGGCGGTTTTCGGTTGGCTCGAAGATCCCTGGATCAAGCCCTTTGCTTAGCTGACATATGCAACATTCTGCGACGACACTATGACACTTCCCCAGTGCTTGCATTCCTGGATATAAAATCGGCATACGATACTGTAGACCGCCAGGTTATTTGGAATAGCCTACGTACCTCTGACATACCACTCCCCCTTCAACATCTGCTACAACACCTTTTTGACGAGGTACAAATTGAAGTCATCCTGCATAATGCCAAATCAGCCCGATTCCACCCCACCACTGGTGTCCTGCAAGGTTCCGTCCTATCTCCTTTACTCTACTCATACTACATCAATGAGCTACCAGCTATCCTACGCTCACCGCCTACGACCCCCCACATCAGTCTGTGATCCCATATCCTATGTCCTCAACCGTCTTCCTACACATCCGATCAACAACCCATCCCAAATACAACACTGGCATTTTCTATGGCCAGCACTTTGTCACATTTTGTTTGAACTCGACTACTTACACCACTCTCAAGAGCCGCCTACAACTCCTCGGTTAGGGCACCTATTGCTCGACTGGTTACCCTCTTCCCCTCCCACAATCCTTTAGTACATAATCCTTTTTACCCTTGAGCCCTAAGGGGTTTTTAGTTTCTTTTAAGCCTTTGGAGCTGCCCCGGGCAATTTAGATAAGCTTAATATCTCGTGTCCATTGGGCTTTAAAAAATTAATATTATGTAATAAAATCTCTGTTTAAACGTAATAGCGGAGCTCTCTTCCGTGTATTTTGTTTTTCAACTAAATCCACCAATCAAATCGCGACATACCCTTCCTAACCCGTAACCACTTTTGCCAACACCATCTCAACCCATTTGACAATGAGTGTTGCATCCTCATCTTCTGAGGCTACCTGGGCAACTGTAACTGCTCGGAAAAGCGCCAGCCGTATCCCGGCGCCATTAAAAAAGGTTCATGATGGCCAACGTGAACATTTCGTTGCTAAGCTGCTTTACGAGGCACCTGACGTGGCTGCTTATTTGCGTTCACAACAAATCACGTCGATCGTCCACTCAACTCTTACGAGTGGGTCGGCTATCTTCAAGTTTCCTTCTAAAATTTTTGATCATTATACCGACGCGTATAGATTGATCACTGATCAGCTTGGCCCTGTCCTTGGGGGATTTAATCCTATCTCTTTACGTAGTACACGTCCCCTTTCCGATTTAATTATTGCAACAAAGTTCAAGTCCGATGATGCCAACACCAAAGCCATTTCGCATGGCGTAACTGTTGAGCATGTCACCTACAAAGCCAGCCGCTTCGTAGATAAGGTTGATACCACTTTCACGCGTGTCAACCTCACCCTCTTTCAATTTGAGGATGAAGCAACCTTGATAAGTAAGCTTAAGAAATCTATGGCCATTTATGGCAAGGTGTGCCAGATCAAGATGCTTACCAATCGAGGTTTCTTTGAGGGCGAACTTTCCATCTTGCTTGACACCAGCGGTAGAGATGACGATGACCCTTCCCCCGTACAACCATTGGACCGTAAACTGTTCTTGTCTGAATGGGATACGTTAGCCCCTGCCAGCTGGAAAGGCGCACCTCCTGTCTGCTACTACTGTCGCCAAGCCGGGCACGTTCGTAAAGACTGTCCTGCTTTGCAAAATTTGACCTGCTATAAATGTCATCGCAAGGGTCATATTCGCCGAAATTGCCGCATGGCAGACGTCCCCGTTCCTGTTTTAAACGTTAATGAGCAAAGTGATACTGACGCCATTGCCGAATATGAAGTACTGAGTGAACTCACCCATAAAGAACGCCCCACCGATAGCCCTACACATTCCTCTACCATCAATGATGAGTCTGGCCTTATCATCCCGAAAAAGGCAAAACGATATGCTACCCGATCAACGACCGCTAAGGCTTCTGTAGATCATACTTTGTCTCCATTCAATACACCCACTGGTACTGCCGGCTCAAAATATGCCAGTATCACTGTTGCTGCCAGTATGGCTCTGGACGAGCCTGCAACACCTGCGCCTTCCGATGCCAACACTAGTTCGGCAACTACACCCCTTTATAGTCGTTTAACTCCTGCTCACACCGATGATATGGATCTGATAATAGATGCGGATACCACTCCTCCCAACATAGTCATGACCGCCCAGGAGGGCAATGAATAATCGACCAATACGCGTCGCATCCTTAAATGCTCGCAGCATTTTCAAGGATGCTAACAAATATACCCAGAAACAATATATATCCCATTTACGTTCCCCTGCTTTGTCTGTTGACATTTTATGTCTCCAAGAAGTATCCGCATATCATTCACAAGACCACCTCACAATCGATCAAATCAAATATTTCCATTCCTTCCTCTTTCCCCAGTGTGCAATCCTACTCTCTAAGTATTGTGCCATTATCTGTTTAAACCCGACGTTATTGTTAACAGATGAAATTGTCACTTTCGATGAACGCTGTTTACAAGCGACCATCATCGATACAGTTACCCGTAATTTTATATGCTCTATCACTAATATTTACGTTCCAGCAACTACCCATGATAGAATGCCTTTCCTCGCCTCCTTGATGTCACAACCGTTTTTTACAAAGGAGGCTCCAGATGTCAGCTTTATTGTTGGCGATTTTAATATGTCGCTAGCTTCTCTATCAACCACTTCAACCAATCCTAGTTTTCATGAATGGTATCGTCACCTCACTCACTATTATGATAACTGCTTCTCTGCAAGCATTCCTACTTTCCAGCTGGGTGTCACTCGCAGTACCATCGATTATTTCTTCTGTCACCGAAGTATTACCGTACGAGTCCTTAACAGAACTCAACGGTACCTACCTAGCGCTTGGACAGACCATGTCCTCATGATGGCTGACCTGTCACCCGATCGTTTGGACGTAGGACCCGGGGTATGGCGCTTCAACCCTTTGCTGCTGTCTAACGATATATTTGTGGATTTATTAAAGACTGCCCTCATTGAGTTCTTTGAAGTCCGTAATAATATCACCTCCAACCCACAAAGTACCTGGGAGGCTCTAAAACATTTATTAAAACACATTGCAGATCTATTCTCCCATGGATCTACTGCTAAAAGGCAGACAACCATTGCCGAACTTCAACACCAACGGGAAGCCCTGCTTTCCTTAAATAAGCCAGCATTCAATATAACCAACAGACAAGTGTCGCTTATTGAACAGAAACTAGACAAATTGCAGGAAGAATCCGCGCAGCAACATCTTTTACGGTCAGCCACTCGATGGCATGAGAAAGGAGAGCGCAATAATAGATACTTTTACAGGGTTATCAAAGAAAGACAAGCACAACGAACGATTCAATCTTTAAAAAGTGGTCAAGATGGCCCTGTCTTAACTAGTACTAATGCTATCCTTGAGGAAGCTCATATGTTCTATAGCAACCTTTATCGCCCTGAGCCTATCGACCTGTCGGCAGTTCAAACGTTACTCGATAATGTTCCGCAGGCGATTGGTCTTACAAACGCTCAACAGAATGATCTTACAGCATCGCCCACGTCAGAAGAACTAATTTCTATAGTTAACCACTTGCCCTCACAAAAAAGTCCTGGTTTAGATGGCATACCGTATGAGGTTTACCGCCATCTGCTTTCCTGGAACATTCCGGGCTTTAAGCAACTCTTCCTTCAAGTGTATGCTGACGCCTTTGAAAATATTTTCCCAGCCACCTGGAAACAAACACGGATGGTCTTACTGTACAAAAAGGGAGACCCTGAACTCTTACAGAACTGGCTCTATCGATGATCAACACTGATGCGAAGATTTTCACAAAACTATTAGCTAATAGGTTCAATGTCGTTTTACCACAGCTGATTAATCGCTATCAGACTGGCTTTTTACCGCACCGACTAATCTCGGATAATGGGTGGGTTAACCAAATACTAATGTCACATTATAGCCATTGTGGTATGTCTCACCCTGCTGTTGCTGTCCTCCTTGATCAAGAAAAAGCATATGACCGAGTACATCCTACCTACCTTCAGATGGTTATGAAGCATTTCGGCTTTCCTGCTTCCCTCGTATCTTGTTTATCTAGCCTATTTTTTGACACAGAAATATCCCTTAACATCAATGGATGGTTAAGTGCTCCCGTTCGCCAACAACGTGGCCTTCGGCAGGGAGACCCCTTATCACCACTGTTGTTCAATTTAGCTTTCGAACCCTTACTACGTACCATTTTGTCGAGCCCTGACATCAAGGGCGTTTCACTGCTCTCAACCTCCGCCTCCTCTAGTCGATATGGACAACTTCTAGCTCGCAGTCTGAGTGTCCGTTTTGAACCACAGCCTTTGTTTGACTGGCAAAACCCCCCCTCGTTTCAAATTATTGAGCTATGCGGATGATTTAGAGGTTTTCTTGACCACACCTACGGAATGGCGTGTCTTGAAAGACCTCCTTACAGTTTATGGTAACGCTAGTAATGCCCGTGTCAATTTGACAAAAACAGAAATTGTTTCCCTCTCTGGACATCCGCATACGGCATGGCTCCATATTGCTAATCAGGAATCTGTAACCTTTCATACAGCTGAAAGTCCATCTGCTGCCAAATATCTTGGCTATCCTCTCTTCTCAACCAATGCTCAACTAAAACACTATCTAGCTTCCCTTGAACTGAAAATAGTCCGTCACTGTAACCTCCTGAAACAACGGGGATTGTCTGTCCGAGGTGCCTCACTAGTTGCTAATTCCTTGATACTTAGTAAGTTATGGCATCTCCTGCGTGTTGTAGTTGTTCCGGTGGACTGGCTTGATAAGCTTCGTAGCATTGTCCGGTCTTTTGTGGTTCCTTTCTGGCCTGCTCCATCGTGGGAGCGCTTGTGCTCACCTAAACGTTTTGGTGGTTTAGGCTTAGTGGATCTGCACCGACAACAATTAGCTCTTCATCTTGTGTATGTTCAGCGCCTTCTACAGCCCCCTTCATCAACCGATTTTGTCTCCCCATTACTGGCACATTGTATCCAAGTGTACACCGGTCAGTTGTCCTTACTACCATGGATTTTATCGACTGCCACTAATCGTTCATCATTTCGCTTCCTTCCGAATATGATCCACCTATGTTCTCTGCTGATGAAACTTCCTTCATCATCTCTTTCCTCCTCATGGCATGGCCGCTGGATTGCTGATTTGCCCCTTCGTAGTGCCTTACAGCGTTCCCCCTCGTTTGTAGGCCCCTTACCCGTGGATCTCAATAGCCTCCCACGGCATTTAATCGTCTCTACTGTTCTCCTTTGGTCTTCGATAACTAACTGCTTCTACACGCTAGGGTATACGTATTTTCAGGACTATCCGAAACTGAAAAGGATACCTAGTTTACTTTCCCAAGGTGTAATACAATGGCTTCCTTTTATTCAGAACCGATTGATTGACGTCCGGGCCCCTCCTCCGGCTGCTGCTCCTACGCCCACTTCACGATGGCCTAATGTATCTTACAGCTCCTTATGGTTGCCTGATATGTCCCAGTGGTGTGTACTTTCTGGTTCTCAGAACAATACCACCATATTAAAGCTTTCGCTTGGTATGCTACGGCTATACTGGCATCCTGATTATTCCGTTTTTAGTGACCCTCCTCGGATTCCTCAAGTGTTTCCTTTATGTTATCGGCCTCCGGCTCAATGGAAACGGTTCTGGTCACTCTCAATCCCTCATGCAGTGCTAACTCCATGGTGGCGTTTATGGCATAATTGCATTGGTTACAGAGCTTGGCTGTTTTCCATCAATCCTGTCATAGCTGACTCCCCTCTTTGCCGCCATTGCAGAGACTCCCCTGAGGATGGTTTTCATTTTTTCGTTGGTTGTCCACCTAAATGGCAATTTTGGATCACGGCACTGGAGGAAAATAGAATTAAATCTTTTCATGCCACACCTACTGGCATTTGGCATATATTGTTAACACTTTGTTCCCCGTTAGATAATTATCCTCTGCCTGACCACACAATCGTTCAGGTTAGTTTGATACTTTTAAGTATCTGGAAATATCATTGGCGCTGCCATTTTGATCGCATCTCTTGGTCCCTAGCAGGAGTTCGTACCGTCTACCAAGACGAGGTTCGATTCAGAACACTCAATACGAGCTCGTAGTATATTTAATGGTTTCTTTGTCGTAGTTTTTATGTATGCCTTTTCTTCACTTCTTTTATTGCCACTTATCAAAATATAATTTATTGTCCGTTGTTAGTCACTTTTAATAAAGTACGTGAATTAAATACAAAAAAAATAAAAAATAACAGAATCATGATTATTGATGATATAATTCCAGGCTTTTATTATGTCGAACTGGGCAGGCACTCTCTGGAATGTAAAAAGTCGTTAGCCATGAATGCAATTGTCATAAATCGAAGTAAATAAAAGCAGCACGATTAATGCGCGTAACTGCTAGAAAACCAGTCTGTTCGGTAAATTACAAGTTTTCATGAGTAAGCATTTCTTTCCTAAGTGTATTCGAAGTCTATAGAAAGAAAATTGTAAGTCAGTGAAGATGCCTCGTGAAGGTGCTCTTTCGCATTTACCTCAACGTCAATCAAATTCTCAACTATTGTTAATGCAAATAAGAATGTGGTGCCAGGCCCACGACTAGTGATGACATTCTCGTCAACTACGACACGGTCCTCTGAATAGTTGTACACTATTGCACTAAATGTTAGTTACTTGTAATTCAATTAGCAAACGTGTATGCGAGACAAGCTGTACCGTTAACCAATTGTTCTCTAACGCCTGCGGGATACGAAGTTACTTTATGCTTATGAGGAACACCTGCAGCTTTGGCGACAAGAGTGCCGGCACAAACAAATGCAATAATCTTCTTCTTTTCATAAAATTCCATCACTAATTTTTGAATCGTCTCATGTTCAGCTAATGTCTTTGCGCCACCTGCACCTCCAGGAACGATGAGGGCATCATAATCTTCCTGTCATAAAACAAGGCGGCAATTATCGTAAATAAATGATAAATGCTCATCGTTTAACCGTGTAAGATTTATCAACATACTGCTTTAAAAGTATTTCGTTCAAGTTTAACATCAGGAATAATCTTTACGCCTCTGCTGCAGGTAGCGTAGTCGTTCTTCAGACTGACACCAACAACAGTGACGTTTATTTTGGCGCGACGAAGAACGTCCACTGTCAAGATGATGAAAGGAATTTAGTTGAATGTTCCTCTTTCAAAGCATTTGAACGGTGCTTGCCTGAAATAGTAAATTCCATTTCTTCAGCCCCGTCGGCTAAAAAGACAATAGCTTTCTTTTGAGTACTCATTGCGTTCAAATGAATGGTGTATACGAGAAAAAAAAAGTTGCAGGAAGAAAAATAACGGAAGCGATTTGACGTATACAGTATCCTAACTTTTTTTTATTTTTTTTGGAAATAAAAATTTGAAATCGTCCAATGAAATGCGCCCATTTCTGCCGAAAATTCTCCAAATAGGGTAGGTGCGAGTTAATCAAACTGTAGAATTTGCAGGAACTTTCTAGTATTATTAACTCGATAGTTGTAAATACTACCTCAGGCCAACACAGTTGCTTTACCATCAAAGTTTGTCTTTTTTGTATACTCTAAACCATTCAATATGCAACCTATGCTCAATCAAACCACTTCATCTAAGCGACGTTTAATCAAAGAGACTGAAGAAGAAGAGCTTGAAGTCGAATTGGAAGCTTCTACTTCAAATACAACTATCCCTACGAGCTCATACTCTGCTCAAGCTGGCTCACAGATTATAGTAACTGAATTTGATCTTGCAAAGGAAGCCCTATTTAAAAGAGTCCGTGCTAGCACAGCTATGATTTACAGAATGCCTTTAGAACATTGGAAGGTACCAATCAATTAAAACTTTGTATTAACTATGCAAGTTTTTCTAAATTCACTTTATTTCAAGGATTTTTGTGAAAAGAATCGTGTCAGATACCCTGTTGATCCTCTCTACCCGTATACAGTTGGACCCACTGAATTCATCATAGTCTTTTTCAAAGAGTTCGTATTCAAGCGTACTTATCAGAAGAGCGTCTCAATTGAATCTGACGTTAGGACACAGGTTGGCTTGCAGACTGAGGAAAATGAGGGTAGCCGAATGACTTTGCTCCAAAGTATGTAGCATTATAGAACACGAATATATGTGATTAGACTCAATTAACATTATCTTAATAGTGGCCAGAAATGCTCCAGTAAGCAGGAATGGTCGAAAGAAACTAATAGAAGTTCCTATCGGCATAGAAGCTGTCAATCAGTATAAGAAAGCCTTGATATATCTATATGGTTTTCAATCTGAACATCGAAGACTGGAGTGGCCATCTCCCAACAAGACAAAGCAAATAACTGATCTGATAAAGAAGTATGAAAATAATTTGATTTACGATCAAGTGCAAACCAACGTGGATAGAGCTGCCCATTGTGTTATCCGTGACTCATACAAATCCGGCGAATTTATTAGAATCTTGAAAAGCTTATGGGTCTCTGAAAGCCAAACAGCCTTGCGTGAGATGTTCTGCATTTCGTTGCGCCACCATATGCTACTTCGGGATCAAGACCTCAGAAATTTAACCTTTGCTGACTGTTTCTGTACTATCATACCAAAGAAACAGCATAAGGGGATTCAACAGGCTGTAGCTTTGGTGTTTAGCTTAGACAAAGGCAAGACACTCAAAGAAGGAGAAGTAAAATTTGCTTGTGCAATGCGCCATGAAAACCTCTTCAGATGTCTTTTCAGTGCTTTTGCTTTTTTCATGTTTAGTTTGCTTCAGGTAACTCATTTGCCCACAAGAGTTTAGTATCAAGTTAGAAGGAGCATTAATCCATTTCTTTTAAAGAACAACGGTGATTTCCTGAAGGAAGATAGGTGGCATAATTGGAAGGTTTTGCGTGGACGTGGCAAGCCCAGAGAAAAGTTTGGGTGGCGTTTCGCAATGGAAAACTGCAAAACAAGCGCTTTTAGATGAAACAATCCATACAACTAGAGTGACTCACGGTGGACGCCATGCTGGTGCAATGGAGGCTGAAGCTCTAGGTATGCCTATTGATTTAATCAAGCGTGGTGGAGGATGGAAGGATCGTCTTGGCCGATTGGAGACTCATTACCTCGGAAAACTTCCATCACAGTTCGCAAGAGGTATGGCCGACTTCTGGGATAAGCCTTTCGGATTAGCAAGAAACAGCGTATCACCGCCCATTGAACTGCAACGAATGATTTTCCCTTGGATTGAGTATTATTTTGGAGAAAACAACATTGAATGGATGGCTGTATGTGAGCGAGAAATGAAAGAAATTGACGAGAACGAAGATGAGGAGGATAACATGGCCAATGTAGAAATCCGTGAAAATTCATTGGAATTTGTAGAAGAGAATGGAATCATGGTGTCTCGAGAAAGACGAAGAAAGGGAAAGCAACGAGCAGTTCAGAGCAGCTTGGACACAGCAAAAAGAGATTTTTTACGACTTTTGATCAGATGTAGAAGGATAATTTTACAAGATGCAGCAGTATACATGTATTTGAACAAGGAGAATAAACTCGTCAACTCCAGAAGCAGTATCTTCTCAAATTACATATTCAAGCAGTTTCAAGAAGATGTTGTAGCTGCCGTAACCAGTCCTTCTGTTGGCAGATTAGAAGAGTACGAAAACCTTGTGCCAAGTCTTGTCGATACACATAGACAAGTAGCTAGTCGAGTAACGGAAGTCAATCATAGGATTGTACGCTTGCAACAGCAGCAAAATGACCGCTTTCAAAAGAATGAAAACAATTTTCAGCAATTTGTTGAACAAAGTAATCGTACCAACCCTACGTTGCTAAACACTACTCAACAGTTAGCACGAGACGTACGAATACTCATGATGCAACAACAGTGTTTGAATTCTCAAATGCAATTGCTTTTGGCTACCAACACTCCATTAAATACAAATATCAACAACGATATGCCTCAAGCATCTACCTTTTCTTCTGCTGTTCAACCACAATATACTCCCTTTCCTCCTCTCGCCGCTGAGCCTACACCTTCTGCTCAGCAACCTGTTACTATAAGCCCTGCCCCATCAGCAACAATCACCAATGCCAATACCAGTGGTTTATCTAGACCAAGGTAAAAAAAGAAGACAAAATGGATTAACTACGAGCCAAGCAGCTCCAAATAATCTCATGAATAATATGTACATTTATACCTATGTAACCATTATATATACATATCTTGCAATAAACACATGTATTACGCATCATTGAAACAAAAAAAGCCTTACTCAGTCTGCCAAAAATAAAGTATTATATAGTAAAAGATAGGAATATAAATGGTGGTATCAAAAAGCCTAAAAGTATATCGTATAGATAGTCATGCAAGATAGTTATTGTTGGTCTCTAAGGTCCAACAAGACGCCAAACGATCATCTGAGGTCAAAGCCAATGATGATTTTTTTTTTCTGGCCCTGCGGGGCACTCAGTATATGATTTCCAGTATTTGCGTGATTTTATCCAAAAATGGAAGGATTACTATAAGTAGTAGTTTTTCAACTACTCAAGCCTATAGGCAAGGCATTTATTTTATTGGCTGTCCTTTTTAGGAACAGTTTAGTTTTTATACCGTTACGTTTAAAATAGATTTTATTGACAAAATATTTTTAAACCCAATGGGCACAGATAAACTACATATCAAAATTGCCCTGGGCAGAACAAAAAATGGAATAAGAATTAAAAAACCCTTGAAGGTGCAAGGGGAAAAAAAGGCAGTGGTTCTTGAAGCAGACTAGGAGATAATGGGACCCTCAAGTATTGGTGGTTGTGGGCGCATAGAGCCAATCTAGGAAAAGCTGTCCTAATGTTTCTGACGGGGTGGGAGGCATTTTCTCATGTTGAAGGTAATCGACTTCAAAAAGTAGCAGTTGGACAATTGGCCAGACTATGCTCCAGTTGACGGGAGCATTGGCGCGCTGTTTTATTGGTCGGTGTAAATCTCATCAATTTGGATTATAGTGGACTAAGTTAAGTAGCGAGACTATAAAAAGATATTGAATTGTCTTTATTTCGAGTTAATGTTTGGGTCTCTTTTATATCTTTTGGAATAAGTAATTTGTTTTTGAGAAAGGCATGTCTGAGACTTTGTAAATAATTATGGGCAGATAGGAAAATACATGTAATGTTGTTTAGGTGAATAGTTACATATATTTGACCTAGGTAATTATAGAGGACATCACAGTCGGGTTGGAAGCTGGTTCAACAGGTGAGAAATGGGATCAGAGATGTCGTGTGGCAGCTGTAGACGGTTGTGCATATTGAGTCATTCGATGGCATGGTCTTTCGTGAGAGTGCGTGATGGGTAATGCAGGCAATGGGCGGAATAGTTGTTTGGAAGCCAGTTTTATACCGTTACAGTTTTTTAGCTTTGGGTTTAGACGAAGCCGCAATATAACTAGACGAAAAAAGTAAATTTTTGAGATCATTAAGTTATAGTTTCAAGATCAAACTACACAAAATTGAGACGCTTACCTGTAAAAATCAAACCATCTTCGTGCTGGCGATTAGAGGATGGTGTTAAGTGGTTGTTGCGGGTGATTTTGGTTTTCTAGAAAACTCCACAGGTCTTCCCGTTGACTTCCAGATCGAAACGCTAATTGCCAACATGTTTTTAGCAGCGTTGACGTCCCGGTTCCAAAGTATCGAACAAGTTTTGCAGGCAAGGATACTTTGGCCGGGAACAGTCTTCAATGCTCCAAGATTGTTGGAACGACAATTATTGCATATTCGAGAGGTTTTGTATTCATCAATTGTTATCGTCAGTAAATCGCCAGCAGCCTCTCTTCGCTTCAAGGCAGGCCAAAGAACTCCCACGACACCAGTCTTATGGCCTTTGATGGGCACTGCACTCTTCCCGAACATGCCATTACCAACTACAATCAAAGGGATCTTTTTAGTGTCGCCTACACTAAAGGGTTCAGGCTTCCACTTGTTCTTCAGGGGATTACTGTAGAAAGCATGAGTTCTATCAATATTTCTGCGAATAGTGGATGAATTGCTTATCATTTAAAAACCTTACCTATCTTTCTTAGCGAGAACATCGCTTACTTCTCTCGCATCTGCTTCTTCCTTCTCTTCTGGAACCTTTTGCTTCTTCTTCTTCTTCTTTTTACGTTTACAAAAGGCCATTCTGTCGGTATTCTTCTTTGGCCACTTGCTTCGATCTTTCTTCTTCTTCAACCTCAATTGCTTATTGTACTTTGTGGTTCCATTAATAAGCAAATTGACCATGTTGTTGGCAGCACGCTCCTGACCCTGGTATAAACGAAATCTGTCTTCAGCAGTTCCCTCGCCGTAAAAAGAGAACAAGGCTTCGAAGTGCTGCAATATATATTGTACATGACGGTCATGTTGTTCGATGATAGAAGTTTTGGCGGTTGGTATGCCACTTTCGATCATTTTAATTGTGCCTGCTTTCTTCTTTTCCAGCTTTGCAGCGTATCTGATACTTCCGGTCATATGATAATATTCCTTGGTAGAGCAGCTGCGTACTTGATGTTTGTTATGATCTAGACCGATTGCCGCTGTGAAGACAGATCTTCGCCCTGGATCAAGGAAAGCGGGTCTGTAATTGTCTTGTACTTCGTCATAAGAAAAATCTTCCAAAGTCAAGGTGTGATTATGAATGGTCATGTCTTCTTTTGTTTTCTTTTTGCGGCTGAACAAAAAGTCTACAGTAAAGCCGTCCGACCTAACCATGTTTCGAAACATTACATCAGAACTTTCCTTCAAAGCGGTTAGACTATGACAGAAGCAAAAATAGGGGTGTGTTTACTATTAGGCATAATTTTGCTGAAGAAGTTCTTCTATAGTTTTGCCTCTTAAAGCCAAACTTTTTGAAGTCGAAGACTTTACAGAATTGTTCGAGTTGGGCTGTATAACCCTTGGCAACTTTTCCGGGAAACATGAAGGGTGTAAGAGCGTTTATACTTATCGCGATGAAACGCCATTTCAGCGATGGAGTAGGAAAGGGAAAGAAACGCTGAGGAAGTGGTAGGACACGGACAACGTACGGCTTATGCTGTATATGTTCTTGCTCGTACGCAAACTGTATGTTCCATAACGCATCAACGAACTTTGCAGGAGCAGCAGAAAGAGAAACGAGGATTGCTTCTCCTGGAATGAACTTTTCAAATTGTTTGCAGAGTACTTCAATTCGGTTTTTGTCAACGGCCGCCAGCTCGAGGTTTTCTGGCCAATGAGGATGACCATGGCAGACAGATTGGTAACAATACAGCTGTACAATTCTTTGTACATCAGTGCGTTTGATATTCTAGAATGTGTATAAAGAGAAATAAAATGAATAAAACAGCAGAGCATTAAGAAGGTACTCGGTTACAGCCTTACCGGGAGCATAGTTCTCAATTTGTAAGTAAGGAACTTTGTTAAGCGCTGCTCGAAGCGCTCTACAATGGAGTTCGTGTAAGAGACACTCAATTCCTTTGCTGCCTCTGTAAGGCAATGGCTATATCCCACGGTCAGCTTGTGTTTTACTTCGATAGTAGGGAACTTTGCCTTGAAGTCTGTATAATACTGTTTTATGTTCTCGGATAATGCCGCTCTGTGAATAACTTGCTTGCCCGTTACTAGCTGACCTACTGAATACCAGAATTGCTGGCAGAATACATCAGGAATAGACCTGTCTTTGTTGGCTTCTTTACTGTCTTTCTTGCTGTCTTCTTTGTTGGCTTCTTTACTGCTTTTGTTACTGTTTTTATCAGTGTCTTTCTTGTCGCCTTTGTTTGCATTCCTTTTATTCTCCTGATAATGAATGAGGTACGAGTTAACGAATAATTGACTAGAGAATACTATTCTCCTTATGTCAGAGCAGCAAGAGATGATTTTTTCTTGGAATTGTTCGCGAAACGCAGGCTTCACAGCAGACGTAAGAGGGAGCTTCCTCGTGAATACAGTGGAGCCTTCTCCAAGCGTCGAGGTAATAACTTCTTCCTTTGAAGCAATGTGATTGGGACATTCGAGAGAACGAGAAGTAGAATGACCCTTTAAGCCACAACTGATACACTTGATATCTCCAGTTGTTTGCTTTTTCTTTCTCTTTGCTTGCTTCTTTTCTTCCTTGACTGTAGCTGATTGCTTACGTTTCTTACCGCTACTTCCAACTAAATTTACGTTAAGCAAACATAAACTTGTTTTGCAGTGAGAGCATGATACTTACCATCAGCCGCAGAAACTGCTTTGTAAAACTTGCATTCATGGTATGCCTTGTTGAAATGTCCGCGTGCTTTGCAATCCTTGCACTCGATGCTTACTAGTCATACGAAACATGAATTGAGGATTACCACTATAACTTATTTGTGGCAGCGCGCTCATGTGTTACTTACAGAAGGACTCATCTTTGACTTTATTCTTATGGGCTTCTGCCACCGATTTGATTTTTTGCAAGATTTTGGCTTTGTACATGGTGAGTAGTAGCTATCAGGATGAAGAAAGAAAGTATGAAAGAAGTATAACAAGAAGAAGATGGAAATCAAACGAAAGATGTCAAAGTTATCTTCTGTAAATTCTTTGAATTTGACAACATTTATTTTTTATTACGATTGACAACAACAACCGTTATCTACGTGGCGGAAGAACGTGCCTGGGATCAGTTTAACGCGTAGTTCAATTCATATGGTCCATAAATAAAGTCTCGTAAACCACAACCCTGTATCTATTGCTCATAAGACCTGTGTCACACTAAAATACTCAATAAGTCTCGTAGTACTTTAACGTAATGCCACTATCAATTGAAAAATGTCCACTGACCTTCAAAATAATGTCTCCAATTATTTATTCAATAAATTGTCCAAGAATATTATACCATTTCATCCTAAAGTAATTCAAAATTATCTAAATTAAATATATATATTGTCCAATAAAATTTGTATAAAGTATAAAGTTGAAGCTAAAACACTGTAATCCTCTACCGTTTCTTCTTCCAAAGAAAAAAATCGCATTGATACTCTTGATACTCATCTGGTGGTGCACCTTCAGGCCCTTTTGGTTTTGAGCAGATGTAAAAGACGCGGCCTAAATTAGGGCCTTTTTTTGTCACTGTTCTTTCGAGACAAGGCAAGCCATGGCCTTTACATTTAGGTATTTCTGGCGTTTGGAAAATAGATGTCCATGCTTTTTTTGTTGTATCCTCATTGGGTGGTATAAATGTAAAGGTATCCAAACGCCTGCTATGGTCACTATCGCTTTGAGAATCGCTTCTGTTCACCGGTATTGTTGTGGCAGCAATATTCGTTTCCGCTGTTGCTTGTGGGCTTTTCTGTGGTGACGTCGGCTTCTTTTGAAAAAACAAATCGATTCTCTTGTTGTTCTTAATAGTCCTGCTGTTAGTGGGTGATGAACTTTTCTCAGATGCTTTGAATCGTTTAAGCCGAGAAGAGTCTGGGTTAATAGGAGAAGAGCTTTCTATACTTCGCTTTTGGCTGTTAACAATCGATGAACCGGTTACAGTAGACGGGAAGGCAACATCAGTTGTAGAAGTAACAGTAGCAATGGCAGCAATGTTAGAAGCAGCAGGTTTGTTACCCGTCGAAAAGTAATTAAATAATTTCTCTTGATGTCTAAATTCAGCAAAATTCATTGATAGTAAAGGTGATCCGTTATTTACTTTATATTGCTTTTCATCGTTTAAGACTTCGGGGATAGGAGCAAAATCTGCGTACACTGGACAATGATCTGATCCCATAATATCGGCTTGAATATCAGAATATTTGAAATGTTTTTTCATGCCTTCAGATGTAAGTATATAATCTATTCGTGTGCCTATGAATTCACATGGAGTAAAACCGTTCTTTCATCAGTTGGGTGCTTTTTTCTACTAAGTGCAATCTCAATTTTACCGAAATTGCTTGGTCTAGAATTGAGTCTCGTGTTCCAGCACGTAAACATTTTTTGCCGTTGGGGATGAAAATAACGCGTCATATCAATCAATGGTCCTTTTGGAGCAATCATATTGTCTATCCACCTTCTATGTGGTAAGTCCTTAAAGTCATCTATACCATGTTCCTTCATACTTTGCTTTGGATCGCAGTGATCAATTTCTTCATGAACAGCATTAATATCTCCTACAAGAATTACTTGCTTCCCTTGCTGTAGATATATATCTATTCGCTTCTGTACACAGCGGTGATAGTCCATCTTAAACTCTGATCTTGTCTCATCTGACTCGTGAGGAAAATACACATTGAACAGAATGAAATAACCGAAATCCAATATGATGCATCGTCCTTCTGCATCAAGTTGATGAGCAGGTGTATTGAAGTTATAATCAAATGCATCGTCATGGTGTTGTTTTTTAGTGTCCAATATACCAGTGATGCCTTCATAGACATGGTAAGGTTGAATCATTGTATCCTCTTTAACATATACGACCACTCCTGAGTAGCCCAATTTTGCTTTGGAAAATGAGAAATAAGCTTGATAACCGGGAACAAGGGCCATTTCTCTCGGCACTTTCTTTCTGGAACATTTTACTTCCTGAAAACTAAGTTTACAACATCTATTAGATCGATATTTTTAAACTATAGCACGAATATGAAAACCGAGACTACTTTTTCCTTTACCAGAGTATGTCTGAATTGAGCGTGTCTAAAAGAACCTTTTTATTTTCTTGATGGTGTCAGTAAAATATTCAATGTTATAAAGCATATCTGGATTAAAAAAAAAAAAACTCTTACCTTGTAAGACTTTGTTTCTGACCAAGGATAATACTGCAATGTGGTGATGAGACCATTAACATTCCATGTTAAAATCCTCATTTGCTTATAAAAAAGTTCTAAATACAAAGTAGAAGCGACGATTAATGCAGCTGCTGCGCTGTTAATTTTCTTTTGATATTTGATTGACGAAAATCCGCTTAGTTGAGCTAATGAAATCATCTTGTTACGTTTCAGAGGCAGAATGCCAAAGACAGAAGAAGTGAGGATAGTATAGATGATTATGTACCGGAAAGAATGTTTTAGCCGTATGTCAAGGTCATGAAATATGCTTGAGACATAAGGACGACGTAAGAAGCACTTAGAAACCAAGCAGAAATGTTATTGCATCAATGATATTCTTAAGAACTGCCCTTACAAACCTGATGCTACAATATTCGAAAAAAACAAATTATTGCAAAAGCATATAAAGAAGAGTGATGGAACCAACAATATATAACCAAAAAATGTAAACTAAATAACAATGTATGAATAAAACGTTTTTGAATAATGAAATAAAGATAGTATGCCATTGCAGCAAATTCTAAGTGAAAGAACCAAAAGCATTGAGTTCACCTTATTGGGAAAGAGCTTTGTAAAGAGATCACGAAATGAATAGATGTCAGGCAGTTAATAAGGAAACGAAGGCTATTTTATTCAGCACATCAAACAATCTTCATCCAACAAGTGGAGTAAAGAGTTTGCTACCATCACCAAAAGAGAAGACCTTATCACAATACCAAACCCAGAAACATGACCCAGGATATTTTTTGGTTCCTAAGGCCGTCATGATTCAAATCAAATGTGCCTATATCAATGACACAATATCGTATATGCAATGATCGTGATTTTTCAGTAGGCACAAATGTAAAGACAATTATGGATCAAAGCACTCTATAATAATTGAAACAGCAAGCCAACGAAGACTACGCGAACAAAAGCAAAATTGACATTTTCAGTGTTGTATAGCTCTATTTTTCGAAAACAACGGAAGTTTTTTGTTTATTTGTTTCAAACTTGAACAACAATAAAGCCTCCTTGCAATGCAATATAAGTTTAGCTTTATACAGTTTTATGCGTCTAAACTTGTACCTTTACTTCTTAAGCAACTTGAAATGATTCGTTGATAGCTATTACAACGAATCGTTTGATGAATTGATGCAGAGTGGTTGAAGAGCAGCCAATTTTCAAAAAAGAATTCAAACCAATATTCAATGATCTAATCTAGGTTGTATACAATATATCATAAGATAGAGGCCAAGATATTATCATTGTACATGGAGCGTATAACCCTGAAATTTGTGATTTGAAAACACACGTTTTCACAATAATATAATTCCCACTGGTCCTTATATAGGACATTAGTCTTTTTACCTCATCTAAAGAGTAGTGAAGACAATACGTTCATAGTCGTCGACTTATAACAGTTGTCATTTTATCAGCGTAAACAAACATTTCAGGTATTTGGGAATTGACACAGTTTTTGATATAGTAACGACGTTTTACCTTCAAGGTCTAGTTAGAACAGCAGGGATCACTCTATAGTAAGAATATTAATAATTGAAGTTTTATAGGCATTATTCATCCAATCTTTCATACGAGTTTTCTCAAATGAACATTACTTAGACCGCTCTTCATCTTTCCTACGGTTTATCGTTCATGTGTGTAAGCTTCCCTAGGAATTTTTTCTTTGTCCATACCTTTCTAAAAGCTGCCAGATACAGCTGCTTCAATTGCCTCCTTTGCCTATGAAATTGTCATCAAATTTGCTGTGTAAAAATGCATATCTTTTGTGGTTGTGGCAACAATATGTTAGGTTCAAGGTTGTGCCTTGTTTAGAGCTGTAACAAATTACATACTCGTAATGGAGTCGAAGCATAGAGATTATTTAGAACATTTGCACAAGTGCAAGCGAACTATTCCACCTTTGAAACAATTAAACATTTTCATATCCTCAATATGCGAGACTGTGCCGTGGGTGTCACTATAGCAAGCTTTGTCAAAATTTGATGAACTTCAAGTAGTAAACGCAGTTGTGGCGCACATGCAAGCGAGATAACGCCTCTAAAATAGGCGGTTGTTCCCAGAATATTTTTGCCGATTATCCACAACAGCGTTTATGTATATAAATGTCATGCTGATGCTATTTTGCTAAAAACTCTCAGCCAAAGGATTTAGAGAGGATGATTTTCAAAAAATGCTTGCTAGTATAATAAATAAGAGTAGACTACTAAAACTGAAACATGAAAACGATGCGAATTTGTGAACAACTCATATTGGAAAGTATTTCAGATATATTTGTTATTTTTTTTTATAAGTACTCTTTCTCTATGTTTTTGTAATCTCTACTTGTTATTGTTTCCTTCCACATTCTTGTAGTTTTAATATTTGCATACACAATGTCAAAAGGAAACAAGAGCCAACTACTACAAACTATTGAATCCCTTAGTTATACAAAGTTGGAAAAATACCATCACTTGAATGGAAATACGCCCATGTACAAGTATGTGCTAGTAACCAATTTACTACGCGATTCTCTCATTCAGGCGCTCAAAAGACAGTTATTAACAGCCGAGCCTCAAGAATTAGAACAGAAATGGTTCGACAATTGCTTCGATGAATTGCAACAAGAACAATTGGAGAAAGAAGACAGTGTTGTTAATGACAATGAACAAAACGATGAAGACAAACGTAGTATTATTCGTTGCGAAAAAAACGCAGCCGAGGGTATTACTATATTACTCACCTCAAAGCAAGAGCTACTACCATTGGCATTTCCTAGAAGAAAAAGTAGAAAAAGGAAGAGCATAACAGGAATAGTATGCACAGTAAACAACAATGAACACACGATAGAAAGTAGGGATATTGGTCTATTCAACTGTTGTAGTAACATTGGCCTCAGCAATAATAGCATGTCAATGCAAAAACTGTTACGGTTTATCGGGGCTATATAGTGTTAAAGACATTGATGGCTACCAACTGAGGCATACTGTTAAAAAAATCTTTCTTCTTTTTACTCATTTTTCTATATTTGTTTGTGTCGTAAAAAATAAAATCTTTTGCTGCAACAAAGAAATCTGGACAAGTGTCGTACGTTGAATGTATTGTTCGAGTTAACCAACAGTTGCATGTTATTTCACGTTTGCGAAAATTCTTGTTGTGTTCTGTTAGATTGGTATTGCTGGAAATCATTTTGTTGGGCAAAGTATGCCACCGGTGTACGGTGCTGCTGTAACTGTGGGCACCCAGCTAATACCGAATATATGAAAATAAACCTATACAAAAATTTAGATTCGAACGATTACATAACAGAAATTGATACATGTCGTTTAGTGTGTTTGCCTACGACAAGGAAGTTATCCAGCCTTTACCTTTAAAAGCACGTTAAGAGCAGGTCGTTTCTCTTTGGACTCGTTACTAATGGGCCCACAAGCATTGAACAAATTCTGTAATGTTGGATCTGTTCTATCCACTGCTTGATAGTAGACGTTAAATGTTAGTGTCAATGTTGAAATTGTTCCTGAAGCCAACTGAAACAAGCCAAAAGAAGAATCACTGTTTGCGGTAGTGGCGCTTTCAGGAGGGTACGATGACTTTGCAAATTTTGCCAGTGTTAAACTGTCCAACAAAACAAAATCTATTTTGGTAAAATGCGTAGGTATCCAATTATCTCTATTGTCTAATGTCACATTCAGTTGCCAGGTAGCTCTTAACGAAGGTCTGGCCGGTAATTCTGTCAATTCAGACGCTGCACTAGTAACATATTGTTGCTGACCACTCCACCAATCTGGTGGACCACTGATACTAACTGGACCTCCCTCTCCCATAGTTATGCGTGGTGTACGTGGCCAGCAAAAGAAGGCAGCTAAGGCGCCTAAAATGAAAAAGATAAAAAACATAAACACTGTAAGACGTTTATGCGATTTCCTCTTCTTCTTTTTGTTTGTTGCTGCTCGTTTTCGGCAATTACAGAGACAGTAGAAGCAACAACAGCAACTCTTTGTCACTTCAGCTTCCTCTTCGTCTGTTTTTTCATCAACAAAATTCGTTGTTATAGAACTACTACTAGCCGCCCTGAGAGAACTAATATTGTCGTTGTCTATAGCTGTTATCAAGACTTTTGGGGTGCAGTAATGCATCGCGGGAGTAGTGTTACTATGGTCTTCATCCTGCGAACTTTGATAATGGTTTCGTCCGCACCATTTTTCTCTTCGTTTCTTTTGACAAGAATAGATCTGGCAGTAGTTTTCCGGATGATAGTGCTGATGATGTTGATACCGGGTCGAAGAGACCGGGCTAAAAGAGTGGCATTTAGACGAAGAATAGGATGGGGTGCTTACGCTTTCAGAATCTCCGAGTAAGTCACCATTTTGCAGCTGATAATGAGAAGGAGACAGGTTCAAGGATATTGAACTAATAACTTGCATGTCCTCACGGTGTAACGAGCAACGACTGTATAGGTGACATTCATCTGTATGACTGCTATTATCAGTACCATAGCTATTGGTATGGTTTAGAGACTGTTGATAAGCATAACTTGAGCATCTCGTAGTGTCGTCTCTTTTATCGTTACTTCCTTCTTCATTATCTTCAATCTGTTTCTCACTAGGAATATTCATCCAACGGCCCGCATCTTCCCGTATAGTACCCATAACAGCTGGCGAGTTACCGTCATTACTGAGCTGTTCTTGCTGTTGTAAAAAGCTTGTAGATGACGAGGGGTCAACCGTTGTGACTAATAAGTTTAGTAGAAAATACAGATATGCTTTGTTCAGCTCATAATTTTTGATTTCCCTATTTTAGCTTGAAAGAATATGTACTACTACTATCGTTTATTGCTTTAGCTACCACAGAACGGCTCACATTTTTTGATGACATCTTGTCTTGGGCAGTTGCTAAGTAAGCAATTACAAGTAAAGAGCCAGAAAAGTATAAAAAAAGAAAGACAATAAGATATACAGAAAAAAGAGATAAACAAACTTGATTGCATCGAACTGTATTATTCTAACCCCTTTGACATCTGCCTTCTCCTGACGCCAAAATTGTTGATTGCAGTAATTTTACTTTAATTTTGGACTTTCCCTGAATACAGGCGCGTGATATACTTAGACAATGCAAAACGAACAAAGAGCAATACCTTCGTTTTTTATAAACATGTATCACTCTAATCAGTAAATGTTTTACCATTCAAGTGTTTTTAGATAATGGTTGGGATAGAAGACAGAATACCCCCCCGGACAAAGAGACGAAGTACTTGGCTATGTTATGCTCCTAATAGACAACTAGACAGAAATCTTTATGGTATTTTCTGATGTCAAGAGAGTTAGATGAAAACATTGTCTATAGTAGGCTTGTTCTTTGGCGAAGAGTTTAAAGCGTGTAATGGAGTAATTTGGCTTACCGGAGCTCGCGTGTTTTCGACAGTGACCGTGCTCTAGTGTTTCTTTTTGCTTCCAAGGAGAATCCTTTTAAATACGCGACTTATCTTCTCATATACATGAATAATGCATAGTGTAGAATTAAGTTACTTCCTGAAACTTGTGGAATAATATAGCGGCTGGAGTAAGCTTAGTAATTTGAAAAATTTACAGAGAGGAAAAGGAATCTAACAACCTTCCTTCGAAAGCCGACTTTTAGCTGCGATTACAGCATTCATAGAACTATATAATGCTGATCACTCCTTTTAAAATGCATGTAGTGTCTTTACGCTATACTATTTTGAGAAGAGTTCTGATATTGTACGAAACTGCTTTAAAAACGTCTATTTACACTCCGGGTGTTCCTTTTAAGCATTGCGTGATAACGCGCTTTTTTCTCGACTTTTTTGTAAAGTTTTTCCCATTGATAAAACCATTATGACTTCGGTTAAACCTTATGGCTCCTGGCCATCTCCAATTACACCTGAATCATTATCTGCAGGAGCTGCTGCCACTGATGTTTGCGTTGATAATGGCTTTGTGTACTGGTGTGAATCTGTCGCTCATGAACATGGAAGAGGACAGATCTTTAGACAGCTCATTCAACAAGCTGATTCTGTCGCCCCTGAACCTTTATTACCTATCGATTACGACTGTCGTACACGAGTGCATGAGTATGGCCTAGGCGCTTTCAAAGTCTCTAACGGTCTTCTTATCTTTTCGAATATGTCAGATAGCCGCTTATACAGTATGCAGCAACAACAAGACAAATTTGACATTCGACCACTGACAGCTCCTAACCCACTCTATCGCTATGCTGACTTTGCCATCGATAAGCAAAATCGCTTTTTAGTATGTGTTCGTGAGCAGCATTTTGACAATGAAGAACCCAAAGACGTTGTCAATGTGCTTGTATCAATCGACTTGAAGAGTGGGCTGGAAACAATCATAGCTCAAGGAGAGGATTTCTATGCCTTCCCTCGACTGTCTGGTCAAAATGATTTGGCTTATATTTGCTGGAGTCATCCCAATATGCCTTGGGATTTCACACGTTTATACTTCGCCAAAACTGAGTATAACAATGGATCTCTGATCCTGAAAGACACCGTTTGCGTTGCTGGTGATAAAATAGAAGAAAGTGTCTCTGTAGGGTTAATAATAGAAAGCTAGTTTGTCTATTTTTGGAGCTTCATTGACATTTTATTTTTTGTCTTTTCATAGCAACCAGAATTTGGTATTGATGATACGCTTTATTTTGCTTCAGATCGTTCTGGTTTCTGGAATCTGTATTCTTGGAAGCCTACTGTTGATAATGAGGTACATTTATTGTTGGATAAACCTCTCGAGCAAGAATTCGTAGGACCTGCTTGGAGATTCAACTCTTCAGCTTATACGCCTCTCAAATCCAACCCACACCAACTTATTGTCATCAACAAGACATCACTTGCCGTTTTAGATACTCAAGAAAAAAGCATGCGTGATCTAAAGTGTTCCTATGACCATTTCTCTGATCTTCGTATATATTTGGATGCGGAAAACGATAATGAATATATCATTAGTAATATGTCTTCGATCACTGAGCCTCGTGAATTAATCTCATACGACATCAGAAAGGAATGCATTCTGTTTACACATCAAAAGTCACCAGCCGCTCGCTTAGATCTTGAATATATTTCAGTAGGTCGAGAGATCAAATTTCCCACTACAGACGGACAATATGCCTACTGTTATTACTATGCACCGAAGAATCCTGAGTTTGAAAAAGACGCAGAAGGACTTCCCCCCTTGAGGGTGCTCTCTCACGGTGGTCCTACAGCAGCAACTGCGAACAGCTACAACCGGGCTATTCAATATTGGACAACGAGAGGTTTCGCTATTGCAGATGTCAATTATGGTGGCAGTACTAGTTATGGCCGCAATTATCGCAATAGATTACAATCGAAATGGGGCATCGTGGACGTGGATGACTGCTGCAACGCTGCACTCTATCTTGCTGATAAGGGTTTAGTAGACCGTAACAAATTAGCCATCGAGGGTGGTAGTGCTGGTGGCTATACTACACTAGCTTCGCTAGCCTTCCGTGATGTCTTTAAAGCTGGTTGCTGTCAATATGGTATCTCAGACCTCACATTGCTCGTGAAAGAGACACATAAATTTGAATCCAGATACCCTGACCGGCTCATTGGTGAATATCCAAAGGACAAACAGATTTATTATGAACGATCTCCTTTACATTCAGCGGAGAACATTCGTTGTCCAGTTATATTCTTTCAAGGTGCAGATGATAAGGTGGTTCCTCCCTCACAGGCGGAGGTTATGGTGAAAGCATTGAAGGAAAAGGGTGTACCTGTCGCTTATGTTCTCTACGAAGGCGAAGGCCATGGTTTCCGTCGTGCTGAAAATATTAAACGCACAATGGAATTGGAACAATGGTTCTACGGCCAGATATTTGGCTTCCCAGTTGGAAATATAGAAGGCGTAGAAATCTACAACTTCCATAAATAACGAATTGTAAATAGAAGAGGATCATGAGTTACAAATAATAAAAATGCTTCCTCTTTTCCTGATGGAGTTAAGAGCTGAACACCTTCCAATCACGGAGCACATTACAAGTTGCGGACATTTTGTGTTTATGTGTTCTTCACCGAGTCATGAAAATACACTTATATAGGTACTGAATTGTAACAGGCAGCAGATTTGAAGCTTAATATGTCCAACAGTTTTTTGGGCCAAGTAACATGCTGCCAAAAGTAGTTATGGCTGGCACTATCTTGTTTGCTACAAGTAAAGGCAACAACACAGTTATCAGCGTTTCGACCGTGCTATAACAAAAGCGTTGCGGATCCTTCTGTTGGACAATATCGGTAAGACTTTCTCCAAAACCAATCTATTTTAACAAGTAGCTTGCCTTGTATAATGTCAGTTTATGAAAATTACCAACAATCAAGCAACTGTAGCAATCATTCAGCTTGTAACAAAAAGCATGTATGTATCTCTAATGTCAACTCATGGCTTCACTGAAAATCAATCATAATCAAGGGAAAACCTCAAGCTCTTCATTTAAAATGTTAGTATTTAAATCACAAACTGCTGCTCTGCTTTCATCAGTCTAAGAGCCATCTATCTCTCCGTTGATAATATAGCATCATACAGCCAGCAAAAAAAGGTACCATAATATACTCACTCTATTTTGAATCTGAAACAAAAGATAACGAGCAGATTCGTGAAAGCTTGATAAAATCGCTGATTTATTCTTCAAGTATATAGTAGATAAATGGTATCAACTTTTACAATAAATTTTATTGTGTTGTGTGACAGACTACTTCGGCAAGAAGGTTCAAGAAAGCCGCTCTATGAGAAGAGAAAGCTTGAAGGGGTTGGGGGTGGGTGAGACGGAGGGGAATGAATGTGAGTTGTTAATATGCTCATAATGATAATTGGGATATATCAAAGGGATTTCGCTTAGTCTAAATCGTCGTATGCAGCAGCTGCACGCTTTCTTCTTTCATTCGTCTTTTTGCTTTTCTTTGTCTTGACTTTTTTATTACCGGTCTCAAATGCTATAGCATCCTTATGATTTCTACCAAGGTTATCATAATCTTTCACTTTGTAAATTCGAACAATCCAATTTTCTGATGTAAAAGCCTCTTCCACGACAGATAATTCAGGACCCTTCATAGGCAAAGGTTGATTACGGACACGGTCATAAGGTTGGCGGCCACCAAATAGTTCGCTGAAGCGGTAATAACTCATCTTGTACATCATTGAATTTCTCATAGCTGGAGAAGCTTGATCGTCTACACGATACTCACCCTGCGGAGTAAAGAAGTCTGCTTCTTTGATCTTCTCGGGCCAAATACCTTGTGCAATACGGATCATCCAAAGGAATTTGTTGATATCATCACCTGAATAACCCAAGAGACCTCCGAAAATGACAAGTACATAATCAACATCGTGTTTTTTCATGATCTCGTAGGCGTCATCTTCATCTGTAGACATGGCACGACCAACTGTAGCAATATGTGTATTGTTCCAAGTATTATTATCAACTAGTGTAGTACGGTTGGAGAAGCCAGCAATTTGATAACCGTAATCCCACCAGGACATAATCTTAGCATCTTCATCAGTATTCTTACGAAGCCAATAATATGCTTCTCTGAAATCGTCAATGATACGTTGGGAACCGTCAGCATTACGAGAGGCCAGGACAACAGACGGTGAAGAATAGGCGTTTGAAGTGACCCAAGTACAATGCCACACAAACATACATAGGAAAAAGATAAATGAACCAACAACAAGAATACGGGTATCGGTACCAATAATTTTAGAACCATTCTTCTCTGCGTTTCCCTTCTTCTCTTTCTTATTATTGTTATTGGACTTTTTCTTTTGCTTGTCGTCATCAATAGTAGAGGTGGTATCGACTGAGGTTCTAGTAACTTTAGGTTCCTTTTGAGAGCTACTGAACTCAAGGTAAGTATCGAGTAGGGTCGAGATAGCGATACCACCACATACACAAACGATAGGGGTAAGTGTCAGCATCAAACGCACCATCACACCTGCGAAATAGGAGGCAAAGATACTGTAGACAATAACAAAGACATGTTCATCTCGAAGTTTCTGGAAACAAAGGTAGATACCTACTGGGAAAACGAAAATAAGCATTTGCAGATCGAAAAAGAACATTGGCCATGCAGTGGGCTGATGTTCTGAGACAGAGGCAATGATAGGTATGTGAACTTTGGCATAGCCAGTATCCCAAAGAGAGTAGAAGCGACCTGTCCAAGGAGCAATGTAACCGCCCAATGTCAGTCCAACAAGGGCAGTGAGGCCCAAAACGAAAGTAAGGATGACACCGGCTTTCAAAACAGCCTGGAACTGCTTGGTGTGGAGATGAGAACGCAGAAGGTTTACAAAACCCAAGATTTGACAGAGGCCAAAAACGCCCAAAGCAGCCATATGCTCCGAGGTGCGAGTGGGTTGGAATCCAACAAAAGGAATTTGCATCGACATAAGTGTGCCCAATACATAAAAGGTAGAGTACGAAACGTATACACGGCTAGAGAAACGACCCATCAGCATCAACACAAATACATGCAGAGGAATTAAGTTAATGATGAACACATAACCACCCCAAGCCGCGACCATATAAAAATAGAAGAAAGCTGCTGCTGAAGCCCAAAGAGCTGATCCTAATTTCAATGCCTTGATCCATAGGTAAAATGTGAACATCAACAAGAAAATAGCAATAGCTTCGTTATCGTAAGAGCCAGCGACTGAACGTGAGATATAACCTGGTGCAATACCAATAAATGCTGCTGCTAATAAACCTGCTGAACTATCCTTCAATTCGGAGGTGAGAAGATATGTAGCAAGCGCTGTCAATCCAGAAAAGATTGGTGCTAAAAGAACACATATATTACGAATATCGACGGGGAAATTGAAAAAGTGGAGTATATTGTGAATAATAGCTGCAGTGACCATGAGGCCAGGATAAACTGTTCCGCCCACTACGCGTCCTAGTGGATACCAAGAGCGGTCGTCGAACCAATTCCAAAATTCATAAAACCCATCTTTGACCAACATACGTGTGGCACGGTAATTGAACCTATTTCATCCCCATCAGCAATTAAATATGTTGAAGCAAATAGTTTAATGATGAATGAAAGAAAGGACATTGGGACTTTGTTCAAGTCTTGGCATAGTTTCTTAACATTGTGCTTTTCTTACCAAGGATCGAACTCGTGTATAATGGACTCATATCGGACGACACTAAATAAACGTGAAGAAAAGGCGACAATAGCAATCAAGCCCAAAATTGCTCTCTTTAGCAATATTTTCTGGCTGCTGACGTCCAGCTTCGCCATTTTGATTTTAGAAGAGAAATAATGGTTAAAGAGCCGTTATAGGAAGAAACGGGGTTTAGGTCACTTTTTTAAGCTCTTTCATTTAGATAATTGAAAAAAGAGTGGCCAGTAAAATTCGGACACAAAAAGAGAGCTTTCATGAGCGGAATTTGGCTGACGAGGATTGATGGTTGCTCCCCGTTCGAATGTAAAATGTGTTATGGTATCCCAGGTAAATGCATAAGCCGTTATCAAAAAGCTGACAATCCGCTCAACAATGCTTCTGAGCAACAATATAGAGCCGTATTTCATGGAAGTAAAATTGATTACACTTTGTCTCTGGCTCCGAAGCACTAGGACACTTTTAAAGGAGGGCACAATTGAAACAAGATACTCGAAACGTTGCTGATTACAAGCTGCTGCTGCCAATTTATTGTATAGTGCGAATAATGGAATTGGCTGCTTAAAAGTAAATTAATGTTTACTGTAATTGAGGATCTTATTTGTCTGGCTACATCCAATAATTGTCTTCTAGCGAGCAAATGCACACTAACAATTTTCGATAGGACTTATTGAAAGATTCGACGTTTTAAGGGTGTGCTGTTTCGAGCATTGCATATCCTAAACCCTTGTTTCATAGTTGATGGCGCTTCATTCTTCCTTCCACAGGCGCTAGTACTGCTCAATAATTTAATTGAAGCTCAATGAGTATAGTGAAAGGAGCATAGGTTTGTAGTCGTGATACTATATAGATATAAATATAAAGGAGGCCATCAATTTGATATAAATGCACAACAGCAAAAATACATTAGAATCCGTTTATCATTTTAACGTTATTCTATACAGGCATTGGCAACTATATCCTATACATATTAATACCAGGGTCCTAATAGCTTTGTTTGCAACCTCAAGTCTACAATCATTGGTTCCTGGCTCTTTGATAAGGTACAGAATAAATTTCAGCCTTTTGCATATTAGCAGTAGCCGGACAAAATAGATTCTCATTTGGGGCAATGAATAAATTTTTATGCGTAAGGTTTTTAAAGATAATTTCATAACTACAATATAAGAATAATGAACGAGTCTATTTACGATGAAGCATCTAGTTTCTTAAATCCTCTTTACAGCAACATCACGCTTCATGAAAAGATACCTTTTGTTACCTTAACGTTTGCTCAAAGTTTAGACGGCAAAATCGCAAAACAAGGACAACAAATACTCATCAGCGGTAAAGAAAGTATGGCGATGACACATCGCTTACGAACACTTCATGACGGTATAATGGTAGGTATAGGCACCGTCCTGGTTGATAATCCACAGCTTAATGGTAAGCAAGGAAGTAGTTGGAACGCAAATATGATATTTTCACAGTTTATTCAAAATATGTTATCATACCAAAAGCAAGGTATTTACCATCAGCCAATGTAGCGTCCATAAATCAGCCTCAGCCAATTGTACTTGACCCTTTCTTGAGGATACCAGTAGACTGTAAACTGATAACGAACTACAAAAACGGCATTGGCAAGCAGCTATGGCTGGTTGTATCAAAAGGAGGAATTGAACGAAATTGCAGCAAAAAAGAAACGCTTATAGATATAGGCGTAAAGTTGATAATCATAGATAAAATTGAGAACGGTATTCAGAAAGAAGAGTATAATATATTGCTTGTTTTTGTTCTACCATTCATTCATTCTTTTATTGTATCTTCAGGTCATATCCCTTTACGGAACGTACTCGAGCATTTAAAAAAAGAAGGCATTGATAAATTAATGATTGAAGGCGGATCAAAAATCATTCAGTCATGCTTGAACAGCAAGACATGGGATCAATTGATAATAACTACAGGACCTATATTTATTGGTTCGGCTAATGGTATCTCGGCTGTTACAACGAATAATGATGACGATTCGAATCTACCGATATTAAAAAATGTAAAATATCAAATCATGGGTAAAGATATTGTGATGGCAGCGACACAATAAATAAATAGAAATACATAAAAGTACAAGATATGTGAATAGTTCCCACATTTAGTGCTCTCCTTCAGATTTCTTGATGGTGGTCAATTTGAATTGCTGCTTCCCATCTTGTCCTTCTTCCTTACTTAGAATATTTACAGATCCATCTTGTTCACCGAAATAAGCAGCGGCTGCCATGTTACAGAACAGTCCGACTTCATATACACCCGTTAGTAGCTTTAGTTCCCTCAGCAAGCTAGAAGGATCTTCTTCTATTTGACCGAAATCGACATCAACGACAAAATTGCCATTGTCTGTTACCACAGGTCCTGCCTTTTTGACAGCCATACGCAAATTCACACTTTTTGGTTTTAACGATAGTTGAGTCTTGATCTTATTCATTACTGTTCGATAGCACATGGGAACGACTTCCACTGGAACACCCTGGTGCCATTGAGTTCCTAATTTTTTAGACTCTTTACGAAAATCTATAAAAGTGTCGAAGTATTGGTGTGATACCATTCAGTGAGTCATAACCAAATAATAAAAAAAATTTACTGGATCTAATCTCCACCAACTTACCGGCAACTATGACGAACTTTTTTGCTGCTTCCGCTACTAACTTCTCTTGAAATTGGCATCCTCCTCCACCTTTGATAGCATTCAAATTTTGATCCACTTCATCAGCACCATCAATAGTGACGTCTATCACGTCGTTTCTATTTTTCCAACACGTAAATAATTCAGACTTTCTATCGACACATATACCAGAATAAATACTTTACTGTTCGATTGATCCTAGTTTGAGACCATTCTCGACAATTAACAGTTTGCTTTGGAAACTGGTAGGTACATAGGTAATATCCTTCAACTCTGGCTTTTGCAAAATTCTTTCAATAACGTAAATAACGGTTGAACCGGATCCAATACCAACGACTTTATCTTGCGGGCTGATATGATCATCGACAGCTTTGTAAGCAGCAAGCTTTTTACCGTTTTCTATGAGTTGCTTATTGTTGTTATCAGAGGACATGCTTAACATGTTCTAAAGTAAGAAGTTGTGGGGAAAAGAATATCGTTTACTTTGCAAATCAAGAAAAAAGAAAAGGAAAAGCCAAAAAAGTTATATGCATAAGTTCGTTTTATGTGAGATCCAGTCAGGAGAAAAGTCACGTTAAAGATGGAAGAACAATTAAGGTTCTTTTTGCTTACATAACATTACGTTTGAACAAGCTTACATAACATTACAGCATCTTACAACTTCCCGGTTGACAACCTGATTGTGACGGAAAGCACTAATAGCTTCATCCCTTCGATAGCATTGATAGCTTCTTTATTCTAAAATATTTCTCTATTAGATCCTAATTGAATATAGATCTGTCAAAAAAAAAAAAAAAATTTTTTTTTTTAATTCATGGGTCAACCTGTGTGACCATAGTATATTTTTCCTGCAGTTGCCTTTGACCTTTACTGTATTCACAGTAAGCAGCGCGCTCTTTTTAAATGGACAAATCACATTCACAACAATTACTAAGCGTTTCGATATTTAGTCAAGCGGAAAATTCTACAGAAAAGAAATGCAAAAATCGAGGAGTAGCCAAAGCTTTATACGACAAACAAATCAGATTCAACGAGCGCACGTGTGTTTGTTTGGTGCATTTAATGGAAAAGTCTCTTATACCAAAATCTGCTGGTATGAGCTGATTTTTTATAATCGAAAGTGATAAACAACATCATTGCAGCACACTTGCAGAGTATTTTTGATTTGCATGAAGAATATAATGTCTCGGTTAGGCAACTTTATTAAAAGCTGAAGCTGAACTTCGGCGTAAAGTTTAAAGGAAACATTAAACTTGTATTTGTTGCGCCATTGTACATCAGGCACGCTTCAACAGTGATTTAGTAAGCAAATAGTACATTAGAACGGTGTTTGCAATGAAGGCTATTATTTCAGTGTAAATTGAACACGCCGAAATAATACCTTGTTCTTGCATAACATTAGCACAGGAATTGTTTCGTGCTATGCTAAACGTCAGCAGTAATCTTTCTAAATCAATAAAATACGGTTTTATTCCATTATTAGATATACTAAGTAATACACTAACATAGTTGGCTTCAAGCGTGGAAAGTACGCTGTAATTTGCAGGCTGCATTTGGGCTGTGTCCTTTCATTAGATAAACCCCTGATTATGTAATGCATAGTCACCTTGGAGTATTGAACTGATTGTTGACAGGTTGTTCTAAATTGCGGGTTCAAATTCAAGGAGGAGTCCTACCCCATGATTTTCCTATTTTACCCCTTTTTCGGCCGAACTACCCTAGACTATTTATTATGCTGTCAAGGATTGGCAGAAGTGTCTTAATAAGGCAAAGCTCTTCCGCAATTCGACAAAATTTGAAAAATTTATATAAACACAGTACTCGATGCGCAAATGTTATTGAAAAGTCTGTTCCTGGTATGTCTAATTGCTAAAAGATTCTTATTACCTACGATCACTTTGAGTCTAACTTGAAATCATACATCAGAAATACAGACAGTAGCTGTGAGAGCCTTCGCAACTCAACAAGTCGATAAAGTGACCGAGCCTCTCACTATAAAACTTAAATTACAGCAGCAACAACATAATCAAGCACAGAAAACATCCAGAACTCCACAACATTATTTTAATTCTTTAGTATGGAGTGAAAATACAGGCAATGTGAAAAATGCTATCAACGTTGTTAGAGAGGCGCAAGAAAAAGGGGAAGACTCCGAGGAACTTTATATTGACTTCTTAAAGACACTAAACAACCTACCTTTTGCGACTGAAGAATATGCAGTTGTGGCCAAGTGGTTTTACTCACCCGAAACACCATTATCTAAAAATGTATTAGAAAGTAAAAATGTATGGATTCAAGTATTGAAGTTAGGTCTCGGATTTGCATCTACCTACCGTGTTGAAGATCTGCGTGCTCTTATTAAACAATTCGAAGCAAGGTTCGACTTGGATACTATGAACAATCAAGAAGCATGGCAATTATTGATCAGAGTAAGCGTCGCAGTATTTGTTGATTTTGATAGCGATTTTAAGCTTCTAACTTCAACGAATTGCCTCCAATAGGCTTACGGTGTTTTGAATAAAGCAGATAAAGTGAATGGAATTAGCGAGAAGATAATGGCATTATTATCGAAGCAAAATGACCATGAGCAAAACGCCAAATTCTATCACTATGCATTAATGGCTCATGCCGAAATCAGCAACCACAATGAAGTTGACGAATTGTTAAAAAAGATGAAAGAGCATGGTTTGCTGAGTCGCCGAACCCTGCTTAGATTGATTCGTTGTTATGGATTTAACGGTGATATTGAGCATACTAAGAAATACACAGAATTATGCGATCAACTTTTCCCAGAAAAAGAGAAATGTGATAAAAGTATGCTATTGATTGCTCATCGAGTAGCGCTGGAGAAATATCATAAACACTTAATCACAACAAGAGGCGTACGTGGATTGAAGTTGAAGCCTAATGACACAACAGCTTTGAATAAAATACACGCATCTTGGGACAAACTTACAAAGGATATGTTCTCAAACAATGACAAAGATTCAACGCCTGTACACATCACTGACTGCAATAATGTTATTGCATACCTTACAATCGCGAACCATATCGATCCAATACAATTTCCTTTGGAAAAGGCTGAAGAGATTTTCAACACTTACATGCCAAACCATTATGTCCAACCTGATGATGTAACTTACTACACTATGCTCAGAGGCTATGCCAGGACTCAACAGTACAATGATGGAACACGTAATATTCGTTTAAATAAGACGCTGCAAATGTTAGAAAGAATGCAGGTTGAAGGCGTGGACACCGCTAATTCTAGTACTTTCCACGCCTTATTCAGGGCTTGCATTCCTCACCAGGATGGAAAGTATTATTTTGACCATTTCAAATTGAAATCTTCATTACCAGCTCGACCCAATCAATACTATCGATTTCATTTGGATCATCGTTTATTTGAAATTGAAAAAATCATGTTGGAAGCCGAAATTCCACATGATCGCTATACCATTTTAACTATGATGACATGTTTGGCGGCAGCTGGACAATACAAAGCACTATACACACGATGGCGCTCACTCGCAGTTAATGGTATACGTAGGGATATGGACATGTATCGCCATATGTTTTCTCTTTGTTCTCTGGAAGTTAGAACTGCCAATAAAGCTCTAATGGTACTAAGGAATGAAATGGCAAGGGAGATTCCTAAACAACGTCAAAGTTGGGATACTTATGTCGCATTATTGGATTGCTGTATTACTTTGCAGAGAGGTGATTTGGCTCGCACTATTGCTTCGGAAATGATGAATGCACAACGCGTACAGCATAAAAAGAGGACTCATCCAGCAGATTTAGCCAAATGGCCAGCTGAAAATGACCCTCAATACTACGCACCTTTACTTCGTGTTGCAGTGGCGATACCCAACAGTATTAGCTATAAAGACCTTGTCTCCAAGATGGATAACAACAACGTAGAATACAATCAAGGAATTTGGGAAGCATTACTATCCAAACCTGCCATAGACGGAGATATCGATGGTGTTCGTCAAATATTCAATAAATATACAATGTACAGATTTGAAAAATTAGGCAAGATCCCTACACCTGTTCGCAATGAACCAGGTGCTGCTGTTATCCCTTTCCCTACAGCGCCTTATAATACCACCGATATGCAATTCATTGACATGTTTATGGCTTCAACAGTGGACTTGGAAGACATATCTTTGGTCTTCGATTGCTTACGAACTCTAAAGGAACAAACCAATATCATCGGCCTATCACGTCGAACTTTGCTAGGTATCACCCGTTTGGCAATTAGGGAGAAATCTTATGACAACCTGAAATACTTAGGAGAAGAAATATTACCTTGTGTTCCTTATGAGAACCAAACCATCCGAAAGATGTACAAAAAGATTAACTATCATCTTCAAAAAGTATAGAGGAATAAACTATCCTTCACATTATTCTTGTAAACCTTCCGTAAGAATGATGTTTTACAACTTTGCGTAATTTGTTCAGAAGTGTATGCTGTAATATAAAAACCTAGCGGTTTTTTCTTTTGCTTTTTGACTTTATCTTCTTGCAATTTTGCATAAACCCAAACCAGAAATGGCGGAGATTTTCGCATACCGATCTTTATCTTTATCGCTGCCAAAGCTTGTCCTCTCTTCCCTGCTAGACACTCTGCTTTTCGATGGCTTCAAAGCTTCAAGCAGCAGGTGGTGTACCTGCTTCCAAAATTTACAAAAAGCTCAAGAAAGTAGGAAAAGGCGCTTATGGATCTGTATATAAAGGGTAATTAGAAGTTGAGCCAGGCACGACAGATTATTTTAAGGAAGTAATGCACGTATAAATGCTTTTGTTCATTCCTCCGTTATTAGAATCGATACAAGATCGAATAAAATTATTGCTATAAAAGTTTTGAATCTGGATACAGAAGATGATGATGTCGATGACATTCAGCGAGAAATCAGTTTATTATCGCAATTAACACATGCTAAGTCGCAAAACATCACACCTTATTACGGAAGTTTCCTGAACGATACGAAATTATGGATTATTATGGATTATGCAGCTGGAGGGAGTGTTCGAACTATTGTAAGTAACATTCACTTATATTGTAAGTGCGTCTCTATTTAACATTATTTTTTCTTATTAGATGAAAGCAGGAAATATTGAAGAAAGATACATCGCCGTTATCACTCGAGAAGTTCTTCTAGCGTTGTCTTACTTGCATAGGAATCAAATTATTCATAGAGATATTAAAGGTAAAACTTTGCAGATTTAAATACGAGCATAAGCGTATACTAACAATTCAGCCTATTATAGCCGCTAATATATTACTAACGGCGGAAGGAAATGTACAACTGTGTGATTTTGGAGTTGCTGCTTCTAATTCATTCCGAAGAAGCACATTCGTTGGTACACCGTAAATATGCACTTTTTTTTACACATGATGATGCTTTCTTCGTAACAAACATACTAATTTATAACTCCCCTGCATCAGATACTGGATGGCACCAGAAGTGATCAGAGAAGGCTCCTCATATGACTTTAAAGTAAGTGTTGAAATCTTCCATGTGAGCGAGACTAGTCCAGTTAATTAATTTGCAAAAATAACAAGAAAAGGCTGATATTTGGTCGCTAGGTATAACAATATACGAAATGGCTATGGGGAATCCACCTCTATCAAACGTAGAGCCGATGCGTGCAGTATCAATCATCCCCAAAACTGCTCCACCAAGACTACCTGATACTTTTTCTCAGCCGATTCGTGAATTTGTCGAATCATGCTTGTCAGAACATCCCAGCGAGGTACCTTGTTTGAATTGTTCTTCTCACCTTACGTTTTTTGACTGGAAATTCTGATTTTAAGATTTGCTAGCGTTTAAATGCTGATGAGCTATTGAAGTCAAAATTCATCAGGAATATAATTAAAGTGCCTCGATCAGCGTTGAAGGAGTTAATAGCGAAGTACGAAAGATGGAAGCAAACCAATGGAGCATCAAAAAGATTCAGTATTATCTCAAACGATATCAGCGACAGGTAAAAATGATGGATGAACCTTGAGCGACGAAATAAATTGTGTCTGATAACTTTCAATTTAGTGATGCTGAAGCAGCTGATGAGTATGGAACAGACGATGATGAGGAGTGGGAGTTTGATGTAAGTTTGATAGTTGCTATTAGCGTTTGATTTCAGTTAATGCACACTGATTTAGTACTAATATTGCGTGTAGACCATTAAATATGACAGTAACACAGCTACGTTGAAGGCGCCTTTACCAATCAAGGCCGGTACTGAAAAGGATGACAATACGACAAATATAAAAACACCACCATCAAGCGTATATACGCGTAATCCTGAAACACTACCACTTGTGCGCATGTTTATGACAGCAGAAACAGATACTAACAAAATATCAAACGATCTCAACACTCTCAGTATAGCAAAGAATGTTTCGGTGCTATCTTTAAATGAGCATCAGTTACAAAATAACGATGAAAATGTCAATCGAAACAATAAGTCATCCATTGATTTGGCGCAACAGGCATTCCATAGTCATTATATGTATGGGGTTTTGGATGATGTATCTTTTAAGAATAATAAGAAATCCGTACAGGCAGCTCCAACGAGAGAACATAAGCCACTTAAAGGAAATTCTGCGGTTGACGATAGGAAAGTACGATTGACTACGGCTGACATTTCTATGTCGACAACCATTGACGAGCCAACTGCCATGTTGAAAATAACTGTACCAAAATTAGCACCATCCATGCAGTCTACAGGTTTATCTTCTGAGAAAATAAGAACAGGAAAGCCCATGATCCGTGCCCGCTCTCATTCAGATCAAAGACCTGGATCAAGTCAGCAGCAACAGAATCAGCAAGAACTAGGGTGCACTCCAGTAATACCAGCATTATATCAGTCTGAATCAGACCAACCAGTATCCTTAATGTCTAAAAACTTTTCATCTAAGACTGGCTTTATACACGCTTCCTCTTCATCCCCTCTAGCAAGAAGGGTACGCTCTGCTACGACATTAAGACAAACTACTACCGCCGAAAACAATCGTTCAGGAGAAAAAGGACAAATTATTTCGTTGGATTCACCGTTGAAAATGACACCAATAACAAGAAGCACTTCAACGACTCCTATAGAGAGGGTAAGATTGTGAGCATGCTTATTGAAATCGTCTTTAAAATTGACTCACTGATGCTCCTATTTCCATTGGCTAGGATATACCTGAATGTATCCATCCAACTGAAGCCGAACTATGCAAACAAAAGTTAGAACTACAGCAGCAACAAGGGACAGATTGCGAACCTGAGCTAATACCCATCATTGCACCACTTGATTTGGATAGTATAAGCACACAACAACAATTTTACGACGCCATCTGGGGAGCTCTAGGCGATTTAAATGGTTGGCTGGAAGCAATGGAAATTAGTTTATATAATCTTGATATTTAGTACAATGGTATCACTGCAGCACCAGCACAATGTGTACTGAATGCTCATTTGATCTTTTAACCCTATGGTTTATACCTTGAATATTTATAATACCAAAGCTGGTAACCAAATCACTCTTAATAAACAATTATGCCTTGTGCAGAGTTCCACAATGCTCGGGTAGGTACTATTGTAGGTTATGAAGAATATTACTGAAAAAGTTTGCAAATGATTTAACATCTTAACATTTTCAAGCCTGAGCATTTGAAAATTCTGCTCTTTTGTCCCAAAATACTAGCTGTAATTGCAGAGGAACTGAATTGAATGAACTCTATTTATAAGATTGTTGAATACACCGACGGTAAGCACTTCTTTCGTCCCTATAATTAATGTTACTACTGAGGTAGATAGATGTTGTTATCATACATAAATTCATCAGATTCAGACCACAATTATATGGTTTCCTCTCTGTAACGCAATAGATGTGTAGTTTTTCGGTTTCCTTAATGTTTGCATTAAAAGTTGGTATTCTTCTAACAACTAAGGTAACAACTAACGCAAAACCGTAAGGAAACAAGATAAAACAAAAAAGAAAAAAAGCTAGAGTGACTTTTTTACTTTTTACACTTCGATATACCAAAGAAAAAAAAAAGGATAATGCTAACTGTAAGCAACGTTGATATTGATACTGTGCGCGAAGGTAGCAGCTTGGTTGAACTGGGGGAATTAGGCAAACGTAAGGGTATATAATCAGCATTACGTAAGGAAAGGGTTGTTACCAAATTTGGCCAGAACGAAAGGGTGTCTGAGTACTAATTTTGACATGACAGCTCTTTAATGCATTGTGGTGTCAATCGAAACGATTACTTTGCTCTTTCCATAACATGTCTGGATATCCTCACTCACAGAAGGGCTTTAACAAAGATTCTAATAGAAATCCAACAGAATTGGAACAATCGTCTGTTTTCACACCTGAACTTGGTCATGTCACTGAACCCAACTCATTCCATTTCGAGAATTTGACATCGTCAGTAAACGACTCCAGTCGAAAACCTAATAAATTTGTACCTCCTCGAATGTTAGTAATAATCTATGGGGATGATCGCTTTTATTGTCGCTTCAATTAAACCTTTTTTTTAAATCATTACAGCGAAGAAATTCGAACAGCATCTTCTTCGTTACCTAGATCAGCAATGAACTCTCCCCGTTTATCACCTACACGACCTGGTACACCAATAAATCCTGAAGAGGATGGACGTGTATCTCCAACTTCACTGGCACAAGTCATGGAGTCACAGGATCCTCACCATCTTTTAGATATTGTAAAAAATCTCGTGCGTACACGTCATGGCAGTGTCCTATCTCGTAATACGATTTTGAAAATGGATCATTTTGAGAAAGGCAATCATACTAATACATTTGGCACAACGAGGTTACGAAAACAATATCTAACTTAAAGGCGGCTTTTTGAAAATATAACAGGTGTAAATACCAAGCTAGATTTTCATCTTCAAGGTGCACCAAACTTTCGTGTCGCAGCTTTGAATGTATACGGTGTCGCACAACCAACTGTAAGGCAAGCCACCCATCATATGTTCTTTTGAGTTACTGCTGACACCACTCAATCGATAGGCTAATGGACTGTCTACCGTTCTGACATTGCTTAATTGTCACCCTTGCAGTACTTTGAAGAATTCTTGTACTTGGTATGAATACAATTTCCATTCTTTTTCTTCTTTACGAACTAAAAGTACATCCATTAAATCTACAAAACTTTTATTAAAGGTTCTTAACCAGAGAAGAACCGTTAAGTGAGTAACCTCAACATTGATGTAATACCAATGATGACAATTGTTTTGATCAAAACCACCTTTTTAAAATAGTCTATTTAAATGGAAATCCGTATGTTCTACGTGATTATGCAAATCCGTTACACAACATGGTGTCATTTTTGGGCATAAATGGCAACAGATTGGAGAAGCTTGAAGAACGGTTAAAAGCCGACGTATTAAGCGAAGCAAAATCTTTGAATGGGCTTATTTTGGTCCACCAAGAACTCAGTAAGACTAGCAGTACCTCCTCGCCAAGTGAAAATGTACGATGCTTATGACTAATCTGATTTCTTCTTTGAAAAATCTAAAATAGCCGATGGTACTATCGTACCTTGCTTTATTGCAGCTGATCAGATACAAACCCCAAGGGAATGTAAGAAAAATTATAGAGATCATTTATCAATTCCTGCAAAAGAAAGACAGTAATTCACTAGTTGATAATTGTAGTGTTCGAGGAATTTTCTAACAAGAATTATAGGTTGAAATACTTTCGAATTCCAATTTCTCCTGAGCAAGCTCCTGAAGATAACTACTTTGATGAATATGTGAGAGTCATAAAGACCTTAAAGCCAACAGATCCGCTTATCTTTAACTGTGGCATGGGTGTTATTAGAAGTATGTGAATATGTAGAGAGGTATTACTGTTTGTTATAGTTGACAGGTGTCTAAACTTTTGTTGAGATAGCTACGGTTGGTATTGTGATCGCACAAGTTATCAGACGCGCCCAACTACTTGAGATGAATGCTCCAGATCCTTTCCCATTGCCAGGGTGGGTATATTCAGAATTGCCGCAGAATAATCAAAACACTCGGTTGGTCGAGAATATAGCAAACGGCTTATTGAAGGATTGGGAAGAAGTAGACTCTATGGAACAGAAAAATCATGCATTATTAAGACTAGTTTATATATTAGAGCAAGGTATATTTGTAACAAAGGTCAGTATACATTGTGAGCTTTAAATTAACTCACGCTTCTTCGTGCTTTTACAGGGCTCGATTCGAAGATGTCCTCTAAATCTGCTGTCGAATGGGCTCTAGAACGTGGTAATTTGATTGAAAGGCTAAAGGAGGCCATAATGGGCAATTACAACGTTATTACTTCCTTAACAGCGGTTCTTGACAGCGGTAATTTCAGCAAAAGATTGATGGATAATATTATAGACCAATGTAAGTAGGAAAATAGAGCTTTAACATGTTTGTGAAAGCAACTAGATTTGCATTTATATCTATCCTTTAAATTTTTTTTTTTTTTTTTAAAAAAAAAAGCGGATGCTGTCGTCAACTTACGCGAGGATATCCTTATGAACAGAATTAAGCAGACGACACAGCATCAAAAGTCATCAGATTATGCTTCTACAGATAATTTCATATCTAAAGCCGTTGCTGGTCTTCATCGTTACTTCTCTTTATTATGCTTCACAGCCTATATTAATGAATCATCTGATACGGACTTTGGAGTCAAATTTTCTGAGTGGCTACGATCGAGATCAGAAATATGGACTATGCTGCAGACAATTCGTCGAAAAGGCTCCAAGCTGTATCTATTACGGCCTGTAGAGGATTTGCACCGATTGAGGATCTCAAACAATAGTCATAATATTTTAGTCAATGGTCGCTTTGGTCGAAACAGATTAGGCTCAAGCCCTGGTATGTTTGAAATGACAGGCGCAGGTGGTCAGCTCGGCTCTGTAGCTTCCGAAGTGGAAGAATTCATCTTAAAAGTAAGAAAATACAATATGATCGTAGTCAACATTTATAGGTCTCCAATTTATTGATTTTCGAAATTTAGTCACGGACAGGTGTTGTACTTACTTCTCAAACCATCCTAAAAGTTGATTTCTGGAACCATGCCAACGATCAGTTCGATGCTGAAGAACATAATCAACTGCAAAAGTTACCAACACCGGGAGGCGTCAGCACCGAAGAAGATGATTGCAATGAAGCTGTCAATAAACGGCGCCAGCGTCACCACATTTTCTTGGTAGAAGGCGGCTCTAATTTCCGACGCATCAAGCATACTCACATTTATGGTATTGCTCAGCCTACCGTAGATGGATTACGAAGTGTACTGCGTCGCTTACTTCATGATCAGCCCAAGAACGACAAAATTCTTTGGATCAATTTGCGCGAAGAGCCTATCATTTACATCAATGGCATTCCTTATGTGCTTCGCGATAGATACTTCACTCTACGTAATATAAGAGTATATAAAGGCATCACTGGGGCTCGGCTAGAGCAACTAGAAGAACGTTTGAAACAAGATGTGATCCGCGAAATTACGTACCATGAGGGCCGTATTTTGTTACATGGTGAGGACGAAGAGGGTAACGTCCTTGCTGCTTGGGAAGAAGTGAATGTGAACGATGTCATGACTGTACGCGAGGTTATGATGATGGCTGCGGCGGGAATTACCGAAGAGTTGCAAAGTGAAAGCAGCAATGAGGATAACAAGAGAGATGACCTTTCTGATAGAGGAAAATATCTCACTGACATACTAGACTATCGACGTGTCCCTATTACAGCAGAAAAGGCACCTGACTGGTGTGATTTCGATGAAATACGTAACCTAATAACCACCACTGATTTATCCAAAACAGCATTGGTTGTGTAAGAATCAAAAACAAATTGTATGATGTTTCCTTGTGAAGTCATAACTTACAAAATTTTTCGTAGCAACTGTCAAATTGGATTAGGACGATCAACATTAGGGACAATTATTGCGACCCTCGTTACTAAATGGATTAAGCAGGATAGGACAACTCAGCATAATGAGCACCGTGGCAAATGTCAATATTTGAACTACCAAATTATAAACAGTCTTCTACGTGTTATTAAAAATGGGTTAGAAGTGAAAAGCGCAGTAGATAATGCTATTGACAAATGTGGTGCTTTTCTCAATTTACGTGAGATTATTGAATCAGAACACGTCAAAGCTGAAGAGGAAGAAACTGATGAAAACAAAAGACAAATACATATCAAGCGTGCTATCTCAGCTTTGCAGCGGTATTTTGTCCTCATTTGTTTTGAAGGATACCTTCAATCCACTTCTCCAGAGTCACTCGATTCCACAGAAACCTTCCAATCGTGGATGAATAGACATTCTGAAATAGGAACATTGCTGTTAGAATTTAATAACCGCGACGAACGACTGATAGTACCTGTAGAGAAATCTATTTCTGAAGGTGTTGCATTATCAAGTGAAATTATGGATGTCGTTGCGTCACGCCATGGTCAAGTGTTAAGCCAGCAAACTATATTGAAGCAGGATGCCTTTCCGGGTTGCCAAAGGATAAATCTTAAAGAAAAGATCGAAGGGGCTTACAACTTCAGACGGATACCTGTGAAAGAGGTGAAGAGATCGGTCAAATTTCCACTTAAAGCTGCGGATGAAGGCGGCTTGGCTGCAGATTTAGAGCGGCCTGATGACGCCGACTTGTCTCCTCCATTTATTTGTGGTTGCGGCATGCCGTCCAAGAATGCAATTAAATCAGTTTTAAAATCCATGCAAGCTGGTCCTGGTGGTAAAAGGCGCGTTCTATGGACTTGCTTGCGTGAAGAACCTGTGCTATATGTTAACGGACTACCATATGTCCTTCGGTTGTTCCAAGAACCCTATAAAAATTTAGAGTCTACGGGTATCACCACAGATCGTGTAGAATCTGTGGAAGATCGTATGAAGTTGGATGCTATAAATGAATGTAGAAAATACAATGAAAAGCTTTTGTTGCATGATGAAAAACCAAACGAAAAAGGCGAGTATGAATTAATGGTAAGTGACAATTGGTACAGGCTATTTAATAGGTACGCGATGTTTACGTATGCCTTAAATAATAGGGCCTGTGGGAAACTATTAGTATAGATGAGATTGAAACCCCAAAAGAAGTATTTCAATCAATTAAGAACGAAGGCTATCAGGTTGACTATTTGAGAATACCAATGTAGGTTTTGTAAATGCTTATCATGTCATTGACTTTGTACTGACTGTCTCTTTCCTGCAGCACGGATGAACAGGCACCCATTCCAGATGTATTTGATGAGCTTATCTGTAGGACAAGAATTGCTAATAAAGGCGTCGATGTGATATATAACTGTCAAATGGGGTAAGATAACTATTATGATTCCAGCCTTTCGTTAACAGTTTAATAATTTTACTCCTTATATAGCCGTGGGCGTACAACAACTGGCATGGTTACTGCATGTTTGATGGCGATGATCATGAACAATGAACATCTCATAATTGACAACGACGGTATTATTTCAGTTCAGTCACCTGTAGCAAGTCGAACATCACTCTTTGATGGTGTTTTTAATAGCGAGACCGAAGATTTTGTAGAAAGGAGCTATCATGATGGTGAATTCAAGATTATTCTACAGTTAGTCAGTATACTGACATATGGAAAGCTCGCTAAGCGACTCGCTGATAAAGCCATCAATATTTGTGATCATATGCAAAACCTTCGTCGAGCCATTTATGACTATAAGCTGCACTTGAACACAATTGAAGATCATAACTCTAAGCAATACAAAAGCATTCGAGAAGTCGCGTTGAACTATTTGATTCGGTATTTTTACTTGATTGTTTTTGCCAATTATCTGTTGGAAGAGCTTTCCGCAACGAAGCATATGAACGATAATGATCAGAACAAACAAAACATTGAGGAACAAGAAGCCATCTGCAACGATCGTGTTTCGAATGTCTGCAGTTTTAAGAATTGGCTCGAAGATAGACGGGAAATCACAAATATTCTGACCTTAAAGCATGTAGATTTAGACTAGTCTTCTGCTGAATATAGAACTGTACAATAAATTTTAATTGTTCGATACTCATTATAACGTAATTAAAGGATTCATAAGAATGAAAGTGATATGTATACTCAGATTTATATTGCTAGTTAGTCAAAAAGTAGACCTTAAACTCTATTATGCCTTTGATAATCATGCTACTTTATACGTACTATTTTCTATACAATGGCTGTTATTGTTATGAGTTTATGCTGTGACATGGTATGATTTTCCTACTCGAAGTAGCAATGTTCTCAATGCTAAACGAATCTCAGGCAATAAGTTTTCTTGGCCAAGTAGTTCAACTGAGGGTAAATAGAATTGTGGGACATGTTTTAAGAAATCTTCATCTTGCAATTGTGCTAAGCCGTTTAGAATATTAACGACAACCGGTGTCCATGCTGCAATATTTTTTGGTTTTGTTTCAGGGTCGAGTTCCGCATAAAGTTTAAATATTTCATTACAAAGGCTATAGCAAGGAAGATAGATAAGCAAATCAATTATGTGAGAAAAGCGCAAGAACGTTACACTGTTGCCTACTTACGGTATCAAAACCCTTTCTATTTCGTCTCGTTTATCATCGCGGTCACTGATATTTTCCAAGTTAGCATACATTCTCATTAGCACAGATACGTAGCATCCGCCGCTGGATGTTTCTTGTTTTAGAAGATTAGGAAGTTGCTTCATGAAACCTGATAAAATTAAAGCGTTATTAAGTAAAATCCCTAACGGAATAGCGGCAAGTGAACTTATTGTGCATCTTACCGAATCTGAATAATGCCATACGAAGATCGTTGTCAACGTTGAATCTTTTTGCGAAATTAAAAGAATGTCCAAGACATCCCATTAAAGTCATGAGATGGGTGGCAGGGTAGGCGCAATAAACTGCATCTTTCGATAGAAGGTCGTTGACTGTTTGGATCAGCATCAATTGCAGCACACACTTGATGATCACTTGTTGGAAGTTTCTTTGGCGTTCTTCACTGATTTCTATATTTAATGACGCGTTTTCAGGCTGACTTCCTGGTTCATTTAGTTGTAAGGCTCGCACCTTCTCAACTAAATCAGCGGTATCGTCAAATAAACCATTCGCAGTTGTTTTTTTAAATAGGTCGTTGAACGTGTCTGTCACTAAGTCCCAGCATGTTATATCGAATTTTTCGACATTAGCTTCAATATATTGATCGAGACATTCACAGCCGATATGTGCAAGAGTATCGTTGTCCACTGTTAATTGCAAAATAAAAAGCAAACGTAAATATTAAACTACATTTTCTCGTACTTTGAAAAAAAAAAAAAAGGATGCAGAATTTACCTTGCGTTATACATATGCTGAATAACTGCAACAGCTGACTCATCATTCCTCTCATTTTCTCAAAATAAAAAGTATAAAGATCAACAACACTACGAAGAGCTTCAATCATAGTAGTTGATAACCATACACTAAGATCCTCTGCTGACATTTTACGTCCAACGCAACCTGTCTTAAGATCATCGAATAGAGGGAAAACAATTTGACCAGAAACTGTTGTCCAAAACTCCGGTGTATAGGTCGCACCATATTCCTTCAAGGTATCAAATAAGTAGACAAGTGCACGCTTGCGCACTTCGATATCATCACTCTGCATCACCACTTCTTTCAATCCATAAAGGACAGCAAACCAAAACTTAACCAAAAAGTCATCATTAGGAGTTTGTGAAGGAGTACCAATAGCGGCATGGATGTCATTAATTTCGAAAGAAGTCATCTTACTGGATATTTCCAGCATTCTAGGTATTGTTGATCTTATCATATCAAGGGCGGGTAAACTGACTTTCTGGAATTTTTGATTTTTGGAGAGTTCCACAAGACAGGATATATAATCGGGGAAAGTACCGTTGCTAACGATATCACCAAAGCGTTCCTTGGTTACACCACGCACAATATCAAAAGTCATATTGACAATAGATTCGGAAGATTCACAGGCACCGGTTGCGAAGACAGAGAGCATGGTCTTCCAGCCAGATTTTAAATGATGGGATCTTGCTTGAATCATTTGAGTCAAACAACGTAAAACCATATCCTTGATGGCAACATCAGAATTGTTAGCCAGGACTTCGCGGAAAGGCATTAAGAAATCTTTTTGGAACTTAAAATGGGGCAATTCTTCCTTCTCCAAGAACTTCATAGCTAATTGACGCAAGGAATCCAAAGCAAAGAAGGAAACATTGAAATTGGCTTGGCAGCCAACCTTGTTGTAATAATCCCCCAAAATGGCCCAGATGTTTGACCATTCCATACGGATACGGTTCATGTTGTAGTAAGATATTTCCACAAGTTTTTGTAAGCTGTACATACGAGGATGCTCCATATGTGCGGATGATACGATTTCTTCCCAGGAAGTTTCGCATAGTGCACGAACGAAATCAACAATGGCTTCCTAAAAGTATGATATAAAGTGGCTTTTAATAACAACAATATAAAAATTGAAAACATTCTTATGCGAAAATTTACCCCATTAAGATTGACAGTTGATGTGAAAAGACGATCAACGGCAATAACTAACGATTGAGAAGAACTGGCAGAAGTAACTTCTTCGGTTAAAGATAGGTGTGTATTAGACCTTGTCGAATTTGAATTGCGTCCGCGGTTGCCAATATTTGATGTACGACGATTAATATCCATAGACATCTTCACAGAAGCATTCGCTCCTTTCTTATTATTGACATCAGCGATGGTCATACCAGGCTCTAATCCGCTAGTAATAAGCTGGAATCGCTCCAACTGACTCACAGTGGATAAAATTTCTTTCCAGGAACCTTTTAAATAGTTGCCATCTACAGAGGCTACTTCCAACAAAGTTTTGATGGCTTCCACGTTCTTGGATTTCATTTCGTTGAGGTTGGATAAGAAAGTGAATTTTGTTAAAGTGGTCACAAAGGCATCCCGTTGTAGATCAACATCTTCAGACTGTACTGTGTGGAACAGGCAAATAATACGGATAGCATTCTTAAAACCTTCTAGACAAAGATTGACGGTTGTAGGATCATCAGACTCTTGGAGAGGCCCGGAAATACCAGCTAAAAACGCCATCCAAGCGACTTCAAACATGGGCCGAACATGTTCGACATGGGATGCAATATAAAAAGTAATAGTGTCACTTTCACCAGCACGGCGTCGACTTGCAAGCATATTACGAATCATAGCTTCAGTTTTAGACCCCATTTCTTCTGTCGCTGCTTGATAAGCATCGCGACGAGCATCACGCGTAAGACCAGCACTTGCTAATGCGTTCTGCAACCCACTTATCCCTAACACACCTGTAGCAGAAGGCGAAGCAATTAATGCAGCCTCTTGTGCGGCTTCCACTTCTTCATTCATCTTAATTTCCTTATTCTGGATCTCATTGAAGATGCCTTCAAGAAGCTCACGAGGAATATCTGCGCCATCGTCAATACCACGGTTATTACTGATAAATTCATCTAATGTCATTCTCTTTCTAACATTGGGACTGTACTGATCCGTATTGAGCATAATAGTAGAATAAGAAAGAACATACGCAGTCTCTAAAGTGGTCGAAAGAGTAAGAAAAAAAAAAATAGGCCGCTACCAAAACGTTGAACTATACGAACCTGCGTTTGCAAATACATTCGGATTCCCGTGAACATAACGTTCGGCAAACTTCAGCATGAAGCGATCGATTTTCTGCGCTTCACCAGGCAAACGGAAGGATTGTAAGAAAAAGCGAAGGGCATCAATGAACTCCATATTGGTGAAGTCCATTTCATCAACAAAAGCATGCATGATCGTGATGTTTTCTTGATCACTAATTGATGATAGGTAAATAGTCGGTCTAACAGAAAACAGACACTAATCATGGCTTGGAAAACTTACCCTTCACCCAAGTATTCACCCAGAACTTTCTTATTTAAACCTTCTGTGTGCAATAGAAAATGTGCTACATTATTGGGGTCTTCTAAATTGATAAAATTGTTATTGGCCAAAAAAGCGATGCCTTTCTTTGGCTTAAAGTTGAATTGTCGAACGCCTTCTTGTAATAACTGTTTACGATGTTTCAAGTTTTCAAATGCTTCAGGGTCGTCTAAGCGTGTACTACTGTTATTGTTAGGAAGAGTGATAGTGGAGCTATTAGCATTTGTCGAAGCAAGTCTAGATGAAGATGCATTGGAAAGGTCTGTCATTGAGGAAGACGAAGGTCGTTGATGATCTTCGCTATCACGTGGTGTATCATCATCAGCGCGATTATTTTTATCACCATTAGCTGTAATACTGACGGAATTGTTAGTATACCAAGCGACCAATGAACGCAAGATAGCAACCAAACATTCCAACGACTTGAAGCGGATGGCAGACTCGGGTAGAACATTATGGGCATTCTGCTTATCAGTATTCAAAATTGTAGCGGTAGTTAAGGGTGGTGGTATAACAACAGAATTTGAGTGGGGGCCGGTATGAGGATTCGATATGGGATCGGAATGACTATTGTAATCTCTTCCATTGGCTTGCTGACTATGCGAAGTTGTTATTTTTGATAGAACATTCACTAAACTTTCGTAAATATTGTCTAATGCCTCACGGTCACAATCATAATTCAGATAAACATCGACCAGCGTCTGGGGATCTTCACAAATTTGCAAGACGCCTTTCAATAAAGAGAACTTCTGTTGATTGGACACATTGCGCATTTCCAAAATACGTAAGACAATCTCTTTTAAGAAGATTTCTATTTCGTTTTTGAGATAAATTCTAAGGTCCTGAACAACCCGCCATAAAATCTCCTGAGTGATGTCAAATACTTGAGGTACAACAGAAAATGCGTTACGACCCAAGCTAGGACAGAGATACTGCTTTACTTCCAAAATAAAAGGATTGGCTTTATGTCCACTGGGGTTTCTAACCGCTACTGAGAAGAACACATCTTCAGAAGTGAACACATCCATATGAGCTACAATGATTGTTTTGATTAAATGTAATGAAAGCAACTTTGAACGCATAGAATATGATCTCATGTCGTTTCCCCTATCAATATCAATTAGATTTACTTCCCTTCTTGACTCATGCGCAATTGATCAACATTCCTTACCATTCTGATTGAATGGGCTTCTTAGAGAGTTTGCAAAGTGCTCTGAAAACCAAAATGGCATCTTTAATGTATAGATCAGCTTCTGTTTCAGCTGGACCGGTTTGATTACTCTGACTTTCTGTTGATACTCCTGACTCTTCTGTAACAAAACTATACATATTCGATATTCTTAGTCCTTATGTGTACAGCAGCCTGTTATACATTTACCATCCCCTTTTGACGGCTTACGTTGTATCATTGGTTGAAGCAATATTGTGTGGCTGCTTATTGTCTGAAATTCCTTCGACTGATTTGTTCTCTTCTTCAAAGACGATGGCGGTGTCATTGAGGAAATCTTGATAGTTGTCCTTGTTTTTACCGCTTGGCAGTTTGTGATCCATTTCTGTACGCGCCATATTTGCTTCTACAATAATCTGCTGTTGATAATCTGCAGTTTCTACTGGAAGTGGTTCTGCTGCCATTGAACCAACATCGTTCATCTTTTCCTCATTTGGTTCTTCACTATTGCGGTCCCTTTCATTTCCTTCCTCCATATTCCTGTCGCTCTCACCACTCTTTCTTTGTACCTTTTCATCAGCGGAACCTGCTGATGCTTCGCCTTTCTCCATTTTATTATTATTCTGCGACTCGCCCTCATTATCTTTTTGACTTGCCGTATCAACGTCGCTTTTTGATATCCCTTCAACTTCATTTTTGTATTCCACCTTTGATAAGGCTGCTTCAAGTTGTTCATGTGAATTTGGATGTAATTTGACTCGTCTAAAGATGTGGTCGACCATTTGTGTCATAGTAATTTGCGCAACATTTTGATTATCATTATTACGTGATAGCAAAAAAATATTGTAAGTTGTCCTCACTGCCTTCAATAAAGCTGATAAGTGTAGTGGATTACTCGTTGAATAAACTGCGTCTAAAAGTGCCTGTATAATAATGCCATTATTATTCTAGAATCTTTCTAAACACTAGAAGCCATCAATTTTACCTTGATAATTTGTAATTGAACTTTCTTATCTGTGTCTTCACCAATAAAGCAGTCGCAAATACAATTCACTACTTTCTCCATTACTTGCGTTTGTGCGACTTCATCTTCCATATCAGCGACATAATTGTAAGTGATGAATTTGCCAAGACAGTCAAGTGCTATGGTCATTAGATTAATAGAGCGAGTTTCAATAGCAGCTTGAAGGGCTGCTAAAATGACAGTTGAGCTATAGTGAGGCATCAGATGGTTAATAAACAAACTGCTGTCAAAAGGGTATATATGCAAACATTCGCTTTACCGAGTTTGACCTTCTGGTAGTGGTTCATTATCTCTTAATGTTTCTGTTAAATGTTTAAAAGTTAGTAGGCTTGTTGCTATACCTTTATTTACAGTTTTTTTTGCCCCAAAAAATTGTGTCTTCTCCTTACTGAGTGCTATATTCACGGCTTCTTTCAATGCCTTATTCCGCCTTGCTTCTCTTGCAGCTGCTATTTTTTCCAACGCATTAATAACAAATACATTGCTGGAAGTAATAGATGAAGAGTCGCTGATGTGTTGCGACGATCGAGGAGATTCCAGATTTTGTGAAGAAGCTGCTGCAGATTCCATAGTTAATCTTCTTTAATCAACGTTCAAGTTCACGTATTTTATTGAACCCGTGCTGTCTTTCGTATATGCTGGACTTTTTCCTGCTCAGTATCAGTGACCTGGTCGAAAATACCTCTTTGAAGCTGATATATAAATAGTTACGCTTCCTCAAGCAAAGTTTAAATCGAATGGATAGATTTTGAGTGCGAAAGAGAAGAGCAAGAGAGTTTGTTCCTTTTTCCTTTTTCGCTCATGGTCGAAACTCCACTTAAAAAAGGAAGCCCCCAAAAAAATAGCAGGTAAATTATTATTGTGAGTCGTTTCTACCGACTTGCTAGAAAGAAGATAAAAAAAGGACAAAATACGTTTATAGTGAACTCTTCTTCATTCCATTTAGTGCAAGGTTTTTAACAAAGTTATTTAAATGTCTAAGGTGAGCAATTTGAGTACAAAACTTATTCGTGACAGAAGACAAAAGAAACATATAGTAAGTTATATGTCTTGTAGTACTAATTGGCTAAATTCTTTGTTGCAAAGATGTTAAACTTGAGAAGCTGCTTCTATTGCTGTGAATGTGTGCTGCACCATTTTAAAACACAAGCATCTAGAAGAAGAGAATAGAAAATGATAAAACTTTGGGCTTTTTTACGCGCTTTGGGAGGACCAAATAGGTATCTAATTAAGTGTATCATGATAAAAAACTTTATAGCCAGAAGAGTTTGCTCAAACGCTTTGAAGGCGCTAACAGTCTTACCTTTCAGAATTTGTAGTAACAGGCCCTAAGACGCTAAAATATGCGCAATCAATTCATATGGTTGTTAAGCATTATAGCAACTGTCTTGTTATGTCCGAAGTAGTAAGCCTCAGCCTTTTATTACCTCGATTCAAACGTACCAATATTCAACAACTCCAACTTTCATGTTACAATGTATCAACACTTTAATTCCTGTTCCCTATGACACTCATTGGAAGAGAAATAATTAAGCTCATAGTCATCGACCTATAACAGTTATCAACTATATCAGCCTAAGCAACGACAATGACTTCTTGTCCATCAAAATACAGTGATTTTAGGGCAGTTCGGACTAATTCAATCTCTTTTATATTACTTCTGCTGTAGATTATGGTTTTATACGCTATTCTTTGGTACACTGAAAAGGATAAGAAAGCCAAAATAAATACATAAGATATAGAGATGCAGTACTCTAAATAATTATATCACTAGTCATGCATATGATGTAAGCTGCAACTTGGTTAGTTACTGATTTGGCCTCGCCAAACTTTAGTATGGCAAATGGGATAGTGCGAATATCAAGTAAGACAGTATCAGAAGGCGATTTTGTTGGCATTGTCACTCTCCCTTTTTCTCCAAAAAAAAAGAGCAAAAGACCTTCTAACTTCAAAAATATATAGAACCAAATCTTTAACCTTTAAGTTTGTATATCGCATATTACGATTAAATTGACATTCTACTAGTTTGTTGGCGATAGAGGTGCCTTAAAAAATCATGAAAAGGAATTTAGTCTCAAATGACTGAAATCCTCATTGTTTTGTTTATCGGGATCTGAATCTTCCGGATGATCTACTCAATTACTTTATATCCAGACTCAGTCGCTAATTTTGAGTATAATGACGCGCAAAAAAATTATGCGTTCAACAATGTTATCTATTGATCCAGAAATAGAGTCGTGCTTACGCGTCATGAACTTTGTTTATATTTTTAATTTGTCAGTAAGTCTGATACATAATTGTCTTCATTGTTTTTGTTTTTTTTTATGGTTTTTTTTTTTTTTTTTAAAAAAAAAAAGAAATTATACTCATCATTTACGCTCTGAAAATCTCATACGCCGTTCCTCTTTTTGTTAAAGCATAGACTAAAAACTTATGCGGGTATGGAAAGATGAAGACTGCCAAACAATTTTGATCGTTGAACAAGACTAGGGAGACATTTGAATTTTTCAGCATCGTTTCTCTCCAATAGTTGTTGTCAAGATTTCAACTGATTTACCATGGTCAGTGGCAATTTCTCTGATGTCGGAGTATTTTTCGAGAAATTTTGGATATCATCGGGAGATGTTGAATCGCCAGCATAGTCTATAATAGCCAGACGTATACATTTTTGAGTGTGATGGGTGCGCGTTGTCAATCTGTAATGCTTCCATTGCAACCTTTGATGTCTGCAAACAAGTGATCTGATGCAGGGGAATCACATTCCAGAATTGGTTCATCAGCAAAGCAGCAGGGACTAACATATACTTCTTCACACTTCATTCGATAATAAAGCTTGTCAATCATGAGCTGCAGAAGTCGCGTTCTAGAAGCATCAGTCTCTTTCGTCGGAGATTTTCTGGCGTAACCAATAGTCATGGAATCAGCCTCGTTCTTCAGACGGTCCCAATATGCTGAAATTGAATCTGTTGATTCAACAAAGAACTCTCTCACCTCCTTCCGTAGTAAAGGCTATTAGACAATGAATAATAATTGCAATGAAAAAGTATGTTACTGAGCTTACCAAAGCATTCGCGGTATGCCTCCTTGCGAATAATTGCGTCTCTTTTTTTACAGCTGCTGCTATCAGCAATGCGCTGCTTATAGCCATCGACGTAGCTCTCCATGTTCTTGCCAACAAGGTAAGCGGCCCAGTTATGCTGCATTTTGCGTGTTTCCTCTGCAACAGACATATTTCGCAGCTCTTTGAATTTGCATACAGCCAAGTAAGTTTCGCGGCTACATAATGCTTGCTGTTGCTGATGCAGCTGGACTGCTCTCGGGTTGAAGCCATCAGCAGACAATAATCGCTCCAAGTGCTGTATTATTAAAGCCTTTGTAGCCGCTACAGAATGTTTGGCAGTTGCTACAGCTAACAGAGAAGAATCGTGTTAAATAGCTAATGAAATCGAAGGACAACTACAGTACCACTGTATGTACTACCTGCGAGTGAACCACTTGACATATAAGATTTGGCAACCATTGAAGGGCTTGCAGTCTTTGCGCGTTTTACTGATCGCCTACCAGGTCGTGCATGTCTCTTTACTGAAGCAACGCTACCGACATCTGTTTCTTGAGAGACAGTTGGCTCACCACTAACCGCTTCTTCATTTGTTTTAGTAAACAAACCGTGCAAGTTGGCCACGACAAATTTGGCAGTTTCTAATATAACACGAAAGTTACTATACATCCATATAATTCACAGTTAATCCTAACATTAATTGATGACTTACCCACCGAAACAGACATCAACTGGTCCAAGGACTTGAGGATTTCATTCTTCTTCTCTGGGAGGAGACCTTCATCCCGCTCGACCTTCATCTTAAGAAGGTTGATTGACAAAGCACAGCTGTCATCGTGACTATATGCACTGTATAGGAAATATTTCGTTATTCTTCCAAAATTCTAATAGCTTCATACGGTATACTGCTCCACAAATAATACATTACCTAGTATTGGCTTCCATTTTAATTATAATTCTCTATCAAATTAACATATGTTGGTCGTTTATTCATGTAAATAAATACTTTGTAAATAGTTACAGCAACTTACTTGAATAGATAGATGGTTAGATGGACAAATATTGACCGTATTTGGTTTGACCATTTGTTGTCTTTCTTTTGCGTGGTCCACAGAGATTGGCTTGGCCAACCCAGTACTGTAGGCAGTCTATTGTACAATATTGTTGAAGGTTGGGGAAGAATTCTTCCATCAGATCATATTGCCTTTCAGCTGTTACAAATTCATGAGTGTAGCACTCAACATTGGATGGACCATCACTACATTGACACGTTAGAAGTAGTAGTCCGTGAGATAACTATGGTTGATTCAATTGCATACTCTTCTTCAATATCTGTAAAAAAGAAAGATAAAAGTAAAATTGTCAAGAAATTTGATTGGATAACTACTGAGCGGCAATTTAAAATAAACAAAGTTTATGACGCGTGAGCGCAACTTTATTTTTGGATCAATGGATATCAGTTGTGCGTCTTTGAACTCAAAATTAGCAACTTTACTTGCTAAAATCACTGTGTAAGGTGTGAGAGATGTAAGCATTAGGGCTGGACTCCTACAAAACATCAATATCCTTTAAAGGATAGGTACTCTACTATGACATTCTATACTATCGATCATTTGTGAGGTGATACCATTCCTACCACCGATCACGGACACTGCTTCACGGTTTATACGATTTAAAAGATTTTTATTAAAATACACCCAATGGACACGAGATATTCTAAACTTATCTAAATTGCACAGGGCAGACCCAAATGTTTTGCAGAGGTGAAAACCCCTTTGGACTTAAAGAGGAATGGGTGCTATGACACTAAATTTGGAATTTGGAAAGCAGATTACCAGTTGATAAACTGTTAACCGAGAAGCGGTAATGGAGAAGGTTCTTGGTTATATTGGAGTTAATAGAGTTCAATAAGATGTGACATAAGACGGGCCAACGGTAATACCATATTTGAGCTCGTTGGGGGTGGGGGTGATCTGAAGGATCACAGTTTATACACTTTTTTCGCAGCTTCGTCATCTGTTATACTACAGATTACATTCGAATAATTTTCAAGACTGACGTTAACAACCTTCTCTATGAAAGTGCTATGTATAAGAATCGATTTTTTCAAACGGCATTTCTTGAAGACAACCCACTATTCCAAACAATATTGGGATAGATAGATCACTGGGAAAACAAGGGTATTTTAATAACTAAAAGTAGAGTAAAAGAAGAGATAAATATGTCTAAAATTGTAAGGAAAAATCTATACAAAGTGATAGGTTCTATACACATGGATTTATATACATAAAAGGGTAGGTTATTCGATACTTGCAATTTTTACTAAGTTTGAGCTGATATTGTAACTTGATTGTTATTGATATCTTGACGGTGATCTTTCCAAGCTAACCTGACTCCACTATCGTTCCAATACACAACATCACTATACCATTCCTGGTCATTTAGCTGCGCAGCAAAATCGCTGTGATGAAGCTTTGTCCACTCAAGTGTCCGTTTAAGAGCCTGCTCATATTGTTCCCAATTATCTTCTTTTGTGATATTTTGCTTTGTGAGTTCGTCGTAAAATTTGAGCGAATGTAGAAGAGACTGAATGACATCGTCTGTATTCTGATCTTGATGATATAAAACCCACATTGTGTTTTTATGATAATTTAACAAGTAATTCTCGTTCTAATAGGAAGCAGTAAGACGTCAGCCTTAATTTTTGCTCTCACAAGCATTTTCAAGTGATTAATATCTCTTCTTCTTACCTTCATTATATTTACAACGCCTTGCACTTCATCAGCAGCTCCAAATGCTTGCTCCGCGCTAGGTCCCAAGCGAATCTTCACGTTGATCTTTCCCTTTTTATTCTTCTTCCCTATCATCGGTTTAATCCATTCGCCGAAACCAACCTCTCGAGGCTTTAACTCGTCATAATCCAAAACACGCCCACTATCGATGAATTCTCTTGCTAGCAACGTTAGCTTAGCCTGGTTTAAGATTTCAAATTCGGCAGCGTGTAATAGCTTCACAGTTGTCCAAATGTTGATGGGAGAGAGAACCGCAAAAGCGCCAAACAAAAAAGCGGGCGAGTGGGATATAGTGATTAGACCCACACCGGATAACATGCCTAGGAGATGAGCTGTGGACATTTGTGCATCATCCTTGGCTACAATATCGCCAATATTCCCATTTGGCTGCTCATACATGATATAAGATTGTAAAAACTGATGAGTAAACTATGGTTAACTGCTCAAAAGGTTCACGAAAGAATACATTACTGAAAAGTGTTTTGTGAATGTCATATGGCTCGCAATCCATATACTTTCATGGATAAGTTCAAACGTATTTCCTGCTGCTGCCAAGGGCAAGAATAATTTCGGTGTCACAATCGAAGTGCAAAGTTGAAGTAGTGATCCCACACTGGAGAATAACTCGCAAACCTACAATAAATTGAGGTCTATGGTTGGATCATTGATTTTCCATCTCTTTTTTCTGAAATGCTTATACCACCCCCACCCTCCTCCTGTGCTTGTTCCCATTTGCTACTTACAAACTTCCAAGTTTTAGGGTGAGAATCGAAAGAGCTGGCGTATTTTTTGATGAAAAACAGTTTACCGATCTCGCCTATACCGTCTTTTAAAACCCTGTAGTTTGAATCAAATCATATTGATTAAAGAGATTTTATAAGCCTTCAGTAACCTGAAAATAGCCGTAACTATTTTACATACCATTGAATGGCAACGGCGCCTCCAGTGGCTTCTACTGTGCCTAAACCTAAAGAAGCTAGCATAGCCTGCGAACATAGAACACCAATCTATTTGTGATTTCATACATTGTTTTAGTACTGATTTCACTATTCTTTTTTCTGTTCCCTTCCAGCCCACTTCTTTAGTTTTATTTATCGGCAACATTACAGCAGAGCCAACGTAAGTTTCCAAAAACAGCCAGCTATGAAATTTCTTATAGCAATCGTGTACAGAGTCTGGATATCCGACTGGCAAAAACATTTCTCTCATATTCTGTTTAATAGAGTGAAATAGGTTGAATCGATTATGATGACGGACAGTTTTTGTTGAAGGATACCATTGTTCATCTTTTCCATTGTTACTACTACTATTTTGTTCAATTGGTTGAACCCATTTCCAAGACATGGGTGTTGAAGTAACTGGCGAAGCAATCTTTTTGGAGGAAGTAATAGTTGACTTTGTTTTACCCAGGGTTTGTAAGTTGGTGGTGTAAATGCGCTTTCGACCATAGACGAGCTCCGTCAATATAGTCTTTTCTGTTCCTTGAGAATGTTCTATAACTGTCTTTGTCGTGTAATTTGAGAGCAGAAGTAAAGTAATTGGCCTCTTTGTTTGTTGCGGAAACAAGCAACGACGTGGGGTACCGAAATATGCACAAGGATGGACTCTCGATGATATCCTTGTTGCGGTAACTCGGATCATGTCAAAATGGATTGGTTATGTTCGTTACAAGTGTTGGAGACGATATCGCCGGCGGTCGTAAGCAGTTGTAAATATCAAAAAAAAAGACGAAAAGAGGGGTTGAAAATGAAAGACCCTTGTGGCAAAATGTCAAAAAGACACTTTTTTTTTAATTAAAAAAATGCATCCCCCGCGACGATGTAAAAAAAAAAAAAAAAAAAAAAAAAAAAAAAAAAAAAGATAAAGTAGGACATCTCCGCTAAAATGAGCTGCAATGAAAAATAAGAAAGTCCATCGAATGGAGCATATAAAGACAGACCAAGCAGAGAAATAGCCGTTGATTCTCCTCAGCATATCGAGACTCACTCCTCATCCACGTAATATTATTATGTAACTAATCAAGGGGTTCCCATTTGAACTATAAAAATGGGAACAATAATTGGATTAATAACGTGGATGAGTGTATATAGCTCATAATATAGATGCAAATAAACAGAGATTGCTTTCATATAACTTACAGCAATGTAGGTTATAGCAGCATTCGCTCCTTAAACTAATACCAAACAAAATTAATGTAGAAGTCCAAAAGCTCACCATCCGTAGAAAAAATAGGCATGATTAAAAATAAGAACCAAAATTGCGTGACTCATAACGTAGATATATATCAGATATTGGACTGTAATACCTTTTTGCTGCATGGAATTAACGTTACTTCCGTAGTATAACAAGTATTGATTTCTGCATTAAAATTCGACGCGCTATTGGATGTTTTACGATATACTATCAAATGGAAATGTATTTTGTAAGCGTAGTCAAAATAGCTTAATAACATGTAATAAAATATCGATGAAGAAGCGTATGGACTATTGCAGCCCAAAACGAATTAATATCTATTCGGAATTATCAGACCTTTGTACGCAGTATTCGAAGGAGAAAAGATGCGCTGTATGAACATGAAAACATTTAGTGTTTTGATTATAAGCAAAGAGATACATATTAAATTGCTATTCCTTGTAAAGTTAAATTGAGATATATATGTACACATTCATTAGAACTTTGAGAGAAATTCTTCAAAATAACTGATATAGGGTGCCAAAGATGTGTTGGTATAATTCCCTGGTGATGTTGGGTGCTCCTTGTTATAAGCCATAAGCTCTTTTCTAAGTGTTATCATGTCAGGTGCTGATAATGGATCAAATGTGTGAAACTCGCTTGGTCGAATAGGGACACATACTTTAAGTGTTTTTGGATGAACGCAGAATGGGCTTTTCAGCAAATGTTTGATATCTGTAGATACTTTTGTATCCAGCCTTGGATAGCAATGTTGAAACTTGATCTCCATCGCACAGTCTTCTCGGAATCTTTTTTTTCTTTCCATTTTGCCCACTTCGCTCACTAGATATTCCCATTTCTCTTTAGATGTCCATACTCGATCTTTCTCAATCCATTTGTCCTGGATTTTATCTTTTACATCGGGAAAGCGAACAAGGTCCAATATTGCTTTCGAAGTCGAAGGGTTACTTAAAATTTGCATGTCGTCCAGCAGAACACTTTCAAAATACTTATCCAATATATTAAAAGAGCGTCTACAAAACATATTGTTAGAGTAGCTCAACGCTTTGTAACGTATTTTTTTTAGATCGGACTTACTCAAGTGAAGGCCATATTGGTATTTGTATTCTTACTTTGCGACCTGCATTGACACCGCCTCGAACAACTTCTAAAGCACCAATAATTGCTTTTCTTCCGCTATCATCCAAATTACGTGCACTTTCGTCGCATACCCAACAATGTACACCACGACGACCAGAATATACCCATAAAATATGTTCGAACCCAAACTGCTCTTTTAATTCGGTATGTATGATATCCATGCCTATCGCCGCATACTGCCAACATTTGTTACAAATATCGCCACCACTAATAATGCAAATATAATTGAAGGTTAATTACAAAAGTCCGGAAACGAATCAGCATAGTGTTCTCTTTTTTTTTCAGAAATATCATTGATATCCTTACCTACAGCATGTACGTATTTCATCGTAATCCGTTAAATCAATATCGATCACAAATTCCTTTGCATGTGCTTTAAAGGATAATTCACTAACTGTAGCCTTATCTCTGGGCTGCAACAAAATGTTATATAAATGATAAGTTAATCAATGACGCAAATGATACTTTCTTCTATTCTATTATCTTCTTCATCGCCATGGAAATGCTAGATACTTTACCCGCACTGCATAGATGGCTCCTATATCGATTTTCACAGGTTGAAATCTTTCAATATCCTTTCTCAAGCTTTCTTGATTATCGTATGAGTTAAAACGCAAGTAACGATCATTATTTAATGTAAAGCTAAATTCTCGGTGAGTGAAGTTTTGACTCGGTGCTAAAAAGCAAATTTGTCGAATTGTATAAGAAAAAAATAATGCCGTCTTTGTTTCTCATTCGAGTCATAAGTTGCTTCCTTACTAGTGCCATAATTAAGCCATCTAAAATATGCATCATAAGGAAATAACGAACGATAAAACATTCTATACAAGAAGACAGGGTTATTGAGGTCAAGCCTTATGTTCCCAAATGGTGTTAAAGAAACAAAAATGATTAGCGAGCCATACAACGTTAGATTGTTAAGTGCCACGAATTATTCTTACTCTTCTTCTGCTAATAAAGTTGCTCTATCTGTTAAAGGCGCAGCAAAGTTAACAGTTTGCTTTCTCTCAGACGAAACGTCTTGCATTTCTTGATCAGGTTGAACAACAACGTCCTCCATAACATCGTCTGGAGAGAAGTCCATGTCTAAAACCTCCTCCAAGCCTTGAATCTCCTCGTTGGCTGTTAACAAGAAAATAGTAACTCATGAACTTAGTAAGCGAATAGATACACTTGCTGATAGCTTTTTTTTATGTATATGTTTACTAATCGACCCACCTCTTTGTTTTGAATCTTCTGACATAGTCATTGTTGAAATATTTCGTTTGCAGTTTGAATCAAAAAGGTTATAAATTTTAGGTTTTCCTTTTTTCGCGAATTTTAAACTTGATTCGCGTCGTAGAACTCTCCCCTTTTTCGAAATTCCGCACAAGGTTGATTTTCCTTTGTTCAAACAGACGAGATACGTTTAAACAAAGATTTTATTACATAATATTAATTTTTAAAGCCCAATGGACACGAGATATGAAAGTTATCTAAATTGCCCGGGGCAGCTCCAAAGGCTGAGTAGTACCTAAGAACCCCTTAAGGCTCAAGGGTAAAAAGGATTATGTTCTAAAGGGTTGTGTGGGGTGGGGAGGGTAACCAGTCGAGCAATAGATGCCCTATCCAAGGAGTTGTAGGCGGCTCTTGAGAGTGGTGTAGGTGGTCGAGTTCAAACAAAATGTGACAAAATACTGGCCATAAAAAATGATTTGCATTTGGGATGGGTTTTGAATCAGATGCGTAGGAAGACGGTTGAGAACATGTGATATGGGATCACAAAACAAACGAGATACAGTTTATTAACTTCATATTTGGTCGAAGATGGAATTATGCTTACACGAAAGCCAAATTATAGTAGACGAATGTTGTGTATAGAATAGACCATTGAAGCATACATGTTAGACAGTTCTCACAAAGATATAAAAGACAAGTTTACCATTATTACCTGTAAAAATCAGCTGGTTTGGTTCCAGCGATGTTACGTGTTAGTGTAGAGGAGGTGGTGGCGGTGGCGGTCTTCGTTGAGAGTACTTCGGGTCTACCGTTTCCATTCCAAATGGTGGTGCCTATGGACATCATGTTCTTACAGGCATTGATGTCCCGGTTTCTTAGTATACCGTAGCTTTTACAGGCGAGTATACTATGGTCGGGAACATCATCTAAGCCATGAAATTCCTCGCTGCGGCAGCGGCAGCAAATCTTCGACGTCTTGAATTCGTCAATCATCAGCACTAACAGATTACCGGCTGCTTCCCTTCTTTTCAGCGCACGGAACAAGGCACCAACAACATCACAACGGAGTCCCTTCAACTTCACGCTATCTTTGCCAAACATGCCATCTCCAAAGACAACAAGAGGAACTCTTTTTCTTGTCACCTACTTCGAATGGTTTCTGCTTCCATTTGTCTCTAGACGGACTGTAAGTATAACTTTAGTCTTGTTGGCCTCTGATATGACGGTCATTCACAGTTAATTGACTTACTCCTTTCCCGTGCCTTTAACATTTCTGTCTTGTTCTTTCTGTCCTTCATCTTCATCAGTCTCTGCAATCTTTCTTATGTTCTTTCTTCGTTTTCGAGCAGTCGCTCCCTTTTACTTTTTCTTTTTTGCGACTGCCCTTTTCTTTGCTCGCAAATTCTCATTGTACTTGCTTGTTCCATCAAGAAGCATGTTGACCATGTTATCGGCTGCACGCTTCCGACCTTGATACAGACGGAACCTATCTTCAGCAGGACCAGCAACGTAGAAAGAAAAGAGAATCTTAATATGCTGCAATATGTATTTCACATGGTTTTTATACTGCTGAGGAGAACCTGTCTTGACGGTTGGGATCTCGATTTCAACCTGTTTGATGGAGTCGGTTTTTCTCTTTTCCAAGCGTGCTGAAGATCTGGTGCTTCCAGTCATATGATAGTACTCCTTGTTGGAGCATTTGCGAACCTGGTGCTCTTCAATATCCAACCCACTTGCAGCAGTAAACACGTCTCTTTGTCCTGGATCGATGAAGGACGGTTTGTACGTTGTTTCAACCTCTTCTTAGGTGAAATTTTCGAGTTTCAAATCATGATCATCTATGACTACGTTGGCTTTTCTTCCGACTGAAGATGAAATCAACAGTGAAGCCATCCGACCGAACCAGATTCTTAAAGAGAATCTCTTGGCCTTGTCTTGAGGTCATTTAAACTAGGCAAAATAATATGAGGTGGAAGAATTAAGAATTTGGATTGTTAAAAACTGGAGACGCTTTATTTACCTCTCCAAGCCCAGCTTTTTGAAACTGAAGACACGATAAAACTGCTTTAATTGGTTCAAGTAACCAATTTCAGCACGAAAGGATTCAAGGCGTTTATACTTATGGTTATAAACCGCCATCTGGTTGAAGGAGAAGGGAAAGGGAAGAGCGTTGAGATAAAGGAAGCCTACGAACGTCATACGGTGCATGTTCGGCATGTTCCTGCTCATAGACAGATAGGATATACCACAAGGGCTTGGCGAAGTTCGCAGGAATTGCTGCTAGTGACAGAAGGGTAACTCTCTCTGTCACAAGCTTGTCAAAGCTGTTGCAGAGTGTCTTGATCTTGTTTTTGTCCATAACTCGATTTTTTCAGGCTACTAGGGCTCGCCTTTGCAAATTTTTTTGACAACAGAAAGATTTTGCTACCTCTTCAGCATCAGCTTTCTTCATGTTCTGATAGGTGATAAAGCACAAAAATGTCAGCAAGAGCAGATAGTGTCAATACTAATGACAAAAGTTGGTCTTACAACGAACAAATTTGAACCTTGTAGGTCAAATATTTCAGCATCCGTTCCTCAGAGTACAACAATAGAATTGGTGTATGCAACACTTGTCTCCTTGGCAGCTTCTGTAAGACACTGACTATAGCCTTTGGTGAAGTTATTGCTGATTGCTATTGCCAGATGTTTTTGCTTGAAATCTTCAAAAAAAAAGTCTTGATGCTGTCGTTTACTGCTGTCTTATGAGTGACCTTTTGCCTGTAACCAGTTGTTCAATCGAGTACCAGAATTGCTGTGTAAAGACTCCGGAAGGGAAGTCATTCTTCTTATTATGGGCGAGATAAGTATCGACAAATAGCTGACAACGGAAGATTATAGCCCTAATGCCATTGCAGCACGAAATGACTTTTTTCATAAACTTTTCACGATATTCGGGTAATACGGCACGGCTAACAGGAAGTTTCCTAGTAAATGTGGTCGAGTCACTGCCAATGACAGAGGAGATGAATTCCTGCTTCGATTGAGTGTGGTTGGGACAAACTGGTGAACGGGAACTGGTATGGCTTTCTTCTCCACAGCTGAAGCACTTTACAGCTTGTGACGCCGCTCTCTTCATTTTGGCAGCTTTTTGTCAGCCTTGACCTTGGTGCTCTGTTTTCTCTTTTTGCTAGCGCTACCAACTATGTGTAAGAATGAGTTGTTGGTGTACTGGCTTGTGCGTGAATAGAAAATTTCAGGTTACCATCATCAGCGGTTACGGCTTTGTAAAACTTGCATTTGTAGTAGTCCTTATTATAATGCCCGGATGCATTACAGTCTTTGCACTTGACATGTTCTGATTGTGTAATAATGTTGCTAGTACAATTGTGCGCCGAAAACGCATTCCTTAATACATGCTTACCAAATAAGTTCTCTTTCCCTGTGCGCTTTGCTTTCACTAATTCGATTTTATCTATGATAATACTCTTGTAAATGCAAGTAAAGGATAGCAGTGTTTACGAGGTCAAGAAATGAAAAAAAAAGAGAAAGAGAGATGTGGAAGAATTCAAACACGAAAACGATCTTCACTTTTGACAACAAAAAGCTTTCCTTTGACAACACCTTATGAAGCATTATCTCATTTACGCGTTCAACATCGCAAGTGAATAAGCAGTCAGTCTCTTTATATAAAACTTAAGGTTGATCCTTACGCTGCCAGCTTGCTGTGTAGAAGCTCATTATCATACTGCCCTCATCATCCAACTTTCCATGACACTGCTTAGCACGTATGCCTACTTTGTCCCAGTCTTGGTCGAGGCCCGCTCCGACTCACTACACATTATGGCATAATCCATCGTATGTCATAATCAAACTTTTATTATTGTGCTTTTGTGACTACTCAATCTGGCTGAAGTGCGTCAGTAGAGCCGATGTTTGAGAGAGAACTTATTTGAGCTAGACAGAGCATTATTCCAATTTTGGAAAGAGAACGTCCAAAATTCTTTTTGTAAAGGTCTGAAAATCAAGTAAAAAAAAAATGTATTTTAAGGTTTGAACGAATTGTTAAAGACGATGCTTCCTTTCTTCTTTCTTTTTGTTCCTTACATCAGCAACCTATTTATTTCGTTTATTCTAAATTTCCTTTTCTCTATCAGATAGCTATTGATTACTGAGTTTTGCTTCGTTTCTTTGTTTTTTGCCTTTGTCAGCTGCCTTTTCATCCGCCTTTACAACCGCACTGATACCAAAAGAATCAACATTTATGAATTTTGGACTCGAGAGAATACACAGTTTATTGGAAGCCCTTGATCGACCAGACGAGCGTACACAAATTATTCATGTGGCCGGAACCAATGGCAAGGGATCTGTTTGTGCCTACATCTCTACTGTTTTGCGTACGTGTGGCTATTCCGTTGGACGCTTCAACTCACCTCACCTTATTGAACCTCGCGACAGTATTAATGTGAACGGGGAACCAATTAGTCAAACACTGTACGACAAAGCTTTTGCACATGTTCACGAACTTAATACGTCCCATGCTATCGGTGCTTCTTCCTTTGAATGTCTGGTAGGAGCGGCCTTTTACGTTTTCGATCAAGCCCATTTAGACTTTGTGGTACTCGAAGTGGGCCTCGGCGGTTTGTTGGATGCCACTAATGCAGTGCGACATCCTGTTATGACAATTATCACTGCGATAGGAATGGATCATGCTCATATATTAGGCCATACATTAAAGGAAATTGCAATGGCAAAGGCAGGTATCATGAAACCAGGATGTCCTGTTGTTATAGCACCTCAACCACCGCAAGAACCAACGACAAATGACCTTCATTATCGCAATAGTGATGTACTATCGACACTGATACAGCATGCAAAAGTGACAGGATCTCCTTGTAAAGTAGTTGAGCCAGCTACATTTGTTACAAACGATCCACATCAAACCAGAGAGAAGCAGGGGGAAAAAATTGATATTCAACATCAATCTCTTTGCGAATTAGAAATTCATGAAGACGATATACATTATACATATCCCATTCGGCTGATAGGTGACTATCAACGCATGAACTCTGCTACAGCTGTCGTGGCTTTAGATTGGCTCAAAAGGCTCAATAAAATCAGTATGAGTACAGAACAACTAACGACGGGCATGAAAGAAACGCGATGGCCTGGTCGGTTGGAATGGCTCACCGAAGACGATTATCCAACAATATTTTCCCGGCACCGAATCAGGCGCATATTGGTGGACGGTGCACATAACCCACCCGCCACTTTTGAATTACGTAAATACATAAATAGTCTAAAACCACAGCTTAAACGCGTCATTTGGATTTTGGGATGTACTCAAGGCAAAGATGTCGCGAGGATGTGCCAAGTATTATTGGCTAATGAAGATATAGTATACACATGTTCATTTACTCAGCCAGATGGTATGCCCTGGATTCAGTGCATTCCACCTGCGGATATGATTCAACAAATCAAAGCACAGCAACAGCAGGTGAGTCATATAGAAGGCTTTGCAAATTTAGAAGATGCATTGAAAAAAGCTGGCTTGAATTGCGGTGAGAATGATTTGATCGTTCTTTGTGGGTCACTTTATTTGGTAGCTGATCTGTATCGAATTTTGTTATAAATAATTCCGCTTGATATTTGTATTTATGCTTATTTAAGAGTATCATAATTAAATGCAATGGCCCCGAATAGTAGGTTGAACAGAAACCGATGACGACGATTTTCGGTTGTATGCGTAAATTTATAAACGCACACGTACAAATCTTACAAAACTTTATGGCAAAGTGTACAAGCAAACGTAAATTGCACTCATTCGGCTTGTTGGCCAACCATAGTGCTGTTCAACATTCACATGATTGTTTGTCGTTTCATTCTACATAACAGTGTAGAGTATAAGGGAACATTGATTTATGCGCGATTTTCAAACATTATTTCGAGCGCTTCCACTATGATTTAAGAGAATGATCGAGCGTCAGCAGTTCGCCGTTTCCTTTTCTCTTTTTTCTTTTTTCTCACTCTTTATTGCTGTGGGCTGGCGTATAACTTTTGCCTGATTGAACCTGTATTGATCTATCAAAATCATGTTTCATCCCCCAATGTAGCGTTTTAGCTGTAAACTGGAACAGCAAGCTCTTCATATCACTCGACGAGCTTTCCCTGATCTCACCTTTACTTCGAAATGAAAAATGGTCGAGCAGTCATAGCAGTAAAAGCTATTTACGTCCGAATGGTTGCTTTTGTCCAGCAAAACGATAGGATGCCCTCAAAAGTGCCTGTACCTGCCTCTACAGAAGAAATGGAGGCAACTTGTTTCAATCATTGCCGATCATTTCATATACGAGACCAATATTTTTTTACCATAAATGGACTTCTTTATATGTAAGGGGCTCGGTTTGCACAAAAAGAGCGAGGAGATAAGGTATATTTCTCGAGACTATATTTTTAGCCCTTTTTAAGATGTGTACTGACCGTATGGTAACCTTAGAGGCCTAAACTTTTTTTCAATTCTTTTTTTTTTTTATTTTTATTTGCTTGTTTGTTTTTCTATTTTATTTGTGTGCGTTTTGTGTGTACCTGCCCTACTTTATACAAATCAAACCCAAATCTTTTACCCTCTTTGTTACTTTTCTTCTTTTACAAATTACTCAAGCCATAATTTAGAGTAATCAATGTTTGTATATAAACATGCCTTCAATATCATTAAAAAACCTTTTTCAACACCTAAAGCGGTTACAACAACTCAAAGACTTTTTGATATCAACAACATTTACAGCAGAGGAAGCCGCATTCATTCACAGTATTGCTTATTTTTACACACATATTCCCCCGAAAGGTCTATAGCAGCCACTTCTCGTGCACATAGTCAGCATCATCTACATATCGCATCCTTACCACAACAGCAGCAACAGCAACAGCAATTAGAAGGCTGCTCAAAGCCAACAAGCAACAACCTGAATGTGATTGATTTTTTCCATCCATCCTTAGCTTCAGAGACACTGTTTCACTACACCTTTAATTTTGGTTGTTCCGGATTTCCAAAACGTTGCAAAATAAAACCAGAAAAGACAGAAAAGTCTGGTACATCAATAACAACACCAACAACTTCATCATCCATAACAACAACAACAACAACACCAGCAGCAGCAGCAACAACAGGAACTAGTGTTGACTCAGCTGAAGATGTCACTGACGATCACAGAATATATTCTAGTTTTCAAATCGGAGACGATGCATACTTTAAACGGAATGACGCTCTAGGAGTTGCAGATGGGGTTGGTGGATGGCGAACGCATAAAGGTAAATAGTAAAACTCCCAACAGTAAATAAGAAAATAATTGAAACTACATACTAACAATAAACATTCAAAGGTGCAAACCCTGCTTTGTATTCTCGCAAACTAATGCATTATGCTCAAATAGAATTGGACCGTATTAAAACGAATGTTCGACCACAACAATTACAAGTTAAACCGGATCCAGTCCAAGTATTGGAAAGTGCTTATCATATGACAACTTTGGATGCACAAAATGAGGTATACAAAGCGAGATCAAGCATGAAATTCTGTACTACTTCTAACACACGATGAACCTACTATTTTGGTCAAATAGGGAATCGTAGGCTCTACTACGGCTTGTATTGTAATATTATGTCAAGATGAGCTTCGAATAGCTAACTTGGGCGATTGCGGTGTGTCAGTGATTCGACAAAATGATTACATATTTCGATCGGAAGAACAACAGCATTCATTCAATTTTCCATATCAATTAGGAACGGCTTCCTTCGATTCGCCTTCGGATGCCCAGCAGTTTACCGTGAAGATAGAAGAAGGAGATATCATCATTGTGGGATCAGATGGTTTATTCGATAATCTATATGATGAAGAGATATTAGAAGAAGTGACAAGTTGTATAGAGAAATCAATGATGGTTGAACCACAACACATATCAGATGCCCTCGCTCACAGAGCCAGAGTGGTTAGTGAAGACCCCGAAAATCCGAGCTCGCCCTTTCAATTAAGGGCGATGCATGAAGGTCTATATTATCAGGTGAGTTGTACAATTCAATGTTTATTTGGAGTTTAACATCTTTCATTTATACAGATTTATTTGAATCACAAATAGGGTGGCAAAGCAGATGATATAAGCGTATTAGTAGCTGTTGTGAAAAAAGACGAAAAACCTCCAGAAAGGTCCCCTCCGCCATTGCCTTAAATTGACCAACATTCCTTATTTTATATACCGCATATATACACATGTATATCCATTAGATGCATTAATCTATATAACTCATTCTCACCCCATGCTTATACATGCATGCATACATACATATATCTCATCATTTTTTTCAATTGTACAATTCAGCAACATCTTTGACATCATAAAAAGTAGTAGTGATTATGGAAAGCTTTCAACATTATTTCATTATGTCCGTGTTTATTAACTATATCTTCATTAAGCCGTGGCAGTACTGGAAGCCTTTTTTGAAGGAGCCTTGGGTGTTGCTGCTACTTTCTTCTTTAAGGCCTTCTTAGCAGGTGAAACGGCCACTTTCTTTTTCATCTTTGTTTCAGTTGTTCTTAGCTTCTTGTTGATAGGCTTCGTCGTCGATTTACCTTCAGCAGACATCTTCTTGACGATCTTCTTCTTGAGGGCTTCTTTTTTCTTACTGGATCCTGATGCTGCTTTCTTCTTTGCTTCTTTCTTTTCAGGTTTGACTAACTTAATAGCACCGGAGCTGCCTATTGTACATGGGTGAATAAAATACAGTAAGAAGCTGTACATACCACTCCCTGTATTTCGATACGAATCTTGATATTCTCCTTACGCCGCCTTTCCGCTCACGCCTATTTTTCATTTCCTCCCACATCCCAGCAGCAGATAGCTACATCATTAGCTTCCCAAAATCATAGTCATCTTTTACCCTTTGGAAGTGAAAAAACATTTTTCGCAACACCACGACGAATTGCGTTGGATATTTGATAGTCAAATTGGTTTCCAGGATTCATTTTGTAGTTGGCAAGGATATATTTTTTGATGGCTGGGCGTGAGCTACCCTTACGTTCCTTTAAATTAAGAATAGCAGCTGCATTCAAGGTAGAAAAAAGAAAAATAGGCATTATTTGGTTGGAAGTTAGACTATCATTGTTTCCGAGCTAAGCTTGTGTGTGAGATTATAAGAGTGTGCTAAGCTTACCAGTAATCATATTTTCATACTAAGATAAGTGAAAGAATAATTACCCGTCAAAAGACCGATCATGTATTGGTTATTCAATATGAACAAGATAATCTTAAAGAAATGATATATCAGTCTTACCGAAGGATGATCAGCGCCCTTTTTGAAAGATGCTACAAGAGTAGTAGCGACAATACTAGTGGCAGCGTCTTTCCTACTATCTTCAACTGGCTGTATAACGGATTCAGTCGTCATAAGAAGAAAAGAAAGAAGGATAAACAGTAAAAGAGAGAGAAATAAAGGGGGAAAAAGAATAAAGAATTGAAAAATTTACGACGCAAAAGGAAAAAGGGAAGAAGCAAGCTTCACGCGAGATAAGGAAAATATGAGAATTTCAAGCCAGAGACAGAGTAAAAACTTTACAAGAGCATCTCGGTTGCATTATCTCATTTATTCACTGTGAAATAAAATTGCTCTGGTAATAATAAATAGAACTGGTTCAATTTTCGACCGAATTTTGATCATGAGAATGAAAGCAGTAATTGCTTTGTCTATTCATATAGAAAAAGAAAGCTTGCTATGCTTATCATATCCAGGCTTCTCTGTAACTGCGTGATGCTATAATCATTAAAGACAACACCAACTCTCGATTGATCTTGTTTCCTTCAACTAATGTTGAAGGAACTGATGGCTTATCGTTCTCTCATTCGTATCTTTCGCGAACCACGGACATCCACATTTTAGAATAGCTTGAAATTCCGTTCAATTAAATAAGAAAATCTCAGTTCATTGGCACAGAAGGAATGATCATCCAGTCTAGAAACCCACTTTTTTCTTGTTCTTTGCCAGTTGACTTGTCGCAGCTGTGCAATCCATTATTCCTGTCAATATACAAGGCCAATGGAAAAGACAAAGTTTCCATTTTTTATGAAAGGAAGAAAGAGAAAAAGAAAAAAAAAAAAAAAGGAAAAAAAAAACTCATCAGAAAGAGTGGCCTACATTACTTAAGAATAAGATATTTCTACATGTACAGTAATGGCTCAAATCACCTTCCTTTATTTTGATGTATCTGGTTCCATACATGGATTCTTCGTAAAACTGTAAAAGTCCTTCAATCCATTTGAAAATGGTCTCAAAGTCACTCTCATCAGACAAAGAATAAGTTTAATCATTTGTACATTGCCTGATTAGTAGCATAGAAAATTCACTCGTCATTTTCTCAGCTTTTTGAGGACGTTTGAAGAAAGCCGACAACGATAGCCTATTAATGTTGTGATACTCCTCAAATACCATGACAAAAGGCTTGACCACTTCGACGTACATGGACAATAAAGTGGTTGATGTCCCATTATACTCAGCCGAGTTATCATTGATAGTTATCAAATGCTGTGAGTTTGAAAGGGAATACAACAACCATTTTAATTCAGGAAGGAAAGAGAAAAGCCAGGCATAATTGAATGTATTCAAGTAAAGAGATAAGATTATGGATTTTGAATCTGTTTCTTCTTTGCATGCTTCGACTCTACTTTGTTTCCTCTAGTAAAAAACACTATATATAGGAAAGATGTATAGTACTTAAAAAATGGTAGACTTTTATTGTCATTCAATATATCATACCGTAGCAAGAAGTCGGCTTTCCCGGTGGATTTCGAATTTGTGAAATTGCAGTTCGCATTTATAGCTTTTCTATCTATCACAGTACGAGTTTATCCTTAGGTAAGAGCAAGGCGGATAATATAAGATGTTTAGAATGATGACAGTCCTCACTTACTAACCTTAAGAAGAGTATACATACTGAGATATAAAAACGCAAGGTTCATTGAAAGATTGTGGTCCCGTTCATTCTCTTCCTTCGTCTTGGAAATCATATACTGCTGATCCTATACAGCGGATTGTAAGGCACTTCTAGAAACGTTTCCGCCTCTTTGGTACATGAACTCTTAATGCCCAATAAGCCCTTGACACGTCCATTGCTGATCTACAATGTCTGAAAAAGCCTCTTTTCTGTCCCTCAGGGAATATGACACGACTCCAAGGCATGCTAACTTTTGCTCCCTCTTCTGCTTCTTCTCTTCCTCCTGTATAGTGACTTTCGATAAAAGTCAATTCTTCTTCTGTAAGGTGCCATTCACGTCTTTTGCCTTGCGATTTACTATTGATGATACTATTATTATAGTCAATGATGCGCTGTAAAAATGGTATTCTTTCCTGAGGAAAATTGGGTGGCACAGCAGCGGATATAGCGAGAAAATCATTTGTTGGGGAATTGGGTGCAATATCAACTTCATTCGAACTTGACAGATCCGGTGGTTGTAGTTGTATTCTATTTAGACAACGTAATCCTTCGTTCGCAAAGTGTTTGGTCATATTAAAGAGATCCACTGGGGTTGTCGCTTGTGCCATATTTTGAAAGAATTTTCTAGTTTCAAAAAGAAATTGATCCACTGCTTTTCCCTTGGTTTTTCTTATTTGTCTGTTATGAATAATATTCAAGATGTTCTTGTTCCTACTGTTAACATTATCATTGGTGTCAGCATTGTTATTATTGAACATATGCTGTTGCTGTTGCTCTAAAGTTACTGCTATCTCTTCATCCCGGTTAACAGTTAGCAGATCACTTTGCTGTTGGATCATATGTTTACTTAATAACAGCAATGGACTCATTGGTTTGCCGTTATTGACATGTTGAGTGATGGAATTTTTTGTTATAGAAAAGCATTCTTTAGCCCAACAAGTGGATTGTATCTTGACCAAAAATTCGTTGTCATTGTTGAATCCGAAGCTATCACTGTCTAACAATCCTTCCTTTAATAAATCGTCAGTGAAATCGTCCAGTACAATAATAAGTACAACAGGTAGAATCCTATATCTTTTATATACACAAGTACAGAAATGTACGAGCCTAATCATGAAATCTTGGTCAATTTGCCTTTGTATTTCTATTAAAATAGGTGGCCTCTCTTCAGTTATGTTGTCATTATGGGGTATCAAAAGAGCATCAGATTTGCTGTCTTCTATACAGTTAATTTGACCTGCGTAATAATCGACGTTTTCTTCGGCAACGTCACTGTCTAAAGAGGATACAAACCGTAAATTCTACTTTTAGACAATTTTTCACTGATATATGTCCCTTCTGTTATCTTACTCAGTAATGATTCAGCAACTAAATTCATCACAGTTCGATCTTGCAATATAAAGCGTGTCAACATGCTCGTTTCAGATTCGTGATCGAAGGATGAAGATCGAATATCCTCAAGCTCCTCATTGACGACCAAAGGAACGGCCGTGTTTAATTGTCTACCATCAGCTTCACCATTGACAACTGAAGAATTGAGCATACCCTCCAGTTGTTGCTTAGTAACTCGGGCTAACGATCGGTTCCATTAGTTTAGACTATCTCACCAACTTATCAAACCCTACTTAATATCATACCTTCGTTCTCAATAGGGCCCATCATTGAAGGATTTAAGAAGGGTATATTATTTTTAAAGGGGTAAAAAAAAGTACAAAAGATAAAAAATGCGGAATCAATAAGAAAGTTTCACAATTGAAGTTGAAAGGTACATATCCTTATTGTGTACACGTACAGTACACTTGATGGCATCAAATGGGATCAAATCTCAATTAAGGGTGCTTTTTTTCTTTTCGTATTATGATTTCTCAATTAATTATAACAGTTTTTTAGACATATGCGAACACATAATATGGCAAAGGAAACAGTTATTCATACTTTTGCCATTAGAACTATTTGTTCTAGAATTCATTTTTCTTTCTGCCGTACAATCCCTTTCAATTGTTAAAGCATTAAGATAAATGGATGAATCAAAAAGGAAATAAAAGAACAGATTTTTCAGTTCTTCCTTCCTTTGCTCAAGTAACTTGCGGAATTCGATCTTTTGCAATTTTAACGTAAATTGTGGTCTGTTGATATTTGCTGTTTCAGATCCATTGCAATTGATTCTTTTATTTAGGGAGGAAAAAAAAAAAAAAAAGTATTATATGAGGACGAAAGGCATATTTTGCAAGTTAGAAAACGCGATTTGAGAGCATGCTTAATGTAAGGTAGTCAGTCGGATCGATACAGGATAATAGTGGTTCATCCTCCTTAATGATATTGATATCTTGTTTGCATCCATCACTCCTGTCTTCATCTGCTGGATCGTAAGTATTTAATTGTGAAAATGTTTTTTTGCAAGTCGCACCAAAGTGGCAGATCAGTAAATTTGCACTTGTTGTGTAATGCATAAATATTCAGTAATAGACAGATGGAGAATTGCCATCCTTCACTGGGCGATGGCAGGTTTGCTCAAATACGGTAGTTCTTCATTTCCTTCGCATGAAGTTATCCGACTCTCTCTCTACTCTTCAGAGTAGTCTATTAAATCAGTACTTGCGTTGCATCTTGAGCCATCTCAATCTCCGTTTCACTACACTCCACAAAACTGCCCCTACAAGTAGCATACAGTAAATCATACTCTTGTACCTTTTTCATAAAGCATCTTCAAATGGCAATATAGAAAGAGCTCTTCTGATGATATTGTACAGATTGATTTGTTAAAAATATTCACATACATGTAACGTCAAGTTCATCATTAAAGTGAATAAGCACGTTGCAATTTTTAAAGTTCTTTGTGTATCCGCTTATCATCTATATACATGGGGTTTTAGCGCGGCAAATTTCCTGCTTGAACTATCTTATGATGAGGACGAATCTTTTGATTTATTGCTAGTGTACAAACCTACAAATTCAGGAAATACTATCGCACTCAAAGAAAATGAAGGAAAGCAAAAAGTATATAAGCAGATTGCGTAGCAACGAGGCTGTTTTGGCCACACATCAGCGATACCTTGATCAAATCCCTTACTCGCGCATAGGCAGTTTTATTCTACATTATACTTTTCAACCAGTCATAAATAGCAAAGCTTCTGTCTTTTTCATTCAGTATTATTTTTATGAAGCACACATCCATCCTAGTAGCTTGCTCATTACTATTACAGTGCCATTACACCGTCAATGCGGCCGTTCCTTTTCCAACTGACTCTGATCTGACTACACTAAAACAACGCCGTGTATCAGCCATCGTTGCAGCTAATAGTGTATCAACAACACTAAGCAATACTTGGTAAAACAAATAAATCAAAAAATCAACCTGTACAAAAAATTCAGTGAGCTTATCCACTCTTGTTTTGTGTTGTTTTTTACATATAGGGCCTCCTCATTATCGTCCTCTGGTACCTGGTCCGATATAGATATGACAAGTGGTTGCAATGCCAGGTATGCATGAACTGCAAAAGCCGGAGAGGAACTAGATTCCGCCGCACAAAATTCATCAATCAGTTTCTAGACAGACCATCTTTATTGCTTTTAATAGAAATGCAAATTGGCCAGCAACAAGCCATTTAATACGCACACGTAAGAATGAAGAATAATGTAATACATACCAACGGATGATAAACATTAATCCTGTCTTACGGTTTGTCTTATCTCGGACCACTTAGGAGCCATAGCTGCTGCTTATGTCAAAGACCCTTCCAACACATACTTATTGAATCAAGCGGTAGTGGCTCTCAATTACTGGCTTGACAATGACTTTACAGAAAGCGACTGCATAGACAGTGGAGGCGTGGCAGGTTATCATTGTCCTTGCGGAACCCCTGGTTTATGGAACAAAAATTGGTTTGCTCAAGCTATTGCTGTACCCACTTACGCAGGAGATACTTGCTTGTTACTCAAAGATAAATTGACGAGTGAGCAAAAAGCAATATGTGCAACAATGCAATCGAGAGCATTCCAAGCGATACCTACAGGACTTCGACCCGTTAAAGTCATTACGGGTGCTAATTTACTTGATATGGCATCTGTCGGTATTACACTCGGACTCTTTGAGAGTAATAAGACAACTGTGCAGAGAGCACTTGAGTTCTTTTATGGCGGTGTTAAGGTCAACTCCGTAGTCGCAGCTGATGGTATACAAGCGGATGGATCCTTCATGCAGCACGCAGGACTGTTGTATAATGGCAATTATGGCAAGGACTACATCTCTGACTTACTTGCAGTTTTTCTCATCACCAAGGGCACACCATTGGAACCGGATACAGTGGCTCAAGAAGCATTTGAAACATTGATTGACGGGACGGAATGGATGATTGTTGCTGATACCCGACTAAAGACACTGCTTTGGCAGTACAGTACTATTGGAAGGATGATATCATTCAAATATTCAGATGGTCAAGCAAGTGGGGGTGTGGATATCGACGTGGACGCTATTGCCAAAAGCACGGAAGATTGGGACTCGGAACTTAATTTTGAGGCAATCGTGGATCGGTTGGATGCCCTCCCTACAGAAGACGCTAACCAAGGTAACCTCATCGGTACGCGTTACTTTTACAATGCAGACTATATGGTGAGTACGCATACAAAGCATTCTAACCTTGAGTATTTCGTATGAATAATCCCATTTTCTGTTGTATTAGATTCACCGTGCACCTAACTATGTTACCACCTTGAAAATGTATTCCAGTCGAACAATCAATTCTGAATGTCTTAATGCCCAAAATCCGTTTGGCTTTCATTTAAGTGATGGTGCTATTTTCAATTACTTGACTGGCGATGAGTACGTTGATACTTTTGCTGCTTGGAACTGGGATTTGGTACCAGGTATAACCGTTGATTATGGAGGAACAGCTTTAACTTGCAGTTCAGTGAAAAAGAAAGGTCGAAAGGCTTTTGTAGGTGGAGCTACAGATGGAAACACGGGTATTGCTGTCATGGATTACCTCAACCCAACCAACAGCAATTTGGCTTTTAAAAAGACATTCTTCTTCTTTCCCAGTGGATACGCAGTTCAATTGGGTCCTATCACATCGAAAAATACAAGTGCACCGTTGATTACTGTGCTTGATCAAAAGCGACGTAATGGAGATATTTATGTTTCAGGAAAGTTGAGAAATACAGACACAACTTATACTGTTACGGGCGGTACGAACAGTATTTGGCATGATAATATTGGCTATTACTTCCCAACCTCTGAAGTTCTTTACGTTGATTCCAAACCAAGAAAGTTTGATTGGTCTTCGATTGGTATCTCGACAGGAACAAGCGATGCCCAGTTGTTTACATCTTACATTAAGCATTCTAAAACAAGCTCAACAGGTTTACTGACACAGTATATCGTACAGCCGAACATTACAGCGAACAAATTCAACGATTTTGTCGGTTCGGGTACAATCCCCATTGCGCTGGATTTTAAAGCGAGCTCTCCTCAAGTGAATGCTGCCTATAGCGCTGCTGATAAATCCATAGCAGTTGCCTTTTGGACAGCAGGCACCTATGTTGCACCCTGGAATTCGGTTTCATTCACCACAGATAATCCTTGCATCTTGTTATTCCGTGAAACGAGCACGAACACTTATCGCCTGACGATTGCTGACCCTTCGCAATCACTCAGCAGCATTAAATTAAGTATAACTATTGCAGGTGCAACTAGGACAACTACTGCCACGCTACCCACAGGCAACAAAGCAGGACGCTACACCGTCAAATCCATGTCATTTTAAACGATGCGCATAATCTTACACAAAATAAAAATAGAATTCTTTATCAGTCAGTGATTTTTAATCGAGTAGAATTCTTAGGAAAGACTTATATAGTCGAAAGGCATATGAGCAAAAAGGCATAAACAGAAGGCATGTGATTACTCCAAAAAGAATTTTATTAAGAAAGTAACACTACAATCGAGCTAATACAGACAATGATGAAAGCTCTTGTCTCTATAATCTTCTAAATTTCGCTTTTCTAACATTCTTTCATCCCAAAGTTAGTAACGTCAAATAAGAAACAAAAGTTGAGGGTGTGAATCAAGATAAGAGAATTGTAAAATGGGCGAAAACTGCAACTGCAGATAAAAGTAGTAACGATTTATACAAAAGATATGTTTCAAATGGAATAAATTGGTAAGATAAGCCAGCTTGCACACGCACGCGAAGTATTTGAACCCGAGCATGAACGTACCAACAGAAGCAGGATAAAGATGGCAATCATCTATATGAATACAAATGACAAAAAGAATTTTTTTCGAAGTTGTTCTTTCAAGATGTATAGTAGTTCAATTTAAATATGGAGAGGGGCTAGAAAGCAAAATGAATTGCCTAGCGAAGATAGAGTTGTCCATGAACTAGAGGCACAGTTGAATCAGGTGTACACCTCAAAAAATCAACCACTGAAATGTGCCAAACCCTCTTTGTGTATATTACTTCCAAAAGTTTTTTCTTTCCTGACAGCGTCCACTATAAAGTCAGTCCGCCAAATGCTAACGACTCATAGAGAGATTCTTTTATCTGCATCAATGCTCAAAATGTTTTTGTCAGATCCATAGTAGTAGTACATAGTAAAGACACAGTTAGTGTGACTGTAATTAGATGTTTCAAGTCTGACCACACTTAGCTCGAGGATAGCTTGCCGTTCATTCGATCTTCAACCGACATAGCTCTAGAGGGATTAATTGATAATGGCTGTTAGAACTCTTTCTTCAATAAAGTTGATTGGTAGAAGTTCAGATGACACCAGGTGGCAACTACGGATGAACAATTGAAAAGAGCACCGCTCTCTTGATAAAGAGGAAACCAGGTTATGAATTTATTATTTATTGTGTTGTCCTTTTAACGTAAAGCTTTGACCGCTATATTATTCCTTACATGGTTTCATTTGTATGATTTTACATGCAGCTACACATTTCAATAATTGTATTATGCCTGAAAGACTGCTGTTCTTGGAAATATCCGTTGACAACGACTACTCTTAGTAAGTTTGCATTTGAAGCAGCGCACCTGTAAAGCCCTTGATATGATGGCATTGAAATCAACCGTTTTGAGTCTTGTCTCTTTTTTGATGGAATATATCCCATTGAATTCAGAAGGTGGATAGTATTGTAACGCTGAATCTCTGTGATAAATGATGTGATCAGCTACTGGAAGGTATTGTATTAACATTCCATTTAGCATTAAAAGTACAGCCTCACTCCTACTAGTAGACTTTAAATTTGAATCTTCGGAACTTGATAATGAAACACCAGAAATTGACCAGCAAGTAAAGCGTTATCATAGGGCTCACACTTTAGTCATTGTATATTGTCCTTTTTATTCGATTCCATCCAAGGTCTTTAAAGCTATTTTTTGATAAAGAAGGCTGCATGATTTGCAAGTCACCTACGCCCCCACCCCCCACACAACTTTAAAAAAGTGACGAGTTCAAGGACTGTGACATTTTCAGAATTGAAAGCAAAATCTATGGTTACGCATGGATGAACAAAGCGGTAATGATTCACATGCTGACTATTGTAAGCAGGAATCTTCTATCCCATCATTTATTTTTTCGTCTTACTGTCTACCTTTTGTCCTCAAGAAAAAAAAAAAAACCAACCAAAATCTAGGCTATGGCTAAGAATTATAGTAAAGCTGTTGTTAACCCAAACTATTCAAGGAGAAACGAGCCTCATGGTGGTTTTAGATCGATGGAGGAATTTTATCCGTTCTATTTAGGGGAGCACTGCAATAAAATAAACAGAAGATTGCATATTCTAGGTAGTCCAAGAATTACTATGATCGAACTTTTACCATGGACTTGTAAAACCCCCTCCCGATTCACAGTTGAGTCTAACCTGTAGGCACAACCATAACGTACATTCTGACTATTCTGGCGATAAAACGACAAAAATTAAGATTATTGATTATTGGCATTATTCAAGGTAACATTCATGAGCTAAAGAAGGACACGACAGTCTACATACTGTAGTATAACCGCAGAATGACTGACGTTTGATGCATAGCTTATGCTTTCGCCTGGTTTGGCCACTTTGTTTTCGAGCAGAAGTAAGTGTTCTATTCCGTTGAAAGAATACAATTTGGGTATATGTATTAAAGTTGAGAAATTTTACTCTATAGTAAGCCTGCTACTTTTAGATACCCTATTTGGTCTTTTAGAGGAGACATGAAAATGTGGTTTGAGATCATGACAGGAAAGCGAGCACTTTAGGGCATATAGCAAAGACATAAATAGGTGCACCTTTATTGAATGCATTTGGTAGTGATTTCAAATTGAAATAGTTGACTCATAGTGTTGAACAGTTAACTGCTTTCGTATCGTTATCTAAACCCTCATTTTTAACAGGTAATTCAAAATGTCTGTTGCCGAAGGTCTTTGGCTAGGTTCGTTGGCCAAGCCTTTCTTTAGTAAATAAAAGAAGGGTGCAAACTTTCGATTAATAGGTTTCGACGAAAAGTTAACCGTGCCATTGTGTCGATTTCTTCCTAGAATATGATGGTAAAAATCTGAATCACTCAGCTCTGCCGTCATGAGCTCTGCAATAATTAAGCTAGCCATAAATACATCGGAAGCTTTGCAGAATTCATGGTCTCTCAGCATTTCTGGAGAGGCCACATTTTTAGTCCATGATACACCTTCTTTGTCTAAGTGAATGACGGATTGGCCTTCTCTAAATTCTATACAGGAACCGAAATCTGTCACCCAGCCTGTTCCTGAAGAGTCAATTAAAAAATTCTCCAGTTTCAGATCGACAATTCCTATATTCAAACTATGCGCGTCTGCTAGAGTGGAGAACAGACAAATGGCTGCTTGTAACACTTCCTGTGGTTGAATAAGATCCACTAGCGTACGCATTCAAAGAGAGTCGCAAAAAAAGAAAAAAAATGAAATAAAAAGTGTCATTTAGCAATACATCATAGGAACTAGGGGCTTGAGATTCAAGTTGTATTTACTTCTCTTGTTCAGATAAGTTCTCGCATCTCCGTTTGACACATAGTTCTGTATTATATACAACCTTGGATGTGACAGTCCTTTTTTTGATGCATGCATTTTGCTTTCTTCTACCACATGCCGCTGACAATAGGTCCATCCTATATACCGATTCACATATCGACAGGCGGATAACTTGGCAGCAAACTGCAGCTCTCGAATCGCTTGTGCTTCGAAAGGCGCATGACTAATCTTGTCGCGCTTCATTTTGCATGCTACTTCCAGTCCTTTATACGTTCCTAAACGAACTGCGCCAAACTGACCTTCCCCAATTAAGACATCGGATACAATCAAATGTCGATTTTGAAGTTGAAGCGAACCTTCGATACGTTCCTGGAAAGCATACTCCAGATTGCGGGTGTTTGCTCGCTTCTGACTGTTGCTACAGGCGGGAAGTGTGGTAGCTGTCGTCATTGCTATTTTGGAGGGTTGCTTGCTCTTGGGTTTTTTGGCCATACCATTCGTAGGTGCGGTTGTTGGTTTTGTTGTGAAAGTCTCGTTGCTGCTCACTTTTTTTTCTGTGCTGTATTTATATTCTGTCTGTGCTGGTGGAGTGATAAATGTTGTCAATTTTCTTTCCAGTTTTGATTGGCGAGAGGATGGATTCGTTCGAATGGCTACCGTGGGGTGTGACAGATTCTTTTCGAGAAGGGTGGATGCTTGCTGTTGTTGCATGTCTTCCTCCTCGTGGGTGGCTGCCACGCTTGGTGCACCACTCTCTTGAATGCCCTCCGTCATGTGCTTGATCTTTTTGGCAGGCGGCCGATAAGCTCTTCGTCGTGTGGCATATCTTTGATTGCCAATATTGGGTAGGATGTTCGATTCATCAATCTGCACGTATTTTTGTGAGATCACTACAGAAGTAGGAGAACAGAGAAAAACAACGTCAGTTTTAAAGCGGTGTTCATGCGTGCTAACCATGTGTGTGATACTCCTTTACAATCTGTATTATTTGTTGAGTGAATATTATTATCTTCTGATTCTGCTTCTCGTTTTATTGCAATGGTTAGGTTGTTCACGGTCTCTTGCTGGCCAGCTACTTGTTCGTCTTCATCCTCCAGAGCTATGGTGGCTATGGACGACAGACTACTCGAGGTATCGCTTCTCAATGAATCGACCGATTGACTGATGGACATGGGGGGGTTACGATGGTTTCTTTTCGGTCGCTCTTTGTATTGAAGGGGAGGTGTGTGCTCCAGATGGAACAACGACTGATGATGACGATGGGTAGTACTTGTATCAAGACTATTGTGCAGTGCGTTATATGAAAATGCTACTCCATCTTGAGCTTGGGTATCTTTAGAGTAGACAATGTCGGCAGGTATTTGGTTGATAATGAGGTTAGTAGGAATATTACTATAGTAATTGATTATAACGCTATTATTGGGTAGAACACTACTGTCGTCGTTGCTATCTTGGGTATCATTAAAAATGTTTATAATCCGCTTATTTTTGATGCTGATATGGCTTGTATTGTGGTTGACAATGTTGATGTTGGCATCGCTGTCTTGGCTCAGTACTGTTCCTGAGGCGGTGAATGTCATTTGTTTCTGGCGTCGTTCCGATGGTGGTTGTTGCGACTGACTACCGACAGTCTCCGTTGAATAGTCTTCCTCTTCTTCTTCCTCTTCCTGCAGTTGCCATTGGTGTTTTGCGTGCTTTTTCATAGAAGACTTTGAATGAGTACTACCGTTTGACAATGCTGATGTTCGATGGGGGGAGTGTTTTTTGCTGCAGTTCTTTTTATGGTGATTTTTCTTTTTCAGTTTCTTTTTGACGCGATTTTCATCAGCATCTTTACGTTTGAATGAGCGACCAAGAGCATTTTTTTCTTTGTTGCTTTGTCGTTTCTTGTTGTCAGTTTTAGCACAACACTTCCACTTTTTCTCGTGAATGCCATGCTCTTTTGTGGTAGAAACAGCAGTAGCAGTAGCAGCGGCAGGAGCAGTAGCAGCAGCCATGGAGCTTTCTATATCACATACTGTCATGTCATCTTTAAGGATTTCTTGTGGGATGGTCATTTTTTCGTAGTTGGGGGCACTTTAGAGAACAATGAAATGAAAGAGCAAAAGGAAGAAGGACTTTTTAAAAAAACAACAATCAATAACAATGCGTTTTAATTTTTCCAAAAAGGTACACTGCATCTCTTACATGCGGGTTACATGAAGCTAAAAAAGAATGCTTGGTGGAGAGTAGTCTTCTTCCTTCAACCCCTTAAAATTACAAACTCAATTTTTTTAGGTCTTTTTTCAAACTCTTTGAAGCCCTTCCATAACATGTTGACGTAGGAGGTTGCTCATACAATCCAATCTAGTCGCTATTTCCTACACTGGTATGAATGAAAGAAACACACTAACTCAAACACACACACACACACACACACATATATATATATAGAGAGAGAGAGAGAGAGAGAGAGAGAGAGAAGCATCTTTATGTTGTGTACCTTGTTTGCTTTTATACTTTCCAAGTACTGTTACAGGAGCCTTGGTGTTTTTCACAGTAGCAGAAAATAGTTGTTATTTGGTCGCATGAGTTGGCATCTGAAATCGAAAACCCCGCTCTCGTTTTAAAGCTCTCTCAGCTCTTTTCCAACTTTTGCACTTTGTTACAAACCCAAAAAAGAAAAAAAAAATGGGGCTTTCGATTTTCCTTTCCTGTCTGCTATTTTGGTATTTTCTGTTCAAATACACGCCACCGCCTGATAGCCAGAAACAACCCACGTCCTCGCTACCACTGTCATTCCTGGTCCTTAGCAACGAAGAGGCTGAAGCAGAAAACGGAACAAACGCCATGTCCACTACACCCACGTCGGAGACAGGCAGCGCCAACAGCAGCACGACCTCTACTACTAATGTCAAAGAACGTGATATTGTGAAGGGTCTTGTAAAGAAAATCAAAGGTTTGGAAAAGGAAAAGGAAAACTTACTCAAACAAGTGGAGTCGATCGGTCCTTTGAAGAACAAGCTTGAAGAACTTCAATTAGAAAAAGAGCAATCCAAAGAAACGTTGGTTCATGTTATAAACACAGCAGATGAGCTGAGAAAAGAAGTGGAAGAACTGAAAAAGTCGAAAACTGAAGCAGAAGAGGCATCATCACCACCGCCACCACTACAGACAAACGATGATAACGCTCACGCAGAGCGGCTACAGCAAAAGGAAAAAGAACTCCAGCAATTACAAGAGCAACTGAAGGCATTGTCCGACGAAAAGGAGGCGTTATTAGCGAGCCAACAGCAGCAGCAACAAGAAAAGACGGAACTGGCGGATAAACTCAATGCTGAACTGAGACAACTTCAAACGACGAAGGATGAAATTGAGTTGAAACACAAAACGTTGGAAGAAAAGCATCAGCAGTTGCTGGATGCCAACAAAAAAGCCAAATCGAATACAGATCTTCAAAGTAAACTAAAGGATAAGATTAAGCAGAATGTGGAGCTTGAAAGAAAGTTGAACCAGCAAACGGAGCAATGGCAAAAAGAAAAGAAGGAATTACAGTCTCAATTAGATACTGCCCTTTCTTCTGCTGAGCAAAAGGATGGACAACTTCAGAAAGATCTCGAATCTTCTCAGAATGAACTGAAGCATCTTAAAGAAGAGATGACAACAGTAGAACGACAATGGAAGGAAAAATTAACTACCGCAGAACATAGTCTAAAAGAGGCTGAAGAAAAGAAAAAAAACGATCTGAAGGCAACCAAGAAAAAAGTAGCTCAATTAGAAAAAAGCCTATCAGAATCAACGGCAGCTAAATCCAGCTTGGAAAAGCAGCTCAAAGAGTTGAAAGAGTCAGCAGAAAAAGAGAAAGAAGCGGCTGCAAACAGTGAGCAAAAGGATGAACAAGAAGAAAAAGTGAAGGCATTAGAAGAGGAGCTATCTAACAACCAACAGACAGTGGCTGAATTAAAAGGACGAGTAGAAGAGCTTACAAAGCAACTTCAATCCATGACAGACAAGAACAACACCCTGTCCAGAGAGCTTACTACTGTCAGAGAAACGACAGATGCTCAACAAAAGGAGAAAGACACCACGATCACCCAAGTTCGCCATGAATTAGAGCAAGTGAAAAAGGCGCTGAAAGAATCAGAGGCACTTCTTCAGCATACGACTGAACAGCAAACCCAGCTTGAAAAGGAAAAGACCAGGCTCACCGAACAACTTTCCGATGCTGAAGCCAACTTACAAGACACGCTTAAAAACTTGAAAGATACAGATGACCTTCAAAAAAAGTACAGCGATTTGGAAACAAAATTAAAACAAACAACAACAAAAATGAGGGATACGGATGAAGCCTTGAAAGTAGCAAAGGACATGCTTCATGAGCGTGATCAAGAGTTAGACACTGCACGAAAATCACTGGACGCTGTTCAAAGACGACTTTCTGCTGCTGAATCAGAAAAAGCGCAACTGCAACAAGAAGTGGATCACCTGAAAAAGGAGCAAAAGAGGCTTCAGACGCAGCTGCAGTCCAATCAGTCAGACATTGCCATTTTACAAAAAGAGCGTAAAGAAGCACTTGAACAAAAAGACAGGATGTTTGATGAATATCAATTGAAGCAAGCCGAATTTGAGTCTTCTCAAAGTAACGCTGAACAGCTCCAACACCGTTTGAAAGAAGCAGAACGACTGATGGAAGAGGCAAATTCTAAGCTGTCTGATTTGGAAGAATCGCAACAAGTGGCTGAAGAGACAAAACGAGTGGCGGATGAACGCCAAAAGCAATGGGACGAACAGAAACAGCGGTTGGAAGAAGATTTGAAGCAGAGAATCGAAGCAGTGGCTCGTCTCACGGCGCAACTCACCTCAGCAGAATCCCATGCTCAGACTTTGGAAGCACAGACGAGTACGCTGAAAGAGAAGTGCGACGATTTTGAAAAGGAGCGTCAGACAAAAAAGCAAGAAATGGAACATTTAGAAAAGGAAAAGGAAGATTGGATGAATAAAGCAAAAACTTTGGAACAACAGTTGGTTCAACAACGCAAAGAAATTGAGACAAAAGACATGTTGGAAAAGGAATTAGAAGAAGTAAAAGAAAAGAAGGAAGCACTTGAAAAGAGTCACAAGAAAGAATTGGAAGACTTGAAAGCTAGAGAATCATATTTGAAAAGCTTAAACAAGACATTGAAAGATGAGGTCCGAAAATTATCAAAATCACAATTATTACAACAGCAAGCATTCCCATTGTCCACATCCTCTTCAGCCAATCATATATCCTCTATGACTACTACACCTACGCCTACATCCTCTACTAGTCAACGTAATTCGATAGACATCAACAACAAGACACGTAATACAGCCTCTGTGAATATCTCCCGTCCATCGATAGATTACCACCATAAGCGCTCACCTTCTGCTGTATCGGTTTCTTCATCTACAGCCTACAGTACGAAGGAAGAAGAAGAAATCAATCTAGAATACCTACGCAATGTCATCATCAAATTTTTGGAATCGAAGGCAACACGCCCTCAATTGATCCCTGTCTTGACAATGATGTTGAAATTTACACCTGAAGAAATTACAAAACTACAGCAAGTTCTTTAAAAAAGCTGGCTCTCTTTTCTTGTCGGCGAATCAATTTTTTCTTTTTTGCATTAAGAACAGAAATAAAAATAAAAATAAAAAAAAAAGATTCCATTTGTTTCCTTTGGAATTTTTTTGCATAATTCTGACATTTTTCTATAACGTTTCTTTCGTCTTCTTCTCTCTGATAAAAGTATGAGTTATTATTACAAACAAACGACTACAACAACGACTTCTGACGGGAAAACTTCTACTACCACCACAAACACCACCACAGGTGATGGCGACGATTATGTCAGTACGAGTTCTGTTATTGTTCGCGAGTTAAACGATAACGAAGACTTTGATTTGGATCATTTGGAGACTACGGAAGACTACGAAATCAGAGATGAAGATAGATTGACAAAGTACGATTTCTATGCTCTCATGAACAGTACATTGATTGGAAAAGATGGAGCAGTAGAGGATGACGACGAAGAGGATGACGACTTCTTTTCAAGTGAAAGCGATTCGGAGATAGAAGAACATTGGTTTCCTTCTTTGACGAGAAACTCCATTATACAATTCTTAGACGACCCAGAACAAGAAAGCTACATGTATGACGATACATTAGACACAAAAGTACAGATCGAAGAGAAGGAGGAGGATGACATAGATGATGATACTATAGAAGAAGACGATGACGAAGATGATGCTGATGATACTCATAAGAACCACATGCGTAATTCTTACGGTAAAAGACAAAGACGCCATCACTCCAGAAAGAAGCGCTCAAAGAGACCAAAGAGATCTGAGCAAGTCCAAGTCGAAGTGATCCCCTTATTGATTTAGCTGTCTTTAATTACCTGAAGAGACAAGCAATAAATATGCAATTTGACGCGTTGAACATTTCTTCCTATATTCACAAAACAGTTATTCAATTCTTTTGATTCTCTCAATGTATTTCACGCTCTTTAAACTAGACAGCATCACTTTACATTTCAATTCTTGATCCATTGAAATGTTTACTGTGCAAAAAAAAAAAAAAAAAAAGCTGCATTCGTACAAATAGATATAGTATACTTTCTTGGCTATTGTTATGCTTTTCTTTGGGGAAATAATAAAAGGCGGAATATCAAAAACTAAAAACTAAGTGTCAGATGCTAAGATTTAAAGACATGAAACTAACGTTTTAGATTTGGCATATATAGAACCTCTCACAGTTCGTTCATTTTTAATTCTTTTTTTTTTGGTGCTATGTTCTATTCTAGCAGCAATCAATTCATTCTTTCATGCATACTCTATGCAATATAAGCTTGTAAATACCTGCGGCATCTAAAAATGACATTGTCAACTTGTTAAAGACATCAAAGATGGTCTCACAAAATAGCCAACGAACTAAGTGGTCAATTTTCCTATTGTTGAAAGAGCCAGACCTTTTCTAGGCATATTGAAGAGCTTGATAGTTGCATCAGCCTATTCGGCTTTTAGCTTTCAATTCAACACAGCTTCATCCACTTGAGTTGCGTACCGCATTGGTTCGTGTCATCCCGAAACGATTGCTTTGTGAAATGGGTATCAACAATGAATTGAATGTAGCCCATCCGCGATAACTATTATGGATTTGTTGGATAACATCAAGAAATTTAAAGAAACGAATTTCTTTAATTACTTCAGCTAGATGAGGAGTTTGGCAGCACTACAATCCACGACAATCTCTTGCCTTTCGTTGTTCTCTAGCAAGGTTCCCAATGCCTTTTTAAATGTATTGTAGTTAATCTGTAAATACTATTTGTCATGCTATCTTTGATTTAAAATATAGTCGATGTCAATGGGTGAAATTGGAGCATCAGTTACTCTTTGAGATTCAAGGTTATCAGTGTAGAGTGGTCAACAAAAAAAACGATGAGATTGATATATCTATCACAATAAATGACATTTCAGCTGGAATAAAGATTGATAAAGATATTAATGGTGTTGATAGACTACGCCAATTGCGCGCATCATTGTAGCGTCAATATCAACAACCTCAAACAGCTTCTCCCCGCCCCCTTTTTTATATAAAATAAGGATTGCTGAGTTTTTATTCCGTGACTACTGCAGTGACCACCCTTTTTTATTGTAGCCATCTGTTGGCAAATTCAAACAAAAAAGAGTTTTTTTTTGGGCCATTTTATACCTTTCCGTGCATATAACAGGACGTCGTTATGGATTCAACCGCAATTACACAACAACAACAGCAACAAAAGAAACTACAGCCTAGCCGTAAAGGTAAAAAGGCTTGGCGTAAGAATATTGATATAACAGATGTTGAAGAGGGGCAGGAAGAATTACGAGCCGTTGAAAGAGTCATGTAAGCTGATCGATCTGGAAAGATCAAGATGGTGTGATAGCCGTTTTCTGTTGATTTTTTACTATTGTTATGAATATTCTAACAATGATTTTAATGAAACAGTGGTGGGGATGCTGAAGCACTGAAAGACGATGAATTATTTACTATCGATACAGAAGGTGATAATAAAGGTAGGGTTATTAAAAAAAGGAAGAAATGAAAAACGCTGTCGTATGGTAATATATCTACAGCCTTGTTGATTTACTCATGAATCAACACTTTTATTAGTAAAAAGACAATTAGCAAAGGAGAAGCCTCTTCGTGTCGATGAGATTTTACAACAACGATCTGCAGTACCTGCTGTGCAAACCAAAAAGAATCCCTTCAAAAAACCAGAAATGTCAGATAAAATTGCTTCGAAGCATGAATATAATACTCTAAAGCGCAAATTGGAAAGCAATGCGTCTATTACGAATAAAAAGAAGAAGAACGAGAAGAAAAACGCTAGTACAAATAAATCTTACGACCTGTGGGGCGATGGTAAGGCTGAAAAAGGATAGTAGTAAGAGGATGAGGAAACACATTTGTACTGAGCACACTTATTCGTCTTACTTAGACTCCATGGAAGAGGATTCACAACCAGCCAACGATTTCACACCAGCTCCCAAAAAGCCTAAAGCTCCCAAGACATTTTCTGAAAAACCCACGGCTTTACATCATATTCCAGCCGTTGATACACCAGCAGGTGGACAGTCGTATAACCCTACTATGGAAGACCATCAACAACTTATCATTAAAGCTTCAGAAGTTGAACAACGCAAAGTGGATCTTCTCAAGCAACTGCAGGAACAGCTTTCTTATCGTGAAGAGCTGAAACAATTAAAAGATGAACTGGCAGGTAGTGAAATCACAGCGGATGGTAAACTAACAGTGAAGGACAGTCTAGAAGACGATGAGGATCTCGAAGATAAACCGGAAGATGATGAACAGATCAAGAAGCAGAAAGCAGCTAAACGTAAAACTCGACAAGAGCGACAAAAGTCACATCGTCTTGCTACTGCCGAATTAGAAAAGAAACAGAAGAAACAAGAAAAGCTTATTCGTCAACAAATTGATCAATTGAGAGCAATTGAGAAAGAGCTGGTTGAACGTATGGAGGAATTGGATAAACTAGCAGAAGAAAGAGGCATCAAGAGGGAAGAAGAGGATAAGAAGGGCAAAAAGAGACTAGGCAAGTACTTTGTTCCAGAATTACCAGTGGATGTACAGTTAACAGACGAACTTTGTGAGACACTTCGTCAATTAAAGGTAAGTTTTTGAAGCCTGTTTTAGAGGTACATAGTGTGGTATTCTCACCAGTATTTTTTTTTCATTGCGAATAGCCCGAAGGCAATATATTCCGTGATCGTTTCCACAGCTTCATGAAGCGTAATATTATTGAACCAAGAGTTCCTGTTGCTCCCAGCCGAAAGTATAAACTCAAGGAATACGAAAGACGATCTTACAAGAACTTTAAATAACTTTAGAATTTTGCAATCAATAAAGGATGCTAAATTAGCTGATTTGAGCACGTTTCAGTAACAGTAACCATTAGGAAAGTCGTATTTTCTTCAATCCCGAGATGCAGTATCCATGCAGCAATTATAGTGAAAGAACAGTTTTGAAAAACCTTTGCTCACTTTACTTAACCGTTAAAGTATAGAAATCATCCATTGAAACATTATATTACTTAAGATTTAAGTGATTATATCCGGAAACCTAATTTTTTATCATCGAATACAGCAACAACAATTTTTCTCTGCATCCTGCGCAACTGATCCAATTGAACATGAGGTAGTCTCCCTCACGAGCGCCGCAAGCCGACCACCCTAGGGTGATTAGCAAGCGTGTGTTGCAAAATTGAGTCCCTCCAATTATGTCTTCACGATCCCGTCCAAAAATCCTAATGTTTGCAGTTTCCTATATTTGCAGGTAATTCTAAAAATGGATACGTTTCTGTTTGATCTTTATGTGGAGCAATGGTTGAGTCTGTGAAAGACTATATTAGGTTCATTTGCTCACGATGATGGCAATTGAAGGGTCTATCGCTCTTCAAATTGAAGATAGTATACTTGTTCGAATAAAGGTTTTGTAACAGAAATATTACCCTTCATATGCAGTTTGACATAAGCAAGGCTTTCAAAATCACTTAATACTTGACTTTGAAAAGGATAAGTAGCACCATATACTTTTTCGTTAGTTACCCAAGGTGAAATCTGTGGGTTGACTTGCGGGAGAAATGGTCCTATTAATCCTCTATGTCCTTTTAATAGATGTCTCGAATGTCTTGCTACATCGATAAGTTACTAGAGCCGTTCGTCTCATTACTATGTTGGCTAATATATTGCGCTGTAACTTATTTAATTTAGGTTGTCTGATTTGATCGTTTAAATGCGATTTTACAGTATGTGGTTAGAAGATGGAGAGTAGTTGTATGGAAAGCATTCAGTTTAGACTTCGGATAATTATTGGTATTTGAATTCATATACAGGAGATGGCACCTTCTTTTTTTAGCAGCCTTCATTATATGAAGGTCAAATCGAACATAATAGAACCGATGTTTTAATCGAAGTGTGGATTTTTCGCATAGAGTAAATACCACAGATTAAAAGAATAAATAGAGAAATAAGTTATTGATTTAGCACTGCATATGCATTTTGGAATCTACGAGAAAATATAGAGGAGTTTTCGTAAAAGAAACACTGCAGTTTCTGAAGCACAGTCAAAAAGCGATTGTTACTTTGCTTACTTTCAACAGAAATGCTTTATCGGTTATACACATTTATTGTATAGTCTGAGCTGACTTTGTTGTACCTTTTTTGTTTGACCAGTTGCTGATAACTTTGCATTTCAAGTCCGTTTTCAGGGCATGAGTATTATTGGCTAATTTGTAGTTAGTTCGTCCTGGCCATCAGGGCTTAATGTCTACATGCCCAATTTTTTTTTTTTTTTTTTTTTTTTTTAGTAAACAGGCAAAATATGCATGGCATGGCACTTGTAAATAAATAGTAATTGTTTAACCAAGATTGTAATTTCATCAAATACAAAACTTTATACAAACATTAAAGACCAAAAATACGCTTGTTACATACGTCAAAGAAATAATAACATCTTTTATTATGACAATTAGTACTGACAAAGATAAATCCTAAAAATAATGAAAGATGATACCGTCATTTCGCAGGGCTTACAACACTTCTATTCTCCGGTTGACGTACAATTCTTGGTATATCAGCCTGCTTGATACTCTAGAATGTATATAAAGGGAAGTTAGATAGATAAATCAGCAGAGCATTAAGAAGGTACCCAGGTATAGCCTTACCGGGAGCATGGTTCTCTATTTGTAAGTAATGAACCTTGTTAAACGTTGATCGAAGCACTCTACAATGGAGTTCATGTAAGAGATGCTCCATTCCTTTGCTGCCTCTGTAGGGCATTGACTATAACCCATGGTCAGCTTGTGTTTACTTCGATAGTAGGGAACTTGGTCTTGAAGTCTGTATCTTTAAAACATCACAAAGAGGAGCTGTGGTATTCGCTAGTTTTAATTAAAAAGTAAAAGGTAAAGAATATCACAAGAGAAAATAAAACACGAAAGATTAACGAAATCAAACCGCCGTCTTTACTTCTCTTTCAAAACAAACTAAAGAAAAAGAAAAGAAAACTAAGGATACTGCTATTAATAAAGACTTATAGTGTTCGCTGTCTACGAAATGATTGTATCGGGATCTATAGCTGACACTGATGTATTATGGTCCAATAATACTCAGTGAATCAGAGGTTTCCGTAAAAGAATAGATCTTCCCTTTAAGTGGATAATTACTCGTCCATCCCAGAGCGGATTGATTTGTAATGTGCTATCCTGGCAGATCCAGGGTGATCATGCAGCTACATCTATAATCTAATATCTATCGGCCACCAATTGTGTAGCTCAGATACTGTGGGAATGATTATAGATATTAGCTAGGAAGAGATATTCGTGCGTGGTGTTCTTTTGATTGCGTGAACAGTTGTTGTATTAATAAAGAGTGATTGAGCCTTTTTATCTCCAACCATACTTTATTTCCAGAGCAGGGAGCAGTACCGTGACCTACTATGTTCTGGTTGTTGAATCAATATATCCTACGAGTACATATACCAATCCTGCTATATACCTAAATGTCATATAGCCATAGATAATCTAAGTAAAATATATTTCATAAAGATAACCTGTTCAGATCTTATGTGAGGTAGCTAATCTCACATAAGAATTATCCTTAATCCATATTCTTTTCTTATTTTATCTTTATTTGTTATACATTTGATCTAAGGTTCAAATGTATGCAATCGAACACACCGCTTACCAAACGGGAACGAACATATGAGCAGTACTCATAGCTGAGATCAAGTTTTATTTTTACATTTCGTTAGACGTTTTGAGTGATTTACTCATATAATATATTGCCATCGTGCCTCAAGTACGACAGGAGCCATAGTAGCTACTATTATCATCTGACCTTTACCATTATTGCTTTTAAAAGTTTAAATAACAATAATAAAATAGTTCTGAGATGTATAATTTAACATGTTTTATTTTTTTGTTGGGAGGAGAATCACTCAAGGTGATGAAGCTCCTCTGTTTTCATTTGAAAGTACCATCAGCTTATTCTTTGGGAACTGTGACTGGAAAGACTGGGAACTAAAGTATCTTGGACTATACAAACATCTTTAGTTCGTGGTAGTAGATGTGGGGATAGTATGTAACGAATGTCTGCACAGTACCCAGACAGAACCATTGGCTTCCCAAGTTGCTACCTTCCATTACCTCGACTACATACTCAAATGGTACTCTCTTTTTAAGTTTAATCTCTGGCAAACATTCGAAGAACTTGACCCGCCTCTTTCCATGTCTGAATAGAAGAAAACAAAACGAGCATTTGTGCAACAATCCTTTGACCACCGAGCGAACCATGATCAAGATTAAACTCCTCTCTCTCTAGCGTCCCAATGCAGCAGTAGACCCTATTCTATGGGTACCAATGACAAGAGAAGAGCGCAGCATGCGATGCAATGCTTATCAATCCATCGAGCTTTAACACTCTCAAACCAAATAGAAGACCCCGTCTCTTTGCAACTCGACCCGAAATCACCATAGACTCTTATCCACTGGCGCAGCAGATGGCCTGCCTTATGCACCAACTTGTTGCGACTGGATCGATTTATTCATAACAATCCTGCAGACGATGTTCCTGACTGCATTGGACAATCACTTGTTTAATATTCCAGCATCTAAACTTGTTTTTTATCCTGTAACGCTTTCCTTCGCCTTTTTTCCCCTTGATCCTAAGGGATTTTTTAGAGCCACATGGCTATCTTTAACAAATTTTGAACGGACTAAGCAAAATTGGTCAATAGTTACTGCGTGCCATATAAAGACTCAATAAAATACAATCTTTAATCGTAATGAAGTGATTAGTTGTATTGTGTCAATAATAACCTTCAGAACTATAATCATCTGACTGTTATAAGTTGGGGGGGGTATCATTTGAGTGATTTTTGAAGGTCAGTTTGAGCGTGGGGAAGTGAGGAGATATTTGTGTGGATGATTGATGAAATAGCTAGGGCATATCGTCCATGTATTGGTAAATGAATCACGATAACGTGGCTACCAGAGAACTACTCCTGGAGTTCATCAGAAAGGCCTAGGGTTAACAATTCCCTATTCAGACATGGCATCAAAGACAGGGAAATAACGAGTCATTTCGACATTTGTTCAAAGCAATCAAGTAGTGTATTTTTTTTATTCTTGTTTTGTTTCCTTTTTTTTGAGGCAGAATTATAGACAGAGAGCACGGTCGTGTTGGGTACATAAGGCATACGCATAGTTTGATTATTTGTACGAAGGACCAGCTCGCAATGAAGTTCTTCATAGAAACTACTCAAAATCCAATCCTTCGCGCTACACAATACTGGAAGTAATATGTAGTGGAAAGAAAAGGATGAAGTATTATAATTTTCCTTACCAAACATAAGATAGTCAGTAAACGTATTATGTAGTCATATTAATTGATTAGGAAAAAGTAGATCGAAGATACAGTACGAATGGTTTGACTTTTATGGAGTAACATATGAAATATACAAATAGTATCGTTGACAATAAAAAAACATGACGGGGTGAGTGTTAAGTTATCAATTGTAAGTTTCGTTAAATACATGTTGAATATTTTTACTAAATTGCTCGTTTTCATTTACGATTTCATATGACAGCAGAGAATCCAAATTCTTTAGTAATTTGTTCAGTTCTTTGTTAAGTTTCCACTTGCCTTTATTCAACTCAACAGTGACTTCTTCGGAATGAAAGCGGTGGATATGGAGGCTTAAAACTTGTTTTGATGAGAGCAATCTTTCATAATCTTGACAAACGAAAGAGCTCATAGAATTTAAAGATGAAGAAAAAAGAAAGTGGTCAGAAATAGTCTGTGAAAGTGATGAAGTAGTTTGTGAAATTGGTGAAATTGGTGAGAAGTGAAAGTGGTAAAATAGGCTGTGAAATGGGTGTGAAATCGGTTGTAAATTTGGTGAAATAGGCTGTGAACGTTCCAGATTTTCACTTTTCACACAAAGTATAACAGGAAGCCAATGCAGAAACAAATCAAGTAGAATTAAAGAAAAGGCGGGAAAACCTTGACTTTTAAATGCATCTTCGTTATAATATAAACTTTTTTAATGATACAAAAAGCAAAAGTACATGTTAAGCGGAGAGAAACATGAATAATAAAAGCTAAACTGCAGAAAAAGAAAAAACCAACAAAAACGCTCTATTTAACCATTAATAGACATGGGGGATCTGCTAGGACTTGTGGAATAAAAGCAATACTTGTTCACCAAATCCAAATAGGATTGTGAATTCAGGTCAGTAAAGGTAGTGGCAGAAGGAGAAGATGATAACGAAGCACTTGTTGAACCAGCGAAGGTCGAATAATGTAAGTTGTTATTTGCGGGACTATTGGACAATGACAGAGACACTGCGGAAGAAGTATTTCTAATAGGAACTGGTATAGTAGCACTGGTGCTAAGGGGGCTTGTTTGAACTGTCGAAACAGGAGTGGTGGGTGAAGTGAAGGGTGTCTTTCTAAATACAGGTATATTATGGTTGGAGGTATGCATAGCAGCCGATGAAGTAGGCTTGTTAGTTGATTTGGCTGATTCAATCGATTTTGTAAAATCATATCTGGACAAAAACCCAGTATTGTTCTTTGTGAGTTTCTTATTGGTTATATCGTCTAAATCAAATGGTTTCTTTTTTGCTGTTGTTGTAGCCATCATGATGGGTTTGTTCTGTGTCTTCTTCAATCGGTTTGTGTTTTGTCTGAGTATTTGAAGTTCATAATTTCGGTTGCTATTGTTATCCCAGTACTCTTGCTGTCCGACTTTGTAATTTACTGCAAAATACATGGTTGTATTTGTTGTTGTATTTGTTGTTGGCAAAGATATGTTGAATACAAAAACATCAAATGTCTTGTGACCTTCGTGAAATTGGGCTTCGATGTTATTTACCGTGTTCCAAAAATCGAAGGTGTATCGAATATTGACAGTCTTATGGTAATCCACGTTGCGAACGGCAATTTTCCCAATAATACGATCTTTTTCATCACTTAAATATATTCCATTCTTCTCAACGCGTACCATTTTATTTTTACGATCAATGATATCTGATAAATGATTAGAGGGCCAATTGACATGAACCAACTCTGTCTTTTGTTCCTGTATTTGTATTTGCTCATCATCCTCATCACTACTGCTACTGCTGCTGCTTAAGGAGTCGTCTTCATCTTCTTCATCCTCACTATTGTCAGCCCAAAATATCTGCTTCCTACTGCTAATAGCGGATGGAGTCTGGGCTTTTCTGAATAAGCAAATGTGTTCTAGTCGAGTAGGATGAAATTGAACTGTTTTGGATGTTGCTAAATGAGTAGGGGAGCATGGCGCTGAAGCAGACTTATTGGGTGTTCGTAATGACGACTTCAACAAGCGAGGTATGAACTCAAGCTTCTTCTCCATTACATTTTTTTCCGTTGGCGAATCTTTCAATTTGAGTGCAGTAGGAGACACTGATAAAGCAGTAGCGGCCAATTGACGAGTGTAGTCATCATTGACATTGCTGTTGTCATTACCAATACATTGCTTGGATAACATAGCGTCCTGTTCCAAATGTAAAGATGATATTCTTCTGTTCAATGAGACACGCTTTTTACTATTAATCATTGTATATCGTTATGAGCAGAAGTAGTAAGCTGTAGAATAGGAAATTATTTTGTACAAGAAAAGTGGAGAAAAGAAACAAAAAGAGGAGGGAATTTATGAAGAACTCGCATAATTTAAATGCTTGCCTGTATGAGTAAAAGGTGAGGCGTATATTTTTATTTATTAGATATTTTTAATATGTACAAAAACTACATCATCCTCTTATCATAGAATCTGATTGGTGTAACGCTATACATACAAGTTATTTCAAGATAGATACAGCAAGGCATACAAAATGGTTGTTGATAAATAGGGTCATATCTTATCGCCGTTCGTCTTTTTGGTTCAACAGATACATCAGTTTATTGGAAGGACACTAACCACTGAAGAATTTTAATTGGTCTCACATTAAAATGCACGCATTTTCGAAAGAAATTTCCCGTACAATAATAAATTCATACAGAAGGAAGGCCAAAGCTAAAACAATAAAGGTTTAAGGTTGGTCGGGAAGCATAATACCGGAAGCAAGCAGTTGAAGGATTAGGAAAGAAAGAAGAAACCTGATGAAACCTTCTTTTGAATACTATCTCTCTATTGATTTTAATATGTATTTTATCGTAAGCTTGATAACTATTTTTTAAAGGAGAAAGTGTGTGGGATAACAGATCTGTATTTTCACCAATATCAGCGTTACTCACAGCTATACTTGTAGGATCAGAGCAATGCCCGTGCCAATCGCTTTGCCTCAGAATTGAGAAACTGATTATTCATCTTTTTGTAATTCAATTAATAAGTGATGGCTCCTCCTTTAAACGCGTACAAACTTCTTTGCATAGTATTATTCATACATGACTGTTGCTAACAAATTATGCAGTCACCTTCGAGCTTTGTTATGATTATATATGTCCTTCAAAGGTTCAGAAAAGGCATAATCACGAAAGAACCTGAGCAGGGCCGGACAACAACTGGTTGCTTATCAGCGATTATTGTTCATCTTAGTTTCCGGTTTCTCCAGACAGAGCTCACTTTCCGCCAGAAACTCTAAATTCAACTGTAAATCTCGTGGGGAAGTACCGTCACACCTTGTCTTACTAAACCTTCATATTTGCATACCTACTTTATAGAGTAAATTGTAATACAGAAGAAGAAAACCCTTTTTGCCCTGATGTAGAAACTCATTAACTTTAAAGTCAACTTCTGTGATGTCATCACATACAGTTATATTTTTGCAAAATGTAACAGCCGTAATAAATGAGGTACAAAATTTTCTGCAGCGCCTCAAAAATAGTATCGGTGCGTGCCTTGTGCTTCCTTACACTGTACCCGCTTAAAAGAATCTAGAAACTGAACCATGATTTCATCATTTAACGTAATGTGAACATACCATAAGAATGGGAACAGTGCACGGACCATATCATTATCCTTGACAATTTACTTATCTCTTAAATCAAAATCATCCTATTGCTGCTTTCGGTTAACTAACAAGTCTTAAATAAAACATGAGTGCCACCATCAAAATTAGAATCTACCTTAAGCATGACACTCAGCTTAAAATAAGTCTACCAAAAAGCTTGTCCGCGATCTTTAGGTTAGTTAAAAAAACTTGTAAAACAGTTGAGCGGTAGAGTCCAATCTTTTTCTGCAAAAAGAAAAAAATAGAAACGGAAGCAGAACTTAAGCCAAAAAGGTGTATAGAAGAAAGCGCATAATGACAGAAAAAGAAACTCCATCAAAAGGCAGCAGCAAAACCGTTCGATTTTTCCCGCCTTAACCCAACTTTTTTTCCCATATCCCTCGCTTTTTCTCGTATACTACACGTCTTATTAAAGCTAAATTTTTGTACATATATAATGGCAACCAAAGGTGTTATCAGAAGCATGTAAGTAGAAGACTATGTAAAGTAGTCTGTAACGGCAGGTTATTGTTTGAATGACAATGCCCCTGTGTGGATTGCGTCCATCTAAAATCCCAGCAATAGAGCATTTAACCGCTTACTACATTTGAGGCATGGACATTCGGCAATTTAAGCAACAACTAACCAACTTCAACTTTCTCAACCTGCTGTTACTAGTAAAAATTACGCAAAAGGGTTTTCTGAGGTTCAAAAGAAAGTAAGAGAAGCTACCACTAACGACGCTTGGGGACCCAGTGGCGCTCTTATGAACGAAATTGCTCAGCTTACCTACAACGAGTAAAGTAAAATATATATATTCAACTATCTAACTTTTGTTTTTGTCGATGAAAACACACAAATAGATCAAAATAATTATCTGACATTCTCTTTTATTCTCTTTATGATGAGTATAGGCAGGATTTTATTGAAGTCATGGATATGTTAGATAGACGATTAAATGATAAAGGCAAAAACTGGCGTCACGTATTTAAAGTAAGTGCTCATGCGATTGCAGAAGAGCCTCAAACAGAATTAATATTCTTATCTTTTTTTGTTCAACCACCATCAATTGAACCTTTTTTTAGGCTCTATTAGTACTAGACTACTGTCTACACGTGGGATCAGAGAATGTCGTATTATATGCAAAGGAGAATAGTTATGTCATCAAAACACTCAAAGAGTTTCAACATATTGATGATGCTGGGAAAGATGTTGGGGCAAATAGTTAGTACAGCTTATCATACAGTTTCTTATACTCATAAGGGATTATCTTGTACTTAATAACTTTTGTAAAGTTCGTCAAAAGGCAAAGGAGATCACCACTTTATTGCACGATGATCAGCGTTTGAAGGATGAACGACGTTCGCGGCACCAAATGCAAGAGAGGATGGCAGGTGTCGGTGACTACATGAGTGATGTGATGTGGGGAGGTAGACCTAATGGAGCAGGAGGCGAAGACTATGCAGTTTATCAAGAACCAGGATATTTAGAAGAGGAAAGAGATTTGAAAAAGGCAGTTGAAGAAAGTAAACGCACGGCAGAAGAAGAGGCAAGAAAACAGAATTGGGGTCAAGGGTAAATGATCACGTTATTCCCGGTAAACTTTGGTTGCATATTCATAAAGTGCTCATATAAGTGTCAATATCTTATAGTGATGACGATGAGCTACAGCGGGCGATACGTGAAAGTGAAAAAGAAGCGAAAGAAGCGGAAAGGAGACAGCATCAAAATTTAGATATGCAAAACCTGCAAAATCTTTTTGGAACTAGCAGTAGCAATAATAATGGACAATCTACGTATGTAATTAATACTGATCATGACAAGATAATATAAATAGACTAATGACTTCAATATTTGGGTTGTAAAAGGTTCCAATCGCTTCCACAGAATCAAACCTTTGATACCTCTCTGAATCCATACGGGCAACAGCAATTACAGCAATTGCAGCAGCAACAACAATGGCCAATGGCAACTGGTTTGACTGTAATGTCGTTTGGTGAACCGATTCAACTACAGAACAGTTCAAATACTCCTTTTATTTCAAACCATACCACGAATACATCTTTATCGCCAGTTAATCCCTTTAGCCAGCCTCAGCAACAACAACAACAACCCTCTATTCAACAGTCAGCATTTAATGTTAGTGATAACCGTACTGGAAACGGCCTGCCCGTTGACTTTCTGTCACAGCAATCAACAGTTACAAATTCCGAAATGAATAACCCTTACCATTCGAACCTCCAGGCGCAAATGACAGGTTATCCATCTTCATTTTTACAGCCACAATTGACAAATACCAACACTGGCAGCACATTGTCGCCGTTCCTCAATAACAGTATGAATAGCAGTTTTGCTTACAGCCAACCACAACAAACATCGTTTAATACAAACTTTTTTAGCAACAGCAATCAATCTTTACAAGCTCAAATGACAGGATTCCCGAACACCCAACAACAACAACAACAACAACAACAACAACAGCCTACATCATTTGCGCTGTTTCAACATCCTCAGCCAACAAGTATTGGTTCAAATAATCCTTTTGCTCCTTCATACGGACATTGACCGCAGTGTCCATACAGTAATGGATATATAAGAATTAATAAATATAGTGGAGATATCGCAACGTCATTTAAACCTATTTCAATCAAATTGTCCTTTAAAACTGCTAATTCTTGCCAGTTATCAAGATATAATAATGTTCAATTTGTTAATGGGTCAACAAGTCGTAGCTCCATTCTGAAAGCGAGATTTTCTGCTCACGTTAATACCGTACAGCTGCTCCGTTCGATGAAATGTAGAAAAGATACTGTACCCAAAATATTTTGTTCATTGTAAGCCTGATCCACGTTACTGTCGATGCTTGGCATGTTTTTAATACTACTCTTCTCCTTGAGAATTGCACTGTCTGTATATCAAATGTGATCCTGGATGAGGTATTAGCCTTCTATTCTGTCTAATTGTTATCATTCCTATCATAATGAGACTTCAACAGACAACAACTTCTCAAGAAAATCTAATTAACTCAAACGCATTGAAGTTGATTTCATTCCGAGATGATAATCCACGTTCGTGCTATAAATCAGTTAGTAGACAATGAACGCTAAGTGGCAACAAGATTTTATTGACAAATATAAAGCTTCATCTTCTTCTGCGAGGAAACTACTATAGAAAAACAACTGCTGCTGCTGTTAGTACTTTTCAATTTCCTTCCAAAGTTGGGTTTCTACTCGAGAGATTTCACTAAGAAGTTGGAAAGTTTATGCAAAAATCGACGATCAGCACTGATGTTTGAATTTTCATGCAGGCACAGACAGGTACCAGCTATAACAAATTAGGAAAGGGGTGTCTCGGGTGGTACTGTATATTATTGAAAATAGCGGGTTAAGGTTGCAGCAAAAAATAAAAAATACCCCATTTGGAAGCAAAGACAAGCACTTTTCACTCTTCTACAATCTCACTTCAGCAAATTGAAATGTCTATAGAGACTATTGAACGACTGTCAAATGCCATTCCTAATGTAGTTCACGTCGAAAGACCCTACTTGGAGAACGCCCTGAAAATCAAAAAGTTGCAAATTGCCAAAGGCCCCATTGATAAGGAAGTGAGCGATGCCACATCTAAAGTGTAAGTGCATTCTCCAAAAGTGATACTCGAAAAGTTTCCTTCAACTTCATAATGATGCATATACCATATAGGACAATGTGGGAGACTGAGCTGCACCAGTTAAATTCGTGGTCTCTTCAGTGGTTCTTCGCAAAGCTGACAGTAAAGAAAAGGGAAAACATTATAATGCGCTCAGCTGTAAGAGAGGATAATTAATAGTATTTTATTTCTTTATGGAATGATATTGTGTGTGTATAGTGTACTCTTCAAGCTGAGATAGATCGTGCCGCCAAATGTTTAGAAAAAGCAAACAAAGTCCTTACAGAAGTCGAACAGAAAGCAGCAGAAGAAGATGAACAAATCAGAAGTGTAGAAACAATGAACGAAAAATATTACGTTGATTACAGAGCTCTAGAAAAGTACCGTGAAGATTTAGGCATACTTTTGGATGATGTATGTTCGACTTGTATCAAATTTGGATGTATTATAACAAATGGCTTATTTGTAATTTTGAATCATAGGCTTTGAAGGGCAATACTTATGCTACTGTAGACATGATGAAACGCACTTTGGATGATTGTATAGAAAGATGTCGACAGGTAACTTGAGGCAAACTTTTCTTTTTTTTTTTTCATTAAAAAAGGAAGTGCATATATAATTGCTGCGTCTTTTAATCATCAAAAATATTGTCCTCTCCAAATTACTTGTGATATTCTTAAAGAATGAGGATAAGATGAAGAGACTGGAGAAAGTAAAAGATCTGATTAGAACTGCAGATTTATCCTTAATGGAAGGTATAATCGAACTACGATCTTCCACTTTGACAGAAAAGATGATGGGCGAAGGCAAGGTCTACTTCCCTCAAGTTGCTTTTGATTCTTTGAAACAGGCCCGTGAAGAATGTCCTGAGTTGCCTGGATTCCCATCACCCCAGGAGTATGTTAATGAAGCAGACAATACTGGTGCATACTACTCACCAATGCAAAAATATCTGTGGGACGTGCGTAAAAAGTTAGCTGAACTTATCGTTTGGTGCGATCAACAGATATTGGTCTCTTTAGATATTGATACCGAATTGCAAATTGAGGTTGGTTTAAAGACAGATGAGTATAATTTAGAAAGATGCAGAGTGTATAAAGAGTTATTATAATTGCCTACATCGCTTATCTAGAACTACATAGTATCATATAACACTTATCGTACTCCTCCCCTAATGAATTATTATCCAAGTAGCACTCCGTGCAAATTTGTAGTCTTTAAAAAGAAAGGAATTATTGTTGAGCTGGCCGGGGTTTACAATTGCATCCTTTTAGAGCTTGGCGTCAGAAATGCCTGCTTCGTTTAACAAAGTTTTGAGTTTTCCTGAAGCGAACAAGGAATTGAGAGCATCTGCTCCACCCACATGTTTTTGACCAATAAAGATATTGGGCACTGTGTTCTGTTTTGTTAATTGTGCCAAAGCCTTTTGAATAGCTTCACCATCATTCACCTCATTCAATTCAATCGCTTTGTAATCGACGTCAAGATCATCAAATAGATCCTTTGCTCTCATACAGTAGGGACAATAGGATTTACTAAAAACCTTTGTTGTTTAGAACAGACATAATGGTTCAGTCCGGGAAGAATGTAAAAGGAAGCTTTGCTAATTTGTTTTACCATGACTTTGTTGTCGGCAATGGCTTTCTTCACTAAATCGCGGATTCCTTGAGTTACTATCGACATACTGAAGGCTTGCAAAAGAGTGATAACAAATTTGAGAGAAAAAAAAGGAAAAAAAAATACTAGATTATACAAAGGAAGAAATAATTATCGTACTGGTGCAGTTATACAGCATTACCTTTTGGACGTCTGTCTTTAGTTACACTGTACAAAGTCCGTACAGTGAGTGTGCACCTCAAATTATGTAATAGTGGCTAAAAAAGCACGTCTGCGTATGTTTTTTATCACAGGTGCCTTAATTTGTTCCAGATGTGATGTGACAGATCAAAGCTTTTGCACGTTTAGCGCTATAAGGACGGTCACTGATTTCCTTGAATAGCAACTGTCCCAACGAATCAAGTGTACGCGAATAATTGATAAAACTTCAAGAGTTCTGAATGCAATTATTTGAGAAGCCTTATTAACGTTGCCAAGTACAACCTTCAACCCAATTGTCAAGTAAAAAGTAGACAGCAAAAGAGACAAGCAATTTTTTTTGAAGAGCTATCTGAGCGACTTTGAATGAAAGGAGGAATATAATGATAATGAGGGGACGGCAAAATAAGGAGGCACACTAATCATGTATTTTCATTATCAAAAGCTGAGAAAAATGAAAAAAAAAAGTTGTGTACATGCACACACAGTAAGCAAATCAATTGTTTCATATTTTTTTCACTCAAGCAAGTTTTAATCAGTTATAATTTTCTTAATCAGTCATTTTTGATAAGCATCTCCTGTTCCCGATTGTTTAAATGACTGACGCGTTTTTGATAGGATGTAAGCTTATAACAGTCGGTATGCTTAACGACGCACTCATTGGTTTGCTCGATCAATAAACAAATAATAAGATCTTCGTAAAACAGAAAATTTCTTGATCTGACAGAAGTTCTATTAAAAGATTTCCAGTCCCTGAAATACCCCAACTCTAGAAGAGAGATCTGGGCTTGAAGAACTGACTCTGTGTTTGTTAATAGGGGCGAACATAATCATTTTGTATTACCCTTTTTCGGATGTCTATTAAGATTGTCCTCCCTTCAAAGTTGGAGGAAGAGTTGTGATATGTTACTATCTTTATAAATATTAGAAAATTTTTTGGTGTACACAGCTTTCTCTTTCTCTCCCTTTCTTTTAGCTTTTTCTCTTTTTTTTTTTTCCACTCCGGGGCTTTGCTGTTGTCGTTGTTTTTTATGTAAAATACTCTTTTATAATCTACTTATTCATACATTCATATATATATATATATTTATATATTATATAAATAATACTTACCTATTTAATAAATTTGTTACGCCTAACACTACCACTACCATTTCCACCTTCAGTCACAGACATACCAAGGCAAATGTCATTCAAAACAATATTTTCCAACTCGAAAAAGATGATCATCGTCCTGCAAATAATCATAGCCAGTCTAATAGGACTACTATTGCTGTCTATCATTAGAACGTATCAAAAACGACAATTTATATTTGGTAACGAAATAGGATGATGAACGTTATCCTCTTCAATATAAACTAACAAACTAAACTTTGTGCTACGTTTAATTAAAAAAATATAAACAAAACATAAATTAGTAGATCCTTCTTCAATTACAAATTACCAGCAGCCACCAGAACAAGAAGCAATGAATACGAGTGGGAACACCTTAACATATCAAATATCTCAAAAAAGAAATCACCCATATACCATCGTTACTGGCTCCAGTGCCAACCATTTATGCTCCTTAGAAAACTTTTTATATTCACTTAATTCTTTTCGATCTGAAATCGATCCAGACAAATTTCCTCGTATCGCTGTCTATAACATTGGCATGAATCGTACACAACTTCCTATCCTTGATCAACTTGTCCAACATGGGTTGATTGATGACCTTATTATGTTTGATCACGAACGTTACCCACGCTTTTGGGACGTTGCTATTGATGCGGGTCAGTATGGTTGGAAAACAGGCATTGTGAACGATGCACGCGTGCGTTACGGTGGCATCTTGGTGTGGTTGGATGCTGGTAATCAAGTCACCTCCGAGTTCATCACGAATATTCCTGACACTATACGATCCGAAGCTCAGGGCGGTTTTTGGTCGCCCAAGAGTGCTTATGGTATGGGCAAATGGACACACAACGGCATGTTTCAATTTTTTGGTGCAGATCCTACGCCTTACAAATATAAAAGTAATTGTAATGGTGCAGCCATTGGATTCGACACAGATAATTCGACAATTGTCAATACCATGATTTTACCTTGGTTTGAATGTGGGTTGATAAAGAAATGTATTGCACCACCAGGCTCTAGTAGAGAGAATCATCGGCAGGATCAAGCTGTGTTGACATACTTGGCCTATTTGAATGGACATGAGTGCAAAATACCGCCAAGGGATTTTTTCAAATTGCAAACACATCGAGATAAAGCGTGTAGAGCAGAATTGATGGAATTGGATTTGCAGAACAAATTACATCATCCATCTTCCATAGGTAAAAAGAGTGACAGAAAGATGACCTACTTTTTTTTTTGCAATCACTAACATGCTAAAACTTATTGTAGATTCGCCAAAATGGGAACGTGTAGATACGGTAGCTTTATATAATCATCCAGAATGGAAATATCCAGAAGACAAAGTACCTGTGAATATTAGAAAACCTTTGTCACCTTTAACTGCTTGAAACCATTGGTAAATATATTTAAGAAAGTAGTACCACGTCGACATATTTATTACCCATAATATACAATGTAAATTTCTGATTAAAATAGACAGGTTTCCTTTCAAACTATTTATGCTGTCGCAGGCTTTGCGCATTTACGTAATTCAATAGCTTTTGTTTTTGGGCATTGCATTTCTTGCCATGAAATTGGTATCATTGTTGCACCTGCCAGACTAGTGGCGTATATGACACCTAGTTCATTCTTGGCTGTAGATAAATAATATGATTTTGCATCACCGAGTGAGATTACTTCTGCTTTTACAATATCGCCTGGGCGAAAAGAGTTGTAAATCTTCACTTTATCCTTTTCTGTCGCTCTAATATCTTGTAAACTGAAAAGGCGGAAAAATATTAGTAAAATGGTGGATTCGCTTTATGGCCCATTCTATTTAGTTCTCTTTACCGTATAACGCCCATAAAATCTTCTTTACACGGTATATTGCCTACCACCATAATGGCTATCACAGCTTGTAAAGGTTGTATACGAACTACTTTACCAGTAATCTAGAATGTAGTTTAAATGTTAAGCATATACTTTTTCGTCCACATTGGAATCCCTGCTCTCTTGGATCAATTTTGTTTTTTTTCTTCGTTTACCACACTACCAACTTCAGGAACTGCTGATTGTTCTTTTTCCCTTGAGACTCTCATCACAGGTAACTATTCATATATTCTGTTAGATACACTTCAAATGAAGGAGTGTGAAAAGACCAACAGATCCTTCGTTTCTTACCTGATCGTTACTTGTTGGTTGATCTATAAATCTTTGCCCTACAACGCTTGCATATAATAAACCATCGCGCTCGTACGTTCCTGGTCCTTGTTGGTATTCTGCTGTATAACCAAGTCTTTGTCCAGGAGCTACTGCTTCACCTTTTGTTGTGGACATGTTGATTCTATATCTGCTTAATATACGGAAAGTATATAAATTTGAAATCCTCTCAAACAATTAAGTAGCATGAAAAAGAGGCTTCGATTGGGGGAACTACATTTTTGGGAGTCCTGCTGTGACAGCGTTCAAAATTTGCTTACATAATTTATTCATTGGAATGTGCTTTACAAAAATACCAGCACATGTTATTCTAATGTCTCAATGGGAAACACAAATACTTTAAATGATGCATTGTATCTCCATCTTGAGAACAATAAGGCAATGTCATGTGACTTTGCTGCTTCAGAGGTTTAGGATAAAAAGGAAAGACAAAGGGCAGTAGCAGATTGAAAGTTCTGTGATTCAAATAGAATCCAAATTCAATGAAGGAAAATGAATCAGAGACACAGGAACCATTACTTCCCTAATTAATTTTTATATGCAATAAACTTTTTTCTTTTCTTCTCTAACAAACGTATTTCAAGTCAACTATTTCAATTCTATCTTCTTTTGTGCTTCATTCTTTTTTGCAAAGCAGCTTTGATTGCAATCTGACCGGTGTCTGTGTTTTCCTTCCACTTCTCTTTGCTATCTCTATCCTCCATTCATAGATGATCTCAGCAGTTTCTGCTACTTCTTCTTCATCTTCAAGGACAGTAACCACTACGACCCACACCATTGCAACGGAAGAACATTCTATCAAGTCAACCACATTAACCAACAATAACAGTAACAGCCCTCGTCTCATACGAAAGACGAACAGTAACAGAAAGAATGCAGAGAATGTCAAAGTAACTGTACGTTGTAGGCCGCCTAATCCTAAAGAATACAATCATCAGTCTTGCTGGAAGGTCGATCAAGAGCTAAATAAGATAACGAGTGACATTCAGCAACAAAATCAACATAAGAAACAACATGAATTTTTGTTTGGTAAATATACATTCGTATATTAAAAGTTTGGGAGCAACAATTTTAACGCCTAACGCCTAACTTTAACCTACAACAAATAACGGTTTTACTATGTAGATCATGTGTTTTATGGCAGTGATAATGAAGCATTGTATTCAACTAGTGTGAATCATTTGATAAAGTAAAAGAAACAAAAAACAAATCACCTAACTCTATCGTTAGGAAGCATTCCATAACACAGACAATTGATAGAGCTTAAAAATAATTTCTTTTTCTTCTTTACTATTCAACATATGTAGTCAAGCTATGGAAGGATACAATGGTAAAATTGAAAAAAAAAAAAAAATATTATTTTCAATGTGAACAGATATATTCAAAAATTGACTGACGAATATAACTTACAATGCACAATTGGATGATCTATAGTTACTGTATTTGCATATGGTCAAACTGCGAGCGGAAAGACTTTTGTAAGTTTAATCAAGATCATCTCTCGTTGACTAAAATTCTCCACAACTTATTCGATTTTTTTGTAATGATAGACAATGGTAGATACAGTTGGAAATGTTGCGTAACAGCTATTTTATCACTTATCAGTTAGATACTTTCCAATGTATAGATGGGTAATGATGCAGAGCCTGGAGTCATACCGAGATCAGTAGATAACGTCTTTGACTATATCAAAAAGGTATTGTGTTTTCTCTGAAAGGAGCCCCGAAACTTATACTGATCATAATTCATGTCTTATCGTAAATATTTACATAGTCTGTCACCCGTGAATTTTTGTTACGTGTATCTTACCTTGAAATATACAATGAAACGATCAGGGATTTATTGGATCCAGCCAATAACAGCTTGAAAATTCATCAAGATAAGATAAGAGGCATTTATGTTACACCATTGACGGAGGAAGTAGTGACCACACCAGAAGACGTTCTTAGAGTCATTGAAAGAGGAGAAGGTAGTAATAGATTTAATAATTCATGAGTGTCAGGTTGAAGATTTTTATAACAGATAAAGGCTGATTCGTTCCGGTCTTATATTAGCCAATAGACATATCAGCTCTACAGATTACAATTTGCATAGCAGTCGAAGTCATACGTTATTTCAAATGGTTATTGAAAGCAGAGAAAGAACAGCAACGAATAATGCAGCGAACGTGTCTCTGAAGCCTCCGAAGAGGACCTTTACATCCATGGGGTATGGAAATAGTCTGAAATCGAAAGATGCTATTAAGATATCACAATTGGTAATAAGGGTTACGGAATCAAGATAAATCAAAAATACGCTTCACCAACTCTTTCCCTTCTCTGTTTAGAACTTGATTGATTTGGCTGGATCAGAAAAAGCTGCATCAGACGAAAATAGACGAAAAGAAGGCTCCTATATCAATAAAAGCTTATTGACATTAGGCACTGTCATTTCTAAATTGACTGAACAGCAACAGGCATCACATACCCATATACCCTTTCGTGATTCAAAGTTGACGCGTTTACTACAGACTGCTCTCACGGGCCTTGCGAAGGTGGCTGTTATCTGTACCATTCACCCTTCTCTGCAATCTATGGAAGAATCGTTGAATACCCTCAAATTCGCATCACGTGTAAAGAAGATAACCACGCATGCGAAAAATGACGAGATTCTGGAGGATGAAAATAGTAAAGCTTTATTACAAAAATATCGAACAGAAATAGCAGAATTAAAGTCGAAATTAGAATCTACGTCGAACATATTACAAAAGGAAAAGGAAAAGACGCAGTCTGCTATAATCCAAGAAAGAAGGGATCATGATCAACAAATGAGACAGATGTTGAATATACGTAATATGATGAAAGAGAGAATTGATCATTTAACAAGGCTGATTTTAACTTCGTCCAACGTGGATCACAATCATCTTATTTCTTCTGCCTCTACTGCTGCTGCTACTTCTGCTTCTTCATTACTCACAAATAACTACTTACCTTACCTTTCGGATAGTTCTTCTAGTTATGATAATGTATCTCATGTCGATTCTCTTCTCATAACAGATCCATCATCAACAGGTGACGAAAACTGCAACACTAACTATCATCATTTGCTCTCAGCCAACGTCTCCTGCCCCTCCAACTCAGCCGCAGACATTATGATTCAAGATTTACGTCGACAGGTGGAGCGTTTGACAATAGAAGCACGACAAAAAGACCAACGTATCCTTTCTTTAGAAGAACAATTACGCCATCAGATCTCATTAAACTCTCAATTAGAAACAAGTCTAAGTGTAACAAAAGCAGAATTAGAAGTAACCAATTTATTGGCAGCGAACAATGAGATAGATAACGAGCAGAGGGATAGCATGAGAATTATGTTCCAAAGAGGCACAATGAACAGTTTGGAAAAACAATATACATTGCCAACACAAAGACAACCGGTGAACACTATAAGAAAACAACAAACGATGTATTCTTTCCAGTAAAAGTTAGCTTGCAAAGATAATTTTACCGGTTTTAGAAAGAAAAGGGGAAAGGAACCTAAATAGGTTACATTCATTTTCTTACAAAAATAAAGCAAGCTTCTATTCCAAATACTTCTTTATAATAATCCATTGTTAATGAATTATGGTTTCATTAAGAAGATTTTACTTTTTAAGGAAAAGCATTTGGCTCATTTGTATATTAAATTAGTATTAATACAGTTCATTCCTTGTTGATATTGTTATAGCAGTGTTTAACTTACTCGATTGCAATCCGTCCCAAGAAAGAAGGCTATTTTTGGTGAAAACCTGCGCCGATTTAAACGACTTGATTCGATAGATCTCAATGTTGGATCTACGAATTTTTTTGATCACGTCAGCAAACAAACATGCATAACAGAATACGTCTTGATGCATTATCAAGGAAAGAAAAACTATATTTTTACTTTTGTTTTTCTTTTCTGATTGTTTTTCTAACTCATCATTCTATTAAACCAACTGTGCAGTGTAGAAAAAAGATGAGTCGCAGGTTCTCAATCTCAGAAAATTTTGTTCCATTTTTGAAAACCAAAAATAGATGAAATGTTTGAAATTGGGGATCGGGGGGTCAGAAGCTAAATTTGGAAAAAGCACGCGACATCACGCCCGACAATAGCGAAAAGGACTTGGAGTAACAACAAACAGAAAAAAGCTAAGCTTTTATGTTTGTTAGAGCTTGGTCCTTGATGACGATGCTGAAAACCTTGACATCATGCCATTCAAACTCTGACTGGGTAATTGAACTGTCGCCTACCATCCAGTGCATATAATGCTTCGTTTCTGTGTCCGTGTAATGAAAAACGTAATAAATTTGACAGGTGAACCAAAAAGTTTCTTTTTCAACAAAAATAGAGTGAGTTAAAAAAAGAAAGAAAAAAAATCCAAAAAATCAAATTCCGGCTCATTTTCACCTTATTTGATCGTTTTCAGTCTATAGTCTTTTCTCTTTTTTTCCTTTTTTTTTTTTCTTCTTTCTTCTTTTTCTCACATCATCACACCATCATTTTGTACTTTTAACTCTATTCAAATCAATAATAAAATGCCTGCTGTAGATAACAACGTTAACCTTGCACCTACTACCGAACCCGCCAACACTAACGAACAAAAGAAGCAAAAGAAGCCAATTCGTCAAGTAAGTCAATCTTCGATTTAGATAAGGAAAGGCCAAAGGATGAGATAGCGTACAGACATACTGATAGAGTCATGACAATTTTTCTTTTCTGCCCTTTGTTAGGCTGTTGGTGGTATTGTCATTGATACTGTTAACAAAAAGGTATTAATGCTTTCTAGTCGTAAGACAGAAGGTTCCTACCGTCTTCCTCGAGGAAACTGTGACGAAAACGAAACACCCGAACAAGCTGTCATCCGTGTCCTCCATGACGAAGCCGGTGTCGAGGTTGAAAAGATCAGTCAAAAGGTCGGTACTTACACCGAGGCAAATAAGAAGGGTAAGATTGTCGGTCATCACTGGATGTTTGAAGTGACAAACCCCAAGCTTTTGGATTCTTGGCCTGCTTTAGATCGTAAGCGTGTTTGGGTAAGTCGCCATTCCGATATGTAATGGATAAATTATGGGGATGATTGTTGTGGGATCTGTGTGTTGGTATGGACTTCATATCATCATGTGTGCTATTTACTCAGCTTGAAAAAGAAGCGAAGAGTAGTTGATATCCATATTAGTGTGTATACTGTGAGATGAGAATAATGAAATTTGACGCAATTTTTTTTCCATAGTTTACTCTCGAAGAAGCTGTTGCTGCTTCTAGCGATCGTCATATCGCCCGTTTAGCTCTCAACGACTGCTCTTTATCTTCTGCAAATCATCATTAAGCCCATTCTTTCTCTTAGACAAAATATCCTCAAAACCTTCCTCACTCCATTTCTTTGTTTCCGTTCAATATTCCTTTAGTTCCTCCTTACCAAGTGCATCATGCCTTATAAGTACTATCATATCTCTATAACCGACAATTGTAAAAATTCACCAATTCTCTCTTTTATTTTTCTCTATCCATATTATGTTGAAGTACGTGATTGATTTCATATTCAAGGGAAATAAAATAGTTTCTTTTTCATTCTTAGAAACTTGTTGCCATGTCCTGCATAAGTGCATAATACAATGACTAAGGAGAACCAATGTCAGGAGTAGATGACCGTTATTACCGACTTTAGAAGGGAGGAGCCATAAAAAGTTTTTCTTGAACACCGTGAGTAAGGGCTTGCATCGTTCTCTAATAGATTGAATAAAACCTGTCTTACTTAGCTGATATTCAACGTGCAAACAGTATCCGTCAACCTTGATTAAAGAAGCGGTTGAAAGTGCTCTAATAAGTTTTTATATGCAGCCTAACGAAGACAATTCTAAGCAATGTATATAGCTTTCCGTGAGAGAAGCCGAACTGCGTGAAAGCATGACATTTCTTTCCAGAAAAGAAAACAAAAAAAACCAACCCAACTACACCCTATTGATTTTGGTAATTTTGGGAAACACAAAGCTTGAATGATAATAATAAAGTACAAATATAAACATGCAAGTAGTAATGAACGAAACATAAAGCAAAAAAAAAAAAGCAAAAAGATTGAAAAGGGTACAAAGTATTAGATCAATAGCTTAAAGTAAACAGAAATAATATCAGCATCTGTGTTATATGTTGTAATTTAATAGGAAATAGTTCATTTGTACGTATCATACTCGAGGTGTTTTTCACTCAGTAGTATCAACGCAAAAGAGCATTCCTTACTCAATAAATCATCAGTATCAGCTAAATGCATGCTTCATTCATCAGCGTAAATGTTGATTCTCGTTTCTACATTAATTCCCACCTCCGTTGGTGTTATTCACTCCAGGTTTCCAGCATAAGGATGCCGCTGTGAACGAATATAACTGTCAATGCTAAATACATTCATCGTTTGCACATTGATCTACGTAAGACGTTGAGGCGAATTTAATTGTTTACAAACTGTAATTGATGAATTTGACTCTATAAAGGTATACCACTACATGGACATTCGCAACAAACTGAACACTTGTCTTACTATTTGAACTTTGAGCATAATACATGAGCTAGTGTAAGCATTACAAGAAGACGGATAACAAGGGTCATAATAGCGCGATAGTTCTCTCTACTACTCCTCTCTTTTCCCCTCTATACTGCCTGATCAGTATATTTGCCTTACATTCTGTACCTCTTTCTCTTTATCTACTGCTTTCTCATTCTACGTCCCATCATTGTTATACGAATGTTTTTCTTGATTTTTATTATTTTACTTGAGCCTCATTATACATTAACCAAATACAATATATTTAGGACATGAGGTGTTCCTGCTTTTTATAATCCAGTTTTTCGACTTTCACTTCATCATCAATGAGTTTATAAACATAGGTAATCACACTATTGCCTTGAATGTCCATTAAAACGAATGATGGCGTAGGTTCACTAAAAAAAAGATTTGCATTCAATAACGATGGTATGTAAACGATCGATTAACGAAAGACGTCTTCTTACTTTGAATCAGGTATAGATGAATAGGCTCCTGTTGCACTACCAGGGTTGATAAAGAACTTGCCATTATATTGATATGCTTCAAACTTGTGTGTATGTCCTGACAACAAGACATCTACTTCCATTTGGCGAGCCGTAATATCTAATGATTCCGCGTCACCCCAAGGGATAATTTGATGGCCATGAATCAGACCAATACGTAACGAACCCTCGGTAATTACTTTTGCCTGAGGTAAAGTACTGGACTCGTCAAAGTCGCCTTTCACTACTGTAATATCGCCTGCAATCGTCCTCAAATAATCCAACGTTTCTTTATCCACCATATTGCCTGTGCATAGAATCTTTTGAATTTTGCCCGGTACCTATACGTTTTGGATGGCGGATACGTAAGAATGTGGGTTCTTTTGTCATTTCTTTGAATCTGAAGGTTCCTATTCTTAAAAGGGATCCTTTTTTCACAAGATTACCAAAAGCTTTTTGAATTTCAAAGGAAGTCCATGACTTCTGTGAGGTATATGTAGATCGCCTATAGCCAATACAAGCTGTGGTTTGAGATGACAGAAAGTATAATTCAGACTTTGAGACTTTTCTAATCTTCTTTTTGACGGAAAAAATAAAAACAGCTTTCAAATGTAGTTTACCACCATCTTTTTATGCAAAGTGTTTTTTGTTCAAAGAAGAGTCGAAGAATAGCAGAAGACTATTTGTCGGCATTTCGTAGGATGAATGTTGGCTACTGCCGCTGATTGAAATTCACACGCAAGTAACTGTTTCCCCGCCTTTTGTAAGAATAAAAAATACGCGAATGGTTGCTCCCAGGTCAACTTCAAGAAGGACTCTGTATGTTCATAACCGCACCTTTAACAACACGTATATAAATCTATCTGCGAAACATGTATATTTATTGTGTGCCATTTTGTATATGTATGCTTATATAAGACAGGTAGTTCTAAAATAGCGAATCAGCAGGCTGATGATGTGTTAAGAGCACAAGGCATAAGTGCCTATGCAGAAATGTGCTATCTTGGCTGGATAAAGGTGGATTCTTTCTGCTTGAATAAGCTTTCATTGCGAACACTGAGTCCTTTATCTTTGTCCTCTTGATGCGATAGAGTAAAAAGTTGCAATTAAATTGGAGAGGATGCACATGCATACGTTCAGTTTACACACTCTAAGTAGCAAGATCAAAGATACTAGTAACCAACCTTTGACGGCTCCTTCGGGCAAAAACCGATGAGAAAGTATAAAATGAATTAAAACTTCGGCAGGTTTCTATTTGTGCTTTTTTCCCCACTTTTTTTTTGCTATATCCAATTAAGTTTGCCCTGTGAACTAGAAGCCTCATCTACAGTGATCGTCTCATAGTCAACATTGTAAATAGAAGCCTTACACTACAATAATCGAAATCCTTCAAGCGCCAATTTCAAGCAGTTGTATTTCAGTAAGTGGACTATTGTAATCCTGACGAACAACGATCTCTTGGAAATCTAACAGCATCTCTACAAAAAAAAAGGGGCAAAAAAAAGCAAAATCAAAAAAATAAAAGACCGGTCATAGATACCAACAAAATATTGTTTATGACGACTGAAGACATTCCAAAAGAAGAAACAAGAGTAGACGGTGTTGATAAATCTGTGTAAGTAGATCCTTAAGCAGGGCAGTCTTTTAAAGCATTATTTATAAAAGTCTGTGTGTGTGTGTGTGTGTGTGTGTGTGTGTGTGTGTGTCTTGCGTGTACGCTTTGTTTACCCCTTAATGTTCAAGTCTCTAATTCTTGTTGTGGGCTTTGGTTTCCTTATCAAATTGTATCATGTAGACGTGTTCCTTTCGATACCTCATCAGCAAAAACAGGGTCAACGTATCGACTATACAATCTACTGCCTGTCAATAATAGTACAAATGGCCCCAATCCGCAGTATGTAATTTGTGAGGCTTATCATGATATGCAACAATATGATCATTATCGAGAAGTTTATCATTATAATAAAACAATACCACCGTTAGTTGAATATATGCCCCAAGAAGAGATAGTTGTGAAACAAAGAAAAAAGAGTAGTATAAAAGAAGACCAAAATGATGCTACTCGAGACGAACCGAAAGAAAAGCTCAATGACAATGACGATAATAACGATGAGGGTGGCATCGATTCATATCTAACTTTTGATGATACAGATGATATGGATTTTGATGAAATGACGAAAAAACTGGAGAAAACTGCAGACGGATTGGCAAACAATGATACTACTATTGCATCCACTACATTTCTACCATCTGCAGTAGTATCGAACAAAAAGGAAAGCGAGAGTGTTGATACAAAGGTACATCACTTGAAAATCGGTAAGAAGGCTGGAATGATATTGGTTCATACGGACAAAGCTGAGAGTGGAGGAGAAGCATCAGTTAAGAATAGGGGGAAAATAGAAAATGATAAAGCTGACAATAAACAGACAGAGCCTACGACCGTTGTCAATACAGAAATAGATACTGGCCAAAGGAACAGTAACGACAGCCTTCGAGGGGAAGATGACGACGACAAAGTATCTGCTCGTGATCAAAAGTCCACTGCAAAGAGTGAAGCAGAAATGGCTATAAGAGAACCCATTGTGGCTATTGCAGAGACTAGTATGTTTTCGAGAAGCGGGCGAAGAATTCGCAAGCCAGTTCTTCTAACCTCCCCGTCCTCTCCCCCGCAGTTACCTCCTGGGCCAAAATCCGCAAAGCGAAAAGCAGCACTGAAGGAAAGATTAAGAAAACAAAAGCGGAAGCTCGAAGAACAGATCAAGCTCAAGAAAGAAGCGAAACTTCGTGAAAAGCCACATGTTCGTACGCCATCAATGACAGCCAGATTTCCACCATTACCACCATTACCACCACCACAACACCAACCACAACACCAACCACAACAATGGCCAACCTATCCACAACCATCCTATCCTCCTTTACAGCATACATCTTTTGGACCGTCCACCATGGTTCCGCAACAACCACCATCCTATAGGAAGAGTTCGTACTATGGTCAAATGATGGGGCCTCCACCCGTGGGTATGTATCATACGATGTCGCAAGCACCACCGCCTTCTACATCCTATCTTCATCCTTATCCTTCTCCCGTACCCTCTGCCCCACTACCAATGCCAATGCCCGTCCCGTATGGTAATGTATCTTACTCTGCTTCTTCCCAACCACCACGTACGCCATCCATGTCCTCCTCCTCCTCCTCATCGATATTACCAGGTCATATCAGTCATGGCCCTATTCAACAACACCACATACCACCCTATTACCCTGCCAGTCACCCTACCAGCAACATGCCGCCTGCTAAGAAGATGTGTAGGGATAACAATGATCATCTCTATCCAATAGCTGTCTCTTCACTGGCGATGAATCATGTCGAACAGCATTCTGTGCATATACCACCCTCACCCACGGTTTCGTCGAAAGCATCCACGTCTAGTGGAATTGAAGTAACGCAGGCCAAGATGTATCCAGAACAAAAGATAGTACAACCTAGGGACAATGATAGAAATATAACAGTAGCTCGGAACGATAAAGAATACTCAGCACGACAGCAGCAACACGGTGATCCTCGAAATGTATATTCAGGACCCCATTATCAACCCGAAAAATACAGTATAAAGCCAGTTCTGCAATTTCGCGACGCCTTTTTCAAGCTAGAACATGGCGACGATGACGAGGACGATGACGAGGACGATGACGTCGATGATGAAGATGAAGATGATGAAAGTGAGGAAGTAGAGGGTGGAACGAATGCTGCACGGAGAGGGCTCTCTCGTTACTTTATCCCAAATATTCATCGCTATTTCCAAGCAGCTTTGGAAGATGGAAGTTACTTTGAATCCTATGATCAATATAATGCAAGCGATCTTATCAATTTCAGACATGCATATCAGCCACAGCAGCGTACACGCGGACAATGCCAACGTGAGTTTACTATTGTTATGAAGCAAGACATAGGAAATAAAAAACTCATTCCCTATATTTTTTTTTTACTTCTAGTCAACGGTGTCTTGTCGGAAAGAAGCCCTAATGCAAACATAAACGAGCAAAAGAAGAGTCGACAGGGCGAGAAAGTGATCATTGACATAGAAGAGGATCCGTCGCCGCCCTTCTTGAACGTAAATTCAGCAACTGCGCCAGCATCAAGGACTCAGAACAGCCTACATCATCAAGAGGAGATAATCTTCATAGAAGATAACGTTATGGAACAAAGGAGTGAGAATGACGACATTGGATATGGGCGTGCTGGAAGACAAGGCCAAAAGAAGCAGCCCACTTTAAACGTGACTCTAAAGAGAAAACAGGGAGCACGAGGAGGGACGGCAAAACGAGGGAGAGGGAGACCGAGGAAATACCCATCCATGAACGCTGTCAGTTACTATGATAATGCTACTACTGCCACTGCCATGGGGCTTATGAAACCCACTTTTACTTGCGCGCAAAACGAGAGGATAGCATCAGCAGAAGACGATGTGAACAAGGAAAATTGGAGAGAAGCAAACAAGCCAGAAAGGCAAAGAGGTCAACAACTCACAGCTAAAGTAATACCTCATGATGGTGAAACGACTGGCGAGAAAGAGGAGGAGGATGGTGATGATGGTGATGATATGTTAACAGAGGATGAATTAGAAAGAGCGGATGCATTAAGATACATGCATACGGCTCACCATTTGAATGATACTAATGCATTTCATTATAGCCGTGCACAAGAAGCCACCATCACCTCTACAAGTAAAGGAAAGGAGCGGGAACATGCGACAACGACAATGATGACGGGTAGAGGAGGATCCGAAAGCCCCAGTTGGTCGAGAGCAGGATCTGTTGAAACATTTGATGAAACATATGAACTCATCTCTGATGATGATGAAGATTCAGAATCACCCTTTCTAAAGTACAGTAATAACAAACAGAGTGGCCCTTCCACCACCACCGTCTCTGCATTCATTCAACAGCGAAAGCGTTTTTCCATGTGGGGACAAAAGCGACCTCCTTCTGTGCTACTGACTGAGGGGGCTACGGGCGAATATAAAGAGGGTGACGTTGGAAATACTCTTCAGGACAAAATACAAAGAAGAGAAGACCGAGAAGATAGCCAAAACACTGTGCAGTCGTATTCACATGAACAGATATCGATCGCTGGAAGGGGTGAAGAATGCCAACTGACCTACGAGCACCCAGGAAAGTTAAGTAGAAGTAGGAATAGTAGCGTTACCTCACTTCCATCGACTACGACTGCAGACACAGATCGATCGTCATTGACGACACAGTCGAAACGAAGGAAGAAAAAACCAGGACTGAACTATGTGCTACCTTCGGATGATTTGATCTGTATGGTCTGTCAGCAGCATGATATGCCTCAGAGTACGTGGGATGCTTATCGTTTCCCTGATGACTATCTGCAAAAATTGGAAGAAACGAAAGAGACGAGAAGACCCGGCTTTACAGGAAGAGGAACCAGTTGGGATCCTAGAGTGTACATTCAATGTGAGCAATGTAGTATCAAGGTACATTGCGGCTGTGTGCAGCCACCCGTGAAAGGCTATCCTGTAAAATACCGCGCCTTCTTATGCACTGTTTGCGATGAGAAAGAAAAAAGCGGAAAACAGATCCCCATTATACCAGCTGGTGGCAAAGTGTCAAGACAGAACATCACCAAAACTTCGAGAAGATCTGGAGCACACCCTGTTAGCTATAAGATGTGAGAAATGAATACCCCTCTCCCCTCCTTTACATGCTTGCCCTTAGCGCATCAGTAAAGTACTTGTTGTTTACAATGTAAAATAAACTTGCAAAAAGGCCGATGCTATCTGAATAGAAGGATGACCTTTGTGTTTCAACCCATTCTGTAAGGAACTGGAAGAAGGCTGAGGATGAATGAAACTCGTATCATTCTACTAACAAACAGTTATATCATGTTACACGTAAACCAAGCTCTTCCAGCACATTCCTTTTACCTATTTTTCTTGTTTTTGTTTCTTTTTTTTTTTTTTTTTGCTTTTCTCTTTTTCTTAAAACCGTCTATCCTTTGAATAAAGATGGACGTTGGTGAGCTTCCTGTCTTTAAAAGCCATGACAAAAATGACAAAAACAAGAGCCGCAAGATGAATAACGACACCAAAAGTAATAAAAGTAACGATAGCTGGGAAAAGATTGGTGACTATGATGGAGAAGCGATTCCTGATGATATTCAACTCGAGGCTCAAGACAAAGACAGTGACGATGACCAACCATCCATCAAGCCACCCTCCAACAATAAGGAAAAGGTAGAAACCGACAAAGCTGCAAAAGCTGCTTCTGATAAAGCAAAGAGTAGTCAAATAGAATACAAAGGAAAGCAAATGCATACATAAGCCGTAGTTTACAACAAATAAAGGCTCGATGCATGCGTATTTGTCTATATCCAACAAAAAGAAAAAGAAAAGAAAACGTTTATATTTGCATAATGCATCTAGAATCCAACGATAAGAAGTTAGTAAAGATAGAAAAGACTCTATATTTTTTTATTTTTTTGTTTTACATGCATGTACAGCCTCCGTGTAATAAAATGTATGTATGAACCAATTGCATGACAAAAAAGAAAAAAGGGGCAGTGAATCACATACATTATAATATAGCTATTCGGAAAGAATTGATTCCGACACTATCACACTTTTCGTCAAAGTTTGACAATTTGTGAATGATGATAAGCATGAAAATTATGTGGGATTTGTATGTGTACCTTGTGATGGATGACGATGACCCCCCTTGAACAATTGTTTTGGGTTTTGAAATAACAAAGAAATTGGTGTAGATTTATTTGTGTTTGATTTATTTATTACTATGTTACGAATAGAGCGATTCAATAAGAATAAGTAACTCGGGTCCACAGGTTTGGTTATAATATAAATAAAGAAAGAAAGAGAGAGATGACAAAGGTATATTCATGAATTATCTGATGACGGGGCTGATGGTGATGCTGAATGATGATTAAATGCTAGATAAATAAACGATGAATGATGAGGTAGCTTATATAATATGACTATGCTGCTGATGCTGATTGCTGATTGCTGATAATGCTGACTCACTATATACAGATGAAATGATGCAGGTAGAAAGATAGGTAGGTAGGTAGGTTATGTGATGGCTTCATTTGATTTAAAAGAGCCCTAGTTCAACTCGATGCTCTTCGACAAAGCTGTTCAGTTGGCCATCATCGATAAAGCATTCATATTGAAGTAGTTTTAGGAAGCCTCTTTCAATGTGTTGTATTTCATCAAAAGAGAAAAGGCCGTTGCAAATAGTGTAGATCTGATAATTGGTGAGAGTGTGTGTGGTCCAAGTCGAATCATCCAAGTATTTAGACGCAATCAAGACTGCTGCTAAAAACATACGATGAATGGTATCTATTTTTTTTTTTTTGCCACAGAAATCAGCAATCCGTTAGTGATGATTGGCTTCATTGTATGTACGCACAACGTTAGATGTGTGCGTGTGTGTGTGTGTGTGTGTGTGTGTGTGTGTGCTTTTTGTTTACCATCACTTCCTATGGCTCTTTTAGGTAATTTTGATTTGGCTCTTTGTAAGTAAATCAATGCCACCAGTAATGTACGAACATTGATTTTGGCCTGGTGTGTCACTTTCTGTACGAAATAGACAAACTCTGGTAGAGATCGGTTGGATTTCCTGGTTTTCATCAAATCGCATAACGTCATGGCTGTAAAGTCAATCAAAATAGATGGAATGGCTGTTATCTTTACAGGCTTAGGAGGTGGATAATAAGGACTTGTGACGAGAAAATTAAAAGTAGGTGGCGTATGAGAACTGTTTGTTGGCGTGGTTATGGATGAAGACGAAGATACTGTGGTACTCGATGAAGAAGTACGTCTTTTCGATGATTTACGTTTGATTGCTTTCGGTCGAGATATTCTGATAGAAGAAGTTGCAAATACAACAATATTATCCGCTGAAAGATCAATGGAAGAAGCTGTTGAGGCGGGATTGCTGGCGGTAGCAGCAGTCGTATTCGTTGTTGAAGGAGTCTGCTGGAGCATTGACTAGTTATTATTGTATAGAATGAGTAGTACTATGCTTTAAAAAAAAAGAACTGAAAATAAAGGGTAAAAAGAGAAAAGGAGGATAAAAAGACAGTGTGGATGAGCTGCCCTATTTATATGGAAAATAATAAGCAGAGCCCCCTTATCACATTGTAATAGACTCCCACACACATACATACTTACACACATACACAGAAAAAGCTTCATTACACAGAATCACAGTTCACGCGTGAACGCACGCTTTTCACGTCAATTTTTTTTTTTTATAAAAAAGTTGGGTTTCTAGACCTTTTTGTTATGATTTTTCCAATTTCTGTATATACACACACACTCCTATATTTTATGCTCAACCTTCCCACTCCTGAAAAAATAAAAAAAAAAAAGTTACTTGCTTTTATTTTTTTTATTTTTTTTTATTTTTCTGGGCAGTGAGAGCAGCAAAAAAAAAAAAAAAAAAAAAAAAAAAAGCATAGTAATTACTACAAATTATCATGTTAACAATTCCATGAATAACCTTATTGACAACATTCTCCTTTTTATGATTTTCTCTTTTTTACTCGTGTCAAAAGAAGGATGATGAATTGTAATTGGTGCTTTTGAGTTTCTTCAATATCTCAGGTACCTGTCAATGTCATGCTTTATTCAAATTAAGAAAGATAAAGATATTACAATAAAGAAAGGCATTTCCAATTTCAGTAATCTCAATTACTGTATATAGTCATTCCGATTACAACTTCATATGATTCCCAAGCAATGACCTACCTACTTGGAATTATACGTTTCAACCTCCCTCAGCCGTGAGTTTCTACATAGCAAAAAAACCATGACGAAAAATGCCAGTTCTTCTGAATGCAAGTCATTTAAAGGATGAATTTGAAAAAAAAGCATTAAAAAAGTAACGATGGCTCTCTGGTTCGAGGACGATAATGATTACTTTAGGGTTTTGACCACAAGTGACAAGCCCGGTTTTTGACTATATTCAGCAAAAAAGTGAACATGACATCCTTCTTACGTTGAAATTTGGCGCGCTTAACCTATTTGTTACATATACATACTATATCGTCTGCCTATGTAATCGTCTCTTCATACTGTCTAATGTTCCCGATGTACTATCCCAGCTTTTTTTTCTTTCTACAGAACCACAGCCAACAAAAGAAAAGCCTTTTTTTTTTTTTCCTGGTTTTAAGTTGCTGGCATCTTTAAACTAAATCAAGTCATTCCGAGTAATACGAAAACTCAAAACGTTCAAACAAATACAATAGGATGCATATCTCTGCGATCTTTGTTGACATTGCTTAAAAAAAAGAATAGGCTCGTCACAGAATTCTGTACATGTTGTTGTTGTTGTTGTTGTTGTTGTACTATCCAACGAGTATCTCGGAATTACCGTAGCAGTCTATATGTACATAACCATGAAGCACCAAAAAATCAAATAGCCATTTTTTTAATTTTACCAAATCAGGAAACAGTGACTCCCCCCCATACAATTCAATAACGTAAACGGGCTATTATCAGCTTTTTTCTTTTATTGAAGAAGCAGCGGTGGTAGTCATAGAACCAGGTTCATTCAGCTGAATACCTTCTCTTATAAGATGATGATGATGGATGTATTGTGACGAGGTTAATTGCGTTGGATGTAAGGACGACAGCGATGTAGTAGAAGATACATCCAGTGTGTCTTCTTCTACCTCTTCTCCTACTCTTGATAGGGTTCTAAATGTAGTGAGAGGGATATTGTCGTGGTCTGCTGCTGTTGTATTATTATTAGTAGTAGTTGTAGTAACAGTAGTAGAATTCATAAAATTAGTATTGAGTAAAGTATTAGTAGTAGAATAATTTTGATTGTAGTAAGGTGTATAGTCCATGTGCGTGTCCATGAGATTGCTATTGTTGCTCTTTGTGTTTTCGACAATCGTACTCACACTCGATAACGGAGATGGCTGGCTTAGGGTGGCGGTACTCGTGATGGAAGGATTGTTGAGTTCAAAGGACAAAGACGGTATAGCGCGATTTGATCTATCTGTTGATCTGTTATTCACTGGATCTTTGTCCATTAAAAAATAGTCATCTATCTTTTGCAACTGTTCCTGCTGCTCCTGTTCCTGCTGCTCCTGCTCCTGCTGTTCTACCATGGTAGACGGAGTGGAGGTTGGTTCCGCATGTACATAAGGATATTGAGATTGGTATGGATACTGTTGCTGCTGCTGCTGCTGCTGCGGTAACTGTGGATGAGCTGCACATTCCTCATCATGGTGAGGTGAATGTGCCGTCTGATGTTGATGTTCAGAAGAAAACTGTTGTTCCTCTTGCTGCTGAGCACCATGGCCCAACAAAGGCATAGAGATCGAAACCGATCTGGATAAATCAATTCTAGTTTGTATATGTGAATGATTCAAATGAGCTAAAGCCTCAAATGCTGTTTGAGGGTGATGGGCTCCTGGACTTTGATCAATCAGCGCACCACTGAAAATCAAATGTATTTCTTCGAGTGATCGACCCTATCCAACATAGAATGGGGGTTCATTAAACCGATCTTTTTTTCTTACCAACACAAACACCCCACACACACAACTTACTCTTGTTTCGGGATACCAACGATGAACTATATAAATCTGTGTCAAACAAACGGCTCCAAAAAACAAATAAGTGCCCCAACTCAACTCTTTAAACATGATAGGCGCTACTTGAGAGACGCATAGACTCATCGCATAACTAGCACCTGTTGTGACGCCTAATCCTTTCGCACGGATACTTTGAGGGTAGATTTCTGCAGGATAGATCCATCCCATCGAGCCCCAGCTGAGTGCAAAACAGCCGAGGAACAAGCAGAGAAAAACCAAAATGATAAAGGCCGCGGTATCATTTGTCATGGAGGTAGCAAAGGGGAAGATAGTACCCGGCAAGACATGGGGCTTGTAGTCATATACTTTGGTAGAAAACGCGCCCTGAAGAGCAGCAATAATAATCATACAACTCGCCATAGAGAGACTACCGCACATTAAAATGCGCCGACGACCCCATCGGTCCACGTAGAAAAACGAGGGGATCGTCGCAAGCATATTCACCATACTGCTTACACCATTGCCAAGCATAGCTGATTCTAACCTCGTCGAACCTGTAGATTCCAAAATGTAGGGTAGATAGAATCTAACCCCCCCCCAACAACCATGCAGGTAATTAGTCTCTCTCCCGTCAATAGATGTGTGATCTCCACAGATGGGGGTACTTACAAAATAGCGTTGATACCCGTCAACTGTGTCATCATGTGTAATCCTACGCCCAGAATGGTCCTTCCTCGATTATTATCAATCCCTTTTGATAAAAGGTTGGCATAGCTCTTCGATGTGAAATTCTGATCGTAGTTTCTTTCTTGTATGATGCCGATATATTCCATGCTCAATTCTAAATCATCCGTATCTTCTTTGGCGCGCAGTTTTTGAAGAATGCGTTTCGCTTCTGCATGGCGGTTTTGATAAATGAGCCAGCGTGGGCTTTCGGGTATAAACAAAAAAAGGCCAGCGAGCATGAGAATGGGTGGCAAAATCTGCAAAGCGACAGGAATGGACCATGAATCAGGCCAGGTAGAACTAAGACAGGCATAAGCAGACCAAAAAGCTGCACAAAAGCCGAGAGTGACGCCAAATTGATGCATGGTAATCAGTCGACCTCTATGATTTGGTAATGAAACTTCACTTTGATCTGTTGTTGTGGTTTGAAAGATGGAGGGTGTTTTTAGCACGCATGTCGACCATAACAAAACGATCGATTTGAATAAAGAAAAATGCTTACATAGTGGACATACTACGCTGTACATGCTGTGAGGGAATCAAAGAGTGTGCGTGTGTAAGAAGAAGAGGAGATCGACATACGGGCAAATGATAACGAAAAACGACTTACCCAGTTGAAAAGCCGGCGATAACCTTACCAGCAAGAAATGAAGGAACAGTATGTATAGCAAGCTGCAATATAACTCCAACGATATGAACAATGCATGCCATCATCAAGAATCTTCTTCTACCAATTTTATCTGCTACAGCACCCGATAACTGTTTGTGGATGTAGAATGAAAACAAAAAAAAAAAAAAAGAGGTAAGAATCAATAGAGCTCTACTATGGTCGCTTTACACAACCATAATTGGGCTAGCAAATACTTTACAAAGCAGATGATACCAGCAGCTGCCAAAGGTACTGAAATCAATGCAGCAGCAATAGGCTTCCCTTGCCAGTGGAATGTATGATGAAATTTTTTAGAGATCAACATTGCCGATATGACTCCACTATCAAGTCTAAAAAACGCAGAATCACATATCTTGGTTATTCTATGTTTTAAGCTTCTTTTGTTGGGAAAGATGTGTTTGTATTTACCCATACTATGGTTGAAATCATTCATAGAATAGGGATTGAGCAAATGAAGAGCAACCGTTGAAAAAAAAAAAAAAAAAAGTGTATTAAATTTTAATTAATTAAGCTGAAGCTGTGTAGGTTGAGCCTTTCGTTATCGTTGTTATTTTGCTTATTTCAAAAACAGAAAAAAGCTAGTGTTACCATGAATCCTCCTAGTCCTAAAAAACTGTAGCAAAAGTTTAAAAATGAGTGGTTTTACAATAGATAGAGGGCCATCCGTCCTGTGAACGGGGCGTGCAAAACTTACCCACATAAAGCATATACTCTCCAGAAGGAATATACTTTCATAAAGATTCTTCAAGAGCAAAGTATTTGCGTGTATGTATGCTTGTATAGATGCCGTAGATTGAATAGAATCGTTTATTTTTTATTTTTTTTATTGTGCGTTTAAAGTTGACAAGTGTTGCACAAAATGTCAAATTTAATTGTGGCTGCTGTAATGGCGTGGTGTGTCCGTGTATATATGCGTCTCGATGATTCTTCAATTGTATTCGCTAGAATTACTGTTAGGTTTTCTATGCAAACCACAAGATAAAAAAAAAGGGGGGGGGTATAACGGAGGCTATTCACAAAAATGTAAAAGAAAGAAAGTAAGTAACAATAAAAAAATTTGACAAAAGGCATAATCCGAACAAAAAAAAAAAAAAAAGAAAATACTTCCAGCTTTTCCCAGACGGAAGATCAAGCACAACTTTTTGCACAGAAAAATCCGAAAGTCAGACCATTTCGGTGTCCATAAATCCGTATCGCGATTTGTCTGCGATACAATCGTCAGGGTCATCGTTGATTACCATTCATAAACGTAGTCTTAACAATGAGAGCTGGCATGTATTCAGACGTAAACATGAGTTGTCTATTTTATTATATAAATTTGCATGCTAAGAATAAAAAATATATGATACGCAAGTTATAATAGATGATTTTCATTTCTTTATAGAGTATCAACGACTTGCCAAACGCGAATCAAATTATCAGAATGTCCAGAGTAGAGTGTTGTACCATCGGAAGCGGTAACGACTGTATGAACACAGCCATTATGGGTCGATAAAGTTGGCACGCAATTTCAAGGTGGTGAGATCCCATACCTTGACCTGCGTATCCCAGCCACCAGACACAAATAAGGAGTTAGATAAAAAGCGAACACAAGTGACCCAATTGTCAGGATTATTATCTTTGATAGTGTATTTGCATTCACCCAGAGTAGTCTACAATTTGATAGTCTTAACACGAGAGCAAGATACGATTTTACGGTTGTCCGGTGGAAGACCTCGCTTTCGGGACCCATAAAACAGCGAATAACATCGCCAGTAGTCAAGCCCCAAAGACGTATGGTTTCGTCCCAGGAAACAGACAAAGCAAATGGATCGTCAGAGGACAAAGCCAAGTCCTGAACAGCTTGAATATGACCAACATGTGATTTGCGAGGAACGCCATAGTTGGTCTCATCCGTGGTTTGTTTTGTCTTTGGTTTTTTTTGCAGGTCCCAAAAAAAGGGCAATCGTGAGTATACAAAAAAGTTACATTCACTTTAACTACGGTTCCACAACAAATTTCTTTATTGGCAAGACACATTTGAAGAAGCTCAAAAGCCTATAGAATAGAAAAGATAGAAAAAAAAAAAAAAAAAAGAAAAAGTCTGATTATATTTTACCTTCACATGTAAAAAGTGAACAGTAAAGATAACAATAACAGAAGGGTTAGTTTTTCCATTTCAATCTAGCTACGTTTCTGTCATCGTAGCTACAGAGGAGTTATATAGGTATTATGCCCTAAAGTCATGAGGGTTTGAACCTAGTGATGTTCCAAACAATAACGGTTTTGTCTATAATGAAATAAACGGCTTTGAAAAAAAGGCTCGTAAAGAAACAGTAGAGTTATCAAATATCAAATTACCGCGAGAAGCTGAAAGAACCATATCAGGCGATACGGAACTTGTCACGATGGACGTTACTGCAGGTATAGTATTAACAACAGTGTTTGACAGAATTAGCTAGGAATGTTGCGTTGTAGCGAACAGTCGAAACTGCCTTTGTTACCCCCTCCGTTGTGACCTATGAAATAGGACTCAAAATCGAAAATACGTCAATATTCATATGCCCATCCATTCGTCTGACTGTCTACCTGTTGACTGCTGAAATACCTTTGAGAGTTCCACGAAAAGCAAAGTTCTTCATTGTACGAAATATCAGTTATTAATAAAGACTGGGATGTTCAAAAATTCGAAATAGAAAAGAGGTCAAGTTGATTCAATTTGATATTTCCCGAACTGATGAAACACTTACACCACCAAACATATGCGCCTGCAGTCCGTCTTTATATGAGACTTAACTACAGTACCTTAACTAATATTTTAGATGAAATACATTTTTTTTTTTTTGAACGATTAATATTTTTATTTTAGTCTTTACCACATAATTAAAGAGCCGACTTGGAACACTTGCTTTCCTTGCAATTATTCATAAAAGTAGCTTATTGTTTCATACATACACTATTGTAGATGTGACTTGTATAAAGAGGAAACGTATACATTCATCGAGACCTTCTAAAAGACAAAGTCATAAGTAAAATTATATTTCATTAGGGAGCTATTCGGATGAAGAACAAAGTAGTATAAGGCGTCATGCTAAGACACTCCTTTATCTTTATTTCCATTCAAAATCTTTCCAACGTTTGGTCGGTGGGCTTATAGCAGAGTTCTGGATTTTGTCATGACAATTTTTATGGACGCAATATATGACGAGTAATCATGCTAACAGTTTATTTATTGATATATTGTTTGTTAATATTGACAAGTATAAAAAGTTATTCTACCAACCAAGAAGTTTATCTTTGAGTGTGCTTAAGAAAGATATACTAGAGCCACCTCTTTTCAATTTGGATGAGCCAGCATTAGTAGTATTATTTGAGGTACTAGGATTAGGGTTTTGCCAAGTGTTGGTATTTCCTTGAGTCGCTGATGTATTAGGTAGATTTGTTCCGCTTCTAGATTGCTGTTGTTGTTGTTGTGCTGATGCGGTTGAAGAAGAGATAGGATGTATAGGTAAAGTATCTTTAGTGTTAGCGGTGCTGGATGGTGTACGTTTGAACAATTGCTCCGTATGCGCGTTTTCAAGCTGCGATACTTCTAACTCTTTTGCATTTTCATCCCATGCCACACCAATCATGCGGTCTCTGCCAATGATCATTCCATGACACTTAATAGCCTTCTGTGCAGATTCTTCGTCCACGTAATGAAAAGTAATCCAGTTACCATGACTAGTAGGGGGCTCCATTAAAGCTCCAAGTCCTTTAAAGTAATTGATAACCTCTTCAGTATTGCTAGTATCAAATCCCAACACACGCACTCGTTTTCTTCGTTTCATATTGTTATTGTTATTCCGGTTGTTTGACAACGAAGTAGCTGTAGCCGTTGTGGTTGGTCTTAAGTGAACATTCGAATCAATATCCATACCATAACTATAAAAAGAGTATTGGTTAACACATGGTTCGATTATCCATATATATCCTTTGTTCCTTCTTCTTCCTCTCCCTTTCTAACTTTTTCCCTGCTGTCTCTTTTACCTGTTCTCAGCTTCGTTTATATGATAAGCATTGGCTTGTAACTTTTGCTCGTGTGCCAACATGGCCATCCTCTCTTTTACTCTTGCATCAGCTACGCCCACATCTGCGATAGAATCAGTAGGTACAGCATTTATAGCATCGATATTCTTCAAGTTGATATTAAATCCTGCTGCTAATGTATCAGACGCTGCTGAAGATGAAAACACACCTTTCTGGTTTTTGGCCAAAACATTACGTCTGTAGGATGTATACCAAAGAGAGGGTTACGAAACAAAGTTAGAAAGTGGGTAACAAATTTTTATCGTTTTGAACTTTTGATAATTACCCGTTCATTTTCGAATCATCGTCCAGGGGTCGTTTCATCCCAAACTGAGTTGCTCCACTTGGTTTCGATGGATTGATCTACAAACATTAGAAAGACAATACTATTGAAGTGAGTACGTCTGTGGTTCTGTGATCATTTGGCATTGAATAGTAATAGAATGTCCTATCTGTGTGAACAGCCCAGGACCGACTTCCTTATATAACAACGGTTGGGCACATAGAGTTGAGAAAAATGAGATTACCGACTTACCAAATTTTGCTCAGTCGAAGTTAAGAAAGGAGGTAGTACTACAGTTCTTCCATCTAATTGTCTGAAAAGTGTCTGTGATTTTGAAGGTGCAATAGCGGCTTTTGACATCGTCGCCGATGAGGATTGGGCAGTACTGGAGGTCATAGGTGTAGTGTCCATCGTATGGAATAATGTTAGGTTTCTTGCGTTTCTATTATCGTTATCCATATTTGCTCTATCATCTGCTTTACGTTCCATCCAATGTGAAGAGGGTACAGTGGAGCGTTTGATACTATTCTGCTGTATGATAAAATGTGGTGCTTTGGTATCGGGAAAACATGTGGCAAGATCTAATAATTTAACAGACTCTTGCTGTTGTTGTGGTTGCTGTTGTTGTTGAGTCGCGTTGTTGGAGGAGAATATCGATGTTCCTGAGGCAGGTTGATTGAACAATGATGTGCTCGTTCCAGACGTAGAGGTTGCTGGTGTAGAATTAATGTTCTTAGAGCCAAACAAACCACCTCCACTACCACCAAATGGCTGTGAGGATGCTGTGGTTGCAGTACCAGCTGTTGAAGTAGCGGTTCCAAATAACGATGGAGTAGCAGTGCTACTAGTGGTTGTATTCGCCGCTGTGCCAAAAAACGATGCTGACGTGCTTGGTTTATTAGCTGAAGAACCAAAAAGCGATGTTCCAGTACTCGGAGCTGCTATTGATGCACCACTTGTCGCAGGAGTCATTGAGTTACTCGTGTTGGGGGCAGCACCACCAAAGAGAGGAGCGGTAGCGGTACCATTGGCTGATGTAGCTCCTGCTGTCTTGTTGAACCCACCGAAAGTTGAACCTCCAGTATTGGTAGTATTGTTATTACCAAAAAGTCCTCCACCGAAGGAGGTAGTATTAGTGTTGTTGCCACCTCCAAAGATACTTCCTCCTGTTCCAGTTCCGCCAAACGTCGTTGAAGATGATGTCGATGTCGAAGGTTTATTGAAGAAGCTAGCTGTATTATTACTGCTACTGCCAAACATGATAATCTAACGTATTATTTTTGCTATGTTTGACAAAAATACAGCTAAAAAAGAGAATAAAAAAGAACAAGAATTCTTTCCACTTTACACTTTCCTCTGAGAGAGATGTAGAAAAATGGAAGGACAGCGAAGGAAATAAGTGAGAACTCAGTTCCTACACAGAGGAAAAAGTGGAGTCCAAGAAAAGAAAAAAAATTTCCAAATTTTTTGTTACGTCACGTCGCGAACCCTTTTTTTTTTATCGTTAAACGTAGTTTGTAATGCTATGCCCTTCTTTTATTTACATTTGAACTCTTCAATTGTCCGCAGGCAGCCATGATATCTATGAGAATGACCCGCAAAAATTAACAACCAAACGACTCTAATCAACTCTTCCACACACGCACTACCGCTTACCTTGGCCTCTAGGTCGACGTATTGTACAATGCACACCACCCTGCTTTACAACTTCAGCAAATTTCTCAATATGATGCATTTCGGTTGACTTGTATCCACTTCCAGGCCATGGATTGAACGGTCTATACAATATCAAAGAAATCAGTTTATATTTTCAATTCTGAACAAATGATCAATCCAAGCATATAAATAGTCAAAACAAAAAAAAAAATACTTTACATTAAGTTGACGTGAGCTGGTAATTGTTTCAATAAGCGTACCATATCCTTTGCCTCAGCCAACGAATCATTTACTTTATCCAGCATCACATATTCAAAGGTGATCCTTTTTCCTCTTCCTCGTTTAATCCCCATGTGTGCAGCATATGTGCGACATGCTTCCAGAACTGTCTCGAGTGAATATGTTTTGTTGAGTGGCACTAAAATGTCCCTAAGACTATTGTTCGTTGCATGCAATGAAATAGCTAACGACACGCCGCCCAAGTCACTAGCCAATTTTGGGATGAGTGGAGCTACACCAGAAGTGGAGACAGTAACTTTCGATTTCGTAAGGTGAAGGCCTTGCTCGTGTGTTAAGATATGGATGGCTTTCTGTAACTGACGCCAATTGTAAAGAGGTTCTCCTTGTCCCATAAATACCATATTTGAAATAGTTTTTTTATTATTGCTTGATTCGAAATCATGGGTTGTGTGTGCTGCGATCATATATTGGCCCACGACTGGGGAGTAAAAAAAAGAAAGGTACGCAATCAATGCCTCGTCTACAATCAATAATGATTCTAGACATTCTTTAATATTTCGCTTTACTTTCACCTGAGGTCAGATTTCTTTCTAATTGTTGTGTTCCTGTATGACAAAATTTGCATTTCAAAGAGCAACCGATCTGTGATGAAACACATAAAGTAGAACGTCTTTGCTCGGGTATAATGACCGTTTCTACAATTGCTCGCGGATCTTGCTGGGTATTGAATCCTATCAAAAATTTTCTTGTTTGATCATCTGAGAGCTTATCTAACTATTGACAAAAAAGAATAGATGTGTTACGTTCGGCCCCGTTTGCACTGCGTATCACCTTCATCAACAATTGCAGACCTTCACTTCTCCATAGCTAATGTCGTATTGATCAGCTAACTCTTGTTGTAAGTCTTTCGACAAATTTTTCATGGCTTCAAACTGTGTGATGCCTCGTTTGTACATGTGTTGCCATATTTGAAGCGCTGTATACGGCTTGCTAAAGTAGAGATTTCGTAGTTCATGCTGTAAATCGTCCAATGTCAAGCCAATCAAATTCTTCTTCGTTTTCTTCAAGCCTGCTGTTGGTAAAGGCATTGTGAGTTCCGCTAAGCGATTAGTGGCATAGTGCCTTTTCAAGGTACTACGAAGATGTTGCAGCGATCGATTATACATTTATAGGCTGATCAGCAATTAAAAAGCAGGGTTGTTCCTTTCTTTCCGTGGATGCTCAAGTTCGTTTGTTTATTTGTTACCCGATTTTTGGGACCAATAATAAATGCCTTCTTCCCATTTGTGCAACTTGTACTTTTTGTTGTTGAAAGGAACAACGGGATGTAAGCGTCCGCTTTTCGTTTGGGAGCAAATCACAGTAAAGAATAAGCTATACTCGAATAAGCGAAACGCATAGTTATACGGGCTCAACAGAAAGCTTGCAATGCAAAGTGAACCAACCTTTGAGCAAATAATACGACAATAAAGTCATAGCGTATCAACCTTCTAGGAATATGAGCGTTTGATTTATTGAATACATACATTTAAAAAAACATAATGTAAACGCCATTTCATTCACAAGAACGTAGATTGGACAGCCCAATGATTAATTGAATGAATCTGAGCCGAACATTATATACAGATTCACAATAGCGCTAAAATTATTAAGTTTGCAACTGTTACTGCTCACTTTACTGATTCTTTCAAGCGATTCCTCTGTTGCCTTAACAGCGGAATCGCCCTCATTAACGCTTGCATACATGTACTTAGCTTACTTTGAGGATATATCTTATAAGAGGCAACATCGCATTATATGACGAGAATAAGGAGGACTAAGCAGAATTAGGAACATCCGAAATGATTTATGCATTGTAAAGCTTTCTGTTCAGTCAAAATCGAAACTTACTATATTATTATACACAATGGTATAAGGAGCATTTTATCAATATCAATTTATAGGAGAAAAAGAAACAGAACGGGTTTATTATGAGAGAGAAAAATCGCAGGCATATAATATCATAAACTTATAATATATGATATGATTATATCATATGTTTAAGAAAAGATAAGAATAAAGGGGGAGAGAGGAGACAAAAAGGTTTTTTGATATGATTCAGGGGTGAGAGGTTCGATCTGGGCATAAAGAAAGGTAAAAAGTCAAAATAAAAAGAAAATATATGGAAAGAGATTTAAATAAAATTAGCAAAGGTGGTATGAGTATTAGAAGAGGTATAATGATGCTGATATTGACTTTGAGTGTGATGATGTGGATGAGAATGAGAATGGATGCTACTGACAGTAGTAGTGGGAGGAGAAGGATGACTTAGTTTCATATAAGCAGCTTTGGCAGATGTTTTAGAAGTGGAAGACATATGATTGTTATGATCCTTTTGATTGCTATGTCGGTGAATGCGGATATGTTGGTTTAAATTATCCGATCTTGAGAAACGTTTGTTACAACTTTGGTATGGGCATTCAAAAGCTAGATAATGTAGAAAGCTCAATTAGGTAAGATGAACGTAAAGAAAAAAAAAACCTGAGTAAAGGACTTACGTTTTTCTAATGTGTGAATTGAACGTATATGTCTTTTTAAATGTTCAGATCTTTTGAAAACTTTACCACAGCCATCTGCTTTACAAGTAAACATACGAGTGCTGCAGTTGGGAACACTGGAAACTCTACGGCCTCTCGAACGTGGTTGTTTCTTTGACTGGTTCGCCTTATGGTTAGTACAAGTGGAGGTATTAGAAGTAGTAGCAGCAGCAGTAACATTGGTATTTTCTTGTTTGGTCATAGCTTGCTGCTGTTGGCTTTCTTCTTTCATTATCAGAGGAGGTGAGACAGGTGTCATTGGACGCTGCTGCTGTTGTTGATAATGATGTTGAAGAGTAGCAGAAGTAGGAGTAGGGGTTGTGCAAAGACTACTTATGGGGAATGCTTGTTGCTGATGAGGATGGGAAGGATGGGAAGGATGGAATTGATGATAAGATGAGGTTGTTGTTGCGGCAGTAATAGTACTAGAGGAAGCAGATACGGTGTCATTATGATAGGCAAATATAGGACTTGTGGCATTAGTAGCAGTGGCATTGGTGGGCCTTTGTTGTTGCTGATAGTGGTGCTGATTATGATGAGGTGGAGGAGTAAGCTGCTGATAATAAGGTAATACAGTGCTTTGTGGATGAGAATGATGATGATGATAGACATGTTGATTCATAGATACAGCCGCAGCAGCACTAGCTTTCGCATGCAAATCAACGTAAACAGGATCAATGAAGCTAGACGGGCTGGCGCTAGTGTTTGAGGACACGATAGGAGGGTGGGCTGGATGATGCTCTTCGTTTGAAGAAGTGGTTATGGTAGGCGATTGGGACATGGCTGTATTAGCTCCAATATGATTATAACATTGTTCAGGATCAGACAACATGCCCGCATAGCTAAAACGTCTTTCATGTGGAATCTCTTGATGTTGTTGCTGTTGTCTCATAAAGTGTTGATGATAGTCAAAAGCAGCTGTCTGTTGCTGACTATTACTGCTACTACTGTCATGTGGGTGATGATGATGGTATGATGGTTGTTGTTGCTGCTGCTGCTGTTGTTGTTGTTGTTGTTGTTGAACACAAGAAGTTGACATTTGCTATGTACTTGGTTATTTTATGCGAAGACAAGTAAAAAGAAAAGGGTAGAGGAGAGAAATCGGATACGATAGTATAGATTTTATACTTATTACTGCGTATATTTATACAAAGAAGAAGAAAGTTATTAAATTAGCATGAATATATACTTTCTATACATAAAAAAAAAAAGAAGAAAAAAAAAAGATTTTTAAGGGACAACAACTCTATTATGTATAATAAGTCCATTGTCTAATAGTTAAAGAAATAAACTTTTCCCTAAATCTCGTACACTCTGCTTGCTTACTAAAATAAGACAGATCCGTAAGCTGCTTAAGGGTTCTCTTTTGTACTCTGTACTTTGTGCGGATGAAAAAAAAAAAAAAAAACAAAAAAACAGGGAACCCCAAGATAAAGAGCATAAATCAGGAACAAAAAAGAAGTTATTTATTGTATTTCGACAATGTGCTGATCGTCGTAAGTCTATAGTAATCTCAAGTTCATTTTCTATTTAAAGTGAGGTAGCTCGTCATTAAGTTCAACTCACAGCGTGTAAAATACATCAGACAACACATTATTATTTTATTTGCTTGAAATAAAGGAGGTCCAATTTACAATTTTTGCATGCTATTAAGAGAAAATTTATGCCAAACTAGATTGCTTTCTTTCATAAGCAATTTACTAAACTATAAGTAGACTTACATGATGTTTACTGTTTACATATATTGGAGCATAATTCTTTTTGCAGTCTACTGAATTCTAACTTTACTGCAAAGAAGGATCATAGCATCAACTCTTTACAAAGGGGACCGTGTATAGTTTCCGTATTGGATGTTTAAAAGTCAAACTTTATTTGTTGTTCTAGAGAAACTAGGAGAAAAATTCTTCGTTATTCTAGATTATGTGAATTATAATAAGCCCATTGCCCAGCCATAGTCTAGTTACGATATCTGGCTCTCTAAAAAAATCCGTGCCTACCGTTAACTGTGACAGTTACTCTCTTTGAAAGCAAGAAGAGACAGCCTACTTTGATCATCAAGAGTTCTAAACTTAATGCTTGCATTTTCATTTTTCATACTATACAACTTACTAGCCTTCTGAATAGAGCCATACACTTCTTGTTACTCCAAAAAACGTCTACATAATATATCAGTACTTAATTGGCACCGACTTGACATGTCAACTCGCTCATTCAGTAGAGCTTTATTGCACCACTAGACGGTCTCTTCACTATGATAGGGCTCATGACCGAACAACGAGTAAAATGTTGAAAACCTACATCTTCCGCTGACATTAGTCTTCGAAAATGAGAGCCAGAATGAAAACCATTAACTGTTAATCAACACAACGAAAGCTGAAGAATCACATTAACTACCTAATAATCGATTAGAAGTATGGGTTTTCAGTGCTCTAATATACGCAGAGCACTGCTTGTTCATTACCTTATCGTCTATATTCTCAACATTTATCGCTGTGTGTGTTGTATTGCTAATTTTTCTGTACTGTTTATTACTTATCAAACTATTACAACCGTGTAATTGCTCCTATAGTTTGTCTTCGTATACAGTGATGCTTACTATCTTATAATGACACTTTATTGATTATGTTCAAAATAGATGCGCCATTTGTACGTCTTTAAATAGAAGTATAATTATAGCATCACTACTTTCATTGGAAAAGAGTAAAAATAGAATAAACCTTATTCTCATGCTATTGGGCATTTTCACCAGTAGTTAAGAGTACTTCTGGGGAACTGTAGGCATTCATTGTCCCAGCTTCAACACTATATGCTGCAACAGAGAAAGCAGTAGGGGTTAGAGTTTGACGAGGAATTCAACGTATAGACTTTTTATCCCAGCTCTACAAAAGCTAAAGAGGCAAAATTGGTATGATAAAAGGAACCTATGAGGCAATCAAAAAATTCAAACCGCTAGAAAATGTTAAATATCTCATAAGTGGGTGTTGAGGAGATACTATTTTATGGTGAGAGGGAGGCGGTTCGCCGGAAATATTAGGTTGTCGTGCGCGAGCGAGGTAAATGGTGAGGCTGTTGTTGTGATGTTGGCGGGATTATAGGAAATTAGGAGGAAAGACTAAGACGTTGTCTGAAGTAGACCAAATAAGGGCATATTGACGATAGGAGAAGGGACTAATTGAAACGACCGAAATAAATGGCAAGAGTAGGAGAGTGCAGTTTTCATTATCTGTAACATTTACGGTAATTGATGTGATGACTATTTTGACTTGATCTTGCTAATTGCCACTAACTGATATACCTAATCCTGGTGTTGTATCGGTATATGAATCTTGGGATCTTTAAAGCCTTCTATTGTTACTTTTACTTTGCTATGATGGATACTCCCAAAGACCAAAGAGAAAAAGGCACTTAATTGTTCTTTGTCAAAATTAAACAAAGTTACAGTAACAATGAAGTAGTACTAAAAGCTATTGTCGGTATACAAGGTAAGGTGGTATAGAGAATATCTACACTTTATCGAGTATTTACTGCCTGGAGCAACTCCTCTGCTTATTCTTGATCGTTCTTATACACTATTCCATACTTACTCGAGCTCAGAGGTATAAAATTTCTGTTTTTCAATGAGCCATGTACTGTTATTGCATAATTCAGGTTTAGATGAAGTCAAACACTCAAGCATAACTCTGTTTCTTTGCAAAGCATGCCTTAAGGTGTAGAAAGTTAAGCTGCCATCGCCTTATAAAGACACTATTTATATCTCTATAGCGGAAGCCAAGACCTGGCTCATATTATAACTTTCATATGAAATTGTTTAATTACTAGGAGATGAACGACGCGTCGTAGGCGGTTGTCTAAACAATTTCTTTCCCCTAATGTGTGTATTCGTTTGATACCTGTGCTCTATACTTGTACATCTATAATTTTATACTCAAGACTCACCTTTCTTCTAGATAGTGGATCAATATGAAGTTTCGGTTAATTGTAGGATCAATGGAACTGTGATATTCTTAGATATCAGGAGTTATAATTTAATAAGTTTTAAATGTAAAGACTGAGTGAGTCAGCGTGACCGAACAATAGTTCTTCGATGATTTTATTTTGGTTTAGAAATTGAATGGTCTTTTATATGAATGCGAGGTTGAACTGAGCTTATAGTGGAATTAAGAAAGTAGTAGTGACAGCCGAATAATATTGTTCCTGTTAATGAATTGTACATGTCACTGCGAGATATCCAGATCACCGGTAAGGTTGAAGTGTGCCTGGAATCTTATTTGTTCCAGTACACTATAACTGGTAAAGGCAGTAAATCTGGATTGTTTCTCAGATTGTTATATGAAGTAGAGGTCAGAACGTGACAGGAACAACCAAGATTGTGATCTATTGTTAGTCATTAAATATGACTCAAACCTTTTCCGCAGCTATAAAGGACTAAACACGAGACAAATGACTAACGGTAGAAGCAAGCTATTCAAATACTTGAACATAAACTGAATACATACCTAAGCTTGTAACCTGCGGCAAAAAGCACCATTTAGTCTGTCCATTATGTCTTTAAGCACATGGGAGGAACCCTGCTTAAAACGGGTGAGTTAAACAACTACTTAATCAAACCGTTAATCTTATCAAGTTGCAGCACACAGCAAGAGTATAGATAGGATTTTCTACAGTAATCTCCGGAAAAAATATTTAAGAATGTTGAGAGTAAGATCAGCTATATACTTGGCAAAAATCAAACCAATAGAACACTTCTTTGCCTGTGGACAAATAGGAAGGCAAAGAAAGTTGAGTGCTTATTTGAGCCATTTAACTTTCGGTCTGAGGGACAGGGGAATCAACGATAACAGAAAATTGTCAGGTGATGGAGCACATTTGATTTCACTTCTAACTGTCGCTACATCATTCTTTTCTCAGCAAAATCTGTTGGAAATTGCAGCTGCATCATTAAAGTGACAGGTCTCATTGTTCGTTTCATAACAAAGTATGTGTACAGATGGCAATGGGTGCCTTTAAACTGATGAAGTCGTTTTTCGTTTTTATTTCTATTTCAGTAAATAAAAAGCTTTACCTGCAAATTCTAACTTATCTCTAATGGATTTTGCTTTGTTCGACTTTTCATAAAAACGATAGAATTCAGAAACAATGATTTCGACCAATGACAAGTAGAACATAGAAAGTATGGCAGACTTTTTCCATAAAAGATACTGTAGCTTTATTAATGTCAATAATTTACACAATTTTATTGGAGACCAATAATGGAACCATTGCAAACAGTTTGATGCAAATTGGAGGAGCGCTGTGTCAATGAACTTTAAGGCCTTTTATCCCACCGCATCGGTTTTTGTTGCCTGGGTTTCCGATTAATTGTTGATCTAGGATTCCATTGGATTCCAATGCTTCTTTTTTTGGAGATGAACGTTTCGAGAACGTTTTTCCATCGACAGAAAATTTTTGTGCTTTGTTTGTAAAAAAAAAAAAAAAGAAAAAAAAGCTTATTCATAGCTGTATTTCACTGGTACAACTCTGAGTGCTTGCCCTCCTTTTTGATGTTTTATTCCAATCAGCGCAACAGTTATATAAAGTCTTCTTCACTCTTTATTCTTTTGTGATTCATTTTTGTTCTATTTCTGAAGCGTTCGTACACTGAAAGAGATTGCGAGATTTAAGTTGACAGGTCCGAAGTTTTTTAGTTTTAAATCAGTTTGTACATGCTTGTTAATCAGTTTTTGGTTTTCTTTTTTTTAACTTTTAGTATATGCAAGTCCTTTACAATAGTTATGATCACATATTTAGAGAGTCTGAGGAGAACGATACTAGTTTAGATCAGATGAGAGAATTTTTAGAATTCTACAAGTTAGATCAGTACTTCTCAGTTTTTGTTCATGAGGGGTTTGATAGACTGTTGTCGGTAAGTCTTACTTTTATAACTGCGCAAAAATGTTATTAGGCCTAAGATTCTAAAATTGTTTTAAATTTTTGGTTTGTCCATGCTAAAAATAGTTGTTTGATATAACGGAAGTTGATCTAATATCACTGAATGTAAAAAGAGGACATAGAAGGGTAATAATCTTTACCAAACAGAGCAACTGTGGCACAGGATTAATAATGTCTTGAAAGGTAGTTATTACAACGTGCGATTGCAACTGCACGGGGTGTTCCGATCAGTACACCTATTATCATAACGTACGGCTATTTACCTCCATACATAGGCAGAAGTACTCAAGGTAGCAGCATTATGGTTAGTGGTAACAGCAGTAATAATGACAATAGATTTGCTCTTTTATCAACAACTACTCCAACAACAACTATTCTTGAGCGGCCTCAGGATACATTATTGTCCAACACTCAACAACAATACCTAATCAAGTCACCGTTTCGCCATCGTACTACCAGAAGCAGGTCTAATAGTGTGAAATCGCATCCTTATCAACAAAAGCGACATCATAAAAGAAAAACAAAATATGTGCCAGCTAGACCTATCACAGCATTTGATGAATTTGCAAGACGTTTGAAGGCAGAATTAGGCGATCTGAATCTTAATAGCGAGGAACAATCTACCTCTGCTGATTTCATCAATTTGGCTTACGATCGTTGGCAAGAATTAAGCAATGAAGCAAAAGAGATATATGAAAGAGAGGCCTTGCTAGCTAATGCTAATTTGAATGTTGCTCGTAGCAGCGGTGATATAGGCAGTCAGAATCATGACGATAAACAAAACGCTGATATTGACTGGTATGATATTGAATATTACCAGCGAAGATATCATAGAAACCGTGATAGAGCGGGTAGCAGAAATAGTGGTTCTAGTACTCCTACTACATCTGACAGCAATAATGACCACATTCATTCAAATATTGATTCCCGCTTATATGAACAGGTAAATTGTCTTTATTGATACACAAGTAAAAGTTTTTGTTAAGTTTATCTACAAAATATTGGAGCCATTGGATTCATCAGATATCGACAATTTCCATATAAAACAGCAGGTTTAACCTTACAAACATCAATACATGCAGAAAGCATTCAATACAACATTACGCACTCTTACAATGCGATTGTATGCTTTAATCAACACAGATTGTTCTGCAACCATAGAATTTGAGATGAACTTGATAAAAAGAAAGTGAAAATGAGAATTTTAGCTGATAAACCCACAATCTCTATTGTTTCATGTATAATTTACTGCAGCGTAATGGTTTTGATGACATGGCATTTATAACTTGTGAGTATTGAAGTTAACAATTCTGTGCTAGTTTAACATCACATATATTAATAACACTGTTTACGCTGCTCGTGTTAGATTACTAAAACAACACTTTGATGTGACAGATTCTTTTATGATAACAACTTGACAGTAATGCATTGTTAGCGAAGCGGAAGGCTACTCTTCGCTTTTTAGCCATGACGTTGCTCTAAACAATGAGTGGAGGCCAAAATAGACAATAGTTGTGTTATCAAATAGAATAAGGAATTAACTGTTGTATCTATTAATACTGAATGAATTATTACTATGTCATGCTACAGCGACATTTAAAAAAATTTGTTAATAAAAGTGGTTTCATTCCATAAAGAAGAGCAATGCATTCCTTCTGTTTTCGGTGAACGCTTTTCTCTACGATTGTCAGTAACTAAGGAAAGGATTAAGGAGATTTATTTTACACTTTGTTAATTCATTCGTCCAGTTTATACTTTACAAAACATAAATGTTACAGGATCGATCAGACAGATACGTTCAAGATTTTTATCATTTAAAGCCCCAGGAGGGGCACATAATCTTTCTGGATTCCATATTAGATCAAAAAATGTTTAAGTGTGGAGATCCCTTTCTGAGAGTCAGGAAAGGATTAAGTTAGGTTAACCAATATGCCATTGTGGTCCTTAGTGGAATTTCGAGCTGGTCATCCAAGTTAGAAAAAAAAAAAGTAGCAGATAGCGGGCCATTGGATTATACCGAGAAAGCCGTAGAGTGGGGGTTGATTGCTGCACGGGCGTTCATCTTACGTTGGTGGCTAGATTATTCAGAAGGAAAAACCAAGGATCGATTTCTGTGTAGAACATTTGTAAGTGTCGATGCCTATGTAGACACCAAACGGCAGAATAGCAGGTGAACCTGGCAAACGTAGCGTTTTCCGTCCCTTAACCTTCTGCATAAAGTAATCAATTGCTGGTGACAATTTGGTTGTCTTAGTCGTGATCTATTTTATGAAGGCTGATTTATCAACTATGAGCCGACATTCTCATGTAAGCTTTGTGATCATGAAGCGGACGATTCGTCTCACTTTTTGGTGTTGTGTCCTTTATGACTAAGCGTTAGAGACAATTGATCGTAGCGCTTTCAATTTTATTTTTAACCTAACAGTAAACGCATATTAAAAGGTCATCCTGACTATATCTTCTCTTAACCATTGTTTGTCAATCCATTTTTATCTTTCTATAACCATTATTTTCAGCTGTAGCGGTTACGGAGTTTTTTTGTTTATGCATAAAATGACATCCCGACAAAGCCACACTGGACACACAACAGGAACACGACTAAAACGCGTTCCTTTTAAATTCTCGTAACTTTAAATTTTTTTTCCCTCAATAAACCTGTTCCTTTTTCTTTGGTAAAGTCTTCTTTTACTTCAAATACCGAGGCAAATACAGAATAATGAGCAGCCATCACAACGCACCTTCTGATTCTAATCCTGATACACCTCGACCTCAGGATCGTCGTACAGAACTACTCTCATCCCAACTTGAGCCTTACTCACCTGGTCCTACATCCCGATTAGCAGGTTCACCAGCACGTTTGAGAAATCGACGATATGAATTATCTTCTACTCTTATGGGCGAAGACAATGGTGTCAGCTCTCCTTTAGCTTATCCATCCACTCCTTCACGTACTACTAATCTTGGAACTTATGGTTCACCACGCACACCACGCACCAACACCACATACGTTCGTACACCATTTGCACCTCAAACGCCTAGTAACAACAATCGATACGCTTCTTCCATGGGAACCATGGGGGATACCCAAGAAACTGACCCTTCTACTTTAGAACGTGTTATTTGGGGCACAACAATCCAAGTGGAAGAAACCCAGAAACTCTTTCGCCACTTTTTAGAAACCTTCACTTTAGCCCACCGCAAGCGCCAAAATGATGAAGTTATTACAGAAGAAGATAGAAAGCCCTTTTATCCAATTCTGCTGAATCACATCTACGAAACCAACGGCACCACTGTCAATCTGGATTGTCGCAACTTGAGAGCAATGCCAGAAATAGAAAAGCTATACCAGCAATTAATAAAATATCCTCAAGAAGTAATCGCTTTGATGGATATGGAAATTTCAAAATTTTATAGAAAGTATATGCTAACAATAGATGAGCTTTCACCTGAGGGCTGTTTGAGAGTATGTATAAGTGCTGTATATTTTTCTGTATGCTTATGCGATAATATGGTTATCTTATTCGGAGATATTTTTAATCTAGGTTCAACCCTACAACTTGGACAGAAGTGTAAATATGAGAGATTTGGACCCACAAAGTAAGGATTCACTAACAGGAAAAAGATACATACTTCGCGCCTCTCGTACTGATTTTTCGCGTTCTTTTACCAAAGATGTCGATCAACTGATCACCGTCAAAGGTTTAATGATTCGTGCTTCACCAGTCATTCCTGACATGACGCAGGGTTATTTCCGTTGTTTGATCTGTGATACTAGTGTTGTCGAGGCAATAGATCGTGGGCGTATCATAGAACCTACTCGCTGTCCAAATCCGAACTGTGGCTCCGAAAATTCTATGACTTTGATTCACAATCGTTGCTTGTTTGTTGATAAACAGGTTGCCAGAATTCAAGAGACCCCCGACAGTGTCCCCGATGGTCAAACACCTCAAACGGTCACGATGTGTTTACGTGATAATATGGTAGACGTTGTGAAACCAGGAGATCTGTTGGAAGTAACAGGTATTTTCCGTGGTGTACCTGTTCGTGTTAATCCTAGACAAACTGTCATTCGTTCTTTGTTCAGAACGTATTTGGATGTAGTACATATCAAACGTACAGACAAAAAGCGTTTACAGACCGAAAAAACATTCTTAAATGAATTTACAAATACTCCGTAAATATATGAATAGAATTAATGAATGGTTAAGTGAGATATACTGACGAATGCTTTTACACACAAACGGAATAGATATGAAGAGACGGACGAAATCCAACCTGTTTCCACTACCGATGAAAATGAGATTTTAGCGTTTTCACGCCGCTCTAACCTTTATGAAACGCTATCTGCTTCGCTTGCGCCTAGCATTTTCCAGCTTGACGATGTGAAAAAGGGTATCTTGTTACAGCTCTTCGGTGGCACCAATAAAACGTTTCAAAAATCAGGTTCACCTCGTTTTAGAGGCGACATCAATGTGTTATTACTAGGTGATCCAGGCACCAGTAAATCTCAAATCTTACAGTATGTTCATAAAATCGCTCCTCGTGGTGTTTATACTTCTGGTAAAGGTTCTTCCGCTGTCGGTTTAACTGCCTATATTACCCGTGATCCTGATTCACGTCAACTTGTTCTGGAAAGCGGTGCATTGGTTCTCAGTGATGGAGGTGTTTGTTGCATTGATGAATTCGATAAAATGTCGGATGCCACGAGATCTGTATTGCACGAAGTAATGGAACAGCAGACAATTTCTGTTGCCAAGGCAGGCATTATCACTACCCTTAATGCAAGAACCTCAATCTGCGCGTCAGCCAATCCTATTGGTTCTCGATGGAATAAGCAATTGTCAGTGCCTGCTAATTTGAACTTACCGCCCCCTCTTCTTTCACGTTTCGACTTATTATATTTAATCTTGGACCGTGTTGATGAAGATTCAGATCGTCAATTAGCGAAGCATTTAGTAGGTTTGTACATGGAAGATAACCCATTAACAGCAGGTCAAGATATTGTCAGTGTTGAATTCTTAACAAAATACATCAACTATGCAAGAGAAAAGATACATCCCAATTTGAGTAACGAAGCTTGTGAGAAGCTAGTGGACAATTATGTGGAATTGCGCAAACGTGGTCAAGACAGAGGTAGTAGTGAAAGCCGTGTCACAGCCACCACACGTCAATTGGAATCTATGATCCGTATGTCAGAAGCACATGCAAAGATGAGATTGTCGCAAGTTGTGGAAGTGAAGGATGTAGAGGAAGCTGCCCGCCTTTTACGTGAAGCTATCAAAGATTATGCTACTGACCCTAAGACTGGCCGTATTGATATGGATCTCATTCTCTCCGGCCGATCTTCTAATGAACGCATAATTCAAAATAGCCTGAAGGAAGCTATCATGTCTAAATTGACTACTTATCCTCAACAGCGCGCTGAAGCAAATAGATTATTTACTGACCTTAATGAACAAAGTCAGGTTGTAAGTATTTGTTATTATATTGGTATCAAGCGCTCTGATAAGCATCCTTTTATAAGATATGGATCATTAATATCATTACAATCTTATAATAGCCTGTCGAGAATAGAATGTTTGAAGATGCTTTACACTCGTTACAAGAAGAAGGAGCAATCGGGATTGCTTCTGACGGTCGCAGACGTACTGTTCGTATTTTATAATCAAGTTATAGACTTATGTTTTTCTTTCCTGTCGCATTATCTTTTGTTTACCTTTCCTACTCACGTACGTAATATCATAAATCTATTTAATCCTTTGTTAATACAAATATTTTTCTTTACTTATGCGCGCATATTATGGCGGTGAGATTGGAAAAGCAGCATTGTTTTGTATGAATATACATTACGTCTTTTTTAGTTTTCTCAATATGTCTAAGCTGCATAAGTGGTTCTACATAACTGCGGTTTTCGGGGATCTTACAATAAATTTAAATGGATGGTTTTATTGCCATCCTTTCCGAATCAAGATTAGCAAGGCCTGTTTTACATACTCAAGCTCTTCATATCCAAATTGCGTTTGTATATTTCTGTTGAATATTCGTCACTTGATGATAAGGTCCTTCTCCATGCTTTGATAGATATATCGTCGAACGAACCCAAGAGCAAACAAGTCTACAAGGTTGGCAGCAATCGAGCAAAATTACTTCAATGAGTTTTCCGTATTATATTGCGAAATGAAATTAACCGTAATATTTTACCGTGACAAATTTACGCAGCTTCCTTCATGCGAACATCTTCAGCAGTGTATATTTGTAATTATACATTTTGAGCACTGTATATTTAGTTTAATCACTGAAGTTAACAAAGCAACGATAATGGTTCTCAAAATCATTGTGAATGCTTACATGCTTATACTGTTTCAGATTGCAAACGGAAAAATGATATTTTGCATGACAAAACTGTCATACTTTCTCTTCAATATATGTGGGTCCCACAGTTAGATGAGACTTGATTTGAATATGGCAAAATCTATGTTTGATCACGTAAAAACTAGCAAGAAATCGCTGCTTATGTGATGTGAGTACAAAAAAAGGGGGCAATACTTTAAATGGTAATTTTTTCAGACCCGCATATTTTTCTATTCAAGGTGATTTAGTACTTCAAACTGCTAAGATCGAGATTAGTCTTTCTCTTTCCATTTGCTCAGGTTTTTCTTTCCTTCTTTTCACGTTTTGCTTTGCAATTTTCAAAGCATACAAATTTTGAACACATTTGAGAGCATTTAACGGATGACAAAAGGCTTACCACGAACATCGTTAACAGCACAAATTGCCGACAAAGTGTTAGCCTTAAACTTATTCCCCACAGGCAATGAGTTTATCGCCAACAAGGAAACTGATAAGCATAGTAAAAGGGACCCGCTATCGAGTCAAATGTGGAGACTGTATACAAAGGCTAAAGACAGCTTGCCAAATGGTTGTAGAGTCGAAAATTTAACTTGGCGGATGATGGCTATGACTTTGAAGAAAGATAATATCTTGAAAGATGATGACAGAAGAAACATTGGTGATGAAATTGAAAATACTCTGAATAATGTTAATGAGCCTACGAAAGAGATAGTTGACTCGGCTGGGTCTGGATTTGATTATGCTGATCAGCACCACAGATGCTCAACGTCCTTGAATATTACTACTGCTGTAAATAATGCTTTTCTCGATACGTCTTCAGTAAACAAGGCATTTCCAATGGTAAAGTATCTATTCTTCTGTAGGTAGTTGTAATTATTATTAACTCTAGCTGACCTGCATTTCAGGATATTGTCGATGCAGCTAAGATATCCGGAAGTATCAATATACCAACATTTATCAGTGACGACGAGCTTTTACAAGAATCAAACAACCTGTGCATCTCGGCATCAAACGATTTCATACAGAATGAACGAACTTCTAACGATATGTCCGCTATAAGTTTCGAAGACATGTTAAGTATTTATTTTACTCCGCTAAACAGTAACGATAGCAGTAGTGCTTTTGTGATAAATGAATCCTTTAAGCAAAAATTACCCGCTCGGCAGGCTAATGAGGATATAGCAGAATTCTCATCGCTTTACACCAAACTCCTTTCCTCTACAGATATTAATGAGAAGTCTAGTTTTAATAGTAAAGATATTCCACCATCAACCGCAGGTATCAATAACATTGCAACAATATCCGCTTTGGACAGCAATAATGCCGAGATAAATCCAGAGTCAAATTTTAAGCAAGCAAATACTATTGCTACTAATACACTTTTAGCGAAGGAATTTAACAATAACAAGAGCAACAGTAACAGTAGCAAGAATAGTATTAGAACTTCAATTGCTAGTAATGGTACGACACAATGTTATAACTGTTCAACCATAGCAACTCCACTTTGGCGTAGGGATCCAAGTGGAAAACCGCTATGCAACGCATGCGGTCTTTTTTTGAAGCTCCATGGTGTTGTGAGACCATTGAGCTTAAAGACAGATGTTATTAAAAAAAGAAATAGGGGCTCCAATCCTATAACCAGCAATAGCAATAGCAGAAACAATCATAATAACTTTGTACCGTCATCATCGGCATCAATAACACACTATGCTGACCATAATACATCAGCAAGTACACTGATTGCTTCTGGATCATCGCACAGTTTAATTGTGGGTAACAACGGTGATATTAAAAATTCATCATCGTCAAAGAATGCAATGAGTGACAAAACGGCTACAAAAGTAGCCACTAAACTCTTTCAGTCATCACAAAATAAACGGCAGCGATGTAGTCTTAATAAAACAAGGTCTATCATGCCAATGGTAGTACCGACGCCGCAGTCGCCTACTGCTGCTTCCCATACAGTGACTTTTACCTCATCCCCACTTCCTCCATCAAATTTTGACTTACAATCTTCCAGTTCCGCATCTTATCTAGAAGCGATGAGCAACTTTTTTAGTACGTCTTTGCCAATTAATCATTACAGCTCTACAATACCAATTTCAACCACGAGCATTATAACGTCAAAGGAACACCCTGGTACCACTCTAAGTAGCATTAATAGTTTAAATTCCTCTCATTACAGTTCTACTCCAATTAAATTCGCTACAACTCAACAAGGCGAGATATACTCTTCATCACCGCCTGTAGTACCTCCTGGTTTGATACACTCATCCTCCAGCTCGTCCATAGCCAGTCTAAACCAACAACAACAGCAGCAACAGCAACAACAACAAGGCGATGTGTATACAGTGTTGGGAAATATGGGTGTTCAGTTGAACGCTTTACCATATGAATTGCTGCCCCTAATTGCGTCTACTGCTAATTATCAAGGAAATATGACGGCAACAGCCATGGGTAGCAATGCTAAAGTGATGGTTAATGATGCCGGCAACAACACTAGTATGACTGCCGCCGCTATCGAGGTCAAGGCGCTCAACAAGCATACACAGAAATCTTCCGCTTCATCTTCCACTATGCATACCCAAGATACCCTCTGCATGAATTACACGTTTAGTCAGCAAGAGTCGCAATAACTTTTCACTTTTTTTTGCCATTGTCTACACCGAGAGTCATCCCAAGCAATACAATATACACAAACTTGCGATATAAATATAATAAATGCCCACTTTTTTTTTTCAAAATATTACAGGTTTCTTTATTGCTGAAAGTTCATTTTGTATTCTTTCTACCCTTTCGGTTGTCCTAACCATCAATTTATTCGCTGACATAATTCTCTCTTTTGCATTCAACAATTTGTCTAAACTTGATTGTATCTTAGGAGGCACTGCAATCTCTTTGTAGGATTCAAGTTCTATAAGAACGGAAGGCTCGAATGAGAACAAGCATTGGCAAGGTTTTTCCTACAAAGTACCTGTCACTAATCGCTCAATCTCCTTGCTAAGCTCATCTTGGCTGTTTCTAACCGATTGCATAGCATCATCAATTCGCTTAACTGTTGGGCCAAAAACCGAGCTTATATCATTCATTAAACAATCATTATTCATTTCTGTTCTCTAAGATAGAAAAACGTAATATATTCGCTAAGGTGAATTGGTATGAAAGTCTTGATTGCGGGGTTAACACCGTAGTAAAAGTTGATCACAATCGACCGAACAGCCAATGCGTGGTCACGGCACAACTGCAGTAAAGAATTTTTTCTTTATTCGTTTAGTAGGTGCAAAATAAACCCAAGAAAAAAAAAGCTGATCAGCCCTTTTTTTCATTAGCTCATCTGTTTTTGCTTCATTAAAGCTCCTTTAAACCAACAGCTCAAATAGTTTTCGTTCACCTTTACAAGACGCATAATACAACTTTAGATTTCGATAATGGCCGATTCTAACAAACCTCATTTCTATCTTCCCACCGTTCACGACAGCACAAGTGGCTGGGGACCTGCTACAAATGTCATCCCCGAGCAATTCCGTGACATCCCTTATGCTCCTTATAGTAAAGCTGATAAGTTGGGACGTGTTGCTGAATGGACTAACCCCGATGGTCAAAAGCAAGATAACAGAGAAGCCACTACTGGTCGTCAAGGCAGAGCTGGTTTTAACCGTTACAACAGAGGTAATTTGCCGTTAAAAGTCTGCAAAAGAGTTTTGGAGTGCAGTATTAAGATTAACATTACTGGTTTAAATAGATCAATATCAAGCTTACGGTGCTTCTTTCGCCTCCGCTTTCGCCTACTTCCACAACGAAGATGAATCTTCTTTCTCCGTTGTCGATAACAGAACTGCAGGTACCAAGAAGCAAGCCATGAAGTCAGTCGCTGGTAATGTTCGTGCTGGTCGACCTCAAACGAACAAAGGACAACGTCCCGCTGGTCGTTACCAACAGCAAGGTAGACGTAGATATGGTTACAATGCGTATGAGAAGCCTCAACGTGTTCGTAACGCCTCTATTAACATTGGTGCCGATTGGAAGGTTTTGGACGAAATTGAATTCAACCGTTTGAGTAAATTGAGCTTCAACATTCCTGAAGCCAAGGATTTGTAAAGTATTCGATGATTGGCAACATATGAAGAAATGCATTGTTGATTGAACAAATATACATTTTTGATATATAGGGATTCATATGGTTTTGTGAACGTATACAACAAGCAATATGATCGTGTCAACACTAAGAATGAAAAGATGCTTACACAAATCGACCGCATCAAATACGATACTACTACATCCGAAGATCCCGTCATTCAGCAATACATTTTGGACAATAAGGCTACTGTTTTTGCCACAGATGCCGTCCTTTCCCTCTTAATGTGTGCTACTCGTACAGTTTATCCTTGGGATATTGTCGTTAAGAAGAGAGCTGATGGTAAAGTCATCTTAGACAAACGTGCCGGCGGTGTCTTTGATTTTGTTACTGTCAATGAAAACTCCTACGATCCTCCTGCCGAAAATGATAAAGATCAATTGAACTCCTGGTCCGCTCTTTGTAATGAAGCTACATATATTAATCAAAACTTCTCTCGTCAAGTGCTTCAAAAGGATACCATCAAATTTGAGCATCCCAATCCTTTTGCTTCCCCGGACACTGAAAGTGAATTAGCTTCGTGCGGTTACCGTTACAGAGCTTATAATTTAAGCAATGCTACTAGCAGCAGTGATGAGGAAGTGCCCGAAGATGAAAGAATTAACTTGATTGTTCGTACTGAAGTCGATGCTGCTGTTAAGACCGCTAACGGTACCAACTATGTCACTATCCGTGCTTTGAACGAATTTGATCCCAACGCACAAGGTGCTGGCGGTGCTCTTCCTTGGAAGAAAAATCTGGATGCTGCCCGTGGTGCGGTGGTGGCCACTGAAATGAGAAATAATGCCGCTAAATTGGCGCGCTGGGCTGTGCAAGCCATTTTGGCTGGTGCCGAACAACTTAAATTGGGTTATGTCGCTCGTTATAATTCTAAGGAAAACACTCGCCATGTTATTTTAGGTACTCAAGCTTATAAGCCTCGTGATTTCGCCACTCAAATGAACTTGTCTCTGGCCAATGGTTGGGGTATTGTGAAGGCTGTTGTAGATATGTGTTTACAATTACCTGAAGGTACTTACGTTATGATGAAGGATCCTAACAGACCTTACCTTCGTGTCTATGCCATTCCTTCTGAAGATGACTTAAAGGATGATTATGATGAAGATGATGAAGAAGGTGAAGACGATGCTGAAGGTTCCAAACAAGCTTAAAAACACTTTTAAAAAAGTCATTTGTATAAGTAATTAATATGCTGTAGGCAAATCTTGATGTACATCTACACGTTCGATTCTCAATAGATCAAGATTAACTCTTATTTTAAACGTTGACAATTGGTTAAATAATTGTGTACTGTTTGTGCATTCTATTAATACTCTGAGAAGTTGTGCTGCACGTTAGATACCAAGTTCAATTTAGAATCTACAGAACCAATCAAAGACAAAAGTTAAGCTGTCCAGTACTAATTGTTCCTTTCAAAACATAATCTTGTGAAAGGCGAACGTTTTGGGAATTGCAGAGCATGACGAAATTTGGACAATTTCTAACGAAACTGCCTCGCTTTCACTACCTTAAAGGTTTCTATAGCTAGATTGAGCCGTAGTGTTTAATCGATAATTAGTTGCTCGCCATCTGGACATTGTTTTACACGTCCCATTTTAGGATATTATTAACATAACAGGAATTTGCGCGTAAAATGAAGGACATCGATATATCCGTATATCCTACTGTAAAGACGTTACAATCGTTTTTTTTTAGTGTAAGGAAAGGCCTTTATCTGGGAATTGAGCACTCATATTGGCATTTAAGTTTAAATTGTGATTGTCCAAATGATCGTGCACGGAGAAGAATAAGGAACGACAATAATGACTGTGGAACATACCACGAAGATTTTAGATCGTCTATTAGTTTGTCGTACACAGCATAGTTCAACCTTCAAATGAGAGATCGTTCAACCTTCAAATGGGAGGTCGTATTGCTTATTTTGGGTATTCTTCCTAAACTCGGGTTCGAAAGACAACAACATGCTACAACATTGATTTCATAGTTCCACTTATTTTATTTGTGAAGAAAGATGTGAGAGATCGTAATGCGATATCTCAAAGTATAAAAGGGCAACAATTTCTGTAATTATCTATTATTATATATATTAAAAAAGCATCCTTTCCGTTCATTTACTACGACTTTATTTGTCTCTACCTGTTTCCATACTTTTGCAGAATCAGAAAGACTTATAAAACAACCTCTTACGCCATTCATTTAAATTATTATTTCTTTCCTCTTCTCTCTTCTTTCCTTTACTTTAATAAAAGTTCTAACAAACAGCAGCCAACAATAAAATACCATTTAAAATGAAGAAACAGTCAATTTCCATGATTCCCATCATGGTGGCTGGTGTCTGTATTGCTTTTTTGGTCATGACAGCTGAAGCAGCCTCCTCCTTAAAGATCAACCATCCTAAATTCATTAAAGGTTCCGCTTCCTCTTCCGGATCAACCGTTCCTGGTCGCTACATTGTCCGTTTCAAGGATAGCAAATCCACGAATGAATTTACTCAAACTTACTTCAAGAAGAACAAAGCAAGCAAGAAGCACAAATTGAAGATTAAGGAAACTATTAAGCATGATTTTTTCAACGCTGTTTCCGTTGATATCGATGCTAATGCTACAGACGATAATCATGTTACATCCACTCTTAAGAATATCTTGGATCAGGCTGATGTTGAGTATGTTTATCCTGTCAGAACGCTGCCCCGTCCCAAAGTTACTGTCGAAAGTGTGGGTAAATCCAAAGAGCCTACTGTCTTACCTCATGCTATGACCCAAGTCGATAAGGTTCACTCTGAATTGAAAAAAAAGGGTAAAGGCATTCTTGTTGGAGTCCTCGATACAGGTAAAACATTACTGATGCAGTCAATCTTAACAATGTACATTAAAAGTGTGAGGGTTAAAAAGGAAAAAAATGGGATGGAACAGCTGGTTGACTGGTGTCATCTTTTTAATCGAAAACATTTCAACGTAATTTAGGTATTGATTATAATCATCCTGCATTGGGTGGAGGTTTTGGCAAAGGATTTAAAGTGATCAAGGGCTATGATTTAGTCGGTGACGCTTATACCGGTCAGAACACTCCTAAACCAGATGATGACCCTTTAGATAATTGTGGTGCTGACTCTGGTGCAAGTGGTAATGTATCATATATCCCATTGGCTGATAATAATTTTAAACAATTTCTACCTACGTAAACTTGCTTACCCTCAATCATGCATATGTAAATTGCATACAATAGGTCATGGAACTCATGTTTCAGGTATCATTGCAGGATATGACAAAGCAACTGTAAGTTTGTGCGATAATAATGTATTCATATTAATCTTCTGGCCTCTTTTGTACTAATTTATTGACGTCTGCATTTATTATTATTAACAGAATTTCACTGGTGTTGCTCCTGAAGCCAATCTTGGTATGTGGAGAGTCTTTGGTTGTGATGGTCAGGTCACCAATGATATTGTCATCAAAGCTCTTTTAATGGCTTATGATGCCGGTTGCGATGTGATTAATTTGAGTTTAGGCGAAACGAATGCCTGGTCCGTCACTACTGACGCGGAAGCTGATGTTGTTAGTCAAATTGCCAAGAAGGGCGTAAGTGTTGTTATCTCTGCTGGTAACTCTGGTGCTCAAGGTATCTATACTGTAGGTCAACCAAGTACATCCCCCGGTGCATTCTCTGTTGCTTCCATTGAAAACAGCTACTATATCTCTAAAGATTTGACCGCTACTGGCATCAACCATAGCATACTTTATACTAACAGCAATGATGACAGCAGTTTGGAAGATGGTGCTGTAGTAGCTGGTGATAAGAACCCTGGTAACAGTGAAGAAGCTTGTACTGCTGCTGCTATTAACCCTGAAGTCAAGGGAAAGATTGCTTTAATTAAGCGTGGTACCTGTGCTTTCGCCGACAAGGTCAACAATGCTGCTGGTGCTGGTGCTGTAGGTGTAGTCATCTATAACAATGTCGCTGGTGCTTTGACTGCCTCCGTTCCTGGTGTTACTGTCCCAGTTGTTTCTATATCAAATGCTGACGGTAAAGAACTTTTGGCCGCCATACAAAAGTCCAAGGATGCCGTTGAATTGAAATTTAATAAGAAGGGTTCTGTCCAACCCATTGAAAATGCTGGCACCGTCTCTACCTTTTCAAGCGTGGGCGCTTCTGCTGAACTTAACTTCAAACCTAATATTGCTGGTATTGGTGGTAATGTATACTCTACTATGCCTACATATTTGGATAGTTGGGGCGTTATGTCTGGTACTAGTATGGCGGCTCCTTATGTTGCTGGTTCTGTGGCACTCTATCTTGAAGCTGTCAAAAACAGCAATAAGCAATCCATTGCTTATATCAATGAGCAATTCCAAAATTACGCTGCTCCAGCCAAGGTCTATAACAGTAAAACTATTGACAGTCCTCTCCGTCAAGGTGCTGGCCTTGTTCAGGTTTACGATACAATTACTCAAGGTGTTCACATCTCTCCTGCTCAAATCAGCTTTAATGATACTGCCACTTCCAAGTATAGGACTCAAACTATCACTATTACCAATCATGGTCACCAAACGGTTCAATATGAGTTGGTAAATGATGTTACTACTGCTATTTCTCCTTATGATTTGAAAGAATCTGGCTATACCCCGCTTGAACCCGCTATAAATTCTGTTGCGGCTGCCAAATTACGTTTCTCTAAGAAGACTTTCCGTTTATCTCCTGGCCACTCTCAAAAGGTCAAAATTACTGTTACTCCACCCAAAATTAATCCTAAGGAACATGTCATGTACGGTGGCTTTATCCATCTCAAGACCAAGCATCATGGTAAGAATGGCAGCATTGACCTTCGTGTTCCTTATTTTGGCGTAGTGGGTAGCCAAAAGACTTTGCCCATCTTCGATGACGGTTTCCCTACGATTATTGATGTCAACAGCAAGGAATACAGTACCGATGATACTTTTGTCTATGATCGTTCCAAGAAGTATGGTTTCCCCATTTCTGTTTTGCGTTTGTTAACTCCTTCTGCTAAGATTAAGGCTGAGTTGCTGGATAGCAAGAAGAAGGTTATAGGTGAATTCTTGACGGGTTTGGAGTATGTTGGTCGTAACTTCTTAAGCGGTGAAGGACAAGTATATTCTCAATATGCTTGGGACGGTACTTATGTTCCTGCTGGCTTTTCTGGTGTTGAATCTTTGCCCATTGCGGTTCCCGCCGGTACTTATAGTTTCCGTTTCAGTGCCTTGAAGAACTTGGGTAACCCTAAGGACAAGAAGGATTGGGAAACATGGACTTCTGGACCGATTGTGGTAAAAAACTGAACGATACTGAACTAGTCATATGTACAAACTTTTTCATTTATCTAAATATTGATTTAAATTATTATCTACTCAAATTTATACTCTCTACAATACTACTGTAATAATAAAATAAGTGTATTTCTATGGTACAGAGCAAAATTTTCCAATGCATTACTATTATTGTTTATTGAAATGGACAAGCAAATTGTTTAAATTTCTACACCTTCGGCCATGGATTCGTCAATATGTCTCAATTTTAAGAATACATCACATCCATAACCCCGCATAGATACCAATGTCAATGAGCCACCAAAATAGCGAGCATACATCCTAGCTAAAGGTAAGCCGAATCCTAACCCAGCCAATGGCCCTCCCACTCCACTTTGCATAGCCATTTCTGCAATATTTCTAAAAATACCAGACGGTCCATCATTTTCTGACTCATCCTGTTCTTGCAATATTTTCGATACAGTAGTGTATGAATAATCGAATACATTGGGCAAATCTTCCTCACTGATGCCATTTCCTTGATCCCTAATCCTTATCGAAATATCCTCTTGTCCCTGACTAATTGTGATTTGAATAGGTGGCACATTTGTAATTCTTCCCATTTTACGATGGTGTTCCACGGTAGCGCGATAAGCATTTTTTATCAACTCCGTCAAGATATATTCTAAATGCACAGGCACATAAGTGAATTGGGTATTTGTGTGTCCATCAATGACAGCTTCTTCGGGCCGCAGACCATAATGAAACTCACACAACTCAGCGACGAAATCGCAACAATGGCGAATGAGTTTGTCAGGTTTGATTTGTGTATCGATGATACCTATATAGCCACTGCTGGCGTTAGCGTCGTCTTTTTGTTGTTGCATTAGAGAAATGGCTTGCTCAGCGATAAGACGGATACCGATACGAGCTTGAATCATGTCGTCTAAAAAGTGAGTCATATCTTGTGTATTCATATATTGTTTACATTCCAGAAAACCTGATAGATAGTTTTAGTAGATGGATTCGCTGGTAATAACTCCTTATTACATACCTCTTGCTAACGTGGGTATATTGTCACTATGTCTTTCCACAAATGCTTTTAAGTGTTCAATGAACTCTTGATCATTATCCTTCTTGCTGAGATTTGTTTCTGTCGCCGCTGTCATGGTAGTTGGTATCGTTACAGAATTTTCTGATGGGTAGTATTGCACCAATTTTTCAAATGAGTCATAGTAAAGACTATAGATTTCTTTTATAAAGGGATTTGTGCCAACAATAAACGGTAAACTTTGAAAAGCTCTTACACGTCTTGCCAAACGAACAGGAAGCTCTGACCGAGCATAATGAGTACATGTCTTTATACTTTGACTTGTAATAGGAGGCTGACCGAAACGAACGAGTTGTTTTAATGTAACAGGCTTCACTGGTTTACTAGCAAACTAACAAATAGTCACAGCCATCAGATAAAAGCAATAGTAGAGGAATGAATATAAAACGAAACATACAGTCATGATTTTGTCATCGTAAAAGGCATGTGTATGATGACGTTCAATTGCTTTTAATGTTGAACTGAATCGAACAAAACAATTACGTGGAACTGACCATCTTGAAGTTGCTTGTAGCATAACTGATTACGATTGTTAGAAACAAAGAAACTAAAAGCAACTTGAGTCATAAAATTAATTCAAAGTTTTATCAGTGTGTGTTCTTTATCGTGAGAAAAATGCAATTAAGTTATGATAAATAGCGTGTTTGTTTGGATTGTTGCATGCAATGGTATTGGGTAATATACAGGTTGCTCTCTATTTTTTTTTTACATGAATGATGAGCTCAAATTGAAACTTTTGCAGTGGACTGAATATATAGTAAAAAAATAGCTTAAAGGGTGTCTAATTACAATGTTTGTTTAGTGCTCAGATATCACTGTAGAATTACTATTAACATTGCTGTTCTTCACTATGCTGATGTTGTTGGTGTGTTGATGGGTATCTATTAAGGTGGCGAAACCATTAGATGTCAACCATGCAAATGCAAGAACCAATAAACTTGTGCAAATCACATCAATGATAGCAGTTCTATGTGTTATAAAAGAATTAGTTTACGATACTAAAAGGAGGTAAAAACTTGATCTACTTACAAGTAGGGTAGTACGTAATTATCAGGATCGTATTTCAATTTCCAAAAGGTTAATGTCATGTTTTTGCCCATTTTCAGAGCAACGTATGTCTAAGAATGATGTAGATGAGGAGAAGAACGAATAATACAACCTTGATATTTTGAATGAACTTACGCAAATCATAGAAACAATGAAATAACTGATAAAGAACATGAAGGTATAATCAAGATGCCCCAGATCCAAATACCAAATAATGATCAAAAAGATAACTTGAATAAGAACATTCATCAACAAGAGTGTCTTTTCAACAATCTTGAACGCTTCTTGTACTCCTCTATGCAAACAAGTACTGATACGTGAAGCATAGATAGATCCCAAATTGCCTGCCAAACCTATCATGCAGTAAATAGGATGGTTAGAATACCTTCAAAAGTACCTAGAATGATGAGATCAAGACTTCTTACCGCACAAGATTGGTGTTAACATAGCTAGGCCCTGAAATTTTTCAACATATCTCTCCAAAACCAAGCCAGCGCCACTGGAAATCAACATGGCAATAATAATAGGTGTCCAACCGGTTAATAATAAATCCTTAACGTATTTATTTCTCCACACAGCCAGACCGAAGAATGGGATTGAAAAGAACATGACCAGCAGCGACATCGTACAGAGATTGGATTCTACGACAGATGTAAGAGGTCATTAGTATTTGTCATACATTGAAAATGACTAAATATGGCTAAATTTTACCTATATTTTGTAATAGTAATTTTGCACATTCTGCCAAAATATACAAGGTCACTACATCGCCCAGCGAAGACGCCATAGGGCATGCAATATTATCTGGATCGATTTTCAATATACGGCTGATGATAATCAAAATGCACATAAAAGCACCCAACACAAAACTGGAAACAGAAGCAGAGACCATAGAACTGGAAATCACTAGTATCGATTCTCCAGAAGTGATAACTTGTTCAGGATGTAAGATAGCTCCTAGAACAACAGAGAAAAGCCCCGCAATACATCCTGATATGAGACCTTGCACTTGTATTAACGCTAAATTGCCCCAAACAAGTGCATTCCTTGTCGCTGGATGATCCAACTCTCCCATATTGGCCGATGTTGAAAATCTCGCTGCCAGATTCATCTCAAGGTTTCCTTTCAAATTTAGCAGAACAGGAACCAAAATAAACAGTTCTGATACTTGCGTAAAAACATCCCAATGCTATACAATACATAGTGAAAGAAATACTTTGTAAATTTAATGCGCTCTTTCAAAACGCTGTTAGTTTGCCTAAATTTCTTAAATGCCCTTACTTGATATATATCCATCATCCAACCTGCCACTACTAGACCTATCACACAGATAATCAGCGAAGGTAGTGCCTAGTAAATTGTTTCGATTAAGTAATAATGAATTTATTAATACTATTGGTTCATATACGAATTGTTTGTCGTTGAGTGTGTACCTGTTGCGCTAATTTATTGCCACTTTTCTTTATTTCTTCTAATTGTTGTGGTGCCCTATAGTGCAAAAATGACGTTGCTGAGCTCGTTCGTGAGTGTCGTCTCGTGCGCTTCTTTTGCTGATCTTCGACATCGACGTGCGGATCTGCTGGTGGAGCTAAAAGCTCTATTGACTCTGCTGGTGTCTGCGGTAATAGGTTATAATTTGGCGGCATGTTTGAAGAGGTATATAACTATATACTATTACGTAAAGGTAATAGGAATAAAATGAAGACAAAAAAGCAAGTGTGAGGAAAGGAAGGAGAAAAGGCTATGGTACAACAAAGCTGGTGATTTAGCAAAAAAAAAAATGATGATCTTTGTGAACTTTTTTTTTTCCTGCTTCACTTTCATTTTATTTTCTAAATATGGAAATCTGTAACTCCAGCTACAAAATAGAGTTTTTTTTCTTATGATTCGGACTTTCTTACTGTTTGCTTCAGACGAACAGAATAATGGATTTTGGAAAAACCATAAATACTTTTTAGATTGTAATAATTTTAGTTTGAGATGAATTTTTAGAACTTGAACTCAGGGCACTATAAAAACGGAGGGGTAATGAGGAAACAAGAGCAATAATCAGCGCGCTTAACTATCCTGTGTAATATGTTAAGCATACTATAACATCAAAAACTAGTTGAGGAGCAAAGATACGCCACTGTCTGTATATAGCAATGATTTTTCAGAACTCTGGTGCATGTTGATAAGAGCCATCACTTATTGAGTCAGTTGATCGTGATGTGTCAATGAAGCAATTCTTTGACAACAAAAAAAAGAAAAAAAAAAAGAAAAGGAACGCGATATACAATAGAACACACAGTGTTCTTTTCCTTTTTGCTTTCTTTCTTTTAAACAAAAGTGGAAAGGCAAACAACGCAACGGCCCTTATAAAGGCCCAAGCTGCACATAGGTAAGTTATCTTATTTACGACTCTCTATCAAGAAATTATCTACGTTGCTCCACTTACCCACACACTAATACCAATGGCATACAATGATTCTTTGAGTGCTTCTTCGTCTAAGCCAGTGTTGTCAAAAAAGGTGTAAAAAAAGAAGCTCTCCAAGAATTCAAAGCTGATAATAAAACAATGAAAATGATTACGTATCCGTCCTGTAAGCAAGCCACACATGCATGGCCTACAAGCAATCTGTGTCCGAACAAGAAAGCAAAAGTACCTATTGATGGTGAAGATGAAAAGGTGGAAATCTGCTTCATCAATGAATATATGACTAGCTGTAATAAATGCAAGCATTCGACATTTGGAGAATGTAAAGACAGCGACGTCAAAGCGAAGAGTACATGCTGTATTGCAGTATAAAACGGTAATACAATTTGGAATCGCGACGTCAATGCTACCAAAAACATCTCTCTAACGAGACTTACATGTGTGATTGATATCACTCCTTCACACATCCCGACAGTGTAAGTTGTAATATATTCATAAAGTATAACCAAAGGTCGAATGCTTACTGTTTCGACCTTATTTACTAAACTCACAATTCGATAACAATTTGGGTAATTTTTGGTAAGTACTTTTAAATTTATTATAAAATTTATCTAAAATATGTAACTAAATTTTCTCATAAATATACTTTATTCTTCCAAAGTTGCCTAGTAGTATTTCCGATTTTTAATCGAAAAAAACTGTAGAAACAATCCAACAAATAGTTAAACATGTTTCTGATTGGCTAAGCTCAGATTGGCTGGTTGGATTTCTTATTCTCATGCGAAGTGAGCCTATTTTTAGTGCTTAAAAATTGAATGCCCTAGTGTTTACACTGTTATGGTTCAGATAATCTCATCTGAAAAGTAATTGAAATAAAAGGTACTGTAAGGAGAACTAAGAAAACGGCCTCCCAATGACATATAAGCTGCTCGCGTCTTTTTTCCAATATGTAAACGTTTCAACAGCCCTTACACATTAGGTGTTTAATGCTTTTGAAGTCTTCAATATGCAAGCAACTTTCGTCATTAGCAGTGACAAGATGCGATGTCATAAAGACTTCTTGAATGCAAGATTTAACCCCTCCTGCAGTACCTCAGCAATTCCTCCTTAACTTGATACATTGCGTAGTGTTCTTTTCGATCTATTGAGAAAGCTCGCCTACTGCCTAATGCATATCACTTATATGTCTAGGCTGGTTTTGAGATAAGTTATTGCATTGTTTTTCAGCTCTTAAAATCGGCTTGTATACTCCTCATTTGATCGGTCATTAAAGTGTTGAAGGCCAGATCCTATTTGGCTTTTTGAAGCTTGTGGCGTCAGCACTTACTTTGTCCATAAAAAGCAGTGAATTCCGAGGCGTAAGCCCCAATCTTCGGTACTTTTTCATTTGGCGGGTTAAAATCCCGCGCACTGGTATTTTTGTTGAGTGCGTTTCATGAATGCAAAGCCAAGAGATTAAATGACGACTTCTTGGACGTCAAATAACTCCATCAAAAAGCAAAAGCTACTTCGAATATTCAAGCATAACTTATGACAGTAATTTTACAAAGCAATTTCACTTTTGAATCTGTTTAATAAAGTGTTTTCATAAAAATTGTTGGTAAAAAAAGAATATGATCGCTTTACATAAAGGAGTATACAAAAAGCGGCTATTGCAACAGCAGACTTTTGCATATGTTTTTGAAATGCATACTAAATGAAATTAGAACGGAGTAATAGGCTCTGTACAAATCAGCAAAAAATTGCTATTTAATAACCGGAGGAGTATTCCAAACGCCAACGCTGGTTTGAAGCAGCGTTTCCTTCGCGTTTTCCGTATAAGATAACGGGAACGCCATCATCATCTTTGGCACCTTTTATATCCAAAACCAAATCTGGACGAGCCTCAGGTGAAATATAACCACGTTCATCAATACGCCATCTTTGATTAGCAGCTTCTTGAGCCATCTTTTGAGAGTATTGGATGATGCTCGATTCTGGCTTCATTTCACCGCCTTTAATGTCAAGGACTTTGGCAGACTTGACATTAATAAAGTAACCATTCTCATATCTCCACAATTGGTTTTGATTGTCACTAGATTTTTGCTTATAGACGATGATTCTAGCAGCATCCTAATGTGTTAATGGAAGTACAGCCAATTAATGAAATGGTTGAGTCAGGCCATGTAATCGGGTGAAGAAAATGCCTACATCAATTTACTCACATCTGTAGCACCACCTTCTACGTCTAAGACACGTCCGTTGAGTTCGCTTTTAATAAAGAATACGTTACCAGTCATATTTAAGAAGGAAAATGTATTGTTTTTAAGTTATACAAAAAGCAGGAAAGGTTTAGCATGAACGCTTACTCTTTTATACTTTTCCTCGTCAGTATCACTCCTACTTCAATAAATCAAATGAATGCTATCTAGCATGACAAAAACAAGCGTACAACAAAAACGTCATAATTATCTAATTAGTTTTTTATGGTGTGATACGTAGAATATACTTCATTTTTCTTGGCTGCTCTTCGTTTGTATCTTATCAAAACAGTTAAAAAGCAGGCTTTGATCATGTAATAAATCTATATATTTTGACCGTAATTTTGACATATCAACCGACACTATAAACGCATTACGACGTATTGATTAGACAATGATGAGATGTACAATCAAGGTAGCTCTTCGTTAGCCACTTGTAACTTACTCAGGTTCATTAACTCCTCTTGAGCTGGTTTAAGCTCAAGAAATACTGTCTCTAAGAAATTTAGCAGTGATCCCGATAGTAATATGGCTTCTTGCAATGAGAGTTTTTCGAGCACATCATTATCAATTTCGAAAGGATTCTTTGCATTAGTTGTCATTTTCAATATTTCTGCTACTATTTCCCATAAACTGACATCTATAGCAATATGTATAATAGAAGAGAAAATTAGTATTATATAATGTGTGTGTCTATCACCAACTGTATTGTATCGACGAAATTCATTTTTACTTTTAGTCTTCCAATCTTGAGTTGACTGCAATTGTAAAGGATTATTTCCATTGTTGCAAACACTTTCTGTTGTTTTTTTCAAAAGCTCTAGCTGATGTGATTTCAGCTAATCATTATGTGATCAGTATAGCTGCTTTCACGATACATACAATTTTCTTCTTCGTTTTACCCAAACATACGGACACCTATATTTCATATAGCCTGTTATCAAAAATATGACCTCATCAATCTGGCTTCCGAACTCTGCGTAAGAAGGAATATTTGAATCTATTGCATATAATACGCTTTCTGAAGTATGACTATTATAGCGAAAATTAATGGATCTGGTTATGTTTTGCAGTTCATAAGGCGTTTTAGTACTGCCCAATTTTTGTTTGTACCTGGATTTCTCAACTTCCGACAAATATATTGATTTGGGAAGCAAAATAGAATTCTTATTGGCTACTGTTTTCATGCTCTTTGTTTGTCGCTGGTAATAAACGCATAAGATGAGCTCTTCCCTTCCTCTAATGAATGTTCGAAAGTGTTTGAAACCCTTTTTAACATTAAAAATGAAGAAAAAGTAAAGCACTCAAGTTTATAAGTCATCCATTTGCAGACAATTCAGATTACAAATTACCCTAAGTGTACCTAATGTCAGACAGTCTTTCAAGAATGTAGCTAATTTTGCAGAACGTTCAGGTAGCTCTCTTTTGTTGTTCTGAAAGAATTGATTACTTAGAGAATAAACGAGTAAGATGCTCAATTTTTTTGAGATAAGTACACTTACTGCCTGATTATCTGGAAGCATGGTTTAGACGACGTAGAAAAGCCCAAAAAACGGAGGTTAAGTTGGGCAGGTTGCTCATTGTTGTTATTGATAAATTTCCATCACGTGGTGTTCACTCAGAAATTGCTGTCTTATTGATATTTGTTTTAAAGCTGTTACAAGGATGCGTTGTTTACTGTGCTTGCTCTTGCAGTATATTCACCCTTTTGAATTATCAGTGGGAATTCTTTCGATAAAGATGAAACGGCTCTTCTAAATTGACCTTATCAAGCTTGCATATCCTAGCGGACATTGGGTTCAGTTTATCAATGCTTCTATAAAGATCTTCTGTTGAGGATTTGTTCAATGCCGTTTACATATGATGAATTTATGTATTTTGAAAAAGTAAGGGGGCCTTATTATGCTATTCGCTTTTATGTTGAAAAAGATAATATTCAAAAGACGAGAAATGATTAGCAATAATAGCAATACTAAACTTCAACAACAATAAGACTAACTTCAACGATGCGGAAAAAAAAGAGGTCCGTATCTTGTTAGGCTTACAGGGCACTCACGAGGAGCTTGGTTGAGTACATTTTTTTTCCTCTTGGACTTTCAAAGTGCATCTGCTGTAAATAGTAACAATTTTGCAGCAACAGCTTTATCCTTTTACAATATTCCTCAGTACTATATTATGATTACTTCACTTCATTCGCGCTTCACACTAAGCTACCCTTCGAAGATTTGTCATCATTTGGATAGTACACAGAATTACGGTAAATTCTGAATGTAATGCCTTTAGCCACTATGCTCCGGAGTCAAGTTATTCATTTATACACATATCTGACAGGTAGTAGTGGCATCAGGTGAGTAATTCTTAAGATAGACTACTAAAGCCTTCAATATATTTTTATTTAGATATCGCTCCCTCTTCTCCTTTAAAACTTGTTCCTCAAGCATGCAAGCCCGGCATATCGTCCCAATTTCAACCCCACGCTTGGTGAACTTGATGTCTCTTACGGCAAAATGGTAAAGACAGAAGATCCGCTCTCTTATTGCTTTAGTAATGCTTAAAGATGTATTAAAGTGGTGGCCAAGGTTAAGATTGAGCTTGTGCTCTTCTTTTGATTGAAATTGATTGATTAACGCGATATATCAATTTTTTGCTTAATCATATCCCTGTTAAATACCTTAAAGTGGACGAAAAGCCCGTGGTCACTTATATCTTCAAAAAAGTGACAATAGCAATAGAAAACACTATGGTAAACAAAAATAAAAACGCTGATTCCAATATAATGCCTTTGAATGATAACTGGTAGATTTACGTTAGAAGCAAATCTTGCATATAGCAATTATTTGACTAATGTTCATCTGTTAGCATTTAATTGTTAAGGCGGACTGCCTTCAACCAATGATTATTCCATCGAGGGAATATACATAAAATCCAACTTTTTGGCATCTACACTGTTGCATGGAAAATCATATAATGTCAACGAAAATCTCGAAATTTACCCAAAGTAAAGATTACAGCAAAATTACATATTAAACAGTTGAAAAAAATCTCGTCAATGACAGCCCTTCTTAAACTGATCTCTGATGTACACGAAGAGAACTTAGCGTTTATTACTATTAATAGAGAAAAATAGTCTTATAAAGCGCATTTTGTTGAAAAACCAAAGAAACCGAAGCAACCACAGGTTTCTTTTTCTGATTACTGTCATTTAGGTTTATCAAAAATTAGTATATATTTATTAAATTATTTATATTACACAACTCATGTGGTGTTTATCTTATTCCATTTTCAATAAGTGGAATTAATGTGACAAAAAAGTGTGTCGCCTTGTGACTGACGAGATGCAAAATTCATAAAATTAATTCCATTGCTGTGCATCATAAAGTTCTATTTTTGTCTGTTGGAACACAGAATCTTCACTTTACCATTTTTCATAATTTTGCGGATGCTTTATCTACTTCTACTTTTAGTGCCTCCTTATCATACATAATCCTAGCCAAGGTTTCTAGTTCGATTGAATCCAATAAGCAAATCGTTATCTTTGGCGCATGTCTAACTCCAGTAGCCTTGAATTAAAATTAAACGAGTAAGCAGTGAAGAAAAAAAGTCTAACAGAAGGGAAGATAAACGATGAATACGATATACCTTAACCAAAGGAAACAATTGATCGCCGAGTTGCTGTTTCTTTTCATGTATTGGTTTTCCTTCCAGAGAATTTAATAAGGCTCTAATTTCTTCTTGCTTGGTCGCATCCAAATGATTTGGCGCGACAATGGGTATAGCTTTTGATTGTCGTGGAGGTATAATAACATCGTCGTTAGTGGCAGTTGGAATAGAATTAATAGCTGGGTTTATTGCTTTGATGCTCATCGCTCCGCTGAATACAGGAGCAATATTTGTACCATTACTGCCCGATTCAATGACTGGAGATTGGGCTAGCGAAGCCGTGCTTCCTTGTGCAATTGGTCTAGAAATTAGGAAAGTGAAATTATAACTCGGAATTGTAAATAATCTCTTTAACATGAAACTCAAACGAATTTTCCTCGGTTATAGCATATTTCTATAACTCATGCTCTTAACGTCTCGTTTAATTCGTACATACCTTGTCATTCCTGCCTCTACTGTTCCATTCATCGCAGCCATCTTATGACTGGTATTAAAACCAGTCGTATTAGTAGCCTCCTTTAAGTCTACTAGCAATATTTCTTCTTCATCCTCAGCTTCATCTTCACAAATCTCTAACGCTTCGACGGCAGCCTGAACTTTTTCTTTTAGAAATTCACGATTGAACAGACAAATAGATCGTTCTTTCTTTCTCAATGTCAGTAGCATGTCAACAATATCATTGATTTGTTGTTCTTGCTGGTTCGTTACAATCATCGTTAGTGCCGGTATTTCCATACAGCATCGTTTGACTGCTTCTGTCATGCGATGACGTTGAATTTGAGCCGTGGATTCTGTCATAGTTGAATTAATGGACTCCAAGGATCTTCTACGGCGCAATGAAGGTTTTTTTGTACCAGGAAAACCGTTGACAGCATTAGTATAATCTTGGCAATATATCGGATATTCTCGTTGCTGCTGTTGTTCATTGATAACACCCTCTTCAATTTTTTTCACATTATCATAGATAGTGTTATGCTGCTGATAATGTATATGAGGTGGTATCTGTTGAATATTGGCGCCAGAGGCTAGTGATGCAAGTGAAGGGCGCTGGTTTTGATTATGTTGAAAATAGGTGGATACATTGGTAGTAGATCGCATGGCCGTAGAAGGTGAACTGAGTGAGCTCGGGGTAAGTATTGCGGATGACGGCTAAAAGTGAAGAAACAATATTAGTAATTTGTTTGCATTGTTTGTTTTTATCGTAGTTCGTATAGAGTCCGCTAGTATACTTTGTGTTGCTTCACACGCATTGCTTTAGAAGTCCCTACCGATAATTCCTCTACTTTTATATTCATTGATAATTGGTCAACATGGTCGATGCCTAGCCCATTCAACGGTCCCACAACTACTAAGGAATAGCAATATCAGTTGATGGTATGTGCGAGTGGTAGGATGGAAGTAATATTACCGTCATGAGGATGTTTCATATCAAAATAAGGTGTTGCAGTAACTGAAGGAGTATAGTCAAACGAAGCAGCACTACCATTAAGTGAAGAATTAGGTGGAGGAGGGGAATGGAAAGAGGACGTCGCAGTGGACGATGACTTTTCTTGACGAGGCTTCTTAGGTTCATGGTAGGCTACAATGATCGGTTTCGTACGGAATTGATACCCATTCATTTCCTCTAATGCTGCGGCAGCTTCTTCGTGCTTCCCAAAACTAACGAATCCGTAACCTTTTGATTGTCCATTCTGAGGATTTGTCATTACTCTGGCTGAGACAATACGGCCAAATTTGCGAAACAGATTAAATAGATCACTATTGTCTACAGTTGGATCGAGATTTTTGACATAGAGATTCAGGAAGTCAACAAAACCTGTATCCCGTTTTTTGTCCGTTGCTGTCATTGTTGCTTCTTGGTAGTGGCTAGGGATAGAAGATACTTTCATCGGATTCTGAGAAGACTTGTTGTTCATCAAGAGAAGTGTGATTTGGCTAATTGTAAAGTTGGTTAGAAATAATGATTGCAAAAGAACTGAAAAGTTGCAATAGAATGGGCATAAACATTTTGAATTGTTTATACTATTTTGTTACTCGTTTTTGTTACAATCGACTTACATTATATTTCCATCAATCATTTTACCATTCTTTTGATCATATGAGCAAATCAATGAAAATGTTAATAAATATACCTGAACAAATATTAGATACTAGAATTTGCATACCATTTCAATACTTGCACGGTCAGAATCATCCCTGAAAAAATATTGGACCAAAGCCTTTCCTTCATGACCAGTAGTTGTAGCTGTGGTATCTTCAATAAGAAATTTACATATACTTAAGGGACCGTAAGGACGAAAAATGTCATACAGAGAATTATGATCTATATGCAATGGTAAGTTACTGATCTCCCAAATATCACCTTCCGGTTGAGGATCGTTGTTTGAAGAGAATCTGAACTTGAGCACTGTTTGACTTGTAAACATATAACCATTGAGCAGTGTGTAAACCCTCTCAGCTATTTATGAAAACGGTACACAAAAGCAAAGTTGGTCAGTATCATAATTCTTTGATTGAAATTAACACTGATTTTCCCTCTTTTACCAACTCTAGCACTGAGAAAGCTTATGTATCCACCACCTACTTCTCTTCTTATTCTACATAAAGTATGTACTTAGTTCGAGTGACTGTCCTTCTTCTTATTCATTATCTTTGCTGTTGTTTCAAGAACGCGAGCTTACTGGAAGATTTTAAATCCTTGTAAGACATTCTGTATGTCATAATCAGTTAATTTGTTATCCATATCTTCGAAGAATAGCTCATTTGAGATAGATAACTGCTGCTGCTTTGGGCTGGTAGAGTAAGTAGTAGACTCTGCAGTTAATGTTCGATTGTTGTTAGAAGGGTTTAATCTGTTATTGTTACTATTATTATTGTTGTTATTGTTGTTGTTGTGAGTAGTGTTTCTCGGTGGAAGTTTGATGATCGGTTTCAACGTTGACATTTTATAGAGTAAGATTCGTTTGTGTTATGTACGTTGGCTTGCCCTGAACCATGAAATATGAGATAATGAAAATAAAAGGGCGAAGGAAAACACAATATTTTGCCTAAAAGTTAAAATTGAATTTTCCTACAACTTGTGCTAAAAAAAAGGGGTAGAGGAGACAGGAGAAAACTTACAGCAGTCAAGAAAGGGTCCTGAAAAGCGATGAAGTGATGCTTATTGCGGAAAGTCTTTGAAGCGGTTCTTCTTTCGGCCGCAATGAAAAGGGAAAGAAATTAAGTAGAAGAAGAAGGAAGAAAGGATCGTTTTAACAGGCTCGGTATTTTTAGTTTATTTTGTGAGCAGGACATGAGTAGACTTTTTTTTCCGGCAAGCAGCGTAAAGTTGAGTTACTTTGTATGTACAAGAAGTTCCTGCCATCTGAACTAACCTTTGAAAAAGTTAGTCTTTTCTTTTCACTTTATTTATTTTGTTGCACTTGATGAGTTTGAAAAGCCCAGGATGACACAACATCATTTACATGTGTATGTTGTGTATGCAAATTAAACACAGTAAAATAATTGCAGGCAATGGAGCATCTAGAAGTATTTTGTTTGAAAAGCAATCGCCGAATGCAAAGAAGAAGGCTACAACTTATGCATACGATAGTAGAAGCGTTTATATTTGAATTCTCTGAATCTCTTAATTGTAACAAAAGACTTAGAGAGCTTTTGTTCACGGTAATTTTGTAATACCACCCTTCAACCACTTCAAAAGGAGAACGAATCTTCAGTATAATAGTTGTAAAGAAAGGGGAGTGTGATTATATTCTACGTTAGTGAAACCTTCAATAAGTGTTTTATCGTGCGTATAATCATTTCTCAACCTAATCTATGTTATAAGAGGCACACCTAAAAAGTGTAACAACGAAATTAAAAGGGCCTTCAAGGTTAGATAACCAGTATTATAATCAACCATCTGCTGTTGCTGCTGAGTGTAACTTCAGATTGTCTACAGCGATATAAGGTTCATGAATGTATGAAGTCAATGAGAAGGCTTCCTTTCATGTTGGTTTTTTTTTTCTTTTTTTTTTGCACACCATAGATCTTAATTATGCTTTTTTTGTGGAATCTCCCTAAAAAGCAAGCCCCCACTCCTTTCTTTAATTTTTCAGTGTATCTTTATTCAAGTATTTCGCTTGCCCCTTTTCTCTTTCTTATTATTTTTGGAACCTTTTTCTAATCATCTCTCATTTTTATTCAGTTTCCTAACATCAATTGAAACTAGAAAAACTATCAATACATTACCAAAACTAAGCAGATTAGGACAACAATAAACTACCGCCAATTTTTTTTATTGCAATCATGAGTGATAGTGATATCCCAGAAAGAATCGCAGCTGCCAGAAGAGAAGCTGAAGCCCTAAAAGAGCGTATTAAACAGCGTAAAGAAGCTTTAGCGGACACAACATGTGAGTATAATTTCAACAATATCAATTATATATACTCAAATATAGATCAATATCGCCCATTCATGCTATGTTTCAATTAAAAACAAAAAATAGTACAGGAAATGGCAAAAGACGTCGAACCTTTGCCTCGTATTGTCATGAAAGCTCGACGAACATTAAAGGGTCATTTAGCCAAAGTCTATTCCATGTGTTGGGCTTTTGATAAACGGCATTTGGTATCTGCTTCGCAAGATGGTAAACTGATAGTATGGGATGCTTATACGACAAACAAAGTCCATGCAATTCCGTTAAGATCATCTTGGGTGATGACCTGCGCTTATGCTCCCTCAGGAAATTTTGTTGCTTGTGGAGGCCTTGATAATATTTGTTCCATTTATAATTTACGAACACGCGATGGGCCCGTTCGTCCCGCTCGTGAGCTTTCCGCTCATAATGGTTACTTGAGCTCCTGCCGATTCATTAACGATCGTCAAATCTTGACAGCATCAGGTGATATGACTTGTATACTTTGGGATATAGATGCTGGTGTTAAAACTGAAGAATTTGCCGATCATACTGGTGATGTAATGAGGTAAGAGTGCTTAGTATGTCTGCCTCACATATTTAACGAGGAATACTCAAATTTCTTTTCTATAAAACGGTATAAAGTCTATCCTTAAGCAGTAATCCTAATATATTTGTCACAGGTGCTTGCGATTCTACAGCAAAAGTTTGGGATATCCGTACTAAGAAATGTGTGCAAACATTCGTTGGACATGAATCAGATATCAATGCGGTTCAATTTTTCCCTGACGGAAACTCGTTTGCAACTGCTTCAGATGATGCTACATGCCGTTTATTCGACTTAAGGGCTGATTGCGAACTTAGCGTCTATTCTCATGAATCAATCTTGTGCGGCATCACTTCGATTGATTTTTCGCCTTCAGGACGATTACTCTTCGGCGGCTATGATGATTATAATTGTAATGTTTGGGATACTCTTAAAGGTGAACGCGTTGGTATTTTGTCTGCTCATGATAATAGAGTCTCCTGCCTGGGCGTTGCTGACGATGGTATGGCGTTATGTACCGGTAGTTGGGACTCCACTCTAAAAATTTGGGCATAAAACAGAAGCTGATATACTCACATTAATATACCTCTATTCTAATACTAATGAGAAGAGAGTGGTTCCCTTGGATGTACTTACAGAGAAAGTTGGAATACTCCTCTCCGCAATCATAATCCGTATAACTATATATAGTTTAACCTTTTTCTCCTTATTCTGTCATATCTTCCCCATTTCAGAAAAATGCATTAACGTTACTGATTTCTTGCTTCTCATCTTCATTCACTTACACTCACTTGCTCTTTCCATTCTTCAAACCGGAACAATTATTCTGGCTGTCTCGAACTATACATTACTTTATAACATTAAATCTGTAATATAAACTTTTAGGCTTTTTTCCTTTCAGAATTTTAAAAGTAAACTTTGTAAACACACTGCATTCTCACGAATGTATTCTATTTGTTGTTGTTCTTGTGGCGTTCCATCCGCACATACTCACGTACACTCACATACACACACCTATACATATATATTATTCATATTAATGCACGCAATTTTAAGTTTATTGTTTCTGTTGTTCACATTGCTACTTTCTGAGCTGCACAAAACAATATGGTTTCAATATAAAGAACTGACAGTAATCCACAATTTTTTTCCCTACACTTATAAACTGTATTATATGGATAAAGCCAGTCAAAATAATTATTTGGGTATTCAGTATGAATAGATTCAAAGATCATTTGAAGTAAAGAGGTTCTGATTTTGGTGAAATAGAAAGACATATAATTGTTGCTGATGGTTCTTTAATGGCAATACTGCCAAGGCGTATCAGTAGCAACTGTAAGGAGGAAGAGCAGTATTAGATCATAAAAATAAAGATGTCTCTCGACTGGATTAAGGTGAGTGACATAGTTGACTAGCAGTAGTAGAGGCTAAGCCAAAAAATTTAGATAAAATAGTAGGCGGTGGTGACTTTTCGAGATAAAATTGAGATAGAGAATGTCGCCTTGCTTCTTTCTTACTTAATAAGTATTCATGTATTGTATGTGAAGACGCTCTACGCTGTGTTGGAGATGTCTGATATGACGATTTATTGGAAGTAGACAGTTTTGAAGAGGACAATGATGGAGCGATTGTCGAAAAGGCAGAGGATGACGATAGAACTGTTGCTGCTGGAATGTTAACGGAGCCTATTCCCATCGGTTGCTGCTTTTGTAGAACCATTTGCTGTCTGTCTTTCAAAATGGATGCAACTCGCTGTAGCGATAAAGCCAAAGGGTCTTGGTACAGTTTAATTGATTTGTATTCTGCATCGACTCTAATTGATTCTCTATTCAATAAAGTATGCATATTATCAGAATAATCCATCAAGTTTCCGTTCTCGTATGTCATTGCAAGCTGTTTTCTCTTTTGCTGTAATAACTGTCTCTGCTGCTCTATTGTAATGTTGGTTGTAGTAGTACCATTGGCAGAATTAACAGGTTTAAGTATTACAGTCGACGATGTTAATGAGAATCGTTTTATTAACGAAGAAAAAGACCTAACGTTGAATATGCGGACATGTGCAGATTGTGTATCAACATGTGTGCTGGGGGGTGACCTCATCAAATCAGGACGCCGTATAATTTCTCTAGTTGTCATAATCTTACGGATTTAAGACAAGCTGCGGATGGTTTAGTTCTTTCAATAAAGAATGATAAAAAAGAAACATAATGAAACTAGGAGTGGAAGAAAAGATGAAAATAAAAATAGGTGGTCGTAATGAGCTCCTTTTTTGCAGCGCCTTCTCGCACATGATATTCCCCTTAATACTCATTTGTTTATCCAAAATCTGATCATAGCTGTATTTATACGGTCGGCAAAGATAAGTCATTATAGCAATTGAGATTAACAAGATTAATTGCTTGGTTATATAGTAAACATTAATGTGGCTGTTTACAATGCCATTTGATAGCCACTGAATAACTTAATATAATTATAAATTGCAAGTTATGCTGATTTATTCGACTCTTGACTGACAATATTTGTTCGAATGGTATGTACAAAATGTTGAAATACAGAATAAAATTGCAACATACTTCAGCACCAAAAGATGCCATCTTCTTTTACCACTGCAATTCTAGTTTTTCTTTCCTTTCCACTAGATTTGCTTCGCTTCACTTAAAGGTATTAGCTTAATAAAGACAGTAAATTGAATTGATAGGTTGAGACACGAATCCCTGACTCCCATTTGAATTTATATAAACAATAATACTCCTCACATGCTTAGCTATATAATTTTTGAGAGCCATAAATACTGAGTACGTTACAAAACGAGTTTCTTAGAATTGTTTTTCGTTACAAAGATCCTTCAACGTTAAAAAAGACACATTGATCCTATTTAATACCATAAGCAGCGGAAAGAAAAAACGGAAAAAACTTTATTGATGCTGTCTTTTCCACTCACATAGTTTTTTAAAATGAGGACACCTTAAGGACTCAATGAACTTGAGAATTCTAGAATGTGGGGCTTGGGAAGTGTAAAGCGCTAACTGCTTACTTTTAAAAATTTAGACAGCAGCGGCTGCAACCGTGGATAGCAAGAGCTTTCTGCATAATATTTGTAACACTGAGGTTTTCAAACAAAGAAGGCTATTGGGAATGGTTGGTCTCAAAAGAAAGAGACCTATGGAAAAAGCCGGCAATACGGTCCATTAAAAAAAGTGGCGTATGCTAACATCATCAAGACGAACATTTATCGTCACCACATTAACTGTTATGCTTAAAACTAATCCAAGCTCTGAATAGAATTCTGTATAAACTTCTTATGGAATAAAGATGTAGAGGACGTCATTCTATGATTCAGCAACTGTCTGTTTTGTATACAAATTCGTAATCGCTGAAATAGGGTATCTACAATATTTCAAAAAGAATCAGAATTGCTTCATTTTGGTAGCCTTGCCTAAAAAAGGTAAAAAATCAAGTTTAAAATTTTTTTTGTATGATGTAAAAATGATATCTAACAAAGAAGAGAACGATTTTTGAAAGATTCATATAAAAGACGGATCAAATGTAAGGTAGATCAGAAAATAAAGCCAGACACAATAGCAAACATTCTTTTCAATTATCGATCTTCATTTTACTCCAATTTATATTACCAATTTTTGACTGTATAATACAAATTTCTAATAATGCAGCCTTCTACAACTCAACGTGGTGTGCCAAACAGCACTAACGTAACAGGCCAAATTGATAATCATCATTCTTCTACGCATAACAGAATTAATGATTATCACCAAACGGCTATTGATAACAGCAATAATAATAGAAACAACTTTAGTAGTAAAGTCAACCGACAGGATTTACCACTCAGTGAGGTTGACCCAAAAGCCGCTAGGCAGAAATCTACCGAAGAAAAATTACAATTATGGGGAACTATTCAAACAATGCAAAGAGAAGGTAAAATGCCCCATAATGGTCAATTAGACGAACTTTTGGAGAAATTGCAATCGAACAAGGTTATTTCCTCAAGAGAGCATTTAATGTCTGAAGATGGCAGAGTTCTTTTGCACGACTTCCGAAAGCTGATTGGCACAATTCGCAGAGCTTTAGCCGAAAAAAATCAGGATGAACTATTTCAATCCCTTGTATATCATCTGCATTGTATGGAAAGCCCTATAAAAAAAGGTATTTACTCTCTCCACGGATCTGTAGAAGGATAATATTGATCAACTGTTACTCATATATTCATTGTTTGTGATTTAGAACACCTCAAGCAAGACTCTGGTGGTGTGTCTGATGGAACAAGGACCCCAAGCGGTCAATCAACTGCTCAAACTGAAGGCAAAAAAGGTAAACGCGTACATTCAGTATCTGTCTTCTATGATTTTCATTATTGGCTGATTAACACAAAATGCACGTAGCTTCCGAAGCCCTGTATCGTGTTGGAAAGCTTATTCTTATCAACAATGAATTCCGTTCTGTATTGGGTGATTTGATTGATATCTCTCAAGATATATTCAGCAATGTTGCTGGTAAGGCAGGCGAATCTTTCAAGAAAGCTGGCTCCAATATTGAAGACTCCGGCGATACCGGTAAATCTGGTAAACACTATGTCGATAGAGCTCTGGATGCTGCTTTGAGTCACACAGAGAACAGATATGATTCGTCAGACCATTCGCAACAGCCACATCTAATCGATGTGCCTCCCAGCGATCACCGACATCAAGGTCTTTTAAGCACTGGAGACTCCGTTCATCCCAATGCTCTTCCTGGTGCTTTCCCACAAGATCAAGAACAATTTAATCACGCAAAAAGCCGTGCTAATGAAAAGGTAAAGGAGCATCCTACTTACCAAAAGGCTCGTGATCAATATGATGAGCATAAACGTTTCGCTCAAGATACTGTTAAGGAAAAGATTCCTGAAGAAAAGCAAGACGAACTATTGAGTCGCCTGAAGTCTGCTCTCAGTGAAATCCAAAAGAACCCTGATTATCAAGAGGCTATCAGTACTCTTTTTCATTTGCTTGATGTCTGGAGCACGCGTTTGAGTAAGGTATCTCAAAATGTCGTAAATAAAGCAAAGGAAAACGACAGACCTGAGCAAATGGACTACCGCGAGCAGGCCGAACGTGAATTGAAGACTATTATTGAGACTTGGGCGCAAGGCTACTCTATCGATCCTCTTCTACAGGGTGTTCAAAATGTAATTAAAGACGCTCGTGAAGATGACAAACTTCGTGAATATTATGACCGTGTCAAGAATTATTTACATCGTTTGATGAAAGAGCCTGGATATGCTGCTGATGATCGCTCAACTGATGATGGTAGACGTTTAATGGATGAACGTGATCGTATTGTTAAAGGAAGATACAAGGATCATCTTGACTACCTGTCTTCTGAATCCCGCAAATATATGAATCTTATGGCTGAAGACGAAGTTGCAAAGGAACTTCATTCCAGACTCGCTAAAATTCATCGCGATTTATGGAGAGACAGGTAATGTATAGAATTTCTCAAATGTTGAATCCATCTTATTTTCAAAATATTAAACACTATCTGTTATCCTTCCCGATCTGTAGAGAAGGAAACCCTGCGTTTAAACCTCATTTGCTTAATGACATGAGATTGACTCTACTTCCTGCTTTCATCGATGAAATCAAGTATATTCCTATTCCCCGTATTGAATACAGTGATGCTCAATACGATATCGCCATAGAAAACTTGGTTATTTCTGGCGATACATTGCTACCCAACATCTTCGAAACCAAGATTGACAGCTACAACAACTTTAGTCTTCGAGCTGAAGTGCCTAGTCAACCAAGTCACCAAACTTTGTTTGTCCGTATGAGTGAGATTCAAGCCGATATCAATGATGTTGTCTTTTACTATAAGAAGAAAACTGGTTTCCCTAAGATTTCCGATCGTGGTGTAGCTTCTGTTGCTGTTGGTGGAAAGGGTATCACAATTACTGTCAAAATTGCTAGTGTTGCTGAAAATCCCGCTAAGACATTCAAAGTTGCTGTCTGTAAATGCAATGTTGATAACTTGAGTCTTAAGGTTAATGATAGCAAGCATGATATTCTTTATAAAACTATTCGTCCTTTGGTTATTGGCCAAATCCGTAAGCAAATTGCCAAGGGTATCGAGCTCAAGTTGACCGAATTATTGAATCAAGCTGATCAGCGCATCACCAGAACTCTTGTCCGAATGAATCAAGATCTACAAAATAGAGCTTACGAAGCTCTTCCTGAAAGTGAAAAGGCTCAAACCAGACCTCCAGTTGTCTCTCAAGCCCGTCATCGTCCTGGCTTCTTATCTACTCTTGTCTCAGTTGCCAACCACAATATCAGAAACAAGGTACAGCAAAGAAATGAAGCTAAACGTTGGAGTCGCCTTTCACAAGACTCTGGAAGCCTTGCTCTTTCGCGAAACCAAAATGACGAAAAGCGTCAAGTTAATTCACCTACTGGAAATCGTCCGTTCAGTCAACAACATCAGCTTAGCTCACCAGCAGCGATGGTAGAGCGTATGGCTCACGATACTCATCCTACATCTGGTCAACCTCCAGCAATTGCCCAACAGCAACATTACGATGTAATGGCGCGTCCTGAAGACAGATCCAATAATAGAGATACTTTCCATGATGTCCATTCTACTACTGGTCAACCTCCTGCACTTCTCCAAGAACAAAACTATGACCAAACAGCTCATCCTGAAGACAGACCCAGTAATAGAGATACTTTCCATGATGTCCATTCTACTACTGGTCAACCTCCTGCACTTCTCCAAGAACAAAACTATGACCAAACAGCCCGTCCTCGTGACAAAGTTATTCCTGATCCCCGTCGACACAAGGATATGCTTCATGGTATGAATCAGGATGCACATCCTACATCTGGTCAACCTCCAGCAATTGCTCAAGAACAACATTATCATACAGGTCATTCAGGAAAATCCGATTTTAATCCTTCTCGCGATATTGCTGTGAATAATAACCATAACCACGGTCAAGGACATCATGACTCTACTATTGCAAATCATCCTATGTACTCATCCAGCCATCAACCTACTTTGGGCCAGCCTCCTGCCATTGCTCAAGAACAACACTATCAACCAGCTCAGTCTAGCCCTGCTCAGAACGCAAACAGTCAAGCTTATAAGCAACAGCACTACGGAACTCAAGACATAAATAATGATCAACTTCATAATGCTGCTTTTGGTCAACAGCCCCGTGCTTTACCTCAACAACAGCATTTTGCTAAACAACCTCAATCTATGGGAATTAACACAGAATTTCCTTCTCGTCACCATCAGGGACAACCACCTGCTTTTGAACGGGATAAACAACCTTATTATGAAATGCCTGGAAAACGATTGGATAGCCCACCTCGTTCACCTACAAACAAGAACTTCAACAATACTGCCTATTGCAAGATTGCTAATGACTTGGCCGAGGCTCAACAAGCTTATGAGCAAGGTGCTGTTCATACTACACCTGGTCGTCATTAAAAAATTATTTGATCACTTTTCCATACTTTTCATTAATTTCTATTTCCTTTACTTTCAGCATTTAAATTTCTTTGCTCGAATTTATTTATCATTTAACTACTCTATGTATACTTTTAACTTTTTATAGCTATTTTATATAATCAACTTTGTCACAAATAAGGGAAAGATTTACCAATCTTTGTAATAAAACTTCTGGAAAATTCACGTACATTGCTGATCGTCCTGTGAAGCCGAAAAATCGCCAGATTTTGCCCCGGACCAGTTTTTTCTGTGAATCTGAATTTCTTGGTTCAGCCTGCAGAAAGGAACTCTAATTTTGCCTTATTTGGCAGCTAATGTTCCAAAATCTTACAAATACAAGCTTGATTTATAATATAGTGACGATCCTTTAATACAAAACTATATAAACACTACAAATTTCTTTGTCATTGTCGATCAAATTAGACTTTCACTGATAACATCTTATTTTATCTATTATATACTTTTAATAATGTCCCTTCCTGTTCCTGCTCTAGCTGCAAACAATATGAAGCCCGCTGGCCTTCCCGTCGAGCCTAAGGATGCGGAACATGTGAAACTCTTTAAGCCCTACAAATCTGGTGGTATTACTTTCCACAACCGTGTTGGTGTTTCCCCTATGTGCATGTATGCAGCTGAGGATGGTATGATGAACGATTTTCACGTAATGCATTATGGATCTTTAGCTCTCAAGGGTCCTGGTTTGATTATCATGGAAGCCTCCGGTGTTGTTCCTGAAGGCCGCATTACTCCTCAATGCGCTGGTTTGTGGAAGGATGAACAAATTGCTCCACTAAAGCGTGTCGTTGATATGATCAAGTCTCAAGGCAGTATTCCTGGCATTCAAATTGGCCATGCTGGTCGTAAGGCATCTTGCTCTCCCCCATTTAAGGGTGATTATGTTGAAACCAAGGAAGCCGGCGGTTGGCCCAATGACACTGTTGCTCCTTCTGAAATTCCTTTCGCAGACCATTATCCCAAGCCTCATGCTATGACCAAGGAAGAAATCAAGAAGACAGTTCAAGCTTTCGCTGATGCTGCTGTTCGTGCTGACAAGGCTGGTATTGAAGTGCTTGAGATTCATGCTGCTCATGGTTATTTGATCTCCACTTTTTATTCCGCTGCTTCTAATAAGCGTACTGATGAATATGGAGGTTCCTTCGAGAACAGAATTCGTTTCCTTTTAGAAACCATCGAGGCTATTCGTGCTGTTTGGCCCAGAAGCAAGTCTTTATGGGTTCGTATCTCCTGCTCTGACTACACTAACCCCGATAGCTTAGGCGAGTCTCCTGAAGGTTGGGATATTTATCAGTCTGTCAAGTTGGCCAAGGAACTCAAGAAATTAGGTGTCGATGTTATTGACTGTTCCAGTGGTGGTATTATTAATAATGTTAAGTATCCCGTTGAAAAAATGTATCAAGTCAAGTTTGCTGAAAAAATCAAGAGAGAAGCTGGTATTGATACCGCTGCTGTTGGCATGATCGTTGAAGGCGAAGATGCTGAAGACATTCTTCAGAAGGGTAAAGCTGATTTCATCTTGGTTGCTCGTGAATTTTTAAGAAACAGCGCTTTCGTTTTGGATGCTGCTCAGTCTTTGAATGTGGATATTACATGGCCTCAACAATATTCTTGGGCTGTCAAGAAAGCTCGTCGTCGTAATACCGAAAAAGTTACTGACAAGCCTGCTGAATAGAAGACTACTATTTATAGATATATAGATCTCCTGATAGACTATTTTTCCAAACATTTACTTTAATTCGAGTTCAAATAATCTTAAACTTGTGTACATAATAGACATTTTGCATATATTTTCCATTATTAAACTATTCTACCTCTTAGGCCTGAAAAGAACGTCTTAATGAAAAGTGTCAGAACATGTTTAGTAACATACAAAAATTATACTATATTTGGTTAGATATAACCTATGTCTTCAATGAAATGTGATGAGACTCACGGTTACAGAGTGATTAAAATTTTTGAACGGATATGAATACTGTTCGGCGGGAAAAACATGGTGTAGTAAGATAGAAAATAAGGTACTAAAAATAATGTCACAATATTCGATACAGTTATATGTTTGATTGTTACTCGATTATACGCGAAATTATTGAATTTACATGGCAATCATACAGTAAAAGCATCCACCCTATTTAGTATACTAAGTTTGTTCAAGCACCCAGAGTCGTACGCATACGGCATCGCAGAGGTAGCTATTTGATAATACTCAATAGAAATAGTGCAGCTTATCCATCAGCACTGCGTTATGGTCATATTTTCAATCTTCAGCTGCTTTTTTGACGATACGGTACAGAAACTGCTTTTCTCTAAAAGGGGATCCACAAGTTAACAAAACTTCACCAAATATCCGCCGCTTCCCTCCTTCCCGACGTGACCCCAAAAGCAACAATGACGGCAATGAGCTATCGCTTTCAGACAGGCCGCTGAAGAATTACAGAATCTTACGCCAAAAGAAAAGGTAGAATAGAGGAATGCCAACATTTATGAACACAGAATAAATAAGTGATATGTATATTTATGCTTTTATGAAATTTGGCTCAGTGTATAAGGAGGATACTTCGTTTGCGCAAATGTCATTAGACGCTTCACAGATTGAATCCATTTTCTTGACGTTTCGTCGTTTAGCACATGAGCAACTTGTGAAGAAGAAATTTTTTCTCTTGCGGAACGTTCGTGAATACCAACCATGGTAACACCAATTGGCCATGGGGCGTTACCAATAGACAATTGAAGGTAGGCATCTTGCGCATCTCTGTATAAACGATTCTGCATACGTTCGGCAATTTCAGCTACTCTGTTTAGAACATCGGGTTCCAATGTCTTCTTCTTCAGCTGTCGCATTAAAGGTTTGATGTATTCTGCGGCTTGTTTTTGTAGGACGGCGGCTCTTTTACCAGGCGCTGATCTCTTTTCCTCCTCGGGACGTGCTTGCATCCATTCCTCCCACTCTTCTAGCATACTCTAAAAAAATAAGGCGTTAATAGAAATAATAACAAGAGGGGATCAGACAACTTACAGTGAAGTAGGCCCAAATTTGATAATATAACTTATCAATATCCGTTGATATCAATTCCAATTGTATAGGTTCGACTGTGATTGTTGATTTCTTCAGCTTTTTCTTGTCATCGTGCACGACTCCACCCTTCTGTTTTAATTCTTCCAATCGCATATTTGCTTCCATTTCTTCCATGGTTCGCATATACTCATTTCGACCCTGATCCCCTGATTCTTCGTTCATTAGCTCCAATGCACGTAAACGAAGTTTACATTGTTTATCAGTTTCGGCGAATAACCTGATCGGTTGACCCATTGCTCTTAAACGACGAATAACTTCTTCTCTCGAGATATTGAATGTCTCGCTTTCCTCTTCCTACAGAAAGATACTTGTTATACCAATAAATCCTATGTCGATATATATGTATACGGCAATACTCACTGTCTGTTCCTCCGCTACTTCAACTTCTTTTTGTGCATTCTTCTTTTCTTCTTCTTTGCGTTTCAACTGATAAGCAAATTCCAGTTAATTGACAATCTTGAAGAAAACAGATTTTCATATATGTTACCTCTTCTTCTCGTAATCGTGCTTTTCTCTACAATTAAAGGTAAGTGTAAAAAACATAAATCGATCGATACGTTAATATTGTAACTACAAATGTTAATCTCCTTTGAAGCAAATGTACCTGTCGTTCTTTCTCTTCTCTTTCCTTTTCTTTACGTTTGTATTCTTCTTCACGAATTCTTTCTAATTCAGCTCTGCTGACGTATTTTATTTTCTTTTCTGAGGCACCCTCGCTGCCTCCAATAGCTTCCAATATTTTACGCTTCTTCGAAACTTCTTCTTTAATGATACCGTCGAGAAAACTCATAATAGAACAAGGTAACTTGATCAAAAGAAATTGTTGGAAAGATGATTAGACATTGAGGAGAAGAATGGTCAAACTACGAATTTGAAAAACAAAATCCGATTTGACCATCCAATCAGAGGAATTTAATGCATTGGCCAATTGAAACAGCCCTTATCCGAGAAGATTAGGCAATTACTGACTTTTTTTTTTTTTTTTTTTGTAAGCCCAATGGACGCGAGATATTGAAGCTTATCTAAATTGCCCGGGGCAGCTCGATTTCTTGAGAATAGAGCGATGCATAGTGTCGGTCAGGGTGCCGTGGTGGGCGAAAAAGCATACTATCTAAATGGGGGGAGGGGGAAGGGGCTAAACTAATCCTTATAATTGGTAGGCTTGGGCGCGTTTCGGGATCTTGCTTAATTAAGCCTGGGCGAGCACCGCAATTATTCATAACTTGTTTAAACACCAATACCGACCGAGAACCACCTTGATATCGGCATTAAAAAACCCTAGGAAGCAGAGAGAAAGGGATCAAAGCTGAAAAAATATCAGCGGCGTCCAACAATCGTTGGTTTAGAAAGCCAAGGTGCTAACTACCTCCACCGGGGGCTAGCTCCCCATCAGGCAATTACAGTATTTTGACTAATATTTCAGATAAATTACAACTTTTTTTTAGACAATTAATATTTATTTTAGATGAGTTGCAATTGTGTTGTAAATATAAACCGTTCAAAAAACTTGTCAGTAGTGCGAAACAAAAAAAAAAAAAAAAAAAAAAAAAAAAAAAAAAAAAAAAAACGGTACTATTCCTCACCTGTAATGATCTAAATCCTTAAAATATAAGGAAAACCGTGTTTATTACGGTGATACTTTTTTCTTCTTCGCTGGCTTGAAAACATCGGGTCTTCCGGCTCCATACCAAACTGCTCGAGATAGGGTCATCCTATTGATAGCGGCGTTAACGTCTCTCTGCCATAGCTTTAGATATTGCTTGCAATAAAGAACGCCGGTACCCTTGAATCCAGGAGTATCAACAATTTGCATATCATCATAGAAATAGAGGCTGCATGTTTTAGAGGTTTTAAATTCATCGATTGTGACAACCATCAATTGACCTTTAGCTTCACGTTTCCTCAGAGTTGCAAAAGGTTTACCGACAACACCTCATCTTTGCCCTTTCAACTTGACTACATTTTTTCCAAACATTCCAGCACCAAACACAATCAGTGGTACCCTTCTAGGGGATTCCGAGTACTTATCAGCCTTCCACTTCTGAACGCATCGATTTATGTCCTGGTTGCTTGCATTTGGTACAACAGGCATTGTCTTTATCCGGTTCTTCATTATTCTCTTTCCTTGCTTTCTTCTTTTCCTTCTTGATTTCAAAGTTCTGTTTGCGTTTTGTGTCTTTCGAACCAACTATAGGTACAATGAGGTCGCTTACTAATGATGAATTTACCAACTTTCAAAGCCACCTGAGCTGCCTTACCTTGATCTGCTGTTTCTGGCTCATATGATTCACATTTAAAGTATTGTTTGGTGTAGTGACCCCCTTTACCGCAATCAATACACGTTACATCTAACAGTACACGATGATTAATCTATACGTATATATGATCAGGTATATAAGCTTTCAAATGGCAAGTTACCATTAACTGCACTTGATTTTTTCTTTTCAAAAATTTGCTTTTTCTTTTCATAACATGGGTCATAGTATGTATAATAAAACGTGAAATAAAAGTGAAAGAGACAACATTTGACTATAAGAGAGCAATATATTTTATATTGCTTATCTTTGAAAGTCAATCATGAACGCATACAAAAACATTGACAACAGTTAATATAACCATCCCGTTCCGCTATGGTATCTGTTATACTATGGCCCTCAGCCCTCTATCAATGGTTTGGTGTCAATCAATTCAAAGTTGACCTTTTTTGGAACTCAGGCACCGACGAATATCTGGTTGGGGTCTCGGAACACATCGTCATTTACTGTAATAAAAAAGCTGTCAAGCTTTTTGTAGTTTAGCCTATTGCAAGATAACGCCAGTAAGACCATTATTGGCGACTTTCTTACTGATAGAGACTCATTTCTGGGGTTTGATTGTATGTCATCCTTAATGCTGTTTGGATATTACTGTATAATTGAGTACCTAAATCCAGAATACTATGAACCCTTATTCTAAAAATGTTTAAACAAAATCTAAATTTAAAATATGTATTGTCCATTAAAATCTGTAAAATCGTTTAAAATATAAGCTAAAATACTGTATTGCGATAGTCATTTACATTACCCTTACATATGCATGCATGCGCTCAAATTAAATGAATTCTTAGGTTTATCGAGAGATTTAACTGAAATCACGCACTTGTGTAAACTGTACTGACGTGCGTTGTCTTTTTTTTTTGTTTTTAGATTTTCAATATCTCATATGTGGTCGTAGGGTTTTGGGATAACCTTGTACGTTTTAACAGTATCTGCAGTTATTTGGAGAAAATTACGCCATTATTTGCTTTATTAGAACAATTTCTGTAGGTGTTAGCCGAAGAAGCCACTTTTTTTTCTTCTTCTTCTTTTTTGCTAACGTTGCATATAATAATAGAAGGTATAGTTATATGAAAATAAAATGTACAATTCCGAGGTTATTAGATCTGGCAGGCCAGATTGTTAATACTAATCATGCTTGAATTCATAACGATGGGGATAAAAGGGGTAGAATATTAAAAAATTGTCGGGAAGGGGACGTAGCTTTGTTAAATTGTATAGACGATAATTTAAGTATGCAATAGAATAAAATGAGTATATGTATAGAATAAAGGCATGCCTAAAATGACTGATAAAGGTGATACAAGTATGAGTATATATGTAAAAAAATAATAATAAGGGCCATACGTTCTTTTAGACCATATAGCCATCCACTTCAAATGTGCCAACAATTTTCCTGTTGCCGTCTCTCACACGCACCATCCAATTTCCATTGGGTAGCTTCATGTAAAAGTTTGAATAACCTTTTCCTGAGTAATCTTTCAATGGACTACAGTTGCTAGAAGCAGGGAACTCTGTTATGAAGGCTCGAAGATCTTCCACAGAGATGCTCTTTGCAGACGATTTTCGCGTTACTGTTGATGAAGATATCGTACTATTAGTGCTTGGCGTTCTGGGATTATCATCTTCTTCATCTGTAACAGTAGTAGCAGTTCGACAAACTGACGTTGTCGTTCCAAAATCTGGACACACTCTTTCCAGGGAGTTATCGATTGCAGTGATACTTTCTTGCTGCTTCATTGTTGCCGTTGTTCCTGGGATTAACATATTTGGGGTTTGGCTTGACGGCTTTATGAATTGTTGTTGGCGTCCAAACATACTGATTCGACGACCAAAAGAACTTTTTTGTAATAATGCAGAGAAGGAAAGGCGTTGCCGAGCTTTTTTATCGTCGTCTTTTTCAATATGGTGTATAAATGTTGTATCGGTTTGGAAATCATTGTGGTAAGAATAACCGTTTGTAACAAAATCATTATATTGTTGATGGTAAATAAGTGAATCTGTCATTTTTTCACAGTAAGTGGCGATCGTGTCTACAACAGCAAAATTTCGAGGAGTAACAAAAAGTAAGAAGGAGAGTGCAATGACGAAAAGAGGAAAGAAAGCATATTTATACAAAGATGAATGGACAATTGATGTGCAAATACTCGGAATTTGTTTATCCCTTTCAAGGAACATCAAAAATTAAGTCAAAACGTGCATGCTGCGGTGAATAGATAAGCCCACATCAAAATACTGTAATGCTTGGTTGTCGCTAGCACAGCATCTTGACATGTTTGTAGTTGATCCACAACTAAAGACTGTCCATTTGCTAGAATATCTTTTCATGCATTGCAGAGCATTCATCGCTCTTTGACTCTATTATCGGCTTCTTTGTTATTTTGCATTATCGATTTGCTAAAATGTCAAAGTGAGTACTTTGAGCATGTGTTTCAGCATGATTTATTTCTGCTTTGGCATATGTGTTCTGGGCCATGGCAAATATAGCTGAAAAGTGGCGTATATGTCGGCAGTCTATTTAGATTGAATTACAGTGTTTTAGCTTCAACTTTACACTTTATACAAATTTTATTGGACAATTTTTATATTTAATTTAGATAATTTTAAATTATTTTAGGATGAAATGGTATAATATTCTTGGACGATTTATTGAATAAATAATTGTAGACATTACTTTGAAGGTCAGTGGACATTTTTCAATAGATAGTGGCATTACGTTGAAGTACTACGAGACGTACTGAGTATTATAGTGTGACACAGGTCTTATAAGCAATAGATATAGGGTTGCAGTTTACGAGACTTTGTTTATGGATCATATGAATTGATCTACGCGTTAAACTAATCCCAGGAACGTTCTTCCGCCACGTAGATAACGGTTGTTGTTGTCAATCGTAACAAGAAAATAGATGTTGTCAAACTCGAAGCATTTACAGATAAAAATATGTTTGACATCTTTCCTCTGACTTCCATCTTTTTCTTCTTCTTCTATACTTTCTTTCCTCATCCTGATAGCTATTACTTACCATGTACAAAGCCCAAATCTTGCAAAAAATTAAATCGGTGGCAGAAGCCCATAAGAATAAAGTCAAAGATGAGTCCTTCCGTAAGTAACACTTGAGCGCGCTGCCACAAATAAGTTATAGTGGTAATCCTCAGATTATGTTTTGTATGACTAGTGAACATCGAATGCAAGGATTGCAAAACACTCGGACATTTCAACAAGGCATACCATGAATGCAAGTTTTACAAAGCAGTTTCTGCAGCTGATGGTAAGTATCATGCTCTCACTGCAAGACAAGTTTATGTTTGCTTAACGGAAATTTAGTTGGAAGTAGCGGTAAGAAACGTAAGCAATCAGCTACAATCAAGGAAGAAAAGAAGCAAGCAAAGAGAAAGAAGAAGCAAACAACTGGAGATATCAAGTGTATCAGTTGTGGCTTAAAGGGTCATTCTACTTCTCGTTCTCTCGAATGTCCCAATCACATTGCTTCAAAGGAAGAAGTTATTACCTCGACGCTTGGAGAAGGCTCCACTGTATTCACGAGGAAGCTCCCTCTTACGTCTGCTGTGAAGCCAGCGTTTCGCGAACAATTCCAAGAAAAAGTCATCTCTTGCTGCTCTGACATAAGGAGAATAGTATTCTCTAGTCAATTATTCGTTAACTCGTACCTCATTCATTATCAGGAGAATAGAAGGAATGCTAACAAAGGCGACAAGAAAGACAATGATAAAAACAGCAACAAAGGCAGTAAAGAAGCCAACAAAGAAGACAGCAAGAAAGACAGCAAAGAAGCCAACAAAGACAGGTCTATTCCTGATGTATTCTGCCAGCAATTCTGGTATTCAGTACAGCTAGTAACGGGCAAGCAAGTTACTCACAAAACGGCATTATCCGAGGACATAAAACAGTATTATACAGACTTCAAGGCAAAGTTCCCTACTATCGAAGTAAAACACAAGCTAACCGTGGGATATAGCCATTGCCTTACAGAGGCAGCAAAGGAATTGAGCGTCTCTTACACGAACTCCATTGTAGAGCGCTTCGAGCAGCGCTTAACAAAGTTCCTTACTTACAAATTGAGAACTATGCTCCCGGTAAGGCTGTAACCGAGTACCTTCTTAATGCTCTGCTGTTTTATTCATTTTATTTCTCTTTATACACATTCTAGAATATCAAACGCACTGATGTACAAAGAATTGTACAGCTGTATTGTTACCAATCTGTCTGTCATGGTCATCCTCATTGGCCAGAAAACCTCGAGCTGGCGGCCGTTGACAAAAACCGAATTGAATTATTCTGCAAACAATTTGAAGAGTTCATTCCAGGAGAAGTAACCCTCGTTTCTCTTTCTGCTGCTCCTGCAAAGTTTGTTAATGCGTTATGGAACATACAGTTTACGTACGAGCAAGAACATATACAGCATAAACCGTACGATGTCCGTGTCCTACCACTTCCTCAGCGTTTCTTTCTCTTTCCTACTCCATCGCTGAAATGGCGTTTCATCGCGATAAGTATAAACGCTCTTACACCCTTCATGTTTCCCGGAAAAGTTGCCAAGGGTTATACAGCCCAACTCGAACAATTCTGTGAAGTCTTCGACTTCAAAAAGTTTGGCTCTAAGAGGTAAAACTATAGAAGAACTTTTTCAGCAAAATTTTGCCTAATAGTAAACACACCCCTATTTTTGCTTCTGTCATAGTCTAACCGCTTTGAAGGAAAGTTCTGATGTAATGTTTCGAAACATGGTTAGGTCGGACGGCTTTACTGTAGACTTTTTGTTCAGCCGCAAAAAGAAAACAAAAGAAGACATGACCATTCATAATCACACCTTGACTTTGGAAGATTTTTCTTATGACGAAGTACAAGACAATTACAGACCCGCTTTCCTTGATCCAGGGCGAAGATCTGTCTTCACAGCGGCAATCGGTCTAGATCATAACAAACATCAAATACGCAGCTGCTCTACCAAGGAATATTATCATATGACCGGAAGTACCAGATACGCTGCAAAGCTGGAAAAGAAGAAAGCAGGCACAATTCAAATGATCGAAAGTGGCATACCAACCGCCAAAACTTCTATTATCGAACAACATGACCGTCATGTACAATATATATTGCAGCACTTGGAAGCCTTGTTCTCTTTTTACGGCGAGAGAACTGCTGAAGAACGATTTCGTTTATACCAGGGTCAGGAGCGTGCTGCCGACAACATGGTCAATTTGCTTATTAATGGAACCACAAAGTACAATAAGCAATTGAGGTTGAAGAAGAAGAAAGATCGCAGCAAGTGGCCAAAGAAGAATACCGACAGAATGGCCTTTTGTAAACGTAAAAAGAAGAAGAAGAAGAAGCAAAAGGTTCCAGAAGAGAAGGAAGAAGCAGATGCGAGAGAAGTAAGCGATGTTCTCGCTAAGAAAGAGAGGTAAGGTTTTTAAATGATAAGCAATTCATCCACTATTCGCAGAAATATTGATAGAACTCATGCTTTCTACAGTAATCCCCTGAAGAACAAGTGGAAGCCTGAACCCTTTAGTGTAGGCGACACTAAAAAGATCCCTTTGATTGTAGTTGGTAATGGCATGTTCGGGAAGAGTGCAGTGCCTATCAAAGGCCATAAGACTGGTGTCGTGGGAGTTCTTTGGCGTGCCTTGAAGCGAAGAGAGGCTGCTGGCGATTTGCTCGTATTAACCATTGATGAATACCTAACTTCTCGAATATGCAATAATTGTCGTTCCAACAATCTTGAAGCATTGAAGACAGTTCCTGGCCAAAGTATCCTTGCCTGCAAAACCTGTTCGATACTTTGGAACCGGGACGTCAACGCTGCTAAAAACATGTTGACAATTAGCGTTTCGACCTGGAAGTCAACGGGAAGACCTGCGGAGTTTTCTAGAAAACCAAAATCACCCGCAACAACCACTTAAACACCATCCTCTAATCGCCAGCACGAAGCTGGTTTGATTTTTACAGGTAAGCGTCTCAATTTTTGTGTAATTCGATCTTGAAATTATAACTTGATGGTCTCAAAAATTTACTTTTATCGTCTAGTTATATTGCGGCTTCGTCTAAACCCAAAGCTAAAAAACTGTAGTAAATAAACCTGCCTCATCAATTCACAGTCTGGACTTTAATCCTTTGCAGGCATGGATAGGTATATTGTCAATTCATTGAGCATACACAAAAAAACAAAAAAGCAGAGTCTTTTCAAGAATTTGATAGATATGGAGAGATCCACCAATTATAAACAAAAACAAACAAGAAATATGGGTTAGAGCAAACAACGTGCCCGTGTCTTTTTTATGAATAGCACCAGCAGCATATCAGATAATTTGCTAGACACATCAAACATCTTAGAATGAAGCCAAAATCATGATCGAATCTTTTATGATTGACATAATAGGGCTTTATATAATAATATTTATCGTTTCAATGTAGCCATAAATCTGCGTACATACAGATTGAATCGTTGCGAATCATAGCTTCATGAAAAAGCTACATTCTCGGGTATGGATCTACTTTGATGAGCTATGTTACTGCGCCTGTGGTACCATTGAAAATAACATTGATCTGCTGATAGTTGATGCTGGAATCAAATAAACGAGCCACAAAGAATGACATGCTTCGATGACTATTGGTAGAACTACAGTTCTTTACACCATTATCTTGTTACCCGACTGAGATGAATCTTGAACACAAAAAAGAAATATGCAACTAGAAGAAAAATGAATTCTCCTAATTCATAAAATTTTACTTGTAGCCTATTGCTTCTTCCATTTTTTTTTTTTTTTCCTTTCCTTTTATGTGAGATGACCGAAATGACTGTGGTATACAACATGCTGGCAATGAAAAGTTTAAACGTGATAAAATCCTTGATCACCATATATCGTTCTTTTGATAAAGCTTAACGAATGATAAAGAGATTTGCATTGACATGCAAATTATTGACCAGTATTATATCTTAACATTCTATCGTGCTTTATTTCCATTCTGATTAATTTTATATAAATTATCACAAACAAGCATCTATTGCATAGCTGCTATAGTGTTCGTACATTCGATCAAACTACAGTTGGGCACTCAGCAAGAAACACAGCCGTGGAGGAAGAATTACTTGAAAACATATAATTCCTTGGAACAAACAATTATTTCATTCATCAAGTGTCTCTAAATTACCGTGCTGCCGCTTTGGCTACGTAGCTGTAGCGCATTCATGAATGTCGATGACTTCTGTTAGTAACGCTGCAGAGGAAAATGAAGGATGGCGAACACTCCCAAACGGAAAGAGTTGCACTGCATAGTAACCAACAGTGAGGATAAAGACATCCATTTAAGATGCTTTGACGGATAGTGCGACAAGAGCTAAGTTTATTTTGTAATCATACACAAATCCTCACAGTTTTCTTCTTTTTTTCCACAACGGGTTCCTCTTGTTCTTCGTCCGAGAATGTTTCATCAAAGCTAAAATGTTCTTCTTCTAAATCTTCGTCATGTAATTCATCCATGTTACAGTATTGTTGGTACTCAACCACAGAGTCATCTTCATCGCTTTCAACGTAGGAATCATATAGATCACCATTCTGTTCTTTATTGCCACTGCTGTTATTGAGTTTAGTGTTATTTTGTGTAATGACTTTGTCCGTTTCTATGTCACTGTCGCTATAACATCCGTCGTCATGTCCGCAATGATGATGATGATGATCATCTTCAACCTCTTCATCCTCTTCCTCTAGCCATTCAGCAAATTTATGTGTCACTTGACGAATTTTCATTGAAGTATCATTATCGGAAGGATGGTGCCACCAATCCAATGCAGCATCATCGTCAATCACATTATATTTGTATAGCATAAAGACCAACCGATCAAAGTTTTCCACAATGGTCAGTTTACCGTTCACTGCGTTGTCAAGGTGATTCAAAAAGAGAAGTTGGCTTTCCTCTTCAGATGTATAAAGCTGTAATATGGACTGCCAAAATCCAGCAATCCCATTTTGGATCTTGGTACTGAAGACTTTAGCTGGTGTGACAGGTGGGGTAGCATTTATATCAACGTTTTTCGACAGAAGAGCGTGCAACCACTGAACAAAAGAAATGGCTAATACTTGAGTGATCATGTCGGCAGTGGGTTCGTATTTCAAAATCAATTCATCAATTTCAAGGCGAACACGAGTGCTAGATAGTTTAGAAAGAAGGGCTTGGTGTATATAGGAGGGGGCTACTGTTTCGAAAGGTTCTAGTACAGTATCATGCTCTTCTTCATCCTCTACATCATCATCGTCATCAGCATCGGCATCAATGTCATCATGATGGAGAGTAGGATTCGTACAGGCATCATTATTTTCACCGTCATCGTCAGAATTATCCTCATTCTGCATATCCATCATTCGTCTCCGGAAATAAGCATTGATTTCTTCCTGCTCATCCTTCTCACTTTGACTCGCAGTAGCATCAACAATCATATCTGGTATAATCGAATCGTATGCAGCGGCTACTGGCTGGCATGACATATCATCGTTTGCGGCTTCTTTTTCGAAATAGTCAAAACATGCAAAGTCATTACTTATGGACTCTTTACGGCTTGCATCATTCGTTGTAGATGGGATCGCCTCGGATAGTACGGAGAGGAACGATGTCGAGGAGGTTTCTGGAGTCTCATTTTTCTGTTGCTGTTGTTGTTGTTGTTGTTTAGCTATGACTGCTTTCAATCTAGCAATTTCTTTTTTCAGTTCCTTGATCTCATCATCTCGATCCATGATATCAATTTCCAGTTGGGTATTCTTATCGATATATTCATCATAAAATTTCTTATGAGAGGCATCTGTGTATTGACGGGATAAATTGATATCACGAAGATCGTTCTGTAAGACCGAAACACTGGTGCGTAAGGAATGATTCTCACCCCTTAAACGTCGAATTTCACGAAGCAGCATGTGGCAAGAGCGTTTCGTATGATGGTGATGGTGATGATGATGATGCTTTTTATTAGCGGTGCTGCTGTCGTCGTCAATATCGTTGCTGCTACTCACATTATTTAAAGTGGATACAGTGGCAGCACAAGAGGACGGTTCGGGAGATTCTGACCGGGAAGAGGAGCATGTGGAAGATGAAGCTGAACTGGATGTCGTAGAAGAACAACTACTCGAAAGATATTCGTCGGTTTTTTTCATTACAAAAAGATGTCGATATGTGTCCCATGGAGAATTGCTTGTCCAAAAATGATCGATAGGTAAATAGTCCGAGTGAGGATGTCTGTTGAACGAAGCTAATATATTTTGAAAAGAAGAAAAAGACAAACGGGAATAAAAGAAAGAATTATTAATAAAACCGTTATATCCAAAATCAAAGAAAAAAAAAAAAAATGTCATGACATAATATAACCCTGTATATTTTACATGAGATGGAATTCCCCGCAGATATTCTATATACAGCAGCAGTTATACAAATGGGTATTGTCCTCTTGTTGGGCACCGAAATATTCTTCAACTCTTTTGAAAAATGCATTGAATTAGGTGTAATAATATTGATTGGTTTATCAAAATTTGAATAGTCTTCAATGGGCGAGAATGCAACCATATTGTGGTTATTCTATAGTTTTGTTTTTTCTTCAAGAAATATCTTAAAGGCGTCTCTTTGCTGTAAAATGCTTCTACTGTGTTAAAGCTGTTATGAAATAATTACTAATAGTGATAATGGGTAAGCCGTTCAGTAAATAAAATTGCAATTCATAATAAAAAAGTTGGGTAAAATATGAGTATGTGCCGAACGTTGAAAAAGAATGTGAAAAAGATCTACGAATTGATAAGGGAAAAAAAAAAAAAAAAAAAAAAAAAAATAGAAGCAAACCCAGCTTTTATATAATTCTCTTCTGCCTGCTCTTTTTTTTTTTTTTTTTCGTCTTTTGGTTTCAATCAGCCTAAAGCCCGCGTGAGTCATTGGAGCTCAGTGACTCTTTTGTGTTTGCCTGTTTTTTTCCAAACGAAAAATCCTATAGTTCGAACAACTTTGGTTCAAGAAGTGAGAAAGGAACCATAAAGTACTTTATAGAAAAGCTATGCTAGAGAATCTGTATTAGAAAGCTTTGCTAGCTGCAATTTTGGGTCATTGAAGTCTTATTCAAAACCGGGATAGCAAGCGTTTCTTTCATACTAACCATATATATTTTCAGACCGCATTCTGAAATCAGCAGAATATCTCCCAAAAAACAAATTCGTCGAAATAATCAATACGTCAACGCTGTTCTTGAAATCGATGTATTCGCGCCATTCTTCTAACCTTGATTTTCTAAAATGTTTCCATTATCTCAAAGGATTGGTTCAAGACTGAAGCTTGATTTCATTCAAAGTTTCCAGTTGAAAGCACGCTCTATAATAGCTTCCTCATAGTCTTACCCTTTTGAGATTATCATTTTTCAGTTATTGACGAAAAGGATAAAGGAGCTTGAGCATTTCAATGGTATCATGCAAAATATACGTTAGAAGTGATCTACAATATAGGAGAAGGTTGCATAAATTGATACATTCACATGTAGAAAATTATTCTAGCTGTGCACTATGAGGTAAGTAATGATCCCTTGGATAAGTATTTGGTATGATTGGCTAGAATCTACTGCTAAATCAATGAGTGTCTGTTTTCCTGTTCACCATGGTATATTAACAGCTTCCTCACTGTGAAAAAGCGGGGTCCGCACATGGTAGGTAGATGTAGGGAAATATCTTTGCCGATTGCTCTTTAAAATATTATTCTTGTGGACTTTTTTCTCTCTCATAACATGTCCAGCAGTCAATGTCAATATGCTGAGAATGTCTCATCCCATTCGAAAGAACATTGCCATACAAAGATAGGAAAACTTTACGACGATGTTGAGATTCTGTTAAAGCCAATGTCCGAAACACACGACACGACGATGAGAACTGCAAAAGCTTTTACTCAGGTGGATGCGATATCGAATAATACAGAGACATTATTAAGCAAAATGAATAAAGCAATAAATCAGTTATCAGATGAGTAAATTTTAGCATACGCTTTTGATTGATACTTCTGAAAATGCTAAAAAAAATGACAATCTTTTCTTGCACTTGAAAAAGAAAGTGGAATATGACAACTACTTTAGATACGTTGAAAGACATTGAAAGATCCTTAGACATTGATACCATAGCAAAAACCCACTGGACTGCTATACAGAAGTAGCCTTAAAAAGCCCTTTTGCAACAATCCCTCAGTACTTTCTGCACTCACATAAACGTTGGGCGTGTCCAAGCGCTAAAATACAAATGCAAGATTACTTCCAACTACTCAAAAAGATACAAAATTTGAACGCTGTTCAATATGAGAAAATCCTTCGTCCTTGAATCATAATCTACTTTCGAATCTAACAATATAATAAAATCAAGGTTTTGTAAACCGCATAACTACAGCATGAAATAATGGAATTTTGATTTTATTCAATTGCTGTAGTAGTTAAGTGACTTCAAAAACCAGGGCAAACCATGAGAGTTTTCAGCATTCCATACCATGTGTTGTTCGAGTGTATATGGTTTAACGATACTTCAAAAAACAACAAAAAAAAAAAAAATACAACATTAGCACGTCCAGATCTTCAAACGAAAAAGCGTACACTCAAGTATTTTCTCAAATCTCACCTTGTGGAAACCGATATCGTTGGCATATTCACGGAAACATTGACGGCACATGTTCAAGTTGTACTTGCGGATCAAACCAGCACGATGAGCACAGACACGGCTATAAGTTATAAATGAAAAAAATTGTTAGCATCCAACGGTCTTGAATAAAGTGAAAGTAGTATGTAGCCAAAAATTTTCAAAACGCTGCCCAACGAATGCTGAAAGTCAAGCCCCAACAATATACCGCCATGCAACCAAATAACGATCAATATGGCTAACCTTTATAAACTATATGGATCCGATTCAAACGCAATTATTATTACTTCTTCTCGTAAAATTGGGTCAACGATCGAGATTTTTGGCTGCATGTTGGTGTTGGTTTGGGTGGCTTATGAAAATTTTTGACCTCGGCCAGATGTACTGACAATGCCATTATTACTTGGTGGAAAAGTTTTACTAAATCAGCTACTTACCATTGACGAGAGCCCTTACCATAGGACTTAGGGTGGGAGTTCCAAACGTTAGCGTGAGCCATATTGTTATATGAGTACTTTGGCGAAAGTGGAGAAAGAGGAGGATTTAAATTTTCGCAACTTTGGAATTCTTTTTTTTCTTCCTCCTTCCCTTCCTCTCCAACAGCTGCCCACTGCTCTGTTGCTCTCTTTTCATTGAAATCCCGCCAAATCTACTTTTTCTTTTTAAATGCTACGGCGTTTTCGAACCCGGTGTCCAATTTTTATTGGCCCGAACTATCGTTAGAATAATACACTGTTTATTGGACACATGTATTTTTTAATTTAAACTGTTTTTAATAATTTTTGAATGAAGTGATTCCTGAGACGATCTTATTGGATGATCCATTATTCAGTAACATCCTAGCAAGCATTAAGGATGACCTATAACCCTTACCCTTAAAATAGATCTTCGACCGTAAGGAAGTCGCTAATAATGATTTTATTCACGGTTATTTTGCAATAAGGTGTGCTACGAAAAGCTTGATAACTTTTTTATTGCATGACAATGTGTTCCAACAAGGGTAATAAACGTCATCCACGAGTTGGTAATTGTTAAAAGTGCCTAGAAGTGGAGGGACTGAAAAGTACTGGTGCCACTGATTGTATATTGTGCTAGAATGTTCGGCAAAGATGCAGTCAAGCTGAAAGGCTCAAGGTGTGGTGTTATCGGTAAACTGTTTGCAAATCTGAAGGAAGCGTGAGCCTGAAGGCCAGATGATTGTTGTCACTATCGATGAATTTAAAATCTCCAAAACATGCGGCCTGACACTACCGAATTCAAGAGTATCAGCGTTCTTCACTACAAGCAATGCCTTCATCTATGGCAGAATGACATTAACGCCACTATCAACATGATGATCATATCTCAAGTAGTTTGATACGGAGGGAGAAGACCCAACGTGCTCAATCCAACGAAGAAGAAGAAAGCATCGCCGTTATAAACACGGTTTGCTTTCATTTCAAGAATTCAGATCATAACAGGTAAGGTATAGTACGGTTTTCGTTGTTTTTTTTTTGGTTTTTTTCTTTTGTTTTGCACTACTCATATTTTTCAGAATTCGAAATCATATTTATTGGTTTACATTTCATCTAAGAAATAAGTAAAATTTGTCTAAACTGAAAATGTCAACTGTCCAAGAAAAATTGTAAATCATCTAAAATTATAAAGTACTGTTAGAATGCACCACACTAGACATTTCACTTGCAAACTTTTTTTTTCTTCACCTATCTTGTCTTTTGTACGTTATATATACCAACGGCCAAGATGTCGGTCCGTTCCTTATTATCCTTCGCATTTGCATTAAGCTGCCTTGTCAGCTTTGCATTTGCCAATTACCCTGTTCAGTTTGAAAATAGCAAAGTTATACGTGTTCTTGATGTTAACAATGCCATTGTCCGAGAGGACACGGGTATTCGAGCCAAAAATATTGACGATAAACCTGCTACAGAATACTACATCTACAACCCTACCAATGTTGAGACGCATACTGCTTCCATTTCGGCGTACATGAAGAAAACAAAGACAGAGCTTGAAGTTATCAAGTTGGAATATATTCGCGAAGCGTAAGTTTCGACCTGCAGCAGCGAATAACATCATCTTTTCTCTTTAATAAGTTCACTTATTCGTTCATATCTTTTCCACTCGGGAAAACAGTGAATTACACATATATAAAGTCGTGTTAAATGAACCTGTTCAACCAGGTGACGATATTCTTTTAGGCATCAAATCTGTCTATACCCATCTTATCAATCCAGTACCTGCTACCTTACCTCAAATTGCTCGTCAGCACACACTGTATGGATTCAACTCTTACTTTTTCTCGCCCTACCATACAAAAGAGCAAAAGACAACTCTATAGTAAGTGCTCAGCTGAATTATGTATGTTTGCATTAAAAAGCTTCCATAAATCAACTAATGCACTTATAGTACTGAAAGCAAGAACGTTATCCATCATTCGGGGGCTCAAGATAAGACGAGCGCAAAAGACAATGGCAAAATTGTATATGGCCCTTACATCGACACTCAACCTTTCTCTTTCGAATATGCTACATGCCATTTTGAGAATAGCCACCCTTTCATTACTGTTACTTCCCTCAGACGTGACATTGAAGTTTCTCACTGGGGTAACATTTTGGCTGTCGAGGAGCATTATGCAATTCGTAATGACGGTGCAGGGTAAGGACTTGGAATAGAGACAAATGAGTTACATGCACAAAGAGCACGTAGGGTTAACTTGGAGTTTCTTCTGTTGCATTCCAGACTCGACTCTAACTTCAACCGTGGGCAATATATGTTGACGGGCCATATCCATGAGCATACCAACGTTTTGAAAGAGCTTGAGTTCGACTTACCTGTGTCTGCTCATGATACTTATTATCGTGACGAAGTTGGTAATGTGTCAACTTCTCATTTTAGAGTTGAAAAGAAAAAGGCTATTTTGGAATTGAAACCTCGTTATCCTCTTTTTGGAGGCTGGAATTATACTTGGCATCATGGATATAATGCTGCTCTCGGCTCTTATTTGCATAAATCTGACTCTGGAAAATACATTTTGAATGTCGATTTTGTCGAAAGTGTTAAGGACAAGTCAATTGATAAGGCTATCGTTCGTGTCATTTTTCCTGAAGGAGCAAAGTAAATTCAAAAACATTTAAACAGACACAGATGATGTTCTTAACTAACAGAAAATGATTCGAAATAGAAATGTCAAAGTGAATACACCCTTTGATATTGATTCCCAAGCTATCACTTCGTATTCAACCTACTTTGATTCAACTGGTCGTATAATGGTAGTCTTAGAGAAGAACAATCTTGTCAAGGAGCATGAATTACCCATTCAGGTACAGGTGTATTTTTATCGATTGCTCTCAACCTTTATCTAAATCAAGCATTTTCTGGTTCCGTTATAGATTGAATATGACTATTCAGTAGTCAACCTCTTACAAAAGCCATTTGTGGCTTCAATTGGATTCTTTGTGTTATTTTCTATCAGTATCGTTTTGAATAGAATGTCTTTTGTTATTAACAGTCAAAAAGTAATGCACGTTTAACGTACCAACGTCTCTTGTTCACGATTTTAACCAACTTTTTCACTTTATTTTAGGAAAAAGCAAACCTCAAGAAAGAATGATAAGGAAACGCATTATGTTAATAATTTATCTCTTGAAAAATGGACGATATTAATAAAATTAGCATATTGTATATATATATATTCGGCTCTTCGTGCTGGTATTCATTTCAGATACTCGCAAGTAGACATAGTGATTCTGTGCTTGAATGCTTACAGCCGTGTTTGGTCCAAAAATTGCAGTGACCGGCTTTCCGTCGAAACTTTTCCAAACTGGAATTTTTTGATTTTTTGTGAGGTCGTTGTCATTCCCTTTCACAATAATTTTGTTTTAGCTAGCAAACATGACCGACGCTATCCAAATTGATGTTACAAAGTTAACACCTTTATCTCACGAAGTCATCTCCAAACAAGCTACCATCAATATTGGTAAGAATGTTTCATTTGTGTCGTTTCCAAGAAATGAGCTTATGACAAAAAAAAATTTTTTTTGATTAGGTACTATTGGTCACGTAGCGCACGGTAAATCTACCGTCGTCAAGGCCATTTCAGGCGTTCAAGTAAGTTTAAATATACTCAAGTGATGGAATGCGACTCAATAGACGATAATAACGTAACGTTTTTATATTACGTTGTCCTTCCCGTGGATTGAAATGCTAGACTGTTCGTTTCAAGAACGAAATGGAAAGAAACATTACCATCAAGTTGGGTTATGCTAACGCCAAGATCTTTAAATGTGACAACGAAGAATGTCCTAGACCTGGCTGTTATAAATCTTATGGCTCGGCTAAGGAAGACAATCCTCCTTGCGAACGTCCTGGTTGTGGTGGTACCATGCAGCTCGTTCGTCATATCAGTTTCGTTGGTAAGTTGAATTGGGTTTTATTTTTTCAAGCCTGAAAATTATGCCTTAATTGAATGGTTATTGATATTGTATTCTATTCATCATAGATTGCCCTGGTCACGATATTCTTGTAAAGATTTTTATTGGATTTGAAAAGAGGTTTTGGCGGCAATTCAGCAGAGTAGGTTTTGTTAACAGTACCTTTTTCTTTATGTGTTTGTTATATTAGATGACTACTATGTTGTCAGGTGCAGCTGTCATGGACGCAGCGCTTTTATTGATTGCAGGCAACGAATCTTGTCCACAACCTCAAACCTCTGAACATCTTGCAGCTATTGAAATCATGAAACTTCAACACGTCATCATTCTTCAAAATAAGGTCGATCTTGTAAAGAAAGAAGCAGCTAAAGAACAGCATGAGGATATTCTTGCATTCGTTAAGGGTACCGTTGCTGACGGTGCTCCTATTGTTCCAATTTCAGCACAACTCAAGTACAATATTGACGCCGTCAATGAATATATCACTAAAAAGATTCCTGTTCCAGTCCGTGATTTCAGTGCTGTTCCTAGATTAATTGTTATTCGTTCTTTCGATATCAATAAGCCTGGTGCTGATATTGAGAACCTACAAGGTGGTGTTGCTGGTGGTTCTATTTTGAAGGGTGTGCTTAAGATCGGTGACGAAATTGAAGTACGTCCTGGTGTCATTATTAAGGATCAAGAGGGTAGAATTCGTGCTCGTCCCATCTTATCTAAAATCTTGACATTGGCTGCCGAAACAAATAAATTACAATTTGCTGTTCCTGGTGGGCTGATTGGTGTTGGTACTCAAATGGATCCCACTTTATGTCGTGGCGATCGTTTAGTTGGTCAAGTGTTAGGCTATCCTGGTACTTTGCCCTCTATTTACACAGAACTTGAAATTTCTTATTTCTTATTACGTCGCTTATTGGGTGTTAAGACTGATGACAAAAAGCAAGCCAAGGTTGCGAAATTAACTAAAGGTGAACTACTCTTAGTAAATATTGGTTCCGTCTCTACTGGTGGTCGTGTTGTCGGTGTCAAGGCTGATCTTGCCAAGATTGTTTTGACTGGTCCCACTTGTACCGAAGTTGGTGATAAGGTTGCCATTTCAAGAAAGATCGAAAGACATTGGCGGTAAGTTACAAATTACAAAAGAATAAAGAGAACGATGTAAAAAGAAAATGTACCCCTTTATTGACTAACATCTTTCTTCGTTTAACTATAGTCTTATTGGTTGGGGTAAGATTAAGCGTGGTACTGTTCTGGAAGCAGAAGCAAATTAAATTAGTAGTAGATAGTTACAAATATACAGCACTTAATTTTTTGTTGATAAAGTTAAAAACAGCAATAAAACACATACAATGTAATTTTACACTTGTCATAGAAAGGAGAATTATGTATTGTCTTATTGTAAAGAAGTTGTGTGTGTCAATTTAACAAATAACTAAATATTTTCATAGTGTTGGCATTAGGGCTTTTCCATTTTTTCTTGTTACACCCGTTTACTGTTTTAAAAAATTAATATTCTTATTCTGTAAATATGCTCAGTCAACCTACTTGCAACGATTCCTCTTTTTATGAAAAGCAATAGTACTAGTGTTGAATTACTCATCTAAACATAGAAAATCAAATAGAGTGATAGCGTAATCACTAGGAATAATGATATAGTGTATGTGCGGACCATAATATAAAAGTAGCTCCCATCTCATTAATCCGATCCGCAAAGCAATTTATCCGGACTAAAATCACGTGATTAATACGTTATAATTTGAATTTTAATTTTTAAAAAAGATTGAAAATCCGACAGATGGACGCTTGTTTGGCGAGACCGTTGTTGAACCACTTAGCTGGGAATTCAAAGAACTCATTAGTCCAAAGAGCATTTTAGTCGTGGTTTTAAAATCTATAAAAAAGTGATATGATGAATTGCAATGGATACACGTCTTACACTTTATTGTGATGGAGAATTATCAATGCAGCCTTCCTTCTGAAAGCTTTTTTCTTTCCATTTTGCCTGGAAATGTTCTAGTATAACAAATTTGTCGAATCGTAAGGAATAGTAATTATAATTGCCAATCAATTTTATTAATAGATTCCATTGTTGTCCTACGTGCTACAGATAAGTTTGTACACATTTCGTTGCGTGTCTTTTTATGTACAAACAACATTCTAATCTATGGTATTCTTCCTGTTTATAACCAAAAGAGTGCTTTTTGCGTAAATCTTAAGAATTATATTCATTCAAATCAAGCGAGAAGAAGCAAAAAGCACTGCAATTTACGACATTATAGACTGGAATGGATAAGAGCTGTTGAAAATCTTGTTATGGTCTAAGATGACCGCAGTTTTTTTTATTCTTGTCTAAATGCTATTGATAGCTTCTGTTATAGTTCTCGGATGAGCGTACAATTTTTTCACTTTTAGTCCTTAACAGAGTTGATTTTCTGTTTAACGAATGGATCTTGCTCCCTCCTGATAGAGAGGGCTGTGTTTGATTAAAATAAACGCCATCCTTGTAGTTCTGTCGGTAAAATTCCCGATCTTTTGAAAGATGAATAGAAAGGGACTTAATAATTGTGGACGAACATGGTACCTGAATCTATTCCTTTTGATAAGGCTTTTACCTTTTTGTTCAAAGTCAGGTGAGGCTACTGGTCTACGTTTAGTATATTTTTCGATTTTCCACATTTCTACATTCGCTTTGACTCTGTCTATGAGGCCCATATTTTTATTTTTGCTATAGCCCCAGAAAAAATGTACAGAGTTTAAGTCAATTGCCTTCAATCTCTGGTTCGTTTCTATTTACTCTTCTTACTTCGGAGGAAAGGAGAGGTGGTTAAATAGATGTTACGTATTTATTATACAGAAATGGGAGAAAAGATGTATGAAGTGAAAGGTAAATTATCTGATGAAGTATTTGCTGGTGATGCTGACATTATTTTTATTACTTGGTCAGTTATCGTGTCACCAGAATTTTCTTTCTTGGAAAGCGGGTATTGTTGCTCAGATGCTTCATTCCTCCATACTATCGTCAGTTTGCTGTTGGTGTTTCCCTTTTTCTGACCTACTCATTAAGAACCTACCAAGGTATGCTAGCGGGTCCTCAGGACTGAAATGGGTTGGAGAAGTTAGAGAAGTATAACAGATTTTTGATTATTGCTACTTACCGCTCTTGAACCAATAACTTCATTCCTTCTAACAAGATAGGCGTAACGGTTAAATCGAGATAGGCTCGTGGACCCATCGATTCTTTAGAATAGTTTGGTTTTGTGGGAGAAGGCTCTATTGTACTTTTGAAATCAGGAGACTTTGCTCGGGTTAACCTTCTATTAAAATTGCATTGAGCGTCTTTCAATTTTGTCTACCTCTTGATTGGTGCCAGACTGTGAAGCACTTTTCATAACAGAAGTTGATACTTCCGGCAATGGAATAGTCGTGCCTGGGTAAGTATTGACTGAAGAGGCGGCAGTTTCCGCAGGTGGTGATTGTGGTGGTAAGGCTGTTGTGACAGGAGTTGTACTCATCGATGAAGGCGTTGATGTGTTCGGCGTGTTGTCATTGCTACTAGTAAGGTTTGATAAAATTAGTTTCAATTTAAGTGATCGTGTGCACGATTACTTGCTTACTTCGAATGATCGTTCATTTTGAGCTACTCAGTTAATTATAAGAAATGTACAGTTAAAGACGAAAAGGCAAATGTTCGAACGAATAATTAATTCTTACCAGTCACTCATATTAATAAATCAGGGACAGAAAATGCTAATTGGCTTGACTATGAATTCCTTTTATCTAATATACAAAGTGTACGAGTTTATATCTGATAATAAATGCTAATAAGCTACTTAGTACTTGAATACATAATATGCTTAATGTTGTATTTTGCTCAGACATAGGGCCTACATATGCCAACACGAGGTTCACTAGAGTAAGATTATTGCATTCAAGGATGCGGCCGTTTTTGTCATATTGGAAAACTTTCAGAAGGCCGATCGCATGCAGAAACTTTATCATTATGTTTCCCAAGAAGCGAGTTGGCTTCTTATCATTAAGGCGAACGGTTGAGCATTGCAGAAGACCGGTTGTAGGGTCGAATCGGGGCATACGATGACGTGGACATTCAACAAATCGGAATAGTTGAGGACAAGAATAAATAAAGTTAAATATTTGCGGGAGGAAGAAGAGCATCAGTGTCTTTGAGAAATGACCCAGTATACCCACAACTGCAAACGTCATGCCCGCAAAGTAACAGAATGTATCGCCTACGAAAACACGGGCAGGATACCAATTGTGGTAGAGTAGGGCGAGAGTTACACCGACAAATGGTATTAGAAAATAAAGGCTGAATAAATGCGCTTCTAGGCTTGCACCATCTGGATTATTGAAGATATAAAGCATATCATTCATAATAACTGATATTGCAATTACCAGCGATTGTCCTGCTTCCACACCATTGATACCAGCCAGAATGTTAATGCTATGTGTGCAGAATATTATAACCATAGCCATGTAGATGTAATAGAGTATACCTAAGCGAAAGAATAATTCAGGAAGAATGCCATAATCAACATTATGATGTTCGCTGTAATGATGCATTACGGTGGTGTTTTTTACCTAGGTCAACCAACTCTCCCAAGTAGGGCCTCAATTGTAAAGGCAAAACAACATGTGTAGCGCCCATATTTGTATAATAGAAGATCAGCAATGGTATACCTGCAATTGCAGGTAACCATACTTTGTATCTCCATCTGACATCTAAAACATCATCTGCAAAACCTAGTAAGACCATTGACTGAATAGCTAGAATAGCGGCGAGTATTTCGCCAAGCTATTGGAATATAATATACACGTCAAAAATATCGTGTTCACAGCAGATCAAGATATTTGAATAATTGCATAATTCCTGTTATTCTTACCTTATTATAGGGAAACGTTGCAAAATCAGATTGCTCTTCATGCACTAGCTTTGCGCCTTCAAACCAATTTATGAAAGGAAAGGGTATGAAAGAAAATAGAACTATAAGGTATATGATAGCAATTGGCAATCCCATAGTCTCGGGCCTGTCAAAATACCAATTCCAGATAGAATGAAAAGTTTGATTGGTATTAAAGTAATATGATTTGCCACTTTGCCACTTTGTTATAGTTACAGTAGTGGTTTGTCCGCTTTCAGCATATCTCGACCGGATAAGTTAACCCTCACGAAAGTTTCTCTTAGCTTGGGTAAAATTTTGTAAGAAAAGATTCCTGCTACGATCGACATGAGGATGGAAACAGCCAATGTTGTATGCTCATCTTTCATGCATAACGCGTATGTCAGTCCAAGACAAGTTAAGGCAATGACACTCATTCCCATGTTCAATGTAAGTCTAATGTCAGATATACATAAAGAGGAATGAGAACACAGATAAAAGGGCATTTAAACCAAATAAAATATTGATAATCATTGGTTGTTGAAGCTCAGTCTCAGCTAAACAAATAATACAGAAGACGTCCAGCCAAATCAATTTACATGCTGTGCTTGACTTAAGTACGTTGACTGATGGATTACACATCCATCGTTGACTTTGTATTATCAAGCAAAGATGACTTAACCTGAATATTATAATCAATGGCTATTGATGATAGAAAATTTATGTTCTTGGCATATTTTTCTGACTTTTTAAATTTTGTTCGACTTTACAAAATCCGATTTGCTTGTCATATAAACATGCTATGCTATCAATACTACTTTTCCGTGATTTCATTCAAGAAATGTACGTTTGAACCATTAGAACCGCTCTTTAATTAGTCATCATGCAGAAATACAATAAATGTTGTTAGGTATATGCGAGCAATTCTTATTAAGAAGGTTGCTTGCATTGATTTTCAGATCAGATCTGCTGAAATGATAATGTCAGGTTCGTCACGCTTTCAATATTATACACAGAGTTTGCACGTTTTGCTGTTAAATCTTTTGACACCTTAATCTCGAAATTTCTGACTTTATAGGCTAGATGGAACATTCGTACCTAATGTTTGTACCACACTGGTTGCCTTCTCTATGAGAAATCAGCTAGAACCTGCACTAATCAAAGGCTCCATCCATACTTTTCAAGATTCCTTTTAAACACAATACTCCCTTTAGACATACAATGAAGATGAACAAGAAACAAAGAGTTAATGCTGGTTCAGGTTCATTCTCGAGTCTATCTGAATAATATTAATTAACGAGAGATATAAATATATTTTTAGTCAGAGCGAAAGCGGCTATAATTTAAAGGTGTATGATGGATGTCTAATGTGTGCTAACTTCCATTAACATTTCAACGAGCATGACTCTTGCCTTTATGTACACATATCAAGTAAACAACAGCAAAGCATACCGGCCATACTATATCGAATTTGCAAAATTTTAAGGATTAGTCTTAAGCTCTTAAATTGATAACGCTAACGTCATACCAAGCAGAACAGCAATCAGTATCGTCTTTATGTTGAGGTTGCTGCTGCACAACTATAGTTTGTGGAGGAGGCCTGGTTCGTTAAATAAGGATATTTTAGAAACAGTTATCGAATTGGCTCGGTAATTGACATATAAAATTGTAACAGTAATTTACTGTGGTTGATAGTAACCATTGCCTTGTTGAGGAGGTGCATAATATCCCTGTTGCTGAGGAGGTGCATAATAACCTTGTTGTTGAGGTGGGGGAGGATAATAGCCTTGATTATTCTGAGGCGTGTAAGACATCTTGGTACTTATAAAGTATTGGAAGCAGAAAGAAAAAAGAAATGAAAATTTTAATTCAATTGTTCACTCTTGAAAACTAGCTGAGCTGTGAAAATTTTCGACTGTAGTCGGAAATCCAACCCTTTTTCCTTTTTTTTTTTTATTGTTCCTGATGGCGTCGGGCAGGTCTGCTTAATATTCAATGGTAACTTCTACCTTCTCGTAGTCCATAAAGCATACCATATCCTCGGTAATCATGATGAATATTGATATTATTGGAAATTAAATGCTGTTCATCATTGTTTTACATTAAGCGAGAAGTCAACTTCATCCATATATGCTGGTTCCTGAATTTTAGACTGATAAAAACTGTACCTGAACTGGGGCCCTCTAGAGACAGTTGTAACATTGTGAGTGCAACTTTAACTCATAAGTAACAGACGGAGTAGGTAAAGGCACTGCATTATAGTGTTTCTGTATTTGATAATACAAATATTAGCAGCCACAAATAAAACATCGGGTTAGTACAAACCTATGGATGATCAGCAAAGCGTTTTTATTGTCAATAGAAGTGTTATAAAAAAAAAAATAAGCTTTCTGATATCTAGCGAATTGAGCAAACTTTCACTAAAGTATTATGTATAATGCCTCTGAGCGCCATTTACAATTTGTTCCACCCCGTAAAAGCGGGTTTACCATGCCGAAATGAGCAGTTTTGTTTTTTGAATAACACTTTCTCACCCTAAAAGTGGTAGTGGGACCGTCTATAAAGATATCATTGGCATAGTGTTCTGAGGGTGAGTTAATGGAAATAATACTACTTCAAATCATGCTTCCAAGTCGAATCCAGTCCGTTTAAATGCTTCGCTCGCGATGAAACCTTCGCTAGACCTCCCACTCTTACTATAAACATCGTGGACACGAGCACGCCATTGGACTACATAATGTATTAAATGGCAATAATAAGAAAAACGAACGGATTGCAAAAAAGATCAGAAAACTGAGAAATGCTGCTTCTTTATTTCACAATGATTATTAATGTACCAAGAATTGACAGCAAGTTTCTGTGTTCTATCGTTGGATGCTTGAACTAATCTGTAACGTGGACATTTCAAAGGCTTTTTTAAAATCACAGTACAAGGGTACTTAACAAAGATTATATCCGAGGCACATATAAGTTAGAGGAAAGAGGGAGAGAATAAAATAATAAACCTCCTCACAGAGTTTATCTTGCCTATAAAATTCCTCTTCCGTATTCTATGGCTCGCTCCATCTAACTTTACAGCGAACCATATGATATAAAGCCTTACAATATTACCAACACGTTGACAGACAGCAATGTGTTACTATTCTATAAGAAGAAAATGTTTGAAACCCTTTTATGATTTACTAAATTGCATAAAATGGCAATTACTCTGAACCCGCGTTCATCTTCCAACTAGCTTTTGCAGTACCTTAACTTCAAAACTCAAATGATATTCAGACAAGCTTTCCGTGCTCGTTTTACTTGTTCCCTTTTTGGATTTCTAAATTTGAAAATTTGAGATATCAGCCCTTCGAGACTAACCTAGTGTCATTGAGTACCATCGTTATGAGACACAGCTCGTTCTGATGATATGTCGCCAAACTTACGTCTACCAACAGTAAATCTAACCTAACCGCAAAAGATAAAATGTAGCTGTGATAAACATAACATACTAAAAATTGAAGCAATTGTACATTTATTCTGCTTTTCTTACTGGTATATTAATAGTTAAGGAAAGCTGTTGCTGCAGCAACAAGCCAACAGTTTTTTCGATACTAGGACCAGGATTAAACAACACCGAAATTAGCCTGGCAGTACTTTATAATGACAAATTACAATATTGCCCATGAGTGATCATGTTATTTATGCAGAACCGCATTGTGGGTTGATGAAAACAAAAAACCCTCTGTTGGTCTTGATGCCGGTTCCCTGTACAGACACAGAGTGCGGAGACTTGGAATAGCAAAAGATACATATCTGACTAGTAGTGTGTTTAGCAATAATGCAAACGGTTGTAAAACTACTGTGTTTCTTGGTTCTCCAAAGTCCGGCGTATTGACTATATGATTTGACGGAGGAGCCAGTACCATAGCCTCGGCCACCTATAACATTATTCGATTTGAAGGGATGTAGACGAACATAATCCTTTTCGTTGCTATTATTTCCTGAAGCAACGTTGATTCAATAATTCATGACTTTTTTTGCGTTCACCATTCGGTGCTAGTAGTAAATGTCTTGATGTCGCATGTGGTTATTCTGTAAGCTAACCATCAAAATGCTATTATGTGTAAGTAGAGTCTCTGCTTCCCTAATTGGTCCAACGATTTTCTTTTCCTTTTTGATTTCAATCATTTCGCGCTGAAATTAAGGCCGTAGTTCAAATGTAAATCGAGCGATCGTATCTGTCAAAGTTACCAAGCGGTTACTCGGTAATTTATTGTTATGGACATTCGCTATTATTTTATTTTCTCTGCTACTGCATACTTGATCTAGATGCGCTGCTGCACTTAGCAGAACATTAATAGTATTTTTAAGCGTTTTCTTGAACAGTTTACTTCCTGCAAGTTATGAAATAAATAAAAACTACGCTAACTCTAATATTATGTTGTTAATCAAGTGTTGTATTTAGCTGACAGCATCGTCTGTAGCATAATGAGATTGTGCAAGAGTTGTAAGAGACCACACTATTTCTTTACTACCGATATAATACATGTGAAGTAGGGAACGAATATGAAATAAACGGTAATCCTTAACGAGACTAGCTTCCTCAAATAAGGCTGCCTAAGTTGTCATCCAGGACAACCCGTTTAGTTATTCCCTATTAGTTTACTGTAAAACATTGTGTATTATGAACATATAGTATATGTTAATTTGACGCAAGGTACAACAAATTATGAATACTGTGCCCTGTCTTTAGTGTAAAAAAATGATTACAAAATTATAGGCTTTAATTATCCTTTACAGTAACTGCTCACTCATCTCAAGAAGCTCGCATGGATCATCTTAATTAAATATAGTTCCTGCAAGCAGTGCTGCATGATAGTCAGTGCGGCAAGATAGGTTAGTTGCATGATCTCAAAATCAAGCATGTATGATTGTAAAATGCATCCGTTCCCAATGAATGGCGGAGACAAGATTAAGGAGAATCCTCCTCTTACACGGTTGAAGAGACATATGTCTTCATTAAGTGGAATAACGCAGCTGTCAGTTTCTAGGTTCAAGTTAAAACCAAAGAGATGGAATAGGTACTTCAGAAATTTGATTTGATAAAGTTTTATCTAATTTGATCCTGTTAAAGCTTTTTGTAATTATTCATGTGCTATTTCATTAAGCTATAAGTTGTCAAATACCACCCTATAGTTACCAATGAATCTCTGCTAAAAGCTGTCGACTTTACGATCGTACCTTGAGATGGCTACCTGATGAGCTTTTCAAGCCATTAATAAGCACTCAAACGATAAGTTTTTCTGATTTCCTGCTATTTGGTGCGCACATATGCATTGATACTTACGAATGCCCTATACAGAAACCGATATTTTGTTTTTCCTTCTAAACAATTTAAGCACCAAATGTAAGAAGAACGGCCGTACAGCAATCAGTTCCTAACGATCAACGTTCTTAGCATGGACAGTCCGCTGGCAAGCCATCTGCCGCATTCAGCTTGAACACAATTGCATACGCCACGGCAGAATGCCTCCCGAAGACCCTCCATAATGTACCTTTGGTAAGTTGGCTAATTAAAGGCTGACCTGCATGGTTGATAGGGTTTCTTTTTCTTTTCCCCTCTTCATCTTGTTACTTTTTCTCCTTTCAAAAAGGTTCTTCGCACATAAACATTTCTTTGATTTAACCAGGGCATTACAATGTCAAAAGCAATTATGGGTTTAAAATAGAAAATAAAACTTAAAGATCAGTCCTCGTTCATTAAGTCTTTTATAGTTACACATAGTTCATGAAGAGTAGTACACGCTGTTTACGATTTCATGAACTACAAAAGTTTTCGGCAGGGCTAGAAATAAGATGATGAATCTCACTGTGAGATAACAATAAGTTGTAGGTCTTCTTTAGCTTCCCAGGTCAAAATGTTCTGCATTTCTTCAGGTTGTCCTTTAAAGAGTGGTTACACGCTGAGTATTAAATGTGATCCTCGCCTGCCTTCAGAATGAATTGACTTAAAGCAGAAATGGTAATGCTATGTAGCACAATTCATTTAAAGAAGAACAGGCCAGAAGCCATCTTTTTTCAATATTTGACCCACCTCCCTCTTTTTTTTTTTTCTTATTCTAATAATTTCAGCTTTTCCACTACTATCAATGACTGATTTACAAAGTGTGAGACCGAAGCATTCTAGATCAACTTCTATAACCACTATTACAAAAACAACTTCTCACCAGCGAAAGCCATCTTTTCATCAACAACCGCCATCACCACATCAAAATCAATTCCCTGAGCTGAAACGTCATAATAGTAGACAACCATCATTTACAATTAGTAACAACAGTAGTAATAACACAAGGCACTATATAAGCGGATTGTTCAAGTTCTATCAGTTTCTCTTTCAAAGATCAAAAACCTTCTTGAATCCTTCAGGACCATTATTACCCCAAGCAAAACATGTTTCCACCACTGCTACTTCTACTACCGCTTTTGGAGGGCCAGCTAAATCGACTTTCTCTACCAAACTCTTCAATTCTCGACTTCTCCGTTTTGTTGCCTTATTCTATGTCATATTTTCGTTGATACTATCGCTAAATCATACTTGGCATTATTTTATGTCTTCAAAGTCTCGGCGAAATTCGCCTCTACAAAGTGATATGGCATATGAAGAAACGTCCAAAAATGATTGGATACCACAAAGACCCTATCGTCCAGGTAGACCATAAAAAGACAATGAAATCATAAATGAAAATAATAGTCACTCAATGAAATCAGAACTGAACATAATCACTTTCGTTTTGTGTAATAGATGATCCTTATTCCTTTTTAAATGATATAACGCATGGATTGAAAATGCACAAAATGTTTAGCAAGAGCTACTATGAGGCCGCTAAGGACATCATCCCATTCTGGCAAAAGGCTAGCAATGTACCAGAGAATGACGAGGTAACAGCCATTACTACATTTACACCGGATTCATGGAGGGAATTTACCCGACTTCTTCGTTATTGGGAAGGTGAGGATGCAACAAATAAAATAAGCCAAGAAAAGAATGCGGAAAGCTGCTCTTCAAACATATTATTGGATGAAACCATTAACTGAAGATTATTCCCGCATTCTGTTTTCTGCATAGGCCCTGTATCAGCTATTGTTCATGTCAACGTGGAAAAAACTAGTGAAATACTATTGGAGCAAATACAGTCTGAATATGCAGCGGGAAAATCTGAACTTTTTAAAAATGTCGATCTTCACCTCGTGAGAGTACCAGGAACAAGGCTTAATGTTTTATTTTCACGCAATGCTCAACGGAACTTGGCAAGAATATTTGCCAAAACAGACTATGTTATGGACTTACCTCCCGGCGCCATTCCAGCAACTGACTTGAGACGTACACTCGAGTCCAATAAAGAGAGCATCGACAAACTTTTACAGGCTGGTGATATGTTGGCGTTACCTACCTTCCGCTTTAAAAGTTCGGAAGCCACCCGTCTTGATGTACCTAACGATAAATCACAGTTAATATTTAAGATGAGTGAGGATAAAATGGTATTGGACGATAAACATTGGAGAGAGAATGAAGGACCAACAGATCTCGAAAGGTGGATGGATGCTGAGACTATCTATGCCGTTGAAAAATATGAATTCCATTACGAACCTATTGTCATTCAGTCGAAAACCGTCCAACCATGGTGTTCTGAGAGATTTATAGATAATAGAGCAGCTTGTATTCTTTCGAGTTATTTGGATGGGAATGAGATTTGGATTATGCCAGACGATTTTGTAGTACAAATGCCTCAATATAGTCAAAACGAAGCATCGGATTTTGATGTAAGTTGCTTAGATATGCTCATATGAATTCATACATTTGCAATTTAGATCTCTTATTGATTTTGGGTTGTTTTTTTCTTTAGCGTGTTGTGGAGAACCGAATGTATGCGAAGTTTTATTGGGAGCAATGTGTGCATCGTGCCAGACAGTTATATAGTTTGGGCCTTTGGAATACATCAAAATCACAACATATTCGCGATCAATGCTCACGAGTCATTCAAAATTGGGGGAAAGGTATCATAGGAAAGCCAGAATAGACAATTTGAAATCCATCATACCTTGTAAAAAAAAAAAAAAAAATGTAAATTGTGTATACTTTAGTTACATGTAAAAATAAACTTGCTGCCTAGGCAGTCAAAGAAGTATCATATGCATCCAAGCTTTTGCCAGTATTGCTACTTCTCTTGCTTTATAACCTAGAATGCTTTTATCCGTATTTCAGCTAATAACGGTGTACTTAACAAATTGACATGTTGATAAAGCTGCTTTTAACGAAAGGTCAATGCTTGTCGGTGTATCTGCTACTTTTATGAAGGTAAGTGTCTAGAATTTTCGGATACTGAAAACAATGGCGAATTAGACTTATCCAAGCTTTTTCACTGGCTGAAAAGACAGTAATAAACGTTCCGACCGAAGCGTACCGTTTAGAGTAAGATGGTCTTCTGATCAGTTTGTTTTGATGCGTGTCAGAGTACAGCTTTAGAAAACCAATAGAATAGCTCCTATTGTTCTAGAAGATAGGAACGAACAATTGAAGACTGAGGAATGTTGTACTGCTTTACCGGTCACTCGAATTGATTCCTAAAGCGGCAAGTTCAGTTGCGAGCCTACTTTTGAACCAAAGTATACTTTTCGTATATAGACTTAGATAGCTTGAGAAAAAACGAGCTTATGAAAAATGATCTGTTGAAAGCTGATCGGTCGCAAAATACCGGGTTTGCAATGATAGGCTTTATACCACAGATTTACTGATTACCGGTCGGTACCGATAATTTTGATATGGTATCAACATGAAGGGGATAATAGGAAAAATAATTCCCAAGTTATCTTATTATACACAATTATTCATTGTTACTGATGATATGCCATTGACGATCCAATGTGACAACCCTTTATTGTCACTGTCTAAATGCTTCTTAACCGCAGCAGCATGCTGACTCATTTTCTATGGCATTTTGCTCATTGAAAACGTGCCACTGCGGCTGTGGCTTATCATATTGATTTTTCCCAGCTGAGCGAATTCGATAAAAAGTGAAATGTCTGAAAAAACTCCACTCCTTTTTTTTTTACAATTAAAAATGTCAGCAGCTACTGATACCAAGCCTAACGTCGAAAAGAAGGCTAAAGCACCCAAGGCCTCCAAAGGCAAAAATGAAAGCAGCCCTTACCCTCTTGAGGTAAATTGATTGTTATAAGTTGTCATATCTTTATGAACTATTATTGACGCAACAGCAACACTCATCGTCGTTTTCTCACAACGCCTACTATCTGTATGACTCATTTTGACATTTTTCACATTGTTGCAACATCAGTTGGATCCTGCACCTGAGTATCTTCAACACCGTATTGAAGTTTTCGATAGATTAAAGGCTGCTGCTGATGCGGAAGTCGCTAGTAAGTTATTCACGTTAGTAATAGAAAGCTCTTCCAACGATTTGTGAATTCACCACTGCATCTATTGCTTTTCTTTTTCTGCCTGACGTGTAGAGAAACCACGTGAACCCATCACTATCACCTTGCCTGACGGTTCTAAGAAAGAAGGCACTTCTTGGGAAACCACTCCTTTAAGCATTGCCATCGAAATCTCAAAGGGTCTTGCTGACCGTGCCATCATCTCTAAGGTCAACGGCGTTCTTTGGGATTTAACCCGTCCTCTTGAAGAATCCTGTTCTTTGGAAATTCTTGACTTTGAAAATGATGAAGCCAAGTTAGTTTTCTGGCATTCTTCTGCCCATATGTTGGGTGAAGCCTGTGAACGTCATTATGGTTGTAACCTTTGTATTGGTCCTCCATTGAAGGAAGGTGGTTTCTATTATGAAATGGGGGTCAAAGATCGGTAAGCTTACAAGGAAAATCAGTTTTCGATATTGTGAGATATTTACCCTCCCTTTTATACAATACAAAATAGTGTTGTTTCTCAACAAGACTATCCTAACCTTGAAAAAATTGTCAGCTCTGTTGCCAAGGAAAAGCAACCTTTCGAACGTCTTGTTCTTTCAAAGGAAGACCTTTTGGAAATGTTCAAGCACAACCCATATAAGGTCCATATCATTAAGGATAAGATCCCCGACGGTACTTCCACCACCGTTTACAGATGTGGTCCCTTGATTGATTTGTGTAGAGGCCCTCACGTTCCTCACACCGGCCGAGTTAAAGCTTTCACTGTCACCAAGGTAAAACTGAACAACACTGAAACTTCAAAAAGTGTGATTAGAGATCGGATTTGTTGATATCCTTAAAAAAATATATTTTTTTTGATGATATAGAACTCTGCATCTTATTTCTTGGGTGATGCTAAGAATGACTCTCTGCAACGTATATATGGTATTTCCTTCCCTGATAAGAAGCTTATGACTGATTACAAGAAGTTTATCGAAGAAGCTGCCAAGAGAGACCATCGTAAGATTGGTAAGGAACAAGAACTCTTCTTCTTCCATGAATTGTCACCCGGTTCCTGCTTCATGCTTCCTCACGGTGCTCGTGTTTATAATTCTTTGATGAATTTGATTAAGGTACGGATCGGTTTTAAATGGATATATGTTTTAGCTACAAAAAGAAATGGTTTACTGAAATCTGTTCACTTTATGCAATTCGAAATTACAACAGGAAGAATACCAGGTTCGTGGTTTCACTGAAGTTATCACACCTAATATGTTCAACTTGAAACTCTGGAAGCAATCTGGCCATGCTGACAAATATAAGGAAAATATGTTCTGCTTCGAAGTTGACAAGGAAGAATTTGCTTTGAAGCCAATGAACTGTCCTGGTCACTGTTTGATGTTTGGACACAAGGAAAGAAGTTATCGTGAGCTTCCTATTCGATTTGCTGATTTCGGTGTTCTTCACCGTAACGAATTTTCTGGTGCTCTTTCTGGTTTGACTCGTGTTCGTCGTTTCCAACAGGATGATGGCCACATTTTCTGTCGCGCTGATCAGGCAAGTGATGAATTAAGGGGATCTAAAGAAATGCAGAAAAGAAAAAAAAAATTGACCTTTCCTAACTTGGACTTAACATGCTAAAAAAAATAGATCGAACAAGAAATGGCCAACTGTTTCGAGTTCATGGATCACATCTATGGTATTTTCGGTTTTGAATTCCACTTAAAACTTTCGACTCGTCCTGACAATTATATCGGTGAACTTAGTGTTTGGGACCATGCTGAGAAGGTAAGGGGTATTACAATTAATCACCATCTTGAGGGAAGTATGATATAATACTGATGTTATGATAATAACAGGTATTGGCAGATGCTTTAGATACTTTCAGTAAGAAGAAGGGTACTACTTGGGATATCGATCCTGGAGATGGTGCATTCTATGGTCCTAAGATTGATATCACTATCTCTGACGCTTTGCGCAGAAAGTTTCAATGCGCCACTATCCAACTTGATTTCCAATTGCCCGAACGTTTCAAATTAGAATACCGTACTGATAATACTGAAAATGTCATGGCACGTCCTGTCATCATTCACCGTGCCATTCTTGGTTCTGTTGAACGTATGATGGGTATCGTCATCGAACACTTTGCTGGCAAATTCCCCTTCTGGTTGTCACCTCGTCAAGTTCTCGTTGTTCCTGTTGCCGCTGCTTTCTTTGATTATGCTCAAGAGATCGTCGACAAATTGACCGCTCTCAATATGTTCGCTGATGCCGATCTTAGCGACAACACACTCAATAAGAAGATCAGAAATGGTGAACTTGCACAATATAACTTTATTTTCGTCGTTGGTGAAGTTGAAAAGAGCACTCGCTCTGTCAATGTTCGTAACAGAGACGATGTGGGCACCAAGGCTAAGGGACAAACTATTCCTTTGGATGACGTTATTAAGAGTCTTCAAAATTTGAAAGGTAGCAAAAGCTCAGAAAATAAGCTTTAGCTCAGTTAACAAAGTATTAAATTAAAATGGGTATTTTCTTTTTTGTTCCATGACGGAAATTTCTTTTTCTATAAAAAATGAAGAAAGACTAAAAAATGGTTCCTGTACCTTTATTTGTTGATCGCGCTTCGAAAAAGTTTCTTTTTTAACTTTGTGTTTCTCTAAAGAACAAAAAGAAGTGACCATGTTTTTTTTAAGTATAAATGGAACCAGACTTCTGGATATCTTCCTCCTTTCTTCTTTTTAAGTCTACTGTTTCTTCTAGAAGTGCAAAGAAGACAGTTATAGAGCTGCTCATCAATAAAAGAACATTCTTTCAGAGATTTCCAACTTGGAAAAAGAGAAGGAAACAGATTATAACTGACTTTATTCCACAAATCGATAGATGTCAACTATTGTTCCTCCGCCTCTTGGATTAGGACGCCCATCGCAAAATAATAAAAAGTATAAACTAGGTACAGAGCACAATGCCACGACGTATTTGGGACTTATTAGTGCAGAAATTTCTAGCAATGTCACCCATTTGCACTGATTTTCTTCCTTTCATTGATTCCTTTTCTATCTAAATGTAGTGGTAGTACAAAATCCAGTCAGAGCACGATGCTGTGGTTTTGGCGAAAAAGACAGAAGACCGATAGATCCTCCACCTATATTGCAATTGTTCATAGAAAATCCAGATGGCACATTACAAAACGCAAAGTAAGACAGCTATCACATTTTGATCAAGGATGGCGAAAATCATTTTTCCTTTTTATTTTTTTTAATTTTTTTATTTTTTTAATCTTTAATTTAAATTAATTCCTAAACTTATATCAGTAATGACAATAGTAATATCTCATTATTCGTTGTTCAATGTGGCCTTTTTTCAGAAAATGGAAAAGAGAAGCGAGAGCTTGTCTATAACCCTTCTGCAAACTTTCCAATACCTTCTTCACAGAGCGGTAATCACAGAACTATACATGCAAGTGATGTGTGTGTATAACTCTTGAAGAAAGAAAAGGTTATGTACGATTGAATAGTAATACCTCTTCAATCATCGTTTTAGGCAGCCCTTCGACGAGCACTCAGAGCCCTTTTCCTACAGCAGGAGCCCTATTAACCTTTAGTGACCCTACACCTACCAGGTCGCTGATGGGCGCTCTTGTCTCAAATGCATACCAGCTCACAAATGAACAGAACGAAATGGGCATTTATTTCATCTTCCCAGATCTTTCCGTGAGAGTTGAAGGTCGTTTTCGTCTCAAATTTATATTTATTGACTTGTCTGCAGGGTAAGATGATCATACAACTGTCGCTTATAAAGGCATTCACTCATTCATTCATTCATTCATCCTTTTCTTGACGAGCTAATGTATCTTATCTTACTTTTCCAGAGACCCATTGACAATGAGCGCACAAGTTTCGAACTATGTGCTCTCTAATCCCTTCACAGTTTATTCTGCCAAAAATTTTCCAGGAATGACAGGTACGACTCTACACAATGTGTACAATAAGCACTTTAATGGTTTAGTGCAAAAATTCATCATTGTTTGATTCGGCGCTCTACTTTCTTTAGATTCCACTCCTTTATCACAATGTTTCGCACAGCAAGGTATAAAGATTTCGATCCGTAAAGGTCGAAGAATTCGCAGATTTGTAGGCTTATCAAGTAAGAAAGCAAAGAAGCTTGTCAAAAGGCCTTCTGCGTCATCAGGAATAGATAAGCGTCATATAGGCGAAGACCCAAGCTTCCAACGTTTAGAAGTTGACGACGTAGCAGAAGAAGAAGTATCAGCCTCGCCATTAATTGAAGATCCACAGCAAGAGCCGAAGAAGCAACAACAACAACAACAACAACAGTCAACAGAGAACAAAATGAGTAGCTCTTCGTCATTTTCGGGTCAAAGGCCGAAATCTAAAAGGATGGATATTTCATCCTTCCTATTACCATCACAGTGATGTAAGCCTAATAGAGTATCAATCTCTGTGTACATATAATCTACATTTTTGCTTCTAATAATCTGCTAGAAGAGCTGCAATACCCGTAACAACAAGGAGATACCGCATAGGCGACCCTATGTATTATTTACTTGCGGTATAAATATATTTCCGTATAATGCTTCATGAAGCAGATACTCTCTAATTACTATTTATTTTGATTGCCCCTTAAAGGGTTGGCCGTTTACATTGATGATTGTTTAAACGCTGACTGTTCTCATGTTGAAAAATGAATATGGTTATTGTATACAATCTGGCAATTCAGCTAATGATTGTCATAGGCTCGTATTTAAAGATATAGCCCAGATTCTTCGTCATCACTATGCATTACGGTGGCTTTTCCTTGCCATACATCTCCTTCTGAAGCGGACTAGTAAACTTGACCACGTTTATGCACAGGTGTAAGTGGTAGTAATTCAGAAAGGGATGGTTATGTAGTGTCAGAACAATATGAAGAAATAACCGTCTACTGTAATACCTATAATACTGTAAAAATAGATAATAAACAAAAGAGACGTGAGTAATAGAAACCTTTTTCACTTGAACATTGGATAGACCATAAGGTACCCTTGAAAGAGTGTAAAATCTTTTGCGCATGGCTGGTTTGCGGAAGTCTTTATATGCACTCAAGTTGTTGACCTTTATAGCGTAGTCATGGGTTCTTGCCAGCTATCAATTCCCCTAACTGGTCAAAAGTAGGTAGCTGGAAAAGAGTGGCTTCATTGCCTTTTAGAAAGGTCACGGTATTGAACGCAAGATAGACCCTAACATAAATGTCTTGGATAGAAGCTTAAATTCGTAGTTCTAAAGATAAAAAAAAAAAGAGCTAAACCATATGTTACAGTGTTTTAGCTTCAACTTTACACTTTATACAAATTTTATTGGACAATATAAATATTTAATTTAGATAATTTTAAATTATTTTAGGATGAAATGGTATAATATTCTTGGACGATTTATTGAGTAAATAATTGTAGACATTACTTTGAAGGTCAGGGACATTTTTCAATAGATAGTGGCATTACGTTAAAGTACTACGAGACGTACTGAGTATTATAGTGTGACACAGGTCTTATCAGCAATAGATATAGGGTTGTAGTTTACGAGATTTTATTTATGGATCATATGAATTGATCTACGCGTTAAACTAATCCCAGACACGTTCTTCCGCCACGTAGATAACGGTTGTTGTTGTCAATCGTAACAAAAAAATAGATGTTGTCAAACTCGAAGCATTTACAGATAAAAATATGTTTGACATCTTTCCTCTGATTTCCATCTTTTTCTTCTTCTTCTATACTTTCTTTCCTCATCCTGATAGCTATTACTTACCATGTACAAAGCCCAAATCTTGCAAAAAATTAAATCGGTGGCAGAAGCCCATAAGAATAAAGTCAAAGATGAGTCCTTCCGTAAGTAACACATGAGCGCGCTGCCACAAATAAGTTATAGTGGTAATCCTCAGATTATGTTTTGTATGACTAGTAAACATCGAGTGCAAGGATTGCAAAACACTCGGACATTTCAACAAGGCATACCATGAATGCAAGTTTTACAAAGCAGTTTCTGCAGCTGATGGTAAGTATCATGCTCTCACTGCAAGACAAGTTTATGTTTGCTTAGCGGAAATTTAGTTGGAAGTAGCGGTAAGAAACGTAAGCAATCAGCTACAATCAAGGAAGAAAAGAAGCAAGCAAAGAGAAAGAAGAAGCAAACAACTGGAGATATCAAGTGTATCAGTTGTGGCTTAAAAGGTCATTCTACTTCTCGTTCTCTCGAATGTCCCAATCACATTGCTTCAAAGGAAGAAGTTATTACCTCGACGCTTGGAGAAGGCTCCACTGTATTCACGAGAAAGCTCCCTCTTACGTCTGCTGTGAAGCCAGCGTTTCGCGAACAATTCCAAGAAAAAGTCATATCTTGCTGCTCTGACATAAGGACAATAGTATTCTCTAGTCAATTATTCGTTAACTCGTACCTCATTCATTATCAGGAGAATAAAAGGAATGCAAACAAAGGCGAAAAGAAAGACACTGATAAAAACAGCAACAAAGGCAGTAAAGAAGCCAACAAAGAAGCCAGCAAGAAAGACAGTAAAGAAGCCAACAAAGACAGGTCTATTCCTGATGTATTCTGCCAGCAATTCTGGTATTCAGTAGGTCAGCTAGTAACGGGCAAGCAAGTTACTCACAAAACGGCATTATCCGAGAACATAAAACAGTATTATACAGACTTCAAGGCAAAGTTCCCTACTATCGAAGTAAAACACAAGCTGACCGTGGGATATAGCCATTGCCTTACAGAGGCAGCAAAGGAATTGAGTGTCTCTTACACGAACTCCATTGTAGAGCGCTTCGAGCAGCGCTTAACAAAGTTCCTTACTTACAAATTGAGAACTATGCTCCCGGTAAGGCTGTAACCGAGTACCTTCTTAATGCTCTGCTGTTTTATTCATTTTATTTATCTTTATACACATTCTAGAATATCAAACGCACTGATGCACAAAGAATTGTACAGCTGTATTGTTACCAATCTGTCTGTCATGGTCATCCTCATTGGCCAGAAAACCTCGAGCTGGCGGCCGTTGACAAAAACCGAATTGAATTACTCTGCAAACAATTTGAGAAGTTCATTCCAGGAGAAGTAACCCTCGTTTCTCTTTCTGCTGCTCCTGCAAAGTTTGTTAATGCGTTATGGAACATACAGTTTACGTACGAGCAAGAACATATACAGCATAAACCGTACGATGTCCGTGTCCTACCACTTCCTCAGCGTTTCTTTCTCTTTCCTACTCCATCGCTGAAATGGCGTTTCATCGCGATAAGTATAAACGCTCTTACACCCTTCATGTTTCCCGGAAAAGTTGCCAAGGGTTATACAGCCCAACTCGAACAATTCTGTAAAGTCTTCGACTTCAAAAAGTTTGGCTTTAAGAGGTAAAACTATAGAAGAACTTCTTCAGCAAAATTATGCCTAATAGTAAACACACCCCTATTTTTGCTTCTGTCATAGTCTAACCGCTTTGAAGGAAAGTTCTGATGTAATGTTTCGAAACATGGTTAGGTCGGACGGCTTTACTGTAGACTTTTTGTTCAGCCGCAAAAAGAAAACAAAAGAAGACATGACCATTCATAATCACACCTTGACTTTGGAAGATTTTTCTTATGACGAAGTACAAGACAATTACAGACCCGCTTTCCTTGATCCAGGGCGAAGATCTGTCTTCACAGCGGCAATCGGTCTAGATCATAACAAACATCAAATACGCAGCTGCTCTACCAAGGAATATTATCATATGACCGGAAGTACCAGATACGCTGCAAAGCTGGAAAAGAAGAAAGCAGGCACAATTCAAATGATCGAAAGTGGCATACCAACCGCCAAAACTTCTATTATCGAACAACATGACCGTCATGTACAATATATATTGCAGCACTTGGAAGCCTTGTTCTCTTTTTACGGCGAGAGAACTGCTGAAGAACGATTTCGTTTATACCAGGGTCAGGAGCGTGCTGCCGACAACATGGTCAATTTGCTTATTAATGGAACCACAAAGTACAATAAGCAATTGAGGTTGAAGAAGAAGAAAGATCGCAGCAAGTGGCCAAAGAAGAATACCGACAGAATGGCCTTTTGTAAACGTAAAAAGAAGAAGAAGAAGAAGCAAAAGGTTCCAGAAGAGAAGGAAGAAGCAGATGCGAGAGAAGTAAGCGATGTTCTCGCTAAGAAAGAGAGGTAAGGTTTTTAAATGATAAGCAATTCATCCACTATTCGCAGAAATATTGATAGAACTCATGCTTTCTACAGTAATCCCCTGAAGAACAAGTGGAAGCCTGAACCCTTTAGTGTAGGCGACACTAAAAAGATCCCTTTGATTGTAGTTGGTAATGGCATGTTCGGGAAGAGTGCAGTGCCCATCAAAGGCCATAAGACTGGTGTCGTGGGAGTTCTTTGGCGTGCCTTGAAGCGAAGAGAGGCTGCTGGCGATTTGCTCGTATTAACCATTGATGAATACCTAACTTCTCGAATATGCAATAATTGTCGTTCCAACAATCTTGAAGCATTGAAGACAGTTCCCGGCCAAAGTATCCTTGCCTGCAAAACCTGTTCGATACTTTGGAACCGGGACGTCAACGCTGCTAAAAACATGTTGACAATTAGCGTTTCGATCTGGAAGTCAACGGGAAGACCTGCGGAGTTTTCTAGAAAACCAAAATCACCCGCAACAACCAATTAAACATCATCCTCTAATCGCCAGCACGAAGCTGGTTTGATTTTTACAGGTAAGCGTCTCAATTTTTGTGGAGTTTGATCCTGAAACTATAACTTAATGATCTCAAAAATTTACTTTTTTCGTCTAGTTATATTGCGGCTTCGTCTAAACCCAAAGCTAAAAAACTGTAATTGTAAAGACTGTGCAACTAGCAAGTAACATGTACTTGTTTACGAAAACGTGTTTTTATCAGGAAATTCAAACTTAAACAGGAAGTTTTTCACTGGCTTAAGTACAGCCAGTTGCTTCGCTTCCATTTTTAACATTATCATAAAACCACAAAAGAAATGCTAAATGTTACAACCGAGACTGGTACTGTGCAGTACATTATTTTTTGGCAGGAATAGCAAACTTTTTCGCTTATCCACCCATACATAGGAGTATATATGCCTTAATTTAGGTTTATCGATAAAAACAGAAAGAATAGTATGACTAATCCATTAACTATTGCATGAAGAGTTGATTGTACATTTTACTGTTGCTTCATATGATGTTTTAAAGGAAAAGCAGGAACCACATTCCTTCTAGAGCGTCAGAAGAAATTCAGTCAGAGCGAAGTTTATGCAAAAAAAAAAAAAAAAAAAAAAAAAAAGCTTCTGACTATTATTTTATTCGTTCCTCTCAACGACAATTTCGCAATGGTTTCCAGACACTAACAATGTTTCAGAAGAATTTTGGACGTTCATCTTTCGTTGACGCTGGTAGGACAAATAGGTTTCACCGCACACAAATTGAGCAAGGCAAACAGAAGTGCTATATCACTGTCTGCTGAAAGCCAAGTACAGAAACAGACGAAACTGTACAATGCATATAATACAATATTAACATTTAGAAACAATACCAAAGGGATTTTATTCATTCATGATCATCAAAGTAGGATTGACATGGGTTAATGATTTGGGTAAAATATGTATAGATAAAGTTTGTATATAAAGGAAATCAAAAAGCAGAAATACATAAAGGATTAAACTATGTATAAGTAAATTACAATACAAGAATTAAAAGGAAGTTGTTTAAGAAAAATAAAAAAAAAGATGTACGATCAATTTTAATAAACCTAGCTCTCTATTCGTTGAAACTTTTCTATGATGGTTGCCTCATATAAATATCATTTCCCTTTTTTCTAAAGTCTAGGCTTATCTTCCTTATCGATTCATATCGTCTTCTGTTGCTCAGCTTCAAGTTCACTCAAATAACGTTCAGCATCAAGAGCTGCCATACAACCGGAGCCGGCGGAGGTAATGGCTTGGCGGTAACGCTTATCTTGAACATCACCAGCAGCGAAAAGACCAGGAACAGAAGTTTCAGAGGATCCAGGAACTGTCTTAATGTAGCCAGTTTCATCTAATTCAACATGTCCCTTAACCAAATCAGTAGCAGGGATATGTCCGATGGCGTAGAAGAGACCGGAAGCTTCAATCTGACCGACTTCACCAGTAGCGTTATTCTTGGTGGCAACAGCTGTAAGAAGATTGCCGTCACCAATGGCTTCAGTAGGAGATGTATTAAAATGAACTTTAACCTTAGGGTGATTTAACAAACGGTTAGCCATAACTTTACTGGCACGAAGGACGTCACGACGAACAAGGACGTGAACAATAGAACCGTCTATTTAACAAAATTAATAATGCATATTAGTCACAAACTCTTTTATCCTACTTTGGCTCATTGACACATTCATAGCAACCAACTATGCATCACAACAACACATCCTTTATACGTCCAGTTGAAATATATTCTTTCCCTGCTTATTTCCTCCCTGATGTCCTGACCCCCAACCCCGCCACTGAGTTATTAAGCAAAGTAGAACTTACATTTAGTGAGATAAATAGCTTCCTCGGCAGCAGAGTCACCACCACCAATGACAACTAAAGGCTTGTTTCTGAAAATAGGCACAGCACCGTCACAGACAGCACAAGCAGAAATACCATTTTGCCAGTACTTGTCTTCACCAGGTAAGTACATACGCTTGGCAGAAGCACCAGTGGCGATGACAACGGCATCAGCAGTATCAGTGGGCTCCTCATTTCCTTCAGAACCTTCACGCCAAATCTTGAAAGGACGAGAAGAACAGTCGAGTTTACTGATGGTTTCGGTTTCGATGGTGGTACCGCAGTTTTCTGATTGTTCACGCATCTTGTCCATCAGTTCGCCACCAAGGATACCCTTGGGGAAACCAGGAAAATTTTCAACATCGGTGGTTGTGGTGAGTTGGCCTCCAGGAGCAAAACCGTTGGCCATCATACCCTCAAACATGATGGGGTTCAACTTGGCACGAGCAAGATAAATAGCGGCAGTGTGACCTGTACATTTTTTACAACAAAAATACAACCTTTATCAGCTACTATCCTACTCTCTTCCAAACATACATATCTGACAGAAACTTACCAGCTGGTCCAGAACCGATAACAGCAACTTGACGATGTTGAGGGGCCATATTGAAAATTGAAGTTGTGAAGTTTCTTCGAATTAAAGGAACACGCGAAGAAGAAAAGATTCGGAAAGAAGAGGAAAACATTTATAGAAAAAAATCAAATTATCGATGATTAAATAAGAGCAAAAGTGTTGGACAGGACTGTAGGTCTTTAAAAATATAAGCCCATCAGCTTTCTGCATCCGAACTTACTAAGATTCTGAGCGATCAAATACAATAATCCAATCATACTGTTGCTGCCTATTACAAAGCAGAAGCTTGTCCAATCAAAATTGGGAAAGGGTTCCTTGATGTTCCTAGCTGTATGTGTGTCCAGGATCAGATAAAGTTAGCACGTCCATTCATTTTCGTATAGATAATGATTTGGAATCGAAAAATCAGTTTAAGCTTTATTGGTGTACATGCATTTGCGCATTTTTTTAAGGAAAAATATACAACTCTGTACAGCCATTGCAAATGTATAAAGGTAAAATTTATTCAGAGCCAGCCAATAAGACAGCATTTTAATAATCTCGAGATTAGTTATACCGTAACTTGTGTAATGCTTGTACATCACGTCAAGTATATAACACATCATCCCCGTACTGTCTATCAAATAAAGGCTCTGCTGCTGTTGCTGTAGTTATCCGTCATTCGAAAAGGGCAACATAGACTAATAAGCCTTTTTTTTTTTCTTTTTTTTTTTTTACTTTTATTCTGTATGTCTTCTAAATACTTGATTTTCTCCCTTTATTTCTTTTTTACATAATAGTACAGTCATCTTGTGATCCACCTTTCTTTTTTGACTTGGGTTCTACATGTTTCCCCTGTAAACGCTGGATGGCTCTTTTATCACCATGTTCTGCTGCTTTTTTATACCATTCCATTGCCTCTGCTGGATTCTTGGCTACGCCAATGCCTACTTCAGTAAAGTATCCAATAGCGTATTCTGCTTTTGGTAATTCTTTCTCTGCAGCACGTCGAGCCCATAAATAGGCATCTTCATCTGATTGGGGTAACACCTGAGGTGATCCCACTAAATACCATGCTGTTAACGCGAAACAGGCTTCTCGATGCCCTTGCTGAGCAGCTATTGTGTAATAATGAATGGAAAGGGCTGGATCAGGCTTGCATTCCAGTTTACCATATTCATAACATTCTCCCAATCTAAAGGCGGAGGGTGCATAACCTAGTTCGGCCGCTTGAGCATAGAGGGAGACGGCATAAGGTAGATCGACAAAGACGACGTTTGTGATACCTCTTTCATGTAATAAAGCTAGTTCGTGTATAGCGTGTGGGTATTCTTTTGTAGCTGCTTCAGCAGATCGTTTAAGCCACTTTACTCCATCTCGAGGATTTTTTGAAATACCAAGCTCGCCATTGACTTCTGCAACTCCTAATCTATACATAGCTCCAGGGTGATTTAAAGTGGACGCTTTTCTATATATAGATTTGGGTTATTTGTTGATTAAGCCGAAAGTAAAAATATAGGAGGAGGGAGTATCAAGAGGAGAAGAGATTTTACCTGTAAAATTGGACGGCTTTAGCATAATCTCTTCTGCAGCCTAAACCATCTTCATAACATTTAGCAGCTCTACAATAGGAAGGCTTATATATCAGCATATGGACGCAAAAATTCTCTCTATTCGGTGCATCTAAGCCTAGTCTTCTAAACTTCTTTTTGCATTACCTGTAAGCTGCATCAGCATGATGATGTTTGGTAGCTTGCACAAACAACGGAAAAGCTTTATCGAATTCATTCTTCCCTTTCTTACTTAATAAACCGGATGCATACAAATTTCCTAAATAATATTGTGATTCAGCATGACCACGAGCAGCCAGCTGCTTTAAGAGTTTTTCGGCTTCTGCAAGATATTCCCAACGGGTCTCTTCATCATCTGTTATCGGCTTAGCTGCTTCTACCATGAAAATCGCAAAATCACATTGTATATCAGGGCTGTTCGTCTTTTTAGCATTCTCTCTGTACATATTGATCGTTTGATTATAGGATAATAAGGAAGCCTTTGTGCCAGGTTTTAAATGAGAGTGGTCCAAGAGCTGATCGCTCGCTGCTGTACTATGGACAGATAGGTTCATTACCGAACTAGCACGGGTCGTACTAGCAGGCGAAGCTGCTGCAGATGGTAGTGGTGGTGTTTTTGAATTATCAAAGCCATTCATCATGGGAGAAGACTGTCGATTTAAATGTAAGGATGGGGCTGAGTGATTACTCATTGGACTGGAATATTGAAATTGGTGCTGCTGTGGCAACGGTTGCTGTTGTTGCTGTTGTTGTTGTTGAGGATGTAGATATTGCGGCCGAGGGGAGGGATTATTGAAATTATTAATATTATAATTGGTCTTGAGACTGTTACTATATGCTGGATTTATTTTCTGATTTGTATTGGAATAAGTGGGTACCGGTGAACCTACTGGTCCTTCCAAATGCTTTGGTGGAGGGGGCGGTTGCGTATGCTGAACATAAGGATGTTGCTGTGGTTGTGCCATTCTCTTTGTTTTCTGTATACGTCTAAGTCCTAGATTGAAAAGTAGGAATAGACTGAAGTTGAGTCAGCTTTTGGATAAAGTTGAAGGATTAACAACGAGACACAAAAAGAAAAAATAAAAAAGAAAAGAGAGTTGAAAATACCAACAAAAAAAATACTTCCAAGATTCGACTGAGTTAAATCAAAAAAAGGTAAAAGGTTATTATTGTTTGTGTTGGAAAAAAGGGGTAGAGGAGGGAAGGGTGGTCGCCAATGCTTTCTTTCTCTATATGTTTCTCATATGAAAGGAGATATAAGAAAGGAAGGCAATATAAGGAGTAAGCTACTTGGTTAAAGACAGACGAGGATTACGACTTTGTTACTTAAGAAGGGCATCTTGATTTTTAGTACCTGGTTTTCCGTTGTTAAAAATAGCTTTTCTTTGTTCTGTCTGTCTGTGTTTTGTCTAAGCCTATTTACAATACTGAGTTCTGCTGCTAATTTAAGCATTTTTGATCTAAAGTTTTATTAAACAAAGTAATAAGCTCAAATGCGCTATTGTTTAGACTAAAAAGCCAAACAATGCCGTCATCATGCCATTAGAATATAAGAGTTTCCGATTTAGTATAAGACTTGCATCGATAAAATCAAGAAATAATCAATAACGGAACAATAGACATGAATAACAGGCCTTTTTATTTCTTTTTTGTTTGTTTGCTCTTCCCCTTAGATTTCCCTAGTAGCGAATGCTCACTGTTGCCTAGCTGGGCATCTAAAAGCCTGGGCAACATGCTAATGAGACTAGATCTTTCTCAAAATAGCGTCGCACTTTTAAATTTTTAATTCGTCGCATTGTGATCTCCAAGCGAGGTCAGTAAGGAAAGGAAATATATTCCATATTTTTGCATCGAGTGTCTAAAGCAATTCACGTGTCGATTAAAGTATGGAATAAAGTGAGGCACTTGATACAAAATAAGGAATATGGTTGCTATTTCAGAATATTGTAAAGTGTTTAATATAAGATAGCTTAAAAATAAATATCGACGAGTAAATATGACTTTGTCTAATAAGATCAGTAGAAGCATCAAAATATGCATCTTTATCAATGAACAAGTCATCCTTATTGTTATAATCCAATTCAAGCGATCTTCATGGCGATGTATGTCTTTAAGTAAAAGAAGGCCGAATCCTCATAGTGCTTTCATCCTCTTGAGAAATGCTCACCCAAAGTGCCTACGAAAATGCAATTGAATGAATAGATACTCTAGATTCAGAAGTGCATAGACGTGATGATCTGAACAGCCATCATTGATGCCTTGAGAGATGAAGACGGATAAGTGCTATTTACAAGTAGTCTAGTTGATGTAGAAACAGGACGACAGGCAAAGAAGAATTGGAAAGTGTTAACGGCACATAATTTAATAAAGCACGGATGAGGGAGCTATTAATGAAGAAGCGACTCATAGCAAATTTGCAAACATATTTTCTTGAAGATCATCTTTTCGCGTGATGCGTTGCTATATATCATCCCTAAGAAAATTTTTTGCAGTCCTCCATTAGCAACAGCAGTAATATGCGTACAAAGTGAAAAATTCAAAGCTACTCGTGCTGCGTTGTTATTCTAGGTTGATCAACTTGACTGTAAATTTACATAGTGCTGACAAATTCAGAGACTCTTAGCATGGCCAGGGGATGTGTTAAGAGGTATCACCTCAGTCGGCTCCTTAATTTCCCCGATATCCTTGATTTCTATTGCCGCATTGAGGGACTTCCTAAGTGTTTCCAAGAGCACTATTCGGCTTCGGAAAAAAACACTGGCCGCTTTTCGTTAATTATTTTGTCTGTCAGAAAACTGCGTTTAAGAATACTGGCCACTAATTAAGCTATGATTATGAACAAGCTTAGTTTTTGCTTCTATACTGCTTCACAAGTGAGTACAGTACTCAAACAGTTATACTGATAGGAACATTTAAAGATTCTTGACAGTAAATGAATTTTTGCGCAAGTAGAATTGAGATATGCTTATTAATTACACTGCATTCTACCAGAATAATACTGATAGAGCATATGAACTATGCGACTCAATTTCAAGACAGACCATTAAAATATGATAATTGTATATGCTATTAGGTGAAGAGGCGCAAACAAGAAAATATAAGAAATGCTGTAATACTTACATATGAAGTGTAATAGTCAAAAGTTAGTGTTGAGCAGAATGAAACATTTGACAGAAAAGATAGTATTATTGAGGGCTTTTGGCAACCTTATTCATTTCTTTATATCTCTTAATTAAAAGGTATCACAGCCATCGGCTGTGAGCGCATGTATTGTATCTAGCAAGAAAAGGAACGTCATATACATATGGAAGTGGGAAGTTCGAGCAACCAGGTAAACAGGAGAAACCATGAGTTAGAAAAAAAAGGAAGCGAATTATAACACTAAAACACATGTATAATAGCCAGCATCAGCATATGTTTATACAGGACATAAGAGCGATGAACAAAAAATGTTGAGGTTACCGGTGCCCTTTTTTAGAAAAGAGAAGGAAAGAGCAATGCAACCATTTCGACCTGTACTTTATATAGTCTTTGTCTAATCATTGACGAGAATAATACTAGAATTAAATCGTTCAGTGAAAGTGTACAATACGGAAGTGGCGACCGAAAATGGTTAGGAAGCTGCAAAGACAGGAAAGATTGTCGATGGTCAGTCTGCAGGTTGAAGCGGATATGAGCCAACATTCTCTTTCAACTGCAATGACTGGAACAGAACAAGAAGCGTAGTATCGCCTAATAAAGGGTTACCAGTAACCACTCAGAGACTTTTACTTCTTTGACAAGATCATAAAATTTGCCCGCAAGCATGAGATTTTCATTGAGGCTGAATATCATTGTGATTTTTGGATGCATTCGTGCCATCACTGTTAAAGCAGAGAGTTTTACAAGCTCTCGTAAAAGAGAGGTATTGTTGACTATGAAAATATAAAGATCAAGCCCTAGCTTTGAGTATTATCGATTCAGAATCAACTAAGATTGATAATGTCGTTACTATCGAGAAAAACTGGTTTAACAGATGAATTGGCGTGTATGCTGCTACTGTTCTCTCAATGAAAATAGAAATGAGAGGGGTAATGCTATAAGGGAATACTACGTAATTCCTGATGAACTGTTTTTGAGTAACAAGTGAAACTCTGCTGGCGATACTATCAAATCAGGGGTGATAGGATAACTTGGAATAGAGAACTATTTTTAAAAAAGTGAGAACAGCGGCCGTATAACTTACAGATACACACGGACAATCACAGTGAAAAAAGCATTGTAGCTTCTGGTAGAAATGAAGTTTACTCAAAAAACAACGTAATTCATGTTTTCAGGTAATAATCGTGCAGATCGAGTTGCTACAAACTTGGTGGGATTTGGACAAAGATACTGATTTTTCGTTAGCACAGACCTGTCAGAATAGCAGCAAAAACTTGAACAGCTGGAAAAGCAGTCTGATCTATTCAGGTACATTGAGTCCTTGATATGGTTTGTCACTGAAGAAGCAGATAGACAAAAAAAAAAAAATTCGAGGTGACCAAACCTGCGATATTCGGTAGGTTAATTATAGGAGATGTCGAAACTCAAGATGTCATAGTAGTAATTAAGACGAAGTTATAGATACGTCTCCTTAGCTCTTTCATTATTGTACGCTGAAATACGAGAGGAGTGCGTTCACAGAAAAACAATGCCTGTATTTCAAAAACAAAGTTTGCAAAACCTTTGCGTGTTCGGAGAAGCCCTCTACTGCAAGGAAATAAACGTTCCAGTATTTTCGTCCCATTGGCTATCCATTTTTTTAGGATCTATAAGCCATATCATATGGAATATATACCAGCCGCTTCAACAGCCTTAGGAAGCTTAACATTCATTTTCTGTGAGAAGAGATGAATACAGCGGTCTGCCCAAATCCATTTTTCGAAGTTGTCTTTTTTGATCGAGCAAGATCTTCCACAGCTTATACTACTGTTTCATACGTTTAAATATACCATAATGACTCTTTGAATTATATATGCTTTATTCATAGTTAGTTGATAATCAGTAACTATCACCCTGGACTCTATCGTGAGCAGATTCACCAGCGGGCATGTAATAATGGAAAATAGAGTTATGATCTTTATCAAATGATATGGGAATGAAAGCATCAAAAGGTATATATATATCTACAAATGACTATGTTTGTTAAGGTTGTCTCAACGGACACAGTTTTTCAAATTTTCAGCAGTTTTTAACACAAACAGATACAGCTTCCAAAAAAAATAGATTACCAGTGTTTGACAAAAAAAGCCGAAAAAGAAACGTGCTAAAATGTCACAATTCCTTGCCTATGAACCACTTGACAGTCAACGGTATTATCAAGCACAAAAATTAAAGTTCATTTGTCCGCCAAGATGGTGAATTTTTGATATTGTTTGATGCCATACCTACAACAGTGGAATCACATAATGGTTACTAGAAAGTTTTGAGTGCCAAAAATAACAAATTTGACTTTTGAGAAAGTGCTTATGGTATATCAACGTCATTTCCTTGCGGGGTTCAATGTAAGTACTTTTTCGATCTGTTGTTGGACTAGAGAAGTATACATAAAACCGTTAAAAAGGAAATATTGCTGAACACGAGAGATTCATCGCAGAGAGTTATAAATCCAAGCTTTTTTTTAACAGCTGCTGTAAAAGAATTTATTCACCAAAATTTGACACTAACGTGAAAAGCTTGTACTTACGGTTGACACCTCAATCTAAACTCAAGGAAATTAGTGGGGGCGAAGGTAGGGGTCTGATTTTCGGCTAAATTATCGATGGTTCTTCGCTGTGTGTATGTGCGTGAGTGTTTGGGCTTCCAAGACAACTTTTTTCCCTACATCTTCCCGTTCGGAGGATAAAAAAATAATAAAACGATCAGACAATTCCTGATTTTCTTAAATTTACAAATTTTGCCCTAATAAAAAGAGAAATGTTGTGTATGACCTTTACCATTAAGGGCAGGGATCTTCTGTGAGAGTATTCAACCATTCACACTATTCATGAGTAATGCATCGTCTAAAGACATCATGTAGTGAAAGTAAGCCAAATTAAAGCATGTTTGTATGTCTATATGCATAAACTGAATCAAGATTTGTTAGTAATAGGGTAGTCATCTCAAATCAACATTGGCTAGAATCCTGAGGCTTTATAACATGATGTTTTTCAAATCTGATCCAAGAGCAAGCAACTATCAATTGTTTCAGTGATTTGATCTATGCAGCTAGGACTTCTTTCTGCCTTACCTCAATAGCTAAGGTACCTTTGAAATTGTAGGATTATAGTAGTAGCTGTAGAAAATCAGTTACTTATGAATTCGACTATGTGCGCTTTATATCACTTTCCAAATTGATGCACATCTTAATATTATTCATACGTGAATGATTCAAGTTCTTTTTTCGGGGTTCATGCGATGCGGGCCCACATACACACAACTTTTTCTTCTTTTCTATTTTGATCCGCCACAAAAATGATTAAATAAAAATGTCTCAGCTTGAGGTTTCCCCCTTTACAAAATCCGAACTTATCCGATTTTCTCTTTTAAATAAAGAGGGAAACTGAACGCGCAAGGCCGAATCAATTCTCGCACTTTTTGCTCTCCTTTTCACATCTCTTTCTTTACTGCCTTACTTTTGCTGTAGAGATAGCAGCAGAAATCAAAAGCTATTATTTGTAACTATCGTTGGATTCGTATGCTTTGACTATAAAACTGTTAACGAAACTGACACAAAAGCTTGTGCTTATCTTCTCTCCAGATCAATTACTTATACCAACAATATGAATTTTACATCCTCTGCTTTGCCAAATTTCCATATGAATTCGCAAAGTAGTAAAAGAGAAGAACGTCTTCCTGCAGTGAAACGCCTATTTGAGTCTATTGATCACTCGGTAGCAGGATCCGGCAATAAGTTGTTATCCACCTCTTCGCAGCAACCACAGCTGCCTACTCCCCCTGAGCTATTACATGATTCAGAAGAAGATGATGAGGAATCGCTTTCCACACCTTCTTTATCTTTATCGCCCAAGCAGTCTTACATGAAAGATCAACAAATCAATATTCGTCCAAATTACAATAAAAATAGATCGTATTCGCATAGTTATGTCCGCCCTCTTATATCATTTTCCCAACAAGCACGCCAACAACAGCAGCAGCGTCACCGTAGAAAATCTGTTCCTTACAAATCTCCTTCAGTTGTTCTGGACCCGTTCCAGGCGTCTTTATTTGACAAAAGTATCGTATTTCAACTGAATGTACTACCTCATAATAGCAACAATCATCAGTCAACAATTATTAGCAGTAGTACTACCGCTAATGCAGTAGCGGAAACAGTGCCGATGATGATGAATCCTGCTCAAAAAGGGATTAGCCGGTCTCCATCTTCCAATCAAACCTGTCCAGATTGCGGAGATGCATGTGACTTTAAATGTACATCAGAAGTGATCTGTGGGCAATCCCTCTTATCAGCTCTCCGTAAAAGGGTCGCTCATGCCCGTACTTTACAGCAACAACAACAACAGCAGCAACAACAAGAAGCGTCATTATTACAACCACGCTTGTTACGTCGAAAACGTACGCGTGCCGCTAGTATTATTGAAATTCCTCGATCGCACCGTCGTAGCAGTGCTTCTTCTGAACACAGTAACATCATCACTACCACCACCACCACCACCACCACCCACACCGCCAACGCCGCTACGACGACTACTCCTACTGCTACAGCAGATCATCACACAATAGATTCATCGGACGATATTCAACATTATCAAGAAAATAACCACCAGTATCATCATTATGGTCCTCCTCCTGCAGCTACAGCTCCAGCAAATGTCATCTATCCTAATCAACAACAACATCCTACATGGATAGAACATGAACAATACCCTTCGTTTTATTCAGGGCAAGAAAACACGAGTGCCAATGAAGATCAGCATCAAACAAAACGTTTCAAAAAGATACCCACCACCCCCCGTCGCCAATCAAGCCATGGTGTCTCCTCAGGTCGTCCTTCGCGTGTTAAAGGACCTTGTCAAGCTTGTCAAGAGGCTTCTGATGGTTGTATGCGTAAAGCTTTCGATTGGCCATTCCCTGCTAGTCAAGCATTCAACGATAAAGGAAAGCCTTTTGTATATCTTTGCAATAAATGTGGATTAAGGTAAAGTAATCCTTTCCCCCTTTTATTGTATCAAATTAGAAAGACACACTTTACTAATCCATATCTTCTTCAACGAAAAATAGATATAATAAAAGTGGCGGCTGTGTTTGCCGTCATTGTCGTTGGGTCTTTTGCAAGGAAGAGAAAAGAAAGGCATTGCAACATATCGAAGCGATGCGTAGAAACCGCCCTGACGGTTATGTGGACCCTGACGAAGATATCGAAAACTTTGTCTGCAGCCCCAAATATTGGACATGTGGTAAACCCTGGAAGGTCGGATGGGTTCTGAACAATGTTGAAGAGGAAGAAGAAGAAGCGGCTAGTATGAACAATGCCACTACTGTCTCCACGCCTGTTTCCGTACATGTATAATGATTATCGCCATCAACACTATGCTAAGCTCAAAAAACTCAAACACAGAGAAACCAAAAAAAAGAAACCTAGAAAAAGCCTTGTTAAAAAAAAAAAAAAGAATTCACCATATCAGTCATCCTTCTGTTCACGTTCTCAAAGCCATTCTAGCACTATCTTGTTAAAACTCATGTATATCCCCCATTCTCCATTATTTTCAGTTTTTTGTTTGTATATCATTTCATTCACACTCTTCAATTTAGAAAACCAGAAAAGGCACGTTCTTTTATGTGTTTTTTTCCGTATATCATCATTTTGTACATATAAGATTTCTTTCTTGAATAAAGACACATTACAATGCAGCTAAATATGGTAGGTTCGATTTGCTAAATTCCCAACAGATCAATAACAAGATTGTTATCGAACGGAAAAAATGCTGATAAATCAAAAAATGGGTGTCCTATTTTTCTAGTGTTATAAAAGCAACCAAAAATAAAATAAAATAAAATGAAAGCTTTTAAGTGCTGTAAGTAACTTATCATTCACAAAGTGGACATCACTATTTCAAAAAGAAATCTCTCTCCAGTACATGTGTGCGGGCAGATAATGAACGCATAAGGGAAAAGAAACGATTATCCAGGGATTCCTACTGCTAGAACAATCTCTCCAGAATCAGTTTTACTTTCTTTTGCATTGTGATCTGTTTTGTAGAAAGATAGAAATATCATTTTTTTCCATATTTGTCTAAAAAGTATCATCATAAATGTTTAGCAGAAACCCAGAATTTACGATTTGCCGGAAAGGATATACCGTTTACAATTAGAATATACAACTATTATGCGCGCCAAATCGGTTGCACAGGCCTAAAAATGTTGCGTATGAAGGGCTTCACACGGATTAGTAATATCTTTGTGCTTCATCCTTCCTTTGCACACTCTTTTTTTGTTCCTCGCAGTGGTTCAATTACCTATGATCCATTAGAGCCGTTTTTTTTTTTTTTACAAAAGGTACCGTAAGCTGATTTGTGCAGCACTAACGAATCCGCTGAAAATGACCTTTTATTACTTAGGGCAAAGCTGAGTTTACGTTTCGTAAGGAGCTCGCCTTTGCAAAAGATCACCTTTCAACCTACTTGTCGATATTGTTTGGAAGAAGAGATGCTTTAGGATTATAAATATAGCATGCATACACACACAGTTCATTGCAAATATTAGTCCTTTCTCACTTTTTGTTTCAAACAGTTGCTTAAACCTGCAGTTAGTTATGATAGGTTATTCAAGGATTATTTTCTGACGGGGATAGTAGTTCTTGCTTGTATTTCTCGCTATCAAGATAATCAATTGCCCATGAATCGAGGCAATTATTTTGGCTTTGAGAGGGCCATTATTCTGACAAGCCGTTCCAGTTTGATCTTGATGCCTTATTATTACGACAAGCTCCACTTCAAATTTCACGCAGGGATTTGTGCTCTTCCTTGGTAATGTACGCCTGAGATGTCTGTTTTCAATTGCACACTGAACATAGATGCGAGCATATCAATTAAGCTATAAACTCAAACTTTCTGTCATTTTTTGCAAAGATTCGGTTTCATTATAACAATGCGGACTTGCCGTGAGTTTCCAATCGCTTTGATAATAGTTTACGATTTTATTACACACTGAGTTCGGTCTCTGGTTATTTTTTTTTTCTTTTTTGATTTCTTGATTCTTTTTGTTTTTATCGACGGAGTCAAATTTGAGCGTATAACCTTAGATGGAACGGTTAGTTTTTGTGAATCTCTTATTCAGCATTATACTGCATATTGATTTGCTGAATCGAAAGTACTAATGAGAAAAAAAACATACAGAAAGGGAAAACGAACTGTAAGACTCGAGCTTGATTACCACTGCGTGCCAGGAACGAATCTGAAAAGAAAATCTATGGTAACCAGTGCAGGTGAGTACATTTCTTTCTCCTATTCTTCGCACGTGCGTGGAGAACATGCTAAAATGACAATGCACTTACTGAGTTGATTTCTCTATTGAATTAAGCGTTAAGCTTAAGGAATACAATATGTGCAAACTTCTTTGAGAATTTATATGAATATATAACTGCACGTGTCACAGACTACAGTATGCTTATCAGGATTTCTCATTTAAAATACTCACATAGTAAAAATATGGTTTTAAGTTGCAATATTGTGTTAATGGGGTGATTATATAGAACACACTGGTAAAGTAAATCGCTTCAACAAAAATGACCGTGTCAAGAAAGGTGAATCCGAGAATTCTGCAATTTGTCCCAAAGGAAAAATTGTAGCCGAAAGGAGATGGTTTCAATTTGCTGCAATTGAAACAATAGATACTGGACCCAGCGGAACGTTCGTTCAGTGGCAACAATAACTGGTTACACCTGGAGAGAAATGATGAGAAATCAGGAATGTTTAAATCTTGGTGCATATAGAAGCTGTCAACAGAAGCTGACACCAAGTTTCAAACCTTCAAACCTCAGGACAAGTGCAAGGCTCAATTTCAAGGGCGTTGAGTTATTGAATAGCTAATCTACTGATCCGGAACATCCGTTTACTATACTCACGCTACACATTATTAAACAATATGGTAGTATAGGTTGCTTTTGGAGTTGAACTACGTAGCCATAACTTGAAAACGCCAATTGAATGCAAATTGATAAGTTGAAGCAAGTCGAATCAGTACTAGTAGTTGTATTCTTATTCGTAACGTGACGTCCTTATATAAAAGCTCTATTAGCAGTCTATTTACCTTGAACATCATAATAGATCACAATGTCTTATCAAGTTGAGCCAATTTGTACATTGTTTATGGATAATTTGATGAGCAAGGGACAAAAAGCAACGGATGATTGCCAGTGAAGCCCAATGGTTTATAGATCGTAAGGACAAACTGACAAGCAAGACATATGCTGAACGTTATACCTTACTGGATAAATAATATACCGTAAATCGATACCAGGGTATCATCTCTTTGTTATTTTCCACAATACACAGTAGAAGATCTCGAACAATTTGAAGCGAACAAGTAATTTCACATCATATTGGTTGGAAGGAAGCAACTTAAATACTCAGTTACATACGAGACCTGTTCGGACTACAGAAAAAATGTATTAAGGGAACAAACAACAACCCTGACCATTATTGTTCAGTCAACAACTCTGCCGCATGCAATGGATAGACGATCCGCTGTTTTCAGACCACTATATGCTTGTGCTTTAGGTGCCTGATCTAACTTTCTGCATAATAGCGCTTAGTGTAAGAATAGTCACATATTATAGTCACAATTTTTTGTATTTTGATCAGAAAAGTGGAATGTAAAATTCTTGTCTATTACAACACTAGATCATTTCACTCATCAGTTACCGAATCCTTAATTATACATAATGGCAGCCAAAGCGAAACAAAAGAAACTCGATGAAATAGCTGCTGCTGCCATGCCACCCGGTCAAAAAGTAGTTGCACAATTCAAAACAGCAGAAGGAGACTCAACTGGGCCTCCTCTCAACTTACCCGGTGATGTCACACCTGAACAATTAGAACTCTTATTAAACCAACTTTTGAATCAAGTAAGTCAACCAAAAAAGCACATATACATATAAATGTATTCTCGGCTTTGATATGCCATCTTTGTCTTTGTAACTGGTATATTTATTTTTCTTTTTCTCATTTCCTACTTTAGGGTGACGATCCACTTCCTTATTCGTTCCATGTCGACGAAGACGAAATCATCAACAACTTATGGGTCGATCGAAAGAATAAATCCACTGAAGAAACAATCAATATCGTTTATCAACCGCAGGCAATCTTTAGAGTACGAGCCGTTTCACGGTGTACATCCACCTTAGCAGGCCATACGGAGGCTATTTTATCTTGTGCTTTTAGTCCAGATGGAAGCCAATTAGCCACCGGCTCAGGCGATTGTACAGTTCGTATTTGGGATTTGAATACAGAAACACCACGCTCAACGCTGAAAGGACATGCAGGATGGGTATTGTCCATTGCTTGGTCTCCTGATGGTAAGACTCTGGCATCCGGTAGCATGGATAATACGGTTCGATTATGGGATCCAAAAACTGGTAAACAAATTGGAGATGGTTTGAAAGGACATCGCAAATGGATTACAAGCTTAGCTTGGGAGCCTTATCACTTAAATTCGAAAAGTAACCGATTAGCTAGTTCGTCGAAAGACCACACTGTGCGGGTGTGGGATACTTCCCTTAGACGTATGATTTTTACAATCTCTCAGCATACAGCGGCCGTGACCTGTGTCAAATGGGGTGGTGAAGGATTAATTTACACAGCCTCTCAAGATAAAACAATCAAAGTTTGGAATTCATCGGGCATGTTGGTCAAAACATTGGAAGGTCATGGCCATTGGGTAAATACATTGGCTTTAAGTACCGATTTTGCGTTACGTACTGGTCCTTTTGATCATACAGGCAGAAGACATGCTACGGAAGAAGAAGCTAAAGAAGCAGCCCTCAATAGATACAATACCCTTAAAGGCAAAGGACCGGAGAGATTAGTGTCAGGCTCAGACGATTTTACGATGTTCTTTTGGGAGCCTGAGAAGAGTAAGAAGCCTACCACACGTATGACAGGGCACCAGAAATTAGTAAACCACGTGATGTTCTCTCCTGATGGTCGATATATCGCTAGTGCCTCCTTCGATAACCACGTCAAATTATGGGATGGCAAAACGGGTAAATTCTTGGGCAATCTCAGAGGACATGTTGGTGCTGTTTATCAAGTCAGTTGGTCCAGCGATTCTCGTTTACTGATCAGTTCAAGCAAAGATAGTACACTGAAAATTTGGGACATCAAGAAGATGAAGATAAAGATGGATTTACCAGGTCATTTAGACGAAGTTTTTGCCGTGGATTGGTCACCCGGAGGAGATAAGGTAGCTAGTGGCGGTAAAGATAAACAGCTTAAAATTTGGAGACATTAAAACATTGCTTCCAATTTATATATACACACCTGTTTTTTTTATTCTTGTATTTTTTATTACACGTATATCTATTTTGTTATTCTGTACATGCTTTTTGATTTATTCTTATGAATTAATTATATTATATAATATCTGCTTAAATATTCACTCTATAAATACAAAATGGTCGGATGAAATCTAATTTTCTGTGGGGGTAGTAGTAGTGCCAGTAGTATTTGTGGCTGCCGCACTGAGAGGTATTGCATCTAATTTAGCAACGTTTTCTTCTTCTTTCTGCGAATCTTGCTTCACTTTTTTGGAATTGTCATTTTCTTTCGTCTCGCCAGTTCGCTTTTTAACTTGTTGTTGATTGTTGTTGTTGTTCCCATTATTTGCAGGTAATTTTGGTCTGAAATAGGGCTGACATCTCCAATAGGCATACTTACGAATACCATTTTCATCTGCTTGTCCTTGAACGTCCTCCCCTTCACCTTTCTCTTCTATATCTTTCATAACCGCCACTCTAAGATCTTTGACAATACTATCGTATTCGTCTAATGTACGTGCTTTTCCTAGCCTTGCTCTCATTTCTGTGTGGTGAGGTAAAGTTGAATGTAGAATTTTAAATAAATGTCCCTTGATGGCACTACCGATTGTCTTGACGTCTTTACAAATATCCAAATATTCTTGAGCCATATCAATAGCCAAAGGTGGTAATTTCATGTCTTTTGAAAAAATAGCTGGATTGTACAGACTTCCTTCTGCCGTCATAACAGCATCACATCCGGTAAAGTCCATACACCGTTGGAAATCTTCGTAATACAGAATGTTGCCGTTGGCCACCACAGGAATTTTGACAGCTTCTTTGACAGCCTTAATTTTCGTCCAATCTGCCAATCCTGTGTTATGGCCCTTTTGTTCTCTCAAACGCCCATGCACAGTCAACATCTGAGCGCCAGCTGCTTCTATCATTTTGGCATATTCAACTGTTTTTTCAACAGAAGAAAAGCAGCGAATCTTGACAGTAACAGGTACAGCCAATTCCTTGTGCAAGAGGCTTACCATTTTAGCAATCAATTCCCATTCATCCTGTAAATAAGAGCCGTAAAAGCCTCTCTTAGCAATATGTTGTGGACAGCCCAAATTAAGATCTACAGCATCACAGTCATCTTCAACAAGCTTAGCTGCATTCAATAGAATGTCAGGATCGTTCGCGCAAAACTATAAGAAGGAAATTTAACCGTTACAATTTATTCGATCAGAAGAAAAAGGTACACGACTTCTTTATAAAACAAAACACTTACTTGAACAACAAGTGGTCTATCTTCTTTGTTTGTGGTAAAAAACTCATCACGATACTTTTTGGATTCAGAAAAAAGTCTGGCGTGAAGCATTGGAGTAAAACAAACGTCGCATCCATACCGTTTGGTCAAAATGCGAAAGGCCAATTCAGACTGATCGACCATAGGAGCCAAGATTGTCTTTGGTGATTTGAGAGTTTTATTGAAAAACTCGTATCCTTCTAATTTTACGGGGCTCATAATAGTGTACGACCAGCTTGGTTAGGTCTTTGACAGTTCAATGATATGAATTGTTAAATGAAAAAGAAACCCCTTCTTTTGATCTACTGCCAAAATTTTTTTTCTCTCCACAGACATTGAAACTGAACCAATCATTTTTTAACCGTTGCATCAGGCCAATCGATGAATCGTTCAATTTCTGTACATTTAGGAAGCCTGGAAACTCCTGTAGATTCGATATGAAAGCTAACTTTTAAAGCTGCAACTGTTCAATTCGCAAACGATTTGATATTTTAATGAAACTTTATATTAAATATTAAAGTATAGCCCTCTTACAATTTTATTTTGGTCGTGAATAGGGCGGTGCTAAGTCAAACCATGGTATAATAATCATTTACTAACGCGGAAGCTTTGGTTACAGTTTTTCTTTTCTTTTTTTTTTGTTCTTTTTTTACTTGTGCTTCCTAGTTTATTTTCCTGATTGTTTTGCTGACATTTCCAAGTATTGTTTTTGCCGCAAATCCAAAACTCGTCTTTTATTAAAGTATTCAACCTGAAAAAAATAAACGAAATATACATGAGCTCTGATGTTCGTAAAAAGTCGGTTGTACTTGATTTAGTTTACCCAACTGGCTATGCAACCTTCTTCATAGGCTTTCTTCAGTTCTAAGCATGGAGTTGCTTTTTCAGGATTTTTTTCGACAGTGGTGGGATCTGTGATATTTAATTTGTCTAGACAACCAAAATATTTGTCCCGTAAAAACCAACATCGTTTTCTTTCTTCACGACTGGGTGGTTTCGTTGCAGTAGGATCTGTCATTTTCAGTGTTTTGAATGATGAAGGTGTCAATGGAGTTATGAAAAACAGAAGCTCGGCTTTATTCGTCTGAGGCTGTCAAAATGCGTACCCCAGGGGCTGAAATTCAAAGACGAAAAAAAAAAACCCAAAAAACATGCGAATGAAACGAGGGTAACCTGTTCTTTTTATATGATGGAATATAATTTTGAGAAACAAACTAAATTTGTTCTAAAAGATACTATGTAAGCATACGTATACGTGAATGCTTGTTATAGAGTGATGAAATAGGGAAATGATGGTTTTTTTCACGATGGGTTTTCATGGTGATTTTACACATTAAAAAAAAAGAGTTCAAAAATAATCAGAACACAAGGGTAGCTATTAAAAATAGAGAGATATATGTAATTAGCAAATACGGAAATTGACATACAGTCAAACAGATCGTCAGGCAAGGAAGAACAAAAGAACGATTTTAAGATGATGTATACAGCGGCGCTGATGGTTCAGGCCAACGTAGAAGTGGTGACATTGAACTTATGTATGATGTTCGTTTTCCGCATAGTGCAGCTGAGATAAAGGTGAAGGCGAATGTTTACCATTATGGGGACCGATTTGAGAAGCCACGTGCGTCACTTCACTATCACGGTACACTACACTTTCTTCTTCGTCCCTTGCAGATGGAAAAGGGGCTATTGCTTCATCTGTTTCTTCTGATGATTGTTGTTGTTGTTTTTGCAGTTCTCTTGCTTTACCGCGTTTTACCCATTTTTTGAGAATTTCAACTTCAATATTACCAAAGATCAATTGCTCAACATGATAAAGTAATAAAGGTGTAGATAAAACTCCAACCGTACCAGGATCACCATTTTGATATAAAACGTTGATAAGTGGAACACCCATAGCTACTGTTTTGGTAGCACCACAGAACTATGTTAATTAAGGAGGAGATGATAAGCAAAAGATTGAACATCTACCAAGTAGATCTTTTTTTTTTTTTTTTTTTTTTTTTTTTTTTGTTCCCTTGACTTTTACCATCACAGCAACTGTATCTTCTCGTGAATATCTTAATCTCTTGACGATCGCAGGAGTTTCGATAAACCTTGGTAGGGGAAGTCGAGCGAGCACGAGACATAGCAGTGAGAATAAGATATAGAAACCAGCATTCATAATAGCTACCGCTACAACATCTTTTGGTTTGACAGCAGCAAAAGAACCAGAGTAAACAGCGTCTGAAAAGACAGACCAAACCATGGTTAAGAGCATGAAGCTGCTGACATCTGATAGTCTGCACTTCACTTTGATTTTGGCTGCTAAATCAGTAAAAAACCATTGGAATATTTGGCCTACAATGAGTGGTACCAAGACAGTCAGGCCTAATTGCTTAAGAACTTGGACAAAGTCGACTTGTCCACCTGCTTGAGCGGCGCTTTCATCCTCTGGAGTAGCTGCCAATAAGGGACCTTGAAAGGCAGATACTAAAGCTGGAGAGACAAAAATACCTAGTACATTACCCAACGCAGCATTCATCAAAGCTGTTATTTTGAGATGAAAGAAAGCAGCGAAAGGATTAGTTTTTTAATCGATGTAAGCATTTTTACTCGTAAATTTACCGGAAGCCTCATTGCCGTCTGCATTTTTTGTCATGACTACATTAGAGGAGACAGTAGTAGGCGTACTTGCTGCAATGACGACGCCTACAAGTAACAAAGAATTGATATTCATATGGCATTTAAAGAATAATAAAACGAGGCCAAAGACAGTGAAAGGAATGATAATCAAGTTGATGGTTTGGATCAGAAAGTGAAGTCGTAGACGTAAGATTGTCTCTGCTAAGATTTTTGTTCTTAGCGATAAACCGGATATTAAGAAAATAACAATGACAGCACCTGCAAACGGCGACATGAAAGGAAGGTTGTCAGTCTACCACAAATAGTAACAAAGAAATTTATTTTCAGTACTAAGTTTACCCCACTTGATTGTCCACTCAGCTCGAAGATATCCACCTTTCCTCGCTACATTAGGAAAGAATATCGCTAGAATGATAGCAATGAACAAGCCCAGAAGAAACCAATATTTAGCAAACAAACTTCCTACTGTCTTTTTAAATGAGGTAAGGAAAGGCTTTTTGAACTGATTTGCTGCTGCAGTAGTATGAGTTGGAGATGGTGTCGATGATTTATCCGTATAAACAGACGGCGATAATGACAGATGTTTTCTCTGTGAATCGCTAACAGGATAACTGTTCTGTACGGTTGTTGCACTGGCGAAGGAAGAATTTGTTTTCAGTTTTGATTCGTCCATCATCAATTTGAATAGACCAAAGAAAAGTGATGGAGAAGAAGATGAAGTAGAAGAAGAAGCGTGGTTATTCGGTGATTTACGCAGAAACCTGGATTTTATAGACATGTTTATTTGTTTTTATGTATCCAGCTGTAAGAAACTTTATGTGTAGAAGAACAGGAAAGAAATAAGAAAGAGATTTTTTTTTTCTGCACATCTTATTTTACTTTATTTGGAGGGATTTTCCTTCTTGTCTCCACTAGTTAAAGGAAAAGGGGTCAGACATTACTCAAGCGATTTCATACATATTGAAAAACTAGGGGATTTCGTTGGAAAGTCAGCCAAGGATAGGGTTAAAATAACTGAGAGGAGAAATCTACAATAAATGTCGAGATCACTATGGCTGAGGAAGGCTAACAATGAACAGAAATACACTTCGGGTGAGGGCTCTTGACGTTGTTGTTGTTGGGAGGGGGTGTAGATGGCCTATCCACTGCTACTGACGAAAGGCTGCTTGACTCACTGCCATGCACACTTTTATCTGTTATTAAATCGATCTATATTTATCTTAAATTGCAATTCGCTTCAATATCTCCCTTTTTAAAACACTTGATGACTATAGACTAATTTCTGTTTCAATACTCTCAAAAATGTCGTAGAATAAAAGGGTTTCATTTGATTACTTTTCTATATATTTGGAGGAAATCAACTTTGGATGTCGAGCACACTAATAAGCTTAAACAGACAAGGTTTGAAGATCACGAAGTTGCCACTTTTGGAACATCTTCTATTTGAATAAAAAAAAAAAAAAAAAAAAAAAAAAAAAAGAAAGAAAGATTAGACTCAAAGGTTGAGAATCCTTTGCGGCATGTATGAACGCGAATTTGACCAGTTTTCTTAGAACAGATAAAGCCTTTTCATCATAAGCAGCCAGTGAAATTTATATAAAAGTGTCCCCCTCTCAAATCAACGCATCCTCATGGATTTTCATTCAATTTTTCTCTCAGCGTAAAAATACCAAAATAGTATAGTATCTTCACTTAAAATCATTTACACCAAATTATGTGATGCTGTCTATCTGTCTGTTTGATAATCACTTTCTACACGTTTGATAGGAACCAAAATTCCCATTTATGTATATTTTAACTGTTTTCACACATAAAATTGCCAAGAAGTCATCACTATCTATATACGCATAGCAAACTAAAATAGAAAGGCGTCAGACAACATAAACAATAAAGTATTATGATCTGACAATATACATGTTACACGCATAAAATAGAATAATCCGTTAAGAAGGTTTAAAAACTTGCCGTGTTAATTGTCAACGCTATGCAAGTATACCTTGCATTCTATTATGTAGGGTGCATAAATGGTAACAAGATGCATTCAATAGAACACGAGAACAACAGTAATATACATATATCACGATAAGTGTAAGGCAATCGTAAACCAAAATTCAAATACTTGTTGTTTGTTACGAAAAAAAAAAAAAGAAGAAGAGAATGGACTGCTAGTTTAATATAAACAAAAGGATAGCCTAATTATTCCGAAAAACTATAAAAAAAAGAACTGCTCTGTCTTCACAATGGTGGGTAACCTTAAAAATGGATAATCACTACTCTTCTTGACAGCATAGTTAGTTTAAATAACATCTCTTAACTTTACTCTGACTTTTATGAAAGGTTGAAGAGGTGATAATTGAAGCGTTCATTATATTACTGGTCTATTTCTTCGCCAGTCAGAAGAAGGTATCCACAACCGGGCGTCGAACCATTCCTACAGTGCGAGGACTGCCTCATACACATCTTCAAGCGTTTTTGTTTATACAGCTATGCGTCATACGTGAATAGCTGGTTTTTCAAATCAGTCGTACAGATTTATGTTGGTTTAAGCTGGTTTAGTGTAATCGAGTAGAAGCATTCATGATGATGCGTGATTATCAATCTAGCACGAGCTTCTTGATATTCACAAAACCTCCAAGTTGTCCTAAACAATCAACAGGAACCACTATCTCAGTAGGAAGCAGCTTCTGAAACACCGAAAGCCAGGCTTGTGCTTTTGAAGTGTCGTGTTCAAAACTACCTTAGTTAGGCTGCCTTAACGGCAAAGATCCTAAACTACGGGCATTTCCCTTGTCACTTTTTTTAATAATTGTGCGCATGGTCTTCTCCCTTCTTTCCCCACACAATATAGAGCAATACATTAAACTTACCTCCTAAGTGATACAATTAGGTACCGATGGTCTTTATTCTTTTCTAAAGCATAAAGACCAAGAAGTGTGATCGACTGCAGATTATGGGCAACGCACAAGATGGTAGACGATCCCCTTACAATCACTTCCCCTCATTTATGCGCACAACAGCGATGGCACTAAAATGAGCAACAATGACTTTTGCTAACAAAAAAGGATTCTCTTTTACCCGGATCTTCAGGTATTCGAGTAGGTTACACACAATGTCAGAACACTCTCCTTATGTAAGCTCATGTTGTAAAATCATTTGGGTGGAGCTTCCACTGTTCCATATCCGATGTAAGTTTTATTAAGAGGCCTCAAGCCGGCTTACTATTGCAAAAAGATTTTCGTGTTCAAAGCAATTGCTCTAATTAACATATCGTACAAGCGAGCGTACTTAGCTACGGTTTGTTCGTTTCATATTAATCTCGACAGCAGCGGTTGACTCAACTTTTCTGCTTCCATAAATTATAAATATACTTAGCGTAGAATCTCCTTGTCACTGAACCTCTCGACAGTGAAAGTTGCTACCTTAAATTGGAGAAAGCCTGAATACAATACTGTTCTTCCGTTGACTTTCGCACGAAATGGCTATTAAATTGAGACTATATTACAACTAAATTCAGATTAATTTAAAAATTATTTTGGATGAAAAGTATAATTTTTGGGATCATACCTTTTCTGTCAAAATGCTCAATGCCAAATGTGCGAACTACTATTACTCAAACAAGGTAAATACTGTGCCAAAGCACAGAATACCTACCCTGTTTGAGTATGTAGTAACGTCAAGCAGCAGTTAATAAAACCCCAGAAATGTACAGTGACAAATTTCACAAGATGAACTCACCTAAACGCGTAAAAATCTTTAAGCCGTCGGTATAAAACCTGCAGCACCATTTTCGTTATGGCGATGGCGAGAGAAAATGTCGGGGCGGCCATTGTGTTCCCATACGGAATTTGCAATAGTAAGCATATTTTTGGCCGCATTGACGTCTCTTTGCCATATTATACCACAGGTTTTGCAGGCCTTGGTACCATAGACGCTGGAGCCGTTCGAAATTCGTACTTCTTTCATTTCGACACTATTACAATTGTTACAAACCTACGAAAATGACATTACTTTTAGAGAAGGGCACTTGATTTGGCAATTTGGGATCCACCTTTGAGGTTTTAAACTCACAGTATTCGATGGCGATGCTTTTCTCGCTTCTAGCCTTCTCTTTTTGCCCTTCTCTTTAACTTGCTTTGTTTCGTATTCGTCTTTTCCGGACTTTCGTTTCTAGGCTAGAAAAGCGTATGAACAGAATATCAGTGAAAATGAACAGGAAATACTACCTCTTCAGCTATCTGTTACCATTATATTCTGGACACAAGTATGAGCCCTTATGGGCATGTCCTTCCCGTCCGCAATCAAAACATGTTTCTAGAAATGAATGGTTCAACGATTCTAATTGAGTACATAAACGAATATTAAACAAAATACAGCAATAATGAACTGACTTTCTTTATTTTCTTGCTGCTTTTTCTTCAACTTTGCTTCAAGGTAAACTTTTGCTTCTCTTGAAGGCATGATAAAAAGCTACTCAAAAGATACAAACACTCAGTTACAAACAAAATATGTACAGTGAAGTCGTTGTGAGTAGCTCGTGATGAGATCTCATTTTAATCTACCTGATGATCCACTGTTAACACTTCTTTAATAATTCTTTAAAGGATATCCAACTAGACTCTGATAAAATAAGGGAAAAGATACCAACTTTTCATCTTTTTATAAACTGAGGCTTTTTGTTATAATGTTATATTTGGACAACAAAGAAAGTTTTGACAACAAAAACATTATAGACAGATTTCTTTGGACGCGCTAAATCTTGACACCAAATCAAGACACGTTTATTTATCACTTCATCACTTCATCAGTTACTGACAACAAACAGGCGTTTTGAAGTTAATTTATACAATCACCTATTGTTATTGCTTTCTTTAAGGGAAAAATGACACTAAAGTGATACAATTTTAGATCAAGAGAGATGCTGAGCAGTCAATAAGAATACAGGATTGTGAGTCATTTACATAGAATACAACTGGACAACCAGTTCAAATGGCAGCTAAGTAGGTAATTCTTCTGGGCCGATCAAACAACGAAACTTACTGCAACAAATGCGTGCAAAAAGAGGCGGGCCTCAGATGTTTACTACAAGTGTCCAAATGTAAAAAGTAACTTGTCCGAAAATAATAACTTAAATTTTCTGAATTAAGTCAATTAAAATATCCAATTTTGTATACAAAAGGTCTAAATTAAAACCGAAACTACATTAGTCAAATGCGGGGTTACAACTGGTTATTTCCCTTTTTTCTTACAACAATTTCCATGCAGCCACAAACAATAAAGACCAAACCGTTCCTTTTTTCTTAACCAAAAATTTGGAAATGGCAGAAACAACAGTAACAGTAGAATCAACAGCAACGGAAGTACCCTCAACAATGGAGCAATTATTAGAAAAACACAAAGAAGAACAAAAGAAACTTACATCCATAATAATTGGATTACGGAAAAGTGCACCTAAAAGTGATAAAAGGAAAAAACGGGAGATCGCCTCAAAGATTGCAGATTTGGAATACGATCTAAAAAAAAAGCAAGAAGAAGAAATACGAGTTTTCAAAGCAAAAGAAGCAGGACTAGATCCAGATCAAGCTGAAGAAGAGGTGAAAAGAATAAGGAACAGTTTTGGCCTTCTGAAAGTCTACAAGTAAACTTACCAACTTTATATATCTACGTTTACCAGTTTGACGATGGCATTTCACTAGATCGCTTAAACGAGTTGACTCTACAAGATAAGAAGTCGGATACAACACCTGAAGTGAAAAGTATAGCTCCTGAAAATAAGCCCAAGAAAGTCAATAAAGCAAGACAGAGAATTGAAAAGCGTAATGCAGAAATGGAAAGGTTACGTTTAGAAGCTGAGAAAGAGGCCGAAAATCAAGTGGATATGAGTACTGTTGAGACAGAAGCCCTTACGAAAAAGATAGCACCGTTGAATTTAAGGATAAAGCAGATAACTGCTGACGGTCACTGGTAAACATTCATCATAGTAAGCTCGATTATTAGCTTTTGAGATTAACTCAGTGGCGAATACACTTATTTTCTCTTTTATCTAGTCTTTATAATGCATTCTCACACCAGTTAAAGTTGAGATACGACGAAGATGTCAACTATAAGGAGTTAAGGAAGTTGGCAGCAGACTATATGCGCAAAAATGCTGATGATTTCACGCCGTTTTTATACTTGGAAGATGGAGATTTCAATAAGTACTGTGATGATATAGAAAATACAGCCCGTTGGGGAGGTCAATTAGAGGTATTTTTTCGTTTCATGGAAGGCTACGAAGAAAATAATGAAACTACTATATTCACAACATTCATCCATTATAATTGCTCGATATAGGTGTTGGCGCTTGCTAAAGCCAAGCAAGTACCTGTGGATATTATTCAACATGAAGGACCTGATATAAAGATTTGTGAAGACGAATACCCAAATAAAACTCCACTGAAGCTAGCGTAAGTGTTTCATTATACCGGTTACTAAGACCACGAATAACTTACAAATTTTCTAATCTTGATTAGTTATCACAAACATCTCTTTTCATTGGGTGCTCATTACAATTCTTTGGTGAGCCAATCAAACTCTTAAATGATTGATCTATCTAAATTATATCGTTACACCTTTTTTTCAATCTAAAAATCTGTAAAATTAAAAAGATGTGCATAGAATTTGAGCAACCATGGCTGTCAAAGTTAATTTTTTTTTATTATTTCTATTTTCTGTTTGTCGTTTCGTACTGTACTACTTTTTTTTTTCCTAAACGAAATCTTTTCATTAATTATGACACTTAATAATACTGAAATCGCTACATTCGCGGCAGGTTGCTTTTGGGGAACTGAGCACATCTTTAATAAACATTTCAGGGACGTAGGCATCAAAACTCGAGTAGGTTACATGGGCGGTGAGTTGGTGAACCCTTCTTACAAGCAAGTGAAGGCAGGTGATACCAACCATGCTGAAGTCTGTCAAATTCTCTTTGATCCTGAAAAAGTCTCCTTTGAACGACTAGTCAATTTCTTTTATAGCATGCATGGTAAAGTATGGGCATCCCTTGATTGCTGCTGCATTCTGGCAGACAATTTATTGTCAATTCACCATGCCTATCTTTCTATCTTAGATCCAACAACGTTAAATGCTCAAGGTTCCGAAGATATTGGTACGCAATATCGCTCGACTATCTTCTACCATAATGATACGCAAAAAGCTATTGCCGAAAAAGTAACAAGATTCGTTCAGGAGAAATACCTGCCCAACCAACCTATCGTTACCACTTTTGAGCCCGCAACGACATTTTACGATGCTGAGGAATACCATCAATTATATTTGGAAAACAATCCTGATGGTTATACAGTAAGTTATGATAGTTATGTATCGTAAAAACGTATGATTTGAATATTAAAACGGTCTGTCATATGTACATTTAGTGTCCAACTCACTACCTACGTTGGTAAATCAGGCCTCTTAGTAATGACTGCTAAATAATTTTCACCAAATGTACATATAAACGTAGAAGTAGTTATTCCGCTACCCATGTCCATTACATATTGTTCATCTAATACTTTATCTCGGCTTACTTCTCTTCGGTTGATCGTTTTACTACTAGTCATCATACCGGATTAAAGAGTATGCAATCATAGTACGTAATTTTTCTCCTCTAAAAAGTGGAATAATTAAAGGCAGGCTTTTATTGAAACGAGTAGAACCGAAATAATAAAGAACTGTGGAACAACGTCTTGTCATTGATGTAGATTGATATATTCCTTAAAATCTCTGCAAAATCAAATCTGAACCGCAGAAGATACACTTTGTGCATTTTCTCACAATGAAGTTGACTAAAGTGTTCGCATCATTATTACCCGCTGGAAGAGCTTTGGCTCCACATGAAAAACATTTTCTGGTATTAGGCGTCGATAAGACCTTTTGCGTCAAGCTACAGAGTTCTGTTAATAATAGCAAGTCAAAATCATCACTCGGTTAATTTGTTTCTTCGTTTTAATGTGTTGTATGTAAATGTCTTTGGAATACTTACCCCAAAAATGACCTGTGTCACATTGAGCTATTGAATCACTTAATATATAAACCTGCGCCTCGCATACTGGACATTTTTCGCGCGGTTTTCGCTCAGGTGGAGAAGACTCTGAATCAGCTTTAAACGTCTTGGCATAAATTAATTCTTCTTGAACTTCAATACTTGGATATTCATCTTGTAGTTTGCTATATATTGCTGCTGTGCACTCTAACAATTTCCTATCTTTTAAAGTGAGCGCAAAGTCACAAAGCAGTAATACCATTGTAATATCTTCGTCTAATTATTGAAATACAGCAATGTCAAATACCCGCTTGATACGCCTACATTATTCCTCGAGAAAGAGATTTTACCTGTCCATTGTTCCGAGCGATCTTCAAGTGTTTCTAAAGCATAGTTGAAAACATTATAGAGAAAGTTGGATTGTAGACATAGTTTCGCTTCTTCACATGCAGAGGTCAAATCTTCTTCAAAATAACAAGGTCTGTAATTCTGCGAAAAATCAAGGATAATCATCATCAGTATTTCAATCTTCACGAATATGGCAAATGATAAGGCCTACTTCTAACAGGAATTTTATGTTGATCAGGATTCTTGCACTAATTGTACTACGATCGCAGTATATTGATTCTACAAACGATGTTTGACTGTCATAGGCATAATTAGGTTAGTAGAGGAACCTACCATTCATTCTATCTCCAAACAGTTTCTTTACCTGGACTTGCTTGCTTCCTCTATATATTTTGATAGTTCTTTGATTAGGTCAACAAATGATTTTACATCATTATCGCCGAGGAAAAATTCCAAGAGTTCCCAAAGTGCGCCTCTGATTGATTTTCGGAAAACTAGGCGTAGAATTTACCATTAGCCAATGATCAAATAGCTGGCAAAGGATAGTAAACTTACAAAAGTATGGATCATTCGTGAACGACTGTATTAAATTGATCACACCAGTTTGGTCATTTCTGTCCTTTTGCAGAATAAAAGCAAACGCTACAGTTTCATCTGATTCGTATCTGTAATATACATCCACATCTGGCTTTAAGCTAAGTACATAAATTCGAAGTTAAAAGCGAGTAAAGCAATGGTAAATGTTGTGCGTAATAGTTTCGCAAATATAACTTACGAATAAAACAGTGCCGTATATAAATGATTCGGGCCGTCTACTGCACCCCACAGATATGGTGTGGCGCCCGTGGTTGTGAGTATACTATCTTCTTCAGCGTCTAGTTGTAAATCCATCCACTGTTGTGTATATCTCTGCAACAGTTTTTTATTCAAGACGGAGTGGGCCTGCTCATCCACTTCCAGACGTCCGTGTTTGTCGAAAATGAGATTCAAGCCTTCCCCCTCCACAGTGTAACATTGGAAATTTGTTCCTGTTAACCAATTTCCAGAGCTCAAACCCAACGCAGAATGCTCTAAATTATAGGCCACGAAAGTTTCCTGAGCTGCCTGCAAGGTTCCATCTGCGCCGATGATCATGCATAAACATTGAACGCTGCCCCCGCGGGAGAGTGCAATCTTTAAACAATTTTCATCATCTTCTTTGCAATAAGTGATTTTAGCTAATGTCGTTATTGTAGGCTCGTCTTCGAACCATGTAAATAAACGTTCAGCTTCCACCTTTTCGATACATGTTACAGTATTATCATCCTCCAGCAAAGTAAGTCTAACTGATGTTAATGCCACGGTTCCATCAGTGCTGGTAGAGACAATATGAGCGATATCTATTAAAACCAAGGTTTTAGGTTTCTTTCTCCTTTCTCTTGCATTTTCGAGCATCATAAATAATAAATGGAAGTTCACCGTTACATTGTGATTTCTCGACATTTATCCAATCAGTCCAGTCTAATAGATTCACAAATCCTTTATGTGCTTTTACGGTGAGTTCATGGTTCACACCTATATCTTCGATGTAGGACCATATATTGATCTCGCCAGCTTTATTTGACAAGGCAAAAAGTATCGGATTTATCGCAAGAGGGTCAGAAATCAGCCTCTTTGACCAATCGCCGTCTATCGAGTAATTTGCAGAGGTTAACTATTACGAACTCTCTTTGTGCATCACATTAAAAAATTCAAACAGTGGTCTTACAGAGAGTATAGTGAGGGGTTATAGGTAAAGTGCTATCACCAGCAAAACTGTCTACTATTTGATCTGTCAGGTCTGTGAACTTTTTGATTTTACCAACGCAGAATTTAAGTGGCAGTGAGTAAGCGAATAACGTAGTCCAGCCATTAAAAAATACTGAAGAAGAGTAAAACTTTACCAGCTGCCAGTCAGTTGTACCTGCTTTCTCTGCCGAATCCTGGTACAACAGCACTCTATGTTTGGTCGTAATTACTAATAAGAAGGAGCTTTTGGAAGGTGATATTCTCGATGGCGACCATTTAGCACAGCGAAAACCCTCTTCTAGTGCATATGAAGTCTCAATTGACTCCGGTCTTACTATAAATTGTACAGAAGTCAATAATCAAACTGATACAAAGCAAGCGTAAGAGACAGATACATACATACAGCTTTTTCAATCGAAGGTTCCACTAACTGGGGTAAACTGAGACCAACATGTTTATAATTATCACTTTTAGAAGTGGTACCGGTTAAAATGGGAATCTAGTTGTTTATTTCAAATTTAGGTAACTAACTTATTCTGAAGATCTGCCATTCAACATGTAGGCTTCCTTCCATTCAACTACTAACTAACCATAATGTGGACATTATTCTCCAAACAGATGACAAACTGTCCATCCTCATTACACTGAACACAGTCATACATGAAGGGTCTGTGCCTAAACGATACTCCTGATTGAACTTCCATTTCGATCTAAACGGTGATATCAGTATTGCTGAAGTATTAAAACTCAAAGCATAAATATTTGGAAATTGGAAAAAAAAAAAATCAATCAGATATTGCAAACGCGCCGCGAGAATTTCACGATCTTTGCAGAAGCGGATCAAAAAAAAAAAAAAAAAAAAAAAAAAGGCGAAGCTCTTCTAACTTGAGCTGACAAGAAATTAGGCAACCCATTTGATATTTGAAGAATCCTTCGCACCCAAAATGACTACTATTGCTGCTTCCGCGTGATAAGTTTCTCATAAAAAACTTGACAATATACGCCCAAAATGAACATTGAGAGGCAGTGTGATAATTTCCGGAAGGATTTCTACAAAACTATCCACTTGACAGTATAATTAGAAACATATGTAGGTTATCCAAGAAAAGCATATCAAACTATTCGCAATAATTGTCATGAATTCATATAAGACGATATATACCATGTTAAGTTATTATTCGGTTATGGATATATGTTTACTGTTTCGTTGAGCAAATTGGATATTGTATAGAATTCATCAATTGAAAGCTATCATAGTGGTATACGTGAACATAAATGTGCAGTCAAGTTCTTATTGTAGTGTCCCTTGATTTATGCGAGGCTTAAATATGGATACTTTTTATACTTTGTTGTTCTTAAAGTTCAGAGGTGTATTGATCATCAATCCCTTGTTATGTGTACAAAATTGAACTGTTTTCATACTACTTTATATGTCTTTTCCTTAATAGCTTTAGAAAACACAATGCTAAATATAATTCATTTATAAACGAATGAAGTCTATAGGAGAAAGACATGTTTAGCTATGACTGTAACAGAAGGTCAAAAATGAGGAGATATTCAACAAACATTCTGTTTTAATTAACAAATTGAATGTCTGTTTAATTTGTGAAAAAGAAAAATGTATGCCAAATATGAATTTTGTTACGTAGATTACACTCGGTAACGGATCCTATCAGTGATGTCGTTAAAAGCAAGGATGAAAGCATGTTTAAGAAAAACCGAGTATCTTATTGTGCGTTTCTAAAGCCTTCTTTTGGCCGGCTGTAGCTTTTTTCAAATTTGACTTCGGGAATAATAGCAGGGCCCAGTTTTTTTACTGCAGCTGATTTATTCTTAAAAGCGGCTAAAAGCCTGAGGTAGGAATTAGCGAGGACAGACAAATCTTTGGGAGCAATCTGTTTCTTTAACTTCAAGAGAGCGGGATCAACCAAGCCTTCTTTACCTGGCAAGATGGGCGAAAACAGAACTGATGTCGCCTTTCGGCTTAAGAGTTCTGGTCATTGTTGTAGCCAACATTTAAATGCTTTTTGTATGCAATTCAAGGAGAGAATAAGCAATATTTGTAAAATTTATCTCTTAGTGTGAGGATGACCTCCTATTTATATTGTAGGTGTTTCCAATTTCACAAATTTGATATAGTGGCAGCGAGCCGAAATCGAACCGCAGAAAAATTCTTGTGCAAGGCGTGGGAAAGAACAGCATCAGATGCATTATGGATACATTATCCATTGATATTGTTGGCTACCACGCTGATCAACAAAGTGGAGAAAGAATCTACTTGATTAAGTGAATGGAATTAAACAGACAAGATCGCACTTTGTTAGGCATAGTACTCTATAGACGGGAAAAAAAGATGTGTATATGTTATCGAGTTGAAAGAATTTGTGTAAAAGAGAAAATGTAGGTAATATTCATTCAATTGTTAGTCTCTGTCAAATTTCATGTAATATATCCTCTTTGACATAAGATGTTATTAATTGATTCTTTCGGGTACCGATTATCAGAATTTGCTTGAGAATATATGGTATCTACAGTGTGAATTTCAAGATTCTTAAGAAGAAGGGAAACAAATCAAGGCAGACAGTATAAAGTGTTCTCCAAGGGCGAAATAATGCTCTATCCACTAGCAAAAGTTTATAATGCAAAGCTCCATACCAAAAAACAGACGACTGTCATTTCCCGAATGTGTCAAAGCATCTTATTATACTTAGAATGCTGGACAGCACTATGAAGAACAACTGCGCTTTGAGATTGAAAATGCTTTATTGTTTCTCATATTGTCCAAAACAGTGCAATGGTAATTCGTATTCTACTATTTGGCTTCGATAGTTGTAACATGTAATCTTCTATCATCGTTTGGAGAACACGACTGCAATGAGCTTTTGATCCGCAGAAGCAAACCAATATAAAGAAGGTACTACACAATCTTTAATTGTAATCTATTTTAGTGCAGAAAATTTGAATGATCTATAATATTAACTAGTCATAGTTAAGTGAGGCATTAACCTATTTTACGCTTTAGACAGCCATGCCGTATTTGCCTCTATCTCGCTAGGTATTATGCGAGCTAATTTACATATTATGATTCTTTACGATCTATATTAAGGACCGCTAATAGAAAATTTCGTTTTACGATGGTACATTATGGATACAATTTAACTATTCATTTGTATTAGAAAAATTGTCGTCTGACCGATGAATACTTTTAAAAACTCATTGACTTAGTTCAAGCTATCAAATACAGTAATGCTGCATTCAATCCACAACTATACAAGCTAGCATTAATATAAAACCGAATTTCTGTGCTATAATCGTTATGACACTTTATTATTGCTGAATTACTGCCTCCAACTGTATAAAAAGTTGATATCCCAGTCTACTGAGCAAAAACTTCCCCGCCTTGCTCTCCTACAAATGATGCAATTTTCTTCACTTGGTTATCCCATTCTTCAAGTTTCTGTTTCATGCCGTCAATCTGTCCTTTATCCAAAACACGAGGTTGTACCCAAGTTATCACAACCATTTGATCAACTTGATCGATTGAACCGCGGATCAAATTCAAGGACAATGCTTTCATCACCAAATGCTCTACTTCATCCGCTGAAAGTCGTGTTTCGGCTGCAATTTCTGAGAAGGGAATACAACGGTTGTCTGTAGAGCGTTTGAATACAGCTTCAATGAGTGACATTAAACAAATCTTCCTTCTGAGTGCAGCTTGATTTTGTTCAAGTAAAGGTTGTTTGTTGAAATGCGGAACGAGAGCTTCGAATTTACCAATATCGCCACTGTTGAATGCAAATAAAAGTGATCGAAGCCAGTCGTGTTCAGTGTCTTTTAGTGAGTCAAGTATAGGGTGCATTAGCTGTGGCCAACAATAAAAAGGTTAGTAAGCAATAAGTCATTGCAATAAATTATGATACTGTACGTACAAGTTCACCAAAATTATAGATATTGTCTCCCATCAATGCAGCAAGCGAAAGATCATAAGCTCTTTCAAGTCGTTCCTTGTCTGCCAAATCTTCAATGTTCACACAGGCTAGATACAATAATGTGCTTCTGTAATAATGGGCATAATCGGCCTTGACTTTATAGTATTCAGCACTGACACGATAGAAACTGGCATGAATGACAGTTTCAACACTATCAAAGCCGTCTAAAATTTTCTCTGACTCATCCATAGCTTTTTTAACATCTTCGGTCTGATTCAATCTTAACTTGAATTGTGCTGATTCCATGAGAGCGAGTACATATACATCTTTTGTTTCTGGTGTGTCGACTTTTTCGATAATGCCGTTTAAAAAGTTGACGGACTCATTCAGATCTATGAGACATTTTACGACAGAAAAAGCTAGTAAGAACACTTGCTTATCATGGGGCTTCTGTAATTCTGAATGTGTATGACGTTTTTACCAGAAAATTGTTTAGCAGCTTGAAGTGCGATTGATACGAGTGACAATTTATTGATTTTATCCTCCCATTCGGCTACGAAGTTTTGAAACAGGGAAATCTGATGAGGTGCTGAATTCGGTTCTTTGAAGAATTCGAGTATCGAAAGTGTCAGCTGATGCCATAATCTAGATTAATGAGTTATTGGCAACGTCAGTTCCAGCAGGGACAAAAATGGATACGAAGAAAGAAGCAGACACGCTTCCGATTAAAGAATGATTCTTACTTTCTTTCATATAGTTCTTCGAATGTAGTGTAGTAACGTTGGAGCTCACTAGGAACTTTTTGTCTTTCTCCGTAAAGGAACTTGGGAACGTCAAAGTCAACTTCCATTTGTTGTGCCATTGTTAATATGTATGGTTTAAATAAAGAATCAAGGAATAGCAGAAAAGCTTGCGCGTCTTTGAAAGAAAAGAAATAAACCGTCGCGCTCTGAATTTTTTACGTCATTTGATTAACCTGAAATTTGAAATATGAAGGCATTTGAATGCCTTTGAATAGCTATTGTGTTGGTATCAAACTGGAAACGGGCATTCTTTACGAATAATCATAACAGCAAGCTGATGAAGAGAAATGTCAGACGCAGTATATCGTTCTCAAACAGCCGAATTACATTAGACATATATCTAACGCCACGTACAACCCAACATTTAGCTAACTTATTTTATCGATGTAATTCATGTGAGGCCGCAGGTGGTTGACATATTATGAGCAAGTTAGGAAATGAGGGTCAAGTGGCGTCATGTACGAAGTACCACGGTCGTCTCTTACACATTAACAATACTGGAAAATAGGCAGCTTATAAAAAGTGTGTACCCTCTTTTGGTGATAACGTCCACGACAAATGGAGAATGATGTATTTTATAATCACTAAAACGATATATTAACACTTTTTCCTACCTTTATCCCAAAAATTCATTACAATGTTCAAAAATTTCGCAACGAGAAAGGCACTTGTGCCCTTTGGTATAGGCCGCGCGACAGCTTCGCCATTGACGGCTTTTTTCGTTTTCGACGTAGGTTAAATGGGATGCCGTCTTCGTGTGATTCTCGGTTTAGCTGCCTTCATCAGGTCGGTTTTTATAAAGTATGTATATCTTCTGGGCAGACCTCGCTGTGATTTCACGTTGACTTGGCAAGTGTACTGTAGATCATGCTCAGCATCTATCCGTTTGCGATTGAAACCTTTTTCATTCATAAAAACGCAACCATTCATGAAGTCGACTTCAGCAGCTCACCATTGTAGCGTGAAGCTTTAACATCCTGAGAGCATCTTTCCCAGCAGTGTACTTGTTACCCTTTTACAGAGAAAGATGATATTTCTCCCTGATATGTATATACAGGCTCCCATACTCATTTACCTTACTATCTTGTCATAAATTTCATTCTTACTTCATGTGATACGAGACACGGATTCTTAAAAAAGCTCGACCAAATACTTCCTGTGTTCGGGGAAGAGTTCCTGAGGACCGTTTCCATTTTTGGAACTTATAACACTGTGATGTATAACAGTATCATCACTTCGTTATATTCTTTTTCTTTATGTGATAAACTATGCTTCAAGATATACCTCATGCTACTATAACTCGAGCAGATATTCCTTTCCTTCCTACTGAAACAAATACAGCACTAAATCTGTTCAAAGGCCGTATTTTTATAGGTTTTCACAAGGATAGTAATTTCTTTGTATCTTGCTTTACGCCAGCTTATGTGTTGGGTTAAATGTTTCTTTATTCACTGCATACACTCTTCAATTCGTTGAGCATCGTTGTTCATCGACATTGTACCATGTTGACATCATCGTACAAATTGGAAGCTTGGGTAGGTCAAGAAACGCATTCATAGCTTTGGAAAAAATTTTCGTCCAAAAATAAAATTGCCTATTTTATAAGACAGTATGGCTGATGTAGCTGAAAAAAGGAGTCTGTTGACTTTAATCAACTACTTTGGTCTGAGAAAAGCTCGTTCTTTTTCTTTTCTGTTTCAAAAAAAATTAGGAACGAAAAAGGCTTCTTTAACCGATTTCCTTCTTTTTCTTTCTTTTTCATCATTTGATTTTTCCTCTTCATCTTTTTGACCATAATGGATACTTATCATAACTCCTATTCACAACAACAATACTCGCCTCCACCAATACAACAGCAGTACCCGCCCCCGCCTCAACAATATGCATCCCCACCGCAAGATTATACAACAATGCAACCACCGCAATATTATGCCACACCTACTGCACAGCCACCCATTGCTGCAGGATATAACACTAATGCAGGTTACTCAGAGTTAGGCGAACACCCCATCAATGCAAACGATAAAATCAGACCTTCCAGTGGGTTTAAAGATATCTGGGCGACTATTTTATGGATCTGTAACATGGTCGCCTTTATAGCTTTATCCGTTGTTGGCTTACGTAGCTTTTCATTGAATAAAGGATCGTATGGGGGTATGCCAGCTCAGCATGGAGGCATTACACTTGATTCCGATACAGTAAAAATCTTTGGCTATTCAGCAATTATCGCGTTCGGATTCAGTTTCTTGTATTTAATACTTGCCAACATGTAAGGTCTTTCTTCATTGAGCAAAAGGCAGTATCATCAGTCAAATTGGTGCTAAGTGTGAAAGTGTTTGTTTCCATGTAGATTTCCTGGTCCTTTGATTACAATTACTTTTATTGGCAGCATAATTGTGTACCTTGGTGTCACCATATACTATTTTTATATGCATTATTATTCAGCCGCAATCATATTTTTGATTTTTACCCTACTATATGCATTCTGCTTTTGGTCATGGAGAGATAGAATTCCATTTGCCACAGGTAATTCAGTCTGATTCGTGAAGTATTCAAATGTGTATTGTTTGCTCATGTATCAGTCTTTTATTGGTATTTGAATCAGTTATGTTGAGGACAATCACATCAATTACAAGAAAGTATTGGAGTACTATAGTAACAGGCATTGTATCACTCGTTGTTCAGACTGTGTATTCGATTTGGTTCATGATCACTGTCGTAGGAATATATCAGGTTTATTACAACAACACAGGCAGTAATTCCAAATTGAACGCAGCAATGGTGTTTTTAATATTTTCATTCTATTGGACAACTCAAGTTATTTCTTATGTAACTCATGTTACGCTATCCGGTGTATTTGCTACTGTTTACTTCTTGAACAATCAGATTGCTCATCCTATTTGGGGCAGTGCAAAGCGAGCTTTAACAACCAGCTTCGGGTCGATTTGTTTTGGTGGCCTCCTAATCGCATTGATCAACACACTCCGTTATTTCATACAAGTTGCAAGATCAAATACAGACAATGAAGTCTTTGCTTTTATGCTATGTATTCTAGACTGCATTATTGGTTGCTACCAAGGTTTATTTGTGAGTAGAACTATCCTTATATATATATACTCTAAACCCTTTAAATGCTTACAATTCCTTTCAATTTTGTAGGAATGGTTTAATCAATACGCGTTTAGTGGTGTTGCAATTTACGGTCAAGCATTTATTCCTTCAGCTAAGCGTACATGGGCTTTAATTCAAGATAGAGGTGTTGAAGCTTTAATCAACGACAATTTAATTGGTAATGTGCTGGCTATGGGCACTTTACTTGTCGGTGTTTTATCGTCACTACTTGGCTATCTGTATCTACTCATTGCCAAACCAGCCTACAACGCAACGGGAAATATGACACCTATTGTTATGTTAATCTGCTTTGTGATGGGTATGTCTATGTTTTCAGTCATTACTACTGTCATCTCAAGCGGCGTTACGACTACTTTTGTCTGTCTGGCTGAAGATCCAGATGCCTTAAGAAGGTAAACTTTTTTTTTGCTTTGTTTTTTTTTACAAAAAAAAAAAAAACCAGTTTATTCCATAGTCTAACTAATACTCGTCTTAATTTTTGCTTTTCTGCGGTTATAATAGAGTTAACCCGCAACTGTTTGAAACAGTAAGTTTTCAATAACGCTGTTTTTCTACTGACAGGGATTGTCAAACTAATGTTTTCTTTCACGCTTTCTGTATAGATCCGTCAAACGTGGCCTCAGGTTGTACAAGGGATTTAGTAGACGCGTTGAGGCTCAAAAACTACAGTTTTTGTCCCAAATGCTTTTGCAATATTCATTGCTATTTGTCCGAAGATCCATATCATATACAAACAGATTGCCCGTTTTCACATGGTAGTGCGTGCATCTGCCAGAAATGTTTATTTAAATAGAATAAAATAAGGACAAAAAGGAGTTAATAGAAAGAACAATAGATAGACACAAGAATTTTGTGGTTGATAGTACGAATAATGATGTAAATAAGTTCTTCCGCTTAAGCGTAAGGGTTTGCTGCAAACACTCTGATAAGCGGTGGTGTTTTGATCATTTCAACTGTAAGCATGACTCGAATTTTGTCCAATGCCTTGATTGTTTGAGAACATTGTTCTGTACTGTAGCCTGTGCTAGTGGATAGTCTAGAACTAATGATGGAAGCACGCTTGGTAGCTGATTTTCTTCCATTTGCTGAAGCTTCAGACGAAACAATACCTGCTTTAGCAGCAGCGAGAGCGATTGCTTGAAATTCTTTATTGTTTTCCAAACTCGACCTATTATCATCTGTTGTACTGAGGCTAGTAGAAGAACTGCTAGCCGTACTAATTGTACGCTCAGCTGTAGAGGAATTCGATCGGGATTTTTCGGGGTATGCTGTTGACGTTGTGTTATCAGTCGTTGTTAAAAGCTCTTCCTCTTCGTACTCGTCATCTGAAAGACTCCATTGCTGTGGTTGACCAGTGGAAGGGAGAAGCCCCTGCTTCCAATACATCGTAAGAGCACGTTCTTGGGGATCAAATTGATGTCGCCACAAAGGCAGATTGGCCAAGTGAATACGTCTTTCTAGACCGAATTCAGGTAGCGAAACATCAAAATAGTCATCCATGACAGCAATGACACGAGCTTCACTATAAACGGTCGTAATTTCAGTTGGGTCATTAGGCATATGCTGTTTTGTCTGTTTGTAGACAAGGTACAAAGCTAATGATAATAGCTTGCTTTGCTCGCGTGCTGCGAAACCGGCTGCCTTTTTGACATTACAATGTTGAGCGAGTTTTTGTACCGTGTCACGATCCAAATAAAAATGCTTATCTGCATATATAAAAGGATTTCAGTTTTCACTGTTACAAATGTAGTATTTAACTCCCTTCGTAAATAGAACTAATCAAAAACCCTACCTCCAGAAATAGTTGCTTCAAGCTGTCGATGAACAATAATATCTGCGTATCTTCGAAGAGGGGCAGTAAAATGGGTGAAAAGCGGAACACCTGAAGCGAAATGAGCATACTTCAAGATATCAAAGGCACCTGTACAAAAGTATTTGGGCGGCTGCATTGTCTTCAATACCAATACTGATATCAATTGACGTAGTTCTTCATCTTTGATATTTTGGACAGACTGTTGCAGTGCTGCGGCACTTTGTATTTTGAGTGGAATGCCAAGATATCGTAATGCATAATCTCTCAAATCGTGCTAAACGGAAGGAATGAAATAAAAAGATAAGTTAAAACAGTTAACAAAAGTTATGCTGCTGAATCGATCCTTTAACGATGCTTTTATAGACTTACAATTTTTCTGCTATTGGGTGGGTCCTGACAACGCAAAAGAGCTTGATCGGGGTATTGACTGGATATTTTCTGAGCAATGCATCGATTGGCCATGAATGAGAACTCTTTTACTATCTTGACGATGGTGGATTTGGCTTCTGTCAAATATACCGAAGTAGGTTGATTAACATTGTCAAAGCATAATGTCTTTCGTGCTAAGGACATTGCATCTCTGGTATAACGTAGTTGATGAAGATTTAAGGCCATATTATATAGCATGCGAACATCCTCACTAATTTCTTTGCTATATCTATCATCATCTTTGCCATCGACGATATTTTGCGCATCCTCGTAAGTCAATTGAGCGCTGGATCTGGAAACAAAAATAAAAACAGTAGGAAGAGTTAAATATAGACTTGTAGTATACTAAAAGGGAAGGAAAAAGGCATGTCTTACCTTACTACCGTTTTACCAACCCATGTATCCAAAATAATACCCTTTGAACTCAATTTCCATATAACAGATACGGCAGGTCTGTTAAAGTTGTGGAACAAAAAAAAAAAAAAAAAAAAAAAAAAGAAAAAAAAAAAAGTCAGACGTAAAGGCACCTTACCTCTTCGGAATACATTATGATACTTACTTTAGATCATTTAACGAGAAATTGGCCAAATCAACTAATTCTTTTGGCACCATTGGAACACTTTTTTGGTCAAGATGTACATGGACAGCTCTTGCCCGAGCTTCCTTATCCAAAAATGAATGAGGCGTAATGAAATGAGCAATATCTACTACGTGTAAACCAGCTTCGAACGTATCATCCCCTAAACGGACAATGGATAAACCATCCTCAAAGATAGTGCTGCCGACCGGATCGATGGTAATCATGCGATGCTGAGGATTCTCCACGGTCAAATTGCGACGACTACCATCTTCAGGTGGTATATATTCAAAAGGACGAGGAGGTACGCATTCCATTACGGCATCACTGAAAGGTGCATCAGATATGTTATTATCTGCTAAAATGGCTTTGATTTGGACTTCCAGATCTGTGATAGGGCCAAGCTCCCTTTCTAATGTGCCAAAGGGATGCAAAGAAGTAATTGGCCACCGCTTAATGGAACCAACAAATAACCGATTGTTGTAAGCCTCATTGTTTTCGACGAAATCCTCAGGTATTTGTTCGATTGGAATGGCGATCAAGGGGACACGCTTATCAGTGGCTTTGAACCAAACAATACGAGGCGCCTCCTTTTTAGTGTTACTGCTGTTATTGTATCCATTTCCATTTTCTTGCTGATTTTGCTGCTGAAGAGCAGCACGTTTGTTGTTGGGTCGAGATAATGTGAGTGTGCCAGAAAAGACCTGGTTTTGTGCACGTTCAAGGATAGCTACGACAACACCTGCATATTTAGGTTTAACGACATCTACTTCCTCATCGCCTCCAAAAATGATCTCATTCTCGTCTTCTTCATCAGGTAAACGCGCTTTGGGTTGCCCATTGTTTCTTGCCAACTTGGCTTCTTCTTTCTCTTGCTTTTCGCGAATCACCTTTTCTACGTTGACCAATCGAACAGCTACAACGTCGCCCTCTAATGCACGGTTACGGTCACGCGAACCGCAAATATAGATATCCTCACCGTCCAATTCATCACAAGTGACATAGGCATCACTACGGTTTCGTTTGTTGACTCTTAAAATACCACGTACCAACTGTCTGCCCCTGAACAAAGGAGTTAAAGCTGAGAAGGGTAAATGAGCAATGAATAAGGGTCGACGTTGATGTGGGTTGGCATCGTCCCTAGAAAAATTGACACGAGTAGGTGTGAAGGGTACAAAGGAGAATGATGATCTATCTATGTTTCCGGTACTGTTAAAGGAAGCAGAACCTAAAAAAAGAAGTTAGAGAAAAATAAAGCCGCTAAGGTTCCCCAGAAAAAAAAAACTAAAAAAAAAACTTACTGTTTCTCCAGTCATCAAAATTACGAGACGAGCGCCGATTGAGCGAACTTCTTCTATCCGTACTGTTACTACCACCTAATGACAAACTCAATGATTTACTATTCATTGAGCCTCGTTTAGAATGATTGTTAATATTGCTGCTGTTGTAATTTGCCATGAACGAATCGCCATATTCATTCAAAACTGGCAGTTGCTGTAGTGAAGCACGCTTTTTCATTGGGTCTTCTCTTCGGTTAAAGGTGCCCATTAATTTAGCTTCTGCTTCTGCCAATGCAGCTTCTCTGGAGATATAGGTGTTCTCATCACTAGGGCGTCTTTCCAAATTACTGCCATCTGAATTGGCAGTAGCAGAAGTCGGCGGAGGAGTAGGTGATGAGGAGGAGGGCGAGATAATGGGTGGTAGGGTTTTCAAAGTGTTAATCATGTTCTGTAGCGAATCCACGGTCATTTCCTCTTTCAATGTATGTAAACCCATAAAGCTTCTACGGTTTCTAACGGCATTGCTGTTATTGTTAGCGGTATTCAATGAGTTATTACCATCTAAATGGGTGTTGTTGTTGTTGTTGTTGTTGTAAGATAATGAATTGGTCGATCTCGATGAAGATACAATAATCTCTGGGTTTATATTAGAGCGAGATCTTTGATGACGAGGTGTTGGCATCAAGGATATAGGTTGACGGTATCGGTTGTTTTGGTATTGGTAGCTTTCGAGTTGGCTTGAACTAAGACCATGAATAGTACGGCGCTTATCGTACACATTACTTGAAGGCAACGAAACCTATTTTTAAGCTTTTATCTTTAGTTTTTCCCTCATAGAGCTTAATTATCATAATCTTACCGCTGGTGCATCGAATAGACCGCGGGTACTTTCTGGTGCTGTTTGCTGATTTAGAGTGTCATGATTCATTGATGAAGCTGATGTCGAGATGGTGAGCTTTGGTAACGGAACAGACAAAAGAAAAGAACGGAAAGGGATAGTACAAAAGAATAGAAATAAATAATAAAACTGAAAAAGACAAGGTTGTAAGGAAAAAGAATGGAACAAGAAGTACAAATAAGCAGAAGAAAGAGGGCAAATGAATACTTTTTTTTTTATTTTTATTTTTTACTGTTTGTCTGATTGTTGGTGCTGTTGTTGTAAATAGTATGTGATATTCATTTTGTGCACTGAAGTCCGTAATTCGCCATGCAATAAATGGAGTCCGAATTAAGGCGTTGCACGAAAAAATTGCAGTTGGTTGCTGGTTCACCAATACTTCGAATGCAGCTTGAAATTAGGTTTAAAGGGGCATGAAGGCTTAACTTTATATCTTAAATGCTGTGAAAAAAGCAGGCAGTATTCATTGCCATTTTTACACAGATTTATTGATTCTAAACCAAGAATTGTCGTTATTATGTAGCCTATGTCTGTTGATTTAAGTATCTTTACCTTTCTGCAAGTCTAAATATCTTAGTGCTTTGATTTGCAATATTGTTGTGGCATTATATTGCACGATGTAACCATCTCCGAATAAAAATTATGGTACAGTTCATGTGTGTATACAGCTGGTAAACGTTCATGGTATCACTTCCAATCGACATAGCCACAATCACCTCGCTTCTCTAGCACAAGCTATCACTTCATTCGCATTATCTTAAAGCTCAATTGCCACCTTCGTGTTGTAATCGACGTTGACGATATTGTATTTCGCTTCTGTCTGCTAAATGGATTGGTGCTGCCTACGTAACACGTGATCAATGTTCACGTAAAGGAAAAACAAGCCCAAATTATGAGACAGGACCGCAACAGTCTAACCAATCAAACTATAGCCCTTTGATGAGCAAAAGTCAATCTTTTCGCTTCCATGGAAATAGAGATTCTGGATGTCCCAAGTTTCAGAAAATCCAATGGTGAGCAACTAACCTTCCGGCTACTTACATTCATTTTTTTTTTTTTTGAGTTTTACAAAGCTGTAATGAACAATATGCTCCAATATTAATTCTTATATATTGTTCATAATTATAAGTCAAATGTGGTCGACCATAGCGCAAGTTTCTACACTATTCTTAGCTTTTTTGATCCAACTATTCAAATCCAAAACTTAAAAAAAATTGAAAGTGCAAGGGAGCTGTTGAAAGGGTACAATCTCTGGACTAACTAGCGTTCGAAGTGATTAATTATTATAAGCGGTCATTTGGAAATGCTGTTTCGTGATAAATGGATTGGTATACCTGTGAATTGGTTCACTCCTGAAAGTTTAGAAATATATTACTGTAGATCACAGCGATTTCAAAGAACCGAAATAATCGTGACGGCTGAGCCAAAACGCGGTTCCGCTGTGTTGAGGGAAAAAATTTGTTCGTAACTCGCGTTTCGGTTCCTTTCTTATTCTTTTAAAACATTAAAAGCAACATTATGACTGATTTCAATCGTTTATTCACGTCACAAGTCATCGGCAGTGTTGCGGATATTCCTACACCAGGTGCTGTCAACATGGACATTGACGACACTCAAACCCAACGTAATAAACCTCGATCCGCCTATGATTTCGATAGCATTCCGCGAGTCATTGATGAGACGGGTTTGGCAGTTAGAGAAGCCTTCGAAAAGTTTTTGGAAATGTAAGCCTTGAATTCACCCGAGCATCATAAAAGTATATAGTTTGTTTCTAATGTATTTATCTCTAGTTTTCAGTATCCTGCAGAAGAGGCTATTGTATCTCAAACTGCAACTTCCTCAAAGTGGGCTAGATTCCCTTATATGCTACAGCTCGAGAATTTTAATTTAGCTGATATTAGTACACTTTTTGTTGATTTTGCTCATGTGAAATCAGCCGATAAAGCTTTAGCAGAAGCTATCAGCACTCAATACTATCGGTAAGAACTATTTCTTCAATCAGAGAATGCTTTATATGCATATGTAGATAGCAAAAGGTCTCTGATTTTCTTCTCTCCTTCAGTTTCTTGCCATTTCTACGTACTGCTGTAGCTAATGTTGTGAGCAGACATTTCCCTGACACGGTTTTCGTCAATGAACCTCAGCTCAACTCTGTCGAAATGAAGAAAGCTAGAGAATTTATTGTTGCTTTTTATGGCATGGATGAAGTGCTTAGAGTTCGTCAATTGAAAACAGACAAAATTGGCCATCTAGCGAGTATTAGTGGTACTGTCACCCGTACAACAGAAGTTCGCCCCGAATTACTTTACGCCTCTTTCACTTGTAACGAATGCGGCAAAATTGTAAACGACGTTGAGCAGGAATTCAGATATACAGAACCCATCATGTGCCAAACACCTAGTTGTTACAACCGCAAAAGTTGGACATTGAACGTTGAGCAATCAAAGTTTGTCGATTGGCAAAGAATCAGAGTTCAGGAAAATGCCAACGAAATTCCGACGGGTAGCATGCCGAGAACTATAGACGTCATTGTTCGTAATGAAATGGTCGAAAGAGCAAAGGCTGGTGATAAGTGTATTTTTACGGGTACCTTGATTGTTGTGCCAGATGTATCTGCTTTCAGATCACCTGGTACATCTGTCGAAACTCAGAGAGACGTTACCAATCGTGTCACTGAAGGTGTTGGTAATGAGGGTGTTACAGGTCTGAAAGCATTGGGTGTCCGCGATCTGACCTATAAGCTCTCCTTCTTGGCCTGTATGGTTCAACCAGCTAACCTGCTAAGTGCTAAGGGTACTAACCTTCACGGTGAAAATATAGAGGAAGAGACACAGAAAGAATTCTTTTCAGCTATGACACCACAGGCTATGAAAGATCTCGAAGAAATGGTCAAACAGAAAAATTTGTATAATCACTTGGTCAACAGTATAGCACCATCTGTGTTTGGACATGACACGATCAAAAAAGGTGTCCTTTTACAATTGTTGGGCGGTGTTCACAAGCAGACACCCGAAGGGATCAACCTTCGTGGTGATATCAACGTCTGTATTGTCGGTGATCCATCTACCAGCAAATCTCAATTCTTAAAATACGTTTGCAGTATTATGCCCAGAGCAGTTTATACATCTGGTAAAGCTTCCAGTGCTGCTGGTTTGACTGCCTCAGTTATAAAAGATGAAGAGACCGGTGAATTTTCCATTGAAGCTGGTGCTCTTATGTTGGCTGATAATGTAAGAGCTTCTAAATTTCAAATTTCCGCGAATGCAAACGGTTTTAACTGATTTTTCATTACTGTTCACAATATAGGGTATTTGTGCCATTGATGAGTTTGATAAGATGGATATCAAAGATCAGGTAGCTATTCACGAAGCAATGGAGCAGCAAACCATTTCCATCGCCAAGGCCGGTATACAAGCAAGCTTAAATGCACGTACCAGTATTCTCGCCGCTGCCAATCCTGTAGGTGGACGTTATAACAAAAAATTAACCTTAAGACAAAATATCAACATGTCTGCGCCCATCATGTCACGTTTCGATTTATTTTTTGTCGTTTTGGATGAATGTAACGAAATTACTGATTACAACATTGGTAAACATATTGTGAAGATTCATCAACTGAGAGACGAATTTATGACACCCAAATTCAGCACTGAGCAAATTCAAAATTATATCCGTTATGCTAGAACATTTAAACCTAAGGTAAGATATCATTGGACTATCGAGATACCAATTGATAGCTGGAATATATGGCTGATGTTTACCATTTGTTGTATTCTTGCCTGCGTCATAGATGACACCAGAAGCAGCAACAAAACTCGCAGAATGTTACAGAGATTTAAGACAAGGCGATGCTCAAGGTGTCACGAAGAACTCATATCGTATTACAGTCAGACAGTTAGAAAGTATGATTCGTTTATCAGAAGCCATTGCTAGAGTTCATTGTAAAGAAGAGGTAACTATCCTGCAGAAAAATGCTGATTTTCTTTTGTTAAAACTTGTATTCATGGCAAATTATTCCTCTTCTTCTCAGATCACAGAGCCATTCGTGTTGGAAGCATTCAGTTTACTGCAAAAATCTATCATTCGTGTAGAGCAAGATAACGTTGAGATTGAAGATCTTTTGGATGATGGAGAAACTGATGAAGTTATGTCTAGCGCGGAAGCTCTCAACGGCATGTCACTGAATGATACAGAGCAAACAGGTAATGATCCTGTCGCGCCTCGTGGAAAAATCGCTATCACATACGAAAAGTTCGAACGAATCAAGCTTCTACTCGCACATAAGATTAGACAGCACGAAGCTGATCAAGGTAAAATGCGTTTTACTCTTAATTAGAGATAAGAGAAATTGCTAAGCTTCTTGTTTTTAATACTTTAGGGGAAGGCATGCGTTTGGATGAACTTGTTATGTGGTATCTGGAAGAAATTGAAAATACCCTAACACCTGCAGAGATTGACCATGAAATGACAGTGGTTAAAAAGATTGTCAAGAAATTACTGAAGACTGTAAGTTACGCCTATGTTCTTTTTTGGTTTTATGTTGTTGTTCTAATGGCCTTTACTTTGTTATAGGAGGAAACGTTGATGGTTCTTCGTCAAGAGGGCGAAGATGAAGATACAGATAACCCTCTCTTAATCCTACATCCTAACTGTGTATTGGAAGATGAAGAATAGATAACTATGCAAAATGTCAGCAAATCATTAATTTATCGAATAATCCCTACCTAATTTCTACTTTTCTACCATGCTCATGACTATCATATTACCACTGCAGCTTTTATCATTACCTGAGTATTAATAAAACCTATCTGTAAATATTTATTCATAATATACGTGTACTTAATTCTGTTTCAAACCCATTAATAACGCCGTACTATGAAGGGTTTTCAATTTTTCAAATGTTCGTGAAAATCAAACCGTTTCCTATACAGTTTCACAATGCTTCTCCTTTTCATCAAATGAAGATATTTTGAAATTATGTTCACAGTAACTGATAAAATAACTAAATGTGCTTTGCACGTCACTCTGATTAGGGGTTGTGATAAAGGGCTGTACCTTTTGTTTTACACTTTTTTTTTGTATGTTTATTGAGTGAATATATATTGACAAAGTACGAATAAGGGAAATACAAAATAATACGCAACTAATTCCACATAAGATACTATTGTTGGTAATAAAAGAGCGATCAATATCTATGATAAACCCAATTGTTATAAAATACATTCTTACCTTTGGTGTACTGGAGAATTTTTGATATCCTTTTATGACCTTATTAACTGCTTCCAAAAAGTCCTTCTCTGTAGCTACCTTTCTTCTCGCACGAATAGCAAACATACCAGCTTCTGTACATACGCTTCTTAATTCAGCACCAGTTGCGTTTGGACATAGTCTTGCAATTAGCTCATAACGAATATCACGTTCTACACTCATACTCTTTGCATGAATTCTCATAATATGTGCACGGCCTTCTAAATCAGGCAAACCAAATTCCACACGACGATCCAATCGTCCAGGTCTCAAAAGAGCAGGATCTAAAGTATCAGGTCTGTTTGTGGCCATCAAAACCTTGATATTTCCTCTGGGGTCGAAACCATCCAATTGATTAATCAGTTCCAACATAGTACGCTGAACCTCATTGTCTCCACCTGCACCGTCATCAAATCTTGCGCCACCAATAGCATCAACTTCATCGAAGAAAATAATACAAGCTTTCTTTGTACGTGCCATTTCGAATAATTCACGAACCATACGTGCACCTTCACCGACATACTTTTGCACAAGTTCTGAGCCAATAACACGAATGAAAGTAGCATCTGTTCTGTTTGCTACAGCACGAGCACAAAGTGTTTTACCTGTACCTGGTGGGCCATATAATAGCACACCTTTGGGAGGATCGATACCTAAGTTTACAAATCTTTCGGGTTGAAGAAGTGGCAACTCGACAACTTCACAAAGTCTTTCGATCTGCTCTTTACAACCGCCGATATCGCTGTAAGTGACATCTGGTTTTTCTTCCACCTGCATCATGGTGACAGAAGGATCAATTTTTGGTGGTAATGGGATCTGAATCTGATATTTTGTACGATCGACACTATTAAAGAATAAAAGCAAAATGTAAATCGAACTGTCAAATCGTAATGCATGCCTTCCTCTCTTTTTGATGATTATCTTCTTGCTTTACCCAACTCTCATGCCTTCTTCGATATCAGTAGGTGAAACGTGTCTGACCAATTCCACCACAAATTTTGCAATTTGCTTTACGTTAATGACGTATTTTGGATCTTCGTTATTTTCTCCTTGAATAATTTTTGTACAGCGTGCAACTTGTAAAGGCTGCTCTTCTTGCATTCTCTGTTTGTCAGCAGGAATATCCCACAAGTTAGGTGCGGCCAAACCCGTGTCAGATTCCTTTACACCTGTGTAAACAATGCATAATTGTTATTGATCTTCTACCATATTTCTCTCTTAATCCAAAAGCTAATTACCAATATGTTCATTGACGCGCTTTTGAATATCTTTAATATCTTGTTCTAATGCTTTTAGTTCTTTGGTATATGGTCCTTGACCCTATCGTGTTGACAATCGAGAATAAGTTAAAATTCGCTCATTTGCTGAACTGCACAAAGGGCTCGCTTTGAAAGCTTACGTAAGTTGTCAAGATTTTAATATCACTTTCATCCAAGGCTAGAAGAAATGCACAGGTTAATCGTAACTGTTGCTGCGTTCGACTGTAACACTATTGTCGGCTTACCAACGATCTTTTCCTCTTCTCTGTCTTCAACGTTTTTTTCATCTAAGAAAAGCAAGAGGTTAGAGTTCGTATGGAAAGTATTTTTTTTATTGAGTATTTGTCTCACATTTTTCCCAATCGGCTTTAGGTGGCATTGTTTATTTAATAACGGTGATTTAGATTATGAATGATTACTAGAGTAAAAGAGCCTATTGACCCGAGGACACAGACTCTTTTAACTTACGTGTCGCGAATAGATGCCAAACTCCGCCCGACAAACAGTATAAATTGCGTCACAGAAAGATCCGGAAAGCTCAAAGTGCTCGTTGCTTGTTCTTTGATAGTGGTCTTCCCCTGATCAAGTGAAAGAGTTATTACTACAGTACGACTATTCTTGAATTCTTGAGGCACACAATATCTTTTCTCAAAACATTTTGGATATTCTCAGTGTAGTCAATATCTGGTAAACGAGGTCAAGTATGCAAAGATGATACACCCTACAACATAAATTAGTATTATAAACATATTGCTCTGGTGAGCTGTGTATAGCAGTGCTGTGGCTGCAGAAGGGCTATTGCACCACTTTTACCTCTTTCTCATGTCGAACATTAAGCATATCAGCAAGACAATATATTTCCTCATTACTCACATACAGTTCAAAAGAAATAGGGACGTAAGTGTACGCTCTACATTCATAAAATTCTAAGCTAAAGTAGCCGACATTCCCTACAAGCATATATGATCACTGAACTCCATTGCTTAGGCCATACTGTTGCTTAAAATGAATTGAGCACGCCATAGATGTACGCAATTATTAACCAATCAGGATGGTCGTTGATGATGAGCCGTTGGTGTCGCCTCATCAAAAAGCGCTCCTATTTGACGCATAAAAATAATAATGGAGGCTGGGCTACTGAGATTTTGATGGCTGCTGTCTAATCAATATACTTCCCCAGATATTTTATGTTCTTGTACGTCCAAATGTTCTCAGTAACCGAATCTTTAAGAATTAACTTTTTCATAATTGTCTTATTCTTAACTTTTTTTGTCTGTTTCTTTCGTTCGTTCAGTACTATTACTTCTTTATGGCTGACTATTCTCGCATACCACAACCTCAGGGCGGCGCTTCCCTTATGATTGCTTTTCAGAGTAGAAATAAGAATGTCATCATTATTGGACACAATACAGTGGCTGCCAGCCGAGTTTTTGCATGTCTTGAAGCGGATGCTAACGTATATCTTGTGGCTGATCCGAAATGCATGTGCACAGAATTGGCCTATCGAGTTGAACAACGCCAAATCACCTTACTAAGCCATCACTATACATCAGCTCTTTTAGATAACACGCAATGCCGGTTTGATCTGGGATTTGTTTGCGGTACAGTCAGCACGACGGAGGCTTTTAGGCTCACTGATTCGTCTACAGAGTATATTTCTCAGCAATTCAAACAGCATGGTATTCCTGTCAACGTAACAGATCGTCCTGATTTGAGCGATTTTTTCATGACTTCTACTTACCGAGATCAGTCAGTTCAAATCTCTGTATCTACAAACGGTCAAGCATCGAAATTATCAAATCGAATTCGTCGGCATATCACCTCCAACTTACCTGCGAGATTAGGTGATGCAGTACAGAGAGTAGGTGTTTTGAGAAAAAAGGTACGTGCCGTCGATCCAAGTACAGCATCCGGTATTCGTCGCATGAAATGGCTGGCACAGATCTGTGAATATTGGAGTATGGAACGATTAGCCCAGCTATCAGATAAGGATATGGAGGAGTTATTGGAAACGTATCATGACGATGAAGGATATGAGAGTCTTGACACAACAACTGACAATGCGGTGAGGGGTAGTAAAAAGTTAGAACCTTTATCTAAAGGAAGTATAACATTGGTGGGTGCTGGTACAGGAGATCCGGATCTGTTGACAATAGCAGCTTACAAAGCAATCGAAGAAGCTGATCTCATTCTTTCAGATAAAATCGTACCTGAAGAAGTTCTCAAGCTGGTAAAATGTGATTTGAAGATTGCTCGGAAATTTCCAGGAAACGCTGATGCTGCACAAGAAGAATTCAACAAATTGGCCTTGAAAGCCATACATCAAGGAAAGAAAGTAGTACGTCTCAAGCAAGGAGACCCATACTTATTCGGTCGTGGAGGTGAAGAAGTTCTATTTTTCCGTAACCACGGTATTACTCCCCGTGTGATACCTGGTATTTCATCTACTGTGGCTGCTGGTTTATTAGCAGGAATTCCTTTGACCCATCGATCTGTTGCCTCCCAATTTTTGGTCACTACTGGCACAGGGGCACACAATTCGGCTGCTCCATTACCTAAATATGACAAACATCGTACAGATGTATTTTTGATGGCTATTCATCGACTAGAAATGTTAGTGAAAGATTTGATATCTACACAAAAATATCCGGCAGATATACCTTGTGCGATCGTCGAACGAGCTAGTTGTAAAGATCAGAGAGTGATTTGGGGGACTTTGTCGAACATCAGCGATGTTCTAAGAGCTTGCGGTGGAAGCCGACCACCAGGCTTACTAATTGTGGGCCATGCAATCAACGTGCTTAAGCATGAAAATAAAGGGACGGAAGGTGTAGCGGCTAGTTTAATGTCAGCTTCAGGAACGCTTATAAACAACTTGACCGAAGATATAAAAAGTGATGGAAATAACAGCCATCTATTGACTTTACATGACCCTGAATGTGTTCTATAGATTTAATCACATCTAAAATCGGCACTTTAAAGTAATATTCTATCACTATACCGCTAATTTGTACATACGCAATCCTTTCATTTCATTTGTAATTATAGCTTTCAAAAAAACCTTTAGATCAATTAATAAAAAGACACACTACTAGATTTATGCAAACATGATTCTGTTTGAATAAATAAAAAAAAAAAAAAAGAACAAATAGCAAAGAACGAGAAAGATTACAATAGGAACTAACTATGAGGAGACAGCGACACGGTACAGTATAAACATTTTTTTCATTGATTCATCAATAACTTTTGGCAAGCTTCATATAACTCCTTGTCCGCTTGCTTTTTCATAAACTCCGAGCTTAACTCTATGACCGTTTGGATATCCTCTTGTAAATCTCGAGGCTCTCGTAGTAACTTCGCTAACTTAACCAAAGGCTCATAAAACAAAGGAGTCATGAGAAGCTGCTGCTGAAACTGATGTTTCAACTGAAAAATACTATCTGTCGAATCAATGATGGAAGGCGAGGATGCACTATTTAGTAACCGTAACAAGAAATTGAAAATGCGCTGAGCCAAAGTAGTCAAGGCCTTCATTGAATTATTATATTGATTGATGTCTTGCAGATATTTTTCTAGTTCTTCGTTATGTTTCCGCATAATGACGCGTAATCGACGTTGTGTTATCTTACGTTTTTTCTTTTGAACCTCGTAATTGCCACTCTTTAAACGCGTCAGTTTGGCGTTTATTAAAGGAATATTATTCGTCAACATTTCAAGCTCTAGTTCTTCAGATAGTTCTATCATGGTATGAATGATTGTATTGATCATTTGTTCAAAGTTAGCTTGTTGGGAAGCTGTGCTCAGAATCAATTCGAATAGACTGTCTGGGTCTGGGGTATCAGATAATAACACGAGGTCCATTATTCGGTATAGAAACTTTCTGTCTGTTGCTGATCGTAAGATAAGGTCGTGCTCTAAATCAATATTTTCCTCTTGTTGGAAGCCAATAGTCACAAGTTGTTTAAGCATTTGCTTCACTAACACTGGAGCTTGATCATAAAATCCTGTACATTGCAAAATCCAACTCACAGGAACTGTAAATTTGTAACAGTCATCACCTGATTTCACAGTCCACAATTCCATCCATGTATCGATAAGATTCTGCTTTTTGCTGTTATCTAACAATTGTACCATTTCTTGAAAAAGAAATGCTATCCCAGAGTGCATAATGGAGTAAATTTCATGAGAAGTAGAGAGACTTACACTTTTGAACGTAAACTGTGATGAAGGAACCAAGGGAGTGCTGAAGTACCATTCAAAGTCATTGCGTGTTTTGAAGAGTTGACGAAAGATGCGAGATGCTACACTATTTCCGTTTTTAACGTCTTGTCCTGCTAGGTTCAAGATATTCCCGAGAAAATGGTTTCGAAACCATGCTCTTGATCTGGGTTGCTTTGGGTCAGTACCAGGCATATGTTCTTTCAAGAAACTAAGCAAGCAATCCGTATAAGCTTTACTCTTTGTTTTCAGTAACTTGGTTACAACAGCATCTTTGGAAGCTTGTGGTCCATCATCAAAGTAGTTCAAAATGATCTTGATAGTTGTAGGCTCCTGTTGCTGTTGCAGTAACCATTTTAGATTTTCCTCAGAGAATGACTCCAAAATAATAGGCACAATATCAGAAGCAAATGCGGAACAAGTTTTTAATAGAGCTCTCATAAAATCGCGTAAAACTGAAGGTTGCGTAACTTGCTTCCCATCTGATATATCTGCTATACTTCTCTCTAAGTTGAATACTAACCATTCTGTATAGTTTCTGATAATGTCTGAATTGGCTGACTCCAGACAATCTATAGTCCAATTCTTGATCTGTGAGTGTTTTGCACCGCTTATTGTCATCCTTTGTAACAACTTGCAACAACCATTCATCAATTGAATGTCTGATGAGCCTGTAAATTGAGATAGATCAATAAGAGCACCTGATCTGATCTGATACGAAAGAGCAGTATCAAAAAGAGCTAATTCTCCTTCTGGACCTTCTTCCAATTGTCGCTTCTGAGCTTGCTGATGATACTCTTGTTCATCAGGGATATCAAACAGCTGAGTAAAAGCATAATAAGGAGCATTGCGTCTGTTGTATTTACTCGTGGTCATTGGAACGGATGATGCAGAATCGTCGTTCTTATTCTTAAACTTATTGTTTCTTCTATTTTTCTTCTTTGTATTGTGCGGGAAGTCTTGTGGTTTATTCAAAGCATTTCCCTCCATTTGTGCAGCGATTGTGTCTAATACGAGCGGCAAGTGCCTATCAAAGCGATCTCGTAGTGTCCAATCTGCCAAAACTAGGTCCAAGACAGTCTTTCTTTCTGTGGGATAATGCTGTTGAATCGCCATTTTTAAAAATTGATCAAATGTTTGGGGCGTGAGGGTGCTCATCTGTTGTATCCATAATTTGACTCCTTGCCGAATGGCCTCAGTTTGGGCATACTTGTCACTTGGTGTGTTTGCTAAGAGGTCAACACTCAATAGTGGATTCGATAAACTACCCTTTAACTCTTTTTTCAATCCTGAAATCGAAGAAGACAAGAGGGATATGTGTTTGAGTACTTACATTTCTTCTCCAAAAAACGTGTATATTGTATAATACCTATGGCATTTTTATATTGTTGATATAGTCTAGCAATATGTACATAGTTGTTTGCTTGCGTTCTGCAAATATTGTCAAGACACATATAGCCAACGACTATATCATCTTTTGTGAAAGCTGGACGTGCTAGCGCGTTTCCTAACTCCTGCTCAATTTTTGTATTCAATACACTTATATCTGAGGTTTGTATTATCTTGAACATCTCGTATATCACTTGTTCTGACACTCTGTGCGACTGCAGGTTCCTTTCCATATTTTTCATAAAAGCTCTTATTGTTATAGTTGTATTCAACACTGTATTTGTTTCTGCTTCATCAAAGGTAGAACAGCAATTGAGCCAAAGATGTGCTATTATTTCGGGTGAATTGGATAGTGAGAAGGAAAGTAATCCTTGTATGAGATTTTCCACTTCTGCCGGTGTTACGTTGGTAGAAGAGCATTGTAGATCCGGATTATTCAAGAGCGCTGCTAACACCAAACCGTATAGATAAACTAGAATGGTAGTATTATCTTGTAAATCATGCCACGTTTTCGAGGCGAAAAACTGTGGTGCCTCTAATAGCCAGCTTAGTTTATGTTTCCTCATCAGTCCGCTTATGCAATTGCGTAAAGCATCTACGATAATCGTCTTGGTACTAAGTGCGTTATTGTCAGCGTGTGCATTGCAAGAGAGTATAAGCTGTATGAAACTGTCAAAATATGTAAAAGTGCCTGCTGTATCCGTAGGATATTCGTAAATGGTTACAGATCTGATTTTGTCTAAAGTTTCAGCAGCATTATGGTTGGTATACAGTCGCTGAATATCTGCTAGAGTGAGACTTTCGTCTCTTTGATTGTTTAATAAATTGCTTAGATCCATTAGTCGCTCAGTGCCTTCAAGCAAAGAAATTCTTTAAATGGCAAGCAATGAACTTGCTCAACTGTGAAATTGCCCTGATTATGTAATAATCAGTCCAATTTTTTTCAATTTCTATTGATCATATTCCTGAAGGCTTTTTGCTGTTACAATGGATCCTCTTCTCTTCTGACACTGTGAATTTTCTGAACTCCACAACCCACCCCCCCCCCAACTCTTTAAATCTCTAATAATCCGGATTCCTAAATTAGCATACTATGGTCAAATTATGTATTTTATGTAACAAGCGTAAAGCTGTGTTGAAAAGGCCCAAAACTGGTCAGCAGATCTGTCAAGAGTGTTTCTTCTATGTGTTTGAAACGGAAATTCATCATACTGTCACCGATTCAAAACTGTTTCGCAGAGGTGAAAGAGTAGCGTTGGGTGCCAGTGGTGGCAAAGGTAGAGATTCAATGAAACGATTAGCTGTGTGCGGTTGCTAATCTCAATTTGATCTGATATGGGTTTAAATCTTCTTTCCCTCTTCTGCAGATTCAACTGTCCTTGCTCATGTTATGAAGACGTTGAATGAACGATACGATTATGGACTTGACTTGTATTTATTATCTGTTGATGAAGGTATTACCGGCTACAGAGATGATTCTTTGGAGACAGTCAAGCGTAATCAACAGCAGTACAACCTTCCTTTGAAGATCGTTTCCTATCATGATATTTATGGATGGACTATGGATGAGATTGTCAGAGAAGTTGGTAGAAAGAACAATTGTACCTACTGTGGCGTTTTTAGACGTCAAGCTTTGGATCGTGGAGCAGCTATGTTAGGTGTGGATCATATTGTTACAGGTCATAATGCAGATGATATTGCAGAAACCATCTTGATGAACAGTAAGTCTCAATTAGTAATATACTTATCGTGTGTAGCAGAGATTTGAGATACGAAAAATTACTCACGACGATGCATGATCAGTCTTTAGAGGCGATATTGCGAGACTTGGTAGATGTACTGAAATTGTTACTCAAGGTGAAAGCAATATCAAAAGATCCAAGCCTTTTAAGTATACATATGAAAAAGAAATTGTGATGTATGCCTATTTCAAGAAGCTGGATTATTTCTCAACAGAATGTGTGTATTCACCTAATGCCTATCGTGGCCATGCTCGTACATTTTTAAAAGATTTGGAAGCTATTCGACCTAGTGTTATTATTGGTAAAGCGCTTTATTACTACTGAAGTCGAATGCTAAGCATATTATTCACAGAGCATATACTTTCTCCTTCAGATATTATTAAGTCGGGTGAAGCATTTGAAATCAAAACTGGCACCAAGATGCCCAGTCAAAAGACTTGTGAACGATGCGGATATATGTCTTCCAATGAACTATGTAAAGCATGCATTTTATTAGAAGGTTTAAATCGTGGACTACCCAACCTGGGCATCGGCAAAATGTCAAAGAATGTAAGTTAGCTTACAGATGTTACATGGTTTAAGATTGAATGACTGGACGTTGAATTTTCCTTTTTGCCTTGCAGGAACTCGACAAGATACTCAGTAGTCCGATGGAGAAAGAGCCTAGAGTGAAGGTACAGCACTTTGCGGACATCAAGTTAGATGATAATGTTCCAGAGGTCATTCCCCGTGATCCGAAGGAGGTATATACACCACCCCCAAGAGTGCCAGGTGGCATTTTACATGATGCAAAGCTGCAGAAGAAGGATTTATCTTGGTAGATAGAAATTTTGACAGTCCTAACTTGTATTATAGCGATGGAAGCCAGCGTATGGCATTTACAATTCGATAAACAGTCTTGTCGTAAAGTAGAAAAAGATATCTTTTTGAACAGATTTTATACTTTAAGTTGCGTTAACAGTTTCGAAAGAATAATGTTTTCCAATATGGTAATATAATAAAGCTTCTATCGTTTGCTGTCTCTGGTTCGGAATCAATTGTGAAGTAGCCCCCTATACTTCAATTTGATATCCTTAGCTGAAGTGTGTAATTGTTTGGATCTTTTCTGAGCACTGCCGATAAAGCAATAATGAATGAACAATATGACAGAAGCTTTCATTGCAATATTCAAAACCGCAAATAGGGACTAGTGGAGAAGCCAAATAAACAGAATCACCTTTTTTTTCGTCGTAAGAAACGTAGAGGGATGAAAGATAAAGCATGATAAGGTATATCATTACAAAAGTAAAGGCATCAATGACAATTCTTCAGTAAATCGTGTTGAGCAGTTTGGCTTGAGGTTTACGGAGCAATCAAAGACTTTTTTTCTTCAAATAAATGTATCATAGATGTCCAATATAGTATCGTTGGAATAGATTCAACAAGAAACTCTCAGAATTACAACTGTATTAATATATGGTTATGTTCATTTATTTGGAAATGTTCAAGAGAAAGGTATCAACATAACCTCTTTCTTTTTTTTTTTTTTTTTTTTTTTTTTTTTTTTTGCTTCTAAATCATCTTTCCTTGTACAAATTCCTTATGAAGGGGAAATTTGGCATTTAAGTCACCAAATGACCAACAACAGCCCTTCAGGTAAACGCATCATAATTAGAACAATCAAAGAAAAGTCACGATAGTAATGTATTGCAATTTTACTGTTGCTTGAAAGGTCTTAAGTGTCGACGCTGTTGTAAGAAAACCCGCTAAGTACGATTATGCCAAAGAAATGTCTGTTGACGTTGATGTATTATGAACTAATCATGCTGGAACTTAAAGTCTTCTAGCAACATCTTACATAACTGATACCGTAGTATTTAAAAAAAAATACTTATTGAAGATATGGTCAGTAAAAGAAGAAACCCAGTTATGAACAGCATCAAAAGGTGCTCACGTTATTTTCTGTCGAGGATATTACTGTAATTTTCAGACAGTACCTAAAGCATTGTCTTCAACTTTAATTTTTGCGAGATCTTAGCAAAAGGTATCTCGGCTTGTGCTGGCATCGAGACTATAGTGCTACGTTCTCAATTATTCGTCAATGCTTAAGTTTAATAAAATAATTGACACCACATTGTTACCAATAATAAGGCAGTAGCCAACCTGTGCCATATCAATTAATGTGTCTAGACGAAACACCGACCATAAGAACCAGTTGAGCTCTCACACTAGGTTACAGTCAATGTTGTACAAAACAGTCAAAAGGATCGACCTCGAGGATGTTAATGCAGGCTTAAAATGTAATGGTTGTTAATTTATTAGAAGAAGGAAGGACACTCAAAGCGATTCAACAGTGAAATAAACCATAGAAGTGATGGTAGCCTTATTGTTTCTATCTTTTTGCAGGAACAACAATGCATATTTTTCATACAATAATTACGGACATTTGTAATAGAAAGCCAGCAGAAAAAAAGAAAGAAAAAAAAAAAAAAAAGATCTGCAATACCCTACCATCATGCTTCAATTTCTTTCGTTAACACGGAAAAAACCGCCGTTCGTGGCCCTAACGAAAACCAAAAATAAACCGAGAATGGTGCACCTTTGCAGGAGCATGCACCTGAGATGACACGTTTAATGGCGTGTAAGCATGTGTCCGCATAGAAAGTTTCCACCTTTCCCATGATTATTATAACCGGTGGTCTTTACGGAAGTGTACAATCAAAAAGGAAAAAAAAAAAAGATAATAAAATTGCCCATTACTGAAAGACTCCAATTGAGAGTTATGATTTCAGTCTCATTGTTTGCTTTTTATGCAGTACGGTGAAATCATGCACAAACCCAAGACGCAACGGGAGGAGACTTCCGTTCAAACAGCTGTTTCACCCTAATATCATGGGGGATACAACTGTTGTGTTTATGTAATGTAAAGCGCCGATAAAAATACGATTATTTTGAGGAGCTAAAATTGAGATAACTTGAAACCATTAATCAAAAGAAGTTTACTTGCGCAAAAAGGAAAATTAATAAGAAAAAGAGTGGAATAAGAAAAGTATACTACGGTTATAAGGGGGTATAAGGGGATAAAGCGATGTCTAAATTATGACAGATCCTGCTGTTCGCCATCCACCAATATCTGTAAAGCGCTGCTTTGATTAGCACCGCTTTTACAGTCATCTACGCTGCTGCTGCTGCTACTACTACTACTATTCCCACTACTACTTTCAGATGTATAAAAGCAATATTTGTCCAGCAAGTTCAAATAATGAGTAGAATTGGGGTCCAATAAGCCGCTTTTCTGTCGTCCCAGCGAGTGTTCTTCGTCATCGGTAGCAGGACTTGACGGGAGCACTTGTAAATCTAAATTGCGTAGTTTAGGTGAAGGCTTGGGGCTGAGTGGTAGCGTCGTAGTACTATGTGCAGATGATGGTGAAGGTGCATTATCGCCTGTACCATTGCTGTTAGCAAGATAGTAAACACCTCTAGAAAATAGGGGTGGGGATGAAGATGGTAATTCATTGTCTTCGTTATCATTGTCAACATCTGATAAAGATGTACTGCTTTCAATATATGTGAGGGGCGGTGAGTGATACTCTACAGCATCATTGATTGACCTGCCGTTGCTGCTGCTGGATATAGACTTTTTGGTATCGTTACTATTGTCGTTCGTTGCTACCTTTTTAAGGGTGGTGAATGTACGTGTAAAACGTCTTCTTCCGCCTGTTGTATTAGCGGCTTCCACTGTAGGCGATGAGGGCGGTGAAGCGAGTGTTTGATCATTTTTATCTTCTTCACTGGTTTTGGTATGAGAGAGAGAAAAGTAAACTTGGTTGAATAAAGGTGGATTTGTAACTTCAGGTGATATATCAAACTGAGATTTGTGATCGCTGCTGGCATTTGTAACAGAAGGTCTCCTCTTTTTGGCTTCTGATAAAGAATGTGCAAAATCATATCTTGTACCTAACCAAGGCTGAGGCTTTCTCAAATGCAGAGGTCTGGCACGTTTATATTCTTTCAAAGCATTTTTAAATTGACTATGCTTCTTTTGTTGACCTTCCTCGATCAATTCTGCTTCTACTTCATCTTCAATACTCTCATTGTCCGTTTCTATTTCTTCTTCGTCGTCAACTCTTGCAATAACTGCATTTTCATGAGCATCCAGTGTTACATCCTGCTGATGCTGCTGCTGCTGCTGTTGCTGTTGTTGTTGTTGTTGTTGTTCTTCTGATTCAACCATCTTCTCGTTTGCCTTTTTTTGTTCAACTGATGTTATCGATGTTGCCGCTGTGTCACCGTCATTATTCTTGTAATAATTCTTCCAAGGATCATTTAATGGATCACAAATGACCTTGATTTGATAATATTGGCCATCATTATCATCCCAAAAATCTGTATTACCAGCTGTTAATCTGACAGAAAATTCAACTTTACCCCGTACTTCACCACGGTCTTTGATAAACATTTGATCTTCCACAATCTCAGTATCGTCCTTACTATTGCTGTCATGGTGTGGATGATAACCGAAAGGGAACAAATTTATAGAGACTTCATAGATGTCATACTCCACATTTTTAGGATAAGGACCAAAGAATTGTGCATCCACTTCGTGATTCGATGTATGCCAATGATCTAGTGTATACCGTATCATGACAGATTTATCAAGTGCTAGATTACGTACCATCAATTTTCCCGTGATAGCTGTGTTATCTGCTGTAACGTGAAAGAGCTTCTTGTCCAAAATGGCATTCTTTCGTAATTGAGCACTGGCTGTAAAAGAGGGCCAACGAGGGCATAAAAGTCGGAAAGAAGGTTGCTTCAATCGTTTATTGTCATGGGCTTCTTTTAACTCACAAGGCGACTGACTTTCATGGAACAAACAGACCTTTTCCAGAAATATAGGGTTGAATTTGACTCGTTTCTTTGTTCTGCCCTCCCGCCTCAGGCTTGATGTTTCTTGGTGTTGTTGATGTTCTTTCCCAATATCAGTACGAAATCTATTATTAGCAGTAGATAAAGTTGATAGATGTAATTCAAATTTCTTCTTAGGCACTGTTGCTAGATGACAGTCATTGTTTTCTACGTTGTTGACATTTTTAACGGCTAGCTCTGCTTGCTGTTCAATCAATGAAGCTCGCTTATTGATCTCATCAATCTTGGCCTTTTTGCCAAATATACTAAATCTTTTGGGTTGGTATGAATGGCTTTCCTCTTCTTCGTCTTCTGTATGTTCATCTTTCACTGATTTCATTGGTTCCTCAATAGAGTTCATCATTCCTTCTCTTACAAACCTTGAAGATGCTGTTGAAAGTGTCGAGAATGATCTGCTGGAAGGCCGGTTCTTCACCGTGGTTGCTTCCCACTTGGGTTGATGACTTGGAAAGGTTACTATTCCCATTTGTCTTTTTTTTTTTAAAAGGATTTTTTTGAATTTTTTTGCAAGCTGTTGGGGGTAAAATGATGGTTGCTTCTGCTTCTATTACTGCGATAATGATGTCAAAACCAATCTTGTAAATTGATGGCTGTATAGGTTCAAGTTGGTTATATAATAAAGGCTAAGGAAATAGAAGTTGACTGGGTGAAGCAATGATGATATAAGAAAAAAAGAAAAGAGGAAATGCCAAAAAAAAAAAGAATGAGATTTTTTCTTTTTTGTAAACGAAACTATGACGGACGAACGTTTGAATTATTTTCCCCGCCTTTTCTTTTCTTTTTTTGGAGTGATTTGCAGGTTTTGAACTGTTGTGCCCCGTCTGTCCTGGAACATTTTTTCCTCAGCAGTTTAAGTACCCGCTGCTAACACTGGGTGCAAAAAAAGTAACTCAGTGAACCCTGCTGAATCTTCCAATCAATGACGAGCAGCAAAAGAAAAAAGGGGCATGATTATCTTTGACCGCTGACTCAAAAAAGAACAGTTTGTGTTGAGGGATTCTCTTTTTGCTGAGCCCGCTGGAGCTGTGTAATATCATGCTCTTACCGTTTATTGTACCTTGCAAAGCGCGGTAGACCGGGAAGAGGTGCATGCATCATAAGCTTATCAATTTTAAGCTTCATCAAACCACGAACGTCATCTATACTTTATGTAAATGATTACGCTGAGTGGACCAACGAGACTTTTTGATGTAGAACTTGGGAAATTGTGTACAAATGATGAAGTCATAGTTTAATTAGCAATTTAGGAAGAGAAGGTGTGTAAAGTAAGAGCTGTAGAAAAGTATAATAGTGTGCACCATTCAATAACATGTTATTGCATTACAACCGAAAAAAACCACATATTTAAAGAATGCATGTTTGTTGACTTCTGACTCATTGGTAACGAGGTTGGACACCTTCTGCTGTAATCCGCACCCATTCTACATTTTCTAACTTTTTAGTTTCTTTGTCGTAACTGGAAGCAATCTTTATATGAGAATGACTCTTTTTAGTATACTTTGCTGTTGTCGATGATATTTTTGGGCAGGCAAAAGCAATTTTTCACTCACTAATATAGTCTTTTGTAAGATCTGCGCTATATAAAAAGTCATGATAGTCATCTATATTAGGTGACTTATTCGACGAGGTGCTTGTTTCCTTCTCGTCTTTTCGTGCGATTCAGTGTCTGCCTAACTAACGTCCAACGCGTAATTTGCGATCAATTCGACCGCTTGAAGTGGGCTATCTACCGCCATCATGACAGCTTTATCGCCCGGGATAACAATGCAAACCACTATCCTATTTATGACTACAATTGATAACCACACGGTGTATTTTGCGTTTAAACCGCGAAAGAAAGGTTAATGGAGGATCAAATTCCTTTAAGAAAAATTCATTATAATATTGAGAGGTTTTTTTTTTTCTCCTTAAGGCTGTCCATTGTTTTTAAATGAATCTCTGCAGTCCGCTCTAAAGTTTCTCGTTGTCAATGCATAACTGCTGCATGTGCCGATCAGCCTTGAGCCGTAACATGTCTGCTTTTTGTACACTGGTATGCGACAATATCTGAGTCTTTTGCTTTCACACATACCATTTCTCTATTTGTAATGTAATTCGCCTTCGAAACTGAGTGTTTGCCCTATTAGGCAGACAGTTTACCTTCAATACACATATTAAATCAATCAGCTTGGATGGCAGGTTGTTCCGAACTAATATGATGAAGGATATAATAGAAAATAAACCGTTGGCGCTGCATTTCACCAATTCAACAACAATTACCATGCTGATAGGTACGAATGAACGTATTGAACTCAGCACTCACTGTCAACAACTTTTTCTCATATAGTAATATATTCTCATGATCAAATGCAAGCTATCCAGAAACTGAAGTTTTATAATTAATGAAACCTCCAGTAGCCCGACTAAGGAAGGATAAGCACCTATTCTACATCTCTTATATAAGTCGTAACGTAATATTATAGTAAACGTAATAGTTGAGTAGATTGTATAAAATTCGTATACATATATATATATATATATATATATATAATCTCCTTAAAAGAAGAAGTTATTATTAGGAGTAGAAGATGATGAGGTATTGAAAGCACTGCTGTTGCCAAAGGGTTGTTGTTGTTGTTGTTGTTGTTGCTGTTGTTGTAACTTTTGCTCTTGCATTAAATCCAGTAAACTCTTCTGACTGGCACTATTTGTTGTAGTAGAAGCATTATTTGTAATAGTACCAAAAGGATTGTTACTACCCGTAGGTGTAGGTTTCAAAGTACTAGCAAATCCAGAACCACTATTTTTTAAAGTGCGTGTGAATAATGAACGTACAGATGGATGAAAAAATAAATTTGAATATTTACTATGGTATACGTAGATTGCCTTGATTCCCAAATGTATCTAGGCCATCTTCATTGTTTGCTAGCAATGCATTTAATTTGGCGTATTTCGTATCTTGAGGCTTTGGCTGTTGCTGTTGGGGAGCAGCGCTAGTAGAATTTGAGAAGAGAGGCGACGCGGTGGCGGACATGCTTCCTGACGAAGAATTTATACCAAAATTGGGCGTATTAGAATTAAATAAAGGGGTAGACTGAGTAGGCTGCGGTTGTGGTGGTCGATTCATCATACCGCCACCAAAGTTGAGTTGACTATAATCATATTGCTGTTGTGCTGGTAGTTGTTGTTGTGGTTGCGGTTGCGAAAATTGTGAGAATGGATTTGTGCCTGTCATCATCGGTTGTTGAGGGACAAATCCCGTTAACTGTGGCTGTTGTTGTTGAGGTATGAAGCCAGTCATTTGGGCTTGCAAACCCATAGTATTGAACTGGTTGGTGGAAGAAGAAGAAGAAGAATATGGATTGTTTAGGAAGCCTTGATTGGCTGGCTGTTGTGGTTGGGCCCATTCCAACTGCAAAGGTTGCTGCGGTTGTTGCTGTTGTTGCTGTTGTTGATAGGGATTATTGTTACTAACAAATATGCTACTGTTGTTGTTGCTATTGCCAAACAACTGCTGCATATTTTCTCTTTCAAGTCTTTCCCTCTCTTTTCTTTCTTTCTCTAAAATTTCTTGTTGACTCAGTTCTAAAGCCTTTTTCAAATCATCATCGGTTTGGCGTCTGTTTCTCTCCTCTTCTTGAGCCAGCCTTTTACTCTCTGCTAATGCACGTTTCAAATCTCTTTCCTCGTCATAAACATTATTACCGCCATTAGAAGACGAAGACAATCGCATACTGTCGTTTAAATATTCTCCTACACTGGCCATTCTATCTCTCATCCCTTGCCTCGAACGTCTTTCTTCTTTTAACCTTGCATCATCCATTAATAAGTTTGTAATATCTTTCGCCTTTTGACGAACTAAAATGAATAATGATGTAATGTTCAGCGATCAGCACTCAAGATCATTTTACTGCCCTTTTCGTTTTCCGCGGACCTACCATTTGCCCCAACATCTTTACCAGTGTCATCGATATGTTGGAACTCTTTTAATGTCTTTACAACATAGACATTCTCTTTTGCATATAAAACCACATTTTCTGATCCAACATGCAGACAATAATCCAACAAAAGAAGGGCCTATTGTAAAATGCCTATTTAATTTGCTTTTATTACTCTTAAAATAAACATGTTAAAGAGTTACCTTGAATACATGACGCCAGTTTTTACCCTTATCGTTTAAACGTTTATCAATCATATCCATTATCTCAATGAAATCAGACCTATATTAACAGTTTGTGGGTTGAGTACTATATCATTTTGTTTGTTTTTTGTTTTTTTTTTTTTTTTTTTTTTTTTTTTTTTTTTTTTTTTTGCGGCGCAAGAACTCAAAAAAGTACTACTTTACTCGTTATATGTTAATTGTGCAATCTCGTTCATGAGCGTTCCACTAGGGCCCCAAGGATCATTAGAGGTTGCTTCTCTAACTTTAATTTGGACATCACTAAAACCTTTTGCGAGGTTCTTGCTGTACACAACAAAAGGTGTGAGGGAGTGTCAGCATTCCATAACCGTCATTCTATGTCCCAGTTTCTTAAAGTCTGCAGCAGCTGTGTAACATGGAACTACGACTTACATACTACGAACAACACCTTTCCCAGCCATTTGTAATAAAGGAAGGGCAGAATAAAGATGGAAGAAACAGAAAGAATAGAGACAGTTTTCTTCTTGCTAAAAAATAGAAGAAAGAAGAAGCACAGCTTAAAAAAGAAAAAAAAGAAAATCCCTAAAAACCAAAGTAAAAATCTCCTCGCCTCCACGAGTTATCTGAGCATTTTAGGAGTTTCTTCTTTTGTGAATGAATGTGCGTCGATCTTTTCAAATCTTCCAGTTAAATTTTGTCGGTTGCCCACTTTCAATCAACTTTTGCCTTGTTTGCGACTGCTGTGACAGCGTGAGTTTCTTCTTTTGCTTAACGCTTCAATTTGTCAGCGATCGCTTTTTTGACGATGGATGCAGAACAACATAAGATTCTCGGTAACTCCTGAGATAACTCTTTTGAGTTCTTCCAATGTTGTTTGTTTGCTTGTGTCGATTAAAAAACTATTATGAACTTTTTTCTTTTTTTGCCTGACTATTTAGGAAATAGACTTTTCGCTGAAAAACGCTTTGAAGATGCTATAAAAGAATATACCTCTGCCATTGTAAAGTCCCAGTCTTATTTCTTCTTTTAAGAAACATTGAGAAAGCTGGATGAACTAGTATTTATTGAAATGCTTATTTTCTTACTCTACAGATAAAAAACGCAAGTGTATGCGTTTATTACACAAATCGTGCCTTATGTTATTCTAAAGTATAGAAAAAGACAATTGTCGATGGACAGTTTGTTGCATTGGGTCGCTATAAGTCACTTATCTATATTATACGGTTAGCTAGAAAAATATGATCCAGTCATATCTGATTGCAGAAAAGCGATCGATATTGACCCCACCATGGGTAAGAGTAGAGAGCAATTGTGAGTTATACAATGTCAATATAGTAACGATGAAACTACCGTTAAACAGTGAAAGCATATTACTTGGTAAAAAAGATCTTCTGAAAGGTATGCAGTAAAATGACATGTCTGTTCTCATGTGGAAATATAAAATAGCTCGGCCAAGCATTGACAGAAAAGAAACAGCACACAGAAGCATTAAATAAATTGAAAACAGGTACAATCAATCATACCTTCCTCCTTCAATTTAAGCGTGGAGTTGAATTTAATTTTTTCCAAATGCTAGGCTACGAGTTAGCTATACAAAAGAAAGTTAGCTACGTCAACGATATCCTTCAGGCTTTGTTAGTGGCCAGAAAAAAAGTAAAAACTGGTTCTATGATGTACCTAGCATCATTACTTTATGTCTGACAGTTATTCCATCAAATAGAAATGGGACGATGATGAAGCTGTTCGTTTAGAAAAAGAATCAGAACTACTACGATACGTGAAAGGACTAGTTGAAAAGGAAAGGAAAGAATTATTAGAAAAAGTGGATCCCAACGATGAGGAAGAGATAGAGACAATCAATTACAATATTGTAAGCTTTTGATTACGCTGAACATTAAGGGTTTGTGCGTACTCAACAACATTCAATAATCTCTTAGGATGAAAGATTATCAAAGATACAAACAGTATTTGTTCAGTCAAAGGATAATGCTTTTCGACGCGAAATTCCAGATGCTTACTTGGACAAAATTTCCTTCAATATTATGCATGACCCAGTTTTCACACCAGATGGTATCACTTACGAACGTCAGTCTCTCTTGGATCATTTCAAACGAAACGGTTATTTCGATCCTATATCAAGAAATCCTTGTCGAGAAACGGACCTTATTCCTGATAGATCATTACGGGACGCTATTGAAGATTTCTTAAAAGATAATGGTTGGGCTGCAGGTAATTAACGATGTCAAGCGTACTTTTGTTAGAGAAAATTTATGCTAACTGGCTCTTACAAAACTTCTAGACTATTAATAATGACTTTCATAAAGTATGGTTATTCATTTGTATTTAGTTAGTAGGAATGTAAACTTGTAAACATAATTTTTGTAGATATTTTGTTGTTGCATATTATGCCATTCTTAAAAGTATCACAGTAGGCTGTAACCATTAGCGTTTAAGCATATAAACATTTCATTTCTTCCCTTTGCTAAAAAATTGAGTAATTTTTGGTGCCTTTGTAGCATGAGTTTCATCAGCCTTCTTACTATTATTTTTATTGGCCTGATCACTACTATGCCTTCTCTTTTTCGTTGCTTTTGGTGGTGAAGCTGTGTCTGTAAAACTGTCGTTACTGTTACTTCCACTTGCCGCTTCCTTCTTAACTGCGGGCTGACGCATAGTAAATAATGAAACACATCACAATTAGCCCATCCTTCGCTCTAAACCAAAACTTTTCAGCCAAGACTTTACCTCTGGAAGATCCTTCTGCATTTCCGTCTTTAAATCCATTGGTTTAAGGAATTGTGATATCGAATTCTTTTGCTTATCGATAGGAACAATCAATTCAGGGTAGTCGTTTTTTATCGGACCTACTTTATCCGTAACTTGAAAGCTTTGAGGTAAAATTTATCAGTAACTTAGTATTGATTTGATTAATTATCATTGACCTTGGTCCGGCTTTACCAATGAAGTAACCCTTCGAATGGTTTTAACAAACCAGTTACACGCTGATCCCAGGGTTGGTTTTTATCCAGCCATATACCAATATCGCTTTCATCCAAAATAACTGGCATTCGATCATGAATTTTAGAGAAGAAGCTGGATGCATGGGTTGTGATTATAGTACAAGTAGTCAAATCATCATCTATGCGTACAGCAAAAACATGAGTTTTTATTTCCCTTCAGTAGAATGGCGTGTAATAGGTTACCATTGAAATGAGAGTTACTATAAAGGCCGGCGAAAAGCATCAACTTTTTATCCTTTCTTTCAATGTAAAATGCTTGTCGTTTCTTGTTCCATTCAAAAAATCTGTGGTAAAACAGTATAGTTTCGTGTGAGTCTTACAAGCGAAATGTACTATACATGTACGTACAGAGAAACTAGATATTGATGTTGCTAGTTACCCTTCTGCAACAATGACACAACGTCGAGAATTCTTTGAAGCGTTAAAAACACTATTAGGGTTCTCAGTTAAAGTCTCAACCCTTGCATTGATAGGCTAATGTTTGTATTAAAACTGTTTATCAATCATTTGAGAAGGAAAAAGACACACGATTTTTAGACCGCTTTGCTACAATAGCGAATCATACTTTAGCGGGAGGGGCTGCTTTGGCCCAAGAGGGAATGTAGCCCCATTGCTTGTAGAGAATTTTAATAAATGTAGAGCCATGCCATTAGTGTGAAGTATTGATTGCGCAAAAATTACCATGGACTTCATAATTCGCTCATTATCTATTTCTGAGCTTTGAAAAACAGTTGCAATGTAACGTGCAGGACAGACATTGTAACTTGCTCGATGTTTTGTTTCATCGATCCAGGAGACATTTTTATGCTTCAAAACATTTTCTTTATACAGCCGGCTTTTCAGTTCCTCTGGGTTGAGCGAACAACAAAAACGCCCACACATCTCGTAATCAGCAAAGGAAAATGAGTATCTGCTTCTCTTCGCCGTTGAGAAACAAATTATGTTTTTTTCATTCCTGTTGGTTTTTCATGCAGCAGTCGTAAAGTTTGAATGTCAGACAAACTCTGAGAACATAATTTTACTTGCATACGAGAGTGAACACAATCTAAGTTTTATTTGGAGACGTTTCTAGGTAAAACAGGATACGAATTGGAATACCTGTAAGATCTTTACACTTTAATTGGAGACATTCCTTTGTAACTTAGTAAAATAAGAAAAAAGAAAAGAAACCGAACGAGAAAGAGAAGCAGGGAGAAGAAGATAGCCACGTTCTGTAAGTCTTGTAGAGATCCACTGTCAACTGAATTTATGTATACTCACTCTATTATCTTTCTTCTAGAAAATGATGCGCCTGAGAGATTCAGGTTGCGTGATAGCTAGCAAAAAAGTTCCTCTAATTGTATTTGGTGACGGCAAGTTCAACGAATCCGCCATTCATTTGAAGGGCCTTAAAAGTGGTGTCGATGGTGGTCTTTGGTGTGCATTGAAGCGAAGAGAGGCTGCTGGCGATTTACTAGGGATAAACCATTGATGAATATCTTACCTCTCGAACATGCAATAATTGCCGCTCCAATACCGTTGAAGCATTCAAGACTGTTCCAGGCCAAAGTATCCTTGTCTGCGAAACCTGATCGATAATTTGGAACCGGGACGTCAACGCTGCAAAAAACATGTTGGCAATTAGCGTGTCGATTTGGAAGTCAACTGGAAGACCTACTGACTTTTGTAGAAAACTAAGGAAGTCACCTGCATCAACAGCTTAACAGCATCCTCCAATCGCCAGAACGAAACTGGCTCGATTTTAACAGGTAGACCCTATCTAGAAAAGTGTAGTGGCGGCTCGTACATTTGCTGCGAAATTCTAAACGTCAATCTTACTTCGTCTGTAGTGATAATTTTGACCCGTCTCCACCACGAGTAAAAAACACTGTAACATGAAACCATAATTTGACATTTCGGTTTAAAGAAATAGATTTAAACAAATGATCTTAAAAATTAGAACTGTCCGTTTTGTCAAAAATGCATTGCTTCAAAAAGTAAAAGATTGACATACTGTCAGAAATACTTGAAATTTTGGTTAAGAAAAATTAAGAAATCTCTGCTACAATTCTAACCATTTTGCGAGTCATGATGCTGGACTGTATAATTTAAGCATTATCATTTCAACTATGCAACTTTAGCTATGTATCATTGAATCCTTTTTGAACCTTGTAAGTCTTCAGTAGAGATGTAGTGCATTGTATGTTAAAGTAAGAGATAAATGGAAAGGTACATTCCTCATGAATCGGGCATTTACCAAACATAGTACAATACAAATAATGCAGGTAATGCAAAAAAGGTATGGATTAAATTGGTACTGGGAAGGTAGGCCTGTTTATATGTATACTAATGTTTATATGGGCCCTACTTACGGAGGGTGAATATGTTTTTCAAATGATCGAATGGTATTATTGGCTTTTTGCCGTAGTGTTTTCGTACGATGAGAGCCATTCACGTACATAATTACCACTTTCTCTCTTCAATGATTTAATAGAATGTCTCATAGTTATGTGCAAACATTCCGTCTAGTCCCCTTATCAATTAATACTGCTAGGGAAATTATGTTTAACAATTGCTTCTGCTCAGGTTCTAAGAATTTTATACTGAGACTGGGCTTTGTATTGAAAAAGTAGTCTTACATGGCATTAAGAAATATTATAATTTATTCTATACAGAAAAAGAGACATATATTAAAATGTCACTATAGGACACATTTACGTTTAAGCGTCCTTGGTGAGAATCTTCAAAATGTTCTCAAATGTATCACGAATTTGTTTAGTAGAGTCACGTTCACGGAGAGTGACAGTACCATCCTTCACTGTATCAAAATCGATGGTGATAGCATAAGGAATACCTAATTCGTCATTACGAGCATATCTACGACCAATGGAAGCTTTACTATCATCAGTACGAGTGGAAACACCAGCTTGACGAAGAGCACGAGAGTACTTGCGAACAAAAGGTTCAAAAGCTTCATTACCAGATAAAGGTAATAGACAGCACTTGAAAGGAGCAACGACGGCAGGGAATGAGAGAACGTTACGATCTTCATCATCGTCACGAACCCACCACACATGTTCCAAAAGGGAGTAAAGAATGCGACCAATACCAAAGGAGGGTTCAATGACATTGGGGATATATTCACGAACATGTTCTGTAACGGTGCCACGCTTAACAGTGACATCGTCCTTACTGACTTCAAAAGTTTGCCCATTGGCTTGAACAGAACCAACGCCATCAGATTCTAATTGCTTGGCCAATGCAGCATATTGATCTTCGGAAAGAGAGTTGATAGCTTCTTCGACAGTCTTAGCATCCTTCTTAAACTTAGGCCCAAAGGTCTTCTTATTAATTTCCACTTGCCAAAGTTCAACAGTACGGGGTTCAGGTAATTGTTCGCGAACAACCAACTTTTCACCAGTACGCTTAGAGTGAACAGATAAATCGTAAGCAGAACGATCAGCACAACCAACACATTCTATCCATCCGTAACTGGTCAAAATTTCAGCATCCCAGCAATCACAAGCATAGTGAGCCATTTCGTTATCCATATGTTGACGGAAGTGAAGACGGTCTGGTTTAATACCGATCTTGATCAAGAACTGATAAATACGGGCAAGGAAGTATCCCAAAGTTTGGTTATCGACAATCTTCTTTTCGACAGCCTCACCGATGGACATTTCAATGGTGTCTGTCTTACCAGCCATTTGAATATCCTTTGGTAATAAAGTCAAAACAACGTCCTTAACATCGTCAAATTTGGGATGGTTCTTGTTTTCGGGGTCAACATAATGTTCAATCTCTGCCATGGTAAACTCACTATTAAGGTAAGTTATGGTGAATATAATTGAGTAAACTTGACCAACTCGACCTTTACTCTATTATTAGTGCCTCCTCCACCTACACAATCCATAGGACAAAATTACTTACCGAACACGCAAGAGACCGGAACGAGGAGAAATTTCGTTACGGAAAGAACGGCCAACTTGAGCAGAGGCGAAAGGCATCTTATCATTATTGAATTCGAGAAGCTTCTTAAAGTTGAGGAATTGACCTTGAGCAGTTTCAGGACGTAAGAAACTATATAAGAGATTGTGAATTAAGTATAGAATCAACATTGCTTTTGGTTCATTTTCCTGTTATTCCGTCCCCTTCACTTACCCTTTGAGCTGGCCAGTGGGACCAATGGATGATTCAAACATCAAGTTGAATTCCTTGGGTTCGGAAAGCTCGTTACCAGATTCAGGTGAACGGATTTCGAACTTCTTCATAATGGCAGCTAATTCTTCACCGCTGTAATTATCAATTTGAGCCAAACATTCTTCGTATTGTTGACGAACATCGTCGGGCAATTCAACAGCAACAACAGTTCCTTTCTTCTTCTTCTTCTTCTTGTCGCCAGTCTTGGCAGCGGCTTCGGCTTCAGCAGCGGCTTCGGCAGCGGCTTGATCGGCGCTCTTACCAGCCTTGGCAGCTCTGGCTTCCTTATCACCTTGAAGACGAGCCTCAAGGACAGCCTCGATAACATGATCAGCTCTGAAAATTTCACCATTCTTCAAATCCTTGCACATAAAATCGGCAAACTTATCAACATGACCGGAAGTTTTCAAAACGTCGTAAGTGGTCATAATGGAAGTGTCAACTTCGAGCATTTCTTCCTCCAAGACGAAATGGTTGCGCCATAGAGAAATAATGTTGTTCAAAAGAGCGCAACCAGATGGTCCGTAATCGTAGAGACCGGCAACACCTACAGTATAAACAAATGAGAGTTAATGTTGTCTTAACGCCTATCTCCTTCACAAAACAATGGAATGGAAGAGCAACTGCTACAACTATACATTACCACCGTAGATTTGGAAGGAAGGCGCGTAAAAGAAACGCTTAGTAACGAGTTGCTACACAATAATAAAAGCAAATACAGACAGTGAGTGAATGCTTTCTATCTTACAGCAGTTCAAAAAATTACGGGTTACCTCAAGTGCAGCTCTATCGAACTTGGTTTCGGAAGACATAGTGGGGATGGAAAAGAAAACAAAAAAGAAAATTCAGAAAACTGCCTCTTATGGTAGAAGTAATTTTCTGTCTGTAGACTCACGGTGGCTTTGATTTACGATGAGTCAATTTGAGCGGATTACCCTCTGCAAAAAATTGCATTGTTATTCTTCCCAGAGCTGAACTATTACTACAGTGACAAAAACTGATAGCGATTGTAGCAGTCAGCAAATAAGATTATTATAAAAAAGCTCACACGTATTTGAAAAGGATCATCGTGAGCAAATTGATGATTGACAGGCCCAAATGTTATTCTTCGCAAATATCATTTTACCGGACAGCCAGCAGACATTTGTAAGCAAAGGTATGGAACGCGGGAAGTTTTCTCGCTGATAAAAGAAGAGGGTAGCACAATTGTAACCATCTATTTCATGCAGCTACATATTGATGTGGCAACAACGGAGGCAGGCTGACTTGGGAAGCTTCCAATCTTGCTCATCTTGACTAATTGATAATGAACATTGACTTTGTGTTTAAATTCTCTTCGCTCCCGAGTATCAACATCAGTCAAAGAAATTAATCACTGAATTATTCTTCTGTGATTTTGGTATTCTTGACAAACATTTCCATCAATAACTGAAAGTAAATTGATTAGATACGCTCAAGTCTAAAGATTTGAAATCAATAATTAGTTGACATATGTCAAGACAATTTAAAAGAAGGGTTAAACTCTATTATTACATTCAATTCATGACGAAGAAAAAGACAAAAAAAAATATCTGTGAGTTTGTGATTGATGAAACCGCCGCCTTGCTATTCAGCATTTTATAGAGTAGAAAGGAAGTGTTCTTACATGAAGAGAACAGTTTTTGCCTAGCATATGAATTATTATTTCATTGTTCTGTCAGAAATTCTCAAAAGTTAGTGAACTATAGTAGCATTCTACAAACATTACACGATTTATTGTGGTTCACGTTTTGATTTCACAATTGTAACCTATAAACTCTGAATAATTGATTGCTTTTTTCACGAGCGGCACTATGACTCTGATGATAAACGATATAGATGGCATCGATAATGGAGCTTATTGTGAATATTAGAAGCATAAGCTGGCTATATCATTTGGTATATTGCAGATGCATAGATACACTCCAGATTATATGGCAACAAAACTTCGCGTAAGTATAGAAGTAATGTCGAAATCTTGATGCTCATGAATTTTTCACAGAAGAAGACGAGGCAAAGAAGCGATGAAAGTAGGGTATGTAGCCGACTAATTGACAAGGTTTGCTGTGTTAATAACACTTTAAACGTTATAGAGAAGCCTATGTAGTAGGATTTACATTATCCTCTACAGATGTTGACAAGTTTGTATTGATATCAATTGTCACTCTTCCCCACACTTTTTGGAGTATTTGGAAACAATACTCATCAATAATTCAACAGATTGAATAAAGTTCTGCGAAACTACATTTGGAGAGCAAGTCTCGAGTAAGGGCTATCACAATTCAGGTACACTCTTATCCGCGCGGCTCGTATTACATTGCTCTATTGTTATAAGATAACTTGCAATATTTATTGAACAATTTGCATTTGAATTTCAAACGTGCTTACAATTAAAATGGAACAATTGCGAAATATTATAAAGTTGCAAACAGATATTATAAAAATAAGTTATTATTTTCATAAATTTTGAGCAATGAATAATTCGGAATTAGCAGAACCCTGCTGGTAGGTGAAATAACGAAGAGCTTGTGCTTTCTACCGTTGTCCAAAGTATCCAACACTTACTCTTAACGATCTCTATTATATTGCATTTGTTTAAATTTAGTTTATTTATTTTCTGAAAATTATGTATAAACTGTCCAAATCTGAAGTTAAATAACTGTAGCAGATGAGTCGGAATCTGAACCTGGTAACTGACTAAACTTATTTCCAAATTCTTTGCTTTTCTTTCCTTTTCCTTTTAATTGTTTCTGCAAAGTACATTTTTTTAAATAGATAAACATGTCTGTTTTTGTTGGACGTTTACCGCCTCATGATTTTTATGAAGAAGACTTAGAGGATATTTTCTATAAATATGGGAGGATTATAAGCTGCCAAGTCAAAAAGGGTGCTCGCTATGGTAAATATTAAAGGAATGCCAATGGAGAATAATGTTTCAAATGTTTTCGATAATGAATTTATTTATTCAGTCGATTTCTACTACTTGTAGCTTTTGGGTTTGTAGAATTTGATGATCCTGAAGATGCCTACTATGCTATTAAAGAGACAGATGGTCTTGTAAGTTTCTGCAAGTATTTTCATAGTCCGGCATGAATCTCACTTTCTTACTATAATTGTAGGATATAGACGGTGTTCCCATCGTTGTGGAAAAAACCAAAGGCCCACCCCGCTCACGTTATGACACTCGTTGCTTCAATTGCGGAGAAGAAGGTCATTTTGCTCGTGACTGCAGAAGGTAAACATGGCTAACTGTTTTATATTGTTTTCTTTTTTCTTGTTCATCATGTTGTGGATAAACCTTCTGAACTGTAGTAATGAAGAGTGATTATAGTTAGGAAACAATATTAGCAGAGATCCATAGGCATATATTGATGTAGAAAGGGGCAGATAAAGTTGGTAATTAATTGAGTTGAATATTAACGCTGTACTTTCATTTAATTTTTGAATTACATGAATAGCAGATATAGAAGTAGAGATAGATACAGTTCTCGCAGTAGATATCGCAGTTATTCTCGTTCTAGGTCGCCTTATTATGAGCGACACAGGCGTAGTTATTCGCGATCACCAAGAAGCTATAGCCGCTCACCTTATAGTCGTTCGCCATCACCTCGTCATGCATATAATCAATCTCCGTCTCATACCAGGAATAATAGTCGCTCACGTTCTCCCCGTACGCATGTCAGTCGCTCTAACTCTCCACCAAGAGAAGTTTCCGTTTCCGTATCTCAATCAAATTTAAGTCCTACACATGCAGCCTTTCTAGACAATCAAAAGTTAGAAACAGAGACACAGACAACGGAACAACAAGAGTTGGTAACCCAAAATCCTGAACAGGAACAAGCAGACCGACCACAAGTACAGCATGCGGTGTCTGTGCAAAAAGTACAATCGGCAGATGAGCAAGTGGGACAAGGAGATCAAACGGAAGGCTCAGCGGAAGAGTCAGCTAAGCAGACATTTGATTAAAATCAGCAAAGAGAAGCAATTGGAGAATAGCAAGAAGAGGATACTGTAACCAGTAAAACGGTAGGTCTTCTGCTTATGAGTGTGAAGGTTACTGATACTTTTCTTACGTTCCATATCGGTACGCTTATTCAAGCATATTTACAAACAATGAAAATCAAGGGATTTCTGAAATTGGTAATAAGCGCTTTGACCGAGACACAAGCTTAACCACTTATTCTGAATAAAAAAGTAACCTTTTTTCATGGCAAGCATGCTAAAGCTGTGTAACAAATGTGTTATTGATACTTTGACAATGTAATGGAACTATTTTGGATATGTTGCATAATTCGTACGCCATGAGAAATAATATATAAAGCTTTCAAAAGAATTAATTCAGTGTTTAGTTTACTTCATAATTTTCTTACTCAAAGTTGCAACAGAAAATGGCCTTGGTTATTTCAACACCCCACGACAACAATGTCAGATTATTTCACAACTTCACAAACATCCTGTATATTTACAAAAGTAACAGAAGGAACCTTCGCCAAAAAAGACCGTCGGCAATAAGCAGAGAATCACCAAGCACTCTTTGTGCAAATAAGAATAGCATTGTCAAAGCAAATATTCTTACTAGCAGTCCGAAAGTACTCAGCACCAAAAAGTCTTTGAAATCAATCGCCAAAATGATGACCGATTCTGGTATCAGTCTTGGTAGAACTGAATCCTCCATTTTTCGGAACTCGCATCCACACACGCTCTCAAACATGTTGCCTTACGGGGCAGATCAAGAGCTTGATCGCATGGTCACTCAGCATTATATACTTAGAACTGCATTTGGTTCTGACTTTGCTGCTCCAGTTAACAACCTAACGAAGCGGCCTTTTAAACCAGGCAAGAATGTTGTTGTGCTCGACGTAGGTTGCGGCTCTGGTATATGGACAATGGAAATGGCAACTCAATTTCCACATGCTCACTTCATTGGAATTGACAGACAAGCAACCTATCCTAAAAATATTAAACCCAAAAACTGCCACTTTAAGCAATTCAATATTGATCAGTCGCATATTCAATTACCTTTTGAAGATGCTAGTGTTGATTACATTTTCCAGCGCGATATCAATTGGGATTTGCTTGAATCCAGCTGGTTGCCTTTAGTACAAGAATTTTTCAGAGTTCTGAAGCCTGGCGGATGGATTGAGTTAGTTGAACCTGTAAGTTAGGATAAGTAATGTCCATTGTTACATTCATCATGTACTTATATGTACCGTGTCTCTGCATTTAGGAAATTGAGACTTATAGCAGCAATCCTATTTATCACGACTACATTGCAGACAAACGTAAGTAAAAACTTGCTTGTCTTCATCGCGACCTTCTCAATGAGCTTATAATAATTCCTTGAATTCTGCCTTAGTGGTGGATTCATTTTATGAAAGAGATCAAGACCCTTTTGTGTCCAAAAGACTATCTTCTTTTATGGCAGAAGCAGGTTTTCGAAGAATCCAAAGTGAATTTCAATCGTTACCTCTCGGATGGGGCTATCAAAAACTCTCAGCAGCCAAAAAGCAAATCACTTTGCACAACATCAGAGAGAACTGTCAAGCTTACTTGCGATGCTCCGAATTTGCTAGAGCAGCAGCGAATCATCATCTAGATTTGCTCAAATCATTACAAAGATGGTTTACGCAAGAACAACAGATGAGTATCGCAAAGTACGACTCTTACGTCCAGCATTTACCTGATGTATGGTTCACATCCAAAGCTTATGTAAATTGGCATCGCTCTTTTGCTCAAAAACCTTATATTTAACGTCTTTTGTCTATCTTCCTTGTATTTATATTATACATTTATATAGTCTCCCCTTATTCATGCACACTTATCATTGCTCTTAATTCATATTTCGTGCTAAACGCATGTAGTTATACCCTATTCATTTTTCCAATATTTTGCTTATAAGTTTGGTTTTTTTTTTAATGACGGAATAAAAAAATAGGGCTTGCTCTTTTCCCGCTCTTTTGTTGCATTGTGATTGCTCCTCTAGAGATAATGATAACAGCAATTTTGCGCAACCTTTCAAACAGTTGATGAATCAGTGTGCTTTTCGCATGTTGCAGTCTTGTGGAACTCCAATTTTACGGACTACCTCAGTACAAATACTTCGGGTGCTATTCCCTTTAAAAAAGGGTTACTCAACAAATAGTCAGAGTTGACTACATCCCGTAATCTAGACCTTAGACTTATAGCTACGACAAATCTTCATAGTACAGCCTATCCATGCCTTTTGTGCTTGAACCTATCTAAAAGCTCCAGGTGAAGATCACAGATATCCTGTTGCTGGCTGGCAGAGCAAATCAGTTGCGCTGACTGACTGGGTTTTTTTTTAAGGCGGAGGAATAGTTTACTCATTGACCGACCAAAAGAAAAAAAAAAAAAAAAAAAAAAAACGTTTCCCCACAAAGGTTCCACTGTTCCTTACACTGACAACATGTTGTCATTACGATCAGCTATAGTCACATCGAGAACACTAAGTGTTCAGATACAACCGATTGGTTTATCCTACCAAAGACGCTTATTTTCAAATGTACAAAGATATGCGAACGCCCGTAGCTCAATATCCCTTGCGAAGCTACGTTTCAACCAAACACCAAAGTTGATTCCATCGGCGATCGTTTCCACGTACAAACAACACCAACAGAATTGGACTTCAACTTCAACAAAAGCTACTACAGCACAAATGAAGCCCCAGAACAACGATGATAAAAATAAATCCATTACTTATAATAATTGGTTGGATAAGCTGCCTCCAAATCTTGCTCCGTATGCTTTTCTAGCGCGTGTAGATAAACCTATCGGTACTTGGCTACTATTTTGGCCATGCGGTAAGTGGTTATTTAAAGTAAATAGTATTGTAAGTGTTGATATTTAGCTAATGATTATGACTTCTGCCATTTTAGCCTGGGGTATTTCAATGGCGGCATATAATTCAGGGACTTCAATTCTCGAGACGGCATCAATGATTGCACTATTTGGTACTGGTGCTATCATCATGCGAGGAGCAGGGTGTACAATTAACGATTTATGGGACAGAGATATTGACAATAAAGTTGATCGTACAAAGTTGCGACCCATCACTTCGGGCGCTATCACACCAAAAAAAGCGATCGCTTTCTTAGGGTTACAACTGTCAGCAGGACTTGCTGTGCTTACTCAATTGAACGCGTATAGCATTCTTCTCGGAGCTTGCTCACTGTCTCTTGTGGTAACCTATCCATTAATGAAACGTATCACTTACTGGCCACAAACAGTGTTAGGCTTAGCATTCAATTGGGGTGCACTATTGGGTTGGTCGGCAATAACAGGCTCTCTAGATTACTCAGTGGCTGGTCCATTGTATGCAGGCGGTGTTTGTTGGACGCTTGTCTATGATACTATCTATGCTCATCAGGACAAGAAGGATGATATAAGAGCAGGTGTCAAGTCAACTGCCTTGCGCTTTGGAGAGAGGACACCCCAATGGCTCACTGGATTTTCCACGGCTTTTGTTGGTATGACTGCTCTGGCAGGTTACATGAACGGTCAGGGCTTACCGTTTTATTTGATTAGTGTGTTGGGCACTGCTAGTCATTTAGCCTGGCAGTTACGAACAGTAAATTACAATGATACCGCTAGTTGTTGGTCCAAATTCAAAAGTAACACGTGGGCTGGAGCGATTCTATGGTCAGGGATTGTGGCAGATTATGCTATTTCATCTACACATGCTTTGACTTAATTAGGATGGATCTCTTAATGCTCAAAATAGAAATCTTACCAAATGTATCATTATTTATTTGTATATATATAGCAAAAGTATATGATCATAAAAGATATACATGCAATCTGCATTCAACATTTCAGCTTATTATTGAGGATAAGAGGGATATCCATATTGGGCATGTTGATTGGAAGGCCTGTCTGGTACAGGTGGTGGAGGATAACCTTGATGTTGGTTACCAGGTGCAGGCATGCCCATGCCACTGCTGGGAACACCCATATTACCTGGTTCTGGAAATCCTGAGGCTCCAGAAGGGCCTTGGGGGAATCCTGGATTTGGGAAAGATGGACCACCAGGGCCAGGATAGCCTGCATTATAGCCTGAAGGAGAGGAAGGAGCAGGAGGATAACTAGATGGCTGGGGAAAGGCGGGCAGGTTATTCGAATGCTGAGGCTGTTGATAATTGGACGGTAAATTTGGTGATTGTGGATAGGGGGATGATGGAGTTGGTCCTGGTTGAGGAGGAGGAGGATAATCATTGGTTGAAGGCATATGCTGAGGTGGATAGCCAGTAGAAGCAGTTGGTCCAGCTTGAGGAGCAGGATTTGCAGTACTAGTTCCTCCGTAGAAAGATCCATATTGCGCCAAAGAAGGATCAGTTCGCGATTCATCCACTTTATTTGTTGTTGGTGTGGCTGCATTAGTATTACCAATACCAGCGATCTTATTATTTTCAGGCACTTTATTTAATTCAGGAGGAACACCAGGCTCAGCACCATAACCTGGTCTAGGCTGACCAAACCCTTCCTTTTTATGTAATGGCACACTGGTTGTTGCCATGTTCAGTGCCCCTTCAATCTTTTGATAGGATTCCAGCTGCCAAAGCTGGTTCAAATTATCAGTATCTTTACGCTTGTACAGTAAGACCTGTGCTCCGCCTTTGTTACTATCTCCCTATGCGTATCAATGACATCAGAACCCTGTACCGTACTTTCTTGATAGTCAGCAATAAAACTTACTCTAATGTCAAGGACAAGACTGGGATATTCTTTGGAACATATAAATCCTTGATCGTAAATCCACTAATAACAGCATATTTTGCTTCTCAATATTTCTATCCATCTTGAGGCATAAGTTTAGTATGAACTTACTTCTTGAGATTGTTTGTTGGCTTTACGTTCTTTCTGAACAATTGTTTTATCTTTTTTGAATGCGCCTACATCAGAGGAATAAGTATGTAGTTTTTTTTTTACGTATATCTCATTATTTGTTTGCTCCTACTTGAGGAAATGTCCAAGACTACGATCAAATAGAATAAATTAGTTTATACGTTTGGAGAAAGGGTGCAGTGGCAAAGAATAAACCGAGGTATCTTACCAAGACCAGATTTCTTATTAATAAGGCGTCCATTGTCAAAGGTCCACAATCTATTGTTTCATTAAAGTTCGATTAGTTTTAGGTCGCATCACTCTCGGCTCTTTTATATTGCTTACTGGTTATCACTATCTTGGAATTTTTGCGGCCAAACAATTATATTGGCGCCCTCCTACAATGTCGATGTCAGTTGACAGTTGAGATGAAGTGAGAGGCTGTAGAGCTCACCTTTGTTTGTCCATCGTAAACATCGAGTGCAAAGCCATGTTTACGAGATAAAATGTAAAATAATCCCGGTGGAAACATATCCTTATTTTGACAATATCCAATAGTCCAAATGAAATAGTGACTTTAACAGAAGAAAAATAATGCGAAAGTTTTAAAAAGTTGGGCAATTGGCGCAGAAACTGTTTAATTCAATCACAGACTGAGCATAAATCTGCTAATCTATGTACAGGAACATACAAACTTGGTTCTGAGGATACGTTCATACAGTCATTTGAGATAAATCTGCTTGTATTTCTGTAGTTTAACCGAACAAAACCGTTTCCTGCTCAGCACACTACTTTTTTTGTTTTAGTATGTAAATAGTTCAATTGCTTGTCAACACTTTTTTAGCCATGGACATCTGTATAACGAACATTTTGCCGTCTGCAGGGTACTATCATGATTGTACCACATGATCGCGTGCCATTTAAGCGTCTTGATATGTGATCTGTATATTTATTCATTAAACAATCAATATCAAGCACAATTAAATAGTCTTAAAAAGAGAGTAATGCTTATGCTAACATCAAATAAACGGCGGCAATCAAAGAAAGAAGAACGTGAATAACTATGTTCGATTGTGAGCTTTTTGAGATCGATGTTCCAGCGTTATTAGCTAGGGCGTTCATAACATCCGTATCCAAAAATGCAAAGCCTGAATATGTCATATTCCAACTTTGGTTATTGTTAGTATTAGAAGTAACCGAACCAGAACTTGGCAAGCTTATCAAAAGCAAATTATTCTTCCTCGACACATTGTTGATCCAAATGCCATTATTCGTGTTATTGGATTGCTGAGCTAAAAAGTCGGCCGTGATGGTAGTTGGCGTGGCCCAATGAATTGTCAAGCCATCAGCCACGTTAGAAATGTTAACGGTAGGTTGATACTCCAATCGTCCCTGTGTGTAATCTCCAAGCGAAATACCATACGTATTGTTGGTCTTGATTTGATTAGCTACTTCAATTGGGGTGTTTGTCATATTTATGTCAAAATTGACGGGTGTATCGTTCAGTACTGATAATACTTGACCGACGGCTAACTTATAATTAGGACGGGAAAGAGCAACGGCAGTAGGATAACCCTCAATAGCAAAATCGTACTGCAGTGAATTTGGTTGCATTACAATGGGTGCTGTATTATTCAGTTGTAGGTTACTAGCTCTATATGTTATTCGAACAGTGAAGGGTTGTTTATTACTACTATCTGTATTAGAAGCTGTATTGTTGTAGTTTACTGTAGCTGAAGTACTTGTTTGGAGATAGGTTTGCGTGGAGTTTCCAGGAACTGTGATATTCGACACTTGGAAAGGCTGCCAATTCAAGCGCTGAAGCGACGTTAAAGAAAAAATCTGCTCATTTGAGTCGTAAAAACCATTCTGATTTGCATCCTCAAATTCGATCAAATGTGTAAATTGCAGCCTATAGACAAAGTCAGCATTGATCGCATTCAGATCGGACGTAGAGAAAAAGGCATGGTCAGCCATTGGATATTCATTATCCGTGCTGATGTGAAAGGTGTAATGATAATTTTCGTCTTTTCCAGAGTTGGCAGTTCCATTTATGAATACATTTTGCGTATTACTTCCGGATTCCGTAAGCTGAGGAGCATAATAGTACCCATTGTTCTGATTATATCTATGGTAGGCTGTATGATACCCTAAAAATAGAAATGGTGGCATAATAGTAAAGTAGACGAGTGCAGGATTGAAAAATCCGTAGTATCCATAGCGATTCACTGGAGAATAACCTCCAGAATAAACGGGAGCATAATTTCTGTATGATGCTACAACAGAACGTTTATTGTTAGCGAAAGCCTATTCTGTGGATGGAATTCCTGATGAGAAGCCTTACTTCTAGTGTTGGCATAATAGGGAGGAGGTGGACCACCAAAACCACCAGAACCTCCTTTAGATGAGACGGAAGGGGGAGTGCTGCCAGTGCCTATTATTTACGTTGATCAGCGACTAACAGAACCCTTATTTGTATAAATTATTAGAAAAACTTGCCTGCTACTCCTCCTCCAGTACTGCTTCCTGTTCTTCCTGTACTTCCTCCAGATGAACCACCTCTGCTTCCACCACTTCCGCTTCCTCCTCCTGCCCCTCGGCCGCCTCCTCCTCCTCCTCCTCCTCCTCGACCGCCTCCACCACCTTTAGCAAGGACAGCTATTTCAAATTGATTGCATCAGTGATTTCTGAAAGGCTTTAAATGGGAATAGCTAATTTCTGATTTACATATTACGCAGATTAACAAAAAGACATAGATATTCGAAATAACTTTCATGCAAATACAAGATTTTTCAATCAGAATTAGGGAAAATGTGGAGTTGCAGAAGAAAAAAAAAAGAACTCCACCGCAATTTCTATAAAAAATGCAGAAGCTACTGTACACAAAGTCGTGTCACTTGAAGTGAATTCTGGGTAAAATGTTACAAATACAGTTTTTTAGCTTTGGGTTTAGACGAAGCCGCAATATAAATAGACAAAAAAAGTAAATTTTTGAGATTATTAAGTTATAGTTTCAAGATCGAGCTACACAAAAATTGAGACGCTTACCTGTAAAAATCAAACCAGCTTCGTGCTGGCGATTAGAGGATGGTGTTAAGTGGTTGTTGCGGGTGATTTTGGTTCTCTAGAAAACTCCGCAGGTCTTCCCGTTGACTTCCAGATTGAAACGCTAATTGGACAATTTATTTGATCCATAAATAACGTCTCGTAAACCGCAACCCTGTATCTATTGCTGATAAGCGTGTCACACTAAAATACTCAGTACGTCTCGTAGTACTTTAACGTAATGCCACTATCAATTGAAAAATGTCCACTGACCTTCAAAATAATGTCTCCAATTATTTTTTCAATAAATCGTCCAAGAACATTATACCATTTCATCCTAAAGTAATTCAAAATTATCTAAATTAAATATATATTCTGTCCAATAAAATTTGTATAAAGTGTAAAGTTGAAGCTAAAACACTGTAGCTCAGCAGCAATGAACTCAGCCACATCCTATCTTTTGCTAAGCAGAAATTGAGTTAAATGTTGTCTCGTATTTGAGGCACGATGGTTATATACTGTATTTACATGAGTAAATAATTCACAACGTCTAACGGAATGTTAAATTAAAACTTGATCTCAGATATGAGCACTGTTCATATCTTTGTTTCCATTTTGGTAAGCAGTGTGTCCAATTGCATACATTTGAACCTGACATCAAATGTATAATAAATAGAGATAAAGTAAGAAAATACTATGGACCAAAATAGTCCTTATGTGAGATTAGCTACCTCACATAAGAACGGAATAGCTTATCTTTATAAAAGATATTTTACTTGTATTATCGATGGCTATATGACGTTTATGTATATACTATGATAAGTATCTGTACTCTTAAGATATATTGATTCAACGGTCAGAATATAGAAGGTCACGGTGCTGCTCCCTGTTCTGGAAATAACCTCAATTGGTCGCCATTTAGAATCTCAATTGGTCCCTTTTTAAAAATAAAATCGTTCGCGTTAATTGCTTATCGCAACTCTTTACATCATGGATTCTAACATAACATTTTATCCGAAGATGGAAGAGGAAATGTCTTTGACGACAAGGGAAATTAGGCAACAACACATGATGAAGCCCCTTCCTTTCGTCTCAAAAGCTTGACCGATCTCAAGAAGCCTTTTAAAAACAACACTTATTCAGAGTTGAATACAACCGAGGAGCTTAACGATGTTACCATGGAAGAAGCAGCAGTTAAGAAGGAGAGGGAGAGCGAGTACAACAAATATGAAGAGAAGGACAGGCTGTTGTATCTCCTTTTTGTGGTTGAAAAACGTATGACGAATAGCGCAGCTGCGAAGACTGCGAACGTCAACGAACATACTGCTAGAAAATGGAAGAGAAAGTACAAAGAGAATCCTGAAGAATACGTACCCTATAAGCTAATAAACCTTGTGCCTTCCCGCCCTGAAAGCCAGTTGAATGATGGGCACAGAGACCACTTGATCAACCTCTTTGATAAAAACAAGAGGGCAACCATCACCGACGCCATTGACGATTTGACGAATAACTTCGCTGATCTTGATATTAAAAAATCCAGAGTAGCAGAGTTTATAAAAGAGGAATGTAATCTTTCTGTCAAAGTGATTTCTAGACACCCTGCCACAAGAAATAGTCCTGCTGTCATTGAAAAGAGAGTCGTTTCGGTGAAGGAATGGTTAGAGAAAGAAATGATTTATCCTCAAAACTGCGTGTTTTTGGATGAATCAGGATTTGATATCAATATGACTCGTAGCAGAGGCTGGTCAAAGCGTGGCGATCCTGCCATTGTAGAAACACCTTCAGGAAGAGCTATATCGCATACTCTCTTAGGCGCTATTTCTTCAGTTGGTGTAGTAAATGTATCTATGAGACAGCCTGGTTATATTAAGAGAAGGAAGGTAGTCGGTGCAACCAAGCGTAAGGCGCTTAGCGACAAACTGTCAACCCCTACTGGAACTACTAGCTCTCACTATATGTATTTTATCGTTGATACGATGGGTATTATGGATACATTTCCAGATATGAAAGGATTTCATATTGTTATGGACAACGCTCCCATACACGTTCCTGCTGTGATTAATCCTTTGATTGAAAAGTGTGGCTATATTCCTGTTTATCTTCCTCCGTATTCTCCAGAATTTAATCCTATCGAGGACTTCTGGTCTACTGTTAAGTCTTAGGTTAGGCGGCATCCATTAAAAGAGACGGAAACTCTAACAAACAGAATAACTGAGTCTTGTGAACAAGTTCCCCTTCAGCATCTTCAAAATTGTGTTCCGCATTCTGTAAACTTATTCAAGAAGTGCCTAACTAAAGAGCACCTTTAATTCAGAAGATGACCAATTGAGTTTGCATAAGTACCGACTTGGCGGTTAATTTCGCGTTCAAACAAAAATGATAATAGAAATAGCATACATACCCATATTAAAAAAAAAAAAAAAAAAAAAAAAATAGAATTTAATCTTCAAACGTACGTATCCCCTTTGATCACTTACTATATGTATACTGGTGAATATGTCAAGTAGTATTTAATGTGTAGGAAATCAAAGAGAGTAGTAATAAAAGAGAAAGTAAAAAGAGAAATAGATAATGTGCTATTTTACAGAAGGATATCGAGGAAGATTTCTTGCATGCGATCCACTTATACGACACAAGAGAGCCTAAGTGTTTGCAAGTATAGAGGTGTGGTAAGAACAGGTTTGTTATGGTTGATATATATACACCTGGTGAGGTTTTCGTTGATATTGCGTATGTACTGTTGCATATATTTGTATGTACTTACATTCGTACTGATCTATCGACCAATATAATTTATACTATCCACGCGTCTCATCGACTATATAATTGTACATTCATACACTAGATATAAAACACATGTTATGACATTATACCCTAGTTAATTCCACATGGTCATTTAGAGATAACAAACCCCTATGATATTAAGTACATTTGTTGAATAAAATAGTAACTCTAATTCTTGCTTTATTTTACTCGTTTACAATTAACTCGATAAATCATGTACTTTGATAAAACTAAGTATTAGTCTTTTTTATTCAACCAGTTATGATAGCTTCAAGTTCTTTTTGTAAGATGGACTCAAAAAAGGATCAAAAGACGATCTTCTGTCCAGTGCTTTGTTTACTTCCTCTTTCAAGAAGGTCGCCATATTTTCCACTTTATCTTTGTACATCATTAATTGTTGTAATAAAAGAGCCAGCTCCTCGCTGTGGTTGGGGCTCAGTGGTATGAGGACTCTTTTGCTTGTTCTTTTTGTAGTGAAATTGGAGGAGTCAAGACTTGTTTGTACTAAGTCGCCTTTGATGCCACAGATATGGAACGAGGTTACGGTAAAAGAAGGTGGATAAATAAAGCTCAATGAACTGATTGCTTTCTGTATAATTGTTTTGGCTTCCAGAAGCAGTTGCAAGTGGTCATCCTTGACCTTGGTACCGGTTTCCTTCCTTCCGATTTCAATGTTCGCCATATCAATGAATCCCTGATTGATAATAAGTCCAAGTCTATAATCAATCTTGAACTTTCTATCAAAGCTTTTCAATACCGTATCGCCGCTATATAGAGCAGACAATGGAGTTAGTATTCTCTGATATCCTTTTTTTTACAAAATACAAGCTTTGTATTTACCTCTTGACTTGTACAATGGTATTAGAGAATATAGCTTCTATGATGGGTCCCCAGATATTTATGTTAAACTCTTGTTCTGATGGCTCATGATTAGAAGAAAAGTCAAGTAGGCTTGGCTTAGTATAGAAGGCATTCATACTATACGCATAAGATAATCGCATTATTGTGTTGTTAGCAAAATATCATGTATAGAAGCTGAGAACGTTTGGAACTTACATGGTGGTGATAATCTTGTATAAATACAAAGAATCTTCAGGACATTGTTGCTAGAGTGATAATGATCGGGTATACCTTTTAAAGGCTGTTGATTTCTTTGATTTCAAACGCTGTCAATTAACAAGTATTCTAATTTGTAAATCTGCCTCCTCATTCATACTTTTTGTTTTACATAGTTTATCGCAGCAATCAGTTTTGGGTGTAGTGGTGGTAGTTGGTCCTCTTCATTACTTTGATGAGCTGTCACATTATGTGAATCTTATCAATTGGGATTATAGTGGACTAAGTTAAGTAGCGAGACTGTAAAAAAATATTGAATTGTTGTTGTATTTGCTTATTAAAAAATTGATAACAGTTGTAAGTCGATGACTATGAACTTAGGTGTCTTTATTATTCTTCAGATGAAGTAGAAGGATTATTTACTTTGTGAGGTTTAATGGGACTTTATATTATTGTGGGGAAATGTTGCTAGTCATTAATTTCAAGCTCAGATGCTTCTTGTGTTATACTTTAATCCTCTATCTTGTTATATACTTGTACATAACTTATATTAGATGCAATATAGATAGAACGTGATAGAATGTATTCTCTACCTGGTTGTACGTACTCGAGTATTATAGTTATTATCTCACCAAACACGTCAATTGTCTTTATTTCGAGTTAATGTTTAGGTCTCTTTTATATCTTTTGAAATAAGTAATTTGTTTGTGGAAAAGGCATGTCTGAGACCTTGTAAATGAATATGGGCAGATAGGAAAATACATGTAATGTTGTTTAGGTGAATAACTACATATATTTGGCCTAGGTAATTATAGAGGACATCACAGTTTCTATTCAATTTCAATCAGTGTTTCTCAAATAATAAATAATAAGACTAGCTAGAATAAATATATTATTAAAACTAAACTTTAGGTTGTCTATTTATTCAAAATCAAATCTAAAGATATCAAATCTATTCTTAAAAAGCCTTGTCAAACTTATCAAAAAGGTCAATTATCCTTTTATACGGGATCAACAATCTGAGTTCAGGGACGAGGTATCATTGAATATCCGCTTCCAATAAGAATTTACCAAAGGATGAGCATGACTTACGGGTGTCCGGTCCAGCATACTCTTTCTCCGGTTCGACCTCCGATATTGCTAATATAATTTTTCAATATTCCCCGCTCCGTAGCAAATTGTCAAGTGAGGGGGCCCTTTTGTGTCAGAATTATCGGTTAGATAATTGGGAACCATTTGAGTGTGTATCCCTCCCCCTTAGCGAACCTTAAGAAATGGAAAAAATAGTCTAAGTAAAAAAATTTAAGAAAAACTTTTGCGGTCGAAGAGCCTCCTTTATTATATTAAAAATCCTAAGTCCTTTTATATCGTGCAAATTGCCCTAAGTTAACATAAACATAAAAAAATATATATAAATAGTCATTTGTGTAATTTGATCTTGAATTCATAGTTAAACATTTTTGATATATCCAGTTACTTTGAAAGACTTATAAAAACAAAATAAGACAGTAAAATGACCAGACACAACAAAGATACTCTTTATTCAAGTTTGTTGAGAATGATACTTTTATATGAGAAACGGGGTTATTAACGGGTATTCAACTATTAATACAACTGAACTAAAACTATCATGAGAATGATAAGATCTTAGCCGCAAGCGGGTGTCAAAGTAGATGTGTATCAGATTGTCAAGGAGGTACTGAAGTCGTTCTGTAGTTTAAGACGTATAGTTGTATCTTGGATACAACAATTTTCATAAGCATAGAGGTAAATACCATAAATAGCAAAAGGGAAGAGAGACAAAGGGAAGGGTGCATGTCCGGATGGTTTGGACCGAAGGCACAAATCCCCGAGGGTTTTGACATCTGACCTACTAAATTGGGCAAGAATTAGAAGCCCGCTGTAGTGAGCCGATAAATTAGCTACGGGACTTGTCACAAAATGTATCAGTCGCTTTGTCCGAGTGGTTAAGGAGTGAGACTAGAAATCTCATACGCTCTGCGTGCGCAGGTTCAAATCCTGCAGGCGACGTTATTTTTATACAAGTAAGAAAGGTAGTGTATGTAGCTCTGCTGAAATTTTATATACCATTTGTGTACTAGTTCACCTTGCCGGCAAAGGGCCTTTCTTTCGTGTATTCATCACTTTTTTTGAATCCACCAATCAGATTACGGCATTTGACATCTCAAAAACCTCCATCTACAGTAACCTCCACCAGCCCATGTCAAACAACGCTTTGACGTTATCGGGAACTAGTTGGGCGACCATCGCGTCCAACAGTAGAAAAGCGAAGATACCGGCACCTCGAAGCCGCTATGATATCTCGGGCAACAGAGAGCGGTATACCATAGACGTTCTATTTGAAGAAGACGAAGTCAAGGAATATTTGCAAGCTCAACGCGTACACGCTATTGTGAAGACTGCCCTGGAACCCGGAGCTGTCATTTTTGACATTCCCAATCGCTTATTTGAACACCAGGCTGACGCTTTTCGGCTGGTAGTCCATCAGATTGGTCCCGTAGTAGGAAATTATTTTAATACTCTTTCTCGAAGTGGTAACCGTAGTGACGGCCGACTCATTTTCCACACCAGATTTCGTGACCCCAAAATGACGGCTAATGCCTTGAGAAACGGATTAATCATCAATGACGTCGCCTACAAAGCTTTCCCATATAAAGTTAAGGTTGACAGCAACGATCATATTCGTGTCAATTTACATCTTACGTTCAGTGCTGAGGAAGATGAATTGATCTCTAAGTTGAAGACGTCTATGGCCCATTATGGCCGAGTCCTCCAAATCAAACGTCGTTTGAACCATGGCTTCTTCGAGGGTGAAGTCAGTATCCTTTTAGACCGTAGTGATACTACCAAAGAGTATCAAGAACTGCAACGAATGCTTTATCTGGATGATTGGGATAGATTCGTTAATGCTAGCTTTAAAGGAGCGCCACCCATCTGCTATTACTGCTGTGAATCCGGCCACATGAAGAAGGAATGCCCTTCTTTGTTGAAGATCACCTGTTTCCGTTGTGGTAAAAAGGGCCACACACAACGTCGATGTAACGAGGACGATTATCCTCTACCTGAGACAACTTTTGCACAAGATTTGGATATATACGAAAAATAACTCACAGACGTGACACACGTAAAAGACAGCCAAGTACCACTATCACCCACGACACGCCACAGCCACAGATTAGAAAAACAAACAAGGCCGACGATGAATCTCAACCACCTGATATGGTAATGGCACCAAGTGATAATGATCCAATGGCGACTCAGTCTGATAATATGGATATTGCAGAGAATCGCACCAAACGAGTATTTGATAAGGAAAACCGTGATAGCAGTTTCTCGAAATATGCTCCCTCTGACGTCCGACTATCTATGGATATCGAAAACGATCAGCAATACCAGGTTCTCAATCAATCGGACACACTATTGTCTACAAGCAAATTCAATGATAAACAAAAAGGTATGGATGGCGGCGTAGGCCGCCCACACAATCCCACGACTGAACTCAACGCCCATAAGGGTAATGAGTAAAAAACCAGTGCGTATTGCATCCTTAAATGCTCGTAGCATTTTCAAGGATGCCGATAGAGTGTTTTTATCTTATCTTAAATCATCATCACTCTCTTTGGATATTTTATGTTTGCAGGAAGTTTCAGCCTTCCATCTTCAAGATCACCTAACTCAACAACAATGCAGCTATTTTCAATCTTTTCTTTTTCCCAACTACTCTGTGTTATTTACAAAATATTGTGCAATTATTTGCTCAAACAAGAATTTTACACTTCAGGATGCTACCGTCTCTCTTGATGAACGGTGTATCCGTGCTTCGGTATACAATCAAGTCCTTCACCAAGTAGAATGCTCACTCATCAATATTTATGGTCCTGCACAATCCGCGCACCGACTGCCTTTCCTAGAGCACTTTATGTCCTCCCCGTTCGCATCTTTACCAAATGCCGAGCCACCTACTCTGTTACTGGGCGATCTCAATTTATGTCTACCAAAGCTGGTTGATAGCTGTGCTGACCCTCGCTTCGTCACTTGGCATCAATGGCTTGTTGAGCACTTTGACAATTGCTTTCCGGACAGTAAGCCTACTTTCCATCGTGGCTCCCATACATCTACCATCGACTACATCTTTTGCAGCAAGACTCATCAGCCTCGAATTTCCAATTGTCAGCAGACCTACCTGCCCGCTTCTTGGACAGACCACCAATTGTTACAGATTGATCTGCTTCCGGAACGGACGATGTTGGCCCAGGTTTTTGGCGTTTCAACAGTTCGCTATTGTTGTATACGATCAGATAAAAGTATAAAGGAAAAGAAAACAAAAAGGAAATCAGTGAAGACCAAGTTATCTTCTTTTATTAGGTAGAATATTCTGATAAAGAATGAAGACAAAAACCATGTAGGAAAAAAAATACTTCTATTTATATTTGTGGATATTGTAAAAAACTTTTTCTATCGGGACCCTTAGGTACAAGATGACCTGATGATAAAAGAAAAGACATACCCAATTGCTACAGCACGGTTAATCATGCTAGAGCGGTGCCTTGACCGATTGGATAGGTATAAGAAAGTAAGTGATGAGCTGATCTGGCTATCGGTTCCTTTAACCGATACCTCGGCAGATTCATTATGACAAATGGGACGGATAGGATAAATTACTTTAAATCTGCCGATATCTCCATTTCAGTCTTATTGAATTCTGTCAGAATGTAAAGAGTTAAAGTAAGGGATCAACAAGTTAAATAATAGCTTAATTAGATTAGATTCATGTATTGTGGTTTGATCTGCTTAATAAAGTTATCTGATTTAATCAAATCCAAATACTATAACATCTTATTCCTAAATAAAGTCAATTACTAATACAATGTTGTCTCGGATATACAGATGAAATATTCTTCCGTAAAAGAAAAGAATTGTTCTAACAAATCTATCACTCACGGTTATTCTAACCTTCATAAGGATCCGCAATCTCTTATTTCAGTATTATGTAATAATCCAAGAGTAATATGCTGTTGGATACAACAGCTATTGAATAATGATACTTTCGTCGCTCTGTTGACAGATGTAGTCAACTCTTTCTTCGCTACCGTTAACTCGCTCGCTGAACAACCTGCCCAAACGACGTGGGAAAGCTTGAAACGCGCTTTGAAGGGTACCTGTGAAAGCTTCAGTCATGGCTTCAAGAAACACAGACGGACTAAAATACATCAACTACAGCAACAGCTTCAGCAATTGCTTGCTGATAGTACTGTTTCCCGCGACTCACAAAATGCCACCCGCCAACAGACATTGATACAACAGTTGAACGATACGTTGGTGAAGGAAGCAAAGGACGAAATGGAAAACGTGTTACTTCGATCCGCTACCAGGTGGCATGAGAAAGGAGAACGAAATACGAAGTATTTCTATCGGGTTATCAAGAAGCGACAAATGCAGCAGACTATTCATGCCTTACGATGCAGCGTCGATGGTAGACTATTAGAAACGACCCCAGAGATTTTGCAGGAGTCCCATCGATTCTATAGTCATCTATATACACCGGAGGACATTGACCTTGGAGCAGTTGACTCACTTTTGGCAAACCTTCCAGACGATGCGGTTTTATCAGCGCAAGCTTCTACTGCCGTAGGAGCTGACTTTTCTTCCGCCGACGTGATCGATGTCGTGAACCACACTCCCAATGACAAGAGTCCTGGATTGGATGGGTTGCCCTTTGAAGTATACAAATTTTTATTCCACAAGTTCCCTAAGGCTAAACTCTTATTTTTGACGGTGTTGAACGAGGCACTACATGGCAATATCCCGTTGTCGTGGAAGCAAACCAGGATGGTATTGTTGTTTAAGAAAGGAGACCCCACGTTATTGAGTAACTGGCGGCCTTTGTCACTTATCAATTCCGATGCAAAAATCTTCACCAAACTGCTTGCGAACCGCTTCAATCTTGTACTGCCAAACCTGATCAACTCGTACCAGACAGGCTTTATGCCACATCGCCTGATTTCGGATAATGGCTGGGTTAATTTGACATTAATGGACAACTACCGGCGTAGTAAAGCTGCACCTGCTTCTACTGCTGTGGCCGTCATGCTGGATCAAGAAAAAGCCTATGATCGGGTTCATCCAGAATATTTCCGTCTTGTCTTGAGACGATTCAGCTTTCCAGCTCATCTAGTTTCCGCTTTGTCGTCTTTGTTTTTCTCGACCGCCATTTCTGTGTCTATCAACGGTTTCTTGGGACAGCCTCTGCGACAAGGTCGTGGGTTACGCCAAGGGGATCCTTTGTCCCCTTTGCTATTCAATCTTATGTTCGAGCCTTTCTTGCGTACCATTCTGGCTTCTGCTCTAAAGGGCGTTTTAATGCTACCTCTTACAACGCCAGTCTTCTCAAGGGCTAAGACACCCACCATTCGGCATCCGTTCACTGGGGCAGACGACAGTTTAATACCGTGGTCTCAACCACCGTCCTTTAAGTTGCTTAGTTATGCTGATGATCTGGAAGTGTTTTTGGAATCCCCTGACGAGTGGCCTCTTTTATGCCAACTTCTGTCATTGTATGGGTCAGCCAGTAATGCCAAAGTCAATCTTCGCAAGACTGAAATTGTTTCTCTATCAGGTGAGAGCTGTCCATCTTGGGTCAATATTGCCAACTCTGAGGGTATCGACTACCATACCAAGCATAGTGGTACAATTGTACGTTATTTAGGGTATCCGCTCCATTCAATGTCCCAACAATTACATCGGTACTTGAACCGTATAACGAACATCATCAAAATCCATTGCAGTAAGATGAAGGAGCGAGGTCTTTCCGTCCGCGGTTTGTCATTGTTGGTCAACTCACAAGTTCTCAGCAAGATCTGGCATCTACTACGGGTGGTACCAGTTCCCAAGACGTGGCTGAATGAGATCCGTACTATCGCTCGAACGTTTGTATTACCTTTCCGTCCAGCTCCATCCTGGCGTTCTATCTGCCTGCCCAAGCGTAGCGGCGGTTTAGGTGTCATTGATCTGCATCAGCAACATTTGGCCCTTCAACTTATCTTCATTCAACGTATTCTTCGGCCAAAAAGCATCTATGATTTCGTTACTCCATTGATTGGCTATTGCATTTATCTTTGTACTGGTCACCACTCTTTTGTCCCTTGGCTGCAGCATCCTCGATCCTTTTTGCCTCTCTTTAAGCAGCTCCCGACGTTATCTATTCTAACACGGCTTTTGATTGAACTTCCAGCTCTACAGGATCATTCCAGTTGGCCAGGGCGCTGGTATGCGGACACACCGTTACGCTTTGCTCTCAAATCTGTCGCTTCACCATCGGACGCTGAGTATTTTGACCTGACTCAGATACCTTTGGGTTATACGGTAGTGAATGCGTTCTCTTGGTCCTATACATATGATATGTTCACCAATTTTCTTAGAGCTGATCATACCCACTCCAACAAGGTCGACGAAGTGCTCCGGTTGCTGCGTACTGACAATCCTCCCATCGTTTGGCGCCCCAGCATTAAGAAGTTTCTGCCGCGTGATTTTTGCCAGGATGTTCCACCACCTGAGAAGCGAATTCATAGTGCTGATCAGCGATTATCCCTGATAGTTACTCTCGATCCCTCTTTCTGGGTCCCCCTTTGCAATCACTGGGTATTTTGAATCGGTGATATTAGAAAGGTTCCATTTTATAAATTGACTCCGAGACTATTGAGACAGTTCTGGTCGCAGAGATATCTTCAGGAAAAGCTACCGGGTCAATTATCATTGCTTGGTATTCCACAGGTCCCCTATATATGCCCTCCAGGTTTCTGTCATCCACGGATTTGGAAGACTTTCTGGTCTTTGCGCTTATCCCACCAAGTCTGTACTTGTTGGTGGCGCTTGCTACGTGCTTCTCTAAGCACCCAGTTATCGTTACATCGTCTTCGACCTCGGCGATGGCCTTCACCAGCATGTCAATTCTGTCCAGCATCAATTGAAGACGACTATCATTTTGTTGTTGGTTGCCCTGTAAAATGGTCCTATTGGGCAGCAGCTCTGGCTCATTTGTCTCTCACGGATGTATTGAGGTCTCCTGCAGATGTCTGGCATATTTTGCTCAATCTGAAGCTGCCAACAGCTATCGTATATACTGAGAATTACACTTTGGAACTGGTGGGAAACATTTTGGAAACACTTTGGAAATACCATTGGCATACGATTATCACTAGAGAAAGTTGGTCCACCGATAATGCCTTACAAAGGCTTAAGTCCTCAGTCAACTTGACGATTACTTTAAGCAGTGCTGCACCCTTATCCCCGCAAGCCGCAGACTAACTGCCTTGCTGGGTTTGGTGGTAACATTCGTTCTGTTGTACATCATAGATGCTCTTTTCCTCACTTTTTAATAATTCTATATCTTTATTTTTTATTGTTGAATAAATCGTACCTGAATTTAAACAAAAAAAAAAAAAAAAAAAGTTCACCTTAATTTTTCCTTTCTCACATTTAAATGCTTAACTAGTTATCTACTGTCCTTTTGAATTCATATTAAATGAAAGAATTGTACCCTGAATTTGAACAAAAAAGAAAAAAAAGCCCTTGCGTAAATCTTATTTGTTTTAATGATTATAGTGGACTACTAAGTAGCGAGACTATAAACAATATTGATTGAAATGGATGATTTGTTTAGAGAAAGTGCATATCTGAGACTTAATGAGTTGTTGTAGGCAAATTAGGAAAATACACATAGTGTAACTTATGAAAACTATTGCGTATATTTGGCTTAGGTGATTATTAGAGACATCACACCATATCAATTTTATTTGAGTCATTATTCTTCTTCTTTTTTTTTACCTTTACTTTATCGAATGCTATATACTTAGAATGGTTAAGAATAAGGGAAAAGCCGGTGAATCAAAGAACGCTACTGAAAACAATAAACGCTAGCTTATTTACAAAGACGAACATCAGGAATATGCCCAAGTTACAAGGACGTTACGTAGTGGTTATTATATAGCACATTGTTTTGATCGTGTTTAGCACACATTTCTGGCCAATTACGTAAGAAGGTCTGGATTACTCCAAATGATATCGTATTTTTATCTTTACGTGAATTCGAAGATAACAAAGCCGATATTATTCAACGGTATACTCCTGACGAAGCAAGAGCTTTGACGAATTATGGTGATTACCGGAAACAGCCAAGATTAATGAAATCGACGCCAGCTTTGGCGGTGACGAGAATGATGACGAAATTAATATCTATAAAGTTTAACCAGAATTTCCTCTTTTTGTGCTTACGTTATATGAAAGGCATTGCGTTTCCTCTATGTCCTTTTCTGATTTCAATTCTATTTACGTTTAGACATTTTATCTGATACATAACGAAAATAATAAAAGGAAAAAGACGAAAATAGTGGCTGTATTGTATATAAAAAAAAAAAGGAAGAAAAAAGGCCTACGTCGTGGTTAATGAGTAGCTCATATACAAAGGGTCTTATTCCTACATTAGGGATAAGAAGACGTACCTCTTCATTGGTAGAATAATCCAGCTGTTTGTTCTGGGTTCCGCGATCTGAACAGAATATTTCAACTTCTGCAGTATACATTTTTCTTTCTCTTTAGTTTTGGCTTTGATCAAATCAAGCTCACTTAGTTTGATCTTGTTAAGCTTTTTGCAATAATCACACGTACTATTTCCTATTTAACAAATTGTCAGATACCACAATAATTAAATGTGGTACATCAAACTAACTAAAGAATGACTTCGAAATTAGCTTTAAGATCTAACGCATTTCTACTTCTTTGCGCGCTTGATACTATAATTCTGTATCCTCCTTTGAAAATGATAGCTCAGTTGTGTCCATAGTTTAACACCTGTGAGTTCCCCGTTCCTTGTTTTACAAGGTACAATCTCAGCATTCTAAATAAAGAAACTTTGCTATGTATGATCCGGCTTTTTTTCTTGTCTTAATCGACTTCCATAAGCTTTAACAATGTCTAGATATATTGGCTGTATCTTCGAAATGATGTGGCCGCTGATTTACTTCACTTGCTCTTCGCTGTGCTTTGTAAGGCAATAATGGATGCTATTTTTCTGTTATCTCTCTCGGAACACTTATCTCTGATGTTATTACTTGATCATACTTATACAGCGCATTTAAGAATTGCTTGCTGTCTAGGAAAACCAAAGTAGACTCTATGACTTGGTACAACAATCGCAATCGTCTCTTAACCAGACACCTTTTCATTAAGCGCTTTATGCTTAGCAATCTTAGGATTCTGTCAGCCAGAGGATGACGGACTACACTTTCCTATTCATTTGTTGTTCCGCGAGGTTCTTGAACAATCTGAAAGATTTTTTAGTATCTAAATCGCCTTGCCTCACCACAAAGTGTTTAATTGCTAATGGCAACATTCAGAAAGGCTGTTACAGTAAGCAATCGGCTTTAGATTAAAACAATAATCTGTAGCCAGTTCGCTACGGATCAACATACCTTGATTAAGGCGATTGCTTCTTTTTTATTTCGAGTTATTGCAAGAAATTATAAGCTACAACGTCTTTGGTCAAATGCAAACAATGAAAAGTCCAAAATTTAGGGCGGATTATATACAATGTACAGAATGCTTCAATACCATGCTACACAGCTTGTATATTGAGTGTTCATACCACGGATATAATTTTATGTAAAAAGGCTGTCAAGGTTATGTTAAAGAACCAGCATAAAATGAATACGAATATTACAGGCGTTGACATCAAGTTATAAGAGAGTGTGTAATAGGTTGAAAGAGCATTGCTTGTCTTTTGTGTATTAGTAACGTTTGTTGGACAGTCTACTGTGCATTGATATGCAAGACTATCAGGATTGGCAATGATAGTTTTCTCAGGACATGTTTGAAATTGATTTGGTGTCATGTAACAATAACCTAGAGCAGGAGGTGCCGTAGATGAAGGGAACTGGCCATTCAAAGAGTTATAATTGAGAGTTAATGATTCCAGTTTAGTAAGCTGTTCAATTTGAGTGGGAATAGGTCCTGTGAAGAAGTTATGGCCCAGATTCCTGTATAAAACTGCAATTGTTAGTACAAATTCACCTTGACAAAACCCACTAATTATGTGCATAAACACATACAATCTCTTCAAATTTGTCAGGCTACCCAATTTTTGAGAAATCCCACCTTTTAGTTTATTGTTTGAGAGATCACTAAAATAAAAAGAATATAAGCCTTGGAAAATATTGTGACACCATACCTTCTGATTCTTTTGGCTTACAGAATCTCCAGGCTTTGTAAAGAGTAGAGTTGTTCTGGAATTGAACCATTTAAGTTCTGGTGAGAAATGATGCTATTAACGTAGTAATAATGACTATGGTGTCAGTAACAAACATGAATAACACTTTGCTACAAGCTAAATTTTACAGTGACTGCAACTTTGTCATATTGCCGATTGATATAGGAATACTGCCATGGAGATGATTGTTCCTCAAATTACTATTGACACATAAATGAATACGGTTAAATCATGCTGGATATGCGTGTACCGTCATTACAAATTATATTACAGTATTGCGAGATTTGAGGCATCCCCTATGTTCGCAGGCAAGGCACCGTGGAATGAATTATGATCTAAATAACTTTGGAAAAAATCAAAATGAATAAACTCTAAAGTCTACTGTATTCTGCCCCAATTCAATTTCTTACAGTTCTGACAGAGAAGACATTTCAAGAATCACTGTTGGAAATAATCCGTTAAGGCTATTATTAGTTAAATATACTGACTGTAGCAATTTTAGGTTGGCCCACGTCGGTGGGATTGTTCCCGTGAAGAAGTTGTATCTCATGTGTCTATTGTAAGAGAACGGTTTGCCACAGCCACGTTTAAAACATAAATAGAAAATATCCAAACCTTACATTGATGTCAAATTCATATAATTGCCAAAGCCAGCAGGAAGATGTCCAACTAGAGTATTGTGGTCAAGGTTTCTATCAAAGCGGATTCCGCATGTTAGTCTTTACTTTTTACGACCGTTGCAATCGAAAAAGATTGATTAATACATTATTTTCAAATTAACAAGTGAATTGATTGAATCTGGCAGGTTTCCGGAGATACTGTTATTACTCAAATCCCTAAAGCAAATATTAAATTTCTATACCGTTTTCAGAAAATGTAAGCTGTCGGCGCATAGGGCTTACAATGTTTGCAGTTCTGTTAATTGGTTTAGATTATTAGGCAGTTGTCCTGTAACATTATTTGATGCCAGGTCGCTAAAGAGTATTGTAGATAGAATAGATTAAGAAACAAGGTCCACCAAACAGAGAGCAAAAAGTGGCAATGCATGGATGATCCACTTACATTTTTATAATTTGACCCAGATTGTTACAGTAGACGTTATACCAGGTGCAGCAACTTGACATATCCATTAAGTCCCAACCACCATAATTAATCCATGACTTGCCATTTAATGATTCAAACCAATGCTTCAAAGCCTGACATTCGAGATGAACTACAGTTCCAGAGGAGTTTCCTTGTACCGTGTCTATATTTTCGAGGGCAAATGAAGTTGTTGGCAATGGTAAGTTTGACTCATCATCATCAAACACATCTGCGAGTATATCAGACAAATCGACGCTATGTAAATTGTCAGTTTGAGCTAAAGAAACAAATCGCCGAGCTTAGTAGGCATAATATGATGAATGTTTGTCATTGAAATAGCATGTTGCAACAAAGTTACCTCCGACGGTAGTCGCTGATATGAAAAGCCATATTAAAATGCTATGTTTGGCTTTCATTTTCTTTACAAAAAAATGAAAATAGCAATCAAAAGAGATGAAGAAAAAAGAAAAAAAAAATGGGAGGAGGGAGAGATATAAACAGTTACGTATATATAGAGAGGAAATAAGGGCGTAGTAAAGATTCTATTGATCTGCTGCTTTTTGAAGGACTCAAATTGGGCATCAAAAACTCTAGCCTGTAACTGTAAGAGTGAACTCCACGTGGTATGATTTGATGGCTGCTCATCCTTGTACCGACTTTCCTCCCATTTTCACTATATCAAACAATGGCACTTTGACGAAATGATTTACTTCATCATTCATGGATGAAACCAATTTTGCATTTTCTCAGCTTGTGCCTTTCAATGTATGACTTAAGCTATAGCACTTGTCAAACACTGCGAACTGTGTCAATGGCGTAAATTCCGAATGTCAAAGGACGACTACTTCAAACGCCGCAAATTAGATGGTAAGGAACGCAAAGTTAGCGGATGCTATTTTTAAATTTAGAGATTTATTGTTTTGTTTGCTCTACTTCTTTCTTGAAAAAATTGCAGTACCTGGATTATACCCCGCATTATGTCAGAAATAACAGTACGCATTGGAATTCTCAATGCGAGGAATCTTGCAGCAGCGTAAGCATACTCGGTAGATGTGTCTGAAGGAGCACTTCATACAAATCGCCTTTCATTCATTTTTTGCAACTATTAGCGACAAATCAGGCTATTCTGATCCTTACGTTGTCATGAGAGTGAAGTAGGTACATATATTTGATCTATCTTAACGCTTAAACCACAAATTTAATTATATATAGAAACAAATATCACAAAGTCATAAAAAATATAAGACAAAGTCGATAAAACAAACCTTAAACCCAGCTTGGAATACTCATTTCGATATTAAAGTATCTCCAAAAAATACACCTACTCTACTATCATTCACAGTCTGGGATAAAGATACATTCGGTAGAGATTTTCTAGGCGAAGTGAACATACCTTTCAAAAATATATTTGACAGAAACAACGGCGGTATCTCAGACGGTGTTCCTCGAAACTACAAAGACCCTAATAACCTTGAGGCCTACTTCCAACTTGCAAAAAGAAGTGAAAAGAATAATGTGTCCGGTGAGTTATGCTTGAAATTTGGCATTGTTGAGGAGCATATTGGTGATGTGAAAAGGTACTTTATCTCTCTATGACTAAACCAACCCCCTATAAATGATATATCTGTTTACTGACTGTAAAATTGTTCTATTCATACAGATATGCAGATGCTTGGGATGTTCTAAATGCTTGAGTAGTGAGATCGTATTATTCTTCGTCTGCAACTTAAGTTTATGTTTCACCAAATACATCCTGTGCCAAAATGATGTGCTAATAATTATAGGATTGCACTTTTGATATTTAGACCAGAATTTTTAACTTGAGGCGGCTTTATCAAAGTAATAGAAAGCTCAATTCCAAAGCATAAAAAATCAAGAAAAAAACTGTGCCTGTATTCTCAATCTGTGTTTTTTTAACTGGCCTGTTGCCCACCTGGTCCTTTTTTCTCATTTGCTAACCACACAAAAACAAATGTTTTGTCTAGTTATTTGACCTTCTCTACTTTGTCTGTTTCTTTGATTCTTTGTTTGACTTTTCATAACATGAGAACAATAAGCGAACAAAATATGCTTGTTGTTCTTGTGGAATTCTTTATCTTTCATAATTTATAAAGCACGGGTTAGACACATATTCAAATACTAGACACGTTACTAAGATTTTAGAATTAAGATAGCACTTGTACATTTACATCAAAAGACGTAGATTACGATGATACCATTTTGAAAACATTGAATAAGGTAGAAGCATCGCGGAAAGTAATATATTAATTGACATAGAGAATTTTTGTATAGATTTAAACTGCAAACAACCATTCTATAGACCTTCTAGCATATTTTAGTGTTAGTGGAAAGATTTGCTTTGTGGCCGACCTCACCACCAACTGTGCTGAACATAGAACCATTCTAAAGTATAATATCATACGAGAAATATAATTATTGCTTCGTGTTAAAAACTGAATCAAGATTTATAGTTTTTTTCGCTAAAAACTATAGAGGATTTTAGCAATTATGGCCTTCCTAATTTGCTTTTCTCTGGCCAAAGTATCGAAGCGCGATACTTATAACTTTTTTTCTTGCAACATCAAGGTAAAGGGTGTAAAATTTTGTGAATAAATATCAGAAGCCAGCTAAAATACAAAGCTACTTTACTTGCGTTTACTATTCAGTACAAGTGTTTCTTTCGCGTTTTTATGTATTTCACAATTAAAAAAACTATTGCCTATGCAGCAAATGTAAATGACTGATCTGCAAACAAATCTGAGATAACTACAAAATGATGGTGGGTTTGAATTCAGCGGTTCCGATATCAAACAATCTTGTGAAGCGAACAGGGCTACTTTTAATGATTCAAACGAAAGCTTCAACTTTGCTTTATATGAATGCTTAAACGGTTTTCCTTACCGTGTGCACCATCGCAAAATTTTCTATACATTGTTAAACGCTTTGCCTCTAGTACACAACAGTGGAGCACGCAAGAAGACGAGATTTTAAAGAACTTTGTTCAACAGAATGGCAGAAAATGGTCGCAACTTGTGAATCACTGTCTCCCAACCCGAACTGTCAGTCAGTGTAAATCTCGCTGGGAAAGCAAACTCGATCCAGTTTATATCCGCGGGCCATTTACGCACGAAGAAAAAGAATTAGTTCGTAAGGGCATAGAAAAATTTGGAGAAGGAGAGTGGACGTTGATTAGCCGACATTTCCTACCTCATCGTTCACCGCGCCATATATCGTTTCAGTTGGAAGCGTTAAAGCATGTTTCAAGCAATAAGAAAGCATGGACAAAGGAAGAGGATGATCTTCTACTCAAAGGCTTCGCGGAATTTGGCCGACAATGGACACATATATCAAAAAAGTATTTACCAGGGCGCACTAGAACACAACTATGGGCTCGATATTCAACAATTTTGAAGATGAACTCGGAATGGACGGATAATGAGCTGGATTTATTGTTAAAGAGGACAATTACATTGGGTCCAGACTGGGAAAAGGTAGCTGAGGGAATCCCAGGAAAAACGCCAGACCAATGTCAATCTGTGTGGAAAAGCAAACTTGACCCTGATGTAAATCGTGAGAAGTGGTCGGAGGAGGAAGAACGTTTATTTTGGGTATTTTTGTATAAATATGAAGGGAATTTTAAGGAAGTACTGCCAAAACTATCATCTGGCAGGGACCTAAAACAATTGTATAAGAAGTTCCACTCGATTGTTGGCACCGACCACGAATTTCAGATTTTATACGGTGAGCTTATCAAGCAACGGAAGTCCGAGAATCGGCCAGCTTGGAGAGCCAGAATGGCTAAACTAGTCTGTGAATGGATTGATGCCGATCTTATTCTTCGAGAAACCTCCAATAAAAGTCTAATGTACCAGAAAGCTGGTTCTTGGGACAACAGCGAAGTGGAAAGACTACAGTCTGCGGTCGCAACAGTGATGAACAAGAAAAATTATATTCATCGAGATGATTGGGTTGATATTGCAAATAAAGTTTCTGGCCGAACAGTAGAACAATGTAAAGCAAAATACTCGCATATTATAGCAAAGGAACACGCGTCACAAAATGCCTGGACTGAAGAAGAGGATCAGTTACTACAGACTTTAATTGAAAAACATGGAGCAAGCAATTGGGATAAAATAGCAGAGTTTATTCCAACACATAACAAAGCCCAATGCATGCGGCGTTGGAATACTCATGTGAAGTATAGATCGGATAACATCTCCTATGGTCCTCTTACAGATAAGGAAATATCATTGCTTGTAGAAGGAGTACAAATGTTTGATACCGATTGGAATGCTGTACGTATGACGTATTTGCCAAACAGAACTACACAACAACTAGCTCAATGGTGGTATAGGCAAAAGAAAAAAAAGGAATATACGGATGGTACAATTGAAAGACAATATCAACAGAGACAACCTTGGACGGAAGAAGAGGATAATGCGCTCAAAGTAGCAGTAGCCAAATACGAGAATGAGCGAGGTATAGTATCCTCATGGGCCAAAGTAGCGAAACTTTTGAAGCATAGAACACCGAAACAATGCCAACAGAGATGGATCTTCTCATTGCATCCTGCTATTAAAAAAGGCAGGTGGAGCCCCGAGGAAGAAATGCGACTATTGGAACTAGTACAAAAGTTCAAATCTGGAGTTGGAGAGCTTCAGAATATATGGCCCGAAATTGCTAAAGAACTGAATAATGGCCGTACGGAGTGGTCCTGCCGCATGAAGTTTTATTATATGAAGAAAAAAGGACTTAATTTTATGTGATTTCTCGAATAAACGATTGGAAAATACTATCTTGCAAAAATCGTCATACAGCTTCATTCATTGTAACGAAGGGCTACTGTTCCTTTCTTAGCCGTTAATCGATGATTACTCTTTAAGGTTACTGATTGCCAATGCAATGGTATGACTCCTCTACTGCTCAATTGTAAGACAAATTACAGTATCAACTTCAGTAAGCTGATACGTTAATCACTGTCATTTTCAGTAAAGTAACGGTAAAAAGGAGTTAAGATGAAGCGGCTAATAATTCATGTGATACCATTACTGTATGTGACTCAAAAACAGTAACTTTCAATCCATTATTCTAATTATTCTTTACTCTTCCTCAAACATAATGAGTTCCGAACGTACTTCCTGGAAAGTTCAATCGTCAAGAACAGCTCAACAAGCTTTCAATCCCATTCGCGAAATTGTGGACAAACAGAAGATTAACACAAATCTAACAAAGCCTCTGATTAGTTTGTCCATAGGTAATATCAAAATTTATGCCCATGGATATGTAATATTTTTTGACAGCTAATATGGGCAAAATTTAGGTGACCCAACTCTTTTTGGCAACTTCAGCATTGATGGAAGCGCAAATGAGGCTGTTATTAGACAAATCGATAGTCTAAAAGCAAACGGTTATCCTCCCGCTGATGGTAGGTTCATAACAATAGACAAACTTGCAATTGTTTTTGTTAAAACTATAATTGTTCCCTTAGGTACTTTGGCTGCTCGCACTGCTGTCGCAGAAGCTCATAGTGTTCCTGAAGCTCCCCTTCGTCCTAATGACGTTATTCTGACCAACGGTTGCTCTGGAGCCCTTGAAATGTGCATTAACGTTCTTTGTAATGAAGGCCAGAATATCCTCTTACCCCGACCTGGTTTTTCGTTATATGGCTCCATAGCTGCTACTCGTTTTGTTGAAGCAAAGTATTATAATCTCATGGTGAGTACGAAGAATTTATACTTTCCTTTATAGTGAAATAGTATATCTCACTCTCATATTGTATTCCTTTTTGTTGACATGGTCCACATTATATTGTACGTTTGTGCGGTAATATTATAGCCGGAACGCAATTGGGAAGCCGATCTTCAACATTTAGAATCTCTGATTGATGATAAGACAAGTGCCATTTTGATCAACAAGTAATTTTCATCTCCCTATGTATTGTAAAATGATAGCATTCTGACTGTTACTATATTCACAAATAGTCCATCAAATCCTTGTGGTTCAGTTTATTCTCGCGAGCACCTGTTGAATATTTTAGCAGTTGCCGAAAAGCATCATGTTCCTATTATCGCCGATGAAATTTATTGTGATCTTGTTTTTGAAGGAAACAAATTCTTTCCTATGGCTACATTAACATCTACTGTCCCAATTTTATCTGTCGGTGGGCTAGCTAAGAAATGGCTGGTCCCTGGTTGGAGAGTTGGCTGGATCCTAATTCACGACCGAAACGGCGTCTTCAAGGAAATTCATACAGGTCTCCACCAACTTGCTCAGATAATTTTGGGACCAAATTCTCTCATTCAAGGCGCTTTGCCCGATATTTTAACCAATACTCCCAAAGAGTTCTATGAAAGAACCATAAAGCAATTAGAGGTAAAGCATAGTCCTAATTGGAGCGTTAAATCATTACGAGAATATAAAAATAATGTCCATCGCTTCTTTAGGCAAATGTAAAGCTCAGCGTGGAAAAACTAACTCAAGTGGATGGCTTAGTACCTGTTAATCCTCAAGGTGCAATGTACATGATGATAGGCATAGAAATTGAAAAATTCAAGGACATTCAAGATGGTATTGATTTTAGCGCAAAGCTTCTTGATGAGGAAAACGTAGTTTGTCTTCCAGGAGAGGTAATATTTTCTCAAAAAATCAAATAACCTTTAAAGCCTTTCCACATAGCGTCTTCTTGCCAGGTAATCTAACTTGCATCTTTAGTGTTTCAAATATCCCAATTTTATTAGATTAGTTATCACGCCACCCCATAACCAGCTTGAAGAAGCTTATGATAGATTGAATGCTTTCTGTGCTAGACATCGCAAATAAAATTGATTTTCCTTTAAGTTAGATTTTAAGAGACAGGCAGGTCATGAAAAGGAGTTTGAAAAAGCAGTAAGCGAACTCCAGACAGATGATTGACACTGAAATGCGAAAGGGGATAAGATGCATCAATATGTGTATCATCTCTGATACCTCTTAGTAAGACAGAGGGTGCAAGGAGAAAATATCCAAAAAGAAGGGTTTACATCCTCCTCTTAAAAGCAGACGGCTTGCTGGTTACTCTGTCCCTTTTTAAGAATCGTTTAGGAGCAGATCATCCATAGAAAGTTCTCAATTAGAGTAGTCTTCTTGCATGTCTTGTTCATAGCACCTTGGTCAGATCAATTTTCAACTCTTTTCTTTCAAACGTTTTTGCTTCAAACGAGGAAGAATTTGCGAAACGAAAAATAATTCAAAAAGTAGTTTGCCATGAAAGTTTCTTATATCACGCTTGTAATTTCCACCTTGAACATATTCCTTGGTAAATCTAATGCGCAGTCAGAAGGCCTTAATGTTCACCCCAATGCAGTTACGTCAACGGCTTCATCAGCTTACTCGTGTGATCCAAACACTTGTAAAATTGCAAATAACTGTTTGTGCGCATCTAAAAATCCACCCAACGGACTCTCTCCCAGTGATACTCCCCAATTTGTCACAATTACATTTGATGATTCGATCCAACCACAGCTATATAAAACGGCCAAGAGAATGCTCAACGTGACGTATGTATAGCAAAGTCTCGCTGTCAATTAGAGCATTCTCCCATACTAATATTTAATTTGTGTATAGAAATCCTAATGGTTGCTCTGGCCGAGGCACATGGTATTGGGCATTTCGCTTAATTGAGTAAACTAGAGCAATTTTTTTTTGCTAACAGAATTTCTATAATTTTAGGTTTGTTTCCATGCAATACACTGACTTCTCTTTGGTTCAACAGTGGTATTCGTCCGGCAATGAAATTGCAGAGTAAGCACATGTTTCAAACGAAAACTCACTTGTAACTCAAGATAATTTACAACGCACTATTTTATTAGTCATACATTCTCTCATGTTGGAATACCATCTGAAAGTAAGGAGTATGAATTAACAAGCTTGATGGTAACTTTTAACTAACGAGTTCTCCTATATGAATAGAGGAAATATCCAGTTGTAAGCAAATACTAAACACTTATGGTGGTGTCCCTAATGGAAAGATCCAAGGATTTCGTGCACCGTTCCTTAACTATACAGCACAAACATTGAAAAATTTACAGAAACAAGGATTTCTTTACGATTCTAGTTCTAGTGCCTTACAAGGCGATGCTTATTGGCCTTACACACTAGACAATGGTATGGCAAATGACTGTTGGACAGGAATTTGCCATGATAGTCAATCTCAGATCCCTGGACTATGGGAGATACCTATGTATGCAGTCTTTGATAATGTCAGTACTCCGCAATTGATGGATGTCTATATCTCAGGTCAGCCAGAAGATGTCACTAAATGGAGTTTGGAAGCTTTTGAAAAGCATTACAATGGTGGAAGGCAGCCTTTCGGAATCTACGTCCATCCCAGTACGGTCTAATATACCCAAAAATTTTGTTCAACCAAAATTGTAGGCCCCTTATTAACGAAAGCTTATCACGTAGCACATTTAACTGGTTATCCAGGATTGCCTGATCCTGCACCCAAGCTTGACGGTTTAACAGAGTTGATCAAAAAACTCTCCGAGAGGCCCGATGTTTGGTTTGTTACTAACCAACAGTTACTGCAATGGATGAAAAATCCTGTTAAATCTTCTGAGCTGGGAAAGCAAGATTACATGCGCTGTGAGCAACCTGTAATAGCCAAAGAAATTTGCAACGGTCTAGATGACGATAATAACAATAATATAGATGATAACCTTCTAAACAAGTAAGTGACCTGAAGGAATAACACTCGTGCGAATAATTACTAATCTCTATTACACTTGGAGCTGTAACTTTGGCACCACGACCTTCAATACTTGCTTCAACTGTCCAAACACTGCGCCTACATTAGATATCCCCGCACCTGCTACTGCTGCACAAAACGGATCCGTTGGTTTCAGATATCCTCTTCCTAATAATTGCGAGTTAGTTGCATATCATTTTTAAGCAAAATAATCTACGAAAAACCAACTAACGGCTACTTTTATATAGTACAAAATGGTGGGATCCTATCGGTAATACCTGTCTTTGTACCACAACAGAATGTCAATATAAAGATACAGCAGTTCCTACAAATAAGACTGCAGCTGGCGACGGAGCTACCGCAAATGGGTCAGGAGTGTCTAGTGCCACTAACAAAAATGCGTATCCTAACGCATTAATGTTTATCTACTTTTCCGCTATATTTTTTACGATGCTTTTTTAAATCTTCACACCCCACATGGTAATTGCAAAATCGCTCTTAACAAGCCACTTAAATTAATTTGAACCTATTCCGTTTCTGATTTTGACATTTTAATATGATACATGTCCATAAAATATGCTATTGGGAAATCAAATAGTCTCGCCATTCATTTTCTCCAAGCTTATTTGCAACACGCCGTCAGTTTTTGGTTTCTGTTCCTGAGGTATTCAGCGGCATAAAGTAACGGAGATTCACTGAGTTCCTAATTGTCAAACCCGCCCCTTGTGACTGAAGAGGCAAAGAGGGGTAATTTGAGTTGGACAAGGTTGTAAACTATGCGAAATTGATGTTTTCTCGCCATTTGAAGCACTGTTTGACACTTGACTCGCGTACAGTGTTACGACTACTTAGTAAATGAATAATTAATATGTTCTAACATGATTATACAGGTATAGCGTCAACATTTCGACCAGCCACTCGATCGCTATGCACATCGGCAGTTTGTGGGAATGTTGATGTTCTGAATTCAAAAGTTAAGGGTAACTTATGATGCTGATCGTTCGGTTTGAAGAGGCTGAGCACTATATATTAATGTCTGCTATTTATTCTATAATATTAGATGTACCAAAATTGAACGAAAATGATCATCGAACAATAGGGAAGGCTCAGTCTTTGTTTATGATACACCCTGTCAGCCCTGGGTCTATATTTATGCTACCCCATGGCACCCGTATCGTTCATAAACTACAAGACTTCATTCGAAAGCAATATAGTAAATATGGATATGAAGAAGTTATGACACCGTTAATGTATAAGAAGGATTTATGGGAAACAAGTGGGCATTGGCAAAATTATAAGGATGATATGTTTTTGATTAAAAGCGGACGTGAGGAAGAAGGCTGTCAACACCACTATGACCAGGATCAGCAAAATAATATCGATGAAGGTCTTTTTGGATTGAAACCTATGAATTGCCCGGGACATTGTTTAATCTTCGACAGTACACCAAAATCCTATCGTGACCTTCCCATAAGGTTAGCTGATTTCAGTCCACTGCATAGGTAGAGTATGTGGCAATTGCGATATTAAAGTAAAGGCTCAGGGTATTTATAATTATCTGTCGACATTATTCAGAAATGAAGCATCTGGCGCTTTGTCAGGCTTAACTAGAGTTCGCCGTTTCCATCAGGACGATGCTCATATCTTTTGTGCTGAAAAGCATATTGCTTCTGAAATAACCAATTGTCTGAGCTTTGTTGATTATGCGTACTCTGCGTTCAAGTTTCCAAAATACGAGCTGACACTTTCTACTCGACCTAAATCACATTATATCGGCTCAATTGAAGAATGGAATCATGCTGAAGAATCGTTGAAAAATGCATTAAATACAACAGGTCGCCCTTGGACAGTTAAGGAAGGTGACGGAGCTTTTTATGGACCCAAGATTGATATTATGGTGAGAGACTCCAGTGGCAAATCACATCAAACAGCAACTATACAGCTGGATTTTCAATTACCAAGACGATTTGGATTAACTTATGTGGACGAAAATGATCAACATCAAACTCCAGTTATCATTCACCGAGCTGTTTTGGGCTCTATCGAGCGTATGATGGCTATATTAATTGAACATACGCATGGTAAATGGCCTTTCTGGTTAAGTCCAAGGCAGGGCATTGTTATTCCTGTTGCCACTCAGTACACTGAGTATGCTAAAAAAGTAGCAAACTCGCTATCTTTGGGTAACAACAGCGCTACTGAAACGCAAAATGCTGTAGATCGCTACTACGTTGATGTAGATACCTCACCAAGAGACCGATTGAATAAGATGATTCGACAAGCACAGTTACAACAGTACAATTTTATTTTTGTAGTTGGTCAGAAGGAACTGGACGAAGGAACAGCTAATGTTAGAACACGTCAAGGTGAGATATTAGGAACAATGACCATTCCGCAGATACGCGAAATGTTTGCATCTCTCAATGCGAAATTAGAATAAAATAAATATCTATACGCTATTAATAATGACATTGACTTGTTTAATGCCGTGAAATACGTTTCCAAATTCTCTAAGCTCACTCGTTAAAGATATTGCATACATCTTAACAATGACTACTATCAAACAGGGACACGTTAGCGTTATTAAAATGTATTTTTGGTCATGCATTTGCGTACTGTGTGTGTAATTGCTCTGTGCTTCTGTAACTAAAAAATTGATGACAAAACTTTTAGGTTTGCTAAATACTAACGTCCTTGAAAACAATGTTATAAATGATACATAAAGCCTTCTTATCCAATTTCATATAAAAGCTTTAACCAGCAAAGTATATATTAATATTGAAAGCATTAGTAAAGCAGGGTTATCATTGAAATAAGCCTATAAAAATAATTGAGAGGCGTTTCGATCGGATTTATTGTTAATGTACCAACAATTGTCTTGCTTAAAGCGCATGCCTCTATTTAAAAAAACCTAAGTAGTTACAGATTACTAGGTTTTAATTATTTTTTTTTTTAAGAAAAGGAATGAAACAATTCAATTGACCATAGCCTTTAAACTTATATCACTGATGAAGCTTTGAACTAGCAGCTTCATGTCGCGTTGTGAAAGGCTACTCCACTGTTTCTACATCAGAATATCTACGTCCTTCAAATGCTTTTTCCAAGCGTGTGATGTCTATTCAATCCGAACCAATTTTCAATACTTTTTACACCGCTTATATATAACCGGACATTAACAATTGCAAACAGACGTTGATGTTTATATCAATATAATTTTTTTCTTATGACGATAGGATAAGACAAAAAACTAATTGAAATAGTACCAATGCAAAGTCTCAGACTGTGTAAGTGAATAACGGGCTGTTCATTGGAAATACTAATCCAATGGATGCTTTGTATGCACATTAACAAGCAAATAAAGTCAAGGATTTGTTTTGCTTTCCCTTTAATAAAGGTTCATTTTCAAGGATGTCATTTTTTGCATGCTGTACTTGCAATTGCAGAGTTTGATGGAATTGCCATTGCAGGAAGCAGAGCATGACGATTGCAATAAGCGAAGGGCTGTTAATACCTGTAGCGATGAAGGAGGACTGTGTTGCCGTTTATATTTAATGATTTGTTATTTATCATAGATGGGTATCATGTCCGCCTTTATTTTGAATACAGTGTAAGAAAAATGATAATTTAAAAGTACATATTGTACAGCGAGATAGAATCAATATATGAAAGTAAGAGATTTACTCGCAATACTGAACATCCCAGTAACTCCATAAAGCGCTCTGCACATTGGTATCATTTTGTAGTACTTGAGCGTCTTCAAATAAGATAACGTCAATTGAGTAAGATGATAGTTTTGCTTTTGCTTTTTCAACGCGCTGGAAGAGCTGATTACATGCTTCGCTAGCTCCGATCTTGTTACTCTGATGTTTGTCATTTGATAATTCTGCGCTTGTATTTTGTTGTTGCCTCATATACGCATCTTCTTCTACATATGAATCACTACTATTGCTAGCAGTAACTATGGTATCATTGATTTCTGTACGACAATCTGTGCTCTGATTGGTGCTTCTATGCCCTGTCAGTCGAGGTTCAATTGCATATTCAGTGATAGTATTTACTACAGCTTTCCGCAACCTCAGTGGTGAGCCAAATCTTCTCGCCGTTTTTTTAGCTATGCTTGTAGAGATCGGAGGGCTGTAGTTACTTGATGCAAGTGAGTTGTTCGAATCGTTACTGTCACTGCTGTTGTTAGTATCAGTTTTGTTCATGGGAGCATCATCAATCCTGCTCAGAGGCGTGGGGGTGGACTGTGAAGAAAACCGCCTTCTTTGATTAAGAAGTAAAGAAGTGATGCTACTATTATTCTTTCTAGACGCCTGCTGTTCATGCTGCAATGAATTTGATTCTTTTGAGAGTGGCTGTTTTTGAGGTTGTGAAGCAGTCTGACTATTCTTCTCTTTTTTCTTCTTGATAAAATTAGGTGTCGTAACATCACGAATATAAATTTTCAGCACTTGTTCAGGATGTTCTAAGGCGATGCGAGTATATACTTCAAGATCGATCTCACCCGAATCGCCGATGAGTATAAATTGCCGTAGAGGAAAGTCCATCATAATCTTTTTGATAGTATTATGCTTGGCTTGACCAGGTGTTTCAACAAGCCTTGATATTAGTTTACCATCGTCTCGTAGATGAACTGAACCTGGAGGGAACTGATTATCGGAAAGAAAATTTTCTAACATAGGCATGAGCTGGAAGGGACTATTGGACACATAATGGAATGCAGCGCCTTGGGTATACTATAAAAATGAGTTTGTCAGCATTTTCCTCTTTTTACCTTAATTTATCTCATCGCTTACCCAAGCCATGTATACATCGGCCATACCAGGTACATCCAAAGGGGTTTCAAAAAACGTTTTTGATAAAACCGTTCGAGCACCCGATAAGATCTCGGTAATCTTGATCGTATCATCTATATCTGAAATGACTGAAATTCCAATGGGTTCGACCAAATTGACAATACCGTGGTTTGTCGTAAAAAGTTTATTGTTCTGCCTGCCCTTTTTTGCCGTCATACGGGAGTTATTTTGAGAATTATCCACACATATTGATTGCAAATATATCAATCGGGTGTCACATTGTTGATGTACTTGGGCCCATTGGAGTATCTTGTCATGAGGAATGGTTAGACGTCCTGATAGAAACCCTGAAGCCTGTGTTTTCAATTCAGTACCAAGCAGAAATGATTCATCTTCCTGTTGGTCATCATTATTTTTTGCTGTTCCTGAAAAAAAGGGTATCTTTGTTTTAGATTTTGGTGTTAAGGGTTCATCAACAGAAGTAGCAGTGGACAAAGTAGTAGGGCTAGATAGCATAGTAGGATCTGTGATTTGCTGATGCTGTATTACTAATGGCAGTGGCTGTAGTGATTGCTGGTATGACAATAGCAGATTATCGATTTGGCTATTGCTATTTCTATCAAGGACGGTCGAGATTGGATTTGTCGGCCTTTCTTGGTGTGGTGATACAAAGGCAGACAATGTAGAAGAGTCTTTATTAATAGCATTGCTTAAAGATGTCGTCAACCAGAATCCATCTTCATCATCATCTCCTCCTTCACATGAGGATGTAGAGGAAGCTGGTGGGGTATATGTGTAGTAATACGCATCATTTCCGGGTATAAGTTCATAGTGATCTTCATCTACTTCCATTTTTGATGAGTCCTTGGTGTTTTGACGTTTCCATGGCGCTGATGATTCTCTGTCAGAATTAATATCATTGCTTTTTGATATATCGTTAGCGGTAATAGTGATGCCGATAGGTTGAATCAAAAATGGCTTGTATCGCTTATTTGTTGCGAGAAAATATTTAAAACGTTGTTCAAATAGGAGTGATGATTTTCTATCAACAGAAGATTTACCAGCGACACTTTTTGTAATACCTTAATGTTATGATTCATAAAAATATAGAAGAATGCACGGGTTTTAGCATTCAAATAGGTATTTGTAGATATTAGTATATATCAAGGATTTTCTTACTCATCATCATCTTTTGCTTGGCAGTTGAGCAATTGTGAGATAAAGCCCAGCCTCTGACCTTGGTGATCCATTTTGACGGATCTATTTGAGCAGAATGCACTGTTATCATCAAAAAATTCGAAAGCATCATAATAATATGTGATTTAACGTGCCTTTCGGATCTCTACTGGCATACGTCGGAAACAAAATGCATTCACGATTTAATTTTTCATATTTAGGACTGTCGACAATGGAGGTATTGAAACCTGGGTTATTGTATATCAATGGTGAAGAAGCTGATCGTGGTAGTAAGTTAGTACTGCTTATGATGCGTGTCATTCTAAGGTTGCAAATGAAGGAGATGCATAGAGAAAAAAGAAGGAAGCAAGTGCAACAGATGGAAAAGTACGAACATAAATAAAGAGACGAAAGGAAAAAGAAACTTAAGGTTTTACCGAAAGATCACTGCTACAGTGCTCAATGTCCAACAGGGTCCGTAAAAATAGTTCTTTGGGAAAATGGTAATATTTGGGACCAATAGGAACAGAGCTTCAATGATGTATCTTAACAATAAACAAAGGAAAAAGGAAGTGGGGAAGGCTGGTTACGTTGGTTTCGAAAGCGTAAATTGATAACGTGTTTGTTAAACGACAAAGCGCAGCCACATGACGACTTTTCCGGTTGAACAGATGGATGGTTGTTTCAACCCTATCACTTTCAATGGCCACAATTCACTCCACTGTTCACAATAACAAGGAAGGGCACATTAGAAAACAAAACTATTAAGGAGAAAGTCTTTTAACCTATCGTTCAATTACTAGTAATAAAGCTTTCAAAAAAACAATTAAAGCACGAGTGATTGATGATAGCAAACACCTTCTACGTGATTAGAAAAAATAGTGCACTCTATTGAGGCGTTTGATTACCATCATTGATCGCTGCTTGGAAGCATGATTTTAATACAATGATTTCATCAGAAATATGTTTGGCAATTGTGAAACTCTAAGCATTTCAATCATGTTTTCCCGCCTTTTATAAATTATGTAATCAGTAAACAGAGTATCTTACATGGTATAACTCTTAGCTTGATAATTCAATTTTCATATTTTTTAAAAGCTGGCAATAGAGTAAACAGTCCAAACAACCTCCAATTACTTTTAGAAAACCCAAACATGGAATAAGCACACTTTTTTCGTAAATGCTAGATGATTTTCAAACAAAAAAAAAAAAACGATCAAAAGGCTTCAGGACTGCACAGAGGCAGCACAGTTAGCTTGTATGTCATGTTCATGAAGTTTCAAACATAGAAAAATTTCTTATATACAATCAAACAGTCTGTTTATTATCATATTATCGTCTGGGCATCATTCCTCTTCCACGACCAGGCATCGGCCCAGCTTGGGGCTTCTCACTTTGGGCATTTTTGATGGTTTCATCTACAGATAATATAAGACAGGCTGCTTCAGTAGCAGCTGCAATAGCATTGGTCTTTACTAATGCTGGTTCCCAAACAAAGGCCTCGAAATTGTCAGCAATGGTTTCGTTATTAATATCTACACCATACCAGGTACCGCCCTGAGCATGCTTCATTCTGAGTTTGTTTAATATATCGGTAGCATCAAAACCAGCATTATCACAGAGCTGTCTAGGAATAATTTCAAAGGCCTTAGCAAAAGCGCCAATAATAAGTTGCTGCTTACCCTCAATTGTACGAGAGTGAACACGTAAATATTTCGAAAGCTCCATTTCTGTAGCACCGCCACCAGCAACGACCAAGTTATTCTTAATCGCACGACGTACGATCATAATAGCATCATGGAGAGAACGTTCAACTTCAGCAATGAATTGTTCGGCACCACCACGAAGAATCAGGGTGCAGGTTTTTGCTTGAGGACAGCCTTCAAAAATGTTGAAACGATCTCCACCCACCTGTTTCTCTTCGAAGCTCTCACATTGACCTAAATGTTCAGAGCGCAAATCAGAGCAAGTAGATTGAATAGAACCACCAACTGCTTGAACAACACGATCCATATCATCTTTTGTCACACGGCCTGCACAGAAAATATTGCGATCAGCGAAATATTGAGTGGCTAAATCACCAATAGGCAATTTAGATAGAACAACCTTGGCTCCACTAGCAACAATGGCCTCTAATTTTTGATAGATGATTTGCCATTCAGCATCGACGATAGCTTGATATTCGGAAACTTGTTCGACACGCACTTCAGCGTTGTCCTTCTCGGCTTTTAGCTCCAATTCAACGTTAAGGCACAAAATCTTGGGGTTTTTGAAGGATTTTGGTTGCTGTTCAAAACCAGCATAAGAGAAAGTCTTTTTAAATGCAACGCCCCTGACGAGCACAGAGTCTTGCATAGCACCACCAGGTACACGTTTAATACCAATCAAACGCTCATTTAAGGCGTCTTGATCGAGAGACATGACTGCATCCACTACCATTTTAGTGAAAAAATCTTTTTGAGAATAAATAAGTTTAGAGTTCATAGCAGTGGCGGCACATTTCGTTAGTAAATCACGGAATTCACTATTGAGCAAATATTATATTAGCTGCTTTCGTTTCTGTCATATAAAAATTCGCTCATGTTCCATATGGCTTACGTCTCGTTATTCTTGTCAATCTGAACTGCCAATTCCTTTACTTTGTTGATAGCTAAACGAGCAGCGGCTCTGTAGCCTTTGATAATTACATGAGGACTGACACCTTCCTCGATATAGCCCTTTACTTCCTTCAATAATTCACCTGCGAGTAAAACAACACTTGTAGTACCATCTCCAACCTGTCCGGAGAAAATTCAATACATTTAATGATTTGGATACTAATCATTTTTTCTTTTTGTTTTTCTCAATTTTATTGCTATCATACCTCAGCATCTTGTGAACGAGCAATATCAACTAGAGTTTTGGCAGCTGGATGAACAATATCCAATAATTTCATAATAGTAGCACCATCGTTCGAGATAGTTACTTCTCCTCTACTATCAACCATCAATTTATCCATGCCTCTGGGGCCCAATGTAGTTTTGACAGTATCCACAACGGCTGTGCAGGCATTAATGTTGGAGAGAAGCTGCCCTTTGCCTTGAGAAGTATCAGTACCTTCCTTTAAGAGGATAATTTGAGGTTGCTACATAAAATTGAACGAGATGTTAGTAATCGGGCTAATGGGTCTGTCATTCTTGTTTCAAGGAAAAGGGGTCCATTGAATTGATCAATAAAATGAAGAAGAGAGATTCAGACTTTAATATAAACAAAGCAATATGTAGTGTGACATAAATTTTCTTTGACAACTAATTGACATCGGTCTATTCAGAGTGCAAAACGTATGTCGAAATAAGAGAGGCCCACATAGGAATGTTCGTCAATTAAGAAAAAAAAAAAACGCGTCGATCAAGTGGAGAGAGCGTATAGATCGGCTTACTGTTTTCTCTCAACTTCTTCATTAAATTGCACAATTAAACCCTCTCTTCCTGCTAGCTGTTCAAGTTACCATCATTGGAGGTGCCATTATGATTGATATAAGTTAAAATAAAGAGAAATGAAATAGGGGAAACAAGTCAAGTAACTGAAAAAATCGAAAACCTTCAGCGCTCTTGAAAATTTTACGAGCCAAACGTCGTCACCCATTTGTTCTGGTTCGTTCTTCCGAGTAAAAGGTGCTCTTTTGTTGTAACTTTTTCTCCGTCCTTCAAAAATACGTTTAAAGAGAATTCTTTATTACAATAATTTCGAACCCAATGAGCACCAAAAGTTACCCGATGCAGATCCTAAAGTTTCTATATGATTAACTATATATGGCTTGAAAACCCCTCTGATAATAAGGGTAAAAAAGAAATTAAGCAGTTGTGGTAGTGTGAGGGCTGGGAGTCAACCATTGTAGTAGGTCGAAACCGAGAGAGGGGCCTGGTGGAGTTGGATCAGTTTCATGAAATAAGTGGTCAATTTCATAGAGGATGTAGCTGACGTGTTTCATGAGATGACAACTACAATAATTGTTTACATACAGCCAGGTAGAAAATACATTCTACCACGTCTATAGTAAAGGTTATGTATAAGTACATAATAAGATAGAGGTCTGAACGTGAAGCATCTGAAACTGAACTTAATGATTAGCATATGCGTCCCCACAGTTGATCTTTCTTCTTCTTTTTCTTCTTCTTCTTCATCTCAAGAATAATAAAGACACTAACTTCATAGTCATCAACTTATAACCGTTATCAATTACCAATAATTAAAAATGAGACGTTTAGTTATCATTAGATATTGATAACGGTTGTAAATCGATGACTATGAACATAGGTGTTTTTATTGTTCTTCAGACGAGGTAGAAAGATTATTTACTCTGTAAGGTCTGATGGAGATTTTATTATTTGATGACGCGTAACATCTCAATGACAGCGGAAAAGTCAGCGTACGCTCACTGTTTATTGCAAAAGAACAGTATATTGGTAAATTAATTTTTTGAGTATCATTTATCTGTTGTGTTAATCCGATTTTCAGATAACATAGCAAAAAAGTACTGGACTGAATTTATCTTTGATTCTAACCATTCAACTTTCAAAATATACTAAAGTACAACCAAAATAAGAAAATTTGCTTATTATGCTTGGTTATGCGGGACTATCAACCAATTGTAAAGAGTTGGAAACCTTCCTGAGGTAATGTCGTAAAGACATGTTTCTTGATAGTAAATTATTGAAAGTTTTTTTTATAGCAACTGCAAGAATATCTGCTGTAGAACATTTGCCATTTGCCAACACAATTAACGTTCACGATTGTTGCGAATTGCTACAGGACTCAAAGAAGTCAGAGGTTTTCAACTGTCGAACAAGGACATACCAGAGGCCAAGTAACTTCCATTTCTTAGAGTTTATATACCCTAAGATTCAGTCCACCAATTAATAAAACTTTATTAACATATTATTGATTATTGAACCCCTACACTTTTATTCCCACCTTTCTCTCTTCTCTTCATGAAACATTGCTTGGACCATCGTATACAAAATGACTAATTTGATTGCAGTTTTATTTGTGAATTGATTGATCAAAACTGGTAACATAAATTTGCTTGGAGGAAATAAAATAGAAGATATAAGAATGTAAATTGGAAAGAATGATGACTCCATTGAAGTCATATGACCTCTAATTAAAAAAAGCTACAGTATAGTAAAAAGACAGCAAGCCAACTGTTGTATACAAAAGTTCCTGCAACATCAGACATGGTTGAGATACAATATAGTTCAGAATAAAGGGAAGGGCAAAACAATCTCAAGTCAACGTATTCACCTCATGAAAGGGCTATCTTCCGAAGGCTATAACTCATTTCGATAAGTTAACCATATCAATTAAGCAGAACAATTTAAATGAAAAGCTCTATCAAAAAGGCAGAATTTTTAGTCTTTAACGAACAAAACATAATAAAATCTACACTTATCAACCACTACAACTTCTGCTTGAAAATAACCGGAACAAAATAATTATACTCTGCTACTATCTGGTGTTGTCGCCGCCAATCTTGGAACTCTATCCGTTGCTCTTTTTCTTACCAATAACACTGCTACTGATGCAGATGTTGATGCGTACTTGATCTCTGATATCATGGTTAACACTGCTGTTCCCACTCTTTCAGCATCACGAGTATTACCATAGACGTGACGAGGATGACGATAACAATTAAAACAACGAAAATAATGATAAAGACAATCGTGAAGATAAGAAGCATCACAAGAAGTTCAATGAACATGATAGGGCAATAATGACAAAGACGGTGACAATAAGGAGAATAATAAAATGATGACGAAATGGTCATCCCGGAAAGCATAAAGTCAACAGGAGTATTAGAGTTGGTTTCAACACACATGGATCATCCGTTCCTTATATTTCAATTTCTTTCTCTCAAAACAGTCTTGCTTTCGTTCATTCATTTTCCCCTCTGTTCTGTCTGTATAGTTATTTCAATGAAAAGATAAATAAGCTTAAATGTTTGAGCGGTCGTAATATGGCAGTTTCCACGATATGATCTTCATTCGAGCGGGCCATTACTTCTAACTCCGTCTATTTGGCTGAGTACTGACCAATTCAGGCACTTCAACTTTTTGAAATGCAGATGCCAAAAAAAAAGCAAACCCTGGCTTCCTTCTTAAGCAACTGTCAAATTTATTGCAAGCTCAAAATGGCAGCAATCGCACTTAACCGTCAATTCATTAGTCACTGTAGACGACATACAATAAGATACTTAAGTACATCACAAGCATTGAGAAATGAGAGTGTCTTCTCCACGAAGCCAACAGAAATAGCAGCGACTGAAGCAACGATAAAAGGAAAAACGTCAAACGATAAAGGTGCAGCCAAAGATGAAACTGTAGCAGCACGGGGAAAAAATCACAAAGAAGAATTGCTTCCAGATGAAAAGCTACAAAAAAAAATAGCTGAATTAGAATTACCACTGAAAAGCTCTAGGAGGAGTATAGGCGACTCACACTCAATAATGATTGATGCGATTGAAGCCTTTCGACCTCGACGGGAAGTTATAACAGAACAGCAGTTGGAAGATACAAAAAAGAAATTGAATAAATCGTTCCGTGTGGATCAATTACGACAATATTTAAGTGCGAATAAAATAGAAAAGATCAAGTCAAAGACAAAGGCGCAAGTGTTGGACATTATTTTAAATCAGATATGGAAGATCAAAACAGAGGAGTTTCTTCAGCGTGAAAAGCAAGCCATATTGAAAGATAGACTGAAAAAGTCTATCCCAGCATCTAAACAGGAGCTGTTCTTTATTATTGGCGATCAGGGAAATACCATAAAGTCAATAGAGAATAAACATAATGTCAAAATAACGATAGATGTAGATCAGAGCCTGTACATTATTGAGGGCGCGTCTCAAGCAGTAAAAGCAGCAGAGAAGGAGACACTTTCACATAAAATTATAGAAGAGGAAATGGATCTACCCTTTGATTTAAGCGACAACACACCTCTTAGAGCTGAAATCGCTTACTCTCTCAGTGATATTTCAAAATTTGCAAAGACTTATGTATCATTTCATCCCGAGTTCAAAAATAAGGTGAGGCTTTTCTACCAGCGCAAGTAGAAGATATAGAAGAATAGACATGGAATAATAATGTTGGAAACATAACTGCATAGGTCTTGTTATCGAGCTTGGAGCCGGAAAGTATAACTAACGCAAAACGTCTGCTAAATTTGATGTTTACGGAGGTAAGCTTGCTACATGAATTATACATTTTGTCACTCAAGCAGTATCAGGTCGCTTTCTTATTGGAACCTACGCACTGTCATAGCTTGACCAAAACGGAAAATCATCACTAAACAAATCAGACCATATAATCGTCAAGAAGCCTTCAGATTTTGTTGCAGTACCGTTTTCAGACACCCGCGCAATGAGTTTTTATGATAACGCTGCTCTATGGAGTCGAATAATTTATAACAATAAAGACATCAATAGCAGCGATGAAAACGATATCGAAGAGGGATATCAATTTCTAAATGGGCAAAAGTAAAGCATAGCCAGATTAAAATGGCAGGGAGGACCCATAGTTCATCTATTAATAAGCGCTTTGACACACTGTAGGATCGAATCATTTGACCATATCAAGGAGACGTTACTAAAGCCATTCAAGTCAGATAATTCAGCAACAGTTTCAATGGAAGCAAGGTAAATGCAGCTTTTCATCCGGTGCTGAGAAAAAAAAAAGAGCATAACTTATTCACTACCTTAAAATAGATTTGGTCACTTACTTTTCAACTATGATCAACAAACGTACAGCCCTACCAGTTTGAAAGATATCTATAGTAACAGTCGAAATCAGTTTTTTAATACGTAATAGTCGATTTTTCATAGTGAATAATCTCACAGAATATGAACTAAGGACTAATTTCTACGTTTATCCCTATAGAATGCCGCCCTTCTCACTCGTTCAATCCCTCTTACCCTTCAAAAACAATTTTCACGAAAGAAGCATCAAAGTCGAGTATGTTGATCAATCCTTACTGATCTCTCCTGAAACCCAAAATATCGACAGACATTTGAAGCTGCCAGGTTTGACGAGGTTAACCATAGAATTCTTGATAAACGACGATGGACAATTAAAACTGAAGAACATCATTGGAGAGAAAAATAGATCAGTGATAGATTTACTGAATGTTGAAGGGTAAATTGAAATTAGATTTTCTAAATATATCTTACTATTACAGCATCTAACTATTCTGTACGGACCATAGAAATATCGATGTTCGCTTAATAGCCAAAGCATCAATAAGTTATACTACAAACAATAATATCACTGCACCGTTGGAAAAGCTAACAAATAGCTGTGAACTAACGAGGTATGAAACGGTATAAAAGGTTACATCCTGGTGATTACGAGAAAAGTCTCCTTTGTAACTGCAACTGACATTTTGCAATTTTCTCCAGGACAAATGAACTTAGTGCACCACTAAACTTTAACTTCTCGGCAGAGAGTAAATTTGTTTTATCGGATATAACTTCCATATTAAAGAAGAAGTTCATCTACAACACTCATGCCGTCCATCTTAACCATATTGAACACCAAGACAAGAAAACAAAACGAACTGAGCTTATCGTAAGTTTTTCTATTGAACGCGTTATTTCATGAAAGAAATCTTAAGGACTAATTCTTCTATTTACGCGTCTAGGTAAACTCAATAGATCCTAAGTCGCCAACATTGAGCGCAATCAATACATGGCCTAGCTTCTCAAAAGCATTTACTGATTTAGCATCAAGATGGACCTACTTTGAAGAGCTATCGTAGCCAATGTTGTCAGTCCCTTTTATTCGATCAAATTCTATAAATATATACAATTGTACATAACGTATACATGTTTTTCAGGTTGGTCTATTTTCGCCTGTTTTCACACCACATGTGATGTTCAAAATAATCAAGCAGGAATTTCAAGCCTCAATTTCAAGCTTAAGTCGTTTGCCATAGCACAAATAACAAAAATAGCATTTCTTTTATTCCTTTTTTTTTTTTTTTTTTTTTTTTTTTTTGTTTCTTTCCCTTTCTTGTTCAAGCCTAGTTTTCTTCTTTTTTATTTGAACTTTTTTTTTCTCTGTATTTGCCCAAGTCTTTCTCTTTCAAATGGCAGAAGAGGCATATTTCAAAAGACACAACAAATCACTTATTCCTGAAGAGTTTAGAGCTGCCGCAAATGATGGAGATATGGAAAGAGCTGCCTTGGCAACTGTCTACGGCGTAAAAGAGTACACAGAATCCAAGATTTTTTGGGATAATGCTACATTGAACTTTGAGGATTCCATCACGACACCTAGGGATGTATCAAAAGCAATTGAACAATACTATCAACAGTACAATACATCTGCAGCTACCATAAGACCAACGAAAGCCCCTTCAATCTATAACAGAAAAATCAAAGATAGTCATGACAATGCAAGTTACACAACAGTCCAACCTCTTGCTCATACGGCAATGCAAGCCTCAAATCAAAAAGTAAATGAACCAAATTATCCATATTATATCTATGAACACAAGGTGCCTCTTCGATCTCCACGTCTGCAAATAGATAGCACGCAGGGCATCCCTTCTCTGCCTCATATCCCTACTGTCAGTGAATTTGGTGATCTATTTTCAGAAACAAAAGATGCGTTCAAGGCGAAGAGTGGCACCACCGACGCTCCTTTCACAATCGGTCAGCAGATACTAAAAGAAAGCATTGCCATCAAGTATACTGCTGCACACCAAACGGAGCTACAGCCCTCAGATTTATCGGATTATCCGTTCTGCATATTCGATTTGGTTGAGTCCGACGTCGATTCAAGGCTTATTGTATGGGGATTACAAAATACAGCTCGTCCATCCGTCTCTGGTACATACACAACTATCAATAACATCAGTAGAGACCAAAGTGATAAGGAACAAAGTGGTAATGCGAGAGATTGTTGTAGCAATGAGGAAAAGCAAAATAAACGGATACGCTTCGCTGAAACCTTCACTAAATTAGCAAAAAGGAAGTCTTTAACTACAATAAAACCGACAAAACATCAATCTCATTGCCCCACAACGTCCTCGACTGCAGTCGCTTTGGTGAAAAGCAATTCCAATAACAATTCCGGGACTCTAGTTATTGAAGCAGCAACAATTGAAAAGTTGATAGAAAAGCTTACAATAACTCTTGGTAGGTAATTAGAATTATCCATCTTTTTGTAAATGGCAACACTAATAATTATCGATTTATCGAATAGATTATGCCTTCATGACTGATTTTTTCCTGATCTATCGAGTCTTTCTGACGCCGGTACAACTATGTAAATTTCTGATCTCTAGATTTAAATGGAGTATCAAAAATAATGATGAAAAGAGGTGTATCGTTAGAATAAGGTATTAGACCTTCTTACATGTTCAACATATGAGTTGCAGTTTACTTGAACATCATCCCACGTTTATTATAGAACTTTTGTCGTGCTAAGACACTGGTTATTGAACTATTTCTTGCATGATTTTATCCCACAAAAAGAGCTTCGAGTCTTATTTACCGACTTTCTGAACGAAATGCCTTTCCATCCAGTGATCCAGCAATCAGCACGGGATCAGCGCATTATCAAGGGGTTAAAACGCGTAATGAGACGGTTAAAAAAAGTTTATTACGGTACTGTTTCTTCATCGTACGACAGAGGTATTGATATGTCGAATGAAAGCAATTGGGCATCCGCTAACGATGATAATGTAAACACAGCGGGCACTACTGCCACTAATGCAACTGCACCTATTTACGTTGTCGATCCAACACCTCCACTTTACGAACAAGAAATACAAACAATGATAAAGAAACAGCTGTCAGCTCAACATTCTTTACGACAGAAAGCTTACAATTTTATTAAACGAGTCCATGTTGACGATCGACATTTCAAAAATACAACCCTTCAACAAAAGCAGCTTCTAGGGTCAACAGAAAAGCATATAAACAGCAGGGTAGGAGCAACAGCCATAGTACCTGTTGTGGTCATTGGTAATTTCTACTCGTCGTCACATCTTTATCAAAGTAGTGGTGACAGTAATAGCAGCGCTGACAGTTTCTCTGATGGTCATAAAAATGGCTCAGCAACTACTATAAAGACAAAGTCACAATCAGTCGTAAGCCAGACCTCCCAACCCTATGATATGCAACGGAAGCAGCATAATAAACAGCGACGTAGATCTTCAGTTGCATGCTCTATTAAGAGCCTGTTAGTCGGCACAGCAGAGACAACTTCATCGTCTCATATAACACAAGATATCAAAAACACTGCAAACAGTAACGTTGAAAAGTCTCAACAAGAAAAGCAGCAGCAGAAGGAGCAGCAACAATTCGATAAAGACTTTGCAATTAAGCAATGGCAGGTTGTTCAACAAAAAGTCGAGCGAAATCAAGGTTTCATAGACAAAATTAACGACAACGAGAGCCAACTGTTTGAAACTAATTCACTCGAAAGTATTGTCACTCCAGGCACTTCAATTATTGATATATCTGAACCATTTCACAAAGCAGAAGAATCCGATGAGGAACAAAATAACTTTGATAGTTCAGCTAGTGAAAGCAGCAACAATAATATAGATACAGAGCGGAAAGCATACCAAAATGCCAACAGCAACATTGGGAATAAAGTGTATTTTTCGCCATATCGTGTCAGTACATCGTTACAATCAGCTGAATTAACTGAAAAACTTGAGAAAGTGCGTCAAGAACAACAACAGCAAGAGAATGAACAGGCCCTAATTTATTCTGTTACTGAGAACGGAAGGTCACCTGTAATTGAAACCACCAATTGCGGGTTGACTAATTTACGGCCTCGCTCCTTTTATACAGCTCAGTTAGCTATACCTTCTGATGTAGCTACACCAGATATCTATATCCTTACACCCCCTCCTATAACAGACGAAGGTAAACCAACAACAGAGTATTTCAATATGCTTAACAGTGGAAGTAGTTCACAGGGCCTTCATTTCAACAATAAAATCGCATTTCTATCTCCTTCGATGACGACGACCACCTCCCATCTATCATTGAAACAGATAGAAGATTTGAAATTTCCTTCATCAATATTCCAAGCAGCTAATACCCCATCAAATATCCAGCATGATTACGGTAACAGAGCAAGTGAAGCAATACACAATGATCATGACAGTAACACCTTCGATGCTGAAAAGCGGATGAGTAAACCTTTACCGTTCATTACAGGCAGTGAGGGAGAAGAGGACGAAAGTTTCGAGCAGTGGAGATTATCAATGCAGGATAAACACCAGAGTAATAATAAGACGCAGCAGGTAAGCACATTACAACTATTACAATATTCCATTAAACGACTCCATAGGCATGTATATATATATAACTTTGTCAAAATCATCTAGTTCAGTGAATCGACAAATGGACAACGACAGCAGCCCTTAAAATCAAGGATTATTGAACTTGGCCTTGGAAGCACTGCCAATAGAACGTCTTCATCCCCTACAAGAGAACAACAAATAATACCGCCTACCTTGCCGCCATTACCGCTTGCTGTACCAACAGCGACAGTTGACGCCAGCAGCAGCAAAAATAAATCATTTCATATTCAACCACATCTGAGAAAATCGATCATTTTGACTTACCCAGCTTCGCTTATAGCTCAACAGCTGTGCGTGATTGAAAAGGCTGTTTTGCTTGAAATAGATTGGGAAGAATTTGTAGACTGCCGCTGGACAAAAATGCCAGCAACTGATGCTACTTTGGCCACCGCTTCTACTACAACATCTACTCCACATGTATCAACTGTCCAGGATCAGCAAGGGACAAAAGCCACGGTAGCGCAAGGTATTTATTCTCGCACAAAACGAATGAAGCAACAATACGAGAAAGAGCATAATATACCTGAAAGAGGTATTGAAAAAGCTATTAATCGATTCAATGCTGTATGTCGGTGGGTATCCAGTGAAATTGTCCAATCGAGCCGGATTGAGGATCGCGTCAAAGTTATTGAAAAGTTCATACAAATCGCTAAGGTAAAAAAGAAATCTTTACCCATGGCCTCAATTTGCAATCCTAAAAGTGGTAATCCATTTTTGATTTCAATATTGTACTTTTACTCTTCATTAGAAATGCAAGGTTTATTGCAATTTTACAACATTAATACAAATTTTGCTTGGCTTACAGTCTATGCCGGTCTCAAGACTGAGTAAAACTTGGGCACTCGTGAGCCACCAAAATATGAAAACCCTACAAGAACTTTCTGTTTTCACTTCTCCTACCAAAAATTGGAAAAACATTCGCGATAGTATGACAATTGTAGCTGAAGAGTATGGTGAATCACCCACTGAGATCCAGGTCCAGATAAAGGAAAGAAACAACGCCCAGCATCTTTACGACAGTAACTCTACGGCTGATGCTAACCATAGCCTGAAGAATATGGCAAATAGCGTTTTACACAGAAAATTAAGCACCAACAGCAGTAAACATAAAAAGAAGAAGAAAACTCAAACAAAAATTTATAACCGGAATATGACAATCAAACTCCCTTTTGGTGGATGTATTCCGTTCTTAGGCATTTACTTATCTGACTTAGTGTTTAATGCTGAATTACCTTCTTTCCTTTCACCATCTACTCACACTGAGGATGACTTGAAAAAGACTTCAGCCAACACTAATGCAGGTTCAGCGAATGGCACTCCACCAATCGACCAGGTCGTATTTCAGCAGCCACTTGTGCATTTCCGGAAGCATCGTATTACAGCAACAATTATCAAACGCGTACTAATTTTCCAAAACTTAGCCAAACGTTATTCCTTTGAGCCTTACACCGAGGATAACTATATATTGTATAATACCTGTTTGCAATTGACATCATTAGATATAGATGCAATACAGAAATATAGTACCTTGATTGAACCTTGTATTAATAATACTCATAAGCCGGCACGTCAATAATGTACTAATAAATGAAATCATAAAACCGTTTTTTTTCCGAATTGCTATGATCAATTCTGTTTTAGGAAGCACAAGATTCATGCAGATTTACTCTGTTTAAGCCACCTATTCAGGAACAATAACGGAAGTAATTAGAGTCACATTTTTGATTGTTTGCACTTATCCAATTTCCTAGAGTTTGGATTTATACACCCTTTCTACCAAACAGCAAAGCAATGTCTGAAGAAACAAACAATGTCAAACTGGAAAGCTTTGAAGGCTCAGCTCAATCAGAGCCCCTCAAAATAGAAGACAATGAAGATTTAGTGCAGCCTTTTCAGTTCATTATTATCGAAATGCCCAGTGGCAATGCGAAAATTACTGGTATCAAACCCCATAGGTAAAAAAAGAGAAAGTTGAATACGTATACAACGTCAGATAACTTTACTGAGATGTATTTGGTCACTAATGGCTGATGTATTTTTTTTTCCTCAGTAAAATAGGTCTAGGGAAATTCGGTACTTTCAGTGCTGATGAGCTTATTGGTAAACCTTTCGGTCTCTCCTATGAAATTATCTCGGCCGAGGGGCAGATTCGACCTGTGAGCCATGTCTCCAAACATAATGAAATAGGTAAATACAAACAGTTAAAACCGAACTAAAGCATAAGCATAACAAATAACTAGAAATATATTTTTCTTTTTTGTTCGTAAAATGAACAGAGGAAACCGATGCAAATAACCAAACAATTACTGATGATAATGCTGTGCAAAAATTGACGCTTGAACAAGTGCTCGAATTAAAGGAAAAGGGCTTGAAAGGAGAAATAGATACAGAGGAAATTATCAAAAAAATGGTCGACTCTCATTCTGAATTTGAGAAAAAGACAGAGTATTCGAAAGCAAAATACATTGAGCGTAAAAAAAAAAAGTAGGGAATTAGATTGTCATTGAAAACTGACATAGGACAAGGACTGAAATATTTCTACTGTTTATGGTTTTTCCTGTTTATTTCAGATTCATGAAGGTGTTTACTCCAATCAAACCTACCATGAGCTCTATTGCAGAATATTTTTTCAACAAAAATCCCGAGAAGATCAAATATTTACGTATTGATACCTTGTCACAACTATTATCGATGGCTAATGTGAGAGCCAATTCTAAACTGCTAGTAGTGGATGATACACAAGGTATGATTGTCGCCTCTTGCCTCGAGCGCATGGGAGGCCATGGTCAATTAGTGACGATACATGAAGGCGAATACCATAACTACGATGTCTTGCGATATGTCAGTCTATCCAAATCGGTACAAAGTATTTTGCATCCTGTGCCATTAGCTATGGTGGATCCAGAAGTACCAGATGGTAAAGTGAATGACCCTAACAACAACAATTAGAGTCAATTGTTCACAACTCCTTTCTCCTATTTCCGTAGAACCTTTCGACGTTATATCAGATGAAGAATTTAATAACTTACCAGAAGATTCTCAAAAAGCCTACACGAGACGAAAAGCAGCTTGGGAATTTAAAGTGAAATCGAGAAAGTTACTATTAGAAGGCAATTTTGACGGATTAATCATATCCTCTGTATTTTCGCCAGAATCAGTCTTAAAAATCTTGACAAAATATGTTTCTGGGTCGCGACCGATTGTAATATATAGCCTTAACAAAGAAGTGCTATTAACAGCTGCTTATTGGATGCGCCGATCTTTTGATTACCTAAATGCCGAAGTGACAGAAAGCTTTTTGAGAGAATATCAAGTATTGCCAGGACGTACCCATCCTCATATGAACATGAGTTCCGGTGGCGGTTATTTGCTATCAGCCTTAAGGATTATTGATTGCCCATTTGACCCTTCTTTGGTGAAAAAGGGCAGTGATAGTGACAGAAGATCAAAGAAAAAGAAGAAAACAAACACTGGTAATGCCACTCCAGTGAAAAACGAAGAAACTGCTGTTACAAATTCAACTGCTTCACCTACCACTACAGGATCCTCTTTAGCCTAAATTTGTCTAAGCCAAATTGCATTTAATTCACGTAAAAAATACAATGGTTAGTTAGTATTAAATTGGAGACTCTTGTTGTAATTGTAAAACTCGTAGCAACAAAAATTTAGAAATGCTATATCTTGGCTCGCGTGTCTTTCATAAATATTTGTAAATTTCTTTACAGTAATTATAATTATCGCTGTTGAGTAGGACGAGCTGCTTCCACAATCAATCATAACCTATAAGTATGGCTGTCACGTTGTCGATACAGGTGAACGTCTCAATCTTCCGTTCTCATCAAAAGCAGACAATTTTCCTACAATGTTTTTCTATCTTTTGTTGCTCTGTGTATTATTAAAGATAGAGAAGCCTCTTCTATGAATATTCGTAATTCAAAGCATATTTATTCGTACCAAAACTATTTTCATCTTGAACCCATTAAATATATTTTTGTGATCCTGGCTGACATTTTGATTGTTACCTGGGAAATAGGGGTTATGGTGACAGTTTGCATTGGTTGAAAAATATTGGTTAATGAGAATGGAAATCTCCTGTATTTCTTACCAACTTCAACTCATTTCTTAATAAGGTTAAAGCTCAGGACACAAAAAATAACTGGATGCCTTATCTGTTTTATACATAGCACGCTTGTCAATCAACGACGAGCTGGCAAACATTGTCAAACGTATAAAAAATAGATCAGCCGTGGTCTTGTCTTGTCTCGTCTTCTCTACTTTTCCTTCTTTTCTGTTCTTCCTTTGGAAATCATCTGTGAATTTTTTAATGCTTCATACCTATCGTATTCCGTTTCACGTCAACAAACTTATGGGCATTATTAACGACAATAAGAATAGCAAATTTACTGCTTCTGACGTCTCAAACTCTGGTAGAAAAAGTCATCATTTCAATGTTGGAGAAGATGAATTTAGAGCTCTGAGAGAAGCTTTCCAGTTATACGATACAAAGCAGAAAGGCTACATATACCGAAAACAGTTCACCTCCATCTTATGCAGTCTTGACTTTCTTAGCAAAGAAAAACTTGCTCGTTACTTGGTTGAAGATATCCAAGGCAGCAACGAGAATGATACAATAAATTTTGACCGATTTGCAGCTACTTTAATCGAGCTCTTACCGAGTGATGACAATATCACTTTCTTTGAAACACCTAATATTAACAAACAGAATCAGCTTTCACAACAACATTATCATTCTTCCTTTGACGAGAAATTATTCTTGAAGCATGAGCAGGAGGAGAAATTGATAAAAGATATAGAAACTGAAGAGATTAAAGCATGCTTCCAAGTGTTTGATCTTGACAAAGATGGACGCATTAGTCGAAAAGATCTAGAGCAAATTATGGTACGACTAGGCAGTCCACTTACACAACAAGAACTGAAGGATATGATGACTTTGGGAGATAAGAACAAGGATGGATTCATCGATTTCGAAGAATTCAAGCAACTATTGCCATAAACGTAAATCGTACACTTTAATGATCATTTCAAGTATACTATTTGTCGAATTATTATACCGGTGCTCATTTTCAAGAACACCATTAACCTGTTTGTTAAGCAGCTAATACCATATACCCCTACTCTTCTTTCGCCGAATTCGTTTATTGTCGAACTTTTGAAATTGAACAATAAAAAATTGTTGATCAGCGATTAAGTAAGCGAACATTATTGTGCAACAGTTCGAATGAAGCTTTTTTTTGACGCAAGCTCAAAGAATTCTCAGCTCTCAGAATTCTACCTTCGAGGGGATCAGTCATCTGACAGTGAGCATTACGTCTTCAGCCTAACATTCCTATGAAAACGTTCTCAGACTGGTTTGTTAAGCGATTGATATTCTTTCAATGTCTTACTGGCTAGTTGATATCAACCGAAAAGCTGGGCAATTTCTACCGTATTCTAATGTGTGACAAATGCACGTGCTGTGGTTATCTGAAGCAGAGAGCTTTATAACTGTTCTTTAGCTCTTAACAAGCGTTCGAATGGTTACTTGACTATGTCTCTAATTGGAGGATTCTAGCGTTACCATCGCGATGTATCTTTATCTTATCCTAAATATTTCTACTCTTGAAATGCATCTTCTCCTAAGGGCTTAATTAAAGGTGCGAACAGCGATTTCACAATTGATGCAAGCCAAACTAAAAAAATCTGTGTAATCTGATTTGTATTGATCGACAGTACCTTTTTCAAAGATCTGCGTATTTCATACTTAAAGCATAACAATCGACTGTTCACTTGAATTTTTTTATTAGAGGAAACATGGCTTATAAGTGACTTAAGCGAACTACACAAACTAATGGGCTTGTTGCGATATACTCACTTTACTTTCTTGAGCATCACCTTTTTGTTATGATGGATATATGCGTTCCTTTTTTTTGGATTAAGGTTGCACCCTCTTCTATTTTAATGCTTTCCTTCTTTTTCCTTCTCTCTGTCTTTTTTTTTTTCCTATTCTTTCTTCTTCACTTTTATTTTTTTTACATTAAAGATACGACTTCTATGTCTTCTACTATTGTAGCAAGAAAGGAATCACCATATAATCCTTTTCTTACACAGGTATTATTACCAGGCTTCAGAATTGGAATCATCTTTTTGGCTTTGGTTGTGATTGGATTAAGCACCTGGTTAGAGACAAATGAATCAATTGAAGATTGCTCTTTCAGAAGCAGCCTATCATTTCATCAAATTTACCTGTACAGAAATATTTCAAGTAATTTAACGACACCAGACTCAGTTTCTTTTGGTTTATGGAAGTCGTGTTATTTATACGCCCTGAATTGTTCATGTACGCCAACCAATTTGAAATACCAACCAGGTATCTATAATGGGGCAAAATGCACTTTATAAAAAGATTGTATCAAAAAGGCCTGTTCTAATCTCGGTGTGAATCTAATGATGATATCATAACATTGTTACATCTTGTGTAAATATAAATGATTTAATAGACATCTCAACATTACTACAGGTGGCCACTACGCATAAAGCTGTTCCACCAGTATCTACCAGCAGTACATCACTTGCTAAAGTTCTACCATTATCTACAGCAATTGTTTTTTGCTTTATTGCCCTTCTAATAGGAATCTGGGTTAACCGCTGGCACCACTATCAATACCATTATCGCGTGTCGACAAAAAGATGGGTCGTTTATCCTAAACTAACCGCCACCATTCTATTATTACTGGCGGCTATTTTGAGTGCTTATGTTTTTGGCTCAACCTACACATCTTATTTCAATCAAATCAAACATGTTTGTCAGGATCCCAACAACAAAGTTTCTTGTGCTCGACATGCTATTGGCATTGAAGTCATTCTTTTTGGAATCACATCAGGCCTTCTGTTTCTAGCATTCCTCTTTTGGTTCTACTTCTCAAAATCTACTTACAACAACACGTCCTCCAACGCTATAAACGAATATAATGTTAACACGGTTGCATATGCGCCAGAAGACGATGAACTACCGTATGGATGCTGCTGGAGGTTTAAAAGGAAAGAAAACAAGGAATATGATGACAAACGGCAAAGCGAGCTGTATGCAGACAAAGAGTTATCGAGCCCCTCCAATACAATAAAGCAGCATTCAAATTACACCTATTTTCACAATAATGAAAGTAATTACAGTGATAGTACCCAATCACAATTTCAGCAGCAGCAGCAGCATAAATTACACCAACCACAGGACGAATTGGCAGTTTGGCGCGATGTTGCCATGTATGATATTCAGGAAAAGAAAACTAAGAAGGAAAAAGGTATCAATAAATGGAGTGCCACTAAACAAGCGTACCAAAATCAGACACATATGAACAGTAATGGCTTGTCACCACTTCCACCGCCTCCGGCAGTTTTGACACCTACATTGCCATTGATAGATAACATAAGAAGTTCAAAATCACGTTTAACATCAAAAGACTATCGCGAACGAAAGTCGTCTCAACATCCTTACTACATATCAACAACATCACCAAGCCCACAGTACGACAAAAAGACTCATGGACATTTTACCAATAAGCATAACAGTAGCCATTATAATAATTATAGACGAGAAAGTGATGATTCAGCCTTCACTTTTGGGAACCATCCAACACCAGTAATTGAAAAGCACCAACAAAAAAATCAACAAGAACAGACCCATCAGCACACTAGCAATTATGTCCCGACTTTTCCGGATAATAACAGTAACGACAGTAATGAGTTTGTTCATAGCAATCATAAGACCTATGACCATAAGCTCACATCCTCACCTACTGGTAGTGGTATCAATAGCTCTACGAAATCTAAAAAGCGAGGCAACAATATATCTAAGACTAGGTCGCCACACCCTATGATTTCCTACTATCCAAAGACAACAACCATAAATAATAGGGGCTCTTTTTGTATGACACATTATCAGAATGATAGTTATTCTTTAGGATCGAGTAATAGCAGTGATAGAGCAGCGGCGAGAGATTCAACAGGTAGTTTAAATTACTTTGATCATCAACAGCATCAAGTGCCCATTTTGAATATGCCTCCTGCAGGTAATTGTATCAATACGTCCTTTATGGAGCATCCTTTAAATAAGAAGGTCATCAAAGACAAGCGCATACAAGAGTATTTACAGAAGCAATAGCATATGCTTCGTCCCCTCATCATTTTATAAAAATTTATCAACAAGTGCTGTCGATATACCATGATAATAAAGCTTAATACAAAATCAGTTTGTCATATCCTTTGGAACGCAATTAACTATACGAGAACTGAACCAACAAAGTAATTTACATAACGATTAAACAAGTGCAATATTCATCAAATTTATTTCTTTGAAGTAATAAAAACCGAATCATTAGCTACTTGTTTACTTTCTCTGTTTTTGGGCGAGAAAATCAGAGAATTCCTGATAAGGTCCTTTAATAAGTTCGGACTCTTCCCAAAGATCAGGAGTCAAAAAGCCGTAAGTATTACCGATGGCAGCAAAGGTAGCTTTAATAAAGTTACCAAGAGTACGAGTGGAACCACGAGAGGTGGTATAACAATCAGTAATACCAGCTAATTGAAGTACACGCTTAGCAGTAGGAGAGGCAACGATACCAGTACCACGAGGTGCAGGTACTAAACGGGCCATAACGGAACCGCAACGACCGCTAACCTTACAAGGTACAGTATGAGGTTCACCAAGATTGTTACCCCAATAACCACGACGAACGGGAATGATGGAAAGCTTGGCCAAAATGATACCACCACGGATGGCAGTGGCAACTTCCTTGGCACACTTAACACCCAAACCAACATGTCCGTTCTCATCACCAATGACAACAAAGGCCTTGAAACGAGTACGTTGGCCAGCAGTTGTCTGCTTTTGAACGGGCATGATCTTCATCACTTGATCTGTAAGCTTGGGAAGGAAGTAATCAACGATTTGATATTCTTTGATGGGCAAAGAGAAAAGATAGATCTCCTCAATGGACTTGATCTTATTAGCCTTTACAAGACGACCAAGCTTGGTAACAGGAACCCATTCGTTCTTTTCTTCTCCACGGCGGCCACGACCACGGCCACCACGTCCACCACGTCCACGCCCAAAACCACGTCTATCGGCCGATGCTGTGTCAACCATTTGCTATTGTCATTAAAAAGGTTGGAATGATGACAAGAAAGATTGATTAGCAAAGGAAACGGCTTTTTTTTTATTGTTTGCGTCTATCCATTGATCATCCATCTATTTCTACATCTGTGGTTTTAGGATGGATGATTGAAGCATTTTTTTTACTTACATAAAACTATATGAATTAAAGGATTCAAAGAGGAGGAATCACATATTTGCTTACTAGCTACGATCTGATATGCTCATCGATGGTATGGCTCAATGTGATGTAATTAGCGAGCATTGTCCAGCATTTTTTACACTCCGACAGGAAAAGAAAGCAGTTGGCGTAGCCCTTTGACAAAGTTGAGTGGATCGTTACCAACATATTATTCACGGTAAGACACACACTTTCTCAATGGAGTAATCACTGGCTTTGATCCAAACCGCAAAAAAGTGCGAAATGGTTGAAAGGCCAAAGAAACAACAGATGTAACATGAAGTTTTAAGATGGTATCGCGTTATGTTCTTTATTGTAATCATTAAAATATATATTATCCATACGCTTTATGACTGATAATGAAATAAATATTCTCAATTTGACTCCAATATCATAGTGTTTATACGTCTTTCTTTTTCATCTAAGCAACAGGAACTGCCGTAGCAGAAGTAACAGGGGTAGTAGAAGCAGTAGAAGCAGTAGAAGTAACTTGCTGCTGTTGCTTTTCCATCTGAATTTTTTTGGCTTCATAATGAACAGCAGCAATTTGAGCTAAAGTTTGATAAGCAAGACGTTCCACCTTTTGTCCTGTAGGCGTATGAAGTGCAGCTGTAGCTGTAGATTGAGCTTGCTGTGCGGCAGTTTGAACCTTTTCGTGAATTTTGTATTTATTATCAATTTCCACTGCTTTATCCCAAATTCGATACTTCTCATCCATTTGCTTCACATTTGTTGTGAGGGTTTGCAAATAGTTTGTGAAACGACTGGTCAGGCTGTATTTGGTGTCATATTCAAGTCCCTTAGCAACAATTTGATCTTGAAGAATATATCCATTGGCAAGAATTTCAGCGACAATGCGAGTCTTTGCCTTTGTTTCTTGGTGGCGAGGTGTACTGACACCACTACTACTAGCACTAGTGCCATCATTGCTGACAGTAGTCTCACTGTCACTAGCTGTACCTTCTTCATCTCTAGCGTTTGTTTCAAAGTACGGTGTAGCAACAATATGACTATCATCAATTAATGCTATACAAATGAAATTAGACTATTTACATTTGTTGATTAAGTCACTATAGTTTTTGATCGTTTGCTTACCATTACTGAGAAGAATAGCAGTTTTAGCGGCAGATTCCCTTTCGAAATGGATCAAAGCAGTTTGATGGAGTTGGTCTTCATCCCTGTATAAGTTGGGGTGGTTTGTGGGTTTTTTTTTGGGTAAGACAGAAATCATATTATTGTTACAGGTTAAGCATGAAACTTGTATTAAGAGGGAATTAAATATAACAACAAAAAATAACATACATGAGTAGCTCGAAATCCTGAATTTTACCACAGAAAACGAAAAATTGCTTAACTATAAGTATGGTAGGGCATGTCAGTTAGTTTCTTCCTACTTAGGTTACAGCGTAACATTACTATTTTACCTGTCTCTTCTGAAGAATCAGCAGAGATGTTCTTTACAAGAACAAAGTTGGCGGAAGGCGTTTCAGGGATCTAATTATACATTGATTTGTCAGTAGAGAAGATGTTAGTCTATTTTGGAGTAAAGATCGCATATTAAGTTTCAGGAATATACATACAGAAATTGTCCAAAAAGTCATATTAGGAATGAATTGAGAGAAAAGAAAAAGAAAAGGATAGTAAAACGTAAAACGTGGTGTTAAAGTTTAAAAAGAGAGAAATAGCACAAGCTTGTCATCCGTTTCTCTATTATTTTCATATGAATATTAGCACACATTATACCTTTTTCTTGTACATTTTGTACGCCTATTGTCGCGTTGTTACGGCCCACAATAGGTCTACAATAAATACCTTTTTTTTTTTCATATGATTCAATTACAACAAAAATAATTATAGTAAAGAAAGCTTCTATTTCACTTTTTTTTGAAAAAAGTGCATAATGACCTTATAGTTTGGCATGTGAGCTTTAAATTTATCTGCTGCTTAAAAAAAGTAAACAATAAACAAACTTTACTTCTGCCCCAACGAGAAACGAATCTTACTCATTGTTGCAGAAAAGTCGGCTTGTTTGAAATGGGGATATACCCTTATATGACTGGTGGATGACTTGGATCGATTGTTAACCAGTCAACAGTGTAGAATTTTAGTTAATCCATTTTATTGTATAACGTCAATTTTTCGTTTATAATTATCAAAGACAACCAAACTGAAATCTAACACACAATTTATCAGGTATGCTGCAAACATGGAAAGAGAAAGCTTTTTAAAGATCATATTATAGTAATTTGGAGGTATTTTCGACATAATAACAGGTAACACAATCAATTCTGGTGGTTTGAAATTGTGCTGGAGCAATCTGTCTGTAAGCTTATTAATGTTGACTGTACGGCATGTCATAATATATACAAAATCTCTTTATTGTGAACTTTCATTTTTGAACGACACAGCATAATCATGAGAGTAAGGGAGCATTATAATAGGTACAAAAAATACAAATTAACAGATAAGAAAGTGAGTGTAAGCTTATGCAAATTTACGCTTTTTACTGATAGGCATGGTATCGTCCAAAATATCCTTAAACATTTCACGTTTGCGTTCCGCACCCTTTTCTCTCTCCACCCAAACGTCATGTCTCCTCTTATATTGATCAATCTTGCATGTCCAAAGGATATTCTTACCAATGTAATGGCTGGCCAATTCATGTTCATGCTTGACTAATTCAGCTGCAATCTTTTCCTTCATATCAATGTCTGCATTTAACCAGCATTTATCCATAATATGACTACCGAACTTGTCTTTGGCTAAAGAGGTATACTTGCCCAATAAATCACGCATAACCTTCTTCTTCATCTTATCATTGACGTGATGTGAAGCTATTACGGATTCAAAAGCACGAGAGCCTACAGGCGAAAAACACCAGCGGTGAATTGTATCGGGTCTTTGCGATAAGAAACTGCTCGTAGCAATAGCATTGGCTTCCTCATTCATTTGCATAATTCCTTGTAAAATAAGAGAGCCTTGCAAATGGAATTTGTATAAATCTTGCTTTTCATCATAGCTAGCTGATTTCCATTGGTCTAAAGTCCACATACGCATGCAACAATTGACAAATTCTTTACGATCCTCTACGGCTGTACCCTCTTTATCGTCTGCTGATGGCATTCGTAAACCTGTCACTAATGCATCGACTACGTCTTGTTGACAAACTTCCATCTTCACAGCAGCGTCTACTAAACTACGTATCACACCATATTTGCCATTTTTGATGATTTTATCAAATGATCCCTTTAATTCTGTCAATATTTGTTTCAATTGTTTGGGCTTTCTGACATGGGCAATCAAATTTTGTATCACAAAATTGGCGATGGGGTGTAAAGTGAACTTCTCCAACTTGCCAACAATGTAGGTTTTGAAAATCTTGCGGTAGATTGGATCAGGTGCCACTTTGACAATGATTTCTAATAAATGAGAACCGACGGAGTCACGAATCAAAGTGGCAAACCATGAATCTCTGTCTGTATTTTCTTCTTTGGAGTCAATGTCGGTTACGATGCCCCATAAAATACGGTCAATCAAAATGTTACGAGCCTTTATTCCTTCTGTATCGTTCTCTTGCATATCTAATAGGAGTTGTAAAACAGGGTTGGCTACTTTGTGTACAGATAATGTACGCACTTCAGTTTCTGACATGTTGATTGCTAGTTCTGTTGTGAGAGTTCTGAACATAACCTTAAAGGTGTCCGGCACCTTTCTTGTTGATGCTAAATGCACACTAGTCTAAATAGAGAAAATAATACTTCATCAATATTTTGTTGATAGCGTAATAGGCCTCTTCTGCAGCTTCCAACCATCATTACCTTTGTAAAGGTATCATTATTTTCTTTTTTGTATTGTGCCGATTTTTTACTTCTTAATCTACCCTTAATATCACCTGTCTCGTCAATTCTTTTACCAGCCAAGACGTGCAGTAGAATTCGGATGACATGAGAAGCAAACTGCTGAGAAATTAAGCCGCCAATATGAGGCTTAATATCTTCACAAGCATCCAATACCAATTGTTCCATAGATAACAACTCTCCTTCCTTATTTTCATCGGTTCCATTCTTAGCGTTATTATCACTCTTGACACCATCCAATTGTTCGCGTTCGACAACGTCTGCTGCTAACGTTAATAGTGTTTGACATACATGTGAAGCGAACCGATGAACAAACAACTCAACTGTCTTTCCTCTTAGTTTATCCATAAACACACGAAGCTGAAACGAATCAGATATTTTCAAAAGTTTTTCGAGAATCAGTGAGCAGGAGTAGTTCGTAGATAGACGAATTTCATTGCCGTCTACTTCATTATATACATTCTCAACAAACAAGCGTTGATCTAAACAACGTCAGCAAGTGCTTTTGAATGAGTAAAAGTGATCGATCAGATCCAGCCAATTTGATCTGTATCCTTATTTACCTTCAGCGGTTTCAAACTGCGGATCGTCCAATGTTTGTTCGACATTCTTGAAATATCCAAGTAATTCTTCGTCTACTTCACCAAAATGAGCTGCTTGAAAACGTTGCTCGGTGAAGCTGTTGTCGATCGCAGGTGTGATTTTCATAGGATCGTCGATGGTTGTGGCCGTCATGGTTGTGATTTGTTCACCCTCAACATTTTCTTTCTTTCCTCCTTTCTTTCCACGCTTTTTATTTTGACGACCTTTTCTTTCTGTACGAGGCATTGGTATGACTTATATGTTAAATGAAGAGGGAAATAAAATGCAGTATTTTTGAAGGCTTTTTGCTCAGTTTTTTTTTTTTTTTTTTTTAAGTTTCGTAATGGACTTGTTATGTGACGTTCATTTTCCCTGCACTGCCTTATTTTTTTTGTTTTCCTCGAAAAGTGAGGGATTGTGTGTGGCAATAATAGTGGATAATAGCAAAACTAGAGTTACATGACTAAGAAATTACGTAGAAATGAGAAAATCATATTAGAGATCAAATTGACAGTAAAGGATGTTTCAATCATAATCGATACTAGACAATTTTATTCAAATTTATTTTGGATCGGTCAGAATCAAAGGAATTATAGCGATTTTTCGATCCGACGCCTCTTGAACCGAACAGAATGCCAATGAAGCGGATAATAAACTGATTCAAAAGCCTAACACCAAGGAATACGGGTATTTTATGTGGTAAAGCTGATGGATTTGCTACAAAAGGAATTTCTTTTTTTAATAAAGAAGAAGCTGGCTCAGGTACTCCAACGGAAGCCATCATAATATACTAAAATGTTAATGATACAAAAGTTTGGTGAATCTTTTTTCTTTTTTCTTTTTGTAATACTGACAACTACAATTAAGCGAGCTTACACTGGGGAAAAGTAAGGCAAAAACACCGTTGGATCTCAATGTAGACAGGAAAAAAGTTAAGGCTGAAGCAGGTAAACCAAAGCCTAAACAATAAGCCCAATGTTCTTCAGCATAAGTCATACGCTGCTCAATAGACCAATCTTGATTGATCCAAGTATATCTGTCGGTCAAGGCGACTGTAGTGTTAGTTTGATGACCCCTTAAGGTAGCATTAAATTCTCGCTTACTCGAAACAATAATAAGCCATAATAATACAGTAGTTCAAGAAAGATACAGTTGAACCAATGAGAGGAACACGTCTTAGTAAATTGATGTAAAGAACAAAATTCGCATACAAAATGATGGTGCTGATAGTGGATGATAAGCTAGCGCTGCTATCACGCGTTGCTGCTGCGTCCTGTTGTAATGGCGTCATTGTTGCCTGTGAAAATTGACGGTACAGTTTGGAGTTGATCACCAAGCATATCAAATATAATGGATAACCTGTTAAATCCTACATATTGAATTGTAATCAGTATAACGATGTTTCGCTTTAAAGGTCTCTTCCTTACTCAAAAGCTTTACTCTGTAGGAATATCCATACAAATGGTGATCAGGTGTGTTATAAAATGTTTCTATAAAAACTAATAGTCCTAAATACGCGACTCCATTCAAGGCTAGACTCTTTATCAGTGTCTGCTGAATTGATTTGGAGCTAAATTCTTTTAGTTATATATACCAAAATTATAAAATTGCTACTTTTAAATTGGATGCTTACGTTGCGAATTGCTTGCACACAAATGTCCAGTTAAAAGCTTGTGTTAAGCCTTTTAAAAAATATTTAAATTGCAAATGTAGTGGGATTTTCAACATTCCTAGCACTCTTTTGTTGAGTATTTAAAGAAAAGGAAAGGAAAAGATACGTTTAATTTTCAACATGTCAAGGAATTTGACTGTCTGGGCATGAATCTCTCAGGAGGACTTTAAAACGTAGTAGGTCAAAAAGCATGATTAACCCAAAAAGCTGGCATTAGAGCTCATTTTTTACACATCTTTTTTGAACAGTATATTGTAAAACTAAACTTGCTTCTCTTTCATTCCTTCAATCGCCTCATCGGTCACACCCCTAATAGAAGCAAGCGGCTCAAGTAGAGAATTTTTTTGTGCTGTTTTAGACTCGGATGCAAACACACTTATTACTGAGAGACTATCCAAGAGCTTTAGCACTACGACCCACTGTGCTGGACGAAGCTCCTTCTGGTGTACTTGTATTTAAAGCACACCAAGGTTCTATTACAAGAGTAATAACGGAACTACATAGTCCTTCAGAATTTGAAGATGGGCAATTTCGAATCTTGAATTCGAGACCTGTTTATGGTTGTTTGGGTTTGATAACAGTTGGATCAGGTAACGAAAAACACCGCAAAAATTGCTCGTTAAGACTTATTTGAAAAAATTAATAACTGGTCTCTTACTAACTCTATTATCACTGTTTATTATTATGTAGATTGTTTTGTCGCAATAGTGACAGATTGTGTATCTGTTGGAAGAATAAGAGCAGGTGAAGAAGTTTATAAAATTCAATCTGTTTCGTTTTATTCTTTGACATCCTCCAGATATGATGATTTTGTCGATAATAATGGTTATTCGAACCTTGATGATGATTGGGAGCAACAACCAATTAGCAATAATGGTTATGGAAGCCTAAATCAACATCCATGTGCCCAACTACAGAAACTATTTTCAGTGGGTAACTTTTACTTCACACCTGATTTTGACTTGACAACGACAGTACAAGCGCGGTAAAGGAATTGAGATTTTTTGATTGCTATTCATCAAACATGCACTTCACGCTAATATATAATCTCATTATCTTACTATGACACTTGGTGTCATGTATAGTACTTCAGTTGCTTCTCTGGGAGTGCATTCGTTCGATGAACATTTTTTATGGAACCAATTTTTGATATCTGGGTTATTAGACTTCAGAGCAAAGTTAGATAGGAAGAATCAAATGGATTTGGATCGTGGGGGATTCTTAGTATTCGCAATTAGAGGATACGTTGGCATAGAGACATTGTATATAGACAATGAAAGATATGAACTATCAGTTATTTCAAAATTAAGTTGCCAGCGTGCTGGTACTCGATTTAATTCGAGAGGTATAGATGATAACGGCCATGTTGCCAACTTTGTGGAGGTAGGGTCGCTATATATATATTTTAATGTTTAATAAGGCAGAAGATGACAACTTGAAATGTATGCTCACTACGCTCTTATATCAGACCGAGACTGTACTATATTCAGATAGAGTTTGTTATGCTTATACACAAATTAGAGGCAGTGTTCCCGGTACGTTCTGCTTATATAAAAGTGTCTTCATGCATAGCTAATAGATATGATTACTTGTAGCATTTTGGGAACAACAGGGTATGCAGCTTGTCCAGCACAAAATACAAATTTCGAGAGGACCAGGTGCAACTCAACCTGCAGTTAAAAAGCATTTCGATGAGCTAATTGAAAGATACAACCATGTCTGTAACATAAATTTGCTATCTCAAAAAGATCCAATTGCTGGCGAAGGACTCCTCAGCAACACTTTCAACTCAGTAGTCAATCAACTCAACTATGATCCCGACTTGGTAAAAATGGTCAACTTTGACCTCCATGCGTACTGCCGTGGTGGCAATTACGAAAACGTCAACGTGCTTATGGACGATATACGCTCTGTGTTTGATAGTTACGGATATTTTTTGATGGATACGGATGACAATCAGATTATCTATACACAAAAAGGTGTTTTTCGTACCAACTGTATGGATTGTTTGGATCGTACCAACCTTGTACAGAATGAAATTTCTCGAAGAGCCTTGTTAGAGTATTTAGAAGAACGTTTTCAAGATATTCGATCGCAGACAAATTTGGACTATTTGGTATCGCGCCATTCTCATTTATGGGCAGAAAATGGAGATGGACTTTCGAAAATGTATGCTGGCACTGGTGCATTGAAATCAGCCTTCACCAGAACAGGAAAAGTTACACTAATGAACGTTTTGAGCGATGCCACTCGATCTGTCAATAGATTTTATATTAACAATTTTCAAGACAAGGCCAGACAGGAAGTTATTGATCAACTTTTGGGAAAGTTAGCCAACCAATCTATAATCTCTATCTATGACCCTGTTAGTGAAGACGTTTCTCGGCATCTTGCGAAGCGAATCAAAGAATATTCAACAAACAGAAAAATTACTATATTTTGCGGTACCTACAACTTGAACGGAAAAGGATTCAAAAATGAATCATTGGATCCCTGGTTACTACAGCATTTTAAATGGAATGATACAGAGCCGGATCTTTATGTTATTGGTTTTCAAGAAATTGTTGAACTTTCACCTCAACAAGTGATGGCAACAGATGCAGAGAAAAGAGTCGTTTGGGAACATCAGATAGAAGCTACCTTGAATAAAAGATCGGGAGCCAAGTCAAAATATACTTTGCTTAGATCAAATCAGTTAGTGGGCGCCGCATTGATGGTGTTTGCTAGAACAGATATTTTGGAAGAAATACGAAATGTTGAGTCCTCAATTAAAAAAACTGGTATTATGGGTATTGCTGGTAATAAAGGTGCTGTAGGTATTAGAATGGATTATGGCGATACCAGCTTCTGTTTCCTTGCTGCGCATCTTGCTGCAGGTGAGTCTTTAAAATTTTTTATCGCTGATAGTTTTGACAGTTGGTGCTTAGAATATTCGCATTTTTTGTTTATTCTAGGTCATTCAAACGTAGACGACCGTAATGCAGACTTTCATACTATCAATGAAGGATTACGATTCCTCCGGGGTAAAGCAATCGATAGCCACGATAACATAATATGGGTTAGCGATTTGAATTACCGGATTTCCTTGCCTAACGAAGATGTTCGACGGTATGCGGAGGAAGGCAACATAGAGGCACTATTAACCAGTGATCAGCTTTCAAGAGAAATGCGCGAAGGTAGAGCCTTCAGTGACTATCAGGAGGGGTATATAACATTTTTGCCTACTTACAAATATGACAATGGCGCTGATGTTTATGATACCAGTGAGAAACAGCGAATTCCAAGCTGGACAGACCGTATTCTTTTTAAAGGCAAACATTTGAAGAATTTGCAATATAACCGAGCAGAACTGTATACCTCAGATCATAGACCAGTGTTTGCATTATTTGAAACAGATATTGTCACTTTAGATCATGAAGCAAGGCTTAAGTTGCAAAAGCAGTTATACCAAAGCTTGAGCACTGCTGATCTCGGCAATCATACAATTTCTCTGGCTGCACCAGAACTTCCAAAACGAAGAACGACGGTAGCCTCGCCGATCAAGGAACCTACTATGAAACTGTCTGATTCCTTTGTTGATACACTTATAGATGTTACGCTTGATACAACAGATTATCCACCGCCAAGCTCTGATACGAGAAAATGGTGGGAAGATGATCAAGAATTACCGAAAGCTGATAAAGGACGTGCAACAAGCCATAACCCATTTGAAGAAGACGGCTTTGTATCTGTTACCGGTGATAGTAGTTTGAAGTTTCCTAGTTCATTACAATCCGATAGTGAATGGACACCACTAAGCCCAGCCTCCTATCACGGACCTTCCCTCACAAATGGAACATTACAGCAACAACAACAGATTATTGATAAAACATCACCAACAGCAGCAAAGACTTCCTCGTTGACTCCCGTTATGCCTGCCAGTAATGTGTCAAACGTTATAGGTTTTTGGAATAGTAAACAGCAACAATCAGAGTAAATTCGTTGACGATTGTTTCGGTGTATTTTGTATTTATATGTCCGTAATTCCAAATTCTTTTTTTGAAGAAAAAAACAACCAAATATTTTGCAGACAACAGCCTATGCAAGCATGCAAAGAAAAGCTTTGTAATTGTAATATCTTTTTAACCATCCTTTATTTTCGACTAGAATAATTGCATACTCTCTACAATTCTCTTTACTACATTTCTTATTCTTAAGACATCTCTTTACTGTATTTCTGCTAGAGTCTCTGTCCTCTTTTTGAAACCATTTAATGTCTATTTTCACTACATTTTAATTCTATTTTCATTTGAACTCAAATATAGCAATATCTAGCTGCACTGGAAAAATGTCTGTACATTATGACAAGCGGTAATGCCTATCGATGTTATCGGTACATGCAATTTTGTGTATTCTTTAATGTTTGAGAAAGGAAATTGAATGTTAGATTTCAAATGCCAAAAGGTGTTTTGGAATACAGTCAATAAACTATCATTATATATTGTATAGAGAGACGGATAAAACTCAAGTGGCTCAATTATTATTGATTATTATTGATCTCCTTCGATTAAATCATAGAATAAATCCAACAAAGTTCCTGAAGACCATGCTTGAGTAGTGCAAGAATCATAACAGTATTCACCATCTTTGTTTGTCAATTCGGGTAGACCACACCACGGGTTTTGATCCAAATAGGCACGGTGCTTTCTCAGAATACGAGCAATATCTTGGTTTGACAAGGCTTCAAAATAACGTGCAGAACGAAGATAATAACCAAGCGGCCATAGCCATTCAGGACCTTGATGGTAGTTACGACCCTTTGCTGTCTCAAAGTTTTCAGAATCTTCCGAATTATGGTAGTATGGTTTATACTGCTGATCAGAGGGATCCAGAGTACGCATACCAAGTGGGCCAACAAGTACCTCTCGACAGATTTGAATGCATTCTTTAGCATGGCTCTTATCAAAAAGTTCTGGAGCTACTACCATGGCTACGAAAAGATTTGGACGAAGTTGATATTCGGTGTAAGCCTCTGTGGCCTTATATACATCTTTGTAAATGCCACGTCGGTTCACAATTTTAGAGATTACATCATAGTCCTTATCTTCAGCAGAATCCTTGGGTATATAGTAAACTCGCTCAAAGTTTTTCTGCAATAATTCGTCCCAAAATTTGTAGGTAATATTCTTCTCACCATCAACTGTCTGTACGTTATCAATACCAGTCCACTTATATTCACCACGCTCAACCAGTTGGTTCAGCCAACGAAGAGTACTCTTTAAAAGACCAGTAATTTCGACAGGTGCACCATCACGAGGAGTACCCGGGTAGCCCTTATTGTGAGCCTTTGTGCTCTCGCCCATTTTATCCATCCAAGTGCCACAGTTCCAAATATTGCCACCTACCAAGACACCTGAGCTCCAATCTACATCAATGTCGATATTGAAGCCTAAATCGGACATTTGCTCATCAATCTTTGGACCAGCGTTATGTTCCCGGAAATGGATGCCACGAGCATGACGTTCAAGGATTTCTTGAATTATTTCAGCCATTGTAGATTCATATTTATAGGCATCTTCCACCTCAACGAATCGATCATCTTTAGGAAAACGACGGAGAACCTTAACGTTAAGAATACTTTTACCGTCAGGTGCCAAATTATAGTAGTCCTGAACAGCTTGGAGGAAAAACCAAGCAGAATCACGCGAATTGTAACGAGGATAACGAACAGAGTCAAGCAAATTGGGAATCAAACCATGGCGGAGAGAGCTTGCAAATGTGATGAGATGCTGTTTAGCTTCTTTAAAGCGACCCGTAACCATCATAATACCACGAAGAGCAATGCAAGTATCACGGCCCCAACAACGCATATGATGAGTAGTAAAGTGAGGTAAACCAGCAGCCAAACCAGGAATTAGCTCTGTAGGTGAAAGACTAGCAGTAGGTACTTGGCCGACCATTTGAACGCTGGTCATAGCTAATTGTTTGATGAAAGTATCTCCATGCTGAACCAAAGGAGACATCAAGGACAATGCTTGAGCATAGACTTTGTCATAGGCGGTCTTGATGATTAATGCAAAATATTTGGGCATTAAAAAGTCAGGTACTTCGCGGAGAAGTACATATCGCTTTTCAAACCAAAGAACCAACGGTGAAAGCTGCGAGAAACTGTTGTTCACCTCATACTTCTTAAGACGGTTGATTGTATAATCAAGTGCCCATAATCCAGCACGTAGGTTGTCGCAAAGAGGGTGACCCAAGTCATTGTCCATAATAATCTTATCTAAAACAGACATAAAGCCTTGAAGACCGGCATAAACAAGTTTACCAAAGTTGGGTACGCTGTATACACCATCACCGCCGGTACTATCCATTTCTTCACTCTCACAGCGGTACAATATAACATTGGTAGCTAAAAGATCAAGGTCTTTCACTACATCATCATCGATGGAAGTCACCATCTTTTGTATCTCGGCATACTTGTCGCCGATGGAAGTACGGATGACACAAATGGAGCCTGGTGTGAATTTGTCAGGAAGAATGACTTCTACATATTCACCTTTGTCGTCCTGACCGTGTTCAAACCGAGGTGGATCCAATTCTTCTAAATGGCAAGGGAGGCCTTCGAGTGTTTCGGTAGCCTTGGGCTTATGACCATCGATCTTTAGTGAATAAGCGAATTCGAACGTAGCATTTGTTCTACGAAGACGAATAGGGCCATGACCAGATCCTTGACCAGGGAAAGCAGTTCTGGAAATCAGTAGGTAACCATTTTGTGATCCAGGATGCTGGCGATGAATTTGTAAAAAGTCGTTTTCTTGATGAACGTAGACTTCACGGTATCCTTCAAGACACATCTTTTCATGTAAATGGAGAAGCTTATGCTTTGCTTCGACAATACCAGTGCTATGCTGGGGATTGGGGTTGTATTTTCTCTTTTCGTTAACAATATCCAAGAGACGTGGATAAATCTCGTCGTAACCTTTGACGCTGCCAACAGCACAATCAGAAAATGCAACTACAGCAGCATTGGGTAAAGTATCCTAGGCAAAATATGAATCATATGAGTCAGGGTGCAATTCTCGTGTCTATAAAATATATATAGGAACTTTACCTCGGCAGTTCTCTTTTGGAAAGGTGTCTCATTGTCATGAGTACAATCCATAAATAGAGCGCGTGGCATACTGCCATGACTGATTGGTATATAAAGAACTTCTTCATGATCGTCACCTTCATAAGGGACGGTTTTCCATACCATATCCTCATCCATACTGCCTACAGGCTTCCCACCGTGGCGGTGAGCTAAACGTGAAAGCTCATGTGTATCCCAAGCTTGCATCGCTTCTCGGATGAGAGCATGGATACCCAAGCGAGAAACAAAGGTATTGTCTCTTTCTGCAGAGCCTGTGAACAATTCAGCCAAGACATAAATATCTGGGCGAACCTTGCGAGCAGCATCCAAAAAGTATTCTGCGACATGTATAGGTGTGGAATGGCAGTTATCTATTCTGATACCTTGGAACATGCTGGCAATCATTTCTGTATATTCTTTCATATGCTTCCATAACCATGGGTTGTCCTCGGGACTGTTTCCATAGCGAAGTTTAACGCAATCACCCCAGATAATGACTTCACGACGTAGATATGCATGGGAGTTAGGGCCAGCAAAATCATTCAGTGGATCAGCATTCCAAATCCACCCATTGTTTGCCAAGATCATGCTACCCTGAGGATGCTTATTCTCTCTGTCTTCGAGACGAGTAAAATACGTCTCAATGACAGGGTTGCTAAGTTGATGACTTTAATGAGTATAATGTGCGGTATTTTTTATGTGTATATAGATTGGGATTACCTCTTCGAGATGCGTCCCAACTTAGGGCCGTTTTCAGCTAAGCGAGTAAACAATAATCTACCCTTCATATTGTCCAAGGCAACTCTACATTCATCATCATATTCTTCATACAATGGCAGATTGTAATCGTTCAAAAGACCTTGGAATGATTTACATAAAGCTTCAATTCTATCATCGGTTACATCAGATAGGTTTAATATGTGGTTGTACGCCAACAAAAAGGAAAGAGCCTTCTCTAAATCAATGGATTTGCTGAAACGTGCGCCTGGATGACCCTGAACAATTACGTCATTTCCAAAAAGGGCAATTCGCTCTTTGACTGTATGACAATCGAGGTTTGAGTATGTCGACGGGTCGCATGTTGTGTTACGAGATTTCAATGCTTGTCGGATCTTCTCCACATTTTTTCCAACATCGATAATTTTGTATTCATAGAGTTTTAACTCGTTGAAAACATGATTCTTGATATAATCGATGATGATATTGGCGTCATGCTCTGATGTCACATCCACTGGCAGATCCAATTCCTCGAATCTGCCAGAAAGATTTACCAAAGCTGTATCCAATTCGTAGGCAGGCACTAAATGGGGCGAGTTATGAAGGTTGTACCCTGAAAAAGTATGTATCATAATGGTACGTTAGTATTTTCTGACAACGATCGCCCCTTAGTAGCAGAAAAAGAAGAAAAACAAAAAAATGAGATAACCTTACCAGCCTCAGGGTGCTCCAACAAGAAATCTGTGCTGTCACTTGTATGATTCCAGACAACGTCAGAAAGACTAAAGATACCATATTTCGACCGAATTGTTTTAATTACAGATGCAACAATATCAATTTTCTGTTGATCTGATTTTTTTTGGTCCTCTTTGTCAAATAGATCATCATCGAAACCAAGTTGATCTCTAATGCTGTAGGGTGAGTTGGAGGCGCCTCGCTTTTGCATTGGTACAAAATGAATCATGTTATAGCCTGAATATTTAACCTCTTCGATAAGCTGATCCCATTCAGTGATTGGACCCATCCATTTCGGAATCATTGAAAGGATCATAATGCCATCCAAGGGTAACAATTCATCTCTATCTGCCGAGATGGTATGTGGTATTTTGAGGCGAGGCTCAGCAATGATATAACCGATATCAGAAACTTTCGTAGCGTTATCATAGGTGTATTCAACTTTATATTGGAAGGAACCCGGAAGATCTAGTTTAATGTCACAATAAGCGTGAAGCAAGTTGGGATCCTTGATGAACCTATCCCGTTCCCTTGTATTAGCCTATCACTCTCTCCAGCTCTCTATATAGTACTTTTAAACACTCACTTGACTGGATGGAAGATTTGTCGGTCAAAATGGCTATAGTAACAACGTTAAGTATGACATTAGAGCAACTTCTTATTTTCCTTATCATCACAACGTTGATGCTTACCCTTGGCTTGGATAATTGGTATAAAGAGTGGGTTTACCACCGGCTGCCAATGAGCCAGGCTTCAAAATGATACGAAGAATAACCTTTCCTTCGAAAAGGGGGATGCGAACATACTATAGATTGATAATGAAAACACGCGTATTTGTTATTCGTGCGTTAAGAAAGAAGAAAGTACTGAATGCATGAACGTAATGCATGAACTTACGGTTTTATCTTGAGTGGGCGAGCCGTCATCAGCTAAAGTAAGGGCATATAAACGGGGAAGGCCCTTCTTTGCAACTGGTTTAGTACTATTCACCATTGTTATAAGCAAAGTACAATGGTGACTAGGGTTTCAAAAGAATAAGTGTGAGGGGGGGAGGAGTAAAAAAAAAAAAAAAAGAAAAAGAGAAAGGGCCTGATAAAAGCAACAAAAAGATTCTCAGCTTCACTGCATTACACACTCTTCACAGGCGGGAAAAGAAACTGGTGTCAGCCGTAGTACAGCATAAATAGAGATTTTGATAACAGTATTAGATCTTTTCAAGTGGAGCTCTTAAAGAACGCTGCTTTTTTATGCAAAATTTGCTCTTTGGTAATTGTTTGTTCTCTCCTCCTGATTACAGCAGTTAATATACGTACCTCCTCTTTTTTAGTATGGTTCTATAGGAATAAAAGTTCCTCAATTTCAGTGTATATCTCTTCCCTCTTTATTATTTTTATTTTTTTTATTTTTTTTTTTTTTTGTGTTGTGCTATTTCTTATAATTCATTAAAAAAGGAAATCAAGTAATGACGACGGCCGGGAAGAGTTCTGGGACGACCTCAACAACAACACTTGATGATTCCTTCGATTTTATACATGATGTCACTTTCTCGAAGCCTTTTGAGCTGGATTTATCTTTTCTCGGGAAGAAACCTTCAATTACCTCTTTGAAATCAGCCTTTAGATCTCCGGCAGAAAAACTTGTTCCTATTCAGGAAGAGAGTGAGAAGCCAGTGGAGGCAAAAGATTACAGGACAAAAGAGCTATTGGAAAAGGCAAAGAAACGCCTCAAAGCGGCATTTTTGAAATACTGGTTTCTGCTGGGTTTGTTCATTGCGATATTTTTTGCATGGCTGTTTCCAAATGTCGCAAGAAAAGGCGGTTATCTTCGCGCGGAATGGAGCATTAAATGGGGTAACATGAAGAATCCTACCATCGTTATTTAGAAATCAATACTCCTATTTATTCTGACGGCTTCTTTGACCATATTCTTCTTTAGGCGCCGTTATTATTATTTTTTTTATTTCAGGGCTCTCACTAAGGACACGGATACTAGCTCAGACGATTCTTAGAATAAGGCTGCATTTCCTTATACAATTCATCAATCTCATCCTCATACCCTTTTTCGTTTTTGGGCTTGTCATCATGTTCTTTAAGCTTCATACACCTTTAAATTCGCTATTATTGATTGGTGTCGTAATAGCAGCCAGTACGCCAACCACCGTCTCCTCCAACGTGGTCATGACAAAAAACGCGAACGGGAACGAGGCGTCAGGTACATTTCTTATTTCCTCTTTACCGCTTCTCAATTTTACAAAATGTATGTACTCAAATGCTCTCTTCAATTTCACTATCCTTTAGCCTTAATGAATGCTGCCTTAGGAAATATTTTGGGTACGCTAATTTACATTGTGAAATACATGTGTTTGAAGGTTTTTTTTTTCTTTGATTTCCTCAATGCTAAATCATATTTATACATCTACTAGGTATTTTTGTGTCGCCTTCGTTAGTATCTTACTTTCAAGTTCCGCTTCTGGCTGCCTCACCAGAGGACGAAAGCGCAAATACAGCTGGGGGTTCGGTTGATTACATAACAGTGCTTAAACAATTAGGTCTCACTGTTCTTCTTCCACTGGTCGTTGGGCAGGGCATACAACTAGCATTTACGGAGCCCGTGGCGAAATTTAAGGCTAAAGCACGTTTATCGGACGTGAGCAGTTTTTGCTTATTGTTGATGGTCTGGTCTGTATTCTCGGATGCAATTCATGCTGGCTCCTTCTCTGCCGTTGCTGGAAAGGATATTTTAGGTATAGCGCTTTTGAATTTTTTTTTCTATATCCTCTTTTCCATCACCTGTCTGTTCCTTGCAAGATTACCTTATCCGGAAAAGCTTATCGGCCGCCAACAGTGGATAGAAAAAATTCGTTACTCACGAGAAGATACAGTAGCAGTGATGGTATGTCGACATGACTACAGATAATACAAGGAGACTTTACTTTACAATAATTGACATTTATACCTCTACTTTAGTTCTGTGGAGCAACAAAGACGGTTGCAATGGGTGTGCCTTTGATTAATGTACTGTACCAGAAAGGTGATCCAGGTACAATAGGTGTGCTCTCTACTCCTTTATTACTATATCATGTCGAACAATTAATATTGGGCAATATTGAAGTAGAAATACTCAAGAAGTGGGTTTTGAAAGGTCAAGAAGCAGACAAGGAGAGAATGATTGATGAAAAAATGGAAGCAGGCAGCGAACATATTTCTGCAGAACACAGTTCTCAATCAGTATCCATCGATATGAACAGCAGTCAAAAAGAAGACAAATTCACCAGTACCTCGAGCATTACAACATTACAGAAGCCAAACCAAACACATTAGAAAACGGCTATTACCGTTCAACCCAAAATTATCCGAGCTATCATAATATTAAGCCATACACCCTCTAAAATGACAGTTAACACTCGTAATCACCTATCTATACAACGATATAAGATTTTAATATCTATGACATACATAATGCAGACTGTGCGGTGATTGTCAACATCTATGCACACGTATGAATGTAAAATAATTCTTCGTAACATACATATACCATCAGCAGATCGTTAATAAAGACGCATTTGTATATTGTTATTGTTTGTTTTCTTTTCAGTGCTAATCTTGTACGAATTGCTGTCAAAATCGAAACATGCAATCGCCCCTGAATATCAAATTTTAATTTCGTTCTATTGCATGGAACATCCCCTCATGAACCAAAATTGGTGAAAGGGACATTCATGTGGTTTTAGTCATTTATAACCGCTACAATGGTTATGTATACAGAAAATCGTAATTCCACAGATTGATAGCAATAGGAAATGACGTGTTCATTCTTATCAAATTAAAGAGAAAGGGAAATAATAGACATCGATGTGCCTTGTGCTATTGGGTTGTTGTTTTCTTTATATATGTATCATGAGGTTTTGCCAGCAATCTGGCGTGAGTGTACAAAGACAATATATTCTAAAGAAACGACAGTATCTTGTTTATACGAGAGTGCACATAGATGGCGATTGCTCTCCTATCTTTAGTAGAAGCTTCTCGCTGTACCTTTTTGCTAAAGAGAGTTTTGGAACTCTAATTGCTTCCTTGTGAAATGCTGAGAAATGTATTGATTTCAAGAAGGAACTCTATCTGCTTTCTTTTCCTATGAAATTACTAGCGGTCTTTTGTTCTTCCCCCCCCCCTGGGAATAGTATAGTTTGTATTTTTGCTGGATGGCTATTTCGTACCTGGTTCCTCAAGTGCGTCAATGTCGTTATTTTGCTTGCTAATCAAATGTATTAAGAATTCTTCGTCAAGCGAACTGGTGAATATTTTAATTGAAGAGAGCTTGGAGAATCTATCTCTATAGGGAGAGGCGAGAGGACAATTTTGTTACCTTCATTGCTTGACTAAGAGGTTCGTTTGCAATGCTCTTACTGGCTTAGAAATTGGCCACGTTGTTGGCCGATTTAATGAAAATTGTGCTTGATTCCTGACAGAACCTTACGTCCATCGTTGTTCTTTGAAAGCAACCCAAATGAAGGATAGGGGTCACTTGAATAACCTTTCACAATCGCAGTACCTTTCATATATTCTTCATGGGACGAGTGAAAACATGTGTCCGTCTGTGTTCTTATGTAATCTACTATCGATGTAAAATCCCCAAGCTATGCATTGATTTAATACCGGTAAATCAATCCTCTGGCCTTTCAATTTCTTTCAATCTCGATTGGACTTTGCTAAACATTGCCAACCTGTATTTGTAAAGTCATGCTAAAGAACAATCAATGGATACAGTTTCTCATAATGAGCTGATATATAACTTTTGTATAGAGAGCCGATTGAATATAAACTACAAGCTAAATCTTAGCAACTTTTGCATAGCTTTGTGTATCCATTCAACAAGGAGAAGCTATGCCTTCCACGGCGAAGATAAAGTGCTTTAGCGTATATCACGGATTTTTTGCGGAAAGATTGATGCAATACAATACTTTTTGTGACATTATGATGATGCTTTTTTAACTAGTGAAGAGGAAAGTACGCTCAGAAAGTTGCCCCAGTTAAGTTCAATGTCAAAATAGAACTTGGGGATTGTGGTATTGTTGTCCTGATGGATTTGGCTCGTACGGGAGAGAGAAAGAGAACACAAATTGCGCGTTGAGCAAATTGCGATAAGTTCGATAACAAACCAGGACTACGAGATAAAATTGTTTTGTAAATAGTCGTCTTTGATGACAAGTATTTCGAGTAAAAGATAATTGGAGGTTAAAACTTTTAAAGACGATATAGTTTCCATTAGTTTTATTAAATACGTTTTATTGGTTTAAATAAGAGTCCGTGACATATGTGATGGCGATATGTTGTGATGATACATACCGCTTACTACTTTCTTGAAGAAGGAGTCATTGAGATGAGCAGTTTCAGGATGCGCTACGTCTAAATAATGTGCCTCCTTTTGTAAGCTACTTTTGTTGAAATGGCTGCTTCTTAAAATGGAAAATCTATTATCAAATTTAATATCGATGGCCTACGCAAAGGAGAGGATACTTTTTAGTTTAAATGTTGCCGTATCTATCGTCTGAATAACTGCATCTTTTTAAGGTACATACGTAGGATACAGGTAGGCATGATAAAGAAGACCGTATTTTTGACGGTGCTACTTCGACTCCATTTTTTATAAAAGTAAAATATATGCCATGGATATTTTCTGTAGCATTAAGCTGATCACATACGCATGAAATGTTCTTTTCAAACTACACGTAAAGAACATTTAGCTACTCATGAACCGGTTCTTTTGGTAAAATCAAGTCAAAAACTCAAGATTTTTAAAGAAAAAACACTCTAAAGCTTACTAATTTGCGTTTGCTTCGATGCAATATAAACAATGAAATAAGATTTGCTAACATCAACAGAGGAATAGCAATAAGCATAGCGGGGTTGTCGTAGTGCGCCCATAGAAGGAAGATTGTTGTTATAGCCGTTAACCACAGAAAGAGCAATAATCCGAACATTATCAACTTTTTGCTTCTCGACAGTTGAGATGTGTAGGCCGCCTGATTTAAAAGCTCTAGGATAGAGTGGAACTCATGGGCTGCAAGCTGTCAAGTGAAGCGATATATGAAAAGGAGAGGACGTGATCAACTTCCATGTAAAGTGGTAAAAGTATGTTTTTCATTCATGTGTAAAAGATACCATTGGAATATTACATTATCCTTAAGATCAAATGCGTATTGATCGTCAAATTTACCATCGAAATGCAATCGTATGCTTTTCATTTTGCGGGCGTTGGAATAATTTTATGAAGGGAGCTGGATTCGCACAGTTAGTGAAAGGGAAGTATTAGGTAGAAAAAAGTTATTCTTTCGAAGCAAATGCTAGAAACAAGGAATTTGTCATAGGAGAGAAAAGAAAGAGTAGCCCAAAAAGATGATAGATACTGTCATTCTTGGTATTCTCCAAAACAATAAATGGTATGCGAATGAAATCAAAGGGTTTTATTTATGTATTTTTCCTACTGATGGAGACCTAGTCCAGAATGAATTAAAAAGAAACACTACTACAATTTGCGGCAATGTTTACAAGCAATGTTATAGTTACAAAATATCTGGGTCAGTTACAACTGTTCCACTTACGGTGTTAATCAGCGTGGGCCAACACACGATCAAGGTTATAGGCGGCTGTACAAAGAAAAAGAAAAAAAATCAGGACATTAGTGTAAATGTAATTAGACGCCCCCTTTTGAATTCTCTTCACGCATAACAAAAATCTTGCGTTTCGGACCCTTCCCCTCCTTAAATGCACTTACCACTGATGAAAGATAAATGGGTGAACGCTTGCGGGAAGTTACCCAGCAGCTCACCGGACCTTGCGATCTCCTCGGAGAACAGGCCAAGATGGTTAGCGTACGTCAACATTCTTTCAAACATAACAACTGCCCGTTCAAGCAATTTCTTATCATATTTGCCTGCCCGGGTCAGAGCCTCCACTAGCCAAAAGGTACACATGGAAAAGGCGCCTTCCAAACCGCCAACACCGTCATCGGTCGTCAAAAAGTTGTATCTGAAAACTAAATCGTTGGCTGTCAGACCGCTTTTCTCGGGAGGCAACAAAATCCTCATGATCGTATTTAACAATCTAGGATCTGTGGGAGAGGAGAAGAAGACCAAAGGCATGATCAGAGTACTAGCATCCAACGCCTCGGGTGACTCGACACTCTGAGTGAACATTTTCAATTCCTTGTTGTAGCATTTTGTTTGCACCAACTCATATATTTCGTCCCTTGTAGCCATCCATTTCTCTCTATTGGGACATGGAAATACACGCTTGTCTGCTAAACGCAAGGCTGATCAAGTTGCGGGGAAATAAAAGAAAAAGAAAAGAAAAAAAAAACCCCCCGATGTTTAGAATGATCATTTCATAATAGGGTCTTTCATTTTATCATAGTACCTCTGTCGAGAGCAACCCACAACATGACTAAAGAATATGTAAATTGTTGTTTACGTCCTCTTACTTCCCAGATGGACATATCAGGTACGTTCCAATTTGCACAAACGTAATCAGCCAATTTTTGAACAGAGCACCACATATCGTAAGAAATAGGTGATCCATATTTATTGTAGAGGTAAATACCATCCATCAGTTCTCCGTATATGTCTAGTTGAAGATGATCATAAGCGCCATTGCCAATTCTGACGGGTCGAGAGCTTCTGTAGCCATCCAAATGTGTGAGGTCATATTCATCAAGCTTTTTGGCACCATCGATACTATACATGATATTCAACGAGCCATCTTCGTTCTAAAGAAGAAAGGAGAATTCCACCTTTATGTCAAGTCCTTCTTTCCTATGGAAATGTGGTCCAAATATTATACTTACCAAATCATTACAGCGCTCTTCTATATATTTCATGTAGGCGCCTGCTTCGTCCGTGAAACCCAATCTTAGAAATGCATAAATTGTAAACGAAGAGTCTCTGATCCACACATAACGATAATCCCAATTACGTGGTCCTCCGATAGCTACAGAAAAAAATAATAATATATATATACAGTGAGTCCATATCGTAATTGTGTGTCACGAGTGTCATAATAATCTCAAGTAAAAACCTTCTGGAACACCAAAGGTAGGCGCTGCGACAACGGCACCCGTCTATTTCATGAACAAAAAACGGTCAAGTAGTTGACATCATTAGCCGTTCTAGCCGTTTTTCTTTTTCCTGTGATTTTACTTACAGGCTCGTAAGTCAAGAGTTTCAAAGTCAAGGCACTTCTTAGCACGCTTTCTCTCCAACGACCTTTATAAGTACTCTTTTTGACCCAATTCAGCCAGAATGACACTGTTTGTCGTTCCAGGGCTTCCATCAAACTGTTGGTTAAAGGTGGGTCAAATGCCATTCTGAGTTTACGATCCACTACAGTTTCATTCGCCGTATCGAGATTCTCAAAATGAGGCACTTCGCGAAGAATGAAAACAACCTCTTGCGTCTCTTGCAGGTCAAATTCAGCCCAGACACCTGGACCTGTACGATTTTCTGTAGCATTATCGATATGCATCTCCATTCTCGCACATTCAAACTCACCACATCGGACAATGTATCGCAAATCCATGGACAAGCTCTTGCTTTCAAACAGAACACGGTCGCGTGAGGCGTAATAATGATGATCTTGTTCTGGGTGCAATCGAGCCTCTATGCAGGCAATGTTCTCTTCCTCTTCCGTCATGGTCTCTCGAACAATGCGCGTCGTGTGTTCATCCAGAGCATAATTAAAGGCAGGATAGCATTCGAGCTTGAATTTGACAAGGCCACGGACGACCCTCACTTTTCTGATCAGCCAAGGTAAGAGAGGTTTTGCGGACATGCGCTGTCCGGGAGCGGGCAGATGCATGTAATCCGTGATTTCAGCGACGCCTGCATCGGACATGAACCTTGTCGACAAGATATTGCTATTGGGCAAATACATTTGCTTATTGCTTGCATGAGGCGTTCTTGGCGCGATTGAAAAATGGCCTCCTTTGTCCTTATCCAATAAGCGACAAAAGACGGAGGGTGAATCAAACTTTGGATAGCAGTAAAAATCGACCGATCCATCTGTTCCCACCAATGCTATGGTTCTCATGTTGCCAATGATGCCGTAATTTTCTATAGGTAAATAGCCACGGTTGCGGATATTGCACCGTGTGTCTTCGACGTTGGCTCGCGAATAGTGGTCTGGATTGACGCTTTGTCTTCTCGTATCGGCAATATAACGCAGTCCTTCGGGCAATTCCTCGCAAGGCGTGTGTTCTTCGTCAATTTCAGCCTGCAGTTTAAACCCGTACGATTTATCGTCCTCGCTAGCAACGGTTGAATTGTCGTTTTGGTTGTAAGACATTAGATACAGTCAGCTTTTATTCACTTTTTGAATGAAAAACAAAAAAAAAAAGACAAGCGAAAAAAAGCAATGGGGGATGTAAGTCTAGTTTTGGATTTTTTGCCCAAAAACGTCATTTATTTATAAAGGAAAGAAGAAAAAAGGTAGCGGAGAATCAATAAGCTGGGTGAACAGCCCCACGTCTTGCATGAATTTCATTCAGAAAAGAGACAAGGAAGGATTTTGCCACTGCAGTCACCGAAACCAATATGGTAGCCCACGTTGCCATTCTTGGCTTTACCGGTGAGTTTCACTTCATCGCCATCTTGTAAAAAGAGACGTTCAACGCCGTTTTCAAAGTTAATCTTGTTTTGACCGCTCCAGGTAAGTTCTAACAGGGAGCCGTACGATCCTTTTTCCTACATGAATAAATCCTTGGTAAACAAAAAAAAAAAGTTCTGAATCATTGATTATTAAGATTTACATATTCCTTACTGGTCCAGAGATGGTCCCTGTTGCGCCCATGTCACCCGGTCTCATATTACAGCCATTGACTGTGTGGTGTGCTAACTGCTGTGTAATAGACCAATACATATGCTTGAGATTTGTCACCGCCACGGTCTCGAATTTGGATGACTCATTTGCTAAAGAGATGAATCAAGATGAATCCTGATGGCTTTACTAACGGAGGGGGGGGGGTGGTTCACTTACGTTTGATTTGCACTTGTAACTCTACATCATAGGCGGCAGGCTGTTGCTCTTGAAGATAGGGCAAAGGTTGAGGTGTCGATTGATCCGGACCGTCCACGAGGAATGGCTCAAGAGCATCCAAAGTAACAATCCAAGGAGAAATGGTGGTACCAAAGCTCTTTCCCAAGAAAGGACCCAGAGGAACATATTCCCAAGCTTGAATATCACGGGCTTAAGAGAACAAATATAAGTCAAACGGATGAACACTTGTCTTTCCTTTGCCCCGCACGTCTTTCTTTTTTTTTTTTTTTTTTTTTTTTTTTTGCTATTTACCGCTCCAATCGTTCACAAGAACGAGACCAAATATATGATCCCGTGCGTTTTTTATGTCAATGCGGTCTCCTAATTTGTTTCCTGTGCCAACAAACCAACCCACTTCCAATTCGATATCCAATCTTGAGGAAGGGCCAAAAACGGGCGCTTTAGCATCCTTCGCTGGAAGTTTCTGTCCAGCGGGACGACGAATATCTGTACCAGAAACCACCACCGAAGATGCACGTCCATGGTAACCCACAGGAATATGGAGCCAGTTGGGTTGGAGAGCATTCTCTTTTCCTCTAAACATAATACCTACATTGGTGGCATGATCGCGAGAACAGTAAAAGTCAGTGTAATCACTATACATAAGTGATGACAAAGAGGGAACATGGGGACAGTTAGCCAGCGGATTCTGTCGGGAGAGGGGTGGGGAGGGGTTTTGATTCGACCCCGTGTGAGATGTTTCTTTTTTTTTTTACCCAATGTTAGCTGGTAAATGCATGGTAACATCCTTCAAAGGAATCAAGACTTTCTTTACAAGTGCTTCATTCTCTCGCAACGTTGGTGTATCCTTGGATAATAATGTTTGGATGGCAGCACGTGTGGCTTTCCATACAGGACGTCCCAAAGACATGAATGTGTTGAGTGCGGGCTAGAGGGTTGGGTGGTTGGTTTTTTTTTGGTTTTTTTTTTTGGGTTGCAAAGTGAGTATTCTGTAGGCTGTCTCTCACCTCTTCTCCACGCATTTATTTCCCTCTTTTCCGTCTCATTTTACCTTTTCAAAAACGTCCACGGGATCGTTCAATCCCTTGATACCGGTCAAAAGACCGTTTCTTGCAAGCTCAGAAAGATCAAGGACATAGTCACCGATGGCTGTACCTACACGCGCTTCAGGCTGTTGTTTTCATTTTAGATGATATCAGAAAGAGATACTCATGTTTGTCATTGTCGCTGCCGGCGTGATCTATACCTTTTCTTTTGTTGAAAAGACACCGAATGGGATATTTTGAATAGGAAAGTCTGAATCTTCTGAGACGTTCACAAAGCTTTCAGTGATAGGAGACATTGTGGTGAAGAAAGGATAAAGCACAAAACAAAACAAAAAAAAAGTGTTATTTTATTCTCTCGGTCACCTGACCGTGGAATAAAAAAGGGATGTGTTACAGATGTTTGAAAGATTTGCTGCTGCAGTTGTAAGGCCTTTTCTTCTGTTGCGTTTCGTTCGAACCAACAGCTTCATGCACTCATACGAGGAAAATAGAACAAAAAAATACAAAAAACGACAGAGTACGATAGGACAATAGTGTTATTGTTTGGATATCGAGATGAACTATCATCGTCCTTCTCTTCTGCTCTGGACGTGATCGGTCAACAGGAATTTGCAATGGAGTTTTACGAAAGGCGTTACACAAAAAGAACCAAGTACACACACACCTAAGCTTGAATGGGTAGGGCAGTCTGTTTAAATCACAGATCAAGAAATGAAAGAGTTTTTCAATAGGATGGTTTGTTTCTGAGGATGGGTTGTTTGTTCTCCTACAGCAACAAAAAAAAAAAAAATATGGATACTGCTGCTACTTTTTTTTTTCCCCAGTACCCAAACGCCCTTCAAAGCAGCGCATTTCTTTTCTTTTTCTTATTAGGAAGAATGGGAGGGACAAAGGGGTCGATGAGGATCGACCCCCATTGTAGATCCATGCAGTTTTTGTGCATTAAAATTATCTATTCTGAACCAGTTCTATTCTCTCTTTTGGATTTTCTATTCGCGTGTATTCTTATTGGTCAGCAAGAGTTGGTAACGAACATTTCTAAAATGGTTCCAGCTGTTCCTTTCTGTCAAAAGCGAGAGAAAGAACCTTATGGCTGATACTCAAAGTACTTTTTTGATAATGTGCCATGGATTTGGTAAAATAATACCTTATTCATGCCATGGTCCCCCAGCAATGGGAATTAATCATCCACAAGAAAGAGAGAGAGAGAGAGAGAGAGGCGAGAGGTGAGAGGTGGAGAGAGAGTGTGTGTTATTAAGGTTCGGATAAGGAAAAAAAACTTTTACACCAAAAACGTTATAAATGTGGAAATAGGGGTGTATTGCGTTTCTGTGCATAGCAAAAATGAATGTTCTCGAATGTTTTGTGAATATTGGCTTCGCGCCAGCATAATCGTAATTTATCACTGTATTTTTCGGCCGAGAGACCCCACGAGCGACGCAGTAACGGACCTAAGGATTTGTAGTAGGCTTTCCAAGATTGCAACGTTAACTGTCCAAGCTATCCATAGGCGGAAATAGTTTGGGGGGTGGGTGCGGGGGTGCGGGGGTGCGGAAGCGGAAAGAGAAGATGAATAATCTTTTTTCGATGTCAAGATGAGATGGGGGGAGGGGGAGGGGGTGGGGGGGCGCGTATACATTACCTTTCCTGCCCATTGACCTCCAGGGCATGAAACAAAGGTAGAGGTGATATTCATTAGATGGTTCATTTCGTGCAATCTTTTGGCCATCGATAGTCCAAGATGTGTATCTTGATGATTCTCTCGCATCAGAGACAATAGTCTTTGATTGAATTCCAAGGTGTGTGGCCCTGGACGATGTAATTCATAGTCTTTCTCAATCCATTCAATCCAGCCATAAGGCTTTAAAATACGCGCCGCTTCTGATAGTATGTTGGTCCATTGACTACTCTCTATAGCCTGTCCCATAAATCTAAGGGAATTGGAGAGGGGGAGGGGGGGAGCACGAAATAAGAGGTGAGTCTTTGTGTCGTGGGGAGGGGGAAGGAGGGGGTGTTACCTTATGAATATGTATTCAAATGTACAGTCCTCGAAAGGCAGTTGTTTCAACAAGTTGCATTCATAGAATAGACAATTATCAGGCTTGTTCTCCTTTGAATACTTGAGAGCAATATCGACGCCTATGATGATGGATTTGGGATAGTTTTCAGAAATATCCATAGACCATACACCTGGACCACAACCTAAATCCAAAACGCTTGCACCTTTGCGTAATATATCATTGACAGGAGCCAAGTAATTTCTAGTAAAGAGCAAAAGAAAAAATGTACTTAGACGTAGTGCCCTCATGGACGTTGCTTTTTTGTTCCGTCTCAGTAGAGTGAGAAGTAGTAAGAGGGTGTGTAGGAGGACGGAAGAGGGGTGGGGGGGGGGCTGCTGCTGCTTACTTACCCTTGTATCGCAAAACGTAGCATATAATGGAGATGTCTCAATCGGTCCGTCTCTACCTCATCACAGGGCAATAGATACGATGAATCGATAGGGCGATAAAACTTTCTGTCATCCAAGATTCTGTAAGTGCAATGCTGGTGCTGCTGCTGCTGTTGTTGCTGTTGTTTCAAGAGTAAAAGTTGATGATCAAGGGATGCAAACTTGCTATTCTCTCGAAAGAGCCCTGGAGAGGGTTGGTCGGCTGCTGTAGGTTGGCTTGGGTCGTAACCGTTGGCATGACGAGCGAGGGTACGAGCCTCTCCCAGCAACAAGTTTTGGTGGTCATCACCTACTGCCTCCTGGCCGTCTGTCCAAAGCGACGTGGCGTGGGTATGTCTCTTTAGGATACTTTTCAGACGGACATTCTCTGTTTTGGAAAATGTCGCATGGTGATGATGTGTGCTGTTATGGGCAGAGACGGGATCGGAATGGCTGTGTCTGTTCCCACAGCAAACAAGCGCTGTTGCTTTTAAAAAGCAAGACGAGGAATGCTTTACTATCTTGCTGACGGCGGCGGCGGCAGGTGCGAATGTAACGTGTTTTCTAGGCTTTGAACGTTCCTTGTCATCTTGAAGAGAAACAAAATGTTGTGTTGCCTGTTCTTGACGACTCTCCTCCATTCCAGCTTTCTCAATGTAAACTACTTTTTTACTGCTGTCCAAGCAGACAAGACTGGTTATTTCGATCAAATCATGCAATGAAAAAAGGCTTGAAAACCCCATCTGTAACCCGTTTTCATGTGTAGCGAGTAATTTTAAAAAAAGTGTCGTTTCTTCAATTGGCAAAACGGTAATTAACAATTAAGACTATATAAATATAGGTACAGCTTTCGAATCTCTGTATATATGTATAAAAGGCAAGAAACAATGGAAAGCAATTGTTGATAGATTGTTTGAAGCAAATGAAATAAGAAGTAAAGAGGAAGATCAATCAATCCAAGAAAAGAAGATATAAAAAAAAGAAAAAAAAAAAAAAAGGGAGATTGTTGTTAGGGTATGGAGTACATAGACTCACACAAGCATCCATGCTAGAGGGAAGGGAGTGGGACTCCATTAGATGCATATTGGGTTTTCTTGTAAAATGATGAAACGGTCTTTTACAGTTAATTAGTTTCCTAGTAGATTTGGGCTGGAAGCGTTAAATTGCCTTTTTCAGCCACATTATTTCCCCATTTCAGCATTTTCTATCAATGGAGCCATCTAGAAGTTACTACTTGGCTTATTCCTTTTCTAAATATCACACATGGATCGAATGGAATATTCTCTTTACTTCCAAGAAAAAAAAAAAACGAAATGATATAAATGACAATCAACACCCAAAAAAAAATAAAAATAAAAATAAAAAAAGACAATGATGCCACACTTTTTTTTCTTTTTCATTTACTTTATGTGAAATATAAACAAAATATAATTGCATCATATTGCAAAATGGCTGTGTTGAATGATTTTCAGTAGACGATCAGAAAGGCGTTTTCTGCCAGGGCGCGTTATAATCAAAAGACGAACGTCATCCGAATACCCGCTTTCATCATCTGAAAAATAAATGTTGCAGTGCCGTAGCATCTGCTAACAGATTATTTTCCTACTGATTGGTAAAGAAACAAAAAAATTGTCCACTTGGCAGGGCTTTTTATACTTTTTTTCTTTTTCTGATTTCAGTGAGCGGAGATAGTTTTTTTTGCTGGTTTCATGTCACAGTAAGGACTGCTGTCCATTATTTCCGGTAAAAAAAATTTTTCATCCACTGCAGGCACAGACACACCATGAGCAGTGCAGCAGCTAGGACCCCAATTGCTTAAAACTAAGCTGCAAGTAACTCTAAATGGTCTGTTCCGTACTTTATGCACCTTTTGATGCACATCATGTGTTCATAAAGTCCATATGTGTAGTCATTTCTGTCATCTCGACGTGCAAAGACATCCGTCCTTTCTCAATGAAAGGCGTCATCATTGTATTGTATTTAATTGAAAGCCTTTTTTGTTCTTTTCCATCCTTGTCGATCCACGTCGCTCTTCATTTGTATCTATATAAAGAAACGTGGAGAAAGGGCGCATTCCTCTGGTACGGGGCAAGATAGGATATTCCCTCTTTGAATAAACTTTTTTTAGGAGTGCCTTATCTGTCTTGTATGAGTCGGATTTAATTCTTTCAGGCTTATATGCATTTTTATGTCCCTGTATCATTTATTTCAAATGATGGTTTTTTTTGGGGGGAGGGATGTTGTTAGATGAAGAAAAAAAAAAAAAAAAAAAAAAGAGTCAACGCTCAGGCCATGCTACTAAGCGAGAGGCAAGTGATGCATCATCATCCTCTACCATCGTAGCGTCTATTTTTGTCGCGTTGAGAGAGAATTCAAAAAAGGCTTCTCCGTAGTTCTCATTACGTCAAATGGGTGATGGGATTCGAAATGATGACGGAGTGAGTAACACTTGTGAACACTTTTTTTCCATTGAGAAGCGCTAGTGTAAAGACTCGTCCGCAAATGAGAATAACACTTTTATGCTATGTTACTTTGTTGGCTTGGCTCACTTGTGAGCTTCTCTGATCTTCTATCTTTGGGTTACACTTTTCTGAGAAGGAGGGTGGGGTGGGGGTGTGCATCGACGTCTATTTTCGTGTTGTTGGCGCATGTCCATGTATTACGATGAGGCGCTCAAGTCGTACGGGCGATTTTGACACTCTCCTCGGCTGTATAAAGACATTGGTTTCTTTTCTGAAAGGTACTTTATATATTTCCGAGACTGTTTAGAAAAAATAAACAAAAATTCAAAGTGAAACTGGATCTCGGGTTATTTTTGCATTCCACTTGTACCTGAAAGACGTGGGGTGCATTCGCTTTTCCTCTTCTATCTCTCTCTCTCTTTCTCTCTCTCTCTCTCTCTCTCTCGCAGCAGCAGCAGCAAGAAATATAGACTACGTGTATTTATTGATCATCTGATCGGGAAAAAAAAAAAAAAGAATATTGTGAAAAAGCCAAGAGAAAACCCAAAGAGGAGAAGGATAAAAATAGCTTGTTTATCAGATAGAACAAGTAAAAAGTCTGTCTAAAAAGGGGAAGTTGGTTCTTTTTTTTTTGGAAAGGGTTCCTCAAACCAAACCTTGTTCAAAACTCTAGCGTATAATAATGATGTTCCTCTCAATGATCGTTTTTTGTACTCTAGATAGAGTTATTTTCCGAAAGAGATAAGAGCGATGAGAATAGGAAGATCCATTTTTTTTTTTTTTTAGTGTATAACCACACGAAGCCAGACAAACTGTCGATAAACGAAACGAAATGATTTTCCAAACAAAAGGATGGACAGACTTAGTTTCTGAGATCAATCAACAAAAAGTAGCCAATAAGCATCCTATGATAGGTCCATGCCCTCTAGGCTATTTATGCCAAGTTATTCACGCACATACATAATCACAGGAAAAGAAAAAAAAAAAAAAAAAAAAAAAAAAAAAAAACGGATCTTTTTATTCATGACAGATAGTGAATAAAGGTGCAAAAAAGGGGAATTGAAAAAAAAAAAAAAAAAAAAAACCAAACCAAAAAAGTGCGGGTGTATAATGATAATAACTTGTAAATAAATAAGGAGGGTAAATTAAGTTGTTAAAGTAAAGAGAGACGAGAGAGAGATCAAGGGCTTTGTTAGATGAAGATAGACTTCATTGCTTGAACAAGTGAATTATCAGATGCTGCTTCTGATAATTTACTATTGAGCGGTACTTCAGATGCATCGTCACTAGGATCTTGTTCAAATGAATATCTCGGTGAAATAGGCATATGATCGGGATTCAGACTAGAATGCATCAACGCTTCTTGAATGTATCTGTGCTTTCTCGTCGCAATCAAGGCCTCTTGGAATGTGAACCATCTTCTGTCTCGCTTCTTTCTTTCGGGCCATTTTTTGACGACTTCATCGATATGCATCTCAAAGATCCAATGGTGCGCCTTTAACTTGTTCTTGCCTTTTGTACGTTCTTCAAACACGCCTAATTGTCGAGTAATTCTGCCTTTGACACCGGCTTCTTCCCAAGTTTCTCTCTGGGCAGCATGCTGTTGCGTTTCATCTTGTTCCCATCCACCTTTGGGAAGAACCCACGCATTCTTCTTCTTTCTGCTTGTAATGAGAAGCACACGACGATTGGGTAAATCTAAAGGCAAACAACCGGCCACTTGTCGAATATCATTTTCATCTTTAACGTCTTGATGATGTCCATGTCTTTTTGCTTTTTTGGAATAGTCAATAAATTCATGCTGAATTCCTTCTTCTAGAGGCGGTGTTAATATACGGTCAACCATGACAGTAGCCATTATTTTGTGTGATAATGTGTGTAGAGTAGAGAGTGTGGATAGTCAAGTTGGAAGAAAAAAGAAAGTATGAAAGAAAAAAGAAAAAAAAAAAAAAAAAAAAAAAAGATGGAGGAATGGCAATAGCCCTTATTTATACATAACTGTGCTTTTTTTTTTTTAATTTCTTATGTTTGTTACATCAAACGATTTGTTACACATTAGGCCTTTTTTTTAAAATAAAAAAGAAAAATGCCAATGGAAATTTTAGAAGAGATCTTGTCTTTCTGTGCTTTTTGGATCTCCCCAAATAAGAGACCGTTACTGACAACCAGACAGCAAAAAAACAAAAAACTGTTTCAGTGAAATTATCGGATCGACATTAGATTTCTCTCCATCACAGCGAATGAGAGAGCGTTCGGTTGCTGAAAATTGCCTTTTGTAGGTTGCATTTTTTCATTTGTGTGATTTAAGAATGGTTTGCTTATTCACAAAGACATTGTCAATGAGAGAGCGTTAAGCGATAGAGTGATTACAAATAATTAAAATAATGGATGATTCAGCCATCATCATGACATTCTCCGTGGATAAAAGTGAAAGGATATTCTATCGGATCATTGCGCGTTTACATTTTTCTTTTTGACACCAACCACCTTTTTTTTTTTTTTTTTTTTTTTTTTTTTTTGCCATACAGAAGTGTCCTGAGACTTGCTTATCTACAAGGAGGCCTAAAAAAAAAGCTTTAGACACTGCAAATAAGAATCATGATGGATGACGATGAGGTAATGAACGTATATACACTAACAAATGACGATTGTCGTCAATACTCAGATCTATACAATATTGTAAGGCAAAACAAGCCAACAAAAAAAAAAACCGAAAAAAAACTAATCTCTACAAGAACGGAGAGGAGCTTCTAGACTTTGAAATTATAATTGAAATTCTTTCATTTTTTGTTTAAAATCATAGCAGTTGGGATAAAGTAAAAAACGTCTTTAATCCTAATTGCGTCATGTAAACTCGCGTAAAAAAGAAGCAATGCACGTTACCGTGTCAGCGCAACAGAGCAGCAGTGTTTCTAATGACTTTTCTTTTTTTTTTTTGTTCATCACCATAAATAAATGACCTAAAGTCATGTCTTTTCCTTTCCTTTTTTTTTTCTTCGTAGTTGATAAATTACCAAAAAATCTAAAAACACCGAACAGAGACCCTCATGTTTGTGCGCATAGAGAGTCAAAGCGTATGTGGTTTTGGGTTAGAATGAAGGGTGAATAGATAGGAAAAAAGGGGGCCGAGGCGGGTGTAGCTATTGGGTTTTACTTGAAAAGAATTCTCTCGACGCGTCCCGCTTTCCCAACAATCTCTCAAAAACGCCATAATATCATTTTTACTAGAAATAATAAAAGTGCGTATCTATCATTCCTTACAGCTTTCATCTGTGAGTTTGGGGGGGGGGGAAAAGAGATGACATCACTCGAGCTCTTATCCCCAAACATGAATGTGGCTCATTCACATTAGAAATAAACTTTTATTCAATAGAGCTAAAAAAAGAAACTTGCAGATCCAAAAATCAAAAAAAAAGCGCAATTTCAAATTTATTCACAGTAATTTCTCTTATAACGTCACGAAAGGGAGGGGATTACCCATTTCGTAAAAAAAAGAACCGTTCAGTTTATATTTTGGAAAAAGGATGGGTTCAATAGAACCAAATGACTGCACTTTCTTTTTTTTCTTTTTTTTCTAGATCGACACATAAGAAATTCTTTAAAGTAGAGAGGGTCACACCTCTATCTCTTATGACGTAGATAGAATAGATGGGTCTGCGGGGCATTTATCTATCTGAGTTTACTGCTGAACAATGATGAGCTGTTGTAAAAGTGTCAGAGAGCCACTACGATCTGTTGGTTTGGTGTGGTGCAGGTGGCTTACAAAATTGTGCTTGGTCATAAAAATCATCTCGGTTAAATAAATGCATTTTTTGTTGAAATTGTTTTTCCCTCTATTCGCATTTACCTCATCCGGGATGTAATGGAGTTGGACGTTCGCCCATCATCAGCACAGATAGACGGCCCTTCCATTTCAAGAAAGACCCTCGTTGGAACATGTGTTCCTTAGGCTAGGAGCTGTGGAGGAAGCTGGAGATAGGGAGCCCTCCCCCCATAGGCGGGTGTCTTTAAGGCTATTTGTAAACAAAACTAAAACACACACTCCTTCAGTCTATGGGGGAACACACGAAACGAATTTATAGATGATCCATAGCAACGTACTTTGCTTGTAGTAGTTATAGAACCCTACTTTACCTCCCCGTCCCTCTACCTGGAAAACAACTTTTTTTGTGTACAAAGATTCGGTGAGACATGAGGATGGTCTGTGCGTTTCCTTACAAACCACTTTTTTTTACAAACAAAACCCGCCCTAACCACCATAGATCCTCTCTTGTCTACCTCTCACTATCAAGGATGGCGGACAGGACATCAGCCAATAGGAAAGAAAGGAGGAAATTTTCCCGTAGAGACATTCAATGTGGTGAATGCCATAGCCACGCAGATAACTCTTCTCTTTTCATGCGAACCCTATACGTGATCGTCTCTGGGTCAGCATCGTAAGCCTTTGCAGTTGGACAACGGAGATCCAACTTCATTCTGCCAAATGAAAACGAAAATCTGTAACAACACCCAATTCGAAATGGGGAGGGCAAAGACCAAAGCACACCGTTTACCACCATCACCGATAAAACCACAGGAGCAATGCTATTGTTTAAAGTAATTGAATCGGATGCCATCTTTTGACTATAAACATTTGCTTTGGTAATATGAGTGCATCCATGTAAAAAAGGCAAGCCACGCAATGGACTGACTTATCCCAAAGCTACCCTGTTCCCGTGAGTCAGAAAATAAGAGCCTGTGGGAAATCTCAGCTCTTCAATCGTCAAAAAAAATATGAAAAGAACAATAAAGCCAATTTTTTTTTTTTAGATCCGCCTGAATTTCATTCACTTTTTCGATTGTGATAAAGAATACATTACAATGAAAGCAAGTAGTTGCTTGAATTGGCCTGGAAAAACGAAAAAAAGACATAACCGATCAAAGAGTCACGTGTCATTTGACGATCTTGTTCTCTTTATTGAGTACGCTGTCTGTTGAAAAATGACTGCATGTGAAAATTACCAGGCTTTGCGTGTGTGATTTTTTTTTTTTTTTTTTTTTTCTCCACACCCAACTTACAGAATCAATTCTTGGTAAAATTGAAATTCAACACAAAAGGGGGCATACATCTTTCTTTCTTTTTTTACATTAATAAAAAAACTCTTTCCACTAATTACCTCTTTCATCTGCCCCCCTCCCCACTCTTCTATTCCACCCCCTTTTCTAAGCTAAAGTACGCACACTTCTTACACAAAAAAAAAAAGACATCACATGTATAGACGCAATACAAGTTTCATTCATCGCATCCAGTCCAACGTACTCCGTGCTACGTCGGCTACCCTTCGTCCGTCGATGCTACTACAGCCTACGTTGAAAGTCATTCAGCCTACGACAGCTATTCGTTTGACAACGGCTCGTTTTATTTCCTCCAGCTCTAAAAATCAAATTTGGATTCCGTTTGACAGGAACCAGTTACCCAACAACGATCCCCGCAGAAGTGAACCCTTCATTGACGAAACCGATGTGCTCATTGTCGGTGGAGGTCCTTCTGGACTGGCTGCTGCCATTCGTATCAAACAACTGGCGGAAGAACAGGGGAAAGAATGCCGAGTCATGGTGGTCGAGAAAGCAGGTGAACTCGGTGGCCATACCGTCAGTGGAGCTGTGCTTGAACCGAGAGCGTTGGATGAATTGATACCCGATTGGAAGGAAAAGGGAGCTCCGTTGAATACGCCTGTCACCCACGACGCGATGAAGTTTCTCACAGAAAAGTATGCCATCCCTTTGCCTCACCCACCTCAAATGAACAACAAGGGAAATTACATCGTGTCCTTGAGTCAATTTGTCAGATGGTTAGGCGAACAGGCGGAAGCTTTGGGCGTGGAAGTCTATCCTGGATTTGCTGCGAGCGAAGTCAGATACAGTCAAGACGGTCAAAGTGTCTGTGGTGTCTCTCTCAATGACGTTGGCTTGGATAAAAACTTTGAGCCCAAGGTGAAAAAGCTTTTTTTTTTTTTTTTATTTTTCCCACGATGGAGCCCCATGATGTCACCTCCCCCCTAACCTCACTTTTCCCAACATCTCTATAGGATAATTATGAAAGAGGCATGGCTGTCAATGCTAAAGTCACACTCTTTGCAGAAGGATGCCATGGTTCCTTAACAAAGGGTCTCGTTAAAAAGTTTGACCTGCGAAAAGACAGTGGTCCTCAGAAATATGGTATTGGATTAAAGGAAGTCTGGGAAGTGTTGCCGGAAAAGCACCAACCTGGATCCGTCACGCACACCGTCGGTTGGCCTGCGGATAGACATACCTATTGCGGCAGTTTCATCTATCATTTCGAGCCAGAAAAGCGTCTGGTGACGCTCGGTCTTGTGGTAGGTTTGGATTACGAGAACCCTTATCTCAGTCCCTACAAAACATTCCAACAATTCAAACATCATCCAGCTGTCAAACAGCTGTTGGAAGGCGGTAAATGTATTGCATATGGTGCCCGCGCATTGAACGAAGGAGGTTATCAATCCATTCCTCAGTTGATCTTCCCGGGAGGTGCGCTCATCGGCTGTACGGCTGGTTTCCTGAACGTGCCCAAGATCAAAGGCACTCATACTGCCATGAAGTCGGGCATGTTGGCTGCAGAATCTGCTTTTGAAGCCTTGTTTCCACAAGACAGTGAAAATTCAGTTGAATTGGACGCACCTGTGATGTTGGATTCCTACGTAGACAGAATAAAGGATTCTTGGGTGTACAAAGAATTGTATGAAGTCCGTAATTGTCAGCCATCTTTCCATGGCCCTCTGGGTTTGTATGGTGGTCTTGCTTATTCCGGTCTTGAGACGATGATTTTGAAGGGCCGTGGACCATGGACATTCAAACATAAGAAAGCCGATTGGGAATGCATGAAAACAGCTGCGTAAGTGAGCCTATTTTTAATGTGACGTTTCGTTTCTAGCACTGTTCCCTTTTTTAATCCTCTCTTTAAAAAAAAATGTATGACAGTGAATCCAAACCCATCGAATACCCCAAACCGGATGGCGTTATCTCCTTTGATTTATTAACCAATGTATCACGTACTGGTACGAATCACGCAGAAAACCAGCCTGTGCATTTACGTCTTCGGGATAAAGATATACCTGTAGAAAGAAACCTGGCTATTTATGATGGTCCTGAAAACAGATTCTGCCCTGGTAAGTTCCTGAATGCATTGGAAAGAAAAGCGCGGTCGTAGGGAGGGAAAAAGGGCGTAGTCAATGGAGTAGAGGCAGTTCAAAAAATGCATGCACTCGAGTGTAACCCATTTTTATTCACTTGGATTTCTCAACTGCGTTTATAGCCGGTGTGTATGAATATGTTGACGATGAAAATAAGCCTGGTGAAAAGCGCCTTCAAATCAACAGCCAGAATTGTATCCACTGTAAGACATGTGATATCAAAGATCCTTCACAGAACATTGACTGGACAGTACCAGAAGGTAGTGGAGGTCCTCAATACGTCTGGACTTAAACACCCCCCTATTGTGAAAACAATAAAAGTATATCTAAAAGAACGACGTTTTATGACCACTGTCTTGTTCAAAATGCACAATGACCAAAATATCTCATACATAAGACACTAAGTGGAAGACCAGACGTTTTATTTTCGATCCTCTCTCTAACTTGAACTGATGGTTTGCCCCATGTTCATGTTCATGAGGTTCACAAAGCAATCATGGTTGTGTTACGAACATCCCCAAGGGAGTCCCATTGCATGCAATTTTTTTCTTTTTTTTTTTGTCCAATGAAAATAGAGGACGATTTCGCCATTTACCATCTTCTTGAGTGGATAGAAGAAGTAGTACTTATGTATATATAAAATGGAGAGGAAATTAGAAAGAAGAATGACAAACCGTTTCCCTTTCCCTTTCCCTTTGCTTCATCTTGTCTTCTTTTTTATCACTTTCCTGCTTTTACTTTTTTTTTTTTTATATATACTCTACTGGAGCTTTATTTTCTTTATGGATGACAAAAATGCAAATAGGATGTTATATGGAATGACTGCAGTAGTACGAAAAATGGATAAAAGTTTTTCTTCTAGATACGGCTTCCTCCAATAGAATAAAAGGTACAAATGCCACTGCTCCTTGCTTTACCCGTGGTCTCTTCAAAGGTCTTGCAGACTTTATAGGGTGGTGTGTAGAGATGGAGAGAGACGGCTCCTCTCTCAGGGTTGGGATTAGAGATACGATGTAGACCGATTTTATCTACAAGGTAAAACGCAAAAAGAAAACAAAGAAGGTCATGAGATAGTTGAACAATCCACTCATCACGGCGGAAAAAAGGAAGCGTGTGAAAGAGTTACCATGCACATAGGTTACTTGATTAGGCTTGTATATCGTATTCTTAAACACTTTCAAAGCCTGCTTCTTATCGACGAAAACATCCTTATCATCAGCAGGATGACAAGTCGAATGAACAGCTTCAGTAATATCATTAGCGGTAACAGCAATGGCAGTAGAAGCGACACTCGCCTCATGAACAGCAGCAGAAGCAGCAGTAGCAGCAGTAGCTTCTTCAGGCCAGTTGAACAAAGTTTCTTGTAATTCTCCGTCAAGTATCTTCATGACACAATGTGAACCTGCATGATCATGAATTGGACTAGGGTTTTGTTACAGTGGATGATAAAAAGGGGGGAGGGGTGGACATACATTAGCAACTCATGTAGAGTAAACAAACACAGAGAATACAATCTAACGACGAGTTACCTTTGTTGACCTTTACTCCAAGCCAAAATCATCAAATTAAACTAAGAAAGGATCCTACTTAGTATAACAACCTAACGAATAACAAAGCGACACCAGGTTTCCCCCCCCCACTCACCTTTCCATTTCCATCGTCAATCAGATTACGAGTATAAGCTCGAGAATGATCAAAGAGTGTATATTGACTCCAATCTTCAGAATTGGAGCTGTACTTTTCCATCAACTGAATAATCTGTTGAGCATCGATACTCTCCGAATCCAAGCCTTTATCATCTCCTAGCACTTTATGAATGGATTCTATGAGTGCCTTCAAATCAAAACCGTCTTGTTTAGAATGATTCACTCGATTGCAGGCACCAGGAACAGAACAAGTAGTAGTGGTTGAAGAAGGGTGAAGAGCAGCAGTTGGAATATTGAAAACTTTCTTTGTGGGAGCCATTATCAGGATGAGAATATTTGATATTGTATAAAGACAAGGAAAAAGGAAGAAGGAAAAAAAAAAAAAAAAAGATAATCGGACGAGTTGATAGCAAACTATATAAGGGGAGCCATGAAACGTCTTAGATGCGGTTTTTATGCGGCATGAGAGAGTCAGGACAAAAAAAAAAAAAAAAAAAAAAAAAAAGCTTAATGTAACCTCTATGGATTACACATGCGGTCAATGGTTGTCATTTCATCAAGACAAAATACAACACAAACACAAACACAAACCACTCACATACCAGCGCAGAAGTAGTGGATCATAGAGGTTAGCCGTTTTATTTTTGCAATTGAAATGGGCTATCCAATCACTATCCTACTACCACCGGAATAATATATCAGCTTCTTTTTGCGGGATACAGTTTTCCCCCACAACGCAAAAAGAAAAATGGATACTCCATGGATGAGCCTGAATCAGAGACATATTAAAGTTATTCACTGTTCATTGCGATGATAAGGACACAGTTCAGTTTTTGCATGCAATGGATCTACTCTGCATTGTTCAGTAGGCAGCAAACATCTACTCTACTGCCACACCTAGGAAGGTGTCATTTATGCTAAAACACAAATTACTTTATGCCAAAAAGTGCGTGACCGATGAGCGTTATTGGGGAATGATGAACTGCGAACAACCTTGTTCAAGTCATGCGCATTACTTTCTTTATGATGTGAAAAAAAAAGAGAAACAATTTTATGTTTTTCTGCTACCTCTGTTTGCCCAGGGCCACAGATGTTGATAGAGCTAAAGCGATCTCATTGCTTATAGTGATTTTATAGCCATCACACACAGACAATAGACTCTGCTTTGCTTGACCAATGATGGCTAAGCAAAACGACATTAACCTGATAGATCATGGAATGTTGAGATACTATGCAGGAGAAGAGAATTTTTTTTTTTTTTCCCATCTATCCTACCATGAAATTTGTGGTGGCTCGATTCGAAACATTGTGTTGACCGATCTGCTGATGCTGTCAAATTCGCTCTCCACCTCCTTTGTGAACCGGCTAAACGAATTTCCTTGATTCGATAGGCAATGCTACAGAGCATGAACGGGGGGAAAAAAAAAAGCATTCGTTGTGAGTCGAATGAAGAAGAGACGTCCAATGTTTGATTGCTCTCATGTTTTTACATAGAGTAATGCCAATTGATGGGCAATATACTTTTGGTTTTCCAAACGTTTCGCATTCTCATACAAACGGCATGCCATTGTATAAATTGTGTTGAGCTTGACAAGCTGGTTTTCTCTTGTCCTTTTGCTGCGCATGATACAGAGACCAAGATGGCTCTGAATCGTCATGTCAGTACTTTGTTTTTGTTGTTGCTGTGATCTAAAAGACGGACTGGTGAGCCCATTTTTTTCAAAGCTGCTGCTGCTGCTGCTACTACTACTACTTTGCGTAGTAAGCAATGCCTTGACAGATCGAGGATAAAGCGGCTCAAATTCTTTTCGTAATAAAGATAGGGCACAAGGATGGTCTTCTGCCAGCCTTTGACGTATCTCGAAGCAAAGTTGATCAATGTGTCCTTGTAATTTCTACTTTATAGGGAATCGAGTCATGTTTTATGAACGCAACAAGGCCCTTCTCTCTTTCTCACTACCTTTTGACATACCTTTTCCGTGTCTTGTATCCTATCGTCTTTGACAGTGGAGGACGTTGCGAGCGAGAATGTTTCAACCTTTTTCAACAAGATTTCGAGTTGGCCAAGTTGTTTAAAGAGGTATACTATGACTGATCCCTGATGCGTTCTTCTCTTTGTCTCTCCTTCACGCTTCATAGATCGTCTTGGCTGTCGCTCTGGCAAAGGAAAAAAGTGTTCTTTTACATGAATGGGAACTAAAAAACCGATGAAAAAGGAAGCCAACATTGGAACGTCCGTCTTATTCACATTGTTCTTCTTTTCTGTAATGGAACGCTTCTATACTTGGTTTGAGGCTAGCATTGCCAAGATGGACAACTACTTTTAAAGGCGGTGATGTATTGAGTAAACTCATGCTGAGAGTGGTATGTCAATAAAATAGGGAAAACAAAAGAAAAAAAAAAAAAAAGAGAGAGATAGATCTGGACGTTGAAAATAGAGTGACACACAGAACAGGTGATCTCGTCATCACCCCTTGGCTAGAGACCGTACAGCATGAGTAGACAAGCAAACCAAAGAGTTGACCTACAGCCTGAAAACGTGGTTTCAACTGAAAACCAACCGAAACAGTTCTCTCCTTGACCCCAAGATGAGGCTTCCACTGGAATTCAATGGATGTGCTTGAACAGGTTTGCAATGTTTTATCTAAAACCTTTTTATGGCAGCCCAAGCGATTGCGATTGCCCTCTGTGAATCTCAGTACGGCATATTAACCTCATCTCACAAGATGGTCCATCGATAAGATGATTGATTTTACATTCTTCTACTGTTGGGATGCTCACCATGGAATAATAAAAAAAGAAAAGGTAGTATGGATGGAGTCAAATATGAAAAAGAAAGCTTTTCCTTTCGTAAAACGGTCCATGTATGGGTCTGTGAATCACGTCCTTTCACACATCATTTCAAGGTACTCGCATCGCTCGCTATCACATGTTTTCGGAAATCCAATTTATTGTAATTAGACATAATTAAACAGGGATCGTGTTTGTTTTTGTGTGCACAGACAAAAAAGACGGATGATGGTTTTAATCAATTTAAATAATGAATGAATAGAAACAACAACGAAAACAACAACGGCATAAGGATTGTGAACAACAATGGAAGTTGAAAGGCATGCTTCTTCACCCAAGCCCAAAAAAACAAAAAAAAAAAAGAAGAATGGAGTGATTCGTCCTCTTTTTCTCAATTACGGACGATACAACGTGTGCATCATGATGACGAGAAAGATGCGTGCGTGGGGCTTTTTAACTTGTAACGAACAAAAGACTCCATGATAGGATCTTGATGCGTTCCATCTTTTTACCACAACAAAATGGTAATGACTTGTTCTTGGATATTCTAAGCGGCGCCCTCTCTCGTGAAATAAATAAGACAAACCGAAGCTCCGCATGTCGATCCCTCTTTTTAACAAACATTTGATACGAAAGAAGAGGAAGCAACGCTAAAAAAGTGGCTTGTATGATGATGGATTGATAAATATAATTTTTTTTTTTTTTTTGTTTTCGGATCCATTTTAAACTGATAATATGGATGCGTTGTCATTGAAGGGTATTGAAAATGCGTTGAACGAGGAGCACAGAGTTTCAATGATCATTGAAAAGTAGCTTCAAGACGACCATGGATCATTTCCTGTTATAGGCTAGAGATTTCCGAGAATACAGTAGGGCAAGAAACGGGAAGAATCAACTATTGCTGAGTCTCTTGCATGAGATGAAGAAAAGTTGCTTTTGATCTACGCACACGAACGGGTGGTGCACAATCCATCTATTTTGTAGTTGGATGCCAAGTATAACACATAAGGCACAGCTCTTCCAGACTTGTATTAGCGCGAGACGTAAAAGGAGTACGTCCTACTGGAGGATGAACTCCCTTAAGCGATATACAGTATTTGTTTCAGTGAAACTCGCCCTTTGTTCTAGCGATTTTGTATTTCATCAGTGCGCATAAGCACGTCCTGATGTCATTGTAAGCTTGGGCGTTTCACATTGAGCTTTTTGGAAGGAAAACATTCTACGAGATTCATGAGAAAGGAAAAGACGCCTCTTCCTCGAATTCTCTTCTTATCACTTTCAAGATTTAGATGAAGGACGAGGCTCGTCCATGTATTTTGTCCTTTCTCTAGCATCTTGACATATTTATGAAGCACCCATAGTAACCTTTCTTTCAGTTCGGGTCTCCCACTGCTTGAGGACGGCCCGTCATTCAACTCGAGACCTGCCATTATAGCATTGTAAGAGCTAAATTTGGATCCAAATATAATTCCAAGGAACCATGGCGTTGAATGAATTGCAATGAGAATAATACTACATCTTTTGTGAATGTGTACGCTTGTTTACAGTCAAAAAATGTCATGACATAAGCATCAAGGTTTAAAGCAAGCTCTTTATCTATGGTTTATCGAGCAAAACACAAGAGCTGTCCCCTCCCTTCCTCCTCTGGTCATCTCATTCTCTCAATTGGGAAAGGTTGAGAAAAAAAAACCACCCCAGTGAATATCAAAGTGTATCTACATCATTACTACGTAGCAAATACAAGAGGGTAACATAGGCTTTGAATGACAATCGTTTGCTAGCGAGCTGATCCTAGTGAAGGAGAGTAAAGCAGACATACTGTATACGTAATAGAGGGCTGATGGTAGGATAACAAATTTTTTAAAAGCGGTGAACGAAACCCGCGTCGATCCCGCGACGGAAACTAATAATAACAACAAATAAATCCCAGACTATATTTAGCAAGTGCCATTTGGGTCAGGACCTCGGCCTTTTGAATTGAGTCTGATGGGTTCAAGCTATCCTGGGGGGGCACCGACTTGTATGACTTTTTTTTGTCAAGTAGGCGTTCAAACGACATAATGAGAGCTTCTAATAGAGACTCTCTCTATTGTAGATGTGTGATGACTCCGACACGGCCTTTGCATCAAGCAATAAAAAAGAAAAGCGGAAATAAAGGGATAAAATAATAGCAACCCAGCCGATTTTTCGTACCTATTTGTCTCTCTTCGCCACACTGATTCGGAATGTGAAAAGAAAGGAGACCCGTTCTCTTCCCGTCCCCCTTTCATCCATCAAAACAGACTAGCTACGGCGTGATTTTTGTTTCAGATAATTTTCATTCTACAAAAAAAATAGGGCCTAGTCCAAGCCGAGGACCCAGCGCTACGAAATCTAGAGTCTATAAAATTTTTTTTCTTTCTTGTTTAGTTCTTGAATCTATTTTTAAATGCTTAGACGCTTTCGTTCATTCTTTTTTTTTTTTTTTGGTGAAAGGAAGGGTTCAACATTCGTCATCTTTTTCACTTTTCAAAAATAAGACAAAAGGGAAAGGCCACATGTCGTCATGGCAATCAGGAAATCATGTTCAATTTCAGTGATGTAAAACACCTTGGGTAAAAGAAAGATTTTTCATTTGATCCATGTGGTGTAACGGCATTGTCCGTGCACACGATTTTTTTCTTTTTTAGCCTTGTAAGGAAAAAATCGATTTCAAAACCTGGCAACATGGAAAGTTTTGGTTTTTAATTTTTGTTTTCAGACGGATACCAAAGACTGGGCACTCTTTTTGCCTCGTCTTCAGAATGACACAGTGATCTACTTGATTTCGAGTGTGTTGCTGTTATACGAAAAGAAAGAGACAGGTTAGACAATTCTGCATAAAAAAAAGTCAAGGTCGGTCCTATCTCTATGGATGATTATTCATCCTTGACTAAAAAGCGTTGTTAAGATTTCAAGTGATGCCCATTTTTTCTGGACTTTTCTGTGGAAATGGAACTTGGGGGTGGGAGGGTGAATGCCGCAATGAACTTTTGCATTTTAGAAAGCCCCATCCTTATCCCCTCTTTTTGCCTTTGTTCCGGTTCCATTTTGCCTCGTCCATCTCGCCGATTGAATAGGACGATCTTTATGCGAAACCTTTATCACTTGCTTCCATGCGCTTTGTGTGTGTGTGTGTGTGTGTGTGGCGGGGGGGGGTGGGTGGGGTGAGCGAGAATGATAACGATGGGTCACTTTTATGTTACAACAGAGATGAGTTAATCGTGTGATGATGACACTGGATTCAAGCGTCAAAAGAAAGAGAAATACACAGAAAAAACATGTGTTTATTTATGTAAAAAAAAAAAGGTACTTTATTTGACATGGGTGTGCGGCTTGGTGAGTCATTGTGGGATACGGTTTTTTTACTTTGAAGATTTTGGTAGTTCTAATACATGACCAGGCATGACGTATTTGAAGTCGTTATTGTCGTCTTCGAATTGCACTTTATAGCAGCCGGAATAATGCATATCTTTATTCTATGTACGAGTATAAGAGATCAGATCACCGTAAGCCCATGGTGCTCAAAAAGCGCATCTCTGCTTACCTTAGATGGGGACGCGATGACCTTTGCGCGATAAAAACAAGTAGTACCTGGATAGAGTGCAAGTACATCTTGTCCAGAATTGAATTCCAACATCGATTTGGCCTCCTCTGCGCTTGGTATAGGGATCACATTTCTTGGTTGTAATAGATATCGTCTATCCATGAGGTGAACGAGAAATGAAGTCGAGTTATTATCTTTTTTTTTTTTTGAATAACGCTCCATCGTGCATGTGTGTAATGTGTATACGCAACATAGGGTATTAAAAAAGTCATTATTTACTGCTTTTGCCCAAACTCATCCTGATCGACATCCTCCACTTCATACCTGTTTTGAATTTAGATTTTTTAAGCACATGGCCCCAACAATTGGATTCGTTTAAACCTGGGCATTTCCCTCCTTCTCCACTTACTTGTTCTTTTCGTTATTATAGTTTAATACAACAGCCAAGATCCATTCCTCATTTTTATCCTTCTGTTTAGGTTGTTTTGCAGCGACAGAAGTGCCAAATGCCAAGACGCCACTATGGTACGCGTGGCTTACCAGAAATTAGCCCTTCTTTTTTTCTCTTTCCCGAGTGGGATAGTGGGTGGGGATTGCCTTACTTTTTTGACTTTTTAGCAGATGATCCTGTCGTGTCTTCGTTGTAGTCTGTTTTCCTCTTTCTTCGCTTTTGTTCTATCACTGGAAATCAGGAGAGAATCATAGAATTCAGATTTTTTTGGCTTAAAAGGTTCAGAGACGTAGGCATCATCACTCACACTTACCATAACTATATTCAGAGGCATCTCTTAGTGCAATAAGCACCGATAATTTCTCAATGATATCATTAATCGTCCTTTTTTTTAATTTGTTACAAGTTGAATAAGCATGTGATTTGTTTAAAGACACAGAACAATAGAAAAAACAAACAACTTGTTTTTACTTTGCTTCATGCTGGGTCAAGTCAATGCCCCCTTTATAATACTCTGTTAACTTGTCGCCTATCCGAGGCGGAACCCCTAGCCGGAGAAAAAAAAAAAAAAAAAAAAAAAGAGATAGGATTTATCAATATGCTTAACCTTAATGGCCAGCCACCCATTTTTTTAAACAAGTTACCATCTTCTGTATTCACAGTGGTATGAAGATGATTGATACTCGTGACGATAGTAGTGATGTTTTCTTGAACATTCTCCAGCTTTGAAAGAGAGTTGCATATTTGTTTCCATAGACTGACTTCCTCATTGGTTTCTTCCAGTGTTGCTGATCTTGAAGTACGCGATTTACGGTCCATCATGTTGACGAAAGTGAATGTCCCAAGGGCAGTGATGATGTTTGCAAAAAGATTAAAAGTGTCTGAATGAGCTAAAGCGATATAAGCGATCTTGCACCCAATGTCTACAATGTTGATTGTACAAAAGATGAACCGTTAACAGGATTTTTTTTTTCTAGAGTCGGAGTGAGCAACTGTCTCCATTCACCTTTGTCAATAGAGGATCAATGCGGATAGGTGGTGACTAGGGTAAAAATAAATTTTCGGGCAAACTGCAAGAAACAGTAAATGATGCTTGTTTATTCTTGGAACTGCATGTGCTCAGTTGGGGGGAGGGAGGGAGGGGTTTTTCGTCTGCTTTTTTTAACCCCACTTTTGTGTGGACCGGGCCTTTTTTCCCTATTTATGCAAGCCTATCAATTTGAACGGATCTGCCTTCGCAAAAAAAAAAAAAAAGGGATAATGTTATGTAAAGAGGGTTTTTTGCGGTCCTTTATTTTTATTCTTATCAGCTTTTGACAAAACGAATAGAAACATAGGCCTTAAAAAAAAAAAAAAGGTTTTGCGCGTCCTACTTGCTCACTCAAGATGTGAGACACATTGTCTATGATACCATTCTTCATGGTAAAAAAGAGCCAACAATCTATGCATAGGAAAAAAGGCTATAAAGTTATTCTACGGAATATGGATGAAGGAAACATGTTGAAATAAGGTACATAATGTTTAAACTCAGTTTTATTTTGTCACCTAGGTCAAATAAAAGGGGTGGTGTGTATAAAAGTGTCTTTAGAAAAAGGACAAAAAGGTTACACAAACAATGGTTGTCGAATGGCAGGAAGAAAAAGTATAAAGACAAACATGGATGAGGAGGAGGGGTGGTCTTGTCAATGTTGCCTGCATTAAAGTGATACGTTTCCATCACCTGCTAGAAGAAACAAGTGACAGACAGACAGACAGACAGACAGACAGCCACGCGTAGACCCCTCGAACAACCGAAGGGCAAGGAAGAAATGGAAAATGCCAAGAATGGCTTTACCGCCTAAAAGGATTTGAAACCATGATGCACTACAAATAGACCTCTTTCTATTTTTTATTTCTTTACATCGCTTTGACCAAATAAACTTGTATAACATCCTAAAAAAAGTATTTTTTTTTTCGTGTCTATGTTTGCATACAGCTTGCATTTGGACACCAAAATAAAAGGAAAAAAAAAAAATAGTACTATTTTTAACTTGCGACAGTGCATGATGGTATCAGTGTTACTTAGTTCAACCTGATGTCAAACTGTCCATTTTCTGCAAAAAGTCCAAATAAATATACAAAGTGAGAAAACATGGTTTGTTTTTCCATCAATGATGGAGGATTCTCTATTTTCTATTTTTTCTTTTTTGTATGTCGTAGACGCGGTATACCAGCCATTCACCATGTTTACATCATTGATGTACATTTTCGGATAGAATGATTTGTCAAGTGTCAGCAAAAATCTACCCATTTTTTTAGTATTTGCTAATAATAGATCCTTTTTTTTTTTTTTTTTTCCTGTTTCTGCCCCGCTCTATTCCATTGAAATGGTCGCGCACCGGAACTGACCATTTGCACCAAAAGCTTGGCAGAGAAGATTCTTAGGGCAATACAGAGAGGATGTGTGTCACTCATATTTTCCCATTTGAGAACTGGAGAAAACCTTCCAATTAGCTTTTTTAAATGACGTTGGTTTCAAAGCGAAAAAAAAAAATGCCTTCAAGGCGATGGAGCGTGGGATTGAAACCAAGAAACTGAATAAAGTAAAAATATCCGCCCTTGTGGTGTATTATTATAAAAACAGATGTCTTTTTTGTACAAAAAGTCTTGTCAATAATAAATAACAATAAAGTTGGCCCTTAAACAGCTACAAGAAAACAAAATATATATTTTTCATATCTAGTCTGTTTAGACAATGGAAAAGAGCTAATCTAAAGTGTGTTTTTGTTTTTAACGGACGAAAATACTGTAATACACGTGTATTAAGGGAAAATAATATACTAGACCATAGGGAAAAAAAAAAAAAAAAAACTTTTGTAGGGAGACAGAAAACAAAAAAAAAAAAAAAAAAAAAACGAATAAAACAGACTATTCTTTTTTGCAATAGGGGAAACCCGTAATGTAGGAGTCAAAGTGTGTACGTTGTGTGAGTGATGTGAGAGAGAGTGTGTTGTGCGCTTTTCTGCTCCTTTGAGGATTTTCCTTTTTACTATTTCATGTCTTGGATTCATAGAATGGATTTAGACAGGCGCAGAATCCTTTTGGCGGTGTTTCTTGTAGGGTTTTTTTTTCAACGTATGGCCAGTTTCGTATCTGTCTCCGCTTTTTTTTTTTTTTTTTTTTTTTTTTAATGGAATATCTTTATTTTTAGTGCACGAGGGGATATTTTTCATAAACCAATATAAATACTGGACATTTCCGTCAAAGACCTTTCTCTTTTCTTCACTACTCTTCATCCCTCTCTTTTTCATATACCTTTTTTCTTTCCCGTCTTTTTCTTCTTTTTTTTTGTTTTTCCAAAAGATGAAATCTCTTGCCATCATAGCTATTTCTCTCTTAGCTGCTGTCAATGCTGCTAATGTTACCTTCAAGGTCGTCGCCCCTGATGCAAAGAAACAGGTGCAAGTCCAAGTCGATGGTAAATTGGTCAACTTGAAGGCTGCAGATCCCGATGTTCCTTATTACACTGGTACTGCTGATTTACAAGGCAAGAACTACAAGGTACACACACACACACACACAATCCAATCTGAACACACAGCCCGAAAACGTTTGGATAGAGATCAATTTGACTCACCTTCTTTCTTCTTTAAAAAATGATAGTATATTGTTGATGGTAAAGCTGAAAACTTTGATCGTTCTTTCGATGGTGGCGATGCTACCAAGAACGATTACTATTCTCGTAAAGTCACCTATGCTACCAACATCCCCAAGTTGCCCACCGCTCTCAGCGATGGTGCTTGGGATAAAGCAGAACGCAATCACCCTATTTGGGACGACAACTACATCCCTACTATTTTCGTCACTGGTGATCAAAATGATATGAACGATTTGATTGAAAACGTTCCCAAGACCACTTATAAGACCAAGGTCACTTTCATTGGTCCTGATGATGTGTATAAGTTTGAGGTAAACTATTCTTCTGAATGTCATTCTCTCCCTCCGCCAAGGGATCATATTGAGGGGCTTTAAGTTTTAAGGTGCCGAGATTTCCCTTTTTCTACAAGATGTACTTACCTGTTTCTCTGTTTTTCTCTCTCTCTCTCTCTCTCTCTCTCTCTCTCTCTCTCTCTCGCTTGATCTTTGATCTTGATCTTGATAGGATGTCAGCTTGGGTCTTCACAGACCGGGTCGTAAGAACAATGATGCCAAGCAATCTTGGATCTGGGCTCTTCCCGAAGATCAATTCTTGGGCGGCCGCAACTGGTTCAAGCTCAGACACATGGAAGAAGATCCTACCCAATTGCGTGAAAAGCTCTATGCTGATATTGCTGAAAACATTGGTACCTATGTCGGTTCTGCCAACATGGTCCGTCTCTTTGTCAACAAGGAAGGCATGGGTACCTTCAACATGCTCGATGATATCCTCAAGTACTCTTACATCAATGCTATGTTCTACGGCGGTAACCCCCTAAGCAAATGGGTGCTCTTTACGATGGTGGCTCCGGTGCCTCTTTCAACCCTGCAGATGGCTACACCAGCTTCACTCCCAACATCGAGTCTCCTCTCACCGCTGACGATATCGCTCCTTTCTCTGAAGCCCTTGCCAAGGTGGACTTTAAGGATGATGCTCAAGTACAAGCGACTGCCCAATACTTTGACTATGATCAATTCCTTCGTTTGATGGCCATGGAATTCCTCACCGGTAGCTGGGATGCTTACTGGATTGAACAGACCAACGATGGTGCCTACATTGACCTTGATGAAAAGAAGTTGTATTACCTTGCTCAAGATTTCGATGCCACTTTCGGTGTCAACCTCGATGACACCATTGATCCCAACCACGAATTCGGCAAATCGACTGTCGACGACTGGATCAAGAAGTTCCCCAAGGCTTGGTTGATTCAAAAGTACCTCTCCAACCCTACCATCAAAGCCACCTTTAACCAATATGTCCAAGAAATCCACGAAAAGATCTTCAACTATGACACTCTCTCCAAGGTGGTCGAAGCCCGCCACAATTTCTATGCTCCTGATCTCCAATGGGATCGTTCCATCAAGCAAAGATCTCCCGGTAATGTCTTTGGTTGGACATTCCAACAAACCAAGGACAACTTGTATCAGGGTGTCTCTGCTCCCGGTGGTAGCGGTGGTGGTGCTGCTTACGGTCTTCTCGAATGGGTCAAGCAAAGAGATGAAGCTTTAGGCGGCAATGTGAAGACCTCCAAGAAGGTGGAAGAAGCCACGACTGCTTCTATGCTCGCTGCTAAGGAAGATTACGCTACTTCTGGTGCCCTTAAAACAACTGCTCCCAAAATGCTCGCTGGTTTAGCTGCTGCAGGTGCCGCCGCTGCTCTTCTTTAAGTTATGCCCCCTCCTCTTTCTCTCATGTTAAATAATATATACATATAACTTTTTCTCTTTTTTTTTTTATTCTTTTTTGGCTTTTTTGTTCGTTTTCTTTTTTGTCCTCAAGTATACATCCCTTTTATCCTCTTGTCTATTTTTTTTTTAAAAATCATTACCACTACGATAATTCATACTTTATTCCAGTAATATTCCACATGACATTCTATTTATCCCCCGACTTTTGTTGTTATGTTTGCTCATTTTTCTTTATTTTTTTAATTGTCGATAACAATAAAAGAAAAAAAAAAAATATTGAAATAATTTAATATGAATGATTGGAAGCATATTGATTAATATACAATACAAAGTCGAGTTTCCCGCGCCATCCTCCACCCTCTACTACACTAGCACTTGTATCTCGGTGTGTTTTTCTGTGTAGGCTACGACACGCTCTTTTTTTCTAATTGTAAAGGAAAACATCAGCAGTGGAAACAATAAAAAGGGTAACACAAACACATGCGAAACCCTTGTTCAACCATGCAAAAAGACCAGAATTTTGATGTTGTGTTAGACCTCTTTTGTAACTGCGTTAATTTTCTTGTGTGTCCTGTGTGCGCACAGACATTCTTCCTTTCTGATGTTTGACGTTGACGTGGGATGGAACACTGATTTTTTTCTTTGTGCGCGCTGTTGGGATGTCCCTTGTAGTGTTGCGTGAAGGATGCAGTGAGAAATGAGCAACATTCTTTTCAGACCGCAAGCCTTTGGATTGTACACACATGATTCTGACTGTACATGGAAAGTGTCTCGAGATTCTGTAGATAAGGCAAGCTCGAGCCAAGCTTTTTTTTTTTTTTTTTTTTTTTTTTTTCTTTCCTCTTTTTTCCTTTGTTCCTATCTATTACGTCAATGCAAAACCCTTATTTCTTGATGAACGGTAGATGTAGGTCGTTGATAGAGTTGCATGAAATGGAGCCTCTCTTTAGTGTTAGCTCAACAAACAAAGCCGCACCTTCCGATCATGACTTGAAGGACAGCTCCTGCCCCTTATATTATTCTTAATTAAAAAAGCTTTTACAAGAATAAATTATGATTGGTATGGATTCGAAAAAGTTCAAATTGTTGTGAATGGCTGCAAATGATTTCAATTATTTCTTTTTTGTAGATCAAAGGTTTCAGAAAAAAAAAAAAAAAAAAAAAAAAAAAAAAAAAAAACTAAAATTTTCCATGGTTTCGGGGAGGAAAATAAAAAAAACTTCTCCTTCCCATAGCAACCCAACCACTGTGTCAATCTTCCATTCTGAATCCGTAAAGGTACAACTTTCGTGGAAACCTTCCTATTTCAATGAGTTTATTTGACAACGACTGAATGACTAACCAACCCACACGTTGGACTGTGTGTCTTGGTGGTTTTGTTGTCCCTCCCTTGGGTTAAAAAAACTTAATCCTACTCAAGCCAAACCCCTTTGCACTCCCCCCCTCCTTCCCCGGTAGCCTTTTCAGTTTCGTAGCCATAGTAAAACACCCTAGGATACATCCAAGGTCTTTTCTTATGAAAAAAGGTTTTATTCGTTCTCCTTTTTTTTTTTTTTTTTTTTTTTTTTTTTCTTTTGTATAGTCATGCATCCCTACCGATAGCATCCAATTCTCCCCATCTCCAGAACTTGCAACCCTTTCTAATTTAACCAAGGGTGCATGAGCGTGCATATACGTATGAGATGATGTGACGTGAGCCATAGGAGACGGATAGGGATGAATGCAATGACCATGTCTGGCTTAAGTGTCTTTTTTGATAGTGGCGAACCATGTTATGCCTACTATCTAGACAATGGCCCTCTATTTCAGAGGGAGGGGTGGGGGGGGCGCGGTTTAAGTTCTATTTGTTTGAAAAAGAAAAAAGAAAAAAAAAAAAAAAGCCATTTCGTTCCTTTAAACCCCAGGAACACACATTCACACATACACATAGAGATGAAGACTTGCTTTTTTTTTAAAATATAGGTCTTTTGACTTTATAGATTCGCCCAAAAAAGGGGGGGCAACGGGTATCGTATGAATGATAAATAGGAATACGCTAATATCCAGATAATCGTCGAATAGTCTCTGATAATACAGGAATAGAGGCAACGATGACACCAATCGTACCAAAAATCGCAAAGGCGAGTGAGGCCATGCCACTTGCCTTGGGGAATTTACCAATCAGATAAGCAGTACCTACGCCATGAGAGGAGCTTCCCATGGTAATGCCAATGGTCATATAGTCATCTACATGCAAAAAAAAAAAAAAAAAAAAAAAAAGAGACGATCAGAAAAAAAAAAGAGACTCCTACCTATCCAAAAGGATATATTTACCGTCCTTGACGCGAGCAAGTTTGAAAAGAGAACTGCCTAAAATAGGTCCACACACACCCGTAAACCTAAACCAAAAAAAAAAAAAAAAATTATAAGCATGCGTCTTTCTTTCGTCCATGACATACATCTCCCTTAGAGTGTCCTATCACTTACACAATAATACAGACGACTACGCTCTCATTGGCACCCAAGACTTTACCCACTACCATGCCAATAGCCGTCGTCACAGATCTAGAACTCCACGCTAAACTGTCATCAGGCAAACATCCTATACCATGAGCGAATAACGGTGTAACAAACATGATAAAAAATGCCATAGGTATGATGGAGCAGAAAATAACCAACCACTAACAGGAAAAAAAAAAAAAAAAAAATTAAAAAAAAGAGGTTCATGAGTAAGCATCCAACGTGAACCCCCTCCCCTCCCCCCTTCCTCCTCATAAAGAGAGACCCTCTTACCTCTCGTAAAGATTCAGGTCGACTCTTGTAAACATTGAAAGCCAACGAAATGATGGACACATCCATGGCGGCACCGAGCACATCGCCACCCCCGGGCCAACCGACATGGGTCTTCTCCACAAGCCCAATAAAAGTGATGCCCGATTTGTACAGACGAACACCATGCTTGATGTCGAATCCTTTGACGCGTTCAAAGTAAGCAATGCCAGCCATCACACATGTCGCTGTGAAAATGATCGGGTGGACGATCATTCGGATCCTCGCCGGCATACGACACGCTGCTGAATACAGGAGAATCGTCATCGTCAAGTAGAGGAAAAGACGGAAGAAAGGCATGGCAGGGTGGCTCTCGGGGAGGGGTAGAAAAACAAAGGCACACAAGGCGAATCCAATCAACAACGCAAGATCGTCAAACGTCGACTGCTGCATGAACCACATCGCCAGACTGTGCAACGGTCCGTGCTTTTTTTCTTTGTCCGTACCAAGGGCAGTCGCTGCTGTCGTCGTTGTTGCGTCGTGACCATAGCCGCCGCCGCAGCTGCACTGCTCACGGATAGCCGAAGGTGTATACAACGGATGATGATAGGTGGATGCATTCGTCGACACGTTCGTCAGTGTACTCGTCGTCGATCCGCCGTCGTCTGAGAATCGTCGAACAGACATGGGTATCGATATATGGGTGGGGATGTAACTGAACGAGCCTGGCTCGGACGACACGCCAATCTCAATTTCCTCTTCGCTCATGTTCTTTTTTCCGTGCGACCGGCTCTTTTCTTTCTCTGTATCGACGGCCTTGGACGAAAACAAAGGTGAGGAGAGAAAAACGTAGCGGAAAAGTCGAACAATGACGGTGCATAGAACGAACGAGACGATATAACCCACCACTAAAGATGTCAAAAGGACAACAACCCGAAACAAAACAAGAAAAAGAGGGCTTGTGTTAATCATCCTATGATAAAAACGCCAAAAGAAAAAAAAAGAGAGCCATTCAACCTACCGAAAACACAAATCATCCTTCCAACCTCAGGTCCAGTCGTAGGCGGATTCAGAACAATTTGTACAACTGCAGGTACAAACATGATGTTCATGCTCCTCAGAGCAAAGGCGGAATAAGGGTCGATTCTTGCTACGCATTGATCCGTAGCATGAGGAAAGATAGCATGCGATAGCATAAGTAGAACAAACAAGACAATCATGCCCGCCACATTGGACGGGAACTTGTGCATATTGGGCATTTGTCGCAGAACTGCACTGACAGCCCAATTGAACATCAAGCCAATGCCGAAATAGACAATATTACAGCTCCATCTTTTCACGTCCTTCTTTATACTGGGTAAACTTTGTACATACTCAGGCACTTGCTGTCCGAAAAATCGTCGTGTTTCTGTCGTCAACGCTGCTGCGCTTTTGCTTATTTTAGTTCTGTTGTAAAGTTTCATCTACGAGGTATAACTATTTCAAAATTTGAAAAGTGCAGGCTTCTAGCTTGATCTCTTTCATTGAAATGTAAAGAAAAAAAAACAAAAAGAAAATTTTATATACAAAGAAATAGCTTATTCCCTTGTTTCTAATATATATAAATCAAAAAAATAAAACGGAAAAAAAAAAAAAAGTTGGACCCTGCGAAGAACGAGGCTTTTTTATCATTGTCAAAATCTCTAGCAATCAACATGACTGATATAGAAAAATTCAAAAACCAGACAAAAAAATAAATAAATAGAAAACCCTAAACAGCGTCTACATCGATACAGGAAACACAAATCAAAATTGAAAGGTTCAAGTGCATTATCAGATGTTTGGTGTTGTATATCGACAATAAAGTTTTGTGTTGCTATATTGAAGTCGTGAGTATGAGTGCAACGTCGATCAAATCGTAAGCCAAAACTACGCAAAAATATTTAAGAAAAAGGAACGAATCAAACAGCGGGCGGCTTAGAAACGATCATTTGATACGGTCCATCCCATCCAATCATGAATACAAAAATAACAAAAAGTTGGTATAGCAGGATCTGTATTCTTTTCATCTTAATCCTTTCGATCGTTTCCTTGGTTCAGGAACAAATCTTCCTATACGAGTAGTCATAGCAACAGTAAGATGACGCAATTGAAAGACGTTACCAATGAAATGATGATGCAAAAAAAAAATGGAAATTGTGCAGAAAAGGTTAGCGCAGGGTTCTGTAGCCATATAAGGAAAAAATTGACATGAACTTTTTTATATGGATGCTATGATGGCAGCTATGCATCTTTGTCTTTGCGTACTTTAAACTACATTGGTGTGACTCAATGCGGACAATGGAGCAGAATTCTCTCCAGGATTGCTTGTCTTTTTTAGCGAAAAGGGGGGATAATTTTTCCAAAAATAGACATTGGAAAAGGGCGGGGGGAAAGGCAGGAAAAACGTTATTTTCATTTTCTTCCTAATGCATATTCTATCACTTGCATGTGCTTCAACTCTATCAGAGCTTTTTTTTTTTCCTGTTGCATTACCGCCACGTCTTTCTAAGAATACAAAGATAAAGAGATCCTTATTCACACTTTTATGATTTCCTATCGCGCTAATAAACTACTCGTTGGCTAAAGTTTGAGAGCTCGTTACGCTTATGAAGGTCGACTGTTTTTCTAAACATACAAGGCATGAATCTATGCAAACCTCAACATTTGATACAAAGCTTACCTTGGTCGTTACCTGTCTATTTTTTTTTTCCTTTTTCCCAAATTCAGCACTATCTTGGCGTTTCTATAGACATGCATCATAGATAAACAAGCCGTTATAATACGAAAAGTAAAACCGGGCTTTTATCAAGCTGATATTTTATTGATAGAGTTAATACCATATCAAATATTCAATTCTCTTTGTTTAACAGAGAGTCTAACATTTCGATGAAACTCAAGTTAGTATATGACCCTTCATTTCGTTTTCATTTAGACTACCGGCAGACGTACTGTCAGGATCCTCTATGGTATTTATGAGAGATGAATAAATTACGCACCGATCGCGTAATGGATTTTTGATGAGGTCAAAGTCTTTCAAGTAGCTGTATGAGTGCTCATATGAATTGATCTTCTAGTATTTTTTGGCGTCCGTCTTCTGTCATAAGCTACCCACTTCTGTTGGACGTGCTCGTATAAATTCATGCTTTCCTTGCATGGAAAAACTATAATTGGCATCTGTCATGTTTTTATCTTGTTGCAAGCGCTCTGAACAATATCATCGACACCGTCGATGAATATGTGAGCGTTGCAAAAGGATGAAGTACGAGAGTTATCCAATGTCTAAACGGGTAAAAGTGTTATGATGTCAATACTACACAAGCGAAAAAAAATCAGAAAGACATACAATTACTGTTGACGTGAGGTCCTCCTTTTTACAACTGGAATAAGCATTTTCACAATGTCCTACATTCTTACAGGCTATCCGGTCTTCTTATGCTGTTTGAATGCAAGTTTTATTACACAGGATAATTCAAAAATATGTACAGTTTAAAATAGCCATCCGCCAACAGCATCACGAAGAATATCTCTTTTCCTTTTGCTGCCCTCATTTCCTTTTCTGCTATGCTCCCCTCCAGCTAATAACTCGCCCAAACTCCATTGCTTGGTTGCTGTTTGTAGTAGTCCCTGCCAACTTTTGCCTCCTTGCTGACTATCCCCGTAGTTATCGGCTGACAAATGTGCAAGAGCAATTTGATCAGGTTTCTTTTCGTCCAACTTTCTCCAAACGGTTAGCACGTCATGTATATTTTCAGGAGGACTCAGGGCCATGGCCATAGAAAGTACATCTAAACGACGATTTTCATCTTCAAACGTCTCCAATTTACCCAGGTTGAAACAGATTTGCCAAGCTGATTGATTTATTTGCTCATAATAGCTTCTGGACTTTCCAGCAGTCCTTTGCGTACTTCGCGCCGCTTCCACCGTCAATTGACACAATTTGTAAGACTCCATATAATCCTCCTCAACAAGAGCTGCACTTGCCAACATGGCAAGCGCTTTGACTTTGGCGAGCAAGTCATCACCATACCCCAACTTTTGCACCAATTCCAGCACTTGAGCGGGGTGCTTATACATATCCCTTTTCCAATTGATCAACTTTGCTATAAGCTCTAGACGGTTTTTTGATTGCCGAATTTGAATGGGCATAAGACTTATACCTGGACGGTCTTGTACGCCATATTCGTAAATCAAACTATGCGTAGCCTCAATAAGATTCAATTCCTTTTTGATCTCGGTTGTCGGAGGTAACGTTTTTAAACATTCCCATGCTTGTTTCATACTACCCGATCGCATATTTCCTGACGTTGCATTATCGTAAAACTCACGTTCTGCATCAATCACTAACTTTTCGGCTTTGTTGATATCCAGCATTTTTTGTGACCCTAATATCAATTCTTTTGCCAATTTAAATCCTGAAAAGAAGAACAAAAAAAAAAAAAAAAAAAAAAAAATAAATAAAATAAAATAAAGGGTTAACTATGGACCCATTCATCATTCAGATTGTCAAAGAAACCGCCTCCAGAATATACTTACGACCACATCTTAACAACGAACTAAAAAAGATTTCAAATATTTCTTTGGTATCCAATTTTCCAAAAATGCTTTCGCCATCACCATTTAAACGAATCATATCATCTAAAAGTTCGCGCCAGTCATCGTCGCGATCAAACTGCGCTCCGCCAGACTCTACACCACCTGCTGCTTGAGAGGACATTCGAATGCATAGCTGACGCTGAGACTCTATAGACTGCTCCTGTAAATACCAACGTAAAGGAATCGCGGCATGATATCGCGCCAAAATTTCCGCTGAGCCCAGTTGTGTTTGCAGCGTATCCATCATTTGCGTTAAACCACTGGCATCTACCGTCTGCAATTTGACAAATAGATCGAAAGGGGTATTCGTATACGGCATGAGATCTGCCATCGTGGGCGAATCCTTTGCATCGTTCTCCTCCTCAAGCTCACTGAAAATCGGAAGGCATTCAAACAATCGTATCAAATATTGCATTTCTCCATCCGTAAAATAGACGATGGAAAGAATCAACCTCGATAATTCCAAATCATCTTTGATAATACGATCTTCTAACACTTCTGTTGGTTTGGATTTTTCCATAACACTGCAGCACCAATCCAAATGATGATCTACAATCTCTGGGTCAAGCAACCATTTGTATAATAGATACTCGGCTGATCCATGCTCATCATCCTCTTTTCCTGCAAGACCTCTTCGTTTGCAATACTCTATCCATGGCAAAGCAAGGTTTTGCAAATCTGTGCTGATAGTCTGACTGTCCGTCTTGCTCAATAACCCTTCCAAAACTTTGTAGGCGGATAACTGCCGAAATGTGTCTAGTGTGATCAACTTGTCCTCTTCCGTATCCGCATCCATTTTGTCGGCTTCTGTGACATAGATGTATTTGCATAACCATTCATAATCGGAAACCTTGTCTTCAATGCCTGTCACCCCCATCACCTGAGCATAGCGAATCATCTCCAATGCGTTGTTACTCAATCCAATCTTATCAGCTGCATAGGCTCTATCTAAATACCAGTCCGCAATCACTTTTGAAGAAGCCGGATAATCTGTACTTTCTATATTTTTCTGTAGTCTCGACGTGTAATCTATCTCTTCTTGTATATTTAGTTGAATCAATGCTTGTAACCATGCCGCCTCGACTGGATCCTGCTCTTTTCCTCGCCATGGTTCTTCTAACCAGAGATCTTCTTGAGCATGCGTGACGTGCGGTAGATCAAAGCGGCTAGGATCTGACGTCTCTGGAATTTGTGACAGAATAAAGAGACGATGAGGGAGAATTTCTTTGCCATGATGCAGGAATATGGCATCCAACGCTGTATTATTTTCGGAGCGTGCAAATTCAATAGCCAAAGCAATCAAATTGCTATCGCGGAATTGAGAATATACATTAGCAAAGGATGAATCATTCGTCATAACCTTCTGGGAGGGTTGCTGATAGCTTGTAGACAATGAAGAACGTAGGCTGGGCCAAATTTTCGTGCATGTTTTTAAACGATCGCTATATTTCAATAAATAATATCGTGTTCTCAATAATGTCTTCTCCTTTTCCGATAGTGTGTCTTGTTGTAGTGGTTCTGCTGTGAGATTTTTCAAAATTGGGTCTGTCAACTCTGAAATACGTGCTTGTCCGCTATTTATTATTTCTTCTTGAACTTCGGGGTCATTGACGCAAACATCCAAGCACTGGCCGACGACATAAATACTGTCACTGATGAGCTTGAGATGGTCCACGTCTCTCAACTGCAGTAAAGGTCCTCTTTCTTCTCTTTGCTTAGACCATTGTGCTTTATAAACAAGATCTTTGTCAAGCTGTAAATCGTTCGCCAAATCCAACGCAGCTTGGAAATTTCCTTGATGAAGGTGGATGTAAAAGTCTTTGGTGGTTGGCTGTTCCATATTTATGGTTTTTTGAAGGGAAAAAAGAACTGCATTACAGTCGTTCAACGCCAAAGGGCGGGTTTTTTAAAAGTAAAATGGAACACTCGAAATAATTTGAATTAATGCAAAACTTGAACTTGATTTGCAACAGCTTTTGAAAATAAATTGGAACACACTGTTTTTGAACTAGGCATGGATCAAATCTCTATGGACAATAGCTCACTGAATCGACAGTGCAGCTCCACCCCTATAGCAATAGATCGCTGCTAGGCTCTTCTATATCTACTGGCGAATCAAATAGAGCGTTGGAAGCATCACGAATTCAACATATGGCCAACAGTGGACTTTGACGTCATTATTCTGCCTCAACATTCAGGCTTCAACATATCAAACAAACACAACAAGGATCAGAAGGCGGGAGGAGGGTAGTGCCTAAACGGATATTCAACCTGTTCTGGCCTCTTCCTTTGTTTCTTCCAGCTCGTAATATAGGCCATCGCACCATATCCGTCTTACAAGCCGCAGGGCTAGTTCCATCTGCCACCTTTAGACAGATGTATAAACACTTTATAAGCAAAGTTTATTTAGGTAAGTGTAATATAAGAAACAGATAAAACACTACTGCGCAGGAATGGTGAACCAGTCTTTTATTAATACGCGGTAATTTAACCAATGAGACTGATGGTCATTACACCAATATCATCTTCATTGACTTGCTTGTCCTGACCATTTCGCTGCATACACAGATCGAATCGAAGGAAAGATAGACAAACAATATAACCAAACTGGACCATAGAATTGCCGATTTTTAAGGTATTGCATCTTGAGGTACGTGAGATGTATTTTGTTATGGCCTTCCGAAAATAATGGTTAGCATGAAGACGAGGCTTATATCACGCTGCTGATTATATGCTGACTACCACTTTGTCAATTTGAAATGCCAATGAACCGGCTCTCACAATTTTCTTGAAGACCGTCGTTAGCGAAAATGGTGATGTGTCCTCGATACAGCTTAACGGTATTTACGTTGAGATCAAAAGGATCAGTCTACTGCTTTTTTAAAATCATGCCTCAATTTTCTAAGTGGAAAGTTGCGCTTTAAAATGCCGCAACAGGTGCCAATTTGCTGTCCCTCCAAAACTGTTTTCCTTGCTTCTTCAAATTTGATATAATGAGCAGCTCAGATATTCGCGACATCTTGCAGATCGGCCCTTCGACAGAACAACCACAACGTAAATATAAACAAGCAGAAAAAAGACCTGGTAAATTCGCAAGCAATATGTTCTTTGAGAATTACCGATCTTTTTTGCTCAAGATTTCAAATATAATAGAGGGCATTAGCAGAGAATTATACTCCTTAATTGGTGGTGCTCCACCTGTCGCATTTGTCAAGCCAACTTTCAACTCGAAATTCCAAATCAAAAAGAAGGCAACACCTTGGTAAAGGGATAAGCCTTGTTGTAAATGAACTTGCAGCTTATATCCTCAATTGCACTTCCTCTCTTTTGTAGGGTATATCGATCTTTTACCAATCCTGCACGGTCCGATGATTTGATCCTCAAACACTGGGTTAAGTCAACTGAGGCTGATAATCAAGGTATTTTGCAACCAGTTGCAACCTTTTCTAGAAAGGAAGAAAAGAATGACTTATGTCTCTATTTATTATGATTGTTTTCATAAAAAAAAAGAGTATCCTTTCGCCAAATTCAACAAAGTTATCGATTTCATTAACTATACAGACGAGGAATACGAGAAATTTCTAACAGGTAAGATTGACACAATGGTGAGAAGCCAATGTGATAACACAATTAATCTTTAGATATCAATAGATAGTGACTGGAGCAAAGATGAAACAGATTATCTGTTCGAATTATGTAGAACGTACGATTTGCGATTCCCTGTCATAGAGGACAGATACAATTTCGAATCGAAACCTAGAACCATGGAGGATTTAAAGGATCGATATTATTCAGTGTGTCGGAAGTTAATTCTACAAGGAAAGGGCCCTTCGTCATCAGGAGAGTATATGACAGATAGACAAGCATTAGCACAACAATACGGCTTCGATAAAGCAAAGGAAGTAGAGAGGAAAAATGCGCTTATCATGCTTTTTAATCGAACAAAAGAACAAGTAGAAGAAGAAGAGGCACTTTTTGTGGAAGCAAAACGCATTGAAATGAACGAAGCTAGACTATCAAAGGAAAGAGAAAGCTTGTTAAACTCACTGCATTTAGAACAAATCCAACAAACGGCATCCACACCCAGCACACCGATCAATACAGCATCAGCTATGAATAGCCCAGGCGGAGCCATGTTATCTCTACCAGGAACTATTAACATTGCCAGCAGTTCAGCTGGTAATGGTCGTACAGAAGTAAAGGTAACTTAGAATGGATACTTTTTGTAAATTGCATTGATAGTCATTTGACTAATCAAATTTCTTGTATAGAAAAAGAAAAAGAGTGAAGAGAAGAAAAACCGAAAATTATCAAACAATACAGTTCCAGAAGGTAAAAGTGCAGAGTTTTTTGTTCATACTAGTATCTCTTTTCTTTTTTCTTTTTTTTGTTGCTAATGATACCTTCCAAACAATAGTTGAAGTGCCTGAGCCCAAGAAGGAAAAGCTGACACCAGGCGTTTTCGTTCGAAGCCAGAAACTGCCAATTGTCAAGACTTCAATGCAACCGAGAGTCATCAAGGTGTTGGAAGAGTTGGGCATTGGTAAAATATAATACAATGAGTAAAATTTTTTCGCGTACTAACTTCCTTCATGCTAGGTCCCCGTCCTGTCATGTATTCGGCAGCAGTTTGTCAACGATTCGAAACATTACAAAATTCTATACTGACAATGTTTGAATTGAAAAAGGTGGTTGATAAGGTAGAGGTAGAACATAAAGTCAAAGTACAAAAAGGGGTAAGAGACAGCACACCAACAGGAAGGGTTAGTATTGGTCAACGGCCACAGAAACATGGTTTAAATAGACACGGAAACTGGTCAGCTACTTATCTCATTTGTTTAGAAACGTGCTGGAAGTACTGCTGGCTCAGCAAGTGGCAGAGAAAAGCGAAAGAAGTAAATTTTTCTTATACACATGGGTTACCTACAACGATTTGCAAGGTCTTTATATATTACTGCCAACTTCTTCAAACGACCATATACCATTCTTTTAAACAATAAATATACGCTGACAATTTAATTTTTTTCATTAATATCAGATTGGTTTACAACTTTTGTTCCTTATTAGCAGTAGTAGCTACACTTTGAAGCGGCCACTTGTAGTTTACATTAGAGCGATCATAACCATATTTTCTGATGAAAGGAACCAATTCAGCCGGGCCTCTTGAACCGTATTCGTATGGATAGAGGTGGATATCTTCATGACGTTCATCGATTTTGTGGAGTAAAGGGGTAAAAATCTTCCACGCAGCTTCCAATTCATCACTTCGAACAAAGTTGCTATGGTCATTTCGCAACACATCCAAAATCAGCGATTCGTATGCGTCCGGTATTGACATATCTGTATATCGATACTGATATGTTAAATCGAGTTCAGACTGGATTGTTTGATAAGAGAGCCCAGGCTGCTTGTTATTGAATTTAATGTAGACTGCTTCATCAGGCTGTACACGTAAAACAAGTTCATTGCGTGCTGCATTTTGATACAGTGAGCCTGCCACATTACGGAATTGTATTCGTACTTCTACTTTTGCCTCGTTCAATGCTTTTCCTGCCTTCAAAATGAATGGAACTCCCTCCCAACGCTCATTTTCAATAAATAATACTAGAGCAGCAAAAGTAGGCGTCAAGCTCTTTTTATTCTTGATTGTATCATCTTCGAGGTAGCCTGGCTTGCCGTTTGCGCCCACGTACTGTCCCAGCAATATGTTTTCCACGGTTACAGGGTGAATGCATTTCAATACCTTCACCTTTTCATCACGAATATCTTCTGCTTCCGTTGAGATAGGTCTCTCCATAGCAATGAGTGACAACACTTGTAGTAAATGGTTCTGCATCACATCACGAATAATACCAAATCCGTCAAAGTAGCCTCCACGACCTTCGGTACCAAATGGTTCCTTGAAAGTAATCTGTACATTGTCGATATTCACGCGACTCCATACTTGCGAGAAGAAGACGTTTGCGAATCGTACCATCAATACATTTTTAACCATTTCTTTTCCAAGATAATGGTCAATACGGAACGTCTACAGCACATCATAAGGATATTTAGAACACAAAAGTCACGTTGTAAAGTAAACTACACATAACGTATGTATACCTCTCTCTCTGTAAAACAGTTGGCCAATGCCTTCGCGAGGACAGCTGAAGATTCACTGTCTTTACCGAATGGTTTTTCAATGACAATACGATTTAATCCTTCTCTAGCATATACATTTTTCTTCAGGCCTTGTGCAACCGGAATAAACACAGATGGTGGTAAAGCCATATAGAACATTCGGTGTCTGTTGCCTACTTCAATTTTGCGTTCTTTTTCGCTCTTTCGAATCAATTCATTCAAGTTCGCAAATCCTTCATCTTGATCATATTGACCAGAAACATACGTCAGTATATTTTTAAATTCATCCAGCTGTGTTTCCAAGCCTTTTGCTTTTATGTACTGAGTAACACGTTTAACAAATTCTTCATGGTCCATTTGTGTACGAGCATAACCAAAAATCTTTGTCTTCGCTGGTAAAAAGCCATTTTTAAAAAGACCGAAAAGTGCAGGGAAAGTCTTTTTCTTGGCCAAGTCGCCAGAAGCACCCAGGACTGTCAAAGCATGAGAGATTAGAAAGATAGGGAGTCCGTCAACATATATTGATACTGATACTTACCAACAATAGTGATAGAACCGTGAAGTTCTTCGCATACCTGCTTTTGCATTTGCTTGATAGGATCCATGCTATGTGACAACTTTACAAGTTACAGAGAAAAGCTTTCAGAAGAAAGAAGTATTAAAGAAAAACGCAACTAATAATTCTGAGAGGAAATAGCCTCTTTTAAATCAAGAAAATGTGCAACCTGCAAACATTATGTAATTTTTTACTAAGGCTTTTGCACTTCGCCTTCCAAATATACACCCAAAGTACCACTCATGTATACCTAAAACCTAAAAAAATGCAATGGAAAAGACTCCGTACCTAGAACTGTTTTCATTCTGCAGAATTCTGATGGCTGAGTCAGCAGTTGAAAAATGCTTGATAAAAGATCCATAATACCTTTACCCTTCTAAATGATTTTATAGAATGCTTTATCATCAAATAATGAAAGCATGAGTGATACATTTTGGTAATTTTCCTCAACAGGAACCGAACTGTGATTGAAATTTCCGGGATGATGCCTTAGCTTTCATTGGGCTTGACTGCATGAATAATGCTTACTGATTCCGCTTAAAGTTCGAAACCACTTGTCTACTAATCAATTACTTTGCGCGTCACAAAAGAAGCTTTTCTCAACTTGTGTTTTACCTCACGCATCAATACATACTTATATATTGCTCCAGGAGTAGGCTTTATTCATTCTGGACCAGAAGCAAACTAACATTATGTTCCTAGAACAAATTTGCCCCGGGCAAGTCAATTCCCATCCTCAGGCACTCCATACTTTTGTGTTTGAAGATGACAGATTTATTGTAAATAATGTTTTTTCTACGATGACCTCTTCCAGCAATGAGTAACGTTTGTACAAACATTGAATAGGTTTATGCTACTGGCTCAAAAGTAGTTATCTATATTGATCCTGACAATCTTGCACAAGTCATTACTGCTTCTTCTTTATTCACTGAACAACAACCTTTTGTGCCTATCACTGCAGTCTGTGGAAATAGTAAAACTGGGGAAGTAAGCATAATAAGGAAACCGATAAACTCCACCAAATTTTGAGCCCTTACAATTCTTAATAGATAGCAGTTTCGTATTCGAACGAAATAGCTGTTTTAAAGCCATTTAAGCAAGAAAATGGAATCAAATGGGTGTTAAGCACAATACTAGACAGTTCTTGTCTCGTAACATGCTTAGATTGGAGTCTTCACAGTAAATTTTGATAGATACCGATGGAAATTAGGATATGCTAAGCTTATGACTTTTGTTGCCATTGTGTAGACTTTTTATTATGTGCTGGAGAAGAAATACTATTATTCAGCTATAATGATGCGATGAATAGTTGGAACAAAATATTTAAAAGAAAACCTGCCACAAATATTGTATTGGCAAAATTTGAACCTCAATCCAATGTTTTCGCAACGATAGGAAAAGTAGGTTTCATCGTACACTCATATATTGCGTGTATCATGCGTACATAGAGCCCTTATTTAACTGACTGATTTTAAAAGTTTGATCGGCAAGTGACAGTATGGTATCCAAATCACGACGGTAACGATGACTGTATCAACTATAATTTCACTTTAATTTCACATCCAAAATATGTTACACATTTTGATTGGAGGACATCACCAAGTAATAGCAAACATAAAAGTGATTATGCGCTTTTCACAATGGCACGAGACGGCATTGGACGCTTCTGGACACCCATTGATACAGCCCAGCCTCATTTACTGTATATGTGTGCTGTTATAGATTCCAATCAGTCTCTTGTTACGAGTGAAAGAGAAACTCAGCAGTTTACTTCTGCGGATACACATAATGATTGCGATACTGAACATTACCATGAAGAAACAGAGTTTTCTCTTATACATTATATAAACTGTGATGAATTATTAAACGCAGTTGCAGTTAACTTCAAGTCACACTCGAGGCATGAAAAGTTCGATCAAAAGGTTGAACGTATAAGAGAACGCATCAAAGATACCCCAGACTTTTTATTCCGTGTACAAACTGATGGATCACTTACATTGTGGGGAATACAGCATTTAAATACATATCCGAGAAGAATTCCACGAGTGTTCGTGGTCTTGCGGGTAGATAGAGCAATTGACCCAACGGATACCATTTACTTTCAAAATCCCATTCATATTTTTCATGATTACCGACATATCCAATCCACGTGTAAATATACAATAAAGTGTTTAACATTCAAAGAAGTCTTGTTGCTAACCGATATGATTGTAGCTACTGTGAAGTCGGTTGAGCTGTCCATGCTTGCAAAAAATATATACGGACAGGTTAGATGCTATAGCCTTAATTTAATCGACTTCCTTGATACAACTAGTTTTTCGCCGAAGCTACATTTAAAGTACACCTGGTTAGGTCACCAACACTCAATATCTGCAATTTACCAAACTCAGAGAAACAGATTTTCTACGATTGGTGTTGATGGGCAGATCAATGTCTGGAAATATGAGTTAAGAGAAGTATGTCTATCAGAACATTTATACCATCGAAAATGTACCCTTTAACTCACAGTTTGAACAGACTTGCGGGAAAATGACAACTCAACTTCATTTAGATTGCTCATTATTCGCGAAAGCACAGAAAATACTAGCTGTTCCGGTCGATAAAGGTAACGAGAAGAGTTACTCTACATAAAGTTCTTCTTTTGCTAATGTAAACAAAATGCAGAAAAATACGTAGCTGTATATGATGGTGATTCTTTGCGGTTATATGAGTTTGATAAAAAAGATTGTCATTTGCATCAAAGTAAAATATGCGAGGGTTACGACAATATTAGTGAAATGATATCACTCCATGTTTTCAACATAGAAGAGGACCCTCTCACGAAAGAAAGATCTTTTCTGTTAATTGGAGTCGCTCGGCGACAAATTATCACTTGGCATCTTTCTTCAGTAAATAATCATCTGCATATTACATATCGCGGCTTTCAAGAGATGCAATGGGAAAAATCTCCTCACCTTGTTCAGTCAGCCGCTGAATGGACAACGAACACAGCTTCAAGATTATTTCAACAATTATCACAACCTAAGCGAGTTGTTCTGACAGTATCTTTCGACACTCAAATTATTTTTTACAATCTAAATTTGGAGAAGACTGAAATACAATGGGACGAGCTTTATAGACTAGACGTCTCCTCTTCTGTATCAGAAATAACACTAGTAAAGTGTGCACCGAATGTGATAGCCGTAGCTTTTGGAAAGACTAGGCAAAAACTATCTATTTTTGCAGCAATGCGATCGGGTCTGCCCCCGCGACTTATCAAAACTTTCAATTTCGAGTAAGCTCAACTTTTAGTATAAATTATAGAAATAAGGGGAGAATGTGAAGTATCGTTACTGATATATTCATACGTAGAGAACCGATTCGCGATGTTGCTTGGAATTTAACATCTGATGCACAATATTTACTTGCTATAGCTTTTCCCAATAAAGTCTGTATATATGGACAAAAGAGAGTACGTAAATTAGTAACTGAGGATGATACATGGGCTTGCTATACACAATTTAGCATCGATTCGTAAGATATTATAGACCATAATTCTTGTATCAATCAAAGTGTTTAACTATATTATTTAGGCCTGACACCATTACGGCTTTGGCTTGGGTAGACTGTGGTGTTCTGTCTGTTATATCCGGGAACCAGATTAGGTGTTACCTAAAATGGTTATCAGAAGGAGATAAAATTAATGAAGGTGAGTCGTGTACATTGATGATGAGGATTCGAAGAATATATATACTGACCTCGATATTAGATGTTCTTCGTAATAAGGACGACAACAATTTAAAGCCCATGTCCAGTATATTCGATATATCTAATGAGATGAATGGTCCGCTACCATTTTATCATCCCAGACATTTGTTTCATTATTTAATGTGGGGCAAAATAGGTTTCATTCATTGCATTCTACGCTCGTTACATAAATTCTTCAAACAATTCATTGATGAAGAAGATAGGGTTGTTAACGAAGTCCCGACTATTCCGCTAAAGAAGCTGTTGAAATTACAAAAGGTTTAACTTGCTTTACAAACGTTTCAAATACAGAAAGGTTGTTATCTAACGTTCAACTAATTTTAGGATACTAAGCATACAAATGACAGCCAACAATATGATGCATTATTTGATATGGAGGATCAGATGAGTGATAGTACCACGAAGATGTAACCAGCAATCGAGTAAAGCTTCTTATTAGCGAAGATCTAACTTTATTATCTTATAGAGATGTCGATGATGACGATAATATTAATTCGATACGTCTTATGACTGCGAACGAAATGAAAAACCTCATCTATAGTTTAGAAAAAAGAGCATTGCCTGGTTTATCCAAAAGTGAGAGATTGCAGCTTATAGCATTGATTGATACAATTATTGCGGTAATAAGATATCTACAAACATATTTCAAATGTCAGATCTGATAAGGTAATTTGTTATAGATTACAAACCAGGGAGAATCGTTGGACGAAAATGGTGTCCGTTTCAGAACTATCGTAGAAAATCATTTTCACCTCAAGAAAACTTTATCAGAAGCGGAAACTACTAAAGGCTTACAATCTGGGGATTATATCTGGGCCTTCCATAGTCAATCCCAAGATTTGTTATTAGATAGATGCCGCCAATTATGTGATGGCAAGTTTGTATGGGAGGATGCTCGTGCATTGGGTATCTTCATGTGGCTTCATAAGATAGACGTTGTGGTAAGAAAGGGGCGTCTTATTGAGCCTTAATCGTGCAGAAGAATAGCTAACCAGCTTTTCTCATTGCAAATCGATAACGCTGATTATAGAGAGAGCAAATGACAGTTATTGCTAGAAACATATATTTGTCAAAGGCTGATTTCAGAGACCCTGTTGACTGCACATTGTATTACTTTGCTCTTCGTAAAAAACAAGTAGTTCAGACGTTGTGGAATACAGCCTCCTACCACAAGGAGCAACTAGCTATGAAGAAATTCCTAGCTAATGATTTTAATGAACCTCGATGGCAAAGGGCCGCCTCAAAAAATGCTTTTGCTTTGCTAGGGAAACAAAGATTCGGTAAAAAAAAAACCAAAAAGTACCACATTTTGGTTATTTTTCCTTTATCTCAATCTAACATTGAATTTCACATTAATAGAATACGCTGCAGCGTTCTTCTTATTAGCAGATAAGCTTGGAGATGCTGTTAATGTTATTATCAAAAATGTCAAAGATTATCAGTTAGCAATTGCAATTTGCCGTGTCTATGATGGTGAGTTTTCAGCCTCAAATTACTGACATAGTCGAGCCACAACACTTATGTTTTTTTTCCACAGGTGATGATAGTCCAATTTTAAAAGAATTGCTGCAGAATACAGTTCTACCCCTAGCTATGGAAACAAACGATCGCTGGCTGGCCAGTATGGCGCTGTGGTTATTAAACAAACAGGACAAAGCAATTCGAGCAGTAGTAGACTCTATAAGCAACATTTCAGAAGATAGCACCGCCAGTCCGGACGAAGCAACAAACGTAGTTGTTCACGATCCCAATGCCTTCATTTTGTATAATTTTTTAAAGAAAAACTCTCTGTATGAGCAATCCGGCTGGTCGTATGCTCTTGAATACGAATTCTCCCTGCAGGTCGCACGAGCTTACGAGCGACTAGGGTGCCCTTTACTGGGACTCTATATTCTAACAGAATTTTACATGCATCCACCAAGTATCAAAAGCGAATATGTAAATAGTAATACAGATGGTAATGATAATGGCGATAACACAAAATTGCATAGAGCCGAGGATTTGTTCTCTTCGTCAGTACAATCTCCTACAGCAGTTGCATCCAATTTTTTTACTGAAGAACCATTAAAACGACCATCCTATGCTACAGATTTGTTTGCGGATGATAGAGATATTTTTTCATCGCTTAAACCATCCTTTTCTCAGAATCTTTTTGATGACGAAGAAGATGATATTTTTGCTACTGTAAAAAAGTCTTCCGTTTCAGATGACATTTTCGCAAATGAAGACGGCAATCAACAAGAGGAAAGCAGTAGTATAAGCTTAGCTGAGGATAATTTTGAGCGTGAAGATGATGGCTTGGATAGCTACAAAGCATTATTAGTCATACGAATTTTACAGGTATGTGAAAACCTACCAGAAATGAATAGCATTTGCACTATTATACTGATTCAATGAAAAAACAAAAGACATTTTTCAATGCGGCTTCAGCTATTTACAATAGTTTGCAAGAGCCTGATAATGCGTATGAAATCAATTATAGATCACATTTCTTGTTGAATCGTGAGACTCTACTGGAACTAGGAAGTTCTGTTGACATCCCTCCAACTGTTTTTTCACGACTATTGACAGAAAAGAGCATTGAAACAGATGTGTTCCCCTTATATCTTCGCATTTTAGATCAAAGTGTACCACCACATTTTGATGTGCATCACTTTCTCCGAACGTTCAAGGTGGGATGCTTCGAAGTGAATGAGGTCGCTTTAATGGCACAAGAGTTCAATTATGCAACATTGATTTTTGTTGAAAGATGGACTTTGTAAGATCTTAAGCAGTCGGATTAAAGAATTATTGAGCAGTAGAACTAATAGTGCTATTCATTGCAGGCAAGTTATCAAGACATTTTCAATCTGGAACAGATTACGCAACCAGTATTGTAATCCTGAATCCGCAGCTTTTACTACTCGTCAAATTGCGCTTACAACCTACCTGAGTAATATTCTGATTACTTTGAAAGAACGTCAATATGAGAGCAGCTGGCCATTTTTATACCATCTAAAAGGATTCCTCGAAGCAGTGGGTAATAAAAATGGTGATTCATTACTGTCAAGTTGCTTGAATCAGCTGCTTAATACAGAAATTAAGATGGTAAATCTGAGGGCCTCAGTAATTTATTGAATTTATACTTAAAAGCGTTTTTGGATTACTTTTCTTTAGGCTGATATAGCTCCTGATGAATGCGAAGGCATTTCCGATGGAAGCCTTTTCGGTTATGATATGAGCGAGGAAGTGTACAGACCTTTAATCGACTCACAAGATAAGTCGGTTGGAGCCAATATTTTAGAGTTGGCTTCCATTAACTATATCTTGTCTGTAATTGAGCATGCTATGCAATGCCAGGGCAAACATAGCACTCTTAGCGGTAAGTAACAGTTTTGGTCTATTTATATTAGTACTCCTACTAATCTCAGCTTTGATAAAGAACGATTATCCGACTTTATATGGACAACGTTGCTTGATCCTGTTGCCTATAGGGCCTACATATTGAGGGAAACAATAAAGAAGCAATTAGAAAACGATATTTCCTACCGTAAGTCGAAGACGCGTAATTTTTTTTTTCTTTTTATTTCAATACTAACATTGGCAACCTTCCAGGCAATATGATCAGGCATTTCAATACACTCCGACAGAAGAAGTTCTGGCATTCCCTCAAAAAGCTGAGCTCATTTGATAAACTATTACCGTTCGCTAGCTCAACAGTGAGTCTCATATCAAAAATGAGAATGTCAATGACTATACTGTCTGACTTTCTTTTTTTTTACCATAGCCATTCAACATTAACATCTTATCCGAAGAGCAACCTGAACATTTCCGTAGCTTATTTTACTCGTCCAGTACGGTTTATGCTTTTTGCACAAACTTGGTAAGTTGCTTTCTTTTATGTGAAGAGTTGACGAAGTTATTAACTATTTTATTAGATCTCAAAAAATATGATGGCGGTTTGCCTTCGCTCTGAAATTCAAGAAATCGACATATCCAAAGCAAGCAATTGCGTCGCTCAGGTCAGCATTTTTATTGTAACAGGTCTATTGTTGGAGAAGCATCACCTACTCATGCTGTGCCTTCCTTTTTCTGTTTAGCCGCTAGCAAGAATTAGATCAGCTTCGTCTAATAGGCTAAGCCAAGAGACTCACATTGACAGTTACCCTGATACCGAAGAGGATGATACTGACATGTCAGACAATGATCAAGAATACATAAGTACGACTACCATAAAACAAACAAATCGGAAGCAGTTTCCTACGGCTAGGTCAGCCAAGGTATCTGGTAATTCAAGCCCACTCGTATCTCCGGCTGGTAGCCGTACTTTTGATGAGCATGTACAAAGAGTTCCTCAAACACTAAATATTGAGCATCTTCATGAGACTTTACGGAAATCATTGACAAGAGCATCAGATGGTTCAAAAACACCTACTTCAGCCAGTCCTGCACTTATGGATAGTACCGAGAGGGAAAGAATGGTCAGTACCTAATTTTCAATAGCTTCTCATATTAGACTAAATAGCAGCTTTCTTTTTGGGTAAAACAACAGATAATGATGAAACGCCCAATTTCGACAACATGCATTGAAGCACATCCCCAATACCCATTCTGTATGCTTGAATAAGCACAGTTTTTATTTGGAAGTTGGCCACTAACGTAATTGCCTTTATTTTTACTGAATTAGATATTACTGGATGTGAAACTAATAACGGCGGCCCAAGTGCTATATTATGGCAGTTTGGCCAAGAAAAAGAAATTGCTGCTTATTATGGCACTCAAGGAAAAACAACAAAGTAAGTCAGGCTATGTATATTCTTGATATTCTTATTGATAATTGATTTTCTTCTCTTGCTGTAACTTTAGAATTCATTTCGATCAGTTTGGGCAGAAGTTTGGCGCAGGTGATACTGCCGGCAATTTTTATTTATGGCGCTTTGACGCCCATGCTCATTCTAATAAAGCGTATTATGTAAGGAAGTTGCCCATCAGTTGTTTATGGTTTCAGCTTCTTTCTAACAAAATCCAATGTATTCTTAGACATTGAACTGCCATTCCAAGGCAACAAGAGACTTCACGTTCATTGGTTCGAGCAGTTTGGTAGCAACCGCTGGTACATCGGTGACAATGGCTAGAAAGTAAGTTCTCAAATGTGATGTACTATTCTATCAAATTTTACACAGAACTAATCAGCTTTGAAAGGCATAATCATGTTTGTCTATGGGATACCTTAATGCCCGAATCGAAAGCTTTAATATGTGGTAAGCATTAATTGCAAGTCTTCTTGTTTCGAGCAATCCATGAATTTATACAACGTAAAATAAACTGTTCTTATTTCAAGCTTTACCGGGACATGACCGCGGGGCATACGTTATTGGGTACGAACCAAACAATCAGCTACTGTTTTCCGGAGGCAAAAGAGGAGAAATAGGTAAATACAATGGCGTACCTTGTCAATGTTGGAATAGCAGTCAGCTCATAAAATACCTAATTTGTTAGTCGTTTCCGACTTGCGGCAGCGCACAATGATGCATACATTTTCGGCTCATCATTCTCGAATTCGTTCAATTACAATCGATACGGAAAATAAAATGCTGATAACCGGATCAGTAGATGGGGAGTTGAAGGTAATTACTTTTGACGCCAGGTATTTGTTTTATTTGTCATATTCTGATTCAGTTGGTTCTGTAAACAACAGATCTGGGACGTCAATACATATAAACTTTGCAAGACATATGAAATTCAGCCTAGAAATCGTTTTTTGGCCCCTACATTTAACAGAATTCCAGTAAGTATTACTGTTGCGAAACCAACGCGGACGAACTCCAAGGCTAATATTTCTGTTGAAACTAGTTAAAAGCCTTTGGTGTCACTCAAATACAGATCATGGATAATGATGATGGGATATATACTTCAGGGCCGAGTGGTATTATTAAATGCGAACGATATTTGCAAGAAGACAGTTAAATAATGATGATGAAACAATAAAGACATAATAAAAGACCTGAAAAATTTATTAATGGTCGCAGTGAATGGATCGTTTGATATCATAAAATAAAAGAGGAAAAGAATCGAAAGAAGAGCTCAGCAAACGTCAACTTCTGGCGCTTTATCGCAAAACTTCCTACTTCAGCAGTACTTAAGCCCATAAGTCAAAAAGAAAAAAAAAAAACCCTAGTTATCATTATATTGTGTAGATTTCATTATCGTCAAATGATTGTTTAGCTTAGGACAACCTAGCATTGTAAAACCAATCAACCAGTTCAAGTCATTTGATAGTGCAACTATCAATGGAGAAACATATCAATAGGTTACTTGCAGATTGCCAATTGATTTCACATTTCCAAGCCCCATATTTCCAGTCCAACGCATCTAAAGTTCGGTTCTAAAGTCAAGCATTCATTATCAAACGTAGGGCAACTGTCGCTATAACCTTGGTCCAGGCTTGAATTTAACCATAGGCCAAAAATGCCCTTACTGTTCTCAAGTGAAGTTAATAAGGAACATGATGGAAAGGAATAATGGGTATAGGATATACATACCCTCCGCCCAAAGCGATAAAATTGAGGTTTGACAACATCATGTAATCATTTTTCCCGGTCCACTTGAAGCATTTAATCTCATGCACTGATTCTTTCTCAGCATCACCCTTGGAGTTTGTATTCCATAAAAAGCTACAAAGGTAATTTATTGCATCAGTAAGTGGATTATATTAGCCACTACGCGATGGAGATTGCTTTTACTATACCATTCACCTGTACCATAATAGTGCGATGTGGGTATAAAAGGATCGCTTAAATAAGCGCCAAACAGCTAAAGATTACCATGAATGTGAGGATTTGAAACGTTCGAACGGTCAACTAAGACATGTGCAAAGGATTGAAAAGAATATGCATGTATACCTGTTCATCTATGTCTTTTATAATCATCACACATGGGCCTTCATAACCCTTCATGCATGAAAATAAAGTTCCTAAACTTGTTCCATGCTGTTCGAGACTATATAGCAATTTCCATGTGCTAAATATCTTGTACCTTTGCGGTATGTAGAAACGAATCTGGAACTGACTGGTTAATGTATTGGGCTCTCAAAAACTTGACTTGAAAGACGGAAACCTTCCAACTTACCATTTCTGCAATGTTCTTGGTCATTATAGCATTTGTATCATGACTACGTAGGCTCAAGATCAATGGTGGCATATCATCAGACATTTCTGTGATTGTTCTTGTAGGCATTGCTGCAGATTTCAGACTAGCAATGACAAGCGCATCCATAGCTGCTGATGATGTTGTTCTGTTATGTTTTTTGTTCAATTTTTTCGCACAACCTTCATTTGCGATAGTCTTTTGTTCAGTCATCGCTTCATGCGAAGCAGTAGTAATGATTGTATTTTGCTTGGTAGTGTTCGTCGTGAGTTGCTGTTGAAAATAATGTTCCCAATTAGAAGTAGGTTTACAGAAAGCAGTACTGGTGTCTCGATGGGACTCAGCATGTGAATGTTTTGTTATATCATTTGCGCAAGAACTACAATCGTCCTGTAATGCAGGTTGATAAGAAGAAATAACGGAGCTTTTTGTGATAGAAGTGGTGGATCGTGATTTATGTCCCAAGCGTGGCCTTGAATGGTTTTCGTTTTTCAAACCTTCAATTCATAACAATGCTGTAATTAGCATAAACCGTTTTTTTTTTTTTTTTTTTTTTTTGCACTTGGAACGTTGATTGGGTTAATGAATTAATGAATTTATGGATACCTAATAGTTTGCTTAGAAAACGTGTTATAGAAAAATCTTCGTTATCTTTACTATAATTGTTATTTTCGAGAATAGACCGATATAATGGAAGCAGACGTTCCTTAGTACCGATATGATGATTATGATTATGGTGAAGGTGATATTGCAGATTATGGTGAAAATAGTGATGATGATGATGGTGTTGATGGTTATGACAGTGGTATGAATGATGAGGATATCGGTGATGATGATGGCCATGATGATGATGATGATGATGATGATGATGGTGATGATGTATTGGTGTATTAGTACCACTGATAGAACTTGGTTTTCTCATATTATATGTCTGTTAAAGATAAAGAATTGTAAAGTAAAAAAGAGAGAAAGAAGAAATCATTTTCATTTTTGCAGGAACCAACAAAAAAATTCCTACTTCTCCCCTATTTCATAATATGAAAACTTATTGGTTTTCCCACTTTACATTTACAATATTGCATGCATAAAATATACTGCCCCTTTCCAGTGTTTCTTTTCTAGATATACAAACAGACAATTCTATTACTTTTGGCTGTACACCCCTATTCAGCTATTTCATTTTATCAGATTTGATTGTGCATATGATTTTAAGAATGAAACATTTGCGTTCTTTAGAGTTTAGAGCTTCTTTTATTCGATGCAGACTAACCAAGTATAAGTTTTTATTGACAATCATCCACTGCTTTATAGGTCTTTATTTGTTACACATTGAGCCTAAAGTACGGGAAGAAACTGTACTTACATGTTTGTATAATTTCTACGTTTTAAGGAACCGGACACATCATCTGGTTGTGAATCTTCGACGCATACATATCATGAACTAGAGTAGAACATACATACCACGTTCTCAAAGGCAATTATCAGATCTCTACAGACTGTGACATACTGCATGCCATACATATTTTACCGTAATTTTGATTATGATTTACTTCAAATGTCAGACCTTCCTTGATAAAATTAAGCAAGTCAAATTCGATTCATTTTAATCTTCACGCAAGGAAATTAAAGAGCGAGATATTGTGTTGTAACTATCAATCAACTGTTTGAGTGGAGGGAAATGAAAAATTGGTTCGTAAAGATTGATATGTTAAGTCTTTAAGTTGACCACCTGCTATCAGACTATTATTCCATCCAGGACTGTTCCCACGATTGTTATCGCAAAAAGTATGTCTACATCAACATTCCATATTGTTCTGAATATACAACATGATGACTAACGATCATATACAGTCTCTTTTATCGGTAATATATTCTTGACCTAGGCAAACACGACTTTTGCAAAACTTACGCAAGCATTAATGAAGATATACAGAAGATGAAATAAAAGAGAAAACGCTTGTCAACTTCATATTGCGTTGTTAGCAGGAGAAACTGAGCGTCGTTGTCTGCTTATTACTAATATCAATGTTAACCATACAGTTGGACTTATTCGTTCATAGGTTTTAATCTAGATATATTTTATATAAAGCCACTCACATAGGTATACTGTATGTATTTTGTATGGTGAAGTTGCAGTGCTTTAATTAATATCTCTCTGCTTTAATTTATATAAACACGTTCTTATGTTGTTTGTAAATAGTAAGCAAAGACATTGTAAGCAAAGACCAAAAAGACATCTGTCGACTTTTATTATGGATTACTTTTATTTTTAAGGCAAAGCGTTTATAGCGAAGAATAGCACTTCTTTACGATCCAATGGCTGACACAGAAAAGGGGAACCATAACAGACGGGCTCAGACGGGCTGCAAGTGCTATAGGAATAAAGACCAACCAGAAGCAGACAGCATTGCACCATTACATTTCAACTTTAGTGCATTTATTGTAACTGAGAGCGCAGATTTCTATTTAAACGTTTACGGGCCTTAAACAGACGCCTAAGTTTAACTAAAACGTACGCAAAAAATACCATGGTACAGTAGTAAATGACAACGTTGAAGTCCATTGTGTGATGGGTAACTGTTAAGTGGGTGCAGGGATTATGATTATTAAATTTGATTTATGTCCTCAAATTAACCTCTTCTGCAGTTGGTAGAAAATCAGACATCAATCGAGAGAGGAAATGACTTAAGAAGAGCTAAGCTGGTTATTTTTCTTATACATTCTAGAGAAGTATACGCTCATTGTTGCCGTTCTAACATCCGACAATGTCATTTAGAACAATAATTTTATTGATCACGCTGAACTCACGAAATATGATGTTCTCGAACGTCCATACAACTTTGCGAAATATAGGAGGTTTCGAGTTGTAAGAAACTTATATAATTCAATGAGCACTTTGAGTTGTCTCATTATCATGTACAGTTTCAGCTCTGAATAGATTTGTCACTCTCTCTTATCCACACAATGAGCAGCTGAGTTCGTTGGATTTTCCTACCCTGAATTTGCCATTAAACTGGAAGAAGCTATTTTCAATATTCTTTTTGAACCTTTTGTCCTACTGTTGAACTAAAAAAGGCCAAAAATATGTCTTTGAAAAATGGATTATGCACGGAAGAACATGAACCACTCATTGTTTCTAAGCGTAAAGATAAATGGAGATGGCTGATCTTATTCGCGTTCTCTACTTTTTCTTTTTCTAATGCTCTAATGTTTGTACCTTTTTTTTCTTTACAACAAATCAGAGATAAAGACCCGTTCATTTCTCCGCTTCCAGGCAATCTGAATAAACTCTTTCTTTTAACCATGTTTATAGGTGGATCACTTTTGCACCATGCATTTACATCTTTGTCGAGTATTTTTTTGGAAAGCCTGACTCAGTTACCATCAATGCTATCAATTGCTTGTCATCGGTCTATATGCTTCTTTACCCTCTTCTCATTCAGTTCACTTTCAAACATTTCGAAGATCGGTTAAATGATCGGCCTGGTGCTGGGCTGCAACGAGGTATCACTATTGGAGCTATATTAAACGCTATTGCCGGCATTGTGCGATGGCTAGGTGCTTTACCATCCATCAATGGCTTTTGTATATTATTCACTGGGCAAACTATTGCCGCAATAGGTATGACCATTGCTGCCTATGTCCGTAATGATGTCTATTGTTTTTCTAACGTATATGTTAGCACAAGCATTTATGCTGGCTATACCTCCGCGGCTAGCTGTTACATGGTTTCCAGAGAATGAAATCAATATGGCCACGTCCATAGCTGCATCAGCTAATAATTTAGGGATTGCATTCGGATGCGCTTTGACGCCTTTGTTGGTTAAAGAAGCCTCCTCCGAAACAGACATACCGTTTCTATTGCTCCTGCAGGTTGTTTAATTGATCGATGAATAACGACACGATCTTTCATATTTTAATACTTCTTAATTACGTCTACAGGCAGTCTTGTGCGGAAGCGTGCTTATTTTGATATGGATTGCTTTCCAAAAGCCAGCACCTTATTATAGATGGTATGCCATAGATTTAAGCCGAGTCTACGGGCAACAGGTAGATCTTTGAATAGGCTGTTTCTACATCGCTAATATCCACTATTAGTACTTTAGTCGATATTGATTCTCCCGTGAAATCGTCCAAATTGTGGAAACAGGGCTCCTTTATTCATATGATTTTATCTTATAGCATCATCATGGCTGCTCAATGTGCTATTATCACTCTGCTTGCTCAAATTCTAATTCCGCCTCTGGGTGCCATGATCGATGAGAAACATGTCGGGATGTTGGGCACGCTAATGCTGTTTGTGGGGTTTCCTGCAAGTATATGTGTTGGTATATACTTGGACCGGACATTAGAATACAGGAAAACATGTAATATTCTCTCAATGATGGCCGCCCTCAGCACATTAGGCTTATCTTTGTCAATTGAGTTCGATTCGCTGATAGGAATTGTTCTGTCATGTGTCTGCTTTGGACTGTCATCTTACGGTAAAAATGGCAGTCGCATAACAATTTTTTTGCAATGCTTAACCCTGTAACTAACCCAACTATTTGGTTAACTCTTTACTGTCGATAGCCATCGCACCAGCTCTTTTCCAATACGCAGGCGAGCTATTTTATCCTATCAGTGAGATTATACCTTCCAGCTACATGTTCACCATTGGGAATACAGGAGGTGTTGTATTTGTCGCTGTTATGGGATGGAGTGAAAACATGGCAGTAAAGTTTTCCATGCGAAAACCAATGATATGCCTTACTGTTGCACTATTTATTAGTGTGCATTTTATGTATCGTGTTCATGGTTCCTTGAAAAGAAGCATGCGTTATCAATCTTAGTGCACAATATCATTCCCTAATTCATACCTTACTAATCAACTACTATTTGCCAAATAAACTATAAGAGTGATATCATATCGCTCGGAAATACGGATGGGATCTTCCTTCTTCCGTCTTTCAACAGGCAAAAAACGCCACATGTCTTTATAATTGAAGCAAATTCCTACTCATAATACGAGTTCTTGTTTGTGTTCAAACCGTAACATTTATGCGATAAATAAGAGAGTAATCGACGCTCAAAGGTTGATTTGCAGTCCGACATTACTCATCTGGAGTGGAAATCATATACGGGAAAAGGCATCCAGGAAGTGCGGGAGTTGTGCCCGAGCTATCAATGATCATCGTTTTAAATGCATTTCAGGCGCGATTCGCGACACAAATTGATGCCCTCAAAATTCAAGGTCAGTTGAATTCAAAAATTGTTTAGTCATACTAGAAAAAAAATATGGAGAAGGATAAAATGCCAACTTTTTTTTTTCTCCCTTCTAGCCATCAGCTTTCAAAAAGCCATCAAAAATTCATATCGCTGCATCCTTTTATCCTTACGCTGTATTTACAACAGATTGAAGAATGAGTTTCCAAACCATATTAAATAATTCAAGTAGGTTAGCACCAATGTATGAATTTGGTTATTACGGCTTTTTCTTCAACTAATATACATAATCTACGTTGTTGCCTAAGTCAAGTTATCTCAGAGAACTGTCTCTGCTGAACCTTTGATCCGTCGACTTTCTCAGCAAGGACGCTATATGAGCACAGCGAACCAAAATGTGAATAGGCCGTACGTATGAAACCGATAGTGCAAATACTCAAAGTGATACCAATAACGTGGAAGCATATAGTTGATATATGTAGCGTGTTGTAGTTTAAAGAGGAAGGGCACCTAGAAAGGGGATTTGTCAGGGAACACCTATTTTCGGCATATACATGTTATTGACTTCTTACTATTGTAGGCCTACTGCAGTCTTGTTAACCAATATGGGTGGTCCAGCCACCCTTGATGATGTACACAACTTCTTACACAACCTTTTCTCCGACAGAGACCTAATGCAATTACCATTTCAAAATTATCTGTCCAAGTTCATTGCATATAGACGTACACCAAAAATTAAGGAACAATACGCAGCTATAGGCGGTGGATCGCCTATTCTACATTGGACACGTAAACAAGGTCAAGCTATGGAAAAAATTCTGGATAAAATACGGCCCGAAACCGCACCTCATAAACATTATATTGCTTTCCGTTATGTTGAGCCTTACACTTCTACTGCCCTTGAACAAATGAAAGCTGACGGCGTTGAAAGAGCAGTAGTCTTTACACAATATCCTCAATATTCATGTTCCACGACAGGCAGCAGTCTCAATGAGCTTTATCGCGGCGTTTCGGAGATGGGTATGGATAAAAATGTCCGTTGGAGTATTATCGACCGATGGCCAACACATCCTGGATTCATTGAAGCAACTGCGAAGAAAATAGAGGCCAAAATGGCCGAGTATACTCCAGAAGAAAGAGAAACGGCCTTGATTATGTTTTCCGCTCATTCATTACCGATGTCTGTTGTCAACCGTGGTGATCCTTACCCAGCAGAAGTTGCGGCTACTGTAGATCACGTTATGAAACGACTAGATAATAAATACCCCCATAGGCTTTGCTGGCAATCACAAGTTGGTCCAATGCCTTGGTTGGGTCCACAGACCGTAGACGCCATTAGAGGGCTCGCAGCAAAAGGTCAAAAAAATGTTGTAGTCGTGCCTATTGCTTTTACTAGCGACCACATCGAAACACTATTTGAACTGGATCATGAATACGGCAAAGAAGCGAAAGAGTTGGGTATATCAGGTTGGAAGAGAGTCGATGCATTAAATGATGATGAGACTTTTACACAGGCCATGGCAGATATCGTGAAGGAACATTTAGACAAGAATGAAGTTACCAGTAATCAGTGGCCACTTCGTTGCCCAGATTGTGAATCTGACGTTTGTGAAGAAACTCGTGAATTCTTCACAGACAACAAAAGCTAACAAAGCCTACAACACATGTCAAGCAACCCATCACTGCATCGTTTTCTTTTTTTGTTTCATTGCGGAATTATACTTTCTTTTTAAGCAAGTATACAAAATTCATTACACACCTAACTCTTTATTGATAATTCTGTAAATTTATAAGAACCTTGTAATAAAAAGAATATTACTATGGTTTGTGAAAATGTTTGCCTAAGTGCTTTTTTGATAAGTTGCTTCGTTAAAATTCATCAACTTTGAAGACCCAACGACCGGTCTCGTCATCATAACTGACAAACTGAACGCCGCTCTTCTGCATCAACTTTTCTTTGAAAAATTTGAATCGTGGATGCTCAGGATCTGTTATAGGCGCACCTGTATCCTTATCGCTGGCGTAGCAGTTATGGATTGTTATCGTGGAAGGTACATTCAACTTGGTTCCCTTAGGAGGCTTTTGGTCTTGAACAGGGTAGACCACTACTTTTCTTTCTGAAATTACAATCATTTGTCCCATAATATCCTCCAACTCAATATCAGTCAAGTCGACAGGCTCGTCAAATCGCACTTCACCAAATCCTTTACGACCAACGACTAGGTTTTGCACTTGTTTTAAGGCCTCTTTGGGCATATTCTTCAACGTTTCTAAAGTGGGTGATATGTAATATCCATCTCTTTTCATGGCAATGGCGGAAGCCTTGCTGGTAGGAGTGACTGAAGTCTGCTCCGCATCATTATCAGCAGATCCAGAGTTGGAGGAAGTCGTAACGGTTGTTGTGGTGACAGTGGTTGCAGTAGTAGTTGTGGTTGTTGGAGAAGTGACGCCATTCTTACTGGAAAGTTGTTGAGTTGCTACATATTCAAGTTGAGGATTGAAGATGATTTTCTTTTTGTCTGATCTTTTTTTGTTCAAAAGAGCTTCAATGTCGGCCGTATGAACATTCTCATCGAAAACCAGCTTTTTGTTGGTTGGGCGTGGAGCGAATGCACCAGAACCAAGAACTGCATCATCGCTAACACCATCCAATGGAAGAGAAGAGCTTTTCTTCACATTGGATTTAGTGGAATGATTAAATGTGAATCCACGAAGTTTAATTTTAGATACCACACGAGGGGACATAGGGAAATGAGGAGTAGTGGCTTTACGGCTTGGCATAGTGGCTACTGCAGAAGGACCTGTTTTTCCACTGTCATTGAAGACAGCTTCGGTTCCAACCTTACTTACATCAAACAAAGGATTATTACCATATGGGTTTTTGTCGATAGTAGCAATTAAAGGCTGTTGTTGTTGCTGCTGGAGAGGGTTAGTGCCGAATGAAGTCAAACCACCTGTAGCGGGTAAAGTAAAGGTATTTCCAGGTTGCTGTTGTTGTTGACCGAAACCGCCGAAACCGCCGGTACCGGTACTACCCAAAGTATTACCACCTAAAGTACTGCCACCGAACAATCCACCACCGGTTGCAGGTTTCTGACCGAATAAGCTGCCAGCTGTACCAGTTGTATTATTTTGACCCGTACCAAAACCACCAAATCCGCCAGTAGTGCCTGTATTGGTAGTGCCGGTATTACCAAAGAAAGAAGTTGAAGGAGCAGCAGGCTTAGCAGCACCAAAAAGACCACCGCCAGTGCCGGCTGTATTGGCTTGACCGAAGCCACCAGTTGCATTATTCGTTGAAGAGCCAAATCCACCAAAACCAGTGGAAGGAGCTGTGGAATTGGTTGCTGTGGCACCAAAAGAGAACCCTGTGGTAGGCTTACTAGCAGCAGTAGCACCAAATCCACCTGTTGTTGCACCCGTACCAAAAGCTCCAGTAGCAGGAGTAGTTGTGGCGCCAAAACCACCAAAACCGCCAGTTGTTTGAGTGGCAGGCTTTTGCCCAAAACCACCAAATCCAGTATTTTGTTGTGCAGGTTGACCAAAAGCAGAAGATGTGTTGATCGTTTGGCCGAATCCACCAGTAGCAGGCTGACCAAAACCACCAGTATTAGTTGCAGGAGCAGGAGTACTACCTATAATTCCGATATAGGCAGTATAGGTGTATAATGTATTTTGATTAAAATTGAAAGAATTGTAAGTGAGCTGCAAGTGAAATACATATCATATTACTGCTGGCTATACAAAGGGTTTCTCACGACCACTTACCAAACGAAAAGGGCTTTGAGGCAGCTGCATTACCGAATGCTCCAGTTCCACCTGCTCCGAATGCACCGGCAGTTTGAGCTGCAGGTTGACCAAAGGCTGATGTACTTCCACCAAAAGCACTTGTACCTGCAACAGGTTGTCCAAAAGCGCTAGTAGTGTTTTGCTGACCGAAAAGACCACCAGTTGTGCCTGTAGCAGGCTGACCGAACGAACTGGTTTGAGGAGGTTGTCCAAATGCTGAGGTTGTATTAGTCGCGCCAAAAGCTGATGTAGTACCTGCAGGTTGACCAAAAGCACTTGTTTGGGCAGGTTGACCGAAAACAGAAGTGCCAGTTGAGCCAAAAGCTCCACCAGTAGTGCCACCAGCGGCAGCAGTCTTTCTACCTTGTTGATAATCTTGTAAACGAAGTTCTTCAAGTGAATAATTCTTGTATTGAGGCATCGCAGTGATTGTTTGGAAGAAGTTATTAACACCAGTAGCGATATCTCGATCTTGAGTGGGTGTGAAATCAGCAATAGCCGTACCTTGATTCATTCCACCTGTAGCGGCTGCAGGTTGCCCAAATGCTGATGTTGTGGTTGAACCCAATCCCCCAAATGCCGATTGCTGTTGTTGTTGAGGTTGACCAAAGGCAGATGTTGTATTGGTACTGCCAAAGGCACTGGTAGCAGGTCTTTGACCGAATAAACCACCTGTGTTTGTAGTTGTCGAACTTCCAAAGGCTGGGGTGGAAGATGAAGCTAACATAATTTAAACGGATTTTTAAGGGAGAAATAATGATAAAAGAATTGAAAAGTGTGAATCAGTATGTGTGTACAAAAGCAAAGACAGGGCAATCGACCATTTCGCAGCTTCAGACTACTGGAAAATCATCTTTTGATCGGTAGATAGTAAAAAAACTAGAATAATACTTACTAGATCCAAAACCTCCAAAGCCGGTAGATGTTTGGGCTATTCAAACAAAGATTTGAAAAGTCAGTTATATATTCAGTGCTGCTTTTAACATTTTCATTAGCAGTTTCGAAATAACATACTTTGACCAAATGCAGAAGGTTGGGTTGAACCGAATGCAGAGGGTCTGTTTTGTCCAAATGCAGATCCTGTTGCACCAAAGCCACCTATTAAGTCGTCAAGTCAAATTAGATCACTTCAAATTGTTTCAAAATGAATGAGCTAAAGTATTGCTTCTGCTTAGTTTTACCTGTCGTAGGGGTAGACCCAAAAGCTGATTGCTGTTGAGCTGGCTGACCAAAGGCACTTGTTGTGTTGGTTGTTCCGAAAGCACTGGGAGCTGATGTAGCTCCAAATCCTATTGAAATCGATTTGAATTAGCAAGCTGCATTTTTATCATCGGGCATATTGTTATGAAGTTAATACCTCCTCCAAAAGCATTTTGTTGTTGAGGTTGTTGTCCGAAGACAGACGTTGTAGGCTGTTGCTGTTGTTGACCAAAGCCTCCAGTATTTCCAAAAGTACTCTTTCCAAACATATTGTGTATCGAGACTCACTTATCAAGGGCCAGTTAGAAGAGAGAAAGTAAAGTCAAACGAGCTATAACAACTACACGCGTTGGAAAAGAAGTATGTTAATATCATAATGCTGGAAGAATGGAAAAAAAAATTGCTGCCGGAGTTTAGGAGGCATGGGACGACCGCAAAAATTTCTTTAATCAACTGCACCCCACTACCGTGCCGAGCCAACTATGAGCACTGACATTTGCACAGCCCAATACAAATGGTACATACACCATGAACTACCTCAATATAACGCAAAATATAAACCATGTGGTTGGAAATGTTCAGTTATTCAACTATGTTAAGCAACCTCAAATGAGCAGATTTGGTTGGTAAAACAGTAAATCAATCACAGCAATAAGTCGTCGGAGTGTCGAAATTGAAAACGAAGATAAGTGGGAGTCTGGAGACAAAAAGTAAGAAAGCATCTTTTCTTTTGTTGCTTTTGTGCCCTTATCGATTATGCTCGGTTCCGTTCCCAAAATTCCTGGTCAATTAATCATTGATACTGCTAAAATTTCACATTTGAAAGAAACCATAGCTACATTATTAGGTTTAAAGAGCTACAAGTGAATATAATATGCCAATTTCTTTGGTTGTTTATTTTGGACGTCTTGTAAATCAATCGTCTGATTCTATTGCAATCTTTATAGATTTCCAGGAGCACAGCCGATAAGTTTCGGTGCGAAACAGTTGGACGAGATTGAGCAGGAAGAGTAAAGTGAATTTCGCGATGAAACAGCTGATTTGACTTCTAGAATCTTCACAGTTGCATAATAACGCCTTTCCGTTTTTCTGGTTTCTTAAAAGTTTTTATGTCGCAGAGAAGTCCGATGGCGTACGATGTTTAGCATTACTGACATCGAACCAATATAAAGAGCCAGAGATATATCTTGTACGATACAATTATCAAGGATACAATATGTCTGTTTACTGACATTATCGTATTGGTACTGCTTTGCAGTTTGATAGAAAGAACAACTTTCACCTCGTCCGCAATTTCAGATTTCCGATTCCGAATGATCCCAACTACCATAAGTGTCTTAAAAACACGATTATTGATGGCGAGTTTGTTCTAGATAAAGAGGAAGACGGCTCAGTAAGTGCAAGTTCTGTTTACTATTCGTCTGAAGGCTTCTTTATTCATCAGAGAAGCTTCACTATTAGACACAATTACGATTTTTGTTATTTGATTGTTTATGTATCGAAAGCAAAGTACTGCTGAATAGAGCGCTTACATATCGCTTAGGAGTGAGTATCAACATGTGATATTCTCTGGTAAGAGTTTGAGAATTAACGAAAACGAGGATCTTTTGCAGTATTTAAACAACGATATTATCAAACCACATCAAGGTATGCTTAGAAAGTACCCAATTATGAAAGACAAACAACAATTTTCGTACGTTGATTTTTTTTAAAAAAAAAAAGTATTTGTATATGGAGCGACATTAACTCACACGAACATCAATTTACTAGGGTTCAGTTCAAGGAGCAACAATTTGCGCACCATTTGGACAGTATATTCAAAGAAGTTATACCCAATTTAAAGCATGGCAGCGACGGACTCATATTTACTTCAGTAAATGCACCTTATGTCATGGGCACTTGCAATAAAATGTAAAGAAAACAATGACATAAGAAAAGAGAAAACAAAAAAACAAAGGATGACCTCACAAACACAATTGGATTATGATCTTTAGGCTAAAATGGAAACCGCTCAATGAAAACTCCATTGATTTCAAAGTGAAGTTGGTTTTCCCCGGAACTAATATACAAGGGGTCAAAGATTATTCCAAAAAACCAAGAATTGACCTACTTGTATGGCAAGGCGGCAAAGACTATACCTATTTTAATGAGTTAGGCGTAACAGACGACGAGTGGAAAGAAAAATTTGGGGATAGCCCACGATATATGGATGGAAAGATCATAGAATGTAATTACGAACCAGAATTACAACAACAGCTTAATTTAAAGTCGCCTTGGCGGTTTATGAGATATAGGGACGATAAGGAGGATGGCAATCATCAAAAAACAGTTGATAATGTGCTACAAAGTATTCGAGATGCCGTAACGAAAGAAGAGTTAATAGAGCGTATACCGAGGATCAAAGAAGCAGCAGACAGACGAAAACGCAATAATGAACATAACAGCAATCTAGACGATAGACAAACGAAAAAAAGACGACAAGAATGATATCTATCTACTATCTTAATGTCCAATTAGTTCAGTGCTTATCGTAGAATTTAAAATAGAATGCATGCAAGTACAAGCAGAATGAGTTTATTTTAAATATATATTTCTTGATAGTCAATATCTATTATCAATCGAAATATCAAAAACCAATTTGTATGACAGAAATTTACAGAAATAGAGGATATGCATGTTCAAGGTAAAAAGGATATGCTTATTAATAATCGTCACCCTTGGAAACAATTTCCTTACAGGTGGGTCTTAATAAAATAGTATGCTCCAATTGAGCACTGTAACTACCCTTCGTATCAACGAGTGGCGGATAAGCAGTGACGACGCCTGCATCTACTAAATTTCTCAAGCCCATTAAATACTTCTCTTCACCTAAACGATCCAAATAACGTCTACAGAAGGGCAAAGTGCCAAAAGACTTATTGATGGTAGCTAATAAACTCTTAGCTCTTGCTAAACGCAAAGGCACGAATCCTGCATCTGCGTTCTTTGAGTAATGAGAGCATTCGCCATCTTCAATAACATAACCGCGACCAGTTGAGCAGAAAGTTTCAATAGCAATTTGTTCGCCTTCCTCTAACTTGGTTTCATCGCCGGAGTCTCTGACGATAGGTATTGTCTTACCAGCATGAACACGATATGGTTCGATTGAATGACCATTCAAATTACGGATAGGTTTAATATCATAGGTTTTACCATCCAATTCGATTTCGTAAGAATCATAGACTTCGTGTACAGCAGCACCAATATCACACAATCTAACATCAATACCGGCTTCTTTAATACCGGCATAAGTAGCTTCATTTGCAGCTTCTATTAACTTGTCGAACTTTGGGTTGAAATGCATGGTGAATGCAGAGTCAATAATACGACCATTGACATGAACGCCGAAATCAACTTTCATGACATCGTCATATTGTAAGACGGTTTTATCACCAGCGTTAGGTGTATAGTGGGCAGCACAATGGTTGATAGATAAACCAGTAGGGAAACCAATACCAGCTTCCATACCGTTTTCCTCCACCAGAGCACGAGTGGCGTTTTCAATCATTTCTGCAATTTCAGTGGTAGTCATGCCGGGCTTTATGTGTTTCCTAGCATATTGACGAACTTGACGATGAACTTCCGCAGCTCTACGAAGATCGTTGTAGTCACTTTCTCTAAGTCTTTCTTCAGCACGCTTTTCTTCACTGGTAGTTCTCCAAGTATTTCTGGAGAAAAAAAACCAAAGAGGTTCATTGCATTAGTAAGCTTCCAATCGAAGGAAGGAAAAAGTGACTTTGTCAATTAACACATACTCGTTGATATAGTCATGGCATTCACCGACAGGATAGACTTTGTTTGTATATATTTTAGATAGAGGAACAGTGGGTGGTTCAGTTTGTGTTTTAGGACCACTTTTCTTCTTCTTCTTGTTTTTCTTCTTCTTCTTCGCAGCAGCAGTTGCTTCAGTAGTATTTTCAATTGCGTCTGCTACTTCATCTGTTTTCTCAGGTTGTCCCTCAATGTGCGTTTCGTCAAGTTTTTTTACTACTTCCTCAACCTTTTTGTCTTCGACTGCCGTCATTTATACTGTTATAGAAGGTTTAAAGCTTTAGACAACTGAGAAATTTATGTCTTTAGCACACAAATAAATTTTTTTTTCTTTACAGCATAATTGTTCCATTTTATTGGCCGGTTTCAATTCGAAGAACTCCACTGTCTTCAATCAATCGATTCATACGCCTGGAAAGAGGCGCTCGAAATCGTGGAGATTCGGTATTTATTGTCGCAGATGGACAATCTTTATGAGGCCGCTAATTAGTAATCGTTGTAAACCGACAGATTTCCAGCAAGTATTAAAGCCAAACCAACTGTCAAGCATACACATGAAATAAAAGCCGACATTGTGACGAATAGCTTTTTAGAAACTGCAGAAAGTTGACATGCTATACAGCTTATAATTGAACCAACGGCCAGAATAAAGTATACGCATGCATATTCCGCTATAGGAATGAAGGTGATCCGATAATAAGCTCCATCTTTTCGAAACCCCAAATATACCAGCAAAGCGAAGACTGAGTAAAGAATCACTATAACCAGCGCTTTGCGGCTAAATTTTGTTTGGAATATTTGGTTGAGTAGAAACATGACCATAAAACCATACGAGAAAATTTGCCAGCCTATGCCAGGCTGTATAATTGCTGTCAATGTCCCGTGAATAAATACATAAGTTTCCAGTAGTAGGATCCAAGCCTTATTCCGGTGACTCTAAGGAGAAATCACTACTTTATTAACATTGACTTTTACGTTTAGTCTTAATGAAACTTACTTTATGTAAGAAATTCGTTGATTGCCATAGTAACAAGCACTGATAAATAAAACCAAAGCAGTGACCCATTGTACCTTCCTATCGAATTTACATCAATCAAGGAAAACGGAAGCTGATATGCAAGTAACAGAGCTTACCACTGGATGATAGTGAAAATTGAGCACCGTTCCAAAACTCATTGCGTAACCATGATATTTTCGAATAAATTGTATGACAGTTCCTTTAGCAGATTGCTTCCCTAAACCAAATATCACGCCACGACTACCAAGAAGAAACATGTCGCTTACACATTAGTATTCTGAAAATCATTTGGTCACGTGTCATACTTACTAAGGTATAGCAATTAAAATAGCTAGTACAAGTATAAGGACGACGGATCCTTGAGCGATTCCTTCCGGCACATGTATTGCTAAACCGTCATAAAATAGATGCCCGTGAATCAACTTAAACATCATCATAAAAGTGTTAAGGCGAAGCAATTGCCAATTCCACCATTGATAATGAGGGCTCCAACGTGGAAGCTTTTCTTTAGCTATTTGCACTTTAACTAAGATAAACCATTGACCTAGTTGATGTATCATATATGCAGACCACGCAAGTATAAGACCTATAGTACTTGGTTGCACTTGTCGCCAGGGGTAAGCAAATGGAGTATATTGACCTTCAGAGCAGAAATATTAGTTATGCATTAACTCGGCATAATCGGTCAACTCCATTTACCCTTAATGTACCGAGATCCACGAATAAAGAATCTTCCTAGGCCAATTTCCCCTCTCAAAGGTTTAGAATTGAAGAAATCTGACCAACCATTAGGAGCATGCCATAAGGCTAGAAGAGTAACCGTAACGCCAAAACTCACAGATGCAATAATATATACTAAATAAGGTTTTTCATCAATTCGACATGAAAGTCTACCCATTATTTTATTTTTGAAAGGGGTAGCTGCATCAATAATATGGACACAGGACCATTCAAAACATTGTTCGGCTATATTAAATAGCCTTCAGTTTGTCCGTCACAATGTAGTACAAGAGTATGCGTAAGGATAAAGCCTCTCTATCAGACATGCAACTCAACCAACCATATAATACAGAAAGGATGTTACATATTTGATTTTCCAATGAAGCAAACGATGTGAGTTGTTTAAATTGCTCGGTGTTGGGCTGACATATTTCGATGGAAGCCTAAGCAGAAAGAATCTTACTGAACAGATATTGTGCCTCGCCCAATAAGCCCATTGCAAAAGCTGGAAAGTTCATCGCCAGACTTTTTTTTTATTTTTATTTTTGGTGCTTAGTTATGGACTTTCGTTGCGAAACTGGGCTTGTTGCCCAATGTGAACAAAGATGCATTTCGTTAAAAACGAAATGTTACTGCTTTTATATTCATTGTAGCTTATTTACGTTAATCGAACCACTCGTCTTCTTGGTCCCGTAGATGCAAGTTTATGAAATGAAGCAACACCTCCGTCAACCTTATTGAAGTTTTTACGCAAAAAGTGGCATATTGAATACGATATAGTCATAACATAGTAATAGTATGATCACTATAGCCCGTATATGCTCAAGTATTGTAATTGTTAACCATCAATCGCGTCAGTAATCATTCATTGTATAACTTTGTAGTTGAACGAGCTGTTTTTCTCTATCCAATAAACATGATACTGTCTCTCCTGCTAAGTGTTTCTTGTCGATCGAATTTGTAGAAGTCACCTTCGCCGGCCTTGCCTTCAATAGCGACTACAAAAGACATGATTTACATTTCCTTCCTCCTTCATACCTAATTTGACTGTGATACTAACCTTTGTTTAGGCTGAACGTCGTGTCTGAAGCGACTTTTCAATTACTATTTATGCGCTCGTATGCTAATTGAACCTATTTTTAACTGTTGTTTCCGTAACGTTCAGTTAAAAGAGGTAACTATCGAGTTGCAACTGATACGTCATTATTCATTTTCTGTCGTTTTTCTGATTGAAACTCATGCATTTTTACGTAAATATGGATTACCTCGAGAATTGTAAATAAGTGTGCATAAATGTTGTGGCTACAGACGGGTTTTGCTCTCACAATCTTTGCAAAATAGAAACCATCAGCTGCTACCTCTGTTACGAATTGCAGGATTTCGGAATACTAGAAGGTAAGAATGTTTGTATCAGTGTCTATAAATTCACGTCGCAAGCAGGTAAATTGCTCATGCAAGTACCTTTAATAGCTTACGTTAAGAGATCGGAAGATGTGACATGGCAGAAGGGCAAGAATATGGGAAACTAAAGAGAAGAAACTTGTTTAAAAGCTCAAAAGAATTAAACATGTTGAAGGCCTTAAGACAAATCTTTGATTTGGAAAAATGGCTCCCACTAAACATGATATATACTATTATGGCCTATATTCTTAAGAATCTCAGTGCATTGTTATAGTTATATGAACTTCAATCAGATAAATTTGTATAATATGACTATCATACTTTATCGAAAAATTAATCACAAAGTAGACAATAGTGTTATTGACGACTGTATGAAATATGAAAAGGAGAAAAGAAAGAAGACAACTAGGAAAACGAAACGTGAATGCAGAAAGAGAAAGAAAAGTCTAAAATTCAGGATTTATGCGGTATTATACAAGGATTAATCTACATCATTATGTTGGTTCTCTTCTCATATTAGGAGAATTTAGATACCAAGGCTCAAAATGGAGCTATCTGTCACACATAGACAGGCCAATAACTGTGCCGTTAGTCATCTTTTTGCCGTGGAATGAAAAGACAATAGGTATTATGAAAGTTGTAGTGGATAACAAAATGGCTAAATTGTGTAGAATTTCGATTACAAACTGTAGGCCATAAAAAGATACAGGTTAAAAAGTGTCTATGGTACTCTTCAGATTGTGTTATCAAATCGGGATAGCTATAATAGGCTCAGAATAGATAGTAGATATTTTCCCAACGATGATAATGCTGCCAACCTTTCAAAAGGTCAATCAGTTCCATAAAACTATGTTACGTCAATAACTTGAATAAATAATTGATTCGGCCAAATTTGAACTATCTATTTTCTTTGATATTCATTAAATTTATCAACTCAAGCTATTTTATATCCCAATTTGTCCAAAAAACAGTAAAAAATATCTTTATAAGCCATTGGTTGCACAAAAACTACGGATCCATTGGGATGATTAATAATCTTTCTGTATTATTTGTGAGGCTTCTGGCACCTTCCTTCATTACTGCAACTTCTTCTGCAATTGAAATGTAAGCTTATTTCTTTGTTACAAGCCTCAATTGATACAGTAATGGCAGCAACCATTTGCGTAACTTTTCCCTTGGGCTCAATTCTTTCAAGTTTCTTATGATTTTTGCATTCAGATTTGAATTGTGAACGATATCACTAAAAAATGCTTATGACGTCTGAGTTGAACTGTCTATAGAAAATTGTAGTACACCGTAGTAAAGCTCACCATTGATGAAGATTATTTATAAATTCTGTGACACGGTTACAATTGTGGACCAAACAGAAAATGGATCAGAAAAGTGGCAGACAGCAATGATACCATTGAACGATGATCTCTACTGGGCTCCCCACCATGCTGGATCACAACATCTCTAACCTCTTTAAGATTCGTACATTGTATATAAATAAAGGCTTCCTTCTCAATTGCTTGTTTATTCCTACCTTTATCTTTAAATTTAACTTTCTGCCTTTTTTATTATACTCTGCTTACTACTTTACTGTAAATGACAGATACCCGGGGCGGATCCAAGGGCAAAGTACTGAAGGGCTCTTGCACCCCTAATTTGCCAGAAGATACCCTTGATGGCACCCAAAACTTTCCTGTGCTTAACAATGCAGACAATTTTGGTGAAATTACGGCTAGTAATATAGATATAGAAGGTAATGAAAAGATTTAAGCGCAAGCAAAATATCTTTTAGCAACATGTATACAATAACACTCAATTGATGTAATATTTTGTAGCTGCAATGGATGAATTTCACGAATTACAAAAGAAGTTATCTCATATTAGCAGACGTTCTTCTGTTGGACCTAGTAAAGTAGAGGAAGGCAATGTGCTCGAGGATGAATTTAACCTGAGCAACTTTCTACATGGTATGTCCCACAGTCAAAGGGAGGCAGGACATCAACTGAAACACCTGGGAGTTGTATGGAGAAATTTATCCGTTGAGGTAACGTGTAGCACAAGAATTTCTGCTGTCTATGACTTCTGTATTTTGATCCGAACTGCTATGTGTAACATTGTTTACTTCAATCTTGTAGGGGCTGGGTGCAGAAGCTCATGTCATCCCAACGGTAATAAGTGGAGTACTTAAATATCTGCAATTTTGGAAAGTTTTCGGCTGGAAAGCTCGTCAAAGCACTAAAGTAATCCTGAAGGATCTTTCCGGTTTCTGTAAGGATGGTGAGATGCTTCTATTATTGGGTCGACCAGGAGCTGGTTGTACGACCTTACTTAAAATTATCTCGAATATGCGCGCCTCTTTCACAAAAATAAGCGGAAGTGTCAGTTATGGCGGATTTGATCACAACACGTTTTCAAAAAAATTTCAGGGGCAAACATGTTACAATTCTGAGGAAGATCAGCATTATCCAACCTTAACTACAAAACAAACCTTGCAATTTGCTCTCCGTACGAAGACTCCAGGAACACGATTGCCGAATGAAACGAAGAAGGAATTCATACATAAAATTCTCTACTTGTTGGGTAATATGTTAGGTCTAACCAAGCAGATGCATACAATGGTCGGAAATCCTTTTGTCCGTGGTCTTTCAGGTGGCGAAAGGAAACGGTTGTCAATTGCCGAGCAGATGACCACTCAAAGCACCATAAATTGCTGGGATTGTTCAACGCGTGGTTTAGATGCTGCCTCCGCATTGGATTTTGTACGATCTTTACGTATCATGACCAATATTTTTCAGAAAACAACCGTTGCAACATTATATCAAGCGTCAGACAGCATTTATCATCTTTTTGATAAAGTGTTGCTTTTAGACGATGGTTATTGCCTCTATTTTGGGCCGGTAGCAGAAGCGAAACAGTACTTTGAAGATATGGGATTTCACTGCCCACTACGAAAGTCTACTCCGGACTTCTTAACTGGCATCTGTAACCCTTTAGAGCGGGAAGTAAAGCCAGGGTTCGAGCATTCAATTCCAGTCTCTGGGTATCAATTTCAAGAGAGGTACCAAAACTCATCTGTATACCAAAAAATGATAAAAGAGTTAAATGCGTATGAAGAAACTATAGAACGCGAAAGACAGGCTGAAGAGTTTAAAAAAGCAATGGTTGAAGAACATCAAAAGCGTGCCCCTAAAGGTTCACCATATACAGCATCATTCTACCAACAAGTAAAAGCCTTAACAATCCGTCAATTCCATCTGTTGATTAAAGATAGGGAAGCCCTAATTTCGCGTTACGGAACCATTCTAATACAATCGCTGATTACCGCCTCTTGCTTCTTTAAAATCCCATATGACGGCTCAGGCGCCTTTTCACGGGGTGGTGCTATTTTCTTCTCGGTGCTCTTCAATGCACTTATATCCCAAACTGAATTGGTGAACTTTTTAATGGGGAGACCAATCTTGGAGAAGCATAAACAATATGCTCTTTATAGGCCATCTGCGTTTTATATTGCTCAGGTTATAATGGATATTCCGTATGCGTTGGTACAAGGTATAAGGAACAGACGGATATCTTGTTTGAAATACTTCTAACACAATGCTTGTATTTTGCTATTCGCTCATAATCTAGTCTTACTCTTTGAGATTTGTGTTTATTTTATGATGGGTCTCAATCTAACAGCAGGAAGATTTTTCACATTCTTTATCACTCTATTCTTTGTCAATATGTGCATGAATGGTTTCTTCAGAATGTTTGGTGCAATTGCTTCAAGCTTCTTTTTTGCTACCCAAATCTCTGGTATAACTCTTATTGCAATAATCACCTATTGTGGTTATGTTATTCCTTACGGAGACATGCATCCATGGCTTTATTGGTAAGCAATGAAATAATGGGTCGAATTGTACAGATCTTGCTTACTCATCAACTTTAAATACATTAGGATTTATTGGATTAGCCCTATAGCGTATGGATACAAAACACTGCTCGTCAACGAAATGAAAGATACTTATTACTCATGCGAAGGTCCTGGAAATTCGGTACCATTCGGGCCAGGCTATGACAACTGGGACTATAAAGTATGCACAATGGTTGGGGGTAAACCAGGAGAAAATTTTGTACTAGGTGATGACTACTTATCGCAGAAACTTCAGTGGAACACGAAGGATTTGTGGGCTCCTGATTTCGTAGTTGTCATTGCATTTTTTATCTTATTTACTGCAATAACTGCTACAGCTATGGAGTTGCGCGGTGCAAATTCAGTTGCTTCGTTGACTAAACTCTATATTCCTGGCAAAGCTCCCAAAGCTCGTAGTGAGGAAGAAAAGCTTGAACGTCAACGTACACAAGCCAGTCGTAAAGATTCTGTAGAAGTAGTTTCTACAGGTACAGTATTTTCCTGGCAGAATGTTAATTACTCCGTACCTGTAAAAGGAGGTAACCTGCAGTTATTGAACGGTATTAACGGGATTGTCAAACCTGGACACCTGACCGCTTTGATGGGCTCTTCTGGTGCTGGAAAAACGACACTTTTAGATGTACTGGCAAGAAGAAAGACAATTGGTAAAGTTGATGGCCGTCTTTATTTGAACGGCGAAACATTGATAAATGATTTTGAGCGCATTACTGGATACTGTGAGCAAATGGACATTCATCAACCTGCTGTTACCGTTCGCGAAGCATTACAATTTTCTGCAAATTTACGACAACCGTATGAGACGCCTCAATCAGAGAAAGATGCTTATGTCGAGCAGATTATCCTCTTACTGGAAATGGAAGACATAGCTGATGCACAAGTCGGTGAAGTGGAGTCTGGATTTGGTATATCTGTCGAAGAACGTAAACGACTAACAATAGGAATGGAACTCGTAGGCAAGCCTCAATTACTTTTCCTAGATGAGCCAACTTCTGGACTCGACGCGCAAAGTTCATTTAATATCATCCGGTTTATTCGTAAGCTTGCTGATGCTGGCTGGCCAGTTGTCTGTACTATTCACCAACCTTCTGCTATATTGTTTGAGCATTTTGATCATCTTCTTTTATTGGTATGATATATAATGAAAGATAATTTTGCGTTTTATTAATAATATATATCTCTTATGTTGTAGGTACGCGGAGGACGCACTGCATACTACGGCGAAATTGGCAAGAATGCTCAAACTATGATTAGCTACTTTGAGACGAATGGCGGCCCTATTTGTAATCCAGCAATGAACCCTGCCGAATATATTTTAGAAGTTGTTGGTGCTGGAACAGCAGGGAAAGCGAATCAAGACTGGGCAGAGATATGGGCAAAATCAAGTGAAGCGAAAGCGCTTGAAGAAGAACTAGAGCAGATACACCAATCGGCTAACCAGCATCCTAATAGAATTGCATTGACCTACGCTACTCCCTTTACAAGACAACTGTACTTGGTTCACAAAAGGATGGCTCTTGCATATTGGCGATCACCCAATTATAATATTGGACGATTCTCTACTATTATGGCTGCATCTCTAATAACGGGCTTCACTTATTGGAAACTATCAATTACTGTTTCAGACCTTCAAAACCGTCTATTTGCATTGTTTTCAACGTTCCTTATGGCAAACATCTTGATTATCTTAGCCCAACCCAAATTCATGACCGAGCGACTTTACTTTAGGCGTGAATATGCGTCCCGTTATTATGGATGGGTTCCGTTCGCTATTTCAAGTATTCTGGTGGAGCTACCTTACATATTGTTCCTAGCCGCCTTCTTCATGTTTGGATTCTATTGGACAGCTGGTATGACTAATGAATCAGAGGCTGTAGGCTACTTTTACTTGATGTCAGTCTTCTTCGTCTTCTGGGCTGTTACACTCGGTTTCGTTATCGCATCCATTGCAGAAAATCCAACCATGGCTGCTGTCATTAATCCATTGATTATTTCCATGCTGATTCTTTTTTCAGGTTTCATGCAACCAGCAAGAGCTATGCCTCGGTTCTGGAGTTCATGGATATATTGGCTTAATCCATTTCATTATTATATAGAAGGCCTAGCCACAAATGAATTATCACATGTAGCTATTCAATGTAAAAGTCAAGACTTTATCAAATTCTCTCCTCCACCTGGTCAAACTTGTGGTGATTACACGAAGAATTTCTTCTCCTATGGAGCGACAGGTTATATGAATAATCCTAAAGCCATGCAACCAGAACTGTGTGAGTATTGTAGCTTCAAAAGCGGTCAAGAGTATTACACAACAACCTATGGATGGGATTCTTCACATAAATACAGAAACTTAGGCATTATTATCGCATTTTTCATTTTCAACGTTTTCATCTTTGGCGGTCTCGTCTATTGGAAGCGTAAAGGACGAAGATGAAAAGCTTAAAATGTATGTTTCAATAGTTCATTTTTGTATAATATTGAGAACTTACGTAATTGTCAATTGTTCTCAAGCTATATGTATTTGTTTTCTATGTATAAAGTTCAGAATATGTCATTATAATGATAAAGCTACTTCCACAGATTGTTGATCTGTGTAAGCTAACTGTGTTTCATTAAGTAAATTTGGATCAAATGTCTCCCATCTTTCTATGGGGTATTTAGTTACCTCTATGCTGTTCTAACAATTTATGAACACTTGAAGATATGCAAAAGTAGCATTTTTGACACCAGTAAAGACAGTTGTGGTGCAACTAAGTTAACCTCATAACATCGTCACAAGGCCATTTAATCATTTGTCTTTTACAGTTTTCTGTGAGTAAAAAGTGAAATGTATTTTAAGTGCATTAAGTCTTCCTTTTTTCTTCTTTCACAACCATCCCTTGCCTATCCGCTTCCAATTCAACAATATTCTTGCATAGTGAAATATGTACAACGACGAGGATTCATCAGATGGAGGCGGCTCCTACATGGACAACGACGATGTAGAGCACTTTATAAACCGCTGTTCCATTTGTTTTGATGCTCAACTCGATTTTTGTCTACAGCTTTGCAAGGACCAATTTTGCTTAGATTGTTTTAGAAAGTAACATTGCTCAGTGCTAATTTTTCAAGCTTTGAATAGCTATTACAGAAATATCTTATTCATACTCCTTCCCATAAAACGATACAGATATGTTGCTGAGGTCGTAAAGTCATCATGGGGTCTGGAAATGACCCAGATAAAATGTCCTGTGTGCCTCATAACAGTACCCAAATATGAATGGAGTCGATATGTTCCCAAATCGATAACAGAAATGTATGACAAATTCAACACACCTTATCGCAGCTACATCAGGTCATGTCCACAATGTGAAGCAGATATTATACCATGCAGATACAGCTATGCAAACAAAACCAATTCAACAACAACGCAGACTTCGCGGTTGGTTGTTAAGGTGGATACAGTATACATTATTTGTAATATTAAATACTCTCTTTTTTGTTATTAGATCAGTCTGCGAGCGTATGCAGTCGTTGATAAGCAGTTGTCCGATGAGTGTCTTACATGAAAAACATATAGATCACATCATCGTTAAAAAATGGATCTCTATCTTCGGTAGATTCGATTGGACAGAGGCAAAATTGCCAACTATGCACAAGGAACTTGTAACTGATTTATTACGCTTTCAAAACAATCACCCTGCTGTTGATAACAAATGGGCGCATGAGATATCACTTAAAGTGCTTGAACTTAACTCAAAGTCAGATATTTGGAAAGAGCTGCAGTTTAACCATATCGCTTTCTTTCCTGATATGGCCTGGTAAGCTGATCAGAATAGCCACGTTGGCGAATGTGTGTGCCTGATTTCCTTTAAACTTCTTTTCTTCACAAAGTCCGCAATGCGAGTCCTCGATATGTTTGCACTGTGGAAATACTACGCATCTATACCTTACCTGCGAGCAGAACCTCGAGAAAATTATGAGAGATAAGACGGTCTCCAAAGAAATACGAGAAACAGTTAAATGGAAGTTGCGTAATAGGTACACATCAAGCCTTTGTAGCTATCCACAAGATAACAATAATAGATGACTGATGTTATATTTATAAACAAACCTGATACATAGTCGGCGCTGTCCAAAATGTTCGATTATGATAAATCGGGATGAAGGTTGCAACAAAGTTGATTGTTCTTATTGCGGCTTTGCGTTCTGCTGGGCTTGTAAAGCGTCTTGGGCCGAGGTAGGGCCGGAAAAAGGAAGAAAGTGAGGCGTATAATGGACAAGCATATGGATCATTTGACGTTGTTATACATATAGGGGTGCGGCTTTTATAGATGCCCTAACATAAGCATGAAAACTACTGAAGGCATATCTAAAATTGATGGAAAGACATCGTTTGTCGAAGACGGCCGCAACAACTCTAAAGCTATGGCCGAATACAAGGTCAATTATTCAATTCAATTACGGAGAACCTGAATTATGACTGATTAAGTTCAAACTTTCTACTTCGTTAGACAGAACTTGGTGTACCGAATATAACGAATATTCAAGCAAAATTTAACAGCGGATTTTTCTATTGATAATGTAGATACAGTCTCTGGGCTTTTTTTACGCGGTTTACTTTATATACAAACGGTAAGACGAAGGTACTGACAACTCACCGCCATTATTAAGTTTGTCAAAATAACCATACAACGCTTACTTACAAATTTTTGCACATTTTTCGCTGTAATAAACTCCATTTCAAACGCAACAAGCAATGTGTACTGTAAAAGTACATACAGTCTTTTCAGTTAGTCCAAATAACATATTGTCAAGAATGTGAAATATTTCTGTATATTTGTAGGATATACAGTTTAAGATCAGATCAATGATAGACATGGAAAAATAAAATGCATATACCCGTCGCCCAATGAAAACGATGTAAATCCATTTTTATGGGATCATCACTTTTTGAGTTTTTGTAGTTGGTAATAACGGTTTTGTCCTCAGCAGCTTTCTGATTCCGTTGGACTTATAAACACTTCAAATGGTGACAAGTAAAGCCGCTGCCATTGCCAAAGAGATCGACGTTGCTCGCTGCAAAGGCAATTGGCAAGCTATACCTGAGTTAGCACGAAGATATAAAAAGCATAACCCAAGCGGAACTGGTAATTCATACTGCCCGTTATAACTTGATGAGGGAAAGCTTTTCCTAATGGCAAACCTAAACAATAGTTTTAGAACAGTCTATCTTGGGGGAAGCAGGCTTGGATAATATAGTACACAGCTCTCAGAGAGAATCGAGAAGTCTTTATGCAAACGATTCACCTAGTTCAATCAGTTTACCGAAATGCGTCGATCGTGAGTTGACAAAACCTGTTTTACAGCATCTATCAACTGCTATTGCTGATAATGATTCCAGCTCTGAAGCACATGTTTATAAAACAGTAAGAAAACGGCTTGAATTTGTATTAAATTGTATTGAAAGCAATAATTCGATTAATCCATATTTGAAGATGTCAAAAGTTATTCTTGCCAGAACTTATTTCGAAAGTGGGCAGTACCAAAAGGCTGTAGAGACATTCAATGAAATAGATCTTAAGATTTTGGGACAATCATCAGGATATGCGTCTATTCTGTATGTACAAGCTTTGTCAGTGAGGGGTAAGTCGGTCAATTTTCAAATGTATGCTTGTTATACTACTTGGCACTCAATTCTTTTGCCTGTCATCTAGCTATGTCATATGATTTAAATGGCGACAAATCATCAGCTTGGAAAGCGTATGACGATCTTGTTTCGTTAGTGAATCAATCACAACATCTATCCGATCGTAGTTTAGTAGACTGGGCAGAAGAAGGTTTATATAGAGGCACATTACTTGCATTAAATGAAAGGTAAAGCTGGAATAAACATTCATGTGATACAAGAACGTTTAGCAGTAATGATCTTTTTTCTCTCATTTTTAGGCAGGAACCTGCAAATGTTCCTCGAACCATGAATCTGATTCGAGCCTACCAGAAGATTTGTTCTTCCCAAACAAGTGTTTGGCGGTCCACCAAACGATTAGCTGTAACAAAATATTCTGCAAACTATCTGTCCGAGATATATCGCGCTGGCTACTATCAAGCGCCTATCGATTATAGTGTAACTGAAGAAGGAAAGCACATCAATGAGTAAGTGAACGTTAATGTTTAAACATCAACGAAACACATTATTTATTAAACCATTTGCCATCTTCGAAATGACTGTTATTATGTAGACAAGATTTTGAATATGCAAAAGGGGCTTACGACAACCAATTGTTCAGCATTGAAATTATGCAACTATATACTGTTTATGAAAGATTGATATTAACACTCACGCAGTTTCCCCGATCTGGCAAACCTAATTCAACTGTCCTGGACTTTGTCAATAGATTAGCTGCAGATTTCGAACTAATAAATGCTTCAGAAACTGAATTAAGAGGCTTCATTGACGTGCTTAACCGTGCATCAACAAAAACATTCAACTCACCTTGTGTTACAAGACATCTGTTTCATGCACTTGTTCAGTTAGGAGACTATGAAGAGGCCGAACTTGCTCTTCGTACTTATCTGTATTTGGTGGGTTTGGAATCAAAGGCTCTATTGGATGGGCGTTCAATGACTCCAGCTCTAGCAACTGATGCACTTGGTTACAACATTCCGGTTCCCAGTTCCGATATTAAGGAGGAAATATCATTTTTGAAGGAAGCACACAAATCTGACGGACCTCAACGTAGTGAGGAACAGGAGACAGCTGAAAGCAAGATTAAAGTACTTATCACAGCCGTGCACATGTACTGTAAAGAACTCTGTAAAGGTTCAGAGGCAGTCTATGTTGCTGAATTAGCTGCAGATGTTTATACAACAGAAGTGGCTAGCAGAAAGGAGCAAAGTACACAGTTTGAAAAAGTAGGCGTTGAGGTCTTCCGATCATTAGGTGTAGCTTTTGGATTCTTGGGAAGCCAAAGTATGAATATATTTATCATTGTTAGTAACCCATTCTGAGATTAATTACCGTCTTATTTGCGTTTAATAGCATTTGATCCAGACAGTCGACCAAAATTTCACCAAAAAGCTGTAAATTCTCTAAAAAGATCGCTAGAATTTGATACGACTGATTGGAAAACATATTATCAGCTTGCTTTGCAACTTGCAGGTATGCGTGATATAGCACAAGCCATACCAATGATTACACAATCACTGCAATACAACTCTGGCTATTTGCCGTCATGGCATCTGTTTGCATTATTGTTGACATGCCCGTCCACTGATAATCAAACTCAAGCACTCAAGACCTGCGAAATGGCACTTTCGAAAGTAACAGGGATTTCGGAAAATGACCAATATGTAGACTACAATGAAGAAATTGCTCAACAATTGTTATTGCAAATGACACAGACTCTTTTAATTGACCGTGTTCACGGCTCAGAAAAGGCGCTGGCGTCTCAAGCTAATCTTTTCCAAGTATTTGGTAAAATTGTCGTACCAGAACTAATACCCAATTCTACTCATTCTAATATGGTTCACGAGGCTATCTCTATGGGCCCCTCAAGATATGGCATAGTTAATTCAGGGTCTCTCGGTAATATGAGTACTGACTTAATAGCCTCTAGCTCGACAGCTTTAGCCACATCTGATCCCAATGCAACTGCACGAGGTCGCAGCACAAGTAGTATCATTTCTTCCAACAAGACAGTGAATGGACGTGCACGCTCTGCTTCATCATTCACAGGGCGAAAGTTTCATTTAGCTGAAATGTTTAACGCAGCGCATCACGACAAAACTGATGCCAATAGTGTTCGATCAGCCACAAACCTATCACATGTTAAAAATAATGGTAGTAAGTTGAGCTTACTAGATCCGATGAGTGTAATACGCAAGCAAAAGAAAGATACGATCCCTGAAGAGGTCAACAATAGAACGGGTAAAAATTTGCTGAGTGAGAAGAAAGAGGGCTTTTTCGATCTAATTACCGTTCCCTTGATAGATTCTGAGAAAGAGGGCTCAATATATTCGTTTAATAGTGCTGCTCCCTCTTTTATCAGCACAAATACATTACTTCAGTCTACAACCACACCGATTCGACCTACTACTCAAGCAAGACTACTTCATCAACGTTCACATAAATTATTATGTGACTTATGGTTGCTTTCAGCTGAAATATATCTCAGAGCTAATAGGATTGATGAAGCCTTCAAAGCGGTTTCTGAAGCAGAAAATGTAGACTCGACGACACATCCTGGTGTGTGGTGTCTGTTGGGACGCATCCGCTTTGCACAAGGAAAGCGTGATAAGGCGATAGTAGCATTCCAGAAGGGTCTATTCATCAGACCGAACGATGTGGACTGCCGAATCTGGTTAGCTAAAACGTATATGGATAAGGGCGATTTAGAGGTTGCAGAAGGACTCTTACAGGCTGCTACGCGGGAAAATGGTTGGGATAATGCTGCTGCCTGGTAAGATTTTGTTTTGTAATAATAGAACAGCTAATGTAAATGAAATGTAACAAGAAAAAAAAAATGCTTTTTTTTGTACTTCTTTCAGGTACTATCTAGGGGAAATATACAAAAAGACAGACCGCCTGAGTAGAACAAAAGATTGTCTCTTCTATGCACTGGAGCTGGAAAGTAGATCACCTATCCAACCCTTTAGCATATTACCCCGCGTCATATAAGACATACTACCAATTACCTCAGACCCTGTATTACTTTATATCTTCTCTTCAACATATTCGCAAGTAAATGTTTTCTTCTTTTTGGGATTGCATAATTTACAGTGAACAAAGTAGATTTTCACTTTTTACATATAAATGCACGCATACTATACAAAACCCCATAATTCGCTAATTCTCAGATGCTAAACGCCACAAAAAGCGGAAAAGATATGCATCACAATACGGCTTTAGTTACGGATATAGGGAAGGTCTAGAAGGTCCGCCTCTTAGTCATTGCAAAAATAGAAATGATTCAATTCCTTTTGGGCCGCTCTTGGGCTTTTTGATCTACTAAAATCTGGTACTACTTTACCTGTAAATGTCGGAATACAATTTAAACTCACAATAATATAGAGGTAGCACACATAGTTCCAACTTGTCATCATAAGAATTGCAGTTCCAGTAATTATATACTCTATGATAGCTTTCACAAAAAAGAGGGGAGTAAAGGAAATCTTAGAGTGTTCTGATGTTGTACTTCTTATCCTAGAGGGTAGTAAGTATAGAAGCATTGCATATTTGATCGTCTTGTCTCGGCCCATCACTCCATTCCATTATGATATTAATTCCATTAAACGTAACACAAAGGTAACGTTTAATTTTGAAAGCTTTTTAGGTGAGGAATTCAGAAGCTATTACTGTAGAGATATCTTGGCTTTTCATTTATCTATTTTTTTCATTCTTTTTTCAAACCTCTAAACACTATACCTCCCTCCTTTCCTTTACTCTACATATCTCGTTTGGGCCTCTTCATGGAAACAGTAGGACAATCGACACAACAAGAAATCAAAAAGTCGCTTTCCAAGGCTATGACAGTTGAATCTGCCTTTATCAGTAAATCATGGAGCAAGAGATCAACTGCATATTCTTCATTACTATGGAATGCTTTGACAAATGCATTTTGTTCAATTATCTCACCACTTAAAAGAGCTTATATATCATCAAATCAGTCACGTACATCCAGAAACACACAAAGTTTTCGCTGGTGGCACTTATTAGCAACCCTCGTCTTGTTGACAATTACGGCCGAAGTATTTGTGTTCTGTAATTTATACGATTTGCTTTCTGAAGAACCATTTGGCATAAAAATAGGTATTTGAATAATGTGAGGCAGGCCGAAAATTTTTAGCCAAAAAATTAATCTTATTGACAACATTGTAGTTAAACGACAATATCCGCAAAGAACATACACATCTCTGAATACAAATATTGACAGCCAACTAGAAAAAGGCACTAGAGTCTATCATGTCACAAAGGAATTCGGTCCAGCTACATTAACGGATATAGGAAGAACAGTTACAGCACTTGCAGCAGCTCAGCAAGCCACTAATATAACTGAAGTAGCAATTGTTATGCCTCTCTATACATTCATGAAAAAATTGGCTATAGAGAAAGAAATGGACATGGTCATTGATATTCGTGGTAAGCGTTCCCAACCAACAATGTCATTGGAGTTTAAGATTTGGAAACTGCTGTACGCCTTCAATCCACCAGTCCAAGCACCCAGTAAATATGAATGGCAAATAATAAACAATGTAAATACATCTGTTTTAATAACGCCTCAACGTGCTCCAAAGCCAACTGATGCCATACCTGTTTATATGATTGAACATGCCAACAGACGGCCATTTAATCAGGCCTTTAAGTGTCGTACAGTAAATGACATATATACAGAAAACGAATTGCTGCCGAATGAATGGCGCGATCAGTATTTCGCCAAAGCAGCCGCCGCCTTTCTTGCTCATAAAGCAACAGCCGCAGACGAGGAATCATTATTTGCTCCAGTTCGTATTGTTCCTAGAGTAGATATTGTTCACATTCATGGCCCAGATAATGCATATATAGCAAAGATATTACAAGATAAGAAGGAGATAGATGATTTAGGGCCTCGACCGCCTGCAATTGTTTACACCATACATCATAACGAGAAAGAGATACAATACACTAATACGTATCGAAACGTTCGGAAATTCACAGATCTTCCTTACGAAAGGGAGAGACTTCGAAAGTATGTTTACGGAAGCAATGTATACATGACCAAACTGGGTATAGAGCAATCCGATGCTATTACTTACACCAGTCATTCAATTGCTGCTGATATCGTGGAAGGTCGTTATGACTTTCATTTGAAAGAGCTTATTATGGATTATCTATTGAAAAAAACAGAAAGTTCACGACTTTACGGTATAGACAATGGTGTCGACTATCATGGGACGGAACACCCTTTCATCACAGATAAACTAGCCAACCGAAGTATGGGATACCCTCAATATGCATTTAAAATGATACAAAACCAAAAACTCTACTATTCTACGAATCCTTCGAAACCCTTCACCCTCAATCCTCCAGACATGCCAACCTATTGGACATTATCTGAAGAGCACTCAGATTTCGTTCAAACCCATAAAGATCGTGCTAGACGCTTTCTAATTAAGCGAGGAATTTTATCAGAGCAAGATATGAAACGTCCAATTGTACTTTTTAGAGGATCATTTGAAAGAGGGAAAGGGTTGGAAATCTTCGAACCGGCAGTGAAGTATTTTATTAAAAACAACATGCGCTTTGTAATATTGGGCAGAAAGAAAGATTTCAATTTTGAGAAATTACAAAGTTTGCAAAGATTATATCCGAATCATGTCACTTTACTTAGCACAGCCAAAGAAGAAAGACAGTTTTCCATATTTTGTAGAGCAGCGGCTGATTTCGTATTTACACCAGATCCTCAAGCAAGCGCATACGGCTTTGAGGCAGCAGAGGGTTTAGTGTTCGGTTCTGCGGTCATCACACCTGGAATGAGTAAACTTAAAGAAGCCATGATTGACAGGCCTTCTAGGCAATCACGACAAGTTAGTATAGCCTATCTGGACCCTGCAGCCGCTTCTGAAAAGGGAGCAGTTATCACCAGTTATGAATACTACAATAGTTATATCTACAATGCAAATGAACCGAATACCCTTGAAATTGCTATTAGGGATGCAGCTACTGATTTTAGAAAGATTATAAAGAATAAGGCATTACGCGAGGAGTTTATTCTACGAATGATTAGAAGCGCTCTCAATTTAGGTTGGGATAGAGGCCATCAACAAGGTCCTGTTTATGAATATAACCGTGTTTACGAATTAGCTCTCGAGAATAGATATATACCCGAAATGCAAAGATATGAAGTCGAAGAAGAATATGAATTAATAACAAGACTACAAGAAAAGGACTATCTCTGACAAACTTAACAATACAGCGTTTTCTATTTCCTTCTGTCTTCTTTGTTCACCGTATCTGGACTACAAACTATTATACAACCCATTACATGTCTCACCAAAAGTACCTTAACATAATAATGTAATAAAAGATCTCTTTATACAACTATCTAGTGACAACCCTTTGTTTGTAAAATGCTAATCAAATAAATGCTAAAAAAGTGGGTATAAATTGACTCATATAAGGGACAAACGCATAGGGTGTGCTAAGTTTCTATAATGCCTATTTGGCAGACATCGTAAGTAGATATGTACAAATTATTACAAGATGTTCTCGAAAGTAACATTTTCTCTCTTAAAACTCAAAATTCTGTTGCGTACTGTTAAGGTTTCCTTGAGGATTTATCAGCCAATTATTCCAATTATTCTGTAGCTGTATCGGATCCAATGGCTGCGTTTGCGTATGTGGTTGTGGTTGTTGAGAATATGAATGTGATTGAAACTGACCTTGTGCCTGAATCATTGGCTGTACTTGGGGTTGAAATGGCACTTGAACACCTACAGGTAAATCCTGCCCTGAATTAGACGCTGTAATTACATTCGGATACTCATTTAGGCTTATTGCAGGTGCTACACTGAGGTTTGAAGGGTTGGAAGGTTGCTCAAAAAGCGCATTTTCTGAAATCAAATCAAAGCTTTCGGTCAGTTGTGGGTTGCTAATATACTCGGTTACGTTACTAAACTGTGTTCCCGAGGACTGTGATTGTTGAGAAAGACGGGAAGATTGATTGATATATTGTTTTGTTTCCATTAATGGGTTACTTAACGACGGTGATGAAGTTACATGCATTTGTGGTGAGCTTTGAGTAGTTGCATTTAAGGGTGACATATCTACTTTGATTTCCTGTAAGCCTTGTTTCTTTCTCCATTCATTGGTACATCTTCTCAAATTGTAATCGGTAGTTAAGAACCAGTAATTGTCAAAAAATTCAGCGGGCAACTGCCAATTCCCTGCAACTGCAGGATCGCCACCATGGAAAACAGAACCTGATAGCAAGCATCTGAAGCAGTCATCCAAGTCAAATTGATCTTTAAAAAGAATCATCCTGTCGCGCATTTGTGGTGTTGGTATAAGATCAATTCGCGGATCGTGAGGAACAGTCAGCTTTCGTTACAGAATTGCATCTTGTTAGTTCATCACCTTATCAACAACGTTTACTTTCTATTTTCTTACCTGCAGCAATGTTGGTCGAATGGTAAGAGGGATTTTGGCGCACTGTAAGCGTAAACGCATTCTAAGTATTTGAAGTGCTGCCAAATTTGATGACGCAGGTTCATTAACGGTTGTAGTTTGGATAGGGAGGATGTTACTAGCAGCATCTACACTGTTCGCTGATGGTACGGATCCAACTTCTTCTGTACTTATGGGGGATAAAGTGGGCATGTCTTGTAGATATGGATTACTTGTACTTGCCTTTCGTTTATTACGCTCATTTATGTCAATGGAATTCTTGTGTTTTTTAGACATGTGCAGGTCATCATTATTTTGTGTTACTAAACACTGTCTGTGTACTGACGATTGTTCTTGCTGGTGCTGCTGTTTTAGCTTACTATCAAATTGTGAATTTTGCTGTTGTATCTTATCTGCCAAATTCAATTTGTTTTTTTTCTTGAGATTCATGTAGGAAGCGATGGAGTTGGGAATAGACTGCGCCAAAACCGATAATGTTTGATCGTTGACATGCGGGCAATGTTGTGGAATGCTTAGGTTGTGCTGAAGACATACTAATTGTAATGATAATACAATGCCTTTCAAATACCAGTTTTCGGCTTTTAGGATCTCATTATCACTGGATAGTTTTTCATTCTCATGCATTAGTGTATCTCTTTGTTCTTTGATAGCTTTAACATTTGTCTCGAGTTCCCTCATATGTCGTTCTTTACGTTCTCTGAATGCTCTCTGCGCAGCTCTATTTTGAGCTTTTCGAAGAGCTGGAGAAGCCGGATTAGGCTTTCTTCCAGGTTTTTTTCTGATTCTCACTGGTGGATCTTGTCGTTTGCTGTTTGATGCAGAGTCTTCAACAGTTGACAATCCTGTTTTTGCAACATCGGATGTTGACTCACTCAATAATTGTGTGGATGACACGTCATTCTGATCCTTGAAAGTTTCATTATTTGGATCCATACTTCAGAAATGTATATTGTTACTAATCTGCTGGCTTTTTATTTGTGTAAGTTCAATACTGCAGTTAAAAAACATACTGATCTTATTTACGTTTTTCCCTTACCTTTTCTGTCTTTAATTTCGAGTTTACCGATTGAGTACAATTATGAGGAAAAAATATTAAAATATTCTAGATAAATTCTATTATAAATTCAGACGTACTTATTAGAAATTACCCAAATTGTTACCGAATTGTGAGTTGTGTAAATAAGGTCGAAACAGTAAGCATTCAGCTTTTGGTTATACTTTAAGAATATCTTACTAACTTACACTGTAGGAATGTGTGAAGGAGTGATATCAATCACACATGAAAATGAAACTAATCTCGCTTGAAAACCACAGGTCTTTGATTGTCATTTACTGCAGCAAACATGAAAATATCATAGATATTTTTGGCAGCATTGACGTCGCAATTCCCAAACTGTATTACAATTTTTACACTGCAATACAGCATGTACTCTTCGCTTTGATGCTGCTGTCGTGTCATTCTCCAAACTTCGATGTTTGCATACATTACATATCTGGCTAGTCAAATATTCATCGATATTGAGAGGTAATTACTCGAATTGCTTCTTCACAGTTGTAAACTTTGACCTTGACCAAGCCTAGTTTCTTGAAGTTGAACAGTTGATAATACATATCAGTAAGGTCAGAGTCAGTTTTTTTGCCCGTATTGAAGCCATCCACGTTTGCTTCTTTCGCTAATCTCTAAAACGCCTGAGTATCGATTTGGATTGACTTGGTTTTGACTAAGTATAATGGTGCGAGTGAAAAACAAAGCGATGGCCTCTAGTATCTGTGTATTTTGTAGGAAAGTTCCATCATTGATTCTGCCTTTTACGGTGTCGATGAAGACTTGTATCACGGATATCTGTTGTGACGCGAGGTTCTGTGGTTGTTCCCCGGAAGAAAAGGCTTATCTGAATTGACTGCTGCTAATATTTGCTCAAGCAGAGAACTAAACTTCTGCCTATTCAACGTAGCAGCAAATGGAATTTCGAGAAGTTTTCGGAGAATGTAAGCCTTTGATGCAACTTTTGCTGCTTGTGGCTCCATAATAAAAACCTTCTTTTGGACCTCCTTAGAGAGAAAGTTGAACCACTTGAAGAATAAGTGCGGCTTAGAATACAGTGTTTTTAAGTCGCAATCACTTGGCTGATACTTTTCCCATATGGCAGTGAAATTGGCGACTATCTTGTCCAGAGCATCACTTCTAGAGAGAGAGGCAGGCCATGAGGGGCTTGGTCCCTGTAAATCTTATCAATTTGGATTATAGTGGACTAAGTTAAGTAGCGAGACTATAAAAAGATATTGAATTGTCTTTATTTCGAGTTAATGTTTGGGTCTCTTTTATATCTTTTGGAATAAGTAATTTGTTTTTGAGAAAGGCATGTCTGAGACTTTGTAAATAATTATGGGCAGATAGGAAAATACATGTAATGTTGTTTAGGTGAATAGTTACATATATTTGACCTAGGTAATTATAGAGGACATCACAGTCCCTGCTTCTTTCCATAGATATAATGTGCTATTATTTTCGTTCTGCTACCGTCAAATTTTTAGAGAAGTTTACAGAATTGTTATCAGACAACACAGCCAAAAAATGCATGATTGATCTTTTTATCATGTGTTTCATGTATGTAGTTTCTGGTGAGTGTTTCGTACTGTTTGCTGGCAATGGAAAGAACGCTTGAGTAGTTTATACTTTTTAGCAGCTGCGGGTCCAAAGTCGTCAGGTCACAGAAGGTCTTGAAATGTTCTTTGATGTCGTCCGGTGCCTTCTTACCATTTCCGGTTATCACGGCAAAGATATTTGTGAACAGAGTTTGCTCAATAACAAAAACATCAGCATCTTTGATTTCAAACAACTTGATGAACAGATAGTTGACAAACAGAGATCCCAAGTACAAAACTTTTGAAGTATAGGTTGCTACTTTCAAGATCTGTTCACAAAATTGCTCACTTTTGCAAACATTGGGCATAGTGGTTTTAATAACAAACTTTTCCACTTTTTCGTCTTCGTCGCAAATAGGTACTTTTATCTTTCTGCTTGGACATAGATTACTTGCCTGCCGTGCATGTGTCGTTCTGCTTACAAAGAGGGACAAATACTCGTTTTTGTGGATTTGTTTGAAGCTTTGAAATCTTGAGAGCTTCTTTTTTGTCGATTTTATTTTGAACCTTCTGAAAACACTGGTGCGGATAAAGAAGCGCTAGAAGAATCATTGCCTGTCATTAGTATTAGTGTGTATGTGTGTAACTGGGGCAACATTGATGATTTCTTGATAGAGCCGTAAATAAAACAGTCTTACCTGTGTGCAGTTTGGGGTCTTTACATGGCCGTTCTGAGCTGGGAGACGTTGTTTGCCTTTTCATATTTGCTGAAAAGAAGAAAGCAAAGGGGAAGAACAATGCGTTTTAAGATTGTGTATGATCTATTAAGTATAGTGTTGTCAAAGAACTGCTTCATTGACAACATCACTCAATAAGTAACGGCTCTTACCAACATGCACCAAAGTCCTAAAAAATCATTGCTATATACAGACAGTGACGTATCTCTGCTCCTCAACTTTTTGATGTTATAGTATGCTTAACATATTACACAGCGTAGGCAATCGCGCTGGTTATTGCTCTTGTTCCCTGCGTTTTGTTGCGCCCTAAAAAAAGAAAAAAGAAAATCTAAAAATCCGTCTCAGACTGTAAGTAACAAAATCTAAAAAATATTTATGATATTTCTTAAATCTATTTATTCTGTTCGTCTGAAGCAAACAGTATGAAAGTCCGCATCATCAGTTAAAAATCTGTATTTATCATTTTGCCGCAGAGACCATCCTGAAACGTATAATAAATGCTTCAACAATGAATTATATCACATGAAAGGCGCAGTCAGTAATATATTGGTAAAATATATATGAACAAGTCTGTCTGACTACTCTGAATGATTAATCTTTAGATATTCTTCCGCTAAGATCGAGTAATTGTAAAAAATGCGTGAAATAAATGACGTGTTTAGCGAGATAACAACTACAATACTCGAGTATGTACAACCAAGTAGAGAATACATTCCACAACGGTCTATCTATATTACGTCTAATATAGGTTATATACGACATATAATGAAATACAGGCTTAAGTATAATAATCACACATCGAGCATCTGTACCTGAATTAATGATAAGAATACGCATCCTCAAATAATATAACTCCCATAAAACCTTACAGAGTAAATAACCTTCTACTTCATCTGAAGAATAATAAAATACACTTAAGTTCATAGTCATCGACTTATAACAGTTATCAATTTCAACTAAGCAAATACAACAATAAAAACTAGTTAAAAAGTTTGCTGATTTTATTCTTTGTATGACGTCGTGCTGTAGCAGCCATAAACTTTTTTGAGAAGCAAACAGTTAACGAGTGTTGACTCAAGATGTTCAGATAATTATTATTTATGGCGCTACAGGTGAATCAATGGTTATGTGAAGAAGCCGTATTTTTGTAGGGAGGAAATCAACATGAAATTCAGGTGCTCAACAACATTATTGAAAGTACATACAGCCACAGCGGTGCAAATTTAACTATCATTGTCCAATTTTATCTATTACAGACGAGTTCAGTGTTTAAAATGAAGTTATGTCATGTTTTCCGAACATTTCATCTGCCTGGAACATCTTTGTCTGAAATCAAGATGCCTTTCAACTTCGCACATATTGGGTCACCGAAAATGGATGTACTTGACTCTGATCACAATTATATTCAAGGAAGCTGATTAAGAGAGCAAAGAAAACAGTAAACTTACATTAAAAGATCCGTTTTAATGTCATGAAGAGAGGGTGCTGCGTCTAAGTGAATGGTGACATTGACGTGTTTGGTGAGATAATAACTACAATACTCGAGTACGTACAACCAGGTAGAGAATACATTCTACCACGGTCTATCTATATTGCATCTAATATAGGTTATGTACAACATAGAACAAGATATAGGCCTAAGTATGATAATCACCCAATAAGCATCTGAACCTGAAATTAGTGACTAGCATACGCGTCCTCAAATAATATAATTCCCATTAAACCTCACAAAGTAAATAATCCTTCTACTTCATCTGAAGAATAATAAAGACACCTAAGTTCATAGTCATCGACTTACAACTGTTATCAATTTTTTAAATAAGCAAATACAACAGACATAAAGATTGTAGAAAATCGAAGGGTATTACTTGAGCTCGGAGCTTGCAAAAATGGAAGCCGATCTATTTCGATACATGTTAATGCGTATTTGATTATAGTATCGTAATATTTACCAACTGTAATGATCCCCTTGTCATTCCATTTAGTTTTGCTAAGTATGTCGCATCATTATTACTGATGCAATGGTATTCACACTTCTGGTTTTGCTAGTGTTGATAAAGCGAAGAAGGTATTCACAGCAGATGGTTAATACACGACTCTTTCTGAAGATGACTTTTGATATAAAGAATTACTGAAAGCCAATTTTTGTGGTACTTCTGAAAACTTTGAGAGATTAATCAATGGATATATTAAAGATGGTCCCCTTTCTGAAGAGTTAAAAAGTAACATTCTATGCTGCAAGTTACTTATCACAAGTCATCAATTTTGCACAACGTCGGTGCGTTATAATTGACTAATGTTTTCTTTGGATACCTACCATTTTCAGTGAATGAAGATTTTGACCTTGCCATTTAGATAGTATCTACAGTGAGGAAGCTTTACAGTAGTCATTGAATGCACATTCGTGATAATTTCTCGATGAATTACTTGTGGCTTGTGTTGAATAAATGAAATAACAAGTCAACAATATACCTAATGTTCTGAATCTTGTTTATGAAGGCTTGAAGCTGGGCTACGAGAGGCAATTATATCCAGCAGACGAAACAACTATTGCTTGTAGCTGCACAAAATCCAATACTTGCTATTAGTTGTCGGGATAAAAGAATAACTAAATTAATTTGGAATAATCTTGGTGTTTGGGCAGAGCATGGTCGTAATAAACGGGATATTCCTCATTCCAAAAAGAAATACCCGCATTCTTTTGGTTTTGGAAATATTTGTTATTTGAGTTTTTTCATGTTTATTTTGATATACACATCGTGGTTGTGACGAGTACTTTATTTGCGATTGTTTGTCATGTACAAATGTTGTCTACCTACTTTAATATATCAAGCATGATTTGTGCTTTTTATTTGTTCCTTTATAAATTAATTTAATAGATACGTGTGTTGCTAATAATACCTCGAGCTGCATAAGCGCAGATCAAACTGTCAATAATAAAAAAAAAAAGAAAGCTTAATGGAGAAAAAGGAAGCCGGTTATCAAAATGAAAAGGTAGGGCAAAACATTTGTCACAACGCTTCTCATTGCACTGGCTTTAAAGATTGGACGTGTATTGAGACTGTATCTTGGTGGATTAGGGTTATCAAGTGTTGGGTATACCCAGCTTTGTTCCCAATAAGGAGAAGCATCATTAATACATTGGTGAATCGGCATTACTCTATGTGTTTTTTGAAGTTTAGGCAGCCATTTTTCGGAAATCTCTATTGTAAGATTGTTATTCTCGTGTTGCTGAAGCGTAGAAAGAAAACGAAAAAGAAAAAGTTTATATTAAGCTTTTAATCTAATTTTGAAGCAGAGACTAACAGATTTACCAATGTAATATGTCCATGTTCTGTGTCATTTCCCGCTAATCTATCACGTATCCACTTTTCGAAGGATTGGTCGATTTGACTGAGCTGTATGCCGCCGTTCGCTAGGTTCCAATCATAAGTATCTTGATCCCACAAGAATGTTCTCATACCCATTTGCCAGGCAATCGCACGTACACGGTCATCAACATCACCGTAAGGAGGGCGCCAGCATTTAGGAGTAACGCCGGTGGTTTCTTTGATAGCTCTTTGGGTCCAATATAATTGAGCTACGATCTCCTCATTTGTTAGGGTTGTCATGAGAGGGTGAGACCACGTGTGTGAGCAAAGAGTGTGTCCATCACTTAAAGCTCTTTGGGCGGCTTCGGGATAATAAACAACGTTTGAACCAACAACTGCGAAAAATTGATATGGTTAGCACTGATAGTGACTGCAGAGCAAGTAAGGAGCAAATGACTTACAAAATAAAGTTGCTTTTTGTTTGCCGTTCGCAATTAGGTAGTTGTAGAATCTGGGTTGATCGTGTTCTTTATCCTTTTCAGAGGTAGGCCACCATTTCTTATAAGGTCCATCATCATAGTTAAGACCCCAATCACCTTTGTTTGGGCATATATAGATATCTTCGGGAACGTAGCTGACTTTAGGCTTCTTACAAATAGTAGCTGTCCACCAACAATCAGGATCCTTGTTAACGTCGTAACCAGTCAAGTCAGGAGACCATTCTTTCCTCTTCCTAGTCGGTGCTTTAGGAATTTTAGCAAAATCAAGTTGTTTGATAACAGCCTGAACCTCAGGATGGTTGATGGGGGGTTGTTTAAGAGGTTCTGGGTACTTTGTCATATCTAACTTGAATGAACCAGGTATTATCGGTCCGGCTTTAATGTCTTCTTCACGAGGTAAGCCTTTGGGCATGTTGGCAGGGCCTGAAACATGAGAAAGCCATGCAGGAGAGGTTTGCACAAATGATGCAGTGCTTGATTTTGTTGCCGCTGTGTTGCTTGTTGAAGTTTTTGCTGGACCGGTAGCGTATGTTATGCTGTTGGCATATGCTGTGCTAGCAAAACTAAGAATCAACGCATATGTCAGTGGTAGGAACTTTTTAACCATATTGCCAAACAAAATTATAAAATGGAACAGAAGGTTAGGATTTGAATAACACCCTTTTTATAATTTTTGTAAAGAACCGCGGAAAAATATGTTTGTTATAAGGTGGTTTATTTTTTCTTCAACATCTTTAATACCAAAGTTAAAAAATTTAAAGCACAATTGTTGACTAGTTGAGATAGAGAATTATTGTTCTAATCCTTCATGTGGATTTAGCTCTGTAGCCACTAAGCATGTAGTGACAATTAAGCATTCGATCAAAGCCTGGAATAAAAAACCCCATTTATTGTATTTCATTCTTACGAATTTTTCTGTAGGACGCTTCAAACAAACAAGTAAACTGATGAACGTAATGTGCAGTTATTAGACTTTGAGGTCACTTTTATTTCTTGCTTGTTAGAACATCATATGAAGCTACCATCATATTTACGGATGTGGTACAGTAAAAATTCGATAATTTTATCATGAATAAAAGGCATTGTTCGCCTTATATTAAAGACATATCATGGATACAAATTGTCTCCGAAGCAAACGTGTATGATCTGCTGTTTATCAGCATCGAGCTTTGATGCACTTCACTAATCAGATTGGTGTAATAGCGATGAAAACAATATATACATTCAAATTTATTAATAGTATTACAGAAAGGTCTAGCTGAATGATAAAGCCTACACAGGCATGTTTATAAGTGAAAAGTTAAGGTGAAATATTTATGGTTTGATGCCCAAGTTCAATTTAATGCCCATACTCATCAATTCAGTTGTAAGGTATCTAAACACATATGGGATAGCAATAAGATCAATTCCCTTTGATGTGTTACAAGTTCTACATTCGTAAGTACGTCTGTTGCCTAAGCTGGAGACTATCTTGGTACAGATTGGTGAGGCCAAAGAACCACATAAGCGGCATACATATGCCTGTGAATAATCGGAACAGTTCATTAAACGATCTTGCAGCAAGAAACTTGTGCCGTGTGCAAGCAAGGAATCACGTTCCATTTCACCGAAACGAATACCACCATGTCTCTTACGACCCTTAACAGGCTGCATAGTAAGATTGTGTACAGGACCTGTAGTACGGACCTGGAATTTATCATTGACCATGTGTCTCAAACGTTGGTAATAAACAACCTATACAAGTAATAAACATATATCAGGTATTTTGTAAATAGACAATAATACACATCTAAATGAGGAATCCTTACACCAATGTAAATATCCATCTTCATTTCCTCACCAGTGATACCAGAATACATGACTTCATTGCCGTGATAGTTATAACCAGCCTTTAATAGCTGTTCACCAAAATAGTCAGCAGCTGTATTCTGCTCATTAAATTTGAATGGTGTGCTGTCTTGTGCAATACCATGAAGAGCACCAGCTTTACCAGCTATACTTTCCACAAACATACCGATAGTCATACGAGATGGGAAAGCATGAGGATTAATGATGACATCGGGCTGCATACCAGATTCGGTGAAAGGCATATCAATGGCAGGGTACTTTTGTGAACAGACACCCTTTTGTCCGTGACGAGAAGAGAATTTATCACCAATAACGGGAGAACGAGTGATACGAAGTTTGATGTGGACTTTTTGTAATTCACCAGTACCAGCATCATCACCCAAAAGACGGACCTCTTCGACATAAGCATCTTCAGGGCCCTTGTACTTCTTTATAATAGTCTTGCCTGCTGATTCATCAATGTACGAACAGAGAGGATCATCCGCAACCAAATGAGCACCAATATGGGGTAAACCATCCTTACCAAGTTTAGCGCTGTATTTCTTGGCTTTGGAGGGATCAAGACCGAAGCGATATGTGATAGGTTCTCCACGTGCGCGATAAGCGCCAAGATCAACTGTTTCTGATTTGTAAACGGTACCATAACCGAAACCGCGTTCATGTGCGGATTTATTCAAAATCATGGCATCTTCCATATCATAACCAGTGTAAGAAATGACAGCAACAATGGCATTGTTACCCTGGGGCCAACCGTCTAAGCCATAGTGATTATACAATTCTGTTCTGACAATTGGTGTTTGTGCTGACTGAATACGGTATAACTTATTATCAGTACGATGATTGAGGACAGTGGATGGTGTACCCATAGTCTGTTTACCCATTTGACATTGATACATATTACGAGGAGACTGATTGAAATCAGAGAAAGGTGTTTGATTGGCGATGATACTGAGAATGTGAGTGGGTGTAAACTCTTGATGAGTAGTGACACCAGGTACAACTTCATCATCCATACATGCAATATCCATATAAACCTGTTCAAAGGTACCAATCATATCTGTTTTACCGTTACCAAGATACTTTACGGGACGCATCATACGAGCTGGACTTGAGAATAAATAGAGACCAGGATATTCGCCACCATAGGCTTTAGGTACATGGGCGATTTCCATATCAAGAGGGATACTGTTTTCACGGTTAACACGCCACACCTTCAAGCTTTCAGCGGCTTTCGCTGCAGTAGCAGGAGTGCACCAGCCTACAATCTTACCATCCAACATAACAACTACATCTCCGGGACGACCAATTGAGTGAAGGAAACTTTGAGAGACACCAAGTGCAGTTAACAAACGAGGAATATTTTGTACGTCTAGAGGTTCATTGATAATTTTACATTTATGTGCCAAATGGTTTAACAAACCACAAGGGGAACCATCAGGGGTATGTACAGGACAAAGGAAACCCCAAGCTTCAGGGAGTAGCTTACGAACCGAAGTTGTTTTTAATTCAGCGAAGAAAGCACCACGATGAATACAACGGAAATGAGCCAAATAACGGAAGAAGTTCAGTTTTTCAGCAACAATGGTAAAACCAGAGAACTGTTGGAGATCCAGACCAGTTTTACTCACGAGATTACCGGTAGCCAAAAAGTAAGACAATTTAACACCAATATCACTGTTTACTTTTCGAATAGCATTTTGGAAATATGTACCTATACACACAAGCAGAAGAATATTTAGTCAGCATTCCTACCATAGAATTCAGATAAATATTTACCATTGAAAAAATCCACTCTAGAAGGGTTTAATCTGATGTCATTTCTGATTTGCATCTTGATACCATTCAACCAGTCATAAATCTTTTCCTTCATAATCATATTATAAAGGTGGCCACCTAAAAGAACTTCTTGATGTTGGGGGGCATCTGGGTTATCAGCAGTGCATTCGCCAGAAACGACCGAATAAAGTTTGCGAATCATAAAAGCTAAGAGATTAAATTTATCACGGTTGTCGTCTAGGTGAACAAATACAACCTTCTTGAGCAGCGCTTCACCAATTTCTTTGTCTGTTAAATCATCGTCTAATCCCATAGTGATTCTGAACTTTTCACCAATGTAGCTTAAGCATTGATCGCGGCTGTAGAGTGAATAAATTTTGAAGGATCGCAGTAACAATTCAATACGATCAGTCAAGAAGGTATTTTGCAAGTCACCTTGGTTAAGCGCATCAAAGATTTCTTTATCTGAAGCATCCACTAAAGCCTTGAAAACTAAGACAGCAGGTAACAGATATTCCTGTTTACGCCAAGCGAATCTGAACATAACATTACCGTCAGTTAAATAATGGATAGTGTTGGTCATTGTTGTTTGATCACGGCGAGCACATCGAATAGAGCAACCGTAAGTTGAATATGTAGGCCCACGGTTTTGGAAAGAATTACGAATGATAGCTGTAACATGGTTTCGACGAGGAACAATCAAAAGACGAATCAACTTTTCAATACCATTAACAATGAAGTAACCACCCATTTCTTCAGACTCTTCGTGATGAGCAATCAACTCTTTGGGATACATGCCCTTGAGATTGCAACGGTTAGATCGTACCATAACTGGTACTAAACCAAGATCTCGGACTTCTGACTGAGCAGGTCCATCGTTCACTTTCCAACAAAGCTTAGCTTGAAGCTTACCACGATAAGTGGTCAGACGTTCACGACAATCGGAGGGGTAAATCTTTCGTTTAAGAGTAGTTGTATCACGTTCGCTGATCATAGGCTGTTGAATTTGAACATCTTCTAACCAATACGTTAATTTGTTACCAAGTGAGGTTCCATTCTGATCAATATTGACATCGTTATCAGCGTTATCAAAAACAGAGAAGCTGCCAATATCTTTTATAGCAAAATCAATTAGGCCGGGTTGTCCTTCCCCAAATTCAGAAATGCTGTTGAAAGCATCAATATGAGGTGCAACTACTTCTTGTAATGCTGGTGTTCCAAACTTTTCATTAGAAGGATTACGGAACATTTGTTCCCGTTTCAACGTATTGAAATTCGACATTCCCCTTATTTAAAGTTTTGAATAGATAATCCTACAATAATAATAGCCTTCTCCCAGGTGCTTGGCGAGCGAACTGCTTTGTTAGTAAGACAATAGGGATGTCTATTGAACTGTCAAATAGAAGAGGCAATTACACAAATTTTCTTTTTTTTTTTTTTTTTTTTTTTGCGAAAAAAGTGACTTTCACGGTCACAGCAGCCTCGTCCCAATTTGGAAAGGGCAGATTTATTGAACTATGAGGAAGTTGAATTTCAAGAGTACATATTCGGTGAGCCTCATAAATTGATGCGAGCAAAATAGATTAGCTTCTATTCCGTGTGCCATGAGAGGTAGATGGTAAGCTAAATATTGAACCCAAATTCAAAACAGAGCAATCTATAGATGAAGATGAAGCCATCGTTTATGAAAGGATATGAGTAGAGCGTTGTAAGTAAAGTACCGCTTTTTTGGAAGAGATACTAGCTTTGCGACAATGCTGACTAACGAAGCACATGAACAAAGTTCCACCAGACGCGACGATATACACTTTCATCAGCCGGACAGATAAAGAAGTTTGTATAAGGTCAATAAAATGATACTAGCTACCCACTGTTGCAAAAACAGTTATAGAAGAGTGATCGGCTAATCGTTTTAGAAAGCAATGAATAAATACAAAAATTTATTGAAAACAAAAGGGAAAAACGCGCAGGAACGGTTTTGATTTTGGAAGAACAGCATCGTTTATGTATAAGGAAACCGGAAGACAGAAACTCAAGAATAACAATTGTAGCAATACCTGAGCTATTTTCCGAACAAACAATTTCTTCTTCTGAGTGTAACAAAATTATAGATTAAAGTTCGATTGAACGATTAGAAAAATTGACGAAACGAGCTTTTCAAAGAAACAAAAAAAAAATATATATTTTGAAGTCTCCTTCAAAGGCGAAGAGGTAGGTTTCAAAATAACTAAAAGATCCTTGAAGAAGCAGACTTCAACCTGCATCACCCGTAACCAATGGTGGTATGCAAAAGGCAAACAAGCAAAAATGGGATTGCCAACAGCAGAGAAGCAACTGTAACAATTTTAAGTGTTATATCTGTTCAAGATTGTACCTGATAGCTCGTTAGATAAGCTTGGTGCTGTTCTTGGTGGTAAGAAAAGTAAAGCTGACTGAAAGCAATCGAAACAATAATTGAGTTGATGAGAGAACAGAACATTTCCTCTATTATCTGAATAACATCATGGATGTCCTCGACAAAATGTCATTAAAAAGTTACATATTGTTAATGACACTTTCCATTCTCTCCTAATAACTATTGCATCAACGGCGTATAGGAAGTATAGTGACTTATACGCGTATACATATAGAAAAACTTCAAGCCGCGCGTTCTCAACAAAATTACGTAATAACATAGCAGGATGTTAGGTTTCAGAGAGGTTTTTTGATTGCTTACACTTTTTATTATCAAATTCTTCACAATCAAGTTACAATAACTACTTTTATCCGTATAAAAATTGCTTCAAAGTAGGATGGAACATATCGAAATATAGAGAAATTTTACCAAAATAAATATTGGCCACCCTCTTTTGAAAAACATATCATGGGTCAAAGCAAATATATATTTGAAAATCCTAAAGTAGCAGCCATGGTGTTGCTTTACGGAAACTGAAGAAAAAGGCTATCAAAAGTGCATGGCAATGATATTTGCCATAGAACCATAAAGAAAACTGTCTCACCTATGTGTAGTTTTGGGGCCTTTATATGGCCATTCTGAGCTGGGAGGCATTGTTTGCCTAAAAGCAAAAAAGAAAAGAACACCCGAATTTTAACATTGTGTATCTGTTACGTATCCTATTCTTTTTGTTTGTCGTCAAAGAACTGCTACGATCAACTGGCTCGATAAGTGACGGCACTTACCAACATCCACCAAAGTTTGATTGCTATACACAAATAATGACGTGTCTCTGCTCCTCAAATATCTTTTGGTGTTATAGCATGCTTAATATTATTACACACGGTAGGTGATCGCTGCTGTTTCCTCGTCAACCCTCCGTTTTTATTGTGCCCTGAAAAAATCAGATTCTTAAAAATTCATCTCAAACGACAATAAATTTAATCCAAATTTTTTTTGCAATATGCTATTCTGTTCGTCTGGAGCAAACAGTATGAAAGTCCGAATCATAAGCGAAAAAAGTATATCCCTATCTTTTTCAATTTTTGAGAGTTATCAACATGCAACCACAACCACCACACGCCTACCAGCAACACCCGATGAACATGCAACAGCCTGGAGCTATGGTAGCTCCAGCTGCGGCTGCTCCTTTCAGAAAAAGACCAAGTGAAGCAGACACTTTAACGAAACACATCAAGTAATCTCGACAACACAAATTCTTGATCTTCATATTCTGATCTAAACAATCGCGTATTCTACGTTGTTCTTATAGAAAAAAGAGACCAACGGACAAGAATATGCCAGCTAAAGTATGTCTGAAATATTTCATAAACTTCTGGATATTCCCACCTAAAATTCTCAAATTTTCCACAATTTAGGTTGAATCCTTCGTTCCAGAAGCGAAATTGTATACAGATTTAATTGAATTTGAAAAGAAGCTAGATGCTACCATTATGAGAAAAAGACTTGACATACAAGAAGCTTTAGGAAAGCCAACGAAGGTATGGAGAAAGGCAGTTTCTTAAATTATTAAGGTGGAATGTTGCTAACCGCCCTGTAACAAATTTATAGGTGCATAGAACACTTCGTTTATTTATTTCAAACACGGCAAACGATCAAGGAACCACCACAAATCTTGAAAACAACTTTGATTTGAGTAATGGAACAACGCCAAATTGGACACTCAAGATTGATGGTCGCTTGTTAGAAGTTAGTAGAAGGTGTTTAATGAGGCACACTTGATGAATATAGTCGTTGAAAGTTACTTTTTTCTTTCTCATCTATAGTCCGAGAGTGAACATCAGCAATCACAACAACCGACCCCAAAACTTACATCATTTTTCCGTGCCATTACGGTCGAACTAGATAGAGATATAAACTTATACCCGGAGGGAAATATCGTTGAAGTAAGTAAACAGTATATTTGAAATAATTGCACACTATGCGTAAATGGTATACATCTGGAAATATTTTTTTAAAATTGTAGTGGCAAAAGCAACCTAATTCACCTGATTTTGATACCATCGAAATCAAACGAAAAGGAGATATTAATGTTAACGCCAAAATCACAATACATCTTGACAGCAATCCGCAAAAATTCAAATTAAGCCCTGCCTTAGCAGACCTTTTGGATATCAGAGTAGGAACAAAGCCAGAAATTGTTATGGGCATTTGGAATTATTGCAAGGTAAATGATTTTAGTTTCGAAACATTTATTGCATTAGCTTCTATGTTTGATAATTATTTTTGGTGTACATCAGAACCATAAACTGCAGGATGCTGAGGATAAAAGGCTCATCCGATGTGATAATCGTTTAGCTCAGGTAAAGGTTTAATTGAAGGTTATCTTCTAGAGTGTCATTACGAATTCACGCTCGTATATCTGTTGTAGTTATTCGGTTTTCCTCAATTACATTTTGGCCAATTACCAGAATTAATCACACAGCATTTAAATAGACTCGATCCTATTGTCATTGAATACATGATTCGAGTTGATAAGCCATTTCATCAATCATCTAAAGCTTTCGATGTTGATGTAGAACTTGACAGCGATGTACGTCAGAGAATGATCAACATTATCTCAGCTAATCAAATACAAAAAGAGATTATGGGCTTCGACGATAAAATTGTACAGTGTGTTCAAAGTATTAACAACAGCAAAATCAAGCGCGACTTTTTGTTACAATTCTCGAAATCACCTGTTGATTTTATTAATAAATGGATTGCTAGTCAAGCTAGAGATTTGGAAGTTATATTGGGTGAAAGTAAGGTTAATCTAGAAGAGATGAGAGATACTGATTTTTATAAACAGCCTTGGATGAAAGAAGCTGTATTCCATTATTTAACAACTAAGGTAAGTAAGGAGCAGTAGATTTAATCTATGCAAGCACATATCCTAAATCCTTTTTAACCAATGCAAAATTAGACACAGCAACGCATGCAAGAATTGCTAGGATTTCAACCACAATAATCATTCAAAATCATCACAAGTTTGCAATTACATGGGATTTTTTCCAATTCAATAAATCAAAGCTCTTTGTTTATTCCAAATTATGCCCAAAATTGAATGCATGTTGGTTGTATATGGTCTACAGTTGATACTTGCGTTAACAACCCTGTATTTTGATTCATTTTGAAGACGACTACATTATTAGAATGCTATATAATTTTGCAAAATAGAAACAAAAGAGAAGATCAATATAAAAGACTAGATCAAAGAAAAAAGTCCTCTTTGATTATTGCTACTTACCATATTGCCAACGATTAAGAAATTTCCTGTAGGATCAATTGTAAAATGGCGCGGATGCTTGCCACCTGTATTTTGGTATCCTACTAAGGACAACTTGCCTGACCATTCATCGATAGAAAATATCGTAATAGCGTCATAACCCCGCATAGATACGTATAGAAATTTACCATTAGGAGATATATCGATTTCAGATCCCAGATTAAAGTCTTTGAAATCCTCGGGTAATGCAGGAATTTGTTGAACTTTGTAAAACTTGCCTTCGTGGAAATTGAATTCCAGCATGAAGACTTCGTTTGAAAGTTCTGCTACCACATAGCAAAAGTTATTGTGGTTAGGTGCAAACTTCAAGTGACGAGGACCTGCGCCCTTGGGGAACTCGAAGGTAGAAAATGGATTTAGCTCGCCACTGTTTTGACGGTCGAATTTGTAGGTGACAAGCAGATCACATCCTAAATCGTTCGCAAAAGCGTAATGCTGAGCAATGGGGTCCAGGTCAATAGAGTGAATGTGTGCTTTTTCTTGACGGTTAGCTACACCGAACGTAGCGTCGTAAAGGCTGTTATGGTTGGGATTGGATATCACTCTACCTAAAGCTGAATCTGGTGAACCTGGAGAAATTATAGGAAGGACGCCAATAGAGCCGCCTGAATAGTTTGCGACAAGAAGATAGTTGCCAGTTGAATCGCATACTAAATGACAGGGATCTTCACCAGCAGAGGGTTGCTCATTTACAAGCGTCAATAAACCAGTCTCTTTGTCGCGTACATAAGCTGATATATAGCCCGTCTTTTGACCCTTATACTCTTGTACTTCATTCACAGCATACAAATGCCGGTTGCTTTTATTGATGGTGAAGAAAGAAGGATTCACTGACTCGGCAGCTAAATCCTTGGGTATTAAAACACCTGTAGCAGGATCAAATGAATAAAGGTATATGCCTCTGCTTTCTTTATTTGTGTAGCCGGATATATAAACGGGTATTTCTGTCATGCTGCTTGAATTATACCAAAGGAAAAGAGCAGTGCAAGAATCAACCAGGTCGGATTTTCAATATAGTTGCAATTTTCAAAGTCAACATAACATGGGGTTAAGCTGCTTGTAGATACAGTCTTTTCGGTTCAGATTCAGACAGCGTTGAGTTGGTTTTCAGATGAAACGAATAAAAAACTTGGAAATTGGAGTACAATATTTTTGGATATATTTTTGATAATATGTAGAATTTTTCAGTCTCCCGTCGAGGGGAGACAACCACATTCGATGTGGCGCTTTGTGATTGACAGCAAAATGTACTAGGTCTTCCATGACCAGCCCAAATCTCTTGAGCAATATGATACATATTTTTAGCCGCCATTACATCACACAATTCCATCAAATACTACAATTTTTGTTACAGAGTATCTGATGGCTTTCTTTCCCTGTTGAAATAGCACGATAATTTGTTAGCGCTCTACAACGGTATTTCAAGCTATGATGGTGATCATCACTACATACCTTTGATGTATTCACCTAAACTACTAGGTGAACGATTTCAAACACGCACTTTCTCTAAATCATTACTCATTGTAAATAGATATCAATGAGACCCGAACTCCAACTTGAAATAACGACAATGAAATTCTTTGTTTTACTTAACTTAACCCATTATAAATTCCAATTTGATAAACCACAATATTCCCAAGTTCAAAAAGACCTTTTATACGTATTATAAGTATGCCTAGAAAAGTAGAGAGTACATTATCATTCTGATGAATATAATGTTTACAGTATACCGCAAGTTTCCAACAGACATAAGCAATGTTAAGGATACGTACTTGTCGATCTTCTTTTCATTGATGAGAGCTTCAGCTTCGTAATAAAGCTCGGGTCATGTCATTTGATTCTGCTAAAGAATATATGATTCTAAAGCAACTTGTAAGAAAGAAAGATAAAGATAGAGAAAAAGAAAAGAGAGAGTAGTATATTTGATAACAGTTATATAGAAAAACAGAAGTGAGGAAAAAGTGAAAGTAGTATAGCTAACAACTTTTCTTAAATTAGATCGCCAATTATATTCAAGAAAAGTCTGATAAAATTGACCCCTCCTCCCAATAGAACATGATCCTGATTACCCTTGAACCCTAATGGGTTTTTACATACTACTTAGCCTTAGGAGCTGCCCTAAACAAGTTTCATATCTCGTGTACATTTCATTGTTTAAACATACAGTATTTACTTATTTTGGATTTTCTGACAAACAAATTTCAAAATACTTGCGAGCACATTCGGATGAAGCCCATTGATAAGTGCATAGCGTGTATCATCCTCTGTATACGATTAAACCTCACAGATGATTTGTCGTTTCTTGCGCCAATAAATTAGAACTTGATGCATAATAGGTTTTGAATATACTATATTATTCTAAGCAGAATTTAAATCAAAAGATTTACATCATGCAATGCACTTTTCTTGTGAAATTGATTGTTCTCAAGTTAAAGACCTACTAGTAATAGTAAATAAACAGTCGTAACCACTTTCCTAGAATTGTACACAAGATAGACGGCTGGACAAGATCCAATATATCAGTTGGTCATCTCCGCTTATATCACAATCGAGCTTCTCCTTAAAATGAAAACATAACAAAGAATTGACTTGCTGTATATATATTAGAAGATCAGCTACTATTTGTGGAAGTATCACCGAGCTCCTTGTACTTGATAAGACCTTGACGCTTGTAATAAAGTGATAGAATTATACTTTTTTTTTTTATTTTCAATCTTTTTTAAGGATATCTGAACAATGAATACAGGTAATCGTTAAGGAGACTGAGGATATCTGAACAATGAAATACAGGTAATCGTTAAGGGAACTGTCAGCATCTTTGATAATGAGACCTCTCATCACTTGATTTTGTTATTGGATCATAGATAAACAAAGAACCAGATTATTGCATAGCATGTATAAATACGACTTTTGGCGTTTTTTTTTTGTTTTTTTTTTTTTGTAAATTACTTTATCCAAAAATAATAAATTAGTCACACATCGCTGAGGGGTGGGACATGGAGAGGAAAAGACAAGCTCTATGACGGGTAATTAGTCGAAGGCAGGCTTAAGGAAAATAATATTGTGTGCTTTACTAAGGACCGATGGGGGGTGGAAAGGAATGTCATGGATATCATTCGGAAGAGTGAAGTCGAGATAGCCCAATGGATACTGAATCAGACGGTGAAAAATTAAGATTGTTCAGACGAAGGTGGTGATAGTGGCGTGTGTAATCTGAGAGCGGCTGAGATGCTTCAAGGATCAAAGCAGAAGGACGGGAAATATGCCGCGAGGCCTTCTTGCCATATCTGCCAGCGTAGAGGGCAACTGGTTATGAAATGTTCGAACATATCAATATCATGATTACAAAATTTGCAGATAGCAGATGAAACTACCCCTGCTGCTTATAAGACTGATAAGCATGGTAATTTTTTCAAAATGGTGCGATAGCTTAGGTCACGAGCCGGAAGAAACAAAGGAAGGGACCAGAACAGATTGAACATCCGTTTGGGAACTACCCCTATATCTGCTACTTGTTGTATTCAGCTGTTAGGATAAAGTCTAAACGCTGAAGCCAAATGAGGCCAAAGGGCACTGTTGGCCAATCGTCGTAGTAGTGATGTTTCTAAATCCTGATCTGGGTCGTCGGTATCTATAGAAGAGCCTGCCCGCAATCTATTGACGTAGGCTTGAAGCTGCACTGTAGAATCTATGAGTACTTGGCCCAAAGATGTGAGCGCAACCGCGGTTTCACATTATATTCTCCTGGTCGCTTCATTATGAGGTGGTTGGTGGATCGGTTATGGAAGAAAAAAGTGTTTGTGACCATCTTGGGATGCAAAAGAAATCGGTCTGAGACAGCTTCGTAAAGAATCCCAATCTAACAATTGATCAGTCCAAAATTTTCCTATAACCAGTATAAACTTTCCCAATAAAAAGTCCGAATTTTTCTTCAAAGAGTCTGTGGAGTGGTTAACGCCTTGGCTTCCAAAACCAACGATTGTTGGTTCGATTCCTGTACGCCGCTGATATATTTCAGCTTTGATCCCTTTCTCTCTGCTTCCTAGGGTTTTTTAATGCCGCTATCAAGGTGGTTCCCGGTCGGTGTTGGTGTTTAAACAAGTTATGAATAATTGCGGTGCCCGCCCAGGCTTAATTAAGCAAGATCCCGAACCGCGCCCAAAGTCTTAGCCTACCAATTATAATGATTAGTTTAGCCCCTTCCCCCTTCCCCCCATTTAGATAGTATGCTTTTTCGCCCACCACGGCACCCTGACCGACACTATGCCTCGCTCTATTCTCAACTCGAGCTGCCCCGGGCAATTTTTTGATATGTAGTTTATCTGTGTGCCCATTGGGTTTAAAAAATTGTATAATAAAAAAATCCTTGTTTAAACGTAAGTGGGATACCAATAAAAACATAAAAAAAAAAACTACGCTAGAATGCCGCTGAATGTACATAGTACTCAATATTGTTCGCGCCACTTTTTGTACCACTCTACTGGTGAAATCAGTGCCGAAGCTTATACAAAAAGCCATCAAGAAAATATGATTTCGACAAAACCCTTCTTCTTCTTTACTACGTTGGACATCCTAAACTTTGAATACGTCAGACTTCGTTGGTAAAGGTGCCAATTTACTCAAAACGTAGAAAAAAATGGAGCGGTACATTGATCTGCCGGGATGTTGCGTCTTACTACCAGGAACATTCCTTTGAAGACCATGTAAGCATAACGAATATATTGGAAGAAGTAAAACCCGCTCTTTGCTGACTCTAATACCTTACAATCGTCACGTCAGTACTCTTTAATATACCCTTTCAGTTTAGGAAGGAAAACATAATTCTTCTGTCATTAGATAAATCACATACGAACAACATCAGTGTGTTTTATCATTGCTTTTATTTCATATCCGTTTTATATCAATTACGCAGGGACATCTCTTCAATACAACCTAGTCTTCTCATACAAAATGGCTAATCTAATTACATTAAATTCATGTTCTTCTTTAGCCTATCAAGATTTATTGAGGTATTTATTATTGAAGTTGACAACGCATCCCATGAATCGAAACACTTAGAGATAAATTTACACTTTGATTCCACGTTTAAGATTGCTATTGAACGAATCAATTTTCTTTTTCCTATAGGGTTAAGTCAATGTAAATACTTCTCCTGCAATTCAACATACAATGACATTTTTGATCTTCATAGTAGTATAAAGAGCAGGCAGCGCAAAAAATTGCAATCAATTGATAGTTTCTGAAGGAACATATAATGTATATTTCTTCAATGAAAAACAGTAGTGATTGAGTTACAGATGATTTCATTGGCCTGCAAAAGCTTGAGCACTTAAAAATCCTCTAAATTAGGACAAAATTAACAAACAAATGATATGACTTTTAAATGCAAATCACTGTCATCAATCCTACGTTAGCACCATTTTTCTTTGTATTCCTTACCGTTTCGTCTCTTCCCCTCATGAGAGCTTATAGCTCGTTTTGAATACCGAATTTTACCGAACAGTTTCAGATATGCATCTATCGCATGCATGAAACTATAAAAATTGTTGTCAATAAAATTCTTCTTTAAACGTACTCTTTTTATCATCATTCATATTCTGTCATGTCTACCAGAAATATTGACTATAGCTTTCTCAATCCGATTCACGCAACAGTAGCAGCATCTTTCCCTTTGGATATTGACCCCACAAAAGTATCTATAGAACATATCCGTCAAACACCAAAACCTCAGTTGAGCGACGATGTACTCAGGCCTGAGGTAGATATTGAAAGCATTATAGTTCCTTCGCACACAGATGGCCATTTGTTTCCAGTAGATATATACAGACCAAAAGGAATCAAGAATATGTCTACTCTACCAGCCGTCATATATTTGTAAGTATCTATAAACTATATTATATTTCCTTCAAGAACAGAAAAAAAAGAACAGAAAAAAAAGAAAAGAAAAAAATTTGTAATTGACGGCCCCAATCAATAGCCATGGAGGGGGATTTTGTTTAGAAGGCGAAGATGGACATCCATTTTTAATGGCTAAGGTACAAACTGAATTGCTATAGAAATCTCATTGCAAGTCAATATTTGTTATATGTTGATATACTCCTTTTACATGCTAAAAGCTTGCTACGGAAGCAAACTGCGCTGTATTCTATGTCCATTATTCCCTTAGCCCAGAAGCAAAGTTTCCTATTGCCCTAGAAGAATGCTACACTATGGTCTCTTCTGCAGTAGATCCTGAGGTGGCAGCTGGTTGGAATATCGACCCTACCCGTGTTGCTGTTGGTGGAGATTCAGCTGGTGGGAATTTGACCGCTGCAGTAACATGTAAGGATGATCACGAGTAGCTTTTAAGTTGATTGACTTGGTTGCAACAAATGAAAATGAATTACCATTTTGAATTGCTTATCTATTATTTTTTTGGCTTGTATGCAGTGCTGGCTAAACAGAGAAATGCGCTCAAAAATAGCATCAAATATCAAATTCTTTATTATCCTGTTTTGATGAACAGTTTTGATTCCGAATCATACAAAAAGTACGGGCAAGGTTTCCTTGTACCCGTAGGTTTATCAAAGATGTTCCATGACAATTACAAATCAGATGAAGCTACAGATGATAACATATTCTTCTGTCCTGGAAAAGCATCCATAGAGGATCTGAAAGGGTTACCTCCTGCTTTCTTGATGACTTGTGAGGCTGATGTGTTACTTAATGGTAAGAACTGTTTGCGCCTTGTCTCTCAAAAATCACAGTAGGCTTAAAATATATGCCGGTTTTGTATTTACTTTTGCTACGTCTTTATTGTAGAAGGTGAAGAGTACGCACGTAAACTGCTATTGGCCAAAGTACCTGTCACTGCTGTCAGAATAAACGCTGCTATCCATGGTTTTATGTCTGCTGCACCTCTTTATTCTGAAGAAACGCTCATCGTAATTGATGCGACAACAGGTGCCCTTCGAAGAGTATTCGGCACTTAGGGTCAGTATACTACGATATACATACCTGCTCGTACATATATTGATTAGCAAAATATTTAACCTTTTTACACGAGGCTATCCTATCGTTTTGATTAATCCATTATAAATAAAGTCGATAACATTCTGAAGGAGTTGTTCAGTAGTAGAGATTAACGTAAAAAAAAAAAGCTCTTTGGTTCTCCGTAACACAAAAGTTATGCAGCACTGGAGTGAAGAGGGGTTCCGAAACAAGTCAGGAACAAAAACTGGCGTCATAACAATGTAAAAGTTACAAAATGTTCTTTTCATAAAGATAGAAAAAACCAGTTCTCACTAAATGTACCCATGCAAACATTACAATATAAATTTAATTCAAACGCTTTTTCTTCTTCTTTTTTTGAGTGCTTTAATATTACTTTTTGCAATCCCTGTAATCATTTAGTGTAAGATAGAATGTCCAATTCAGCAGCTGAAAATACAGAAACCGGTAGCAAACTCAACTTAACATCCGTGATGTCTACTTGCGCTTCAGCATTGCAAAATTTCAAACCTCTCAGTAATGTCTGTGAGAGCTTTTGTGGTATTCATCCCTTTTGCGACAATATTAATAAGCAAATTGTCGCCTATCATTTCTGTTCCATGTTGGATGAGGACCGTCGACAATGTTTGATATATGACGATGATGGACCAAACGCAAAGCTGATTGCTGTGGAATATATCATTTCCGATAAATTATTTAAGGAGCTTCCGGAAGAAGAAAAGAAATACTGGCATTCTCATAAATATGAAGTGGAGAGCGGCATGTAAGTCTTAAATTCTGATGGAATTTCTTTGCTATGTTGGAAGCTCTCAACCATACTAATTTGCTCATGAAATAGGTTGGTAATGACATCCAAATCACTCGTCCCGAATGCAGTTGCTACTGCCACTGAGAATCAACAATTGAAAGCAATTATAAACACATATGGTAAGAGTATCAATTTATATAGTTTCTAAAATGTTTTTCTGTATTAATGATAAATTATGTTGAATATGATGAAAATTAAGGTAAAACATGGCAACTGTGGCCTGTAGACGATAATAACAAATGCTCATCAAAAGTACCCTACGGACCGCCCCAATTAGTTATGGCATTTACAAAGGATGGCCAGGTCAATCCTCAACTTCTTAAAGAGCGAGATGATCATATGGGTATAAGCACTAAAGAAAAGAGGAAAGCTAGGGAAGGTGTGTTAGTGGGCAATGTGCCCTTAAGTGGAGCGGACCATTGGCAATTCAAAGAGCCATTCCAAATCAAAGAACATTGAGCATGATTATTATATTACCCCTACATATTGCAGAACGATATCAAAATAAAAAATCAGTGAATTTTTTGTTGTATTCGAATTGAAGTTCGCCTAGTATTAAGATATGAATTCTGATTTTGGATATTCATGTACAGTGTTTTTACTTATGGTGGAGACGGGTCAAAATCCATTTACACCATTTACACCGGATACACCGTGGTGATCAGGCCCTCGGTAAGACCACGATGTTGCGTGGGGCAAGTTTAGTATAGATTGATGTTTAGAATTCCGCAGCAAATTTACGAGCCGCCACTACAATTTTCTAGATAGATCTTCATGTAAAAGTCGAGCCAGTTTCGTTCTGGCGATTAGAGGATAATGTTAATCGGTTGATGCGGGTGACTTCGTTGGTTTTCTATAAAACTCAGTAGGTCTTCCCGTTGACTTCCATATTGACACGCTAATTGCCAACATGTTTTTTGCAGCATTGACGTCCCGGTTCCAAAGTATCGAACAGGTTTTACAGGCAAGGATACTTTGGCCTGGAACAGTCTTCAATGCTTCAACGGTGTTGCAGTGGCAATTGTTGCATGGTCAAGAGGTGAGGTATTCATCAATGGTTAATACGAGCAAATCACCAGCAGCCTCTCGTCGCTTCAAAGCACCCCATAGAACACCAACGAGAACAGAGACTCTAAGTGTTGCAGTATATAATTAGCAATAATGCGGGTAAATTACTATCTTTTTTAATGTAATACTATATATAGTAGTGCGGGGTAGCCATATATGGTAGAACCCAACTGTAGATTTAGGATTAGGAGCAGCCATACCATTCTCTTGGGCACCTGCAAACATATCCAATTTTTGAAATTTAAAAAATATCATAGCGTTAAGAATGACTTTGTGAACGACGAATTATCCATCTGAAAGGATTCTGCCTTTCATAATGCACACATCCAAAAAAAAAAGACCCGAATCAGGGCTCACTCTCGATTTATTAAGCGGACAATAAGTGAGTCAGTCGGACCCAAGTCTTTGTATGTTTTCCGCAGACCAGTGGGCATTAAGGAAATACTTAGAACCCTATGAGAGCGTCTTTCGCTTATTTGCTCTCAAGATGTCCATAGTCAATACACCATCATATATAAAGAGTCTTATTCATCATTTTTGCTGCTTAAGCATTTCGTTACTGATACGTTGATATAAGCTTCGAAGGGTGGAATGCGGTCCGTTTCAATTGAAATAAGCAATCAAATATTTTTGTTGAAATTGCCGCCAACCTTGTTATAAATGAAAGCTCATCTATCGTGGTCTCGCGCCCTTTTTCATTTACAAAGTAGAGACTCAACTTAAATAAAATTATCCTCTTCTTTTACTATGGTTATTTACAAAGTAGAGACTCAACTTAAATAAAATTATCCTCTTCTTTTACTATGGTTCACTTTTTATCTATTGCACTCTCAGCGTTGCTCGTCGTCAAAAGCGTCTATGCAAGAGGTCGCGTTGTAATGCCTCCTCAAGGCTCCTATCATGGATCCCATCAAGGTCATAGTATACTTCCTTTCCCTCCTCCTAATCCTCCTAATCCTGGTAATCCTAATCCTGGTAATCCTAATCCTGTGTTTCCTCCTCCCGGAACTCAAACTCCCGGTACATGTGCTGGTTATGGATTAAATAACGATGCTGTAAGTATTGAAGGAAAAAGAAAAAAGATTATCCTATTTGTCATGAAATGCCATTTCATCTATTAACATAATGTCTACTACAGTTCGGCCATTTCAATGCCATCTTCTTTGGTAATTTTGAAACGGGTGGTGGTTCTGGTACCATGGGCCCTCTCGCTGTTGGTGGCAATTTCACTGCTCCCAATTCTGTTGTTAACGCCAACAACGACTCTAACTGTGATGACAATCCTTCCTCCATCGGTTCTATGGGTCTTGTTGTCGGGGGAACTGCCATTACTTCCAATACACAAGTCCACGGTAACGCTTTGATCGCCGGCGGTGGCACCCTGACCCAAATTAGAGAGTCAGAAGCCGGCTTTCAAGTGTCTAACCAACTTGGCACCGGCGATTTCGATTTCGTTGCCGTTCGAGAAGCTGCCCTAGATAACAATGAAGGCTATGCTTATATGGATCCTACTGCTATCATCGAACCCAATGGCGCATTTACTCAATTCGGATCCGATGCTGACTACGAGGTTATCACTTTTGGCGGATGCGGGGGAATGCAATGTAGTCGAGACCCCAATACGGAATCAGACCCTTCCAATATTCTTTTAGGCTCAGGTAATTGGAACGGTTTCCAACCTATTGATCCCAATAAGACTTATGTCTTTAATGTAAGTAGAAAAACGCTGTTTATCATTCGATGCCATTCGTCCATATGCCTCTTTTAACCCCCTCCTTTTCGACGATACATAGATTCCTGTCATCAATCGTGGCACCGTCACCCTTCGAACCAATGATCCTCTTGATAGTCTCAATCCTTGTAGAGTTGTTTGGAACATTTATCCCGTTGACGACCGAGGCGTCTACCTGCGAGACGGTGAAATCACCGTTTACCGTGCCACTGCTTCTCAGTTGGGTGGTTTGATCATGGCCCCGGAAGGTAAGCCAATCTTCTGCAGTAAACATGTATGAAAATAAGAAAAAACAAAAATAGCCTAATAACTCCATTCTCTCTTCTATTTCTAGCCCACATTATTGATGGTACTACAGGTAACTTTGCTGGTACCGTCGTAGGTAGGGACTATACTTGGTCCGACTTGGGTGCCGGTGTTGAAATCCACGATTACCACGCTATTGGCGGCACCTGCGATGCCTTCCAAGGATGTAATCCCCACCCAGATCATAATGTCAATGAATGTACCAATACATTGACAACTACCTCTACTGCTACTACTATGCAAGTAATTCCTACAACCACTACTGAGGAAGTGCCAGTTCCTACAACCATTACACAAGTAATTCCTACAACCACTACTGAGGAAGTGCCAGTTCCTACAACCATTACACAAGTAATTCCTACAACCACTACTGAGGAAGTGCCAGTTCCTACAACCATTACACAAGTAATTCCTACAACCACTACGCAAGTAATTCCAGTTCCTACAACCACTACTGAGGAAGTGCCAGTTCCTACAACCATTACACAATTAATTCCTACAACCACTACGCAAGTAATTCCTACAACCACTACGCAAGTAATTCCAGTTCCTACAACCACTACTGAGGAAGTGCCAGTTCCTACAACCATTACACAAGTAATTCCTACAACCACTACGCAAGTAATTCCAGTTCCTACAACCACTACTGAGGAAGTGCCAGTTCCTACAACCATTACACAAGTAATTCCTACAACCACTACGCAAGTAATTCCTACAACCACTACGCAAGTAATTCCAGTTCCTACAACCACTACTGAGGAAGTGCCAGTTCCTACAACCATTACACAAGTAATTCCTACAACCACTACGCAAGTAATTCCAGTTCCTACAACCACTACGCAAGTAATTCCAGTTCCTACAACCACTACTGAGGAAGTGCCAGTTCCTACAACCATTACACAAGTAATTCCTACAACCACTACGCAAGTAATTCCAGTTCCTACAACCACTACGCAAGTAATTCCTACAACCACTACTGAGGAAGTGCCAGTTCCTACAACCACTACGCAAGTAATTCCTACCACCACCACATTAACTGCTATTGTCGGTACCACTACCACAGAAATTGTACCTACTATCAGCACTTTTACCCAACCTATAACTATGACAGATACCATTATTATTCCGATAACTACCACTACTACAAATACAGCTACAACAACAGCTACAACAACTGAAACTGCAACTATTAGTCCAGCACCTACAGCATTACCTGCACCGTTATATGATATTAATAGTAGTCGATGTATTACCAGTGTTCAGAATTATCCTGATTTTAGAATGATTACCACTACCGTACTTGATACAAATACTTGTTATTATTTCTGTTTGACTTCAGGCAAAGTGAATACTCAGGTTACGTGGTATTTTGGATTAGCAAACAGTATAAGTGTAACATCAAGTTCTAACTTCAATTTTCAGAATAACAACTATTATATGTGTGACTGTTTTCAAAACTTATCAAATCCTGAAGCCCGCACTACATGTACTAACAATATAGGAAATTCTTTCTTTGCAAATAACGCTAGTACCAATGTATTTACTGTACCAGGTTTTAGCCCCCAATAAACAAAGCTTTACCGATTGTTGTATCCAAGATACAACTATACGTCTTAAACTACAGAACGACTTCAGTACCTGCTTGACAATCTGATACACATCTACTTTGACACCCGCTTGCGGCTAAGATCTTATCATTCTCATGATAGTTTTAGTTCAGTTGTATTAATAGTTGAATACCCGTTAATAACCCCGTTTCTCATATAAAAGTATCATTCTCAACAAACTTGAATAAAGAGTATCTTTGTTGTGTCTGGTCATTTTACTGTCTTATTTTATTTTTATAAGTCTTTTAAAGTAACTGGATATATCACCGATATTTAAAACGAAAATAAAAACCCAAATGGTCGCACAGCGAGATACAATTTTTTTAGATGTGGGGGTGGGGGCGCTTTCTATTTTCACTTTCTTTTTATAAGGGATCTTAAAAGCTAACGAAATAACTACGTCTCAACTTCTTTTCATAGTCTGCTTATTTGGCCTCTTCACCGACATGATTCATAGTAAAACGTAACAACTGAATACTCAGTATTTAGGAAATTATTTGAACGATGCATTTACCCTTACCTCATAGAGCATAGCCCTCCACTTGATATCGCTCAAGACGTTTTCGTGAAGCACGTGGATCTCTAGACCGAGCTCTCTGTTTCATTGAGATTTGTAATCTTGTTCGTCATATTCACCATTACCAACCTATTTTGGCTTTCTTGGATATAAAGTCGGCTTATGACACAGTAAACCGCGACTACACCTGGTCTATCTTTGTTGTATTTGCTTATTATGAAAACTGATAACTGTTATAAGTCGATGACTATGGACCTAGGTGTCTTTATTGTTCTTCAGATGAAGTAGAAGGATTATATACTTTGTGAGGTTTAATGGGAATTATATTATTTAAGGACGCGTATGCTAGTCACTAATTTCAGGTTCAGATGCTTATTGTGTGATTATTATACTTAGGCCTGTCTCTTGTTCTATGTTGTACATAACCTATATTAGATGCAATATAGATAGACCGTGGTAGAATGTATTCTCTACCTGGTTGTACGTACTCGAGTATTGTAGTTGTTATCTCACCAAACACGTCAATCTTGGCGCCCCATTTCCCAAAGCCTCTTTTCTGTCTCCTTAAAAACTTATTTGATGATGTCCACCTGGAAGTCCTATTACAGAACACTAGGTCATACCGCTTTAAACCAGAATGGGGTACTACAAGGTTCAATCTTATCTCCCTTCCTTTACTCAACATATATCAACAACTTGCCAGGCACACTTCGACCCGTACCGCTTTCCACAATAAACATAGATCAAGCTGAAGCTCTCTGGGAAGCTCGATTTTCTTGAGAATAGAGCAATGCATAGTGTCGGTCAGGGTGCCGTGGTGGGCGAAAAAGCATACTATCTAATTGGGGGGAGAGGGGAGGGGGAAGAGGTTAAACTAATCATTATAATTGGTAGGCTAAGGCTTTGGGCGCGGTTCGGGATCTTGCTCAATTAAGCCTGGGCGGGCACCGCAATTATTCATAACTTGTTTAAACACCAACACCGACCGAGAGCCACCTTGATAGCGGCATTAAAAAACCCTAGGAAGCAGAGAAAGGGATCAAAGCTGAAAAAATTTCAGCAGCGTACAAGAATCGAACCAACTGTTGTATCCAACAGCATATTACTCTTGGATTATTACATAATACTGAAATAAGAGACTACAGATCCTTATGAAGGTTAGAATAACCGCGAGTGATAGATTTGTCAGAACAATTCTTTTCTTTTACGGAAGAATATTTCATCTGTACATCCGAGACAACATTGTATTAGTAATTGACTTTATTTAGGAATAAGATATTATAGTATTTGGATTTGATTAAATCAGATAACTTTATTCAGCAGATCAAACCACAATACATAAATCTAATCTACTTAAGCTATTATCTAACTTGTGGATCCCTTACTTTAACTCTTTACATTCTGACAGAATTCAATAAGACTGAAATGGAGATATCGGCAGAAGTAAAGATGATTTATCCTATCCGTCCCATTAGTCATAATGAATCTGCCGAGGTATTGGTTAAAGGAACCGTTAGCCAGATCAGCTCATCACTTACCTTCTTATACCTATCCAATCGGTCAAGGCACCGCTCTAGCATGATGAACCGTGCAGTAACAATTGGGTATGTCTTTTCTTTTATCATCAGGTCATCTTGTACCTAAGGGTCCCGATAGAAAAAGTTTTTTACAATATCCACAAATATAAATAGAAGTACTTTTTTTTCCTACGTGGTTTTTGTCTTCATTCTTTATCGAAATAAAAAGAAGATAACTTGGTTTTCACAGATTTCCTTTTGTTTTCTTTTCTCTCTCTGTTCTTACTATAACATATACAACATACAGCTTTCGAGATGAGAAGAGAGTATAATGAAAGTGACGGTACTATTTTACCTCCCAGCTGTAGTATTTCCATACCTCCTATAATATATAAAGACGAATTAGACACACTTTTAAGCATTTGACTCGTTATTATGATCATAGAATCATAATAACACTTGTACACGTCATCTTGTATTTCTAAAGATGCGCATCTATAACGCTGCATTATTACTGGTTGAGAAATTCAGGTACAAGTATTTAACTCTTTTGTTTTATCCTTTCCTTCTTTCTTTTGTTGTCAATACAAACATTCAGTTCGCTATGAACGCTTACCTCTCTGATTTTCAGTGTATAATAAAAGGACTAAAGGTGACTCATTTCACCTTACAGTTTTTATCAAATTATAAGTCGCGTTCACTAAGCATAAAACAACCACAAATATCACAGCAGCGAGTAGAAAGGCCCTAAGAATGAAAATACTGCTAAAAAACTATTTCCTGAGCATACAAAATACTTGATTGAGCTTTTCGATGAAAATCCTTGCCTTGTATTACTTGAAGCAAGAATCAAATTACTCGAAAGATATCCAGAAATTGAGAAGATTGCTCTATCCAGTTTATATACGCACATTAGAGAAAAATGCCGCCTCTTTTCGAAAAAAGCCAGCAAGTACACTGCGGAAAGGGATGCTCCTAGGACATTAGAGCTTCGCGCGAGCATAATTGAAAAATGGCGAGCGGCTGACGTCAATTTCATGACGAACTGTGTTTTCGTGGACGAAGCCGGGTTCAACTCCCAAATGGTTAGATGTCGAGTGTGGTCGAAAGTAGGTGAGCCTACAAGTGTCAAGGTGAAAACCCAGCGAGGGATAAATGTCAGCATCATCGGTTGTATATGGCCAGAGGGATACATAAATTTCACGAAGGTCAGCCCTTTGAAGGCAGGGGACCTAGAAATTCTCCAGAAGCAATATTCTGTTGAGCCTAAAACGAAGAAAAGAAAGGCTGCTTAAGTTGTAACTGCTACCCAACCTGTTCCCAAGGGTACAACTGCGTTTCATACTGTAAAATTCTTAGAAATTGTAATGGACTTTTTGGACAGATCAGGTAAAAAGGGATACTATATCTTGTTAGATAATTGCAGAATCCATCATGCTCCATTTGTCGTGGATGCTATTACCAAAAGAGGATACAAACCTCTATTTATGCCGCCTTACTTGTAATGAGTGAATTGCTTTTCATTAGAAAGGTTTCACTTGATAAACGTATAAATATGGTCTGCCTCTCAATTTCCGTATTTTTATCTGTTATTTCTGTCTTCCTGCATACTATACTTTTCTCTTGTTCTAATAGAAGTAGTCTAGCTTATCTTGTTGTAATTTCCGTTCAGAGTTATAAATAACACCAACCTCCCGTCGATCATCGCCTCTTGCCTCTTTACATTATTCGCCATTTCTTAATCCAATTGAAGAGTGCTGGGCTAAGTCAAAAGTAACATTTCAACAAACCTGAGATACTCTTAAGTATTTTTATAGACCAAGATAGAACGAGACCGAAAAAGTCAGATAATTTTTATTTCAATTTTGATAACATGAAGGCTTTATATATTTTTCAGAGAATTAGCTGAGCTTATAGAGGATGTTAGGAAGATGTAGTTACAACCAATGAGTACTAATGGATCTAATGAGGGATCAGTGAAGGCGTGTTCTTACACTGTTATGGATCTGATACCAGTTTGAAGTGAACAATTGCTTAATCGACAATTCAAGTCTAAGTTGACAGCCGTTTATGCTGTGTTTAAATTAATTAATTCTCACTCGTGTTTCGATACCGTAGACAGTGATCGGGACATGACAGCTACACAGCCAAAGACGCCAAAAACAAACAAAAACAGCAAACGACCAGTCCAATAGAAAACTTAAACGACCAAAACGAGAAAACGAAACACCAAACAACTTTCAACAGTGTGGTATTCGCTAGTTTTAACTATGAAGTAAAAGGTAAAGAATAGCACAAGAGAAAATAAACACGAAAGCTTAACGAAATCAAACCACCGTTTTTATTTCTTTTCAAAAACAAATTAAAGAAAAAGAAAAGAAAACTAAGATTACTGCTATTAATAAAGACTTATAGTGTTTGCTGTCTACGAAATGATTGTATCGGGATCTATAGCTGACACTGATGTATTATGGTCAGATAATAAATACTCAGTGAATCAGAGGTTTCCGTAAAAGAATAGGTCTTCCCTTTAAGTGGATAATTACTCGTCTACCCCAGAGCAGATTGATTTGTAATGTGCTATCCTGGCAGATCCAGGGTGATCATGCAGCTACATCTATAATCCAATATCTATCGGCCACCAGTTGTGTAGCTCAGATACTGTGGGAATGATTATAGATGTTAGCTAGGAAGAGATATTCGTGCGTGGTGTTCTTTTGATTGCGTGAACAGTTGTTGTATTTAATAAAGAGTGATTGAGCCTTTTTATCTCCAACCATACTTTATTTCCAGAGCAGGAGCAGTACCGTGACCTACTATGTTCTGGTTGTTGAATTAATATATCCTACAACTACATATACCAATCCTGCTATATACCTAAACGTCATATAGCCATAGATAAACTAAGTAAAATATATTTCATAAAGATAACCTGTTCAAATCTTATGTGAGGTAGCTAAGATTACATAAGAATTATCCTTAATCCATATTCTTTTCTTATTTTATCTTTATTTGTTATACATTTGATCTAAGGTTCAAATATATGCAATTCGAACACACCGCTTACCAAACGGGAACGAAGATATGAGCCGTACTCATATCTGAGATCAAGTTTTATTTTACATTTTGTTATACGTTTTGAGTGATTTACTCATATAAAATATTGCCATCATGCCTCAAATACGACAGATGTAACAACTTGGGAAGAATGCAACCAATACTTCAGGGAAAAATTCTTGAAGAATCGCGTAGTTGCGGCCTGGGAGAAGATCAAGACAGTCAAGCAAGGGCCAGGGCAAGACGTTTCTGAGATTGTTGAGATTATGGCACCATTGTTCAGATCTGTACAAATTAATGATAACGAATCGAAAATATTGTTTTTCATTGCATCTATCAACTCAGCAATAGCCTATAAATTGTCGCGAGAGCTGAAAACTCTTAAAACTTATCAGGAAGTGGTTGACAAGACTATGGAAATAGAAGAGCTCCAACGAAAATACGCCATTCAACCCCATAACAGGAATGTCATAATTGAAAAGAAAGTGAATTCGATTTACCGTCCACCAACCACAACCAAAATGTAACCTCATTAACAGTTCATCCAGTTACATCAAGTGGATCAGAAAGTAGTGATAAGTTGTCATCAGATTCACTCGCAGAATTGATTAGTGCAGTAAATCGATTGAATATTAATCTTGTTGAACATGGACAACGAATAAATCAGCCGGCAACAAATACATTTCGACCTCCGCCAGCATCTTATTTTGAAAAGAAACCAGTAGTATGTTGGGCCTGTGGTCAACAAGGGCACCCACAAAGATTATGCCCTAATCAACTAAGTAGCAGCCATAGAAGTAACACAGAATATAATTCGTATGGTAAAAATAACACCAATGAAGTGATGGGAAAAGACAAAGGAGATCAGTAAAAGAGAATGGTACTGGTGTCCATTACAATTCAAATTCCACTCATCCTAGTACTGACAGCAGTAATAATCTCCGCAGCCCAACATTAAATGTAGTAGAAGTCATTAACAAAACATTCTCAGAGGAAAGCCCGTCCATCAATAAGGAAAACTAGATTGGATAACAGTACTGAAGAAAAATTGCATGTAACCAAAAAGGGAAAAGGCCGAGCGGAACCGATGCACCTATCTTCTGCTAGTACTGAAGTGCTACCTCCATTGTCTGCTATAATGAACCAATCACATTGCTTGCCCCCGATTAAACCATATAGCAGTCCTGGACGATATACCACCACAAACCAGAATCGAAAAGTAAGAGCACCAAGAAGAAAAGTTGAGGTGGACGTCGCAGTAGACAACCCCTGGAAGAAGCTGAAGAAGACCTTCGTGCAATTACCAGTAGACGAGTATTTAGCCTTGAATAAGAACATGGGAGTGGAGGTTAAGCGTGGTATAGAATACATACATAGAAGAAAAACTAAAGAGAAAATACTAAATGCTACTAAGGAGAGGAACGGAACTTATCCCTTCCCTAAAACCATTAACACCTTGAGAACTAACGGATTATTAGATGAGAAAGAATATGATAGGCAACGACAAATAAATTATGCCAACATATCTGATACTGATGAATATGAAAGTGAAGATGAGTGTTCAATAACCTATACCTCAGGTTCTGAAATTGAAGAATTCGACGACGACTATGAAAGTCAAATATCGTATCCGTTCGAAGAACTCGTTTCCAGCAAGCACAGCCAGTTCGAGTGCTTGTGGTAATTAATAATGAACCCGTAGAAGCTGTATTGGATACAGGCGCAGCAGTATCGGTGCTAAGTGTGCGACTAACCCGAAAACTTGGTGTAAAGGCTGATGCACATGAAGTTATACCCCTAAGCGGATTTGGCAGCCAGAAATCAATAAATTGCAAAGTGGCCACCAACGTAGATGTAAGAATTAAAGGGAAAGAGAGAAGAGAACACTTTTGCATCGATGAAACTCAAGTACACAAAGACGTTTGCCTTCTCGGACGTCCATGGATCAAACAGCATGATATTAGGCTGACTAACAGAGGAACCATCATTGTCGTACCTACGAAAAATGGGACTGACTGTATAGAAGTGCAATGCCTACTCGATGATAATGTGATGAACGTAGCAACTAACGAAGTCTCTGCGTGTGGCCAGATATATTCTGTACAGGTGTATAACACAAGTTATGAAGAAAACAGTAGAATTGAAGTGTTAGCATATAACACTTACCAAGAGGACATCGTATCGCAAAGTGAATTTCTAAAGGAGAATCCTGATGAAGGAGAAGGAAGTCACCCCGAGATAACCAAGCTGGTGAATCGGTTTCAGAATTGTTTCGTAGAATTTAACGGTCTTGGAGTTGTGAATGGTGTGTGTCACGAAATCAGAACCACGTCGGATGAACCTGTTAGATCAAAGCCCTATCGACTGACACTTGATTGAAGAAGAAAGCCTGCGAGAAGAATTGGATAATTTGTTGAAGTTGAACATCATCAGGCCAATTAAATATGAAAAGTTCTGTGCTCCCATCTTTTTCGTCCCGAAGAAAAATGGAAAGTTTAGACTGGTAGTCGATTATACTCGGTTGAACAAAATAACAGAAAAGCAATCGTATCCTATACCGCATATTGAGGAAGTGCTCGACTCCCTTGGAGGGGCTACTGTGTTTTCAACACTCGACGCTGCACAAGGGTTTTGGCAGATTAAGATGCATCCTAATAGTGTAGAGAAGACTGGTTTCGTATCCAAATTTGGTTGCTATGAATTTAATGTTATGCCCTTTGGATTAACTGGTGCACCGTCGACATACCAGAAAGCTATGACCAATATTCTACAGGAATATATTGGAAAATTCTTATACGTTTTTATAGATGATGTGATAGTATATTCGAAAGATGTAGCTACTCATTTGAAGCATTTAGAACTAGTATTTGAAGCCTGCAAGAAAGCGAATCTCCGCCTGCGTTTAGAAAAATGTCAACTGTTAAAGAAAAGAGTGGTGTACCTCGGACATGAAGTTGGTGAAGGATTAAGACCAGCAGAAGATAACATTAAGAAGATTTAAAGCTAAAAGAGCCCAAGAACATAGATGAAGTTCGAACCTTACTCGGAATGACAGGCTATTTCAAGCGCTTTATCGAAAACTACAGCAGTAAAAGTCAACCACTGCAAAAGCTATTGAAGAAGAACGTTCAATTTGAGTGGACAGATGACCAACATAATGCATTTAATTTCTTGATGAGCACACTTATCTCTCCTCCAATCTTGTCATACCCTATTAGAGAACAAATCAAGATAATTACAACGGATGCAAGCTATAAAGGATTAGGGGCCGTATTATCGCAATCACCTACCGGGTCATCAGAAAATGAAACTATCATCAGTTATGCATCGAAATCGTTAAACAACACGCAGTTGAATTACACCGTTTCGCATTTGGAAGCTCTCAGTATAATATGGGCAGTAAATAGATACAGATACTATCTTAGCAGTAGACAAACATTTATTATCAGATGTGATCATGCAGCGCTACAGTATGTCTTGAACAATGAAAAAACCAGCCCCAAATTGCAAAGATGGAAGGCATGTTTAATGGGATACAATTATCGAGTAGAATACAAAAAGGGATCCGAAAACCCAGCAGATGCCCTTTCTAGACTAATATAACTTGCATGGAGGTTGGGAGGGCAAGATGACAAAATAAAAAAATAAAAAAATTAACTACTAAACCTGCCTTTAGAAACTAATGAACAAACATGGAATACGCAACATATATAGCAATAACTCAACTCACAGAACGCAAGAAATATCCCTTGGATTGTACTGAAGCTCATAAGCTGAAACTCCACAACCTAGCAAAGAAGTACATTTTATTCAGCAGACGATTATATACTAAACCGACAAGCAAACAACCTGATTTTTTAGAAGTTTTACATCAAGGAAATATCGAAGAAGTTCTTAAAAAGGTACATGAAGAAGGCCATCTGGGCATCAACAATACATGGTACAGAACGAAATCCCATTTCTACGCACCCAAATTATTCGAAAAGGTCAAGGAAATCGTTACCACTTGCGAAACATGTCAATATCGAAAGAAAACGTTAACTCGAAGAAGCAACGTGGCTAAACCAATACAGTTGAATACTCGTCCATTTTACATGATAGGATGTGATGCAGTTGGACCAGTTATAGAATCACAACAAAAGAATAAGTATATCCTCGTTGCAATTGATTACCTCACCCGTTGGCCTATTGCTCAAGCTGTTGCAGATATCACTGAAGAAACTACTGCAGAATTCCTGTATAATAATGTGATCCAATTCTACGGAGTTGCTCAGTACATCCTTACCGATAGAGGATCCAATTTCAAATCAACATATGTAAACATTTTCTAAAGACGATCGGATGCCGACACATAACCACAACTAGTTTCAGACCGCAGACAAACGGATTGTGTGAACGTATGAATCAAACGTTGATGCAAGTAATAGCAAAAATCGTAAGAGATGATGGAAGATATGAAGAAATGGGATGAAAAGATTCCAACTGCATTGATGGCCACAGGTCTCACTCCTGCAAAGATGTTATATGGATTTGATATACAGACACCCTTGGTATGGCCTGCACCAAGAAATGACTACGTCGAAGAACTAGTTGCAGAAATAACAAGACGGGTAGAAGAAATTGATACTATAATGCGAGACTTACGGATAGAAAGTAAGGAGAAGTCGGAAGAGAAGAAAAAGAGAGAACGGTAAGACAGTACATCATTCAAGAATTTATAATATTGGTGAGCAAGTATTGATGAAGGACTTCTACAAGGAAGCAAAGTTTTCGGATTTGTGGTCCAATGACAATTATTAAGGTGAATGTTTCTGGGACGTATCATTTGACTGGTCCAAATGCAAAATGATTAGAAGGCGCAGAGAATGGAGATTGTTTGACACCATTCACCAGAAGGAAACATATGGTACCCGATGTACAAGTAAAGAAGAATGAACAGCTTTTTCAAACGTGGCTCGCAAGAAGAAACTGATGTAATTTTGGTGTGGAAGCGTGTTACGGAGCTGGAATATTCAAAAATTACATCAGCAGTATCGGAGATCGAGACGGAAGAGGGTATGCTGGACCGGACACCCGTAAGGTCATGCTCATCTTTTGGTAAATTATTGGAAGCGGAAATTGAATAATACTCGTCCCTGAACTCAGATTGTTGATCCAGTGGAAAAAGGATAATTGACCTTTTTTGATAGAGGAGAGTTTTTTAGACAATAGATTTTAAATCTTTGAACCTTGATTTGAATAGATAGATAACTTTAAGTAGTTTTGATAATATATTTATTTTAGCTAGTCTTATTATTTATTTTTGAGAACACTGATTGAAATTGAATAGAAACTGATTGAAAGAACTGAATTGATTGAAAAGACTCAATTATTTTAATAAGACAACTCTTGGAAGAAAATACCAAGCGTAAAACTACTATATCTATAGCATCATTTCACGAACTAGCACCGCAAACGTATAAAAGGGGCCCAGCCCCCGGGTGGAGGTAGTTAGCACCTTGGCTTTCCAAACCAATGATTGTTGATTCGATTCCTGTACGCCGGTGATATTATTTCAGCTTTGATCCCTTTCTCTCTGCTTCCTAGGGTTTTTTAATGCCGCTATCAAGGTGGTTCTCGGTCGGTGTTGGTGTTTAAATAAGTTATGAATGATTGCGGTGCCCGCCCAGGCTTAATTAAGCAAAATCCCGAACCGCGCCCAAAGTCTTAGCCTACCAATTATAATGATTAGTTTAAACCCCTTCCCCCAAATTAGATAGTATGCTTTTTCGCCCACCACGGCACCCTGACCGACACTATGCATTGTTCTATTCTCAAAAAAATCGAGCTGCCCCGGGCAATTTAGATAAGCTTTAATATCTCGTGTCCATTGGGGCTTAAAATGTCAGTAAAAATCCTTGTTTAAAAGTAAGCTGTGCGGAGATCTACGACAAATGGAAAAAGAATAGAAAATTCGATGTTTCTATGTTCAGCTCCAAGAATAAGCGATTATAGATTTTGATTAGATTTAGCAAACAAACTCCAGTAATTGTTCTATTCATATGTATGTCTGATAAATTGCATATTTTTTATGTTGCTTTATCGTTTTGTACCTGAACAATTTGAAAGAAATAGAACCACTTGGTTTGAAAAAGGCATGATTTCTAGCAATTTAAGTAGGCCGGTTTTGGCTACAGAGCTTTGAAAGAACAGTCTGTACATATCATCTGAAGAGCGTCCTCCAATTTCAGAACTTGCGAAAGTTCCAATTAGCAAGGACGACTGTAGTAGGCAAAGGTCTTATGATCTCATAAAAAGCGAGTTGCAGTGTTAATCCCTAAGATTGCGATTTAGGACGCGCAAGCTATATCACAAACCATAGACCCAAGGAAGAGTATACTTCTATTCTTTATTGATGTACTAGAAAAGATACGTATCCGTCAGCTTCACGGTGTCAATGCACCATCAGGCATCTATCTATTTACCATCAAAAATTAAATACTCTTGGTTTTTGAACTTCAGTTTTTAGAAACGAAAAAGAGAAAAGCAATTAGTAAATAATAACAAAAGGAATAAGTAAAAAACAGCGAAAGAGTGTAAATCTTAGCAATGGCTTGCAATTTAGGTATTTACAACATATAAATACATCACTTTGATTAAAAAAGTCAACATTCTTATCAGTTAATATACATTCCTAATTGTAGATAATGTATAAAGACATTTTTTACTGATGTTCGCTCTAGTGGAGGTGAGTCAGCTCGGATCAGTTTTGAGACATCTGGCTGGATTTTAAAAAAAATCGAAAGTGCGACAGCCAAGCAAAATCTTTGAATTTTCAAGGTAAAGCAATGATCAACCCACACAGACTCAGTTTTCCCAACTTCCACCATTTTCGCCATCCATCAGTTTTGACAATCACTCTGACTAGACCACAATCATATTACAACTATACCAACATACCACTCTTTTATAATTTAAAAAGGGGTCAATGTCACTACGTCATATAAAAAGTCAGAACGTAAAAGACGACTATGAACCAACAAGATTAGTAGATCCAACCGAAGAGGTTTTTGAACCTCACGAGGAAAGCTCAGACGATTCTGATCTGGAAGCCAAGCCGACACCTTTCGTTCTTACACTTGTTATTTGTGTGTGTATAGGCGGATTTTTGTTCGGTTATGATACAGGCGGTAAATACCTATTTTTGCTTTAGCTTTATACAATATATTTATGTTTGCTTTGCTTCTGTATCAATAGTTATTTCCGGTGCCCTGACATCATTGCAAGATGATTTCCATTTGAATAATGTTCAAAAAGAATTAGTTGTTGGCGCAACTACGTTTGGTGCTATATTTGGTGGTTTCTTTTCTGGTTTGGTAAGGATTTTTCATAAAGAAGGCATACATGTGAAAAAGGTTTGTTTGTTATTAATTCTGCCCACACTTATGGTTCGTTTAGCTTTCGGACAGGATTGGCAGAAAGGTTAGTTTCCATCATAAGTGGTAATACACTTCATCAATATCCTTTCTATGGCAATAGATTGACTCGTTTATTCTTTTTGCTCCATAGATACTTGTTATTATATCTTCGGTGGTTTTCATTGCTGGTGCTTTACTACTAGCACTCGCCAATAGTTTTGGTTTACTTTTGTTTGGTAGAATTGTGGTCGGTCTTGCTGTTGGTATTGCATCCATGATTGTTCCTGTATACGTTAGCGAATTGTCACCAAAGCATCTAAGAGGACGATTAACTACTATGAATACACTCGTTATTACAACCGGTCAAGTCATTGCTTATGCTATCAATATCGCCTTTGCGTCAGTTCCTAATGGCTGGCGATATATGTTCGGTATTGCTGGAATTCCTGCTCTTTTTCAATTCGTCATTATGCCTTTTCTGCCAGAATCACCGCGCCGCTTAATCGCTATTGGCAAGTTTGACCAAGCAAAAGCAGCCCTTCAGAGAATCTACGGAAGCTCTGTGAGTGACGTTTTCATCGATAGAGAAATTAGATTGATTGACGATGATATTCACGTCTGTAGATCAGGGACCTTTAAAGACTTTTTACATAAAGATAACTTTATGCCTCTCATTATTGGTATGTAAACAGATGATACAAGGAATTTTTCCGGACGGTTAAGTACCGGTTTGAGGAGTGTTATCATCATCAACTAACCAATTGCTTTCGTTTTTTTTCCTTGTAGCCTGTATTTTACAAGCAGCACAACAATTTTCAGGCTTCAATACGGCCATGTATTATGCAGCTACTATTTTACAGATGGCAGGTTTCAAAAGCAATCAAGGCTCAACTAGTGTTGCCATCATTGTGTCTGCTACAAACATGATTTTCACAGTAGTTGCCATCCTTGTCATTGATAAATTTGGCCGTAGAAAGATGCTTTTAATCACTATGGTTACTATGATAGGCGGCTTAATTGCGCTGGGCGCTTGTTTCGCTGCTCAACAAGGATTTGTTACGCAGCAATATGACTGCAGCGGTTACTCTAGTAACTGTGCTCGCTGCGTTTTGGATGATCGTTGTGGATGGTCTATTTCTGGTAATAGCTGTATAGCAAAATCCGGTCATTTAGAAGATATTTTTCAGAGTGCTACGGGCTGTCCTCCTAAGCCTCATGATAAGGCTATTACAGGCGTCTTGTTGACATTTCTCATTATTTATGTTGCCAGTTATGCTTTAGGCTTAGGTTATATCCCTTGGTTAGCTCAGTCAGAGATGTTTTCCATGACCATTCGTGGTAAAGCAAATGGTGTGGCAACAGCCGTGAATTGGATTTGTAACTTGATCATCTCTACCAGTTTCTTGTCTATGACTGAAGCTATGACAACGGCTGGTGCCTTTTGGTTTTATGCTGGCCTCTCTGCACTTTTATGGGTCGCATTGGTGAAACTCATGCCAGAGGTAAGGTTATAACCCTGAAACTACATAGTCTGCTTTGTCCGCAAAGTGATGATTAACTATTTTTTTAATGTTTGCAGACTAATGGAAAATCGTTGGAAGAAATTCATGAATATTTCCTCAAGACATAACTTTCATAAGATCATTAAAGCATTCTCTTTTTCTTTTTCTTTTTTTTGTAATATTATAATCTCTTATTAATTTATTTCACTCGTATTAGCACCGTATATTGTTAGATTCTTGTTCCCTTTTTTTTTGAAAAAAAAATATCAAATATGAAATTATATCCAAATGGCATGTAATAAACAAACTACACGTAATAAAGGCAACACTCGTCAACAATGTTAAGTGAAGAGATGTTATCTTTAGCGAAAACGAAAGGAATACAGCGCCCTTTCGGTTGTAAAATTGAATGGTGTTTAGACATAAGGGCTGCGAACGAGCAACAAGACAGTTATGGTAATCCTCAGTCATTCTGATTTAAGTAAATAAGATATAGACATCTAATATGAATCATGATCAAATGTTCAACTCTTCACTGTGAGAAAGAGAGCAACCATGGACAAAAATGATGTTTTGTGAACATCAAACTGTATATTCATGAAGCAAAGTTAACTGTTCGCGAAAGTTCTGGTTTCATGTGCCAGCTGCTCAGATATTTGAGATGTGGCATAAAAATTTTGCAAATGATTCAGGTGTTCAATGTTTGGTTCATCAAGTTGTATTATTCTCGCCACCAATTTTAGAACCATTATCAGGGCATAGCATTTGTGATAAGGACAGTGCAGTTACTGTCTCCTGCAAAATACTTAAAATATGTTTAAACTCTGGTAACTCGCCATGGGTATATTTTCGCTGAATAAGAACTCGTAGTAGGTCTAATAATGTGTGGACGCGCAGTTGCGTCTCTTCTAGCCATAATTTCCATTGCAGATAATAGGTTTGCTGTTTGCTTTTGGTAGTAGTGCTGATGATTGGTTGCTTGTCGTTACTGCTATTCAAATTTATCCTGAATCCTTCTGTTAATGAAAAATCGACGTCGCTAGGTTTTGTAATAAAAAAGTAGTTGATATGAAGCAATGTGAACGTATCAAGATCTCTTGCAGAAAGTAAATCGGTGCGACCTATTGAGCATAGAAGCTTCATAAAAAGTTTGAAGTCATCAAAAAGATGTGAGTTTATTTGGCAAGCGTAGGAAGATAAATCGGATTGACGTGATTGATAATTATGTCGGATTTCAGTAATCTTTCGTTGTAAATGATTGAGCAATAGGCGATGAAAGATCTCTGCAATGGATGAGTCATCAAATATGCCACACAACGTCTCATATAAGACGTTCAAAAAATCGACCATTAGCACACCAGTCGACGGCGAAGGTGATATATCATGTGTCTCATTTGGAGGTGCTACAGGTTGCATAGATGATATAATTTGATCTAAATCTTGACCTGCAACAATATTGTTTGCTTCTCCTTTATCAGCGAAGGTTTGCAGTGTTGGATCTAGTAAGCAATGGCACATTAAAATGCATAGCGTTTCGTCAAGCAGGAAGTCCAAGGAAAAAATTCTGCCTGCTTGGCTGGGTATATGGTCGTAGATTGTAATGGCCATGACATTGGCTACTGACTGTAGTACTGATGGTTCAATCTGATCACCAGGCTGCAACGCATATCTGTCTAAATATGCAACTGCAGCATGTATAAGCTGAGTAAGAGGATGTGGCAACCTTTGCTTTAATAAGTCAATGTTAAACTGAGTTTTCAATAGTTGAAGCGACAGCATGCGATACTGAGATGAGCAAGTGCCTAAATACCATACGTCTGCAAACCCGAGATAACTGCTCACTTTTAGAATAAGCTCATACGGCAAATGACTAAAAAGTTCTTTAGGCATGTCTTTTTCCTTTTTCACAGACTATGTAGAAAAATGTTTCAAAATGATAAGCAAAAGAAAGCAACATTCATCAGTATTATATCAGATTCTCTTCACATTTTATGTAAGCATAGGAGTAGAAGTAGAAGTGTATTTTTGCACCCAGCTACATGTGAAAGATTCATTGTCAAGTAAAAGCTTTGCGAGCAGATACATGAATCGTACATATATATAGCCTGCAAACTTGAAGATCCCGCCAGTAAAGCAGTTTTTGTTAAAATTCTTTCGACTACTTGGTATTATAGATATCACCAAAATTCTACCTATTCTATACGGTATTTTGCAGCGATTTGGGCGAAATTTTGATAATAAAAAAGACAGAGCTCAGGAAATTCATATCTGAATTTGGCAGGCTTTTATTGTATGCCAGTGGCAGATGCAAGAAATTGAAATGACAGTTATATCAAGGATGTTGCTCCATGTCCACATATTTTGGACAAAAGCTTACAGAATACCTATTCACATTATTCTAGAGTGACTTTAGAAATTACTTTTACAGTACGCGGAGTAAGAACATGTTCGATGTCAAAAGGGCCGTCTCCTATCAGCAAACTTGACCTTCGACGAGAATCTTCAAGGATAAAGAAAAAGTACAGGGAGTTATAAATAACACATGTACAGTCTTAATATTTTTGACAATGGCAGGTTTATGAATAAGAGTATCATTTATCAAATTGTAATACCCTTTCCAAGTCGTTCTTATTAAATAGACCCAATACTTTATGTAGAAGAACGTGCTCTGTTCTCCTACCTACTCTAGGAATTGTTCAGGAATAAAGCCATCAACCTTCCTCTTCTTCTTACAAGTAATACTCATTGATTCTCTAAAGATAGTTCGAAGAATTGTAACACTAGCCCCTTTCAAAGCTGATGATACCAGGAGTTTTTGTTGGAGTCCCTTTCAAAATTGAAGCCATCCTCATCAAGGAAGACGCAATTTTTCGCATGGACCAGATAGCCATGCTTCTACTCGTTCTTTGAAGCAAAAATGTTCTTTTCATATATAAGTTTTCTCTTTTCGTTTCCTTTTCAAAGATTTCGAAACTTAAAGTGTATCTAACTCTGATACATGTTCAAACAACCTACTTCTTCACAATGAGCTCAAAATATTTTTCAATCAGTTTTTTTGCGCATAACGTCAACTGTTATCCCGCATTCATGCCCACTGCTGTTCGTTCCGTGTAACTGAAAATTTTGGCTTCCCATCAATCTTCTCTGACAAGCATAATGTTGACATATGTTAAAGTATGAAGATATACGAGTATCATGTATGCTTTTCTACGTAGATCATTTTATCGGAAATGCTCTATGGCTGGGGGAAAAAAATTGAAGATTTTCGTGATTTTGAAATATGTTCCAATAATTGACCGCAAACAACCCATACTTTTTTCAAGATAGAAGATTTGTGGAAGCCATTCATAACATCTTTATTTTACCAGAATTTCTAAGAATTGGCTTTAGCGTTATATACCAACCATTAGCATCAATAATCAACTAGACAATTGACTAAGTAGCAAATACAGGAATGGACAACAATTTAATTTTCAAAGGTAGGAAAAACACAATAGTTGAATGATATCGTAGAACAGCTGCCGCTGTAAATGGATTATCTGAAATAATTGATTGTTCTTTCGAACACTGTAAAATCTTCTTTCTGCAATCGAATTTGCGAAGAAAGATGGGCCAAGGTTTGTATCAAATGCGCAATATTTATCAATTACCAGACCAATTGTTCCAGCTTTTACTTTTTTGACGTGAGCGCAGCATAATCAATGGAAACCAGGCAAACATCATGTTGTGCAGAATGTACATGATGAAGCATATATGTAGTGGCTTTGATTAGAGTTCTATGTATCTGTTTTCATCCATTTCAACTTGCCTGAAGTATTTAGAGTCACAACGCTTAACGCTGAATTGTTCGTAGTATCTCTTCACCGAAAGTGAATGCGTAACTGGAGATTTTGCACGTTGTCCGTCATTTCCTGCAAGAGTTCCACCCTTTTATCCTTCAACTTGCATTCACATCCACTATTTCATACCCATTTCACTTTCTGATTGACACCTTATACCTTGGAAAAAGTTAGCAAATAGCCAAGTTGATATCATCTACCAGAAAAAAAAAAAAAGCTCAGCGGCATTACTTTAATCATACTAATGTTTGAGCTTACCATAAATTGTTCATTCATAATTTAACAAAATCTTAGTTGAGTATCTCTCTTTCGTTCTTCTTCGACTCTCAATAAGGCTAAACGAGTATTCGAACCCATCTTGCGAAGAAAAACTTCAGTTGTACACTTCTGACCGTATCATGTACGTCCTTGGTTGATACTGATTTATTATCCTAAGTATTGCGTTTGGAAGGTTCTTCAGGTTGGTATACATCTTCAGAGATAATAGCATCACTTGGTATAATGCTTCTGTTTTATAATATTGAACGTGTTCATTATACTTTCTTTATTTATATTGGAGTTACTATCAACTCCTTTATCACATGGGAGAGTCTCATTAGCCCCAGGGCTGTTATGGATGAAAATCATGATTGTTTACAATGAACTCAACCCAGTACTTCAATAATCTATTAGAAATTTCATCTTCTTACAATCGTCTTTATTACTTGTCTTTGTTGTCACCAGCAAAGGTTGTATTATAATTGCCACTAATGTTTATAGTGTAATTATTGTTTCTTTTTCTATTCTTTAGATAAGAGTAAATTGATTTTTATTTAAAAACATGGATAAGCATAATCTACGAAATTCAATCTTTTTCTTTTTGAACTATTATCTGGAGTATTGACAGAACGCAAGTATGAGCGATATGTAAATAGATCACCACAAATTCTCCTCCAGAAACAAGTATTGATTGTTTGGGGATCAATATTGTGACAGACTTCAAAATCACAAGGTTAATTGAATATGATAAATTGATAACTGTTTTGAGTCGATGATTATGAATTAATGTCTTTATTACTTTCAGTCGAAGTAGACCAATGTAAAGATCTGATGGGAATTACATTACTGCGAGGACATGTATGCTAGCCACTAATTTTGGGTTCAGATTGTAATTCTTTATACTTAGACCTCTATCTTGTTATATAATGCACGTACCTAACCTATTTTAAATGCAATATAAGCAGACCGTGGTGGAATGTATTATCTAACTGGCTGCAAGTGCTCGAATATTGTAGTTGGTTATTTCGTGCAATAATCATGATAATCGCCATTGGACAATAAAAAACCAGAATTATCGCAAAAACGATTATTGAAACTGTATGGAATAACATGTACGTAGTAGTCTTAAAAAGATATCACAAGTCATAACGATCATAGTCCTTCGTTAGCAGTTACCATATTATGCATTTAAATTATCAACCGTATTGAACAGTTTATACACTTTAATAAATGTTCCGTTAAAAACCTTCCATCCTCTTTTCACTTTACGTATATAACAGGAAAAATTCTATACTATAAGCGATATTCAAACCACTGTAACGACTGAAATACGGCTGTATATCAACAGCGTTTTTTTTTCCCGAAATTTATAGGTTATGGTTGTTGTTGCTGCTGTTGCTGCTGTTGCATACGCTGCATCATCAACAGCACATTATTATAGTCGTTAGGATCTTCAGGATTCATTGCTGGTTGGCCAGGATTGAACATCATCATAGAGTTCGCATTCATTAATAGATTATTGGGATTCATCATATTGTTTCCTGCTAAAATATCATTTGGATTTAATGCTTGAGGCTGTGGCTGCAGCTGTTGTTGTGGTATCGCTGTCATATTTGGTGAATTCATAATACCATTTTGCATAGGATTGAAGTTGGGATTACTTGCTGTGCTACCAGCATAAATAAGAGGAGATGACATATTCATACCCATACTACTTATCATTTGTTGTTGTTGCTGCTGCCTCACTTGCTGCTGCTGTTGTTGTATCAGATTTTGTGTTTGATGCGCTTGTCTCAAAATAGCTTGCGGATCCATAACATTCATATTTATATGCCCAGTATTCATAGCAGCAGCAGCAGCCTTGTTATTGTTTGAGTTATTGCCTTGTGCCGCATTTCTCATAAATAAGTTTTGTTGTTGTTGGTGCATAGCTGCTGCTTGTTGCCGTAATAATTGCTGTTGTTGCAATTGCTGTTGCTGACTTGGGGATAATTGTTGTTGAGCTCGTAGTTGTGGGGTTTGTGGTGTCTGCTGTGATTGTGGTTGTGATTGTTGCTGAGGCATTGTCTGCTGGCGTTGATCCGTTTTATAATTGGGTGATTGTTGTTGTTGTGGTTGCTGTTGCTGCTGTGGTTGCTGTTGCTGCTGTGGTTGCTGTTGCTGCTGTGGTTGCTGTTGCTGCTGTGGTTGCTGTTGCTGCTGTGGTTGCTGTTGCTGCTGTGGTTGCTGTTGCTGCTGTGGTTGCTGTTGCTGTTGTGGTTGCTGTTGCTGTTGTGGTTGTTGTTGCTGTTGTGGCGACGAGCTATTTGGAGTGTTTGTGGCACTAGTACTTTCAGTGATTTCCGTTACTTCAAAAAGTTTCCTTACTGCGCTCAATAACTCATGTATCTTCTTTCCAGTCTCGGAATTTGGTGGAGGTAAAGGTGATAGATCAGGTGGAGCAGGTTGTTTGAAATCCTAGGTAGAAAATAAAGACGTTTAATAATTTGTAAAGCATTTTCAAAGGGCAATTCCGTACTTCTCCTGGTTTAATCATTGATATGTCAGCCATTGTTGCGAGATAGGTAAGGTTGGATTGCAACTTTGCTTGGTATCTGTTGAAAACCCAATTTAGTTCAACTTATAAACAAAATATGCATCTCATTGCTCTATTCCTTTTCGCGCAATACTCACAGTGCCATGTTAGGCTCCAAAGACGTTCCAATACCTCGGCTTTCAACGCATAACCTGATGAGTTCTACATTCAAAGCCAAAATCTACAATACAGTTCAACAGATCAATGTCAATAACTTGTAAGCAGACTAAAAAGAACTCTATTACATACAGCTTCTACTCGTTTGGTGTTCAGTTGCATGATTGCGACATCTAATGTAGTTGATGGTACTACTGATGAAGGGGTAGCCGCAGCGGCAGCGGAGAGGGGTGATCCTGTATTCACATTACTTCTGCTATTTGGTGATGATGAATTATTTGATATTGAAATATTAGCAAGTGCAGGTTGTTGAAATGGCACAGGTGATACATTCTGTTGCTGTTGACGTTGCTGTTGTTGCTGTCTCCTCAACATTTGTTGTTGTTGTTGTAGAATAAAAAATTGTTGTTGCTGTCTTTGTTGATCTTGTAGTGACATTGGCTGTTGTACTCCTCCGTTCATCCAAGGTTGCGGCTGTTGAGAAGTCGCTTGAAGTTGAGGCATTGCTCGATAAAGATTTTGTTGTGCATACATTGCTTGTTGAGTGGTTGTTGACAACGGACTGTGTTGCTGCATTTGCTGCTGTGGGCTTTGCAATCCAATCGTTGCCGCATTTGCGGCAGATTCAGCCATTATAGGATTGGCACTTACTACGGTGTTGTTAAATTGAGGTGGAGGTTGTTGTTGCAATGTCGGACCGAACCTTTGCCTCTTTGCCAGCACATTGGCCATTAATGCTGGATTGCTTCCCGCATCTGTTTGCGGTTGCGTTTGCGGTTGCGTTTGCGTTTGCGTTTGCGATGCTTGTAATTGAGGTGTTTGCTGTAAATTAACACTCGAAGTGGGAGTGGCAACTGTATTATCGATGGGTTGAGGCGCAAAATTAACGCCTGCTATTGGCATTTCAGCTAAACCTCCCACGAATGGTTGTTGCGGTTGTACATATGCAGTTTGAATAAAGGCATTATTTTGAATACCTTGGTTTAAATAAGGATTCATTTATAAATTAAGAATGTGAGAAGCACGCAACGTATCGTTGTCCGTATGCCTGCTGTAATCCTAAGCGAAAGAAGGAATCTGGCAGCTTAAGAAATTTTGTTAGTCACGCGAGCGAGTTGCAAACGTCTAACGAAATCAAACAACCATATTTTTTTTTAAAATAAGGAGAAAATATCCTAAGATCACACTGTGATTGTCAGTGCAAATTGTTCGCAAATCAACCCGAAAATATACATTTACACAAAGAAGTTTTGTCCATACGATTATATTAAGGTCTAAGCGTTAAAGTAACATTTAAGTTCGAGGGTTTGAGTATTTATTAGAAATTCGTATAGATTATTAAGTCACTAGTTGATAATAACAAGGAAAAGTGCAATGCTAATTAGTATTAAATATACTTATTATACAGGATAATGGTAGTAGTAATAATGGAGGAACAAAAAGAGGGTCTATTAAATGGTAATTTTTCAACTAAAATTAAAGCTTTTACAATGCTTAAGAAAGTCCTTTTCCATTACACCTACGAGGTTGCGGGTCATTTCAAAGTCATATAGATACGCTTTGGACATTTTTGACACATTGACTGATTGTTCCAAGCACCTTTGTGCAAACTCGCTATACTGGTCACTGTTATAATTCAATAATTTAACGTAGACCATATTAGCAAATAAGAAACCAAGTAAGGGTATATTGCATTCATCTTCGTGCTTGACCATGATATCTAAGGTTTGAGTAATAGCATAAGCAGCATCAACGCATGTATACAGACACTGAAGCGAGAATTGCGAAGTTGGGATATGGTCAGATGGGAAAAATGCTTGATATAACAAAATTTTGTTGATATTGTAGTAAACATGGACACTGAGGATACAAAATCTTGCAAATTCATGAATATCTAAGTGATAACTTTGCTGATCATCATAGTAACAAGAAGTCGTACCCAGCGCCATTTGATCCAGAGCAATGGATTCCAAATCAGGGTTCTTCCACTCCATGGGCAATGTATCATAAAATTGCTGTAGTCTATCTTGCATTGCTAATAAATCCCTCGCTAAGGTTGTGTCTTGTTTGCCTAGAGCCTGTGCTTGTAAAAGTCGGGTCATAACGTCGTGTCGCAAAACCTGTAGCTGGATTAAGCAGTACCATTCCGTATATACGTAATAATCTATCATTTCAGGCGGTGGTTCTGTTAAATCGACGTCCATGAATTCAAAGTGAGGTTTAGGTTGTGGCGGCGGCAGAGGACAACTAGGATGAAATTGCTTCGATTCCGTTGACGTCGTAGACACACCTTGTAGCACTCGATGCCAAGTGTTGAAATAGTACAAGCACCAAACAAGGATACTTTCTCTTGTATTTAGAACTCGGCCTTCATCGTATAAACCTAGCTCCTGTGCCATAGTGAATGAGATCCATTCATATACATAGATAACGCCTGAATACCCATTTTGATGATTACAGTATGACAAAAGAAAAGTTGCTTGACAATTATCAATTGTCGGCTCATCGAAGCATTCTGCTAAAGCTTCACGTCCCTTCAAACAGTATGCTACTGAAAGTGCTTTACCAATGTTGTAATGTGGAGTTTCAAGCGCTGGGCGCTTATTCCAGACATGTATCTGAAAGGCCACTCGTGCAGCCATGGCACAAACAGCGTAAATGAGTACAGTAGAAGGACGCTTTGATGGGTCCGGGCTATGATAGCGCGTCAAAAATTCAGTTGTATCGATTATAGGTAAACGAACGGAGGAGCAACATGGTGTTCGGCAATATAATTCAACTAAGCTATCTGTTAACTCTTGAGTGATATCTATGGGGTGATCGTCAAGTGGATCTTGACTAGGGTGGGACCAGGAATTCCAAACACCAAATGAGAAGCCGGATGATGTGTGGATGGAGCTGGTGTCATCAAGCTCAGCTGCTTTCGCCATCCTATGACGTTCATCATCAAATTCTTCCAGTTCAGATTGTTCGCTACCGCGTGGCGGTGAGATATGCATTGTTCTTTTGAACTGATCCACTAACTTGGACAAATCATTAAAAGAATTCACATTACTCTCTACAGAGAGGCCTTTATTTGTTGATGTGATTTTCCAATCGAATGGTTGTAAAGGTTTTTTCTTGAATGATTGATCTACACGCTGGCCAAAGTCTCTCGTTTTTTGCGCGAAATCTTTGGCCATTCTATCTAGCGAGTCCTGCCATTGATCCATAACCTTATTCATAGTATTTAAAACTTGCGATACATGATTTGCTTTGGGTTCTGTTTTTGTGTAAACGCATTCGAAACCATTTGCAGCACAACGGCTGCATTTTGGCAATGTCAAATCGCACTGCTGTAGATCTTTGTAGCATTTGCTGCAAGGATAAACTGAAAATGAACTTGTCAAAGGTACTGGAGGTGTATTCATCATACTGCTTGTTGTCGACATTGCATCACTGTCAGTCATTGTATGATCGGAATAGGTTGATTGATTGTCCTCAGTAATGAGTACTGGTGTTATTAAGTTGAAATCGGCTGGTGCAACAGTTGATCTAGGTTGAGCAAGCCGTTGTAATGATATGCCTCGATTTCGATGGTTGTTATTGTTGGGAAACGCTCCATTCTCTCCTGTTTTCAAAAGCTCGCCGAATTTCTTGATTCTATCACTTAGTGTTTCTGTTGCTTTTTGTAGCTTTTTTAATGTAGGTGCTGCCTCAGGGTATTGGCAGGTAATTCCTCTCCTTTTGCATCTGGAACACGCTGGTTTTGCCCTATCGCAAGCATGTCTATTTATTGCAAATGAAAAGATTTACAAATAACAAAGAGATTAAGAGATTATTAACAGGAACGTAGTGTAATCTACACACAATATCAAAAAGAGATGAGTATTTGCCTAAAGCCTCTACATCTGTAGCAGGCCGCTCCCAAGTTGTTATGGTTTGAAATTGTTCTTTTTGGTGCATCGGCCATAAATTGTTGGTAACTTTGTTTTTACAGTGAAGAATTCAAATTGTTGATATTCGTATCAACAATAAAAAGAAGTTGAGTATGTGTGAATTTAGACAGAGTATTATTAGGTTTTCCTGACTTTCAGGCTTGTATTTAAATAGTATACTGTATAATATTTGAGGCAGACTTTAGAAGTTTTGCAGGCGACCTTTAAAAGTATAGAAAAAAAAATTATTTGAAAAGAAAAGAAAACTGCTACACAACATTCAGCAACGGAAGACACATAAATGAGACTTTACTCCTTAAAAGACCTTTGTATCTCCGCTTTCAAATTCTCTAGGAACGACATATGCATGTTGCCTATTTTCCATGAACATTCAACTACCCTTCGTAGATTGTAGAAGTTTTTCATAAGCACAAAGCATTATAATTCAAGGATTTCGAATCGAATCATTTTTTGTTTGAAATTCAACTCTTATCCAGATTAATCCTTGGCGTTTTAAAGTAAGAAATTACGCATTGCTTTAGAAGAAGGTGCAAAATTGTGGCAGCGACACTCCGATTGTACAAGATAGTATTACCCTGACATAGTAATGGACTTCACATGTGTTTACGCTGAAAGAGCATGATCGGATTTGAGGATCTAACAGCAAACAAAAAAGCTTTTATCAGTGTTTTCTGCGTGATAAGGGACTTCTATATGACTGTTTTTGAGCTGAATGTATGGATCGCGTTCAATTTTTCTATTTGACATTTAAATGAAACAGGAAAAAAAAAGACCGCTTTAAAACTCATAAAAATTCAACATTCTTTCATTGTCTGTTTGACTATATTTTTGTGATATCGAACATCTTCTGCACAACACATATTAACAGGTGTAAACCGTATAAGTATGGAGTCTTCATAGTTATAGAACACATGCAAACTGTTGTTTGTACTACCGAGCCTGATTCCCAAAGTAGGAACGTTCATCTGAAAAAGAAAAAAGAAAATATCTCGGTTAAATGTAATAAAGGATTCGATTCAAAGAATCAGTGGCTGATTTATCTGATATTTACCCGTATATTATGTCAAGCAAAAGAAAACGCCACTTGCGGGTTGAACTAACTGAACACAAGCAATAGGAAGCATAAGAGATAGTGATGGATGTGAAAACTTGTGACTACCATTTATTTCAACAAGATAGTATCTTATGGAAGTGCATTAAGCAACTGTATTACTGAATATGGTGCCGATTCAAGAAGTTTGTGTCAGCTCTTATGCTAATAACAATTACCATGTTAGTGATTTCTTACAAAAATTAGAAGATTAATAGAAGAGAAACATCCTTTGAAATAAGCGGAACATGTACAATATTTATGACATGGTGACAACAGCACGGCAAAGTTATGTGGTATCTTGTTAGATTATGTATTAACAGTAAGGTATCTGTGGAATGAAGCTTAATTCCTCCTCAAATAATTAGCTAAGGGGCTTCGAGACCGTGGTTGCTCACGACTACCTATCAGTGGAGATTTGATAGACTGCTCATTATATTGTTGTGCTATTTCGCTGTCAGAGTTGTCATAGTGAGTTCTACGGTTTCTTGATGTCACCGTTGGAAACCGCAGCTTGCGATTGTTGCTCTCGTGCTCATTGTTGCTGAAACCAGCATCTTCAGTACGTCGGACATCACTAGTGCTATTGGTTGCGCGTGAAGTACGACTTGAGGTGGGAGAAGTAGGACGATGGTGGTTTGCTGAGTACTATAAATGTTACCGTCCATTAGAAACACTCTGCTCGTTTAATAATATATTATGAAAGCTATTTGTACCTGGGAGTTCAAATCTTCTTCCGCGTCTATAAAACTTAGATCATCCATAATTTCAATTCTTGAGCGTCGAGAATCGGAGGTTGTTGCCATTCTTTTAAGCTTTTCAATTTGCAATATGAGGGGTTCGAGCTCCTTAGCAACACCGTTCGCACTCTCTTTCCTTAGTCTACGAATGTCGTGTTGCAAACGTTCATATTCTGTTTCAACTGTCTTAAGATCCAATTTCCTGTGTTCAATTTCGTTTTGTATATCCTTGTTGGTTTGTGTTAATGTTTTGACCTCAGTTTCTAGTTGTTCCTTTTGCTTCTCTAGTTTAGCAATTTCCATCTTGAGTATCTGATTTAGACCAGATAGCTTAGCGTAGAGTTCAACGACATTATCTATTGGTTTTTTCTGTGCTTCTGAAATTCCGTCTTTGTCATTTTCACCGTTCGCTATCAATGAGGCAGGAGATGATGCACCTAAGGCTTTTAAAACCAGGCTTTCGAGCATTTCATACATTACACCTGTATATTCATGAAGATCACTGTGCATTTTACTCATTGACTTTTCGAAATAGCTTCTAGCATTTTCTTCGTATCGCTGCATCTTCTTTTCAATTTGTTCACGTTCTTCTAGGTTTTGCTCTTGTATAGCAAGAATCTTTTCTAACTGAGCTTTTGATGCACTCTTGACGGCTCTTCGAATGGTTTCCTCCATAGCATTAGGGTTATCGCCATAACGGCCCAAGATACGGAAAGACCGCTCGATAAAACGCTCTGTATTTTGCACAAAATTGTAAAGTTGTGATAATTTATCATCATCAGTCAATGCAGCGTTATTGGTAGACGCTGGCATATTGTTGAGCATTGTCATATCATCTTCAGCATCGGATCGGCTCGAATTCCATTTACCAGGACCATTTAACAATGATAGGCGTTCCTCTGTATTATTTAGACGCTCGACAACATCTTCCAACTGTTGCGATAAAGCGGACAAGTCGGGAATCGAGCTTTCTTGAATATCATTTGAAATAAGTTGGAGATAATTCCCAATCACCTTAATATTCTTAGCTTGTTCATCTTGCGATTGTTCTTGAGATTTAGCGATTTCAGCAACTGCTTCTTCTATTGTCTTTGTTATCTTTTCATGTAGTTGGCTGATATCTGAGGGTACCGAAGGGAGTTTGTGGTTTTGTAAGTTTTTCTCTATTGAATTGAGCGTGAAGCTATGCATCTTTCTTGACTCTTCAATCCATTCTTTCAACTCTTGATGGTGAGAGGAAACTATTTTGTACAAATCAGCCCCCTTATCTGCAAAAGATAGAGGTGGAGTACTAGGCATATCGTCACTGGATATACTTGATGCTGAATGACTACCTGTAAAGGATGCAGCTGATCTTGATTGACTAAGCTGCATATTTTCAACCATTTGTATCAGTATGTCAAATTTCTCAGATAGAGATGGAGCTTTTCGAACTTGCTTGATATGGTCCACTTGACTATTATTCTCATCTTCATTTATATTTGCACCGATAATCTCCTCGCGTAAGTGAACGACATCGTTACGCAGCAAATCAAACAGATGCTTTTGTTTAGCATCCTTCAGATCCGCATCTTCTTTTTCGTTTTCCAGAAATTTTATTATGTCGCCTTGTAATTCAGACCATCCATCTTTCGCATCTTCTAACGTTTTACAGAGTTTTGAAACATTTATGTTTATATCTGAAAGGGACGCATTCGAAGAGTTTCCGATTTGACGATGTAAATCTTGCAAGCTTGCATTAATATCATAAATCATATCCTTCACTGCACTACTGCTTCCATAATTGTCAATATCTCTTATTCCGGAACCGGTGTGTCTCGATTGGTTGCTATGCATTCTTTGTTTCAGCTGTAAATCTAATTCATCTGCTCTATTTTCCCATCTGCGCACTTCGTTTTCCAATGCTTCAATCTTTGCTTGCTGGGTACCATCAAAATCTGAATTTGTAATATCACGTTTTTTCTCTAAAGCCATAAATTTATCACGCCATTGCATTGCTTCACGTTCGAATATCTCGCACTTTGTCTCTAAGGCTTGTCTTTGACGATCCATCTCTACTGACAGTTCTTCTTCCCGTTTTTGAAGCTCATTTTGAAAAGCACTTTCTTTTCTCGCCATAGCCTCTTTCAATTCATTCTCTCTGTTGTGTAGTTCTTGTTGGTAAAGTCGGTCTTTTTTACTTATACTTCCCATCAAACTTGTTAACTGTTCCTTTAAACTTGAGTTCTCAAGCTCCAACACCTCAGCAACATTTTGGAGATCACGGTTCATTTGTTCAGAAGAGTGAATACGATTAGTGAGCGCGTTTTGAGTGGCAATGGTAACTTTCCCCATGATAGATGTTAGCGAATCGATCCAGTCTTTTCGTGTCAGCATGTCGTCTGTGGCTAAAACTACATTATCCTTTTTAGCAAGCATGCGAATCTCCCATTTAATGCCTGGTCTATATTCTTGAGCCTTCGGCGAGACTTCCAAAACTTCACTCATGTCATAGGTTTGTATATGGCTTGAGCACTGATCAAAAGTTAAAAGCGGTCATTAGAGGTAGTTCCGTATAATGCAATCTTTCGTTTTTCCATGAGAAGCACTTACTTTGTCATCTTTGTATAAGTATAACCCACCAGGCTTAACAGCATTTCCATGTTTAGCAACAGCATAAACAGGTTTCCATTGCTATATATGGTAATTTGGTAACCCGAATAAGGAATTACAAAAAAACACATCGAAAAAAAAAGAAATAGGAAAATGCATGATTTACCGTTAGACTATTCTTCTTGTACAACCAGCCCTCTTTAACAATCTACGTTAAACATGGTCAAAAGGTTAGCGGCGGGTTTTTTAATAGAGCGCATTTATCCATAGCTTACCTTGAATTCAGGATTAATCACTTGAGGAATTGAATGAAAACTGGATGACGACTGAGCGGACATCACGGATCCGCCAGCACCTGAAATTGTTAAGAGCAAATCATTAAGTTCCATAGGCTAGTTTTACATATCAATGAGTGTTCCTCTTTACCTTTATGTATGCTGGGTGACCTTGCTCTTGTATCTCGAAGGATGACCATCCGTTCTTCCTCAACGTTTTCATTTTCATAATCTTCGATTGTATCCTCATACACCACGTCTACATCGCTTGCTTGACCATTCTTTACTGCGTCTGACATGTTAGGCTTCATCCTGTCATTGTCAGTATATTCACTCAGCTTCATGTTATTTGGTACAGGAGATACAGCTCTGTTTCGTGGAGACATATTGTAGATGTTTTGGGATGTTGTATTACCGGTTTCTTGCTGCTGTTGCATTAACCACTGATGGCGTTGTTGAAGAGCTGCAACGGAGGGTCCAGCATTGGTTGGTGATGGAAGTCCTTTACGGCTCAGCTTACTGGCTGATACTCCTGTACTATCCATGTCAGTTACGTTTAGTGCAGAGCTTGCTGAGCGTCTTGAATTAAACCTGAAATCCTGCACATGATTGGGCGAAACAGGTCTACTTCGCAGATCATTCTCCTTGATTCCAAGGCTACTACTACTACTACGAGGTCTTGACGATGACGAGTTTTCACCTGAGTCTGTGTACATAAAAACTTGTTCGTATAGATCAATAAACAAGCAAAGAGAGTTAGAGAGATGAAAGAGTGAATAATTAAGCAAAAGAAACGATCAGAATTTCGTTTGCCTTCTTGCCTTTAAATAATTTTATTGTAAGGTTTCCTTTTAAGGAACCTGAATAATAATAATAATAAACAAATGTACCATATTATAGTGATTATTATGGCGAGTCTATATACCATAGACCAGCTTCTTTGAGTGAATTTTTTTTACTGTCACCTATGAGATAGTTAGCGTGCACCATTAGAGGTTGAATTCCCAATCTCTGCGGCAGATTCATACGAAAGTAAAAGTTGCCATTGGGGAAGAGTAGTAAATCCAATAATCGGTAAGGGCTTGCCACGATGTCTCGAGGAAACATAACTTTCAGCACTTCATTCATAAGTTTTTGCTGTGTAAACTTTTCAGTCTTATCTTGTTCGATTACGATCTGATGCAAAAATTGCTTTGTCAACATGGTTGGTTTCATCATGTAGAAGCCTGAGTTGACAGTTCGATGATCTACTTCTTGAGTGAAGATCATATCGGTATAAGGTCTCTGCGCCATGAGTGATAGCATAAGTGGGCGTATATTAGGGCTAAGGAGAACAATATCTACGTCTGAAAACCAGACTGTCACATCGAGGTATAATAATCTTTCAACTACAAGTGTTTTTGCATGCGTGATAGGTCTGTATTGGTCGCTTTTCCAACGAGCAAATTCAGAAATAAGTGGTACGTGAAACCAACTATCTGGTATTAATGTAACTTGGGCGCCATATCCGTGCTCGGTCAATGCATCAACGACACCTTGATCAATAGCAAATACTAAAAACTTATCATCCTGTTGCGTCCGCCTTAATGACTCAATCCAATTAAGTGTATAATCAATCATACCGCTGTTTACAACGGCAGTTAAAAGAATATTGTATGTCTGTGGTTCCTTTCCAGGTTTGGGTATCTCTTCTTCTACAATAATATTTCTTTTAATTGCCATAAGTGTTTCCTCTGGCGGTGGATCGTATAATAATGGCTGCCAGGTTGGGTCGAATGTAAATTGACGTGCTAATAGTGCATTTTGCGGTGGCCCTCTATTTATGAATACAAACTCTGATGCAGGTTGTAGACTGTTCTGTGTTGGGTTTAGCATTTTTAAAAACAATATAATAGAGCATAGTAATGCAACGACATACAGTAGAAATCGTTTCAGCTTATAGTCTATCATTAGATATTAAATATATAAGTAGGTAAAATGTATAAATAAAAGCAGGTTGGTACAACGATTTGCGGAAGCAGAAGAAGAAGGTAGATGGAAAATAGCGATTACCACACATCATCCAAAAAGTCGACGGGATGTTTCAGCTGATTTTCATGAACCGCCAAGGCTATGATCTACAATTATTAACGGCTTTGTCATATTTCTTTTGTGAGGGAAAACTAGAAAGAGAGACAAAATTCTAAAACAGACTCAGTTATCAAAGAAACGAGCTGTATTTTGAAAGAAGAGTTGCCATATTCATAGACTACGTACAGCTTCCTATTGGCAAAAGTGTCTGTTTCCTAGTACTGACGAACAAAAAGAATGAAAAGTCTTGAGATTTAAATTGATATATGAAAAGACAGTGAAGGATTGTACATGTCTAGATGAACAAATACAATTCACGTGCAGTTATGACCATTCGTTGGACCCTTTTTTTGAAAGTTTCGCTTTTCCCAAAACGTAATACATGTCTCAATCTTTTTTTTTTTTTTTGGTTATTTTTGTCAAGCAGCATGGCCATTGTGTCATCGCTCCTTTTTTGTATTGTTGTTCTTGTCTCTTTATTAAGAGCCAGTGTTCCACGGTTGCTCAAATACTCAAAGTTTTCCAAGTCATTTTGCAAAACATTTGCTTTGTAGTACAATTTAACTCTAATGAAGCGTTGATTAGCAGAGCTGTCAAATATACCTGATGCATTTCAACTCTTCTAAATCTATGTCACATCCCCTTGCATTAAACTTGTCTGACACTTTCAGATCGTATCACCTGGGTTTCCAACGATTCCGGCATGGAGATTGACAAAGGATGATTAATCATTTCCCCGCTGTCTATTTTTCCCCCTTCATCCGTCATTCTGCATAAGCTGTACTCTGCAAAATTTCTTGGCGCTAAAATTAAGATCTGTTAGATGAGTCTAATGCTACGCAATCTGTTTCGCATAAAACCCAATGTGATTGAATCACTTCCATCAGCACAGTATGGACAGTGGACGAAAGCACAACTGATCAACAAGATAAGGACATTAAAGAAACAGTTAAACAAAGCAAACAGGAATCCAGCTCTCAACTTCCGAACTCACGAAGGAAGACCATTTGACATAAGCCAATATCAACAGCAACGCATCGCTTTAAAAGTCGCCTACCTGGGGTGGAATTATTCCGGTTTCGCTTATCAAGGTGATGAGATAGCCACACCTACTGTGGAAGGTCAAATCTTTAAAGCCATGGAACACTGTAGACTTATATCAGATCCTCAAGAATGTGCTTATACGCGTTGTGGAAGAACTGATAAAGGTGTAAGCGGACTGGGTCAGGTGATAGCGCTGAACGTTAGAAGTAGCAAAAAAAAGAAGGACGTGGTTGACAACAGCCTTCCACCCTCTTACATAGAGATGCTGAATAGAATACTACCTCACGATATTCGAATATTGGCTTGGGCACAAGTTCACCCGAACTTCAACGCCAGATTTGATTGTAAATCACGCACCTACAAGTACTTCTTCCAGAAAGAGGATCTGGATTTGGATCTAATGAGAAAAGCGGGAAGTTATTTAGTCGGCACACACGACTTTAGAAATTTTTGTCGAATAGATCCGTCTAAAAACATAGCCAATTATGAGCGGAAAGTTTTCTCATTGGATATCAACAAGGTACACGACCACAGTCAAGATGACTTTTATGAAGTTCAATTGAAAGGATCAGCCTTCTTATGGAACCAAGTAAGGAATATCATGTCCATTATGTTCTTGGTGGGACAACGACTGGAATCTCCAGAAATTGCCCGAGATTTACTAGATTTGCAAAAATATCCTGCCAAGCCTGACTATCCATTGGCAGATAGCTTACCCTTGATGTTGTATGATTGCGAGTTCGACAATATTAGTTGGAAGTACGCAAATGATACGATGGTTACATCTAGAAGCATCAAAATGCCTACACCGGTCAGTACATACTATCATCTTCAAGAACATCGTTCTTCTCATGCCATCAAAAATATATTGTACAGTACCTGCATCGAAGAAGTTGAGCAATATCCAATTCCGAACGCTCATTTCACATCTGCGGAGGACTTTGTGAAAAAGGCACAGACCCAGCAAGCAACTGTTTTACTAGGGGGAGGACACGCCATTAGAACAAATCATTATGTGAAAATCGCGGAACGAAAACTAGCAGATTCTGATGAGGTAAAAAAACAAAAGTACAATTTGAAGAAACAGAAAACAAATCAAACGTAAATAGACAAAAAGGCAAGGGGATACCAGCTATACGTGAGGCTGTCCTTTTTCATAACATACATAAATTAACGAAATGTAGTCATAAGAGATATGTCGAGTTTGTAGGTTAATATATATATAGCGCCTTGTTAATGTTGACAGATTAAATAAAAGGAGAAAAGAGTAGGGATATCGACAACTGCTAGAGCTAAAATTTGAGCATTACTGGTGTGTTAAGAAGGGAATGCTGAAAGCTTTTGGTGTAACTTTCTGTTGTTCTTGTTGAGGGGTATTTGAGCTTGAAGCGGTTATTTCAAGGGCTTGTTTATTATCTTCGCTATTCGTTTCAAGTTTAGCTTTCTTGGTAAGATTGGGGTTGCTCTCTGTGTTGCCATTCGTGCTGTTGTTCTCTTCCGAGCTTCTCTTTCGTCTACCTAACCAAAAGTTACTGATTAACACATGAGCACCCCAGAATTCAGAACATATCTTTAAAGGGAGTAGATGTTCGGTGGCAGCTTCAAGCTTTCTATAGGCTTCAAGTTTGATGGTGGGATCAACCCGACTCCAACGTAGATTAGGGTCAATATTATTCACTTCCTTCAGGCGTGATAAGACGGCTTTTGTGATTAGTACTGCTTCTTTCACCATAGCCCTATAATCCAAGCCTGTCTCTGAAGCTGGCCCTAATTCTCTTGTTATTAGATCAACATATAAACTGGATGTAAATTGTAAGCTATGTGCCTTGCCGCCAATCGTTTTGACAAGGTCTTTGGTTGTCGGACGTGGAACGACTCGATCTGTTGGGCCATATTTCCGGAATGGGCCTTTTGGAACAGCTATAAGATGTCGAGGGATACTTAACGAGTGATGACTGAAGCTGTCCTGTGACTCAGGTGACTGCAATGGGCTGTCTTGCAATACGTTTTCTTGATCTGTGCCGTTTATGCTATTTACGAATTCTCTTCTTTCACTATTTATACTCTTCAAATATCTGACTTCGGCTTTAATATCAACCACTTCGTTAACGACATAACTAAGTTGTTGCGTTAAAAAATCGAGTTTGCTGAGAGTTATATCCAATTTTTGCTGTAATATGGAGGTGGATAAGTCAGCATCAAGTTGGCTGGTTCTTTGGCCATTTTCGCTGTCCTGATTCAATATTGGATAGAAGGTTAGTGACTTTCTCAATTAGAATATCAGACAAGATAACCTACTCCTGGTTCTGATGATTTATGAGCATCGAATTGGTTCAAGTATTCATAACTTGTTGTCTCTTCATTATTTTCGCTAGAAAGTACAAATAATTAATCGAGTATCCTCAATCGTTGCCATTTGAAGCTGGAATTGTTGCTGTACTAAAAATACCTCTGCAATTTATTGTGCCTTTTTAGAACTCGAACCATAGCTGATTTTATAGCATTTAAAAGAAAAGGAACTAAAATGACTGCGATATAACAATAACAAAGATGAAGAAGAGAAAGGAAGAAGTGGATAGAGTACACAGCTTATACAAAAAATGATTTAGATTCACTAATAAGTTACTTTCACCATTATTTGAAGTACCGTCAATTATTAGAAAAACCAATAGTTTTCTGAATTATTTATGTCCTGTTCAAGTGCCTTTTTTTTTATTTTGTCAGATGAAGTCTATTTTAGACGACACGTATTAAGAACCCCGCAAAAAGACTGTAAAGAGCTATCTTTCAGTTGTTTTGTTCCCGTAACCGTTGTGAACGGACCATGTTCCACAACGAATTGCAATACACGTCCCAAGTTGACATTCTTGAAATTGCTATGTTGTACTTTTCTACCAAGTCTAGAGCGTGTAGGATGCACATGACGCGTCAGTAGCAAAGCTATTATTGATCGTGTATTGTACAAGAATTCCCAGACTTCAGCTCGCTTTTTTGACGAAGCGTAAGTTAGTTGTCATGTGGTAGGTTTCAAATCTAATAAATATACATTCAAGCTTAAGCGCTTTTCTTTCACTCTAATGGAGCTGAGAAAACTCAGCTGAATATATCGAGTAGTCGTTGCTTGCCCTGTTTTAAATACATATGCATTGCTTCAACATCATCCATCAAAAGAACAAATATATAATTTTCTTATTGCTGAAAAGAACAAAGAATGGTGCCTGGCGGAATTAGAACAATTGCCGCGAACTATAAAAAAATAACTTTCAAATCAAGACACCATAAGGTCGACGCCATATGCTTCGGAGGACTCCGATTCATCCGGTTAAATAATTGAAACAATTTTTCCTTTTACGTCAACAGTCTTAAAATTTATATAAGAGACAAATTTTTGTGTATCATGGGACAGGCCAACAACTGATTGGGAATCCTTTTACCATTTAAATAAGCCGTTAGAACTAATTCAGAGATTATCAAGTTTGAATAAAGGAGTTGTAAAAGTCTCTTTTTTCTAAGCTATCAACGTTTGTTTCCACAGCTTTTCATACGTGGCAATATTTGGTCTTGATGAAAGAATAATGCTGTTGTATTTAGAGGGCTATAAAGTTAGTAGCCACACACTCCCCAAGTTCTTTTTTGAATTGCTTACTTTACAAACCAAATGACTATCAGTTCTCGGCTTACAATTATCGCAATGAAGAGCAAAATGATATTGTTTAGGTGCGCTGTCTTCTGTTGTCTATTTTGCACATATGCTATACGTTGTGCATTTCAAGAACTAAAATGAATTTCGGAAGCAGAAAACTTGCCACTGGTCAAGAAGAAGCATAACGCAATAGGAATTTTATAAAACATAAGATACGTAATGGGATAAAAGCAAAGAGCGCGGCTGTGGTAGAAACTGAGCAGTACACTTACTCCTCTTTGGATACTATATTCAGGATATTGGATTTTCACCATCATTGCCTTTTATGTTCATGCTATTTCGTACAGAAGAAGAAGGAACTGCCAACGTTATACCCGAAAAAGAGATGTCAGGAAAAAGACTTCTGGAGCCGAAGCAAAGCAACCGCAATGATGCACTTCCTATGAAAGCTCAAATAACACATTTGTATATATATGGGCTGTTTTCCGCCTAATTGTGTGGTATAAGAATTATCATTTACCATCTGACAGATATTTATCAGTAATTTGAAAGACTACATTAGGGATAGCAACGTCGTACCAAAAGTAAATGGCGGCTTATTTGAACGTTAACATAACAAGTACCATCTATTTCGAACCAGATCTAAAAGCCAAGCTTCACTAATAACTGCATGGTGTCTAAACCCCGATTTAGACGTAAAGGTATATGTATGAGTGTTATTTTCATTCCTCGATTGACAACTTGAAAAATTTACAACAATCAAATTAAAATTTCAGACAGATATAATGAAATAGCTTATAGCAAAAATAATCAAGAAATGGAGTTTTCTTCGGGTAGTCATGATCATACCAGTTTATTGTTAGACAGTACATCGTAATGCATTTTGCAAATTACTATAAGCAACATACATGAGCAGAGCTCTTGGATATAGAACTTGTCGCTTATCATGAATTCAAGTCTATTGAAAGAGGCAAATGCCCAACCCTGCAAGTTCAAATCAACGGTAACAACAGATCAATTAGGTGTCACGGGCAAGTAGCCCTCGCTTGTGAAACTCTTGCAACCTGTTATAACTGCAAAGAAGTTCAAAACCCAGAATGGCAGTATTTATCTATTGTGTCCAAGTTGTTTAACGAACAAAGGAAGCGCTACATTATAGTGTTTCATCGCTAAGTTTTCATTGTCGAAAATCGATCTAAAATAAAGTCGGTATATGATCATTACTTCTTGCTTCTTTTGCGGTTATTTTTAGAATACTCTTTGAAATATAAGGTAGCGTTGTTCTCGAAAGCAGACGAATCTGGAATATTAATTGAGAACAACTTTAATCGAAGTAACTATGATGCTGTGTCTTTAGTGAATGTAAAATTATGATCAATCAATCAAGTTATCGCGTAGATGCATGACTCATAATCAACTCAAAGAGCTTTTCTTTAATCCGAGGTTCACTCACACTTAATAACTGCTCGTCAGTAAGCAGCAGTTTCATCGTATAAATTGACTCTTCCAACGAATCAAACAATAAAGTAGTGGGTTTATCAAAATAGAACATAAGAAAAAGGCACATTTTTCTGTAATTGAATGCAAAACCTAAATTAGATATGCAAGCAAGCTGGCTATTACCCTGCAACACATACAGATTTGTATTTGAGCTTCCATAAATTTATTGTACTTTTCTACGATTAGGCGCGCTTGGTTTATTTAAATAATCTTCAAAAGAAAAAAAAAAAAAAAAAAAAGGCAAAGCAGAGTTAAAATGGCCAAGGTCAATTTGCCTTGAGATCTGAGTACAGCTGAAGAAATCAAAGCGTACTTCAACCATTATTGTTGTCCTTGGTCATGTTGGTGTGTATGTTTCTAAGTATATTTGATTCGTCTAAATCCTTTCGGGTGTTGTGCTAATGAGGATGATCGAAACAAAAAGAATTTGAAAAAAAACTTACAAAATAACCCACATATAACGACGGAAACCCTTAACTTTGTGAAATATCATCATCAAGTTGTGTACGTGCATCAGTACAAGGTCCTTTTACCCCACTTTATTTCTACGGTTACCGAGCCTCAGCAAAGGAAGGGTAATGATGTTATAATAATCAATAACGAAAAGGAGTAAAGAGGAAGAAGAATAAAGCTCCTACACAGACAGTCATACGAATCTCTTAGTTTGTTCACAGACGGTCTCAAAAGAATTATGCTGGAATTATGGCAATCATACTGTTAGTAGACGCATCGCAGCAGTTCTCCAAACTCTCAACGGTAAATTAAAGTAGCTCAACAATATCTTTGCCATGAGAAATATATTTGCTCGGGAAGAAGACGGCGAGAACTATCTTCACATTCTACTGTTCAGCTTGAAGCTACTCGATACTTTCCTACTTATAAACATGTGTACATTTACAATTGATAAAGGATTGGCAGCAAAAAATTGTTCATGTACCACGAAAAAGTATTCACGACAATTAAAGAGTAGATATAGAAAGAAAGAGGCAGCCTAGTTTGTGAGGATATTCCAAAGTATCAAGCGTGACATTATTTATTACGAAGCCGCAAACATTTTCAACGTAAAGTGGCTTGTAGGAACCTAGCAACACCTTTCTTTTATTACTGTCTTTACATTCTTTCCTTCTAATGCTTTCTTATCATCTCAAAGAAGTTTTCCTTATATATATTGCTTGTAACCTTTCGGTATATGCGGACTGGCTGCATGCGAACATCATCTCATCCGTGATAAAAGAGCAAGCTGACTTCTGTTGATAGATAAGCAAAAAGCTGTGATTTCCTTATTTTTATTCGTTTGGATACATTCTCTAATATTGCTTTATTGACTCTTCAATGTGGTCTCTATACAACTTGTTATACTTTGCTATACCCCAAAGCATCGTTCAGCCCGAGCGAAATTGCTGCAATTCAACATATGTAAGTGAGTTACAGGAAACTGTTGTACAAACTGAGTGATATGAACTACATCAACAAATAAGCTCACATAGCTATAGTATTGCATGAATTTTGGATACAGCAAAAGCGTCGCAGTTATTAGCTCCTGTTGTGTTACCTTTTAGAGCTTTTGCACTGGGTTTCAAAGTTGGAGGCTGAAAAGGAATATCTATTTTGAGTGCAGTCTTTTCAGTTCAGTTTCGGACAGCATTGAAGTGATTTTCAGATTAAAGAACAAAAAAAATTGGAATTTTGTGTACATTATTTTTGGATATATTATTGATAAAATGTATACTCGCCTTTAGCATCTGAAGATCCTACTCTATCATTTATTAATGATATTTGGTTTCCTGCTGATTACCCATTGTACATATGGGACAAAATCCCGGTATATTACTTAGATCCGATACATTATCGGAACTCTATATTGGAAGCGCGGTAGATTTTAAAAAAAGAATGTCTGTTTTGCACGTTTCTTCCCTTTAACCGTTTTTTTGGCCTAATACAATATTTACAGTATATTGTAAGTTTTCAGTAGACATAAGCAATACTAGGAATTCATACTTCTCCATCTTCTTTCAACTTTCGGCAGTTTCATCAGCGAGAGCAGCTAACTTTGCTTTCTTCTTTTCGTGAATGAGAGCTTTAGCTTCGGCATATAGCTTATGCCGTGTCATACTATATGAATTTAAGTAACTTTTACGAAAGAAAGAAAAAGATGAATAAACAAAAAAAAAGAGGTAAAAGTGAGAATAGTACAGATGACAACATTTTCCTGAAAACAATTGTCACTCTATTACTCTTGATGTATTGGAATGGCGTAAAAGTTATCTGTTTCCGTATATTCAACAGAATCTGCAAGCAGAGCTTTACACTCAATAAGGTCTATATTTTAGCTCTTCAAAAGTGGCTCTAAGAGGAAAATATGTAAAAGAAGGGTTATTTAGGCTGCTATGCTCCCGCTTCTAAGGGTGCTTTAGGTTGAACAGCTGCCATCAATCCGATTTTATTCTAGGAAGTGCTTAAAACAAATCGCCAAATTTGTCCGATTCTGTCGAATGAAAAAGTCTTATTTTTTTTCAAAATCGTTCGAATCTGAAGCGAAAAAACGGTAATTACAATCCTCCCAAAACCGTGCATATATCACCCTAATGTCATGTTTACCCGCAAACATTCAATAATATGCCTTCACATGCACCGTCGATTACAAATGCCCTTCACAGTAAATGACCCAATATCATTTCTTCTCAACATGCTTCCAACCAGAAAAACACGTAACAAACAAAACCTTCAACGCTTCTCCAGCTGGGAAATTCGATGGCCCGCAATATGTCAAATCCTATTCGAGCTTGACTATCTACATCATGATAAGACTCCCCCAGAAACTCCCACTCTTGGTAACAAGTTAGTCCAGTGGCTTACTCAGGACTAATCTAGTCCTGGATTTACCTTATTTTCCTCTTCCCTTCTCTACTGCCTTTTTCCTTTATTGACTATCAAAAAGGTTTTTTAGCCACCTTCTTCCTTATATTTTGATCTGACCCGGGCAATTCAATCTCATAATGATTATGTGCTCATGCGGGGTTAAAATTATTTGCCAATAAAAATCTTGTTTAATCGTAATTACAATCCTAAGTTGCTGTAGACCTCACCGTTCAGTCATTTTTCTCCGTCATAACATCTCATATTAAATTCAAGATGTACACAGAATTGAAGCTGTAAGCGGCATGTACATCTTGTAGTTTATGCGACGACATGTCTTAACGTTAGCTGCTTTCCTTTGCATTGTACAGATATATAACCAAGAACAATTATGTGTTAGCACCTGAATCAGGCTCAAACTTGGTTGTCGATCGTAATTCAGGAAACCTTGAACTTTCAGGTAAATTTCCTTTAAGGTAACCAACTGCCAGGACGTTCATAATGAGAATAATATTATCGACTGCTTGTATAGGAAATGTTCCCCCCGCTTGGGAGCAAGAAGGAGTCGTGGATGTTTACGGCATTATGGGCTTCATTCGCTTTTTAGCAGGTAAGGTTACATTGGGTCATTTCGTAAGCATTAAGCAAATTGAAAACTTACAGTACAAACAATATATACAGGTGATTACATGTTGGTTATTACCGATCGTGAAGAAATTGGTTCTATTCAAGGTAAAAAGATTTATCGTATTGGCGCCTTCCAAATTTTACCTTTGGCTCACAACTTGAACCAGTTGAGCGTTAATCAGGTAAATTAAAGCTTACAGCACAACATTATGTAAACTCTTGTATCACTCATAAGTTTTATGATCTGAACAGACGGCGCAAGAACACAAATATGTTAGCTTGCTTGAAACACACATCAAAAAGAACATATTTTATTTCTCTTATGATTATGACTTGACTCAAACAATTCAAAGACAAGCACAATATACTTCTGAGAAAGCAATGGAGCCTTTATATAAAAGAGTAAAACTATTACAATTGTGAATCTATTTCATAATAACACAGCCTGACTAAATATTGCTGTTATGTAGGCAGATGACCGTTTCTTCTGGAATCGATTTGTTTGTTCAAAATTGATTAACTCGCAAATTGACGTAAGGCAACCTTTCTGAGAATTCAATAGACCTGATTATTTTACTGATTTGAAAAGGATAGCTCTCTAACTATATTTTACCGGTAATGCAAGGCTGTAAGTTGAAGAAAAAAAATCGAAAAGAAAAATCATCAAAATAGAACTTAGATTTACAAACAATTATGCGTTTTGGCTGTAGTTGTTGAATTGGATAAGTGCACCATCAACAACAAAACATTTTCTTGGGGGTTGATTACTCGCAGAAGCAGATATCGCCCAGGTACTCGTTACTTTTCACGTGGTATCAACGCTGAGGGACATGTTTCCAACTTTGTTGAAACTGAGCAACTTGTTTTGTACGACGGTCCTTCACCTACAAGAAAGGTTGATGGTAAGACCATCCTATCGTTTGTTCAAACCAGAGGATCTATTCCTGTCTTCTGGGCACAAGTGATCAACCTCAAATATACACCTCGTCTTTGGATCGGCGATAATAAGAAGAGCGTATGTTCTTGAACGAAGCATGAGAAAATTGTGTGTACTAAATCAGAACGCTAATAACGGTTAATGCTATTGATGTAGTTGGCTGCTGCTCGCGCTCATTTTGATGAGCAAATTCGCATATATGGTCCTCAAATTTTGGTCAATTTAATCAACAAGAAGGGTTATGAGCTTCCTATGGGGCAAGCATATGCCCGTACTGTTGAACAATTAAATGATCCACGCATCTTTTATACTCATTTTGATTTTCACTCTGAATGTTCAAAGATGCGTTGGGAACGTATTCATCTCTTAGTAGATCAATTGAAGGATAAATTGACTGAGCAAGGGTAAACTTAATAATGTCATGAAAAACGTACATACATCTTTACTGATTCGTGTAAATTTTTTGTTCTAGCTATGCACTCTATGACACAACTCAGAATAGCTTATTAAAGAAGCAAACATCGGTTGTCCGTTCCAACTGCATGGATTGCTTGGATCGTACTAATGTTGTTCAAAGTACACTTGCCAGATGGGTTATGACTCAGCAACTTAATGAAATTGGTATTCTAGAGAATGGTCAAAAATTAGAAGATCAAGAATCTTTCATGCACAGTTATAGAAATGGTAAAAATTTTAGATACGGTCGAATAAGGCTCGATTAGCATAATAGTAATTATGTTGTTGTTTATAGTTTGGGCTGATAATGCTGATGGTGTCAGTTGTGTCTACTCTGGCACAGGTGCTCTTAAGACGGATTTCACTAGAACCGGTAAGCGCACAAAGGCTGGTGCTATGCAAGATTTGCAAAACTCTATTACTCGTTATATCAAAAACAATTTCATGGACGGTAATCGTCAAGATGCCTTCGATTTGTTCCTTGGTAACTTTCATGTTGACACGACTGCAACTGCTTCGTTAAACCCATTCAAGGATACTAGACCTCTTCGTGTACGCGTTGTAAGTATCTTTGTTCATTTGCATTTTAATTCAAAGATACGACCCCCCCCCAAAAAAAAAGGAGAACTGTTTATTGTTTTGTGCCTGCTTTCAGCTTGTCCTTCTTACATCATTTTTACTTTTATCATCTAGGTTCCTTATATTCTAATGTTTTCACTCTTCATGCTTGCATTGAATATTGTTCGTCCAAATTATTCCGGCTTTAAATCGTATGCTTCCTACTTCCTCTTACTTCTCTTTTGGTTATCAGTTTTGATTTCTGGTATTCGATTTGCATTAAGAAATGGCAAAGATTTTGTTCAGTGGCCTAAGCTTGTCAAATTGCCTGATACTGAAGAAGTTATTGAAAGCGCTGAATTCACCGAAGCTGGTAAGATGGCTCCTCCTGAACTTAGTAAATCCGACCTGCTTTAGACATAGTACGACATGGCAATATCATAGATTCTCCGAGCAAATTTCCATTTATTTCATAAACTAACTTCTAAACATGAATAGAAATAAACATAATGTACATATTGAAAAGAACTTTTCCTGCTAGGTTGCTTGCAACTTGATTATTCAAGTTACATTGTTGGCTATGCTATACAAATAAACGACTATACGTCATGGCATTTCTGATTTCCCACCCATTGCTTGTAGTCTTCTAGAGTTGAACAAGTTCGCTAAATCCGTTGGATCTTGATGATACAACCTGTATATAAAGGACTAAAAACTTTGCATTGCTGTTGTGTCGAGTAAACTCTTTTCTTCTATTTTAAACACAGAAGGCTTTGAAATGTCTAGCGCCCTTGAACAACATTCTGATCCTCAAATCGAATCCAAGGATAAGAAGTACATCTTAATCACCTGCGGCGACTCTTATGTCGGCCAAACGGCGGCCATGTACATTACTGACCAATTAGACCGAAGGGAAGGCCAGTTGAAAAAAAAGCATTATCGCGTCAAAGTGCTCTGTGCAAATAAGCATCATCTTTCCCATCTCGAAAAGAGGGGCATTGAAGTGAAGGTAAAATATTCCATGTGATTGTCAATAATTCACTTTTTCTGAAATTTGAACTTAACCTGGTCCTTCAATTAATTTATCAAAATGCAGGAAGTCCAATATGATAGCATCCATATGCTTCGTAACGAAATGAAGCATCATATCAAGACCATGATCTTCATTCCTCCTGTAACATCCGATCGAGTTATGGAATACGGTAAAAATATTATTGATTGTGCTGTTACCGAGAAAGTTAAGCGAGTGATTATGGTTTCAGCGTAAGTATATTATAGTCAAGTTTCCAAATTACTGATGTAGTTGCTCAAATGTATGTCTGAACTGTCGTTTTGCTTATTCGATTGAAATATGTTAGTATGGGGGTCGAATGCTTCCAAGACAAAGAAACTCCCATTGGACAATTACGCCATCTAGAAGATTACACTCGCCAGCAATACAGATATAGTTACTACATCATCTTCCGACTTCCGTTCATTCAGCAGTTTATGTACTTCTGGACAAGGATGATGGAAAGCCGGGGAATGGTTGGCATGCCAATTGATCACAGTACGTACTTGACTACCGTTAACATTAAAGATGTCTGTTCTTGTTTGGCACAAGCTTCTCTTTCGAAGAAATCAATGGTTTGGTCTACTCAGCGCCCATTGGATAGCAGTGATACAACTGCTCGTGCCGAAGAATACAACGATGAGGGCCCTGATAACAACAACCCTTCAACCAGAATGAGAAGAATTTATGAGCTTCGTAGCAACCAACAGATGAATTTCAATATGATTGCTGAAGCTTTAAACTTCGCTCTCCGTGAAGCTGGAAGTAATCTCAAGGCTGAACCAGTCGTTGTTTCAGAAGACCAGCTTGAGCAATATTTGATGTCCATCGCGAAGAAAGAGGGAAGTGGCGTTCTTGACTCTTTAGATGCTATTTTCCCTATCAACATGATCAACAAAGTCAAGCAAAAACATGTCGAAGTTGGAGCTGGTATCAACCAAGTTCTTCTGGACGCGAAGAATATTTTTCATAGTACTCAACAAGGATCTCAAGCTTTGTCTGGTGATTTCCAAGACAATCCCGAGTTCTATCCTCGTCCTTCTATGGTTTTGACTCATGCTTATATAAAATTGATATTAAATCATTTCCGAAGTGCCCGTAACATGAAGCCACCTATTGCACCTTGTAACGATGTACGCAACATAACTGGTCGTGAACCCATCCCACTTACGGACTTCTTCATGTCCAACCGCCAACAATTCCGTCCTGAGGAAAAAGCTGAACAATAAAAAAGTAGGCAGATATTTACTTTTCTCCTGTCCCAATGTAGCAGCCACGATGGCTAAATAAAATTTAAATTGCAACGAACGAAATCCTAACTTGATTTTGCTGTTAGCGTGGCAGTTATAGCCTACAGTTCTATCTTTGTTTGACTGTTATCATTTTCAATTGATTAGAATTTTCAAATTTCTAAAGTATATGTCATCAAGGAACCATTCCTTTTTTAATGGCTGCATACAGTATCTTCAATTTAGAGGAATTCTTGCTGTTGAAAGTAACAAATTTTAACAATAAACGAAGAAAGGAAAAGTTGGTTTTGATTGTAAAATTATTTTTAACAAGATGAAATTGGGGATCTTTTGAGTGACATAAATTAAAAAAGGCTATTATTGCAATTTGAAATTATATTGAAGAAGTATTATATTTAACATTATTTATTCGAGATCCCAAGAGAAGAAGACCGTCAATTAAAAAGATATTCATTAACGACATTTGTCATTCAATCAAAACAAAATATGTTGTAAGTCTCATTGCCAACTCATTGGAATAAAGGGTGAGTTCAAGCAACTTGCGAATACTATAAGCTCAAATCAAATAGCAGCAATTACTGCAAACCTTTCGGGGTGCAGAGGGCATTGAATCCTCATACTGCTCTTGAATGCTGAACAAATACGTAGCATATGCTAAAGGTTATTCCACAACTAAGTATGAAATTTCATCATTTGCGAGGAGGAGGTATATTAATGGTTCGTCCAGCGTGTAATACAGATATAAATGGTGATGTTGATGGGCGATATCTGGCATAAAAGTTGTAGTATTCGCAATGTGAGTCTATTATGATTTACGTTCTTAACAGCAGTAAGACGAGAGATTCATTGATGTATAAGGTTAGAGTGCAATACATAGGCGCAAACCCCGTATAATCCATGTTATAGTACTGTGTCCTTAGCAGTGTTCATAATGTGATATGCATTAAAAGTGGACAGTTTGACTTTGAGATAGAATAGTTGGATAGAACAGACTTCAGTATAACAGAATGAATACTTGCTCGCCTGATAGATTTGGTCTGAATACAACTGAGATAAGCGTTTTGTAGAGAGTTGCCAGCAGTAATAGTGATTATTTAGAAGAGGTGATGGGATAATAAAGAAAACAACAAGCCAATTTTCTATTCCTTATACAGCATTTTGCAAAATTCGAAAACCGGAAAGAGGAAAAAGCCTGCTCTTAAAACTCTAAGATTTGGGTTAAGCCGTGCAATATACGACGCGCATCAATTTATTACGCACTATATAGGTAACAGTAGATGTTAGATGATAGTTATACACAGTACTTTACTTTTATTACTTTGAAAGAGCGAGTTGATTCCCTCTCCTCCTTCCTTTACAATCACTCAATGCTTCTCACTTTTTACAGCATTTGCTAATATATAATGTATCATTATCACCAACATATTTGATGTGCTACTACTACAATTACGACTACTCTACATTATTAAAAGGTTTATCAACAAAGGGTAGCTCTTTTCCATTGAGAATCGATAATCTACCTTCCCCATCCCCTTTTAACTCTTTTCGACCTTCTTATGGAGAGCAAAATGAACTTATCATTGCTCAAATGCAATATTAACAAAGTGATGGTTGGCATGCATGCACTTTCTCAGTTATCCCAACAGCAGGAATTTTAAGGACTTGAATCCATTATTGTACTAATCAGAAAACCATCCGCTGGTTTTTACAGTTGTAAGTAAAACACTGTGACGGATAATGTTCTAATCGGTTGCCAAATCTTACTGTCACAAAAGTAGCATACAATTAACACTGATGCCTACATACAAGAATAGAAAGCATATGTTTATTGGTATGTTCAAACAAAAACCATTTGCAAAAAACGCATTCAATCATTATACAAACTATATCTTTTGAAGCAATACGAATATTCCAAATTCTACTTGCTAGATAACTGCTTCACTTCGAACCATTCTCCCGTCATTACATCTAACGTTTGAACATAGAATTGTGCAATACCTCTAAGAGCTTCCTCTTCTTTTTGAATTCTTAATATATTCTTCTTCGGTTTATTCCCTTTAAGCCAACTATCTTCCATTTTTTGTTGCTGTTGAATATTTCGTAAAGAAAATTTAGGGCTCGGTGCCCCTCTGCGATCATTCTTATCGAAATTAAAGCAACGCATTGGAGTTTGGCTAAATGATGGACCAAAACTCTCTACGGGATTGAATATGGGTACTTCTACATCGATTCCTTCGACATCTCTGAAGTTTTCTATATCATCTATATACTCCTCAGGAATATAACTTTGCATTTGCTATTAGCTGTAGAGTCCATTTTAATGAGGAATAATCAAATACTTACATCTTCTTGCCCTTGTTGTCCCCCGTCGACGGTGCTCTAATTTTCGAAGTGGACGGCTCCGCAGAATTGTTTGCAGCTTCTTTTATAATCTTAACAATGGGCTTCACGTCAACAGTCGGTAGCTTTCCCCAAACTGGCTTTGAAGAAGATGCAGAATTCTCTAACATAGATTCCAACTCTTGCTGATGAGCGAGCCTCTTACGCTCTTTCTGCGAAACTTTTTTAACTGTAGTTGACTAATAATATAATGCTTTATACTTCAGCGGGGACTAGGAAAGTTAAGGAAAGTGAAAAAATGGAGAGCTATTACCTTCAAAATCTTAGGCATAGTTTCGGATGGACGCATCTCTGTCTCCATAATTTCTCGCAAGGAAACAGAAGGGTTACTAATGCGTCCAAAAGAAAAAAAGCGTTAAATTTCAGGTATATCGTACTGCTAAAGTTTGAACTATTCACTTACTCAATTGATGAAGCGGGAGTAAGCGGCGCCCAACCTGTTGAAGAACGCTGCTGGTCTAAAACTGAGTGTGCCTCAAAGCGTTCCTCGGGCTTATCCAAGCCATTACGAGAGCCTTTGCTCAATTTTAAGCTCATAACCTTAGAATCGTCCTTTTTGATCAGCGATTCTATTATTTGCGAGCCATCTGTAATGGATTTTTTCATAAATGCAGGTTTGTTCTCCACTGAGGAAGCTTTTTCTGGATAGTAGGTAACGAGGACTTCAGTAAATGTGTTGATGAATTTGTCACTTTTAGATAAAGCAAACAATGAGCTAGATATTTCCGTATCCTCTGTTTGTACATCCGGATCGTTAATATGATTAAGAACAGGCGGTAAATGTGATACCAGTGGCATAAAATTGATTTGACATTCTCGAATATAATTCTCAATGTTGATAACTAAAGAGCGGGAAAGCGGGTCCAGCATTCTATCATAAAAATCAAATTAGTATAATCGGTAGATAGTTTCTATACAGAGCAGAATAGAAAGAAATAGGCAACCAACCGTGATACGAGGAAAACCGGTAAATTAACAGCAATAAATTTCAGACAGGATTGCTTTAAATTGTCTGCAAGATAGTTATCTGCATACTCAATTATTGTTCTTGCAGACCGCAGTTTAATGAAAGGAACGAGTGCTTTCTCAGTGATGACCTTCAATCTATTTAGCATGAGTGCATCGGCTTCACAAAGCGTTGACAATAAAATATCCAACATCGTCTCTTCCTTGTCCGCGACAACATTTTGGAATAAAACTGACTCATCTTCATCTAAATATATATATTTGAGTAATATTTCCATGATTGTTGGAGATATATGGTCAAGGCTGACTGTGACACAATTATTATCAGAATTCTCTTGTACAGCCTTTGCTTTCTTTTTTCGATTCATGCTCCAAACAGAACCAGGTTGAAATAAATGCTTGAAGAAAGGACATCTCTGCCGTACAATAACTTCATGACATTTCGTTTTTTCTGCCGTGTTCTTGAGCTGCAATGTAATATTTGCTCCTTTTTTCGTTTCCAGCAATAATCTTAAGTGATCAGTAAGAGTCGGTAAAGGTTTATGACTAAACGAAGATTGGGCCGAAGCTTCTAATTGCGGCAAAGAGAATATTTTAGATAGGGTGATTAAATCTTTTTGCACGGCTTTAATCATATTGGTTGTTGGGGTAAAGTAGGCATCCATACTTTCAAAGCATAGAGCAGGGTATTGACAAAAGGCCTTCATTGGGTGCTCGTACTGATCGGTATACACATAATCGATAAGTAAGAGCAATGCTGCCAAATTGCAAGAATCAATATAAATAACAATTCGATCAGTTGATCCTTGTTTTCTCACTGTGAATTTCATATCATTCACTACTGAACGATCTTCCATTTTCAAAAGCTGTTCAAAAATGCCACTACGACATTTTAAAATGAAGCTGTGGCAATATATTTCTCTGTTATCTACATTAAAAACGATATCCAACGTTTCATCGTTCAATGCTAGTTGAGTTATCTGCGTCCAACCATCCTCAACAGAGGCTAAAGCCAAATTGGTGTACCGTTCGCGTATCTTGCTTTTACATTCAGATAAATACTTCTCCATTTCTTGTTCTGTCAAATTCATATTGTTACATTTAATGTTTTCAGCTTCAATAGCGATTTCCATCTCTGTCCTTTTCCGTTTAATTTCTTCGGCCAAGTCTTTAGAAATTGTTGCATGTGGAAGAGATTTGATTATATCTTTTTCTAATGTCGATACAACTTCAGTTGTAATGGCCGGTAGAGCATACTCTGACCGAATAGCTGCAAAAGCACCACTTGAATTAGCGCAGACGTGTATGCATCTCTGTAATTGTGGCACTTGAGAGAATTTATAGCTATTGGACTCAATATGCCCCTTAAATACATAGCCCGATTGCACACAAATCAGGATTTCGCCATTTTGCCCAATGGCAGCATCAACAGCTGCCAAACGTGATTTGTCATAATTCCATATACGCTTCGGAGCGGATATTGTAACCAACATTCTGTTTGAATAGTTGTTAGTGCTTTTTTTGTGTTCTGTTGGTTGTTGTGTTTGAACAAAATTGCGCGGCTTTTTTGAACGACATGTCCATATGAAAATATCACCCGTATTGGTGATTGCACCTAAATAGTCTGTCTCACTTCCTAAAAGCTTTATTGGATAAATTGCTTCTGATCTATGTACTGCAATACCAGTTGGAAATCGACTTGACGGCAGACTACAAATAGATGATGTATTAATAATTGAAATTTGCATGTAAAAAGCTTCCTTAATATACGTTACAATAGTTTTTGCTGGGTATAATTACAGAGCAAAATTATTTCATGGGATTTGGTCAAAATAGTAGTGGCGTTATCCTGCAGAAACACAATGAGTAGTTAATACCCGCAGTTATTGAAAGAAGCGTATATGACAAAGATTAATTTTGGACGTACATTTGCAACAACCTGCAAAATCTCCGTCGGCATACCCACTTTCCTCGGTGAGATTTGATTAACTTCATCGTCAGGCTGATGATATCCTAATTGCCCTTGATTATAACCCCAGGTAAAAATATCATTGCGAGTGTAAACGACAGAATGAATTCTGGAGGCAGCAGCACCTATGATAGGCTGCTTCTTCAAAGTTTGAGCCTGTATTTTGCGAGGAACGAGCTGCATAGGAGCTTCATCTTTTTTTTGCTGGTTTTCCGTCTCATACCCTGTATTTAAAGTGCCAAAAAATTACAATGATATCGTTTGAGTCTATGTTATTGCTGAAAGTATTACATACCTAATTGACTGTATTGGTTGCTTCCGAAAGTTACTACATTGCCCGTTTCTGTTACCGCTATTGTATGATCTCGTCCCAAGGCGACAGATGCAAACCGTTCCGGCCATTGGACAGGTGTAGGCGTGAACTGTGTATCTAATTCTTTTCCCGTGCCCAATCTTCCGCCTCTTCCAAAACCGCATAATAAAAGGTTATGACTGCACTCAGTTGTTAAGATCGCCATATGATATTTTGACATATTAACAGACTGTATCAAATGGTGTGGCCTTTGCATGAAGAACGGTAATTTATGAGATTCTAATTGTAGCTTTACTCGCTCTGGCCGTAGTCGATTTTCAGAATCTGGATGTCCCAACACGTAATTTGTATTAAAGCCCCAAGTATAAAGATCAGTACCCCCTCGTCTAGCAAATGCTGTATGATGGTGATAATAATGGTCTTTTGAGTCCATATCGTCAATATTGGTCTCCGCATTATCAATTAAAATTGAACTTTCGGTGGGGTAACAATCTATCACTGTACTGTTATACAATTCAAATGCTGTCAAACCTTCGTAGTCCTTTAAAGCAGGTATATAGTAAGTACAAGCATGAATACTTTTGTTAAACTCTTTCCACGCACCTTCAACCCCACATCAATATCATCTCTCTGCATTAACATTATTGCTATTTCAATATTCCCAAGATAGAGGCACCTATAACATATTTATTTTAGAAGTAAAATATGACGACTTTATCTATTTTAGCATACCTGTGAAGGGCAGTCCAGCCGTTTTCCAAATCGCATAAGTTAACATTGACATTTGGGCAATCGATCAATAATTTTGCTATTTCAACTCTGTTCCAGGTAACAGCATAATGTAACGGTGTTCGACCTTTTGTCGAACGTTTATTTAAGTCGAAATATTTCAAACCGGCATTTTTCAAATACTTTTGTATCCATTGAAGGTCATTCTTCGGTATATTAGCGATATTAGAGCGTTGACGCTGTTGATCACCGACTGAAAGATCGATGAAATACTTCAGTAATTGTATGTCATTGTCGCGAATTGCTTTAAAGATCGACACCATGAACTGAAGTTGTGTTTGATTAATATACTAAAGCACTTCTACTTCTGAAGGTTCGTTTATTAGAACAATTGTTTGATGCTTTACAATGAACAAATTGTACAAGTGATAACTCGACTGCGTAAATAAGGACCACTTCGAGTGTCAACTTCATCGAACAATTTGACAAGCATGATGAAATTCAACAATCAGTGTACTACATAACGTCTATGATTGGTTCAAAGGTCGTGGTTACAATGAAAAAATGCAGCAGTTACAGTTTTTTCGATAAAAATCAGAAAAAATTAAACATATTTATGAGAAAAGATATTAACTTATTTTAGATAAATTCAGTTATAAATTCAGACGTACTTACCAGAAATTACCCAAATTGTTACCGAATTGTGAGTTGAGTAAATAAGGTCGAAACAGTAAGCATTCAGCCTTTGGTTATACTTTATGAATATCTTACTAACTTACACTGTAGGAATGTGTGAAGGAGTGATATCAATCACACATGAAAATGAAACTAATCTCGCTTGAAAACCACAGGTCTTTGATTGTCATTTACTGCAGCAAACATGAAAATATCATAGATATTTTTGGCAGCATTGACGTCGCAATTCCCAAACTGTATTACAATTTTTACACTGCAATACAGCATGTACTCTTCGCTTTGATGCTGCTGTCGTGTCATTCTCCAAACTTCGATGTTTGCATACATTACATATCTGGCTAGTCAAATATTCATCGATATTGAGAGGTAATTACTCGAATTGCTTCTTCACAGTTGTAAACTTTGACCTTGACCAAGCCTAGTTTCTTGAAGTTGAACAGTTGATAATACATATCAGTAAGGTCAGAGTCAGTTTTTTTGCCCGTATTGAAGCCATCCACGTTTGCTTCTTTCGCTAATCTCTAAAACGCCTGAGTATCGATTTGGATTGACTTGGTTTTGACTAAGTATAATGGTGCGAGTGAAAAACAAAGCGATGGCCTCTAGTATCTGTGTATTTTGTAGGAAAGTTCCATCATTGATTCTGCCTTTTACGGTGTCGATGAAGACTTGTATCACGGATATCTGTTGTGACGCGAGGTTCTGTGGTTGTTCCCCGGAAGAAAAGGCTTATCTGAATTGACTGCTGCTAATATTTGCTCAAGCAGAGAACTAAACTTCTGCCTATTCAACGTAGCAGCAAATGGAATTTCGAGAAGTTTTCGGAGAATGTAAGCCTTTGATGCAACTTTTGCTGCTTGTGGCTCCATAATAAAAACCTTCTTTTGGACCTCCTTAGAGAGAAAGTTGAACCACTTGAAGAATAAGTGCGGCTTAGAATACAGTGTTTTTAAGTCGCAATCACTTGGCTGATACTTTTCCCATATGGCAGTGAAATTGGCGACTATCTTGTCTAGAGCATCACTTCTAGAGAGAGAGGCAGGCCATGAGGGGCTTGGTCCCTGCTTCTTTCCATAGATATAATGTGCTATTATTTTCGTTCTGCTACCGTCAAATTTTTTACAGAAGTTTACAGAATTATTATCAGACAACACAGCCAAAAAATACATGATTGATCTTTTTATCATGTGTTTCATGTATGTAGTTTCTGGTAAGTGTTTCGTACTGTTTACCGGCAATGGAAAGAACGCTTGAGTAGTTTATACTTTTTAGCAGCTGCGGGTCCAAAGTCGTCAGGACACAGAAGGTCGTGAAATGTTCTTTGATGTCGTTCGGTGCCTTCTTACCATTTCCGGTCATCACGGCAAAGATATTTGTGAACAGAGTTTGCTCAATAACAGGAACATCAGCATCTTTGATTTCAAACAACTTGATGAACAGGTAGTTGACAAACAGAGATCCCAAGTACAAAACTTTTGAAGTATAGGCTGCTACTTTCAAAATCTGTTCACAAAATTGCTCACTTTTGCAAACGTTGGACACAGTGGTTTTAATAACAAACTTTTCCACTTTTTCGTCTTCGTCGCAAGTAGGTACTTTTATCTTTCTGCTTGGACACAGATTACTTGCCTGCCGTGCATGTGTCGTTCTGCTTACAAAGAGGACAAATACTCGTTTTTGTGGATTTGTTTGAAGCTTTGAAATCTTTGAGAGCTTCTTTTTTGTCGATTTTATTTTGAACCTTCTGAAAACACTGGTGCAGATAAAGAAGCGCTAGAAGAATCATTGCCTGTCATTGGTAATAGTGTGTGTGTAACTGGGGCAACGTTGATGATTTTTTGATAGAGCTGTAAATAAAACAGTCTTACCCATGTGCAGTTTAGGGTCTTTACATGGCCGTTCTGAGCTGGGAGGCGTTGTTTGCCTTTTCATCTTTGCTGAAAAGAAGAAAGCAAAGGGGAAGAACAATGTGTTTTAAAATTGTGTATGTTCTGCTACGTATCGTGTTGTCAAAGAACTGCTTCATTGACAACATCATTCAATAAGTAACGGCTCTTACCAACATGCACCAAAGTTCTAAAAAATCATTGCTATATACAGACAGTGACGTATCTCTGCTCCTCAACTTTTTGATGTTATAGTATGCTTAACATATTACACAGCGTAGGTAATCGCGCTGGTTATTGCTCTTGTTCCCTCGTCATCCCTCCGTTTTGTTAAAAAAAGAAAAAAAAAGTTCTAAAAATCCGTCTCAAACTGTAAATAACAAAATCTAAAATAGTTATGGTATTTCTTAAATCTATTATATTGTCGTCTGAAGCAAACAGTATGAAAGTCCGTATCATAATTTGAAAAATCAGTATTCCGTTGCTATAAATTTAGACGATATCTGTCTGAATATGCGTTGTACGTTAATGGATTGAAAAGGTATGCAAATAAACAGCCTCACAACATTGATGGAATCCGTGAGTTCGAATTCAATGAGGCAAGAAAATCTCCCAAACAAAAATCATCTGGCTCAAAGTGTTCTGTCGTTGACAAATAATGACAGACTGTTTATGACAACACTACGTTACCAGTGTGCAATCTTTTTAATAACAAAAGCCATCATTTCATAATCTTGATCTAAAAATCTGGCGCAACAAGAGTTTTTTATCATAATGGTGAATATAGTACTATCTATTGATCTACAAGAGTGAATAAAATCGTATTTTTATTCTACATCAATCTTAGCAACTTTTTTCATAAGACTTTCTTAACATAATATATATACAGAGAGATTTCGTCAATGAGGTTGAATGATTAATAAACAAGCTTTTCGTCCTAAATTACAAAAGTAAAAATTACCAAATCAGAAGTTGTATGGTTGAAGTGATTTTATACACAAAACCCTTACCAATTCCTTAGCCTTAGTATAGCATTCTTCATACAAGTCTTTGTAATCTTCGGCAGACTTAGCGTCCTTATTTTTGCCACCAAACACAACCATAGAAACAGAAGTGGGGCGCTTTGTGGCACTGGCTTCGCCTAACTGTTCCTTGGATGGGACAAACACATAAGGAACATTGGCATCCTCACATAAAACAGGTAAATGAGAGATGACATCCATGGGGGAGATATCTCCAGCAATAATGACAAGACCTTTTTCACCCTTACGAAGAGCTTTACCGACCTCCTTTACACCACGTCGAAGATGCTTCACTTTGCTGGCTATAATTCCGAATATGCACAATTAAGCAATTTTGTAAACCGATTAATAAAGCGAAATGCAAACTAATATAGTTCTCTAGCGATCACTTTTGTGCCCAAATAGTTTGAATCTACAAATATTCTACCTTTCTTAACAGTTTTGAAGATCTTTTTTGTAAGTTTTTCTTCTGCTAAAGGATGAGCAATGGGAGATAAAAAGCGAAGAGAATCGTCTTCTTTGACAGGCTTGACCTTCTTTTCTTTCTTATGTTCTTTGGCCATGTCGTGAAGTGGTGTTTATAATTAAGCAGTTAAAAGAGCTTTAGAAGGAGGGTTTGTGTCAGCGAAACAACTTGGAAAAAAGATTATGTGACTTGCAAAATATACATTAAGCCACACCTCAAACGCGCTGCACAACTTCATGCAAGTTTACATTATTTATTTTTTATTGCCAATTATTCTCGAGTTTATTTGATCGCAGTGGAATCCATCAACTGCAACTTAGAAGTTACCACAAATTGTCAAACCACGCATTTGCTGAAGAACATCGTCAACTCGACTATCATTTTCGTAATTTGAAGGCATGAAGTTTCTCATACCCTCAATTTTTTCATATCCAGTCTGAGAGAAGACCAGTTCAGATTTGACTAAGGCTTCAAATATAGGATCCAAATAAGGCACACGAAGATCAACAACCTTAGGCAAATCCTGGATCAAAATGGTATTGATGCTTTCGTACATTTCCCTTGCTAAGTTAGCTTCTTGCTCAGCTCTCGGCAGTTTCTGTGGGTCATCGCTGGGCTTGTCAATTAATTTTCTAACTTTAGAGCGCTGTGCATCGTAGTCGAGCAGCTTTTTGTTACGACGTTTTACAGCTTCATTGATTTCAGGGAAATAAGAAGCAAACCTGGCTAAAGGCTCCAGAACCGCTTTTTGATAAGCCGGGTCCTGATGTTGGTTTGGAAACAAGCTTACATTTTTGAGTTTTTACTTTTTTTTGTCTGTATGCTATTAGTGTTCTTTACCAAGTTATCTTTTGCTTCCCTATCAATGGCTTCCAAAGCCTTTTTGTACTCGATAAAAGCACTATTGGTCAGAGCGTCGTCACCGTAAAGCTTTTCAAAAGTTTGAACTAGTCTTGCTTGTGACGAGATAATAGCTAGAATAATATAAAAAAGATAAATTGATATAAATCATGAACTAATCAAGTTTATGCTGTGGAGACATGACCCACCTCTTGTTGAATCAATATACTCTTTTGCATGCTTTGCCAACTTATCGGATTTCTTCTCAAGCCTTTGAGATAATTACGTTTTATATAAACTGTCAGTTGCCAATTCTATTTGTGTTTCTTATTTCAACTTTTATTATTACTGTACGATTTGAATCTTTCAAGTTCCTCTTCAAATTCATTGTCCAAAGTCTTATCTCCACCGGTTCTTTGTTTTATCTAGTTTGTATGTAACAGTCATTAATAAATAGCTTTTGTTCACCTGAAAGGAAAAAAGAAAAACCTAAACTCTTACTGTTGTTCCTGCTCTGTTCAGATTCTTCTTGATGCCAGATCTGTAAAAACCGTTACAATGTTAACGTGAGCCAAGTTAACTGACTCTACAAGTAGTGAAAGCTTGTTATTTACAGAAAAGCCATTTGCTCAATGCTTAGAAGATGCCAGAATGATTTATTAAAAGAGAACGAAAAATGAATTCTACAAGTTTATCTTTTGCTCTTAATGGGCTTTGACGTCATACAGAAAACAGAGTAGTACAATGCATTGCAAAGCACTTTCCACGTTGCATAACAGAACACAGTAGTTTAACATTGACCTAAGATAGCTCCATTAACCATTGTTACTATAATACATTGTTATGAACCTGATCATACTGTTTTCAATTCAAAAAGTTTCCATATTTATTGAGCACCAAAGCTACCATTTACCTGCTGTATACCCTTCAAATATTCGTAATTCCAGCTGATTTTATAGTCCCTGTGGGTTTTAAAGACGTCGGTGCTCTCCTTTAAATAATAAAGCTATCAATTGTTCATACAGTATGATTCATTTTCATATATAATATTACTCCTCAATAATAGCAGGTATAAGTTTATTATCTTATAGTAACATCTATAAAATTCCTATTTTTTTATAGAAGCAGATGGTAGAACCAATTTTGCACCTATATTGGATTGCCCTGATTGCAATACGCCAACATATGGTGTAATATCCCAAAGGAGTGTCAGGTTTGCGTTCTCATAACTAAAATCAGTAATCAGCATAAGACTATTAAATCCAAAGAAGCATCCCACAAGCATTAACATTACTTACTTCCATTGTTGACTAATATCGATCATAGCATACTTGTTACGGACGTTACGTAGCTTCAAATGAGCTTTATCTTTACTAGTAATGATTTTATCCCATAAAACAACATGGTTCCGACCCTATTGTTAGATATAATTGAAGTATAAGCATGAAGATTCGAGGCTAAGGTTCATAGCAACGGTCCAAACTTTACAAAATTCTTTTTCTCGTATTCTGCAACTACTGTCACAAAGATTTGCTTCGTATTCCAGTTGAAGACAGGTGTGAAGTCTGAAGAATAAGAATGTATCAGAATAATATGTATACGTTTCTGAAATTTTCAGTAACAATTAAAGTAATTACCTGCGTCAATATCAAACGACAGTCGGGCAAATTCACTTTTACTGCTACGATAATCTGTATCGTCAGGCCCGTATCGACGAGTGACTCTATCAATAATTTCTAGGTAAGTTTTTTTTTTTTTTTTTTTTTTTTTTTTAGAGAAAAACTTTCAACCACTTAGAGAGTATGAGATTTACACTTTAAGATTGGCAGCATCTACTTTTAGTAGTCGGTGATTAGCTGATTCATAACCTGTTATAGCCGAGATAATAGCAATAACTGCCAACACCACACCGCCTACGGTTATAGCAAACGAGAAAACATTCTTTTTGCATTTAGCATGTTAGTCGTGCAAGATTCCCACCATAAACGCTGCATTGAGACATTAGCTTCCACTTACATTAGCTCTTTGCTGTAGGTTGTACATTGAGAGGGGTGGTTATTTTGGACTGGAGAAAAGAAAACGATACAGCAATATATCAATGAATTGTCGCGTTTTCATTTGACAATACGGTTGTAAAAGAAAATCAGGAGAATATTGAAGCTGAATTTAAATTGATTATATAATGCGATGCATTATGCGAGAATGTTGAAAGCAATGAACCTTTCTGTCTCTATTGAAGTTATCAAGCAACTCAGAGCTTCATTCTGCCAGGAATTGAAATGCTATCTTCAATAGCAAATCAATTCTCATTCTCTTAATGACTTTTTGCAAAGGAAAGAATATATATATTGCTATTTGATAGGCTTATTTCGTATGATTTTTTCGTACAGATAATTAATTATACAATCCTGTAGGATAAACACCATACGATTTTTTGTTTTTATTGTTTTTCCTAAGCTCCGTGTCGTATTTCGCTAAAAAAAGCCTTTTTGTCTAATAGGTACGGAAAATGTTCGGTCTCATGAAGAGTTTCTCCAAAAAGAGTGCTTAAAACCATTGTAAAAAAATCTCCTCGCCGTAAATTCCTGATACAAAGAGAATATGCTCATGTCCATTGATTTTCCCTCCATTCTTCTAATTTTTCTTTCAATTGTCAAATAATGTCAGCATCCTATCCAACTATATCAACAACGAAGAAAAGAGTATTAAAAAAGCTTAACGACAAACGCAAGGAGCCTCTTATAACAACGCCCGTTGAACCCATCATAAAGAAACACAAGGACAAACCTGATAAAATTGTTCAGATCAATGAGTACAAGCTCATAGTATCCGTTGGAAAAGGCAGCGTAGGCAAAGTTTACTTAGCCAAACATGTCAAAACCGGTGAAAAGGTAAAATTATATTACATGACAGAAGCGAGAATCGAAATGATATTAAGAGAATGCTAACTATCAAACGTAACTTCAAATTTTAATGACTTAAGTGCGCTGTTAAAATAGTCGCAAAAGCTCCAGAAGATGAGAAAGATCTGAGACTCAGCTCACGCCACAAAGCAAGAGATAATATGAAAAAGAACAACAGGATGGTACGAGAGGCTTTCCTCCTCAAACTAATGAAACATCCACACATTATACGAATGAAAGAGTTTATCGAATGTAAAGATTCCTTCTATCTCATCATGGAGTATATGGAAGGTAAACAGCTACTGGATCATATTGTCAGCAATCAGAGATTAGAAGATTCAGAAGCGCGCCACTTTGCAAGGCAGATAGCCAGCGCTCTTGATTACATGCACCGCAACTCAATTGTACACCGTGATTTGAAAATTGAAAATATCATGCTAGACAAATCTAAACGTAACATAAAACTTGTCGATTATGGTTTAGCAAGCACCTTTCGTCCAGAAGGAAAATTAGAAACCTACTGCGGCTCCCTCTATTTTGCAGCTCCAGAATTGTTAAAGGGAAAGCCGTATTGGGGTCCGGAAATTGACATTTGGAGTTTTGGTTGCGTTATCTATTGCATGGTTACGGGTTCTATTCCTTTTGAGGATCCATCTGTCCCTCGGTTGCACGATAAAATCCGACGCGGTGTTTTTGCTATCCCAGGCTTTGTTACAGTCAGCTGTGTCAAGTTATTACGGGAAATGATCCAAACGAATCCGGATAAACGAATCAAATTGGCCGATGTTATGCGCCATGAATGGTTGAATAAAGGCTATAAGTATTGCGTGAAGAATTATGTGCCGTATCGTCTGCCCATTTTAGGTGGAATCCCTCTTGACATGCTGAAATTCATGTCCGAAAAGTTAAAACTTGGTAAGGAATATCTAATCAAAGGTAAATGGGACTACATTATGGAATCAAAAACACATAGGTTACTTGCAAGAAAAGTGGCACGCTTAAAAGCTAGTGAATCAAAACTGAAGACTGTGGCGGAATTGAGAGCTGAACCTTATGATGACCCGCAATATCTTACACCGGCTTACCATCCTCTCGTATCTGTTTATCATTTATATTACGAGCATCAACTTGGTATAGAGGTGGTTCAGCAACCTGATTTTCCAGAAGACCTAACTCCGGATTCTTTGCTTTATGGTGCTACTTCAGACTATCAATTTGGGCCTCGCTTTAAACCTACTGAATACCCTCGCAATGAGTACTTCGCCAGGATACATGGCGCTCCTTGTAGCTTTTTGGATTATGACGATGGCAATAGTCCGAATACAGAGTCTTTATCTCCCTCCTCACGTTTGACTACTGCTGCTTCCCCTTCAATGGCTCCTCCGACTTCTGCCCGGATCGTTGACATTCTACCGCCGATCGCCAACGCTCTTCCTCCAATAGCCACCATTACTTGTACTGCTTGTACATCGCCAACTAGTACTATTTCAACAACATCGACTTCAAGGACAGCAAAAACGCATTTCTCACCTATTGTGCCATCACCAATGGTAGCATCACCAACTGTTACTGTCGCTTCAGGAAGAACTCAAAACAGATTTATCCAAAACCTTTTTGAATTCAAGCTTAAGTAGCAGAACCTTTATGACTGGATCATTTTTTTTTTTCCCTTTTTTTAATTTGAAATACTCTTATTTATTAATAAAATAGAATCAGCATGAAATCATTGTTAATGTAAAGTATTACAGATGGCACTTATTATAAATTTGTCATTGATTGCCTGTTCGATGTCTTATATGTGGAACAACGTTGGTTACCTCTGACTTTTGAACCTCAGGTTCATGGGGACAACTCTGGTCACAAAATTACCCGCAAAAAAAAAGAAGACTATATCTTCTATTTATTTATAAAATCTAACCATGCGTTATAATGAATATTATCTGCTTTAAAAGCTTGCAGACCACGTAAAGTAGTCTTTAATTAGGAAATACTCTTTATGATTTATGGCTTCGACTTGGTATGTAATTCAAAATATTGTAATATACTGATGCATTTCACAACCTTTACAGACCATGGCAATAGTAATTCTGAGCATTATCAAACTATACATTACTCCCTGATAACCTTTTAATATTAAACGTCTTGTGAAAAGTTGCTTGCAAATCTAATACTTAATAAAATAAATACTTTTTATACTCATGCAAACGAAATAGATTCTTTATATAGATTTATTGGATAAATTACAGAAAAATTGTTGACAAGCTCGATTTAATTGTTGAAGACGTTGAGTGCGTCGAATATTGTCGTTAATAAAATGAATAAGATTGGCTACATTTTGTTTACTATGTAATCCATAATGAAAAGCTTTCACACCCGATTGTATATTAATACTATTTATCTTAAACGTAATGTAAACAAGGTAGATAAAGAAGCCCTATAGTACTTCTCTATACAAGTAGAACGGCATTGATACAGCCATCATTTTCTATCATATAGAGGGAAAAAAAAACAATTTTAGGATCCCAGCAAAAATTGAATTGCAATGAAGAGTAAAACATACCTGGATTATTGGTTACTTGAGCGTATTTACCCCAGACAACCTTACCACCGGTTGTAACTAAACCCAATTCTGACACATTAACTTCGAGCACAGTACCTTTAGTAATGACGCCAAGCTGGGTATAAAGTGGTGATTGTGGGTTTTTCTTAACGCCAATGATAGGTAAACAAAATGTGGCTTTCAGTTCTGGGTGAGTAACATGTGCTTTCTTGTAACGAAGACCCATAGGTCTGATGAAACGTTCGTATTTTGGTGGTTTACGGGTAAACCCTTCTCCAACAAATGTTGCTTTTGTTACCAAACGCTTCCATTGCTTTGATTTGCTTTTACCAGTCTTCACTACCTTGAACATTTCGTCTTCGGCAATACCACGTACAGTAGGCAAAGGGACTGACCATTTGCCGGCTTTTTCTTTACGTTTCTGCTTAATCATATTACTCAAAATCTTCGCACGATCTTCACCTTCACGATCCAAAAGGTAAGTGGGCACAGCTCCCTCAGGGATAGCATCAGCTGATTTCTGCTTAGCATTCTTTTCTTCATGTTGTTTAATCGTTTTCTTCATTTGAATCTTTTCGGCATGACGCTTCTTATTCAACATCTTGGCCTTGAAGCCATGAACCTTCTGCGCTATTTGAGAATTTTTGTGCACAGCACGAGCTTCTCTCTTACGTCTAATTAGAAGCAAATAACGGTTTTCTTAATATAATAAACTCCAACTTCAAGTTTAATCCATGTAGACAGGTTTGATCAAACTTCCAAAAGTCAGATCAAAAAAGAAAAAATGCTTACTTTCTTTCCTCATAATCGAGACGTCGACCATGTCTCTTAATGTGTTGTTCAATATGCTCGTTTTGGGGCTATATAGTAAAAATGTTAGTTGACAAAATTCTATTTTCCAAGTGAAATGCTATTCAATATTTACCATATCGTTACTAAATGCAGATAAAGTGAAAGATCTTTTAAATTTCCTAATGCTTCTGTCTTTTTGTCTGCTTCAAAAGAAAAGTGAAACAAGTCACGATAATACGGTTTTTTTTGGCTCAGATTTAGATCAATTCTTCAATTTTTTTAGACAGAAAAAAAGTTAAAATTCAGATTATTTGCAGCTTTTCGACAAAATAGATACTTTTTGGGATGAATAAAAAAAGGTACTTTACAATGCTTAAGTCTTTCAGCAGCCCTTTCCTCGCAATATTGTTGTCAATGTTATGTTGAGGAAGAGATTCTTTTAAACGGGGGATTAAGATCCCTTCTTTTCCGTATTTCGCAATTCGTAACTTTAGGCCCTTCTCACGTATAAACGCTTTATTATAAGAATTGGATCTGTTAAAGAAAAGGCATAGGATCCAAGTTAAAAAGAATCCATTTGGTCGCTTAATACTCATCAGAAGAATTGGAAACAGTCCGTGGCTGTAGTACCCTTGTCTGCAAAAACTAGTAAGATACTATGGAATCGCAATGTCAATACAGCAAAACTTCTTAGTCCTTTCCTATTATCACTGGAACGAAACTGGCTCCAGTTTAATGCTGGGTCTTCAACTACAATTTGAAGTCTCAAAAATCTGGTTTATTCCGTTCAATTATATCACAGTTTTGTCTAAACCAAAAATCAGAAAACTGAAGAACCCAATTGATCCAATTTAAGTTTGAATGTTGCTGCTGGGAGAAATAGATTTCATTGGTGAGGTATTTTTCAATAAAGGGAGTGTAGCAATAAATCAAAGTGGAGATTGGTGTATCGTCGAGAAGATTTTTTTAGGTTTACCAAATAAGTAGGGTGGTCTCAGAATCTGATTGTATAACATTTTAACATCCTATTGATGGGCTCGCCGACATTAAACAAACTTCTGTTGTATTGCCCTGAATTAAAAAAAGAAATTGATGCAGACTGAGTGGCCATTAAAGCAATAAATCATTCCTGCTATTTCCTGGAAACATTCATGTGTTATTTTTTTCGGACACATATACCGTTTAATGACTTATATTCTTTGTCAACATGTCAAAGAAACAAAATAAATACGATTCATCTATCTGTAAGTAATAATTAGCTATGTAAAACGTCTGTACATCTTGCACATAAGACATTTTCTTCAGTTGAGTGATAATTCCAACATCGAGGACATTTGCTTAGACTTGAAGAACGAAGGCTTATTGTACAATCATCGCCTATAGTCAAAAATTTAGTCATTGATGCTAGTTTTTTTACGTTCGTTATCAATACAAACCTTCAATAGAGGACTTTCTGAAGGTCATGCTGTTTAAAGCTGCTTTTTGTACGTCTTCAACTACGTTGACTTGACTTACCATCAATATTGATGATAGCTCCGAGGCTATGTGTGAGTGTACAAATGTAATTAATTACTCTGCCATATAATGTAGTTAGAGTCAAAGTTTCTCCTACCTGTTAGAGACATTACTGCTTTATGTAGTGGACTGTCTTTGCCTACGCCCAGCGTTATGTCCGCCTCTTGAGAACTTCGAATTTGTCTACAGATATGTACTATTAAGGCATGAACTTTTTATCCATCAAAAGCTGCAGACTTACTTTTCTTGACGTGCAAATTCTAAAGCTTTGTTAACCTCAGCTTTCAATTTCAATAGCGTTGCCCATTTATTCATGAGTTCCTCGTTATTCCATTGACTCCTCTAAAGCAATTTCATTTAGCTTGTAGCATCGAATAGCCGCTAGTATTTTGTTAAGATCTTACTGATATCAACCATCCTGTTTTATAAACGGATGATTCAGGTTTAGAAGTAATTTGTTTGTAGTTTTCATAAATTTCTTCCGCTGTATGACAGATGAACGGGGCTAATGATTTCGTATAGGACTGAAGGATCTATTTCCATTTGAAGAAATTCAAATTAATCCTAATACCTAGCCTTATAACTTATTTATTTTGATTCGCTACCTCGTAAAGTACTGTTTGTGCCGCTCGTCTGGAAGCTGAGTCCTTCTTTTCATTGTACAGTCTATCCTTGATGATATCAAAGTAAAAGGATGATAAGGTCGTATTTGTAAAATTCTGTATAGTCTGTACAGCTATTTCGCAAAAAACCCACGTGTTAGAATTCATAACTAGCTGTCAATTATACTCAATTACCTCTGTTAAAAGCATAGTCTTCATACGATCGAGTGATACGATTGTTATACTTGTACAGTTCGTTGAGCATGTATTTGTCAACCTTTTAGGTGATTTCACTTATTAGTTAACAAAGGATTCAAAGAAAAAAAAAAAAGGAAAAACAAATGGGGATACATACCTCTTGAAGGTTCTCAAAGCTGATATAGTTATGTTGGTTAAAGTCTTGAAGGTTTCCAAGCAGAAACTTGGCAGTTGTACGGATTTTTCGTAGGTTATCAGATATTTGAGCTATTAAAATAGATATTGTTGAAATTGTGAGTGAACCTTTCTCCAAAAAAAGATGTAAATGAAATGAGTCGCTTTACCTATTATAGATGGCCCTATGCTAACATCATGGGTATACTCACAATTCGCTACCCAGAAGCGAAGCACATCACTTCCGTATGCAGGATTCTTCTTTTTATCCTTTCCCCCGTCAGTAATAAAGCTGGGCTCTAGCGTATTTCCTAAACTCTTTGACATTTTTTGCCCTTTTTCGTCTAATACAAAGCCATGCGTAATCAGAGTACCATATGGCGCCTTCTTTGTGACAGCGATGGATGTCAGTAATGATGATTGAAACCAACCCCTGTGTTGATCACTACCCTCCAAATAAACATCCGCAAGAGGCCGTTTGGAATCCCTAATATTGTCAAGAAGACCCTTCAACATCATCCATGATGTTCCGCTATCAAACCATACATCCATAGTATCGTAACCTCTCTTATAAACTTTGCCCTTATTTTGATATTGAGGAGCTACAAAAATTGAGTCATCTGGTTCCTCCCACCATGCATCTGTACCTTTTTCTTGAAGAATCTTGATAATGTAATTTACTGAATCCTCGGTTAGCAATGCGTCACCATTTTGATCGTAAAGTGCTGGAATTGGAACACCCCAAGATCTCTGCCTAGATATACACCATTCTTTTCGAGACAGAGTAAATTGTTCAAGGCGCCTAACAGCTAACATAAAATAAACAGAAAGAGATGGTCAGACGGAATTTTTTGGGAACCAAACTTGATTTTGTTTTGTACTTACAAACTTCAGGAACCATTCGAGTTTCCTTTAACTTTTCTACTGCTAAATTTTGCAGATGTTCAACGTTCGCAAACCATTGAGCAGTAGCGCTGATGTAAAATTGAAAAAGGACAGGGCTTTGCATTAGTTGATGTTGGCTATACTAGATTGAGATGAAGTACTGCATATTTACCGCAACATAACAGGCTGTTTGGTTCGCCAGTCATATGGGTACTTATGGGTATAGTCCTGTTGAATAACCAATGAGGAATTTGAATCAAGCATGTCAATGACGGCTGAAGTGCCTTCCGTGAATGCCTCTTTGCCTTCAAGTTCAGGGCCTGCTTGGCTAGTGAATCTGCCAAAATCATCCACTACAGAATTTCTGTCAATATTTCCAAATTGATGGAAAAGTCAAAATTATTATTCACATCATTTACCTGGACTAAATGGTTGAATATCGTGACGAAGGCATACTTCATAGTCTTCCATACCATGACCAGGAGCAGTATGTACTAATCCAGTACCAGACTCAGCAGTAACATGTTCTCCAGCAATAATAGGCATTAGATCGTGATTTAATGGATGCTCATAACGGCATCCCAGAAGATCACTCCCCTTGACTTCATCTAAAATTTCCACTGCTTGTACCCCCAAGTCTTTTTTAAAGGCTTCAACACGTGCGCTTCCTACAATATATACGCCGCTCATACTTTCATGTCCTTCAACTTTTACTAACGTATATTCCAACTTAGGATGGACGGAGATAGCTTTATTCGCAGGTATTGTCCACGGCGTTGTAGTCCAAATAAGAGCATATATTGAACCATAGTGCTTCCACCGATCTTGTAAATTTGTTGCAACCGAAGTCAAAGGAAAGCGAACATGAATTGACTTTGATATATGGTCATCTTTGTATTCCAACTCGGACTCGGCTAAAGCGGTTCTTGATGATGGTGACCAATAAACTGGCTTTAATTGTCTGTAAATATATCCATGTTTAATCATATCTGTTAAAACTTGCAATTGTCTCATTTCGTAATCCTTGGTAAGTGTCAAGTATGGTTTTTCCCAATCGCCCATGACACCCCAACTTTTAAAGCTTTCCATTTGTTGTTTCACTTCACTTAGGGCCTTTTGCTTTGCAATTTTACGGATATCCATTGGTGTTAATGCTGAATCACTTCCTTTTCTCTAATTTAAAATAGTAAATGATTCATAAGCTTTTAGAGTATCATATAAACAGATCGTTTTTCTTACGCGAATATGCTGCAGTGCTTTCAATTCTATAGGGAGCCCATGGCAGTCCCACCCGGGACGATAACTAATATTTGATGAATAAGAATAATTCAATGAATATGTAAGAATATATGTAGGCATTTCGATATCCAGAGCTCTGATTTACAAAACTTTGTGTCCTTGAAGTACTTTATAACGATTCACAATATCTTTCAAAATCTTATTCATAGCATGACCTGTTTTCATAATTGATTAACTATTTAGTGTCAATAATTTCATTGCAAGTTATAGTATTTGTATAGTTATTCTCACCCGAGTGGACGTTGCCGTTAGCATAGGGTGGACCATCATGAAGAACGAAAATATCTTTTGGATTGTTTTCCAGCTGAAAGAACGCATACATATTAACAAAAAAAAAAAAAAACTGTGACTTAACAATAATCTAGCATACAAGCATCTACCTGCCAAGAATATAAATCCTTTGTACAGCGTTCTCTAAACAAATGTTCTCTTTTAGCTGCATCTGCCCTCAGAGGGAACTTTGTTTTTGGTAACAGCAGGGTCTTCGTGTAAGGATTTTCTGTCGCTTTTGCTTTTAAAATAGCACTATAACTGATCGAGCGATACCCTCCAATTATAGAGCTTCGAAGGCAATTTTGTGATAGTTTTACAGCGATCATTATTGTTCCTTACGATCGCAAACACCTGCAAAAGAACTGAAATGGAACTGAAATGGAACTGTGGAGAAGAAAATAGAGTGAAATTGACACGTTTGACAGGGACGAGAATCCGTTATTTCTGAGTTCAAAAACAAGCGAAAATGTACACTTTGAAATGCAGCATCTTCGGGGCATGTGATAAGAAAAAGACCCATACCGACGCCCGCGGACCTTTGCATTTTATCAATCAAATTTGTACGTTTAAACGAGATTTTTGTTTAAACCCTAATGGACGCGAGATATTTTAAGCTTATCTAAATTGCCCGCGGGAAATCCAAATGTTTAGCTGAAAACCCCTTTGGGCTTAAGGGTAATGAGGAATGGGAACTATGACACTAAATTTAGAATTTGGGGAGCAAATTACCAGTTGATAAACTGTTAACCGAGAAGCGGTGAAGGAGGTGGTTCTTGGTTATATTGGAGGTAATCGAGTTCAAATAACACGTGACATAGGGCGGACCAATGGTCTATTTGAGCTCGTTGAGGGATCTGAAGGAGTGTGTTAGGAGGCATTTGAGTATAAATGATAATGGGTCATGAACAGAAGGCGGGAAATAAAGACGACGATGCATGTTGAGACATGATATAGCATGAGACATTGTAGGGATCGTTGATGAGGGTCACTGACAATAGGTTTGATGCTCATTATAAAGCCACCTTCATTGCTAACGATACATGGTTACGTTTCGGCTTATTCATTGGTAGCCATTGATAGGATCAATTGTAAATTGGGGCGGCATTGAGAAATAATTATTGAGTTGACAAGGTCGCTTTGTGATTGACGATAAAATGGACCAGGTCTTCTATGACCAGCGCAAACCTCTTGAGCAATGCAGCACATAAATCAAGACGCTATTCCAACCAATATTACAATTTTTGCAAAAGAGTTGTGGTATTTGACGACTTGTAGAGTTAAATATCGCTTAATTAAAAATAGTAAAAAGCTTAACGAGATCAAACTAGTAGGTTTTTAATTGAATCAAGTTGAGTTCCCCCAGAAGAAAAATATCTACTGCAAAAATTTAAATATCTTCTTCATATTGCGAAACCTAGAAACTGACAGCTGAGTTATTATACTCAAAGAAGACGTATGTCTTCTGAACTGTAAAAGAATAGAATTCTCCCTTGAGGAGATTACGCATCTACCCGGAGCGGGTGGACTTGTAAACGTATCCATGGCTTGATCTAGTGATCATGCAACTAACCTATTTTCCCGTGCTAACCATTATGTAGCACTGCTTGCAAGAAAATAGAATTAATTAGGAAAATAGTATTCGTGCGTGGTGTTTGAGTTGAGTGAACAGTTATTGTAAAGGATGATCACAAACTATTATCTTGTAATCATTCTTTATGCCGAAGGCAGAGAATAGTACTTATAACCTATTATACCTTGGTGTTAACTTAATATATCCTGCATGTCCATATATTAATTCTACTATATATCCTATGCAATATAGTAACGTATCATAGCAAAATAAGTAAACTATATATCCTAAATGACAACCTGTTCAGCCTTATACGAGGTAGCTAATCTCGTATAAGAATCATCATTTATTCTATATTCCTTACCTACTCTACTTTGTATAATTTCAGCAGTAATGAGGTGTGAGGATCTTGTAAAATTTGTATACGAGTTCTCCACATCTCATATGATGCTGTCAACTAAACACAACACTTAATTCACGGTCCTCATATATTAGAGTTTATGTAGTTTCTAATTATTTCTGGTTTGCAATATTGTATAATTCATCTTTATCCTTCGTAAAGTGAATTATATCTTTAATATTTGTATATCATCTACCCTCAAATACGACAAGAGTATCTGATGGGTTTCTTTCCCTGTTGTAGTAGCACGATAATTTGTAAGATCCGACGATATACATGCGTTAAATATCTATACACAAATTGATGTAAGTCAGAATTTCGAGCTTTGATTATTGGTATAGTTGATTACATACCTCTGACGTACTTACCTAAGCTACTATTCATTGGAATGGCGTAAATGTTATATGTTTCCGTATGCTCAACGGAATCTGCAATTGTAGAGCTTTACGCTCAATAAGGTCTATATTTGAGCTCTTCGAGAGAGGCTCTCAAGAAAAGAAAATATGTGCAAGAAAGGCTATTCAGACTGTTATGCTTCCAGTCCTAGAGGTGCTTTGGACTGAACAACTGCCATTAGTCCAGTTTTATTCTAGAAATGGTCCAGAACAGATCGCCAAAGTAGTCCCCTTTTAGCCAATAAAGTGCAAGATAATCAGTTAAAAGCAGTTTTTCAAAGGTACAATTATGATGCCTCAATAAATAACGGTGTCAATCTTCTTGATTATTTCATTCACCAGCTAACAAAAAGTTCAGCTCGGCGGTTTAAAAATAATGTGCTTGTCCTAGTACAGATAAACTGCTCCGCGTTGACGAAAGAGAGGAAGTAGAGAAAAAGCAGCGCACATTAACTAAATGAATTGATATTTGCGGTTTAAAAATCATTTCGTCGAACAGTTAACTGTATTCTTATGACATCTGTTACAAGTTGCTTGTACCTTTCTATGACTGATCTGCTTATGGATTTGATGTGGATGGTTTCACTCACTTCGCAAATGATTTTTTTCTTATTATACTGTTCGTTTTTAGCTTTTCTCCTTTCACTTTTCAATATTGCTATTGAGTGATAATGAAGCTGCTGTTCTTAACTGCAAAAATGTTTGCAAGTAGGAGGCTTGTGAATTAGCTTGTGCTGTCATCCGTTCTGTCCATTAAGCAAGGCTAATTCGTTCGATGCATTGTTAATTTTTTAAAGTTTAGAAACTGTCGCACGTACGACTTCTGATATGGAATAGCCGCTCAGCAGTGGCAGTGCAACCGTTTACAGTCAAGCTCGGATGGCCGGAAACAGAAAAGAAAAAGAGATGATTTCTTCCCTTCCATTTACAGTCACCGAGCAATTTGAGACTAATGATAGAACATAGTATTAGAAATGCTTTAAATTCGGGTAATAGTATATATGCTGATATATAGCTAAATAACCGCAGCTATTGCAATATACATCATGAAATCATCGGAGAGTGACATATTTCTTTCATAAGGTGTGTGGAAGATGGAGTTTTTCCTTGCCACAAAACCACCAGCTTCATTTGTTTACTGCGGAGAGGCTCATGCGACTGCAATGATGAAAATTTGCTTGGTTAAGCTGCGGCATCCAACTTTCTTTTTCCCTTCCACAACCATTATAAAAAAAAAATTGTTCTGAAGCGTTTTTTTTCCATCCACCTTTTTTTTTTTTCACCAAATTTACTTGAGTTGCAGCTTTTATCCCTACTACATTACGGCAGAAGCGAAGCAGAATGACCGGTAACTCTTCAAGCACAATATTACCTGTGCTACATACTTCACTTGTCAAGAAAAGAGCTTCCATGCTAGTAAGCAGCAGCAGCAGCTCCTACTTGCCGTCACCTGTCATCAAAACCACTATCTCAAAACTTATTGACCGAGTTCTTAGTTTACTGGAAATGATGTCTGATGAGGCTTTCTGGAATAATTTATTTGGCGAGCGAGTGTTGAACCTTTTGAAGCGATATTTCGGCAGCGATGTTGTCTTTTTAGGTTTTATTGTTTATCTCGCTCGTAAGTAATTTATGATTGTAGAAGTAGTGATAGATTTTTTTGATATTCATTATACAACTTTTTTTTTTCCTGTTTAAATAGCTATTCTGGGCTATCGATTACATGACTGGTTTTATTATTGTTTGGCTAAATTCAAAGAGAGAATGTATGTTTCTATTCAGATCAGCAAAAATGAATCAGGTTATGAAGCCATACAACAATTCGTTGCCAGTAAAACTTCGCATATTCGACACCTGCGTGATGTTGAAGGCCGGTGTATAAATGATGATAACGATGATGGTGATATGTTAAGTCCCACTCCTCCACCCAAAATTCGACTTTATCCATGTAAGTTCTGGACGAAACTTATCTGATCTAGTTTGCTTTAAACAAGGACCTATAAAGATTTTTATTCTTTCAATACGTATCAGTGGATGAAATCGAGCATAAAATCGTTTATAAAAATCACACACTTTGGGTGACAAAAAAGAAAAATGGTGGTGTCACCAACTCTGCTTCTGAACATTATTACAGCAACAACATCAAAGAATTGCTCGGTATGATGAACAATAACCCCGTCATTCAAATTACTATGCGCGGTCAAGACCTTACCTTACTGCAATCCTTCATTCAAGAATGGATTGACCACCATTATGAAAAGGAGTTTGGTAAATTGACCATCTATCAATGTCTGCCTACACGATATGAAGGTTTTGAATGGCGTACGATCGGTTCAAAAGAATTGCGTAGTTTACATTCAGTGATTCTGAAGGAAGGACAGAAGGAGCGTATTTTGAAAGACATTATGACTTTCCGTAAGCGGGAACATTGGTACGCTATCCGTGGTATTCCTTATCGCCGTGGATATTTACTATACGGACCACCGGGTACCGGTAAAACATCGCTGGTGCAATCCGTGGCTAGTAAGATCAATATGAATGTGGCAATCATCAGTTTGTCAGGAAATATGGATGATGAAAACTTTAATGTATTGTTACAAGAAGTACCAAGAAATAGTATCTTGGTGATGGAAGATATTGATCATTGTGTGATCAAGGCACCTTCTTATTCGAGCGACAATACGAGAAATGGTACGAACACTGAGAATGGTAACAGCACAGCTAAGATCACTATGAGTGGATTATTGAACGCGTTGGACGGTGTAGCTGCTCAGGAGGGATCTATGGTATTCATGACATGTAATGATATTAATCGTATTCAACCTGCTTTGCTACGCCCTGGCCGAATCGATATGAAAATGGAACTGGGATATGCAGATAAAAGTCAGATCGAACAAATGTTTTGGAGATTTATGGGCGAAGATGATGATCTCTTAAAATTAGGAGAGTCTGTAGTTGAAGATACGGTCGAGGAGCCAAATAAGAAGAAGCAAAAGAAGAGAAATAAAAAGGAAAATAGTAGGCTAAACGAATTAGCTAAGAAGTTCACGGCAAGAATCCCTAATTTATACGTGACACCAGCAGAATTACAAAACTTTTTCATCATGAATATTATGGATAATGAACAGTTTGCTATTGTTGACGAAGGTATAGCAAACAAAGAGGAAGTTGGTGAAAATGAAAAAGTTGACTATAGCTATTTGTTGGATGCTATACCAGCATTTCTTGAAAGTGTGAAACGGGATCGCGAACAAGCCATTGAACATAGAAGAGGTGGCAGCAGTAGTAAAAACACCCCCTTAGATTCAGTTGGCTTAGCGATCGATCCTTCCACTACAGACGATGTCCAATAAATTTCAATATATATAGTATTTATAATATTCATATACCCTTAGAAGATCATTATGACTTTTATTATCCAGAAATGTTTGAAAATACATGACTCAAAATAAAGAGAAGAAACTGAAATTGAAAATTTAATTGGCAAAGCATATAATTATAGCGTAAACTAAGTGCATAGTTCTAACCCACGAACTTCTATGTATTGAGACCATGTTTGTATAATAACATAAAATATGTACGTATATGTATTGATGTGGGTGCAAGATTGATAAATAAGTTAAGTCAATATTCTAAGGAGGCGTGAATTGAAAATATTACATAGTAATGGTAAACTAATAATTAACATCAATAGGCTTGTGATATCATCAAAGTATGAGGGCTTCTTGGTGTGGATGACATAACATCAGGAGCAGTAGTATTATCGATTGTTGATGAAATGGAAGTAGCCATTATGGACTTTGTTGCGCAGGATTTAATAGATGGCGATGCAGGACAGGGTATTTGAGGTTGCACTTCTTGCTCTCTTAAACGCGCTTCTTCTTCCTCATCGAACTGTCGCTGTTGCTGCTGTAGTAAATCAGCAAGGTCATTCAATGCTTGCTCAGTAAGAATATTATCTTCCCTTATTTCTCCTTGTTGCTCTTCCTCTTCGGTTTCAATGTAAACGGTTGGTTCCTGTAATGAAGGTTGAGGCGACGCGATGATTGACGAAGAAGCGGATCCAGATAACATTCCAGACGTCAACGGGGAATATAATAGATCTTTTTGCTGCTCTTGAAGATAGTGAGGTGTTTCTGCTATCAAAACTTGATGTTGTTGCTGTTGCTGTTGGTGCTGCTGCAATTGATATTGTTGTTGAAATTGCTGTAATTGTATAAATTGCTGTTGTTGTTGTTCTAAGGTTGCTGTAGATGCATTGGTAGAATTGACAGCAGCTAAAGCCGCAGCAGCTACCACAGCCGCAGCAGTTGTGTCTTGTTGTTGACTTTTATCACTCCCATTGTATAAATATGGGTAAAAGGTTGTGCTATTCAAATTGAATACATTATTGCTATTGCTTACCGATGGCTTTGGTGAATAGGTTAATCGTTCCTGCGACTGCTGCAAGTGGTCAAACGAGGAAGAATAAAAGAAATCTGTCGTCGTACTAGTGTTATTTGGAAATGAAATATTATTAATTGGTTTTGCTCCTGCCATCTCTTCTTGTTGATGTTGAGATAAAGTGAAATCTAGTAAGGGTTGGAAATACTGATTTGGATAATACGATGCTGCAGCTGCGGGTTTCGTAGCAGTAGGATAAAAAAAGAGATTATGCTGGTTAAATTGTTGCTCCATCTCTTCACCCGTGGTAGTAGTTGCTGTCATAGGTGTAGCCATACTAGCGGAGGTCGTAGTAGGAGATGAAGAAGCTTGACAACCATTTCGTCTTGAAATACAGAACGGGCAATGACGTACAAAGCGTGCAATCAATTCCTTTGGTATCCAAGAATATCGTTTACGTACCTGAATTTTTAAGGTTGAGAATTTTTGATGGGTTAGTCCACATTCTTATTTTTGTAAATAAAAAAGTTGTACAATCACGGGTTCTTTCTTTTTCTTTTCTTACCAAGGCGGATGTTTTGTCTCTTCCTCCATGATGCGCTTCTTTGTGCGCATGAACCAGGATATCATAAATTTCTTCGCGGGTCGCTACGGGTTTATTGTCATGGCATACAGTGTATTCTGCTATAGAAGATGTCTTTTTACTGAGTCGAAACATTTTTTTGACCCAGAATCGAAATTGCGCTGTTGAAATGGCTGTATTTCTAGGATCTTTCAGAACTTGTAAAATCAGAGAATAACGGTATTTATCTACCAGTGCTTTGTCTCTCTTTTTAGTAGATAAGTTTTCCAGGTAGTTATTCACAATTGCATCAAACTCTTCTACAGTAGGTAGCTGATCTTCTGTTATGTTCAACAGTGCTAAATCATTACTGCTAGTACTGTTATTCAATAAATCATAGTCAATCATCAAATTTGTTGTAGTTGGTGCATCTTCCATAGCGGTCGTAGCTTCAGTATATACTGGTGAATAGTTACAGTTGCTATTACTACTATTTAAATATACCGGCAAGTTCATCAACTGAAAATGGTTGTAAAGTTGTTGTTGGTGATAAGGATATTGATTGGAAGATGCTGTTGGTGTAGCTGTAAAAGTAACATTAGGAATAGGTGTAGTTTTATTTTCTGTATTAGTACCACTTAACATAGTGAAATGAATAATAAATTACGGTGAAGAATAAAAAAAGAAAGAATGAATAATAAAAAAGAATAAAATAAAAAAGATGTAGAAACCGTAGTAATTCCTTCTTATTTCTTCGATTTGAAATGAAAACTGAATGGAGATGGTATGTGTGAATGTATAGGCGCCTACCACATAATAGACCCGACACACATAAAAACAAGGTTTTGCTAAGTAATGTAAATGATGTTATATCGAGGGTAAACAAAATTTTGGCGGGAAATATTGTTGTTGCAACAAGATATGTAGTGCTCATAGCCGACAACTGTTGTTTATGCCACGCTTTTGGCCACAACGAGAGACTGAAAATCAAAAGTTAACCTACCCTTACGTACATACATACATTTATAATGATGCTGATGATAGAGGGTTTGATGGACATCATTAGCCTAAATGATAAGCCCTTACTCTTGTAATCTCTCAATTCTCCCTTAAGGGTGTCAAAATAGAATACTTTAAATACGCTGTACATTCCTAAGAAAAAAAAAATGGATAGGAATTGATTTCATCAAAGATCATTACCTAATCTTAAGAGCACCCTATGTAATAAATTCATCATCTTTCGACGTGTATAAGTCTCCTTCTTTTTTCATTTATTTATTTGTTTCAAGTGTAAAATGCGGGCTGGTAAATATTTCGAATTTTTTTGTTTCTATTGAATGTCTGTGCGCAACACATATTAAAATTTACAACAATGCAAATGCACGATGCAGAATCCGAGAAGTGTTACAAATCTGATAAAAAAGGAAAGATTCGCCAAATATTATGCAAATAAAGCATCGAAAAAATGAGACATCATTTTTTATTGTATGCTTTTTGGTCATAAAATACGAGCAATTATAACAGACACTCTAATTATTACCACTTGTGCGTTCATCACCGTTACTGTAACTGACAAAATGAGGAATTGAAGTCAAGATACGATGTTTGAAATTAATAGCTGTAGTTTTCACAGAAGACTTTTCTGATGTCATGTTCAGAAGATCCTGTTCTGAGCGACTCCGTCTACTAGAAGATATGGCTGATAGAAAAGTTAATTTTCCTTGACACGCGCTTCCATGTCCATATAACTCTACATACCTCCAACTAATTTTTTACTACTGTCACGTGTGTTATGGCTAGATTTGGGTGCTGTCATCTCATCTTTATCAGTACCTATTGATGATATAGCTTGGATACTTCGTCTTCTAGCTAAACCACCATTAATATAACTCTTCTTCCCTGAGAATTGTTGTAGAAGGCCACTTGATTTGGATGAGCTGGGCATGACAATGGTCGTACTTTTATGACTATGTTGGCTTAATGTTGTAATTGCAGAAGATGAGGATTTCGAATGTTTATGTTGAAAGGAATGAAAGCTATTCTTGTCCGTCATCGTGTTAGTAGTAGTTGATGCGATTGAGGAGAAAGAAGATGCTGTTGAAGATAACGTCGTTGTTAAAGGGTAATTGTCATTATGCGAATAAGTGGCTGCTGTTGGCCCATCAGATGGTGCTGTTGCTAATTTATACCCTTTCTCCACTAAGTTCGTAAAGATACCTTCTCTAGCACGACTCATAGGAACGTAAAACTTGGGCGATTTAAAAGCAGCGTATTCAGCATTTACAACTATATAAAATGGTAGAGTGTCTGATTACTCACTGCAAACCCCCAATGATATTCATTGGCTCTCACTTACGTTTCGCTATCAAGAAATCTTGCAATTCCTTTTTATCAAAAAATAGTGCACCTTCAGGCAAAGGAGGTCCAAATGATGGTACATTCTCAGCAGAAACAACCTCCACTCTCCAAGCCTTCGCAATCTGCCTATTTTGTATTTTCCCTTTTCCATCTACATGAGACGTAGTAGCAATTTCCTCCAGATGAACAATAATAAAGACATGCAAGAATTGTGATTTGATAGCAGCAGGGTTAAATGGTTGTTGCCCTTCCACAAACACTAAACAAACGATATCATTACCAATATGTCGTTTACGTTGAATTTGTTGCTTGTCGCCAGATCGGGAAGGGATTAAAGTAGATACATGAAAAGCTAATTGTTGCATATCATTTTCATCTTGACGTTTCCAATAATTAATGTAGGTGTAATCACCAGAATCCCCACTCTTCGTATCTAAGCCTGCTGCCCATCCGGTATATCCGTAAAGTGATACTTTTTGCCCCAAAATAGACAGAAATTCCTCAAATGGCTCAGAAGAGTCATGGTTATTTGAAAACCATTCTTCTTCACGCGTTTGACCTTCTTTAACCAATAGGACGCCAAATTTATATTTTGTGTGCAACTAACAATTTCACAAATCTTCGTTAGTATCCTTTTCTGCAACAGGATGCTTATGAGTTATATATCTTTACCGAATTTTCATCTAATCTGAGTATATCATCTTGTAATCCATTGGATACCAATTGACCGAAATCCATCATTCGGAAATCTTGATAAAAATTACAGTGGGGTATATTTGCTTCTAGGATGGATTTCCAAATGAAACACGTGTTGTTACTATTGCTGTTGTTATAGGACGGTGCATCCAATAGAAAGGAATCTTGTATAATTTTTCTTTGATTGATCGGTGTCTTGTTTTTGAATCTGATAATGAGCCTGTATTGTCGTTTAGAATCGTCTGTTGCTATTGCTGCTTCTCGTTCTTCTACTTTAATAGATACCATGACAGGCTCTTTTGTTTCTGTAACGTAGCCAAAAAATGTGCAGTGTTCCTGATTGTATAAGTAAGTTCGAAACCAATGCGCATCAGGATCTTTGTGATCGATTGGATAATTCAAGTAGTCACATTTAGTCAAAGTGGAAGTAGGTGCATTACTACCGCCATAGGTATTGCTACCTTCTATCTTATATCCTTTCGTGGGTATAACCATTGCCTTTTCAACTTTTTTATAATATTGTGATAAACATTGATTCATGATATATTTGACAGTTGAAATTGTATCTTTCACAAGTGATAAAGTGAATAATTGTTGCTCTTGGTCTACATTATTGTTATCAGCACTCGTCCTTTTTTTTTTGCTTGTATTATTCGCGCTTGTTGATGTCGTTGTAATAGAAGAAACTGTATTTATAGCTTGTTTCATCATTCTTTTGAATCCTTCTTTGCGTTGCTCTTGTTGGTCCCAATTGACCATTTCAATCATTTTGAATAGATCAGATATGACAGAAAGCAGTTTTTCCTTGACTAAGTTATTCTTTAATTGCTGCTGATAAATAGGTGTACTGGTATTGGTATTGTTACTGGTGCTAAGATCGTTATTTGCGTGTACGTATAAATAATCGGATAATGTTGTATCACATTCATTCATTAAACGGGTATATAAAGTCGTTAATGTAGAGGAAATTAAGCCTTTAAATAATAAAGTTGATGTGTTGGAATTGTTGTCGGTGACACCAACATAGGTATCTTCCCTTTGAATAGTAGAAGTGGGTACAACTTTAGTTATGTTGATATCATGCTCACTGATAGTAACGGGTGAAGCCATAAAATCAAAATCTTCCAGCTGTTTGCCAAACAATAAATTACCTACAGGTAGTGGTGGATCAGGCTGTTCTTCATCTTCTTCCTCTTCTTTGATGCAGTCATCGTTAGTTTGAATAGAGTTTAAACGTGTCGTATGTGTAGTATTGGTAGTTGTAGTATTGGTATCATTAGTAGTATTTTCATTAACAAAATTGCCATTTAAATTATTATTTTCTATACAAGTAGTTGTAGCTGTAGTAGTTGTATTGCTATTTGCCAGCAAAAATCTTGAAGCAAGACTAACTACACTATTCCTTCTTTTTGCTTTATTGAGTTTTGTAGTAGCAGTAGTAGTGGTAGGTATAACCGAAGAACTTGTTGTTGAAGTCGGTATAATCGTTTGTTGTTGTTGTTCCTGGTGTTTATTAGTTCGAAATATACCAAAGTTAATGGTAGACCTTCTAAATTTAGAAGCGAAACTCTTTTCCTGATCCACTGTGGGTGCAGCTGTTAATGCTGCAGATGTTGATGATACTGCTGCTTTATTACGTCTCACAAAATTTTTCATTGAAGATTTCACTGTATTTGGTATTTTACTGATTTTACTACTCGTGGACGCTATGCTGCTTTGCTGGGATAAGCTACTGGTGGTTGTATTGGTTGAATAAATGGATGCATTGTCTTTACTGTTATATCTTTTCTTCATTTTATTGAACCTCATAAAAGTAGAGGGAGCTTTGGACTCCAAATCCAAATTATCGTAGCAAGCACTATCTTGCGAGAAATTGCGTTTAATGTTTGTTTCTAGGGATGTCATCATAGCGAAATTTGTTCCCTGGGCTAATCAAAAATCCCGTTCTTTACGATTTTATTCATAAGTGGTTTAGATCAGAAAGAGAAGAAGAAACTAAATAGATGTGAAAAGAAAGATATTCCTGAAAGAAAAAAAAAAAAAAAAAAAAAAAAAAAAACCAGGGGAAAATTAAAAAAGAAAAAGTTTGTCTCACGACAATAAATCTAAATATCCTCTGAACTCGACCGCCACTTATCATCACACAAACCAGCAAACAATGTGCAAAAAAGCCCTGAGTTCTAACCGTTTTTGGTAACAAATCATTAAGTATCGACAAAGGTGACGTTTACATTTTTATTGTACGCGAAACCAAAAGGGAAAAGAAAGCAAACACGATTGTTAATTGCACATAAAGAAATACATACAGATCTACTCTTTCAGTTTCATTTTACAGATGGTTAGAATAAGTTAAGTTTTTGTCCTCCTTTACAAGCGAAGATTTGCAAGCTCTCTCATAATAGACACTTCAGTTGCTACTTTTTGTTGCTGTGCGGGTGCTAATTCTTCTCCTTTGCTCATCTTTTCTTTCAGTTCTCGTATCTGTCTCAACTTCTTCTCCAAGTTACGAATTTTCTTCTGTTTTTCTTCATCACTTATAGTAGACTGAGATTGCCCTTGTTGTTGAGGTTGTTTGGTGGATTGTCTTGCATTACCATTGTTATTATTATTATTACCACCAGTTTTCTTTGCACCTACTACTCTACGTTGTGTATTGGGTCCTCTACCAATACCTTCTAATGCAGCGGCTCTATCAGAAAGCGATGTAGGAGTAGCAGAACCTCTAAGATGAGGAGGTCTATAAGCACCTGCAGGTTGGGCCGACGCTTTGGCACCAGTGCCCTTAGAAGGAAGTACCTTGATAGGGTTGGGAGGTGGAGAAATAGCACGCATAGGATAACGAGATGCAGGCTCAGGACGGAAACCAATTTGGTATAATTCATCAATAGCTTCCTCATACACAAGTGTACCTGAGTGATGCCATAACTTGAAACCGTTATCAACTCGAAGACGAGGCGTTAAGGTAGCTGTTAAGAGGAAGCGACCACAAGGTGACCATTCACAATGCGAAGAATTGGAAGCGGCAATGGTATTGATCTTCTTTAAAGTCTTTCTATCCCAAAGATCGACGGTACCATTCAAATTACCAAAGCCGGCAATACAGATGGTACGACCCTGAGGATTGAAACGAACAAAGTTACGAGGATTGATGCCGAAATCAAACACAGGTGAGGCGCGGTGATCGAACAAAGTAGTTTTGGCAGGCATGGAACCGTAGACTACGATGAATTCTTTGGAATCAGGTGCCCAAGTGACATCATGAATAGGACCTTCTTTGTCAAGAGGAACACGACAATCAAAATTACCAGCAACAGCAAGGTAGTATAAATTTGTTTCACCATAGTAAGATTTGTTAGACTTATCAACGTCTGTCATTGTTAATACAAGTAAATTGGTGCCCAAATCATTCCAATGCAATGCAACATTATCAGCCTTATAAAATGTCTTATTGGAAATAGCAGTCTTGAAATTAGGAACACTGTACATACGGATAATGGCAGGTGCACCCTTCAATATAATAAGAGGGAATCAGTACACATATAAATGTTGAAGCAAAAATATGAACAGCAGAAAATCGGCTTACATTTTTTTCTGGGATAAATGCAGCAATGGCAGGAGCTTTACCAGGACTCAAGGAGAATTGAGAAATACCCTCAAGTTGAAGTCTTGCCCAAACAGCTAAATTGAAGCCGACCATTTAGTATAAGTTCTCTTCACTGGTGCATCTGATGCGGACTACTTACATTTTCCCATATTCTTGCTCTCCCAAAATTGCACTTCATTTGTTACCATGCGGGCACAGTACTTTTCATCATCTGTCCATTGGAAGTATCTACACAGTTATTTAGAATAGTGGAAATATTTTACATAATTGTTGCATACAGCTGTAATGACTTTTATACATACGAGTTACTTTGTGCTTTTTGCACAAAGGCGGCTACTTCTGTACCGGTTTTTGCATCCCAAATAAGCAAGTTATTGGCAGCTGCACCATTTTCAAGTTTGGCTGTTATGAAAAGAAAATGAGTATGAATCTTCTAAAGTAGCCATAAACGTTATTGGATTTTCATAACTTACAGGGTCGTTCCCAAGTGGCAATATAACTGCCTTGAGGGGAAAACCAAAAATCAATCACGTTGGATCTTTCGATCGTACAAATTTGATCTAACGAGGAGGAATCAAACACTTGTATGCTAAATCAAAATAGAAAAAATTCCTTGGTCAACAATAAGATTTATTATTGTTGTAGTAGTTCTTTTTTGTTCATACCCTTGACTAGTTGCGTAAGCGTAGAAATGACCATATTTACTATAATGAAACATACGCGTTGTTCCTTCAGGTCTGTTGAAAAAAAAAAAAAAAAAAAAAAAGGTAGAACATGTTAAGTTATCCTGAGCTTCACCATTTCGGGTATCGTCACAATATGCAACTACCGTTTTCCATTCCTCAATCGACTTACTTTTGGAAATTATTGACAGCTTTGAATTCAGGATAACCATTCCAAATGGACAGTTCCTTTTGGGAGCGATCTGAAAATAAGGGGAAAATGTCAGTTTTCAGCATCTCAAACATAAAACACACGGTCCTCTTGTGAAATCATACAGCTGAATTGTGTGATCGATTTATTGGCCATTTTGTAGATTGGGAACTGTGCAAAAAAACAAGCGAACCTGAAGAAAACAGATGGAATTAAAGACTTTGTTTTTAAATGTACTTTTTTGATTTGTCTTTTCTTTTTGTTGTCCGCTATTACGTTTAAAGAGAGGTTTTTATTGACAAAATATTTTTCTTTAAAACCCAGTGGGCACAATGTTATATAAAATTGCCCGGGGCAGATCCGACTGTTTATAAAGTATCTAAAAAGCCCTTAAGATCAAGGGTAAAAACGAGTTTATCACAAGGTTGAGTGATTATGAGGAGACATCCATTGGAGCAGTAAAGACCCTAGAGCAACATCCAAGGGTGGGGGTTCTTTGACGTGGAATAGATAGTCTAGCTCATATAGTATGTAGCAGAGGATCGGCCATTGGTGTTCCCATTGACGTTTTATCATAGGTTGTCTTGGCGGGTGGTTAGGTAGCTGATTTAGAAGATACGAAAGGGGATCTTCTATTTGCTGTGGTTGCTGCAAACGCGAGTGCATATGCAGGCATTGGATTGAGTGTGTCTTTGTTAACAAGGCTGAAGGGTGCCGGATGCAGTAGGTGGTGTTACCACTAGGTAACCAACCAAGTCGCCAACGAAGACATCGACTTCTTTCTTCTCTTGTCATTGGAAGCCATAGTATGGGATCTAAACTTACTGTTGGGCGGCAGACGGAGATGAGCTTAGAGTTTGTTGGGGCGCTTTGCATTGCTTGTAAGGATTCTGTATGAAAGTCTCTCAGGGACTGTTTAAGATTTTTCTGATCCATTGTCTGGGCGTTTTCCTTGGTTCTTTGCCAGAGAGGTGTACGAGATAGCTGAATCCAGATAGAAGAGCTATTTGGTTGTTGTACATATGGTAGCAGTAGGGACAGTAGGGTATCATCTGGGAGTGTTTGTGATCGTAGCAGGAATTTAGCCTGGAGAGTGTAGGCTCTTTCTCGCATTGAGGGTAAGTTGGCTAAGTGACGCATTATATTGACAGAGGATCGAATTGACCCACCAAATATCCTGCGAATGCATTTGTTCTGTACGTTTTCCAGTTTCATATGATTTGTCCTGTTCAGTTTGCTTATCGCCAATCCGTATTCCAGTTGAGGGCGGACCAGATGAGCGTAGAACCTGAGAGATAGTAGCTTACTAAAGCCGTTAGGGTTGACTCCAATCGACGATAAGGTGTTCATAGTAGCCAGGGCTTTGGTTGTGTTGATATGTATGAGCTCTTGAGTGTCCAGGTAACCACCGGGCTTGAAAGGAACTCCCAGATATGGGAAGGAATTGTTGCTTTGTAGTGTGGATCCATAAAGGAGATATTCCATCGTTGGTTGATCAGAAGAAGCCAGTATTACACACTTATCAGGGTTCCATCGGTAACCACGGGAGTAACTATGCTGTTCACATTTTTGAAGTAGGGATTGCATTTGGGATTCTTCGGCAATCAAAACCACATCGTCCGCATATAATAAACAGTTCACGTTCCGAGCCAATTCCAATGGCGGTAGATCATCCACTCTTTCTTGGGTTCGTAGTTGAGTAGGTAGGTCATTGATGTAGTATGAATACAGTAATGGCGACAGAATAGAGCCTTGTAGCACACCAGTAACTGGGTAAAAACGTGAGGACTTAGCATTTTGTAGCAGTATCTCTATTTCCACTTCATCAAAGAGACTCTTAAGTAACATAAGGAGAGCTGTCGGTACGTGATGGCGAATTATGTTCCAAATATGTTGCCGATCCACCGTGTCATAAGCAGATTTAATATCCAAAAAAGCTAGTACTGGGTTGATGTGATGGTGTCGTCGTAATATATGGCATATTTCAGCCAGACATAGTGCTTGGTCTAAGGAGCTACGTGCAATACGAAAGCTTCCTTGGGCTATATCTATGGTGGGGCCGTTTCCGATAAGGTATTCCTTAAGACAAAATTCGAAGATCTTCCGAAATACAGAAGTCAGGCTGATTGGATGGTAGTTGCCTGGGTCGTCCGGAGGACCTTTCTTGTAGATTGGGATTGTTTGTGCCACTCGCCATGTCTTCGGTGTATAGGACCATTGCCAGCAGAGGCGGAATGAATACCATAGATGGGGCGTAATAATATCTGCAACGGGACGGAGCATCTCAATGCGAACGTCATCAATACCTGGAGCTTTCTTTGTGGGTAACGAGGTGAGGGCCGTTTGTATCAAATCTTTGTCGATAGGGAAATTTTCCAGACTGTAGGGAGCTGTCTCTTGAAGTGGAGAGTTGTTGGATGGACTGCGGTCTTCTGGGAGATTTCGTCCTGAAAATATCATTTCCATGTGGGTAGCCATCTTATTTGCGGCTTCTTGAGGTCCTGCTATGTTAGAAAAGGAAGGCTTTAAGTTTCGTCGTTTTTTTATTTTGCTAAACCGTGCAATGGCTTTAGTAAATTCCTTGTTTTCCATGGTTGAGCAGAATTGTTGCCAGGTTTCACGTTTGCGTTGATGTATTAATCTTCGAAGTTTGGCTTGGGTTTTTTGGTGGAGGATCCAGTAATGAAGTGCATTAACTCCAGCAGCTTTACGCCATTTACGATAGTAGTGTTCTTTTTTGTCAAACGTGTTTTGCATCTCCTCTGTCCAAAAATGTTCCATCGTGATTGTTCTTGGTTGTGTCATACGGCCACAGACTGTATCCAGTGAGGTATATATCGCTTCACACATCGCTTGGTTCAAATGTTCTATCTCTTCGACGGCCCGTGTTCTATGTTGCGGGTCAGTGTGGCTATTCGGGGAGCAGGCAGTTAGTGTTTCATTGAAAGTTTGACGATAGCAATCAATTTTCTGAGGGTTTTTTAATTTGCTCAAATTCCATATCCTACGCTGAGGGGGCAAGGCAGTCGGGATTGTGGAAGCGGTGCTGAAGTCAAGCGTCATGAATTTATGGTTTGAATCTAGTGACATGTCGTCCAGGATGGTTAGTGTTGGTGTGAGTAGCTCAGTATCACTAAAGAAATAGTCAATAATACTCCTTCCATTGTAATTGATTGAGGTGGGTTGTCCATATTGCAGTCGGGCGTTCCAATTAACTAGATGATTAATTTGAATCCAATCATGCAGCAGCTTGCCACGGTATGTAAATGTCGAATCACCTGTGAGTGAGCCCATTCTCGCATTAAAATCACCGCATATGATAGTAGTGGTTGTGCCTGACAATGAGGTTGGTATTTGCTCAAGAATGCTTTCTACTGTGTCGTTGGGTAGTGATGGGGGGAGGTATAAACAGTGGATAAGAAGTTTGTGCATTGTGAATGATAAAGTGTACTTAGCTAATAATGGTTGGTTTGTTGTGATGTGGTGGACTGGTAAGGAGTGGTTTGGGTTCACTAAAAGGGCTATTCCGTTTTGTCCACGGTAAGTATTTCCTACGGGTTCACCATAAATATGATATTGTTGCCAATGGGTGGGGTATCTATTGGGGGTTAAGAGCCACGTTTCTGTAACAAGTAAGATATGAGATTTTTCTGCTAAATTAAGAATAGGTGTGATTGCTTGTTTAGGTAGACCTGTTGCATTAAACAATGACATAGAGATACTAGTCATTATTGATTGTCCTCCTCGAATTCCAAATCCGAGGGGTATTCATTCATTTGTTCGTCGTTGTCTGTGATGAAAATATCATTTTGAGTAGAGCTTTTGGCAGGCATGGTGGTCGTATAGGTTTCTTAGGATATCATATTTTGTTGGAAGAAGTATCTCGCTACTGCATATCTAACGGGAGTGCGAATGTAGGTGAGAGCACGATGGAGTCGTTGTTGATGAAGTTCTGTTGCTTTGGTCTGGCGTTCGCCATCTGATAGGGAGTCATACTGGGGATCTTTCAGTAACTTACCGTCTGTGGGATCAAAATTATCTGTAAGGTGTATTTACATTTGCGAAGTTGGTCTTTGAACTCTTCGGCATAGTCATTGTGGACAAGGATTGCGATAATATTGCGGTCGGGGTAATGAATATCGAGGAGTCGGCTGTTGTTGATGCCTAAGGTGCGAAGTTTACTGCGAAGTTGTCCGATGGGTATACGTGCTTTTGTCGGAATGTACACGTATTGGAATCCTTGAGTTAAAAAAGGAGGCTGGAAATGACGAGCGGCGACTTCTTGACGGTGTACGCGTTTTTGGTGTTGGTGAATCTCTAGATTGCGTCTTAGGAGCGCAACTTGAGCTGGATCTCTCCAGGGAGGTAGTTGTTGGGTTGAAGTAAGGGGCATGGGTGGCAAGTATGAGTTAATGGGTGGTGGAGGCATCGCTCTAGGTGGTTGCGAAGAGTGCTGGGTGGTTGGTTGGTTACGGAGTGATGCTATTTCCTGCTCAGCTTTTTGTAGCTTTTGGCTCAATTCTTGTACCAATTTTGTAAGGTACGCTACTTGTTGTTGGGGGTCCTGGGGTGGGGCAGGGGAGTCCTCAGTGTGTGTGGGGATATCCTCGTCAATCGTTTCGACTGTTGTCTGGGTGGTTTCAGGCTGTTGGCTCTTCTTAATATGCTGAAGGATGGGTAGCATATTGGCAGCTTTAACTTGTCGGTTACACTGACTGCATTTAAAGACTGGTTGCGAAGGGTACGTAGGGTCTGAGCCCTTGCGGTGGTAGATCGTAAAGGCGTTACAAGCTGAGCAAAACAAATGTTTACGATATTGTTCAAAAAGAGTGTTGAGTTCTATGAGTTGGCTTTCATAGAGTACGATACTCCTGGTGGCACGACTTGTATGTTCAGTCGTCATGGGTGAGAGTGGTAGTATTAACTTTGGTGGACTTTCTTTGTCTACGATAGTTATTATTTTTACAAAGTTTTCAGTTACTTTCCAAAAAAGGCAATTTTCAAAAAAAGTGTTTTTGGAAAGCGGAAAAAAAAGCCCAAATTTGTCCGCTATTACGTTTAAACAGAGATTTTATTATATAATATTAATTTTTTTAAAGCCCAATGGACACGAGATATTAAGCTTATCTAAATTGCCCGGGGCAGCTCCAAAGGCTTAAAAGAAACTAAAAACCCCTTAGGGCTCAAGGGTAAAAAGGATTATGTACTAAAGGATTGTGGGAGGGGAAGAGGGTAACCAGTCGAGCAATAGGTGCCCTAACCGAGGAGTTGTAGGCGGCTCTTGAGAGTGGTGTAAGTAGTCGAGTTCAAACAAAATGTGACAAAGTGCTGGCCATAGAAAATGCCAGTGTTGTATTTGGGATGGTTTGTTGATCGGATGTGTAGGAAGACGGTTGAGGACATAGGATATGGGATCACAGACTGATGTGGGGAGTTGTAGGCGGTGGTGCATGTTTAAACAGGAGATAGCGTGGAACTTTGTAAGTAATGACGAGGGATGTTTAAGGCAATAGGTTCGGTGGCCTCCAGGAAGCCAACCCAAACGCCATCGGATATATCGGCTGCGTTCATTAGTTGACATTGGAATATAGAGGATCGGGTCGATCATTAATCGAGAACGGCATTGAGATATCAGTTTGGAGGTGGGGCTGTTCGATTGTTGAATGTGAAGGAGGCTAGTGCGGAAGTTAGCAATACAGCGTCGCAGAGCAGCTGATTCAGATCGTTGATTGAGCGGAGAAGAAGTGTAATCTTGCCAGATCGGAGAACGAGCAAGCTTGCAATATAACGATTTACTTTGTTGCTGGCCTATATATGGGAGTAGTATCGAGATTAAAGTATCAGTAGGCAGTGAGGTAGAACGTAATAGGAACTTAGCTTGTAGGACGAAGGAGCGTTCTTTCATGGTGGGCAGATTGGCAAGGTGGAGCATAAGTCGGGCAGACGATCTACTGGATCCACCAAAGATTCGTCGAATACACTTGTTCTGGGTATCCTCGAATTGTTTATATTGCTTCGCGGTTAGGGGGCTAATGGCCAGTCCGTATTCCATCTTTGTGCGGACTAATTGGGCATATAACCGTAGTGAGAGCAGTTTTTCGAATCCACCAGGATTGACACCGATTGCTGCTAATTGATTCATCGTAGTTAGGGCCTTAAATGTGTTAGTACGTGCTAGTTCATTTATATCTATACTACCACCTGGTTGAAAAGGTATCCCTAGATACGGAAAAGTGAGCTGACGTTGTAGAGGAACTCCATAAAGCTGGTAATCTATAGGGTGCGTTGATTTGTCTAGTATAACACATTTATTCGGATGCCAGCGATAGCCTAGCCGAAGACTATGAGCTTCACATTGTTGCAACAGGGTCTGAAGATGATCTTTATCAGTAATCAAGACGACATCGTCGGCATATAGTAAACAGTTGATATTTAGAATCAATTCCAGAACAGGCAAGGAAAGATCCAGTGGGCTTGGACGGAGCAGTGTAGGCAGTTCGTTAATGTAATATGAATAGAGTATAGGAGATAGTATGGATCCTTGAAGGACACCAGTAGTAGGGCTGAAAGGCTCTGACTTGGCATTGTTCTGGAGGACTTCAATGCTGACATCGTCAAACATATTTTGAAGTAGGGCAAGGAGCAGTTCTGGAATATGGGGACGAAGCACTGTCCATATGACGTTACGGTCAATCGTATCGTACGCTGATTTGATGTCGAGGAAAGCTAGAACTGGTTCGATCTTGTGCTGGCGTTTCAGAATATTGCAGATTTCCGCTAAACAAAGAGCTTGATCTAAGGAGCTACGGGCAATACGGAATCCACCCTGCGCAATATCGAGTGGGGGACTATTGGCCAAAAGGTAATCTTGGATGCATCGCTCTAAAATTTTGCGAAAAATAGATGTAAGACTAATTGGACGGTAGTTACCTGGATCGGTTGGGGGGCCTTTCTTATAAATCGGAATCGTTTGGGCAATGCGCCAAGACTTAGGCGTATAGGACCATTTCCAGGTTAATTGGAAGATATTTAATAGAAAGGGTGCTATTCGGTCGCTGACTGGTTGCAGCATTTCGATTTTGATATCATCCACTCCGGGAGCTTTCTTACGGGGGAGGCTTTTGATCCCAGTTACAATGGTATCCTCAGAAATGAAGAACTCGTTTAAAGTGAACGCTTGCGTGGGGTCAACTGGTGGTAATTGGCGTTGATACGGTGATGGAAGATATTGACCCGAATACGTGCCTGCATATGAGACGCCATGAGATCAGCTGCAGCTTGTGGACCTTCTGGGGAAGAGAACGAAGGGGTTAGATTTCGCTTCTTACGGATTTTACTAAAACGTGCAATTGCTTTGGTATACTCTTCATGACTCATCTGATAACAAAACTGTTGCCATGTTTCCTGTCGACGAGTTCGATAGAGACGACGAAGTTTGGCCTTGGCTTGCTGATGTTTGATCCAGTAGTCAAGTTTGTTCAGTCCAGTAGCCCGGCGCCATTTCCGATAGTAGTATTCTCTTTGATCAAACGTTTGTTGCATTTCGACGGTCCAGAAGGATTCCAAGTTTATGACATGTGGTTGGGTGACCCGTCCACAGACTTGATCTAATGCGGCATAGAGAGCAGTACAAAGATTCGACTGTAAGAGCTCGATCACTTCAATAGCTTGTGTACGATACTGGATGTGCTGAGCCATATTTAAATCAGTGGGGTTACGGTCAAGTTGGTCTTGAAAGGTTTGTCGATAGGCATGGATCTTGCCAGGTTGCTGTAGTTTCCCTAGGTGCCATTGTTGTCGAGGAGGTGGTAGTTTCTTCAGGACATTCTTGGGGCAATCAAACGTCAGTGGCATGTATTTGTGGTTGGAATCAAGCGACAGGTCGTCGCGAATGAGCAATTTAGGATTACTGAGTTCAGTATTACTCAGAAAATAATCAATGATACTGGTGCCATTAAAGGTGAGTGACGTAGGCTGTCCATATTGAAGTCTAGAGTTCCAATTAATGAGGTTATTGGCACGGATACAATCATATACCAATTTTCCTCGGTAGTTGAACGTTGAATCTCCTGTGTAGGATCCCATACGGGCATTGAGGTCTCCACATATGATAGTTGTGGTGGTTGTAAATGATTCAGTTGGGAGGCTATGCAAAATCTCTGTTACTTCATCGTTAGTTAAAGAGGGAGGGAGGTAGAGACAATGGATGAAAAAATTGGATACAATAAAGGAGAGGGTATATTTAGATAGAAGCGGATGTGTATGGTTGATGTGATGAACTCGGAGGTGGTGTGCAGGATTAACTAAAAGAGCGATTCCGTTTCTCCCTCGGTAGGTGTTTTCAACTGGCTACCCATATGTGTGGTATTGAATCCAGTGAGTTGGGTATCGACTGGGTGGTAGTAACCACGTTTCAGTGATTAATAGAAAAGTAGATGAGGCGGCTAAGTTTAATAGAGGTGTAATAGCTTGTTTTCGGAGGCCGGATGCATTGAATTGTGATATGGTTAAGGTTGTCATTAATGTTGAAGATCAAACTCTTCCTCATCAAATGTAGGGGCGGCCTCTGACATTACATCATCGGCGAAGAATGGGGATTCAGAAGTTTGTTGATTTCGATTGGAAGCAATAGTGGAATACAACTCCTTAGTTATTTGATTAGTTTCTAAAAAGTGTCGAGCAACAGCATATTTAACTAGGATTCGAATATACTTAAGTGCATTCATGATACGGGTCTGATGGAGCTGACGAGCCATGTCATCGCGTTCATTGTCGGACAGGTCGTTATATTTGGGATCTTTAAGTATAGTTCCACTGGTTGGGTTGAATGATTCTTGGATTGTGATCTTAAATTTACGTAGTTGGTCTTTGAACTCGCTGGCGTAATCATTGTGAACAAGTACTGCCACAATGTTACGATCAGGGTAATGGGTATCAAGAAGGCGGCTGTTGTTGAGACCAAGTTTGCGGAAATGGTTGCGAAGCTGTCCTATAGGGATACGAGCCTTGGTGGGGAGGTAAATATATTGGAATCCTTGGTTATTTGAGGGTGCTTGAAGGATACGTGCAGCAGCTTCTTGTCGTTGAAGACGTCTCTGTTCTCGGTTTTGTTCCATGCTGCGTTTGAGTTGTTCGAGGCGGGCTGGGTCGCGCCAGGGTAATGCAGCCATGTCGGGCTGGGCCGCTGGGGCGTCTTGGGAGGAGGGATGCTGAGCATTAAGCTGAACGCGGAGCTTTTCTATCTCTTGCTGGGCTGCTTGAAGTTGCTGGGTGAGACTGGTTACCAGGGTAGTTAGTTCGGCAATCTGTTGTTGGGGATCTAAGGTACTCGTAGCAGTGCTGGCTGCTTGCGTAACTGTTTCAGGGTTAGTTGTTTGATAGGATGAGGGTGGGTGCAAAATTGCGAACATGGCATTAGCTTTGACTTGACGAGAGCAAGAGCTGCATTTAAACAGAGGCTGAGAAGGGCTAGTTGGGTCAGTACCTTTCTTATGAAAGGTGGTGTAGGTGCTGCAACTTGGGCAAAAAATGTTCTGTCGGTGGCGATCGAAAAGGTCCAATAACTGCTGAATTTTTCTCGTTAGTAAAGTTTGGTCCTGATTTTTTTAAAAAGCTTGAATAAGTAGTTCGATTAAAGATAAAGGAAAGAATATGGAATATAGATAATTCTTAGGTGAGATTAGTTACGTAACATAAAAACTAAATAGGTTATCTTTATGAAATATATTTTACTTAGATTATCGCATCACCATCAACATGAATTTCGATCCTCTAAACTGGTTCATTTATGGACGGCCAATAAGGGATTTCTTGGATATGTATAAGATAGATCCTTTTAAGTAATGGGCGTCCATTATAATTATTTTGTTTATTGTTGCGTTCCGATTGAATATGGTAACATAGAATTGTAGCATTATCAAGAGCAATTGTTAGAGCAAGAATCAGATACTGTCATAGCATTAACTGGTCTGACAAGGGAAGTCTGAATTTCGAAGAAGTGTAATAAATCATGCTAATATGCTCCTTTGGCAAAAGTCGGTCTAAAATAGAGGTAAAGCGTCAAATTATTCGAGCGGAAAGCAACAGTAATCAGTCTTTGACGACGCTACATTTTAGCTTTCCTTTGTTTAAGTCTTGGTTGCGTCCCATAAACCATTGAAGCGCGATTTTTTTTTTTTTTTATACTTTTTCTATCATACGAGTTTAGGAAAACATTCTTTACTTGACTGCTAAACACTGCCACTACCTCTCGAAAGTCGGAGATGAAAATTCAAATCATAGTTGTGCAATTCTTTTTTAACATCATTTACGAGTAAAGTTTATTTTATGGAATTTAAGAGAAGCTTCAATTGATCTTACTTCTGATAAATTCCAATTGGAAGACGGCACGGTGGTACGAACATCGCGCGGCCATCCCACAATTTTATGTGTAGGTGCTTTTCTGTAAACAACTGTTTATATGGCACATGATCAGCTTGTGCTTCACCAGTTTGTTCTCCAATCAGAAACTTTTTTTGGTGTTTCTGCCATTGTTCAAACCCGCAAATATTTGATGACTTACTGTACAAGCCCAACATCCTTCCTCGAACTTCTCTTTTAAGCTTGTCTCTCGAACCTTTTCGATAAGGTTCTACAAAGTTTGAGGAAGCAGCGGAATTATGAAGAACAGGAGGGGGAACTGACCGACAAACTGGTTGCATTGCTGGAACAAACTCGACTACAGGTAGACTGCCGGACACAGCTACGATTCTATGTCAACAACAGGATAGTCGTAATATGTACCTTAGGGGATTTCCACTTACCAGTATAGGGTGCGCCATTCGGAAGTTTGTTCCACAATATAAAGGAAAGATCAGCATTCAGTTTCTCTTTGACGAATGATAAGGCAATCGCTGAGCCCACTAAATAAACTGTTATTGATGTGTCCTCATCATTTAAATGGTAAATGAAGTGTCTAACCTTAATTATGCATGGTGCCAGAAGGGAATGTGGCAATTGTCTCTGTTTTGGTGCAATAGCCAATAAGTATGTTCGTTTTATACTTAACATACATATCATCAATGGCTTTTTGCAATCCCTTGAGATCATTCTTATATTCCTTGGCAATATAAGTAGAAGGATGAATGCCCTGAATACGCTTAGTAAAAGATTTTTTTTAAGCTGTTCAACCAATTCCTTATTATGGGGTCCTGAACAGCCTCCTTCACTTCGCTTGGAACGATCTTGGTCAAATTGACCGATCTTTCACGGCAAAAGTGGCCCAGCATCAACGAATAATCAGTTGGCTGCTTTCTGCCAAAGTTTTTGTGGACCACTTTTTTGACATCATCCTGGTTCAGCTTCAGAACAGAATGCATGATAGCTACATTTGAAGCTTGAATATCTGCCTCAGGCAATCTGGTATATTCTTCATAAGCATCATTAACCTTCTCAATCAATAGTTTCAAACGAATGTTATCATTAACTTCAGACATGGGGCAAATTGGAGACATTATGCTGTGAGGATTGTTAACAGAAAGAAAGTATTATTAGCCGAAAGACAGCAAAAACAGCCTTAATATTCATTAATGTGTGCAATATTTGCTTGTTTGTATGGATGGATTACCGTTATGTGTTTATGGGGATTACTGTTATGAATCGATAGTTAGGAACTTGATATCTTTCCTTATTCTGAAGAAATTTGTAGATTGTTGAATCGGGAGTTAATTTTTATTTAAACGCAGGCGTCGACGTCTCGCTGAGATATTTAGTCAATTAAAACTGATAACTGTTATGAGTCGATGACTATGAACTTAGTGTCTTTATTGGTCTTCAGATGAAATAGGACGCGTATAGAAATTAGTCACTAATTTCAGGTTCGGGTGTTTGGGCGGGTGGTTATTATACTTAAGGCTTGTATCTTGTTATATGTTGTACATAACCTATATTAGATACAATATAGATAGACGTGGTAGAATGTACTCTCTACCTGGTTGTACGTACTCGCGTATTGTAGATGTTATCTCACCAAACACGCCACTCGCTCAATCAGCTACTTATAAATTTGATTGCCCGATCATTGCATTTTTTTAATCAACTTGATCGCGTTTGGGCCTTACTTTGGGCCGCCATAACATTATTATAGCGTATATAAAAACCTTATAAATGAACGATATTGAGATTCATAGGTGCTTTCATATGTAAGAACGATAGCAGCTCGAATCGAGGACCGAAGGCCCAAAATTAATCAACTTGTCTGTTTGGTCCTTGCTTTTTTTCAATCAAATTGATTGACGTTGGTCCTCCATCTTTTGAACCCGATCCACAGATAAAAATCCCATGAAGCCCACCTTTTGAGCGAAAACGAAGCAGCAATTCTTCTTACATCTATAGGAGTAAGCAGCTATTATATTACATCAACATCGTGGGCTTGATAATAAATGTTATTAAATATTCTTACAATAATTTTGTGATGGTTATGTAAAAGTCATTAAAATGCAAAAATAATTAAGCTATGATGGACTGTATGCTGTCTGGCTGTATGTGCTACAGTATTATTGCTGTTACCTAAGTAATGCTTCAGTTCGTTACAATTATGTAAGTAGTTTGTTATCGTTGATCGAGCAATTGAGGGATTCAAAAGAAAATTAAGACCGCCAGAATATTTATACGCAAAAATTAGTTTCGAAACTATTCTAAGAACCTAGAAGAGGAAGTTTTCCATTACTATTTTTTTTTTTTTTTTTTTTTTTTTTTTTTTTTTTGTAGATTATTTTATTTTAAAATAATAAATTAGTCACACATCGCTGAGGGGTGGGACATGGAGAGGAAAAGAAGATTTCTATGGCAAGTAAATTAGTCGAAAGCAGCCGCTTCCCGCATGAGCTGCGAGGAAGACAGGCTCAAAGAAATTATGTTATATGCTTTACTAGAGACGGATGGGGGATGAAAAGGAATATCATGGAATATCATTCGAAAGAATGACGTCCAGATAGCCCAATGGATACTGAAGCAGACAGTGAAAAATCGAGATTGCTCGGACGAAGGTAGTGATGGTGGCGAGTGTAATCTTAGGGCGGCGGAGATGCTTTGAGGATCAAAGTCGAAGGATGGGAAATATACCGCGAGGCCTTCTTGCCATATCTGCCAGCGTGGTGGACAACTGGTTGTAAAATGTTCGAACGTATCAATATCATGATTACAAAGTCTGCAGGTAGCAGATGAAACTACCCCTGCAGCTTGTAAGACTGATAAGCATGGTAATTTTTTCAAAATGGTGCGATAGCCTAGGTCGCGAGCCGGAAGAAACAAAGGAAGGGACCAGAACAGGGTGAACATCCGTTTGGGGATCACCCCTATACCTGATGCTTGTTGCATTTGGATGTGATGATGAAGTCTAAACGTTGAAGCCGAATAATGACGCCAAAGGTTACTGTTGGCCAATCGTCGTAGTAGTGCAATTTCCAATGACTTATCTGGGTCGTCGGTAGTGATAGAAGAGCCTGCTGGCACCCTGTAGATATACGGGTGAAGTTGAACTGTAGCATCGGTGAGTAATTGGCCCAAAAGATGTGAAAGCAACCGCGGTTTCACATTATATTCACCTGGCCGTTTCATTATGAGGCGGTTAGTGGACTGGTCGTAGCGGAAAAAGGCGTTGGCAAGCATCTTGGGATGGCGTTCTAGCCAGTGCGACTCTGGTAAGCGTGTAAACAAAGAATGTAATGGGAAGAGTAACAAGCTCTTGAGTGGAATATCCTCCAATGGGAGGGTAACATTCAAATGATCAAACGCTGTGAACATAATCGGTATAACCGAGGTTGGATGACAAAGATGAGGAGTTCGATGAATAGCGCAAAAGAAAGGAAGTATGGGACTAGTAAATGTGATGCCCATCAACCGGAAATGATGGCGAAGGAGTACTTGAACTAGGGAAGGCTGTGGAGAGAATAACATTATTAACCATTTCATTTGCAGGATTAAATGTTGCATCGCAACATTTAACAGACCGACTCCTCCTAAGTGTCTGGGCATAAGAAGTCGAGCATAGGAAACTAATGGGAATTTTTTCCGCCATACAAACTGATAGCTAAGTTTCTGTAAGGCTGTGATAAAGGTTTTGGTAGGATGGAATATACGAAGACAATACCAAACTTTGGACAATATAAGTGTATTCATTATCGTTACCCGACCGCGTAATGATAATTGTCTCGGTGAATAAAGTGCCACTTGCTTTTGAACAGATTCTAATAATGTATCTTGAACATAATTTCGTTGGTGAATCGTATAAGGTAAATAGAAGCCTAAATACCGGAGAGGGGCCTTTTTTCCTTTCCATTACTACAAACATTACATAGTAATCATTGTTTCTTGTAATGCTTTAAGAGAGTTTAAAATGGTCGTGGGTGGTTTAAATTCAATTGCAGCTTGTATCATATGCATAAAGTTTATCCGAAAAATAACAGAAATAGTTTAAAAAAAAGCAAGGAAAAGGGAAAATAATATCTAAAAATAAAATCGTTACCTGAAACCATAAAACTTTAAAGATATCTCAAAGTATTTATGAAATGTAAAAATTTTATCTCAAATTTTGTGTTTTACAATCTCAAAAAGTATGTCTCAAATAGCTTTTACCTGCCTTAAGGCAAGAAAAATGAACTATCGTTCTCACATATAAACGAATATATAGATTTCAATATAATTTAAAAAATATACACTTACATATGTTATGAAACTGTAGAAACTTTTAAACTGCAGAAAAAGTACCATTTTTATGCTTTTTTTTGGAGGACCAAACCGAGGACCAAACGCAATCAAGTTGATTGAAAAAATGCAAGGACCGGGTAATCAAATTTATTAAGTAGTTGATTAAGCGGGGCGTCGGTACTGGGTCGAATCTGGGGACCTAACCCCCGGTGGAGCTTGATCCATTTCTCACTGCTTCTTAGGGTTTTTTAATGCCGCTATTAAGGTGGTTCTCGGTCGGTGTTGGTGTTTAAATAAGTTATGAATAATTGTGGTGCCCGCCCAGGGTTAATTAAGCAAGATCGCGAACCACGCCCAAAAGACTTAGCCTACCAATTATAATGATTAGTTTAGCCCCTCCCCCTCCCCACACTTAGATAGTATGCTTTTCGCCTACCACCGCTTCCTGACCAACATTATGTCTTGTTCCATTCTCAACCTGATCTGGCACGGGCAAAATCTGAGATGTAGTTCTTGCCGTGTCCACTTGAGTCTTCAAATAAAAAATACAAATGTTTAATCGTATGAATGAATCTATAATAGGGTTGAAAATCTTTTGCTTTCAGATAGTCAACAAAACTTTAAGCTTATAAGTAAGCATGCAATCACAGATGATATTTTTACTCAGCAGAGTCTTTCCTTTCATTTATGTGTTTTTTTGATCCGGCTACTTTGGAAATCTGTAACTGTTTCCAGACATTCTGCAGACTGTTTTACTTGTCTTCACTAACGGGTTGTCGTGAAATGTTAATTCTTGCTTGCGGACCTTACATTTTGTATCATTGGCTTGCCAGATAAAAATAAAATTCCAAATAATTACTTTGAACGGTCTTTAGACCTTACTGCTATACAACGATGTGCAAACATGATACGATGAAACAGGATTTTTATTGACAAATAATTATGAATGCAATAGGCACAGAGATATAGTACAAATCAGAAAAATCTCCTGCGCAGGCAATCTAGATAACACTTCGATCGAATGTGCCATACCGCGATCTGATATCTTAAAAGGCGAGACTGATTTAATGTTACGCTCCCGGAGAAAAGTATTACAAATTTCGGCAAGAATACTTGGTTGATAGAGCCACAGGCTTCGTAATAAGTCGCATTGTCGAAGAGAGTTTGGTGGCAGGAATCATCCTGCAGCCAAAGGACCATCTCAGTCTCAACTCTTCCTCTCTAGCTTCGACCAAGAGAGCCTTCTTCATTCAAAGAAGAAACAGGTGCCATATACATTGCGTGTCAAAGAACCTATTACGTAAATTCAAATGTAAGAAATGTCTCCTAATGTTGACATAGCCCAGCTTTTCCTAGATTGGCTCTATGCGCCCACAACCACCAATACTTGAGGGTCCCATTATCTCCTAGTCTGCTTCTAGAACCACTGCCTTTTTTCCCCTTGCACCTTTAAGGGTTTTTTAATTCTTATTCCATTTTTTGTTCTGCCCAGGGCAATTTTGATATGTAGTTTATCTGTGTGCCCATTGGGTTTAAAAATATTTTGTCAATAAAATCTATTTTAAACGTAATTGCTTATTTCTTAAGCGTCAAACTGGGCGATGAACGTGATAATTGGCAAATTATCCCCACTTACGATTGTACAGGTCTCATATGGTATTTTTCTTTGTTTACGGAGGTTGTCGGGCTGCGATGAGTGGGATTTTTATTATATTTGCCAGAAAAAAAAGGCAAAACTGTTGAAGAAATGCATAAAGTAAGCTTCGTAATACTCTCAACTGATGTGGATAGGAAGAAGTTCTCAAATGGTTCTAATGGATTTTTGCTAGTAATAGGGTTGATAACATAAGTTGTCACTTTAGAGGCTCAAATAAAAATCTGACATTCAACGATAATATCATTTACTTATTTACCCGCTTAAAACGAAATGATGCCTTTCCCAAGTATCTAGTACGTAAGCAATTTATCAAGTTATCAACTTTTGGACACAGACTTTTTTTTGTCTTTTGCATACAGGTAGTCAGACATACTCCACATAATTCACAAATGGACGAATTTCCTTCCGGTTACTTTTATATAACGTCTCGGAATTCGGGAAAGGTCATTGACGGTAAACTTTGGTTACTTCAACCGCGTATACGGTGAATCAGCCAACTCACTTTCTCTCTTTGATCAGTTGACGGCGCGTCCAAAAAGGTAACGATGTGCAGATTTGTAAAGTTCGGTTGAATTATTGAACCCAACCATGAACAAACACAACAATAGAATGACGGTAAGATTCTCATTTGGACACCCAAACACAACGATGATAGAGACAATCAATTGTGGTATTACCAGGTAAAAAAAAAGAATATCATTTGAACGTTAACACAATATCTAAATTTAAAAATTTTGAAATAAAAGGATGGGTTCATAGTCAACAAATGTTCGGGAAAGGTTTTAGATGTGCGAGGTGGACCACTTGTCAGTGGGGCTCTCATTTGTCAATATGATCGTAAAGCAATAGCAGAGGCAGATAATCAGAGGTGGGGATACGATAACGGGTATATTTATACCCTGGCCAACCAGCATATGGTGCTTGATGTGAAGGATAATATGACATCCGATGGTACAAGAGTGATTCTACACTACAAAAAACTTGGATATGACAATGCCAATCAATTATGGGATTTAGTACCTGCTGGTGAAGTACGAGCAGAACGAGAAATTTTATTTGAGGCAGAATTCGAATAAGAAAAACAGTTAAATAAATAATAATAAAACAGTTACGCATGCATATATAAGCAGTTAGAATATGCATATCACAATCGCAAGGCATACGATTCATCACACGTGAAGCAGCGACGAAGATCATCATCCGCCACGAACTCACCTCCACCATCTGAGAGCTTTGATAGCTGGTGATGTTCGTTATTGTTCATATAATGATCCTTGCTGTGATCTCTTCTAAGATCATGAATTTTTTGAATACGTTCTTCAATAGTATCCTGAACAATGTACCAGAATACATTTGTCTGGTGAAAAGTATGATAGAATTTAGTATAGGCAGGGATACGATTCAATCGCACTAAAAAAGTTATATACCTCTTTCTTCTGACCAATACGATGGATACGATTAATAGCCTGCTTCTCCATTGACTCATTTAAAACAGGCTCCACAATAAAGACTGTTTGTGCAGCAACCAAAGTCAAGCCACTGGATTGACTTCTTGCATGTAAAAGAATGACACTAATGTCAGGATCATTCTGAAACTTCGTAACTGTGTTCTTATTAGTTGAAGAGCCAGAGTTTAATTGTACATATTTAATGCCATTTCTCTTCAGGCCCAGGGAAAGCATCTCTAGCACTTTGGTCCACTGTGAAAAGACAACACATTTGCCTTGTGTTGTTACTTTGATGTATTTAATGTGTCGAAGAATGCTGTCTAGTTTGGCACCTTGTCCTTCAACAATTTTTTGCCTACCAATTTTTTGAATAAGCGAATGCAATTCAACCTGATTATCCGTATTTACGTTATTGATGCATGCTAAAGAGGATGAAGATGTACAACTGCTACGAACGGGATTGATATCCTCCTTGTTATGCATTTCAATCTTTTTATAGGCTGAACAAATGTATAGTTTAAATAAAACGAATTGTAAAAGACACTATACGTTCTATTACTTACATATGTTGTACCATTCGTTCATCTTTACAGTAGCATTACAGGTATGGCATCTCTTACTCGACTTGAACCAACGAATACCGCATTCGACACAAGACTATAATCAGTAAATTGTCAGTACCTTTATCGTTTATAATAGATTTGGAAGAGAAACACTTACTGTATGTCCACTGAAAATTTCCGAATATATATATATATATATATACATATTTATGAACAAAAAAGTCAGATTTATAACAATTGATAGACTAATTCTTGGAATAACATACCAATAAGTAATTATGCCTTTCTCGAAGGGCTCTTGACAGATAAGACAATCTTTTGGCTTTTTATTCTCAACTTCCGTATCCAGTTTCTTCTGTTCTTCGATGAGCGTTTTAAAATACATTGCTCTTGACCTGCTTTGACTGATCATTTCCAACACTTTTTCGCTTTGAATTTCAATTTTGCTCAGTTGTCGCGCTGGATTTGGATCATTCCATTCCTGCAATATATGATCAGAAGATAGGTTCAGTATTTGAAGTGTCATAGTAAATCATTTTCGCGACTTACAACTAGAGTATCTGAAATTGCTTGTAAGTATTTATAATACGCAATGCGCCCATTAAATAATTGTGAAATCCTTCTAAAATCACTATATATACAGAATAATGAAAATTGACGGTAAGTTAAGGACATGATGGAGTTCGAAACGACCAAAACAGAGTCGACTTACGTATCCAAAAGATCAATTAACTTTGTTTGCAGAGGTATATGAGATCGAATATGATCGTGCTCTTTTTTTAGCAAATCTTCAATTTCATGCATGTCTGGATATTCAGCAATTTTTCTCCTCAAACCCCTCAAGGACACTTCGATATCTTTTAAGCATTCGATATGGAAAGTTCCTGGGAACATAATCTGTTTCCGAAAGCTCTTTTCATTGGCTTCAATCCGTCGTCCACGCTATTTAATCGTAAACATAGCAGCCATCAGTATTTTAAAAGAACCATAAAGTCATGAAATTTCCCAAACAATGGTTACCTCGCTTACAAACTCTCCATTGTCCCAATCTGAATCACTTAAGTCTGACAAAGGGGCTACTATGCCTATAATATATCGGTAAGTGAATCATATTCCTCTACTTTATATCAGATTCTAACATTTACCTTTAACGATGAATCTTCTGTCTTTTAGAAGATTTTGATATGCTGATAAGTAGATTTCACACAACTAAGTGGCAAACAAAGTTTAATATTGATTTCAACATCGAACTTGTAACTATTTTTCGTACCTCCTGCTGCTCGAGTGATTCCTCATATTCATTGCCGGTAACCTCATCATTTGCATCATTATCGACTAGTGGTTTCGAAAGGATAGGTATAATTTTACTCCGCAAAAATAATATTTTCTCTAGCTGGTCATCTAATTGACCCCCGATATATTTGACATTCCATAACAAATTGAGATCAGCTTTTCGCTGTGAACCTTCTCTGAAGTTATTAGGTTCATCATTTTTGAGTTGATCTTTGACAATATCAAAAGGCTCATCATCATCGCTATCTTCGTCATCATCATAGCTTATTTTTTGTAAGAAGTCGAAGGAAATAGATCTACTTCCGCATTTTAACTCATCATTCGCTTCAATTCGTGCGGCTGCTTTCAACATTTCTTCCGTATATGTTTTGACATTTAAAGCATTAGGCTCTAACAACTGACGACGTATCGCACTGGCTTCTGAATAATAGTAATCTTCCTGCTCCTGATTTTCTATGGCATGATACACGCCCGCGAGGAAGAAATAATACTGATGTAACAGCATGCGCCATTTTGACAGTCGCTGGGATAACAAAACAGATACTCTATCATCTTTAATTTCTTTCTCCTCATTATCGGCGTCTCTAAGAGTCACCAAGGAAGATGTTCCTTCAGCATATTCTCTTCCCTTCTCTTGATTTTTCAATTTACAATGATCGGCTAATTCTTTAATATTGTCTTTCACAATTTCTTGTACACTTGGAATGTATTTGAGATAGACTTTAGCTGCTCTATCAAATTGTTTCAGCAATTCAAACATGCCACCATATTTCAGTTGCATTTTGTAGTATGAGTATTGATTGTCATCTAACGCTGTTTTAGCAGATTTTCCCATATCCATTAACACTTCATCTAAAGACTGAAACTTCTTGTTATTAACATTTGCGGAAACGCTTAGCTTCATAGAAGTATTCGTAATTATGGATGGATGAACACAATTTTGACGTAAGGCTAGTAACTTCATACAAGTAATAAGCAATGCGTTAAATAATAACCTAAGATAAGGAAAAGAAAAAAGGGGGGATTCTAAACAGTTTTCTTACCCAGGTTCTCATTCTTGTTTGAATAGCATCAAAGTCATTTATTGTTTGCTGAGAAGCATTTGGTGGTAATGTCCAATTGATACTATCCAGCCATTCCAGACGTAATGCAGTTCGGCAGGCCCTCCATAGATCATCATAATAATGCTGCTCAATTTGTGTGAAGGGTATACGAACAACATGACGATGCTGTTCAGGAATATGTATTTGGTTCTCAAGCATATACTTGGCATTTCTTCTAATAGTTGTTTTCGCAAAATTATAGAAAATCGTTCTGTAACGGGGATCTGTACATAGTAATCTAAAATCTTTTTCTCGATTTAAGGTTTCTTCTAAAGATAAAAAATCATAGAGACCGTAGAGATCATTGAAGTCTCGTTTCATAGGAGTACCGGTAACAGCCCATGAATACCACCGAGGAATTAGCTTAGCGACGGATGAAACTCTCGTCAAAGGGGCTTCAATCATTTGCGCCTAAGAGATATCATATTAGCCTCAATAGATAACACGGGTCACACATAATAGCGAATGATTGTTCTTACTTCATCTAATATACAACGAAACCATAAAGTAGCAACCAAAGGGCTAATCATGAATTCTCGTTTATATTCGACGCCTTTTACCGACAAAACGATTAGTAACGATGCCTCCATTAATAGACACAAAAATAAATCTTACCTGATCTCCTAGGCCGTTTAGGAGGAGGTTTGGTATAATGAATTTCTGATGTGAATGCCTACGGATAATATCAGTAACTTTTGCTATTGAACATCTTAAATAAAGCATGTAAAGTGGATACCTCATAATGAGTTAAAACAATGTCATATTCTGCAAAATCATATGGTTGAATAGTTGGATCCTTTCGACGTCCCTCGTACACAAGTACTTTTAGGCTAGGAGCATGCTTCTCTATTTCAGACTTCCATTGGTTGACGATAGATCCGGGCGCTATGATGAGAGTGCTTCTTACAACTGTCAGATTAGGAAAGTCATCCTCTTTAGGATGATATAAATCTGAGGGATTGTACTTGTGTTTTGCTACTAGGCTCAGCACACTATAAAGCCGACATTTTGAGTTATTACTCAAGGATTACATTACGAACTTCAATAAGGTTTCTTTTACCTAATAGTCTTTCCTAAACCCATCTCATCGGCTAGAATTCCGCCTCTGTAGGATCGATCGATCAAATCAGAAATAGCTTTCCGATCAGTACTGGTAGCATCAGTCATAAGATTGGTGTAATTTCCTGTCGTTGAAGTTTGGTGCTCTCCGGCATACAATAATGGTAATTCTCTATATACGAAGGGATTGGCTTTCACAACTCCATCCCCGTTCACATAGTGTGCCTCTCTACTAATCATCCATTGAGTATTTTGTGTTTGGAAGGGCGTTAATGTAGCAATAACTTCTGGTGAAGTATATTGACGTAAATGCATTTTTGATACTTCAGGCTGTAGGAAAGCATAAAACTGTTCAACAGAATTGTCAATGGGGATTGTGCTTTGCTCTGACTGTGGCGTTTTTGTTGTTACAGTTTCAATTAAATTTAATGCCTGAATATATACGGGTATGGCCTTCGTATTCATAGATGTCGAGGATGCTAAAGACGCCTCACTACCTTTGTAATTCTCAACTTTGACATTTATATCGGTAATACCAGCACTACCTGCTTCTTTCCTCGTTTTTGCGCCCATGAATTTATTTTCGACCTTTGTACTTCTATTCAAGCTTCTACTAGGTATATTCTCTATGCCCCCTAATTGTTTCTTGGCATGCGTTGATGCTGGTAGTGTTTTGATCTTCAGTTTTTTTGACAATGCGCAGATAAGTTTAGACGCCTTTTTTTTGTGTGCTGGATCCATACTGTATGCCAGATCAAGATGTAAATTCATAGGCTCCTGGTTTCGGTCAAACGTATTTGCGGATGAGCGAATTTTAATATTGGAAACCGTTACTAAACCAGTAGAGGATGCATATACCAATGCAACAAACAGATCCGTTTCAGTTTCGCAAGCCTCAGTTAAGTCTTCTTTAAACTGTTCCGCTCTAACGACACATTCATGCTCAACAACAATCTCAGCGCTTTCTAACGAGATGATCTTCATCGATGCAAATGTAGAATCGATCAACTTAGTATAGCACCATTCTACAGTCAGTGCTTGTTTTTCGTTGTATTTATCTAATAATAGAGCTGATTCTTTCAATAGTTGTTTGTCAACATTGTAAAATGTGATCGGAAACTGGACCGTGCTTTTGCATCGTGCGATCGGCTTTTGATTTGAACCGTTTTCTTCGACATAATTTTGCTGACCTACAAGGTCATAGGACAGTTTTCTACGCTTTCGATTTTCATTGTTATCCTCTTCATCCTCAACTAAAGGCGTAAGAAAATTGAAAAGATTTTCCAGTTTGCCTAAAGCACCATTTATTACTGCCATTGAGTTATATTGCGCAGTTAAGGAAGAGAAAGCAAAAATTTGAAAAGGGACAAATCTGGCAAGTAAAATACTTCTTTTTTATTAGGTAATCAGATAACCAAAAAGCCATTCAACAAATCATGAAATTTTGTTACAGTCTAGTATGGTGGATCAAATTTTATACATTGGTATACTATATCGTAGGTAAAGTGATAAAGATAACTAGCTTATATAGCACACATATATAAACTAATCAGACGTTAAAAGGTTGTATTCATGTGTTTCATTTCTCAAAGATTATTATAAAAAGTCATCATGATAATTTTCATAAGTTTATATATGTGTGCATATAAAGTGTGATAGTTTGAGAGAATCAAGTGTAAAGTAAGAAAGAATATAGAGACTAAATAATGCTTGCAAAAAAGTCGTTTTCCCATTCAAGCGGTTTCTTTGCGTGCTTATTCAAGCTAATACGCGTATACATAAAACTATTTTAACCGATGTATACACATATAGCTTCTCTGTTATGAGCGCGCAAAAGACGCTATTCATGAGAATAGACTACAGTCAGCTAACACTTTAGGTCTACCAACTTACCCAAATTACCACCTTGAGACAAATAAGAGAGAAAAATGTAGAAGGCTTGTCAAGAAGCAAAGTTCTTTTAAAGTGAAAAATTTTTTCCAGCGTGTCTTCAATCTCCGTTTTTCGAACAACACAGTCGCAAAGTTTATAAAAAATTAATGAGTTCATACTCAGACGTTTTCAAATAAAAATTGGATTGTGTGTCGTTCCTCACACAACCTCAGTTGCCTCCGCTCCGGCTTCCAATGTGGTAAAGCACCCACCCTTGTCATGGACACAACACTTGAAGAACCTATTCAAATAGCCATTGTAGTTTACACCCTCCCATTGAAATTAATAAAAATAAAACTGAATTGCCCTCTATAACGTGACTTTGAAAGATATGGGGAAGAAATAGATCAAAATGCTTAAATTCTATATACAGTTTTTTAGCTTTGGGTTTAGACGAAGCCGCAATATAACTAGACGAAAAAAGTAAATTTTTGAGACCTCCAAGTTATAATTTCAAGATTGAACTACACAAAAATTGAGATGCTTACCTGTAAAAATCAAACCAGCTTCGTGCTGGCGATTAGAGGATGGTGTTCAAGTGGTTGATGCGGGTGATTTTGGTTTTCTAGAAAACTCCGCAGGTCTTCCCGTTGACTTCCATACCGAAATGCTGATGGCCATCATGTTTTTTGCTGCATTGACATCGCGGTTCCATAGTATCTTACAGGTTTTGCAAACAAGGATACTACAGCCACGCACGGTGTCTAATGCTTTCAATGTGTCTGAGCGACAACAATTGCATATGCGTGATGTCAAGTATTCATCAATTGTAACGGCAAGGAGATCACCAGCAGCCTCTCTTCGCTTCAATGCACGCCACAGAACACCAACGACACCAGTCTTATGGCCTTTGATGGGCACTGCACTCTTCCCGAACATGCCATCACCAACTACAATCAAAGGGATCTTTTTAGTGTCGCCTGCACTAAAGGGTTCAGGCTTCCACTTGTTCTTCAGGGGATTACTGTAGAAAGCATGAGTTCTATCAATATTTCTGCGAATAGTGGATGAATTGCTTATCATTTAAAAACCTTACCTATCTTTCTTAGCGAGAACATCGCTTACTTCTCTCGCATCTGCTTCTTCCTTCTCTTCTGGAACCTTTTGCTTCTTCTTCTTCTTCTTTTTACGTTTACAAAAGGCCATTCTGTCGGTATTCTTCTTTGGCCACTTGCTTCGATCTTTCTTCTTCTTCAACCTCAATTGCTTATTGTACTTTGTGGTTCCATTAATAAGCAAATTGACCATGTTGTTGGCAGCACGCTCCTGACCCTGGTATAAACGAAATCTGTCTTCAGCAGTTCCCTCGCCGTAAAAAGAGAACAAGGCTTCGAAGTGCTGCAATATATATTGTACATGACGGTCATGTTGTTCGATGATAGAAGTTTTGGCGGTTGGTATGCCACTTTCGATCATTTTAATTGTGCCTGCTTTCTTCTTTTCCAGCTTTGCAGCGTATCTGATACTTCCGGTCATATGATAATATTCCTTGGTAGAGCAGCTGCGTACTTGATGTTTGTTATGATCTAGTCCGATTGCCGCTGTGAAGACAGATCTTCGCCCTGGATCAAGGAAAGCGGGTCTGTAATTGTCTTGTACTTCGTCATAAGAAAAATCTTCCAAAGTCAAGGTATGATTATGAATGGTCATGTCTTCTTTTGTTTTCTTTTTGCGGCTGAACAAAAAGTCTACAGTAAAGCCGTCCGACCTAACCATGTTTCGAAACATTACATCAGAACTTTCCTTCAAAGCGGTTAGACTATGACAGAAGCAAAAATAGGGGTGTGTTTACTATTAGGCATAATTTTGCTGAAGAAGTTCTTCTATAGTTTTACCTCTTAAAGCCAAACTTTTTGAAGTCGAAGACTTTACAGAATTGTTCGAGTTGGGCTGTATAACCCTTGGCAACTTTTCCGGGAAACATGAAGGGTGTAAGAGCATTTAAACTTATCGCGATGAAACGCCATTTCAGCGATGGAGTAGGAAAGAGAAAGAAACGCTGAGGAAGTGGTAGGACACGGACATCGTACGGTTTATGCTGTATATGTTCTTGCTCGTACGTAAACTGTATGTTCCATAACGCATTAACAAACTTTGCAGGAGCAGCAGAAAGAGAAACGAGGGTTACTTCTCCTGGAATGAACTCTTCAAATTGTTTGCAGAGTAATTCAATTCGGTTTTTGTCAACAGCCGCCAGCTCGAGGTTTTCTGGCCAATGAGGATGACCATGACAGACAGATTGGTAACAATACAGCTGTACAATTCTTTGTACATCAGTGCGTTTGATATTCTAGAATGTGTATAAAGAGAAATAAAATGAATAAAACAGCAGAGCATTAAGAAGGTACTCGGTTACAGCCTTACCGGGAGCATAGTTCTCAATTTGTAGGTAAAGAACTTTGTTAAGCGCTGCTCGAAGCGCTCTACAATGGAGTTCGTGTAAGAGACGCTCAATTCCTTTGCTGCCTCTGTAAGGCAATGACTATATCCCACGGTCAGCTTGTGTTTTACTTCGATAGTAGGGAACTTTGCCTTGAAGTCTGTATAATACTGTTTTATGTCCTCGGATAATGCCGTTTTGTGAGTAACTTGCTTGCCCGTTATAAGCTGACCTACTGAATACCAGAATTGCTGGCAGAATACATCAGGAATAGACCTGTCTTTGTTGGCTTCTTTACTGTCTTTCTTGCTGTCTTCTTTGTTGGCTTCTTTACTGCCTTTGTTGCTGTTTTTATCAGTGTCTTTCTTGTCGCCTTTGTTAGCATTCCTTCTATTCTCCTGATAATGAATGAGGTACGAGTTAACGAATAATTGACTAGAGAATACTATTCTCCTTATGTCAGAGCAGCAAGAGATGACTTTTTCTTGGAATTGTTCGCGAAACGCTGGCTTTACAGCAGACGTAAGAGGGAGCTTCCTCGTGAATACAGTGGAGCCTTCTCCAAGCGTCGAGGTGATAACTTCTTCCTTTGAAGCAATGTGATTGGGGCATTCGAGAGAACGAGAAGTAGAATGACCCTTTAAGCCACAACTGATACACTTGATATCTCCAGTTGTTTGCTTCTTCTTTCTCTTTGCTTGCTTCTTTTCTTCCTTGATTGTAGCTGATTGCTTACGTTTCTTACCGCTACTTCCAACTAAATTTCCGTTAAGCAAACATAAACTTGTCTTGCAGTGAGAGCATGATACTTACCATCAGCCGCAGAAACTGCTTTGTAAAACTTGCATTCATGGTATGCCTTGTTGAAATGTCCGAGTGTTTTGCAATCCTTGCACTCGATGTTTACTAGTCATACAAAACATAATCTGAGGATTACTACTATAACTTATTTGTGGCAGCGCGCTCATGTGTTACTTACGGAAGGACTCATTTTTGACTTTATTCTTATGGGCTTCTGCCACCGATTTGATTTTTTGCAAGATTTTGGCTTTGTACATGCTGAGTAGTAGCTATCAGGATGAGGAAAGAAAGATGAAAGAAGAATAAGAAGAAGAAGATGGAAATCAAAGGAAAGATGTCAAACTTATTTTCTGTAATGCTAGTTTGACAACATCTTATTTTTTATTAGGATTGACAACAACGACCGTTATCTACGCGGCGGAAGAACGTGTCTGGGATTAGTTTAACGCGTAGATCAATTCATATGATCCATAAATAAAGTCTCGTAAACCACAACCATGTATCTATTGCTGATAAGACCTGTTTTACACTAAAATACTCATTACGTCTCGTAGTACTTTAAAGTAATGCCACTATCAATTGAAAAATGTCCACTGACCTTCAAAATAATGTCTACAATTATTTATTCAATAAATCGTCCAAGAATATTATACCATTTCATCCTAAAATAATTTAAAATTATCTAAATTAAATATATATATTGTCCAATAAAATTTGTATAAAGTGTAAAGTTGAAGCTAAATTCTATATAATTATCTGAGAATAAAGCGCGGCTCTTGAGAGCTTTACCACATTTTCAGCCTTCGCTTCGGCAACATTTTGATTTTCATTGAATAATTTTTAAACCCAATGGGCACACAGATAAACTACATATCAGAAAATTGCCCTGGGCAGGTCAAAATACGTGCAGGAATTAAAAATCCTGAAAGATATAGGAAAACATAGCTGTATCACAATATCCTAACTTTTTTTCTCTTTTTTTGGAATTACAATTGAAATCGTCTAAATGAGATGCCCCCATTTTTGATAGGGTATGTACGAGTTGACTGAGAAGTGAGTTAATCAAAATGTAGAATTTGCAGGAACTTCTTAGTATAATAAACTTGATGGTTATAAATACTACCTCAGGCCAACACAGTTGCCAACACAGTTGCTTTACCATCAAATTTTGTTTTTTCTTATTTTACTATAACACGTTACTATATGACAGGATATATAGTAGAATTGATATATGGACATACAGGATATATTGATTCAACACCAAGGAATAATAGGTTATAAGTACTATTCTCTGCCTTCGGCATAAAGAATGATTACAGGATAATAGGTTGTGATCATCCTTTACAATAACTGTTCACTCAACTCAAACACCACGCACGAACACCATTTTCCTAATTAATACTATTCTCCTGCAAGCAGTGCTACATAATGGTTAGCACGAAAAATAGGTTAGTTGCATGATCACTAGATCAAGTCAGGATATGCTTACAAGTCCACCCGCTCCGGGTAGATGCGTAGGCTCCTCAAGGGAGAATTCTATTATTTTACGGTTCAGAAGACGTACGTCTTCTTTAAATTTTTGCAGTAGATATTTTTCTTCTCTTTGAACTGAACTTGATTCAAAATAAAGACCTACTAGTTTGATCTCGTTAAGCTTTTTACTGTTTTAACTATAAGTGATATTTAACTCGTACAAGTCGTCAAATACCACAAAGTACGTCTTTTACAGCTTGGCAACCAATAGACACTCGAACCTTTTTCTTTTTCAAGGGTGTTTTATCTCTCCAGCTGAAAACATTTTGAAGTACCAAGAATTCATGTCTAAATGCAGGCGGCTACTATGTGGAATTCTTAAAAGTTAGTATACTTTATCATAAAAAGTGGTAGATTTATCGGCATTTTGAACAGATGTTTATTTAATATGTCAAAAGGGGTTTTCCCCTACTTTCTATACGAGGATCCGCAATTCTTTTTGAATAATTCAATTTTGTCATTTCTATCTACTTTTGCTTTGCTTTGCTTTTCTTTTTTTTTTTAGAAAGGACATTTAGTAACCTGTCGTCAAAGCACCTCTAAACGTATATATGTACGTGGTGTGAAATACCACAAAATCATTAAAATACATCATAGGGAAAACTTCCGTTACATTGCTGGTAGCTCCGGCTACAGATCATACCACCTGTGAAATTAGTCTTTAGGAGTTATGTTTTTATGGGAATGTCAAGTCAAGTAAAGCACAAAACAAAGTGAGCTACTATGCAAGGTCTTGTTTCGAGTACTTACGTTCGTAACAATGCAAAAAGTTTACGAAAGTATTTGCAAAAGAGATTGAGTCTGTACTCTAAACAAGTCTTCTTCATGAGTATTGCATACGGCAACACGCCTGTTTCTCGAGCTCGTCTAAAGAAAGAAGATGACGAGAAGCGAGTAAACAAAACTGAAGAATTGGAAACACGTTTACTGTCTAATAAAACTTGAATATTATCAAAATAATTATATACCGGGTATATATGGATTACAGGGAACGCTTTTTTTATTCATATTTTAAACATTGAACAGCAGCGAATATTCAGAAACTTATTATAGCTTTGCAAACAGCGAATATTACTGCTAGTTTTCTAATCAATGGCGTTAGGGTTATAATGCAGCAGAAATACGGCGACTAACAATAACAATAGAAGGAAGCGGAAAAAGATGGATATCAAGAGAAGTTCTTTGATTGCTCGAACACCGATGGAACTTATTGCATACTGCTCCCTTACGGTTTTCTGTTTAAAGCGCCTTACCATATGTATTCTAACTGTTTTAATTATATAGGTGAGCATCTTATGTTGGCAAGTGCTTAGAGGGCTTTATTAACAGTCTGAAGCAAACACAATTGTCGACACTACTTGGTAGCTATTTTGCTGATTTTCAGTTGTCACAGCCAACCAGCGAAGATCATGTCACCGTTGGTAAGCAGTGATTAGGCTCGACTTGAGGTTCCGCAAAATCTGTACTTCGCCGAACAAGTACCGCCTTCTATGTCAGCGGTACGGTAGACAAATATCCTAAAGCTTTCACAAATACATTATAGCTGTCCAACCGTAAGATTTTTGCCATCGGAATAAGGAAAAGGCGGAGAGCTTCAATATCCTCGTGATGCTGTACCGCTTTTAAACGGCGACTTCCCCCGTATCTTTTTGTTTGTTGGATATTTTTTCGCTGTCCAGCTCAAAAAGTTCGTTATTGCCGTAATATTCTATTTTGTCCTTTTTTTTTTCCTAAAAAAACGTAGTTACACCATAATAAAGCATATTGAATTACCATGAAATATGTTGAAGTGTGCAAAGCACTTTATGACTATGAAGCTCGAACTGAAGATGAGCTTACAGTAAAGGAAGATAATATTTTATACGTCATCGAGAAGGGAGATGACGATTGGTGGAAAGCAGAGTTAAAGCAAGCTAATGGTGAAGAGCAAGGTTCAATCGGTCTAGTCCCGGCCTCTTATTTGGAAGTAGTAAAGTATTGACATACACATGAATAACCTGTCTTTCGAAAAGGAAACTACTGTCATATAAAGGTTATCCACTTTAAACTCACTTTTGCATACATAAATATCAAAAGGTTCCTGCTATCGGTAAAGTCCGTGCTGAATATGATTATGCAGCTCAACAAGAAGAGGAATTATCTTTTCAAGAAGGGGACGAAATGGATTTATTGGAAACAGACGACCCAGACTGGTTCTTGGTAAGGGCCAGTAATGGTGAGATTGGGCTGGCACCGAGCAATTACGTCCATGATGCTAATGAAGGTTTTGAAGACGCCCAAGAAGAACTTCCTGCTACCTCATCAAATGTTCCGCAACCACCAGCACAGCTACCACAACCAACACCACCAACCATTGCACCACCACAACTTCAACCTATTTTATCACATACGGTAAGTGTCATATCATCACTCTATTCACTCTGTGCTTTTCTTACAAATCTATGAAAGCAAGGATATATTTTAGACAATTACTAAACTCTGTCTGAATATCTAGACTGGATCTACTGCTGCCACTGGCAACGGAAGTAGGGAAGCAATCTCAGATGATGCGCAATCTTGGAACGTTTATGAATACGACCCAAACAAAAAGAAGAAGAAGAAAAGTAAAGGTAGCCTTTTCATTGGCAATGGCATGATCTGTTATGGCAGTGAAACAGATAAAGCATCACCTGTCCAGCAATATCCTATTTTAGATGTGACCAAATATCTTTACGATGGGAAAAATCTGCATATTGAAATAAATGGCAGTGGCAAAGATGCTGTATTAGATTTGCAAGCTTCATCGAAATCGGAAGCTAAAGCAATCTTAGCGAAGATAGCCGATTCAACAAGAGCGGCGCAAATGTCCAATACGCATTTAAATCAGCACACTTCAGAACGACAAATAGCTGCACCTGCACCTGCTATTACATCAATTCAGTCACAGCATGATGAGCAAGAGCAACAGTATACAACAGATACGCATGAAGGAGAAGAAGAGCCTAATTGTGAACCACGATGGGGCATCTCTTTGTATACATTTGGTGCCGAAGGGGGTGATGAGATATCCGTTGCTGAAAATGAGCAAATTTATGTTGTTGATTATGTGCGAACAGATGGTTGGTGGCGAGTGCAAAAGGTAGATGGTGAAATGGGGATTATTCCATCTTCTTACGTCCAGTTTGACGACGAAGAAGTAGCAGAACATGATGCAGGACAAAGTAATGATCATCAACAAAGTTCTCGAAGTCTTGCTCCAAATAATGTAGAAGATATTAGAAAGAAACGTATAGAAGAAGAGCGTGCCTTGCAACAACAAAGAATCGCTGAAGAAGAAGCTCGTGAAAAGCAAAGACGTTTAGAACAAGAGGCTAAAGAAAGACGAAGATGGGAAGAGGAAGAGCAACGGAGAAAACGCGAGGAAGAAGATCGTAAACGAAGGGAACAAGAGGAGGAAGAACGTAGACAAAGAGAAATTCAGGAAAGAGAAAAGCGCAGACAGGCGCAAGAGGCAGCAAAGCGCGCAGAGCTGGCCCGCCACAAACAGTTAGAAGAGGACTATCGTCGCAAAGATGCCGAAAGAAAAGCGTCTCTTGCTCGATCTCAAAGCTCTGGTTCGAAACACAGCAGTAATGGTAGCAGCCGTCATCAAGATTTACCTAAGCCGGACCTAAATAAAATTAGAACATGGACTGATCGCAGTGGTTCTTTTAAAGTTGAAGCCCAATTTATCGATTACCATAATGGTAAATTACGTTTACATAAACTAAATGGCGTAAAAATTGATGTACCTGTGGAAAAGATGTCACCTGAAGATATTAGATGGGTTGAAGAACATACAAAGTCCCATTCCCCATCCGCTTCATCCTCAACAAGGGACCAAAAGGAGCCAGAAATGACACCGCCCATGCCTCCTCGACCGCAACCTACTGGGGGTTCTGCAACATCTTCACGACCTCAGCAAAAGAAGGTCAATGAAAAGTGGGATTGGTTTGACTGGTTCATGATGATCGGTATCCCTATGCAGGCATCGCTTCAGTACGCCTCTGCTTTCAAAGCTGAAAAATTAGATGATAGTGATATAGATAATTTGACACACAAAAAAATGAAAATGCTTGGTATGAAGGAAGAGGATGTCAGACGTGTCGAAAAGTTTGTCGAGACTGGCCAACTTGATTCTGAAGAAGATCCCGCAAAGAAAAGCCAACTTGAAAAGGACGAAGAACTTGCTAGAAAGTTACAGAATGAATGGAACAATGACAATAGCTCATCAAAGACTAGAAGTACGCTCTCTTTTGTAACAATGAAGAAATTTGGTACTAGACATTAATAGATTTTTTTTGTTCTTCATAGCTAGTAGGCCCAAGCCTAGTGTGTCTGCTCCGAAGGATGTACATGCAGATTTGCTGGATTTCATTGGTGATAAGTTAAGTGGTGCTTCTGATACTGCAAGCAAAGATAAAGATAAGGGCCTTGAAAAGCCGAAAAATAATGGCGCAGCAGGGTTTGCTGATGATGCTTGGACGCCTCGATCAGACAATAGCCCCCTCGCCAGCTTAGCTGCTTTGAAGCCAATTCCTGCTGCGCCAGCCGCATCAACTGCAGCAAGCTCATCATCAGCTATAGTATCTCCTGGCCCCTCTTCTGCTCCTGCGGTTCCTATAGCACCTGTAGGTCCATCTCTGGAAGAACAAAAAGCAGCGGAAGAAAAGCGTAAACGCATGCAAGAGGAGGAACAAATACAGAAAATTCAATTGATGGGCTTACAACAGAAAGCTAGAGAACAACAAAAGCAATTAGAGGAATTGCAAAAGCTAACAGAACAACAGCTACAACTACAGAAGCAATTAGCTATGCAAACAGGTACTCAACAACAGCGTCTGCAGCAACAACAACAAATGCTCGACATTCAAGCACAACAACAGATGCTCCAGCAACAATTAGGTCAACAGCCATCCCAATTACAGCCTTCTTTGACAGCACAGCCTACAGGCTTTATGGCATCACATTCTATAACTTCTCAACCTACCGGTCTGATGTCACAGCCCACTGGTAGTTTGGCTAATCAATTAAGCTCTCCTGGTCGTTTAAGGCCTTCTGCTAGCAATAACATCTTCTCTGACCCTACGTTAGGTCAGTGGCAGCCTAGTCAGCCACCAGCAATGCAGCAGCCAGTACATACAAGCTTCCCACCGCAACAACAACAACAGCCAGAGCAGAATTTAGCATGGCAAGCGCTCCAACCTCAAATGACAGGCTTTCCTTCGACTGATATTAACAGTAATAGTAATGCCTTCCAGCCACAGCAACAACAACGACAAGGCTCTTTACCACTTCCACCATCCTTGTCACCCACACCTGCTGCTGCTGGACAGCAAAGTAATATTTTCATTAATAATGGTGCTCCTTTTAGAGCACAAAGCATGCAGCCTACGGGCAGACATTGGAATATAGCCAGTAAGTAAATTTTTCACAGAGCCGATAGACTTTTAATCTTACCTACTATTGAATTATTCGATAATATAGCACCTGATAATCCATTTGGATCCCCTAACATGGCTCCATTGCAAGCTCAAATGACAGGCATCAACTTTTCTACACCCAGCCCTCAAGCCTTTAATCAAAGTCCATTGCAACCACAACAAACTCAAATGCAACAGAATTACATGCAGTCTCAAATGACAGGTTTTCCTACTCAACAACAGCCAGTAGCCGGAAATAATATCTTTACTCCACAAGGTTCAATGCAATGTAAGTGGTTTTTTTTTTAAGCTCACCTAGGGATAATTTTTATATTTCCTGCAAAATGGTTACTAACCTCAATATGTATTTTTATAGATGGCCAATCGGCATTCCCTGATCAGCGTCCTTGGTAAAGAAAGAATGTCCTTTGATTCATACTCCTTTAAACTGTAAACTAGAAAATATCATTTATAAACTTATTCTCTCCAACCTATTAATCGCTCGATACACATTTATATATAAAATTAAAAAGCCATTATATTTTTCTATTCATCTCATTACTATGCATTTTATCGATCAGTAATGAAAATTGAACTTTTATTCAATACCTTTGTGATGATATAAAAAAAGAATGTGCGCTTTATGATAAAATTGAGGGAAAATGATTATAGAATTTCATACATATTGCGACAGATCAGAGTATACTATACGTAAGTAATTCAAAGAGCAATACGTGATGTTGTATGCGTAAAGTAAGCAAACAAGAGGATGTTGGATTCTTCATTGGTGCGCATAAAATAACTATTACGATCCTCCAAACCACAAGGATCTTATAAAAGCCAAAATTTATGTAATGGCGACATGTCTTTTCCATAGAAACTTATCGGTGGTTGGTTTGACTTTGTCCCTTAGATTTATGCACAAAATTAAGGCAACGCTTCCCTAACAACGTACACGAAGTATTTGAGTCATACTGTCAAGTTCAAGAGCACTGCTTAAGCATCATGACTGCAGTTAGATTTGATACTCATGCATATCACAGATTTTTTAGGAAAAATGTATTTAAAATTGCAACGAATTGTAACTCATGAATTCTATTTGAAAGTTCTCTTTATTGAGAGAGATAATACAGAATTGCTATTAGATATACTATAAAATTTGAATTATATAAAAATGGTAAAAGGTTATTATGATGATACGTGGTATTCAAATAGTTGCAGAATGAATGAGAAATAGTTACGTGAAACATAGTTTGAATCATATTAACGAGAAGAAACAGATGATTCCCTACTATTGCCACCCAGTTTATTAATTCCACGACCAATAGCACTCAAACTACCTCCAACTAGCCTACTTCCTCCGGTCAAAACTTTACCACCAGCACCTACTCCGAAGCCAACAACATCAAATGCTAAACCAGTTGTAGTATTCAGTAACGATGTTCCGTCGTACTTACGGATTAGTAATTGAGGCTCCCATTTCAAGCGAAGCTTCAATACAGCACCATTAAGTTGAACATCTATTTCCTTTGTGGCGAACGACTCCAAAGTGGCAATTGGAATAGTACCTTCTGCAAGCAATTCATGGGAGCCTATTTGATCCCAGTCGTAAATCTTCACTTTCAAGGCTGCTGACGTACGAGATGAAACGGGTACTGTAAAAACCTCGTCTCTGAATACTGGTGAAAGTGTTTTCTTATACACTTGTGTTTTATAAACGCGTTCGCCATTTAAACTAAATTTACAATAGGGATCGCTCTTGCCATTTCTATCAACACTTTTCAGGCCGCTTGCGGATATAAGTTGAACTGTCAAACTTCCTTGGTCTAATTGAAAAAAACGAACAAAAGTATTAGAATAATTTGTTTCAGCAAGGTGTATCCTATAAAGAATCTTTTACATATACTCACTTTCGAGGCTGTCTTGTGGATCAAGTCGAAAGTGAACAACAGGAATATATCTGAAGCTCAAACGAATTTTGCCTTCTACGCATTCTAAAAGACGATACTCTTCAACCTCAGATTTTCCTTTAGCTGTAGTAGATTGCTTTTGAATATTCTTGACAATGTCTTGGACTGGGCTTGTCCAAAAGCCGAAACGCTTGCCTTTATCTTCAGCTTCACGTACAGAAACAATGAGACGGGAGAGGTCCAACTCTCTCACAAACGCATCACCAGATTCATTATATTGTAGAATTTTCCCTTTGACAGGGGTAGTTGTAAATTGAGCATCATTCGAATCTAACATAACATCAACAACCGCTTTAACTTTGGAAGGTAAAACAATATCATGAACCATCACACTCAATACGCCTGCTGTATAAGCCATCAAATTGATTTTCCCATCCTCGGTTATTTGAATTGGTTCACCGTGAAGATCATGTGTTGGAGCTTCATCTGGTGTAATTTTAGTGCTACTATCCATATTGGACTCTTCTTCATTATCTTCAGCGTTTGCATCGGCACTTTTGGTTTCGGCTTCGGCATCTCCTTCATTCTCACTGACAGTAAAAGCCTTGGCCAGTGCCATCGTAGCGAAGAAACTTGCTTCATATTCAAGCTTGCCCTTAGCTGCTTTTCCTTCTTTCGTCTTCAGGTCAACATTTCTACCAATGCATGGAATTTGTTAGTATTCTTACAAGATGAAATAGAAGGAGGGATTATTTACCGTTTGACAAGTGAACGAGGCTCAAAAGCATTTTGTTCGCTTTCAATTTTCTTTTCTTGCACAATATCTTTAGAAATCAATTCAGTCATACCCAAGAACTTATCACTCTGAAGTTCATTATAATCCATAACTTCCAATGTGAGGTCTTCACGTATCGAATGAATAGGAACGTATAGTGCGGTATCCCATACTGGATTTAGGTTATCGAGAACTGCTTCTGTTCGTCCGCGTACTTGTAGGCCTGACATAACACGGACATATGGGTCTGATTTGCCACCAGTAAGTGCCTCCACATTTTTAAGATCAGTGGCTTTATTTAATTTGATACGAACAACGCCGATTGGAGGACGGTAACTGCCTCGCGTCAGCCCGCTCGCAAAATTGGTAAGCGGTATAGGCTTCCAGTCCATCTTTAGATGAATCTTACCGGTGCCATCCTGCAGATTCCACCACTCATTTTTCTCGTTGATAACCTGGTTTTCCATATCCATTAAACTGGAAGTCCAACGACCCATAGGCTTATCTTCACCAAGTATACTGTTCAGAATAGTAACATTAAAATCAACATTATTTTTGTCCTCAACGAAGAACTCAGCATATTTGTTCCAGCGAGGATTGACGCTACGCTTGAAAGGAGCAGTACGGAGTTTTTCTTGACCATTCACCTTCAAAATAGCATAGGCGTTGATATCATGACCAGCAGATCCTATGACAGGAAACTTACCAACACCAGGTAGGTTCTTCATGAATGGAATCCCCGATTTCTGTTGCATAATTGCTTGGCCTACATCCTTGCACTCATGGATATAGAATCTTACGACACCGCTATCCGATTCAACAGCAGGCACTACAGTTCCGTCCTCTTCTGTATGTGCTACTGATACAGGATACCAATTGGCATCTGCCCTGATTTCGCCTACTTGCTTACCATTACGTAGTAATACTAAGCTTAAATCCTTCAAGCTATAATTGCTTTCCTGTAGATCCTTTAAATTTAGGATGGCTTGTCCCACTTCTGAATCGCTGCCGGAGTTTTGATCCATGACTCTAAAGCAGAGCATGTCTTCCATATTGTTGAGTAAGACGAAGCAGGTTTCGTTCCACTTGGGATTTGATGAATTCTTAATAGTTGTAGTACGTGTTAGCTCGGGTGTGTTGACATTACTGACGTGGAAGGTACAATAAGGATTAAGGGAACCCAATGAAGTCACGCTCTGCTTGAGGTTGTTAGCAGAATAGACAGTGACAGCCAGCACGCCGTTGGCGCTTTCTGTATCTTTTTTATTCATAAGTGACGGCACATCAATGACAAGTTTGTTGGGAGCATACATCATATGGCCCAAATTTGAATGAACTTGGTCTTTGACAAAAGATTCTAACCCGGGGATCTATTGTAATGCCATTGAAGTTTAAAAAAAGATGATGAGAAAACCTTTTACTTAATTTGCTATCTGACTTACGTTATTGATATCGAAGCCGAATGTTTCACCACCAACTGGCTTGAGAGCATAATCAAATTTCGGCTTTTCTAAAAAGCATGCTTCAACAGATTTGACGTGAGGCATTTCATTAAACAGTTTGAGCTTTATTCTCAAATGACCGCTGAATGCAAGATCCTCGAGCAATACTGGCATACCAGCACCTATCATACTGGAGCCTACACGTATAGTAAGGACAATCTTTGGCTCAACTCTTTGTTTAGCTTCACGAGCAGTTAAATCAGACACATCATCGGGAACAAAAGAAAATTTGCAGTCCACACACTAGTGATAAATGAATGGTCAGAGGGAAAGGGATAACTAACAGCTGAAATATGTATTATCAAACGTACAATTTCATCGGGTGCAGAACTTGGATACACCTTAACACCATCCAAACTAGGTGCTTTTGTACCCAAAGTAAACGTACTCAACCGAATCGAATCTAAGAAAGGTGGTGTATTTTCGGATAATATGGCATCGGCCTGTCCAATAATCTGTGCTGATAATGCTGGCTCAAACATCAACCAGAAACGTTGCAAGAAATAGTTCAACCATTTGGCTGTTTCAGCTGTATTTTCTAGGCGGTTCACGTTGACAACTCTCTGCATATCATAACGTACATTTCGACGAAAACGCTTAATATATTTGCGGTAGTAAGTTGCTATGAAAGACGATCAATAGGTATCGGTTAAAAATAAATATCTTTGTAATTTCATATCTTTTAACTGTCAATATAACATCCTACTGAAGAAGGCACCGACTATTACACATGACAGGGCCCCAAAACGAGTTTTCGACAAAATCCATGTGGCAAGTACCGTTACAAGGACAACGCCACCATTTTGGAACCAATCACCGAAACAATTATCTTTAATAAACTGATTTACTGTATCATGCGAATTTACAGCACAACTAGTAGTACCTAGATCCATTTGTTTTCATTAATCTTCCATTCTCCTTTGTGTTCAGAAATGCAATTTGTATTTGAGATATTACCGTTTCCCCCCACTATCACGGGAGCTTTTGGCATATTATTGTACCAAACTGTTGTGTTTTTAATTAAAGGTTCAGCAATATATGACCCTGGAGCTTTTACATTGGTTGCATTGGTGACTTGCTGTATGGTTAGATCATCTTTCTTGAGGAATAGCCTCTCCGTTTGCTCCAGAGTAGACTTATCCTTATTCGTTGTGAATATGTTGTCTGTAGTGATTTCAATTTTGGGAATATTGGTGTTTCTCATGACTTCTGCTTTTTTTTGCTCAGGAGACATTTCTGGTGAAAACGCGTGTACAGGGCCTCTCGCTCTTTGCTCTTTTAACGTATCATTGATGTTATTATGTAATTGTCTAGACTTTTCCACTGAAGCATCTTTCTGCTTGTCTGATCGTGAAGACAGCTTTGCTGTATTGGTAGAGGGGTCTTCCATTGGGCTGAGGATAATTTATTCAAAGAAAAAAAAATAGAAGATAACCCGAATTACTTTCATTTACTTTTATAAAAGCTCGAAGTTTGAAATTTTTCTAGGTTTCAGTTGAATAAAATAGCTAAAAGGAAGGTTTCAGATACAGTGAATTTTTATATGAATGTTTGATTAAGGAAAGTATATTGAAATAATAGGTCAAAGATTCCCTTTGTTTTTCTTTTTACTGCTCGAATATTTGTTCATTTTGGTGATCAACACTTGTACTAGCGATATTCCTTTGTTCATTATCTTTAAATAGGCGTCAGCGGGTGTTAAAGCTGCTTGATTGTTGCCTGGCACAGCCATATAAGTATCAGTTGGACTAGCCTCTTCCGCCCTGATCATACTCGGCGTGAATACCACAGCTAAATTGTGCGTATCCACATTATTCTTGTGAGCATGTTGTGAAACTTCCTTTGAAAATTTACAAATGTAGCTCAGCAAGGCGTAGTAGTTTGGAATGCGCTGAATCGCTCGTTTAGTTTTCTCTTGACATCCTAGAATATATTTTACGAACGTTAAAACAACAGTGACGCCTACAAATCAATTGAAATCACGTACCTGGTAAAATGCCTATACTTTTGTTAAAGGTGATGGAAGCTCTCTGATAAACACTTTTGATAATGCAAATGCAGCGGACACATCAATATCATACTCGTTAAGGTTCACTTTCACACCTATAAGAAGGAGTGTTGTATTCAGCTGCGGAAAATCTCTTTAAAGAAACTTGCATTAATGTGCTTAACGTTATTGAAGTTGTTTTTTACCAAACGTAGTTCATCACTAGACGGTCATTTTCTAAGGATGCTCTCTTTGTCCAATTCTGACAATGAATGTCAATAGTTAGTTTTTACAGAAACATAAAAGCCCTCAAAATCATTCCCTTCTCATGTAAATGTTCTACTATCTATATCACAAAGGTAGGAATATACTGTGTCGAGGTATTTCCATTCTAAATCGGCCAGCTCCTCTAATTTTCGTCTGAAAGCTAATGAGGGTAAAGGGCGTTTTGATTTCTGTATTGTCGCCACGTCAGTGGCTATAGGCAATTGCTGATCATAGTCAACTACCCTTTGCGGTATGCATTGTGGTGCCAAGGATATGTTCGCTTTCAACTCTTCAAAACTCTGTATATAATGCAATTTGCGGGCGAATTTTGGACTGACATTTTTTATTTGCGAAATCGAATACTAATCTATATTCTTTTGATAGACGAACATTCGGGTTGTGAGCATTACATCAAAAGCGCCGATTTCTAGGCTTCGCTGCCTCATTTTGCAGTAACTCCTGACAGGTTCAATGGAAGTAAAGATTCAAACATGACGAGCTTCGAAAGTCAAAAAGGAAGAATAACGAAGGTAAATTAAAGGAGTGTAATGAATTTCTTGCGTTTACTGACAGTATTATCTCATGATACCCGTCAGGTTCAAGTATTACTATTTTTCAAAGACTTTCATTATAGCCTTTGTTGCTGAGGTATCTAGATCTATCTTATCAGTTTTCGTTTGCTTTGCCTCTTTCAATGTGAGTGCACTCTTATACGGACACAATATTTTGAGCCAAAGATCTCTTTTCTCCCTTCTTTCTTCCCTTTCAAATGATGCGACATGGTCTTAGATAATGCGCCAGTTTATTTTTTTTATAGGTGATAGATTTTTGAACAACGACGTATAATCCTTATATATACAAAGTAATTCTCCAAAGCTGAAGGTATTGTTTTTTCGCGACGACATATTTCTCTTTATGTCTTTCTACTCTTCATAAAGTTTGATGCTTTGATAGCTTCTCTATTCTTCTTTCTGTGGTATTGTCTATTGGTAGGTTTATTTGATTTTTGTTGTTGTTTCTTTTCATCTAACAAATCCCATAGCCAATCAGGATATTCTGAATCATCTAAGGCTACTGGCTCAGGCTTGTCTTTTAAATATTGTAACCCTTTCAACACAGTGCCTTTCGGTGCAGCAGAAGGCTTCCGTTCGACTGTATTGTTAATGGTGGTGGTTGTCGATGATGCATCAGCTATTCCAGTCTTCAGTACTTCAGTGGCTAATTTGTTGTTCAATAATGCGCATTAGTAACCAATGTCAATGCATAACAATGCAGCTACAGGAGCCATGTCAAACGGAATTGCGGGGGTCGTTTTTATTTACCTGGTTCAGCATTGCGAAAAAAGATAGAAGTATGTAAGCGATTCAAACGCAAACAAGTTTGACTAATAAGTGGCCGTGGGGATCTTACGAGTGTGGCCAACATGTTCTGAAGTAAAATAAGACGAGAATTATTCTTTTGATTCTTAGGGTCGTAACCAAGTAATAATGGTTTCTCCCCTTTTTACCCCTCCCCCACTCTGCTTGAATTTGGGCTCTTCCGTTTCATGGGTCAGTCACAGCAGAGTCACGGCAGCCATATACGTTTAAAGAGAGGTTTTTATTGACAAAACATTTTCTTTAAAACCCAGTGGGCACAATGTTATATAAAATTGCCCGGGGCAGATCCGACTGTTTGTAAAAGTATCTGAAAAGCCCTTTAAGATCAAGGGTAAAAACGAGTTTTTCACAAGGTTGAGTGATTAGAAGGAGACATCCATTGGAGCAGTAAAGATCCTAGAGCAACACCCAAGGGTGGGGGTTCTTTGACGTGGAATAGATAGTCTAGCTCATATAGTATGTAGCAGAGGATCGGCCATTGGTGTTCCCATTGACGTTTTATCATAGGTTGTCTTGGCGGGTGGTTGGTAGCTGATTTAGAAGATACGAAAGGGGATCTTCTATTTGCTGTGGTTGCTGCAGCCATATACAGTGTTTTTACTTCCGTACGAGACACTCTTGAATTTTTAGTGGATAATCTGAGTTTTATTTGGAGACGTTTCTAGGTAAACCAGGATACGAATTGAAATATCCTATGAGACCAGATAAGATTTCTTAGGAGACAAAAATAAAATAAAAACTTCATCTTAACAAAACTTCTCTATCTAAGCATCTGTCCCAAAAAGTTTCGGAGTGTCTGATCCAACCTAAGCAATCTTCTACAGAGACTGAGAGGCAGGCTTGCTTAATTTTAGGAGTTAAGGTATCATAGGAATCTAAAGGGTTTCGTCGACTGATACTTTTAATTTTGGATCAGCACTCTTTGATAGGATTTAGAAAGGGTGAATATGGTGGCAGGAAAAGAGACTTGTATCCACGTGAATTGATTGCTTTCACGACAAATTCAGAATGGTGCATTCTGCAGTTATCCATAACAATGAACATATCCTTTTTGTTAAGCTGATGCAAAATATCCATTACACTCTCGACAAATTCAACAAAATGATATGTGGTAGTCCCTTTCCTAAGCTTCGGTTTTTCGTCATTGTCTCGTTTCCGTTTTTTCTCACTTTGGAATTCCTTTGGAATGATTTCGGCCTCCTTGACTGTCATAGGCTTAACTTTTGAAAAATCGACAATACCGAAGTGAGAGATACAGCCTATGATACTTATATTCACACCCTGTTGAGGAAATACTTTCACGTTTGTTGCTTTCCCAACTTTCGACCATGCGCGATTTCTGATTATATGCATATTGAAACCAGCCTCATCCATAAATACACAATTTGTTTGAAAATCGACGCCTGCAGCCTTCCATTGTGTTATGACACTGACACGAAGGTCAATTGTTCTAGGTGAGTCTCTTTCAATAGTATATTTGGATGCATTTTCAAAGAAAGAGCACATTTCTCAGTTATATGCTTCCATAAACCAGAAATAGAGATAGTAAAACCCTCAAAGTTACTAATCAATTCTAGACGGACTAAGGAAAGAGTAAGTGACGGATTTTCGTCAAATAGTTTCAAAATGAAAGCAGTGTGCTCAGGCGAAAACTTCCTGCTGGACATCGTTCGCTTCTTTAATTTATCTACTGTAGGGTTTAATGGGATTATAGTACCATTACTATCGTTGAACTTCTTAACTAACTTGTATGCTGAGCTGCGCGGAATCCCTGAAAGTAACGCAGTTTCTGTAACACTTTTGCCTTCTCCCTGCAAAAGATATATCATTTTCTTAATTAATGCGGTATTATACCCTCGTCGTTGTTTCGTCTCCTTGATATCAAGCGTCTCCATATGCGACTGCAGATCGACTACGTCAGACATCTCAACATTAGGAGGCTCTGCAGGCTGTTGTGGTTCACCGTACTGAACCAGTGTTTGAATATCGTTGTAATCAATATCCATTTCATTAAATTTATTGTCTGCTACATAATAGCCTTCCTTGACGGGGTTAAAGTGAATAAAATCTTCCATAATGCAGTTGTTGGATTAGAGATTGAAGGGTAGTCTCGCTCGGTAAAAGTTTGATTTTGTCTTTTTTTTTTTTTGTTTAAATTCATGTGCGATTTATTTGAACAGAAAGACAGAAAATGAAAGTAAAGTTGAAGACAAATGGTATAAGAGGAGAAGAAGGGGGGCTAAAAGAGGCACATGGGCGGCACATTATGAACAGTACTCATCACAGTGTTTAAGTAATGTCTGGTGGGGACATGTTTTCAACATTCTGTAACGTGATACTTAAAGTTACAGAGGATTGGAGTCTCTGTAAAGCATTCGCTGTGGACCAGGCTTCATTGTTGATGGTTACATACCAATGGTATTGCCAAAGGGTTTCCAAAATATTACCAACCAATTCTAAGGTGTAATTCTCAGTGTATGTATCTGTTGGAAGCTTCAACTGGAGTAGAACATGCCAGACATCATCTGGAGATCGTAGAACATCAGAGAGTGATAGATAGACTAAAGCTGCGGACCAAAAGGACCATTTGATATGGCAGCCAACGACAAAGTGAAAGTCATCTTCAATGGGTGCTAGACATAGTGGACATTCGGGTGATGGCCAGCGCTGAGGGCGTTGATTATGCAAAGATAACCTTGAACTTAATGATGCGCGCAGCAACCGCCACCAGCAGGTAAAGACCTTGTGTGACAATCGTAAGGACCAAAAGACTTTCCAAATACGAGGATGGCAAAAACCGGGTGGGCAGATATAAGGTACTTGTGGGATGCCCAGCATAGAGAATGGACCCGGTAGTTTCTCTTGAAGATATCGCTGAGACCAATATTGTCGTAATAGTCCCGGAGTCAACTTAGTAATTAGAATGGTCTGTTCGCCAACTTGAATTCCCCAGTGATCGCACCGAGGAACCCATGAAGACGCGTCAAGGGCGACAATTGGTGTTGCTCGCTGATGGGCCCTCTGACATGGCCAAGTCGGCGAAAGTACATCGAAGCGGAAATCACGCGGCATGAACTTTTTGAGCCTAGGACGCCAGGAAAGGGGAGGAGTGTCTTTTCTAAGCAGCTGGAGTAATTTACCTATCTTATTAAGGTTAGGGAGATCTAACCGAAGGTAGTTAGTGAACATGTTATATGAATAGGACCAAGAAATTGCATTTGCTACAGTATAGCGCAAAGGTATTTGAGACAGGTCATAAGCGTCCTCATTGTTCGTATGATTGACTGGTACCAAAGCAAAACGGAGTGGTGTATCTGCGTACCAGCGTCCAGGCCAGCTAGTATGTCCCATTAATGCGGGTAGCTCCATTAGAAGCCGTGTTAAAATAGATAACGTAGGGAGCCCTTTAAAGAGAGGTAAGAAGGCCCGAGGATGCTGCAGCCATGGTAGAAAGGAATGGTGACCAGTACATATGTATATGCAATGGCCGATCAAGGGAGTAACGAAATCACTGTTGCATTTAGGCCGAAGAATACGGTGAACAAAGATAAGCTGTAATGCTAGATGTTGCTGATGTATATCAATGATGCCCAAGCCGCCAAAACACTCGCGGAGACAGATAGATCGCCAAGAAGGAGCTGGACGGAAGGGGAGAACAAATTTGCGCACGACAGTTCGAATGTTGTTTAACCATGTCTTTGGTACTGGTACTACTCGTAACAAATGCCAAATTTTACTGAGAACTTGAGAGTTTACTACCAAGGACAAACCGCGAACGGAAAGGCCTCGATCTTTCAACTTACTGCAATGCATTTTAATGATGTTAGTAATACGCGCAAGGTAAGATTTCAGCTGCCTCGGTGATGAATAGAGGGGATATCCTAAATAACGAACAGTCGATGTACTTTGCTTCGTATGGTATTCAATCCCCTTAGATTGGGCTATAGCTGCCCAGGATGGACAGCAATCCCCAGATAGAGAGACAATGACGGTCTTGTTGATGTTAACTTTGGCATTACTGGCGTCTCCGTACATAGTTAACAGTTGTTCCAGTATGGACCATTCATCAGATGAGGCCAGAAAAACTTCCAAATCATCAGCGTAGCTTAATAATTTGAAGACCGGTGGATGGTACCATTGGATAGGGCTGTCGTCTGCTCCAGTATCCGGATGCCGAATGATTGGAGGATTGGCCGTTAAAGATATTTGTGTTGAGAAAGGTGACAGTGACACTCCCTGAAGAGAAGAAGCCAAAATAGTACGTAGAAATGGCTCGAACATCAGATTGAAGAGCAGAGGCGACAAGGGGTCTCCTTGGCGCAGTCCACGTTCTTGTAATAAAGGCTTTCCCAGAAAACCATTAATTGAAACAGAGATGGCCGTTGAGAAAAATAAGGACATTAGAGCTGAGATAAGATGAGGAGGAAAGTTGAACCGTGACAAAACCAGTCTGAAATATTGAGGATGCACCCGATCGTAGGCCTTTTCCTGGTCGAGCAGGACGGCTACAGCTTCGGAAGCATGGGGATCGGAACTACGGCGGAAACTATCCATCATTGTAATATTCACCCATCCATTATCTGAAATCAAGCGATGTGGCATAAAGCCTGTCTGATATGGGTTAATTAACTGAGGAAGAGCCATATTAAAACGATTCGCGAGAAGTTTGGTAAAGAGTTTAGCATCGGAATTGATAAGTGACAATGGTCGCCAATTACTCAAGGAGGAAGGGTCCCCCTTCTTAAACAGCAACACCATC